ATCCAACGCATGTTCGAAGAGGCGTACATCCCGGATGTATGGAGGACTGCTGAGGTCGTACCGATCCTCAAAAAGGACTCCCACACAGACATGAACAACTACCGCTCTATGCGCCTCATCCCGTCAATCATGAAGCTACTTTGCGCCATTCCCACGAACCGGATCCAGAGAGGCCTCCAGGAACGCAAGTTCTTCGCCCCAGAACAGGCTGGATTCCGGAGCCACGAGGAGTGCATGAGCCATGTCCTGACCCTAACTGAAGTGGTGCAACGTCGCTCCATTAGCGGCCAACAACCAACTTACGTATGCTTCATTGACTTTCAAAAGGCCTTTGACACGGTCCCGCACGAGGCTCCATTTCTGAAGATGGAACGCGCCGGAGTCTCCGGAAAGTGCTTAGCGTTCTTCCGTGCGCTCTATGCAGACTCATGGATGCGCATCCGACTGGGCGACAGCTCAAGAACCCCTTCCAGAAGAATCCGCCGTGGACTGCGGCAGGGCGAGCGCGCATCCCCGCTCCTTTTCAACATCTTCATCAACGATCTGCTGAACAACTGCAGACAATACGGGCTTGAGGTGCCGTGGATAGACTGTGGAGATGCCCGATGAGGAGCCCTCACATAGGAACCGCCTCGCAGGCCGTCTAGTTGCGGACGATGTCGTGCTGTTGGCACCCGCCCCTGAAACGCTTGCGGCTAGCATGCAACAAGTCAGCGACTGGGCCGATCGCTGGGAGATGAGCATAGGAGCATCGAAGTGCGGCGTCATGGTCATCCATGGAGACTCGCAGAGCATTCGCAATCGCTCGTGGCGGTTGCAGAATCCGGAAATCCCGATCGTGGAAAAATATCGCTACCTGGGGGTCGGTCTCACGCCGACGCTCGACGAAAAGGCACACGTCGACGAGATGATCGCCAAGATGCATAGAGGTACAGCGATCGCACGCTCATTCCCATCCGACCCCTCTATCCGCATAGCAATTCGTACGAGGGCACTAAGGATGTGTATCACCCAGCCTGCGACCTGGGGTGCTGAGTGGTGCGGCATGAAGCACACAAATGCCTCGCGTCCGCAGACAGCCGCCAACGGGGCAATGAGACTCGTTGTTGTTGGATGCTCAATGCAGAGCAGGGCAACCACCGCGCTGGCACTCGGACTTGAACTCCAAATACTCTCAATAGAAGCGATAGCAGCAGGCTGCCGGGCATGTATACGGGCCAAAGGGCCCGCCACGCGCACCTCTTTGAGTCGGATTTTCATGCAGACCCGAACGCACCGCAAGAACACTTGGATGAAATCGACGCAGATTGGGCTGAAGCGCCTCTTAGGAGACAACACGCTCCCCAATCGATCCCCAGGAATGTACAAGGCTCCCGCCGCCTCAAGCGAACGGTCCAAACAACAATATGGGAACGTAGACACGGAACCAGTCGCGCCAGTAACGCCGGCTTGACTCTATACCGGAACTACAACCTAGCATACACATGCAAGTACTGGTGGGAGGTGCTGGAATTTCCGGGGCTTGCTCGAGGTACCCAGTGGCTCGCGAAAATCCGCGTTGGTGGCTTCTGGCTACCAGCACGGGCTCTAAGCCGTATAGGGACACTGGAATCGCACTGGGAGTCACACTGTTCCTGCTGCGGAAACGATAACCCGGAGACGCTGACATATTTAGGCTTACAGTGCCCGCGCTCGAAGCAGGAGCGCAGCGAGCTCCTTGCAGGACAGCAGCAGCTGAGCATCACCGTGATAGCCGAGGGCCGGACACTCACTTTGAGAGCAGCACTGGCAACTGATGGTCCGCTAACGGAGCCTCAGCGCTCATTAGTGGCGAACAAACTCACGTGCTACCTTCTAGGCGGAAGGTCCAGCGGATCGGATGCGCACACGGGCCCAGTGCTCTCTGCGCCTACCTTCTGTATGGGTGTCAAACACAAACCCGCATTGCCAACCGACGACAACGCATTCCATGCATGATCTCGAAAGAGAGAGGCGGCTCCCACGATATATCCTAACAGTCAAGTTTCTCCAGCGTGTCGAGCAGCGAAGACAAGCCTGCATCCGCAGACTGTCCGAGCACACACTGACAACGAGACCCGATTCTACGTCGGGTGAAGCGCACCTTGAGCCGACGCCCTTTGTGGTATAGAAAAGCCGTTCTGTCTCCATGATGCATCTGTACCAAAGGTAAAGACGCTATTGCGGACAATTAGGACAGGTTCTGGGCACACGATAGGACGTATGAGATGACCAGAATATCCGAGATGAAGTATAGGTAATGTGACGTGGAGGTACGGGGGTTGATGGATACCCCACCGCGCACTGTAAAAAAATAACGCAAAAAGTAAGAAAAGAAAAATGCGCACAATCGGAGAACGCTGGCCCAAGTAAACGCGTTGTTAATGAAAAACATGCCGCCGTTAAAGGGAAACGTGATCTTGATATCTAGCATGTAGCTCTAATGTCAAAGTTGTATTTTTGTTAACTTCATAGGCATGTATAGTTTTCAGTTCGATTGTGTTTCAACCCTCAAGTGAAAATATTCGATTGTTTTTCTCAGTATATAACAGAAGCGTTCACGGAGGGCTGATTTATAAAAACTTAAAAAGGAAGTTATGAAAAAGCAAGTCGGCGATCCTGACGCCCCAGTGTCGCTGGCTGCCAGAAAAGAAAAAAAACAGTACCGAGTTCAGAAGAACAGCATAAGAAGAAAACGCAAAAAGGGGATATTCCAAGTCGATGGCCGCAAGAACTACAACCGTACAACGAGATGCTGGTGAAAACCTTTCTTCTTAAACATATCAAGGATCCTTACAGGGAACACTAGCGAAACGCTATCGAAAAACGTATCGACTCGTACTCCAAGAGTATTGTCAAGGCCTCGTCAGGACTGATGCATTTGGCGAGGGAGATGTATCGCGAAGTGACGCACATGGAAACGGTCGAGGTTCCCGGACGGCGTTTTCGATGCGACGTTTATTCGTCAGCTGATGCTTGGTACAGAGTAAGCGCGGGGGAAAATGAGCCAGTGCATGCCCTCCACGAAAACTTGGCGGAATTCCGCCTCGAGAGTAATCGATAAAGCGGTGACCGGGGTATTTACATATACGGGGCGATAAAGTATACCGCGAACCTGAAGAACAATTTGACAGTGAACCTCGAACGTTACATGATACGCGCCTTGTTTGCACTCTACCCGGGCATCTGTCCCAAAGGAATATCAGCGATTATCAATGGCATCACGAACGATCGCAAGCGTGAAGATGACGTCGAATTTGTCGACAAGAAGGCGTCAAACCAGAGCACGAATAAGGTCTCCGTCATCCGTGCGGATATACAAGAGCACCGTGCAGTCATGGGGCTGCCGAATCCAACAGACAAGATATCAGCGTTGAAAAAGATAAGGGAAGATACTATCGCCTCATCCTATGTTATTTCGTGTTTCTGGACCGAGAACTCGAACGCAAGGCAGAAATGAAGCTGAGTGGGGAAAACTGAAGACTGGGACAGACGGAAGGCTTTCCTGATGGGTAAGCGCTTCTACATCGTTCCGATGTGCACCATCAAGTCACATTTTGTGAGTATCGACTCCGCAGTCCTTCATGGCATCATGAAGGAGATCAGTCCGGAGTTCGATGTTAGCAGGGAGGAATTCTACGGTGAAAACCGGGAGACGTTCTGGAAGAATATCTTCGATTTCAAACGTCTGAGGGTGAGCAAACAAAAGGTACTCACTGGGATGATCGATACCGATGGAGTAGCCTTGTGTATACACTATCGGCGGTTGAAGAGAGATCGTCCAGTCCCGCCCTCGGCTGCGCCCGTGACGAACCATGAATGTGAGAAGGAGGCGGATCCTGCGGCACAGGAGGTGCAGGATAACGACTTTCGTTGGCGCGGCGAAGAATGCAGAAAAGAAGGAGGCGGGTCCTGTGACCCCGAAAGTGCAAGATAACGACTTTGTCGTCGGCGCGGTCCCTGGGAATACGAATATCATAACCATCGCTGCTCCCAAGCGTGCGGATGATGGTACTGACGGCAACTTACCTCAGAAAGACATGCGTCTTTTGAGGTTCTCGAGAGCGAGATACTGTCTAGAATCGGATATAATGAATGCAAGGAAGACAAATGAGAGGTGGAATGCAGGAATGAAGGATCACCTCGAAGCTATGAGGGAGATCACGAGCTGAGGAGCGGACTTTACTGCTTTTCGGAAATTCATGGAAGTTCGCGTTGCCCATTGGGACGCACTGTGGAAGGAGTATACCATGCCCCGGTGGGCTCGTCTGCGTATGAGTCTATACGGAGAGAGGCAGCGGGCATTTGCGAACGTTTTCAATCAGATGAGCGCCTTGAAGGAGGATAAAAAAAGTCAGAGGCTCGTAGTAGCATACGGAGCAGGGCGCTGGAAGACCCAAAAAGGAACTACGCCAGCTCCAACGACGAGTGCGTATAAGGAGTGCGCAAGGCGCTTTGTAACAATACCTGTAGGTGAGTTTCGAACGTCGTATACACACCATGAGCTGGGGTGTCTACTTCAGAGAGTGGAGGTAGGAATGTGCATGAGGAGCCCTGAGGATAAAAAAATACGGACCGCTGACGGAGGAGCAGATGGAAAGGATGGCGAAAGTTCGAGGATTGCTTGCATTGGTGAGTACCAACAATGGCGAGAAACGTATGGAGTTTGTGAACCGAGATTTTAACACCGCCATCAATATCAGGAGATGCGCGGTGATGGAGAAAAAACCTCCACAGCTGACAAGAGAGAATTTTAAGGGACAACCGCTCAAAGTGGAATTATATGAGAAAAGGTTGGAAGCCGTAGTAGGTGGCCGGTCCAAGAAAACTGAGAGGTCTCTGCACATCAGTTGGAGACTTCTTGTCTAGAGCACTGGTCGCCAATACAGTACACGTTCGACGTCGTTCGAGTTCAGAACGGCGTTGTTGGCGCGTTGCGTGGGGTGCCGCGGAGGAGCGTTTCGAGCTCTGCGTAAGACGCTATGAAACCCCAAGATCTACTGAGTCTTGATGGACTGCGTGTTGACGGACGGAAACCAGATGAAGTAAGGAGCATTTCTGCACAGCTTGGGGTGGTTCCGGGCGCCGACGGGAGTGTTCTCGTAGAACAAGGACAAACCCGGGTGCTTGTAGCTGTCTACGGCCCCTATGAAACAAAAAAAGGAGCTTTGAGTATACCAAGCACCCGAGCACTGATCAATGACGCACTTCGCACTGCGGTTTCCGAGTATCAAGCGCCAGTCGTCCCGGAGACACACGCCGCTAGGCCAGCCCAAGCGGTTGCAGGTGCAGTTTTCGCCGAATCGGACGACTCCAGCATCGACTCCGATATGGAGACGGCTCTCAACATTGACACGGTGGAGTCGGATCACTCTGATTCAGCTATCAGTAACGCTCCAGGCAACGAATCGCCCGCAACTGCTCTCAAGCTGCTACCACCAGCAACAGCACACGGCCGGGTGCACTGCGAGTACAGCACAGCGTCCTTCGCTGGGGCAGCGAGCTCGGTGCGAACCCTGCGTGCCTACAGGCGTCGACAACAGAACAGGTATGCGGGCACAGCCATCATGCGAACCAGTACAATGGATAGTCACGATGAAAAGAATGGAGCTCTCCGAATAGGTCGCACAGAGGCGGCTCCACACGAAGCGCAGACGGAGCGGTCTTTCCGGTTGCCAGGCATTGTCGCGAGCAGCAAATTCCGCCAAAAGTCCCGCGAAGCAGCAGAGCATATTCGCGAGGTGTTCGAACCCGCTATACTGGTAGGAAGCGATGCCAATAGCGCAGGGTCCTCTCGGTACATGCCATCGCATGCTCAGGTCGACATATTCGTCCAAGTACTCCAGAGCGATGGCAGCGAATTTGCCGTTGCCGTGAACGCTGTGAGCCTAGCGCTGCTACATGCCGCTGTACCGCTTCGTGATCTTATTGTCGCGTGCAGCGCAGTTGCACTCCCGACCGAGGAGCTAGGCTCCGGAGCCCGACGCTTTGTCGCGGCGGCGGATCCCTCCAACTGGGAGCTGCAGCAGGCCCGCATTTGGCAGGCAGCCTTTGGAGCTGTCGTACCGGAGGTCACAGTCGCAGTGCTTGCTGGCGAGTCATTCCAACCCGTTCCACAGCGGATCGTTGATTTTCGAGATCCGCACGCTGGCTCCAGTTTGGAGCACGGTGTGCAGCTACTTTGGGTGGATTATCGAAATATGGCTCTGGATGACGGCAGCACTAAGGGGCTTGATTGTCGGGCGTACAGTGTGGAGCAGGTTAAACAGCTTTTGGATCTGGCCTGCGGCACAGGTTGTGCTGAAACCTACCGATGGATACGCGAGGCCGCTCTTCACCAAACATACGACCAGGTTTTGCGGTACGAGTGGAGTAGCGCTCGTTTACAACTGCCTGTCAGAGAAGCGCAGAATCCGAGGTCGGATTGTTGAACGAGATCTCCGTAACTCTTGTAAAAAGCTACCCAATTGAAAAACGCTTTTTCATTGGTCGCGGCATTGAGAAAAATCCCTTCGTTTTGCGGGAAGCGCCCAATGGCTTCGTAAACGAGGAATGGGCGGAGTTTTTGTGGACAACGCACGACGTGATGGGCGACACTGTTTGGAGCACTGACGGATCCAGGCGGCTAGCACTTCTCGCTCCTTCTTTCTGTGGAAGTCTTCTACGACAGAAGTACTTGTTTCCAGGATACAGCTGAAACCAGCTGCTTCTGCGCATCAGACAAAATAATCCAACTGGAACCTGAGGGCTTGTGTGCAGTAACCACGACTGATGCACGCCGCAATGCCTCTGTTCGTCGATGCCCGATGCTCGGAGCACTGATTTCTGGAATATCCAAGTCTGTGAGGCTTTTTTGTTTTCGTTTGTTTCTGTCGCAGAAATTGAACAGAAGGAATGTGTATCATAAACGCGATAGAGGATGCAGAAAGACCCAATGTAGTCACAACTAGCCCGCCAACAAACGACCTTACAAGAGCGAGTCAGTTACTATGTAGTCAGCATCTGGATGGACAGGCCTTCTCGTGGTCAATATCCCGAACCGCATTCAACCAAAACATAATTCATAAAACACTATCTGCACCACTTCCTCTTCGTCAATATGTTCCGCTCCATGCGAATTCAATGAAAAATATACCAAAAATCTCCGGAATTTGATGTTTCCGTATCGATGATGGGACCGGCAGTAAAGCGACGCGGAAGAACTAAGGAAAACCAAAGCCTCTATGCGGGACCGTCGCGCGTTGGACAACATACTATCGCGTTTTTAACAAAACGCGAATCTTCATCACATCAGGGCCATGTGTGCATCGCAAAGGATACGTTTGTATTCAAGAAAAATGGTAGAAATGTACATTGATGCCAAAAAGATAAGCAGACCGCTGTTCGTAAAGAAAACGTGGGCGAGCATTCAGACAACACCAGCTCTAGCGGCAATCCTATAGTGCGTTCGTCTGCAAAACGCTGACCGATCGTAATCATTCGTTATCTCATTCTTCAATGAAGCAGTCTTCGCGGCTTCTTTTCCACAAAATTTTCTGTCCTGCTGTCAGACGAATTCGCACTTTGTTGCTCAAAAGCCTTCAACAAGAATGCAGCTGAAACGTGTGTTGAGCTGCGCATCATGCCATCCATTTGCCCCGGGCTGATTCCAGTCAGAGGCGTCCTCCTTGTTGTCCGATGCAATGCTTACGCACACAGATACATAAAAGAATCGTTCGCATCTGCGACGCTGAAGCGCGCACATTCGTCCTTCGACTAGTCGTTCTGTGATGTCACAAGTAGTGAACTGCTGCGTTGCTCCTCTTCTGTTGCGCGGGAGCGAACCGAAGGGCACCTCTCTGTCCATCAGCGAGCTCGCAGCGCAACAGATAGCCAAACTTTATCGAAGAACTAATAGCAACGTAGGCAGAAAACGTCAGCTTTAATGGCATCGTAGAGCCTGTACCTCTAAATCACGCGAAAACGAATATGGAGCATCGCGACTACATACATGATACTCCACCAAGTAACGGAGGAGCGGAAGAACCCACCAGCCTAAGATGGGGATAATTGTTTCAAAAAGAGGCGAGGACACACAAAGAGCGCAAAGAGTTGGAATGGAAAAATCGGTCTGAAATCCTTGGCAAGGTCTCCGTCTGAAAACGTATCAATCGCGGGAATCCTCTCAAACATGAGAAGCGGGGCACTGGCAGGGATCGCGTTCCCTCTTACTCGAGGGATGCCCCCCAAGCATATTTCGCTGTAACGTCCCTCAACAAGCAAATGCTCGTAGGCGTTTCGGACACACGGCTGCCAGCTGTCCACAATTCTCCGGAACAGTTCCGATCCAGTTTTTCTTGAGACAACGGAAATGATGCTCGAGACAGGCTTTCAATACATCCTTACTTTCCCACGGCTCGACGTCTTCGACAGTCGAATATGATGGATACCAGGCGCCATACGAACACGTGAGGTGGCAGCTTCGGGACCCAGCTCGATGCAATGAGTACCACATCGAGCAGGACGTTGTGCTTTGTACGCCTCAATCAGAAAGAACACGAGCATCCAAATGGTTCAAGCGAAGGCTTTTTGCGGGAGGAAATGAGTGAGCGCTGGAGTCGGAGATGAACCAGGTTATGTGGCAGAATGTAACGCGCACTTTCTTACTTGTTCATTGGGTTGGAAAGTAGCGTCGTTTCGTGCTAGTCTAGGACGCCGAACGAGCTGCGGTGCCCAAATGCAGCAACCCTGCCTCCTCGACGCTAACGAGAAAAAGTGCTGGAATCGATTCGATACGAATCCCATCGATATGTCAGGATGGCAAAAACACATCAATAGCACACTTGTGCGCTGAAAGTGTTCGATGAAAACAGCGTGGCACAGAACCGGATGTATCGGATGGTGTGCAGTATGCTGAGCTATCGTCAAATGGTGAGACAATCGAAAACGTAGAGTGTACCATGATGAGATTCCACCCGCAACGGTGCGCACGAGCACTTCGTGTTCCTTGAGTTCAACGCCGCGATTAACATGCGGAAGCGTTTTGTGCTCGTGGAGCGTCCAAGAACTTTCTATTGAGCGATGTTTCGGGAAAATCGTTTCGTATTCCATGAGGGCATTGTGGGCAAATTCTGAAGACTTTCGATGAAAGAAATCAGCGATTATGAAGGAGGGTACGGGATTACAACCAAGCGCAAGACACTGATATGGTACGTTTCAGCAATCCAGCGAGGCCAGAGCACCGTTTATGGACAAAGTGTACGATTCCGCTGGGCAATTTGGGAACAACCACGGTATTCCAATGTGCAGTAAGACATTCTATAGTGCATTTGCGGCTTATGCATGTTTTCGGTTGAGGAGAGCCGGTGATGCACGCGGTTGACGAACGACGCGCCCGTTTGCTCCTGTCCCTGCTGATTGGTCAGACACTAACTTGGATACTGGTGTGACGGTGCATTTGCTCATCAAGTCGTTTATGCGCCAAACGAACCAACATCCAAATGATGCAGAAAATCCTGTCGCTGTGCTCGAGACAATCCTGAGATTCCGGTGCAACCAGACGTGCTCTGCTGGAAACTCTCGTGACTCGACATGATTCCCCGCATCGAGCGAGATCGTCCCAAACAAAGACCAATCACGCCCTCTGGAGCGCCGCTACACCTGGCAATACCCGCCCCTCGATTAACTCCAACGCAGCGCCACCACCGGTTGAGATATGCGATACCTTGTCCGCCTTACCTGATTGCTCCATAGCGGCAACAGAATCGCCACCTCCCACAATCGTGATGCAGCCGTTCTGAGTGATCTCCGCGAGAGTCTCCGCAATGGCAAAGGTGCCCTTGGCAAAGTTCGGCATCTCGAAAACGCCCAGGGGCCCGTTCCAAAGAACAGTCTTCATCGTGCGAAGCTTCTCCTGGATCATTCTTGTCGTCTCTGGCCCGTTATCAAGACCCATCCATCCGTCCGGAATCTCCTCCACTGGTACGACCTTTGTATTCGCATCATTGGCGAACTTATCGGCGACGACAACATCGAGGGGTAGGAGGAGCTCGATTCCCCGCTTGCGCGCTTCTTCCTCGATGACTCGTGCCAACTCAATTTTGTCTTCCTCAACAAGCGAGCTACCAGTCTTCAGACCGCGCGCGCGGAGAAACGTAAATACCATGCCTCCTCCGATGATGATTGTATCGCATTTTTGAAGAAGTTTCTCCAAAACAGCGATTTTCGTGCTGACCTTGGAGCCTCCAACGATAGCGGCAAATGGACGCTTCGGGCTCTCAATTGCGTTCGACAAATAATCCAGCTCTTTTTCGAGGAGGAATCCCGCCACTGCGGGTTTGAGAAAAGCGGTAACGCCCTCTGTGGACGCGTGCGCCCGGTGCGCCGTTCCGAACGCATCATTCACGTAGAGGTCCGCATTCGCCGCTAGCTTGCGCGCAAAATCGGGGTCGTTCTTTTCTTCCTCAGGGTAAAAACGGACGTTCTCCAGAAGAACAACATCTCCAGGGGACATAGCCGCTACTTCGGTCGCCACTGCGTCCCCGATACAATCCTTTGCCATGCGAACCTTCTTTCCCAAGAGTTCCGAGAGACGTTCCGCCACTGGCGCCAAGGAATATTTGTCCTCAAAGCCGCCCTTGGGTCGCCCGAGGTGCGAAACGACGATCACCTTTGCTCCTTTGTCTGCGAGGTACTTGATCGTCGGGACGGACGCCCGAATCCGCGTGTCGTCTGTGATTCGCTTTCCATCAAGGGGCACGTTCAAATCAGAACGAACAAACACTCTTTTTCCGCGGATTTCAGCGTCCTGCAAATCACGAATAGAACGGACCCGCATAGCAACGTCACTTGTTTGAACACAAACAGGAGCGCGTGCGCGCGTAGCTGCGCTTTCGCGAACACCGGAGCGCCCACGCCCTTGCGAACTTCGCGGCCGCGTCGAGAGCGCAGCCTGCCCTAGCCAGGTAGACGCCGCAAAGCTCGGGTTTTTCGGAAGACCACGGCAAATTTGTCCTTTTAATGGGCTAACTGCGGCCTTCGTTGCAGAATTAATAACGAACGCTATCATTGTTTCCGTGAAACAGTGTCCTCGTACTTGCTCGCTTGTAAAATGGTTCAAAGCAGAAATTACAGCAGCACGCTCGTATAGGACGAAAGGCGCCGCTTATTGCCCCGGGAAGGACGTGCGCTCGCGCCGTCGCATTCTGTGGCTGAGATTGCCGCCTGCCTGATTGCCTGCACGCCTGCCGGCATCGATGAGTCCTTTTTCACGGACAACGCGTTTACTTGGGCCAGCGTTCTCCGATTGTGCGCATTTTTCTTTTCTTACTTTTTGCGTTATTTTTTTACAGTGCGCGGTGGGGTATCCATCAACCCCCGTACCTCCACGTCAAATTACCTATCCTTCATCTCGGATATTCTGGTCATCTCATACGTCCTATCGTGTGCCCAGAACCTGTCCTAATTGTCCGCAATAGCGTCTTTACCTTTGGTACAGATGCATCATGGAGACAGAACGGCTTTTCTATACCCCAGAGGGCGTCGGCTCAAGGTGCGCTTCACCCGACGTAGAATCGGGTCTCGTCGTCAGTGTGTGCTCGGACAGTCTGCGGATGCAGGCTTGTCTTCGCTGCTCGACACGCTGGAGAAACTTGACTGTTAGGATATATCGTGGGAGCCGCCTCTCTCTTTCGTGATCATGCATGGAATGCGTTGTCGTCGGTTGGCAATGCGGGTTTGTGTTTGACACCCATACAGAAGGTAGGCGCAGAGAGCACTGGGCCCGTGTGCGCATCCGATCCGCTGGACCTTCCGCTTGGAAGGTAGCATGTGAGTTTGTTCGCCACTAATGAGCGCTGAGGATCTGTTAGCGGACCATCAGTTGCCAGTGCTGCTCTCAAAGTGAGTGTCCGGCCCTCGGATATCATGGTGATGCCCAGCTGCTGCTGTCCTTCAAGGAGCTCGCTGCGCTCCTGCTTCCAGCGCGGGCACTGTAAGCCTAAATATGTCAGCGTCTCGGGGTTATCGTCTCGATAGCAGGGACAGTGTGACTCCCAGTGCGATTCCAGTGTCCCTATACGGCTTAGAGCCGGTGCCGCTAGCCAGAAGCCACCAACGCGGATTTTGGCGAGCCACTGGGTACCTCGAGCAAGTCCCGGGAATTCCAGCGCCTCCCACCAGTACTTGCATGTGTATGCTAGGTTGTAGCTCCGGTATAGGATCAAGCCGGCGTTACTGGCGCGACTGGTTCCGTGTCTACGTTCCCATATTGTTGTTTGGACCGTTCGCTTGAGGCGGCGGGAGCCTTGTACATTCCTGGGGAACGATTGGGGAGCGTATGTTCGTCTAATAGGCGCTTCAGCCCAATCTGCGTCAATTTCGTCCAAGTGTTCTTGAGGTGCGTAGGGGTCTGCATGAAAATCCGACTCAAAGAGGTGCGCATGGCGGGCCCTTTGGCCCATATACGTACCCGGCAGCCTGCTGCTATACCTTCTGTCGAGGGTATTTGGAGTTCGAGTCCGTGTGCCAAGGGATTATAGCGGTCGATACGCGCACCTCCATATCTGGCAGGTATGAGACACCACGCGCATGTCGTTGGTGAAGGGAAACGCGATCGCGATCTTGAGCGTGTTGCTCTCAATTACAAGTTGTATATTCGTTAAAGTCATAACAGAGTACACTTTTCAGGTCAATTATGTTTCAACGCTCAATTTAGTTTATCCAAGTGATATTTAGCGGTCTATATCAGAGGCGTTGATGGAGCGTTCTTTTCAAAAAAAAACAAAAAAAGGATGTTATGAAAAAGCAAGTCGGCGATCCTGACGCCCCAGTGTCGCTGGCTGCCAGAAAAGAAAAAAACAGTACCGAGTTCAGAAGAACAGCATAAGAAGAAAACGCAAAAAGGGGATATCCCAAGTCGATGGCCGCAAGAACTACAACCGTACAACGAGATGCTGGTGAAAACCTTTCTTCTTAAACATATCAAGGATCCTTACAGGGAACACTAGCGAAACGCTATCGAAAAACGTATCGACTCGTACTCCAAGAGTATTGTCAAGGCCTCGTCAGGACTGATGCATTTGGCGAGGGAGATGTATCGCGAAGTGACGCACATGGAAACGGTCGAGGTTCCCGGACGGCGTTTTCGATGCGACGTTTATTCGTCAGCTGATGCTTGGTACAGAGTAAGCGCGGGGGAAAATGAGCCAGTGCATGCCCTCCACGAAAACTTGGCGGAATTCCGCCTCGAGAGTAATCGATAAAGCGGTGACCGGGGTATTTACATATACGGGGCGATAAAGTATACCGCGAACCTGAAGAACAATTTGACAGTGAACCTCGAACGTTACATGATACGCGCCTTGTTTGCACTCTACCCGGGCATCTGTCCCAAAGGAATATCAGCGATTATCAATGGCATCACGAACGATCGCAAGCGTGAAGATGACGTCGAATTTGTCGACAAGAAGGCGTCAAACCAGAGCACGAATAAGGTCTCCGTCATCCGTGCGGATATACAAGAGCACCGTGCAGTCATGGGGCTGCCGAATCCAACAGACAAGATATCAGCGTTGAAAAAGATAAGGGAAGATACTATCGCCTCATCCTATGTTATTTCGTGTTTCTGGACCGAGAACTCGAACGCAAGGCAGAAATGAAGCTGAGTGGGGAAAACTGAAGACTGGGACAGACGGAAGGCTTTCCTGATGGGTAAGCGCTTCTACATCGTTCCGATGTGCACCATCAAGTCACATTTTGTGAGTATCGACTCCGCAGTCCTTCATGGCATCATGAAGGAGATCAGTCCGGAGTTCGATGTTAGCAGGGAGGAATTCTACGGTGAAAACCGGGAGACGTTCTGGAAGAATATCTTCGATTTCAAACGTCTGAGGGTGAGCAAACAAAAGGTACTCACTGGGATGATCGATACCGATGGAGTAGCCTTGTGTATACACTATCGGCGGTTGAAGAGAGATCGTCCAGTCCCGCCCTCGGCTGCGCCCGTGACGAACCATGAATGTGAGAAGGAGGCGGATCCTGCGGCACAGGAGGTGCAGGATAACGACTTTCGTTGGCGCGGCGAAGAATGCAGAAAAGAAGGAGGCGGATCTTGCGACGCAGGAGGTGCAAGATAACGACTTTGTCGTCGGCGCGGACCCTGGGAATACGAATATCATAACCATCGCTGCTCCCAAGCGTGCGGATGATGGTACTGACGGCAACTTACCTCAGAAAGACATGCGTCTTTTGAGGTTCTCGAGAGCGAGATACTGTCTAGAATCGGATATAATGAATGCAAGGAAGACAAATGAGAGGTGGAATGCAGGAATGAAGGATCACCTCGAAGCTATGAGGGAGATCACGAGCTGAGGAGCGGACTTTACTGCTTTTCGGAAATTCATGGAAGTTCGCGTTGCCCATTGGGACGCACTGTGGAAGGAGTATACCATGCCCCGGTGGGCTCGTCTGCGTATGAGTCTATACGGAGAGAGGCAGCGGGCATTTGCGAACGTTTTCAATCAGATGAGCGCCTTGAAGGAGGATAAAAAAAGTCAGAGGCTCGTAGTAGCATACGGAGCAGGGCGCTGGAAGACCCAAAAAGGAACTACGCCAGCTCCAACGACGAGTGCGTATAAGGAGTGCGCAAGGCGCTTTGTAACAATACCTGTAGGTGAGTTTCGAACGTCGTATACACACCATGAGCTGGGGTGTCTACTTCAGAGAGTGGAGGTAGGAATGTGCATGAGGAGCCCTGAGGATAAGAAAATACGGACCGCTGACGGAGGAGCAGATGGAAAGGATGGCGAAAGTTCGAGGATTGCTTGCATTGGTGAGTACCAACAATGGCGAGAAACGTATGGAGTTTGTGAACCGAGATTTTAACACCGCCATCAATATCAGGAGATGCGCGGTGATGGAGAAAAAACCTCCACAGCTGTCAAGAGAGAATTTTAAGGGACAACCACTCAAAGTGGGATTATATGAGAAAAAATTGGAAGCCGTTGTAGGTGGCCGGTCGAAAAAGACTGGAAGGCATCAGCTCGTCAGTTGGCGACGTCTAGTCTAAGGCGGAGCACTCGCCACTACTGTACACCACTGGCGGTCACAACGTTTTTCTTTTGGGAGATGTTTGTTGTTGGTGTCGGAGGTGCGTCTGGAACAGGTTTCCCGAGAAGACTGCTGTCCGGTTGCGTCCTGCTGCTGACGCTCCTGGTATTACTTCACTCCAGGTCGGGCGATGCTCTCGAGCGCACGCTTTCCATACTAGAAGCATGCCGTTTTACCCAGGAGACTACAGGAATCACCTCCTACGCGAAGCTACGCGTCCTTGACAGGTTCCGGTCACGTGACGGTCTTGAAACGCTGGTCTTGAGCGCTCGCGGGCCCCTGGACCGGCGCACTGTAGAGCAAGCAGCAGCGACGTGGTGTGCGCCCGGTGGCGTTCTCCCGCCACGCCTAGACCCGCAAAACGAAGTGCTCATTCTGCAGTGCAAACCAGACGCCGATGCTTTCGAAGGAACTGCTCCAAACGAGCAGTTACATCTCGCTGCCTGGACGATGCTGCGGTTGCGCCCTGAGTCTCAGGAGAACCGTCGGCCGAACAACGTAGAACGCTCCGTTTCGCAGAGCCTCCTCCTGTCGTGGATCATACACCATACAAGGGTCGGCATTCGGAATTTTTTCATCTATCTCAATGAGCCGGATGCCTGTGGTTCCAGAATAATGGAGCTTAGGGATGAATTGACGGAGCGACTCGCCGATGTGCCTGCGAATGTATCGATCATAGCGTGGCCATTTCGTCCACCAAAGGGCGTGCACTGGAATCATGTTCAGATTGCAGCCATGAACGATTGTTTGTGGCGGAATCGCGGCATATTCAAATGGATTCTTTTCGCAGATGTGGACGAGTACATCGTTCCGAGCGAAAATGCGCTGCGCTCTAATCCGGAAAGCCCGGTACTGCATGTGCTGGATGACATTGAAAGACAACTACCGATTAACCTGTGCAGTGTTCGAGTGCCTTGCTGGTGGCGTTACGACGTTATTGAACCGGCTCTGAACTGGAGCGAAGCCTCTCAGACGTCGCTCCGGAGGCCATGGCTAGGTGCTGCCGCTCCCGTTGATCGCGTTTGCAAACCGCACCTGAACCGTGAAAAGTGCTTCGTACGTACTGACCAGGTGTACTACACAGCTGTTCATGCTGTTGCTGAAGCGTATGGACCAAATTGTGTGCAGGTATGGCCGGACGTGCACCAGCACTTGCGACTGGAGCATCGGCGCTCACCGCGAGCTTTTGACGATTACTCGCCTGCTGAAGTACTCTACGCGACCTAGACTCGAACAGATCATCTGGGCACTGACAGCTCTAGAAAAGCAGCGATTCGTCGAAGCAGACTCGGCACAGATGCGCACCTGCTGCCGAATCCATTCACCTTCTACGATTCGGCACGTGATGCATTCAGCATCACGGGCTGATCTGGTAGGAGACGGCGCCGTAGATTCGTTGCAGCGCCTTCGTCCGCATCCTCGCCAAAGAACTCGCACAGGAGCTCGAACAAACTTTCCGGTGGAAGCTCGGCTCTGAGGCGAGGACCTGCAGCGTATGTCCATTCCGAATCCGCGATATTCAATCGAAAGCGTTGCAAATAGAGCATTTTTGGGAGATAGAGCGTTAAGAGTTTGTGGATGTCAGCTTTTCGCTGGTACCCATGGAACCAGACGTTGTCGCCGGAGACAGCTCCAGTGGCATCGGGGTCGGCGTCATTCGCCGGCACACCTCGCAATGGGTTCGTTTCAGGCACATAGTCTCCGTTGTGCGTATGCGCTGGAAGCGCTGCCTCACGGGTAGCTTGGGAATTGTTGTGGACGGTCATTAAGCCGATTCGCGCAAAACTATTGAAAAGCTCTTTCTCTTGTATCATTCCGGTGTCGGAAAGACCAAAGAGACATGCAAGCACCATGAGCAATCCCGAAAAAGCAATGCTCCTCGGCTGTGGGCGCAGCTTTGGGGGCAAGTCCGAAACGAGCAGGAGTAGATCACTGGGCATTCCATCGTTTCCAGGCGGCGCTTCGTCGAGCGACGGTGGTGCTCCCTCGACCAGACATCTCTCCTGATAGAAGTGATAGGGGGCTACGGTCAGCGTTAAACCACGAGCAGCCTGTCGCGTGCGACCCCTCGCATGCTCGCCAAGCGGAAGACGACCCACCTGAAGAACCCGAAAGCCCAAATCAAAAAGAAGCATTTGTGCGGCGCGTTCCAGAGCAGCGTTCCGCAGTGTCGTGAGCCAGGTTGGAAATCGACCTCGAGGACCAGCCGGCACCCCAAGGGTTTCAGCCACGAGGCTTGTTATGTCCCGCTTCAACACGGGTATGCGCGATTGTTCACGGACAAGTAGGAAGCGCGTTACTGTTGATACAAGGTGCCGTTGCTGGTCCTCGTCCAGTGCATCCCAAGAGCCAGCAGACGTCGGTGCGGTCACCGCAGGCGTTTCTGGTGAATGTGCAGCACAAACCCCATGTTCGCCGGTGCTCTGCATGGCTCCTGGTCCTCCTTCCGGAGGCAATCTGTCCCCGCTTGGTGCTCTATTCTCAGCATCCAGGTCCTCGGCGTGGTGCTCGGGCTCGCCGCAGTCGCTCGGTGGGTTCAGCGCACTCGCTGGGGTTCCAGCGCCCCGCGAGCGCGCAGCGAAGAACGCATCGTCCGCGTCTGGACCTAGGCACGCCAACGCGTCACTTGTCGTCGACTCGCCGTGCCGTGCGGCCTGCGATCTGCTCGCCTGAGGCTTTTGCTCCCTGGAATTACGACTTGTCCGCAAACGGCGGGTCATTTTCCAGACCCGAGGGTCACCAGCCCGTCAGCGTAGGTCGATGAAAGCGTCCAGAACGTCAAGACACGCTACTCCCAACAAGCCCCCCGACAGCGTGCTTTTGTGCTCGATGCTCGTCACACAACTCGCTTGCCAGCACCGCGTACCAGCTGTCCTTCTGACTGACGGTATAGACTTCAGTGTATACCCAACCAACGTGCCTCTACCACAAGAGACTGCTCATGACTCAATGCATATCCGCCAAGGCGCGCTGCATTGCATTGGCGCCAATACCGTTGCCGCTGCCGCACTTGAGCGCTGCGAGAACAGTGCCCAGGCTTGGCAGGTGCTCATGGCCTCCCGAGCGAGGAGAGCACTCGGTGACGCACTGGTATCGAAAATCTCCAAGAAATGTCTTGCTGTGGGTCGAAACTATGTGGAGCACGCTAAAGAAATGGGTCATGAAGTGCCTAGTGTTTCCCAGGAACCGTTTTTCTTCATGAAACCTACGACGTGCTATTTGCGCGAAGGGAGACCGATCCTCCTGCCAATTGGCTCTGAGCCAGAGCACGAGGTTGAGCTAGGACTTGTCATAGCGCGTAGGTGCAAACGTGTGCCTAGAGATGCAGCGTTTTCGTTCATTGCGGGGTACCTCGTTTGCATAGACGTGACAGCGCGACGCTGGCAACGCGAGGCGAAAGCCAAAGGACTACCCTGGACACTAGCGAAAAGCGCTGACTCGTTCCTGCCCATGTCTCGCTTTATTCGACGTGAGGAGGTGCATGATCCACAACGGCTGTGGCTGTGGCTGAAAGTTAACGGGCAGCTTCGCCAGCGTGGTTGCACTGTCGACATGGTCCACGATATCGCTAGTCTCGTGCACTACGCCTCGCGGTGGATGACCCTCGAGGAGGGCGACATCATCCTAACCGGCACGCCAGCTGGTGTGGGGCCCCTCTTGCACGGCGACATCGTCGAAGCCGGGATCGAGGAACTCGTCTCCATGAAGTTCGTATGTGAGACGGACACAGGCTCGCCGATCTAACACCCAACGCGACGATTTCTTCGTGCAGTCAGGTGGATGTACTGAAACAGCATCCCCTGGAAGCGCGAGGGCGGTCAGCAACCAGGTGAGCGACTGCCGTGCCTCTCCATGGATGACGATGCTACACTAGCTTCAGGCCAGACTACCTCCAAGCTGCAATGATGATTGGTACCCTTTAGCAAAGATCTTACATGCCGACTCTATCTAGAATGCCTCGTGCGACGCTGAATGTGCCATCGCCACGGACCTCGCACTATGACACAAGCACCTGGTGACGCGTCGACGGGTATCGACTAGCGTTGCTCGACGATGCCGGGGTCCATTCGCGGACAGGCTCTTCCCAGCGTATACCATGGACCTCATTGAAATGCAGCGGAGGCGCGCGTTGTTGTGGCGAGCTTTTTGTGGAACGATTGACAGCGTCTGCGTCTCATCACGTACGAGGATCAGCAGCTGTGGTTCGTCGTCGCGCTGGGATCCGAGGAAACGCGCAGATGCACCCTATATATCGGGTAAAATGCTGAACCCGAGCCCGTTCAATGGACCCGTATCTTTGGCCTGACTGGCAAAGGCATACGATGCCAAACTTGTTGACTGAAGCTTTTTCTAGCTGAAATTCGAAAGCCTAATTAGGAGCACTGCCCCAGGTTGTCGACAGCGTCCTGTGCAAGGATTTGAGACGTCTGCGATCGTGCATCGTTGGTCGTGTTTGCATGCGACCCGCAGTGCAACGCATTTGGAGCGTAAAGCACCGTAAACCGATTGTGCCGAAAGCTTGGATGCCTTTGCGTTGATGCGATACCCGCGAAACCTTTCGCTTGTATGGATTTCGTGATCTTGGCGAGCCAGCAATGCCGAAAAATCATCGAAATACCAAGTGCGCGGGTACCCGCCTTGAGCGGCCACACAACGTGCGGCCTATCTTCATGACTGCAGATACAAGCATACCATTCGGATTGACTGTCTTATGCTTTTCACGAGCTATCGTGTGTGATGACCGTTAAACGGTGGCGACGGGTTCATCGGGCGCCGCTGTGCACTACCACCTCGTTGCATTTCGCGTGGCGACTGGTTTTGCCACCCACGAGTTTGCTGAGTCCGCGGGTGCTCCGGCCTCAACGGTGCGGCACGGGGATCAGAAATGGCCTGTGTCTCCGCTCTATGGTGTGGTCGCTGGGGAACCGACGTAGCGGATGCGCGAGCATCCACGCGGCTCGTTGTCGATGTTCGTGGCGTCACCATGCTCCGTTTGAACGGCGGCTGTCCAGTAGCAGCAGGTCCAGAGGCCATATTGGGCTTTCGCTTCCCTGGCGCTGGTATCGATTTCGGGTATGACGTCCTGGCTGCAACCGGCGGTACGCCTTGCGACAAGCGCTGAAGCTCGGGAATACGCTCACTTATCGCTAGGGTTCCTAGCTTTCTAGGCCGCCTCACTGCTCCAAGTGCGAAAGCCCGTGATACACGCTCATGAAACGTGAGTTGCTCACCAGAATCTGGCGCTGCATACCGGTCACGTGGTACCCATTGTCGTGCCGCAGCGAACACAGCCCATTCGTCGTCCTTGAAAGATTCAAGCTTTCCAAGCATCGATTCAAATGCAGCGCCATTGACTGCCGTGTGCAGCAGATCTGCGCTCGCTTCGAGGAACCGGTGGAATATTGGATGATAAACATGTTGGGGCAGTAGGAACGCGAGCAAACGTGGTTGTTTCTCCAGCAAACTGAGAAGCTCCCGCTGTAGTTCCGAGCTGAGTCCACGCTTCTCCCCCGAACAGATATCGCTGCAGCATCGCAAGTCGTCAGCGATAGGGCTCGCAGACGCCGGAGCCTCGGTCTCGCGCTGTTGCGGCGGCAAGGCCGAGCAAAACACTCGCAGGGCCATGTGTGACGCAACCAGCCGCATCACTTGCAGCTCTGACGCTGTAGGGGCACACAGCAGCTCGCGTCGACGCGTTCGCCACTCCTCAAGAGTACCGCCCAGAGCGAGCACCAGGTTTGCTGATCGCAACGCCGGGAAAAAATCTTTGTACGGAAGGTATTGCTCAAACGAGATTGCGTCCGATGTGACTGTAGTGATGACATCGCCATTTCCAGTCGCTTTCGCAGCACAAGCGTCTGCTTGGGGCGGTGTCACAACGTCAGCAGCCTCGCCCAGTAGGGCGCGGAGGTATTCGTTGTGCCAGGGGTGCTGCTCTTGTAAAAACGCAAACTTGCTCGGTTCGCGGGCCAGCAGCCGCTGCTCCACATCCGTACCCGCGTGCTTACGGACAAATTCCGCTGTCTTGTGGATTAACTCCCGAGCACCGTAGGAGAGCTCGAGCTCCTGAACCGTCTGCGGCTCCATGACTGAGATACGATACGATACGATGGCGGTTGCATGGATTGTAGTCGCGCGTCGCCAAAGGGCATTGGACTGTACTGCATTAGACGGGTTTAGAATGTTTTTTCTTTATTGTACTAAATTTGGCTGTACGATACTGTATTGAACTTTATTTGACTATATTGGACTGTACCACGTACGTGAACGACTATAGCTGTCAGAAATACGTTGCCTTCATGGCGTCTTCTTCGCGTAAGCCGGTGGTTGTAAGCGACTATGGAGCAGGAGTTTCCCTGAGAGCGTTCTTCTAATAACGGACTCCAGTACGCTGTGCAGGACACGTGCACGAATGCACTTTGGGAGAAGCAACGTGCCGCACGTACCGTGCAAAAGAAGGTAAACGCTCGAGCCAAGGTCGAGCTTCAGACGTCACTGATACTTGATGTTTAACCTATCCGAGCACAATTCGGCAGCCGAGTCCACAGGATCCAGGACAAAAACGAGTTTCGGGGCTGGTTCATCAGTCAACACCGTTGTCTAGGAGAGAGATGGGTAAGCACTCTCTGCAATGCTGTCTGGAGCGTGGCGGCAACGCTCGGAGGCGACAGCGTTCCCCGGTGCGTCGTCGTCGTTTCCGTTCCCTGGCAGGTGAAAGCGGGAACGTGGTGGAAACCATAGTGATAGCCTTTTACAGAGGTAGGATCGAAGCTACAAACACTGCCGGCATGCTCCGTGCATAGAAGTGTGGGCTCGAACCGAAGCATATTGTCCGTGAGTCTCCAGTTCCAATGTGGCGCGAACATCGCTTGCGAGCAACGAGCTCGTGACTGCGTACATTCATGATGAACACGGACGCTGCTGGCGAGCCGCGGGTTCGACGACTCGCTAAATTCTGCCATTCCGTCTATGACGCAACGAAAAACAATTCGAATCCCGCTCATTCATTGGTCCAGGGCATCGTATTCTCACTTGAGCTCATTTTACTTTCAAGCATTTGGCGCTCGGCGGGCAATGCCAGTGATATCAGTAGACGCGGCGCAGTGGCATCGACTAAACCTGGTGACACGCACGTGGAGATTGAGGCTCATCAGTGGCGGTAGCTTGCTCATCGTTCCCGTGAAACACCGCCCACTTTTGTGGGTAACACACCACAGACCGTGAGCGTGAAACCGGGAGCGTATGTCGACACTGGTGTTGATCATGTGGCGCGTGTAAAATGCCTTGCTCAGGCTTCCGCTTGCTCTAGCCAGACGGCTGATGGCGCATTCGCGAGCAGTTTTCGGGTCTCTCCGATGTCGACGAGGCCGGCGAATGCATCTGAGTTAATACGACGCGCGGTGCTGAGACAGAACTCATCAGCTGCTTGGTACCTGAGGAACAGGCGCTGCAGATGTCGCTCCAGCTGGTCTAGATGGAGTAGAATATTTTCCTCTAAACGCTTTTGGTGGTCGCGTATATCATGCAGCGCCTGGTCGGTTTGCGTCGAGTCAACGGGCGAAAGGGCGCATGCTTCATCCGACTCCATAGCCTCTTGATTCTCATCGTGCAGGAAATTCTGAACGTCCTCCCAGCCAGCAATTTCACGGTCATACAGAGCTTCAAGTGCAGTAAGGGCGCTGAGGGATTTGCGCATTCGCTGGTTGTGTTTGTTCGGTCGCATTGGTCTTTGCAACAACCTGTTCACATCGGCGAAGGTCAGCTCCTCTAAACGTGGACGCTCCTCAGATTCTGGAGTATCTGGAGGCGCGCTGGTGAGTAAGCGATTTGGTGTGACAAAACGCTCCTCTATGTCTTTCAAGAACGTGGATACCGCACCCTCAAAGAGCGCAATACAACAGCACAGCTCGTTCTCAGATACGCATTCAAGACCTGCAGTTTTCTGGTAAAGGTCCTGGGAGGCGACGAGGCGCTGGCGGAAACCGTCAAGAGAGGCAAGCGCGAACCACTCGCACAGACGGAGCAGCCGCACCTCCTGGGCTATGTCGCGCGGAATACGCTCACAGAGCAACCCGTTCGCAGAGACTACTGCCTCGAGTCCACGCACCACACCCGTTGACTGTTGTTCACCGTGCCGCTTTTGGATACCGACAGACGATTTGTCACCAGCGCAGGGCTCCGCGCAAACGCTTGTCGCCGCTGCCTCGCCCGCCACTACAACGGCTCTGTTTTCGTTCTGGACACCGCAAGATCGTTGCTCAGAGTCCGAGCGTGCGGGCAGCTTCGCAGCACCCCCAGCGGGAGACTCTGATCTGCGCCGAAAGTGGAAGGTTTTCTCCGTTGGCCGCATGCGGAGGCTCTGCACGCTCACGCTGTTGACATTCACGCGAAAGCCGCAAAGTGCCGCGGCACACGTATGCCGGCGCGCGCACGTTGGGCTGGCACCCGGTGTGGGCGTTTGAAAAATTCGTGACGGCGGTGTCGTGACGGGCAGTTGGTCGTTAATACACATTTATGTACATAACGGTCAAAAAGGATGCGCTGGCTGCCTCTTGGGCCGTATTTTTCATGGTTGTACATTGTCTCTATGGTCCATGGATCCCAGATTGCGGGATCGTCACAGGCAAACGGGAAGACACTTATTATGCTGTGCCCTGTCTTCTAGTTCCATTACTTATACTTTCTCTCGGATGTACTGGTCGTTTCGTATGTTCTATCGTGTGCCGATTGCCTGCTTTGAGCATCGGCGATGGCGCCTAAACCTCTGGGCAGATGCTGCAGGGAGGCAGAACGGCGTTGCCAAACCACAGAGGGCGTCGGATCGAGGAAAGCTTCACCTGATGGGGATCTGGGATTCATAATCATTCTGGGAGCCTGCAAGCAGCGCAGACGGACCTAGTACAGGCGGCAATCCGAATTGATATACTAGGAGGCCACTGCAACAAGAGTGACGCCCAGACGCAGGCTACCCGATCCTAGTCCCAGAATAAACTACGTTGCGGACGAGCTGCTCAGGTCTCGCCACTGAACTCGTCGCTCGCTTGTGCACGAAGCACTAGCCCGGCAGACTCGTCTGGCTCGTGGGACCTTCCGCCGAGAAGGTAAACGTTCGACAGTGCGGAAACCGTTGCCCACTTTTAACATTTATCATAGTGGGGAAAAGAAATTGTTATCTCGTTGCGAGTTAGTAGTGAGTCTCTGTTCTTTGTTCTACATAGCGTGGCCGATACGCGCACCCGAGAGCTCTGGCATCCATGAGACACGACGCGCGTATCGCCGTTGAAAGGGAACGCAATCCTGACTATTCGTTGATCTGTAGTTCTAACGTGCAAGTTGTATTTGCTTTCAAGTCGTAGCAAGGTAGAGTTTTTCAGTTCAATTGTGCTTTGACCCTCATGGGAGTGGATTCAAGTGACTATTCGCGGTTTATAGCAGAAGCGTTCAAAGTGTGTTTTTGCTCAAAAACATAAAAAAAGAAGAGTTATGGAAATGAAAGTGGAGGATCTTTGAGGGCTGTAGTCGCCGGCAGCCAGAGCAAAAAGGAACTGGAAAAGACGAAAAAGCTGAGGCAGGGGGCCCTACGACAAAGGCTGCGAGCAAGATGACAGTACGACGAGATGGTGGCGAAAGCCTGTCTTCGTCGACATATCAAGGATCCGTACGAGGAAAAGTTACGAGACGCCATTAGAAACTGCGTCGAGTCGTACTCTATGAGTTTTATAAAGGCTTCGTCATGGCTAGTGCATTTGGTGAAGGAGATGTTTCGGGACGTGACGCACATGAAAACAGTCCAGGTTCCGGAAGAATTTTTCGACCAGGCCTTTATTCGTCACCTGAGGCTTGGCACAGAGGAAACGTCGACGGAAACTGAGCGACCGCATGCCCTCCATGCAAATCGCTCCAAATTCCGCTTCGACGGCACTCGACACGAGCGTGACTCGAATATATACACCTGCGGGGCAATTAAGTACCTCACGGACCTGAAGAACCATATGATCGTGAACTTCGAACGTTTCATGATACGCACTATGTTTGCGCTGAACCCCGACCTCTCTCGCCAGGGGATGTGGGCTAGCATCAATGAAATCAGGACTTATCGCCAGCACGAACAGCAGATCGAATTTTTCGACGAGAAGACGTCACGCCGAAGCAGAAACGAAGCTTCTGTAATCCGTCCGGCTATTAAAGAGCATCGTGCAGTCTTGGGGCAGGTCGATCGAGCAGAGAGGGTATCAGATATGAAAAAAGATGTTATCCCCTCATCCTGCGCTATATCGTGCTCCTGAACCGAGAATTCGAACGCAAGGCGTAGATGGAGCTGAGCGGGGAAAACGTGAAGAGTCGGTGAAACGGAAGACTGCGCTTCAGGGCAAGTGCTTCAACGTCTTTCAGTTGTGCAACGTCAAGTCATGCTTCGTGACGATCGACTCCAGAGTCCTTTACGGCATCATGATGGAGATCAGTCTGGAATTCGATGTAAGGCAGATAGAGTTCACCGGCGATAACCGGGAGACTCATTGGAAGACTATCTTCTATTTCAAACGTCTCAATACGAGCACGAAAAAAGCATTCACAGGGATCATCCATATCGATGGGGTATCCATATGCTTACAGTGTCGGCGCTTGAATGCGGATCATCCTATCATGCCTTCGGCTTCGCCCGTGACGAAGCATGGAGAAAACAAGGAGACAGTTCCTGCGACGCAGGAGGTGCAGGAGAACGACTTGGTCGTTGGCCTTGACCCTGGGAGCACGAACATCCTAGCCCTTGCTGCACCCAAGCGTGCGGAAGACGGTACTGACGGCAAATTACGTCAGAAAGACATGCGTGTGTTCAAGCTCTCGAATGCGAGATATTACCGGGAATCGGGAACCATGAATGCGAGGAAGAAAACTGAGACGTGGAATTCAGGAATGAAAGAGCACCTGGAAGCTATGAGCGAGGTGACGAGCCGAGGAGCGGACTTTACAGCTTTTCGGAAATTCATGGAAGTTCGTGTTGCTCATTGGGAGGCGCTGTGGGAGGAGTATACAAAGCCCATGTGAGCTCGTCTGTGTATGAATCTGTATTGTGGAAAGCAGCGTGCATTCGCGAACTTTTTCCATGAGTTGAGCGCCTCGAAAGAGGACAAGACTCAAAGGCTCGTCGTAGCGCACAGAGCGGTGCACTGGATGACCCAAAAAGGGACTCCGCCAGCTCCAACGACGAGAACGTACAAGGAGTGTGCACGGCGTTTTGTTACAATACCTGCAGACGAGTTCCGAACATCTTATACACACCATGAGCTGGGTTGTAAACTTCAGAGGGTCGAGATGAAAATGTGCCAGCGGAGCCCTAAGGACATAGCAAAGTACGGACCGCTGACGGAGGAGCTAATGGAAAGGAGGGCGAAAGTTCGTGGACTCTTTGCATTAGTAAGTGCAACCAGTGATGGCAAGAAACGTATGGAGTTTGTGAACCGCGACTTTAATGCTGCCATCAATATAAGGAAATGAGCGGTGCTGGAGACAAGACCTCCAGAGCAGACAAGAGAGCTCTTTGTTGGACAGTCACTGAAAGTGGAACTATATGAGAAGAAATGGGAAGCAGTAGTGGGTGGCCGGTCGAAAAAGACGGGGAGGCGTCTGCAAGTTAGTTAATGACGTCTAGTCTAAGGCGGGTTTCGCCGCCTCTACACCGCCGGTGACACCGTTTTTCTTTTGAAAGACGTTTGGCGGTGTCGGGCGTGCACGTGCAAACACACACGCATACGCACACGCGTTACCAACACGGATCGAAACAGAAAAGCGCGCCTCCGCAGCTACAATATGACGGCGAGGTCGAAGAAGATTGCATCAAGTTGTTTGTTTATCCTATTTCTATTGGCTTTCGAGGGGCTCGCGCTTATATTCGATCCGAAGAGCTCCAGCTCCACAACCGAGACGTGTGTCCTTGAGAGTCTCTATACTGGTCAAAGGGTAAGGGCGGCGTTCTATCCGCTTCAGTGGGAACGAACGCGAGTACGTGCATGGGTCAGTACCCTTGACGGACGGAAACGGTTAGAAACTGCCAAAGGGCCTGCTGCAGAGCTTGTTTTCCAGGCGCCTGACGATGGGGACTACTGTTTCTGCTGGGTTGCGGAGCCACCCGCAGCGAGCGTACGGTTCGGAATCAGCGCCCCGCACTTCCCAGAGCTAGAGGCGTTGTTGAAAAAAGGTCAGCTGAAACGGTTTGAGCGCTCTGTTTTAACGCTGGCGCAAACCCTGGAGGACCTGAAGTATCGTGCGCAACACGCGTTACACGAAGACCTACGAACGAAGGGCAAACTGCGACAGAGCATGCGTCGGCTCCGAGTCATGACCTTGGTCGAAATGATGGTGCTGTTCAGCACCCTTGGTTGGCGTGTATGGCGCGTAAAAAGCATGTTTCGGGAACGGTACCGAGGAACCGCTAGATGATACAGATTCTGGTTTCGAGCCGCTGAGCACTTCGGAGCAATGGAACTTTCATCTTTATCCTGGTGCTTGAGTCCAGATGGCGAGCATTTCGGGCCAAGGAAGCTGTTTGAACGCTCGAGTGAACCCCAAGGATGCTGTTCATAGAGAACTTCGCAACGTCAACAGCGCGACCGATCGCAAGGATTATTCGAAAGAGAGCATGTGCCAACCTCGGTGCTGCACGAGCGCGAAGCGTATGCGCCGGCATACGCCAAGTGCGGGCTGTCCCATGAGCAATGCACTTGGCATTTTATCCGAGTGAGCTTTTGATCCAATCTGCTCTGGTCATCTTGCCTAAGTATCTGGGCACAAATACATGAAGGTGCGCTGCCGGGACTCCTGCCAGGGCACGGAGGCGACGGCGTTAGTAGCCCTCACATGCAAACGCAGCAGCAACAGCAGCATCCCTCAGCGTCGTTACCAGAATATACAAAACATCCCATCTGCGATGCATTGCAACGGCTCCGCGCGGTTTCATACCGCGTCGTATGCCTGGAATGCGCATCTCGATGCAGACAAGGCGTGACGATCTGGTACTGGCCACATGCTCCAGACCGCGACAACAACCAATACAAGATAAAACCTCCAGAGTGGCTCGCTTGCACAACATCGTTCGCAGTTCGCAGAACGCATCATCACTCTGCGGAAACTCGCGGGTCGCTCATTCGCAAGAGTCACCTGGGCATCGGCTGCGGGTGCGTTGGCGTGGATCCCAAACGAAGCCGCAGCGCCGAAACCGTACGCATCGAAACAGTGATCGCCCTCTTTCTTTCGACAATATCCCGCAAGCCTACCGTACAGATGCTCAGAGCCAGCCACCCAGAACAATAATGTACTGCACGTGAGCGGCATCTCGCTCAAATGACTTCGTCTTCTGGAATATGCATCGGTGCCGCGTGCTCTTGCGCGCTGCGTAGATCCAGCCACCTAGCTGCATCTCGACCATCTAGTATGAATCCTCTGGATATAAGGCACGAAAGCTCGTTCTCCAGCGCTGGAGATGAGATAGGTTCTCCGAAAACTCGAATCCCCGACACAGCAGCGTAGTGCAGACGATCAGTTAGCTGTTGTTGTGGAAAACCTTTCAGGCAAATGACAAGGTAGACACCCACCATCGGGTCGTCGAAAACCAAGGTCTGTTGTTCAGTGGTGCAGAAACACCGATAGTTGCAAGAGGTGCCCGGCGCCGACGCGTCTGCACCGTAGCTCAGCGACATACCGGCCTGTAGACTACAGCCTACACCCACTCGTGCCACCTGAAACGGATAGACCGGCCGACCAGGGTGAAAGTCCGCTTGGAATGCACGCAGCTGAACCGCGTACACTCGAACTGGGCGCCAAAAGCGATACGCTAGGAACGCCTCGCCTGGGGCAAGCTCACCAGTGCCACTGAGCGTGTTGCCGGCCTCAAAGCCTGCCGTCGAATAGAACGTATCCGGTCGGCCATCCAGCGTGCTTTCAAGGTTCTGCCAGACCAGGTCGTCACAGGTATCGGTGCCCACCGGTGATATCCATTCAGCGTCAAGCACTGGCCACTGCTGTTCCGCACGTCTGGATTCCGCAAGAGCAAGAAGGTCCTCGGAGCTTCGCGCGTTCACAAAGTGCAGGCCAGTGCGGTCCGTCAGGAAAGCTCTTTCCAGCTGGAGCACGTCATCGTGACGGCGTCGAAGCTCTCCTCTGCCAAGCAACCATACGTTCATCGTTCGGGTGGTGTCACCGACGCATCCGTCGGTCCGCTGCGACACCAGAAAGCAGCTGAAGCACCAGCGGCATACCGCCAGGCGTCGTGACCAGGGTGCGCGCAAGGAGATCAAACCCAGGTCAGTGCATTCTGGGACGTCTGTATCTGTGCATCCTTCTTCGCTTTGTTTGTTTGTTTGTTTTCATTGAACGGTTCCAAAGATAGCATGTATCTAGTAGACGCGGAAATGATGCGGAAGGATACTGCGCAGTCGGCGCTGGCTTGGAGGAAACGGATTTACTTTTGCAAGTTCGTTATGCCACTGTGGGCAAGTGGATACACCACTCTGTGCGTAGTTCTTATCCTGAACATCGTCCGCCTTAGAAAGAACTTGTCAAACTCTGTCTAAAGGTTCATCCATTCCACTAAATGCGGTTTATAAGAAACCATACTGAAGAACCTATTGGGGACGAAGCTTCTGTGACTTTCATATATAATCGGCAATCAAGAGAAACGGATGGATAAAGAAAAATGCGCGATTCTATCGAATAGCATCGCGCGCTGAACAACGCACCATTGACTTTGTCGTGAAACGCGAATGCAAATGAAAGGAAGCACGGGCATTCGTCTCACTCGATGAAACGGCATTCGGGAGGAATGGCAGATTCGTACGTTAGTACTCAGAGAGCGGCAGACCGCCGTTCGTAGAAAAGACACAAGCGAGCCTCTTGATAACAACATCATCCCTGGAGGGAATGCGATTGTGTGACCGCCTACGAATCGCAAAACGGACGTCATCATTCATCACTTCATTCTTCGTCGAGGCATCCCATGAATTCTCCTTACCATGTACTTGTGCCCTGCTCTTCGACGCCGCCGCCTTGCGCTGCTCAAAAGCAGCCCGGGACTTTGCAGCTTATCGGTACGTCGAACTGCTCTTTGTTCCAGTCCAGCTGTCCTGGTTCGGTGGAGTCAAAGACGTCTTCTCTGTTCTCAAACGCCAGTTTTACGCGGGCGGATCAGTACACGGGCCGTTCGCATCTGGGCCAAATAGGCGCTTCGACACGTCGTTATCTACCGTTGTCCGCTCTGGGCTGAACCATTGGTTGTGTGCTCGTGCACCAGAGCGAGCGTACAGGTGCGCGAGAGTCCGTGGGCGTGCTCGCCATGGCGGAGTTAACGACATGGAACCTGAGGAACGCTAGATCCGCTCATAGATGAAAAAGACGGGTTCCAGTGCAACCGTCTACCCTGTACGTCTAAGTTCCGAGAGGAAACGGGTGCGAAGTATAACAATCACAACTATGGAAGCACATCAAGTAGAGGAGAAGGAGTAAAAGCAAGCAATCCAAACAGAAGAAGATGCAGCTGAACAATGAAGTGTAAGGCCAGGAATGACAACCTGCCAGAGCGCTATGACCAGTCTGCATCGGGTTTCAGGGCATCGCTACCTAGACAAAGCGACGGGCAAAATCTACCAAAAAGCAGCGTGCAGGACATCATGAAAGTTGACGCAGCGTCTTCCACGAGAAAGGCACGCCAAGCTTCGCTCGCCTGGGCAGAGCTAACCAGGCAACGATTTATAGGTGTTCTGGACGCAGGGATGCCAGCTTCTCACATTCCTCGGGGATTTATCGACAGAAACCTACGTGCGAAAACTGATGATCTGGACAGAAGATGCAATAAGACATGACTTTCCAGGGTACGGCACCATCGAGAGTCAGGCACGATGGATGCCAGCACGCATACGAGCACGTGGAATGGCGGATTTATGGCCAAATGTCGACGCTTTGAGCAACGTGTCTGAAACACGCGAATGTCTTGAACGTAAGCTTAAGAGAGGCCACGCATGTCCGAATGGCTCATGCGGAACATCTTTGGTGCGAGTGCATAAAAGCGCATTCGGTTGTGCGGATGAAAGAAGCGTGCTTTCGCGTACTTGTTCAATCGCTATGAGATGAAAATGACCAATGCTTGGCACCCTTGGCGGTATTCTGCGGCGCTGGTCGTGCTGCAGCTTCCAAATAATTGCATTCCCGCTCCATTGACGAGAGTATCCAACGAAAGCACGATTCAATCCCGATGCTTCCTATTGATGCGTTCATGTTGACATGCACGGGTAAAGAGCAGGGGTGCACGCTGACACTGGCCGAGAACAGGAGCGTAAAACCTTGACGAATACACGAGATGGTGTGCGGTAAGCGGAACAAACGTCAGCCGGCGAGGGCAATTGAAATCGAGTGGCTCGCTATGCTGTGATTGCATCCTCGATTATGCGTACAAGCACGTACTGCACAGAGACTTGACCGCCTCGAACAACATCCCGAAATGTTTCATGCTTCCTGAGCGTCCAGCGGCTTTGTATTGTGAGAATGCTCGAGGCGATCGTTTCGTCCCTGGTCAGCGCATTGTGCAGAAACGCTGAAGACTTTCCTTGAAAAAAAGATTTCAGTGGCGAGGAGAGAGACCAGCGGATTTCCGTCCGGAGCAAGGCATTGGTTTGGGTCGGTTCAGCAATCCATCAAGAATGGAGCACCGTATCTATACATCGGGAACAACTTTCCGAGCGTGCTGGTGAACAATGCTGGTCTTCCAGAATTTGATGCTAAAGAGTCTAGGATGCGCTTCGGCTCTGCGCGCAACTGCTAACGGGCGGGCTTCTTGACGCTGCGTCATCGTCCGAATGACGATTTGAGAACCTTTTCTCCATGACAGAAGCCCGTAAAAGCAGGCATTCGACACATCTGTTTACAAGCGAATGCTCTAGCATGAGAAACTGCGCTTCAGCCATTCGCTGCATCCCGCAGGCGTGATCAAATCGTAGCTGGCAAGTGATGCTGCTCCAATGGGGGCACGCCCTGAGATCTTGACTTGCACTCATAGCAGTTGTTGTGGGCATATAGTCCCGTTTCCAGCTTCTTCCAGGACCATATCCCGAAGCATATGTCATCGTGCCGTTGAAGCCAACGATACTCCCGTATGTAGAAAACCCCGAGTATGGGCGCACACCTTCCGCCACCGTATGAGGTACAGAACACAGCCGTCGACGTTCCGTCGCATAGACCATGCTGACCAGAGAAAAGCCTTCGCTCCAATGCTCTGGTACCTAGCACGAACATCGGGGCACAGCGGGATGCCCGCCTGACGCCAGTTGCATGCTGGGTGCCCCCATGCGCCGGACTCATTCGTCGCGTGCAACAACTCAAGTCGGTATCCACGCCAACGAAGCGCTCTGCGCGCCATGTGCAGCAGCCTCGCGCGAGATTGCATACATGGGCACCATGGCGAGTGCAGACCGCTCTTCGAACGAAAAATCAAGCTTCTCGCTGCTCGTTCGTTGCAGCACGCGAATACAGCAGACAAAGATTCAAAGAACCGAGCGCTTGGCAGCCGTAGCTTCCAGACGACGACTCGGGAGGGGGCACCATAGTGCTCACCCGAGATTCGACCCCGACGACACGCAAGGAAACGCACATGCAGTTCCGCGCAGGAGCACCATTCGAGCAACAAGATCGTCTCGAATGCGTCCTCAAAAAACTCTATGCAGCGGAGCGCTGTCCCCAGTAAACGCTCCGTTATCATAAAAACTTCCTCTTCGACGCATTCCAGACCCGCAAACGAAGCGCTCGATGCGCAGAAGTGCCGTTCAGACCTGCACTCGTCCAGGCACCGGCACGTGGATTCTGGAACCAGAGCACCGCCGCTGTCGACGCACTCGATGCGCTTGCCAGCAAGCACTCAAGAAAGCTCATCTCGAACGAGCGCCCTGCTCGGGTTTGCTTTGCCCGTCCTCGGTGGAGCTCGCTGCCGCAACAACAGCTCGAGTGCGCGCACCCTCCAATGATTCACTGGGATCTCGTCCAGTTGAAGGTGGGGCACTAGCTGGTGCCGGCAGCGGCTCTGGATTCACCACAACCGACCTGCCGTTTTCGACGGACGACGAACGTCGCTCCAACTCGGCCTCCTCCTCTTCGCGATCGTCAAAGTGATACTCGTCCGGGTGTGCGAGCATGCAGTCCTGCATCCGCTGGAACACCTCATAACAATCGGAACCTCGTGGCTCGGCTTCGCTTTCCAAAAAACACCGATACGCAGCGATAAAAGCCCCACCACACGATCCCTCCTTCAGTGACTCTACACACGGGCAGTTCAAGGCGTCTTCGATCATCTGCTCCTTGGAGCGATTATCACGCGATGGCGAGGAGCTGGCCGCATCGACGGCCTCGGTGCCCCGAACTTCTTTATCCGGCTGCATAACTTCCGAGTCTGCAGTCCGCTTGGCTTATCACAGCTCACTGCGGTACACAGCAGGCACTGCACAAACTCAATCGTTGACGCTCGAGTCGCTTGCACAGCTTTCTCTCGTCAGTGCACCGCAAGATCAGCGCACAGATCAGAGTACCGCTCTACCTATTTCAAACAGAGGTTTGCACAAACCGCTTCCAGCAAGCACCGTTACCTTTGCGTTCTGTACCAGTGAACTTGCACTAGACGCTGGTGCCCGACGTCTCCCCCTCTGCACCGCGACACTCGCCGAGCCAACCTGCTGTCAGAGCAGCGCCCCGTGTCGCGACACACGCCGCCGTCCAGGCGCAATGCCGATTCCCGAGAAGGACGCTGCGTCTGGTGTCAGGTAAGCCGACGGCTTCAGACGCGTCGTTTAACGATCTCGTGCTGAGTAGCGCACACTGACGAACACAGGCGACGTGATACGCTACCAGAGGAAGACATAACCGGAGATTCGTCGTCTGTGATGGGAGATGAAAGGAGCGCATCACTCACCGTGAGGGTGAGCGTGAAAAACGGTACTCAGAGCCCTGACGAGGCTCGGGAGTGCGAGGTGCTGGAGTCGGCCACCGAGCCTACGATTGCCATTGCAGCCAGGGACGTCGCGTTGACTGTCCAGGAAGCGACGGGTACGCACACTGTCTGCTATGATAGTGGCTATCTGAACACGGTGATGGCGCGGTCGAGCATAACGTACATAGATGGCGAGCAGGGGATTATGCGGTACCGAGGAATTCCAATCGAGCAGCTCGCGGAGCAGAGCTCTTTCCTGGAAGTTGCATTTTTATTGATTTTTGGGGACTTGCCGTCGAAGGGACAGTTGGACCAGTTCAGCAAACTTGTCGCTGATCACTCATTCCTGCACACGGACATCTGTGATTACATGCGCTCATTTCGTTACGATGCGCACCCCATGGGCATTTTCATTTCGTCGATGGCGGCTCTTGCGACCACAATTCCAGCGGGTGATTTGCAGCAGCTCGATAAACACATATATCGCATTCTGGGGCAAGCGAGTACTATCGCTGCGAATGCATACCGGCATCGGATAGGTCGTGCGTTCAACGAGCCTCGCATGGACCTCGGCTACACCGAGAATTTTCTCTACATGCTCGATCGCCTCTCGGAGAGGGATTATAGGCCGCACCCTGCGATCGTGCGCGCTCTCGACATTCTCTGGATCGTTCATGCGGATCACGAGCTGAACTGCTCGACAGCGTGTATGCGTCATTTGACGAGTGCGCGTGTTGATCCGTACACCGCCATCAGTGGCGCCGCAAGCGCGTTGTTCGGGCCGAGCCACGGCGGCGCCGCCGAAGCGGTTGTACGACAGCTCGAGCGCATTCAGACGATTGAGAACATCGAGCCGTTTCTCGAGCGCGTGAAGGCGAAGGAGGAGCGCCTTTTTGGATTCGGGCATCGAGTGTACAAGTCGTTTGATCCACGAGCTCGCATTCTTAAAGAGCAGGTGGAGAAGATTCTCGAGCTGGTCAAAGTCGAGGAGCCGCTCTTTCTTGTGGCTAAAGAGCTCGAACAACGTGCACTTCAGGATGAATACTTCCGAGCTCGTCGACTCTATCCGAACGTAGATTTTTACAGTGGTGTTATTTATCGGGCTTTGGGTTTCCCGACCGACTTTTACCCGCTTTTGTTCGCTATACCGCGCATCGCGGGATGGCTCGCACATAGCAGAGAGGCTCAGCTGGCCGAAGCCCAGCTCGATGTTCGAGAGCATACCCACGTGGTTCGTCCGGCGCAGGTGTACACGGGGTCTGCGCCTCGACCGTTTGTTTCGCTCGAGGCAGGCGATCGCCCACCGTACCAAGGCAGGGATATTGAGTGCTATCGAACGCGCTTATCGACACGACGGCGCCTAGGACTGCTCTCTGATTCGAGCGCATCTGAGCATACGCAGCATACGCATGCGAGGGTGTAATCCAGACGGACGCTTCGAGCTGGGCACATACACACACACACATACACGGAAATGGAATGATCCAGAATGGGACCTCGTATCAGCGTGGAGCATGCGCTCTGCACACACCGTACCCGCGAAGCATGCTTGCGTTGTTTCGGCGTCAAGCGACCGCCGTTCGGGCACGCTGGCTGGTGCCGGTCGATTTCCACGATCATTCGCGGCAAGTCGGTTCGATCAGAGCGTTTGACGAGCATGTCGCCGTGCTTAAGAGCTTTTAAACAGCGGCAGAGCATCCTTGACCAGTTTTATCGAGATTAGCGCGTCGACGTCGTCGAGCGTTTGGCAAACCTGCACCGTTACCATCCAGAGACGGGCTCCAGCAAAAGCCCATTGCGTTGACGCTTGGTGCTCAAATCGAGACAAGCGCCGTTGATGACGGGCGTGGCGAGCGTCCAGCTTTTGTTCCGCACTGTATTCATGTGCGAGAGCCCTGGGCATGTTTCGAGGCTGTTTCTGTAGAGCGCGGGGAGCCGCGGCCCCGAGCGTGGCGTTCCCGCGAGCGTCCACGCATGAATCGCTGGTTGCCTCCTAAGGACGTCCCAGCATCGGGCAGATTGCGTGCCGCACCCAGTGGGTCGGCTCTGGGAAAACGAGCTTTCCTAACAGCATGTTTGTTTGATGATAAACAGTCTGGATCGTAACCGGAAAGTGCGTGTGCTTCCCAGGCTCGGCCGGTGCGCGGGCGCATTGCCGTCTACACCCACTACCCCAACAACATGGACGGAACTCGCTGACTCGGGGGTCCACAGAAAAAAGTTCGGCTTTTCCTAGTGTGATAAGCACCAGCCTGGCGGGCTCTTTCTCCTCTCGCTTCCTTTTCGTCTCTCTTATCTCCGACAGTGAATAAGCCAGTCTCTGCCGAGTCTCGGGCCCAGCGGTCAGGGATCTTTGAACGATGATAATGATGGCAGCACGCACGTCCCGATTCTGTCGCTTTCACCCCTGGAAACAAACGTCTTTCAAAAGAAAAACGGTGTCACCGGCGGTGTAGAGGCGGCGAAACCCGCCCTAGTGCAGACGTCATTAACTAACATGCAGACGCCTCCCCGTCTTTTTCGAACGGCCATCCACTACTGCTTCCCATTTCTTCTCATATAGTTCAACTTTTAGTGACTGTTCAACAAAGAGCTCTCTTGTCTGCTCTGGAGGTCTCGTCTCCAGCACCGCATATCTCGTTATATTGATGGCAGCATTAAAGTCGCGGTTCACAAACTCCATACGTTTCTTGCCATCACTGGTTGCACTTACTAATGCAAAGAGTCCACGAACTTTCGCCCTCCTTTCCATTAGCTCCTCCGTCAGCGGTCCGTACTTTGCTATGTCCTTAGGGCTCCGCTGGCACATTTTCATCTCGACCCTCTGAAGTTTACAACCCAGCTCATGGTGTGTATAAGATGTTCGGAACTCGTCTGCAGGTATTGTAACAAAACGCCGTGCACACTCCTTGTACGTTCTCGTCGTTGGAGCTGGCGGAGTCCCTTTTTGGGTCATCCAGTGCACCGCTCTGTGCGCTACGACGAGCCTTTGAGTCTTGTCCTCTTTCGAGGCGCTCAACTCATGGAAAAAGTTCGCGAATGCACGCTGCTTTCCACAATACAGATTCATACACAGACGAGCTCACACGGGCTTTGTATACTCCTCCAACAGCGCCTCCCAATGAGCAACACGAACTTCCATGAATTTCCGAAAAGCTCGAAAGTCCGCTCCTCGGCTCGTCACCTCGCTCATAGCTTCCAGGTGCTCTTTTATTCCTGAATTCCAAGTCTCAATTTTCTTCCTCGCATTCATGGTTCCCGATTCCCGGTAATATCTCGCATTCGAGAGCTTGAACACACGCATGTCTTTCTGACGTAATTTGCCGTCAGTACCGTCTTCCGCACGCTTGGGTGCAGCAATGGCTAGGATGGTCGTGCTCCCAGGGTCAAGGCCAACGACCAAGTCGTTCTCCTGCACCTCCTGCGTCGCAGGACCCGCCTCCTTGTTTTCTTCATGCTTCGCCGCGTCAACCATAAAGTCGTTATTCTCCACCTCCTGCGCCGAAGGATCCGCCTTCTTCTCATCTTCATCCTTCGCCACGTCAACGACAAGGTCGTTATCCTCCACCTCCTGCGTAGCAGGATGCTCCTCTTTGTTTTCTTCATCCTTCGTCACGTCAACGACAAACTCGGTATCCTCCACCTCCTGCATCACAGAATCCTCCTCTTTGTTTTCTGCATCCCTCGTGACGGGCGCGGCCGAGGGCGGAACTGGACGATCTTTCTTCAACCGCCGATAGAGTACACACGTGGCTACTCCATCGGTTTCGATCAACCCAGTAAATACCTTTTGTTTGCTGACTTTGAGACGTTTGAAATCGAAGATACTCTTCCAGTACGTCTCCCGGTTTTCACCGATGAAGTCCTCCCTGCTCACATCGAACTCCGGACAGATCTCCCTCATGATGCCGTAAAGGACGCCTGAATCGATAGTCACGAAATGTGACTTGATATTGCACATTGGAACGCCGTTGAAGCGCTTACCCATTAGGAAAGCCTTCCGTCTCTCCCACTCTTGATTTGTCTCTTCACTCAGCTTCATCTCCGCTTCGCGTTCGAGCTCTCGGTCCAGAAACACGAAATATCACAGGATGAGGCGGTAGTATCTTTCCTTATCTTTTTTCAACTCTGATAAATTTTCTGCCAAATTCGCCAGCCCCAGGACTGCACGATACTCTTGGATAGCCGCACGGATTACAGAAGCTTCATTTGCGCTCCTGCGTGACGCCTTCTTATCGACAAACTCGATCTCAACTTCATACTTTCGATCTTTCATGATGCCATTGATAATCGCCCATTTTCCGTTGCGAAAGATGCCCGGGTAGAGTGTACCCACCGCGCGTATCATAAAACGTTCGAGGTTCACTGTCAAATGGTTCTTCAGACTCGTGATGTACTTTTTCGCTCCGTATGCCTAAATATCCGAGGCACCCCTGTATCGATTACCTTCGAAGCGGAATTCCACCAAGTTTTCGTGGAGGGCGTGCACTAGCATATTTTCCTTCAGCGCTTCCGCTGTGCCAAGCATCAGGTGACGAATAAACGTCTTGTCGAAAAAATCGTCAGGAATCTCGACTGTTTCCATGTGCGTCACGTCGCGATACATCTCCCTCACCAAATGCATCAGTACTGACGACGCCTTGACAATACTCTTGGAGTACGAGTCGACACGTTTTTTGATAGCGTCTCGCAACTTTTCCTTGCACGGATCCTTGATATGTTTAAGAAGGAAGGTTTTCACCACCATCTCGTCGTAAAGTCGTCTTTGTTGCAGCCTTCAACGTAGGGCCTCCCCCTTTCGGTTCTTCTTCTCTCCCTTTTCTTCTGGACTCGGCACTGTTTTTCGTTTTTTTCTGGCAGCCGGCGACCCTGGGCCTCCAGGATCGTGGACTTGCTTTCTCATAGCTTTCCTTTTTTAGTTTTTTTTTTGAAAAACAACGCTCTGTGAACGCTTCTGTTATATACTGCGAAAAAAAACTTGAACACACTTGTTTGAGGTTTGAAAGAAAAATGAACTAAAAAACTGTACTCTGCTAAGACCTTAACGGAAATCCAATTTTTCCAGTAGAACAACACGCTACTGATCAGGATCGCGTTTCCATTCAACGGCGGCATTCGCATCGTGTCAGTAGACTGGCCGATCTCCGAGATATCTCGGCGTCGATCTGGTCGTGGTGAGCAAAACGCCGGGTACAAAAACACCGATAACAAAACAAACCAGTCACAAACTATTTATTAAAGAACAACTATCTTAAAGACCCACACACCACGCCCGCCTTAGAGGTCTAGTTTTTCCGGAGAAGCTCTGAAAGTGGGTTAACGCGGGGTGCTTGGGCGACGGCGAAGGAAGCCCACGCCAGGGACCTTGACCGCGCAACGAACGGAGGGGCGGCGGCAGTAGCACCAGAAAATGTTGACGAAAATCCTGATCAGTCATCCGCCCCTCCCGAATCAACGCTGCAGGTTCGGGCGCAAATCTTGGATCGATCCTCGGACTCGGGCTCAGTTTTATCTCCTACCTTGGGTACCTACCTCAACTTTGGAAAAAGTCTCGGCGGAGACTTTTGAAGACGGCTGGCAGTATGTTTGCGGTCGAAGCTGGAATAAGCGGCTTGCCCGCCTATGTGTTTGGGGAGCGGATACGTAGCCGCTGAAAGGGTGGTTTGCAGACTGTTCCCAATTGTTGAGGGGAGGTTAAAGCGTCGGGCAAGATAAAGGTCGCATTCGAATCGACCTTGACTAGCGTACATCTGATTCTACGCTAGCGCTGCGGCAGACACTCAGTGAACGACTGGAATGCAGGAGGCACTGGTGGCATGTGCTCTCACACACCCCGTGGAGGGTGCATCTCAATCGACAACGTATCTCTCGAGTACCGCAGCGTTACTCCTATTCCCTTATGCGCTACGACTCGATAGGTTTCGCATCATGGAATATTAGCGGGATCGCCTCGGTATTGAACTACGAGATATCGAATTACTAGTAGAGTAATGAAGAACTGATACAAGTCGAGGACTGTACAATAGGAAAAGAGACCCAACCAGACACGGAGAAGGAGACACAGAAACCTCATGATCCACCTAGATGCAAAATAACCAGAGAATGTAGCTCAGGAAAGAGCCCGAAGAAGAAGTAGACCAGCAAGAAAAAAACAGAAGAATAGAAAGAAGAACTCCCGAACGAGCCCACAGGCGGGGGCTCCAGCGAGCCCATCACATGTCGTCCCCGAAAGAGCACCCCAGCAGGAACTCAAGAAAGCCGTCGCCAAACCAAGTCACCTACTCACAGCGCTGAAGATCCGAAAAGCCGTGCATACAAATCTTTAGACCAATTGGCACGCGAGTTTGTAGATGGGAATCAGAAGATTGCCGGAGAGCTGGGACTGCTTGCACCAGAACGCAACAGTTGCAAACCTCAGTGCCTGAAACGACGTACCAATACCCGGATTGACGAGCACCACCGACTCTATCAGATCGTCAACCACACCGCCATACGCGCCAACGCCGGAGACAAGGAAGCGAAGGCAGTCCTAACGGCGCTACAGGCACAACATGAAGAAGCTATCAAAAGAAAGAAGAAACTTTCCAGAGAAGACAAACGAGAGGATCGAACCCGCAAAATCGCCTCCCTGGCGAAATCTATGCTAGAGAGCACCAACGAAGATGAGACCTGGCGCTACATTCGATCGAGACTGGACCCACCAAAAAAGTGCCTGGGGCTCACACCAGTCGTTTATGAGGAAGCGCTGAGGACGGAGCGTGCCTCAGTGAATGAGGCCTGGACGGACCACGGCACAGAGCTGCATGAAGACGCAACTGGGCACTGCCAAGACAGAATCTATTGGCACCAATATGCTGCAGAACTACCGCGCCTCGAACCGGTACCGGAATGGAACGACCCAATCTTCTGGCCTGAATCTGTTCGGACCGTGCTATGCTCAAGCAACCGCAAAACACCTGGCATCGACGGTATCCCTGCGGAGTGGATGAAACTGGTGACCCCAAAAGACGGGACAACAGGGACACCATCAATACCAGATGAATCTGACACAAGCTTAGGCAAACGCCTTGTGGAGCTCATCCAACGCATGTTCGAAGAGGCGTACATCCCGGATGTATGGAGGACTGCCGAGGTCGTACCGGTCCTCAAAAAGGACTCCCACACAGACATGAACAACTACCGGACTATGCGCCTCATCCCGTCAATCATGAAGCTACTTTGCGCCATTCCCACGAACCGGACTCAGAGAGGCCTCCAGGAACGCAAGTTCCTCGTCCCAGAACAGGCTGGATTCCGGAGCCACGAGGAGTGCATGAGCCATGCCCTGACCCTCATTGAAGGGTGCAACGTTGCTCCATTAGCGGCCAACAACCAGCTTACGTATGCTTCACCGACTTTCAAAAGGCCTTTGACACGGTCCCGCACGAGGCTCCATTTCTGAAGATGGAACGAGCCGGAGTCTCCGGAAAGTGCTTGGCGTTCTTCCGTGCGCTCTATGCAGACTCGTGGATGCGCATCCGACTGGGCGACCGCTCAAGAACCCCTTCCAGAAGAATCCGCCGTGGACTGCGGCAGGGCGACCCCGCATCCCCGCTCCTTTTCAACATCTTCATCAACGATCTGCTTAACAACTGCAGACAATACGGGCTTGAGGTGCCGTGGATAGACTGTGGAGATGCCCGGTGAGGAGCCCTCACATAGGAACCGCCTCGCAGGCCGTCTAGTTGCGGACGAAGCCGTGCTGTTGGCACCCGCCCCGGAAACGCTTGCGGGTAGCATGGAACAAGTCAGCGCCCGGGCCGATCGCTCGGAGATGAGCATAGGAGTATCGAAGTGCGGCGTCATGCTCATCCATGGAGACTCGCAGCGCATTCGCAATCGCTCGTGGCGGTTGCAGAATCAGGAAATTCCGATCGTGGAAAAATATCGCTACCTGGAGGGTCTGTCTCACGCCGACGCTCGACGAAAAGGCACACGTCGACGAGATAATCGCCAAGATGCATAGACGTACAGCGATCGCACGTCCATTCCCATCCGACCCCTCTATCCGCATAGCAATTCGTACGAGGGCACTAAGGATGTGTATCACCCAGCCTGCGACCTGGGGTGTTGAGTGGTGCGGCATGAACCACACAAATGCCTCACGTCTGCAGATAGCCGCCAACATGGCAATGCGACTCGTTGTTGCTGTTGGATGCTCAATGTAGAGCAGAGCAACCACCGCGCTGGCACTCGGACTTGAACTCCAAATAGCCTCGACAGAAGCGACAGCAGCAGGTTGCCGGGCACGCATATGGGGCAAAGGGCCAACTATGAACACCTGGTTCGATCGGATATCCATGCAGACCCCAACGCACCGCAAGAACACTTGGATGAAATCGACGCAGATTTGGCTGAAGCGCCTCTTAGGAGACAACACGCTCCCCAATCGTTCCCCAGGAATGTACAAGGCTCCCGCTGCCTCAAGCGAACGGTCCAAACAACAATATGGGAACGTAGACACGGAACCAGTCGGGCCCGTAACGCCGGCTTGACTCTATACCGGAACTACAACCTAGCATACACATGCAAGTACTGGTGGGAGGCGCTGGAATTCCCAGGACTTGCTCGAGGTACCCAGTGGCTCGCCAAAATCCGCGTTGGTGGCTTCTGGCTAGCGGCACCGGCTCTAAACCATATAGGGACACTGGAATCGCACTGGGAGTCACACTGTTCCTGCTGCGGAAACGAGACCCCCGAGACGCTGACATATTTAGGCTTACAGTGCCCGCGCTGGAAGCAGGAGCGCAGCGAGCTCCTTGAAGGACAGCAGCAGCTGGGCATCACCATGATAGCCGAAGGCCGGACACTCACTTTGACTGCAGCACTGGCAACTGATGGTCCGCTAACCGAGCCTCAGCGCTCATGAGTGGCCAACAGACTCACGTGCTACCTTCCAAGCGGAAGGTCTAGCGAATCGGACGCGCACACGGGTTTAGTATGCTTTCTGCGCCTATCCACTGTGGTGAGCGTCAAGCACAAATCCGCATTTCCAACCGGCGACAACGCATTCCATGCATGATCACGAAGGAGAGAGGCGGCTCCCACGATATATCCTAACAGCCAAGTTTCTCCAGCGTGTCGTGCAGCGAAGACAAGCCTGCATCCGCAGACTGTCCGAGCACAAACTGACGACGAGACCCGATTCTACGTCGGGTGAAGCACACCTCGAGCCGACGCCCTTTGTGGTATAGAAAAGCTGTTCTAGCTCTATGACCTATCTGCTCCAGCGGTTCAGGCACAAAGGAGGATACGGAACGGCAGGTACTAGGCACACACGATAGGATGTATGAAACGACCAGAATATCCGAGACGAAGTATAGGTAATGTAACATGGAGGTAGGGGGTTGATGGATACCCCAACTCGCTCTGAAAAAAACACAAAAAAAGAGTAAGAAAAGAAAAATGCGCGTAATCGGAGAACGCTGGCCTAAGTAAACGTTTTGTCAATGGAAAAAACCCGCCCATGACGGGTAGAGGAAGCTCGTCTCAATGCCGCCCTCCGTTTCCGCGACCGGTGCCATATACTTCGACCACGGGCTTCCTCTGAGCAATGTCCTCGGCGCGGGTGCACGCTGCGCCCTGCATGCGCAAGCGTTCACGCTTCGAATCCGCAGACGATATGTGGCATGCGGTTTTGTCTCTGATGATACAAGTTTCGAAAGGAAAATCCCGGCCAAAAAACAAATCGACAAAATCCTATCCGTCTACGCACCCTTCTTGGAATGCAGTGACGCATGCGCCACTCGATGCTGTCGCTACGATCACGTGCGCAAGTCTGACTCCAAGATTCTTTCTGCGTGTGGAAAGAGCACAGGCGGGAGCCTCTCGGAGCTTAGCCCGTGAGTCGCACCGAGCTACTGCTGGGGTATTCCGTTTCGTCAATGCCATCAAAGAGGTGAGGATTCATCTTTCGAACAGAATCCATAATTTGACATGACGAGTTCTGTGACCTTTCGGTATGAGCGTGTGAATGCGCCGTCGCGGAACGTCATCGAGAATGTTGGATCGTTCATCGCGCTGCGCGATTTGCTGCACCCACGAGTTGCCTTGAAAACCAAAGATCGAAAATTTGAAGCATCCGTCATTTGAACATGTCGTACGGCGTAAAATGGAACGCATGGGAGCCTGTGCATATGCATTGGATCATGAAATCGGGTACTTCACGAATCCCTGATCGATGCATTCGCGAAGGCCCTTGATTCGAATGCCATGACGAATTCCACTGGGAACGTATCGAAGGAGCCACTCCAAAAAAACCAACGAGCATCCTGGAACTACCTATGAATTCATAAGAGCTTTTTTGTACTTGGAATGTCCAGGATATCGACATGGAGAAAATTGTAAAAACCCTTCAGGGTAGCCACCGTGCGAGCGGGTCAGTACGCCACGCTGATCGGATACACGTGCGCGTCGTCGATCGACCGGTATTCGTCAGGGAAAGGCACAATTTGTACCTATTGATACAGAATCCGGAGCGCCGCCTCGTCGACACCAAGCACGCGCGTCGCACGCAGCGCCATTGCGCTGAGCGGTCAGGCGTCGACGCTAGGCTCGTTGCCCGTGCCTTGTTTACGCAGCGAGCGCGTCTCGACAAAGCCGAAGGACCAGAAGTTTTGTAGGATGCCGGAACCACTTGAGCACGTCCGCGTTGTGAAAAAAAGGACAAAGCGCTTTCGGCGTCATCAATCGGACCGTTTTAAACGAGTGAAAGAGTCCTGGCGCCGACCGAAAGGCATCGACTCCGCGGTTCGACGCAGGTTTAACGGCAAAACGCTGATGCCGAACATCGGGTACGGATCAGCGAGGAAAACGCGTCATATGCTGCCAAGTGGATTCTTTCCGTTCCTAGTTCACAACTCGAAGGATCTGGAGTGCCTCTTGATGCACAATAGAAGGTACTGCGCGGTGATTGCACACAGCGTGTCTGCTCGTAAGAGAGCAGCGATTGTCAAACGCGCTGCAGCACTTGACATTCGTGTCGCCAACGCGCTTGGTCGGCTCGAGCCCGTAGAGTCGTAGATTTGTGCGCTCGGGGCGCCGCCGGGCACGGAAGCTCGCACTTTAGAGGCACGTCGGCATATTGATGTTGCACTCGAGCCTTCGTCGGTTGCTTGCGCGTGTCTCCCCACGGAGTTGCCACTCGACGCTTATAAGCGTTGGTGGATGCCAGCGTCCTGACACGAACGCGGGTCCAAAGAGACCGTGCGGGCTTCGCGAATGCGCTTGTACCCATGCAAGGTCGCGTAGGGACGAATCGAAAACTTTGGTCCCGGACATGTGCTGGGCATCGCGCCTGCCGCCTATGCTCGATAGGCTCTGATCGCAGTTCATTTAGTTAGTGCTCGAGGTTTTAAACCATAATGTCCATCATCAAAAGCAGCTATTCGATTTGAGAGGCGCACGGCGGGCCCCTGAACGGTCAGATGTTGTGTGAGTTCTCTTCGTCGAACGCCAACTCCGCAGACATGGAATGCGTTTCAAACAGTGACCTCGTCACATTCGACATCCCCATTCCGTTCGGTCATTCTAAAGGGCATCAAAAGGTCGAATGCACGCAAAGAAAGGGGGCCCGCGATAAAGCTGCTGTGTGGGTTGCGAGCGCCCGTGCTCCAGTGCTTCCTACGGCGTGGTCGCCAAACACTCTTTCGTGCACAGGGCTCTAGAGTGGTGCGCGCTTTCTTGAAGGATCTGCGTAGTGGCACCACGAGAAAAGTTAATACGCGTCTACGGTGTCGTTTTCGGGTATGGGAACGATTTCAAGCCGCTGGTCGATCATTTCAGCGAGCGTCTCTGCAGCTCTCCATTGCTCATCCGTTCGCAATGTGTATAATTCCGGTACGAGGCCAAGTTGTTCGCCAAACGCTGCTTCCGGCGCTGGATCTCGATCCCTGCCTGGAAACGTAGATGCGCGGGTCACCGGCTGTTGCCAGCGCCCGAAACATTGCGCACAGGTCGCGTATCCAACGGGATCGTTGGCGTCCAGCATCAAGTGGTTGTTAATGCGAATCGCCAGCTCAAACGCATGTGCAGGATCATTTTCGTATTCAAGGATTTTTTGGCACCAGTAATTGCGATCACGGCAGATATTGCGACCTCGTGTTAACAACTCACGCTGCACAGCGTTCCAGCGCATATTATGTGTCCGGGCATTGTACCAGTCCGTCTCGGAGTACTGGTAGTGGCTGGTGCGCCGCGACGCTCGGTCGTAGAGCGAGCGGCGTGCCCAGACCGGCACCGCGCCATCGAACGAATCGTAACGCTTGTTGTACATCACGAAATTGTACGCGAGCTCTCGCCGATACATGTTTTCCATAAACTTGCGAACATCAGGCTGCTGCGAGGCTATCTCAACTGCCGCACGAAGCGTCAGGGTATCAGCAGTTGTCAGGGTCCGTTTGGCTGACGAGCCGATGCTCAACATCGAGGATGCACTGCCTAAAAGAAAAGCCTCCTCGCTCGTGCACCCAGGCGATGCCGTCCCCGCCTGCGAGGGAAAAGATTCCCCCGAGTCACCCGTATCCTCGCCATGGTGTTTTTCCAGAGAGGCCACGACCCGTTCGGCGCTGTCGCAGGCTCGCATACGCCCACCGTGCTCGTCGAGTTCGCGCTCCGCGGCTGCGCGGTGAACTTTGATCGCCACGTAGACAGGAGAAATGTGCCCAAAAGTCAGGTAAGGAGAAAGCAGGGAGCCATACTCCGCCCGAAGCGCCTCATTTTGGTGCTCTGCTTTGACCGCGTAGCCATAAAGTTTGCGTGCGACAAACACTGAGAGCAAGCGGCGAGCAGCTGTCTCACCGCCTCGATACGCCGAGGCGCTGATAATCGGCGCATCACAGTCGACGCCGTGGTACCGCAGTACCTCCAGCAAGTGGGTGCGATTCACAGACGAGAGCCACGTCTCCGCAGACCAGCCCTGATCAACCTGAGGGAACGGCCAGTACCCGAGCGTATGCAGGTCTGCTAAGACGTTTGCAGGTGCGGGTTCCAGGGGCGGGCTCGGGCGCAGCTCATGCAAGTATCGCTCTCCGAGACCGCTGCCCATGCGGTCCAGAAAAGTTGACGCGACCACTTCCTCGCGAACACTAGCAGTCTCAACTGGAACAATCAACGACGTCTCGACTTCTAACAGAGGACGCCCTGCGAGCGCTGCAACGCGCGCCGCTCGAGCCCGCTGGTAGCGCAAGTGCCCGCGATCCGTGACGATAGCATACGCGCGAGAAGCAAAGCCCTCGAAGCTGCATATTTGTGGTGTGACAGGGGCTTCTCGCCCGCCCACTAGCGCTGGAGCTGCACCACCGAGAACGCTCAGACCACCGACAATCGTTGTGGATGCCGGCGGACTCTCAGGTGTGTACGGGACGCTCTCCTCGCCAGTTCTGCTCGTTGCGGAAGAGGCTCCCGTCGGGTCCAGCCGGGTAACCACGCTCAAAGCGGGATCCAGCCTCGTATGTATAGCGTCTGGGGAGAGACCATGGCGCTTCACGAGCCCCCTCTTAAAGTCCACAAGCCCTTCTAATTGAAAAAGCACGTGTCGAAGAGACCCTTCCAGTGCCTCTTCCAGATCGATGACGTTCAAACAAACCAGCGGCAGACGCACGAGGCGCGCAAGCGACTTGGCAACCTCAAGAGCCTCATTGTGAACCGCCCTCGGCGACCGCGTACACCAGTACAACACGTACGTCCCAGTCGCAGTATTCGGAGTGCACTGGTTCAGCAAACGAACGCGCTCCGGTTCCACGTGCGACTCGAGCACAGCCCGCTGGAAGACCTCGTGTTTCAATGCCATGCTGCGCTCGGTCAAGTTACACTTCGACAAGTCCTAGAAAACAAAAAAAAAAAAACTATTTCCCCAACTCGATAATAAACGCTTCACGTTCCAGTACAAAAAAAGCTTCTTCAACAAGCCGCCGTATACTGCGTAAACTAGCGCTAGCAAGCGAGCGCTCGCAGTGGAAACACTCGATCCGCCGGAGATAATGCGTGAAGCGTCGATGGACACACGCACGCGCGTCGAAGCACGCACGCGCTCACGGAGCGGCGGCGTGCGCGCTGTGCCCGCCCCCAGGCGCTTAGTGATGTCGTCAACAGCGACACTTGGTGCACAGACGCATGCGTACACGTATCGATTTTGTCTCAGAAGACAAAACATTTAGATTGACCATGGATACCAGAATTCGGAATGGATAATGGCTTTCGGGAAAGCGTCCATGATGAACCACCTACCTTCAAGTTCCATTACCCATACTTCCTCTCGGATATGCTGGTCGTTTCATACGTCCTATCGTGTGCCGAGTGCCTGCCTTGTTGCACCCGTCGTAGCGCGTATACCGCTGAAGCAGAAGCTGCACAGGGATAGAACGGCTTTGCCGTACCACAGAGGGCGTCGGCTCGTGGAATCCTACACCTGACACGGAATCACGGCTAATTATCATTCCGGGAGCCTGCAAGTTGCGCACACAGACGTACTGCCTGCGGCAGCGCGAAGCGATGTACGACAAGTCTGCTGTGACCAGGGCGACGCCCAGACGTAGCAACCTGCTCAAGGTCTCAGAATGAAATGCGTTGCGGTCGAGCTGCGCAGGTCTTGCCACAGCACCTGCCACTGGTGGAAGCATCAAGCACTAGCCGGGCTGACTCGTCCGGCTCGCGGGACATCCCACCAAGAACGTAAACTTTCGACAATATGGAAACGTTTTCCCTTCTTTTAACGTCGATCGTAAGTAGTGTAGAGTGCATGGATACGCACTCACATTACACGTATCGATGCGTGCGTGCGTGCATCTCATTGGAACTTGAAGATTCTGGACAAGTGAAACAAGGTGATGCTGCGTACTGGACGCGCTGATGGCCCGTTCCAATACGTGGCGAACAGGGTATCGTAGGGCGATGCTGGTACTGTTTTCATCAAGTTTAAGCATCGCGACGGTAAAGCGGCTCCACGCACGCGTCCGGTGCCCGCGCGATACGAGCACCTGACGAACATCAATGCCCGTCTGGGTCACTGCTCGTGAGAAAGGAGTCTCTGATGAGCATGGGATTCTTGATTTGGCGGCCTGAACGTGCATGAATATGGAACGCAAGCGCCTCCAGAGTCAGCGGCTGCAGGATTTTCCTTCTGGTCATGCTTGGTCGAAGCACGCAAAGTCGAAGGTGTTGCCGGGTTTGGGGTGCACTCGCTCTCCAAGCGCGTGTACGTTCTGTGCGCAATCGCTAGACAGCGACTCCATGCGTGGTATGCAACGTTCGTGGGCATTCAAAGCGCGGAATCTGGACACCATGGATCAGTGAATGCGCTGGACGAGGCACCAGCATGCTGTGCAGCATTGGTACGCCTCATATGATCAAGGACTTTGACTGAGAACTTGTGTTATATTCAGCGAAATTTCCTGCTGTAATTCGGATGACTACGCGTTGCAGAAAGCCGCGAAACGAGCCCAATCGCCCGATACAGCAGTGACTTTGGGTGCACGCGCGACACGGATCCAGAACCTTTCGCGCGAAATGCACACGAGCCCGACTGGGTGGAGGTTTTACGTCTATATGTGTGTGTGTGCGCGCTATGAAGATCGATGCTGCGACGCAAGACCGCGTCTCGTGACGACGCTGCGACATCGGGCGGCTCACGCGATGCTCCGCTGAGGCCGCGGACGACTGGACGCGTACGCACACATCGAAACGTGCGCGCTTGTCCCCGAAACCTCGACCGGTCGTGCACAAACGAATACGCGAGACGGAAACAGATGGATTTACGCGCTAGAGTTTGACGGCGCTGTTGATGACAAGCCCTGTTGTGCGGAGGTATGCTGAGCGGCCTTGGCCTGTAAACTAGCCAGGTGTTGCTGCAAGACTTCGAGCGCCTCTTCGACTTTCTCCTGCAGGGCCTCTGGGGACTCAACAAGGTGGAGCACTTCGGAGTTGTCCATCTCCAGAAGCATACCGGTTATTTTCGGAGCGAGCTCTCGCTTACCCTCACGCACAAGTTGCTGGTAAACGAGTGGATAGAGCCGCTCTCCAAGGATTTGTTTCTGCTGTTTGGGGTCCGCATTCGCAAGCATTTGGACGGTGAGCGGCTGCGATGCCGCAGAGCCAATCATCATGTTACCCATGGCACCGGACGGTACCGTGTTGCCCGCCCCAGCTGTCATTGGTGACATGGCAACCATACCCGCCATGGTACCGCCAGGAGGCGCCCGCATCGCGCCACCCATTTTGTAGCCCATGCCGGGTGCACCCAGGCCGGTCGGTAACCCTGACGCCATGGCTGGCATGGATACTCCCGGCATCGGGCCAGATGCTGGACCCATACGGGCAGCCATTCGCGCTTGGCGAGGCCCCGCACGACCTGCAACGCCGCTTGCAGCAAAGTTCGGGTTGGGATGACCAGAAGCGGCCGCTGTGGCACCTGCTTCGGCGTTTGCCGATCCGGGTACGCCGACTACAGCGCCCGGCGCCCCGCTGTTCTGCAGAACCTGACCAGAGCCAAGCGTGCTCGTCATTGGCTGCTGCGATCCCACGGTAGCGTAGGGTATGCGGCCCTGCATCAGCATGGCGGCATTTGGGCCGCCCATTGGAATACTGCCGGCGGATGCGGGCGCAGCGTTCGTCATATTCGGCGAGGTCATATTCATCCGCGGGATACCTGATGCTCCAACCGCCATATTTGGCTGCATTGCGAATCCGCCGTACGTCATGGCACCCGAGGCAGCACCACCGGGCATCGCGGACATAGCGCGGCTCATGCCCATGGACATCTGCATCTGCATCGGATGCACTGCGTACGGATATGGATAACCCGAAGGTGTCGGCATGCCAGTTCCAGGAACGTACATGGATGCAGCCAAGCCAGGCGGAAGGAAGCTCATCTGGGCTCGCATCATCGCCGCTCGCTGTGCCTCGATCTGTGCTCTTCTTTGGTCTTTGCGTTGCGCGAGGGCCACGTATATCGGCTTCTGACCGACAATTCGCTGGTTCATTTCAGTGACGGCCTTGATCGCTTCATCAGGGTGCGAAAACGCAACAAACCCGAACCCTTTCGACACGCCCTTTTCATCGCGCATGATACGCAGCGAGGTGATTGTGCCAAAGCGGGAGAACTCTTCTCGGAGGCGATTCTCATCCACATCATCGGAGAGATTTTTCACGAAAAGGTTCACATCCTGGAGTTTCTGCATCCTGTCGTTGCGCAGCTGCTCCATTTGCGCTCGTAGCATCGCCTCGCGTTCGGCTTTCTTCTGTGCTCGCCCGACATAGAGCGTCTTTCCGTTAAGCTCCATTCCATTCAGAGCCTCTACAGCTGCAGCTGCCTGCTCGGGCGTCTCAAAATTGACAAAGGCAAATCCTCGAGGTCGCACGCGCACAACGCTTTGAGCATGCGCACGATTCTCTGGAGCCTTGGCTCCATCGTTCCGTTCCGACGTTTCCAGGTCTGGTGCCGCATTCGATTGGTCGGCGCCCGCCGACTTGACCTCTTGGCTGCTGCCACCCTGGCGACCCGCTTCGCTGCTCGCTTCTTCACTAGGTGCACGGTGCTCGTCTTCGTGGTGTGGTTGCTGCTCCTGAACGGTTTCCGTTGGGATGAAAATCGACGTGATGTTTCCATATGGTGCGAATAGCTTTGTCACCTCTTCGGTCGTGCACAACGACTCATCCAAGTTTTTGACGTACACGTTCGTGAACTTGGTGGATAATTCCCCAGTGGCTTCGCGCTCGCGTCTTGGGCGAAATTCTCCAACGTAAACCTTCTGTCCGTTGAGCAACATGCCGTTCATCTTCGAGATGACGTATTTCGCCACATTCGCGTCCTGGTAGTGCACGAACGCATATCCCAAGGAATTGCCTTTGTCGTCGGTCGCAAGTTTGCACGAAAGAACCTTGCCAAATGTGCTGAATGTGTCGTACAACGCTTTGTTGTCAATGCTCTTGTCGAGATTTTTGATGAAGATATTTCCCTCGGGATTTCGGCGTTGCGAAGGATCACTGCGCTTCCACATGATCCGAATGGGCTTATTTTTCGTGAGCGGCCCCTCGTAGAACTGCAGGACATCGATCGCTCTCTCGGCGTCTTCTGGGTTCTGAAAGTTGACGTACGCGTAACCAAGCGAGCGACGGGTTACAACGTCGCGGCAGACTCTTACCGAGACGACCGGTCCGACGGAGGAAAACAGCTCGAAAAGGTTCTGTTCAACGACATCTGGCTGCAAATCGCCAACATAGAGAGACACGTTTGGCAGTTCGCCCGTTCCGCTCGCTGATGCGGCTGGCACAGCAGTAGCTCCGCTCGCTGGCAACGAGCTCATACCGTTTAGGGCGAAGCCCGCCACAGATCCGTCTCCGAAACCAGCGGCACCAGCGCCCGATACGCTCTGCGCAGGAGGGATGCTCTCCCCAGCGGCCTGTAGCGCTCCGCCGGGGCCTTTGCTGCCGCCGCCGCTGCTGATGCTGCTGGTACTGCTCGCGGAGGGCGCACGTGCGGTTTGCGCAGCAGCCGAAGCTGCGTACGGCCCGCCCGCTGTGCCACCAAGTACCCCGCTCTCCGCTCCCGACTGTTGGGCTGCGCTGGCGTAGCTCATCGGGGAAGTCTTGCGACTTGAGGTTTCTCCAGAAGCTGGTGCACCCGTGGCACCAGCAACACCAACGCCAGTGCTAGTCGAGTTCTGTTTCGACCCGCTACCACTGTTCAGCGACAAGTCCCTGATCATAGTAGAAAGTCCAGTCGCGTCTGCGCTAGATCCTCTGCTGTCCTCCATTTCTTTAACGTTATTTTATTTTTTTCTCTTTTTTTTACTACAGCCCTGTACTGCGCTCTGTAATAATCGACAACAGAAGCCGGCGGGTGTGCCTAGTTATGACGACGGCGGCGATGATGATGATGATGATGACGATGGAGCGGGGAGCCTTGGCGCGTCGCGTGATGCGTCGCAGCAGGCGGACACCGCACGCGGCGGCGCCGCTCGCGATGTGGGCGCCGTCGACCAACTGATTGCCGGCAGGCGGCGGCGGCGGCGACGGCTGCAATGACGCTACGTGGCGATCACCGCGGTGCATGATGCGTGCGTCCGTGCGTGCGTCCGTGCGTGCGTCCGTGCGTGCACAGATCGAGGTTTACAGGGGATTATCGCACATGCAGAGCGTCTCTCTATCTCGCGAGCCTATATTTCCTAGACGATGTTGACCGTGCATGGTTGATGAAATTTCCCAGATGCGACGTATGCAACGCGATAGAGAATTCTCAAATGCCGCTGACATGGGCGTTGGATAGAGCCGCTCTTCGTGGGTGGTGGTGCGCCGAGGTGCTCGCTGAACAGCGGCTGTGTGCGTGGTATTCACCAAGCCGCCGGTCATACTGGCTTTCTGCTTGGACAAATAATCGATTTTGCCCAGTTTCGTTTCGATGCGGTGCTGGCATAGCGCCGAGGCGGCAGCGCACGCAAAATCGAGATGAAGTTTGAGTGGTAATCAGTGGTCCCTGAAGGTACAGCGGTCGAGACATGCTGTGCGGCTTCAGGGCCCAGCGTTCGCAGATGAAACATCGACGGTACATGGCTCTGTCCGCCTCTATCGCGCAGAACGGACCCGCCGGTGCATTGTTGCCAGCACGTCACGCAAGCGCACTCGTTTCCAGGCCAGGGATGGTCGTGTCCCATTAGAACAAAGATGTCTAGTTTGGTTTCCAAGGTGCCCCGCGCTGTCGCCGCACACCTATCCAACAACCCGACCAGCTGCAGCTGCACGCACGTATTCTTGTAACGCGTAGGCTCATGTTGGTTTCGACTCCCAATCGACGCGACATTTACGCTCGCTTGTTCAGTGATGGCGTTCTAGTCGCGAGGAAGGACTTTGCTTCTCCAGAGCATATGGAGCTAAAGCACATCAAGAACATCGAGGTGATCAAAACGTGCCAGTCCCTGCGTTCTCGCGGCTTCGTTCGGGAGCAGTTCAGCTGGCAGCACTACTATTTCTTCCTAACGGACGAGGGTATTGAATACCTACGAAAATGGCTGAACGTACCGTCAGACGTTGTGCCGAAAACTCTGCAAGCCAAAGCCGAACCGCCGCGCGTGATCGGAGGTTTCCGCGGTGACCGCGCTGGCGGGTACCGCCGTCCTGGGGCCCCCGGAGAACGTGGTTTTGGTGAACGCCGGGGCCCTGGTACCTTCCAGTCAGAGTACCGGAGTCGTGGCGGGCCTGGTGGTTTTCGGAGCTTCGGCAGGGGCGGCGGTAACGCGCCGGGAGCGGGCGGCAGGGACGTGTATCGCCCCCCGCGCGCGGAACCTCCGGTTAGAGGTATGGAAGCTCCCTGAGTACTGCGTTGGTAATCGGCTACAGGTCGTCGTTCGTCTAGAAACATAAGCTCGTACGTTCACGCGCAGCAGAGCACAGTGCCGAAGCCAGGTCCGAGGGGGTCCCGCGTGTAGTGCCTGGTGGCAGTCACACGACTGAACGACTTGGTTTCTTTTCGACACTCGAGCGCGCGAAAAGAAGGTCTTGGCAGCCTTTCTAACGTTACTCGTATTCATGATCGATGTCTCGGAAAGCTCGTGTTCTCGAGCAGCAAGCGTGGGGCCTGTAGAGCACCCCAGTCGGATAGATGCATTCAATCGAGGTTACCTAGCGACCGCAGTTGTGGAACCAGACGATGAAAGTGCCTCCCAATGTCAAGGAACATTTATTGGGCGTAAGCCTGCGCTCCATGCAAGGACTTGAGTGGTTTGCAGAAATCTCTGCGCTATACGCTGCAGAGCTGCCGCTCCGGAAGGCAGCGTGCCGCCGGAAACCGTAAAATCATCCTGGCACACCACTAGACAAATCTGTGCATTTCCATGTCGACGGGACTCGGACGCCGATCTCATGAAGATACCTCATTTGGAATGCACGCTGGCTGGGACGCTTTCGCATGCGCTCCCTCGGTCTGATTTGCTTTCGCAGCATGGTACAAATCCTGCCTGAAAACTGTTTCCAAAGAAATCAGACAGGCGTTGTGTTGTTCACGACCGGGTATGGTTGTCGGATACACTGGACGGACCTGAATGCAAAGAAACTTACATCCTATTGTTGCGGGACAAAGAGGAGAATCCTGCAATACGCGTGAATGCGATTTCGGTCGATGAAGATGGCGAATGCATGCCAACGCAGGCCCGGCTCGATGAGAGCGACCGTTAGCGCAGAAGAATCACCGATGAGTATGGTGTGTGTCAAGCACGCTCCCGTCGTGATATCATGCGTTGCTTGTGAGTGTACCCCTAGATCACGGGTAAAAAGGATACCTATGGTCTCTTATTCCGCCATCAGGACCATGAGCGCGAACTATAACATTACAGCAGTTGCTCTGCAGGCATCAGCTGGACAGAAGGTACCATCGTATGCACAAGCTTTTCAATTTGTCACGGGGTAAAGTGCTTCGTCACCCTGGAGGTTGCCCCGCCACCGGGAAAGCGCAACCTTCGCGTTCGCCTGCGTTGTTGATCTTCACGAGATACTTCGGAAACGCTCGCAGTGTCCAATGCGTGATCCATTCGGGTTTCGATGATGGTGCATTCACTAGGACGACAGTGGCATGATGATTCGGTGGGCTGGTCTACACGCAAGACGCCCGCACAACTCGGCAACAGCACGAAAGGGCATCTAATTCTGGGCGGCATGCGGCTTTAAAACATGAGAGCAAGCGTATGCAGATACGGCGCCTACAGTGACTGTCGGCCGCAAAAGCACTGGACGCGTGTGCGGAATGACCAGTTACGGCACTGAAGCAGCGCTGGATAGACACTATTGGTCGCTAAAAGTGTTCTTCAGCGATGATCAACCAATGTGGCAATTCAAGGATGAGCTATACTGCAGTAGGATACAGCACCCGCTGCAGCGGTGCGCGTGCACATTGGTCCAATACCTACTACGTAATGTCGGGCATCGCCTGCGGGAAATCAGCGTACCCCGTCGACTGCACCATCTGGTGCCATTACGGGACGCTGCACGATGTTAGATGCATACACACACACACAGAGAGAGAGAAGCATCAACACAAAACCCTCCCCTCCCGCGATCGTGTAGCCAGCAGCGTCGGCGACGCAGCACAGCGACTCCCCGCCTCGCTCCCAAGCATCACCATCATCACCATCATCACCATCATCAACAGGCCTCAGCGGCAGCGCAATCGATGCGTGGTGGCGCGCATTGCCCCGCGTGACGCATCCGCATCGACCGGGTGCCTCGCTGCCCTACGTCTGAAGGCGAGCGGTCTATGGATGCGCACGCACGCACGCACGCACGCACGCACGCACGCACGCACGCATTGCGGCTGTCGCGTCGTCGATGCGTGCTGCTCGATGCCGCGCATTTCATTATTCGGTGAAGGCGCGTTTCAACACAATCAAGTGTAGCAGTATTTCGGGGAACACCCGTCTTGTGTGTATTCCAAACAGGGTCGAAGTGTGTGTGTGCATCTCTGGTTTGGTCCTGTCGATATCACTGTTTTTATTGTCTGCATCAGTGTGTTTGTGTCTGTGTGTGTGTACACGTGTGAACGCTTGCCTCGGGCTCTGACACGATCGAGCGCGCTTGACCCGGCGTGTCGGTGCGCAGCTGTGCCGCACGAGTCTGAGTCTAGTGCGGCGAGGGAAAGCAAGGACTGAATCACAGCAAGGGCAAGGCTAGTCTAAGCCGTGCTTGAACTCGGTAGGCTGAGCGAGACCCCGTCGAGCGAGGCGTTGCTGAGCTGCGCGTGCCGTGCTGGGGCGCAGACGCCCCCGAGAGGTTGCTGGAGACTATTTTGGAGCGGCACCGAGCAGAGCGCTTTGCTCGTGAACCAAGTGCGTGCCGTTTGTGTATACGTTTTGGCGAAACGCGCAGCGCTTGAGCGGACCGGTCAGCGTTTGCTGCTGTCCAAAGGCGCGTACGCTGCTGAAGCACACGGGCGCGCGCCTCCTAGTCGTAGAGACACGCGTTCGCGTTCGCGATCGCGGCCGTACTCGCTGGCGCGTGCGCGTGCTTGAGCATCGAGCGCAGCTGCGACAGCAATGATTAGACGGCCTCGCTACGCGCTCGACGCCTCTGGCAGCAGCCGAGTGGGTGGATCGGTGGCGCGGCACTGCCTGCGCCGCGCGACGCTGCGCTGGGATCGCCGGCTGGGGTACCGCCAGCCGTGCGCTGGCGTACGTTGCGCTGCTGGTGCTCGGCCTCGCGATCGCAGACAGGTGCGACTGCGGCGCTGGGCGGGCTACGGGCGAATCCCAGGCCCGCGGTTTGTGATTCCGCTCATCGGGAGCATCGTGGAAATGGTGCTGTCGCCGTACGGGTTCTGGGAGCGGCAGCGGCGCTTAAACCCGTGCGGCCTGAGCTGGAATGCGCTGGCGGGCTTCTTCGTGCTTTTCGTGACGGACACGGACCTCAGCCGGTACGTGCTCAGCGAGAACGGCCCGCACGCGTTTGAGATGATACTGCACCCGAACGGCTGGCGGATCCTCGGGCGGAACAATATTGCCTTCAAGAGCGGCGAGGAGCACAAGCTCCTGCGGCAGTCTTTTCTGCGGCTGTTCACGCCCAAGGCGCTAGGCGTGTACGTGAGCATCCAGGAGCGCCTGATTCGCGAGCACCTGGCGGCGTGGCTGTCGGGGCGCGGCACGGACGGCACCACGGCCGCATTTGAGGTGCGCCCGCGCATCCGCGACCTGAATCTGCGGACGTCGCAGACGGTGTTTGTGGGTCCTTACCTGCGCGATCGGGAGCGCTTCTGTGCGGACTATCTGCTGATCACGCAGGGTTTTCTTTCGTTCCCGTTAGCGCTGCCTGGGACGGGCCTGTGGCGTGCGATACGGGCGCGGGAGCGTGTACTACGGGACCTGACTGCGTGTGTACGGGCGTCGAAGGAGCGTTTCCGGAAGGACGCCGAGGCGGAGCCGCAGTGCCTGCTGGACTTTTGGACGGTGTCCGTGCTGGAGGAGGTTGCAGCTGCGAAGCGCGAGAACCGGGCGCCGCCCAAGTACAGCGCGGACCACGAGATGGCGGACGCCATGCTGGACTTTTTGTTTGCGTCTCAGGATGCGTCGACAGCGTCGCTGGTATGGACGACTGTGCTGGTGGCCGAGCGACCCGACGTGCTGCAGCGGGTGCGCGAAGAGCAACAGCGGCTGCGCCCGCACGACGAGCCGATCACCTACGAGCTGCTGGAGCAGATGGTGTACACGCGCGCGGTCGTTCTGGAGGTGCTGCGCTTCCGGCCGCCGCCTGTGATGGTTCCGCAGGTTGCGAGCAAGCGGGTGCAGCTGCCGAACGGCTACGAGGTGCCGCGAGGTGCGCTCGTGGTGCCGAGTCTCTGGACTGCGTGCATGCAGGGCTTTCCGTCACCTGAACGCTTCGATCCGGAGCGGATGCTGCCGCCGCGGCAGGAGGAGCAAAAGTACCGGAAGCATTTCCTGACGTTTGGCTGCGGTCCGCACATGTGTGTCGGGCGGAACTATGCGATCAACCATTTGATGTGCTATCTGGCGGTGCTGGCGACCACTGTGGACTGGACTCGGGTGCGCACCGTGCACAGCGACGAGATCATCTACTTGCCGACGATATACCCAGCGGACAGTGTTATTCGTGCGCGTTGGCGTGTTGCGGACGCAAGCACTGGAGCAGGCACTGGGGCAGGCACTGACACCGCTTGCACATCGGAGGCCGTACCAGTTGTCGTAGCGTCGTGACAGGATTAGTGAACCGTTCGGCAACATCTTCGACCAGGTGGCATTCCATTCATTCATTTATTGAACAGTCGATCTGTAGCGGGCATCATCAGGAGCGCTCCGTCTCGGAGCAGTTGCCGCTGCGCTGCCTCTGGGGCGCTCGACCTGCTCTGCGGCCGCGGAACGGTATCCGCGTCTGTTGGACCTCTGAGGCGACAGTGCCTCAGCTGCGGACCCGAGACAGAGCGGCTCGTGTGCCTGCCTGTGCACGATGACGTGCTGTGGTATCACCGGCTGCGCACGTATGGATGTAACGGCAGTACACATCCTTGGAATGTAAAGCGAGGACGACTCTGCTGGAGACTCTAGCATGCCCCTATGTTATGTACGTTCGTCGAGGAAGGCGCATCGTTGTGGTAAATGTACGCAGAGCGGGGTCTCGCGTCCTTTCGCGAGGCCGCTCTGCGTCGCTCACACACACATACACACACAGAGAGAGAAGGCGACCTCCAGTGCGCGAGACTGCGGCTCTGAACTTTGGTCCCGCAAGAGACCTGTGAGGCTCCTCTAAACTGAGCTTGTTGAAGGGTGACAGTGCCTCGTGCACGCCGCACGCCGACTCCGAAAGCACCACAACCGAGGCTGCCGCTAGACGCTGTTGTAGAGAGCGCGCGTTGTATTCGTGGATACGCGCCACTGGGGACGCACCAGCTCGCCTGGTCACCAATGATATCGCCTTGAAAAAGAGAGCATGAGCGGGGAGGCGTAGCCACGTAGGCGGCTCCTGGGGGTGCATGCCCTGCTCGATTGACGAAGCATAGCGAATGCGGTCACCGGAATGAAGTCCTGGTTCTTCACTAGACGGGAACGGCTATGCCTTTCTTCCGTTGAATAATGCAGCATGTTGGAAAACCGCAATTTTTCGCGAAATCGACTCAAGACATGAAAGTCGCGGGCTTGTCCCACAGAATGTCTACCTCTTCGTAGCCGGAACCGCCGTATTAAATCCTTGTTTTGTCACCAGAGCAGGAGCATGCGTTTGAATCCATGGTTATCTCGATGTTGCCGACGATTGACCAGTGCTGCTGCCTGCGGCTTCCGGCATCGCCTTGATCGCAGATGCCATCTACATGGAAGCAGTGCCATGCAGCACCACAGTGTAGCGTGTGCCATGCCCATCGATTTATTCCGGAACGAGCCTATCACTTGAGGAACGAATGGGAGCAGAATGTCCTCAGGCTGCAGTTGATTTTCTGGAAGCAAACGAAGCCGACTTGGTTCTTCATGTAATCTTCTTGCGCAGTGCTGAGTTTTGACGTTTTCCGGGTACCGATATCGTGGAACGCTATGCCGCAACACCAATACGGAGCGCGGAACCTGCTGCTGTAGCCTCGAAAGTAGCCATTCCGAGATCCTTCCCCGAGCCCAGCATCCCATGAAGTAAAACTGCAATCGCCAGAATATTACCTGTGTTTCCGATGTTTATGGCAGCCTCTGGGACTGGTCGAGCTCGGTGTTTCTGCGTTTCCTGTGTGCTCTGCAGCGGAAGGTGGCGCGAATGAGCGTCGGTGCGGACGCATCGCCGCTCTATTTTTTGGGAGAGCAGAACGTCTGCACTGACCCGCGATCCCCAATTTCGCACTGGTTCTCAGCGCCTGGTGAAGCATCCATTGTTCCGCCAACTCGCAAATTCCTCAACAATAAGTTCCTTCGGAGAGGCCCGTTACTTTTCGCATTCTAGGCAGCTGCGCGCTTGTTTCCAGCGCCGGCACTGCAAAAAGCAGCGGATCAGCGTTTCAAGAATCTCATCGCCGCGCGATGCCTTCGTGCATCGCCAAAACATGTCACGTGACAACTTCGTGCGATGTCAAGAGAGCCTTTTGGGACAATAATGTCCAGATTTCAATATTGGACGATGCGCGAATGAACCCGCCGCCGGCGCGACGGCGCAAACACATATGCAGCGCGCTGTTGCTGGTCGACGGCTTGTAACGCGCTGCCAGTACTCTGGTTAACGAAGGAGCAAGTTTTCTGTGCCGGTGTGTGGTGCGTACTCTTGCCGACGAACCATAATGGACGACGTGGAGCCTTTCACACTTGACGAGGAGACAACTTTTCGCTATTTGCTTCTGGAGTTGCCGTCAAAAGCGTTTGAATCGGCGGGTCTTGCGACGCCGAGCACACCGAGTAACGAGTCGGCGAAGCTGTCGGAGTCTCCACTAGCACCGTCGCCAGAGGTTTGTCTTACGCCAGCTCCTGAAGCTTCCTCCTCAAGCGTCTCATATAGTTCGTTGAAAGGGGGCAGCTGGTTGCTGTCCGACAACCTGGACCTTGTAGCGGGAAAGAGTCAGTCTCCGAGTGTCGCGCACGTGAAAGGGCCTTGGACACCGGCTGAGGATGCACTTCTTCTGAGTTTGGTTGCACAGTTCGGCATTCAGGCTTGGACTGCTGTTGCCGCGTGTATGCCTGGGCGTAGCGGCAAGCAGTGCAGGGAGCGTTGGCTCAACCAGTTGGATCCGTCCGTGCGTCGAGGTGCATGGACGTTCGAGGAGGACGAGGCTCTTGTGCTGCTGCATGCGCGTTTTGGGAATTGCTGGGCGAAAATGAGCAAATATCTTCCCGGTCGCACGGATAATGCGATCAAGAATAGGTGGAACAGTTCTATGCATCGCCGCTGGCGAGCCGAACGGTCTGCGACCTTGGCCGCTGGACGCCCGTGGAATGCGGAGACTGCAGCGCGCTTGAATCTTCCCCGCACCAGCGGAGACCATGCATCACAGGTTCCACGTTCACTCTCGCTTGAGCGTCTCTCTGCTTCGACTGCGACAGAGCTGCATGAAATTGTGTCCGGACCGAGAAAACGTATCCAGCGGAACAGTGAACCTATTCCAGTCGGCAACGGTAAGACATGCTTCTGCAAGACGAATGAGGAGTACGCGAACACCACGCAGAGCTCCTCCCAGACCATCCATAGCCTCTGTTTAGACCCGAGTCGTCAGCTATCGTGTAGTGAGGCGCCCCAGTTCCCGGAGACGTACTCTAGCGTTCAGGTTTCCTCATCGCTGGAGACAAAAATTGGCGAAATGCTTCCGAGCTCGTATTCACCTGTGAACAGGTGCATGCTGACCGTGGCGCACTCCCCGTTGAGCCGCTGCTCGAGTTCCGGATCACTGACGAGTCTGAAGGATGGCGTAGGCAAGCTTCGAGTTCGCGAGCAGCTGCGAGCTCGGTGTGCGTCCTCTCGTCGTCGCACGCTTAGCGCGTCTGGCTCGGACCGCTACAGACAGCGCCCAGCAGAGAAGACAAAGACGTGTCCGTTTATGAGAATGTCCGAGGAAGATATCGCGAAGGAAATATGCACGGACATGGGCAGAGCGCACAACTTTGCCGCTCAGGAAACGCCTTGCTGCGATGAGGTCTTTCTGAAACTCACCACATGTTCGGCAGATGCCTCTGAACTTGTATCTCCGTTGGAGTTCGCCCCAAACGAGGGCCTTGAACTAGCGAACCATACCGAGATTGCCGATGTCGCAAGTGCCCTCGGAACATTCGATTGGAACCTATCTCCCGCGGCCGAGAAAGGCGATATTCCCAAAGATAAGGAAATTCTAGATCTGGATGGCTGGCTCCTGAGTGGCGTCTAAGTTCGCGCCAATACCGCGCGATTCCATCATACAAAGGGCTCAGTGTCCAACATCAGACGACAAGAACAGCAGCATGAAATCTCAATGTAACCGGCTTTCGCTGAGGAGGAGAGTGGTGGACACGATATGGCTCAAAAATTTCATAGAATCAGTTTTACCCAGTCAACGGATAGCGAGTGCGACCGATGCTAGCGCCCCGAAGGAGAAAAGCCCAAGGCCGCAGCGATAGACAGCGCTGGATGTCGTGATCGCGTAGCGCCAACGCCCCAGAATGGCGGCTGCGTTGCGCGAGCACCACGATTATGCGCTCCGCGGTTCAGGTGTTCTCATTCGAGCATGTGGCGCGCAACATGCTGGTCCCTCGTGTTCGTATAAAAGAGAACAGGTTACCTCGAGAGATTCGATTGCGTTGCGAGGATATCGATCGTTTCCGCCACAGCACAGCTGGCCTGCGGCTCTGGTTCGGCGCCAGCGTCGTCCTCTGTCCACAGACCTGACATCCGGTGTCGAGGGAGCAACGCATATCCACGCATTTCGGGTAGGTGCCCAAGTACACTGTTCGTGGTGGACTAGATGCGGCACGCTCCGCTGGTGTATGCTCAGCGTGCGTCGCACAAGGCCGCATGTCGCCGGTGCTGGACGCTTAGGCACGCGGGCTTCGCCGCGCGCTTCCAGAGCTGCACTCTACGTGCTGTATGGTCAACACCGCAGAGAGGAAGCCCGCACCAAAGGAAACGCCGCATAATGCGAAGATTTTCGAATACGATGGATGGCAGATGCGCCTCGAGGGGCCCAGCGCCCCGGCCAGCATCCGAGATACACGCTTCAGGCAGCTTATCAGAGCATTCGATTGGCTTCGACGATCACCTGGCGGGTGTTCCGGATTCACTGCCCAGATATTGGGAACCTCTTCAACACAGATAGCTGGCAGCCGTCGTCGTCGTCGTTCTTGTTGTTGTTGTCGTCGTCGTTGTGTCCTCGCCGGAGCCCGTTCTGTTGGGGGTTTCCCGCTTTTCGATGGCGGTTCGGAGGGTGCTTGCGTCGAATCAGGCGCTTTTGCTACCGCATTCGCTTGCGCGCAATCATGCACCTCCTCCTGCAATCCAGGATTTTCAATCGACGCTGCAACAGTGATAGGGTTATGCACGGTGTGTGGCGAAGCACCTGTACGAGGCGGGCTCACCAGATCGTCAGCTCGGACAGAGCCTGCAGTCTGACCGGAATTTTCGTCGACACTCTCGGGTTTAGCCACTGTGGTGCAGCTTGCGTGTTCGGAATATGCTCGGTTGCAGGAATCGAGCACATCGCCGCCCAGCGTTCCACCCATAATTGCTCTGCCGTCTCTGGGGGCTCGGGCGCACACGGGACTCACACTGAACGCAGTGGCTGGCGTACCCTCGAGCAACAGGCTCTCCTTTTCCACCTGAACCGGGGCGACAGGTTCCAAAGTATTCAGATACGAAAAGTCCCGATTTTCCTTGTCAGGATACTGGCCATAAACGACCTTTTCTTCGATAGCTTGGAAGAGCCTTGTACGTGAAGAACACGCTAGCGCTCTCTCGCGTTGTTCCAGCAAATCGTTGATTCGAGAAACATAGCTCCGAAGCCTCCTGTACGCTGTCCGATAGCGGAGCAACTCTGCCTTGAGCGCATGGATACGCTGCTGACTGTATGAGAGCGTCCCGAAAGGACGCGCCCCGTGCGAAGGTGTCTGCATGGAAGCGTCTCAGCGGCGACAGAAAATACTGAGAAGCAGCAGCCAGTTCGTTTGTCGGTCGGAAATTGAATTCCCGAGGTACTGCGCGGCGTAACGCACGGCCGCCGCGGGCCGCAGTGACAAAGCATTTTCATTGATTATGGACTCCAGATTGCGGGATAGCTATTGGCAGACGAGAAATCGCTCTTTATGTTGTGCCCTAACTTCCAGCTCTATATCCCATATTTTCTCTCGGAGGTGCTGGCCGTTTTGTACCTTCAATCGCGCGGCGATTGCTTGCTTTGAGCGCCCGCCTTGGCGCTTATACTGCTGGAGCCGATGCCTCACGGAAACAGTACGGCTCTGCCATACCACTGGGGTAGCCGGCTCGACGCGTGGATCACCCGACATGGGGTCGGAGTACAAAATCATTCTGGGAGCCTGCTAACTGTACGGAGAGACGTACTGCGTGCCGCATCGCGAAGCAATATGCAGGGAGTCTACAGCGGCCAGAGCGACGTCCAGGCGCAATCTACCCGCTCTTTGTCCCAGAGTGAACTGCGTAGCGGACGAGTTGCTGCTCAGATATCACTAAAGCACCTGCCATTGGAGAGGTAGATGATTCACTAGCCTGGTAGACTCGAGCGGTTCGCGGGAGCGTCCGCCTAGAAGGTAACCTTTCGAAAATGCCGAAAACCTTTCCCGTTTTCAGCGCGAACACTATGCCACGCTCTACTGGATGCCGAGATCCTTCGCGCACTCGAGGATCCCGAGCTCGTGTGTACTTTCTTTCGATTAAGAAATCGAGGATCCCTGGTTCACTGAAATGTTATGTCGATCAAAACAAATTGTGTGCAGGCAGACCTGACGATCATCGAATGTGACCTTGGATTTTTTTACGGTGCAAGATCGTCAAGACTGACCGGGAAACCCCAAGGGTGCGAGCGTTGTAGGAAGCCGCCCCCATGGCTGGAGGCACTGCAACGCCACGCTGAGACCGTGCAACGTACGCGGTGCGCTGGGCATCTGGAGATTCACCGGGCCAATCGAGTTTCCGTTCCTGAGGAAAAGTCCTGTCTGATATGTTTGTGTCGACGGCAGCATCTGCAGTCGACATCCGGGAATGTCTCGTGCCTCCAGAGCGTTCGGTGGCTTTACGTTAAGCGGACGTTCGAGGGAATCGTTTAACAGTCATTGTGAGCGTTGTGCTGAAACGCTGAATGCTATCGAAGTAAACAATCAGCGGTCAGGACAGAGGGGATCGGTTACTCGCTGGAGCAAAGCACAAAGGTTGTACGGCAAACACAATGCAGCAAATCTAGAGCACGGTTGAAACTTGTACCTGGAATCATTCCCCCTGGAGATTCATGCGCGATAAGCGTGTTCTATGAGCTGATACTGCTGAGTATATCGATCAGCAAAAACGAGATCGCTGCAGCGCTTCACCGTATTTGACAATTTTCTATCAGCCCTGGTCTTGTCCGTCTGTGCGGATTCTACTTTGGATCCAGCGAGCTGCGAGACGACTTGCGTCTATGCCAGCGCCGGCTTTCCCTATGATGCACAATCGACAACGCTTACAAGAATCCCCGGGATGCGCAGTTGACCTGGACGCCGTGGAGACACTCCCGCTCCGATCTAAGCACGTTCGGGTTCCAGTCACATCGGACTAGTATTCGCGTTGGCATAACGGATTGCACAGTCGAGCGAACCACCAGATGCCAAGCCTACCGCAGGTACGTACCGGTACCCAGGATGCACCGTTGCCGCAGCACTGCCTCTGCATAAGAACAAGACGCCTCCGCGAGTGCCTGTGCCACGGCGTTGCGCGACGGTGGTGATCGGATCTCAAACTGGCGGCGCCTACGGCAAGCGCTCATGCTGGTGCTGCGTTCTAAGGAACTTTATACTGTGTGCGTACAGCTTGCAAACTTTGGACTAGAGGAGTTGACGCACGGATGCTTTTCGGAAAAACCAGCCAAACACTGGCGTTCGCGGGTCTCTTTTCAACTGCTTACAAAGCTGCTGGCACTTGTGGAAGGTTTTGTCGCCGCGACGCTGCGGCCGAGGGCTTGTCTGCGCGTGTGGCGAGGGGTCAGCAGCTGGTGCACAGAAGGCGCCGAGTCCCTGGGCAGCGTTTTTCCGCGCTGCTCGACGGTCCCATGGTGGACGCATTTTCACAGGGACAATTACATCATCACGCGGACTTGCAACTTTACGTTATACGCACCATGCTCTTAGGGGTGCTCGGGGTCATCGGAATGCGGATCCACCGACCGCCGTTTCCGATACTGAATAACCGTACGCCACGTTGGCGACGCGCAGCGGAGGCGCGGAGGATTCGCTTTCTTCGAGCTAAAAGTCGCGGCCCTTTCTTTGCTGACGTAGCAGACCGTCTCCCGAAACGACTTCGACCGCTGGTTCAAGAAGAGATACCAGAAGAGCTCCAGGTCCGTCAAAGGCACACTCCGGCGAAGCGGACGGTCGCAAACGATAGCTAAAGACAACTCCACGGAGTCTGTGAGCTGGAACAAGTTACACTCATTCGAACCGGTACCCCTAACCCCAGCTTTACCTTGGACGAAGCTGAAATGAGTGTTGGGCCGAACGGCGCTTCTGGCCAGTGCCACGGAGACGCTACTGACGCCACTTGTTCGACACAGAGCTGTCGTCGGAGGCACGCTCCCACCAGGTCGCTGTCTGCATCCCTCGCCGCAAGAAACCAAATGACCCACCATCTTTCTCGTTCTGTTGTGGAAATACGGCCTTCGTTAGGGCATCCTTGGCCTCTGTGAGTCTCGGCCGTGTGGCATACTGTGCAACCTGCCGATAACGATTCTCTTGGGTCTCGAGAAGCACCTGGTATGGCTCTGGATATACCCTAAATATTGCGCCTTGATAGTTGACAACAAATGGAGGTCGCGAAATCGACCTCGAGTACGAGCGCGTTCGCAAGTAGTAGACGGGCAAGAATCGACATAGAAAGCGGTGATGGAGCATCCGAGACGGAAACGCAGGCAAGCCCAGATCACCACGTGATGTATCCAGCTGCATATTGAATAGAATGACGGGTCGCTGGTCGCCTCTCGTTTTGTCCGTTTCTTCGAGACGTTGCACGAACTTTTCCACGTCCACGAGCTCCTGCGCCGAGGCGCCAAGAACGATAAAAATATCGTCATCATCCAAAATGGGTTCGATACGATCGCCAGCATCACCGTCGCGAATATTGGCTTGCAGGATTCGCTGGATAAAGTTACCAGCCTCATAGCCCGCGCGCAGAGCAGCAAGCCGGATGCGGCTGTCCGCAGTGCCGACTGTATCACCGAAGCGATTTGCATACCCCGAGCCTGGTTTCTTGGGGGCAGCATCCCCCGCAAAGGCTCGGTTACGCTCGATCATGTCGGGATAGATGAGCGCGACTCGCTGATAAGTCGAGCGGCCATTGCGTCTCTCTCGCGTTGTTTCCTGAAGCATTTTCGCAAAGTCAAACGCCAGTCGCGTATTGGCGTCAATAACGTCGTCCGATGAAGATCTGGTCGAATTCAGCACACTTGCGGGCAATGGAGGGAAGTCAATCTCCAGTAGACGCTCTCCAGCCTCCACTGCTGCTAAAACTGCTTCCACTGCTTGGTTTAGGGCCTGGTAAAAGGTACTCGGTGGTGGCGAGAATGTTTGCTTTGCTCGCGTCTTTTTCGGCTGATTACCGTTGCTATTTCCGGCGCACAGGCGTGCTGGACACCAGCGCACCATCAACGCCTGTTGGCGACGCCTCGAAAGCAGGGGTCTCGTGAAGGAGACGGGAGCCCCCCGACCACACCGTTCGGGTCTTGGCGCGAAGTGCACTTGGTCCGCTCGTGTTCCTACTATTTGCACCCATGTCATTGCGTCCTCTGAGCACCTAGAGCCACTGGGAGGCAAGGAACGCATCGTTCACCCCAAGCACAATGAACCTACACCCCGTCAACAAATTCGCTTTTATGTGCAAGAATTGAACGATTAACAGCGCGTGCATGCAGCGGCTGGCACGGCAGGTCATTTTCAAGTCGAGGTACACACGATTGAATACTGTTTTGAGTTTTTCAATAAACGAACGCGCTTTAAACAATGTGCACAAAGTAACAATAACTACTCGAATAGGACGGAGAAACGCCGCGAATAATGTGGCTAGTGATGCAACGGGCGCGAGGAGAATAAAAAAAGACAAAACAAACTAGTCGCAAACTATTTATTAAAGAACAACTATCTTAAAGACCCACACACCACGCCCGCCTTAGAGGTCTAGTTTTTCCGGAGAAGCTCTGAAAGTGGGTTAACGCGGGGTGCTTGGGCGACGGCGAAGGAAGCCCACGCCAGGGACCTTGACCGCAACGAACGGAGGGGCGGCGGCAGCAGCACCAGAAAATGTTGACGAAAATCCTGATTAGTCATCCGCCCCTCCCGAATCAACGCTGCAGGTTCGGGCGCAAATCTTGGATCCATCCTTGAACTCGGGCTCCGTTTTACCTCCTACCTTGGCTACCTACCTCAACTTTGGAAATAGTCTCGGCGGAGACTTTTGAAGACGGCTGGCAGTATGTTTGCGGTCGAAGCTGGAATAAGCGGCTTGCCCGCCTATGTGTTTGGGGAGCGGATACGTAGCCGCTGAAAGGGTGGTTTGCAGACTGTTCCCAATTGTTGAGGGGAGGTTAAAGCGTCGGGCAAGATAAAGGTCGCATTCGAATCGACCTTGACTAATGTACATCTGATTCTACGCTAGCGCTGCGGCAGACACTCAGTGAACGACTGGAATGCAGGAGGCGCTGGTGGCATGTGCTCTCAAACACCCCGTGGAGGGTGCATCTCAATCGACAACGTATCTCTCGAGTACCGCAGCGTTACTCCTATTCCCTTATGCGCTACGACTCGATAGGTTTCGCATCATGGAATATTTGTGGGATCGCCTCGGTATTGAACTACGAGATATCGAATTACCAGTACAGTAATGAAGAACTGATACAAGTCGAGGACTGTACAAAAGGCAAAAGAGACCCAACCAGACACGGAGAAGGAGACACAGAAACCTCATGATCCGCCTAGATGCAAAGTAACCAGAGAATGTAGCTCAGGAAAGAACCCGATGAAGAAGAAAACCAACAAGAGAAAAACAGAAGAATAGGAAGAAGAACTCCCGAACGAGCCCACAGGCGGGGGCTCCAGCGAGCCCATCACAAGTCGTCCCCGAAAGAGCACCCCAGCAGGAACTCAAGAAAGCCGTCGCCAAACCGAGTCACCTACTCACAGCGCTGAAGATCCGAAAAGTTGTGCATACAAATCTTTAGACCAATTGGCACGAGAGTTTGTAGATGGGAATCAGAAGATTGCCGGAGAGCTGGGACTGCTTGCACCAGAACGCAACAGTTGCAAACCTCAGTGCCTGAAACGACGTACCAATACCCGGATTGACGAGCATCACCGACTCTATCAGATCGTCAACCACACCGCCATACGCGCCAACGCAGGAGACAAGGAAGCGAAGGCAGTCCTAACGGCGCTACAGGCGCAACATGAAGAAGCTATCAAAAGAAAGAAGAAACTTTCCAGAGAAGACAAACGAGAGGATCGAAACCGCAAAATCGCCTCCCTAGCGAAATCTATGCTAGAGAGCACCAACGAAGATGAGACCTGGCGCTACATTCGATCGAGACTGGACCCACCAAAAAAGTGCCTGGGGCTCACACCAATCGTTTATGAGGAAGCGCTGAGGACGGAGCGTGCCTCAGTGAATGAGGCCTGGACGGACCACGGCACAGAGCTGCATGAAGACGCAACTGGGCACTGCCAAGACAGAATCTATTGGCACCAATATGCCGCAGAACTACCGCGCCTCGAACCGGTACCGGAATGGAACGACCCAATCTTCTGGCCTGAATCTGTTCGGACCGTGCTATGCTCAAGCAACCGCAAAACACCTGGCATCGACGGTATCGCGGCGGAGTGGATGAAACTGGTGATCCCAAAAGACGGGACAAGAGGGACACTATCGATACCAGATGAACCTGACACAAGCTTAGGCAAACGCCTTGTGGAGCTCATCCAACGCATGTTCGAAGAGGCGTACATCCCGGATGTATGGAGGACTGCCGAGGTCGTACCGATCCTCAAAAAGGACTCCGACGTACACAAACACAGACATGAACAACTACCGGACTATTCGCCTCATCCCGTCAATCATGAAGCTACTTTGCGCCATTCCCACGAACCGGACTCAGAGAGGCCTCGTGGAACGCAAGTTCTTCGCCCCAGAACAGGCTGGATTCCGGAGCCACGAGGAGTGCATGAGCCATGCCCTGACCCTCATTGATGGGTGCAACGTCGCTCCATTAGCGGCCAACAACCAGCTTACGTATGCTTCATCGACTTCCAAGAGGCCTTTGACACGGTCCCGCACGAGGCTCCATTTCTGAAGATGGAACGAGCCCAAGTCTCCGGAAAGTGCTTAGCATTCTTCCGTGCGCTCTATGCAGACTCATGGATGCGCATCCGACTGGGCGACCGCTCAAGAACCCCTTCCAGAAGAATCCGCCGTGGACTGCGGCAGGGCGAGCGCGCATCCCCGCTCCTTTTCAACATCTTCATCAACGATCTGCTGAACAACTGCAGACAATACGGGCTTGAGGTGCCGTGGATAGACTGTGGAGATGCCCGATGAGGAGCCCTCACGTAGGAACCGCCTCGCAGGCTGTCTCGTTGCGGACGATGTCGTGCTGTTGGCACCCGCCCCGGAAACGCTTGCGGGTAGCATGGAACAAGTCAGCGACTGGGCCGATCGCTGGGAGATGAGCATAGGAGCATCGAAGTGCGGCGCCATGGTCATCCATGGAGACTCGCAGAGCATTCGCAATCGCTCGTGGCGGTTGCAGAACCAGGAAATTCCGATCGTGGAAAAATATCGCTACCCGGGGGTCTGTCTAACGCCGACGATCGACGAAGAGGCACACGTCGACGAGATGATCGCCAAGATGCATAGACGTACAGCGATCGCACGTCCATTCCCATCCGACCCCTCTATCTGCATAGCAATTCGTACCAGGGCACTAAGGATGTGTATCATCCAGCCTGCGACCTGTGGTGCTGAGTGGTGCGGCATGAACCACACAAATGCCTCACGTCTGCAGACAGCCGCCAACATGGCAATGTGACTCGTTGTTGCTGTTGGATGCTCAATGTAGAGCAGAGCAACCACCGCGCTGGCACTCGGACTTGAACTCCAAATAGCCTCGACAGAAGCGACAGCAGCAGGTTGCCGGGCACGCATATGGGGCAAAGGGCCAACTATGAACACCTGGTTCGATCGGATATCCATGCAGACCCCAACGCACCGCAAGAACACTTGGATGAAATCGACGCAGATTTGGCTGAAGCGCCTCTTAGGGGACAACACGCTCCCCAATCGTTCCCCAGGAATGTACAAGGCTCCCGCCGCCTCAAGCGAACGGTCCAAACAGCAATACGGAAACGTAGACACGGAACCAGGAAACCGATGGAGTAGCCTTGTGTGTACACTATCGGCGGTTGAAGAAAGATCGTCCAGTCCCGCCCTCTGCTGCGCCCTCGACGAAGCATGAATATGAGAAGGAGGCGGATCCTGCGACGCAGGAAGCAGAGGATAACGACCTATTCGTTGGCGCGGCGATGCATAAAGATGAGAAGGAGGCGGGTCCTGTGACGCAGAAGGTGGAGGATAACGGCTTTATCGTTGGCGCGGCGATGCATAAAGATGAGAAGGAGGCGGATCCGGCGACACAGAAGGTGCAGGATAACGAGTTTGTCGTTGACGCGGCGAAGCATGAAGATGAGAAGAAGGCGGATCCTGCCCTACAGAAAGTGCATGTGAACGACTTTGTCGTTGGCGCGGACTCCGGAAACACATATATCGTAACCATCGTTGTGCCCAAGCTCGCGGAGGATGGTACCGACGGCAACTTGCGTCAGAAAGACATGCGTCTTTTGAGGTTCTCGACAGCGAGATACAATCGGGAATCGGGAATCATGAATGCGAGGAAGAAAACCGAGAAATGGAATTCAGGAATGAAAGATCACCTTGAAGCTTTGAGCGAGCTGACGAGCCGAGGAGCCGACTTTGAAGCTTTTCGGAAATTCATGGAATTTCGCATGGCACATTAGGATGCGCTGTGGGGGGCGGTATACAAAGCCCCGGTGGGCTCGTTTGCGAATGAATTTGTATTTTGGTAAGCAGCGGGCGTTCGCGATTTTCTTCAATCAGTTGAGTGACCTGAAGGAGGATGGAAATCAGAGGCTAGTAGTAGCGTACGGAGCGGGACACTGGAAGACCCAAAAAGGGACCACGCCAGCTCCAACGGCAAAAACATATAAGGAGTGTGCAAGGCGTTTCGTCACGATACATGTAGACGAGTTCCGAACGTCCTATACACACCATGAACTGGGCTGTACACTCCAGAGGGTCGAGATGGAAAAGTGCCAGAGGAGCCCTGAGGAAATCGCAAAGTACGGACCGCTGACAGACGAGCAAATGGAAAGGAGGGCGAAAGTGCGAGGGCTACTAGCATTAGGAAGTACAATCAATTGCAAGAAACGTATGGAGTTTGTGAACCGAGACTTTAATGCCGCAATCAATATAAGGAGATGTGCGGTGCTGGAGAAAAGACCTCCAGAGTAGACACGGGAGAACTTTGTTGGACAACCTCTCAAAGTGGAATTATATGAGAAAAGATTGGAAGCAGTAGTAGGTGGCCGATGCAAAAGGGCTGGGAGGCGTCTACACCGCAGTTGAAAACTTCTTGTCCAAGGCGGGCTTCTCGCCAATACTGTACACCGCTGGCGTCGTTCGAGTGTAAAAGGCGGTGGCGGTGGCGGTGTGCGTGCACTTGAAGCACCCGAGCATCGGAGGTATGGGACGCTTTGTGGAGCGCTCAGAGCCTTGCCTGTATGGAGCCGGGGGTAGTTGACTTGGTTCGCAGAGCGGAGAAAGAGGGTCGGTATGAGCTGCTCGTGTTCTGTACCCCCGGACTGCAAAGGTCGTGTCTTTCTCGTGCTGTTGCCGGGGCTAGCGTCGATCTGGTGCTTGAGGTTGATATGGAAGGCGATCATTTTGCGCGCCGCCCGCATCCTTCGGAGCACGTGGAGGCCTCGATCGAAGCCCGTTGGGTTGAACAGCAAAAAGTCCTGGGCGACAATCTCTGGAACGCAAGCAAATTTCGTCTCAACGCAATTAGGGTTTCGTGTCGCCACGAGCAGGGCGTTGTCCATCGAAAATTTCACCTTGAGGTCGGAGCGACTGATTATCGTGCGCACCAGGGAACGACGCTTGCACCGAATGCACTGAAAGCCTTCCGCTCAGCAGAGCGAGGCGCTCCATGGTGTCATCTCGCTAACGCTATTGGCAACGCGGCCATCCTGGAGACAGCAGATGGCAAGATTGTGTGCCAGCGCCGTAGCAGTCGCTTGGGGGAAGCCAGCGGACGCTGGGTCCTTCCGGGCGGGCATCCAGAGCCATCGAATGTTGCAACCTCCATCGACGTGACTCAGGGGGTCTGGCAGGAATTTCTAGACGCGGTGAAGAGCGAACTATGCGACGAGTTGAATCTGCCGACTTGCAGAGTATCTGATCCAGTGTTTCTCGGTCTTGTTCGTCGGAAGGTCGACTGGCGACCGACGTACGCGTGCTGGTGCACTACCTCGTTGACATCAACGGAAGTGGAATATTTATGGATGCAGGGCGGCAAAGACACTGGTGAGTCGACGATGCTCTATTTTTTGAAAATTCCCGCTCACGACGATGATCTCCTTTTCCCAACCGATTCGTACGCAATGTTCTTTGAGGCATGCGGACTCAGGGGTCAGCGTGCGGAGCATGAGACCGACCAGCGCTCGCCGCTCTTCCCGAATGAAATGGTAGAAGATCATCGAGGCGCATTGTGCCTGTACTGGATACAGCGCCTTTTCGTGGCGGAGTTGCTACCGATGAGCCATGACGTCTGCGAATATTTTTTGCGCCCAATTCCGAAATGAGGCATCTCTGGAGCGCACACTACGCTGAGCGAAGTGATATGCATGCGGGGAGCAGGCATCTCGAGTGCGTCGGGGAGTTTGCGACTCGTGACGTGCTTCGTACATGCGTGATGCGAAAGGACGGCAGCTGGAGCCCAACGCTGAATGTAAGAGACGCAGACGTTTCGCGCTATGCATCGAAACGCGAGTCGCCCGGCAGCGAATTTTCATTCATATCGACAGCGGTGAACTTCAGAACGCTGGAGTACGATGAAAGCATGGCGTCCTTGGGACTGTGGATGCTGGACCGCGTGATGCGTTGCATTTTGGTTTGAAGCGGTTCGTCGCTCGTGCTTTCCGTCTGCGCAACAAGAACACATACGCCGCAGGGGGCGCATGATCTCTGCGACGCGCTGGCGTAAGTTTACGAAACCGCTCGTTCTCACTCGGTCCCGCTCGTTCCCGTTCGATCCTACGTTGCAACTCATATCCTGCGCAATCCTCTTGAGCCATGCATGCTACAAGATAGAGGTCTCCTGCCCAGTCGACTTGTCACACCTCTGGTTAGTGGTGCAAAAATCTCTGGAAAGAGCTTTCAGATACTACTGTCGCGTCGTTCATTCAGACACCTTATCTGTGCTACGAGTAGACGGACCCAGTGAATGTTAAGTTTCGCGCGCTGGATGGAATTTCACCAAGGAACAGCACCGCTTTGCGCAATGCAAGCCTCCGGGGTGGTCAAGAACACAGACAAGAAAGGTAATAGGTATGACAGTCAGCGGTTCTCTTTGGTTGCACGCTCAATAACTGCCTGACGACTTTCAAGCATGAACGTACCAAGTCTCGTACGTTTTCGAAACCGACGGCCGCGCCATGTTTCTCGCAAAGTGCGCGACGAGTTTCCAAATTGCGGACGCGGCAAGTTCCGTATTCGTGCCCTGGCACCCCCATAAGCGCAGACCGACGCTGACTTGTCCGGGCCTTGCTCTGCGCTCGTTGCTGGGCGCTTGTTGGCCGATGCTGTGTGATGATACTCGCGTACGGGCGGACAGATTAAGGCACTTGGGTTACAAAATGATCCACGATTGCATGTTGATGTCATACGCGCAACTGACAGCATTGGTGAAGCACCATGCACGAGCTGGGCACCAGGGGTGGCATATTCGATGCTGTTGCCCAGCGGCAACATATGTATTTGTTCACCGGTCCAATAGCCGGGTTCTCGCTGCTTATAAAGATCAAACGTTGCGCGTTCAAGGATGCCTCAGGTCTTGCGAAACGATCCCCCGGGGCGTTCGGCGAGAAACCCCTGGCATTCGCGCATCCGACGGGTATCTCTGATATGCACAGGGGATTTCACGGCCAAATGCACCTTGATTTTCCGTGGCGATGCTAACTTGTGCACCACCAGGCTAGAACTCTGAAGCGCTTTAGATCTTCACTGATCATTGGGGCGTCAGTGCTCCTTTTCAGCAGAGCTGCCACCACTCCAGCAAAAGCGGTGCGATCGTGCCGGCCATAGAGCGGCTCGTATGACCCCGCCTCATATCACCGACGAAAGACACCCTCAAGAGGACCCGTGCTGCAGAATGCGCGTTCACTCCGGTTCGATTCGCACGTAAAGCGAGCATCGCCGCAGCATCGTCGCGTAGAACTCGGCGTGCTCCTGAGCGACAACGGTAACCACAGATTCCCCAACAGCTTGGGCCTCTTTGAAAATTCGTCGCGCCTCCTCCTTGTCCATTTTTGGGATGGTCTTCACTAGCGATTCTATGACGTGCTTTTCCTCATATTCTTTGTCGCCTAGTAGAATCACTTTCCACATCGGCACGAACTCCGTGTCCGTCACACGCTTCGTTTTCGGGCGCCCTCGAACAGCGCCCGCTTCTGCCTCGACCTCCTTTACCGGTTCTGGCATACGGAAGGTCTCTCGCTTCACTTCGGTTTTCGGCCGCCCAATTTTAGGCGCGGGCATCTGCCCTCGCACCAGTCGGTGTCCTGGTGTCCCGCGTGCATGCGTGCGCGACCCGTCGAGCGAAGAAGCCGCTGCTCCAGCTACCACCGCACGCCGCACTCGACAACGCAAACGTTCTCGTCGTTGCCGCAAAGTCGAGTCCAGTTTGCCGATATCCGTATACCAAGAACAAAAACCGAGTAGGCCGTTGCAAGCTTTCATTTTTCGAAACAGTTCCATCCAGCGTACCGCTCTAGCCTCTGCACACGCAAAATAAGAGTTACGGATCTATGGAGAGCGCTCTGGCCGGCGCGCCTGCAGCGGCGCAGAGCTTTCCGGCGATTGCAGCGGCGCAGAGCTTTCCGGCGATTGCAGCGGCGCAGAGCTTTCCGGCGATTGCAGCGGCGCAGAGCGTTCCGGCGATTGCAGCGGCGCAGAGCGTTCCGGCGATTGCAGCGGCGCAGAGCTTTCCGGCGATTGCAGCGGCGCAGAGCTTTCCGGCGATTGCAGCGGCGCAGAGCTTTCCGGCGATTGCGCCGGATCGCGGCCGCTTGTCCGCCCAGGCGCTGCTGGGGCGGTATTTGTTTTTTCGTTGACAAAACGTTTACTTAGGCCAGCGTTCTCCGATCACGCGCATTTTTCTTTTCTTACTTTTTTCTCTTTTTTTCAGTGCGCCGTGAAGTATCCATCAAACAGGCTACTCCCAAGTTCCATTACCTATACTTCGTCTCAGATATTCTGGTCATCTCATACGTCCTATCGTGTGCCCAGAACCTGTCCTAATTATCCGCAATAGCGTCTTTACCTTTGGTACAGATGCATCATGGAGACAGAACGGCTTTTCTATACCACAAAGGGCGTCGGCTCGAGGTGTGCTTCACCCGACGTAGAATCGAGTCTCGTCGTCAGTTTGTGCTCGGACAGTCTGCGGATGCAGGCTTGCCTTCGCTGCACGACACGCTGGAGAAACTTGACTGTTAGGATATATCGTGGGAGCCGCCTCTCTCCTTCGTGATCATGCATGGAATGCGTTGTCGTCGGTTGGAAATGCGGATTTGTGCTTGACACCCACCACAAAAGGTGGGCGCAGAAAGCGCACTGGGCCCGTGTGCGCATCCGATACGCTGGACCTCATGCCTAGAACGTAGCATGTGAGTTTGTTGGCCACTAATGAGCACTGAGGATCTGTTAGCGGACCATCAGTTGCCAGTGCTGCACTCAAAGTGAATGTCCGGCCCTCGGCTATCATGGTGATGCCCAGCTGCTGCTGTCCTTCAAGGAGCTCGCTGCGCTCCTGCTTCCAGCGCGGGCACTGTAAGCCTAAATATGTCAGCGTCTCGGGGATTTCGTCTCGATAGCAGGGACAGTGTGACTCCCAGTGCGATTCCAGTGTCCCTATATGGTTTAGAGCCGGTGCCGCTAGCCAGAAGCCATCAACGCGGATTTTGGCGAGCCACTGGGTACCTCGAGCAAGTCCCGGGAATTCCAGCGCCTCCCACCAGTACTTGCATGTGTATGCTAGGTTGTAGTTCCGGTATAGAGTTAAGCCGGCGTTACTGGCGCGACTGGTTCCGTGTCTACGTTCCCAAATTGTTGTTTGGACCGTTCGCTTGAGGCGTCTGAAGTCTTCTACATTCCTGGGGAACGATTGGGGAGCGTGTTGTCCCCTAAGAGGCGCTTCAGCCAAATCTGCGTCGATTTCATCCAAGTGTTCTTGCGGTGCGTTGGGGTCTGCATGGATATCCGATCGAACCAGGTGTTCATAGTTGGCCCTTTGCCCCATATGCGTGCCCGGCAACCTGCTGCTGTCGCCTCTGTCGAGGCTATTTGGAGTTCAAGTCCGAGTGCCAGCGCGGTGGTTGCTCTGCTCTACATTGAGCATCCAACAGCAACAACGAGTCGCATTGCCATGTTGGCGGCTATCTGCAGACGTGAGGCATTTGTGTGGTTCATGCCGCACCACTCAGCACCCCAGGTCGCAGGCTGGATGATACACATCCTTCGTGCCCTGGTACGAATTGCTATGCAGATAGAGGGGTCGGATGGGAATGGACGTGCGATCGCTGTACGTCTATGCATCTTGGCGATCATCTCGTCGACGTGTGCCTCTTCGTCGAGCGTCGGCGTTAGACAGACCCCCGGGTAGCGATATTTTTCCACGATCGGAATTTCCTGATTCTGCAACCGCCACGAGCGATTGCGAATGCTCTGCGAGTCTCCATGGATGACCATGACGCCGCACTTCGATGCTCCTATGCTCATCTCCCAGCGATCGGCCCGGGCGCTGACTTGTTCCATGCTACCCGCAAGCGTTTCCGGGGCGGGTGCCAACAGCACGACATCGTCCGCAACTAGACGGCCTGCGAGGCGGTTCCTATGTGAGAGCTCCTCATCGGGTATCTCCACAGTCTATCCACGGCACCTCAAGCCCGTATTGTCTGCAGTTGTTCAGCAGATCGTTGATGAAGATGTTGAAAAGGAGCGGGGATGCGCGCTCGCCCTGCCGCAGTCCACGGCGGATTCTTCTGGAAGGGGTTCTTGAGCGGTCGCCCAGTCGGATGCGCATCCATGAGTCTGCATAGAGCGCACGGAAGAACGCTAAGCACTTTCCGGAGACTTGGGCTCGTTCCATCTTGAGAAATGGAGCCTCGTGCGGGACCGTGTCAAAGGCCTTTTGAAAGTCGGTGAAGCATACGTAAGCTGGTTGTTGGCCGCTAATGGAGCGACGTTGCACCACTTCAGTTAGGGTCAGGGCATGGCTCATGCACTCCTCGTGGCTCCGGAATCCAGCCTGTTCTGGGGCGAAGAACTTGCGTTCCACGAGGCCTCTCTGAGTCCGGTTCGTGGGAATGGCGCAAAGTAGCTTCATGATTGACGGGATGAGGCGAATAGTCCGGTAGTTGTTCATGTCTGTGTTTGTGTACGTCGGAGTCCTTTTTGAGGATCGGTACGACCTCGGCAGTCCTCCATAAATCCGGGATGTACGCCTCTTCGAACATGCGTTGGATGAGCTCCACAAGGCGTTTGCCTAAGCTTGTGTCAGGTTCATCTGGTATCGATAGTGTCCCTCTTGTCCCGTCTTTTGGGATCACCAGTTTCATCCACTCCGCCGCGATACCGTCGATGCCAGGTGTTTTGCGGTTGCTTGAGCATAGCACGGTCCGAACAGATTCAGGCCAGAAGATTGGGTCGTTCCATTCCGGTACCGGTTCGAGGCGCGGTAGTTCTGCGGCATACTGGTGCCAATAGATTCTGTCTTGGCAGTTCCCAGTTGCGTCTTCATGCAGCTCTGTGCCGTGGTCCGTCCAGGCCTCATTCACTGAGGCACGCTCCGTCCTCAGCACTTCCTCATAAACGATTGGTGTGAGCCCCAAGCACTTTTTTGGTGGGTCCAGTCTCGATCGAATGTAGCGCCAGGTCTCATCTTCGTTGGTGCTCTCTAGCATAGATTTCGCTAGGGAGGCGATTTTGCGGTTTCGATCCTCTCGTTTGTCTTCTCTGGAAAGTTTCTTCTTTCTTTTGATAGCTTCTTCATGTTGTGCCTGTAGCGCCGTTAGGACTGCCTTCGCTTCCTTGTCTCCAGCGTTGGCGCGTATGGCGGTGTGGTTGACGATCTGATAGAGTCGGTGGCGCTCGTCAATCCGGGTATTGGTACGTCGTTTCAGGCACTGAGGTTTGCAACTGTTGCGTTCTGGTGCAAGCAGTCCCAGCTCTCCGGCAACTTCTGATTCCCATCTACAAACTCGCGTGCCAATTGGTCTAAAGATTTGTATGCACGGCTTTTCGGATCTTCAGCGCTGTGAGTAGGTGACTCGGTTTGGCGACGGCTTTCTTGAGTTCCTGCTGGGGTGCTCTTTCGGGGACGACTTGTGATGGGTTCGCTGGAGCCCCCGCCTGTGGACTCGTTCGGGAGTTCTTCTTCCTATTCTTCTGTTTTTCTCTTGTTGGTTTTCTTCTTCATCGGGTTCTTTCCTGAGCTACATTCTCTGGTTATTTTGCATCTAGGTGGATCATGAGGTTTCTGTGTCTCCTTCTCCGTGTCTGGTTGGGTCTCTTTTGCCTTTTGTACAGTCCTCGACTTGTATCAGTTCTTCATTACTGTACTGGTAATTCGATATCTCGTAGTTCAATACCGAGGCGATCCCACAAATATTCCATGATGCGAAACCTATCGAGTCGTAGCGCATAAGGGAATAGGATTAACGCTGCGGTACTCGAGAGATACGTTGTCGATTGAGATGCACCCTCCATGGCGTGTGTGATCGCACATGCCACCAGCGCCTCCTGCATTCCAGTCGTTCATTGAGCGTCTGCCGCAGCGCTAGCGTAGAATCAGATGTACGCTAGTCAAGGTCGATTCGAATGCGACCTTTATCTTGCCCGACGCTTTAACCTCCCCTCAACAATTGGGAACAGTCTGCAAACCACCCTTTCAGCGGCTACGTATCCGCTCCCCAAACACATAGGCGGGCAAGCCGCTTATTCCAGCTTCGACAGTGAACATACTGCCAGCCGTCTTCCAAAGTATCCGCCGAAATTGTTCCCAAAGTTGAGGTAGGTAGCCAAGGTAGGAGGTAAAACGGAGCCCGAGTCCGAGGATCGATCCAAGATTTGCGCCCGAACCTGCAGCGTTGATTCGGGAGGGGCGGATGACTAATCAGGATTTTCGTCAACATTTTCTGGTGCTACTGCCGCCGCCCCTCCGTTCGTTGCGGTCAAGGTCCCTGGCGTGGGCTTCCTTCGCCGTCGCCCAAGCACCCCGCGTTAACCCACTTTCAGAGCTTCTCCGGAAAAACTAGACCTCTAAGGCGGGCGTGGTGTGTGGGTCTTTAAGATAGTTGTTCTTTAATAAATAGTTTGCGACTAGTTTGTTTTGTTATCGGTGTTTTTGTACCCGGCGTTTTGCTCACCACGACCAGATCGACGCCGAGATACCTCGGAGATCGGCCAGTCTACTGACACGATGCGAATGCCGCCGTTGAAGGGAAACGCGATCCTGATCAGTAGCGTGTTGTTCTACTGGAAAAATTGGATTTCCGTTAAGGTCTTAGCAGAGTACAGTTTTTTAGTTCATTTTTCTTTCAAACCTCAAACAAGTGTGTTCAAGTTTTTTTTCGCAGTATATAACAGAAGCGTTCACAGAGCGTTGTTTTTCAAAAAAAAACTAAAAAAGGAAAGCTATGAAAAAGCAAGTCCACGATCCTGGAGGCCCAGGGTCGCCGGCTGCCAGAAAAAAAAACAAAAAACAGTGCCGAGTCCAGAAGAAAAGGGAGAGAAGAAGAACCGAAAGGGGAGGCCCTACGTTGAAGGCTGCAACAAAGACGACTTTACGACGAGATGGTGGTGAAAACCTTCCTTCTTAAACATATCAAGGATCCGTGCAACGAAAAGTTGCGAGACGCTATCAGAAACCATGTCGACTCGTACTCCAAGAGTATTGTCAAGGCGTCGTCAGTACTGATGCATTTGGTGAGGGAGATGTATCGCGACGTGACGCACACGGAAACAGTCGAGATTCCTGACGAGTTTTTCGACAAGACGTTTATTCGTCACCTGATGCTTGGCACAGCGGAAGCGCTGAAGGAAAATGTGCTAGTGCACGCCCTCCACGAAAACTTGGTGGAATTCCGCTTCGAAGGTAATCGATACAGGGGTGCCTCGGATATTTAGGCATACGGAGCGAAAAAGTACACCACGAGTCTGAAGAACCATTTGACAGTGAACCTCGAACGTTTTATGATACGCGCGGTGGGTACACTCTACCCGGGCATCGCTCGCAACGGAAAATGGGCGATTATCAATGGCATCATGAAAGATCGCAAGTATGAAGTTGAGATCGAGTTTGTCGATAAGAAGGCGTCACGCAGGAGCGCAAATGAAGCTTCTGTAATCCGTGCGGCTATCCAAGAGTATCGTGCAGTCCTGGGGCTGGCGAATTTGGCAGAAAATTGATCAGAGTTGAAAAAAGATAAGGAAAGATACTACCGCCTCATCCTGTGATATTTCGTGTTTCTGGACCGAGAGCTCGAACGCGAAGCGGAGATGAAGCTGAGTGAAGAGACAAATCAAGAGTGGGAGAGACGGAAGGCTTTCCTAATGGGTAAGCGCTTCAACGGCGTTCCAATGTGCAATATCAAGTCACATTTCGTGACTATCGATTCAGGCGTCCTTTACGGCATCATGAGGGAGATCTGTCCGGAGTTCGATGTGAGCAGGGAGGACTTCATCGGTGAAAACCGGGAGACGTACTGGAAGAGTATCTTCGACTTCAAACGTCTCAAAGTCAGCAAACAAAAGGTATTTGCTGGGTTGATCGAAACCGATGGAGTAGCCACGTGTGTACTCTATCGGCGGTTGAAGAAAGATCGTCCAGATCCGCCCTCGGCCGCGCCCGTCACGAGGGATGCAGAAAACAAAGAGGAGGATTCTGTGATGCAGGAGGTGGAGGATAACGACCTTATCGTCGGCGCGGCGAAGGATGAAGATGAGAAGGAGGCGGATCCTGCGACGCCGGTGGTGCAGGATGACTACCTTGCCATTGACGCGGTGAAGCATGAAGAAAAGAAGGAGGGCGGGTCCTGTGACCGAGAAAGTGCAAGATAACGACTTTGTCGGTGGCGCGGACCCTGGGAATACGAATATCACAACCATCGCAGCACCGAAGCGTGCAGAAGATGGCGCTGATGGTAACTTACGTCAGAAAGACATGCGTCTGATGAGGTTCTCGAGAGCAAGATACTATCGAGAATCCGGTATAATGAATGCGAGGAAGAAAATCGAGACTTGGAATTCAGGAATGAAGGATCACCTGGAAGCTTTGGGCGAGATGACGAGCCGAGGTGCGGACTTTGAAGCTTTTCGGAAATTTATGGAAGTTCGCGTTGCCCATTGGGATGCACTCTGGGAGGAGTATACAAAGCCCCGATGGGCTCGTTTGCGAATGAATCTGTATTGTGGTAAGCAGCAGGCGTTCGCCAACTTTTTCAATCAGTTGAGTGCCCTCAAAGAGGACAAGACTCAAAGGCTCGTAGTAGCGTACGCAGCAGGGCGATGGAAGATTCAAAAAGGGTGTACACCAGCTCCAACGACAAGGTTGTACAAGGAGTGCACAAGGCGTTTCGTCACGATACCTGTAGATGAGTTCCGAACGTCCTACACACACCACGAGCTGGGTTGTACACTTCAGAGAGTCGAGATGGAAAAGTGCCAGAGGAGCCCTGAGGATATAGCAAAGTACGGACTGCTAACAGAAGAGCAAATGGAAAGGAGGGCGAAAGTTCGTGGACTCTTTGCATTAGTAAGTGCAACCAGTGATGGCAAGAAACGGATGGAGTTTGTGAATCGTGACTCTAACGCCGCCATCAATATAAGGAGATGTGCGGTGCTGGAGGAGAGACCACCAGATTGGACAAGCGCGAACTTTGCTGGACAATCTCTCAAAGTGGAACTATATGAGAAAAAAGGGAGCAGTAGCGGGGGCCGGTCGAAAAAGACGAGGACGTCTGCACATTGGTTAATGACGACTAGTCTAGGTCGGGCTTCTCGCCACTACTGTACTGCTGGCGTCGTTCGAATTTCGAACGGCGTTCGGATCGACAAGTCGTAAACGCGTACTGGGATTTGTAGACTACGCGTTCATTCGCTGCACTCTGTAGCAGCAGCTGCGGGCGAGCCGCACGGGTGCACGTCCCAGGGAGTGCATGGTTTCAATCGAGGATGCATCCACTGGGATGGACTGCGTAACTTACGGCAGATTGGCGCCTCGTTGTGAGTGCGGCTGGTTTCCGTGCCTGGCGTTTACCGTGAACTACACGCCGAAACGAGCAACGCTGGCGCGCGGGACCTACTGGAACCCAACCAGGGCAAGTTCTTACTTGTGCCAGAGCGCGTGGCGTCGCCGCAAGTTTGCAGGCAAACGGGAACCGAATCAAACCTCTAGACTCGAACGCAGCAAAATCCGATGCTCTGCAATCGACTGGAGTGATCTGTTCCACCAAGAAACCGTCGTGTACGAGGAAAGCACACCGCTGTGCGTTGTCCAGGTTCCAACGTCACCGATACCTGGTCAGAAGACGGGCACCTCTGGCATACGAAAGCGCACACGTGAGGTAACACAGACACCAAACTTTTTCGAGAACTGGTTTCAATCCCTTTTCGATGTGCTGGTCGAGCGATACGGGCGCACGTGCCTCAACCGGGCAACACTCGTTGTCGGTGGCGACGGCCGCGAGGGCAACCAGGCTGCCCTTCGAACACTGCTCCGCATCGCTGCCGCCAACAGCCTGCAGCGGCTGATCGTGCTCGGACCGGACGCTATCGCTACGACGCCCGCTATCAGTGCGGCGATTCGAGCTGCTGGTGCCCTGGGCGGGATCGCCCTGACGGCGAGCCACAACCCTGGCGGTGTTGATGGCGACTGGGGTGTCAAGTACAATATGGAAAACGGTGGTCCAGCGCCGGACTCATTTACGTCCCTAATTTACGAGAGAACCTTGACAATATCTAGATATTTAGAGGTGGAGGCGTCGGATCCGGAGGCGCTCTGTGGCCGGGACGGGTTCGACGGTGTCAATTTCAAACGGATCCAAACGGTACACCGTTTTCGGATCTTGCCGGAGGGCGCTCGCGATGCGCTCCAGTCCCCGAATCCGGACAGACTCCCACACTCGGATGGCGGGAGGACTTTTGAAATCCACCTCGTTGATGCCACTGCAACGTACGTGGAGCTGATGGAAGGTATATTTCATTTTGAACGATTAAGAGCGCTCTTGCGTCTCCCAAACTTTAACATGGTTTACGATGCGATGTATGGATCGACTGGTCCGTTTGCGTTCATGATTTTTGGCGAAAAACTCGGGTACTGGGAGTATCCCTGGTTCCGGCGGGGTCAGTATCTCCCCGACTTTGGTGGCGTTCATCCGGAACCTAATCTGGAGAACTTGGCAGACTTGGTTGCCGAATTCTTTTCCGATGAGGATTCACCCGACTTTGGCGCTGCTTCCGATGCCGATGGTGACCGATATCTTATTCTCGGGCGTAAGTTCGTCGTGCAACCATCAGACTCGCTGGCGATTATGTTGGATTACGCACTTCGACCGGATTTTGCCGCATACTGCAGATTTGATGGTGGCCTTATTCGAGGCGTCGCTCGCTCGATGCCGACGAGCTCTGCTGTTGACGTCGTTGCTTCACGCCATAATATTAGGTGCTACGAAACGCCCACGGGGTGGAAATATTTCTGCAATCTGCTCGACGCGGGCCTGGTCTCTCTATGCGGAGAGGAGAGTTGCGGGGCGGGCGGGGCTCATATCAGAGAGAAAGATGGTTTGTGGGCTATTCTTTTTTGGCTGTCAATTTTGGCGTACCATAATCTCCAAGTCGCTCCGGGATCGAAAAGCACAAGTGTTGAGGATATTGTTCGAGCACACTGGGCTCACTACGGACGCAACTATTACGAGCGCTGGGATTTTCACGGAATCGAACGGACCACAGCCGAGCGCTGGATGCGCAACCTAGAACGCTCGGTCGAAGGCGGCGAAATCCTCAGCTTGCGTATCGATGGACCACAGCTCTATGCCGCGGATGTATTTCATTACCAGGATCCAGTGGATGGCTCCTGGGCGCGAAACCAGGGCGTACGGTTGTTTTTCTCATCTGATCGGAGGATGCGAGCCGTTCTGCGGCTCAGCGGGACAAGTTCAGCGGATGCGACCCTGCGCGTTTACCTAGAAAAGTACGTTGCCCCCAATGACGGAGACGTTCAAGCTGTTGGGGAACTTGCCTCGAGTTTTGTGGCAGATATTGGGCGCGCAGCTCTTCTCTATTGTGGAATCGTCTCGGAGCTTGGCCGAGAGCGACCAGACCTCCGTGCTTGAACTTGCAGCTAGGTGCCATCACTCCTGACGAGGGCAGTGCCGATCTTCGTCGCGGTAATGCTGATTGCCGTTGTTGCCGTCGTTGTCGCATGTCGTGGGCTCGCAACGGGATCTTGCGTCCAGAAACAATGTGGAGCAGTTAAATGCTCGAACTTGCGGTATCGCTGATATGCAGGATCCCGCGGACAGATAAGGAGGCGCCGCTCGGGACCCTGGTTATTCTTGCCCAAAAGCTTAACGAGACCTACATGGAGCTCTCACCTGGTATCTCTGTTCCCGATATTCAAATTTCCCCGAGATTTTTTAGGATATAAAGCCGCGAGATTCCGAGTGCAGCAATACCTGCATACGTTTTACGCCTAATTCATCGATGAATGGTCGTCTTTTCGGGGTGACTTCCTCAACGCCTCGCCGCTGGAAGTTGTTACGTCACCGGAATGACCATGATTTGCCATGCTCCGGAACAAGTGTTCTTAAAATAATCGATTTCATTATCTGAGTCACATGCACAAGCCCCCATGCTTCTCTTTACTCTACGTGCGGCGCGCTCGAATCACGCATGCGTCAAGTTTTCAACGTTTTGGTTTCAAGGCAAACGGTTGGCACGGCGATTCATGCCGCCCAAGTGACCACAAAAACCGCTGCGCTTCGTTTATTGACGACCTTTTCACAAGCCCATACCAAAAATTTACTGAACATTTCACATCGAATAATTGGCTCTGTTCGCAGGACATACACTCCTTTCGTTGCGCTCATCGACGCAGCAGCATCCGAGAGCAGCATTATAGATCTCACGGGATCTGCTCCAAGAGGCTCCCTTTTCATCTGCTTGCACGTAAAAGGGCCTTGAACTCCAGCTTCAGTCATTCCAACAAACACACTCACTAGAGAGAGGGTCACTGTTTTGCGAGATGGCAGCATAGACGGATCGAAGTTCCGTTGCTCCTTGTAGAGACCAGATTTTTCCAAACGGTACTTCTTGTTTCATCATGGACAATACCGCATTTCCCGAATCCTTCATCGAATGAGGGAGCGTGCTCGTGCACGGGTGGCAGAGAGCATACTCGCTAATGGGATCACCCAGGAAACCCCTGTGATTCTAGGTTACGACGACGGGGTGCACAGACGGAGGGTGGCATCGAGGGTTCGCGCTGCCGCGCCAGAGGGCGTGTATCGAATGGCGAAGCAAGCTTTCGTGCGCTAGAGTATAGCCCTCAGTCAAGGAGATCTGATGGACTTGGGGGAACACCTGTCCAAGGCAAGTCTCATCACTATGCAGGGAGCAGTATGACTCTATGAAAAGAAGGTGAAAATGGCAAGCGAAGCGTAGATCGCAACTTCCGTATGAGTCTCGAATCCGTTGGCAACTAACGGAAACTAGGAACTCGGGACTTGTACGCGATCATCATCATCCATCGACTTCTGACAGCAATGCTGCAGGTACGCGAGAGTCTGACATACTAAAAGCTGGAAATAATACAGAGGAAAAGGAAGCAGTCGCAGACAAAGCCCGCGGAAGCTGGTGCTGATGGATGTTGAAAGCGTCTCGAAACTTTGCAGGCGCGTTTCATTAGGTAGACCCGTTCGGTGTTAGTCTGACACGGGTATTAACAAGAATACTTGCTGTACACTTTACGCGATATCCGTAGATATATCGATTAATGAAACGAGATTATTGTTCAGCAACTGCGTGGGAATACCATGCCGCGCGTATCTATCCACGCCGCTTCGTCCGCTCTAGATTGCCGAACGTGCCATACCAGTGACCGGCCTCGGGCAGCAATCCAATGCCTTGTCTCTGGGTCACTGGTTCTGCTCATCGAGAGTGCTCAGCGCCTCAGGGCAGTGCTCAAACCCAGTCCCAGACGAACTGATCGAACGTTCGCTCGACCCACAGCCGCTGGACGCCCCGGGAGCACGGAACATTGCCGGATGCTGATCGACAGGTTCATGTCTCGGTACAGAAAAGTGCTTGCGCGCCTGGTTGCTGGTGCAGTTCCAAGGTGGCAAGCCTCTCGCCTTCGATTGCCTCGCCATCTGGCGTTCGGCCAGCATACCGCACACGGTATCGTGCATCCGACGCTGGTCCCGGCTCGTGTGCTCTACCGGTTTCAGCATGCATATGTTCTAGTCAGGCGCGTACGTCGTCATGAGGGCGTCAGTGAACGACCTTCGAAATCGATGCCTGCACTCACTTGAGGCGCGCTTCGACGGGGCACTGGAGCAACCGATGTTTGCTGGAGGATGTTCATCGCGGTGGGCTACCACTCAACGACGCGACTTGCCGGTCATTCCCTTTCCACAACCGCTTGACTAGGTGCCGAGTGCAAGACTACCGGCCTCCGCACAGACGAAACTGCAGGCTATCCGAGCACAGCGCCAGACACATCTGCCGTCGATCGTCTGTACAGGCCAGTCGCACGCTCGTGTGCTCTCTGAATAACGCGCATAAACGCATCACCGTCTGCACAGTACAATACGACGCTGAGAGCGTCGCGATGCGCCCTGATGCCGTCATTCCACTTTGTGGTATGTCGCCTGGCGTCCATGATGCCCGGGCCCCGATGATGCCGCGCTCTGGAAGAATCCTGTCGCGGTGCCGATGGTGTCCCGAGCAGCCGTTGTGCTGCCGCACGAAGGTTTGATCGAGAACGTCGAGGCGGGTAAGGACAGCTGGCCGCCGTGCGTACGGAACGCGCTCGAACAGCCGCTCGACGAGATGCGCCCCAGCGAGGGAGACGAGGGAAGCGCGAGCAAGTCGGCACACACGAAGCTTGAGGCCATCAGCGAATCTTTTCGTTTGGCCGTTGGTAGGCGACTGAACGGCTGCGTCACCACAAGCACCGGTACTGCCGCCATTCAAGCTTGTCTCTTGTGTATGAAGTGCAGCTCGCGTCTCTCTGAATGCCGATACAAAGCTGTACCGGTTATTCCGAGAACAGTCTCATCCAGTGAGACGAAACCCCGTCCCTGCTGGAACCGGTGTTTGTGTTTCATGGGGAAGCTTAGCGAGCGAAGCTTAACGGGCGAGAGCTGCATACGGAAACATACTTCTTAGTACGAGTTCGTGTCTCTTCATCAATGCTCGTCTCAATAGAGCGGAAACTTCATATCCTGTCGCTTCTTTGACAAAACTGGTCAGCAAAAGTATGCTATAGAATGCGTTGTCGAGTGAGTGCGCAGCCGTATAGACAGCGTTTGCGAGGATCAGGGTAGGGTGCACGGCATCCGTTGCACGGACGACGAGGACAGAGGATTCATCCGCCTACTGAGCGTAGAGTGACCGACTTGGACCAGTAATGTCGTTATCTCGCCAGCTAGCAGCGACAGCACAGAGTCTTTCCAGGACCGCTTCTCAAACCGAATAACACGTCCCGTTTGCTGAGTACCTGAAAGTAAAATAGTCTCAGATAATGTACTTGAACGTGTGTTCCGGAATTCTCTGATCTGAGTAAAACGTGAGCATCATGCGCAAATCGAGCCTTCCGCATGATTTTTCCCTTCCACATCTCCATCAATTGAGGGTACTTGCAATTCGCTCGAGGTCATACACAGTCGAGTTCGAAAATAACAAAGCGTTGCATATCCTGTGGGGCATTCTTCCTACTACGTAATGTCGGGCATCGCCTGCGGGAAATCAGCGTACCCCGTCGACTGCACCATCTGGTGCCATTACGGGACGCTGCACGATGTTAGATGCATACACACACACAGAGAGAGAGAGAGAAGCATCAACACAAACCCCCCCCCCTCCCGCGATCGTGTAGCCAGCAGCGTCGGCGACGCAGCACAGCGACTCCCCGCCTCGCTCCCAAGCATCACCATCATCACCATCATCATCATCATCAACAGGCCTCAGCGGCAGCGCAATCGATGCGTGGTGGCGCGCATTGCCCCGCGTGACGCATCCGCATCGACCGGGTGCCTCGCTGCCCTACGTCTGAAGGCGAGCGGTCTATGGATGCGCACGCACGCACGCACGCACGCACGCACGCACGCACGCACGCACGCACGCACGCACGCACGCACGCACGCACGCATTGCGGCTGTCGCGTCGTCGATGCGTGCTGCTCGATGCCGCGCATTTCATTATTCGGTGAAGGCGCGTTTCAACACAATCAAGTGTAGCAGTATTTCGGGGAACACCCGTCTTGTGTGTATTCCAAACAGGGTCGAAGTGTGTGTGTGCATCTCTGGTTTGGTCCTGTCGATATCACTGTTTTTATTGTCTGCATCAGTGTGTTTGTGTCTGTGTGTGTGTACACGTGTGAACGCTTGCCTCGGGCTCTGACACGATCGAGCGCGCTTGACCCGGCGTGACGGTGCGCAGCTGTGCCGCACGAGTCTGAGTCTAGTGCGGCGAGGGAAAGCAAGGACTGAATCACAGCAAGGGCAAGGCTAGTCTAAGCCGTGCTTGAACTCGGTAGGCTGAGCGAGACCCCGTCGAGCGAGGCGTTGCTGAGCTGCGCGTGCCGTGCTGGGGCGCAGACGCCCCCGAGAGGTTGCTGGAGACTATTTTGGAGCGGCACCGAGCAGAGCGCTTTGCTCGTGAACCAAGTGCGTGCCGTTTGTGTATACGTTTTGGCGAAACGCGCAGCGCTTGAGCGGGACCGGTCAGCGTTTGCTGCTGTCCAAAGGCGCGTACGCTGCTGAAGCACACGGGCGCGCGCCTCCTAGTCGTAGACACACGCGTTCGCGTTCGCGATCGCGGCCGTACTCGCTGGCGCGTGCGCGTGCTTGAGCATCGAGCGCAGCTGCGACAGCAATGATTGAGACGGCCTCGCTTACGCGCTCGACGCCTGTGGCAGCAGCCGAGTGGGTGGTATCGGTGGCGCGGCACTGCCTGCGCCGCGCGGACGCTGCGCTGGGGATCGCCGGCTGGGGTACCGCCAGCCGTGCGCTGGCGTACGTTGCGCTGCTGGTGCTCGGCCTCGCGATCGCAGAGCAGGTGCGACTGCGGCGCTGGGCGGGCTACGGGCGAATCCCAGGCCCGCGGTTTGTGATTCCGCTCATCGGGAGCATCGTGGAAATGGTGCTGTCGCCGTACGGGTTCTGGGAGCGGCAGCGGCGCTTAAACCCGTGCGGCCTGAGCTGGAATGCGCTGGCGGGCTTCTTCGTGCTTTTCGTGACGGACACGGACCTCAGCCGGTACGTGCTCAGCGAGAACGGCCCGCACGCGTTTGAGATGATACTGCACCCGAACGGCTGGCGGATCCTCGGGCGGAACAATATTGCCTTCAAGAGCGGCGAGGAGCACAAGCTCCTGCGGCAGTCTTTTCTGCGGCTGTTCACGCCCAAGGCGCTAGGCATGTACGTGAGCATCCACGAGCGCCTGATTGGCGAGCACCTGGCGGCGTGGCTGTCGGGGCGCGGCACGGACGGCACCGCGGCAGCATTTGAGGTGCGCCCGCGCATCCGCGACCTGAATCTGCGGACGTCGCAGACGGTGTTTGTGGGTCCGTACCTGCGCGATCGGGAGCGCTTCTGTGCGGACTATCTGCTGATCACGCAGGGTTTTCTTTCGTTCCCGTTAGCGCTGCCTGGGACGGGCCTGTGGCGTGCGATACGGGCGCGGGAGCGTGTACTACGGGACCTGACTGCGTGTGTACGGGCGTCGAAGGAGCGTTTCCGGAAGGACGCCGAGGCGGAGCCGCAGTGCCTGCTGGACTTTTGGACGGTGTCCGTGCTGGAGGAGGTTGCAGCTGCGAAGCGCGAGAACCGGGCGCCGCCCAAGTACAGCGCGGACCACGAGATGGCGGACGCCATGCTGGACTTTTTGTTTGCGTCTCAGGATGCGTCGACAGCGTCGCTGGTATGGACGACTGTGCTGGTGGCCGAGCGACCCGACGTGCTGCAGCGGGTGCGCGAAGAGCAACAGCGGCTGCGCCCGCACGACGAGCCGATCACCTACGAGCTGCTGGAGCAGATGGTGTACACGCGCGCGGTCGTTCTGGAGGTGCTGCGCTTCCGGCCGCCGCCTGTGATGGTTCCGCAGGTTGCGAGCAAGCGGGTGCAGCTGCCGAACGGCTACGAGGTGCCGCGAGGTGCGCTCGTGGTGCCGAGTCTCTGGACTGCGTGCATGCAGGGCTTTCCGTCACCTGAACGCTTCGATCCGGAGCGGATGCTGCCGCCGCGGCAGGAGGAGCAAAAGTACCGGAAGCATTTCCTGACGTTTGGCTGCGGTCCGCACATGTGTGTCGGGCGGAACTATGCGATCAACCATTTGATGTGCTATTTGGCGGTGCTGGCGACCACTGTGGACTGGACTCGGGTGCGCACCGTGCACAGCGACGAGATCATCTACTTGCCGACGATATACCCAGCGGACAGTGTTATTCGTGCGCGTTGGCGTGTTGCGGACGCAAGCACTGGAGCAGGCACTGGGGCAGGCACTGACACCGCTTGCACATCGGAGGCCGTACCAGTTGTCGTAGCGTCGTGACAGGATTAGTGAACCGTTCGGCAACATCTTCGACCAGGTGGCATTCCATTCATTCATTTATTGAACAGTCGATCTGTAGCGGGCATCATCAGGAGCGCTCCATCTCGGAGCAGTTGCCGCTGCGCTGCCTCTGGGGCGCTCGACCTGCTCTGCGGCTGCGGAACGGTATCCGCGTCTGTTGGACCTCTGAGGCGACAGTGCCTCAGCTGCGGACCCGAGACAGAGCGGCTCGTGTGCCTGCCTGTGCACGATGACGTGCTGTGGTATCACCGGCTGCGCACGTATGGATGTAACGGCAGTACACATCCTTGGAATGTAAAGCGAGGACGACTCTGCTGGAGACTCTAGCATGCCCCTATGTTATGTACGTTCGTCGAGGAAGGCGCATCGTTGTGGTAAATGTACGCAGAGCGGGGTCTCGCGTCCTTTCGCGAGGCCGCTGTGCGTCGCTCACACACACACATACATACACACACAGAGAGAGAAGGCGACCTCCAGTGCGCGAGACTGCGGCTCTGAACTTTGGTCCCGCAAGAGACCTGTGAGGCTCCTCTAAACTGAGCTTGTTGAAGGGTGACAGTGCCTCGTGCACGCCGCACGCCGACTCCGAAAGCACCACAACCGAGGCTGCCGCTAGACGCTGTTGTAGAGAGCGCGCGTTGTATTCGTGGATACGCACCACTGGGCACGCACCAGCTCGCCTGGTCACCAATGATATCGCCTTGAAAAAGAGAGCATGAGCGGGGAGGCGTAGCCACGTAGGCGGCTCCTGGGGGTGCATGCCCTGCTCGATTGACGAAGCATAGCGAATGCGGTCACCGGAATGAAGTCCTAAACGGATATTTGTAAAATGCGATCGAGTTCGACGTTTTGAAGCTTTCGACAGAAGTCCTCTCTCGTGAGCGGTCGGCACTGAACGCTACAGCCGTTCAGCTCTTCGCTCTCGTCTCCGCCATCCAGAGCTTCTAGGCCAGCGCCAAAGTCCAGCATAGCCTGGCGTACGATTCGTCGCAAGGTGGCGTCGTCCAGGTTTTCGCCAACGAGCAACCGAAAAATACTGTTGACGTCTGCTTCGCTGACCACCCCATCCCCATCAACGTCGTAAAAGCGGAACAAGAAGTCAATCCGTGCTTCCCGAGGTGCGTTTTTTCCGAACGCCGAGAGCAGCCGCACAAACTCTTTGAAGTTAACACCGTCAAAAAGCTGGACAATACGCGGCACAAGTGGGTTCATGGCGAGCTCCGGAATCATCAGGAACTCTGAAGCATCGATCGTTCCGGATCCGTTGCGGTCTAGCTTTTGAAAGCGGCTATACAGTTGCTCGATTTCATCTTTCGAGAAAGACGACGAGGCCACTATTTCTGTTATATCGTCGTCCAGCAAAGTGGACGCGTTCGCACCCATCCTTGTTAAGCGACGCAAGCCGGTGGCTCGCTCGTCAGCGTAAAGCTCAACTCGTGCGAAACAAGCGTCAAGTCCGCCCTGTACCGCACAGGGCACGAGGCTCTGGCTCCTGTAGCGTCTCCAAGCAAACGAAATCTGGTCGAGCGGGGCGTGTCGCTCACCCGGGCGATTCGATTCCAGGTGCACGATCAAAGCATGGACCAAGAAACTACTGCATCCTCGAAGCGCCGTATCCAGATCAGAGAATTCCGGAACACACGTTCAAGTACATTATCTGAGACTATTTTACTTTCAGGTACTCAGCAAACGGGACGTGTTATTCGGTTTGAGAAGCGGTCCTGGAAAGACTCTGTGCTGTCGCTGCTAGCTGGCGAGATAACGACATTACTGGTCCAAGTCGGTCACTCTACGCTCAGTAGGCGGATGAATCCTCTGTCCTCGTCGTCCGTGCAACGGATGCCGTGCACCCTACCCTGATCCTCGCAAACGCTGTCTATACGGCTGCGCACTCACTCGACAACGCATTCTATAGCATACTTTTGCTGACCAGTTTTGTCAAAGAAGCGACAGGATATGAAGTTTCCGCTCTATTGAGACGAGCATTGATGAAGAGACACGAACTCGTACTAAGAAGTATGTTTCCGTATGCAGCTCTCGCCCGTTAAGCTTCGCTCGCTAAGCTTCCCCATGAAACACAAACACTGGTTCCAGCAGGGACGGGGTTTCGTCTCACTGGATGAGACTGTTCTCGGAATAACCGGTACAGCTTTGTATCGGCATTCAGAGAGACGCGAGCTGCACTTCATACACAAGAGACAAGCTTGAATGGCGGCAGTACCGGTGCTTGTGGTGACGCAGCCGTTCAGTCGCCTACCAACGGCCAAACGAAAAGATTCGCTGATGGCCTCAAGCTTCGTGTGTGCCGACTTGCTCGCGCTTCCCTCGTCTCTCTCGCTGGAGCGCATCTCGTCGAGCGGCTGTTCGAGCGCGTTCCGTACGCACGGCAGCCAGCTGTCCTTACCCGCCTCGACGTTCTCGATCAAACCTTCGTGCGGCAGCACAGCGGCTGCTCGGGACACCATCGGCACCGCGACAGGATTCTTCCAGAGCGCGGCATCATCGGGGCCCGGGCATCATGGACGCCAGGCGACATACCACAAAGTGGAATGACGGCATCAGGGCGCATCGCGACGCTCTCAGCGTCGTATTGTACTGTGCAGACGGTGATGCGTTTATGCGCGTCATTCAGAGAGCACACGAGCGTGCGACTGACCTGTACAGACAATCGACGGCAGATGTGTCTGGCGCTGTGCTCGGATAGCCTGCAGTTTCGTCTGTGCGGAGGCCGGTAGTCTTGCACTCGGCACCTAGTCCAGCGGTTGTGGAAAGGGAACGACCGGCAAGTCGCGTCGTTGAGTGGTAGCCCACCGCGATGAACATCCTCCAGCAAACATCGGTTGCTCCAGTGCCCCGTCGAAGAGCGCTTCAAGTGAGTGCAGGCATCGATTTCGAAGGTCGTTCACTGACGCCCTCATGACGACGTACGCGCCTGACTAGAACATATGCATGCTGAAACCGGTAGAGCACACGAGCCGGGACCAGCGTCGGATGCACGATACCGTGTGCGGTATGCTGGCCGAACGCCAGATGGCGAGGCAATCGAAGGCGAGAGGCTTGCCACCTTGGAACTGCACCAGCAACCAGGCGCGCAAGCACTTTTCTGTACCGAGACATGAACCTGTCGATCAGCATCCGGCAATGTTCCGTGCTCCCGGGGCGTCCAGCGGCTGTGGGTCGAGCGAACATTCGATCAGTTCGTCTGGGACTGGGTTTGAGCACTGCCCTGAGGCGCTGAGCACTCTCGATGAGCAGAACCAGTGACCCAGAGACAAGGCATTGGATTGCTGCCCGAGGCCGGTCACTGGTATGGCACGTTCGGCAATCTAGAGCGGACGAAGCGGTGTGGATAGACACGCGAGGCATGGTATTCCCACGCAGTTGCTGAACAATAATCTCGTTTCATTAATCGATATAACTGAGGACATTTTTCACGAAATGTCAGCAACTGATCCGCTTGCTTTTATTCGGTCGTTCTTCATGAACCAGACAACCACTATCAGAATCAATTGGCCAGTCCTAGAATTCCTATACGAGGACACACGGAGCTTTCGGTGGACACTGGCTCTACTGGCACCTGCGCGTTTGTCCAGCACTATCGCAGACAGCTGCGTTCCCGCAAACACTCTAAGAGCGCTGCCGGAGACAGAGTTCGACGAACTAGCACAGCAATTCGTGGAAGAAACGTCAGGGAGTCCCTAAAGAAGAACGAAACTTGCAGGCAGGGCGTACAGTTCTTTTGTAGGGTTGCGTTTCCTTGCAGAACTTGTCGCTTTCCCGATACTCGTCACTTAAGCGCACCCATTGACGAATCACGTCACACAAGCATACCTCCGTCTCCGCGGTGCTTGCTTTGTTCCTAACCTGAGCATACCGTACGCCGTGTAGAGTCTCTGCGTGCAAACGCTTCCCCCGTGTGCATTGTCAGAGATGCTGGCAGCGCTGCACGCCCCTGAACGGAGGCGCGGAGCGCACGTGAGTGGCGCTGCTCGCGCGGAGCGCACGGCTCCAGCGGCTGGGGTCGCCAATGCGGCGCGTCGTACGCGTCCCTGCTTTGCTGCTGGCGCTCCCCGCGCAGGTACAAGCGTCTCGGGTGAAATGTTTACACATTGCCTACGTCTAAACCTTACTCAACGAGGACTTCGCAACATACCCCAATTTCGGACCAGCTGTGCCCGAAACACGTTCAGCACGCTCAAAGCGACGGTTCCGGGTGGTGACGTCACGCGACGAGCGCTGCTCACGTGGCTCACCGTCGCAGTTGCGGGTAGCCTGGCCCCGCGCGCGTGCAACGCGGCTGCAGGTACAGCGCTGACGAAGAAGCTGTACCCAAAGCCTGGTTACAACGTTGAGGAGCAGTTTGAGGCGCCGCCTCTTTCCGAACAGGACGTGGCTCGTGTCCAAAAGCAGCTGGCTGCGTTGCGTGAGTATCGGCAGGCTGTCAGCGACATAAGTGCAAAGTTCGAGGCAGCCCCTGACACCTACGACGTGCTTGGAGAGCTTGAGCGGGTATTTCGGTACGACACTTTGCGAAACGTGCTTAACGTTGTTGCCGATACGAACTTCGATGAAGAGGTACAGAAACGCACGGATCGTCTGGTGCGGAACATACTTCAGGACCTTAGCGAGTTAGAGACGGCGGCGCGTATACGTGGCAACCAAGGCCGTCGAACACCACGCAAAACTGATGCGGTTCGCAAATGGCTGCGTACGTTTTCGACGGACATGGATCGTCTCTTGGCGTATTATCCGAAGGCAAAAGCATAGACAGCGCATCACGTGAAGAATCGATCTATGTTTAGGTTACGAGTCGTGCAGGCACCGGATCTGTACGGCGGACGCCTTGCTCAGTTTGCTAACGTCCGCCGCGAGCGTCCATACCTCTGCGAAGTTTTCTGCACCGGGGAGTTGAGTCGTAACGAGCCTGTAACACTGACCGCGAAATCATGGTCGTAGATGCTGGCCAAGGCCGGCACAGATGCTCAAGGGGCTCAAGCGGGACAGGGCTGTCACCAAGCGTAGGACATACCATGCTTTTCGTCTAAAGCAGATAACTTGGAATCAAACGGTAGACGACAGCAACATGTCGCAAAGCACGCAAAACCTAGTACCAGGGTTTGTGGGTACTGGTAAATCACCTCTATTCCGGACAGATTCGTCGTCAACGGTAGCAGGCCAGGTATGCTCCGGAGTCTTTATCCGAACAATAGCAACAACGTGACTGCTACGGTATTCGCTAAGATGAGTGGGATCGGGAGAAGCATCTGCACTGCGTACAGCAGTGCGACGAGACGCCCCTTGAGGGTCTCCCGAGCCTCGTTAGGTTGCGCCCGCTGCCAACCCACACGTGAGAGGAACCTCTCCTCGTTCAACACAACGATCGCATTTGTGCAAAGCAAGAAGGAAAGGAGCAGCGATCCGATGGAAAGCGGCATACTGTTTCAAAGAGTTTTTCGCGAGGCAACGTCGCCGAGCGCTGCACCCGAAGGAACCCGTCGCCTCCAGCCACGTCTGCGCTCCGTCGAAAAGGATCACTACTGACTGTTTATCCTCAGAGAGCTCCGATATTGGAAACCGTTTGACCAGGTGACCAAAACAGAAAGAACTGCATCCAAGCCTTTGAACTAGACAGTGAGGTCGCTTCTGACAAGGCGCCCTGCGAAACAGCCTATTCTCTGCAGAGAGCGCGCGCGCAAGTGCACCTGAGATTAGGCGCGGGTATCGCACCCGTTCGCGTACCCGCTGCGCTGCACACGTCGACGAGAGCTGGTCTATCGAGAGGCAACCGTCCCCGAATGTCCCGTATCTGCATGCTGTTGCTGGCAGTGGATCCACGGACGTCCCGAATACGGTGCGTGAATATGGAAGCCTGGGGCGAGCTCTCGCTCGAGATGCTACCACGGGCTCGCCGCTCGCAGGGGGATTTCATCGCGAACACAGTTTCATGGAGCAGGCAGCAGGGGGCACGGTGACAGCGTGGTCCACCCATCGCCGCATCCGTCCAGAACATCAACGAAACAGAGCGCGAAAGAGTTCAAGTATTGCAGGAGCGAGAATCTCGATAGAAGGCGCCAGTATGACGTGGAGCAGCCGTCGACTCGCTTCGCTTGCTGCCGTCAAGTGCGGTCGTGGATGTGCGTGGTTTGTCGTTGCCAACGATCTTCGACGCTTTCAATGAAACGCCAGGGTAGAGAGCGATCCACAAATCATGGGCATTTCATCGGGCGACCCACGGCCTGCACGGACACATTGCCGTATCCCACTCACGGGGAAGGTTACGGAGCAGTTGCATCCACGGCAATAAAAGAACTTGTTTCGGATCCTGGGCATCGAGCTTTTCGAGCCCGGCGCTCTGCGTGCAATCATGCGCGATGCCCTACCTAATCGAAAACGGACGACGCAGTCCATAGCCCGGAGACCTAGTCGATAACCCGGTCGTTGCATTGCTGATAAGGAAACACCTGACCATTTTTCTACTTGAAACAGGGAAAAAAGTTCTTCGGGCTGTCGTAGAAACGATATGGCCGGTATGCGTTCCACAACGACGTGCGGTGACTAGGGTGATCCCGTCGTACCCGCCGTCGCCGTTGCGGACACGCGCACCGGACGGCGAACGCGACGCCCTGCACTGCGCGCGCACGCACGCCAGACGCATTCACGAGTGCTAGGTACGGGGTTCTTCGGTTGCCACCAGGCGTTGTTCACAAAAAACGTCCGACCGGTAGCGGACAACAATCGGCTGCGTCGTTCGTGCATCAGCAAAACCGCTTGAGCGGCGCGTCTAGATAGCTGTGGTGCTGCCTATGCGCCGATCACGTCTCGTGCTCGTCTGTTGCGCTTTTCAGCTGTTATTTCTTATCGCTGCTGGCTGCCGTGCATACCTTGTAGAGCTTTCTGAGGCGTCCCCCGAGTGCTTTTACGAGGACGTATTGGAAGGCGACTCACTTGTGGGTAGCTTTCTGGTCACTACGAGCGATAAGAAACCCGTCTCTGTTCGCGTGATATCACATAGAGGGGTTCCGCTTTTCGAGACCTCAGAGCCGGAAGGAAGATTCGATATCAGAGTAGCGGAGGCGGGAACGTATGCATTCTGCCTGAGCAGGATCGAAGAAAGCTCAGCTAGTGTGGTTCTGTTGCGATTTGAATGGCAGTCCGTCTTCAGCGGTCTCGGGGAGCGCACGAATTCCGAGAGATCTCTGAAAGAACTGGAAGCTGCAGCGAAACAAGAGCACCTCGAACACATGATGAATGAAATTCAGAGCTTGTACCGAGCCGTCCTGCACATTCGCAGCAAACAAAGCCTCTCGTGGTGGTTGCGTCAGCAGGATTTGAGTATTCAGAGAAGGGCCGCGCGTCATCTGCTCTACGCTGCACTGCTGAAATTGCTTGTCTTGGTCATCACAACGCTGGAAGCGACCCGATCCATGCGCCATCGTCTCGATGCAGGGGGCTCCCGACTCCAGATACGAGGTGTATGATTCGGCCCTGCATTGCATTCAGGAAGGAGGGCGCATCTTTATGCGTCCAGGTCTCGCTGCGCGCATAAATCAAACTAAAAAATCTATCCACGCTTCTTCATGCTCGACGCCATGCGCAGGGAAACAACATGAGGAGCACCTATGACTCAGAGCTCACTTTCCAAGCGAAACCGCCACGGCAGTTGCAAGCGCGCACCGTACCGCTTTGCGTTCCCCCATGAAACTTGATCATTATCGCACGCTCGGGTCCAAGGTCGCTTCTTCGCTTTGTCAAAGGGATGGCGCAGCGCGCCGCCACGCGCCGAGCACCTGCAGCGGATCGCGTGCGCCAGCGGGGATTCGCGGCTGCGCCGCGGATGCGATCAACGTCGAACACGTATTTATATAGAAATTTGTGCTCATTTTCACGCAAGCCGCTCAGGAGGTATAGCTCAGTGGTAGAGCAATCGGCTGCAGTCCGATAGGTCGTTGGTTCAAATCCGACTGCCTCCTTTCTTTTGCCAGTCTTGCTGAGAAAATGCTTTCAGTGAAGCGCTTACAGACGGTTGCCCGAATATCTTGCGTGCTTTGTGTGGACTGCCGCTCTGACGCAGCGCGCACCGTGTTGACGTCAGCTGGTGCGCACGTCCTGCGGTCGTGTGCGCGCTCGACACTGTACCAGCAGCGTTGCGCGTACCACCCCAGAATGCAAGACGCCATCACGGCCCGAGCTGTTGCCTTTCCGCTCTATAACGCCGGCTCTGTGTCAGAATTCCTGGATAATGAGCGCATTCTTGGGCTAGGGAGCGACGACGCGCACCCGGTGCAGACCGCAACACAACCGAGCAGTCCAGTTGGTGCTCTGGGGCGGGCCCAGCGGCACCCGCAGCGCCTGCACACGCGCCTGCAGCTGTCCACGTCGCCAGCACTGCGCTCGTTTTATACGAATGCGTGGGGTAGCCTTCGAATCGGTCGAGTGCTCGAAGACCTCGATGCGCTGGCTGGCTCTATCGCCCTGCGGCATGTGGCACTGCCAGATATCAACACGGTAACCGCTTGTGTCGACAAAATCCGCATTTTACAGCACCATCAGTCAGAGCCGACAGGAATCTCGACAGAATCCGTGAAACCAGCCCGCAGTGCTCCGCCTTGGTCCGCTATCCATTTCGACCTCCTGTACAACGGTCATCTGTTCCATGTTGGAAACACTTCTATGACGATTTCCTGTGAAGTCGCTCGGGCGGATAGGGACAGCACGCCATTCCTCGAGGCCGTGTTCGTATTCGTCGCTCGAGACGCTTCCGGAAACAAGTCCATCCCGGTACCCGGCCTGCTGCTGGCAACAGCTGCTGACCGTGAGGCGTTCGCCCGTGGAGAAAAGTTGGCCACAGAACGCCGCAAAAGCCGGCTCCAACAGCACCGTCACGCTGGCCTGGCTGCGTCCACATCACACCAGTCGAGCAGGGAGAGCTTGTCAGAACATGCCAGTGCATCTGGTCAATCTGAGAAGGCGCGCTTGGACTCATCGACAGTAGCACCAAAATCGAGCGCGAACTCCGTCTCTATCGACGAGACCACGATGCGCACGATGCATATCGTACAGCCCGATGTTCGGAACTTGTTCGGTTTCATGTTTGGAGGCACGGTGCTTTTATGGTCTTTCGAGCTCGCATATTTGACCGTGCTTCAGCACGCTTCCATGTCGCTGACCGTCTCGAAAGAGAGCGCTCGCCAGGACGCCGGCCTTAGTATTGTACCCCGCCTCGTCGCTATCGGCGATATCGACTTCCATCGACCGATTCCCGTGGGCAGCATTCTGGAGATGCGTTCGAGTATTGCTGGCGTCCGTGGTGACCGCGTCGCAGTCCGTCTCTCGGTGCGCTTGTGGAGCGCTGGAGCGAGTCCCGCTCGGATAGCTTTCATCGAAGATGCGAACCTCATTACAAACACGATGACGTTCCTGTTTCAAGTTCCCTGCATGGTTTCGACAAGCGGCATTTCGCACACTCTGAGATCCGTTTACCCGACGACACCAGAGCAAGCGGAGGAATCGGCGCGTGCCCTGGCCATGCTGGAGAGCGACACTTGAAGCGGAATGCTCCCGGACTTTGAACGATGCTTCGGGTCCATGCTCGTTGTTGATGTGCGTTTGACGCCAACACTGCAGGCTCCTATCCATTCCTGTCGTTGTCCATGGACAGCATCCCGGCATCTTCGTTGGAATGCGTGACGTCCGCACGCGTACCGTGCATCGGTGAGAAGCGTTCCGCGTCGACAGACTGGAGTTCATCTTGCATGGGAGAGCGCAAGTGCTTGCCTTTGGCGATACGCAGCACACAAGCATCTTTTCATGGCGCGATAGAGAGCGCCTTGGGTCGGAGTCGAGTCCCGCCCAGCGAACTTGTGATGAGTGATGTTTACGGGCTACGGCCGCTGCTCCAGGGCCCATTAACAGCTTTCTTGTGCATCGCTCTGGAGTACAAAGGCGAAACCCAGACAACAGATCATGTCATAAATAAATAAAGACGAGACCCAAATTGTTATCACGCGCGGAATGTTTCTCGTAAAGAGAATCGGTATCTGCGGAGCGACGATCCACCAGATGAAATGAGCGATGTGAACGTACCGCGGGAGCAGAAGCGGGCGTGCAGCATTGCGCTGAAGTCCAGCGCTATGGCGGCTAGAAGCACCCAGCCGCGGATAGCCCCGACTCTGCTTCTCTTCTATGGCGTTGATGGTGTCGCTACTATCTCGTTCGCTGGCGTGATGACGTGCGCCCTCGAAAGCTGCACCCTGTGGTGGTGGTGGTGGTATGGTTTGCGAAAAACATCGACGCTGGAAATAAAAGCGGAGAACACTCAACGTGCAGTGTTGCAAAGCCACACACAAGCTAGCGAACAGCGCTGCTCCTACCGGTGCTGGCAGATACGTCGGCACCATGAGCCAGGCTGTGGCTGGCAAGACTAATCCACCGACCAAACCACATAAGTTTCCAACGAGCAGGTTCATACACCGAATCCACATCGACCGACGACTTGATGGAGCGCGCTCCAGACGACAGCTCGATTCGGGGTCGCACGAGCCAGCGTCTACAGTACTTTTCGCAGACGGGCGTCTCGCGGTTCTGAGTCGACTCCAAAACCTGAATGGGCGATCGCGCTTTTGTCCTCCGCGCTCGATGAGAGCGTTGCGCTGCACGTTGGCAAGCGTACCCAGAACGGTCGCGAGCCAGTGGCCCAGAAACGGGTGTCGCGCCTCTCGCCAGCTCACAAGCAGTACCACAATGGCGGCAGCGAGGCCCATCAATCCGCTGCCTAACATGAGCGGCCCCAGAAAGGGCGGCCCAGCAGCCCAGAAGCGAGCGCGAACACTTCCTAAAGCACGGCGCGATGCTCGCCATGCTGCTTTATTACCGATTACCCATGCGCTCCACCAGGCGTACGGCGTCAGTGGCACTGTGAATCGAATGACACGGGTATTGGAGAATACGCCATGAAACACGGGGTCGCCATTGTACCCGATCGGCAGTCGCCGTACACAAACCGAGTTGGGGTCCGACGCTAGTCGCAGGCTCGACACCAGCAGGATCGGATCGTCACAGCAGCTGCGCATGAGCTCGCCGTACTCCATATCATCCTCATCAATGTGCTCAGCTGGAATCTTTTGAGGGAAATACGGCGCACGCAAAAAGTCTCGAAAGTACGTGTTCAAGAAAGCACCCAGTGATCTGCTCGCTTCTGTGAAAAGATGCCGGTGCTTTTCCGCATAATGCGCGGGGGGCCAGTCCAGGCCGATGACATCCCTGCGGAGGAACTCCAGCATTCGCGAATGAACTTTCAAGCTTGGACGTAAGCCAAACACCCCAGCAGAGAAATATTCTCCTGTTTGAACCGCCGCACAGAAGCAGCCGCAGTGAAAGAGTTCCTGCACGGAGGGGCTCAGAACCAGGCTTATGGGTTCAATAAAGATAACTGCCTTGTACTCGGTGAGAGACCATGACGCAAGCGGCAAGCGCAGGAAATCTGGGATGCCTAGTTGCGGCTGGACCGGCACTACGCGGTACCCGCATTTTTCCAGGTAGAACCTGGCAGATCGCGGCAGCCGCTGACTTTCAACAAGAGCAACAAGCTCGACGTCACCGGCACTGATTCTGGAAATATCCTCAATGCCGTACACGACCGAAGCAATGGAGTATGCAAGCGCGCACGCTGCGGGCAGCTCGTGCCTCCAGTTCAGTATACGAGTGACGTAGGCTTTCGTCGCTGTTCCACGAGCGGGCTCGTGGGAAAGTACGGCGGCGTCGACGCCTTCGTTGTCAAAGCTCTCAAGAAAAGCTCCCGAGTGGAACTCCTGCGCAGCAATATCCTCGTCCTCCCGCGGAATCGTTTGGCTTGAGATCAAACTCAAAATGTTAGCAGGCTCCTCACCCCGCGTTGCGTACTGGAAAGGGTCCAGGTCGGTGCTGCTTACCAGGACTTGAACTGGGAGGCCGCCCAAGAAACTCAGCAGTACCGAGAGAAGCACGAAAATCAAACGACGGCCGCAGCGCATTTTTTGAAGACTTGGCCCCCGTACCTAATCAAACAGCAGTCGTGGTATACGAGAAAGATAAAAAGCGATCCTTACTGGCGAGGATGTGTGCCTCGCTGTGCAGCGCGAATGCAAGAATAACGAGGTCCTGTTCCACGCACTGGGAGGCGGCGCGTCCACGAGACCCGCATTGTCAGCTCCTGCGCGAACGACGTTTCGTAGATGGGTAGACACCATTCGCGGGCGACTGCTAGTGGCAGGCATTGGGAGACGCATACGAACGAGCCACGATTATCGGAGGGATTTAAAGGTGGATGCTGGCGGAATATCAAGGTCTTGTGCAGCATGATAATGCAAGCTCTCCTGGTTTCAATAATTATCGCTTGATGGCGGAACTCGTGGTTCGTATGCATGATTCGAAAAAATCGACTCGCTTCATATGAAGAAGGAGCACCGAATTGCTTACTCGCATCTTGCTTTTCGATTAGTTTCCCGAACGCTCTTTAGATGTACAGATCGATGTCCAAATGGATGCAATAAGGGCTCACGGATCCATGTGCAGTTCCAGGATTCCGGATTGTGGTTTCGGAGTGACGCAATCGACGCTTTGCCGCTGGAATTCGTACCGTCAACAGCGTCAGGGTGATTCGCGACGCCCTCGAACGATGGTTCCAAAAACAACTGGTATCATTATTCAGTTCGTAGAAAAGAGTCTCGAGGCTTTTCCTCTGCCTCGTGTGTGGCATGGTCGAATCACGCATGCTTCTTGTTTTCCGTATCGCTGTTTCCGTGCAACTCGTGCGCGCCGTCCATCGGGCACGACATCGCCTTTTGTGAGGCGCTCTCGAATGCGACGGCGTACGCGTACACGTCCAGCGGACGGCGTACTCGCCGAGCGGATCGCCCCAGACAAGCGCTTGATGGAGGCGTGCGACACCGGCCGCAAGGAACGCACGAGGAGGCATCAACCGGAGCCTTCGGTACCCGTCACAGGCGTTTGCGGAGCGATGCAGCACGCGTTTTCGCGCCAAAGGCTGGCGGTCGAAGTCGGGGGATCTCTGATGTATATACATATGAATACGGGCACATCCGACCGCGCGCAGGTGTCATCGTCATAAGCAGCATACCGAAGCTGTGGACAAAGAAGATGAAACCTGCAAGTGAGGTGGCGATCGCACGTACCTCCCGTGCATGACATGAATAGCGCAGATCCTGATTGAGCACAGAAGCGCGACCTGGACGCTGCAATCAACGTGCTTGGACTGCTCGCCACGGCGCTCTTAGTCCATGATTTTTGAGCGTATTTCATATCGAGGGTAACAGAGAGGAAAAGGAAGCAGTTGCAGAGCAACCTATGTCGTTCGGTTCTAATGGCAGGTGGAGGAGTCCCAAGCATTGCTGTGTGCATGTCCGAGCTCCCTATAGATCGTCAGTGAAACGGAAAACGTTCTACGACCATGGAGGGTAAATATACGCTCACGAATTGGCGCCTTCCGGCCTGTTGCGACCAGCCGACTCCAATCGGTTTCAGTTCAGATCCAGGCACACTTCGAGCCTGAAAGGCTGCCCCAGAAACATGGATGCCATCAGCAATTCGGATCTCGTCTTTCGCACCGCATTTCGTCTGATACGGATGGCGGCGTTGGAGTTTCGGTTCACGAACTCGATGCGTTTATTGCCTCTGCTTGCACGAACCGTTCCAAGGATTCCTAGAACTCGTGCGCTTAGTGCGACTAGAGTCTCGCCAACGTACTGCCGGGCGAAAACACCTTTTCTTGGCTATCTCCACTCTCCTTCTCTCTCGTCTTCGTCACTGCTCTATGTCGCTGGACAGTCACCGAGACGACGGCTTTATTCGTTTTTTTCGAGCAGTCGGCTATGACGTCCATCCAGGATCCTCTACTTGTATGTCCATGTCTTCCCCGTGGATTTTTGATACCTTCAAATGAATGCGCTTCGTACGCATCTGCTGAAAACCGTGAAAACGCATTTGATGACACGCAACCGTGGCGGCACTCTGTTGCGCTGAAAGCCTACATGTGGAATCGTTCGATTTTCTCTAATTTGGGTACACCATGCCCACAACATTTCCCATAGAGACAAAGCAGACACAGATCTGGCGTCTGCATGGCGGGAACCCATGCATGCACGGCGGCGGCGTGCGTGCCGCATTTGCCGCGCGTGGCGGGAATGAGTCGTTTGGTGTTCGCACGCAACCGCCATGACAGAAGTGCTGTATTCCGAGGGCAACGCCATATACACACAACCACGGCAACCTACTCTGCCAGCTGGTGCAGACCTAGAGATTCGTGGGCTAGCCGGGGCTAGAGGAAGCGCGGTCGCACCAGAGGGAGACCAAGTTGCCGAGGAACTCGCTCGCCTGCTGCTCGAGTTTCTCGAGGAGTTTCGCCTGCCAGATGCGTCTGGTTCCTGGGGCAGCTCGCCCGCGCAACTTCCTCCAGTTAGGACTGAATCTCCAAACAGAGGACGCGTTGTGTACGTGGAAGCGCTGGAGAGACTGCGACAAACCGAGGAAACTACTTTTGTGATCGACTATCGACATCTTCTAAGCTACAACGCTGAGCTTGCGGACGCACTCGTCGACTCCTTCTATCGCTTTGAGCCATACGTTCGGCGAGCGCTTTTCGAGTTCGTTCGTAAGTATGCACCGGGCCTCGAAGTCGACCAGGCTGGTCGACCACGCATGTTCTGGGTGTCCGTGTGCGGTTTACCACATGTGCGCCGCCTGCGCGAGCTACGCTCCGACCGCATCGGGTCACTGGTGGCGTTCTCAGCCACCGTGACACGCACCAGTGAGATTCGGCCGGAGCTGCTCGTCGGGACATTCCAGTGTGGCGAATGTGGCCATGTTGTTGTGGGTATTGAACAACAGAATCGGTACGCGGAACCCCCAGTCTGCCCGTCGGCGGATTGTGGCAATCGAACGAATTGGAAGCTCATCGTAGAGCGTAGCAAGTTTGTCGACTGGCAGCGTATTCGCGTCCAAGAGCATTCGACAGAAATTCCGCCGGGCGCCATGCCGCGAACCTTGGATGTCATTGTTCGCCACGAGAACGTTGAACGAGCCAAGGCTGGCGACCGCTGCATCTTTACCGGAACCTTAGTGGTCGTACCCGAGGCAACAATGCTAGCGGTACCGGGGGAACGCGTTGAGGCCTCGTTGACACGAACCTCGGCTGCGAGGTCCCGGCCAGACGGGGCTCCCTACGGAGCTCGCCAATTCGGCCAGAGGGAGTTGAATTACCGGCTTTGCTTTGTTGCCTGCCACGTGCTTCCGCAGAACGATCTTTTTTCGTCTCGCAACCAATCGGAATGGGAGGCATTACTAGAACGCGACCCTTTTGGTGTCGGCGGCGTCGAGGCCGACTCGGCCACGCTGCTCGAGCGCATGACGCCGGAAGAGCGGAACGAAATGATGCGCATGAAGCACCAACCACGGCTGTATCAACGACTTGCCAATTCGATTGCACCTACTGTCTTTGGCCATGATGATGTGAAACGGGCGGTTCTGCTCATGCTCTTTGGTGGAGTTCACAAAAAAACAAACGAGCAAATTCGTCTTCGTGGCGATATCAATGTCTGCATTGTTGGTGATCCCTCAACCGCAAAGTCGCAGTTCCTCAAATTTGTCTGCAATCTCATGCCACGAGCGCTGTATACCTCTGGCAGAGCCTCGTCTGCAGCGGGTCTTACCGCCTCCGTTGTGAAGGATCCCGAAACGAATGAATTCTGTATCGAGGCAGGGGCGCTCATGCTTGCCGACAATGGAATCTGCTGCATCGATGAGTTCGACAAGATGGATCTCCGCGACCAGGTTGCCATTCATGAAGCCATGGAGCAGCAGACCATATCCATCGCCAAGGCCGGCATCCAGGCGACTTTGAACGCTCGTGCGGCAGTACTCGCCGCCGCAAACCCGGTTGGAGGACGGTACGATCGGACAAGGCCGTTGCGCAGCAATATCCAGATGTCGCCCGCTATCATGTCTCGTTTCGACTTATTTTTTGTGATTTTGGACGAATGTGACGAAGCCAGTGATTACAACGTAACGCGCTACATCGTGGGTCTCCATCAACACCAGCAGCATGCGATTCGGCCTGAATTCACCCCGGAGCAGCTTCAAAGATATATTCGGTTCGCTCGCACCGTGCACCCGCAGATTCCCGAAGAGTCCCGCGCTCTGCTCGTAGAGAGTTACAAACAGCTCCGAGCAAACGACGTGTTCGGTGGCGGCGCCGGTGGTGCGTATCGGATCACGGTGCGCCAGTTGGAGTCGTTGATTCGTCTGTCCGAAGCGCTGGCCCGCATGCATTTGGATCCCATTGTTCGGCCCAAGTACGTGCGAGAGGCAACCCGCTTGCTACGCAAGTCCATCATCCACATCGAGACGGAGGACGTGGTCCTGGACGATCCCGTTGCTGAGACGATGACCGAAGCGCCGGCATCGCCGGAGCGCCTGCCCAGCACAAGTGCATCGCACGGGGCGCCGACCACACCAGCGGCGAGCTCCGCGCTCCGTCTCCCGTTCCAGATGTACCGCTTGCTTGCGAACAGGGTAGTTCTCTTTCTACGCAGTCGTGAGGCAGCGGAGCAAATCGGTGTCCCCGAAAACGAAATCATCCAACACATGCTCCGATTTCGCGACGAAACCGATGAAATCCAATCCGAGGACGAGCTCCGCCTGGAAGCGCAACGGATGCGTGCGGTGCTGCATCACATGCTCAACCGCGATCACATTCTCATCCAGATTCAAGACCAGGGGTCAGTCGCGCTCAGCCAGGAGTCGCAAGCATCATCAGGAATGAATCGACTCTTGACGGTGCACCCGAACTACGTTCTCGATGACTGAAGATGACCGGCGAGACAGGTGGCCACCGGCCCCCGTCGAGTCTTTCTCGGTCGCATCCGCGCGCGACGCACGTTCCCTACTGCCTCATGGCGCCCGGGGTCGCAAAAGCTCGCCCAGGGCTCCGTTGCCAATGGCGTACTGTTCGCTGTAACGAACATCCGTTGTTATTTCGTAAATACCCACTGCGATACTCGGTTCCCAGCACGACATCCAGAGCGTTCGCACTGACAATCGCAGCGAAGAGGACGCTCGCCTCCGCAATAGAGGCGACTTGGAAAACGCGATTTTGATCCGGTTGTATGCAGGTCCCGCACCGTGGCGACTATGGCACGTCTCGCGCCCTGACGCCTTGACTGGATCCGCACCAGCGCCGATGACAGGGCCCCACGCAAGCGCAGCCTCTTCGACGCCTATCCATGTTCGGGAATCGTGGCGTGCTTCGCACAGGTGTGCGTTGCTGGGCTATGTGCTCAGGTCCTGCATAAGGCACCGCAATCTATCGTCTATTGAATACGTGAATAGATGCTGCAACAGGCCCGAGAGCGCCGCGCGGGATATCAGGAACAGATGCATGCATGGAGACACGTATGCATGCGTGCATGCGTGTACGACATCCGTGTCGATTCCTGGGTATCAAACGGGGGCATCGGAAATGCGCGGATGCTCGGGCGTGTCGCCCGCAGCGCTTCGATCGACGTGCCGTGCGGCATGCGTATCGGCAGGCGCGCACCATCAGCCAGGAAACATGATCCCTCTACTGGATACATGACGCACAGTCAGGATTACTTATTGAACACGAGAGCAAGCAGTTTGCTTTGCAGCATGATAACAATGCACAGGCGATAGAAAAAGCGAGATCTGCGTTCCGGTTCAACAGAGTTGACGACGATATCCGCGGCGATGGTGAAGCGCTCGCACTGACCTGTGCACAGAGCCGGTGACTACGAGCCTGCCACCATCGAGCCGTCACAAGACTTGGAGAAGAGCAATGGCCCCTTTGCTACCTGATAACACGAACAACATATTCGAGGGATTCCGGTTAGGTTCAAGAACGACCTTGCAGCGTCGTAAATTCCAGCGAGGCACCAGCGCTCGGGTGCGTACGCACTCATGGGGCGCAGCGTTTCCGGAGCCCGCGACGCGTCGCGCCATTGCCCGCTGGCACCCGAACGGGTTGCAGCTTCGTTGCGAGAGGTGTCGTCGATCTCGTTCCACGCGGACGGAAACACGAGTCGTCGTGCTTCGAATATTGGGGAAGGTACGTTACGCAAACAATACAAAGAATGGGCGTTCCGCAAATCACAAGCAACACCGTGGCACCCGTCGAACGCAAGGTGGAGCGCGGAAGCTACGGTGCAACTGCGCCAGCAGCGCCGGCAGCTGCGTTCGCCTCCACCGAGTCCGAGCTGATCAGGGATAGTGACCCTTCGCTCTCAACGATGTGGTTGCCGGTGGATCTGAGTGTCCAACTCACTCCGAAGGAGCGTCTGCAGCTGGCGTGGTCGGCGGCACGGCCGTGGCGAGAGTGGGCTGCACTGCACGCACTAGCGCCGCCGCCACCCTCGTCGTGGCTGGACTGGAGCGCTCGTGTGCGCACGAATTTGGAGCTCTACGCATGGAACTACCTCTTTGTGGCCCTTGTGATGTTCATTGTGACGGGTTTGTTCTATCCGTGGAGTGCGCTGCTCCTAATATCCTGGCTCCTGCTCGCGCTGTACATGGGTGTACGCACGGCTGATGCCGTCGGGGGCGAGGACGCTTCGCTGGGCGCGCGCATGTTCCAGAACTGGCCTGGCTATATCCGATACATTTTGCTGGGTGGCTTGCTCACGCTCATGTTGTTTCTGACAGACGTTGTCGCCTTGGCGCTCACCAGCGCATCGTTGGCCGCAGCTGTGACGCTCGCGCACGCAGCGCTCCACGATCCCGTTGCCGTGCTCTCCGCGCGGAATGCCGAATATACCGTGGCACCGTAAGCATCCATAAAGCTCTCGTTTGGATTACGATTGATATTCCTTGGGGTTTTATTCTGCGGAGACGTGCGTACTTCGGGGACTTGCGCTCGGATGCCAGTACGTCGAGAATTCGCGGAAACGTTTCGAGAGGCACCCGACTGATTCGGAAGGTTTCCTTGTTCGAGGGCATCGCACATGGGCACTTTTTTCCAGCAGCTAAACTAGGCACGAAAGCGCTCGGCTCTGATCTGAGATGAGCATGCCGTCGGGACATATTCCCGAAAGCAGAGCAACGCGAACGATAACGGCTGTACCCAGCGCACCGAGCAAACACCGGGCAAATTGTCGCGGGTACACCTCTCTGTCGAAGCTGTGCGGCCGCAAGCAGACAACCCAGACACCGGTCGTCAGCGCATCTGCAACCCGCTCTGCACCGCGTGCGCACTCGAAAGGGCAGTATGCCCGACCGGGCCCAAACGGGATGCGAACGTTTCGCAGGTCAGCCGCCGCTCCTGGATGCATCGCCGAATCAGGTCGGCTGTATCGCTGCCGCAAGGGCCTGGTCGCACGCGAGCGTGGCGGGTCGTCTGCATCATGAGCGCACTGTCCCGCGTTTACTGGATGCTGCAGACACCACCACAGTTCGCGAATCGATGAGGCGCGAAGACGAAGCGAGCGTATGATTTAGCAATGCTGGTGTGGAGACTCGTCAAGGTGCCTGCACCTGTTGGACTCCTCCGATGGATCAGTACACGTCCTATGGACATCAACCACGTTCCAATGCACTGGTTTTCCCCAACAGCGGGCTTTGGGTATCCCCGATAGGTTGAAGCTACCAACCAGGTCGCGCTTCGCTCCGGTGCGCAGCATCAGAGCCGCCCTCGAAATCAACCTCAACAACGTGCACCTCCGCCGACAGCGGAGCAAACGCGCGTATCCGTGCCGACAGCAACGACTTCCCCGCAGCGCAGCGTCGAGAAATCTGCAACACAACAAACACTCGTTACGCTCCGAATGGTGCACAGGTATATATCATTCCGAGCAGTCGAGCATACATGCAACACCATCAACCTCTGACAGGCATATGCCCTGGTTTGCGTTCAGCGCTTGGCGCGTGCCGGGGCGCGTTTCGACCGAAGGCCATAGTCTCGGAGCGATACGTGCAGGGTGCCTTCGGGATTGACGCCTGTACGTGTGAGCGCCCATACGCGACCTAAACGCAAGTACTGCTCGATGCCAAGTTGACTAGTAACGGTGAACTCCGGCTCCGAGGCCTTTTTCATATATTTCACGTTGACGAAGCCTCGCGTATCATGCCAGTTTGATAGCGCAATACGGCGATCCGCCTCGACACCGTAGTGCCAAACGCACTTGTCCGTATCGATCCTAGCGCGGAACCAGAGTGCCCCGCGCGATCGCATCTCACCGCCGCCAATATCACTGAGACGCGTTCGAATAGTCAGCGAGCCTACCGGGGGCCGATACCAACGCACCCGCGGTTCACCTTCACTATCGTCGTAAAAGTCTTCACGGGCGCGTGACGGTAACAGTTGCACGGTGCCAAACTGAGCGCCGAGGCGCAGCTCGGTTGCCAGGTCTGCACCGGTGAGGTCGCTCAGCACGTCAGTGCGGAATGTTTTAAAAACAACCAGATTCAACCCAAGCCGTTCCGGTTCTTTAACATCCCAACGCAGGATATCTCCTATGCGAATCGGATCGAACGCAAGGGAGTTCCGGGAGCTCCAGCCTGCGCTCATAACGTTCGATAGCAGTCCCGCTGCTTGCTTATAATCCCAGAGAGAGACAGAGAGAACGCGACAAGCGCCCGCACGCATACACCCGACGATTTCGCCGTGCGACGGACGCGCGCATCGCGGAGGCGTCATCATCGGGCGCACGTCGACGCAGCGGAGGCATTGCGTACCCGCGGGATACCCGCTGCTGCTATCGTGCGTACGTTGATGCAGATAGAGGTCCCAGGTGACCTCTTGGCGCTGGTTTGTTAGGAAAACACGTTTCGGGCAGTGAACAGGGCCGGAGATCTCGGTATCGGATGCAGGGTTCCTCGACGAATTCGATGGTATCAGCGTCGCTATGCAAACGCACGTTTGGCGACGCTTCTGCACCGATACCTGCATCGCAAACGCTTCGCTGCATACCGAAATGCTGGTTCTAAATGAGTCTGGTGTCTATATCGCCTCCGACACGCGGACAGTGTCTGCAACAGCTGCCCCTCGCAGAAACAAAACTAGTGCAGTCCTAGCCCCGCGTAATGTCCATGCGGGCCTCGTAGAAGGCGTTCCGGGATCGCGAACCGTCCCACGACTACTGTTTTCCAAAATAGGCAGATGGATCACCCGACAGACTTTATGATGCACTCCAGTGACCCTGTGACGTGACAAGGTGTCACGCCAACAGCACACGGTACCGATGCGTGTCCATGCGGGCGTAGGCATCCGTGCATCACCAGTCGCTGCGTGCATCCTTCGGATCGGATGCGTATTGCGGACTGTGTTGTTGTTGGCGTTGGCGTTGGCGTTGGCGGCGGAGTCTTCTCAGGTCGTTTCAGAGCCCGTCGCATGCAGACGCATGTTCAATGCTATCGTGAACATTGCATTTACAGTTCCTAGCTCCCGGATTAATCGAAAAAGTATGGCGACAGCAGGACCTGGTTCAGGTCCAGTGTACCCTTCGGAGGTACCGGTGGGAGTTCAACGTCCGGAAAACGAAGCTGAAATTGTTCGCGAAGCTCCTGCAGAAGATCGCGGGCATGAAGCCTAACGAAGCATTCGCGAAGCAGGCGGTTCATCTCATCGACCGTGGCTGCATGTGTCCAAAACGAATCGTGCACTGCCGCAAACTGCAGACCAGCGCGTCGGCAGGCCAGCGCCGTCATCAGCATGTGCGTCGAGTCCAGTGAGTGGATATAATTCGGAGGGAACGCGCTTCGCTGTCGAGCGCGACTCACCGGTAAGTGGTCATTCTGCGCCTCGAGCAGCACGTGCTGGACAACAGTGTTCACGAGACGCGCTTCCCGTCTTCGGTAAGGCTGGATGACCGGCAGCCCGAGTGGCGTTATCCAACGGACAGCGTTGGTTCGCTCCTTAGAGGTCGCCACACGGAGCGCACACTCCGCGAGCCATTCCATGGTATCCGTCGCGCCGCGAAAGATATCGCCCAGAGAGCCAAGCGTTTGCTTAGCCAGGTAGAAGCTGGCCTCCCAGGTTTTCTCCTCCGGGAAATCCGGTAGCTCTCGGAGACGATTCTGGATCTGCTCGCGTGCTCCAATGAGCGTTACTCCGTAAACAGAGGTCATCACGGTTTGTTTCACGATTTTGCGGCTGATTCTTCCCTGAAGCAGTTGAGCGATCGGGACGCCTTCGCGTGCGTCATGCGCCACCCGCTCACGTACGAGCTCAGCGACTCCAGAATAGACATCCTGTGGGCGCTCGCTGGGCAGCAGATTCACCTGATAGCCGCCGCGCTCGTCGCGTCCCAATGCAGCATAGTGTTGTAGGCCATTACAAGAGCCATCCTGCTGAATCGGCAACGTGCTGTGATAGTCGGGGTCCAGCCCGCCCTTTGCAGCTGCAAGCTCAAAACATGCCGCCAGCAGCTGAAACGGATCTTCTTGTTGCGCCCACCATTCTAGGTTGGAATCCGCAGTCGGCGCAGCGGCAACCGCCAGTACCTTGGGCATGACGGATTCGGCGAAAGCGACCCGCTCGTCGAAAGGCAACTTGTCCATACCACAGAGGTTTGCCAGGTGCACCTTCATCCAAAAAAGTCCCCGCTCACCAACCCGGAGACCGGGTCCAGCAAACGTCAAGAGACCGCGGCATACGTCGCTACTCATGTGGTGTAGATGGGACGGCATCGGGTACGCGCGCCCACGAAAATCAAGATTATGCGGCAAGTAGAAGCGGGAAACGTCGGCGAACTCTCGGGCAGTCTCTAGGCGATAGTGCAGCTCACAACGAAGCGCGTGCCGCTCGCGGTTTGTCTTCCGTATTCGCCAAATGGCTCGCCGTTGTTCCCGCGAAAGTGATTCTGTCGAAGCGGCAGACTCCTTGCCATCTGGAGCAGGGTCCACGACGGACTCCGCAAGCGCCGGCAGCTGCAGGTCTGCACGAGCGACAAGACCTGCAATATCACCGCCAGCGCGCCACAGTTTCTCGACGACGTCCAGGACCGGGCGATTTATCCGCCACGGAGTTGCACCAAGTGCGTTCAGGCCGGCGAAGACCTCGGACAGATCGCCTTTCTTCAAGGCCTCCAGCTGGAGTCTGGAACCTCGTACACGCATCACGAGGCCACGAGGGCGCAAATATCCGCCACTGTTGTATGCGGTCCAAGGTCGCGGGGGCACAAGCATCGGCTGGAAACGTGGTAGAATCGTCTCTCGCAAGTCGCTCTCGTTGGCGAGGAGCAAGTTCAACACGGACTTGTGCAACTCAATCACGCCAACCTTGCGTGGCTCTCGTTGCAGCGGGCGGTAACCGTGCCGAAACGCTTGGACTGCCTGCTTCCCTGTTGGCGTGTCGATATGAATGAGCGCGTGCTTCATGACGAATGATATGAGCACCGAGCCAACTTTGATCGTGACGGAATCATCCCAAGTGGCGGTGTCCAGCTCCATGCGCTTCGCAGCGAGGTTGATGGCAGCGACAGCGCGTGAGCCACCACTTCCCGTTGAGGCTAGCGCAAGCGTGCGTCGCAGCGCCCGGTCTTGTGGAAGCTGACGATGCCGCTGTTCAGAGTGAAGCTCCCGCAATCGCTGTAAGTTGATTTCCGCTTGAACCGAGCGGCCAACAGCAGATGCAACTCGGATAAAGGCGACGCCAGCACGATCCTGCAGAACCCTCCCCAGCGTCTCGTGAAGTGCAATCACCGCCAGCACTTCGGGCTTCAGCCGGAGCAAATGCGGGCCGCAGACGTTACCGTCGTAGGAGAGCTCGCCTCGTCGAATACGTTCCTGCTCCTGATGGATCGCCATCGTCACGGGAAAGAACCAGCTCAGAAGCAATCGCTGGCTAGGTTGCAGCGAGTTGATGTCACCGCGCTCTAGAGCACTTTGCGTGAAAGAACGATAACGGGCAACGGCCGCTTCTACTGCGCGTTCCTCCAGATTGAATTCACGCAAATAGTCCATCTCGTCATGAAGGTACCCATCAGAGGATCTCATCGTGCCTGGTAAACCGAGACGGGTGGCCTCGGCTAATTCTGCTGCGTTCAGATAGCGCTCTAGTCCTAGGGCATGGCGGTTGCCATAGAGGCCGCTATCGCTGGCAATACGCTGCTGGAGTTCAACCCAGTCCAGCTTCTCATCGTTGGCAACCTCTTTCGCCGACTGCGTGGATAACGGCTCCCCGGTTGTCTTGATGAGCGCCGGCTCTCGACTCGAACGCATCGGACGACCGTCCGCAACCGGAAACAAACTCTCTTGGGCGATCGGCTTGGACGGGGTCGATCGCTTGGAAGCGTTGCCACCGAGGGAGCATACAGCGGGGCCATGCGCCTCGTTATGCCCACGCAGGCCTAGTTCTGGCGATGCTGGCTCACTTATCCGCTCAGGAGCTCGCGACCACGCCGAGGCTTCACGCACATTTTCCGAGGAGAGGCGCTCGCCCTGTGGAGCGAGAGGTGCAGCGGAGGTCGGCGAAGCCAAATGCTTTGCTTCTCGGCCCGGTCCTCGCTGCTGCGCCTCTTCCGCACAAGCTGGTGTTTCCGGACAACGCAAATCACAGGAAGAGTCATCAGCTTGAGAGACTTGGCGGCCAGTGCCTGGAAGCGTCTCCTCCGCTGCTGAACCCGCCTCGCTCACGAGAGACGCCGCACCTCCGTCCACGGATAAAACGCGACACCGCGCAACCGTTGGGTTCAGGTAAAGCAGACCAGTTGATTCCGCCTGCCTCGCCAGAGGAGAGCACCGGCCACCAACTTGAGCGTTGCGCCGGTTTCGTGCGACGTACGTTGAAGCCACTCGCACCTGCGACGTCGGTGTACGCTCAAGTCGTGCAAGCCGGCTCCCAGTCAGGGCCGTGCCTCGGTTCGCTGTGGTTCCGGATGCTGCGAACTTTGAGTCCTGAATCAGCCGTAAGCGTGCGTGCTCAGCATATATCGTTTCCGTAGTACTTGTGGAGCCCTGTGAGGGCCACACCCGTGATCCGGCGCAGGACGGCTGCGCTGGATCACGAAGCGACTCCGACAATCGCAACCAGCGCTTTGTTCGAGCTACCTGATCTCCAATGTACTCTAAAGCCAAAGTTCCCAGATGCGCCACTTTTCTACGTACAGTGTTAATCGCAGCTGGTGGTACTCTTCCTCGTGACGTGAACTGTACAAGAACATCCATAAGCGTGACTCGCCGTCCCAAGAGCCGCAGGCGTTCACTCATAGCCACTCATGGCCAGTCGTGTGCTGTGATATGTAGCCCCAACTTCAAATTACTCAATTCGCGACACAAGCACCGACGATACCAGTGAGACGAAAGCCCGACAACGCCAGTGACGTATGTGCTCTCGCGAGTCTCGTTGTTGCCCAGCGCACACGCTCCGGATGCGTGCACGATTCGTAAAACGAAAAACGCTCCACAACTGTTCAGGCTGGATAGATGTCTGAAAACGCGCAGATGCCTCCCAGCGTCGTTGGACCAGCCGACTCCTATCGGTTTCGGTTTTGATCCAGGCTCACGTCGAGTCTGGGACGCTGCCCCAGAACAGAATCGGGCAGCGTCAGCGGCTCGTGTCTCGTCTCTCGCACCGCATATCCTCTGATATGGATGGCGGCGTGAAGGTGCCGGTTCAAGAGCTCTGTGCGTTTCTTGACGCTCTTTGAACGCTCCAGTGCAGGGAGTACTGGATCCCGTGCCCTCTGCGCCATTTGCTGCGCTGTCAGCTTGCCGAACTTTTCTATCACCCAAGCGCTCCGCTGGCACTTTTCCATGTCGATCTTCTGAAGAGTGCATCCGAGTTCATCACGTGGATTTTTTATCGCTTGGAAATGAATGTGCTTGTTTATCCTTTAGGTGAGGACCTTCGCGGAATGAGACGGACTTGCGGGGAGAAGCCGTCATGTGCTCCTGGTGTCACCATGTGCTGGACGCTTCAGTCATTCGCCCAGTGGAACGATCATTATCGTACCACGATCGAAAACACTCCTTCGAAAGGGTTGAACCGCTGGGTGCACGTCGGAATGAAAAGCAGCTGTACCCGTATACAATCGGCAAAAGCCCGAACGCAAGCAGAACGGTGAAATACCGGGTTGTCTAGTGGAAGAAAGTCCCCAAAAGTCAGGGAATAGTCTTCAATGGTTCGACGAAGTGCTTGACGCTCTTGTGTGTGCCCTCTCCAGGAGCGAGACTGCGGCCGTCAAATGAATCCCCTCGAGCTTGGACAGAGGATGATGTCGTCGTTCGCTCCGAGTTCGATTTTACATACAATGGGCGCCCTTCTCCGCAAGTACCCATACACGCGCCTACCGAATTTTCCGAAGCGACTGTATCCCAGAGATTTCAAGACCACACGAACAAGCTGTTGGGAAACAGCGACACCCGTGGCGACTCCAATCGTCTTTTTTGCTTTCCATAAGGCGATCGATGGGTCGGTTTCTACCACTGACCGCAAGCAGTGTTGAAAAATATCGGTTTTTTACGCGGAATGCATCTCCTTGTTTCTTTGATTGTTCCTCAGGCATCTGAGCACTGTTGTACGACTGACCTGAAGGAGGAATGCAGTCCTTCTTGCACTGTTCAGTAAAGAACGCATCCTGCAGGCAATGCTTCTCCGATCTATAAAGTACTTGGCATGGTGATTTCGAGTTCCAGCTATACACTTCGAACAATCGTTCGATTACTCTCTGCGAGGTGGAACAAAACTGAGCAGAAAGACTTTATGGGCATCGACGTCGACGAGGTATGGCTTGCAATAAGCCGGCGTGCAAACAGGAAGACATACAGGACGACATCCACACAGGTAGTCATAAAGTCATGCTGGCATTCATACAAGCATACATGCTGGAATACATCAACACAGGAATATAGAGGTATCTAGAGCCATATATACAGGAATGCATACCAAAACGCTCGCAAGCAGGGCTTTTTTCGCAGACGTCTCTGCATACGAACTCGGCGATCCCACGAGCGACGATCGTTGTAGCCGCGGACTTCGGCGTGCTGCACCTCATACTTGCTACCAGAGCGTCCTCCTGCACTGCACTAGACACCGTGGTAGAAGCAGTGCGCATCTCATGTGCTAACCAGAAGAGAAAGTGCATGGTTTGTGATCGCTGTCGGGGTGGCAAGGCTCAAATCCAGCGGCTGCGAGACCGTCACCGTTTGTGCAAGGCGTGCTTCTTCGCGGAGTTCGAACGAGAGGTACACGAGACCATTGTGCACCACGATCTCTTTCAGGTTGGTGAACGTATTGCGATCGCTATCTCTGGAGGGAAGGACTCAGTCGTACTTGCGCATGTCTTAAAAGAGCTCAACGAGCGTCACCAGTACGGTCTAGAGCTCGTGCTGCTCGCCATCGATGAGGGTATTCACGGGTATCGTGACGCTTCTCTCGCAGCTGTGAAACGTAACAGTTCAGCCTTGGGACTTCCCCTCGTATCACTTTCCTACGACGAGCTGTACGATGGTTGGACCATGGACCGTGTTGTTTCGCAGATAGGTCGAACGAACAACTGCACGTTTTGCGGCGTTTTCCGTCGTCAGGCGCTGGAACGCGGAGCGCGACACATTCGAGCGAACAAACTCGCAACCGGCCACAACGCGGACGATATGGCGGAGACGGTATTTCTGAACCTCGTTCGAGGCGATTCAGCGCGTTTGCGCCACAGCGCGGACGTCATGACGGGTGCGCTAGCGAACGGCGGCACGTCGCCCGACGAGACGGTGCACTGGCTGCCCCGGGTGAAGCCACTCCTGTATATGTATGAGAAGGAGATTGTTATGTATGCGTATTGGAAACGGCTGGACTACTTCGCCACGGAGTGTGTTTACGCTCCAAACGCATTCCGGGCGTTCGCACGCGACCTTGTGAAGGAACTCGAAGCGCTTCGCCCACGGGCAATCATAGACACGCTGACAGCGGCTCAGGCGCTCAGCAGACATGCGGATGGTGTTTCTGCTGTAGGTACTGTAACCGCTGTGAAACAATGCGCGCGTTGTGGCTATGTGAGCAGTCAAGTAATCTGCAAGGCATGTATCTTGCTGGAACACCTTCGTCGAGGCACTGGAAAGGAAGCTACACATCGTCATGCGACGCGAAGCGTTTTCAGTGCAAGCGATCAGACGAGTTGCACTGAGTCTTGTGCGGCCGACCAATGCAAGTGTCCGTGAGCGCCGTGCAGAGCGACGACCACGATGACGCTGCGAGACGTGATATCCTGGTGGGTCGCCTCGCGAACACCCTCGCGTTGCGCACTGGGCACCCTGCTAGGTGTTGATACGCGCGAGATCAAGATTCGGTACCTCCAACTGTAGTACAGCAAAACGCAAGCATAGAAGCGTTGAGGAAAGGGATGGCGTATCGGTATGGTGGTTGTGGAGCCTCACGCGTCACAACCCTGGCGTTGTGTTCATCTGCTCTTGGTCAGACGAGCGGTAGTGTCTGGTTGGATGTGGAGGTAGGTCGCTTTGACCAAGCGACTCAGAGGAGCCTGGTGAGCGAAATTGACATCAGTTGTTGACGACTCTCTGGTATCGACGAGACCAATCGTGTGCCGTGTGTATTGCGCTACGCTGGGTGACGTGCATGCGCTGTGGGCTCGACACACCGCACGCCCTGTATGGACGTTGGGATGTCGCGCGTCGGAAGGATTCAGATTAGATGCATCGACCGCACAGTGGTACATAGGCGGTATGTGGCCAGTCACTGCTACCTGCAGGTCGCAGCTTTGCAAGCTCCAAGTCACGCTGCATATGTCTGCGGAGCATCGCATGCTCGCTTTCAAGCGCGATGCGGCCGGCCTACATCAGTGTCAGACCAAAAATCGAACACTGAAGTGTTCGCCCTGATCCTGCTTTTGGATTCTTTTCCCGAACTTTTTATCGACGTAGCGCCTCGACATGCTAAATTCGGCAATATGGGTTTGTGGATTTATGCATCGTTCTAGGATTCACAGTCGTCAGTGCGGAATGGCTCCGTCGTCACTTGGCCGAGGAGAATCGTTCGCTCACTGTCATCAAGATGATTCGAGACGCGATCGAACAAGAATCCGTAAAAAATAACCGATACAATGATCATATCCATACGTACTAGCATCCAATCCTTTTTCGTTTTCTCCATCAAGCTCAAATCACGCATTCTCCCACATTCAGATCTTTCTGTTTCGGGGCAACTCGTTGCACAGAAAAACGCACCGCTGGATTGACGAGGAGATCAGAAATCGATATGTCGTCCCATAGTGATGATGATTCGTGCACATGCTCATGCCGAACGCTTATTAAATTTGTCATGTCAAACAATCGATTCGGTTCGAAACATAAACCGTCCTCTCTTTATGGTTATTGACGAAATGGCATTCCACAGCTGCATGACACCTCTGACAGGATACGGCCCCAGAAGCTTCCATTTCTTCTTCCTGTAAAAAAAAGGGGTCTGGGGCTCGGACTTTAGCAATCGTAACGATTCCTTCCAGGGTAGAGTCCGTCACATGATGCACACAGGGAGCATAGACGGACCGAAATCTCTCGAGTAGATGTCTGGCTTGGAATATGCTTTCTGTACTTGTTGCATCATGAACAACCTCGCATTCCACGAATCATCCATCGAAGGGAACAGCGCGCACTCGCACCTGCACTGAACAGCGTACGCACACAGTGGATCGCCTGGAAGATCCCCGTGGTCGTAGGATACGGCGCCGAGTGCGTAAGCAGACGAGGGCATCAAAGCGAGCCTTCTGTAGTCGTGAAGCGCATCTACCGAGCGATCAAGCGCCACAGTGTAGCCCGCTGAGGACGAAGCTGTATCGTGGACATCATGAAGCACCTGATTGTAGCCAGGCCATTGCTGCGAATTGCACCATGCGGTTGTGCACACCAAAGATGAAAAAAATGGCAAGCGCAGCACCGATTGCGACTTTAGCCTGAGCACGAAGTGCGTCGCCAACAGCCAGAAGCAGCGAAATCCAGACCATAGCGCTGCTTTTCGTATCCTTCCGCGGATAGTAACGGGGCTGGTACCAAAAAAATTTAGACTGGCGCATTTCAAACCTGGGACATGATAGAAGATAAGCAGTGGCGAAAGGGGCCCACAAATGCTAGGGTCGAGGATCACGGGAAGCGACCCAAACTCGCGTATTTACGTCCGAGTTACCGGACCTCTACCTATCTGTCGGCAATACGGGTACGGGGCCACCGTAGAATACATGCCCAAAGCGGACGCCCGCTTGGAGGACTCGATTCGATTCAAATTCCCAGGGGATCGCATTGCCGCCGATGAGTTTCCGCGCGCAGGCAAGCCAGACAGGCAGCCAAGCAAGCAAACTCATATTCACCCGCCCGAACGCTTTCGCTATCGCACCTCAAAGGTGACGCTCTTGCCGACGGGTATGACGTGCGCGGAGACGAGGCAGTCAACAGCGGCGTTGCCCCTAGTCTCTGATGAACTGTGCTTTAAAATCCAAAAAGTACTTCGTTCAGGTAACGAGATTCGCGGTGAGAAACTGGCAGGCAGTGCTGCAGATGCACGAAGCACCGTCAGGTTTAAAGTGAACGCGACGCAGCAGTCGCTCAGACCGGCAGGTGCCGTTCCTGCGTCCCAGACTATACCACGCAAGTCAGCGACTGCGCACAGCGAAACTGATACTAAGGGCTATGCTCGGCCTGTGTGCGGCGGGCGACAGGCACCGGCCGCCCAGGACGACGCCGAACTTGGGCGCTTCCTGGCGTTAACAGGTCGCGGGCCACAGTTGCGGACGTGGCAGCGCTGGCGACGGTTCCGTCAGCAGCTGATCTCGCTTGAACCTTCGTGGCGTATCGACCGCCCGTATGTCGACGGCTCGTTTCGGATGCTACTCGCTGATCCGGCGAGCGTGCTCCAGCCAGATACGCACCATTCAGCGAATCCCTGCTGGATGCAAGTGGAACGCCAGCTTCTGCGGGACCTCCAGTTCGCTTTGCTCGGGTACCCGCCGAGTACCAAGGAAGTTGCCACGGTGTCCTTGGTGGGACACGGCCAGTCCTGTGGCGTTCGCTTCCATCTTCGGCGCGTGGTATACGGCGTGCCGCTGCCCACAGCCACGCATGCGCTCGTTCAAAGCATTCTTGATATCGCCGGAGCGCTTTGTATTGTACGCGATTTTGCCGAAACATGCTCGTTTTATAACCAAGGAATGGTGCGCCAAGCGCTGGGAGCGGCGCTCAAGCGACTCCTCCGCCGATACGACGCCCTGTTTCTGGACCACTGGGGATGGACAGGGTCAACGAGCCCAAGCGCCGAAGTGCCCGAGCAGCTCAAACAGGAACCACCGCTGACTATTCAGAGACTCTGGATCCAGCTTCAACCGATTCAGGGTGCAGTTCTTGCGATTTCCTCGATGTGCCTTGCCGAACGGGTTCGCAAACAAGGCGGCGGGGCACTACTCTGCGCGTTGTATGACCTCATTGATCCAGCGCAAGTGCGATGGGGCGTTCATAATGCTGTGGAAGCTTCGCTTGATGACCCAAAAGCTCTGAAGGAGGAGCTGTTCTGGGCAGCATTCCAGCCATTTTGGGCAATGCTAGAGCAGTGGCTCGATCATGGAGTCTTATCGGATCCGTTCGACGAATTCTGCGTGCAACGAGATACGACGCAAATTGGAGAGCGCCTCGCAGATGACTTCAATGCTGCCTTCTGGGAGAGTGGATACACCCTCCGAGCCTCGCACCTGCCGAATATGTTGCAACAAGTCGGGACTCCGATCCTGCTCGCTGGCAAGTATCAATTCGCCTCCCAAAGCTTGGAGGTGATGCAGCAGGCCGTCCCTGGGGAACGCCCTCCGGTGGCGATTCCCATGCAAGTAGCACCTGAGGCGGGGTCATGTCGGGACGCCAGCGGCACCACGGGGCCGCAATCACTACAGTGCATGACGCTTCGCATCACGAATGCGCTCGCGACTGCCTCGAAATCTCTGGTCAGGGCCCTGATTCTCGATGGAAACCTCATGGCGACTTTAACGCAGTTCAAAAACTGCTTCCTTTTGGGTCGAGTAGATTTTCTAGATGACGTTCTCAGTGGCGTGCCCGGCGAAATCCTAGCCGGACAGGGAGCCGTCGCAGAGGTCCTCGCATCCACGCCTTCCGCTGAATCCGTTCGAACGGCATTCGACCGTGCCCTCGGCGCTGGCTTCAGGTTACAAAATACGGAGCCAAAATCGCTCGTAGGGCATTTTTCCATATCTTTCTTGCCGTATTCGCTATCGAGTCAGCTGCTGCGTGTCCTTGCGGTGAGTAGTGCCGCAGCACCGTGGTCGTCTGCCGAGGCCGCTGAACTTGCGAGCCTCGCGCATCCCACGCGAACGCGGGATGCTCAGCTTTGCATCATAGACGCTGTGTCACTCGACTATCACGCGAATTGGCCGTACAGCGTGATTCTCAACCGCCGAGTCATAACCAAATTCCAGCTGCTCTTTCGCCAGCTATCCAGCTTACATCTCTGTTTACGACGCCTGGGCAGCATTCGATTACAGCTACAGCGCGCCAGAACCGTATGCCACAAGTTCACGGGCGAAACACGGCACGCCGCAATCCTCTCTCCTCTGTACTGCTCGCTGCTACAGCAAACGATCCATGCGCTGCTCTATGCGATGACCTGGACTACCATCGAAACCCAGTGGATGCGCTGGCAGCAGACGCTCGACGAACTGGGGAACTCATTTCGACACGCCGCGAAGAACTCGCACGAGCAATCACCGCGAGAAAATCGAACCAGCTCTGTCGATGAGCTCATCCGTGCGCTGAACGAGTTCCTCGATGCCTCTCTGTACGGGTGCTTCCTCATGAAGGCGCGCTCGTTCCGCTGCGTGCGCCAAATCGTGCTGCACGTGCACCACTACATCGCTGCTGTGGAGCGCTGCGCAGGCAGACTCGATCCGGCGTTCGTTGTCGCCGAGATACGCACCCTGCGCGCGGTGGTGCGCACACTGGTCGGCTCGGTAGCGCCCACGCATCCGCTGCGCGCCTGGTACGACAGCGTCGCATGGCCTTGGTGCGAACCTGTGATGAACTGCTATGTCCATCAATATCCCTAATAGTCCAGCGGCTACTGCTTCGCTTCCAGCGCGACTCATCGGACGCGCCGCATGCGGCTGCCAGGCGATGAAGCGGCGCGCGCACCTCGGCGTGCGCACGCACGATGTCGCGAGCGCGCGCATCGCCGTTCTGCGAGCATCGCGTTGTTGGACTGCGCGTACGGTGCATTGTGCCTCGTTGGCAACAGGACGAACACGCTTCACTTGTCGCTCGCTTTATCACTGGATAGCCTATACTTAGTGTAGATTCCATGAAACCGCCACGTGTTCCTACAGTTCGGGTAAACACCGCGCGCGAGATCGGCATTGGGTTGTTGCTCGGCACCATCGCTGGTCTCGGGTGGCGCGCTTACCACGAAGCCTGGCGAGAGACGATCGATAACTATTACAAGGGGCTCGAGGCTGCGCGCAAAGCGTCGACGTCGTCTTAGGTCAGGGCGCGTTTATATGGTTGCGTGTGCCCCACGAACGACCATCTCCATGAGACGCCACGTCGGGGTGAATGTCGTGTCTTCAGCGGCGGCGGCGGCGGCGGCAGAGGCGGCGGGCTCTCCCGCGAACGCCGGGCACAGTGCCCACACGTAGTACACGGCGCGGATGTTATCGGGCGCACCCTCAATAACCTCACCGTGGAGGTCCCGGAGGCAATGGATTTGCTGCGTGGTGAACTGTACGATAAGCACGGGTTCTTCGTCGAGGAACCTACCGGTTACCAGCTCGACGTGGTCCAGGTCCAGAATGCGCGTGTCCATGACGATGCCGCTGAGGCGCCGTTCGTGGATGCTTGCAGCCATCATAGCGAACGCCTCTTCAGTGCAGTGCTCTTGCAATGTCTCCAGGTCACCGGCAAGATACGCTCCAAGAACGGTTGGAATCAGACGACTCTCGATATCTACAAGGAAACGAGATATGGTAAACTTGGGATCAAGGGTCCGAATCGCTCCAATGACTTGTGCCATTTCATTCTCCGCGAAGAAGCGGTCGTGAATCGTTCGAAAGACGTTCACCACTGGATGATCACTCTCATCCAGACGCTCGCTGACGCGCTCTTTAGCCTCCAGCACTGATCGCATAAACGGTGAACCCGCAAACCGCGAAAAGATTCGGTTCAGCACGGACGCATAGCCTGTTGTTGTGGATGCATCGCCTTGAGCGTCATCGTCGTGCGACCGAACGCGCCCCTGGGGTACCAGTGCGGTGCCAGCTTCGCGGTTCGCTGCCGACGCCGTAGACGTTGCGTGAGAGGTGGCTGCTGATCGCGAGCGATGAGCACGCTGTACGCTGGCTCGCACGGGCTCTGCGTCGTTGAGTTGGCCGCGCCTCCGAGCTTCCGCTGCGAGCGTATCCTCGATCGCCGCCTGGGTGCCGCCAAAGAGGCCTCGGAAGAACCCGGCCCAGCCGGGTCGGCGATCCCCCGGACGGTACGCCTGGACCGCCTCGGGTGCTGCCTCTGCTACCGACGACGACGAGGTGTGCTGGTCGACCTCGGCTGTTGACGCGGACTCGGTGGTGCGCGGCTCGGGCGCTGCGCTTGTGCGCGCAGTGGCTGAAACCGGCTTGGCGCTTGTTGAGGTTTCCGAGGTGCACGGTCTTCGCAACAAGGGGCGCAACTCATTGGGTCTTCGTCGCCCGGCGTTGACACGAGCGGCTGACGTTCGCGTCAACGCCGTGCTGCCGAGTCGCCAGCAGAGCACGCTGAGCTGCCTGCTGGTGATCGGTCTCCACATTCCGTGCTCACTATTTCCTACAGTCGGTAAAGATATTTCCCTGTAACAATTACTCCCCTGAATCAAATGAGATCGTGCGATTCTTGTCGCGTCACGTCCTCCATAGGTGACCGAGGCAGGGCTCTTACGTGCGCTTCAGCAAGTCGCAGATGTAGAATAATTGAAGCCGACTGGTGCGCCGCGTTGCGGCGGCGCGCTGCTCTGTATTGCTCTGCTCTGCATTGCTCTGCTCTGCATTGCTCTGCTCTGCATTGGTTTGCTCTGCATTGCTCTGCTCTGCATTGGATTGCTCTGCATTGCTTTGCTCTGCATTGCTTTGCTCTGCATTGCTCTGCTCTGCATTGCTTTGCTCTGCATTGGTTTGCTCTGCATTGGTTTGCTCTGTATTGCTCTGCTCTGTATTGCTCTGCTCTACATTGCGCTGCTCTGCATCGGGGGCGGTGTCCGTGCGACTGCCTGATGCTCGGCTAATGATATTTTGACCAGCGTGAGCGCATTGCGTCTGATAGAGTGTTTATGCGGACTCCAGATGCTCATTGGCGTGCTTGATATCCGCACCGGGGAATATGTCCATTGCTCTATCTTCAGTCAAGGCCCGTAACCCATACGTTCCCTCGGAGATTCTGATCATGTCGTTCGTTCCACCAGGCATCGAGTAGCTATGAGCGTCCGCTATAGCGCCTGTAGCGCCAGAGCGGATGCAGCCCGGAGATAGCAACGCTTCGCGGTCGCATCGTGAGGTTCTCTTCGACGCGTCATTGAACCGACGCGTAAGATTGGGACTCGGTATCGTCGCGTTGTGTACGGAGAGTCTGCGATTGCCGGCATGCTTTCGCGGCACGATGCCTTCGACCAGCTCAGTAGCTAGAACGAATGCTAAGCACCGGGTCTTCGCTTGGTGATGGTGCGTGGGCCCTATCGTCGGTTTCCAACGCGCAGATTTACTCGGAATATACGAATGACGGCTGGGCGCAAAAGAGCTGGACTCGAATACGCATCAGGTTTGCGGGATGTTGTGCAGGGAAGTTCAGCGCCTGTGCCAGCGCGCCTACCATCCGTGCAACAGCACACGGGAGAGCGGTTTACGGGTACCTGTAGGCGGCTTCGAAGCCGGTAATTTGCGCAGCGCACCGCCTTTCATGCTGCTGGCGCTGACCTGGTGCGCCGTGCATCACAGCGCGCGCGCACACACACACACACGGAAACGCTGGGCGCTGTCAACGCTCCGTGGACAAGATACAGAGTCTGGAAGCCTGCTGTGTCGCATTAGCGGCGCGCTTTGCGTCGTCCACGCAGGTCGGCCTTGAGTCGACGGTCAACGAGTTTGTATCGGACGCGCCCCCGTGACTTGGGTTTCTGATGGCCGCCAGCTAGCGGCACCGCGCGATTGCCCTGCAGAACCGCAAGCACTGGCCGCTGTCGTCTCTGAGCGCGTGCTCGACGCATCACACGTGCAACTTGCTGTATTTTGCTCGCCGTATTCATCTCCGGCGCACGAGCGATGGCCTCGGCACGCTCTCGAGCGGCCTCAAGTCGCCGCTGGAGGCGTGCCTGCCGTCGCTGCCGGGCTTCCCGAACGCGCTTTGGTAGGTGTTCAAAGGGCGCCCCCAGCTGCGCAATTGCAGCGTCGACCTCGGCGGGGTCGACGATTTGCGGTGCTTTTCGTGCACGTTGCTCATCCGCAAGAAACCATTGCGGGAGACTCTCGGGATCGTCAAACGCATGACGATGGTAGGTAGAATCGATGAGCGCCTCGCGACCCGAACGTCGAAGCATGTAGTGACGCGCGATCGTGCGCAGCTCTGCTCGTGTGCGCTCGTCCATGGTACCCAGCAGCTGTCGAATCTTGTTTGTATTGGTACCTGCATCGGCACTGATGGCATCTTCCCGGGTTACTGTCGATTGGTGCTGGTCGTGCGTGGCGGCGGGTGTGTTCCCCAGGTAACCATGTCCTTCTGCCGGCTCGCTCGACGATGTCGACGACGACGACGATGTCGACGAGTCCGACAAGTGCGCGTCAGTGAGCATGCTCGCATTTTCTGCTTCCAGAACTGATGCCTGGAGGAGATCTGCGGCATCAGGAATCTGCAACGCGTCCAGTGAGCGAATGCCGAGCCTATGGAGCCAGCGCTGGGCTCCAGCTTTGAGCTGCGTCGGAATATTGGGGTCGTCCTCTAAAACCAGCTGCTGTGCGTTTTGGATTTCATTGTCCAGGTCGACATCACTGTCACTCTGGATTGGCTCATCTGCGGACATATTCAGATTCACGGACGCATCCTGACCATGACCATCGTCATCACTGGACATCGTCTGATCGTCTACAAAGCTTTCGCTGTGTGCACCGGCAGCGTCAGAGCCACTTTCTTCGCTCGCGTCTGCTCCATCTTGTTCTGAATCCAGTGCGCTGGATTCCAATGCACTCGTTTCAACTTCCTCAAAATACCCCGTTTGCATTGCAGCACGCGCTTCACGCAACGAAAACAGATTCGAGAAACCTGTGTCCTCATCGACGTTGGCGTTCGCATCGAGATGAGCCCCGCGTTGCCTCTGGCGCTCGAGCTTTCGAGCACGCTCTCGAGCGGCCTTGGCCTCCAAACGCTTCTCTCGCCCCGTAGTGGATGCCATCGTAGACGATGCCGCGGACCGATCCACCATCGGCTCTTCCGAAACGCCAGATTCGGGGACAGTACTACCTGCTTGCTTCTGGCTCTTTTCCGCACAAAACAGGACGCGGCGGGAAGTTTCCCAGAACTTGAAGAGGCGGCGAAAATCTTTCGGTCCACAGACTCCGAGATCTTTGCAAAGCGCTCTGATTTCAGCGTTGACTAGAAGGCGAACAGGTTCAGGCAGCGCGTCTTCTTCAATAATTTCAATCGAATTATGGGTACTTAGTACTATCCCCGGAAATGACGACTCTAAAAATGTTCTCAGCGAACAGGTCCTATACTTGGTTGTGCCGTTGATGGCCTCGACATCGTCGGGCACGGCCGATCGGCGTCCAGAGAGGAGCTGGCGGCGAAACTTTCTGTCCTTGCTTTGCAACTGCTGCCGTTGACGAGCATCATCCGGGGAAGCTACGTCAGCCACTGCATTCGCATGAGACGTCGACTCCCGAAAAACCTGCCGAGGATCGAATAGGTTCGCCTCGAGCCGCGCTGGAGCCAAATAGCTCTTACAGACGACGTAGATCTCCGCAGACTGTTGCCTGCTAGCCGGTGGCTTGGTAACGTATACTCGCTGAAAGAGACGACGCGCAACGAGCAGAAAGGCTTCCGAGTCAGCGCTACGGAAGAGTTTGCTCACAAACCAGCCGCCTCTCTGGAGAAGCGTGCTCGCAATCCGCAAGGCGTGGAGCGTCAGTTCCACCTGGTTATAGGCGTCTTGTAGCCAAGCGGTGCCCATATTTGGAGAGGCGTCGCTGAGCACTACGTCCACACCGAGATCACCAGTTGCCACGCGGCCGCTTGGATCAAGCACCTCGCCAAAGGAAGTGAGTGCATTTCTTATCAACCGCACACACTTTTCGGAAGTGATGTCAGCGACAATAGTCGTGCAGTTGCGAATAGGAGCGATCGGAACGAGATCAACACCAATACACGGCGCCGCAACGGGCATGTGCTGACGACACACCTGCATCCAACCGCCAGGAGCCGCACACAGGTCCACGACACCACGGGAAGCGCGGCCAAGAAAACCATGCCGTCGGTTCAGCTGAAGCAGTTTGAAGGCTGCTCGGGAGCGGTAGCCGTGCTCCTTCGCCAGGTGGTAGTACCTGTCCAGTCGGTGTTTTCCAACCTTGTGCTTACGCGCCATGAGAACCTCCAGGGACCAGTAAACTCCGTCCTCGAGCGCCCAACCCAGGTCAGCGTTGTTATCGCTCCGTTGGCGACCTCCTCGACACGTCAGTGCCTTTCTGTGCAGTGCTGCGAGGTCAAGAAGGGCATCGCTGCTGCTGCCGCCGCCGTCGCCGCTGCCACTGGGCTATCGAGGCACGCGCTGCTGATACGACATTGATGGACACGCCAGGAAACGTCCTATTCTGCTGCTGGTATTCAGTGCGTGCTGACGAGAGCATCCTTCGCGGCTCTTGTCAACAACAGGTCGATAAGAAAGGACCCATCGAACGCGCTTCAACGCTAGCGATCGTAGACGCTAGACCTCACAGCATCGCGTGCTGCAAGAGCGAGCGATTTCGAGACAGGCACGGTTGTACTCGTTATTGCGTGGTGGCGTCGGTGCAGTAGCACCGATTGCACAGACACTTGGTGAGCTTGCGCACTGCTCGACGCACCAAAGTGGCCGTGTCCAGGCGCACGCAAACATCGAAGGCTTCGTTGTCGCGAACTGGGCGCGGGAAAATGGAAACGTTGCGGACGGAAACGCGCAGGGGAAGCAGTGTCCAGCGCCGAGGACCTCTGCGCACCCCAGACTCTGTCTGCGTCCAGCGTTGACGTTCACGCGTCGGGCACGTGCTGCTGCCCCGTCCGGGAGCTGTGAAGGCTGGGGCTCTTCGAGAACCAGCCTGAAACGTCTTCTGTAGTACCACTGGGTCCGAGGGTTCGCACCTTTGGTGCAGCGCGGTAGGCACGCGGGTTGTCCGGTTCACCGTCCAGCACGGAAGCGCGGTCGCCAGCACCGCGAGCCTTTCGAATACGTGTATCGAATGCAGGGAGGTATTGGCGCGAGGGCTGCAACTCGAGCATGTCCTGAGAAGCAAATATGCTCCAAAAAGATAACGAATGCGGGCTCTGGCGAGCACCCGTGCACACAACGCATAGAGCAAACAACTGGGAATGCCGCTAGAAGAAAACCAGGAGGTTCGCGACTGCTAGTACCAGGACAACGTTATTCTAGCACTGAACAAAGTCGTCTGGTTTCTGATGGCTTGTGGCGAATCCGTCAGTGAGCCTCCGCGAGCAGAGACATCGATTGAACCTGCAGGGCTTGAGTCGCTTCATATGAAGATGGAGCACCGAATTGCTTACTCGCATCCTGCTTTTCGATTAGTTTCCCGAACGCTCTTTAGATGTACAGATCGATGTCCAAATGGATGCAATAAGGGCTCACGGATCCATGTGCAGTTCCAGGATTCCGGATTGTGGTTTCGGAGTGACGCAATCGACGCTTTGCCGCTGGAATTCGTACCGTCAACCGCGTCAGGGTGATTCGTGACGCCCTCGAACGATGGTTCCAAAAACAACTGGTATCATTATTCAGTTCGTAGAAAAGAGTCTCGAGGCTTTTCCTCTGCCTCGTGTGTGGCATGGTCGAATCACGCATGCTTCTTGTTTTCTGTATCGCTGTTTCTGTGCAACTCGTGCGCACCGTCCATCGGGCACGACATCGCCTTTTGTGAGGCGCTCTCGAATGCGACGGCGTACGCCTACACGTCCAGCGGACGGCGTACTCGCCGAGCGGATCGCCCCAGACAAGCGCTTGATGGAGGCGTGCGACACCGGCCGCAAGGAACGCACGAGGAGGCATCAACCGGAGCCTTCGGTACCCGTCACAGGCGTTTGCGGAGCGATGCAGCACGCGTTTTCGCGCCAAAGGCTGGCGGTCGAAGTCGGGGGATCTCCGATGTATATACATATGAATACGGGCACATCCGACCGCGCGCAGGTGTCATCGTCGTAAGCAGCATACCGAAGCTGTGGACAAAGAAGATGAAACCTGCAAGTGAGGTGGCGATCGCACGTACCTCCCGTGGATGACATGAATAGCGCAGATCCTGATTGAGCACAGAAGCGCGACCTGGACGCTGCAATCAACGTGCTTGGACTGCTCGCCACGGCGCTCTTAGTCCATGATTTTTGAGCGTATTTCATATCGAGGGTAACAGAGAGGAAAAGGAAGCAGTTGCAGAAAATACCAGCAAGAACTGGTGCTTGTGACGGTGGAAACAGACGCAAACGTTCGTGCGTATGCCCGTTCTAAACGAGCAACCTCGTACCATTCTGGTCGGACACGAGTATATCCAAGACGACGTTGCCATGAGTACACTGAGGCATCGAGCAGCACCGAACGCGGGCACCCATTCGACTCGATCCGAAAGCATCTTCGGATTACGTCGATGGCTCGCTGGCGGGCTCGAGGCCCGAAGTGCGAGACCCTGGCAACGCTTTTCCAGTGTCGGATTGGGTAACCAGGCCCGAGAAAAACATTTGGCAGGCACATCGATGACTGAACCTTCGAAATGCAATGGAACGCTCTGCATGGTCCGTCGTATTTTACCGAGATTTGAAGAACGTTCCTACCGCCGTCCAGATACTGATCGTGATCTCCATCGCTCAAGCGGCGTCGACTTTTGCCATATGCGTGATCAAGTCTACCACTCGATTGCTGTATCCCCATTCATTATCGTACCAGCTCACGAGCTTCACAAAGGTCGGTGACAACATGATGCCTGCTTGAGCGTCGAACACGGACGAGTACGAACTATGCGCCAGGTCGGCTGAGACGATGGGGTCTTCGGTGTACCCGAAGATCCCCTTGAACTCGGGATTCTCGGCCGCCGCCTTCATGACGTGTTTGATTTCTTCGTAGGTCGTGGGCGTTTTCAGATTCGCTGTCAAGTCAACAACTGATACAAGGGCCACCGGTATCCGGAAAGCCATGCCCGTCAATTTACCGTCAAGCTTCGGGTAGACTTTGCCGACTGCTTTCGCTGCACCGGTGCTACTCGGTATAATAGACAGCATGGCGCTGCGCCCGCGGCGCCAGTCTTTGTTGCTCGGGCCGTCCACGGTTCTCTGAGTCGCTGTCACAGCGTGTATCGTGCTCATGAGCCCGTTTTCGATACCAAAGGCTTCATCTAGGATTTTGACGAGTGGCGCTAGGCAGTTCGTTGTGCAAGAGGCATTGGATACCACTTGGAGGTCCTTGGTGTAGGAGTCGTGGTTGACGCCCATGACGAACATGGGCACGTCCTTGGCAGGTGCGGAAACGACCACCTTTTTCGCGCCGCCTTTCAGGTGTAGAGACGCCTTCTCGGCAGTTGTAAATGCGCCACTGGACTCGACGACGTACTCGGCGCCAGTCGACGCCCATGGGATATCGGCTGGATCCCGGATGGCAAAGCACGTTATCTTCTTCCCGTTGATGACCAAATGCTCGCCATCTGTTCCGATCTCGCCCGGAAAAGCGCCGTGCGTGGAGTCGTACTTGAGGCTGTACGCTGCGTAACTGACGTCGGAGAAAATAAACGGATCGTTCACCGCGACGATTTCGACTGTGCCTTTCTCTACTGCCGCGCGAAGGACGAGGCGGCCGATCCGGCCTAATCCGTTGATACCAACTTTAGGAACTGCCATTGCATACACACCAGTAGCCTACTAAACGAACGTTTCTACCGATGGGCGCAAAACGTGCAAGAAAGCACTGATTTCGCTCGTGAGCAACACCAATGCAATTGACGGAGTTGTATCGGCGGCTCGTTGTGAGCAGGGTGCGTCGTCCGCATCACCAACGCGGGCCGTATCAGCTGTGGAGGTACTGCATCACCTCGTGGGCGCATCGGGCAGCGCACTGCCAAGGCGCCTCCTCGATACGCGAAAGCGATGAACGTACACGTTGCACGGAGGCGCGCGATCCGCATGCACATCGGCTGTACGCGCATCTGTGGTGAGTGTCATGGAATCACGCTCTGACCGCTGCTGCAATGCTGCTGCCCAGAGGCGCGCGATCCGCATGCACATCGCATGTGCGCGCGCTGCCAGAATATACCACTGGATCACGCTCTGACCGCTGCTGCAATGCTGCTGCCCAGAGGCGCGCGATCCGCATGCACATCGCATGTGCGCGCGCTGCCAGAATATACCACTGGATCACGCTCTGACCGCTGCTGCAATGCTGCTGCCCAGAGGCGCGCGATCCGCATGCACATCGCATGTGCGCGCGGGCCTATGGTGTGCGTCTCAGAAAACCACGTTCCGGGCGCTGTTGCAATGCAGGAGCGCTATACGATGGACGCGGCTGCCACGGAGCGCACACTTGCACGAACCTGACGGGAGCGCCGAGCCGGCGAGCTGGCTTCGGTTTGCCGAGTTCCTCCAGCGGGTTGTTCCGCACCGTCGGCAGGCTTGGCTACGCAAGCTGGTGTTAGAGCCGGGACCCAAGAGCGTTCCTTGCTTCGTGCCAGGCATTGTTGCGCTTCAAGCCGACGTGCGCGGGGCGTCGCAAGGCCGCTGTCTCTCAGAACGTAGACCACGACCACGACCATTGCGGCAGCGGCAGCGGCAGCGGCAGTGGCGGGCATCCAGCGTCTCAGGAAGCGTCTGCTGTATACTCGGCCCATAGAGGACGACTCATGGCGCTCGATCGACCAGACTCCTTACCTCGATGAGGTCGTTGGCCGAGGGCTCGTGGAAAGTGGAATCGCCTCCGGAGGATCCTGATTGGCTGCTTTGGACTGACACGAAGCATTACGGTCGGATCGGCACCCGGAGATTCGCTGGATAAAGCCTCGACTGTTGCAGCAGTGCCTTTTTTGGATTAGTCGAAACTGGTAGCACCTCTTGAGCGGACGAGATCCCTCACTTGTTTTCGGGTAGCGCTCGCTTTTCCACGAGGCCCTGATACAGTGAATCGATCCGGCGTCATCAACGCGCGTGCCGCTGGGTGCGCACGAGGCTCCATGGTCGAAAGGAAAACAAAGATTAAAATGGAACACTGAACGACTCGCTCTGTATCTGCATCACGATTTCTTTTCCGCAAGTTTTCATAAATATACAGCCTCGATGTCCAAAATGGATGCAATAAGGGCTCACGGATCCATGTGCAGTTCCAGGATTCCGGATTGTGGTTTCGGAGTGACGCAATCGACGCTTTGCCGCTGGAATTCGTACCGTCAACCGCGTCAGGGTGATTCGTGACGCCCTCGAACGATGGTTCCAAAAACAACTGGTATCATTATTCAGTTCGTAGAAAAGAGTCTCGAGGCTTTTCCTCTGCCTCGTGTGTGGCATGGTCGAATCACGCATGCTTCTTGTTTTCTGTATCGCTGTTTCTGTGCAACTCGTGCGCACCGTCCATCGGGCACGACATCGCCTTTTGTGAGGCGCTCTCGAATGCGACGGCGTACGCCTACACGTCCAGCGGACGGCGTACTCGCCGAGCGGATCGCCCCAGACAAGCGCTTGATGGAGGCGTGCGACACCGGCCGCAAGGAACGCACGAGGAGGCATCAACCGGAGCCTTCGGTACCCGTCACAGGCGTTTGCGGAGCGATGCAGCACGCGTTTTCGCGCCAAAGGCTGGCGGTCGAAGTCGGGGGATCTCCGATGTATATACATATGAATACGGGCACATCCGACCGCGCGCAGGTGTCATCGTCGTAAGCAGCATACCGAAGCTGTGGACAAAGAAGATGAAACCTGCAAGTGAGGTGGCGATCGCACGTACCTCCCGTGGATGACATGAATAGCGCAGATCCTGATTGAGCACAGAAGCGCGACCTGGACGCTGCAATCAACATGCTTGGACTGCTCGCCACGGCGCTCTTAGTCCATGATTTTTGAGCGTATTTCATATCGAGGGTAACAGAGAGGAAAAGGAAGCAGTTGCAGAGCAACCTATGTCGTTCGGTTCTAATGGCAGGTGGAGGAGTCCCAAGCATTGCTGTGTGCATGTACGAGCTCCCTATCGATCGTCAGTGAAACGGAAAACGTTCTACGACCATGGAGGGTAAATATACGCTCACGAATTGGCGCCTTCCGGCCTGTTGCGACCAGCCGACTCCTATCGGTTTCAGTTCAGATCCAGGCACACTTCGAGCCTGAAAGGCTGCCCCAGAAACATGGATGCCATCAGCAATTCGGGTCTCGTCTTTCGCACCGCATTTCGTCTGATACGGATGGCGGCGTTGGAGTTTCGGTTCACGAACTCGATGCGTTTATTGCCTCTACTTGCACGAACCGTTCCAAGGATTCCTAGAACTCGTGCGCTTAGTGCGACTAGAGTCTCGCCAACGTACTGCCGGGCGAAAACACCTTTTCTTGGCTATCCCCAATCATTATCTACTTGGTTAACTGCTCTTCTTCCCTCGATGGGAGGCGAGAAGGGAATTTTGTCGCTTTTCCCGGTAGGCGGCGACACATCGAGCCTCCAGGATCTCCAACTTGCACGTCCATACCTATCCCTTGGATTTTTTGCTTCAAAAATGAATGCGCATCTTAATGTCGTTTTATGAGTACCTTCCCGAAGCGAGCAGGACTTGTGGAAGGAAATCAATATGTGCTCATGTACCTTACGTTTACTGAATGTTTCAGCAATTCGCCCAGTGGAGCTATCATTACGTTTCACGATCGAAAAGGCTCCTTCGACGGGGTTGAACCGCGGCGCGTAGCGCGGAATGAAAAGCAGCTGCACCCTTAAACAATCGGGAAAAAGATTGAACGCAAGGGGAATGGTGCAATGCCACGTTGTCCAATAGACGGACGCCGCCAGATTTCGGGGAAAAGTCTTCAATGATTCGACAATGTAGTCGGTGCTGTTATATGAGCCCTCTCTACAAGCGAATCTGAGGCCGCGAAATGCATCCAATCAATCTAGAACAGATGCTGATGTCTTACTTCTCTTCGAGTTCGATCGTAGGTACGGCAGGCTCCCTGCTCCGCGAAGACCCACGTACGCCCCGATCGATTTCGTCCGAAGCGAGCCTCATCGACTGGCAAAAACTAACAGACGTCCACGTGCTTCATATCGATCGTGACGTTCCGGGAACGCTATAGTTGCGATTTCGGTGCAAGATGACTGTGCGTAAACTAGGACTCTTCTTACGCGGCTGTATTCCAGTGTATTCAGGACCGAACCAACAAGCTGTTGGGAAACAGAGACGCCCGTGGCGACTTCCATCGTCGCTTTTGCTTTGCCGAAACTGATCAACGGTTCGGTTTCTAACACCGACCGCAAGCAATCTCTAAGAGTTTCGGTTCTGGCGCTGCGTGCCTATGCTTCGCTCTTGCAGTGCTCCTGAATTATCTCTGTACTGAGGCATTACTGACCTGAATGAGGAATGCAGTCCACCTTGCACTGTTCAGTAAAGCATATATACTGCACATAATTCGTCTACATTCTATCCGGTGCATTGCATCGTGATTTCGATCTCATGCTATACATCGCGTCTAAGTTGAAATCGAATGGAGCTGAAACACAAGGAATGAAACGTTCCCGACGATCGACCGCTGCGCTTGTGATGGCAACGCACGTCACCGTCCATCGTCAGCGTTGCTTCCCTGGCACCCATGCGTTTCCCTGGGGAGCGCCATGTCTGACCCGCGGAACCCCGCGGGTACCGCAGACCAGGTCGATGAAAAAGAGATTTTGCTCAACGAAAAGGCCAAGGCGCTTTTTAGAGCAATTCGCTGCTTAGAATGCGGCAGTGGTCAAAATATTGAGTTTTCGAACGCTCCCACCGCTGTAGCGCTACGCGACCGAGTACGGAAACTGCTTCGGGACGGTCTGGATTCGGAGACGATTCGTGACTATCTCACACAGGAGTACGGCCAAAGTGTTTGGTTCCAAGAAAGTGATATCTTTTGGACTGATCCTGTGCTGCGTGGTTTGTGGCTTGGCGGCGCCCTGCTCGGCGGTCTGGTAGGCGTCACCGTCCTGAGGCGACGCGGCACGCTGTCGCTTACCTCGAAGACACTGGCGAGTCCGCGGTTGTTGACGAAGACGCAAATAAGGCAGCTGACGCAGCAAATCGTTGGGCAGCGCTGGCGCTGGAGTGCCGCCGAGGAGCGCACACTGCAGACGATTTTGTCGCCGCCTGCACAACAGTCGGGCGTCACCCGAAAAAGCCCGTAAGTGCTCAGCGTTTATAAGCTGTGACCGAGCGGCGAACGCTGGGAACTTGGTTGTGTTGCTTGAATGCGATAAGGCATACAAAAACCGCAGTCAAAAAGCTGCATCCCTGACATGCAATCGGAAACAAGTGCCGAAACAGGATACAGCGCGGTTGGGCATGCCTCTGCAAGCTCCATTGGTCACTTCCGTTCATCGCATGGAATACGGAGCAGCTGGATATCTCGTTTCGCTGCTGCCTGTTAGGTCATGGTAACTTGCCTACGCCACGCCGCATCCTTCATTGGACACGAGTCCAGAACAGATGCAAGGATCGGTGGAACGTTGTCTACAGAGTTCGCGGTTCCGCGTTCATTCCAAGCGGGGCGCTGCCCAGCCCAGGGACCCAAAAAGTGCGTTACTCTAATCCCGCCGCCGCTCGCCAAGAGTTGCCTTGTTCAATCGATCAACAAGTGAGTAACCGGCGCTCGCCATTAACACGCCCGCAGTACCTGAACGTTCGAGTGCCTCGTGTGCACATCCTGGCTATGCGCTGCGTGCGTCGACGTCATGGAAATCCTGCACATACAGTAGAAACGTGGTGCTAGGAGGGATCTCGGGGATCATTTCGCCATTTTTGTCCCTTGAAAAACCGCCATCTACCGAGGTTGCGCAGGTAGCGAGCCCACGGCGGCAGAGCACTCTGGGCACAAGTTGTGTCGGGACTCGCGTGCCCTGAGCGAACGGGCGTAACTGCTGCTGACATGGACCGTTCCTCCTCAGACCGCTTTGATTGGACGGTACCAGCTGTTAGCAGCGCCATTCGCGGTGTTCCATTCGCAACGAGGCTCTGGAGATCATCTGAAGGCACACTGGGGGCATCGCGGCGCTCATGCAATTCGCCACTAGCCTGCATAGCGTTTTTCGGACCATCAGCGCATGCAGTCGCGTCTGCAGCGCGCGCACTTCCACGTACCGGGTGCGTGCGATCACGCTCGCCAGTCATCAATGGAGATGCGTGCGCGTCGATGGTGCTGTCTCCAGCGGGACACGTGGCATTCCTGCATGCGCCATCACCTCTATCCTGCGCATGCACCGGTAAGGGGCGCCGTTCCGAGCGAGTTTTGCGGCCGCGGTGCTCTTGCCCAGCAGGCGATGCGGCTGAATCCGCGAGCTGCGGAGACTCTACGGCAATGCGCTGAGCGTCTGGCGGTACCGTACTAGAAAACGATGGTGGTGATGTTGGTGGTGGCTGCGTCGTCATTGTCGTCGTCGATGAGTCACTGGTCTGGTCGCGAGCGCAGTCAAAAGGAACTGACTCGTGCTGGTTCGAGTGTTTGCCAGCCGTTTCTAACTGACACTCCAGTTGTGTGCGCTGCAGAGCTTGCTGGGACGAGTCGCACGCTTTGCTGGGGCCGACGAACGTGCTGTTGCGCGTGCCCTGCCCGGGTGAGGAATGACCCGTCTCTTCAATAGGCTGAGGAGCGCGCCGCCGTGGCTTCTTACCTCGGCGATTTTTCGGCGGCAGTGCTGTTGCATTCAGAGAACCTGACGTATTTTCCCCGTCTGTTACAGCGGCGTTGCGGGTTTGGCGCGACCTTTGCGACTGCCTATGCGGCAAGGTTCCGTTTGCGGTGTCTTGGAATGCAGGGGCTATTGCTACAGCCGCAGTCCCATTGCTGTCGCGCACAGTTGCCTCGTCTGCGCGATCTTGGGGAGAGATTTGTCGTTCGTTACTGGCGTGAGCGGGTCCATCAGAAGGTGTCCGTGTGGCGCTGCTTGGCACAATAGCCTTGCAACGCTTTCGCGGTACCGGGCTCATATTCATGAGGTTTGCTTCGAAAGTGCTAACGCTGTTCGTAATGTTATTGTCTTGCTGAAATGTTTCTCGGGACGTACTTGTGCAGACGCTCTCGCTCTCCTGGGGTTTTTCAGGGCTTCTGCGGTCGCAGCTCAAATGTGAGATGCGCATACGTTTCTGAGAGCGTATTCGATCATCACTCGATGGTTTGCGACCGTCCGAATGATCCTGACATGCTTGAGCCGCATCATCGTTTTTGTCATCACCATCACTAGGGATGGTGTTTGCTCCTGGAGGCGCTCCTCGGCGCACGGCATCGCTTTCAACAGACTCCGTGACACATACCAGATCGCTATGTAAATTTCGCTGTGCGTTCTCAACAGCGTCGTTCGTTGGGCATGCCGTTGGCGTCCCGGGTGTGAGAGCAGTGTGCTGGCTTTGCTGGCTGCCAACCGCAGGGGCTATTTGATCATCCTCGGTAGATGCACATTGCTCAGACACGGGGCCAGAAATCGGAGCAGGCGCCAACCCGAGCGCGCCGATTTCCGTTACTGGACCCCTTGCATGCTCATCTTCTAATGCAGACAAGGAACTCGGTGGCAGGCGCATCGCTTCCAGTGCGTTATAGAGAACGCGGAGCTCTTTCCCCCGAAGTAAGGCGTTCTCGGAAGTGCCACCCACGGTGCTTTCGGGCGCTTCGGTGTTCGATTTCTCTGCGTCGCCGACATTCGCCCACGTGCTACCAGTTGGGGCCAGGTCGACTTTGGGCAAAGCCATGGCCGCGATCTGATTCTCGATATGAACCGCATGCTTTGCGCTAGCACCTGAGCCTTGATCAGTTCCTCCGCTGCTTTCTGTGGCCATAGCGTCCGGCAACGGCTCATGAGACTGACCAATTTTCGCGTTCTTCCTCAGCGGAGGCGCTTGCGCTCTAACATCACCATCGCATTTGCTGGAGTTGATCGGTGCACAGGAATCAGCGGCCTCACTTTGTGGCATCGGATCGTCTGATCCTTCGACAGGTCGCTGTTTGGCTGCAAGTCGCATACGCAGAGCCAGAGGCCGCGGTATTGGCGCGTGCTGCGCCTGTGGGACGGCTCCGGTTGTTGAGCCCGCGTCCTCGACTGGACACGCATTCCGAGGATACCCACCGGAGGTTTCATTGGATGGTACCGCATCGGAGCAAGGCAACTCGTGAAGCGCATCTGCACCGCGAACACCTGTCTTCGCCGATGCGCTCCCTGCATACGCCGGCACATTATCGCGGTATTCAATTGGTGCCAACAGATGGATCAGGCACTGCGTCAGTTTCCTTTTGACTCGCAAGCTTTGGTTCACATCCACCACATCTCCGGTCATCATTCGGTTCGGAAACGCCCATGCTGTCGTCTGTGTGTTGACCAGCTCGACTTCGACTCGAATGAAACTCTCAATGGTGACCTGTTGCAGAAAAGCAGTCCAGGGTCGGGTCCCGCCACCCGCAAGCATCGTCTTTCGAAACCACTGCCCGTACAGGCGGGCAGCGTGCTCGCGCACTGCGAGATCCCACGCGTCGGGCTCCGTAATCGTTGATTCCAGGTCACGTGCCGCACTGAGCCGAACACACCCGTTCATAAATACACATCGGTCGCGCAAAGACACCGGAAACGGCACCGTTCCGTGTACGTCCGCTTCCTGCGAGAGCCGCTCCGAACACGTCGCCAGGATGCTATTCTTGCCGTCGCTGATTCGAATAGAACGCCCGTCGCGGCTGACAGCCGTCACCAGAAGAAATCTCTCACGAAAAGGCAGCTCACCGCGCCTCACCACCGACTCAATGTCTGCGCTCGTGCGCAAACCTAGTAGTTTTCCTGGTACCGCAGCGCGCTTCCCGTGTATACCAACGTCCAGAACCGTCAGCAACGCTGCCTCAATAGGAAGCGTTGGAAGCGTGTTGCTCGCAAGTGCCATGAATCAAATCGCAGCGCGACGATCATGCGACTTCTTGAACAGCGCCTCAGGCGAAGCACCAGCGCTTGACTGCTGTCGTGCAGCAGTTCCAGGGCGCTCGCGGGACACCGCGGCGACACTGGGTACTACCCGCCAAAAACTGCACCAGCCGTCAGCGCGTCGCGCCACTTTCGACGTGCGCCGCGCACGCATGATGGATCACGAGGTACAGCTTTATCCAGTAAAAGAAAGATAAAGATATTTTCATACAATATTGATCTATTTTAAGCTGGATGGAACGGGTGCATGTTGCTCACGGAGGCGTCTTCGGCAGCCGTTCGGGCGCTTTCCAGCGTCGTGAACATCAGCAGCTGCGGGATTCCTCTGTAACTGCATCCTTTCGGCTCTCGCCCCTGTCCTGCTTTGAATGCGCCGGTCTCTCCTAATCCTTCATCTTCGTTGTCAGCAGTCCAAGGATGTTAATCGCGTCGTCCAAGTCCCGATTTCACATGTTCTGGCTGTTGTCGACGCTTGTCATGCACAGACGGTCGTTGTGATCCTGGTTTCGTTTGCTATCTTCATCCTGTTGACAGACAGCTTCGGTGGGCACTTCGCAGCGATTACATTGGACACTGAATAGGTGCGCACCCAGATGGCCTGAACATCACCTCCGCTCTGCGCCACGCTGCGAGGAGCGAACATTTGCTTCATTGCTCGATATGCACACTTGACGAGTGCAGGAAATTCCCCGCGATGCCCTCCTCCGTTTCCGTGCCAGGTGATGCACCTTGCAATGACGCGCTTCCTCTGAACGATACACTCGGAAAGTACGGTGTCCCATTCGATACGGTATTCGAGGAACGCGATGCTATCCGTCATGATGCAAGTATCGGAAGCAAAATCCATACGAGAGATCCAGACGAGTAATTTCGATCCAACGACGCTCCCTTCGTACGAAGCAGCGACGCACACTGTAATAGAAGCGATTGCTGCGGTGAATACGGTCCGAGTCCAAGATCTCTTTTGTGAAAACAGAAGAGACTGGAGCCTCTGGGAGCATATCCCGTCTGGTAGATCATGCTGCCGTGGGATGCAGTTTCGTCGATAGCAAGAAGAAGAGCGAATGATTTCTCTCTCTCGAACGGAATCGATTATTTGGCTTTTCAAGTTCAGTGAAGTTTCAGTGTGAGTTTGTCAACAAGTCCTCAAGGTGCAAAGTCGAGTTTTGTACCTCTTCAATCCAGAGGTGCGAGACGCTGCGCCCACAAATTGAATTAGAAATTTCAAAAATTCGAAGCACGCGCACATCGAGCATGCGAAACATAACAAAAGAAGAAGACTTGAAGCATGTACGTTTGCATTGGATAACGCAATCGTATAGTATACGAGTGGTTATTAAAGATCGACGCGAATCAGTTCGATTCTGGTAATGCAGCAAAATTCAGCGGCCTGGCGTCAAAAAAACGTCTCAAATCCGCGACCGAGAATCCCGAAACAACATATAAATCCCAAAGCCCCTCTTTCCATCAGTCGACCGCCATACCTGTACACCTAAACAATCTCGGATTGTCACCGAAAAGCATGAACACGGCGGCTAGTTCAGTGTCCCATCACCGAAACAACATATAAATACCAAAGCCCCTCTTTCCATCAGTCGACCGCCATACCTGTACACCTAAACAATCTCGGATTGTCACCGAAAAGCATGAACACGGCGGCTAGTTCAGTGTCCCATCACCGAAACAACATATAAATACCAAAGCCCCTCTTTCCATCAGTCGACCGCCATACCTGTACACCTAAACAATCTCGGATTGTCACCGAAAAGCATGAACACGGCGGCTAGTTCAGTGTCCCATCACCGAAACAACATATAAATACCAAAGCCCCTCTTTCCATCAGTCGAACGCCATACCTGTACACCTAAACAATCTCGGATTGTCACCGAAAAGCATGAACTCGGCGGCTAGTTCAGTGTCCCATTACCATCTGACACAAGTGCAGCGAAGACCCTAGACAGAGCGCCGCATCCCAATGCACTCGAATGCATGCCGCAGTTTTTGGTTTCCCTCTCAGGAACCGGTCCCCGCATTCCATACCATCCGTTAGAAAAGAAGCATCGTGCGTTGCACCAGCCAGCCTCGCAGGGAACGCAGCTTGCGCCAGTTGATCAGGTCCCTGGCAAGCAGCGCGCGAGCATCGCACGAGGTGATGCGATGGCACCGTGCGGCGGGCATCACGATACCAGCGCGAGTAGTTCGGAAAGCCTATCGCAAGGAGCAACGTAATCGAGCATGACACGGTATGAAAATGATCACCACCTCATACCGTATGCATGATGCAGCACTGGAAAGCCCTCTGTCTATCAAGAAAACGGGTACCCGCGCATCGATCAGCACGGCGAAAGCCTGGCGCATGCCACCTCTGCCCGTACGCGCCCTATACACGGGAGCATAGCAACCCAATCTCCATGGCGCTCAGCAACACGTAAATTTATGGAACACCATCAGAGAATCCAACGAAATACCTACGCCTCTTGAGCCGAACGAAGCTGAAATCCACTGAGTCATCCCGCGTAGCCGCTGAAGGCAGCGCGCACCCGCACCCGCACTACAGGGCGGAAGCGCAAGTGCCGGCCGGCCGGCTGCCGCCCTGCCCAGAGGATCGTTAACGACGACTCGGGGATCCTGTCCCGCAGTCGCAACGACGACGTGCTTTTCACCGCACCGGTGTGTAGCCGCGGAGAACTCCACTGTATGTGGTGCGGCCTGAGCCGTTTCTTCGGGCACCACCACCGCTCGTTGTACAGAAGTAGACTCTTGAGGGTTTGTGGCTTACCGGTATCTGCTTGGCATCCAGCTGGATGCACTACGCGTTCGACGCACGCTGAAACGCACCAGGCGTTTTTGTCGACACTGACACCTGCGGGTACAGAGTTGCCTGGAAGTGCGCTCCCCGATAGCGCAGCCGGTGGCCTTGCGTTTCTAAAAGATGAAGAAAATCGAAAACATCGAGCACTGAACCGCGTAGCTGAGGCGATTTCTGGATCCGCGTCTCAGAACGTCGACAGCCGGCAGCGTAGGTGGGCGAACGCAGCTCGGGTGCCGACGCAAGCCAACGGTCTACCGTGGTCGCTTGCATCGCTCGCTTCTTTACTCGAAACCCGCGTGTCCGGAGTTGCATCATCTATGGATCCGTTTCGTTTAGTCGAGCAGCACCTACAGCGGTTGGCCGCGGAGGTGCTTCAGGCGGTCGCCGTAGACCACCCGGTGCTGCAACGCGCGGCGCAGTACTTTTTCGAACTTCCCGGGAAACGTTTGCGGCCTGCTGTTGTACTGCTCATGGCCCAAGCGACATGTCTCCAGTCGCTGGGCACTGTAAGCCACGCGCAGCTTCAACTAGCGATGATTACCGAGATGATCCACACGGCGTCGCTGTTGCACGATGACGTGATTGACGAGTCGAATATGCGACGATCCGCGAGCACCGTGAATGCATTGTTCGGGAATCAATTGGCTGTTTTGGCAGGAGACTTTCTACTTGCACGAGCATCTGTCTGTCTCGCGCAGCTCCGGGACTGTGATGTCGTGGAGCTCCTCTCGCGTGTCATTGAGCATCTCGTGCAGGGGGAAGTCCTGCAACTGAACGACCCGGGCCCCGAGCATGCCCGCAATGGACGATCGCCTAACACCCCCGACGACTGGCCCACATTCCACGCATATATGCGCAAGACATGGTACAAAACGGCTTCACTCATTGCGAATTCCTGTCGCGCGGTGACCCTCCTGAATCCCGTGAGTCGAAACCAGCCTCAGATCGTTCACGCTGCTGCGCACTACGGAGATCATTTGGGATTGGCGTTTCAGCTCGTAGACGACGCGATGGATTACAGTATTTCAAGTAGCAATATGGGGAAACCAGCCAACAAAGATCTGATGCAGGGTACGATTACCGCCCCTGTGTTGCTCGCCGCTGAGGGTCCCGCGAACGTAGATGCACTGGAGCTTCATCGCGCTTGGCAGAGGCGAGATAAAGAACGAGTCGCGGAACTGGTTCGCAAGGGTCTAGGTGTTGAGAAAACTTTAGCGCTGGCGGCAGAACACGCTCGCGAGGCCCAGAACGCACTTGTTGCGCCCTCGACAGCGGCAGATGGTATCAGCAGCGCCGGCGCTTTGCCGCCCAGCCCTGCTCGTGATGCCCTTTGTCATCTATGTGAGTGCATACTAGCCCGCCAGCGCTAGGGCGTCATGACCTCAGGCGGAATCTCAGGAGCAGTGCTTCCATCGGAGCCTTTGGGTGCACTCCCTGCAGAGCCCGTTTCATGGGCATCCACCGGCGCAGTCGGCATTTGCCCGGGCAGGGGAAGCTCTTCGCCGTTAGCTTGTCGACGCTGGTACTCCCGAACGACCTCGTTAAACCGCTTGATAGCCTTGCGGTGATGTAAACACTCCTCGTAATCTTGACGGTACGACGAGCACACTGATTTATCCGAGGACTCGAGCATGCAACGTTTGAATGCTAACCAGAAGCTGTAGCAGCGACTTTCGCCGCCGTGAACAGAGTAACCCGAAGCCATAAAAGTGTCCAAGCTACAGGAAAGCCGATCCAGACCCCGAAGCGTGGCGCTTGTGCGCGTTGCCACCAGTGTTGCCCGCGAGTCGATGAAAGGGAATCCAAAGTGCAGATACAGCGGTTGACAACCTAACGCTTCAACGACACGTTAAAACGGCACGATTTTCCTGTATACCTTTTGAAAAGAAACGCTCGATGTGGCCCGCAACGCACAGCCGTCCTATGAGCGACGCCTAACGCACTTGTGAGCACCAGAGGAAGCGCTCGGGTCGCTGTGCGCCGCATCCCCAATCGGCAATGCAATGCAATGCAGTGCAGTGCTCCGAAACCGGGGCAGGCGTGTGCTCGGTTACACTCCAGGCTTTCAAGCTAGCAGTTGCAGTTGCCGTGAACGACCAGTGCGTATGGAAACACGACCTACGGAAATCATGCCGACGTTACTCTTCATTCCATCCAACGTTTGACAGCATGCAAATCTGCGGTGCGCATGGAACCTCCCCGACACCTGGGGAGCGAATGGAGCAAACCTCAGAAACGCATGCGCTCTGCACAAGAACCTCACAAATGCGCGTTCCAAACGTACATAGAAGCACACGACACCTGTTTCGGATTCAAATGGAGTGGCGAACTGCTCGCACGGCTGCTCCCGCTCGGTTACATACAGAATGTTGTGATGGATATACAGATTTGATCAAAAAAGTACAGGAGTAGGCGTTGACGAATGCGTACGTTGTTTTCTGGATTCTGGCGCGTCGCCTCGAGTCGGCTCCGTCGAAGCGTCCCCGCTGGAATTCATGACGCTACTGGAGTGACGATGACCCGCGACGCTCTCGACGAAACGTTCATCAACAAACCGATACCATGATGCCGTCCAGACGCAAAAGCCTCCACGCTTCTTCTTTTCCTCATGTGTAGCAGGCTCAAATCACGCATGCTTCGTGTTTTTAATCTCGCTGTTTCGGTGCAACTCGTGATCGCTGCCACGCGTGACGCTAAATGAACGACGACGAAGAATCTTCAACGTCGTCGCTTGGCGACTTTTCACTAGCACACCCCGAAAGCTCACTGACGTTGTATCGAAAACAATTGATTCTGCTTAAATGGCATATCGTGATGTTAGGGACTACCGCCGATACGCGATTCCACAGCAGCGTCACATCTCTCACGGGATATGCTGCGAGAAGCTGCCGTCTCTTCTGTTTACATGGAAAGGAGTCTTGGTTTCGGACTCCAGTTATCCGGGCGATCGCTTCCAGCGAAGAGTACCTCGTCACTTTGCACGAGGCTCGCGTAGACGCATGGAAATTCCTCGACGTATTCTCTAGCCTGGATTGCCCTTCCGATTCATGTTTTATCATGGGCAACATCGCGTTCACCAAATCTCTTATCGAAAGAAACAGTGTGCGCTTCCGCATCCTACGACAGGAGTACTCGCCGAGGGAGTCGCCCAGCAGAAGCCGGTGATCCCTGGGCCGGGCATCGGGTGCCGCAACGGAGAGAGGGCATCAAAAGGCGACTTGTGTGCCGGTCAAGAATGCGCACTGGGCGCTGATGCAAACGCTTACGCACTACCTAGAGGCCCTCGGAGGCAGTGGATTCCTTGACATGTTCGAACACCGAACCACAGACTAATATTACATCTGCGAAGAGCGCACGGTGACCGTATCAAAAGAAGATCAAAATCGCAAGCGAAGTATGCATCGCAGCAATCGCCGAAAGCTGTGCAAACAGAACTTTGATGCTGCTCTCATCGTCGTTCGACTGCCGACAAAGAAGCTGGATGGACAGGAGAAATCGGCGTACTCCAGCCCCGGAGATACCAGAGAGGATACGAAGCAGTCTCAGCAAGCGTCCTGCTTAAACATGTCCCAATACGAATGAAAAGCAGTCCAAACGATTCTACGTACGCACGAGCAAGACGACTCGTTTCATTTCATGCTGAAATAGATTTAGAGAACGAGTTGCTCTAAGGGCAAGCTCTATGAAAGCAAGCAAACGCCATAGACTCTGGTAGGTTTCCGGCGAGTTGGATTCAGGAGCACGTGTACCAACTTCGGTATCTCCACTGCTTGGTACCTTGGACAAGCACCGTGAATGCCGGTGCGGTGCGGCGCAGCTTCGATGTAAAACTAGGTCCTCGTCGGCGTCTCCGTTGCAAGCTTGTTTTCGTAGCGAAACCACGCCAGACGCGATTCTGGTGCCTGTCTCGTACGCGATGGGCGCTCGCTGGCCCATAATCGTTTCGTGGGCATGGTCTGGTTTCGTTTTCGCATTGCGCTGATAATCCAGTTGTAAGATCGCAGGATCCGGCGGTGCAGAGCACTCTCCCGACGCCCTCGCGTATTCAGATGCAAGAGAAACGCATCCACTTGTGATTTTGATGCGTAGTACGACCATACTGGCGGTTCATCAGCGTTCGGCTGTTTTTCAATAAACAGACGACCTTCGCCGTGGAAGAACCAATAGCGATTGAGGTCGCGGTCGAGACCCAGGGGCGTAGTCCGCACCGAGTATTCCGAGAGTGCGGCCGCCATCTGTTCACCATATGTTTCCCGCTCTCGCCGCAATTCTTTCTGCAGAGTTCGTCTGCGTGCAATGAGGCGGGCATGCTCTCGTTCAATTTCGAATTGACGACGCTCTTGAGCTCGTCTCTCTCGTTCGGCTGCGAGAGCCTCTTGGCGAGATAGGCGGACGAGGCGTTTCACATCGGGCGTTGAGAGGTACCCGTTGGCGTCTGTGTGACGCTTTCGGTCTTCGTCCAATTTTGCTTGGGACTGCTGGGCGACGCGCTGCAACGCTCCACGCTCTGTCGATGGGGTGTACTGCGACGCGTCGTCGCCACTACTCAAGTCGGGTCGATCATCCGCCGCGCAAACCAGCGACCCGTTCCACACCGAAGTCGTCGAAATCGACCCCGATAACCGGCTCCGGTTACGCTGTGGGTGTGAGCGGACAGCGCCAGTCTGAGACTCGCTTCCCCGCTGTCCCGGCTCGAGGTCGTTGCCATCGTCATCATCGTTGTAGACACTGGTGGATTCTTCGTGCGTTCCCAGATCCATATCGTCGCCATCATCGTCGTCTTGTTCGCTTCCACTTTGTGATGCATCATCTGCATAGCTACCTTCTTCACCACTTTGCAGAGAAGCAGCTCGCTCAGTCCGCAAGGCGTCTCCGATGGAACGAGGACGAGATTTCTTTCCATTACTGTGGGGCTTTCGTTCCGAATGCTCTTCCTGCTGCTCTGCCATCGAAGCGCTCACGCATTGGGCATCGCTTTGCGTAGCAGCTCGGTGTTCGCCTCTATCCCGTCTGATACCGTGCGCCTCTTCGAAAGCGAAGAGCGCCTCTTCCGCTTCTCCAATCTGCTCTCTGATCACGCGACGCTTCTCCATGAGCTGCTGTCGTGTACTCCGCGCAACTTCCGCCCGCTCGACAAGGATCGCGTCCAGTACACGTCGAACGCGCTCCGTGGCCATGGCCTCCTCACAGAGCGCCCTCAAAACAACAAGCCGCCCCGAGAGTGGCACTTGCCCATAGCCGTGCTGCATGATCGTAAGCACCACTTCGACGACTCGATTGGAAACAAGAGGAGAGCGCGGTTCGTTCCATAAGAGCATCTGATCATCTGCAGCATCGTGATTGTTTCCATCGTCGTTCTCGTTGTAACTGTTGTCGTCCTCGAGGTCTCGAGGCTCGATGCTACCATCGGAACCAGGCAAACGGTGGGGTGCAGTGCTTACCACCGCCTGTTCCGTCACCTCCGCATCCTTTGATGTCGGGCCCGCTCCATCAGACGCTATGCCGACCTGCTCAGTGCCAATGCGTTGCCGTTGTTCCGTGAAGAGACGACGCGTCTCTGGGGGTAATTTCATATTACGAACCATCTCCACCAAAACCTGTGGCCAACTCGCCGGTGACAGCGTTCGTCGAAGTAGGCCCAGAGTGCCACTCTTGCTGCTAGAGGCCACAAAGTCTCGCAGATCTCGAGAGCAGGCAGGATCGCTGCTCACAGACAGCAGCAACCGTAGCAGTGCGTAAAAAACAGCATCGATCAGTGGTGAGTGCCCAGGCGGATACGCCAGCGCACCTTCAAAATCATCCAGCGAGAACGGGCTTAGCATAAGAACTTGCTTCCCAAATTGGTTCAAAAAATTCCAGATCATCAGCACATCACCGAAGGAAACTCGGTCCACAATAAAGTCCTGTTCAGGTTCGGGGCGCGGCGGGTCCGCAGAATGGTCCACCAGCAGATCGTCTACGAGCTCTGGCTCCGTTTGTTTTCCCGGTCGCTTCTTGTTGGCTTCGGTGGTTACACCCGGTTCAGGCTCCTCGCGTGGTTTCTCAACGTCCGCTGCTTGCGCTGATGACTCCGCTGCAGGCTCTTCGAGTCGCATTCTTCGCTCCTCGTACTCCGCTTTGGCGCGCTGCATCTCGGGCGTCGGAAGTGCCTCGGGCAGCTGGAACTGCTGTACCAGCACGGGATTCTGAACCACCAGAGGCGCGCCGTGCCATGGATCCCTGGAGGAAATCTCTCGTATCTTTTGTTTCAAAAGCGTTTTGGGTACAGGCGGTGCTTTCCGATTCAATACCGCTAAGGGCGCTGGCAAGATACGTCCATCCTCAAGCTCGTAACGTATACGCGCAAACTCAAAGCGTTTCTCGAGCACCGCTCGAGCGAGCTCCGGCGAGTACCGTACAGGTTCAAGGTCGCTGGTGTCCGCATGAGCGATGAAGACTCGTCGAACGGACGCCTGCTTTCCGCCCCCATCGACGTATGTTTCACCAGGAACATAGGATTTTTGGAATATTTCCGCCACGGCGTCGACGAGATCATCCAGACGCCCGGCAAAGTGGTGAACCAGGCGACACAGAGGCTCTAGATAGAGGCTCGAGCGAAATCGCTGCTCCAGACGCTCAGCAGCAGCTCGCTCGGACAAGAGCGCCTCTCGAAAGGTGAGCCCGCCCTTTCCTGTCGTAGAACATGACCAGATGCGACTCGCGTACAACCAGTAGTGGTCTAGGTAGTCAGCGTACTCACGAAAGACTTCACCAGTGTCGGGATAATAGAAAACCAAGTCAGCAGGAGAGAGATCTGACGAAGGTTGCTGTGGACGAAACTCGCTGCGGTGCAGGAGCGGCATAACCGCAGAGGCAACACCGAGTCACTCGTTATAAGACGTCCGAGTTACCCAGCCAGAAAAGCGCAACTCTCACGAGCGTTCGGCGCAAGCAGCGCATGGGCAGCGGCCTCGGCTTTGGCCGCGACGAACGCCACGACCTCGTGGAGGCGCGACGTTGCGACGGGGGGCGGCAACGCTGCACCTGCGGTGCTTGCGTTATAGAGGCGGATGCCAGAGCATTCTCATGCAATAAGCGGCCTGGGCACGAGTTTAACAGCGAATCAAATGGATTCCAGTTGTCGGCCTTATCGTACACAGCGGAGTATGCGTCGTGGCAGAGCCAGCTTCTTGCAGTCCCGGTAGATACAGGGCAGGGTAGCGGACCTCAGGAGTCTTGCTGAGGAGCATGCATTGCCTTGGCAATTTGCTGTGTTTCACAACACACTCCATAGATCTGACACGGTTGAAAATGTCGGTCTGTTGATGAGGCTGGCGTACTGCGCTGGCTGCAGGAAAACTGCGATTCCCGGTTCATGACGACACCCTTGCGGGGATACCAGAAAGCTTGCGCGACAGCAGCCAAGCGAGAAACGCCACCAAGTCGAGCACTGTGTCGCTGTCTAGGCCGCTTAGCATGTATGCAAGCTGCACACGTTCAGCCGCAGCGCTGGGGGTCAGCCGGCCGCATATGCTCGAATGCAGGCGTTCTTCGAGGTTCTTGACAAACGTACGCTTCCAGCGCATTGCACAGGCGCGCTGCTTGATGCGCTGCACAGCGGAGTGCGTCATGCCAGCGCAAAAGCGCATCATGGTACATAATGGATTGATTATGTATATTATTGTATAAATATCGAAACATTTGCACAGCACGTTCGTCATCTGCTGCGTACCATTGCCGAGCGTCGGCCAAGGAGCGCTCTTCGCACGAGTCCGCTCACGGTCTGCTACTCGTCATTTTGGCCGAGGGAGAAGCGAGGCTACCCTGAACAAGTGTGGACGCGAACTGTGCAGTACGCAAGTGCCTGGTTATGGGTAAGGATATGGTGTAGTCACTGACAAACTTTGGCGCAACTGTCACGCGGAGTTCTCTAGAGAGGGCACGCCTCGTGTAAGCGCTGTAAACACTTTTGCCAGCGACGTTCCGAGAGTGCCTTGCGAGCAGTCGGAAAGTAGAGGACGGTTCGGAATTCGTTTAGAGATGGAATCGCAAGCAGATCGTTCACGTTGTCGTTTTACAAAAAGCATGGAGCTCGCAGAGGTGCCTTTGGCGATTTTCATGCCGCGGTGCGGGTGCTACAATACGCTGCAAACCACCGGCACTCCCCAGAGTCGAGAGCCACGGGCTGGGCCAGTGCGCTACCCGCGGAAGAATCTAAGTCCGTCTTGGGCAGGGTCATCGGGCAAGTGCTCGCATAATGCTGGCACGCTCGAGCGTTGAGGCCAGATGCAGCAGCAGCAGCAGCACGCGCTAGGAGCGCACTCACGGTCAAAGCACCGCGACGCTGAGGCGCTCATTTCTGGACAGGTCCGAGTTCCAACCCGGGACCTTGCTGAGAGTCTTCCTCGCTTATGGCGGGGCGTTGCATGTCCGAGCAGCAACCCGTAACGAGCTATAGCAACGCAAACACCAGCGCAGGCTCAGGCACTTCAAGCGCTTTCAGTGAAAAGAACGCATCAGCGCGACCTCTAGCACCATCTACCACCCAACTGATGCGGGCGTGGGTGGTCTGTTCCCCCGCTCCCGTCTACGAAGCGCTACCATTGCCGATATGGCCGCCACAAGCGACAGCAATGCAGAGAAGAAAACGATCGCATCAACGGCAGACAGCGCCCAATAGTATCCCTGGGTTCCACATTCGCAATACATTTCCGAGAGCGAGAATGAGCCGATACTCGAAGGCGAGCCGTCGCATCGTGCCTGTGCACTGCTTCGACTGCAGATTCGGTACGCTTCTACTGTGGAATGAAAATCGAGCCCGGCGGAAGCCGCTGCAGCACCTGTTATGCCCAACTGAGTCAGCCAGAAGAAAGCATGCCCGTGCCGAAAGTGATAAAAAAGAACGATCCATAGCAGTGCAGCCAGCACAATCATGCATCCAGTGACTAGACGGATGATGTTATTCACCAGCGGATATCCACCATTGATGGCCGCTATCAAAAAAGGTCGGTGCGTTAACGGTTCGAAGTAGCTGAGCGTGTAGATCTTGGATGCATCCAAGTAATAATACCGAGTTGCGGGAAACGAGCTGCCGCTTGTAAGATACCAGCAAGACCACACAATCAGAAAGCATCCGAAAAGAACTTGGGCAAGCAGAAATCCAGACAAGAGCCGTTCTCGTTGGATTTTATGCGTGTAACTGCGTTCAGCGACGGTGCGAGACTTGTGCCCGAGGGCGCTCGAGTCGCGCTTCGTTGCCAGCGAATACTCGTCGGACTCGATCTGCCGGTTCCCGTTACCTTGCGACTTGTGACCCATTTTACTCAAAAATAGCGCTCGATTCGTCTGAGCAGCGTAGAACAGCCGCAGAACTGAGCCCAGGAACCTGAACTTTAACCGAGTGTACAACCTGGTTTGCGATACCCCAGCTCGGTTCTGCGAACGCCAGTAAAACGGTTTCAGCGAGAGACTTTACCGAGCGCCGTATTTCTGGATACAGACAAGAGCAGCTCGCGTATCACCAACGCTTCGTTCAGGCACAGGGACACAGCGGAGGCGCTGGAGGCACGCAGGCTGTCCAGCTGCCGTACGCTGTACAGCACAACGTTGTGGCGCACGCGCCTGCAGGACACGCCACCCACTCCGAGGACACCGCCTGCTACGCATCTGGGCATCAGGCGTCAGACTGCTGTCGTCGTCGCCGTCGTCGTCGACTTGCCAGCGTGTCGACACAGCAGCCAACGGACGCTCTGCGCCAGCCAGCCAGCCAGCCAGCCAGGCGGCGTCGCCGATCAATCCCGCATCGGAGTCGGTCGTGCAGCACCGCGGATTCCCAGCACAGGGACGCTGCTGCTCGATCAGAACATGAACTCTAATGTACATAATACGAACAATCGGTCACCATTGCTGCTCGATCAGAACATGAACTCTACTGTACAGAATATGAACAATCGGTACACATACCTGCAGAGCGTCTGTGGGTGTGTCTGTACCGCGAGACAGCAGCATCGCCGCCTCTGCCGAGATAGCGCGACACCGCATTCGCCCATCAATCCGACAGGTGAATGCTGCACGCCAGCACCCCGAGCCGCCGGACACGTGTGTTCGCACAGGGACGCAGGCGGCGCACCAGCCAACGTTTCAGGGGGCAGTCCTCCTGGTTCCGACAGCGACCTTGCTAGCTACGTGGCTGGCGTATTCCCTGGTGCACCGCTCCCGATGAGTCTCTCTCTCGTTGAAAGTGTCTGGCTAGGGACGTCAGCTGCGCAACTATCTGCGCTCGTAAACTTCTTCCACAGTGAGTACCTGCGAGTAGACTCGCGGAACACGTTTGCCCTCAGCAAGTCCTATGCCGTGGCGGTAGCGCTGAACGCACTTCCGTACGCTATCGTTGGTGTAGTGCTCTTCTTAGCCGCTCTTCTGGTTCTGACGATCCGCTCATGTTGCTGCAAGCAGTGGTGGTACAAGCGCAGTCTCAGACCGGGTTTGCGGAGGCACTTTGTGGCCTTGGGCCTCGTGGGTCTCGCTCTTATCGTTATCACGTATGGTTCGCTCGCGATCATGTTCCAGGCGGCGCGCGGTATCGACCGCTCGGTATCGGGTACCTTTAAAGCACTGATATCTGCGGGAGGCGAGCTCGACAATGGTGCAACATTCATCGCCCAGACTGTCAGTAACTTTAGTCAAGCAGTCTCCGAGTACGTTGCGGCGCATGGTAGTACGAACGGCCTCGAGTGCAAGTCAGCGCTCTCCAGTCTGAACCAAAAAGCGCAAACTCTCGAGTCAGATGCCCAGTTGGTGGCCGGGGCCGACTACAGAGCCAGCAATGAAGGCATCTATGTCGTGCAGTACATCTTTCTGGCGATTGTCATCTTGCTAGCCGTTCAAGTCGGCGTAACCTACCTGGCCTTGGTGCTCTGTCAGGGACACGTCCGCAACTGCTGTGCGGTCTTTTCTCGCATTCTTGCACTCATCTTTGCCGGACTGGTCATGGGCATCGCATGGGTTGTGGTGGGTCTCGCGGTTGCCGCAGCCCTCGCACTGAGCGATGCCTGTGTTTCCCAAAATCAACTCTTCCAGTATATGGAATCGCAGGTCAAGTCTTTTCAACAGGGTCAGCCAGCGCCACCGCCTCCCTCAGGAAACGCCTTTATCGAGGTCGGCCTACAGTGCCCTGTGTTGAATACCCTAGGCAAGTCGTACAGCCAAGCGATTTCTGAACTGAAGTCGATCATTTCGGACTGCCGATATATCATTGAGAGCGCAACCGGCCTGAGCGACTCGGATTACACCCAGGTGACCGACCAGCTGGTGACCCAGGTCGAGGACTTGACGAACTGCACCACGATGCTCCGGGCAGTGCACCGTATTGGTGCCTTATCCTGTGGCAGTCAGCGCGACTCGGATATCTCTTCCGCGTTTATCGTTTTTGTCGTCGGACTGGTCCTCGCCGCCATCTACATTATCCTCTACTTTTTGCTCGTTCTGGATGCAGACCTGCTTGTCTGGGCAAAGATGGCTCCGGGACGAACCGTTCAACCAGTCATGTACCAGATTTATCCATTGGATGCGAGTGCTACTCCCGAGAACCAAGCTGCGAGCGCTCCTTACTCCAGGTTCGGTGGCGGGGCGGATACGCTCGCCACAATACCCGACACGAGCTGGGCGGGCGCTGGCAAGTCAACAGTGACCTCGCTTGGAGGGTCGGAAAACGGCGGGTCAGAGGGCGTGCCACGTCCGTCGGCTCCACCGCCGAGCTGGTGACGCACCGCGCGAACTTGTCACCTACAGGACAAAAAGAGAGCACGAGGACCTCATAGGCGACGCACTCGAACGATATGGATCAGGGCCCGTCGCTGCATATACCAGAAAAAAAAGACTCGCTTGTTTTCAACAGCTCGCCTGGCGTCCGATGCGGCGCCTAGTCATCCCGCATATGCGGCATGAAGAGCGGTATCGATATTCGCAATCCTTGGCGTAAACCGTTACTTCGTTGGCGTCATGAGCTGTGGGTTATGTTTGCAATACAACCTCGGGAATGCAGGACGAGGTCTCTTCGGTTGCGAATCGCTGTGCAATTGAGCGACACCTCGAATTCCTGTCCCATGCCGAAACGCTATCCAAGTTCGGGGATCTGTATCCAAAATAGAATGATGAAGATGAGCCAGAGACCTGCACGAACAGCGACACGCAACCGTCATTGAGCGGGGTGAATTTCGCGAGTGTAGAGCTGCTTGTCTGTTGTGGCATTGGCGCTGGGCTCGGAACGTCGTCCCGAACAGCACATCGCGATCGTTTGAGAACGGGATCCCTGTTCGGTGTTCGAGCAGATGGCCGCCTTCAAGAGCAAGAATCCAGATACATCGCGATAAGCCATGGTACAAAGTGGAGACACCCTGATCAGATGAAAAATCCGGCTGGATACTCCCTGCACGTCGTTTCGCTCATTGTGTCTGCGCTGGTGCTGCCGGTCGCGCGCTTGACAGGCCCGTATTCCAGAGCGTCCTGTGCTGGCCAGCTCGTCGCCTGTTGTCAGGCTGCGGCACATCGCTTTTCCTCACTTGCGCAAGTAACGGATTTTCAGAAGATCCGCAACTTGTTCAATTACATTCAGAGCGAAATCCAAATCCTCGCGACTATGGGCCGCGCTGATACAAATCCGTGAACGACTCAAAATGAGGGGCGTCGCGGGGAAACCGACCACGACCACTGCGAGGCCGCGCTTGAGGCATTCGCGGCTGAACTCGGCAATCACAGAAGGTACATAGAGCATGATCGGAATTACAGGAGACCCCGTGCTGCCGATCGTCTGCAGACCCATTTCCAAGAGACGCCGGCGGAAGTAGAGCGAATTTTCCCGCAGTTGCGTCAGCTTCCTCCGTCCAATATCCGTACCATCCTCGCCGCTGATCTGACGCATCGCAAATAGGATATGCTTCGCACAAGCAGGCGACATGGTGGACGCGTACAGGGCACCGGGCGCTGTGCGTCGCAGGTGTGCAACCAGCTCCCGCGAGGCTGCGACGTAGCCACCTACTGCACCGAAGCTCTTGGTGAAGGTGCCCATCAGAATGTCGACATCTCGCGGGTCGACCCCGGTGAACTCACACACACCACGACCTCGCTCTCCAAGCGCACCAATACTGTGCGCCTCGTCGACAAAGAGGAATGCCTTGTATTTGCGCGTCACGCGCGCGATCTCGCGAAGGTTGCAGATCGCACCCTCCATGGAGTAGATACCCTCTACAACGACGAGAATGCGACGCCATTGGCGGTGCGATCTTGGCTGACCCTCAGCAATCGCTGATCGGAGGACGCGCTCCAGGTCTTTGGCATCGTTGTGTCGAAAAACTCGGATACGCGCCCCTGACGAACGCGCGCCTGCCACAATGCTCGCGTGGTTCAATTCGTCGCTAATGATGAGGCCGCCTTTCCCAATGATCGCCGGAATGATCATAGAATTCGTTGCGAAGCCCATACCAATGACGATTGCATCAGGTTTGCCCACGAAACGTGCCACCGTTTGCTCGAGCTCGCGAAGCACCGCCGTGCAACCGCTCTCTCTCGCAGCGCCAGTGGCAACGCCGTACCTATCCAGAGTTTCCAGCACGGATGCATCTACACCGCCCGGCACCTCGCCATATCCGAGATAATTGTAGGAGCTGAGGTTAAGGCACCGCTTGACGCGACCTGTATAGGTCAGCGCTGCTGTGAATGGTGCCTGTGGAATCCAGCCAATCACCTCGTTGGTGCCCTCCCGGATGAGCTCCACTGGCTTCAGTTGCGGCGGTTTCGTCGCCCATCTCTCAAGTATGCCCTTTTGCAGGAGAAGCTCCCGCTCCTTCGGTGTACGAAAACGCCTCTCGATGACGTCGATGTAGGCACCTGGGGCTGAGCAAATCGGTCGGGACCAGCAATCTTCGATGCGGCGGTAGAGCCGGCGTGTGTAGAAATCCTCAAAATCCGAAAGCAACGGAGCACAGCCCTGCGGCTTGATCATCGCGTATCTTCGTCGTTTCAAAATCTTCGATAAAGCGTCACGCAGATACCCCAGAACGATAACCACCGCGTACATAGCATACGTAATGAGCGCAGCAACAAGCGGCACTTCGGCGTACATCTCATCTGGAACTTCGCTGACGTACTGTGCCGCCATGGAGTATCGCTGCGGAATCCTACGCGCGGACGTTGCAAGTTTCATCCGCGCTGGTGACATCGGTGTTTTGCGCGTGGCGCTCCGCTCGGACTCCCACCGATCCGATGCATTGGATCCAACACCCGTCACGCGGTGTTTCGGCGTCTCAATTGAACCCGTTTTGGGAGTTCTGAGCGATCCAGAGCTGGCTCTCCAGCTGAGCTTCTGAACTGGCGTTGCCCCGGAAGTCACATCCAGCGCGTCGCTCCCAGGGGAGCTTGACAGCCGACCTGCTGATGAAGCAGTAACACCGGAGAAGACGTCAGCATCGTCACTGTCGAGCTCGTCGTCGTCGTTGCAAAGGTCCTCATCCTCATTTTCGTCTTCTTCAGAAGATCGGTCTCGCGCTTGGAGAGAGCTCAGATCCACTGGGGTCGGCGAGCGCTGCGATAGATATGAGACAAACCCATCACCGCGGTTGCTAACGAACAGCTGGAGCTCTTCCGCTGCCGCTACTTCCGCCTCAATGGGTTCGCGCCCGCTCACCGTGCCTGCTTCAGGTAGTTGACGTTCCCCAAGCGAGGTTTTCGTTGCCATCTGCCTTGTGGTGCGTCGAACGCTGTTTGAGTTTCACCCGTGGCTGCTGCCGCGTTCGCAGCGGAATCCTAGTGAGGCTCTGTCACCTACGCAACCTGCGTGAACTGTTGTGCGGTCGGGTGAGGCCAAAGCGCTTCTACTTGCCAGACAAGTATCTTCTCGAAGAAACAACCGCTGCTTTTTGATTGTACGGCGCAGCAGGTACTCCGCCTTCCAATGTCGCTGCTCGCTACGGGAAACAAACAACAACGTTCACGATCGTGGGCCGGCGCAGGCGTTTGCTGCGCAGGTTCAGTGACGCGGACGGGATGCTCGCCGATGCCGCAGATCTAAACCCCCACGCCAGCGACCAGATTTCGAAAAATCGCGAGTCTGGGCCATGGACGCGAGCGTCGTCGTCAGCGACGATTCTTTCTCATTTATGGTATTTTTATTCCATTTTATACAATCATATCAAGTGTTACGGCAAGCCGCTTGGAAGCGCAGTCGAGTCGCTGGGTGATCTGCGTACCAGCGTTGATGCACGCTGAGCGTGCCAGCCCGGAAAAGCAGGGACAAATGCGAGAGATTGTCGGTCGTGTCGATGGAGGCAAATAACGAGCTGGTGGCGGAAGAGCTCCAGGCGATATCGAGTTCGGCACAGATGCTGTAATGAGAGCGAGAGTCGCTTCAGTTTGTGAACTGTCGTTGGGTTACTTTCGACCTCGAAGCGGTGGACGCTGTACCCAAACGATGGTTGACGCGCGTTGCGTGCCTTCCTTGGATATCGCGATACAATATGTTTCTGAAGGGGGCGCTTCGGAGCAAATGAGGCTTGTTTTCGGAATGCGAGCGCCCTCTACTTCTCTATCGTAGGTGGGATGCGGTCCCGATCTGTGACCTCAAGGCGCATACAATGACCGTAGACACTTGTATACTGTACTGTATGGCGTTGTCAATGAGCTAAGGCTATAGTTTCTGGCAGCTAGTGTGAAGCATTCAACCCATTTCGCAGAGAGCATCGGCAGGGCTCGTTCAACGAATCTCGTTGACGGGCAGGCGATGGAAATAGGTTTATGCGGGCGACGAGGAGCAACAGATCACCCGTCTACCTGCACTTTGCGGACTAACGGCATGAAAAGAGCCGCGAGACTCATTTTCAACCGTCCAAGGTAGGTGAACCGTAAGATTTCGTGATGGGCGTAGATCTCGGGTTGAAGTCCATCGTGGCCGTCGCCTTCGTTCCGAGTCGAAAAGACGAAGTAAAAGACCTGAACGGAAAGCAGATACAGCTGCTCGAATTGTTCTGGGCTCGGCATCATGAGGTTTCGGGCCTAATTGGCGTCATGCTGCATACCAATGAATTGAATGACAGCGTCAGGACCCAAGACGACGCTCTGAGCTCCGTATCGAGCAGACACGGTTGTTTTGTACGCTGTATTCAGAAAGAGTACGATCGTCCAAATAGCTCCCGCGGAGCATCTTCGGCTGTTGTACATAAAACCCTGCTGCGATCGCGTACGATTTCGCTTGTGTGAAGACAAGCAGCGTGCATTCGCCAACTTGTTCCATGAGCTAAACAAGGGCAGTGCTCATACAATGCGACGTTCGAGACTAGCCTATGGCGCTAGACGCCCTGTAGCGCGCATAATCTATATTTCTGCTTCGTCGACGGGTGCGCCCAACGAGAGCAGGAATCGATTTTGGACGTTTCCCATCGATGCGTTCACGGAGGAACACACGCTGCACCGGTGCAGATACACGCTGACAGTGGAACAGAAGAAGCGCATGAAATAATGACGGTTGCCCGAGATGATGTACGTTACGCAGATAGAGTGTTGTATGGCGTGGAAATCGCCGGCGAGGAGCATACGACGGTGTCATACCACGAGCTACGATGCGCACCAGCACTTTCCACACCGAGACCTGAACGCCCGATCAACAGAAAGAAAAGTTTCATGCTTCCAGAGCTCCCAGCGGATTTGTATGGAGCGAACTCTCGGGGCAATAGTTCAGTAACCTATAGGCGCACTGTGGTAAAATGCAGCTGAATTCCAATGAAAACAAGTCCGCCGCCTGAACACAGCAGATGAGATGCTGAACCAAAACAAGGCACTGGTATGGTGCCGCTCAGCGACACACCAACGCCGGAGCGCCGTACACATACACCGGCAACGATTTGCCCCCCGCCCCCGCCCCCCGGCAACTAATGATGAACAGTACGGGCATTGCATGGTTCGAAAGTACGAATGATACCCGCGATGAACGGTCAGCGTGGACGCTCGCGAGACTGCACAAGCGATGACGCTGCGCGCGTGCTCCAAGCTCGAAACGATTGCATGCGTTCCGTAGGGCCTTGGCATCAGCGTCGGTGTCGGCGCTGCGCAACTATCGCATTCCGTGGAGCGACATCCGACTTCTCCACAGCTGCAAGTTGTGCTTGTATCATGCATGATATGCACGCGAATGGCGCGTGCAGTGCGAAAAGTTGCCTACGAGGCCGTAGCCTAGGTCACAAACACCTATGTTCGGTTGCGGCTGCTCAGCGGTCTGCCGACTTGGCAGCGTGCGCGGAAGCTGCGAAAGCCTCCATCATTCAAGTGCATGTCGGAAAACGCGGGCTGTGGATTCTAGGCGCATGCGTCGCAGGCTTGCAGCGGAGGCTAAATGCTCACTTGCTGGCCTATGAAATGCGAATGCGTGAATTGACGCTGTTTTCGTCGGGCACGCTCACTGCCAACAGCGACGGCAAACACATTCATCCGGATCCGCCGTCGGCTCTAATGATGATACCCCAGCCAGAGACCTCATCGACGTAAATATTGTCCGGAGCATTCAGCAAGCCGACCTGAGCTGCCCATGGAAGCGTTTTCCCGTAGAAATTGCCCAAAAACACTGGAGCAATACCATCGATGCGTCTGTGGCTTGTTCCTTCACGCTGCCAGCAACGACAAAGCTCGGGGCACGGCCCCAACGCCACAAAACTCGCTTTGGCGGAGCAGTCACCCAGAAATCACGCGCTGGACGTCGTCCTCCGCCTCGAGCGCCTGAATGAGTTCATCCAACTCTGGCGGCCGCTCTGAACCTTCGCTCGTTCCAGCTTCGGATTTTCGTTTCCAAGCCAACTCCGCCGAGACGATTTCCATGCTGAACGTCGATTCGTGACGAATTTGATCTGCAAGCTGGCGGACGTGCTCCTCCAGAGCCGAGAGTAGCTCCGGGGCGGTCTCAAGCTCAACGTATTCCTCGTTCTCGTTTGTTTTGTCGCCGTTCGGTTGTGCATCTGCTCGATAGTGCTCCAGGTTCTCGACGAGACCAGTGTCAATAATCGCGTCAAGCCAGGCTTGTTCAAAGCGCGGGCAGCACCGAATCAGCACTCGTCCAACTCGGTTGAACTGCCAGAGCACAGCTCCGTCCGGTGCAAGTGTTCCGCCGTGCTCGTTCAACAAGTGTCGAAGACGTGGGGCCGTTCGGCGTCGATTGTCCGTTAAGCATTCAATAAGCAGGGGCTCCGTCCCCAGGTATGCTTCATAAACGACGAGCTCTAGATCCGACACGGGTCCGGTTGCCCGAACTCCGGAGCCTTTCGCAGACTCCAGGGCTGCAGCGATCTTCTCTTTTGGCATACGCACACCGCGTGCCATTTCTAGTGCGGTTGCTAGCCTTGGATTGCTTTCAGGGTTAGCGTCTCCGCCTTGTGCGCGCACAGCTGCACCAATGGCGTTGAAAACACGTTGGAAAGCCTTACATCGTCGAGCGTCCTCGCGAGCCTTTTTGTGCTTGATGTTCGCGAACTGAGAGTGACCTGCGAACCGGCGCGCGAAAACTCTCGCCGTCTGCAGCAAGCGACTCCGCGTCATAAAGCGAGTATATAAACATTCCCGATTCCGGAGAACCGTCGAAACCCTGACGTCGTTCCTGTGCCGCGCACGTTCACGCCCATACACACAAACCGCAACAAGCGGCCGTCGCGTTGTATCCGAACGGAGCACTGAACCGCTCGCTCTGTTCATGCCATGAGATTTTTTCATACCTTTTTCAGTTGTATAGTGCTGAAACTCAAAGAGTAGCAATAGAGGCTTAAAGATTCATGTATAGTGTCCGGATTCCGGATTTTGTTTTCGGAGTGGCTTCGATGAAGCTTTGCTTCTGGAATTGTTTACGTGAACGGAATCAAGATGATTTGCAACGCTTTCGAACAAGGTTTGGTAACATAATCAATCGCATGATCCAGTTCATATGGGCAAGACCCCGCGGTTCCTCGTTCCTTACGTCTAGCGTGATCAACGCGTGCATTCTTCGAGTTTCGATGTATCTTTTTCAAGGCAGCTCGAGCGCACAGCTGAATCGAAAATGAAAAATACTCGTTGTCGTTTCTTGACGATCTCTGAATATCCTCTTGCACAAGGTTAACTGAACTAGCCCAGAGCATTCATCGAACCCGTTCGAAAGATGGATCCTCGTCTCCTTGCGAGTATCTATGAACCGGCATGCAACAGCAGCTTGATAGCTCTCATGGGTTATACTCCAAGGGACCCGAGTCTCTTCTGATTGCATGGTAAAGTATGTCGTACTCGGGCGTGCGTCATCGCAGGAATCGGTTCCAGAGGGCATCGCGTCAGCGCCGTGCATGATGAAAGCGAAGATAGATTCAAATTTCTCGACCACCTTTTCAAACCTGGCGTATCCTTACAGCACTTGTTTCATCATCGGCGACATCGCATTCCATGAATCCTGTCTCGAATGGAGCAGCGTGCGATTGTACATATAGCTGGCGAAATGAGATGCCGAAAGACCGCCCAAAACAAGCCCGTTTTTGGGCGGATACGGCACCGGGGCCCGGCAACCGAAGCGACCATCGCGGATAGACCTCTATACGCGTCAAGTGCCCGTACAGAGCGAAGAAGCCAGCGTTCACATCCGACAAGTCGACTCTCGGAGGAGAAGGAGGCCGTGGTGGTGTTTCGCGAAAATCCGGGAACACTTGTGCAAAATTCCAAGAGTCATCGCTGCGATGTATGTACCCGGGCTCTATACAACGAACATGATCATGGCAAACGAAGCGTCGCACGCAACGTTTGCCTGCGCAATTTTTAGCGTCGATAATGGCCGGAAACTGCGAAATCCGGGCTTGAACGCTGCCAGCAACATGCTGCGACTGTTGAGAATCGAGCCGGAATTACAGGAGAGACCAGCGTTCTTAAAGCCGGAGATCCGAGAGAGTTAAAGCCCGGAAAAGCTGTCGTCGCTGGCACTGGAAGGAGACGAAACCTATAGTGAGCACGTCCAAGTTATGTTGCAGGAATTGTTCCATTTGATTCTGTAATGCGTGCGACCGGTACCGCCTCTGGTGTTTCGCTGGCGAGCAGCGCATCCGCAGAATGCAGCCCTCTCCGCCAAACGATTCAAAAGAATGCTGCGGTTGTTGGGGTGCCTCAGGCCTAGGTATTGCGAACTGGTCCAAAAACGCGAGCCATTCCTGCAATGCACAGCTTGCACAAGACGCTTTTGGCCTAAAACGCGCGCCAAGCGAAACGCTTAACAAAGACCGCTCATGTGGAAGCTGCGTTCTCCGAAAGTCGGAGCTCGCGAACTCGTTCTACGATTCGAGCGCGCAACCTCACAAGGTCCGGCCCCAGCATATCTCGTTCGTGGGTAAGAATGAGGTATTCGTCGATGCCACCAACTTTTTCGATCGTTCGCAACGCCCTTGTGGTCACCGTGAAACGCAGCGGCTCCTGAAGAACTCGGCTGTAGAACTCTTTCCGATGGACGTTCGGTCGCCAAGCTCGACGTGTTTTGTTCTCTGCGTGACTTATCTGGTTTCCAAAACGAATGTGTCGACCTTGGTACAGACCCCGGAATCGTCGCAACATAGTCAACGCCGCTGAGGGTTTTGTCATGAATGCGCTTGAACAAGCTGCTGAACACAAGCGAAGTCGTACGCGCAGCGGTACACCAGCTGCGTATACTGCAGTGTACGCCTGCAGTGCAGCACCACGAGCTCGTACAGTCTCGAACAAAACCGTACCTGCAAACTATACGCACTCCAACACCGATTCTATCCGGTTCTACCAACGGGTCCAGGCACAGACGCCCTGCGGGGGCGTCAAGGCAGGCGGCAATCCGTAGCCCGGCTCCTGGGCAATGATACTGGTGATGGTGATGCCCCTGCATCGCACGCACGCACGCACGCACGCACACACGCACGCACGCACGCACACGCACACGCACGCACACACAGAAACACATGCGCACGTGCGCACGCACTGCCCGGCACGCCACTGCATCGCATCTCATCCATTCGAGTCGCCAGCAGCAGCAGCAGCAGCAGCATCGCCGTCGCCGCCGTCGCCGCCGCCGTCGTCGGCGATCTTTACCGTCCGTCCGTCCGTCCGTCTGTCCATCAGGGCGCCGGGCTCGCTGTCGTGTACGCCGAGCCATTCGAGGCCGCCACAGGGCCTGGAGCTCTCCTCGGACACTGCGAATACCGGACGGACAGAAGCGGTGGGAAACGCTGCAACCTATCAGAGAAGGTCGGTACTAGTCGCCAGTTGGTGTTGTGTGTTGCAGCTCGAAACCGTGTGAGCTCCTCAAGCGCGTCAATTGGAACGGTGGTAACAGCGCTTTAGGAACAGGGCAACCGCAACGCGCAGGTGTTCACGTCAGTATGAGTGGCACTGGGAACTACTACAACGTCGGTGCGCGAGCAGTCAAGCCGCAGCGGGCAAGTCGCGGGTCAGGAGCGATGCGTGCTTTCAATGAAATGGGGGACCAGGCTCCACGACAAGTTCCAGGTGCTGTTTATGTTGAGGAGGACTTTCCGGCTCTGACGCGGTCGAACGGCTCGAGCGTCCGAGGCAAAAGCAACATCAATGCGAACGCGGGCGGCAAGCCTGATGCGACGATGACACCAGAACAATCAGATAGCACCGGTGGTGCGACTTCCGCATCGCCTGAAAAAGAGCGGCGACGAGCAGACGCACCGAGCACGGACGCCACCTCAGTGTCCACGGGAAACAGCCAGGAGGCGTCCACCTCGGGGCACGCTCGCCTGCGGTCCACGTTTTCCCAGTCGGCACCGCATATGAATGCTTTCTATGCACCCGGGTCCTACATGACCATGATGAGCGATATGACAGCGGGAATGGGTTCGCATCATGAATCCGCCGCGCTGCCGTACGGTGTCCGTATGGGCGAACAGTTCTCGCAAACAATGAACGCAATGCCGCTGTTGAACGGTATGGGTCCCGGTGCACATCGGACTCGTCAGATGCGCAATGGACCTCGCTCCGGTATGAATGCTGTTGCACATCACGTCGGTGAGGAGCTGGCCACCTGCACCCTCCAAATTGAGCTGAAGCGCTTCTATTTTGACTTGCGCGCTAACGAGCGCGGCGCCTTCCTGAAAATTGCCGAAGCGGAAGCGAAAGGCTCTCGCAGCAAAATCATCATCCCTGCGTACGGTCTGGGCCAGTTCAAGACCATCCTAGATAACATGGTTGCTGAATCCAGGAAGGAATATCAAAGCGAGCAGCGCGCAGAAGCGCCGAGCACGCCAGCGACAGCCGCACCCGAGAGCAGCGAGCCGCCCGCCCTGCCCAGCTCGGACGCACCCTCCGAGGCCGATGGTGATGGACAACGTGGATCTGAGGGCTCTTCCGACGAGGTCGACGGCCAGACGAGCACTCCTCAGAAAGAGCGCGAAGCAGTCCTCGCAGCACTCGGGGCAGAGGCGGTTGCCTCGGGTACCCCGCAAAGCGCCGTTATCGAAGGACAACTCGTCGAGATTCCCGCCACGGGCCTGCCGACAACCCTGGCCTCGGCGACGATGCGCGTCGAAACCAAGAAATACTACTTTGATCTGCTAAGCAATGCAAAAGGGAAATATCTGAAAATATCCCAGAGCGCCGGCAGCAACAAACGCAGTAGCATTGTTGTACCGGCAACTGGCCTGGCAGCGTTTCGAGACTCTGTTCACGAGATGTGTCGGTATGCGGAGATGACGCTGCATTTGGCTGCGAACCCGAATATCATGGCGTTCGCGCCAGGCGCTGCCCCCGCGATCGCGTACCCGATGTTTCCTCCGGGTGCTGGACCACCAGGCATGCCGTCTGCGCTCTACACGTCCATGGGACCACCGCCGCCTCCGCCCGCAGCGCCTGGCACCGCAGGAGCTGCACCTTCAGTGCCAGCGGCGCCCGTGGCCACCAGCGTGCCGGCAGCGTCGCTAGCCGAAGCGGCCGCGTGTCGGCGCCAACACCGCCGGCGGAATTGGCCCCCCGTGCCCCCCCCCCCCACCCCGGCGCCACCAACGGCGGCACCGACCAGCGGCCTTGCCCCTGTAGATATGAATCTGGCATTGGGGAACACATCGGCGTCGCTTGTGCACGGACCGGTTCAAATTCCGGTTGATGAAACCTCCAGCGTCAAAGTGGAGTTGGTCGCTAACCAGGTCGGCGACACCCAACAGTCGACCGGCACACGAGCACCGACGCATCTCGAAATTACCGATCCGAAAAACCAGCGTATTCGCGTACCTCTGGGTAGCCTCGCTGCTCTGCATTCTGTTCTGGGAGAGTGGTTGCAGGTAGCGGCAGCGCATCCTCTGTAAACGTCCGCTTCCATGTGCTTCTGGAATACGCTGCATCGTTCATGGTATACGTTGTCATCGGGTATCATGGAAGACCATGACTGGATGTCAGTTGTCCCGGAAACCTGTTCCGAATGCGAATGTACAATGGGCGCTGAAGCCGTGCGGCATTGCTGCACCACCGTACCATAGCAGGGCGATCATGAAGGGCGAATTCGACGCCTTGGCTCGTGGACGCTGAGTTTATGTGAATCGCGAGTCTAGGGCGTTTCAGAAGCCTGTTTCCCTGAAATACCAAGCGATTCCAGCGAAAGACCGCTTGACCCAAAGCCGCTGGGTGCTGCGGCACTGCGATACATGTCCGAACGTCGTTCGCGGCGTTCGAGTCTCGTTGCAGTACGTGCTTGCACGCCTGCTTGCCGGTGGAAGCATGCAATGGTAGGCTATTCACTTTCGATTGCCTTGCCGACTGACATTCGAATCGCTTCTCGAGCACGATTTCTTCCATTAGTCTCTGGTTCACGCGATTGTTGTCTACCGGGTTCAGGAGGCACCCGTGCTTGCGATGCACATATGAAACCTTGAACGCCTGGACGGAAATCATATAGAATCGATTCCTCCATTCAGTGTATGGGCTCGTCGACGGAGCGGGCGTGCGCGCTACGCAACCTCAAGCGCCATGGGGTATCACTGCCATCGCCACAACCGCCACGACCGAACAATGCGACTGTTCCGCCATATCCTTTTGCGAACTCATGAACATGTTGGAAAGAGCACGGTTCCTGCTTCGGCACTGCCGAGGCTGTTGGCGATCCCAGGGCGGTTTGGCGTACGCCTGCTGCAGCTGACCGGCATGACCCATGTGGACGGCGACGAACGTTTTGAATGGGGTCCATCAAGCATGTCGCTCTGCTCGAGGCGGTGCACAGAGCGTCGACACGGGGATTCTGGCGCAGTCATTCCGATCTGGTGGTATACCTCCTGGCGTCTGTCATACCCGAATCTCGATAATACGGTGCTCCGGGAAATTGGAGCAGTTTCCTATGCTTCCCATTCGTGTTGTTACCGCGACGGTCCTCCGTAATTCGATGTAGGGCGACGGGTATGATGTTCTTCAACGCGCGGTCCACGACCACCTCAAAGTCTTGCTCGTCGTCTACCTTGAACGGTCAAAAGGGAGTCTCGCTGACGGACTCAGGCCTAGGTTTCATGATGTGCATTCAGGTGCATACTCCGTAGGTAATCGTTATCCCTGTAGAATTCTTTCGGTTTCCTCACATTAAACGAGAAACCTTGAACGTCCTCTGCCAATGCTTCACGCGGATCTGTCGCAGGGACTAGTCAAAGCTCAGTGAGGATACCAAAATAGTACACAAAAGACTCATGTGGTGTAATGCGCCTTGATCGGACAAATAGGGAACACATGCATTAGGGGCTTGAGCAGCCAAGGCCGCTCGGATACAGGGAAGAACGCTGCCCTGCTCTGGACGGCTCCACCCAGGATCATATTGTTGCACAGCTTGGAATCGAGCCAGGCATCTCGCTCCAAGCATTTTCGGGATTCGGTTTTTGTCGATTCGATGCCCAGAGCAACAGGAAACGTTTACAGGCTCTCGAGCGACTCCCGCTCTCGTTGGGATATCTCTTTCGGACGCGCTCGCTAGCACCTCGGTCTCTTGGGTCACCAGCGGCTCGTCATTTGCCCCCATGCAGATCTGAAGAATCCATTCGATTTGGCCTCACTTTTCGGAGCCGGTACCGCCGTGGTCGTGAGCGTGCACCGCCTGCGGGGTGCGCTTCCTGAACCGCTGAATACGCACCCGCAAATGGTTTTCGAGGGTGGTTTCATGCTTTTGACACCTCTGCTGGAGATGTATCCATCGACGACGTTGCACAGCGACACGTCGTGGTATTCGGGAGCGCGCATTTGCAAAGCCCTCACTCCACGAGCTGGCAGTCTTGCATCCTATGGCGCGTGCACTCGTTGCACTTTCTCATGAAGGTTTGATCGCAGGATTCCAGAGGAATGTGAAATAGTAGCATCCCGGTGTCGGGAATTTGTACGAGCAGTTACTTGTGGAGATATGTCAAGGCGACGGACGCGACGCGCGCCTCACTCGAGCACAAAGCCGCACGATACCTGGTGGCGTCCTGCATCTCTCGTTTCGGAAGATGCTCTCCGTTGGTGTTTGTTTAATAGCGAGGCCTTGGTAATGGCTCCAGACAAATGTTTTCGTTCCGAAAGTGTATGTTGCTTGCCACTCCTTATCCTCGTTTCCGTCATGTGTTTCTCTTCATTGTCCGGTGCATTCGTCTCTATTGCTTTTACTTGATGGGGCAGCATGGATATGGACCAGGTACTTCAAATCAGGTTCTTCTCGGGTGCGGCGAGCTCTCGGAGGAAGACTGCGGCTGAATCCCGCCAATTGTCTCTGCGTATCGAAATATCCCCAAATACCTGTTGCTCACTTGCTCCATCGGGAGTACGTCCTGTGGTGAAGGCACGGCTGTCCGCTCCGTCTCGCCCTCAAGCACAGAAGCGATGGAACACTTCAGGACTGGTGAAACCACAGAACGACTTGTCTTCGAATGGTGTCAAGGATGCGAACCACGCTTCGACTGATCCGTGAGCATCAACATGGCGCTGAACAACGCCAAAGCTACCTTCGATCGGATTCGAGCAGGGAGATCAGGCTGGTACGAGGAGCAGCTCAACACCAATCTCAGCTGCGTACTCGTCGACGGCATCTGGTTCATGTAAAGCAACGTTGTTCAAGAGATGGACTTTGGAATGTGGAAGAATATGACCACGAATTGCGCTTTATCGAATGATTCTGCCCATTCGGCGCTCTGCAAGTGACGAAATCACTGCGTCGCCACCGGGGCTGGTGCCGTAGGACAGCACGCTTGCCTCTACTTTGCAGACAGCGGTGTGCCGCCTGTTGAGCGCCCATCAACATATCTATGATTGCTTGTGAGTGCGTTTTCATCGAGTGCGACGAGCACCTGTCCCTTGTTGCATAAGCGTCTGCATTTCCGTCCATAAATCGATGACGTATGATGCAAGAGGCGACGATGTCCTGTAGAGGCGCACTCTGTTCGATGTCCATCCGTTTCGCTTTATCGCTGTTCGTGCCAGTGGTACGTAATTTTTACATCTTACAGCCTTTCATTCCGTAATTCTTGGAAAACATACGGAATGAAATGAAGAGCAGACACTTGTCTAGACAGGATTTGAAAAGTTCTTTCCTGCGTTCACGAGGTTCTGGATATAAACCATGCGAAAGAAGGTTCATCCATTCGCTTACCGTAGAATGACCGACTCGTACAACTGAGGCTTTCTTTCGCGAGCCCCCAGCGACAACATGCAGTCTTCTTGCGGTACCTCTCCCCGATACAAAACACACGCACCTTGCGATGAATACCTGTAAGAAAAACAAACCAAATCAAGAAAGGCGTGCTGAGACAGGATCTCCAGCATTCGCCGCCCTGCGAAGTCTCATCGAATTCAGGCGTCCGTTGCACGGAAATGTTCAGGTCTCGAAAACGTCGAATGTGTGAGCGACGCGCAGTTGTCTATAATTGGACAAAACGATCGCAGAGTCCAGCGTTCCCGGACTTGGCGCTCGATACGGGCGCGCGGTGAAGCATCCGTCGTTGCCCGGGCCCAACATCCAACTTCCCTGACCCATACATATCCAAGGATATACTGGTCGTTTCGTATGTTCTATCCTGTGCGCCGAGTACCTGTCCTGATCGTTCAAGATAGCGCCTAGAGCACCAGCGCGGTCGTACCGTGGCTAAAGAACGGTTCTGCCGGGCCCCCGAGAGCGTCAGCTCGTAAGCTTCCATATATCTGGCCGCTCACAGACGCTTGCAAGCCTTGGTTCACTGGCCGCCTGCTTTCGGTTGCAGTTCATCAAGGAAAGCTTCGAGCATCGAAGGCCAGCCAAAGAGGTTGGATCGCGTCAGCTCCTCGTGTGTTTCCTTCAGCACCGCATATCTCGTGATATCGGTGGCGGCATTGAAGTGCCGGCTCACGAACTGCTCGCGTGAATGGATGCTGGTGAGAATCATCAATGCAAGGATTGCTGGAACTTGAGCCCTCTGTGCCACTAAAGTCTCGTCATCGTCCTGCCGGGCAAAAACCTTTTCTCGCCCGTATCCCCTCTGCTACGACTTCTTCTTCGTCACTTGCTCTGCTTCGCTCAGTGGTCGGCGAGAAGAGGATTTTGTTTCGTATTTTTGTCCGGCAGCCGGCGACACCGGTCCACCAGGATCCTCGATTTGTTCGTCCATACCGTTCCGTTTGGTTTTTTATTTCTTCGAAATGAACGCGCCGCAAACACATTTTCAATAAACCATAAAGAAGCAGCAGGTTCCACACACTGACGGGTAGAACACCATCGATTCGAAACACGATAAGAGGCTCTGGACAGTCGCCATCGCTCCAGCGCTAGACAAAGAAACAGTGCAGGCGGTGACGACTCGAACCCGCAACCTTTCGCTTAGGAGGCGAACGCGCTATCCATCGGGCGACAAAACGCTTCGGTCTTGTTTGCGCCAAAGGTGTTCGCCGCTGGGCAGCGGCACCTGCACACCTCACGGGATGCCCGGCACTGAATGCGAAAGCGCCGCGGAAAATGGTATATAAAGCGTTGTGGTGCATGCAATGGCGCTTCGCGCAGCTTGTCGATTGCATGCCAGCGTCGCAATGCGCGCGCTGTTCTGCACGAACGGAACCCCAGCAAGCAACGTGCCCTGCATGGGCATTCTATACCGCACTCTTTTGCGAAGCCAACTTCGTGGCGTTTTCGCACAACATCGCACCTCTTTTCATCCAGAGTGCAGAGAGTTGAAATGCCCGCACCCAGGGCTGCGGACGCTGAGCTCCGCACACGCACACCGAACAGCGCTGGCGGACACCTATGAAGAGCCGCGTAACTTGCGGGATGCGATCGACGCTTGTCTGGTAAATGCGCGGAAGCGTTTTGACGAGACCGTAGACCTCTGCGTCCAGCTGAATCTTGACGTGCGCAAACCTGAACACAACCTGCGCGGACTGGTTCGCTTGCCGGCCGGGGTGCCGAAAGTGCCCCGCGTCGCGGTCTTTACGACGCTTCCGTCCGAGGCCGAGGAGGCGCGTGCTCACGGTGCAGCGCTGGTCGGGGCAGCGGAACTGGTCAGCCATATTCAAACCAACGGGATAACCTTTGAGCGCTGTTTGGCAACGCCAGAGGCACTGTCCTATGTGGCGCGCGTCGCACGTCAGCTGGGTCCCCGTGGTCTGGTTCCCAGCGAAAAACTGGGCACTGTCGGCGTCGAAATAGGAGACCTGGTCGATATGGCGCTATCCTCAGTGCAGTTCCGAACAGACGCCTACGGGCAGGTCCACGTTCCTGTAGGTAAGGTATCCTTTGGCCCGGAGCGCATCCAGGACAATGTCATGGCCGTCGTGCAGCATCTGCTACGCGTGAAGCCTGACACTGTTCGCCGCCGTTATTTGCTAGGGGCAACCCTGAGTCGCACACAGGGTCCCGGGATCGAAGTAGCTGTTGCATCAATGATGGACCGCTGAATACCGGCTGGCGGCTGGCGGTGAAGCGCAGATGCGCCCCCGCTCACCCGCCATGTGACATCGGTGGCGTGCAGGGCGGCAGTCCAACCGCCATCCGCTGGGAACATGGCGTACCTTCATGGTCTACGATCGCTGAGTCGAACCAGAATCTTTTGAATGCGCTCATGCTTCGGGTGACGAGACAACAACATCGCTGTTCCTCTGTAGATGCGTGAGCGTTTCGCAAACCTCGCAGTAGGAACGCCCGTCGGAATCGAGGCCAGCTCGATGCTTTACTGACGTCCGCGACGCTGTGCCTGCGTTAGACGGACGTTGTAACATGACTGTATACGCCGCCGTCGCCGTCGCCGCAAAAAGCGATCACGACGCTACACCAAGCGTCGGTGTCGATGCCATGCAGCGCGATCGCCGGACACGAGCAGTCCGCTGGTACTCGGCGTCTTCGTCGTGAACGCGTTGACCAGGCACCCATGGGCACTGGAGCGACGTGCGCTTTCGAGCTCCGAGCCTGTGGGCTTGTTTAGCCCCCGAGGGCGTGGGACACACTTTTGTTCATGCTGGTGCTGGGCGTACACTAGCTGTTTCGAAACCTTTAAACCTGCCTCGATCGACACATTTCACGATATCCGATGCGTCGACGTGCAAGCCGAGCCTCCGATCATGCCGCTCCACTGCTGGCGTCGCTCGAAGGCGGGCCTCTCCAAGCACATACGCTTCCGTCTCAGAGCGGATACCAAGCATCGCTGCGCGTGGCAGTCTTTGGGCGGGCACTGTGGCAGCGTCGCACGGAAAACCGCCACTCGACTTTGACACATGTGCCTCAGAATCCCTGAGCTCCTCACGAACAAAACCGAAACGATTTCTATGCGAAAACCTGAACCGCAGCACTTGATGGCAGGTCAGGCAGCATGCCGGCTTCGAGAAGCGCCACCGTCAGCACCGACACGGCTTTGGGCGCGGCGGCAACGATGGTTCCCGTCTCTGAGCGAGCGCTGATATCCTGCATGCTCGACATGATGCAACAAAACGAGACGCTGGAGCAATGCAGGGATGTCGTATGTGCGTCTGTATAAAAGTCCATAGCTGATCGGTTAATTTTAAACCATGTCCATGCCGTGCTAACTCTGTCTATTTCCTATACGCCGATGCCACGGTCTGCATGGCGGCGTGCTGGCCTGCCGCACCGTGTCCTGCGCCCGACGGAGAAGCAGGCTCATTCGCGTTGCGGTCTTTGCTACTCTTTCCCATATTCGGCGCGCATAGCCTTGGCCACTGCGACCATGTTTGCGAGCGACTCCATGACTTCGGGCCAGCCACGCGTTTTCAAACCGCAGTCAGGGTTCACCCAGAGCCGCGACACGGGGATGTATCGCGCCGCTGCGTGAAGGAGCTCGCTGATTTCCTCCTTGCTCGGAACACGAGGTGAGTGAATGTCGTATACGCCGGGTCCGATCTCATTCGGGTATTCGAAGCGCTGGAATACTTCCAGCAGCTCCATGCGCGAGCGAGATGACTCGATGGAGATCACATCCGCGTCCAGCGCAGCGATCGATTCAATGATTTCATTGAATTCCGCGTAGCACATGTGAGTGTGAATTTGCGTGCTCGGGGCTGCGCCACCAGAGGAGAGGCGGAATGCATCGACGGCCCATTTGAGATACGCGTCACGCTGAGAGGCCTTCAGAGGTAGACCTTCCCGCAGCGCCGGTTCATCGATTTGAATCACGTTAATACCCGCAGCCTCCAGATCGCTCACTTCGTTCCGAAGCGCCAGTGCGATTTGGAACGCGGTGTCCGAGCGCGGCTGATCATCACGCACAAACGACCACTGCAGGATGGTAACGGGTCCTGTTAACATGCCTTTCATCGGGCGCGATGTCAGGGACTGCGCAAAACGAATCCACTCCACGGTCATCGGAGCGGGGCGCGAAACATCCCCATAGATAATCGGTGGTTTCACGCCCCGTGAGCCGTAGCTCTGCACCCATCCGTTCTGGGTAAAGGCAAACCCCTCGAGCAACTCACCAAAGTATTCAACCATGTCGTTACGCTCGGGCTCACCGTGCACCAGCACATCCAGATCAAGCTCCGTTTGTTTCTGGACAACTTGCTCGATCTCGTGACGCATCGCTTTCACATAGTCCTGCTCAGAAATTTTGCCGCTCTTATACTGTCGTCGAATAGAACGGATTTCTGCTGTTTGAGGAAACGAGCCGATCGTTGTCGTCGGAAGCAGCGGCAGCTTCAGTTTTTCCCGCTGCGCCTGCGCACGCATCGCGTACGCCTGCGATCTCCGCTTCATGGCATCCGTGATATTCGCGATGCGATTCCGCACCAGCGGATTTCGCGTGCGCGGCGAGCGGCGGCGTGACTCGATCGCATGGGCGTTCGCGTCGAGCGCTGCACGTACGGTATCGGGGCCCGATGCAAGCGCCTGCTTCAGGATGTGCGTCTCTTCTAGTTTCTGAACGGCAAAGGCGAGCCAAGACTTGAGTTCTTCATCAAGACGAGTCTCATTATTCAAGTCTACGGGTGTGTGGAGCAGGGAACAGCTTGGTGCAATCCAGAGCTGATCGCCACGCTCTTTGTAGATAGGCTGGAGCTTCTTCAGCGCCTCGTTCAAGTTCGTGCGCCAGATATTGCGTCCGTCAATCATACCGACAGAGAGAACGCGTTCGCGAGGCCATTGCTGGTGGACTTGATCCAGTTGGTCCGGTGCGCGCACTGCGTCGATATGCAGTCCATGCACTGGCAGTGCGGTGGCGATCTCGAGATTTTCCAGAATGCCTCCAAAATACGTCGCCACGAGCAGCTTGCGGTTCTGTGTTGCACGCGCCAATGCTTGGTAGGTCTGTGGGAACGCCGTCCGCCACGCTTGGGGAAGGTCCAGGGCCAGGATCGGCTCGTCCAGCTGGATCCATTCGATGCGCGCGTCCAACGATCGCAGAACCTCCTCATACACGGGCACCAGACGACTCAGAAGCGAAAGGCGATCAAATTCCTTGCCAGCGCTCTTTGAGAGCCACAGAAACGTCAATGGTCCAAGAATGACCGGCTTCGGCCTATATCCAGCAGCAAGTGCCTCTGCGCTCTCGTCGAAGAGTTTCCGCGACGAGATCGCAAAGTGCTGGTTTTCCTCTAGCTCCGGTACGATGTAGTGGTAGTTTGTATCAAACCACTTGGTCATTTCGCAAGCAGGTACGTCAGCTTTGGAAGACCCGGCTTGGCTTCGTCCACGCGCCATTCGGAAGTAAACGTCGAGGTCTGCATCAGCCGCTTTTGCGTCCCGAAAGCGAGCCGGGACGACACCCAGCATAGCGCTCGCGTCAAGAACATGATCGTAGAAGGAAAAGTCATTCACGGTGACAAAGTCAAGTCCAGCGTGCGACTCCGCTGACCACTGCGCTGCGCGGATCGCTTTTCCAGCCTCCAGTAGCTCTGCGAGCGAGCTCTTGCCACTCCAGAAGCGCTCCAGTGCCTGTTTGAGTTCGCGATGAGCGCCAAAGCGAGGAAAACCTAGAGTATGTGCGATGGACATGGAAAATGCTTTCAAATTATGCGTTACTGGAGTCGCCGGCCTCAAGCGTGGAAGTCGTACGTAGCCGAGTCGCGTGCGGTCGACGACGCGATGCACGGTCGTGCCGCGCCGCGCTGCGCCCCACGCGATCGTGCACCGTCGGGAATCGAGGCAGCGTGTCATCATCACGCGCCGATGTCGACGCCGACGCCGTCACCGCCGAGCAGCCAGCGCACCGACACGCGAGCGCATTCCATGGGATGCGATGCATGCGATGCATGCGTGCGATCTGCCTATAGACAGCGGCAGCATGGATAACGCAGCGCTGCATCACATCACGGGAGGCGCATCGCTAGCGGGGCAGGCGTGTTCGGCGCAGTCGCCATTCACAGAGGCGCTGCAGCGATCGTGGGGCAAAACGCGCGGAAATGGCGCCGCGCGGCACGCATCGCATGAAATGGGGCACGCATTCAGGCGAATATGGTGAATGCGTGCTTCCGTGTCTGCTACAGTACGCTGGGAAAGCAACGTTGCACTGTAGTGTGAACGAATTGCGGAACACTTGTTTCTCCGCTGACAAAACGGTAGACGGGGTGCAGCGTCGGCGAGAGCGCTTTCCAGCCTTTGTGCCGACTGCCGGCTGGCAGACGACTCGCTCGGGCCACCGGGTCGTTGGAGGTCGTCTGCGAGGAATGACAGCCACTGCAGAGGGCAGTGTAGTGCCTTTAAACTACGGGGCGAGGATAAACCTCCGAAACTATCCGAATCAGGACTGGATCGTGTTTCTGGGTACAGCAACATCGGAGGGTGTACCCCGAGTCTCCTGTTTGACGGAGCAGCCGGTGCCTCAGTGTCACGTCTGTGTCGATGCGAGTGAAAGACTGCACTCGCCCAACCGTCGACGGAACACCTCTCTGGCGATACATAGACGACGCAGAACGCAAGCGGGGAGGGAGTTGCTCGCTGGACGCACCCACGAGACGGTGGTTATTGATGTTGGCAAGTTCTTTTACCAGTCGGCGATTGATGTCTTCCCAGCGACTGGACTGCGCCAGATCGATGCAGTAGTGCTGACGCATGAACACGCTGACGCCACCAATGGTCTCGATGATCTCCGCGACTGGACACTGAACATTGGTCGTCGACATGGCGACGGTCCGCTCTCTATACCCGTCTGGGGCGACGCCGCAACTCTGGAACGCGTTCACGGTGCGTTCCCGTACCTTGTAGAGCCATCTCGTGCCACGGGTAGTGGACTCGTTCCAAAACTAAGCTTTCATCAAATCGAAGCGTACCAGCGATTCTACCCGACGCATCCGCGATCCGTCAACGCAGCGAATAGCTTGCAGTCGGATCGGTTGACGCCGGCACCCGCACTGGCACCCGCACCTGACTGCATTAGCCTGCTTCCCGTGCCTGTTGAGCACGGCCGTGACCAGGGATGCCTAGGATTTCGATTCGGCGAAGTGGTCTACCTCAGCGATGTAAGCTATATTCCACCAAAAGCAATGGACGCAATTCGAGGCTGCCGCATCCTCATCGTTGATGCACTGCATCCTGGCACAGGATCCCATGTGTCGCATTTCTGCGAGCAGCAAGCGCTGGCACTCGTCACGCAACTGAGACCAATCTATACGTTCTTTACGGGCATGACCCATATGTGGGATCACGAACGAGACAATGCACGGCTTGCAGCCTGGTCTGCCGCCGAATCACGACGGATGGATGGTCGACCAGTCCACGTCGCGCTCGCCTATGATGGCCTCTGCGTACCTGTGGACCTCGAGGCCGACCGCTGATGCCTCGACCAGGTTGGTGCGTCCATGATCATGATGGCGCTCACGGATGTGAGGGTACCGGCAACGATGCCGTTTATTTGAGTGGGCAATTGCAAAACGGATTGCAACGCAGCGGACTAGCGTGATTGGAGACTAGTTCTGATCGCTCACGTGTCGACAATTCAGGTGACGCCTGCCCGTGCATCACGCCGGTGATCAGGACGCCAACCTATCTATGCGCTAGTCTGTGGTCCAGTCGAGAGCGTCCGCGAATTGCACTGGACGTGGAAGGTCTCGGGCGTGTCGGAGTGGGTCACCGGTGCGACACGCGGTGTCGACGCGCATGGGATTCGCGCGGCTCTTGATGGTTGAAAAAACAGGACGCTTGTGTGGTGTATCGTGCGAGAGCGGCCCTAGGATCGTTTCCCTTGTTACGCATCCGTTTCCCATGGACGAAGTGTTCGTCACAAGAGGCTCTGGAGTAGCGATATGTATACGCTGATTAGATACATTACAGAGAGATCGTTGCATATGGATGTGAAGGTAGGCATTAGAACAGCGACGTTGGCACACACCGGACGCACCACAGGGCAACCGCGGGTGCCTCGTTACCGGCCGGGACCGGCCCAAGTGCTGACTCTTGTGACTCGTAGAGAGAGCATTCCTGGACCTCTATTACGAGCAGTATCCCGGTTGTAATTGGCAACAGCTCTGCATTCGCTGAATAAATCTCGGAAGCACAGCGAAGCATCGTGGTCGGCTAAAAATGCGATAATATGGCTCGCATGCGCCGAACGTGTTTGCAGCCGAGGCCCGTCCAGTATCGTCATTCAGCATCAGGAAACGGATATTTTCATGACCGTAAGACTTGTGCCCCAGTTGTCTGACTAGACGAACAGTAGACACACTAGGCGTACAGGTTTTAAGCACCTGTTGAGAGGCTCCACGCCCGCCGTTCCCGGACCAAACGACAAAAAGAGTAAATTGTGCAGCCAGCGTTCTAGATCAAACTCTGCACAAAAGGCGGCAGGTAGCCTTTCCCGCTTATGAGCCGCAAGTTTTGCAAACTATGCATCGACCCCATCGTTAGACGCGATGCATCGATGGAACCAGTGACGGTTTTGCGGCATCCATGAATGGAATGCAGCATCCACTGCGCATGAACGCTGCGTGTATGGCGAGTTTTCCTCCTGGAACGAGCGAGCGAACGAGTGAATGTCCGAAGGTACCTTCGATGACCAACGTGCAGCACCGAGTTGCCATGCGGGCCGCTCTGGAGGCCACGGGAGCATGCGCACACCAACAACATCCTCCGGGCGCGTGCATCACACCTGCAGCAGAATTGCATCCATTTCGGAACAAGAGAGAGAGAGAGACAGGCTCCTGAACATCGACATGCTTCGCGAGGGCACCCGTTGAAGAGCAATGCACGCAGCTGCGCTGAGCTCAGCTGGTGCGCCTCTCTTGCATACGTCAACGACTTGTCGTATAGAGATGTGCCAAATCGGGTACTCCAATCAGTGTATACGGCCCTGTTACCTCCACGTTCGCTTCTAAACGACCAGCGTGTTCCGTATCCACCTCACCGGCTTCAATGAGATGTTGTTGTGGTGCTTGCCCTTCCGAATTCCCGTCCTCTGCAGGTTTCTTGTTTCGTTCTCGGACCAGTTTCCACCAGCGCTGTGGGTGCGCAATCAACTTGCCGAGCTCTAGCCAGTAAAAAGCGGAACTCGTTGCATCACCACCACCACTAGTACGATCATGATCGTTCTCGTCGTCGTCATTCACTTTGTCGTCGGGGCCAAAGACCAAACGATAACGCCCAGAAGCTAGCTTTTCCACCCGGCCCAGTTTCGCCGTACCGTGCAGCGGCAGATACTGACAACTGAGGGGAAGCGTTGGCCCCAGCGTAAGCCGAATCCAGCCGCTTTCATGTTCAAGCAGTTTCCGCACAAGTTCTTGTGATGTTGCACCACTCGAGGCGGCGTTTGCGGCTGAGGCAGCGTCTGGACTCGTCGTCGGTGCGGCTTTCTCGAGTGACGGCATGTTCCACTGAAGTCCAGGCCCAGAGGGCAGCCTCTGCGGATGCAGGTCGACACGAGTTACGCCACGCGTACCCGGGACGTGCATACCGTCATCAGTCGTAACATGGCTGAGGATATCATCGGTTTGTCTGGTATCTCGATTCGATCGCTTCGGTGAAATCTCCTCACTTTGTCTCGATCGGTCCATGGACAGGGTGTCCGTCCGCTCTGACTGCGTTTGCGCGGAGTCCAGTTCGTCCACGGCTCGCTTCAGACGGCGTCTAGGTTGAGGCTTTCGGTCCAAACATACGCTCGCCACAGTCGCGCTGGGAAGCTGCCCCCTTGGATCCGCTGCCGTTGGCGGTCGGGTTGCCCCCGTTGACACCGGCAGCATGCCGGCGCTAGCTTCTTTGGTAGATTCCTGTAAACGGTGGCAGATCGTTCGGCGGTTTCTCGGTCCCTGAAACGCCTCTGGTTTGTCGCCAGGGGCCGGGGTCACCCTCGGTGACGTTCCCGCAGCTTCCAGCGCCGTTCGCAACGGAGACGTTGCCCCAGAGGTGGAGACGACACCTCTCTTGGTACGCGTGACCGATCGTCGCATAGATTCGGTCTGCTTCGCTCAGTGAAGCGGTGCCGAGGCACGTCCACGAAGCCAGCAGGCGTTGCAGGGAAACGCAGCCCCGCGTTACCCCTATGGAGACACGGGCTTGAAAGGCTGCCCGTGCTGCTCCTGCGTTGGGCGCAGCGTGGGCTCTCCGGCGTTAGCGATGACCGGTCTCGAAACCAGAGCAGCAGACCCTGCAAGAGCGTCTGCAAGCGCTTTCGTGACGTACAAGTGATGCGCTCGTGCCGGTATCCCGGTCAACAACGGTCACTCGTTTGCGTCCAATGAAATAGAAGCCGACTACGGTCAGCGGCATACGGAGACCGAACAACTACACCGGAGCGTTTAACGGGCGTCTGCTCGGGGCACTGTGAGAACTTTCAATCGTTCGTATTGCATATCAGTCAGCAAGTCCTAGTTGCTGGCTATCGTGACCAGCAAAACATACAGCGAGCGATACACCGGATGGTGCCGCAAACGCTCGCAGGGAAGCTGGGTTGCCGCCAATGCATCGGGAATACCCAGGAAGTGTGCACGTATTTGAAAAACCTGTAGCGATCGTAAACAATTTAAGAGGATATGACCGCTTTGATCGAGATCAGCTTGACAGAATCGTTCTCCCCAAGGTCCACGTAATTTTCCATTCAAGTTTCCTTTCCTGACGACCACGCATAGATCGCAGTTCATCTACAAGCGGATATCCACGTCGCTCCGAAACAAGCACCTTGTTCGAGTTTCACCCATAGAACCCATTCGTCTTGCCGTTACCCCTCACATCAATACCTAGCTGAGCTGGGACCGATGGACGGTTGCGCTATCTCCCGCGAGCAGCTTCTCCCGCACATAGCGATCCATGATGCTCGCGACTTGCTCGGGTCGTTCCAAGTGAGGTAGGTGACCACACTCAGGGATAACGTCCACTTGTACGAGATCCGCACAGCTTTGGTCTCGATAAAAGCCCCGCAGCCGCTCTACCGTACTGAGCGGGACGATGCGATCCTCCGCTCCCCAGATAGCCAGCACCGGTAGGCGAAAGCACGCCAACTGTGCAACCTCTTCGGAGATCGTGTACCCATTCGCGCGCAGGAAGCTTCGAGACGCTTCCATCCAACCCGCCATGAGGCAAGGAAGACGGCTGATACGCAGCGCATCCTCCGTCGCGTGTTCCGAAGGTCGATAAAACGCTAGTTTATTCGCGTACTGGCGAAGTGCCGCCGATCGGAGGACCCACAACCCCACATAGTCCAACGGGGGTACCAGGAAACGAAACCCCTTCCCATCTACGAAGAGCTGCGCGTCAATGAAGATAGCAGCTCGAATGCGTTCCCGCTCCGCAGCATCCGCATGTAGAACGTAGTCCGTCAGCACTGCACCGCCGAGTGATGCCCCTGCTAGCACCAGCGGCGTCTGCAGGTTCTCGACACCACCGTCGACAACATGCAGCAAAAAGCGCTTCAAGTGAGCTCGTTTTCCTGCAGGACCGTAGTCTAACCCAGAAGGCCGAGCGCCGAAGCCCCAGCCGAACACATCTACAGCAAAGAGACGAACCCAGGGTGCCAACAGCCGCTCGAGTTCCGGGAGCAATGCTCTAAACTCCAAACAAGATGAGTCGAAACCGTGAATCAACACCAAAGCCGGCTTTTTCGTGTCCTCAAGGTTCGCCGGCTCGTTCGTGTAAAAGCAGATAGTCTCGTCGGCAGCGACGCGCTGCAGCCGCTGTATGAGCCGCTGCGCTCGTTCGTCACGAATGGCAGCTACCTCTGCTGCCGGTAGAAAGCACTGACTCGGTACGCACTCGAGTTTGGGGCGAAACGAAGCAGACGCTTTGGCGTCGTGCCTGTCGGACGCGTGAAGGCGACGCTCGTCCATGCTGAGTGGGCATCGTGCGGCACTGACGCCCCGAGGCGGCACTGGAGCCAACCGACGCTGCCCGTCTCGCCTCTGCTGGGTGAACGTTCGTGTATGCACTCTGGCTTGTCCGTTGAGCGCTGGTAAAGTCTTTGCAGGACCTGCGAGGGAAATCCACATGACGCGTCGACGGACTGCACAGCGTACGCATTCCCTGCTCGCAGACCGCTGCACTGCGGTAGCCAGCTGCGGCTCTACGAAAGAGATGTGATTGATGTGTTCAGTCAGCGTCTTTCGGATGCAACGATGCGCTGGGTACCAAGGAAACAACCTCCCCCGAATACCGCTATGCAGGGGCTTTAGGGCTTCGGGAACGCTAGGCGAGAATCATCACATGCAGCGTCATCGACGCTTGGCTTTGCGTCAGCGGCTGTGCTGTGCTTTTACGATAGCGTCCGCCGCTTCCCAGGGCGACTCTGTGAACGCTACCCTTGAGGCGCTAGTTTGTTGAGCTGTAAACAGGTACAGCGGAGCACGTAGACATGGAGTCCGCACAACCTCTACCTCTGGCGGAGAGTAGGGCGCTTTTGACTCGGCTGCGAGCGAGACCGGAGAACAGGTTCTGCTTCGACTGTGAGGCACACCACCCGACTTGGGCGTCAACCTCGTATGGCATATTTCTCTGCATAGACTGTGCCGGACTCCATAGAAACCTCGGGACGCACCTGAGCTTTGTTCGATCGACGCTTATGGACTCGTGGACGCCTGAACAGCTGTGGCGCATGACTGCAGGCGGTAACGAACGAGCGCGCAGCTTTTTCAAGGCGCACCAAGCGCCAATGAGTGGTTCGCTCTCGCAAAAATACTCATCAAGAGCAGCGTACCTGTATAGAGAGCGGCTCAGCCGCGAAGCAGAGCAGGTTCGTTTGGCACACCAGGACACCCTGGGGTGCGTCGGTGTCGCTCCGGAACCCGCACCGTCAACGCCCAGCGCACCGGAGCAGCCGCTGCAATCAAAGCGCTCAGGCCAACGAGAGGCTGCAGTTGCCAGGCAGGTAGTCCCTGAAACAGTGGATGCAACCCAGACGGAGCTGAGAACGGCGACTACCAACGGTGCGGGAAGCGGAGATCGCGACGCCGTGCCATTGCAGCCGTCGAGTAGCACATCTGTTGGGGCAAGAACTGAAGAGCGTTTCTCGCAGTCGACTGCAAGCACTTTGTCCGATGATGCCACGCGGTTCGTCACAGCGTCAGTGGCAGGGAATTTGTCGCAAACGAGAACAGGTGCGTCCATGAATGGGGCACCAAACTGGACAAGTAGGTCCGCAGCGCCCCGACGAACCGGGTCTCATGGGTTGGGTGCTCGACGACTCGGGCCAAGTTTCAGTGCTGGCTGCAAAAATACGAGTACGAACATGAGTAATGCCGTTCAGATAGAGCGTCCATCCGGTGGATCAGTCAGCGCTGGTACCGCCATGGCGTGCTCTGCGAGCGGAAGCGCTGCGCTGCCCCAAGGAAGCAGCAGAGATGCCTCTACGCCAGTGTTTGAAGCACAGCGCACTGGGACGACGCCGCCAAGGGCATCGCTTTTGACAGGAACGGTTGTCACTGAGACTGCTGTTTCCGGGTTTGTAACTGCAACACGACAAGGTGCTGGCATAGGCGATCCGCCTCAAAGACAGCTGGATATCGAAGCCAAGGGGCCTCCTCTTGCAGTTCAGCCGACTCGCGATTCCGCACAGATCGCCAAGCAGAGTGTCGAACGAGCCGCTTGTGAGTCGCCGCAAACATCCATGGCGTCAAGCGCTGACTGGAGAGACAAGCTTCGTCACGCGAAAGCAGTCTCAGCGGCAGACGTTCGTGGTCAAAGCGATCGAATGATGGTCTTACAGCTTGCTGACGATACTTCCGCTTCCGCAGCTGGGGCAGGGCCAGCTCGAATCTCCGGCAACAACGCTGCTTGGGCGGTGTCTTCACAGGCGCGTGCAACGCCGAGTCGTTCACCAAGGACCCCGACCCTTGAGACGGTAGGCAGCGTTGTGCGAAACGTCAGCAAGCGTCTCAGTTCAACGGTAACGGAGCTCTTCGAGGACCTGGACCGTAGCGCTTGACGCGCTGAGCTTCACCGCGACTCGTGCAGCGTCTTTGAGGATTTTCTGATCACTGCAGTGCATCCTGGATCGAACGCGTCTCCGTTGGGACGTGGCATCCAGCGTGGTTGTTGTTCTATCGATCAGAGGGATACGCTGTGGGGGCTTCCTCGAAACCGCCCTCTCTCTCTCGTCAAGGCGTTATATCCTCGCCTTCCGAGACAATGAAGCCGATGGCGAGATGCGACGGCTCTGGTTTCAGGCACGCTGCGGTGGTGGTGCACATACGTCTACTGCGATGCATTGCTGCATCTGGTGCTGGCACTCAACGAAGCAGAGACAGCTGGTGATCTGGTGTCTGCGGAGGTCATGTAGAACAATTTTTGTCTTTTTCAGGTATGCCACCAAGGAGATCCGGGTCGAAAGTGCTGTGGACTGTTTCGCAGCGTGTCCTTGCATGCATGCGGATGGGCACGGAAACACTGCGCGTGGGGACAAGGCTCTCTGCAGACGTCCACGGCGAGCGTATGCACTTTTCTATGTGCTGCTCCTGCAGTTGCTGCTGGTGTAGGTGCAGCACGCCATGAGCCCTCCTGGCTCCGGCAAGATCAGTGCATTGAAATAGAGACACCGCTCCGGATACCTGAATGCTATAGGGAGTCAATAGGGAGAGGGCTTCGGGCGCGCACTCCGGATACCGCTGTGCGTCGCTGACCCGAATCGTAACCTTCTCGTCGTCGAGGATAGAGATTCGATCGATTCAGGGATGACGATCCTTGATGGCTTGTCAAGCCAAACTGTACTGTTTGCTGGCGCTACCGCTGGAGCTATTAGCGCCACTACAATCACCAGAAGGAGACAGGATGGCTGTGCGGTGCGTTGGCGGGCGCCGGCCCGAAGCGCCCTCTGCCGCGCTGTCACCACGGACCCAAGACACGAATCGCTCAGTGCGTCGCCTAGTGAAGCGATGTATTGTTCGACACGGTCGCCATTGGCCTCAAGCGGGTGATGCGGGTACCCCGAGGGCAATGACGCTGTGGGGCAGGGCGGGGGGCGAGGGACTAATCAACGAAGCTCGTTCAGCCTCCAGAGAAGACAAACCCTGCGCAAACGATGGGAATCTGTTACACCCTTACCATTCAAGGCGGATGCGCTCGAGCGGGGTCGTTCACTTGAGCTTTGAGTTTGGGGTCGGGTTACTCGAATTAAGTTTCTCGTTCCTCGACATGAACTGAAGGGAGTCCTTGAGCCAACTTGAAACTGCTGATTCCCTGCGCCAGCTCATCTCAGAATCAGGGACGAGTTTGTTCGACGATGTCGTGCAGGTGTAAAGCGTAACGAAACTGATGGCGACAAATGCACGGGTGCAGGCATCAGCTTGTTTTCCTCAAGGCAGCAAATTCTGGAATACCTGCACAGGCACATCGTTTTCTTCCGCTTGTCGTGAAGGTGTTGAATAGAAGGTATGTATTTTGTAGATTCAAGGAAAGCAACGGAAACGCTCTATGCTATCGCTGCTAGGTTTCTTGCTCGCCAGTGGTACAAGCCCGTCATTCGACGGTCACGAGTGGATGAATCGATCTTCTCAAAGCCCCCATCCTGATCGTCATGCACACAAACTCGAAAGTACCAATATACTCAATAGTCTCCTCATCAATGCATTCCGCTGCATAAATTCTGATAAACACTCTCGAAGAACCTCCTGGATATAAAGTGCCCGTCCAGTTCATTTGAACGGTGATGTGTAGATACGGATGGACAGAAAAAAGCACGCTCGTATTGTAGAGTGCTGCGCATAGAAAGATGCACGATCGATTCCGTTCTGATACGCGAATATTCATCAAAGGACGGACACTTGTTCAGCTCAGTCGATGAGAATCCGTGCATGTAGAAGTTTCAACTTGTGTATGGGTTCTCAAAGACGCGCTAGTTGCTGTTCGTAGAGAAGAAAAAAGCGCTCATAACGAACACATCAGCCGCAACGGTGATGCTATCGAATGGTCGCCTACACATCGCCGAGCGGACAACATCGTTTAAAACACCATCCTGCGTTGAAGGACGCCTGGTGGCTAGTGCGTCCCGCATCCCACTGTCATGATCTCAGACAGTGTCGCTTTCCTGCACTCAAAAGTGGTCAAGGAATACGCAGATGAAATTGACGTTGAACTGCACATCATGCCAGCAGATCTTTCTCGGTTCAATCCTGTCGGAAGTGTCTCGTGTGTTGTCGACTGTCGTGTCGACGCGAACGGATTCGTAGACGCGTCGTTCGCATCTGTGACTCCGTTCGTCGCCAAGGCATTCTGTAACCCAGCCTCGACACAAATCGTCAAGTAACCGTTCGTCCGAGTTTCGGACGCAGACCTGCTAGCTGTCCATATCTCTCTGGAGGTTTTCGATCAAAGCCTCGGGCGACAGCACAAATGATGCTCGCAACAGATGATGCTGAACGGCCTTGTTATAGGATCCAAGAGTTTCGCACATGCTTCCAGAATGCCTTGACACATCGTCGTGCCGCCGAGGCGATTGGAAATGATCTGAAGCGCGGGTACCAAAAAAGTATCAAACGCACCTCAGAAACCAAATGCATATACGGATCAGTGTCGGACGCTTCTCGAGGCGTTCCCGGTGAGCGTTATGCGCTCATCTTACCGGTCTCAAACCGCCGGGACTGATGGAAGAATCTTCTGGGATGTCGATGGCAGAAAATGACGAGCTGGTGGCGAAAGACCTCATGGTGGTCACGCGTTCGGAAGCGATGTTGCATTGTAAGCGAGAGCAGCTTCAGGTTGTGCGCGCTGATCGTTTTCGTGCAAGCCTTGGACCTACCGAGGCCTTAAGCCAAAAATAATTGAATCGTGACGCATGTCTTCCTTCCATCTTGTGGTGCAAAGCGTTCCAGAACAGAACCCACAAGAGCGAAGCATACTACACATCTGCCGGCGAGCACTGGATCCTCCCCACTCGTCTATACGACGTAGTGCTCATAGCACGCGTCATGTGCGGGTACATCACAGAGACTCTCATGCATTGTTCTGTACTGAATTGCCTCCACAGTGGGCTACAGCTGGTCTCCGCGAGCAGGTACGAAACATTCGAGGAAATCAGAGACAAGTGCATTCGCAGACGATATACAAGGCTTCTCGCTTCCAGGGACCGACTGGAACGAATCATACCTGGGCGATCGGGACCTACGAAACATGCATCAGCTTGCACTTTTGTGAAACCTGGGCCAAAGTCGAGCAGCGAGACTCATTTTCAACCGTTCAATGTGAATAATCAGAAACACTTGGTGGTGCGCGCAGCTACCGAGTCTACGACCACGATGGCCATCGCCGTTCCCGTCAATCAAGACGACCGAGCCGGATGTCTAAAAGGAAAGCAGATGAAGCTGCTCATGTTTGCTAGTGCTCGGTTTCATCGAGATTCAGGCATGCTTGACTCCCCCCGAACGCATACCAACCGGTGGAATGGTGGCATCAGGAACGACCTCGAGGTGATGCGCTCCGCAACCAGCGGATCGTAATGACTTTTATGCTTCATACAGGGAGCATGTGCGTCTCCAATTTCCATAAACGAATGATGTCTCCCGGAGTCTGCGAGACCGTACCTGGGTTGGCAACGGATCCGGTAGTACGGAACCAGGTAGCATGCCTTTGCCATTCTGTTCTATGAGCTGGAGTAGGAAATGACTGGTGATTCGCGGCGTTCGGGGGATCGCCTGTGGCGCTGGACGCTCTACAGCGCGCCATGAGAGCACTCCTGCGCAGTCGACGAGAACGTACAGCGAGTCTAGCGATCGATTCTGGACGATTCCAGTCGAACAGTTCAAGATAACATAAACAGATCAGGAGCGCGCATGCACGCTGAAACTGGTAGGCAACCAGAGCGTAAACTTGAAGCAAGTACCTTCAATGACGTTCGTCGAGCTGATCGAAGGCCAGATAGCGACACGAACCCTGATGAGAGGCTTCCGCTGGTATCACTTCACCAGTAACCGTGCACACAAGAACGTTCCGCAACGAGCCCTGGACACCGCGGTCAAGAACAACCGGAAATGTCTCGGGCTTGGGGAGCTTCCAGCGGGTTTGAGTCGAACGAACTCTCGCGCGAATCGTCTGGTATGCAGTGTGTGCATTGTGCTGAAACCCTGAAGACTTTCAAAGAGTCGAAGTCAGTGGTTGGGATAGAGGGCGTCGGATGCCCCTGCTGGAGCCATGTACTGGTATGATACCCCGTTCAGCAATCCGGAAAGGCTGCAGCACCGGACAGACACTCTAAGAAGGATGCTTTCAGGCACTTGTTGAGCGATCATGGTATTCCGTTATTCGATGTTTCTGCGTATTTCGAGTGCTGCACTATGCGATAATGCTGACGAAACGAAACATGCTCGTTGTCTAGATAGATGCAGTGAACCGCACCCTAACACCCATACGTCTTTGCTTTGCAGGTCTTTGCGCCAACCGTGACGCCCCCATCTCCAGACTAGTATATGTTCACGGCATTTTTACTGGTTCCTATGAACGAGAAGCTGGTTTTCATCTAGTGCACAGCGAGCATCCTGCTTACAACGCCTGCCAGAGGTACCGCCAGCACCTCAGTACCGACAGGGGCGCTATCGCTGAAGAACCTTTTACCCTGATGAGCGTTTCCCCAGCGAAGGCAAACGAACGTTCTGTGCAGTGCACACGCAGCGAAACGCCCGTTTCATGCCACCGTCACACCTTATACGTATGGAGTTTTAGGGCATGTTTTCGTCGACAGCGACACGTTGCGAACCGGGAAGCTGCAAGGAAACGCCACGAGACACACTCCAAGGGTCACCGTACAGACGTCCTGGCATCGGACGCGGAAAACCGACGGGTCCAGCGTCCAAGTGCATACCAGGCACAGGTCACGACTCGCGAAGCCGGCTCGCCGTTTCTATACCGGCCGCTGTCGCTTGTCTTGGCAAAAGACCTGTCAGAACTGGCTACGGGAAGATTGCGGACGACCGCGGGACCAAACAGGATACCTGCGGTACCTGTAACCAACTCTGTGCGCCGTATACGATACGACGGAGTGCCTTTGTCGGGGTTTAGGATCGTTTAAACGAACCACCGGGTCATGTTTCTCCGTATACCCCAGCCAAGAGCAGGTGCAAACGAACGCGCTCCCGAACGTCAAGTGAACCGCTACCGTCCGAGTCGAAAGCGGCCACTTTTGCAGCTCACAGAGGAACCGCCCCAGTGGAACCTGTTGTCACGTCCACGGCACCTTGCGGGACCTGTTATACGGGGCTTTGGACGGGGTGCAAGGAAACTGGGGTTCCCGACCGCGAATCTGGACACCAGGGCTCCTCAAGTCGCAGAGGTGTTGGCAACGTTGACGCCCGGTGTCTATGCGGGGTACGCTGCAGTGTTGCGTCCAGAGGGTGCACCATGGCCTGGTGAGAGCGTCACCGACTGGTATAGAGCCGCGGTGAACGTCGGGTATGTACCGAGTTTCGACAACCGAGAGCTCTCCATTGAAGCCCATCTACTACATGAGTTTTCCGAAGATTTTTACGGTGCTCAGATGCACCTCGTCCTGCTTGCCTATTTGCGACCAGAGCGCAAGTTTGTCGCCATAGATGCGTTGGTTGCCCAAATCAAACATGATATAGCGTCTACGAAACGGGTGCTTGAGGAGTTGCCCTTCGTTCCCTCAGCGTGCATGTTCGAGTGAATCGTCACCAAACTGCAGGTAAGCGTTGCTGCTGACGACCATGTTGATGCTGCTGCCGCAGTCGTCGCTATTGTTGCCGTTGTCGTCGTCGTCTTCCTGTTGAAAGCTGCAGGTGCGCGTTGCGTTTCGAGCTGCTCGCATGCGAAACGAGCAAGTCTTTGCACCGCTCGTAAGTTGTAAAGCCGATCGCACTGAACATTCCAGCCCAGACCGCTCGGGTACCGACGCCCCGAAACAGTCCGCCGAGGCCCTCTTGCCGAAGGATTTCAGCTGCTAACGACATCAGACTTCGCGACGCTACAGCCGATGAAGACGCTGTTCCAAAACGAGTCTTGAGTACATCAAACGGTGTCGTCAGTGTAGACGAAAGTGCCCCAGCCAAGGAGCCCGCCATCAACAGATCCAGTGTGGGGAACGCTTCCGTTGTTTGCGTCGTTTGGGTTCGAGAGCCACCCATGCACTGCTGCACCGCTGTCCGTAATTGACCTATTCGTAACTTGAGCTCTTCATAGAGCACAAAGTTCAACATGGCATTGGGAACGTTTCTTAGCAGGGTTGCTCGGTAGCCCCAGTAGAGACCCCGCAGGTGCTGATGCGCGAACACCTCACGGACGGTACTCTCGCGCCCAGTTTGGAGTCGCTGCTTGATCACTTCCTTGGGTACGAAAATAAACGAAGAGACAACGTTGCCGCTGGCAGCAGCAATCATATGGATGAGACCACGCTTGCTCAAGGAGCGAGCAACCAGGTGCGCATCCCTCGCCGAGTGCGTTGCTTGTGAGCCTGTTTTGGCTCGGCAGTGTCGCTGCTGTTCATACCAGACAAGCAACGCCCGCACACTCTCGTAGGTTCCGAAATACACCGCGGAACTGGTGGCAGCACCGAGAACTGCCGGGACAACTCCGCGGTACAGCGCTCCCGGTCCTGACTCGCGAACCAGCTGCCAGAACACCGACCAGGTACTTTGGCTTCGTCGCCAGGTGTCTGCCTGACGTACGCTTTTGATTGTATCGATGGGGTGCAGCACACTGTTGACGATAGCTCCAGCAAGTCCTCCAGCGAGCGCTGCACGTGGTAGTTTGCGAAAGGGTACCACCGTCGGCACCGGTGCACGCAGACCCAGACTGGAGTCGATGACGGGTGCGGCTGCTCCCTTCGACGGTCTCGTGGACGTGAACACTACGCTCATCGACACCAAACCAGTCGTTTCATAGAAGGAGCACCTTTGCAAGTTGAAGGAGTTAAGCTTGAATAGCCGGGGGTTGTGGCACCTGCAACTGCGCCAGCAACAGCAGAGGTTGTCGTACAAGGTGCAGCGTCCATCTCGCTTACACGAAGAGCATATGCGGCGACGGCGAGTTCTTCACCGACGAAAGGAACACTTTCGTGGGATGCGAGTCAGCGATCATAGAGCATGATGAGGCTCTCATGCACAGCACGCTTCTGGGCTAGGCTTCTTCGGCCAACATATGCACGTATGCATCTTCATATAAGCGAAAGAGAAAGCCGGTTTGAATGCTCATTCGAGCTCGGCTCCTGCAGAGGCGCTGCATCTGGGGAAAGTATTGGACCAGCGCTTGCAATCGTGTTCTCGATAGAAAACATGCACGAATACGCATGCCAGGGTCCATCTCTGGACCTCCAGCTGGAGTTGTGTGTGGTGCGTGAACGTTCCCTTTTCTCATGATGGTGGGTACGAGGTCGTCCCGTATCGCATGACACGCGTGCGGTACGAATGTTGGCACGATCAGAACAACGCCTTTCCGTTGGAGCGTGCCGGATGCTGTCGCGCTCGTCTCGTGACGTTTCTGGACCCTGAACCCAGACGCGTAGCGAAGCTGTCCTTGAACGCATTGCGACGTAGCAGCACTTTGATCCAGAAGCGAGCCGGGCGCGGCACTGAGGGATCATGATTCCACTCGCTAGTGATGCTCGTTCTCGCCGTCGCTGCTATATCGACAACTCGAATGCCACGGATACGGATTGTCACAACGCCCATCGAACAGGGCAATAGTGTACCCTGAATGCAGGTGCAGGTGTCGCGTACGAGCCTTCTGGTCCATAGTCAAGCTGTGCTTTGAAAGTATCCGATGATGCTGAGCGCTTTATGCCGTTCTCCGACGATCGATGCTGTCTGGATAGCGTCGGACACCAGGCCAGGGCGTGAACTCCGGAATGATTATCCGAAAAAGAGGCGCTGCACGTGACGCTTGAGATGACCCCGGAACATCGGTTTCTCTTTGAAGGCTGGATCCATGTCTACGTGAGGATCCATTAGTGAAACGTTGCGTTGCTCGATCCCGATCATAGCGATCAAGCATTTTGCCATAGCCGCGGTTCGTATCAGGAACTCGGGTTCCTTGTATATGATGGAGCCTCTCTGATCATAAAGGTGATTCTCGATACGGGCAACGCTCGATGGACTCGCTTTTCACGTCTTTTGACACCACAACAAGCACCCCGGCGGAAACGGTACGGTGCGCGCACGGACGCAAACAAACTCCAATAGTTCGTTCTGCAGGATTTTGCAGGTACAATGGATAAACGATTCTGCGGAACAATGTGAGTCTCAAAGGATGCAGTGTGCTCACAGCGCAACCAGGAAATCAGTTCAAGTCGCTAAATAACGTCTGACGCTAACGCCAGAAGACCCCCGCAAACCTATCTGTCCCGCAAACGGGGTACATTCATTGACGCTCGCGTCGATCTGGGGTGAAAAGCGGTGCCCATCAAACGGAAAGGTGTGCTTCTTTTTTTGGAAACCAAAGCCCTGCCAAGCTTGTGCTCTGTCTTTCGCTCCGTATCAACACGAAGGGGGGCGTCGCGAGCCACACCGTGCCGTTGCCGTCGCTGTTGCAGTCGCAAAAACTTCTCGTCCATGTCGTCATCATAGCGATTCATGCAGGTCTGGCGTCTCGATGCCAGTCCCATTGTCGCTTTGGCAGGCGCGGACCCAGTGTCATTCGCTGCGCGCATCAGCGTGTGTCTGCAGTGATACGTGGAACTGTCCCAAAGGCTTCGTCCACGATTGCCAGTAGCTGCTGCTGATCTAGTTGAAAATGCTCCAGTGGATCCCAAGCGACCTCCGTATCGGGTGCTGAACTTGTCCACCGCGTATCGCTCGAACCAACGGTTGTCGTTGTCATCGCGGTAAAAAAGGGGGCAGATGCTCCCGATATCCTGACATGCGTTTGGGCATCTGCAGCATACCCCGAGTGACCGTGCTCAGTACCGGATATCCGTGACTGTACGGGAAGAGATACCGGTGCAGGCACGGGGTCCCTAACTGACCCAGGATGTATGCACGCGGCTCTTGTAGCCAAATCACTGGATCCTGCTCCTTGTTTAACGCCATAAGTGCATCGTAGCCTTTTGCACTGTTCTCTTATCCAAGCCAGAAACGGGCGTACTGCGTGAAAGCGTGCTGGTGCAGGCCAGTCTGCTTGAAGGTCTTGTTCACTGCGGGCATGGACATGGCGTATGAGCTTTAGCAACGGAAACCAGCGGACCTCTGATACTTCCTTCCGCGCCAGAGGCTCAAACTTGGCTGACTCGGGCACCCCGACAGCGATAAACAACCGACAAGGACGACCGTGCAACTGGGCGTCGATGTAGGTATCCGCAAGCACATAGTGCGATACATCGAAGCCAGTCTCCTCAGTGAACTCACGTATTGCACACTGGAGGTGCGTTTCATCCTTGGCGATTTTGCCTTTGGGAAAGCTCCAGTGCTGCCGCTGCCAACTACGTACCAGCAACACCTTGCTTATTCGCTGGTTAAGTGCGATGACCCCAGCAGTTGGTACTTCGCGCTTGTACGCCTGAAAGTCGGCAAAGTGTTTCTCCAGGTACTGCACGTACGGTCGAAGAAAGTCAACCTGCTGAAATAGCTCAGAGGCGAACTCTGGAAGAGACAGTGCCGGAAGCTTTTTGTCGTGGTCTCGATAAAAGTCTAAGTAAAACCAGTGCGCTTCCTCCACGGTGAAGAAGAGTCGCTCGAAGGACTCGAACTCCGAAGCCGGCAGGTTCAGCAGAAACCGCGCCGCCAAGTCCACGAGGACGGTTTGAAGCTTATCGTCTATCATGTATCACATGCGAAATTCGATATAGAGACAAGTTCCGTCACAGAAGATTAGGCTTGGGGACAGTTTGCTTTGTAGCAACGTTCAACAGAAGCGCGAATATCCGCGGTAGGCGAACTCTGGCGATCAGGTGACGATATGTGCACGACATTTTTCGAGAGACCGAGTCAGAATAGCATGGAAAGGGACGTTCAACCCCGGGCACTTGCTCAAGTTTTTAGATGAATTCCACTGTCGTCAAGACAAGTCATTGCGTACTTTTTCTGTGACAGCTTCGTCTCCTCTCTCTGATCTCCGAATTTAAGTATGCGGACCTGTGCTGCGCCTCCAGCTCTGCCATCACCGGACGAAGGATATTAGTGGAAGCTTTCAACTCCGGATGTCGTCGTTGCCGGCTAATGTCGACGCGTGTCACGGACAGTCAGAAGTAGCGCTCACGCGTCGCTTACCATGATCAACTTCGTTGTATACGGTGTCTGTGCGCCCTTCGCAGCTGTGATACTTGGCTGCGTTCGCTTGTTTTCTTACGTGCTCCACGCTTCGTCATCCTCGGGCCGCCCTCTGTGCGCGACGACGCTTGCTTCATTGCCTCGTATATGGCCTCGACGGGCACAGAAGGCTCCCATCGACGTCATTCTCCGTTTCCATACCCGATACCGTACCTTAGGATCACCGGCTTCTTCAGGGCGATCCCTCTGCAAGTATTTCATCTGGTACACATGCAAACGCAAGCTGTTCCATTCGATACAGGTTTTGTGGAACGCCATGTTTCCCATTATGAAACACGTAAAGGAAGCAGAGGCCAGACTGGAGGACAAGTCGAGAACGTCGGATCTGTCTACGCTTGCATGGTGGAACACGGTGACGCACGCTTTCGTCGACGAGTTTGCCGCAATAACTCTAGCCCGTGACCCTTGAGCATGCAAACATGAGAGACGGGTGCCTCTTGGAGCACTTTCATGAGAGGTTCTATGCTGCTGTCGCATCTCGTTTCCTGATGGCCATAGAGAAAGCGGGATTCGACGTTCAAACGGGACCGATGGTTTGACGCGAAAAGCTCAGAGTGAACTTTTGATATGAACTTGCGAGCAAGTCGTCAAGGCACGACATCGAATCGTTTCCATCACCAATCCGGTGGTGCTAGGTGCAGTGCTCACACGTTCTCTTGAGAGCTAAACATGAAAACATTGATGAAAGAGTGATTAGGTCATTCCACGGTACGCAGAGGAGAAGAGTGAAGGCTCGTGCCCATGTATTGGATAATCATATCGGTTACTTTACAAATTCTGGTTTGGTTACGTCGCGAATGTTCTTGATTCCGGTTACATACCGAATTCCAGCGGCAACGTGTCGAAGGAGCCACAGCCCAGAAACGATGGAGAATCCTAAACCTACCTATGAATCCGGACGCCCGTGATGCGGCACTCGAAATGTCGAGGCTGGACACTTGAAAAAAATTTCGAAAAATCTTTTCTTATCAGAGAGTGCAGTTCAGTTTTCCATTTCAGCCCAGCACGAATGTAGAAAGCGTATCATGAAAGCTGGTAGAAAGGAATACCTGCTCACGGATAGATCCAAGTCTCTGAAAATTACCGACAAGAATACACTCACATGGATAGGCACTTGCTTAGAGCGTTGATCGTGCTCGCTGCTATTCGAGAGAAGGTACCAGGCACGCGACGGGTGTCCAGTGTAGTGTTCCTAAACACGAACTTTGCCCAGAGATTGAAACTTAGTTTTGGTTCATGATTCTGGTAGAGTCCAGATCACGACGCATTTGCCGAACCATGCACTACCATTGTTGCCAGTATGCAGTGAACGAGCACTTCCGCTGGAGCAGCGCTTCATTACGGAAAGCACTGCGAGCATCGCTCCAAATTCTGCAGCACGAGCGTCGAGACGAGTTACCAACGCTTCATCCAATGTCATGAATGACAAAAGAAATAGAGGTATGCGAGTTGCTCGTTCGCCGATACCCGGGCATTCGCATCTACGAAAAAGAACGCAATCCAACAATGCTGTTGCACGAACAGGAAACGCATCCAGTTCAGGTTTTATCGAAGAGAAGGTTGGCATCAACTCAGGAAAATGCAACGCAACAGAGCAGTTGCACAAATAGGAAACGTATTAGGTGTCGCTTTCTCGACATCGGCATTCAGTCCATCGGCAAAACCTGCACCGGCAACAATAACCGTATGGAACATGTCACAAGGTCCCGGGGCCTTGGGTATCACCTTCGTGATGCGTCGGCACTGTTGGTGTGCGCGAAAGCCCCAGACCGGCATCCGCAGCGGCAGTATTGTGGGTATTCATCTCTGTCGGTATGCTCGCTGGCGACATTGACGTGTACGAGGATGCCGCTGGGGCACACCAACGCTTCAACCAGGCATCCATTTCAGCGAGTACGTGTAGAACACTCTCGCGTGCTTGGTAGGAATGCGATTCGAGCGGCAACAACACCAGCCGAGCGATTTTGCCCTGACCCTTCAGCGCTTGAAAAAAGCGCTCGCTTTGAAGTGGATACGTTCCGGGATTATCGTCATCCTCGCCGTGAATCAAGAGCAACGGGGCTTGGATCTGGTTTGCATACAGGTACGGCGACATGCGCACGTAAACATCGCGTGCTTGCCAGAGCGTTCGTTGCTCATTCTGGAAGCCAAACGGGGTCAGTGTGCGGTTGTAGGCACCGCTGCGCGCGATCCCGCAACGAAATAGATCCGGGGCATGACATAACAGGTTCGCTGCCATAAACGCCCCATAGCTGTGACCACCGATAGCGATCCGTTGTGGATCAGCGTAACCGTTCGACACCAGAAATGCTACCGCGGCCCGGGCGGAAGCAACCAACTGCTCGATAAAGGTGTCGTTCGCATCCTCCCCGCTGGGGCCGATGATGGGCATGCTGGGACCCTCCAGGATCCCGAATCCCTGGGTCAACCAATACAGTGGTACCCTCGCCAGGTGTGTAAAACCGTAGGGTGAGTCCCGCAACTGTCCAGCAGAGTCCGCTGAGAGAAACTCACGCGGGTACGCCCACACAAAGAACGGCAACGGCCCATCGCGGGTTTTGTCATAGCCTGGCGGGAGATAGAGCGATGCGCTCAATCGTACCTGGTCGGTGCTGCGTTCGTAGCGTACCAGTTGTCGCTGCACCGAGGCAAGCGATGGTGCCGGGTGTGGGAACCACGTGACTTGCCGCAGCTGCCGCCAGCGTCTACGCACTGCATGGTGATGATCATGGGCCACGTCTCCGTTGCCTTGCGCTTGGTCCACTGGCGACTCCTGCTGGCCGTTATCCGAGCTGAGTGCTTGGTCCGTGTGTGCCGTCCACGCATCCATAGACACGCCAGACGGTAACGGCACAGGATCCATGCACTCAATGATGTAGCAGTTCGAGGGCTCTGTTGGGCTCTCTCGCGAGATCAGCAAGCGACGCGGGACCCGCTCCGAAGACCGTGGCTCCAAAACCTTCAGAAAGTACTCGAGGTACGGTGGTGCAGACTGCCACAAGCGCCATCGCGCTCGAGTGTCCAAGTCCAGGAGGTCGAGAAATGGCCTATTACCCTGGTCGGATGCCCCACTGCCAGTGAGCAGGACTTGACGCCGGCGGGGACCCACGAGATGTAAGACGAGTTTGCCTGAGGGCGTCGCCTTCACAACCAGATTGCCAGGGTTGCGATACGCATCTTCCCAGTCGGGTATATCGAACAAGCACTGCAGCTGCGTCGGCTCGCTAATCGATGGTGCTGACTCGCCTCCCAATGACGCAGCCGGCTCGAAGAGGTATGTGCGAATCGAGCGCGACTTGTACCACGTCTCCGAGACAACCGCGGTGGTATTGTCACCCCATGTGATGCCACCAAAGCGCTTTGCTAGGGCAATAAGGGGACGCGGTCGCTCCTCTGTGTCACTAAACGGTGCCCGGAGGCAGTAGACGACGTCACGAACCGATACTTGTTGCTCTGGGTCGCCCTGATCCTGTGCCTCTACCCAGACCAGGGTTGCACGTTGGACATCGTCTTGGCGCCAGCCAAACGCTCTGGGACCGCTTACCGTCGCATCAAACGCGAGTGGTACGTGCTCCTGTGCCGGAATATGGGCAACAGTTCGTGTAAGAGCCCTGTGCACTAGGTCGTAGATCTCGACTGTCCGCGGAAAGCGCGACGCTGGTACGCTCGTACTATAGGGCCGTTCAATTCGTTCCACCAACAGGTATTTGCCATCTGGAGAAGGAGACGCGTATCGAAAGACGCCAGCGCCACCAATGCTGTGCATTCGGCCGGTACGTGTGTCCAAAAGTGCCAGCTGAGTCGTGGTGTACAGCTCGAAGATCTCCATGTCGAACTCGTCGCGAAGAAGGTCCGGAATGGTTCGCGCAGGTGCAGCTCGACCCGCTTCATAGACCTGAACTGTGGGTCCGAGGGGAACTGTCGGACGCTTCGCTTGCTGCCAACGTTGTGTCTTCAGCGGATCCGCCGTTTGGTCCTGTGCCTCGTCGTAGACGGCGAGGTTCACCAGGAGGTATCCGGTGTTTCCGCACCACGCAAATGGGTCGGAAACGATACCGTTCAGTCGGAGTCGCTCGGGTAAGGCCGGTTGCGTGATATCTGTTGTCTGTTGACGCTCTATTCCAAGTTCACGTGCGAGGCTGATACCACTCTGCAGCAGACAACGCGCGGAGCGCGTGGCGATGTCGGCCAACCAGAGGTCCAAGCCACGCTCTCGATCAAAGGTGCAGAACGCGACCTGTGCCCCATCTGGTGACCACTTGACGTAGCCTATATCGAGTTGTCCGGAGGCAAGTCCAGTAAATGACCATGCCGTCCGGTCGGGAGCGTCCAGCTCGCGAACACCGATTCCACAGAAGAACGTCATACGCGCAGGAGTGTAGGTTGCCGGGTAGAATCGGATGCCAGCCAGTCGCAGTTCCTCCAGGGCAAAGTTCCGAATAGGAGAGCGTGGAGGTCGCTTAAGCTCCAATATGTAGCGAATCTCTTCTCCTGGCGACAGGGCTAAGACGGGATCAAGGTCAGCGTCCACCAACGCTTGAATTTCCTTCGGCGGTTTCTGGTACGGAATGACACCGCTTTTGCTTGCATCCCAAGGCATTGGTGCTGTTTCATCTGCAGAGGCACGCAGCGCTTTCAAGCCTAGAGCGTCGTGCCGGTGTCTTCGCCACCTTTGCAGTTGCTCACTTCGGTGGTGCGACGTTGCACTTGCTGCGACCCGAGTCCAGCCGGGCGCTCTCCGAAGCCGTCCAGCAGGCGGCACGAACCAAACCATGGGCGGCTTCATGAGTGCAGCACAGAGACCATTCATATCGAGCTACCCTTCACTTCACAACGTTCTGGGTAACCAGGTCGCTGGACGCTCTCAGGGTGCGTTGCAGCAGTGAGCTTTGCGGCAGGCACTGGGAAGTCACTGTCGCCGCATTCCGCCTCCAGCCGCAGGCGTCGCGTCGCCCGGGTGTTCGTAGCGGCAGCACTAGTCACCAGACGAGTGGCGACGAACACTGCTGAATAAGACCATAGTGGAACGGATTTGCTTTAGAAAGTCGACCGATGGGTTACTGGTCTGGACTGGAGCGGGACCAACGAACGCGTTGGGCGGAACGGTTGCAGGAGGCCGCAGCGGCACTGAGAGCAGCACGCAAGTGAGAGACTTGAGGGATCCTGTGTGTGTGTGTCTCCCCAGTGCTCAGGAGGGCAGGAGTCTGTGCCCGAAGGCAACTGAGGCATGGTCGTTCGACTGACAGATACGTTCAATGAGGCATAGGTTTCGTATGGTTTGCGTTTCCGTGCAGGGACGCTATTTGGGTGGTATATGCTGGACTTGAGCTGGCAGCAGCTACACAGGGAGTGCCTACTGCTTGCGAGGACGCAAGATTCACATACGTACCTAAGCGTCGGACAGTTAGATTGGAGTCAGAGTGCCTACTGTTTGCTGGTAACGCTTCATGAACTATAGACGTGCCTTGGTAGAGCACAGTTCATTTGAAATCTGCGTGCAACCTACTTGCAAAGCCTCATAAACTATCGGCATACATCAGTACGACATAGCCAGTGTGGAGCCAGAAAGTTTCGAGTGGCTATCTTCCTTAGAAGTTGATCCCTACCTGCACCTTTTCGCCTAATTGGTCTGGGGTCCTGGCCTTTTACAGAACAAGACTGTCAGTCGAGACGGCGGTACTCGCCGGCGCTGCCACTGGTCTACGGCATCGGGTCACGCCCTGGTTTTATCTCGGGTGGTTGCGCACTTACTGCCTGGCAAACGCAACATTTCCATCTACGTTCTCTGTTTGGGCATGACTGCTGTCGACGACGTGTCGGCGGTGGTGCTCGAAACTACCTCGGACCGGGTCCGTGCTGGCTTTGCGGGTAGTGCGTGTCCATCGTGCGTTCGTCTTCTGCCTGAGCTGACCACAGGGCCAGAGAGTCTCGCTTCTATCCAGGACGCTTGGAGAGGGTCACTGGTGTCTATCTTCGGCGCTGGAGAAGCCATGTCCGAAGACAATAGGCCCGCCGAGTCCGAATCATTGGGCAGCGAACGAACACCGTTGCTGCTCGTGGAGCCTGCGCAACCCTGGGAGCAGGAGACCCGCCAAGAACTCGTTCGCTTCGCGTTCGAGACGCTGCACGTGCCTGCCGTATACCTCATGCGCTCAGCGGTGGCTACGACTTTCGCCTGGGCCCGGAAGACTGCCCTCGTCTTGCACATCGATCGAGTCGGGGCAGTCGCCGCACCGGTTCTTGAGGGCTACTTGTTACTAAACTGCTTGCGTTCCGATCCTCTGGTAGGCCTTCCGTGGCCTCAGCGAGACTCGTCCACTGCCGAAGAGACCAGACTGCCGCTGAAGAAAGTCGAAGCGAAGCTTTTTCCCCGTTTAACGCGACTGGTGTTTGATGCCATTATGGCCGCCGATATTGATGTGCGTCGTGAGCTCTTTTACAACGTAATCGTGACGGGAGATGGCCTATCGCAGCTCGAGGAGCAAGCACTGGTGCAGCGACTTGACGAAACCCTGGGAGAGGTCTGCCCACATCTCTTTCGCCCACGAGTTGTGAACGCCTCTAATGAGCAGCTGTTTCATCCAGGTGTGTCGGCCGCCTGGGTGGGTGCAAGTCTCTGTGGAACGCTCGGCGTTTTTCATCAACTATGGGTATCTCGATCCGATTGGGAGGCATCACCTCCCTCGATTCTAGAGGATCGCTGCCCATGAAACACCTGGCGTCTGGCGACTGCCATCTGCAATGCTTATTCGGGGGACGAGGCGCCTTCAGAGATGGCAAGCAGTTGGACCCATTGCAACCCCATCGACAATGAATCATAGCTACTGTTGTTGCTTTTCGCTATCTGAAGAGGTATCGAACGTCCAAATCCAAGCTTTGGAGCATGCACGGGTGCAGGACCCGTCGTCATGACGCAGCAGTAGTGGTGCGCGTTTCCTTTTGCGAGGCGTGATGTCGTGTCGCTCTGGAATGGACGTTGAGGCTGCAGCCTCATGCGAGTGTCTTTTCGTATCCTCTTGCAAGGCTAGCCGCCTATGTGAAATTTTGCACGAAGGGCCATCGCCTTGACCCGGACACGTGTTTGCAGAGCAAACAACCGGTGCTAGTTTGTATCGGTGGCGGTCGCATTGCTCGCATCCGCATGCTGTATCGGCCGCTGAGACGCTAGTCAGCATCGAGACGCTTGTTCCCGTCTTCGAGACGCGGAAGCGGGATTTTGGTTTGTGTATCATACACTTTGTCCGTGAACATGGCCCTTGCGTCCGTGGCAACCATGCCTACGCAGAAAAATGTGGTACGTCTGAACGGGTCAGTTGGTCGAACGGGGCGCGGTACCTCTCGTCGGTTACTTCCATGTAACGTGGACGCAACTGCAACACCGTGTTACGCTGCACTCGCGGAAGCCTGCTGGATCTATCGAGTGTCTATGAAGAAGGGACGGCCTGTAATATAAAACGCAACCGCGATGCTGTGTTAAGTTGTTCATCAAGAACTTCGCTGAGTTTGTCGAGTCTCTATTTTGGAGGAGTGCACTGTTCTGGACTCGAAAAAGAGCGCAGAAAGAGATGCGTGTGAGCTGAGCGCTCTGCTCCTGTTGCTGGTCGCGTTTGCACAGCACCGGGGTACATCTGACTGGATGCATGGATGCCAGATCATCGAGAACGTGGCATCGTGCATTTTAGACCACAACATCGATGACCTACATGGAGGAGCCGCTGCGCAATCCGAATGATCCCCTGAGCGCACACTGTCCGCAGCGCCGTAGTTCGAATGGAAGTATGGATGGTAGTAGTGGTAGTGGTAGTAGTAATGATGATGGTCGTGGTGGTGGCAGCGGCGGTCACTGGTCCCAATTGAAGATATGGTGCGGAATGGTGGATGCCCCGCTCCCCGGATGTCGGTCGTAATCGCTTCATCTGGAATCCCTGGTTCATGGAAACGATCCTGCTGCCGACGAAAACAAATCGGAGCAAAAGTCCATCGCGCATCCATTGGAAGGCCTCGCTTCTTATTGATCAGAATTTCATTTGCTTCTTAAAATGTGACAACGGATGGCTCTAGAATTCGCTGCTCGACAGCAATAAACAAATTTTTGACAAACACTCGATTTACCATGCCGGTCCATTAGCACGGTTCGTTTTATCCAAGACTACACTCACAGATATCGTCGTCTACGTCGCATATGCTCCCTTTTCCTGAACGGAGCGTCATGGTGCTCATTAATGAACAACGCTCTACGCCGGGAACCGCTGTTACGAAGATGGATAGGTACTCGTCAGGCTGGACGTCCTCAAAGCGGCTCGTCCGGCCGATGTTCGTGCGGCTTCACTGCGCCGATGCGGACCTCGGTCCAGTACACTCGTCCTATATCGACCAAGAGCAAGGCTTGGTGCACAAGGCGTCTAGAAACAGAATCGACATTTTGACAAGTCTATGTATGCGACGACGACCGTGTCGCTGCTGCCGGACTCTCCGCGCATTCGCTGCTCTGGCTATGTTCAAGCATCAATGGATAATCTCTAATTAAATAGAAAGACTCGCACATCCTGTATGACGCTTCATGACCTAGGTCGCGCGAGCATGAGAGACTTCATCGAATCTGCACCATAAAATTACCTGGTGCGAAAGCCATCTATGCTGTACATTGCAGACACGTCGCGTTACACGTCGCAACCGCACTATTTCAAACAGCACTCGGCCCAAGAGTGTCCCGAGTACAAGCTGCATAGCGAACTAGGGACCTTGATCATTCCCTCACAACCTAGAGCCGGTCAAGGAGCTCTCCTACCGCTTCCCATGAATGCACAACGGCGATATCCTTTGACTCGAATGCAGGAGATTTACTCCATCCGTACTGCCCCTGAAAGTCAAAAAGAACACCAAACACACCATTTTCCGAGCAATCCAGCAGATTGTGGGGCAAGTCGTCGATTAAGACGGCCGCGCCGCAGGCCTTACAGACTTGGGACTTGCGGCGCCTGTTCGCAAAGAGACGCTGCGGTTCCTGTGCAGCGCTACCGACTCCGGTACCGTGTTCACCATTGGGGTGTAGCGCCCATTGATTACCAAGGTAGATTGCTTCAAAAATACCGCTAAAGTGCTTGTCTAACCATGCGCGCGTTTCTTGCTCAATCACCAACTGACGAGAGGTCACCACGACGAAGCGAAAGCGAGCCAGCCGCGACTGAAGGACCTGCTTTGCACCTGGTATCGGCTGGAGCTCCTGAAACGCAGGCGTGCGAAAAAACTCGTGCACTTTTCGAATCGCGTCCGTGTCGGTACCGCCCCAGACCTCCGCAAAGCGATAACTGTGGAAATCAGTGGCTTGCAGCCGCGTTCCGTACCGCTTGTTATGAAAAGCACAGAGTTCCGGTACAAAAAACGCCAGCACTTCATCAATATCGACAGCTATACAGGTTCGCTGTGGTTTTCGGCCTATAAACCACGAGTGAAGGGTCCGCTGGCGCCAGTACCCTCGCTTGGTAGCGTTGGCTTCCACGGGTACGGCAGCGCAGCCGGCTTCCATCACCGGTGCCCCGTTACGTTGCTCCGCCAGCTGACTCGCATCCTCCACACAGGCAGGTTCGGTTTCACCGGTTATCATCCGGGCAGAACCGATGTGACGAGCCTACCTGCAACGCCGCAGCAAACGATAGCGCGCAGCGTTACCTATAACGCGCTGTTGCATGAAGCGGATGCGGTACGTTGAGGCGCAGGGCGCGAATCGGCCTCTTCTGGCGCGGCTGCGCAGCAATGCGATGGATCCATGAGGCAGCTTGTACAAGAATACTTATGAGTGGATATTTATGGTTTAAACTGGATATGATTGGACAGTACGTTGGACATGCTGCAGGCACGCCCTGTGCGTACCAAGAGCAAGCGAATGCGCTGCATAGCAACGTAGGTACAGGCACCTCGTAGGACGGCTATGAACGTGACGCTCGGCACTGGGGACGGTGCTGACTTTTGGGTTTTCGGGTTTGGGAGTCTGATCTGGAAGCCAGACATTCCGTTCGAGGAGTGTCGGGATGCGTTCATAACCGGTTGGAGGAGACGATTCTGGCAGCACTCGACGGACCACCGGGGTACGGAATCGTACCCGGGACGCGTTGCGACGCTGGTGCTAGCAGAGCAGCCAGGAGAGCGCTGCTACGGCCGCGCGTACCGCGTCGATAACGAAGCGGCCGCTGACGTTCTGGCGTACCTGGACGAACGAGAGAAACAAGGATACTCTCGACTCGCTTTACCTGTGTATGATGCGCGTAGCGCTGAGCAGATAACGAAGCATGCTCTAGTCTATATCGCTCGAGAGGATAACCCGCATTTTGTGCGAGCCGCGGACGAGCGGCAGATACCCGTTCTTTGTCGTATTATTGCCCGCGCTCGTGGTCCATCCGGTGATAACGCGACCTATTTATTCCGCTTAAAGGAAAGTCTTGATGAAATCGGTGTCCGAGATGAACATGTGGATGAATTGGTATTCGGTGTACGAGCTGAACTCGAGGCACTGGCGTCAGCGTGCTCCGAGTCGACGCCGCATGGGGTTGCGGTGGCTCCTACAGCCGCCAGTTTCGACGCGGTACCCGCGTCGTCCGATGACCTGCGATAGTCCAGCAAGTGGGTATTAGAAGCAGCTGCGGAGGCAGTGAGTTTTAGATACATCACCCGGAATGCAGCAGGAAACTCATTTATTTTATTACGGCGCAATGGTGACAATGCTTTCAGTTTGGCGTACAGTTGCGCTTCGTGGTATGCAGCGCACGTGTTGATCAGCAGGACCCTGGAACGCGCGACTGCATCGGCACTCGTGATGTACGAAATGTCATGACCGTGCTGGCGGGCGCTTGGGGACTACGCGTCCGAGTCCATTCCGGATATGCCCTGCAGGAGGTCGATGCTCCAAGTTGTCGAGTTGGAATTTTTCGTTTTCGAGAGACTGGGTAGCTGAAGTCTCGTGCTACGCGTTGTGGTTCATAGCTGTGAATCTCAAGCAGTGCCGTCATCATATCTAGTATGCTTCGTCGTATCGAGTATTGCAATAACATTATGGTGTATTCATTGCCCAGGAAAATCGTTACCGGTGCAGGTGTCTGGCAATCCAGACGTTCTGGATTGATGGATCGTACCATACGATTGCCTTGATCCAGATGGGAATGCGATACCGCCTCTCTTCTGGTCGCTGATATTGTTTCATCGAAAGTCTTCAGCGTTTCAGGACGAAGCGAATACTGAAATTCAACGATTTCCTGGAGAGTTCGCTCGATGCAAAGGCGATGCAAGTTTCCACGGCGCGATACATGACCCGGATGTCGATTGACGCTTTGATTTCCTGGTTCGGAAAGCGCTTACCCGCATTATGGCTGCTGGGATCATTCCACAAAGTGCTTCTCAATATCGAGTGCCTTTCCATATGACGATCGGTTAGCGTACCATGCAATATCGCGTGCTTCCGATGCTGTCTCATGCGCTGCTGCTCTACAAGCTTCAACTCGTACGAGTGCTCTTGATGCTAATATGTTGTCCTGAACGTATCGAATAGCATCGATTCCAGCATTCGTTGTACGCTCTTTTCGAAAGAGCAGCAGTGCAGCTCCTGTCGGCTATAGCACTGTTTGCGCTATAACCTGCTTCGAAACGAGCCGACCTATCGGTCGTTTCCTTTTCCAACTCATTGAGACAGTTGGTGAAGGCGAGTTTCTTGCCTTTGTATTCCCGAAATTGTTGCTGACTGCCCAGCGCGTTCTCATGTACTCTCTGAGAGAAGCATTCAAAGCATCAGACTCTGCTCAATACGGCGCTCAGGGTGTCGAGAAGGGCTCTGACGCTGTCGTTCCACTTGTTGCAATGCCTCCTGGCGTCTGTCATGCCCGGCTCTCGATAATATAGAACCCTGGGACAGTTGAGCAGTTTCATCTGCTTGACTGAGCGTCATTACCACCATCTATTTTACATACATCTAGGGTGACGGCGATCAGGTCCTTCAGCTCGGGATCGACGCCATCCACGAAACGTAGCTCTTCATCTACCTTGGAAGGTTGAAAAAGAGGACTGATGCTCTACTCCGGCCTAGGTTTTCAAACAGCTCGTTTGTGCGGGCCTGAGTACGTTGGGATTCAGTCGCGAAAAAAGATTCCTAGTTTACCCACGGCCATCTTGGACGGAAATCGGTGCTTTGACGTTCCTCGAACGTCGCCATCCGTATGAAGCACAGGGACGTCGTTTTTTTTCTCAGTTGATGAGATTTGCTCCAGACGAAACGGTCGGAGCGTATATGGGTATTCGCGGAGAAGGAATCCGTTGTATATGCGATCGAATTCGTGGAGAGCGACGACATCATCATCTGTTCTAGCTGCAGTGGACTCATCTGGCAGCCTAAGTTTCGCGCGTCCAGAAGGCTTATACAGCAGCAACAACCACTTCTTCGAAGCATTGCAGACTTTTCCCCTGAAGCCTACCGACAAACTTCGATTGGACAATGTGACATCTCACCATTCCCCTTGCTTTGTGTTTCTTCCGCAAATCCTTCTCGCTCCAGGAAGGTTTTCACAATGAGCATAAAAAAGTGCATTCATTTTCAAAAATAAGAAACCTAATGGATGCGCCGGGGCGTACACTTCAAAAAGTCGAGATGAAGAGAAGACATCGGCGCGCTTTGGCGATCGAAAAGTTCTGAGAGCTGACTCTGCAACAAACGGCACAGAGGGCACGAGTTCGAGGATTCCTTGAAACGGTGAGTTCCATCAGAAGTAATAGACGCATGGAGTTCATGAACCGAGAATTCAACACTGCCTTTCGTATCAGATGTTGTGCGTTGTTGAAGCCGAGACCCGCTGAGCTGACGCGATCCATCTGTGTAGATTAGCGTCTGAGGCTCTCAATCTGCAAAAGGATAAACTGATACCGATAACAGGCGGCCGTTCAAAAAAACCTGAGAGGCGTCTGCGAGTGGATGTGTATATACACTCCGTAGTCGTGAAATCTTTTCTCGCTTTGCTGACCGTGTTTTGAATGAATCACAAAGCTGCAATACATTCCAAGTGTGTTGCAGATGTACTCGTGATACGAGGCATCTTCAACGTACGCTGTTCTCTAGATCATATCGAGCATGTAGAATATCACTTTTGGAGCATATCGAAACCTGTCTAGTGAACGCACGAGTTGAAGCCTCATTCCAGACACCAGGCATCGATTCGGGATCGACGTTGCGTCTCAGCGAGGCCCATGAACATACCACCGCACAGCGCCTGCAATGCCCATGAACAAAAACTGACTGTCCGCTAAAAAGCGTGTTGCTGCTTCGGACGTCGCTAGCCCGCACACCGACACGGTCGACACCCGACGTCGTCTCCAACACGTCTGTCGAAACGGTGCCCGTGGGTGATTGCCAGGAAAGGCTCGCGTCTGCCGAACGCGTTTCCCAATGGTCGTGTTTCTTGTCGTGTGTCTCGGCACTTGCCACATATTCGATACCACCGCGTCGACTAGTGGCCATGGAATCGCTGAAAACGAGCTTCGCCAAGGATAGTACCAGTGGAGCATGCGCCCGTAAGCCATGCATTCGCAACGCACTGTAGCCTCTTGGTTTACGTCGGGAGCTCTAGAGACGCGATAGTTTCTGCACGAAATTCAACCCGCATCCGTAGAAGTTGTCGGACACGGTCCGGAATCTGCGTCTCTCGAATTTGTTCCCAGAGATCTAGGACTTCGGCGGGTCGATCAACTGTCAACACCAACGCCATGTGGAAGAGCGGCCGAAAAATAGCGCGTATATTGGCGCGCTGGGTCTCTAGCACCAGGCCCGCGAATCGGTTCACTAGGTAACGCACATCGGCATCGAATATGAGACCGCCCAGCGCATTCATGGACAGCGAACGGCTTCGTATCGCCTGATCCAGACGATCCCGTGTCCATTCGGAAACGAGGCAGACAAGTTCAGCGGTGTTTTCGGGCTCTAACTGCGCGAGGATCCTGTCCAAGCCGCCACGGTACATCTGCTCGAATAGTTCGGTAACAAAAGCACTCGGGCCTGGTTGAAAGCTGGATTCGGAGACGAGATACGGCGAGCCATTGGATGCTCCAGAAGTCGGCGAAGCGCCCAGAAGTAGGCGCTCAGCGTGTGTCGCAGCTTGCTCCAGAACATTTGAAACGAGTGTCTGAAAGATTCGTCGGACACCTTGACTCGCTACGCATCGTAACTCCTCGATGGTCGTTTCTAAATCAGAAATGATTGCTGTTAGCGCCGCCGAGCGGGGCAGCTGCTGTTCCGCTAGTCCCCGAGACACACTGACTGTTACCAAGTGTCGCAGGTAGCTTCCGCTGGTGCGTGCATCATTCGCCACCTTGATCAAACCTTCAAGTGCTTCAGCTCTGAAACTGGATCCGAACACCATTTGCGCCGACGGGAAGACACTGGGCAACGCGGCATGCGTTGGAAGGCTTCGGCGAAGATGTTCAAGGAGCGGTCCGGCGAGCAGCGCCTGCACGTGGTTCAGCGATGCACACAAAGCGTCCGGATCGAATGCCTGCAACGATCGACCGATGATGCGTTTGATCGCGTAGAACGTGTAGTCGATCGCTCGTGAGACTGTCTCCGACGAGGCTGCTGGAGGCTCACCGGCAGACCCCGAGGCGGGTAGCGCTTCCAGGCGTTGCGCAAGCTTCCATTCGCTGTCCAGGAGAGCCCGCTCCAGAAGCACGTACATCCCCATGACCTCCTGCATTTTGAGGTAAAGAGCACCCTCACGCCGACGCTCCTGTTCAAAATCATTTCCGAGTCCCAGACGAGTCATCATGAAATGGCGAAACATGGCCGTGCGACGGCTCATGACCACAATCTGTTCCAGAAGCGCTTCAAGTTCATTCGTTTCGCTTTGCTCCCGAGTCATATCAAAATCATGCGCGGTAGCTCCGGTTCGTGAGTCCCCGATTGCAGCCATATTGCTCAGCGGTGCGTACTCTATATCGAAAACAGGACCCGCATGTGAGCGATACACAGACTCCGTTGCTGCTTTGACATTCGCCTCTCGACGGCGGTTCAGCTGACGGCATCGTTCGGCGAGCTTGGTTGCATCGCAGAAACGCTGTAGTATTTCAGCCCCTCGTTCATTCGCTAGTTCTTCTAGGGCAAGAATGACTTTTCCATCATCCGAATCGAAGCGTTGCGCGGAACGCTCCGTATACGCGATGGTCTCCGCAATCGCCTCGTAGAGCGCGGTCAGTTCCTCCAAGTGCGCTGTCTCTGGTTCAAGCGCTGATGCCGTCCTTTGGCTCATGCGAGAGAGTGCCTGCGCTTTGGTGTGCTGTACCAGCAGCCGTCGAGCGTCGTCTACATATCCCAGCGCATGCAGACGCATGATGTGAGCCTGCATTGGGTGCTCGGATGTCGCAGGCACCTCTGGTGCTGAAGCTGCGCTGCTGAGTACCTGTTCAGCTTGATACACAACGAGCGCACGCAGTTGATGTCGAGCTTCTTCGACTTGCTGCTGTAGTGCAGCTACTTCAGCGGAACCGAAGAGGTCCATTTGAGAATGGAACGCAGACTGCTGCAAGCGAACGTGAAACTCGGCGATAAGCGCAGCTGCTCGCTCAGTATCAACGTCCGGCGCTTGAAGGAGCTTCTGCAGCGTCTGTGCTGTCTGCCGGAGGGCCAACAAGTCTTCCACTAGTTTCAACGCCGTTTCTACCTTGCGCAAGTGTCCATCGAACCGTCGCAGCTCCGTCGTGTCCGAGAATAAACGTTCTGCCTGTGTTTTGGCTAAAGTAAGCAGTGCGAAGAACTCGCTCCGACTTTGGAGGAGGAGCCGCAACGCCTCTTGAACTCGAGCGAAATCTTTCGGAACTTGCTCGTAGAATATTGCTAACTGCTCTTGGAGCTGTTGCTCGGATACGCGCTCCGCTTCACCGGTTGCAGCTCGGAGACTTTTGGCTTGGTGGAGCAGCTGTGGCAGCGACGCGCGGGCTCGGTCAGCCGCACCAGTTGCGCTTTTCTCAGACGTCATCACGGAGCCAGAACGAGCGATTGAAACACAGTAGCGTATAGAGCTCGTTGTGGGCTCAACTTTCGGCCGCCATGGTGAAACACTGCACCTGTGCACGTATCCCGGTTTCCGCGTGTTTCTTGTGGAGACCAACGATCCGCAGAACGACAATGCGTCAATCATATGATCGGCAGCGGGGTTCTTGTTCCGTAAAAACCATACGATACGCAAAAAATCGCTCATAGTCATTGAGGGCTACCAAGTCGCTCACTCGATTCTCTCATGAGCGCAGGTGTCTCTGGTTTATCAGCGACTGGAACAAAGATTACCTTATTATATGAAGGTGCGCTACACCCACGTCAACCTGACATGGGACACTGAAGTACTCGCTCTTTTCCTGCCTTGTCGATGTCTTTCGGAAATTTTCAGATGCACAGCCTCGACATGCCAAATGCAGCGACAAGCGCTTGTGGATCGATGTGTAGGTTTACGATGCTTGGTCTTGTTTTCCGAGTATCTCCATAGAGTATTTGCCGCTGGTATTCGCTACGGCAAAGGAATCGAGTTCATTCACGACGCATACGAATCAGCGTTCGTTACATAACCGATATCATTACCCAATGTATACGTACAAGCATCCACACTTCTCCTTTGCTAACATTTCACGCGCTTAAATCACGCAAGCTTCAAGTTTCCGATCTTCCTGTGTCCATGGGACAAGTGAACGCAGCAATGCGGGCTGCTATTCTAACAAGGAAGCGAATACGCAATGTCGTCTCTTGCCAACTTGCTGACAAGCTCATCGAGAACCTCACTGTACTTGTCACGTAGTACGATTAACGAGTCCATTTGAAAGAAATAAGCTCCTCTCTTCCAATCATCCATAAAGCTGTACTCGACAGCAGCATAGTACTTGTATCAAGTAGATGAAGGCAGCTCGCCGCAGGGCAGGAAGCACCAGCTTCTCAACGGTGCGGTTTCGCGCACCATCGAGCTCGTAATGGAGACGTTCAAACTTCGGCACTGGATAAAAACTGCACACATGCGCTCAAGTCTGCACAGTGCCGTACTACAGGGCACATGACGCTGAACACGCGTGCAGTGTGCGGCACCCGTTCACTCAGTTGGCCACGGACCAAACTCGTCGGTAAGCGGTGATTCCCTTCACCTTGAAGCGGCCCGTGTACTCGTACCGTTCTACTGGAACGTTCCATGTAACATCACAAAACCGGAACAATCAATGTCTATGCAATGCGGCGTTGCACGGGTACCTGCAGTGGTGGACATGGACGGCCACGAAAACCCCTGACCCCATGGAGTCGAGCGACCTCCGCCAGACTTTTCAACTTGGCCCAACGCGCTGATAACCACCTCACGCACAATACGTGCGAGTGAGGTGCTCGGAACTGACTCGGCTTTTATGAAGCGTTGCTTGTGGACACAATGTGCACAGCAGTCCGAGCGCTATTCGAGACTCTACCACGACAAGGACTGGAATCAATCTAGGCAGAATTTGCTCTTCTCGCGCACGCTCTGAAAAGCTTCCTCTCCTGTGCCTGCGATCTTCGAATTAGCACTGTTTTCTGTGGGACGGCTTTGAACGTCAAGCGAAGCAATTGCGCTAAACGCTGTAGCGATCCGTGCTACCAACGGCAGCGCTACATTCCGAGTCGATGACAGTGACCGCATATTCGAACAGCGGTACGTTTAAAGCGCTTCCTGCACCGCATCCAGGCCGCACACACGAATGCCTCACCAATCGGGGTGCGCTCGGACGTATCCAAGTGTGACATTCAGCTCGTTCAAGGATAGAGGCGCTTCGGATCACGAGGAAACATCGAACACTCTCGAATGTTTCCGATTCCTAGGTACAGCATGACCACCCTTTCTAGACCGATACCAGCACCGCCATGGGGAAAAACTCCATACTGAAAAGCTTCAACGTAGCTCTGCAAGGTGGCGGGGTCGAGGCCTTTCTCGGTGATGCGTTGTCGGAGCAGGTCGACGTCATGGATACGCTGTGCACCCGAGACGATTTCCTCGCCCCGCATGAAAACATCGAAAGCGTTGCTGTACCGCGAGTCGTCGGGCGAAGGCATTGTATAAAAAGGACGGCACTTTGCGGGGAACCGGTCAATCACATAAAAGTCCGTTTGAAACTCCTTGCTCACGATTTCGCCGAGTGCCTTTTCCTGCTCGCTGGTAAAGTCGACCAGATCGTCGACTTGCTCGCCGTGCTCACGTAACAGGTCCACTGCCTGGCGATGGGTTAAGCGGAGACCGCGACCTCGCTTATAACGGAGCGGTTGAAACGGATATTGGCGCTGGATGCTAGAAAGCTCCGCCCCAAAGCGCTGCTCCAGACCTTCGAAAATGTGCTGAAAGAGTTGTTCGAGGACGTCCAGGATCTCGTGATAGCTTTCCTGGATCTCCATTTCAATATCAAGACCTACAAATTCGGTAAGGTGGCGGTAAGTATTTGAGTTCTCCGCTCGAAAGACTGGCCCTACTTCGAATACTCGACGCATGTCTCCGCAAATCGCCATTTGCTTGTACAGCTGGGGCGATTGCGATAGACACGCATTTTCGTCGAAGTAGCGTAGACGGAATACCTCTGCGCCACCCTCGCTGGATCCACCGATGATTTTGGGCGTATGGATTTCCGTAAATCCATGTGCAACGAGCCATTCACGAAATAGCGTCGAAACTCCGGACTGCAAACGCAAAATCGCCTGGTGCGCTGGAACTCGCAAATCCATAAAACGGTGGTCTAGTCGAGTGTCCCGGTGTACATGGGGGCCATCTTCATCCGCCCTCCTGCTAGCGTCAGCGATTTCAAACGGAAGCGGGACTCGCGCCCGGCTCACTAGATAAATGCGTCGGGCGTGAACTTCGACATCGTTCTGTGTGCACGACTTGACCTGTGCAGGCACCAAGATGCCGCAGATATCCACAACGCTTTCGGGGGTCACTTCCCCGGAGCGTGCCAGCCAGCGAACCATGTCACGGGTTACGGATGGTACTGAGTCAGCCACGAGAACTACTTGCACAGTGGCGTACTGGTGACGAAGCACCAAGAAGGCCACCTTGGAGCCCTGGGCGCGCACGGTCTGAACACGTCCCCTCAACCAGACCTCCTGGTTCGTGGCACACGCCGGATGTGCGACACCCAGCGTTCCAGCCTCTACCCAGGTGCGTCGCACAGAGTCATCGCCACAAGAGCTCGTCGTCAGCGCCTTTAACGTATAGCGGCCAAACGCGGGCGCGTCAGCGTCCATTTTCAGGGACTCTAGCTGCGCAGAGAGAACCGCTTCTTCACTGGGCGACGGAACGTTTCCCTCGAGATCGACGTGCTTTTTCAGGGCTGCCTCCGCCTCCTTTCGCCGTTTCTTATCTTCTTTGTACCAGGTGCGCTCCTCTTCCGTCCATTCTGTACGAGGGATCCGCTCATCCAGTTTCCGACGTACAGATTCTGCGATAGCTGAAACGTCCATGCTCACCAGAAGGCGTACGTGTACGAGCCCGTGTTACGGAGCAGGCCGACGACGTGCCGTTCGCGAAAGCGCGTGGATGAGGGCTGCGGTCGTCGTCGTCGTCCATTGCGCCGATCCAGTGGGGCTGCGTGCCACCGACGCTCATCCCAGGCTCGACACACATAAAGGATCGAATGAACGATCCAGTACTACTGAAGAAAAGTATGGTTGTTGGTAGTGCTGTTGATTTTAGATGGAACTTGAAGATGAGGTGCGGCGTGATCAACGCGCTCCCGGACGTTCATATGCCTAGTCCGAATGGGTATCCAGAGATCGTGTTCATGATGCCGCACCCGTGAGTGAAGTCTTGCGTCGTGCCAGCTGAGGAGGCGTTCGCAGCGGCGGACTTCGTCACAGTCGCACAAGCATTCGGTCATGGACACGGATGGGCTGACTTGGATGACGTAGCCGCATTGTTCACATACCCGAATGATCACAGGTTGCGACGAGCAGTCCGCACACTCCACACTTGGATGAAGTGCACACAACGTTCATGTACCCGAATGATCATAGCATGAGAGAAGCAGTCCGCACACTCCACAGTTGGATGAAGTGTACACAACGTTCATGTACCCGAATAGACATAGCATGAGAGAAGCAGTCCGTGCGCTCGATGACATGCTGAAAGCAGCTGTTGCGCTTGACCGCGATCCATGGTGCCTCGATAGAGCGCTCGGTGTTCAGACGTCAGAGGAAGTGTCCAAACTGCGTCCTTTCTGCATCGTTGAGGCGGACACCAGCGACGCGTGCTGAGCAGCAAGCGCACCGAGTCACTCCTGCAAATAGACCAGAGATTCAAGGAGGAGGCAGCGTCTGCGCGTATAGGTGACGTTCTGCAGCAGCAAAGTGCGTTAGTGACGCGGCCGGCGCACAAGTCGTTCACCGCCAACGACATTCCAGGTATAAGTAGCACGCTCGTGATGCGCGAATTCGCCTAACGTCATCAAAGAGAACGCTGCAGCAGCGCTACGTATCTGGGTGCAACGACAAATCTCGATCCAATGGCGAAAGCTGCACACACACAGGTGCACCACGTTCCGCTCCTCCCGCTCTGCAAATGGGTGTTAGATACTCCGTGCTCCCTAATGACCTCAAAAGCATAAACCTAGAACACGCCCGTTGTAAAGCTTCTCAGAATATACTGGAAAGCCTGCATAGATGAGTACCCTGAAAATCGTGTACGTTTCGGCCCACCAGAAATCGATAGATACGCGCTCATCCATTTCCATGCATATTCACCGGCTGCAAACGCGCGAAGACATGCAGTGCCGGTGACCGAGGCCATCATTTGCGAATACACTGCGAGAGCGTTGCTCGCAAGACGCCCTTTTGCGTCAGGCACTGCCTTGCTACTGATGGATCCAGCGCCTCGAGCCAACGCTCCCACTGGTACCGCAAAGCCGCTCTTTCACCATGATGCATGCGCGCATGCGGTTTAGGCACCAAGGCGGGTGCAGTAATGCAGCTGCTCCGCGCACCGTAGAATCCACAAAACGACCGGTGCACCCGAGAACAGGTCATGGAACTCGGGAGTATTGCACTGCATTATCGAAACTCTCCCGAATGCCAATACCCATCCATCCCGCAAGCCGGGATCCCTGATCCACGGAAACGCATTGTCATCGAAAGAAATCGCCGCGACGCTAGGGACGCGGTGCGGCACACGGAGGCGCTTGTCAGTACTCCCCTGGATGTACGGAGGTTGTCGGATGCGACCTCGTTGCAGGTACGGTGGAAACGCGTCTCTTTGAACACTGTTATAGGCACCATCGCTGCGAAGTCTGTTTCGCTTCGGTAAACTGAGCTTTAAACGCTACAGAGGTCTCGGGGAGGACCCTTGGACGCGACGCCTGCTGTGCCTGGCGTCTGAGCACATACAGCACAGCCGAGCACTGGACCCGTGCGAGGCAACGTTGCGTAGGGCACACGGAGGCGCTCTAGCGTTCCAGGCGGGCAGCGTCGGGAGTCGTAGTCAAGGACTCCCCAAATGACTCGCCTTTGCTGGAGCCCTGCGCAACAGCTCGTAGGGGGCTTTGTTCCGCCGTTTTGTGCAAAGCAGAGTGGACACTACTGGACTGACCGAGACGTCGAACCTCGAACGAGGCGCTGGACGAAGCCGTTCCCTGCAAACAGCGCATCTTGGCTCCAGCGACCTTCGGTCGGTACGGATGGTTGCGCGAAGTGCCTAGTTGAGCCGCGAAAGAGAGCGAGCGCGTCCGCCTTGCAACTGATAGCCAGCGACGGTTCTTCCGAGGCCAGGTCATTGCCATGGACAGGGCGCTGCCTCCTATGCATTGAGCTTGGCGCTATGGTGCCCTTCGGAGACACCCCTGGCGGTGCGAACAACCACGACGAAGAGCGCCCGAGCCCGGATCCGAGCCTTGCTGACTTTTTCGAACGCCTACGGGTTCATGTCTCAGTAACGAAGCAACAGATTGTACTGGTTTATTTCTTTGAGGGAACTCTCAAGGAAGCACGGGAGCTTCTTGAGCGTTTCCCCATCATGGCTGAGCCTGACGTGCTTTGCACGCTCTGTGGCACTGAGATCTACCAACGCGGCTACGTGGCACCAGATCCGTACTGGGAACAGCGAATGGCAGCTGTCGGCCTTGGTTTCGATCCCAAGCCGATCGCTTGGATGATGCGCGAGTCATTTGAAAAATGGCTTACGCCAGAATTTGATGAGAAACTGCTGAGTAAGCGCAAGTTACTAACAGATCCTTCCGCAAGAGAAGTGGCGTATCTCGAGTACTCCTGGCGAAGCGACCCGGACGAGGCCATTGACCGTGCACATCTGATCGAGTCTGTGCAAGGCAAAATGAAAGAGATGGGGTTTGAGGCTACCCGATGTATCGTCTCACCGCTGGCTGGAAACCTGGTCCTGATTCCAGACGAAGCGAGAATGAGCAAGTGCCTTCAGTTCATCATGCTGATGATGAGACTAACTACCGCCGACCTGGTGCTGGTAGGGTCGGAATCCAGTGCACTCTTACAGGATGCTGTGCAGGTGTTTGAGTCCAGCGATCCGGTGGCCTCACTCGAAGCGCTCGCACCCGACGTTCGAAAATCCCAGTGGACGGACCTCAAACCTGGTGCAACGGGCTCTGCGAATGCCGAGCGCGCCAATCGTGGAACGCTGGTTCTGTTACCAAGCGCTTCTGGTGACGTGGCGGTTAACTTTAACGCACCAGATCGTTGCCAGGTGGTGAAGGCATCACAAAAGGGTGCTGCTGGCATTATTGAAGCACTTCTCGCGCTCGGCAAACTCTGAGCGCATCCACGATTCTGTATGATGTTCGCAGATGCATCCAGCAAACGTATCTCTGCACGTATGAGAGCAATTGCATCCATAGAAAAAATCAAGCTTGTTTAGGGGGTTTGCGGCACACCAGTTCTTTGAACTTGTTCTTCATCAAAAAGACAGAACGACTATGCCTGATGACTGCCTGACAGAGCCGAGATCAAGCCCCGCAAACAGCTTCTTCCGTGGGCACGAAGCTAGCACGCCGCGTGCGTCGTCGAGTCAGGCGGGTTCACCAAAACAACGCACCATGACCCAGGGTCCTTCAAACGACCACCGATAGAAAGTGGAGGGCGCGAAGGGCAAACCGCAGCGCTGCTCGCTCGTGCTCGCGCTCAGCGGAAAGAATCCCCGATCCCTTTTTGGATCGTGCGAGTAATTCTTTCGAGAAAATAGAGCGCATGCAATGGCCTCGTTCGCGAGCAAGTTCGCACTCGTTTCGCATTTTCTGAATATGAACGCATTGCGGAGGCAGTCGCGCCGGCGGGAGTATCCCCTTTCCAGTAGACGGCGAACGTCATCTGCTGTTTAGAGTGCGCGTTACCGCGTCAGTGAAAGTCAACGGCAATCGTTAGCAAAGGTACAAGTGCGGCCATTGAACCCTAGTTAGAAGGATACACCTGGTGCTTGCGAATGCATTGCTGCAGCGCTAGACGCATGCAGGAATACACCAGCGTCATCGCATGGAGACACCATTCTTCGTGCGCGGGCCTGCTCTCATACTGCTGCTCTTATGGCCGTCTATTCGGTGGAGCACAACTCGCATTTCACATTTTGGGTAGCGGTCGGAATTTCAAACGAGTAGGATTGATAAACTCATCACCAAAGCGCGCCCGCCGGTACTCCTGATAGGCATCGAAACCGCCCACGAAGAAGCGCACCTGCGAGTCACCTTCAAACGCGAGAATGTGGGTGGTGACGCGGCTGAGAAACCACGGATCGTGGCTGATCGCCAGAACAACACCGGGAAAGTCCAGAATTGCTTGCTCTAAATTCGCTAGCGTGGCTGTATCGAGGTCGTTGCCAGGCTCGTCCAGCAGAAGCACGTTACCTGCACCGCCGTGTTCTCGGTTCAAAATCGCTTTGGCCAAGTTCAGGCGGTTGCGCTCGCCACCGCTCAGCACGCCGACTTTCTTCTGTTGGTCGGCGCCCCTGAAGTTGAACCACGCGCAGTACGCCCGAGCATTCAATGTGCGATTGCCCAGGGTCACTGTATCGACATGGGCGTCGCCACAGATCTCTTCAAATACGGTCTTGTTGGGATCCAGTGTCTCTCGGTCTTGATCAGCGTACATGAGTTTGACGGTCTCGCCTAGGCGCAAGGTGCCAGCGCTTGGCTGCTCCCGTCCGGTGATCAGGCGGAAGAGCGTCGATTTGCCTGCACCGTTGCCACCAATGATACCGACCACTGAGCCGCGCGGGATCGAGAACGTCGCATCACTGATAAGGCATCGATCTCCATACCATTTGAAGAGACCTTCGGCTTCGATGACCTGCTCGCCTAGGTACGGCCCGACGGGGATGCGAATCTGATTCATTGAAAGGGATTGCGAACGACTCTCCGCCGTCTCTTGCTGCGTTTGGTAAAGTTCCTCGAAGCGATCGATACGCGCTTTGTTCTTCGTCATTCGAGCCGCGGGCGTTGCTCGGATCCACTCCAACTCGGCGTCAATGAGTCGTCGCCGCGCATCCGCCTCCTTTTTGTCCTGCTCCAGACGAAGCTGTTTCGCGGCAAGCCAGGAGGAGTAGTTGCCTTGGTGCGGTATGCCGCGGCCGTTTTCCAGCTCTAGGATCCATTCACAGGTGTTTTCGAGGAAGGAGCGCGAATGTGTTACTGCAACAACGGTTCCCGTGTAATACTTGGACAAATACTGTTCGAGCCACAACACGGACTCTGCATCCAAGTGATTTGTTGGTTCGTCCAGGAGCAGTAGATCAGGGCGACGAATCAAGAGACGAACGAGTGCAACCCGTCGGCGCTCACCGCCCGAAAGAATTTTAACCGGCGTCTCGGGAGCAGGAACCCGAAGCGCCTCCATTGCCCTTTCCAAAATCGACTCGAGGTTGTATCCATCAGCGGCTTCAATTTGGGCTTGAACCTGGTCGATCTCTTGGGCAATTTCCTGCTTCTCGGCTGCTGAGCAAGCGGGATCCGCTAGCCGCTGAGACAGCGTCTCCAACCGGTGCAAATTATCTCGTATTTCTTTCACGCCCGCCATGATATTATCCATAACTGTCTCGCCATCATCGAGCTGAGGCTCCTGCGCCAGGTACCCGATGGAAGCGGTACGCATGGGACGGGCCTCGCCTTCGAACTCTTTATCCACACCGGCCATGATACGAAGCAACGTCGACTTCCCGGCGCCGTTGGGCCCTACAACACCAATTTTAGCCCCCGGAAAGAAGGCGAGGGAAATGTCTTTGAGAATTTGTTTTCCATTAGGAAGGATTTTGCTGACCCTAAGCATTTGGAACATGTAATCGCGTCGGTTCGTGTCAATCTGACTTGGGGCATCGGAGGCCTCCTCTTGTTTCGTTGAGACTTTGTTCTTCTTCTTGCCCTGCTGTTGTTGCTGCTGTTTTTTAAGTTTCGATGCATTCAAGCCCATGCGCACGTGCAAACGTCCGGCGATGGGTAGTCCGCGACAGCGTTCGCCTCGGAGCGACGCAGCAGCAACGCTGACCACTGCGTCGCCAAGGAAAGCACACCGCCGGCCCCTGCTTGCAACCGTAGCGTGGGAACCAACCAACGGCAGTTTCAAGGGCGTGGTTGCTACGAACATGGTCTACGTCGATAAACTTCTCAGTAAAGTGGTTTCCTGCTTCCTAAACGGGCGTGAATCGGCAGCGTTCTAAAGCCGCCCGGCACGAGCAGCGATACCAGCCGCTATCTCGGCATCAGTCTGGGCGCACACGAGGGTACGGCCGCAGGGCTCGGCACTGGCCGACACCCAATTTGTGTAGAAGTGTGCAGTTTCTGCGAGCCGTCCATTAATTGCACGGGCTGCCGCCGCCCGGCATCGGCCGATGGCCAATTTGTATAGAACTGTACTTTTTCTGCGAGCCGTCCTGTTATTGCACGGGCTATCGCCGCAGCTGCACGCGCGCGCCCTATGATGATTCGGTGCATTTGATTGGTAGTTGCATCGAACCGTGCCAACCTTGATCGAGACACGGTTCAAGGTGTGAGTCGCACTCGTATAGCAAACTAGGTCTCTCTGTCGATCCGTCTGTCAAGAATACCTCAGTCGCTAGCTATGAGTTTTTGGCACGTGAGAACTTTGGCATAGTGCAACTGAATTGTAAGACATGTCTCGAAACTACTTGTTGGTGAGTGGATTGCGACAGCGTGATTTAGTAGCACTCTACATGCTATAGACATAGCACTCCGACGGTATGCATAAAATGCTCTACGAAAAGCTCAGACTCACACGTGGCGCATGACAGCACATGTGGCACGGAGTTATCAACTTTGAGCACACCAGTCTCCAAGATCCAAGGTATATTCAGCTTGCCTGGTGCTGGTGCACTCGAAAGACATCCGTTTCCCCGGAGATGTATGCGACGCATGCGCGTTCCAGGAATATCTTGATGTTTACGTTCTTGACGCTCCACCGGCAAACGCAGCCAACTTGCAGCCGATGCGGCATCTTGGATCGCGCTCGACTGTATCCGTCTCTGATGAAAATGGCGCACGGGAGTAGTGCCCATGTTTGGGCCTAGCATTTATTTCCGACACTGGTCTCAGATGTGGTGCTTCGACGCTCGAGGTACAGTAATAAGATGTTACGGGTTCGTGTGTAGTTTTTGGATTCTCTGGCGCTGTTTCGGAGTGGCTCGCTCGACGCGCTGTCGCTGAAATTCGTGACACCTCGAGAACCCAGGTGATATGCGACGCCCCCTTTAACAAGGATCCGTAAACTAACCGATATTAGTATCCGGTTCATAAATAAAATCTCCACGCTTCTCTGTTCCTTACGTGTGGAGTAATCAAATCACGCATTCTTTAAGTGTTGTATTTTTCTGCTCCAACGCAACTTCTGGGCGCAGCAACTCGTACCGTTGGATTGGGGACGAAACGCCTTCGACGTCGTCCCTTGAAAACTTCTACACATGCTCAAGCGGAACGCTCGCGCAACTGGCCACGCTATATAATCGGCGCCTTTGAAAAGATAAATCATCCTCTTTAAATAGCTATCGACGAAAATGCATTCCCCCATAGCATACAACCTGATAGGATACGCTCCCAGAGGCTCGCTATCTCTTCCGTTTGCTTGGAAAGGGTTTTCTACTCGGACTCTATAGCCTCCGGTGGAGAGTTCGTTACCGTTCTGGAAGAAGGACGCGTAAATGGATCGAAATTTCCCGACTTGGTTTCCATCCTGAATTATCCCGCTGGTGCTTTCTGATCAAGAACATCATGGCGCTCCACAAATCCCCCATTGAATCCAACAGCATGCGCTTGCACGTGCAGCGGACACCGCACTCGCCGAGGGATCGCTCAGCCGAAGCCGGTCACGGTCAGGTACTGCAACGAGCGCGAAAATGGAGCCGGGCATCACAGCGGGCCTTCTATTCTCGTGAGGGGCATGCGCCGAGCGATGAAGCAAGCTTTCTTGCATGACATAGTGACCTTCATAGGAGGGGTTCTCGCACACATATGCAACTATCTGAACGCAGTTGAGTTTCACGCTGCGAAACGCACACCAAGGCGGTCTACGACCAAGATGAACATAGCGAACGAAGCGCACATCGCAACTTTTACCTGCACATCAAAAGTCTGAGCATAACAGCGACAAGTAACGAAATCTAGACCATGACGCTGTCATCAATACCCTGCCACTGCCAATAATTGTGTTTGATTGATAGCAGAGACCTGCGTATTCAAAGACGGGGAGCAGAAAGAAAACCAATTGAAAAAAGATCCCGAAAAGTCGATTCTGATAACTATCGGAATAATCGAAATCTTTGCACTGTACACCAAAGCTGCTTTGAAAAAGCTCCCCATTCTAGCCTGGCGTGGATGTAGAGCAGCGCAGCGACGTTGCGTCTGGGGCCCCAGGCGATCGGCCTTCCACCCGCAATTCCTTCAACTTCAAGAGTCGTCCAGTCTTACCACGGATCTCAGAGTGCGCGTTCGTTAACAGCATCAAGGACAGCAGTGGTTCATTCGCACGACGACCGCCCAGCGCCGCGAATCATCACCATTACCATTATCACCATCCGTACGCATCTACGGAGATCACGACTCGTGTGTATACAATGCCTTACAGCAGCATCCGACCCAGCCTGCCGATGCGTGCCGACGCTGCCGATCGATCGATCGATCGGCATGCGCGGGAAACGCGCACAATGAGCGCACCGCCGGCGCACGCACAGCGCGATGGCATGTGGCAGGCTGCTGCTGCTGCTGCTGCTGCTGCCAGGCGTTCGGCGTGTGCGCAGCGCGCCAACCTCCGCAAGCCAACTGCAAAGCCCGAGATTCGCTGCGTGTTCGGCGATCGCCACGAGACGCTGCAAATCAACGTAGCCGGTCTCTACTGCTTGCGACGCTCAGCTCCGTTGCGTGCAGCCTCGCGCGGAAACCGCAGTTTTCCAGTGGGCTTTTTCGAGCCTGCCATCACTGAGTGACTGTAGAAAAGTCACGGAAGTTAGCAACGAACGCTTGCGAACGGCACTTTCTGGTGCGCGTGTGTTCGGAAGAACGCTTGGCTTTGCGGAAGCCAGCGGCACCGGGGCCGCTTGCGTTGGCCGCCCTGAACACTAGCCAGTGGGCATTTTATCGTACAGCCCGTGCTACCCTTTTGTTGTGAGAGGCCAATGGACGTTGCCGGTCACAGTTTGGTGCATTCACCGCTGCCGACGTGGGCACCCGCTGAGCACGAGTTTCGAACAGCGGACGCAGTGGACGCTCTGGCTCGTGGCACTGAGGGCTCGCACTCGGATGGCCGAGCAGCGACTCAAAGCGAACGATCTTCCGAAGAAGCGTCACGAATGAAGAGGCATCGCTTTACGCCAGAGCAGATGCAGATGCTGAAAACCGTCTTCGAGCAGAATCCAATGCCGAGCACAGCGGAGTTGCAGGCGCTGTCTTCGGCAAGTGGCGTTCCAGTTCGCTCCTGTCGCTTATGGTTCAAGAATCGCCGCGCACGGACCCCGGGGAAGCGCACGGCCTCAGAGTCTCGTGGGCTGCGTGCCGCTGGGCCATCGGGGACCACCGACGCAGTCTCGTCCAACGCAAGTTTGCCTCGCTCAACGAGTGCCTGGAATGCTCAGGCACCATCAGGCGATAGCCAGCTTGAGGCAAGGATGTACAATCCTGTATCGATTGCCCAGGATTTAGGGCCGATGCAAAGCTCCGCTTCGCAACAAGATTCCACTGTGGATGCGGCGCCGCGTAGACGTCCAAAGCGGCCTCACGAACGTGGTCGAGCTGCGAAACCGGGCGCCGGGGGCCAGTCGCAATCGTCGCCGTTGATATCGCCTCGACCGGATTCGGTGCTGCGAATCTCGCCCGCTTACGGTGCCCTGGGGCAAGACTGGTCGAATACAGGGTCTTTTGCGGACAACGGGCAAAAGGAACCAGCGGCGATTCCAGATTCGAACTGGAGATGTGTTCCGGTTCGCTCAGAGCCGCCAGCGATTCTACAGTCTCCACATCGGTCGACGGCAATGGGCATACCGCCCACGCCGCGGCTTCAGTGCCAGCGAGTCTACAAGCCGGGCGAGGTTGTGGAGCTGTTAGATTCAGCGGGAGCAGCCCGGGCCTGGTGTCCGGCGCGGATTATCTCGGCGGACGTTTCATGGCCATCAAGCACCGAGTCGCTTCTCTCAGCGGTGGAAATCGCGCAGGATGATGGTATCAATCGCGTGTGCGAATACGATGATGTTTCACCGTTGACGAAGACCGCCTATGAAATTGCATTCCTCAGTGCAGACGAGGTGCTCCGCATCCGGGCAGATGCTTGTGCTAACTCGGAAACAGCTGGCGCATGCCCTGCAAATGTTCAAGGTGCTGCAGCTGGGGGAACGGGAGCAATGCCCGAGGGCCCGCACCGGGTTGTGCTGGGCGCACGGTTGAGGCCGTATCCCCCGCCACCAATGCCAGAATGGCGTCCCGGTGTTGGCGAAGCTGTAGAGGCGCTTTTGTCGCTGTCTCATGGACGTGCGGGAACATCAGCGACACCATCCGCTTCGACAAGCACTGCAGAACAGGCAGCGGTCGATCAAATCCAAGGAAAGAGCACAAGCTCGACGGACATGCCGTCGCGCACTGCGTCCACCAGTGGCCACGGCTGCTGTTGGACTGTTGGCCAAGTTCGAAATTTTTTAGCACGCAAGGGCTTTCTCGTCGCTTTCGCGGACGGCAGTGACGAATGGTTCCACCTGGATCAGCTTCGTCCGTACGCCATCTGGCGTGGTGCGGACCACTGGCAGGTCAAAAGCAAAGCACCCCCCGCTGTGACGAGGCGCGCACTCGGGGCCGCACCTCCCGCCGAATCGTCGAGAGCGGAGGATTCAAATGCAGCTGACTCGAACTTTAGAGCACTCGAAGCCGCTCAGCGTCTTGCGACGCTGAACGCGTCGCGCAGCACGGCAAGGGCTCCTCACGCTGTCTCCGAATCGCTACCGCGTGCGCTCCCGCGGTCGACAATAGCCGCACCGGCTGCGCAAATGTATCCGCATCGGGCGTGGTACACCCACGAGCTAAGCGACGGAGACGACTCCGAGGAAGCATGGAGCGATGAAGCAGAAGAACCAGCTCGAGATGCGGAGCAGGGTCTCCGCCGCCCCCGCAGGTCGTCCCGGGAAGAGGCTTTGGCCCTTCGGAACAGGAACGCGTCGGCGATGCGTTCGTCGTCGACCTCACCGCTGACATCGCCAGCAAGTGCAGCTGCGAGACTTTCGAAACCCGCTCATCGATTTCCGCGATCGTCACTGCCAGTGATCAAAAAAGACAGTGATCGTGCACTTGCCCGTAAGCGCAAACGCCACCGCACTGGCCATAGGGTGAATGAGGAAACCCGCCGAATGCTTGACCAGACGGAGATCGTGGCAGGTCAGAACGGCCTCGTTGTTGGTGCTGGAGCGACGGACCGTCGTCATCGGGGTGGACGCAAACCGTCGCTGACGCTGACGCTCCCACCGGGCTGGCGACTCGAGGAGCAAATCCGCAAAGGTGGATCCCTAGCCGGACGCATCGATCGTGTCTATGTATCCCCGGACGGACGCAAATTCCGTTCACTGAAAGAGGTTGCACGCTTCCTTGACCGATAAGATGTGCCTATGAATCATGCAGCCATGAGCACACTTTGTTGAATGAGCTGTCGACAGATGCGTGTACCTCGATGGTACGCGCATTCATCCCTGTATGCCGTTTAGGGCTCGAGGGCTAGGATCTACTGGCGGCCGCGACGCGCACTTGATGCGTGTGCATGTGCGTGTGCGTGTGCGTGTGCGTGTGCGTGTGCATGTGCGTGTGCATGTGCGTGTGCATGTGCATGTGCATGTGCATGTGCGTGTGCGTGTGCATGTGCGTGTGCATGTGCATGTGCAGTCAGCGTATCACTGATAAAAGATTTGCTTCAAAGTTGCCACCGGTGCTCGTGTGACTGCCACTAAGACTCGGTGACGTTTTGGGCTTCCCAGCGGCCTCTGGTGCAAACACGAGCACGGCCGACGGCGTCCCGGAGCTTCCGTGCGATGCAAATAAACTCCATTCGCAGCACGTTCGATGTGTATCGAGCGTGCGTATGGTACTTGAGGGATCGGATTCTTGAACACCTGTGCCAGATCTTATTTGTCGTCTTTGTTTGATTTTTTCCAGGGTAAAAAATAAAAGAAAAGTACGATGTGAACTGGAGAGAGGTTGCGGAAAGATTTTACGTTGTGACTAGTTGCTTGCAGAAAAACATATTAGATGAAAGCGTCCGACGTTCTACGATCAGCACGGTGATGATGAATGACGCATGCCGTGGTTCATATCCTGGGTGCCAAGCCTCCACGAGAGAACATATCCAACGCTGTCGAAATGAATGTCTCGAAGTCAATTTATTGCGCTCTATACGTTCTTTCCGAAACACTACAAATGAAGCTATAGGATGTGCCGCTTACGTCTCGTCCATACGCACAGGGATGAAAGTACTCAGATGGGAAAGAAAAAGCGCGCTTCTATCGGAGAGCGTCGGGCATTGCGGAGCCCGCGATCGTTCGCGTCGTGAGATGCGAGCACGTATTCCACCTGGCACGGGACATCGTCTCAATCGCTGCGGCTGTAGTCGAGGGGAATGGTTGAACCATACAAGGGTAGTTCATGACGGGCGAGCAACTGTTCGTAACGCAGAGATAAGCGAGCATGGCGAGCAAATCAGCCCTGGCGATGTAGCCGTTGTACGGTCGCCTGCATATCTCACTAAATGGACGATATCGTTTGGCACCCCATTCTTCGCTGACGCATTACGACGTGGGTGTTCCGTTCCGCGTTCTTCCGTTCCGGTCTAAGACATCTTCGCATTCCATGACTCAACGGCTGTCAAAGAGAACAAGGCTGTAATTTTCGTTAGGTTGCTGTGCATGCCAGCTTATTTTCCGTGGTACAGACCCGACCAAAGCGTCATCTCCGGTGTCAAATGCCATTTCTATGCTAAAGAATCCAGCGGCGGGTCGTTCGCATCCGTAGAACCGTTCTTTGGCGAGTCTTTCTTTACCTGCCCCAGTCCAGCAGGGCTCCCTTGCTCCTCTGATCGTCTACGGGGGCGGAACGGAGAGGCGCGCTTCAGACCGCTAGCGTGCTCGCGTCGGGCACGAAGACACAAACTTACTTGAGGAATATTATTGACGTACATCGAGAGTGCGAGTTTAGAGGCACCGTCCGCCCAGCGTGTCCGAATCCCGAGGAAGAACGCATGTGGGTCACACCGATCACATCCACGTCAATCCGCCAATCTGAAGAGAGGGAGCAGAAATCGCCGGACAAAGAAGAGCAAGATGCTCAGTGAAAATGAATGAGGAAAGCCAAAGACGATCAAGTGTCGTTGCGAACACATCAGTCTGAAACTGTTGTCAAGGCCTTCTCTCTAGAACGGACCAGCAGGGAGCATTTTTCAAAGAACGAGTTTCTAGGTACAATTTTGGATGGTTTCGTCTCCTACTTGAGGAGCGCTCGCCCAGCTTTCCTCGCCTTGACACAACTCATCGAGCAACTGCTCGGACGAGCCCTGGATGCAGGGCACCCAGCTGTTCGCATTCCACCGGAACTTTTTGAGCAAATCCTAGTGCGACATCCCAGCGGATGCTCGAGGCAAGAGATGCGATGTGATCTATAAGTTTTCGGGGGGATCGGTCTTATCGAGCGTCGGGAATGGTGGACGCCAGGACGCATACCATTAAGTGGAATGACGACGTCAGAATCCATTTCGATGCTCTGAGCACCACATGGTGCAGAGAGTGCTGCATTCTTTGTTTCGTTCAGAGCATACATGAGCGTCTTGCTCTTTCACGCGGGACGATCTCTGGCACGAATGCATGAAGTGGAGCTTGGGTTACGAGCAGTTTCGATTCGATTGAGACTAGAAGCGTGCATTGGCCATTTTTTCAAAGAGTTCGCAAGGGAACACGCGATAGATTGCGTCGTTCGGTGGAAGCCCATGACGCTTGACGAACAGCAGCGCACAGGCGCTGCACCCATGTCATTCATCGAGCGCTTACAAATCGTGTAGGTATCGGTTCTACCAAATTTGTATGGAAAAGTTCAGATCGACGAACACGCATCGCAGGCGCGGATGCACGCTGAAAAATCGCAGGGAGCAAGAGATCCATCCAGAGACAGATACACGAGAGGGTGTATAGGATGCGAACCGAACGTCACGTAACGAGGCAATTTAGGGGTTAGAGGCTTGCTATGGGATGATTCCACGAGCAATAATGCACGCTGGCACTCTCTGCACCTAGGATCCAGTACCTCAGTCAACGACCGGAAATGCCTCGTTCTTTCGGAGCGACCAGCGGCGTAGAGCCAAGCGAAGCTTCGAGAATATCGTTTTGTGCGTAGTTCGGGCTGCGTGCTCAAACGCTAAAAACTTCGGATAAGCATAGATCAGTGGCCAGAAGAGAGCAAATTGCATTCCTCGCTCGAATAAGACCCTGGTATGGAACGCTTCATCAATCCAAAAAAGGCTGCAGGACCGTTTACGTACATCAGAAGGGATTGTTTTGGACAATTCATGAACGATCCGGGTATTCCATGATTCCATATTACTGCGCATACCTCAATAGTTGCCATGGATTGCATTTAACCGGGGCGCCGACCTTGCACCTGCACGCCTGAGAAGCAACTCGCGACGTTCTTCATGGAATCGAAACATTGCTGGTACAAGCACAACACCAAGCCGATCAGTATTGATCGGAATATGGATGCGATATTGGATACCTATCGCTGTGTGCCGTTGTGTGGCAAACATTATGGGCTACTTCCAGGGTACTTGCACAGGAACCTCTCGGGCTGGAGAAAGCACCAGGACGCGTTCAAGCGCGGTGACTTGCAGCGGTCAGCAAGCCTAGGATTCGCGCTCCAGCACCGGGAAAACTAGTCTTGCATCCATGAAAACGCAGCGTTGTGCGATCGTTTCAGACTCCGCCTTCGGTGACGTGCCCTCAGAGAGACACCGCGCAGCCCAACCAACCTCCCAGCGTCTCCACACAGAGCAGATCATCAGATACCAGGGCGACACGTTCGTCTCAGGGTCTCGATACTGGCGATGCGACCTTCTCCACCGGACCCCTCTCATCGATCGCTCAAGGGCTCAAACTTATCCCGAATTGCTGTGCATCTACAACATGCTCTTTATGGCGGGCTACAACCCGCGTCGCCCGTGACGTGCACGACGATGATGCCTGTTGGTTGGCGTCGAGCCTGCACTGCGGACGAAAACATGCGCTCGCCCAGATCACGCCACGATACCCATCTTCGGGATATCGCATTTTTTGAACCCGCGTGAGTGATGTTCTACAAACCTTGAGCTTTGAGCACATCATCAAGCATGGCATCAAGCTCAGGATCCAGAGAAAACGCCCAATGATAGACTCGCTTGAGGTCATCGCAAAAGTTTCGCAATAGGCGGCGTTTGCTGCTGTCGACGTTTCGGGCGCGCTCGAGAACCTGCATCAGGATGACTACAAAGTTCGTCATCGGGGCAGTTGGGTGCTTTCGCTGAATCTCTTCGACCAATGCCCGGCCTGCTTTCAGGTTGCCAGCCAGCACGTAGAAGAGAACCAAACGAGTTCGAGCCAGCATCCTTTCCACATCGTTTGCAAGATGCGGACCTAGCTGCTCGTCGATGAAGGCAAGATCGCGTTCAGCAGGTCCGCCTCGACAGACTACTTGGTATTGAGCGCGTGCCCATTCACCGCAGAGCACATACGCGTCTACGAGTGCGTCCTGTACGGGTGCGAGCTCTGCGGGTGCCGCCTCTTCTGTGTCCACCGTCGCCGATGCTCGTTTCCAGGCCAGGACAGCTTCGAGAACCATGGTGCGCGCCCGCGCAGCTTCGACTCCACTCAGAGCTTGCAACGGTTCGAGCACCATCTGCTGGAGTCGCGCGAGGTAGAAAGGTCGCTGCTCGAGCTCGCGCCAGTGCCGAATCAAACGCGTCGCCAGCTCCGCTGCTTCAGCTGGTTTGCCCGCTACCGCGAGGCGATGCGCATTCTGTTCTAACACGGTTGCAGCGGCTGACGGATCTGAGCGTACAAGCCTATCGTAGATCATTCCAGCTAGCTGCTCGATTTGGTAAGCGTCCTGCTCGGCCCAGGCTGCAGCCAGGCGACGCTCTAGACGCTGCAGGGCCCCGCCACGTGCGCTCTCCCCGTTTCTCTCATGCCCAGAATGCGTACCCATGGCACACTCGCACGCTTCGGCAAGCCGTGGGCCAGTGTCTGTGCGTCGTGTGCTCGTAGCCGAAGCGCTACAGCTTTGACCAGCTGTCGCCCGTTCGTTACGCTGTGGGAAAAACCAACGAGACGTCGAATGCGCCGGCAAGCGCTGCGCTGGCAGCGACTGATATGCGGCGAGCAGCGGTGAGCGCTGAGCGAGCTGCACCCGCAGTCGTAGTCAACCTGGTGCGGATCGCACTAGCACTGAAACTCGGTGACTTTAGCGTTTTTTTGACGTTCTTGAATATCGGCGTGCGATGATGAGAGGTGTAGCACAGAAACGGGGTATTTTGGCCTCGAGCGAGGCCTCAAAAGTCGTAAAACTGCGGCCAGCAGTGTAGGCACCCTTCGGATGTAAACTGCTCTCAGCTCACCTGGTTTGGTGCTACTCTTCTGCTATAAACGCGTGGGCCATGACTTCGACAGCGGAATATGAAGCGTTTGCGCTGCAAGTTCATCAGAGACTTGGTACGCTGTCCGTGACGCGACACGATGCGAACACCCTGTTCTGCTTCACACTGCAGTGCACTCGACGACAATGGCCCGATACAAGAGGAAACTACTTGCTATCATTCTGTCCATATTCCTGGTTGCAGACGATAACGTTTCTGTGAACAGAATTTCTGAAAGCCAGCAGCAAATGGGTACTTCTCCAAGCGATATATCGTGCACGCGACGCTGCGCTTCATGACTCTGGAGCGATCGAGCGCGGGTACATGCTGCTTGCACCTGTCGATGTGAGACGTTCCGTGGCCATCGACAGTGAAACACGGAAAAAGGATGCGAGCTTGAACACTTCACCGTGAATGTAAATCTGCGGATCCGCTGAAATGGTGTCTGCGGGGGCACGTCGATTGGTAGTCTGCGAATGTGCTGCATGCCAAGGGTGTCAACGAAGGCAGCGAAAGGTTCAGCACTAGACTGAAACAGCGCGTGTCCCGCGCACGCTGGGCATGCGTCGTCGGCCTGTCCTTATGGTATCTGGTCCGAGGCAGCCGTGGATGGATGCTCTGTCTTCATGCGTTCCATAGCGAGCGCCGTGTGGTTGTATGTGCACGTCCGGCGATATGGATATGCAGTCCTGCGACAGTGCGCGCAGCGAAACAGCGCGCAATGCACTGACGCTGAGATACGAGTGGCTTTCGAAATGCTCTGGGTAATGCTGTGCATCTGGCAGCGTGACGATCGTACCGTTATCACCTCTGATGTTGCCCGAACAGCGATCCAGGTGACCGGGCGATGCTTGGCGGGTGCCCGCGGATGCTGCGGAAAACTCCCCTGGAGTGAGCATGAGCACACCGATGAGCCCTTTTGTCTGGATTCACGTCAGGAGGCAAAAGGAACGGCTCTAATTCGCTAACCCTCACATGCGCACTAAAGTTTAAGCCGCTTCGCAGTGTCCCCGGCACCGGCCGTTGCGTGCGTTATCTGCGAATGCTCCCTTTTCCTCTCCCTTATATTTCGCTTGAAATACACCGGTACCACTAGCTCCGATGTCGGCAGTAGACGGAATTTGATGGCAGCGTTCGAGTTCCGACTTTGCTGCTTCAGGCTGTTGTCGATGCTTTTCATGCACATCCAGCAGTTGAGATCCGGGCTTCGCTTACCTTGTTCATGTTTTTCGTATACAGCTTCGGTGCGCGCTTCGCAGCAATGACATATGGCTATGATGAGTTGTTTCCATATGTGCAGCACACCTGCTCCTTTTCCTCTTCGTAAAATGTGTACCCTATAGCGTGTGAACGCTTGTTTTGTCGATCGTTTCATGTACTCAACTGGTATAGAGCGCTCTGCTTCATGCCCGCCTCCGTTTCCGCGCCCGGTCCCGTACCCGATAATCACGGGCTGTTTCTAGGCGATTCACTACGTGATGAAGCTATTTGCTGTACGAGAAATAGCGTGCATTTCCATTCGATAAGCGATTTATGAAACGCAATGTCGTCCGTCATCAAACAAGTACCGGGGGCACACTCTCTACTGGAGATAACTTCGAACAATGTCGATGCTTCTACGCTCGCTTCGTGCAAAGCAGTGACGCACGCTGTCCTGGAAGCCAACGATTCGATGGCTGGATTCCAACTTCAAAACTCTTTCTCTTGCAAACAGTAGAGGCGGAAGCTCGGGGCTGCATGCCTCATGCGAGAGGTATCGTGCTGCTGTCGAATGCCGTTTCGTTCATGGCCACAAAGAGATCAGGATTTGACTTTCGAACCGATTCGCTAATTTGGAATGAGAACTTCAAGAAACGTTCGGCGCGAGCTCATACAGCACTTCTCAAGGAACGTCGTCGTCCATTTGTCGTCGATGATCCATCGGCGAATGTCGCTAGGCGCACCAGATGCCTACAAAGAGGAAGATCCAGAGCCTGAAGATTGCGTGATGCAGGCAAGCTATGCATCATTTGAAGAGAATGGTGGTATATGCCTAAACAATGCATAATACTATCAATTCATTGTTTACGGACTCTTGCGAATTATCTCGTTTACGGTGACGCAAGGAACACCAGCGGCAAAGCGTTAAACAAGCCACTCCAAAACGTCGACCGAGTTTCCTAAGACTTCAGGTGAATCCCCAAGCCCCTCTCGCTACACGTCGAAACTCGAGACTGCACAACTGCAAAAACTCTCGAAAAGAAACCCGAAGCGCAGGAACGGATCCAGTCGTTCCGTACCCCATTCCATACCGCTGTGGATGCTGGCAGACAGGGGCGCAGCGCAAGCGCCGCCGCCGCTGCGCATCCGACGGTGAGCGGCTTCATGAACGCGCCGTCGCTGCCGCCGCCCGGGCGCGGGCGCTCCTGAACGGGGCGTGCAAGGATCCAGAGCCGATCGATACGAACGCTTTGTGCATTCGTTTGGGCGTGAACATCGTCTGGTTCGAGGGTCTGCGAGGTTGCGAGCGTGATGGGCGACATTCCCGAAGGAGACGCATCTAGAGGAGAGAAGATCTTCAAAACCAAGTGCTCTCAGTGTCACACGTACGAGAAAGGAGGTCCAACGAAGCAAGGGCCGAACTTGCACGGACTCTTCGGACGTCCGGCAGGCTCTGTACCTGGTTTTGCGTATACGGCTGCAAACAAGAACTCTGGTGTTGTATGGAAAGATGAAACACTATTCGAATATTTAGAGAACCCAAAGAAGTATATTCCTGGCACGAAGATGGTTTTCGCAGGTTTAAAAAAGCCGCAGGAACGAGCAGACTTGATCGCTTTCCTCAAGAAAGCGACGAGCGAGTAAACCGTAAATACGGTGGCGTAGCGTGCCGTAGAGCAGCGCCTGGTGGACGCAAAAGTGCTGCAGGGCGTTGGTTCCGTCAGTAGTGTAATGGAGTGGCTCGCGTGCTCCTCATCACACGATCGGCGACTCTAGCGTCCTTCGTAGCAACGCCAGTGTGGTCCCGGATGCGATGCTCAGGTCTACGCTGCACGCTCTTGTGCCGGGATACGGACGTCGTGCCTACCGCGTCTGTCACCATGGCTCCGAACGACGCTCCGCATACCCGGTTATGGGGTGTCGGACTGGTCTTGTTGTCGCGAGAGCTCCGCGAAGCGCTCTACAAGAACGCATCGCTCTCGATAAATGCTCTTTTCTCCCTTTGATAGACTTTGGTAGGTAAGAAAAGAAGGGTCCAGAGTGACTGCCGCGATCCAGTCACGACTGAGCTGCGTCTGAAACTGCTGCACTGTAACGTACGTCGTTCGAGGTTTCACCTCGACCTCTGTCCGCTGAGTGTGGTCATTCGTGCCGCTCATTCCGGTAAAGCCTTGCATAAGGGCAGACATTTCAACTCGAACTCTAAGAAGTGTTGCGTACCCCAGAGCAGGACCGAAGCGTTTGCGTCTTTGTTGTTTGCGCGCCGGCGCGACGCGTTGTCGCTGAGCGAAAAACGCTCGTGCGCAGCTTGTCTATATGCCGCTGTCTGCTGAACGGACGACCGCCAGTGACTCGGCGCTCACATCCATAGGTCGGCGTATGCTCGCGCGACTCCCATGTCAGAATAAAGTGGAACGGGTCCCCTTAGTCTGGCGTCCATACTAATGTTTGAGTCACTTCCAATTGTCGTCAAAGCCGGCTTCTGTGAGCTCCCTCTGCGCGTTTCCAGGTTTGTCCTTTCTTATCTCCGGCTTTTCGTATGATGGCCTTTCCCAGCCTCCAGCTGCGTTTTCAGCAGTCGAAGGATATTGAGGGCAGCGTTCAAGTCTCGGTTTCGCGGGTTTCGGATGTTGTCCACGCGTTTCATGCAGAGAAAATAGTTGCGATCGATGCTTCACCTGCCAGATTCATCTTGTACGTATACAGCGTTGGCGTGCCCTTCACAGCGGTGACGCCTGGCCGTGCTCCGGTTTTACCATATTTCAAGCGAACCTCTTCCGCCTCCTACTCCGAGCGTCGTCCTGTGGGTCGTGAACGCTTGCCCCATCGCTCGATACATGCCTTTTACTTGTCCAGGGGGATACCCTTGCTGCCCCGGTTTCCGCGTCAACCACCATACGCCACGATGGCGGTCTTGGTCTGAGCGATACCCCGGAGAGTATTCTGTTTGGTGCAACTCTAAGTGCGCGCTGTTCTACTCGATAGAGGCTTCGGGGTACGCGATGTTTTCGTTGCTGGAAAACGTATCGGAAGGGCAATTCAGGTCGGCGAGGCATTCGAGCGCACCCGATGCGTCTACGCCCCGTTTGTGGAAAGCGGTGACCCACGCTCCACTAGAAGCGATCGCTGCGATGACGAAAGTCCGCTTTCAACGCCCTCTCGCATGCAAATAGAAGAAACAAGGAGTCTCCTGGAGCATATCCTGTCAGAGCTATCATGCTGGTGTGGGATACCGTTTCGTCGACTACTAAGTAGATTAGAGAATTTCTTCCTCGAACCGCATCGAATATTGAACATTGGCGGTAAAATGAACCTTTGCCACGTGTCTTGTGAATAAGTCTGCCAGTGACACCTTTGAGACTATTTCATCGTCTATACAGCGGCGCGCATCGCCGCGCCAACGAGCGACTTGGGAACAGAATAATCGAAAACTTGGAGAATCTGTGATTCGAGCATGCTACACGTAAGGAGAGGCGAAGCGTGGCGACTTGCTTGTTTGCATTGGATAACGCAGTCAGTTAGTTTACGAAATGTTGTTCGATGGCGTTGTGAATCATCTTGATGACCATAAAGTCACGGATGCCAGCGGCAAAGCGTCGAATGCACCACCCCGCGGAAACACCACCGAACATTCTAGACTTAAACATGAACCAGTAAGTTCTTTTTGATGCACTTGTAAGGTCAAATTTGTACGTCCGAAAGAAGCTCTAAAAAACTGAAAGGCAGGAACAGAGCAAGCAGTTCAGAATTCCATTCTCATTTGACACGACTCCACTAGACGAGCGCCAGTTGTGGTCCACTACTCTCTAACGAACTAGTGAATACCCCGAATACAAACCTAGGCGGAAAGATGCTTGAGTTCCCGCGCCACGGCAACTCTTATGTCGTAAGCGCAGTATCGGTGCTTGCGGCGCCCGCTGTCGCGCTGGAGTTCCAGAGTTTTTATTTGAAAGAATGGTTATATCGGCCAGCTTTACCCGACTGCGCGCTCGATATGAGCGCGTGGTAAAGCATCCATCGATCTACGCCCGTCTTCCAAATCCCATCACCCATACGTCTCCTCGAATATTCTGGTCGCTTTACACGTTCTACCATGTGTAGAGTACCTGTCCTAATCGTCCGCGATAGCGACTAGAGCGCTGGTGCACTCATAGAACGGAGAAAGTACGGCTTTCCCATGTCCCAGCGGGCGTCGGCTCGCTACTCGATGCCCAGACGCGCGCCGCTAGCGACCTGTGCGTCGCATCCGCTGCGCCCTAGACACTGAGTACAACGCAGGCGCGCTTGGCATCGCATCGTTCATTCATTCATTCATTCTTTCTTTCTGTTAACTGCTGTTTTGTGTGCTGTTGGCGACGGTGCTTGCAGACTTGTAAAGCGACCTAAATATGTGGTGTCGAGGCTTTTGCTCGGGTCTGGGGCTCGCCAGAAACCTACTCCTACACCAGTTGGGGCGGCGCTACGCCGACCCTGCGCCTCACAACGGTTTTCTGGTGCGTCGGTTGCTGGGTACCGGCGTGCGAGCACTCTGCGTTGATGCGACACGAACGCGACCTGAGCCCGGAGCGCTCCAACCTAAGGACTATGTTGATCTTGAGAGCTACAACGCTTTCTCTGGGGAAGTGGATGTTCAGCAGCTCGAGCCGCACGAAAAGGAGCGCATGCGTGCAAACCTGGAGAACGCAAAAGAGATCCGCAACTTCACGCTCAACTTTGGGCCGCAGCACCCCGCTGCTCACGGTGTGTTACGTTTAGTACTCCAGCTCGACGGCGAAGTAGTCGAGTCGACGGACCCGCACGTCGGTTTGCTCCACCGCGGCACGGAAAAGCTGATGGAATATAAAACGTATCTGCAAGCGCTGCCGTACATGGATCGACTAGACTACTGCTCCATGTTGTGTAATGAACAAGTTTTCTGCCTAGCCGTGGAGAAACTGCTCAAAATCGAGGTGCCGCTGCGGGCTAAGTACATCCGAACGATGTTCGCGGAAATCACGCGCATTTCGAACCATCTGCTCGCTGTCACGACCCATGCGATGGATGTAGGCGCGCTGACGCCCTTCCTCTGGGCATTCGAAGAGCGAGAGAAAACCTTCGAGTTTTTCGAGCGTGTCAGTGGCGCTCGCATGCACGCCAACTACTTCAGACCCGGTGGTGTGCACCAGGATCTTCCGCTGGGCCTCTGCGATGATATCTACGCCTGGTGCCGACAGTTCGCTTCGCGTGTAGACGAGATCGAGGAGATGCTCACCAACAATCGAATCTGGAAACAACGTCTCGTTGGTATCGGCGTGCTGAGCGCCGAAGACGCACTGAACTGGGGCTTTACCGGTCCGATGTTGCGGGCGAGCGGCGTTCCGTGGGATATTCGCAAAGTCCAACCATACGACGCATACGCCTACGTGGATTTCAAGATCCCCGTCGGTGTGTACGGAGACTCGTATGACCGATACCTCGTACGTGTCGAGGAAATGCGCCAGTCATTGGACATCATACAGCAATGTTTGAATCAGATGCCCTCAGGCGAGATTCGAGTCGATGATCGCAAGGTATCGCCACCGAGTCGACACGACATGAAGTCCTCCATGGAATCCCTTATCCACCATTTCAAGCTGTATTCAGAGGGTTTCGTTGTTCCTGCTGGTGAGACCTACGTCGCGGTAGAGGCACCCAAAGGAGAGGAGGGCATCTACATGATTTCCGACGGAACGAATCGGCCGTATCGCGTCCATATTCGCGCTCCCGGGTTTGCGCATCTGAGTGGTCTGAATATGCTTGCTCGAGGCCATATGATTGCGGACGTTGTGACTCTGGTTGGTACGCTGGATCTTGTGTTTGGTGAAGTTGACCGATAAAGATACGGTGACGAGACACGTGGACCGATTGCCGATGGAAGCGCGGTGTTCTGCGTTCAGGCGGCGCGTTCGACTAGTCATCCGTGGGTGGTGCGGAACGCATTCCCCAAGTCATGCCGCTGTCGTTGCGGGAGCAAAGCCTCTACAGCACCGGGAAGTGCGCTGCCAGAGCCGGCAGACGAGGCCGGTTGCCTCTGGACTTGCTGGTGGAAGGCGTCAGCGTCCAGTAAATGTCACTGTGGTCAAGCGGTTTGTTTTCGCGGTGCGTGCGTGACCAGCAAACGTGCCGCACCGGATACTTTCATGTCATCCAGGCATGCTGGCGGATGCGCACGGCGCTCACTCCTCCTTGTTTGCGGAAGATACGTCGAGTATGATGTCGGCATGGTTTTGCTTTGAAACCGACACGTTGACAACGTTATAGACTGCAGATGCTAGACATTCGGCGTAGATCAGAAGCACTTACAATTTAGAAGAAAGATAATGTTCCTTGACAAGTATATGTACAGTACGTGCTCTCGCGCTGCGATACGGATTGACGACCCCAACAGTCCAGTCTTCCAGGCGTATTCTCCAAGATGCATCCCTGAAGAACGAAGCCACTTTTCGGATGCAACCAAAAGCGCATCCAACGCGAGCGCCTCTGAATGGCGGTCGCTCCGAGAGACGTATGTTTCGCCAGCGCTTGGAGCATGCACAGCGTTCGACAATCTCTGACGTTGGGCGGTGGAGTCCCTGAATATGCCGCTGCAGGCCGCAGCGATAGAACGCACCTATGCATCATATGTGGATGTGCGTACTGGTAGCCTCGTCTGATGGATCGACCTGGGAAACGACCATGGATCCGGGGACTCGGAACACAACGCGTTTACGACGCACCAGGGAGTTGTTTCCGTAGCGGTGATTGCTGTGAGCCTTTAGCCAACGACGACGACGACGACGACTACAAGTGCATGCATCCTTTCACAGCGCAATATGGAACCTGAGGAGGCTCGATCTACTCGTTATGGGTCAACAACGGGCCTAGGGAACCGATACGGGGGCTTTTTGACAAAGCTAGCGCCAACGATACGTCTCAAGCATGCGAGCTCTTGTTTACGAGCCTTGCAGAGCGTCGCTTGTTGCGCTCAAGCGCTGATACAATGATGTAGTTCGGATCCGATTCTGGCCCTAGGTCCAGCTTCCCGTGGACAGGTCGCGTGCTCTTCAACAATGCAGGCGAGCGCGCGCATCAAGCTACATGCACAGCCGAGGCGGGGCCTTTTCCGCATTGTATGCGGGCCATACTGAGCTTGTCGCCATATCATCTACCTCGTCGATACACAGCCTTTGTGGACGCATTCATGGGACATCCCCGATCAAGCAGACCATCACCACAAATACATTCAAAGGTCAGACGTCCACGGTAAGCGGCATCGGCGATGCCGATACCTCAGGAAACGGCTCGCCGTCGCCGCTGCGCAATTCCATCAGCGTTGTGCCATACACTCCCGAAAAAGGCACTAGAAATCATGTCAGCCGTTCTCCAAATGCACCCGGGATGCACAGTTTGCTCCCAAAACAGACGTTAGATCTCATACAGGCCGTGCATACGTCTGCGGTTGCGATGCTCCACGCGAGACATCCACACGCGATGACCCGCCGAGTCCGTGTACCCGCTCGAGTGGCGCCGCGACCACAGGCATCTCTGCTGCTCGTCGCTGAGCGATGAGCACGGCCTCGGCAAAACCCTGCACAGAATGCGCTCCTAACAAGCGCTCTCGAAGGTCCTCGTCGCGACGAATATCTGCGTTCAGCATCCGAAAAAGGTGGCCTCGAATCATGCGTGCTGGCGTCTGGGGATCGTATTGCTCCACAATCCCCAGATACTCCCGGGCCAGTGCATAAATACAATTGTCTTCTCGACCTGAAAATAGAGCGGGATATGCAAGTAAACGATCCGCAGCCAGTACACCGTCACAGCGCGTTTCCGCAAGGCCCCGCTGTACATCGGCCCAGCTCTGAATGTTTCCGTTCATAAGCACCGGGATCTCTAGATGCTCTTTGATGCGTCGAATCATGGTCCAGTTTGCTGGACCAGGATCGTTTCCTTTCTGATCGCGTGTTCGCCCGTGCACAGCAAGCACCGAACAGCCGGCATCCTGGATGAGTTTGGCATACGCTAGCGTTTTATGCTCATCCGGAAAAACGCGAATTTTACACCACACCGGGACACTACAGTGGGTGCTCAGCGCGGAGACCAAGCGCTGGACGAGGTCCCAGTCGTCTTGCAGGAACGCACCGTAACGTCCTCGTCGGGCAATGTTTTGCGGACAGCCCAGGTTGAGGTCAACGGCGTCGACTTGCGACTCGACGAGCTTGGCAGCAGCAACCAGCGTCGTCGGGTCGTTCCCGCAGAACTGTGCGACGACTGGTCGATCCAACGCGCAGGTGGTAAAGTGCTCGTCTCTATACTTTGGAGATTGTAAAAAGTTAAGTGAATGGAGCATCGGCGTGTACGCTAGCTGAACGCCATAACGGCGAACGAGAAGCCTGAACGCCAGCTCAGACGCGTCGACCATGGGAGCGCAGAGAAACCGTGGCGAGCCCACGGCCCGAAAGTGGTCCCACGCTCGTTGCACATGTCCCATGTTCGACGTCCCCGGACCGACGACGTGGAACATGCCGCTCCAGAGAGCTCGCAACTTCTTGCGCAGCAAGTTCCACCACTAGACCGGTGAATGCGCTGCGCACAGCCATAGTCGACAACCTATGTCGACGACATGGAGGGTGTTCGTTCACGGGTTTGTGCTGCAAAAGCGAAGACGTTTATGGGTACGTTTCTACTTAGATGCGAAGGATTCGATAGATTCAGAGTTATGCGAGTTTTAGATGCTCTCCTAACCAGTGTACAGAGCGCTTTCGCCTGAGCGCTGTCGACCAGGTGGCACGCTCGTTTACTGAGCAGCAAAGGCACCAGACGAGTGTCGCGTCTGGGAACAGTCGGCTAGGGTTCTCGCTGCTCCTTTCGCTGCTGGAGGCGATCGCTCTGGCACGCAATGAGTTCTCGCTTTCCATGGTTTGCGCGTGAAGTGTTCCTATGTTTCGAGTTGCCAGCGAAACATCGTGCCCTCGTGGTCAACGGCCGCCTCCAGCGTTCAAGAGGCGCCTTGCGATTGCAGCGAGCGCTCCATGTCGCCTGGTGCATATTCGTGATGACGTAGGGCAGCTCGCGAGCGCTCCTACATACTTAACCTTTTTTCATCGCCTCTCCCTGACGACACTAGTACCCAGCTTCAGAGCTTGCGCGCTTCGCGGTCGTTCGCATCACATACACGAAGCGCTGCAACGCTGTGGACAGCCAGAGACGCAACCCAAATTCCTCACGCACGGCGTTTCGTACCACTCGATCGTCTGAGTCCGTGAATTCGAATACCACAGCGTGCTACTGCTTAAACATCGGAACGTCCATTTGTCTCCCGGGATGCAAACCGTTAAACGAATAAGCATCCTACTGCGAGTCACAACATGCAACAGGCATCTAGCTCCCGGGATGCAAACCGTTAAACGAATAAGCATCCTACTGCGAGTCACAACATGCAACAGGCATCTAGCTCCCGGGATGCAAACCGTTAAACGAATAAGCATCCTACTGCGAGTCACAACATGCAACAGGCATCTAGCTCCCGGGATGCAAACATTTAAACGAATAAGCATCCTACTGCGAGTCACAACATGCAACAGGCATCTAGCTCCCGGGATGCAAACATTTAAACGAATAAGCATCCTACTGCGAGTCACAACATGCAACAAGTATCCAGCAGCATCGTGGAGGCGGCGAGGCGCGCTCAGGGTCGATCCCGTTGCTCGCCGCACGACGCTCGGTGGAAACGTGTACCAGTTGCACGAGGCTCGGATATGCGTCGCAAACCTTCTTCTTGTTGGTTGGTTCCGGTAGAGTGCTCGCTTCACTCCACAAGTTTTGAGGCGAGAGGGAGCTACTCGAGAACCGAGGACCGGCATCGACTAGCAGATCGTCGCGTAGGTGCTTGGTGCCGTGCGGTTCGCATCAACCCGTGCACCTGGAGGCAACAGCGGGAAGCAGCGCTTGCCGCCGGCTCTGGCCGGGCACACCTCCGCAAAAGCGGCAACGCTGGAGTACGTAGTCTGGTGGGCCAGCAGAAGCGCCGTGGTCCGCTGTTCGATTGGGATAGTGCACTGATTCGCGCTTCACGTTGGCTTTCCTCTGCACAGGGACAGCTTGTTGTCTGGGCGATCCTTGTGTGGCTGGTGTTCAGCGGTCGCATCGGGGTAATCTTCGATTCGTTTCTCATTCTATTTGCGCTGCTGAGCATCGCTCCTGTTGTCGGGGCGCTCGTACTGCGCTGGTGGATAGCGGCGAACGTGCGTGAAGGGACTTGTCCGAACTGCCGTTTCCCTGTGACTGGCCTTGTGGGTAAGGAGTTCCGTTGTCCGTCCTGTACGCAACGTATTCTTGTGGAGAAAAACGGCAATTTTGTTTTGAGTGAGGACGCACGGAGTGCAGTGATCAACGTCGAGGCTCGGGAGGTCGATACCAAGGACTAGGTCCGTGTCCGGCAGTACGAGCTGCGGCACCAGCAGATTTTCCGTTCATTCCAAGAGTGCCATTGTTTTCTGGCACAGTCGGTCGTCCGTCGATGACCTGAACGGATGTACCTGGATGCCCCGTAGCGTCGTAGCGGTTGCGAAGCCGAACGCTTACCCATGACCCGCAGCAGTCAAAGTGCGCAGCGCAGGTGCAGTTCAAACTGGCGACGAAAAACGGGACGCGGTATATGCAGCTGCGACGGGTGCATCATACCGACCAAAGAATGATATCCGAGTTCGTGGGGCAAGCAAAAGCGTGTCGTTTTCCGTTGCTTCACCGGGCGATAGCGACCCTGCACAGACCAGCGTTTACTTCAGGGCAATCACGCGCATCAGTCGTTATCGTTATCGAGAATTGGCTCTTGGCTGTGGTACAGCGGCTCCTCGCTATAGACTCCAAATGATGTAGGATTCGTAAATGCTTCGGGAATCTCGTTTGACGATTTAGCGACGACGAATCGACTAGGGCCACCAGTTGTGACTCTATTCTGCCTATATGGTTCCTTGCGACCGGCTGCTGCAAAGCGACCCAGTAAGATGCGTACCAGCTCTCTGCTGAAGCCCCGGAGCATTCCGAGAAAAGATGTCGCAACAGAGATTTTTCGGGCGTGTTCCGCACTGTCCGCTTACGACTCGGACGACTTGCGTGCGATACAGTCCGACTGCAAGAGCCTTGTTGGTCATCAGACGCGGAAGGCTATACAGGCAGGCATGGAGACCAGCAACATGCCTCCATCATCGTTCGGCCCTTCGCAGACGCTACCGGTTCCCTGGCCGGCGCCCTAAACCAACATCGAGCGGCCCAGATGACGTCCAGTATCATGTCGTGCCGAGAACGTCAACCAAGGTGGTATGCAAGAAACTGTTGATGCGTATTCGTCCATGACATGCAACGCAGCCTCCATTCTAATTGTCTACGACATGAAACGGGATGCGACACCTGGACAAGCCGCCTCAAACAATGTATACCGAACGTCAGCGTCTGCCGAATATAGAGCGCGGTGCCCAGTTCTTCGTGCTGCTTGCGGGACGATTCTGGGTATCAAAGGGCGCCGCTTCCTGACGACGACTACGACGACATTGGTGCACTCAGGGGAATCCATGGCAGGGCAAAGTCTCCAAGCTAGGCATTGTGCAAGACGGCCGGAAAGCGGACCCAGCATTTTCGTGTGATTTCGGCTCTATGCCGTCAACTATGCAAACAGAAATTGCAACTGCTTCCAGGTTGGAACTACTTCACCAAGTCATGGGCACTACATCGCCGTTCCGGCAAGCGCTAGCTCGAAGCCCGTCTATGGAATCTTCGAGTGTGTGCGGCGTCCAGACGCTTGACACCCATACACATGAGCAGGGGATCTTCGATCCGACACCCTTCGATGGGAAGTCTATTCTTTCGGCACTTGATCGCAGCGTCGTCAGGAGAGGAACGTTTTCCGCATCCTACATAGCGTATCGCAATCACACATCCAGGGATATTCCAATTCGATGCTTGGATCATACATCGTTCACTCCAAGCATGCAATCATGGGTCTCTCCTCGAGTTGCCTAAATCAACCGTACATCCAGGAATATTCAAAGTAATTCTTGGATCGTGTACCATGAAAAAATCAGCTTTCCGTAAGCGCGTATGCATCGCCTTGTCGCTTATCCGCCAACTGCGCAGGAGCTGTGGTCTCGGCGTCTCTACAGCCGCACATATCCCAAGCGTCCCTGTCGCTTCCCGAATAGCAGCGAACAAACACGAGGTGCGCCTGCCTGGATGCTGACACTACCCAAGCTTTGCATGCCTGTTGCCAAGGTCCCATGTCCGGATGCCACTACACAGAAGAAAACGATTGACGCTTCCCTCCTGGTGTATCGTGGACATGTGCGCGGACGAGGTGATATGTATGTGGCGTCGCCAGCGTCGTCGTACAAAAGCGTACGAGAAGATCCACCTATTGCCTCGTTTTCGTGTCGTTTGCTGCGGAGAAACGTTTGTTCTCGATGTTGATGGATGCCTCCGGACGCGGACATTTATCTTGAGGTACATCGACGGCACACGTGAAGAGGCAAAGGCGGCACACTGCAAGGCAGCTCCCCACGCCCGTGTCCAATTCAAATGGATTCGTGAGCTGCTCGCTCCGTTCCTGCCTTGCGATTGTTTACCAAAGTTTTTCGATGGACGCCCTCGGCTTTCGAAGCGCTGCAATATAGGCTTACGGATTCGTACGCCAGTTGAGGATTCTCGATCTTCATTTGCGAATGGCTCCGTCGACGCTTGCCGCTCGCATTCGGAACGTAACCCTCATGTTGATGATACTCTTCGCCTTGAAACAAAGTTTGCTGAAATAACCGATATCGCTATCCAATGCCCAAGTACTAGCCTTGGCGCTTCCTTTTCGTTCTGCACGCACCATGCTCAAGTCACGCATACTTCAGGTTTTCAAGCTTTCTGTTTCGAGGCAACTCGTGGGTGCAGGAATACGCCCCGCTGGCTTTATCACGCAATACAAGGCGCCATCCACCGATGAATGCTTCACACACGTTCATGCTGAAACTTCACTGACCTTGTCACATCAAATAATCTGTTCCATCCGTGAAGCAAATCCGCTTCAATGGCGATCGACCTAAGGGACTTCGATACCAGCATGATACCTCTTGCGGGATTCGCTCTCAGAGGCCTCCGTATCCTCTGTGTGCACGGAAAAGGGTCTTGGGCTCGAGCTCCAGTCCTCCCAGCGATCGCTTCTAGTGGCGAGTGCGTCAAAGCTCTGCATGATGCGGACGTCGACGCTTCGAAATCTCTGCACTTGTTCCGCAGTCTGGATTATACTTCCAGAACGTGTCTCATTATGGACAACATTCCGTTCCATAAATCCGCTATCGAGTGAAACAGCAAGCACCCGTACTTGCAGCGATCAAAGTGCTCATGCGGAGACAATCACCCAGAAGAGGCCCGTGTTCGCAGGGTACCGCAGCGAGCACGCGCGGAAACGGTGGAGGGCATCAAGAGCAGCGTTCCATAACTGGCAACGGCATGCACCAGGCACTGAAGCGAGTCCTCGAGTGCGACAAGGCCTCACTCGGAGGCATGCCTTTCATGAACATAATGGAACGTCCGACTATGGCCTAATGTCATCGCTGCGAAGCGCACATCAAGGCTCTATGCAAACACCATGTAAAAAGGAGACGATGCATCGATTGTAACTACCGCCTGTGCTTGAAACGCTTCGACAACAGCTGGATGCACAGCAATCGGGACTTTAACCCTGTCATCGAATCCCTTGCGCTGCTGACTACCAAGCTCGAGCGAAACGATCGATCGCTACCCGTAAGGCCGCAAATACGAGCGCGAAGCAAAGGAAGCAGTTGCAGAGCAAGCCCGCAACGCAATTGTTGATGATCTTGAAACGAAACCATAACTTTAGATCCCGCACCCGATTTAGAGCAACTATTTCCTTTTATGCTGATACTGATGGAGCAGGTAACTCGAGCTCTTGCGTAACCTAGTCGTCGTGCATGATCGGGGGTTTTCCGCCCTCCTAGGAACGTATCGGGCGCCAGAGACGCGTTTGCCATCCGTGCCGCTCAATATGGACGCGTCGACAGGGCCGCGCTACCGCCAACCGTCTACGCGTTTCGCAGTGCTGGCATTCTGCGCATGCGAAGGCCACACTTGCTGACACACAAACTCGTTGATGGGTACGGAAACGTTTTCGCTTCCTGAAGGGCCCGCAGAGTTATCGAGAGCGGTCGTCGATGCTCTGTTAGCGTTGCGGCGGATTTCCGAAGCGGTGGCGACGACGACAACACCACCAACAACAACAGCTACAACCACAGGTTCAGGCTCAGCGACGAAACTGCCGGTACCTGCGGCGGGCAGCGACCAGTATGTGCCTGGGGCTGCTGGTGCTCCCGACGACCGCACCGAACAACCAGTGGATTCAACACAACCGGGTTCTAGTCTTTCGCGTGTCGTCGAAGCCCAAGAACGGGTAGCGTTCACGTTAGCTGCCTTGCGCTCGCTTCTCTATGGCGAAGACTGGCTCGATCGCTCCGCGACCCGGTCGGCAGTTATAGCGGATACGTGCAACCGAGAGAAACGCAACGATCTGGCAGCTACAACGACAACGCCTGCAAACCAAGCGAAAGGAGGGCAAGATGCGAGCGAACGGCTGTCGACGGAGGCGCTGCAGTCAGTGGTGTACGATACAGAGCTTTTGGAGCTGCTCGCTTCCTCGCTACCGCTGATGGAGTTCGAGTCACGCAAAGACGCTGTGGCTGTGTTCCACAATATTTTACGACGACAAGCGGAGAACCAACGAATGCAGGTGCCCACTAGTGTCCTGGAAAGCCTTCTGGTCGACTACGGTCGACCCGAGGTCGCATTGTCGTGCGGTATGATGCTTCGTGAAGCGTTGCGGCACGAGGACTGCGTTCGCATGCTTTTCTCCTTAGATACTTTTTGGATCTTCTTCAGCCTGTTGCAGATGAGCAACTTCGACGTCGCTAGCGATGCTTTCACGACACTGCGAGTAGCGCTCACTCGCCATAAGAAGCTTGCCGCAGAATTCATGCTGCAACATTTCGATCGTTTCTTCCTCACCGAATACAACAACCTTCTCCGATGTGACAATTACGTCAGCAAGCGACAGGGTCTCAAGCTCTTGAGCGAATTGCTTCTCGATCGTTCCAACTTCTACATCATGATCCGGTACGTTGGCATGGTCGAAAACCTGAAGCTGGTCATGACGCTGATGCTGGATCCTGGAAAGTCGATTCAGCTGGAGGCCTTCCATGTCTTCAAGCTGATTGTAGCGAACCCGAGCAAACCCGTCGATGTGAAGCGAATTCTTTTTCGGAATCGCGACAAGCTTATTCGTTACTTGAACGCGCTCGGAAGCGAGGCTCCAACTGGTAATCCGGCATTCGCGAGCGAGGCCTTCCGCGAGGATTTGCAGCTCGTGATCAGCGAGATCCAGAAACTCCAGCCTGAAACCAAGTCGCCGTAAACGGGTTCCCGGAATCTTGACCGACCCGTGGTCCAGGGCGAGCATTGGCGCACCGCGCAGAAGCGCGCTCTCCAGTCACAACGTGCGAACGAAAGCCACCATATCGATGTTTACGAATAGCCGACGCGGGCTGGTCTGTGACCGCCTGGAAATCCCGACCTACTACGCATCGCCATGCCCACGGGTCGCTCACGTCGGCGCATAACATCGCAGTCGATAGAGAAGCGCTCGACCTCGGTCGTTACCAAGCGCGAGAAAACCGCCGCCCGGAGAGAAGGAAGCGCTCCACACCCGATGTAACGGCGTCTGACTGGTTGGCCAGTTCGGAAACGTTTTGCGTGACGCGAGATGGTAGACGCGGGCGGCGTTTCGTTTCGCTTGAGAAGCGTAAAAGAGCGCTTGATCGTCCGGGAGAAAGGCGAACGTATCGATCTGTGTTACCAGATTCGACACGGAAGCCAACGGATGCATGTTGCGTTCCCGGGGCGTCACGCTTTCGCCGCTCGCTTTCGTAGACGCCTGCCCGCGGATCGCACGCCCGTCGTAGATATTCACGATGCCGGCGTCTGAGCCAGTCGCAAGGTACTGTCCGGTCGGTGACCATTTCAGAGCTGTACAGCGAACGGTGCCTTCATCAAGAAAGCGCGCCAACGGCTGCGATGCATTCATACCAGAATCGGTGAAACACATTCGCAGGTCATAGAGCGAAACGTATCCGCTTGTCTCACCAGCGACTGCGATCATCAGGCCGTCTGGTGCAAACGTGACGACTCGTGGCAACGCTGCGCCGCTCTGGGGTCCACAAGCGATTCGCACGCATCCGAGATATTGCTTGGTGACGGCATCGACCAGAATAACTTGACTATCGTCCCCAGTGAAGGCGAGCAGTTTCCCATCAGGCGAGACTGTGAATCGCTCAAAGCTGCGCTCCTTCCGCAAGCTCTCGAGCGTTCGGATTTTGATTCCTTTCTGAGCTGCTAGGTCGTATTCGTAGAAGAAGCGACGTCGGCCCGTAAGCAATACGGAATTTGTAATTGCTCCGTGCGAACCTCGGACGAATTCCGCGGTATAAATGGGCATGTCTGCGAAGCAGACTGTATGCAAACACTCGTTTTCACGAACGCATTTCCATCGCAGGTTATCAGCAGGCTCCTCTGTCAAGTGGAATAGACGGAGCCGCTTATCAAAACCCGCAGTGAAGCATAGATGTGCGGACGCCGGGTGAAACCTGACGCTTGTTAGGACGCTGGCCGCCGGTGCAGCTGCGTTCGCATCGGTAAGCCGTCGAATCGGCAACGCTTTCCAGTGTAGCGGTGGCCGGGTTGCAGACGCCCCTCGCGACGACGCTGCAGACGCAGCAACCGGGCCTTCCGGGTCCAGGGCATCGTTCCCGGTATCCGAGACCAGCGACACAGCGGCAGTGCCGTTGTCAGCTCGCGCGGTGTTGTCGTGTCGCGCCGCCCAGCGCGGTATGCCATGCAAGGCGACGAACTGCTCTCGGAGCCGCTGTTCAAAGGTTCGTCGACTTACGACATTCTCGTCCACGAAATGTCGCAGTTTCCGTCGACGATCCCTTTCCTCAAGTGAAACGTATTCGGACTCGGAGTCGGTCGCTGACTCCGGGCGCGCTCGGATAGAGGACGGCGCAGGCGTGGCGGCGGACCCGGACCAGTGGTCAAGCTCGTGCTCGCGGGAGTTGCTACCTTCTGATGACGGAGCGGTCTCCAGTTCCGATTCCTGCACATACTGGTCCTTTGAACTCAAATGGTTGCTGAGAGGAGCGCCTCGGCGCTGGCGTCTGCCTCCAAAGACGACGCGTTCCAGCGTTGACTCTGATTGAAACAACGACTCTGTTACGTTGAATCGGCTTGCACGTTTCCCCCGCTCTGAGTTTGCGCCCGTCTCTGCTGCGTATTCTTTGTACCCATAGTCTTCATAAAAGCCTCTCGAGTCATCGTTCATGGGCATAGCCAGATCACGACTCGCCGACGTCCCGCACAGGCACGGGCGTGGAGTACCCAGCGCTGGACAGGTATGTATGGACGCCGCTCGGCACGCAGACGTCGCTGCGATCCAGTGCAGCACGCATCGCCGTGCGCTGTACGATGCGTGCCCTCATCAAAGCGCCTGAGGTACAGAAATGTACAGACATGTTCTTTTCCAGGCATTCGATGATCTGCGGGGCATCGATCCCGCAGTCGACGTGTGCGGTAGCGTTCGTCGGATCACGACGCATCGTTACGAGATCCCGATGAATCTTTTGGACTGCTCGGTCTGTTGCTGCCTTTCGATTTTTGCCCAGCTTTTTTTCATATGCACTGCCTTGAAATTTGAAATAATGCGATAAGATGGTCTTACGGATACATTCCTGGATTCAGGTTCCTCGATAGCATGGTCTGGGAAGCTCCTTTGACGCTTTCCGCTGGTACTCGATACGTCAGCGGGATCAAGATGATCGTCTACGATCTTGGGCAAGGGTGTGCGTAAAATAATCGAAATCATTATCCAAGTCGTAGGTATGGCCATCAATTTTCTCCTTTCCCTAGGCATATCACGACTCGATAACGAAATCTTCAGGTTTTCAATATTTCTGTTTCACGGTGAGTCGTAGGCGTGGCAATTCGCACCAATCGACGGACGATGAAAGTTGCACGTCATCGACCTTTGACGACCTCTTCCCAAGCTTTTTTTTAAAGTAAACTGCTATTGTTGGGTCAAATAATGGGTCTCGTTCGAAAGACAGATCCTAATAGCTTTGAGGCTACTGGAGGCGAGGCATTCAACAGCAGCACGGTATCTCAGACGTTTTGCGCTCTCAGAGGCTCTTGTCTCACCTGTACGCGTGGAATAGGGTCTTGAACTCCGTCTTTAGTCATTGAAGCAATCGCTTCCCGTGGAGAGAGAGACACCCCGCTTTGTACGAACGGAGCCGAGACGGGTAGAAATTTGTCGACATGATTTCTAACCTGCATTAACTTTCCGGGACTAGTTTCATCATGGACAAGGTCGTGTTCCCCGAAATCTGTACGGAATGGAGCGGCGTGTGCTTCTGTGTGCATCTGAAAGACTACTTTGCTTGTAGGAGCGCCCTGATGAAGGTTGCGATCGTTGCGTACGGCACCGGGCACGGAAACGTACAAGATCATCGGCTGGAGCATTCCGCACAGGTTCAGGGCATGCACCGAACGGTACAGCAAGCATTCAAACACTGCAACGCGGTGCTCGAACCAGAAGATATTATAGGCATTTGAAAAGGTCTAAGCCAAGTCCATAGCGACATTTGTGAAAAAAGCGCCGAGGTTGTGTCCAAACGGGATGGAAATGGGAGGCGAAACGTCTATCAAAACTTTTGCCAGTGCGTAATATGCGTTGGCAACCGTCGGAAGCAGCCAAATCGGATTTCGCACGCTGCCATCAACATCTTTCAATTACGAATAACGAGACTAGATTGACAGGACAGACCGGCATTTTTAAAGCCTCATACAAGAGGGAGGAAAAGGGAGCAGCCGCAAATGAAACCCGTAATTACTGGAATTCATGACACTGGCAAGATATCCAGATTTTTTGTATGCAAACCCCAGTTGCATAAGTGGACCCGTCCTATTCTATTCTGAAATGGGCTTTCATAGAAGACGCGCACAGACGAGCATCTCGAGTCGCCGCAGGGCGGGCGTCATCGCAAAATGCCATTACAGGTAATACACAAATGAGAAAGCACCCTCGTTTTCCAAATGATTCCTTCGTAGACCTTCCCGATGAGGTGCTGGTTCCCATGATGAACGCGTACCACACGCGCACCTTCGTGGGGAGTACACGAACGCGATATGTCGAGCGGCGTCCACTCGATGCTGCTCTCGTCGGCGCATACCACTCACGTCGTCTTGGGCGCGGTTCGATACATCCTCGTACCATTCGAAGACACCGAGGTGCTCGTGCTGTTCTGCATGCCGTCACTATCAAAGCCAGCACGAACAGGTACGCGGACGCAGATGTGACGCCTTTGGGTTCACGTTCTGGATCCAGACAAAAAATCAGTCCGCGAGCACCATTCCCAGTGGCCTGCTATCCGTATCCGAGCGCTCTGTCCAATGCTAGGAAACGTGTCACCACTGCAGAACTGCAGTCCAACGGTGCGCTCGCTTCCAAAAGATGTCGCGAATCGTTCCATTGCGGTTACGAGGCGCCCGCATGATATCCACGAAAACACATCACAGACTGAGACGGAAATAGAGAAAGAATATCTCTGTGCTAAAAAGTGTACAGGAACGTTTGATGCGGTACAAAGCAGCATGCGTTGAGAAGCGCGCTCGCCACACGATCTCGCGTTCAGCGGTGACCTGGCGCGAACAATTTCCAGACCGCGTTCGCCAAAACCGCTACCTGAGCAGTGCAGCAGTTTGCATCCCATACAACGGTATCCTACAGACGGCCGCAACGCTCTCCAACATCGCAGACGAAGCGGTAATCCATCCGAGCAAGTCCTGGTGCCAGCAGAGAGCGCACGCCAAGACGTCATCATCACGATGCATGCAAGTACGCTCGATTCCAGCCTGCCCCATCTACAGCTATGCAACCGGTGTTTTTGCCTCGCAAACGCCACACTGCTTCGACAGACGCGGCACAGGTGCAGTCAAAGCGCGGAAATCGATCAGCGTTTGGCGGGCGTCGCATCATGCTGCTGGGCAAACCGACGCTCCAGTTCGTGGAGCATTCGATTGCTTTCGGCCTCCATCATTTCGCGTTCCGCATTCTTCACTTCTCGTACGGCTTTCACTTCAGGCACGTAGTGCCGAAGCATGTTTTCGACTCCATTTTTCAGTGTCACGCTGCTGCTGGCACAGCTCGAGCATGCTCCCTGTAGCTCGAGGAGGACGGTACCCGTTGCTTCCTCAAAGCCGCGGTACAAAACGCTACCACCATCTTCAGCGACTGCAGGTCGAATTCTCGTCTCGATGAGTTCTTTGATCATGGCTACATGTTCAGGATCCGCGTCAAGGATCCGTGTATCCTCGTTGAGACCCGGCGCGTCCGCGCTTCCCGTTGAGGCATCCATGAACAGCGGCTGTCCAGACATGTAGAAATCCATAATGACCGAGAAGATCTCGGGTCTGAGAACGTTCCATTCAATGTCCTCACGCTTCGTGACCGTGATAAAGTCCGGTCCAAACATGACCCCCACGACGCCGTCAATTTGGAAGAGTTTATCCGCAAGGGGTGAGGCTCTCGCTGCTTGCGGCGTGGGAAAGTCATAGGTCCCCTCGTTTTCTATCACAACGGATCCAGGTAAAAACTTTACAGAGTTTGGGTTCGGGGTAGCAGCGGTTTGAATGAAAAGCGTCCGCCGCTGCAGCACACTCCGGAGTGGACCTTTCCAGAGTCCCGCTATCGAGTCCCTGCGAGCGGAACCTTTCATCTTTTGGTGTCCAAGCTGGCCCAGCGAGGTTAGGGACCGCACCTGACGTAAGGCCTCAGGCTGCATTCGGTGCAGAGCTCGTAACGAGGCGAGCTGGGCCTCTCGTTGATGAACTCGCCGAACGAGCGGCCAGAGCAGGCGCACGCGCTGCATGATCAAACCAACCGCCTGGTTTTTCGAGTTCCAACCGATTGGGTACAAACAACTCCCCGAGGGCACAGTTTCAGTCTCCGCTAAAGCGTTTATTGTTGGACTCTCGACGCCGGTTGCGTGACGAGGACCGACACCCTGCCACCCCCAAGATAGCTGTATCTGGCCTCAATCGATGCCGGTTTCGCGTGCAAGTCGCTGTGTCCTTTTCACTGGCTCCAAGACGCCGTCGAGTACCTTGTTGCGTCGTTCGCCAGCCGGCATGCCAGCGGGTCCAGAAACGACGCTCAGCATTCAGGGACTCGTGTTTCACAACACACGAGGCATGGACTCGGTATGCACGGGTTTTAGGTTTCAAAACTTGGGGCAGAATTGATCGCGTTTCATGTCGCGCTCGTGTCTGGGGACCCTTACGCTGGGATCGTACTTGAAAGGAAGCACGATACCACAAGAGCGTCTACCTGCATGACCATTTCAAGTTATGGGATGCTTTGAAGTTGTCCAGGCGATCTGGAAACGGTTCCTGACAGCACTCTATGATGAGCACTGCAGGAATACTTCCATGGACTGCCGATGCACGCCCTGATTGCGTTTCATCTCGATTTTCGGTTTACCCCCGATGCGGAGAGTAACTGCAGATCGAAGAAAATACGCAATGTGCCGTGTAGATAGATGACGAATTGCCTGGAGGATATATATACTTTACTGAACAGCGCAACGAGGACTGCATTCCTCAGTAAGGCCAGACATGGTACAATGCTCAGATGATTGAGGAAGACTGAAAGAAACGAGTAGAGGCGCTCCGCGCCAGAAACCGATATTCTCAAAGCTTGTTTGCGGGCAATGGTAGAAAACGATCCATTGATCACTTTAGAGAAAGCAAAAGCTACGATAGTAGCAACTAGGTGTGTCTCTGTCACTCAACAGCTTATTGGCAAAGTGCTGAAAACACTGCGATTCAGTCGCAATAAAAAGTCCTAGTCCAAGCATATACATCTGCCACCGAAATCGCAACTCTTACAGCATTTCTGGATCTTTGCGATCGTTATAAAACTTAGGCATGTCCGTCTTTTTTTCAGATATTCAGAATCGCCTCGGACGAAACGGTCGGAGCGTATTTGGGTATTCGGGGAACAGGGAGCACGTAGTATGTAAAATCGAAGCCGAAGAGAACGATGATATCATCATCTGTTCTAAGTGCATTGGATTCATTCGGCGCCCTCAGCTTCGCTCGTAGAGAAGGCTCATATAACAGCACCAAGCACTCGGTCGAATCATCGAAGACCTTTCCCTGACGCTTGGCGACGTTCCTGTGTTCGACAACGTGGCAGTCCACCATTCTACTCGCGTTCGAGCCTTTGCAAATGCCATGGGGGTAAAGATGCTTTTCATTCCTCCTTTCTCTTCGTGGTTCAAGCATGCCGAAGGAGTATTTTTGTATCCTGAAAAGTAGTGATCGCTGCACTGAGCGAATCGCTGAAGCGTTCAGCACATGATGACACCCAGGCACATGTCGCCTCTCTTGTACGAGGCCGTCTCGCTCTGGGAGGTTCCTCATCTAAGCGCATAAACAAGTGCATTCATTTTCAAAAGTAGGGAATCTAATGGATGCGCTGGGGTGTCCATTACAGAAGGTCGAGATGGAGAGAGCGCAGCCGAGCGCTTCGGCAAGAGAAAAACACGGAGAGCTGGCACTGCACCAAATGGCACAGAGGGCCCGAGTTCGTGGACTCTTTGCACTGATGAGCTCCACCAATGTCAGTAGACGCATGGACTTCGTGAATCGAGACTTGGATGCCGCCATCCATACCAGACGATGTGCGGTGCTGAAGACGGGACCCTGGGAGCTGACACCATTCAAATTCCTGGGATAGCCTCCCATGTTCGAAGTGTACAAAGAGAAACTGAAGCCGATGGCAGGCGGCCGGTCGACAAAGACTGGGAGACGTCTGCAGGTGGGTATAAATACTCATACTCCGTGGCCGTGGGTCATTTTCTGTTTCACTGAGAATATCGCTGTAGAGGCTACTGAGTTTTCGCCTTGCGATACGATCGCCGCTGATACCGTCATCCGTTGACCTAGGTGACACCCGGATACGGTGTAAAGTATCCCGCCATTACGTTCCTGGCAGCCGTGCTGCAAACAGGGCGTCATCCCGAGAGACGCTTCTGCGCTGCTCTAGCTCAACGGTAAACAACCTTGCCGACCGAGAGCTCCGAGTGTCAACGAGAACAGGGATTCATCTCGTCATTCGGGCTCGGTGCTGCGATAAGCGTCGACGCGCTGGCCGCCGGTCGAGAAGAACCTCCTGGCCTGCGCGTCCACACACGCTACCGCACAGCAGTATTCGAGAATTTTTCCAGTTCGTGGTCCCACCGCCTCGCACTTGTCAAGCAATGCCCGCGCTCTGGGTCTAGACGCAGCATCGCAGAGGCTAACGTCCCGCGGTCGTGCGCTCCAGCCGCAGAGTTCAACATCCAGCAACCCATACCGCAACTGCTGTGCACAACACGACAAGCTGCTCTGTTCCGGGGCCCGGACGCAGCGTGCAGCGTGTGAAACCGAGCTATCTGCACGCAAAAGTTTTGTTTTTCTGGGCGTCGAACTTGGAGCTGTGCATTCTAGAATACTTATTCCAGCATCGTGTTTTTATTCTTGTTCGTTGTTCTTGCAGGTATTCAACAGACAGAACGCAGCTGGAAGATTGGTACATGCCCGCGAAAGAACTTGAAGCCTTCATCGCCAGCTTCAGAAAATGAATTGGACGAGTCTGTTATTTTATGATTAGCTGGTGTATAAACAGCCGTTCTTGTGGTCCTCATCCTTAATGTCGTACAAACAGAACAAATCTTATGAATCTCTGTCGGGGGGAATCTCTTCTCGTCGATTGATTCCATTCTGTGAATTCTGCAAGATATCCCATCAAAGAGGCCACAAGATTTGAGATTACCATACCGTCAACGCCAGCAAGGATGATTAGACACGGAATACACAGAGAAAAATGACGAGTTCTGTGTGAGCCTTTCGCGCATAGAACAACACATTTTTCATTTGGTACTGAAACGCAAGCGCGTACAACAGCGGTGCTCGTCTCGCTCGATGAGACTTTATTCTGGAGCAATGGTAGACCTGCATTATATTACTTAAAGTGGGTATATGGCGATTCGTCAAGAGGAGACGAACGACCGCTCGGAACACACCACTCCGAGCAGTGATTCAGTCGTTCGGTCGCTTGGAAATCGCCGATCAGACAGAGTCCTTCAACACCTCATCCTTCGTCGAAGCACTTTATGGCGTCTCCATCCTGCACGCTTCTGTCCTGGTGTTAGACAACGTCGTTGTCCATCACTCGGCAGCGGTCGAGGAGCACGCAACTGCGAATGGCGTTGCGCTGCTCTTCTTGCCGAGTTATTCTCTCTGGCTGAATCCAGTCGAAAGCGTCATCTCTGTTGGCAAACGCAAGTGTGACGCTACCGTGTCCATAGGCTAGTCGTTCGCATTTGTGACAGCAAAAAGATTTAGCACGCCTTGAGAGGTCGCAGAGCTTCGAACTCGAGAAAGTCTCACCGGGTTTCTCGCACCTTGATGCACCTCGACATGCAACGATTCGCAATATTTGCGGACCCTGGTCTATCAGCTGTCCACAAACGTCTGGAACTTTTCGATAAAAACCCCATGCGACAACATAAATGATTTTCGGGACACAGGATGCAATGTGACCTGTGTTTTTCGAGAGCGCTGTTTTGTCCGGATTCGAGCATGATAAAGGCCACGGGGCACACCAACTAGTGGAACGACAGCGTCAGAGCCCGTCTCGACACCCTGAGCGCCGTATTGAGCAGAGTCTGATGCTTTGAATGCTTCTCTCAGAGAGTACATGAGAACGCGCTGGGCAGTCAGCAACAATTTCGGGAATACAAAGGCAAGAAACTCGCCTTCACCAACTGTCTCAATGAGTTGGAAAAGGAAACGACCGATAGGTCGGCTCGTTTCGAAGCAGGTTATAGCGCAAACAGTGCTATAGCCGACAGGAGCTGCACTGCTGCTCTTTCGAAAAGAGCGTACAACGAATGCTGGAATCGATGTTATTCGATACGTTCAGGACAACATATTAGCATCACGAGCACTCGTACGAGTTGAAGCTTGTAGAGCAGCAGCGCATGAGACAGCATCGGAAGCACGCGATATTGCATGGTACGCTAACCGATCGTCATATGGAAAGGCACTCGATATTGAGAAGCACTTTGTGGAATGATCCCAGCAGCCATAATGCGGGTAACCGCTTTCCGAACCAGGAAATCAAAGCGTCAATCGACATCCGGGTTATGTATCGCGCCGTGGAAACTTGCATCGCCTTTGCATCGAGAGAACGCTCCAGGAAATCGTTGAATTTCAGTATTCGCTTCGTCCTGAAACGCTGAAGACTTTCGATGAAACAATATCAGCGACCAGAAGAGAGGCGGTCTCGCATTCCCATCTGGATCAAGGCAATCGTATGGTACGATCCATCAATCCAGAACGTCTGAAGCACCGTATAGAAATGGCTTGAAAGTTTCTCCTGCACCCTTGGTGAACGATCACGACGATCCGCTACTCTACATGACCCTGGACATTTTTGGGATGATTTCCGATCACTCTTCTATGCAAAATGGACTATTCAATCCCTCAATACGCATGAAATTCCCCTAAGCTATACGAAAAGCCCAAACATGAGACCCGTACCGCCAACGACGTCGAGGAACAGCACGTCTCACCAGTCTCAGAGGACAAGTACACCGAGCAGCTGTGCCAGCCAAGGCGCCGCACGCGCCCTGAAGCATTGTATCGCTGAGGATATGTGTTGTTCTCGTGCGACTGGGTCGTAGGGCTATGTGTGTTCTGGGGTTCCTGGCGGGTGATCCGCTTCGTGTAGGGGCTCACGCTCTCAAAATCTGTACGCGATCTATTGCATCACGCGAGCGAAGACGGAACGCACCAAGGAAACAGTTTCCTGCGGATCGTACCGGGCAGCGCTGGCACCGCAGCACCACGTGGTTATCGAAGCGTGGAGAACCTTTGACCTGCTCGTGGCAAAGTCAAATGCTCGACTCGATGGCACGCTCTCGTCGAAAGCGACACCGAAACACCACCAAGCCTGGAGTGAAACGGTCCTGGTGCGGTTCGATCGGTGACCGCACTCTCCGTGGCGGTGGCGGCCGAGGAGGCAACTCCTACGTCGACGGTGTGGCTGGTGGCTTTCCTGACTTGCCCAATCGGGGAAGTTTTCTGCTGTGGCTGACGCTATGCTGGCACACCGTACAGGTGTGGCTGCGTGCTCCGACTGCTCTCGCGCTTAGCGTCCCAACTGCAGCTACAGAAGAAGAAGCCGCCGAAATCTACGCGGAACATCCGAACGATCAGACGAAAGGCCCACTTCGCCAGGTTGTGCTCCGTGGACCCGTTGATCGTCTGCTGCTACCACGTGACCGCCTAGAGCAGGCGGTGAATCGAATCCTTCAGGCTAATCAGAATGCTGACGCGTCCATTGACTACACCGCCATTCGCCGTTCAATCGACAGTTTGAACGCTTTTTATGGCGAGCATGGATACCCGCTTGCGCTTGTACGAAGAGCACCCGATACGCCTATCAAGGATGGTATCCTGGTCCTCGAGGCGTACGAGCCGCTCGTCGCTAGAGTCCTCGTGGAATACGTGGATGCCAACCAGGAGCCGTGCTCAGGTCGGACGCATGCCAGCGTCATTGCCCGGGCCCTGGGCTATGACGGACTCGGTGTTGAGAAGGAAATGCCAGACCACCAGAGACATTCGCGCAAGTCGCGTTCGGCGCAAAAGGCATGTCCACGCAAAGTCCCGTTCCGCTGGACAGAACAACACTTTCAGCGGCTGCAGCAGTTGGGCCTGTTCGAGTCCGTGACAGCGGATGTACGTGTCATTGACGCCGTGACGCCACACGACTCGCCAGCAGCAGAAGGCCAAGTCGCACAAGCAGAACGCTGTGCGGAAATAGGTGACGTTGAACTGACCTTGCGCGTGCGAGAACGACCTTTCCATCGTTTCGAACCCGGCATAACGCTTTCCCGCGGTAAGCTCTATGGAGACCTAACCTTGGAGGATGCAAATGTCGCTGGCCGAGGGATTCGCTTTCAAGCAGATATCCGATCCAAGCCTGATCGATCCGATGACGCAGCCCATATCGTCTTACAGAATCCACGTCTAGGTTCCAAGGCCGGCGGCTACCAGGTGCGTCTCTTCGAATCACGAAGTACGGCGGTAGGAAGTCGTCGCGGGGTAGAGGTTACGTTGATGGCGCCCCAGCTGTGGTCGGCACCCACAGATGAGGCTCGGCGCTCGTCGCGAACCTGGCTGCGACCAGCTGCCTGGCGAAGCGTCATGGAGCGGACCCTGCAGCTATGGAATATCCAGACAGGGGTACTCTGCGAGCAAGTTCGAATGTTTCCATCGGGAATGAATCCGGGTCAGACAGCGTCCTCATCGCTTCCTGCTTCCGCAGACGGTGCGTCAGCGAGACGGAATCGCGATGAATCGACGACTGAAGCGTCCACCGCACGAGAGCGCTCTTTCACGCACCTGGTTCTGAACAGCAGCGCTATCCGTGATACCCGATCGGATCCGCTCCATCCGCAAGCTGGCTACCGTCTTGCACTGCATGCGGCCTACGCGGTTCCAGTGACAACGAGTAATCCAGAATATTCGCGTTTTGGCTTCACCGGCAGTGTGTACAAGAAAATACCACCTATTCGCGGTCTCCTGCGGCGTCGTCGTCGGAAACAAACCGAGCAACCCGAAACATCACACCAGAATCAAGAACAAGACGAAGAGCAGCCTGCCCGCGCCTGCGTTGCTTTGTTGGCTGAAGCACGTGTTTCGAGTGCATCGTTGCCCGAGTCCGAGCGTTATCCCTTCGGAGGATTAGCCACCGTTCGCGGGATGCGTGAGGGATCACTCGGACAGGTAGGCTCGTTTGCGAGAACCTGCGCAGAGTTTCGATACCCGCTCGACAAGCGCCTCGTGTTTGTGGCGTTCACGGACTGGGGATCCGAGATTCAGCCACCTTCGCATCTCGTGCGTTTTCCAAAGTTGTTCCGTCGAGGCGCTCACGGACACCGCCTCGGCACCGTTGTGGATTCGGCCTCAGCTGAGAGCACCAGCTCGGGCGTTGATGCCCCAGCTAGCGCCGGCTCCATTCAGCGGTCTAGCACAGCGTCCGGCGTTATCAGTGTCGGACTAGGGTTGCGTGTGCTCGGCGCTTTGCGCATGGAATGTGGCTGGATACTGGATCGTGCTCCCGGGGGAAGTGGTGGCGGGTTTCCGAACTGGCGCCTCAGTCGCGACGGTTACTGGCACATCGGCCTCGTGGATGTCTCCTACTAGTGACGGGCTCGTTACGACTTGTACGAGTTGGGAACAGTATCTCGAAGTTTACTAGATAAACTGCATCCATTTGGAGCTGATGCTTGGTTTGTGACGTTCGCATGGACCGCGGTTTCACCACCAGGAGCAGCTCGACGGAGAGGGTATGATGCTCTCGTCTTGAGCTTCTTGTGACTCTCGTCAAGTTTCGGGTGGTTCTTCGTATATTCAGGCTTCGCCCTGCGCATAGGCGTAACGGACAGAGACACCACTTTCAGTTGCAGCTTCGACGTGGCTGTCTACGCGGGTGCTGGCGCGGACAACGCCGGCGTCGATGCGAGTCACGAGACGCTCGCTGTTCCAGCCGGACGGAGCTGAAGCGCCCGCTGGTATCCCAGCCCTGGCAGACTAGAAGCGTGTTCGCATTACGGTACGCCTGTTCAGCGAACTCGGGCGTACCCTGGGGCACGCAACTCTACTCGGATAGAGACCCGTTCCAAACAAGCGTGTTTGGGACGTTCGCGCGGCCTGCGTCGACGAGCCGCCTCAACTCCCAAGCACCCCAAATTTATTTGTTTTCAACATGAAGTGGACTGTTAGGTCGTTTAGGTAGACGTAGCGCGGCGCTAAGACGCCAATGCCCTAAAATCCCGTAGCTCTGTCGCGTGCGTTCAGAGCTACGGGATCACCAAGCATGCACGCATCGATCCATGATGACAGAGCGACTGTACGTTTAGGTCGATAATTACCTATTATTACCTTTTCTGTACTTACCATAGATGCGTGCCATTGAGTATCCACAAGCCGTCTACGGCGCCCGATCACCGCATCACCGCGGCATCCCGGAATGCCGCATCCCAGGCGCATTGACCCCAGCGGAGGATTTCCTGTGAATCGCCATGCGCGAAATCGATGGACGCTGCAACGATCCGCTCGAATCGATTTTCGCCAGTAACGCCTCCAGCTCGTGGTGGGGTACTGGCTCTGCGCTTTTCAGCGTGAGCACGAACAAGTAGGTCGTTTAGTAGAAGACGCTGGAGATGATTGATGCTAGAGACGGCACGATCAACTGTTCTCTGCTGGGCGCTGAACAACGATCTGATGGAAACGAGTCGGCTCGTGTCGAACCGCCTCGAGCAGCGACAGCAGCAGACGCTCTTGCGCAGCACCGGATGCGTGCGGTCCGAAATCGAAGCCCCTGCTCCATCGGCCGTCTTGCGTCCTCACCAGCGCTCTGGGCTTTCGCGCTTGTGCACGTCTTCGCCCTGAAAGGCGTGGTTCAGATAGGATTTGGTGTTCAGAGCCGAGCACTCCTGCTGTGTCTCGCGACCTACCTGGTGCGCATGCTGGGGATCACGGTCGGGTACCACCGCTATTTCTCACATCGCTCATTCAAAACTTCACGGCCGTTCCAGTTTGTGTTGGCCTGGCTTGGGGCATCGTCCTGCCAGAAAGGCGTTTTATGGTGGGCGTCGTGGCACCGCCACCACCATCAGCACGCGGATAGCGAAGAGGATGCGCACTCACCCGTCCACTTAGGTTTCTGGTGGAGCCACTTTGGCTGGTTTTTGCTCAGCGATGCGCACACCGAGGTGCTTGCGTCGCTCGTACCCGACCTGATGCAGTATCCGGAGCTCGTATGGCTGGAGAAATGGCACCTTGTTCCGGGTGCGGTTCTTGCCCTTGCGTGCTATTGGCTCTTCGGCGGATACCAGGCCTTTGTGTACGGTTTTCTGGTTTCCACAGTGGCACTCTGGCACGCAACGTTCACCATCAACTCCTTATCGCATATATACGGAAGCCGCCGTTTTATATGCGAGTTCCGTGGCGACTGTAACGCGCGCAACAATCTGTGGCTGGCGCTGATCACGCTCGGCGAAGGGTGGCACAATAATCACCACAGCTTCATGGGCAGTGCTCGGCAGGGCTTTTACTGGTATGAATTCGATCCATCGTATTGGCTTATTCGCCTTCTGGCCCTGCTTCGTGTGGTGAAAAAGGTGCGCGAGCCACCGCTGGAACAATTGGAGCGGAAGCGACTACCAGCGGAGTGTCGCCGATGGGATATCTGTTCGTGTGTCCTCAGGCAATTCTGTACAGAAACGCCTCCTGGGTCCGCACATTTACCGAGAGTTGGACGTAATGCATGCCAGGGATCGGAAAGCGATACGCTGGCTGACGCTTTGCATGTCTTGAAGGCAGCAACCGAGTGGAAAGCGCCCGTAGCACCTGAGCTTCCGCAAATTATCGGCATGTCCTGGCCCGAACACGCTCACTAAAAACTGGCGTAGCATACCGAATCGGATGGGTTGTACGGACCATGACTCGAACGGTATGAGGGCGCAGCGATGCGCAGCAACGAGCAAGCCAAGCACAATATCGCAGGATGAGGCACCGTGTCGCTTCGTGCTCACTAGGCAGATGCCATGTAGAATAATGAAGCTGCAATGCTCGTTGCATTCGTTTGTACCCAGAAATCGCACTGAGGGAGATCAAAGTGTCTCGGCTCAAGCTGGCAATGGCAGCGCCTACCTCTGGACCTGGAAAACAGGAGCAGCAGCAGCAGCAGCAGCAGCAGGGCAGATGCCGCTGCAGTCACAGAGGCGCAGCGGCAGCTCGTCTGGAACCTGGATGGAATACTGTGCTGGTCTCGTAGTGTATCCAGATTCAAGTCGGATATGTATTCAGATATGGTGCGATGCTCAATTCTATTGCAGCAAAAGACTATATGAACATGGAGCCCGCCGCAGTCTATCCGAATCCGATTCGAATATAGATCCAGGTATGGCGCGATGCTCCACTCCATTGTAGAAAAGGCTGCCTAAGCCTGAGGATCGTTCAGCTGCGCACGAAGCAGGGCCTGGCAAGTTCTCGAGCGCATGGCTTGCCCCGCTTGGCGCATCGTTTCGATGGTATCAGATCGATGCCCGGACTCTGGGATGCCCGGGATACACGATTTTCACTGGCGCATAGAGAGGCGACCAGCGCTACAGTCTGCTCCAGACCTTCAAGTTCCGCTTAACCTGGACCAGGCTTCAAATCGGGCTGATGGTTTGCTCGAACGAGTCTACAGGTGCCGAGCCTGTTGTGCGCGCCCGCTCTGACATCTGGATCAATGCTGCGGACGCGGTAGGAGACGAAACGGCTATGTAGCACGTTTTTGAGTGTCAGCTCGAGGTCGAAATGAGCGATGCTAAGAGGTACACAGGTTCGTGCCAGTGGTCCGCCTGAGGTTTATCCACGGATCACGGACAGCGTTGTGTGGAGCAACATCTAGGCATCTCGCGGTTTATCCAGACCTCCAGTGCACATCGAGGCATTTCTAATGGTGGAGGATGGATTCCTCGAAAGGCGCTACGCGCTTCTACGTACGCATTTGCGTGTCACTGGCTTCAGACAGGAACGCGTACCCGCTGCGAGTAGAGCCTTCATCACTGCAGCCTTTTCCATCCTTGTTAGAGTCAATTGCAAACGGACAACCAAAACATACGTTTTCGAATATGTTTGAGTCTCTTTCCGTTATCATCAACGCCAGCCTTGTCGGATTTTCTCCACGATTATGTCCAATACCGCTCAGATATTTAAGGATTTCAACACACCTACTCTCATTTCCAATGTGGATCCATCGTCGCCACTCGAGCGACTCTCATGGCAGCATAGAGTCCCGATTTCGTGGCTTCTGGCAGTTGTCGACTTGTTTGATGCACATGCAGAAGCCGAGATCTATGTTTCGCTTAGCATGTTCATTTTCTTCGCATACGGGTGCGGTGCGCCCTTCGCAGCCACAATACTTGACTGTGGTTAGGTTTTCCAGTGTGCCTGCGAGATTTCCTCACCGTTCTGGTCCTGCTCTGAGTGTCGCCCTGTGGAGCGTCTACGCCTGATTCGTCGCTCGCTACATGCCCCTGACGGGTACAGAAGCCTCCCGTTGATACCGTTTTCCGGTTCCGGGCCTCGTGGAGCACCCTTCAACGGTGGGATTGTTTCGGGCGACTCCCAGGTGAGTAAGCTGTCCCATTCGATCGAGGACCTGTGGCGCACGGTATCATCCGTAACCAAACGAGCATCGGCAGGGGAATCCAGGCTCGAGAACAAGTCCGAAAATTTCGCTTCGCGTCTGCTCGCTTCTTGCAAAGCAGTGACGCACGCTCCGCTGGAAGCGATCTCCGCAATGACCCAAGTCCGCGACCTATCTTCATGAAACCAGAAGGACAGCAGCCTCTGGGTGCATGTGCGGCAATAAGTATCATGGTGCTGGCGAATGCCGTGTCCCCGATGAACACAAACACAGGGCAGAGGTCTCTTAAACGAAACGGATTATTGAAGGGTGTATGTTGCGGGGCAGGGGCTTTCGGAATGCTCTTGAGAACAAGTTGTCAAGGGACGACATCGAGTATTTTTTCCTCATCGATGCGCTGAAACCGAAGCAGAATCGAAACGTTCAAAAGTGCGTCATTTGGGCATGCTACGCGCGAGAAAAGCCGAAGAATCAAGATCCGCACATACATAAAGTGCATAACCATATCGATCGTTTTAGGAACCCTGGCTCGAGCACGTCGCAAACCATTTTGATAACCGTGATGTCTCGCATTCTGATGCAAATCGTCGAATTCCACCACTCCGGAAACACGACCAGAACAATTCTAAAACCATATATGGATCCTTGACCCCTTATGCATGCACGTTGAATAACGAGCCCGCTCATCCAAACCAAGTGTGACATGACCGAAATCCAAGCATACTCCAAGTACGTCAGTCTTCCGTTTGTATGAACCGTCGCTGTAGAGGCGTGACGCCTGCGACCTCGCACGCGTGATCATCAGCGGAGCCAGGGGTTTGCTCCATAAACCGAGAAGCGCACGCCCGGAGCATACGAAACTCGACCACGTGGTACACAGAAGCATCTTCAGAAGCGCTGAGCTGGCTCATGTCTGTATACGGATAGCGCTGGCGTAACCAGCGAAATCCGACTGGATGCATCGATCCTCTACCATACGAACGAAGAGCAGCGCAGTCGTTTCAGACATATTTGCAGCGACATGCGATTTTTACGACGACGCTCACACGCTGGAACGGGTACGCAACATAGAGCGCAGCGCAGGTCTTTGACGGTCATCCCGCGCCCTTGAGTCGTCGGTTCCTGCACTTGCTACCCGCAAACACAAATACACAGAAAGAGCGAGCGAAAGACAAAAAGGGGTCATTGAAAGAGTTTCGATTCGCCACCGGACTCGAAAATCTGGTAACCGCGACCCTGGGCGATCTGACGCCGAAACACAACTGCATCTGTCTTCGTCTGGATACCATCAGCGTCGGTCGTCTCGCTCAGGTTCAGAGGAGCTGCCTCATTCGCGTCCATAGCTGCGCGTTTCCGACGACACGAGCGACTCGTTTGCGATGCTTGCGTGGATGCTGATTCCTGCAAAGGTAGCGATTCGGCATCCGCATGCGACTCGGCCTCCTGATCGATCATTTCCTCCCGATCCATCAACGCATCGAGGTCTGCGTCGGTGATCTGACCTCCATTGCCGTACTCAGCCTCGGCCGGGACAAAGTTCACCAGCTCTTCCAAAATCCGCTCTACTTGTTCCTTGGACGCGATGGTATCCAGGTCGAGAAGGTTCTCCTCCAGTGCGCTCAGTTTCTGCACCAATGCTTCATCAAAACTGGATACCGTCTGGCTGGGATTTCGATTCTCATCGGGAGTCGTCGATGGACCTGCGTTCGACGCTGACGGCGCGGACGGTGCCTGCAGCGACGCATGGGTTGCATCGCAGTAAAAGTGACCGCGGGTCACAACGAGCCGCTCAAGCTTACGCTTCTCTACAGCTCGGTTCAGCATGCGCTCCTCGACTGAGTTGGGTGTGACCAGACGATACACGTGCACCGGTTTGCGTTGGCCAATTCGATGGCAACGGTCCATGGCCTGCAGGTCCATTTGCGGGTTCGGGTCGCTGTCGTAGAAGATCACCGTGTCGGCGGCTTGGAGGTTGAGTCCAAGTCCACCGGCTCGTGTGCTCATTAAGAAAATGAAGATCTCCGAATCGGGAGAGTTGAACGCCTCCATCTGCCGAATGCGATCCTCAAATTTCACCGAACCATCGATGCGAGCGTATTTGTGGCCACGCAGTTGCAGATAATCTTCCAGAATATTGAGCATCGAGGTGAACTGTGAATAAAGTAGCACTTTGTGGCCTCGCGCTCGAAGACGAGGTAGCAGGCGATCAGCCAGGGCCAGCTTCCCAGCTGCGTGAACGAGTCGCTCATCAGTGATCGGGTAGGCGCCATCAGTGAAGTTCTCCTCGGGCTCAGCGATCAGGTACGGATGGCAGCATACTTTGCGCAACTGCATGAACTTGTTGCGCAAGGTGAGCGGGCGCGTATATTCGCGACCATAGCGGGCGTTCAAAAGCTCATGGATCCTATCCTGCATGATAGCCATGTAGTACTCTCGCTGCAGGGCGCTTAACGGAGCGAACAAGTAGATTTCGCGTTTCTTCGGCATTTTTTTCTCCACATCGCTTTTTAGTCTGCGAAGCATGAATGGACGCAGGATCATATGCAGCTTCGACACGATGGCGTCCTCTTGTTGTCTTTCGAGGGCACCAGCCGCGATATCATTCCCAAAATCGAACCATTCTCGGAAGAGCTCAACTGAGTCGAAAATGTCAGGCATTAGAAAGTGGAGCAGCGACCACAGTTCATCCAGGTTGTTCTGCAGCGGTGTGCCGGTTATCAACAAGCGATTCGCTGAAGTGTAACTTTGGAGCTCTCGCAGCAGCTGGCAGTCCATGTTTTTGATACGATGACCTTCATCGATAATGATGTATGCCCAGTGATATTTGCTGAGGTAGACTCGATCGCGCATGACGATTTCGTAGCTGGTAATGACGACGGGCATGTTTGATGCACCGTTGCGTGTACTCAGGTGCCGTTTGCGAAGTAACTGGCGTTCGCTCTTCGTCCCGTGATAAAGCAGGGCGTACACACTGGGCGCAAAGCGTTGGAATTCGGAAATCCAGTTCGGCAGTACAGTCAGGGGTCCTACAATAAGGAAGGGGCCTTGAACCCCCATTTCACGGAGATGGCAGATCAAAGCAATACACTGAATCGTCTTCCCCAACCCCATTTCATCTGCTAGGATACCATTGATGCCATTTTCATAGAGAGAAACCAACCACTCGAGGCCGGCGAGCTGGTAATCTCGGAGAACACCGCCGGTAAATTCTTGCAACTGCAACGCGCCGGCATCCCGCGCTTCCGTCCGACGCACGTCAACCTGCTCTCTGTCTGCAGTTTCAACGAGTGTTTTTAGTTTCTTCTCGCCTGCGGTGCTTCCGGGCTTGCTCGAGCGCTCGTTGTGAGGGGTGCTGGTCTGCTGATGCGCGCGCCGCCGATACTGTTCCTGCTGTTGCCGAATCTGTTCTGAAAGTACACTGGTATACAGAGTGGCAGCTTTTAGCAGCCTCTCCAGATGCTCATACCTTCGGCGTTTTACGGCTTGCGTGGCGCTGTTGGTGCCGGCCTCGAGATCGCCCTGGTCCGTTACCGAACAGTCTCCCGTGTCGCCGCCGCCGTTGTCTCTTTCAGAGCACTCGCCTACGGGATATGACGCCACCAGTCCGTCTTCCGTTAATGAGACCTGATCTTGTTCACTCCGCTTGACAAGAACGTCGTCTTCCTTGCGTGACTCGTCTCTGCCGCTGTCGACGGAGTCTCCGGTACGCGCAGTCTTCTCAACGTCAACCATGGTGAAACCTAACGCTAGTGCCCCCGTTTCGCGCTTCCTGGCAGTCCACAAGAGCTATGTACGCTGTCAACAGCTCCTCTGGGTACCGAAGTGCGAGGAAAACTAGAATTTGGAGCCTCCCCCAAAACAGGCATGCAAGTCTGACAACAACGCTAGAGGCGCTCGAACGCTGCTCCAGCCTTGCTTGCCGATACCGATAGAAAACCCGCCAAATGTACAGCTCGTTACCAATGCGTGCGTGCGTGCGTGCGTGCGTGCGTGCGTGCGTGCAACGCACGGATCATGCCGGAGCGACTGCCGTGCAGCCTGCGCTATGATGATCATGGATTTCTTCAATAACTTCAGCATTAATTGGAGAAGCGTTTACTTGCCTAACTCGGGTGTACATACTGAGGTTTAGGTCTGCTACGACTGTGATCAGCATCAGCATTTTGGGGGATTTTTTGTGACTTATTCCTTTTCATCGCTCTCATGTGTCCTGCTCGAAACACGCCGGTCTTTCCTCTGCCTCCAGATCCATCGTTCGCAATCTGAAAGAAAAAAGAATGCAAAGGCTCGCGTTCATGGCAATTAGAAGAGATCCGAACTCTAGCGTATACTGTTGTGTTCGCTGATTCAATCCGCTCCAATTTCATCGAACAAGATTGTCATGCACGGACAACGCATGTACCGCTATTCGGTGGCAATGCTTCTTTGTATCGGATAAGGTCACAGAATCCATTTCGAGTCGCTACGATGACGGGCAAGCGCTGCTGATTATCAGAGAGGAAATCTGTGCTCCTTCAAAAGCGCTACATCACTGTGGCGATACATGATGCTTCCAGCGAGAAGCCTGTGCAACATGGAAACGATCCTCGTACGAATTTACGCTCAGCGTCCGATCGGATGCTCTTAAGCGTACATCGAACAAATGGATTTCTTCCAAATGGATCGACAGTGTCCGTCGAATAAGCACCCCGTATAGCTCTGAGCATCCCAATCGCCACCACCAAGGCATGCGTCTAAGATACAGGCAATGCAGAGCAGGCAGTGCGAGTGTGCTCCACTGCACGCTCGCATTGCCTTTGTGCCGTTGAACGGAGCATTTCATGGGATGCTTCGGCGTAAACCGGTGCCAGGAGGCCAGCAAAACCTACCGATCACGCGCTTTGGAGTAGATCACCCGTTGCCCCCAGCAAACTACCTCAGCCGGCCTGCAACTAGGCTCTCGCAGAGCGAGTCTCGTAGAGCGCTCGGTGCTGTTGCAGTTCCAGGACAAGAGTTGCCGTTTGGCGCGTTCCCCATGACTTGCGCCCAGTCTCTGAGACTTTTATTCCTGCTCGGAGCGCCAGGGGCAGGGAAGAGCACCCTTGCGAAGAAGCTCTCTGAGCTGCACAATTGGCGACACTTAAACGTCGGTGACCTACTCCGCGAAGCTGCCTCCGGCACAAGTCCACTGGTGACGGCTGACCAGTCGCGAGAACTGGAGAATCTGCTGCTCGTCGGTGATCGCATCGCTCCCAGCGAGATCACAGCAACGCTGCTGAACAGCGCTTTGGAACGCTGTTGGAGCACGTCGACAAGCTCAGACCAGCGGACGGTTATCGTCGATGGGTTCCCCAGAAACCACGAGAATTGGCAGGCCTTCGAAACGAGCGTTCAGCGGACCCTCACCGCGTATCCGTGCTTCGTGCTCCTTTGGTTAGACCTGCCTTTCAGCGTAGCACTGCGGCGCGCTCAGCAACGCCATCGCAACGATGACCTCACGCCAACGCTCAAACGACGCTTTAAGGTATACGTGCAGGAGACGCTGCCGCTTCGCCAACGACTTCCAGCAGATCGCCAGTATTGCGTATCTGCGGACCAGCCTGTCGATCACATCGTCACATCCGTACAGCGTTTGCTTCGAGAAGCAGGCTTCCTCGCCAGTAACTGGTCGTCCTGTCCTTGAGCGCAGAAGCGCACGCGCGAAGACTCCCGCTTGCGTGAGCGAAACCTCCGCGACATGCAGCGACGGCTTTCGAACCGTCTTGTTCTGGGTATATCGAATGCGAATCATACGCTATTGCTGAGCGAGACGCAGGCTCCAAGCACCTTTTGCTGGCGAGATAACGGCCTTCGTGGGGAATACAGCGCCAGACGCAGAGATGCGCTCTGGGTCCAGGCATTCTCGCCGCCGCCGCCGCCGCCGCCGCGGCTTTCCACGAGTATTTGCAAAACCTTCATGCAAAGATGATGCCGAATCAGGAGCTGAAGCCGAGCTTTCTGGTGTATGCTGCTGAGCGTGGCAGCTGCAGGGCGATTTCGAGAGCGTCTACGCAACAGCAGGTCTCGTCTAGGAACTGTGGAGTCATCGGCGTGTTCAAGCGCAGGGCGACCACATGCTTCATGATACTGTTCAAGGGCTCTGATTCGGGCTCTGAATCGAGCGCTAGCAATTTCCCCAACGTTGATGTTACGGGATGCTTGTCTGCTCAGGAAAGAACAACCAACAGGGCCAATCCTTGTGCGTTAGCGAGCTCATTGCCGAGGTATCGTGCAGGCTGGGTCGCACAGCAAGCTGCCTGCACAGGGGGCACGCTAGTGCCGTGTTCGCGCGCTGCGACCCACCAGCCTGCGTAATGGAGGCCAGGCACTCAACGTGGCCGTCGGATGTGCACAAAGCGCTCATGCCCCGAAAGATCCCGCTTCACATCGACTAGTTCCAACGTAACGGAAGAAGCAGCACTCGCAGTCGCTGCGAGCAATGAAGCAATCTTTGGCGGTTGCGAGGGGTCCACCTCCATCCACAGCTCACCGCCAGGCGCCAGCAAACTGGGCGCTTCAGCACACGCTTTCAAAATCGCTCGGATGATACGCATGCCATCTTCATCAAGACCCGATAACGCTGCAGGGTCTTCAAAGTCGCGAATCTCTGGCGCAAGCGTCGCCATGTCACCAGGCAATACATAGGGTGGATTCGATACAATGAGGTCGTAGGTGAACTCGTGTTCACCGCTATCGCGCATCGCTCGAGCTTGCGTCAGCAAATCCGACTTGAATGTCTGAATATCGCACCGAAGGATACGCAGGAATGGATGCAGCGTCTCCGCATCGCCGCGCTCTGCGTAGAGCGCAACACCAAGGCGACGTGCATTCTCCGCGGTTATCCAAACCGCAGTTTCATTGGGATCAATGGCAACTGCAGCTACATTCGTGTTCCGCAGACTCGCCAACAACGCGAGCACAATCGCTCCACTGCCGCACCCAATATCCAAAAGGCGCAGGGATTCACCTGCTCGTGCGCGTTGGGCCCAGTCGCTGCGCAGCACATGCTCCACGAGCTCCTCGGTTTCGGGTCGCGGGATCAGAACAGGAGGCTGTAGAAGCAACTCGATGCAGTGGAATGCCCACGAACCACATATGTATTGGACGGGCTCTCGCGAAAGCCTACGAATACAAAGCTCTCGATACTCGGCCCGAATAGCGTCGCGTAGTGTCTCTACCCAATGCATCGCTGGATGTTGCTCCTCTCGCACTGTCTGGCGCGCAGGCGAAAACTTCCCCGAAGCATTCACAGCAGCTCTGAACGCTGGAAGGGTCAATGGCGGCGGAATCAGAAGAACATCCAGCCAGTCGCGCTGAGAAGCGTCAAGTCCGAGCGCTGCATACCTCTGGTGCTGGTATCGCAGCTGCCGCAGCTGCTTCAGCTGGTGCTGCATCTGAACACTGGACTGTGCCCGTCTCAGCGCTTCCATGAAGAGGTACTCAGCCGACAAGTCTGGTTCTGGCACAACAGCGAGCACCTCTCGTTTCACATACTGAAGCAGCGCTCGGGGTGTGTCTTGCGGCCACTGCACCAGCGGTGGTGCCAACCGCGACGCCCCCGCAGCTACGAGTCCCGCTCCAGCCGCCTCCGCGCTCGTCTGCACCAGCTCTGGAACGTCTTGACTAGCCTGCAGTCGCTGATGTGACTCCTGCTGACGAACACACCCCAGTGGCCGCAGGGGTGTCAAAGGAGTTCTGCTCGAGCGGCAGCGCCTTACAAAGACGCACTCGTCTATGGTTCGTGTCCAGCGCGCACAGCAGCGGAGACAACCGGGAACCCTAAGCACACCAGAAAAAGCCGCCAACGGCATCGGGATACGAGTTCCAGTAGAAGACACCCGAAAAGTCAACGCAAGCCACACCACATCGTCGATACCTAGAAGACCACGATACCCTGTCCAAGAGTCGGAGCGCTCTGACTTGCCACTTTCGCAAAGGCGAGCGTGTTGACGACAACCTTACGCCGTTAGGTCGCTTTCCGGAGTGCCGTGCGCTTCTTTGCTCTTCAGCGGCGCATAGCCGGCTGGGTATTTGGATCCCGTAAGAGCGTATTTTCTCCGTTTCACGCTTTATGTGTGCTCGTATACCGATGCAGTCGTTACGGAAGCAGGGTTGTGCTCGTTAGTCAGTGTATCGCTCGTTTCTCCTTACAGTCGTTTCGGAGGCATATTTGAGCTGCTCGGGTCATGAGGCACTCGTGCTCACTGAATGTGGGATCAAGAGTAAGTAGCGGGACGCATCGGCGGGTATCACTTGCTTTAGGCGACTGCTCTATACGATCGGTAAAATGATAAACGTTTGACGTCGATAGATAGTAAATATATCTATCCACGCGCAGACGCCTCCCAGCCTTTTTCCGACCGGGTGACTGCCGCCAGCTTCCATTCATCCGTGTACACTTCGAGAGCTTTAGAGGGTGCCCCATTAAGTCGGATCACCTTAGTTCCGCGGGTTTTGTCTCCAGCACCGCACATCGTCTGACACTGATGGCCCCGTTGTAGTCTCCGCATATAAACTCCTTGCGTTTGTTGTATCTGGTGGAACTCTCCGATGCGAGGAGCCGTCGAGCACGTGCTCTCCGTGCCATTTGGTGCTCTCTCGGCTCTCTGTGCTTTTCTTTCGCCGAAGCGCCCCGCAGCCTGCCTTCCGTCTTGAGCTTCAAAAGTGTACAGCCCAGGTCATTCCTTATTTTTCAAAATGAAAGTTATTGTTTACACCCAAAGGTGAGAACATTTCCGGAGCGTAGAGGTATTGCAGAAGAAAACGAAATGTGCTCCAGTGTGTCACCGCGTGCGGAACGCTTCCGCGGTTCGTTCAGTGGATTGATCATTACGTTTCATGATAGAAGACAGTTCTCCCGTGGGATCGAAGCCAGGAGAGTACGGAGGAATGAACGGCAGTTCTATCTCGATTGCGTTGGCAAAAGCCCAAACGCAATGGCAATGGTGAAATACTGCCTTGTTCAATAGGCGGACGTTGCCAGACTTGAGCGAAAAGTCTTCTATGATTCGACGAAGAGGGTGCTATTGTATGAGCCATCTCAACTTGCGAAACTGAGGCCTCGACATGAATCCATTGCAGCTAGGAAAGATGATGACGTCTTAGTTCTCTTCGAATTCGATCGTATATGCAACCGGTGCCCTCAGCGAATGCACATGTACGCTCCGACCATTCCGTTCGAGGAAAGTCTCATCGACCAAAAAAACATACCGAGCTTCTTCTGCTTTAGACGGATAGCGACGTTCTAGGAACCCTTTCGTAGATGCGATTTCGGTCGGATATGGCATTGCGTGAACTTGGACTCTTTTCTGGGACTGTATCCCTGTGTTATCACCACGACATGAATAAGCTGTTGAGACGCAGGGACGCTCGTGGCGTCTATTATCGTCGCTTGTGCTTTCTTTATGGTGATAAGCAGGTCGTGTTTTCTACCATTGTCCGCATGCAGTCTTTAAGACCATCGGTTTTTCGAGCGGAGTGCATCTACGTCTTTCGTTCAGTGTTCCTCAAGCATCAGAGTACTGAGGTATGACTGACCCAAAGGAGCAATGCAAACCTCGTAACACTTTTCAGTAGAATATACTTACCCTCCACGCAATTCGTCTTCTATCTATCGATTACATTCGATATCGTTCTTGGTCTCATGCAATACACTGCGCCAAAAGGCATTTGACTGCAGTCAGCGTGGATGAAATAGAATAGCGTTGAAAGGTTCTAAAGACCCGGGGCGCGTTCGTGGTCAGTACTTACCTGAAAGAAGACGATTTCGATAGGAGCTCTGTTGCTCAACCGTGAAATCGTTTACTACCCATCATCATATCATGCTTGCGTACACCGTCGTTCTGGGTAAATGAATGTAGAACGACATTCTGGCCAGTGCCATACATACTTGCCAGCGAGATACACAGGCAATTCACCTCCTGGACGGTTTACATATTATCTTGTCTACCTGGACTCGGTATGGTGTAATCGACAATCGATCATAGGCACCTGTGATGGAATTTCCCGAGCGGCACAGGGCACTCAAAATAAATATCTGGTGTGGCACCTGCCGCAGATGCTTCGAATACCTTGTCCTTTTTGCTGTTCTCCAAACAGACCCAGTAAACATGGCAGATACGTGATGCAATCAAGTCCGCAGAATCTATACGCTTACATGCGGTTACCTTTAGAATCCCATTCTCGGTTACGAGTCAGGCAACAACAAAGGGCGTGCGCTTCCTCCTCTGAATCCATTGCTTGGAGCTGAACGCGCCCATGAAACCCATCGTCCGAGCGTCTGCCATGCAGGCAGCAGCAGCAGCAGCAGCCTCAGCTGACACGGTTCGTCGACGCCACCTCTCAACGCTCAGTTGTGGACGAGCTCGGCATTGACATTTGCTGTGGTGCGTGCTGAGATTTCCGCAAAAACATCGGCATATCTTCCTCCTGACGAAATGCGACCCATTCTACGTAAACCGTGTCGGCCGAAGACGCCTTGTCGGGTGCGGAGCCTCCACAATACCCACCTGTGCTTTGAGGCCGATAGCCGCGGAACCAGCGCATGACGCTCGTCTTCAACGCCGGATGCTGACGTTGAGCCCTGGCTTGCCTCTTGAGTGCTGAGTCTTTCTCGTCCGCCAGTGCCAACAGATGCTCAAGCTCAAGTCGATTTGCTGGTTCGGTGACTTGCAGCGCCTCTGCGAGGCGTTCCTCTTGACTCAACGCTCCAGAGTGCGGCGTCTGCTCAGCACGGCGGCGCTGACGTTCCTGCTGACGCTGTGCCTTCGTAGCAGCGCGTTCCTCAAGCAAGCGCGCTGTCTCTTCGGATGCCGCCTTGGTGGTTCGGCGGAGGCTCTCACGGGACACAGACCATTCAGAGCTATCGGGTGTAGCTTTTGGAGAGCTGTACAGGGCATCCAAATCCGATTGCGTAGTTGAACGACTGCGGCTACTGCGAGGACGCTTCGAACTTTCCCGCTCCTTCAAAGCGGGGTCCTCGTACTTCCCAAAGCGATAGCGCTTCTTGCGTACCTTGAGTCGTTCAAGGCGTTCCCGCTCCTTCAAGATGGCTTCTTGTTCCTCATCGATTTCTTCTGTCGTACCCTTAGTATTCGAGTCTGTAGGTAGTGGGTTCACTTCTGCAGCCTCCTCTGTTGAGCTGATCGCGTCATCCGCGGAAGACAGTTCCGAGGCCTCTGACACCGCGAAATCATCGTCCTCCTCCGTTGAGCTATCAATAGACGCCGCTTGCTTCCAGAACAGGTCATCTGCTTCGAGTTCTTCGCCTATTAGTTGGTGAAGACGCTGACCTCGGGTGGAGCGCGAGGGCAGTACCCGGCGATTACTTGCTGCAGCTGTGTCTTGCTCCATGGAGCCCGAAACTGGGCAGAAGGTGCCAAACTAGATCTGAAACAGACCCCAGGCGCACATTCGCAGATCAAAAAAAGCACAGTTTCGAGCAACGACTTTCTAGGGTCACGTCAGTAAAACCGCCGTTTATCCAGTTGAGAACGAATTGTCGGTACGCTGCATTGTACGACCCAGAGGCAACTGCGCACTGTGCCGTCGCTGGCGGTAGTAGTTTCAGTGATACAAGGCTCTGTTCAACGAGTTCAGCAAGATTTCGCACCGGAGCTACTGCCAGCTTGAGGATCAGTGGCGTGCAGGGTCCGTGATCTACCTTTTTTTTGCGTCCGGAACAGGGGTACTCCGGTGTAAACTGCGCGGTGGAAAAATCTAGCCGAGTGCCACTTGGCTCTGGGCACCTGTGCTTCGTGGAAGCGACCTTGGCGCTGGGGCCAGCCAAACAGCAATCAAAGTGCAACCGCTACACGCTTAGGAAGCGTTTTCAAGAATTCTAGTGCGTGCCTGGGTGATGGTCCCGGCGGCGGTGGGCTCTAGACTGCTCCAGCCGCACTCCACGGAAGACGTTGTTGTGGCGGAGGTTCGGAGAGAAGACACGTCGTTTTTCGCCGTCGTCTCAGAGGACGGCAGCAACCACAGTAGCAATAGCATTGATGACACTGTGTTGGCTAACGGCTCCGGAACGAGTCGTGCTCTAGAGCCGATTCCGGGTCAAAGTGTCGCGCAGAGGGGCTCCCCGGTCACGTCCCAGCAGTTTCGCTGCAGCGCAGGACAGCATACCCCCTGTTCGCCTGTCTTAAGCACGCAGCTAACACTGAAAAATGGCTATGTGATTGCGCTTCAGAGCAACCGTGATCCCTCAGGAGGCATCAAACTTTGCTTGCTGGTGAAGGACCCGTCCGAACAGCTAGAGGCAGCATTAGACACGCCCGAGCCCTCAAGTCAAGAATCTGGGTACTCTGCAGAGCTGGGTGCTCTCGAACCCCTAGACACGAGTCTCTGGAGTGTTCCACTGTCTGAAGAGACATTTACTGGGAAGTATATGATGAATACATGGGGAATAGCTTGCGTGATCCTCTGGAACAATTCAATCCTTCAGTTACTACAATTTGAGTACCACTCCGACAAAAGGAAGCTTTATCTGCGGCGTCAACGGAATGCTGCGCTCAGGCCCGCAAAACCGAACACATCACAAACACCGTCTGGAGCACAGCGTCCAGCCGAGCGGAACCGCGCTGGTAAACGACGACAATCGGACTGCGCTCCTGCAGCGAACACTGGAGGTACGGATACAGTTTTGGAGCATGAGAACCGGAAATCTGCATCCTGGATAGGATTGTTTGCGGTGGGTATCGCCAACACACCATTCTGTGTCGTCGTGGTAGCAGAAGCGCCTGCTCCGGTCATTGTTCCTGGACAGCAGAAAGTTGGCCTGCGTCGCAAGTTACGAAGCAATCAGTGTACTGTTGGTGACCTGGAAGCTACCGCCAAGCACTGGAAGCGCCACCTGCAACTCTGGGACGTAGAGTTTGGGCAGAGACACCAGCTTCTACGCATTGAAACAGACGAATCAGAACAGCATGGGACGTTCTCTACACATTCGCCGGTACTCGCGAAACAGTACCCCGCGTGGGTCAGCTACGAAGCGGATACCGCCAAACTGTCGATCGGCTGGGGCGAGGAAGTGCCGTCTACTGGCGTCCATTGCTGGCTGGTTTCGCTCCATGCAACGCTGCCATCAACGCTGCGAATGGCGGATATGCTTCGGCTCCTGCGTGACCACGACTCGGGAGCGCTGCCGTCTGGCCCCGCGGTGAGTCTGCAGGCTGGACAAGCGCGTCTGCCTGCGCAGTCTAAGGCCAACCGAGTCGCCGCTGGCAAGCTGGATACGCAACGGGTGCACCAGTCCAGTGAGGCGCCTTCCGTCGAAGCGCTTTGCCAACAGGAAGAGGCGTTGCTCGCAGCGATCCAGATCGGATCGTGGGAACTCTGGGTCAAAGCTTTACAGAACTTTCCCACATACAGGGATGCCACCGGAAGCGGCGCACTTGCCGACAGCCCTCAGGGTATCGTATTGCGATCCGCAACGCATGCCGCTACGGAACCACCAGACCATTCAGGGTCCGCGTTTTCGTTGAGAGAGCACTTGCTCCACTTGAATGCGCGCCTGCGTGAAAAGTACATCGAGAATGCTATGGCGGTGGCATCTTCGCACGGTATCTTGCAGGAACAGCGGGCATGTCTTCGCGTGCAGTACAAAGACCTGCGCGCGGCCTTTCCCGAGGCCAGCTCCATGCCCGCCCTCAGTGATTTGATCCCTTTCATTCCACTGGGTTGTCACTGCACCAATATGCCTGTAGGGGAGCAGATTGGCCTTCTGCTTCATCATTTGCGACACAAGCAGTCCGCAGACAGCAACGCAAAGCACCCAGGCGCCACAGGGAGGCTGGTGAACTCGCTCTACGCCTATCCGCGACCAAGCAGCTCAGATACGCGAAACGTTCTGCGACAACTTCCTCTGCGAGACGTGTGCTGCATCCTGACGGACGTTTCGGAGCGCTTGGAGCGCGTCCATGCCGGTCTTGAGGGTGCTGCTTCGGCGGCACTGGACGGTGCCTTGGATTTAAGTGTTTGTCTGATCGATTTACATTGGCGAGAACTGGTACTCGGCGAGACCGGCGCCCTTTTCCGCTTTGCCAATGCGGTATGCAGGCTGAAAGCGGGTCTCGATCACGCGGAGCGTCTCTGCGGTCTGCTTGATCAATGGCTGCAGGCCGCTTGAGGCCACGATGCCTAGCGGTGCCTCCTGCCTCGAATTCTGACCGCACGCTCCACGCCCGATGGTGCTGGATGGTCATATGGGTGAACGGGCGCGTTTAGCACCGACCCTGTTGCACGCCGTTCTCACATGCAATTCTCGATATCTTGGGTGCTGCTGCCGCTGCTGCCGGTGCCGCGGTCGCGACGCTCGACTTCAGGCGCTGCATTCATCAGACAGCTGGTGCAAGTGCGCTGGATCGTAGGGCGTTGCCGTCCGCTCTTGCCGAAAGCGAGGAGCGCACGCACGCTCGCTTGTCGCTATGGTAGACTGCGGATCCAGCTCTACATCTTCTCGAAACATTGCTCAAATTCCCGCCGAATAGCGCTCAGGCGCTCAACTGAAATGCGACCTTCGGTGAGCAGCTTCCACTCAAGAAACTCAGCCCAGGTCAAGGTCTCCTCGTCAGGCAATGGCTCCGCTTTGTCGCCATCTTCACCGGTACGCTGACTTGGATCTGGTGTTGTAGCGGATGCCAGGCCAGCTTCCGAAAGCGGCCGCCAAAGCGGCGTCTCTAGAAGCTCTGCGTGCTGCTTCCTCATCTGGGCCTTCCATGCCAGCGCTGCCGCGTTGTCGTGAATATCGCAGCGTCGTGCTATCTGCTGCAGTTTCTTCCGCAGACGTAGACGGGTGGTCACGAGACGTCGAACTTGCTCGCGTTCGTATCGGTCGACGAAGAAATTCGCCACTCGTCCTAGGGTTAACGCATACACCGCGACACCGCTGAGCAGAAAGACAGTGCAGAACAGCCTCGAAACGGGGTCGCTGGACGGCGGCGGACTGATCCCCAAAGTGCTCAAACTGCTCACCGAAAAGAGTAACGCATCAGCAAACGGCAAGTGCTCGTGAATCATTCCGAAAGCGGTACCTGAACCAATCCACAGCCATAAAATGGAATAAGAGGAGATGACGTTTCCCAACGGGGTATTCAGGAACGCGGCACCAACCGCAGAGAGCTCGCGTACAAGTAGGTCTATCCCGCGTGGCGCGTCCATGGCATCGTCGCTGAAACTGCTCAGCGCATTTTCTGCAGCATTGGAGAGTCGTCTTCCCGCGCGTTTTGCATAGGAAGAAAGAACCTTATGAATGCCCCGGGTAAAGCTCACCGCATCACTAAACAGCGATACCGCCCAGCCAGCAACGCCGGAACCCGCATTCGTCTCCCAGGCACCGTCGTTGTTTTCGTCATCCATCGTTACGCGCAGTTTGTTGGATTCATCAGCAAACTGTTGTATCAGTCGTTCTTGCTTCATCAATGCTCCTTGGACAAAAAGCGCTAGTGCTCCACCAAGCAGCAGGTTTCCAGCAAGTACAAAAGCTGCCGTGAACAGACGGGAGATCTCCTTCGTCGGCTGGATATCCCCGTAGCCCACATTCAACCCAGCCTGCACGACAAAGTAGAGGGCATCGAGTGGCGACCACGATTCCACTGTAGAGTAGAATAGTGTGCCAATTGTAAGATACATTGCGACGAATGTGGCCGCGATCACCGTCGTTGAGGGCCCTGGCTGCTCCTCAAACTGCTCCACCGCTACCTCGGATACACTTCGCGGACGCTGGGGCTCGGTTCCCTCTTTCACACTACTGTCGTTGCCGCTGCGAGTTGTAGCTGAACGATTGCGAATGGTCGCGCGGGAAGAGGACTCTTGCTGCGCTCGCAGATCGTTGTCGTTTGCACTTGCGTACAGTGGCACGAATAGCGTTCGACGAGAAGCAGCTAGCGTTCGTTCTCGCCCGGGTAAAGTGCTCCTGCGTGCAGGTCGTGCCCTCTTAAGCAGTCCTTGTCGCCTACAACTTGGTTCTCGCAGCGCTTGCGTCGTATGCCTTGGTGCTTGAAAGACGCTCGTGATCCCCGAAAGCGTGGTTTGAAACGCCACCACACGACAGGACGCTGCAGGCTTCTGACCGCTCCCGCTAAAAAAAAGTGACAAGCGTCCCCATAACACGTCGGCTCGCCGAGAAACGTGTTCGTCGTTGAAGGTAAGGCTTTTCCGCACTTGTTTATTCATGAGAACTAGGAAACTAGCAGAAATGCCGGGTTGAGCATCGCGTTCCAAACGAGGTACCGTTGTCCCGGTGCTCGTTTTCCGTGAAGCTTGTCGCATGAAAACCAATTAATTCAACCGTCCCAATTCTTACCCACGCTTGGTTTCCAAGCAGTCCCTTCAAGTACCTGATGTGCTACGTGTGCGGTAAACTTTAGCGCACACACGCACACCTACGCTGTTGCCAGAGCGGAAGCACAGCTGGCTGCAGTGCAACTGACGCAGGTTGCATGCCCGCGGCCGCCTAAGCGAAACTGCTGTTGCTGGCATCGGTCGACCCTGCCGCATGTGTTGCAGTCACGGTGCTTTGCAAGTCGTTGGAAGATAGCCATCCCTGATCGCGGCTCTTGTGATTGCACACGGAGCAGCCTCCGTTGCTACGTATGTCTACAGGCAAGTGGTGTGACGAATCGACGCGAAAACGTAAAAACCACCAGCTCCTCTGATTCGTTACGCTTGCAATCGTTTGAAGAGCAACATCAACTGCGGCGTGTGCTGATTTGAAACGAGTGTTGCCAGTCGAGTTTTGAACCTTTCACCTGGTTCTCGCAATATCTCTTAGTTGGCAGCTGCGTTGGGATCGGTAGCGAGGCCTTGGACCTCGTCACCCAGACGCTAGCTGGCTTTTTTTCTTTGCGCTGCCTCGGTCATTCTTGCAGGGTTCGTCGACGTCTCTTTTCTGAAAAGTGATGTAAGCTGCGCAGCGCTCGCCGAGTCGTACTGGAACGCACCTTATACCGAACAAGTGTTCGACAGGAGTTCACCATAACGTTCGCTATCTCAGCTAGAATGGCACGGATCTTCCCCGCTATCTCAGCAGCATCCGACGTCAGAGCAATGCAAGTGTTTCACACTGCAATTGAGCAGCGTTGCTGGAACAATCAAGCTCCGATGCAATCGGGTAACTACAGAGCTGAGGCCGACAGAACGTACAAATGGCCGCAGAGAGTGTTGGAGACACTCTTTTGCGGGCACACCTGCATATGCGGATTTGGACAAGCGCTTGGATTCCTTCGATCGTTCGTCAGCAAGCGCTGTGTCTGGGCACGTGCTCTGGAATAGGCCACCCCAGGATATGGCATGCAAAATGGCGACGGCAAAGAAGAACGAATATCCCCACCATGTCATTACGTGAATCGAGACGCTAACAAACCCACAGACATGCGCCGTGATAACAATTTACGACCAAGACTTACGGTACAAGCGAAATCACCGTAGCAACGCTCGTGATCCATTCGAATACAGGCGGCTGAGGCAATCAGCCAAGTGAAACGCGAACAGCTGCCGCAGCGCTAGCGTGCGCTTGATGCTGATACAAGGCCGCTGCATCGAACCAGATTTCCTCGGATGCATCACCAAAGTTGGCAGACAGCAAATGAGCCTCAGCTCTCGTCGGGAAGCTTACGTTCCCCACCAGTGCGGACCAAACAAGCGCAGCCGGGTTTTCCTCGAAAGAAGAACGCCTTTGCCCTGAGATACACCGAGCGCCGACCTCACTTCAAACGTCAGATTGTGATGCGAGGGCGTTGCGCTGCCTCTCAAGGCACCGGCTCGAGCACGTTTAACCTTGTGCCACGAGCAACATTTCGGAAAGTCGCGAATACGTTTGCAGATTCGTGTCTCTGGCATTGAAACTACAGTTCTTGACATCCCTGATGAAGAACGTACGAAACATACAAGTCGGAATCCGGTGAGTATATCTCATATACAACTAGGGTAACGACGTCGTCGTTGGTGCACGCTACAACGTACACGTCATCTGTGGGTATGCGTGCACGCCGAGTCGTCCGAGGCCGCAGCGCCGAAGTCGATGCGTAACAGCTTGCGTGCACTGTCGTGCCTGGTGCGAACGCACGCATCCCGTTCGTGACACATGGTACAGCAGCGCGCTTCTCGGTGCCGCGTTGCAAACGACTGAGGCACAGCGGCCGAGCCTCGGTGCCAACGACAAGCATCGTTGACAAGGAGCCGAGCGCTGTACCAAAGTCCATGAACTCGAATCAGCTGTTGCTCCCGGATAGCCACAGAATGGCGGCGTTCGCTTCCGCAGCGCGTTCCAGAGCATGTATGAGCCGATCTGCGTATTGCCCGAGCTCAGTGGGAAAATGAAACACGTTCGTCATGAACCCAGCTGCGCGTACCTGGCTGGTCTCAGTAGCACACTGGTGCACGCGTGAACAAGTTCACGTTACATATGCGAACGGCTAGCTGCGAGAAGGCTCCTCTGGATAGCAGTGTCGGACAAGCCGGTACCTTGGACGCATAGAGGCAGAAAAAAGCATGCCGCAGGCATACCAGCATGCACCACAAGCGCCTCGGTTCGACGCCCTCAGCGGTACGGCAGCGCCGTCCTGTCTCCGTGCAGCATCTGCTTCAGCGGTATACGCGCTACGGCGGGTGCTCACGGTAGGCACTCGGCACACGACAGAACGTATGAAACGACCAGAATATCCGAGATGAAGTATGGGTAATGGAACTTGGATGTAGTTGCTTCATCATGGACGCTTTCCCGAAAGCCATTATCCATTCCGAATTCTGGGATCCATGGTCAATGTCAACGTTTTGTCATCTGAAAGAATAATCGCGCTCGGTGAGCGCACCTGGGAGATCAGGCAGTCAACTGACGCTATGCGCATGTCGCCGGTGAAGGGAAACGCGATCTTGATCTCTAGCTTGTAGCCCTAAGGTAAAAGATGTATTTCCGTTGACTTCATATCCAAGTACAGTTTTCAGTTCATTTGTGTTTCAAACTTCGAACAAGTCTTGTCAAGTGTTTTTTCGCAATACATAACAGAAGGCTTCAAAGGGCGTTCTTTCTCGAAAAAACGAAAAAAATCGTGGACTTGCTATGAAAAAGCAAGTCGACGATCCTGCAGGCCCATGGTCGCCGGCTGCCAGAAAAAACAAAAAACATTGCCTAGTCCAGAAGAAAAGGAAGAGAAGAAGGACCGAAGAGGGAGGCCCAACATCGAAGGCGGCAAGAGAGACAACTGTAGGACGAGATGGTGGTGAAAGCCTTTCTCCTGAATCAAATCAAGGATCCCTACAGGGAAAAGTTGCGAGACGCTATCAAAAAACGTGTCGACTCGTACTCCACGAGTATTGTCAGGGCGTCGTCAGGACTGATACAGTTGGCGAGGGAGATAGACGAAGACGTGGCGCACATGGAAACAGTCGAGGTCCCGGATGAGGTTTTCGACATGACCTTTATTCGCCGCCTGATGCTTGGTACAGAGAAAGCGCGGAGGGAAAATGAGCGGGTTCACGGCCTCCACGAAAAACATCCCATTTACACCTTTGAGTTTACTCGATACAAGGGTGACGGGGGTATGTACGACTATGGGGCAATGGAGTAACTCACGAACCTGAGGAACCATTTGACTATGAACCCGGAGCGTTTCATGATACGCGCCGTGTTTGCGCTATACCCGGGCCTGTCTCGCAAAGGAGTATGGGCGATTACCAATGGCATCACCAACGATCGAAAGTATGAAGATGAGATCGAATTTGTCCACAAGAAGACGCCACGCAGGAGCACGAATGAAGCTTCTGTAATCCACGCGGCTATACAAGAGCACCGTGCATTCTTGGGGCTGGCGAATCCCGCAGCAAAGATATCAGAGTTGAAAAAAGATACGGAAAGATACTATCGCCTCATTCTGCGGTATTTCGTATTTCTGGACCGAGAGCTCGAACGCCAGGCAGAGGTGAAGCTGAGTGAGGAAAAATGAAGAATGGGAGAGATGGAAGGCTGTCCTAATGGGGAAGCGCTTCAACGTCGTTCCGTTGTGCAACATCAAGTCACACTTTGTGACTATCGACTCCGCTGTCCTTTACAGAATCATGAAGGAGATCAGTCCGGAGTTCAATGTTAGCAGGGAGGAATTCACCGGCGAAAACCGGGAGACGTACGGGAAGAATATCTTCGATTTCAAACGTCTCAAAATGAACAAGCAAACGTAGTTCACTGGGATAATCGAAACCGATGAAGTAGCTATGTGTGTACTCTATCGGCGGTTGAAGAGAGATCGTCCTGGCCCGTCCTCGATATTGTCCTTGGTGAAGCATGAAGATAAGAAGGACGCGGATCCTGCGACGCAGGAGGTAGAGGATAATGACTTTGTCATTGGCGCGGACCCCGGAAACACAAATATCATAGCCGTCGCTGTACCCAAGCGTGCAGAAAATGGCATTGACGGCAAGCTACGTCAGAAAGACATGCGTCTTTTGAGGTTCTCGAGAGCGAGATACTATCGAGAATCGGGAATCATGAATGCAAGAAAAATTGAGACGTGGACTGCAGGACTGAGGGATCACCTGGAAGCTATGAGAGAGATCACGAGCCGAGGAGCGGACTTTCAAGCCTTTCGGAAATTCATGGAAGTTCTCGTTGCTCATTGGGGTGCACTGTGGGAGGAGTATACAAAGCCTCGGTGGGCTCGTCTGCGAATGAATTTGTATTGTGGGAAGCAGCGGGCGTTTGCCAACTTTTTCAATCAGTTGAGCGCCTTGAAGGAGGATGAACGTCAGAGGCTCTCAGTAGCGTATGGGGCAGGGCGATGGAAGACCCAAAAAGGGACTGCGCCAGCTCCAACGACAAGAACGTACAAGGAGTGCGCACGGCGTTTTGTTACGATACCTGTAGATGAGTTCCGAACAACGTTTACGCACCATGTGTTGGGGTGTACACTTCAGAGGGTCGAGATAGAAAAATGCCAGCCGAGCCCTGCGGATATGAAAAAGTACGGAGCGATGACGGAAGAGCAAATAGAAAGGAAGGCCAACGTTCGAGGACTACTTTCATGGTAAGTACCAAAAATGGCGAGAAACGTATGTAGTTTGTGAACCGCGACTTCAATGCCGCCGTCAGTATACGGGGATGTGCAGTGCAGGAGAAAAGACCTCCAGAATGGACAAGAAGGAATTTAGTTGGACAATGCTTTCAAGTTGAATTATATGAGAAGAAGTTGGAAGCAGTAGTAGGTGGCAGGTCCAAAAAGACGCGGAGGCGTCTGCACGTCAGTTCGAGACGATTTGGCTCGGACGCGTTCACCGCCATTCTTCCACACTACCGGCGACGTTCGACGCTGAGGGCGTTCTTTGTTTTTCAGCTGACACTGGATTTTTTGCACTGTACCTAGTAGGAACGAAACGGATATCCAACAATGCTAAACTGCACAGCGTTTGTCGCACCACTATCAAACACGACTAGCTTCTTTCTTGCGAAAGAACGCTTCACGCGAAACAGCGGTCGTAGCGTGGACAACAGGCGCACGCTTGGACGACGTGCGCGTTCGCAAAACCCCGCTGCCCGTACCGTGTTCTTGCCTAGCATGCTCATGACACCGGAACGTTCCGTGGCTGCGGACAATGCGACCGAAAACGTCGTTCCCGAGGAGATCGAGCATGGAGAACGCGTGACAGACCTGCGCGGCCGCATTGGACGCTACCGGTCGAGCGTGCCGGACGCGCGTGGCAAGTTCGGGCCTTTTGGCGGTAAGTTTGTGCCAGAGACCCTTATATCGTGTCTTGAAGAGCTGGAAGAAGCTTACAAAAAGGTCTCAAAAGATCCGACATTTCAACAGGAGCTAGCACAACAGCTTCGAGACTTTGCTGGTCGACCGACGCCGCTCTATTTTGCCGAGCGTCTCACGGCTCACTTTGCGCGTCCGGATGGATCTGGTATGCAAATCTACCTGAAACGAGAAGATCTCCTGCATACAGGTGCCCATAAGATCAATAACGCACTCGGTCAAGTGTTGCTAGCGCGACGCATGGGCAGGACCCGCATCATCGCGGAGACGGGCGCGGGCCAACATGGTGTTGCCACCGCCACCGTGTGTGCACGCTTCGGACTGCCTTGCGTTGTGTACATGGGTGCCCGCGACATGGAACGTCAGAAGCTGAATGTGTTTCGGATGCGTTTGCTAGGCGCCGAAGTGCGACCCGTACACACCGGGACGGCAACGTTGAAGGATGCGCTGTCGGATGCCATCCGCGACTGGGTGACAAACCCAAGCACGACGCATTATGTGGTCGGCAGCGTAGCCGGACCTCACCCGTACCCAGCCATGGTGCGCGATTTCCACTACGTGATCGGTGAGGAAGTATACCAGCAAGTGCAAGAGCGGCACGGCCCTGGTCGATTGCCGGACATCTTGGTGGCCTGCGTCGGCGGCGGCAGCAATGCTATCGGTCTCTTCCGCCGCTTTGTGGACGAACCCAGTGTGCGTTTTATTGGGGTGGAGGCTGCAGGTCGAGGCCTCGATACACACGAACACGCTGCCACACTGACAAAGGGCTCGGTCGGCGTCCTCCACGGCAGCATGTCCTACTTGCTCCAGGACGACGATGGACAGATCGTAGAGGCGCACTCCATAAGCGCGGGTCTCGATTACCCAGGCGTCGGCCCTGAGCATGCCTTTATGCGCGACACTGGGCGAGCAGAGTACCTCTCGGTGACAGACGAAGAGGCTTTGGATGCTTTTCAGTTGGTCTCGGGACTGGAGGGCATCCTACCCGCGCTCGAGACGAGCCATGCGTTTGCAGCGCTGAAACGCATCAACGATACGATTCCCGCAGGAGCGCGCCCGATCGTTGTTGTGAATTGTTCCGGTCGAGGAGACAAGGATGTGAACACCGTTATCACGGCACTGAAAGAGCGAAACAGCCCGCTGGTGAGCGGCCTAGATATTTAAAGCGCCCTTCTGCTTTTATCGCAGTGCAAAAAGCACCAAATCTGCATCTTGCCAAGCTTGCGTGTGTATTCCGCTCGAAGACGCTTTGCGCCGCTCAGCGGTACAAGCGCGAGTCACTCGAGCGCCTTGAACTTGGAAACTAGGTGCAACTGCTGCTGCACGTCAGTGTGGCGCACGACTCTAACGTGGAAGCTTCGTGGACGTAGGGAACGCTTCTACCTACCGTTGAACTCGGTCGTGCATGGAAACAAACGAGTCCCTAGCGGCTTCATGTCAACCAAGTCCAAGTGCGCGTTGCGTCTGCTGCGTGCAGCAGCAGCAGCGGAAACTTGCTGTGCACAGTGAGACTCGGACACGAACGACGCTTCGCAAGCCCTCTGAACCTTCGAAAACGCACTCCTCCCGCTTTACTGTTTAAACGCAGTCTATAAACCGGGAGCTTTCGTGCACCTCCCCAAGTTTACGGAAAGGTGCCTGCAGCAACACCGTGGCTTCTGCAGTGCGCCTGCCTGCTGCACCGGTTCCGAAACGAAAGAACGTGCTGGCAGCGCACAGAGACCTGCGCTGTCTTGACTTGTAGGTCTGTTCTCGTCTTGCCTTTGCGTATGGACCCGAAAGCCAAGAACTTTCCCGAGACGGCGACATCAGGTGCACTCACACCCGCGCTATGGATGGGTATCATAACTGCCCTGCTCCTACTGGCGATCCTGGTCCCGGGAATGTTGTGTCTGGTTCGGCTGCAGACACCACGTGGCTTGGACCCGGGCGCTGAGAGCACGCTCACCCGTCACCGCAAGAAAGTGAACTGAACCAGTTCAGGTCGGCTTCGGGGAACGTTCGGCTACCAGAGTGAAGCGCTTGCGTCTGAAGCGCTCATCGGCAGGCGCAGCAGGTTTCGGCGCTTGGGATCACCTGGTGACGTTGCAAGCACGTCGAACAGCGCCTTGCACTGCGTCATCGCTACCATCAAGTCTTCTCTATTCGAACTCGGAGCGTATTCGTCTTGAGTCAGCGCCGTGCACGTTACCGTTGCCGCAGTCGCGTCTTCTTTCTGACCTTGGAACCGTGCCCGGGAGCGAGAGCGCTTCGACGCTCCGGCTCTCGCGGGACGACGACGTTTCCATGGAACTTCCGTTTCCGACCAGTGAGCCGACAACTCAACGCGGGCCCGTCCTCGTATGGCAGCTGCATGCCGCAGCGCCGTGTGTGTTGCCTGTTCGAAAAAGCGGGCGCAGCGTCTCCCCCGAAACTCAAGGTTCACGATTTAGGACCTATATTTCCTGGATGGCGTCGTTCGTGCACGTCATTGTCGCAAACGAGAGGCAGCGTTCAAACCGTTGCGAGCGACCAGCGAGCCAACTGGTCCAAGTCGTGGAGCATCCGCTTCAGAGATGCATTCGTAAAGTTGCCCAGCAACGCCTTCAGCGTGCCGAGTAGGCGCGGCGTCTGGTCGAGCTGGGTTCGTAGGAGTTCCTGGACAAGGCCAAGGGAACGCTCAAGTAACCAGCCCCGAACGAGCGCTGCTGGTGCCGTGTCTCCCGTAGAGGCAGAGGTCGCAGACGCTGTGCCACCATGATCTTCATGATCGTCAGTCTCATGATGATCACGATCACCACGATCACCGCCGCTACTGCCATGATAGTGGCGAAGGATTTGTGCTAGGCTATCCAGGGTGGCAGCGAGGAAACGCTTCAGGCCTTGTCGATGCTGCTGAAGCATTTGTCGCGCCCGCGTTAACGCTGCCTCCATGGTATCCAGGTCGCGTTCTGGTGCACGCGATATAGCCAGCAAGAGCATCTCGATATCTGTTTGGATTCGGCGTAAACGATCTCTATACTGATTCAGAAAGAACCTCACTGTTTCGAAGGGAAAACGCAAGTCATTCAGCGCTGCAAAGCTGAGGTCATCGCTCGTCGGGTACCGGTTCAGCAGTTGTCGATATACGCCAGTCACAACGGTGGAAGGATCGAGTATGCCTGCCGAACTCAAACAGTTCAGCGAAAGGAGAGCATGCTGATGGGACGACTCCCATACCTGGAGCACCACAGAGACGAGCTGAAGACCCGCCGCTGCTGCGCCCGGGTCTCGGCAGAGCTCGCGAAGAACACCGCCCCAGCGTTCGACCAAGTTGGCGAAGAAACTCGGCGCTCCATACCCACCGCGCAGCAGCGCTTGGAGAAAGACGGCAGGTCGCAGCTCCTTGGGAACATGCTCATTGAGATACGGCACCGCATCATACGCTGACGCTACCAGACGCTGTGCCAATTCCACCTTGACGGGTTCCGGAATGCTCGCCAGCAGAGATGCAGCCGGGCTCCCGATCAGCGGTGACTCGGTTTCCCAGACGGGCTCCGCAGGTGGAACCAGCAAGTTATGCAAAGCAGAGGGTGTTTTCTCCGCAATTCGTTCGCGGTACGAGAGACGAACCGCGTATTCCAGCATCGACGCAATGAGCGCCGCTGAGTGGACGTTCCCCTGCAGCGGCAGCCAGGCGTCCCAGTTCCACTCCCACTGAAAATGAGACAAATGGAAGGCGAGCCACTGGGCGACGCGTTCCGTAACCTCGGGGTCGAGGCGCTGCGCTTCCCGGATGAGCGTCTCGACCGCCTGCAGCAAATGAATCGCTGTTTGCGGATCACCACCTCGACACAGCTCAACAAGCACAGTCGCGTAAAACAAAAGCGGGTTTCGCGATCTCGGTATTTGCAGCATCGCACTGAGAATCGTCTCCACGAGCATCATCTGGTGGTCTTTCATGGAGAATCCGGCTCGGGGTCGACGCAGCATTTGGACACAGATACGGCGATCGGCCAGAAAAGCGTCAAGCATATCACTCAGTCGCTCTACAGCGAGAAAGCGGTCGGTGAAGCTCATCGCCGGCCACCAGCTCTGTGCTTTGGAGTCATTCTGCTCATTTGCGACTGGCGGTGAGGTCGGAGTCTCGGACGCGGAGGTGTGCTCCTCGACTGTAGTGTCCATTTTGGTGATGTGTAAGCGGATGCTGGGCACTGGATAGCGTGCGTCGATGCTGTGTCGCGAAAGCGGCGGCACGGGCAGCTGCATCCTCAAGCCACTATCTCGGATACGCGTTTCCCAGAACAGCAGATGGTACTGGGGTAACAGGTTACAGTGCCAGGAGCGTGCTCGCAGCTTGCGGCAAACCAGGAGCAACTCGTGGAAGCGTCGTGAAACCTGCAGGGACGCACGGTGTGCTTCATCGAGTGCTGGCGAGTTCAGCTCCACATCTTTCACCGGGCTGAACAGACGTTCCATGCGAGCGCACTCTTCGATGATGGTGCTCGGGGAACGAATCGTTCCGGCGAAGCGCTCCGCTGCTTGAAGAATCGCATCTACACAGTCCGCCGCTACACGTTCTGCTTCGCGCCCGCAATGCATAAGACCATCCAAAGCGAGTTCAACGAGAAACTGTGAACGGCTGAGGGGTGCTTGATCCTGTTCGGCCCCAAAAAGCGCTGCTTCAACCAACAGATCATGCAGAATGCGACGCACAAACCATTCCGAGTCGAGAATATGGGTATTCGCGAGTTCGGCGAGGAAATGTAGTGCTCGCCGTGCCTGCAGCACCGGAGGTAGCTTCATGAAGCCTGCAGTTTTCGCAGTCGCTGAAGCGTTTGGCGTGATAGAGATCATCAGCGACTGTTCCGCGATCGGTGCACCCGTCGTTATGTGCCGCAGCGCACTGTTGAAAAGTCCGAAAACTGTCTCCGCTACTTGACGGGCGAGGTGCTGGCAAAACGCGTCGGTTCTCGAAAGTGCCTCCGGCTCCTTCATCGTCTCTCGTTGCTTCGCTCGATCTGGATACACCAAACAGGCAAGGAATAGAGCAAACACATCACATTTGTGCCCGAGCTCGGTTCCGCAGCGTACCAAAGTCGGCAGCAAGGGATTCGGGGCCACCAGGGGTGCTTCGCCGGTTGCAAAGACGCCCATCTGGGCACGCCGCTGAAAATCCTCCTCATGGGCGATCGCTGCTGGAAGGACGGGCGAGGACGCCTCGCGCAACCTGTTGGCCCAGAGTGCCACCTGCAGAGCCACCGCACCTATCCAAGCCTCTGCGCTCGTGGGTTCCAGGTATCGTACCAGCTCAGAGACACTGGCAACCGAAGGCGCATCCGTGGTGTAGCGCGCTCGCTTCTCGCGGTGCAGCGAAGTCTCGTCTGCATCGAGGTCGGTCAATGGGTCCGCTACCCCCTTCCGGCTCGTGATCAGGTCCATATGGTCTTTCACAGCATCCTGGACTTCGTCGGGCGTAGGTAAGGCAGGCACCAGCTCCGCTGCTTTCCAAGAGTCGAAGCCCTGAATGCGTTCCCGTCGCTTGTTTGGCCGGTCTCCATAGAGATCTGCTACGGCTTCTGGTTCGTTAGGAAGCTGGAGCAAGAATTGATCACCGAGACGGGCGATTCGTGCAGTAACCAGTTGCCAGTCAACTGTTCCGCACATGATGTCGCTGTTACCCGCATTGGAAGTCGACATGGCGCCGACGCAGCGGTTTCGCCGCAAACCACAGCGCTGGAGACACAAGCGTTTCCGCTGGAGACAAGCGCTTCGCTAGATAAAGTGCCTTCACTTTCGACACAGATCAGGTTGGTGTTAAGCCGCGACGCGCAGAAAAAATTCAGCCTCCCAGAATGGTCGGAAACGATTACACAGTACCTGCATTCGCTTCCGAGCGTAGAAAAAGCAGAAAACGTTTGTAGATCGTGAACGGGTACCTGCGTTCCTCACCGTACCCCGAATACCGTTTGCAGCGATGCTTCCAAGGCTACACGAGCGTACCTAGCTCGTATTCAGAAGTCTGTGTACTTCACCGTTTCCGGAATAGATAGCGCGGCATCCGCGTCCGCATTAAGGATTTTATCGTGTACGCACCGACGAAAATACAAGACGTGTAGGTGCAGCGCACCGCAGTCCATTTTTGGATACTATGGTCTATCATATCCAATATCCAGGAAACGCACGCTGAAGCGCTTGCGAACAAGATGCGCCACGTGCTCATTGCCCCCTGGGCGGTACTCATCCGCAACGTACTGCACTAACGCGAAACGACTATGGTATTGAGCAATACTGCGTTTCTGGCATTGCCATCAACGCCCGTGCGGCATCGAGGTCATCGTTCTTGTTGTTCAAGGCGACCGCAGGCGGTGAATTGGTTGCAGCGGACTCGAGCGTGTGCAGCGTCGTCAGGCCGCAACCCAGCGTTCAGCGCTGGAACGTCACAAACGGCAGTGTTGCCGCTTACGCGTGCCATTCTGTTTGACTGCGACGGAGTCTTAGCTGATACTGAAAGAGACGGTCATAGAGTAGCGTTTAACCGCGCCTTTCGCGAGTTTCGTATCGATGAAGAGAAGGCCACCTGGGACGTCAACCTCTACGGCCAGTTGTTGGAAGTCGGTGGCGGGAAGGAGCGCATGACAGCACACTTCAACGAAGTTGGTTGGCCGGACGTCGCGCGAACCCCAGATGATCAGCGTGAGCTGGTACAGCGATTGCACAAACGAAAGACGGAAATTTTCATGAAAATGGTGGACGCCGGAGAGATACCGCTGCGCGTCGGGGTTGCGAGCCTTATTCAGCGGGCTTTTGAACGTTCCGACATGCGCGTGGCTGTCTGTAGCACTTCGAATGAGGAGGCAGTACAGGCAATTGTGAACTTGCTGGGTCCAGATATTGCTCCGAGAATACGAGTATTCGCGGGTGATGTGGTCCCGCGGAAAAAGCCCGCCCCGGATATTTACCTGTTAGCGATAGAGCAGATGCGATTGGATCCAAACCACACCGTTGTGATTGAGGACTCTGCCATTGGCGTGAAAGCCGCGAAAGCAGCTGGATTATGCTGCCTCGTGACAAAGAGTGCTTACACGCGTTTTGAGAGCTTCGAAGGCGCCGACGCTGTGATCGATGCGTTGCCCAAGGACGGTACAGAGGCACTACGCCTGCTCGATCAAGTGCTCGTGGCGAGAAGGGCAGCAAAACGGTTCTAAATGACGCACTTGGGTCTTCGTTTTTTTCTTGTCAAGAAATGGCGGTGATGCTCCAATGGAGAACGGGTAGAACACTCTGAAAAATCGCAGTCTGCAGGTAGCCGCTTTCCCCAGCGACGACCTCCTTGAGCTGTTTTGGATCCGCGCGCTGCATTCAGAGATACTCACCATGAGCGCCGAATCGAGAACATCGAAGTCCAGGTATCTACCTGGATACGAGCGAATCAGTGGTTTTGGGCTAGAACAAAGAAGTGAAGATGTGTACCCACGTTGCCAGGGGCAGCACGCCTTTGCATCCATCTATCACTCCGTTAACCAGGGCGAGGTGCTCGACGCGACTTGTTATAAAGCGATGATCTATAGATTGACACCAGCACAGCATTTCATTGCCGACACTCGACACATCCCCACGAGATCGCATTCGTGGTTCCAAACGTGTCGCGATGCGTCTTGGCGTTTACATGACATCGTGCTTTCATGAATGACGTTCGACGTAGCCTCGTAGGCGCGAAGCACGTCCGGTGCAGGTGCATGCTACTTGGACCAGACCTGCGCACGCATGACGCCGTGGACACGTGTCCGGACGCTGTCCACAGCTTTGTTGTAGCCATAGACGCGGATCACTTTCGTATCGCCGATACGAGGTGCGTGCGGGGAGCCCCCAAGCACTCCAAGACAAGCGCTGCTTTCATATCATTGCCATTTGCGTAAGAATATGTGCGATTAACCTGTCGTGAGAACAAGCGTCTGAGAAGACGATTCTTTGTGCAGCGTGCTGGAACCTTCATCTGCCGCTCAGATTCGAATCAGAACATGTACCAATACTGACATGGTATACGCGAGCACCATCTTTTCGCATGACAGAAAACCGCCACTGGAGCACGTCGTCCGTGGCAGATGACTCCGCCACGGTCTAGTGAAATCGATGCTACAGCAAGACTTTGCTGTTACCAGGTATGGAGAACGCTCAGCTTGCTTGGAAAGCGTGAGCCTCGGAGAGCGCATTCTCTCGCTCATCCCACGAGGTAACGTGCTCGGGCGTTGCACCGGGCGCGCTCGCGGCAGCTGCGGAGCATAGATCCGTACTCAACCTATGTTCAAGTCCATAGACGATTGCTGCTAATCCTTGAACAGAATTTGAGCGTCCTTTTGGAAAGCGTGCACGGGTATGGTCAGGGCGCATGGCGAAAGCGTTGCTGTGGTAGATCGGCGGCGGTCGCCGCAAAGCCCCGAAGGAAGCTTCAAAACGCTCGTATTTCGTGAAAACCGTACAAAGCCGCGGATTACGTCTATAAAGCAGCTAGCGACGAGAACGAGGTAGAAACCCTAGAGGTATCCGATAAGTCAACATCCTGTTTCCACTCGGAGCGTCGGCGACAGTTGGTACAGTTATCGGGACACCTCGAATGTCGAAAACCAAGACTCACGATCAACATGGATTGCATTTCCGCCAGGCATACCAAGCGCGACCTAGTTTTCTATTGCTACCGACCCGTACTGCGAGTTTGTCCAAAATGACGTTGTGGCAAGCTGGCGTCGAGGCCTTCACTCGAGCGGCGCGCTCTCGCCAAAGCTTTCAACAATTGCAGCCTCGAGCCGAACAAGAACGTATTTTTCCTCAAGATCGTCTTAACCAAAAAATCACTTCTCTTTCTTAACAGTTTTCAGCTCTTAACGACTTTTTTTTAAGCCAACGGAATGCCGCGTCACAACAGGATCCCTGGAAAACTTGAACGCAGTCAGTAACGAGCAAAAGACACAAGATTTCCCTCCCAGATACTCCCGCGTTCTACCGAACCCACATACGTGTGGTACAGTGTGCCAGAGCGCCCGTCGAAATCCAGTTCGAGGTAGATGCGCGCTGCTGAACGCACACATACTCGCCGCGCCACTTGCTGAGTAGTGCTTGCGTTTCCCCAACTACACCCTATTCCACACGGTACCAGCGACTGGAGACGCCACGCAAACCTTGTCGCTCAGTTCACGCCCGTAAATAAACTCGTGAGTACCCCATAAGCCCGGAAAAAGCGCGACATCGTAGCGCTGTGTGGTGACACTCGACACTTCAGCGGCAACAACGCTGTGCGTCCATCGCTTCGGCCTGGGCAGGGCCGGTACGTCCGCTGCGCTGAACCGGCACGCGCTTGCGTCTCGGTGCAGCGTTGCTCAGCGCTTGTTTTCCATGGGCAACGGCCAGTCCCTGCCACCAGGTGGCGGGCCTTCCGGTAAGCGAGGTGATCAAGCAAGCAAAGGTGAGAAGAAGAAGCGTTTTGATGCGGCGCCCGGGTCGACGCGCTTCGGCAGGAGGCGTAAGCGCCGCGGTCCTGCCGCCCTGCAGCGCTTGCCCGCCGTCACACCCGCGGTGAAGTGCAAACTTCGCGTCCTGCGACTCGAACGTCTAAAGGACTGCCTTCTTCTCGAGGAGGAGTATATCAGCAATGCACTTCTAAGCAAGCCACAAGTGGAGCGAGTTGAGGAGGACCGCGCAAAGGTCGAGACCCTGCGCGGCTCGCCGTTGGGCGTTGGCACGCTCGAGGAGATCATCGATGATAACCACGCGATTGTGTCGTCAGCAATGGGACCGGAATACTACGTGAACATGTGCTCTTTCGTAGACCGTGAACAACTCGAACCTGGCTGTTCGGTCCTACTGCACAACAAAGTCTTGTCCGTGGTCGGCGTGCTCGCCGATGACACCGATCCATCGGTCTCGGTGATGAAGGTCGAAAAGGCCCCACCCGAGACGTATGCGGATGTAGGGGGCCTGGACCAACAGATTCAGGAGATCAAAGAGGCAGTGGAACTGCCGCTGACGCATCCCGAACTCTACGAGGATATCGGCATCCAGCCACCCAAAGGCGTCATCCTCTACGGAGAACCGGGCACCGGGAAAACCCTACTCGCCAAGGCTGTGGCGAATTCTACCTCAGCGACCTTCCTCCGCCTCACCGGCAGCGAGCTCATTCAGAAGCACCTTGGCGACGGGCCCAAACTAGTCCGGGAGCTCTTTCGCCTCGCGGATGAGAACGCACCCTCCATCGTCTTCATCGACGAGATCGATGCGATCGGCACCAAGCGATACGATGCCACGTCGAGCGGCGAACGCGAGATACAGCGGACAATGCTCGAGCTTTTGAACCAGTTGGACGGTTTCGAGGCACGGCACGACGTGAAGGTGATCCTGGCAACCAACAAAATTGAGACCTTGGATCCGGCGCTGCTGCGCCCTGGCCGTGTCGATCGCAAGATCGAGTTCCCGCTCCCTGACGAGAAGACTCGAAGGCGAATTTTTGCGATTCATACTGGCCGGATGAGCCTAGCACCCGACGTGAATACAGAGGAATTCGTGATGACCAAGGATCCACTCAGCGGAGCCGACATCAAAGCCATCTGTACCGAGGCAGGCATGATGGCGTTGCGTGAACGAAGAATGAAAGTGACACAGGAGGATTTCCGCAAGGCAAAAGAGAGCGTCCTCTACAAGAAACAACAAGGAGCTCCGGACAGTTTGTATCTGTAAATGAACACGACCGGCATTCGCGAGCCTCTCTGCGCAGCGTTCACCAGGTTTTGAACGTGCAGTGAGCGTCGGAACGCGCAGGTTGCGCGCGTTCCACGAACCACGCACCGCTCCTATGAAGAAGCAGCTGCAAAGCACCTGGAGCGATTGAGTACGAGCTGTGCACTTTCATGACGGGAATCAGGGCGAATGGCGGGATATGCGCATTCGACACCCCCATTGGTGTGCTGCAGTGCACCGCTGCGGATACCGGACAAATCGATGTAACCGAGAGAGACGCGTTGCCGTATGCGCTCCCTGTCTCGAGTGCTTGTATGCGCCTGATCCATGATGCAGGCTCCCGGCATTCAAATGAGAAAAAATGGATCAAACATGGTTTTTCTTACACCCTATCATCCCATGATGCGCACGCCTGACCAGCGCGCGCGAAAATCCCCCAGAAAACCTCTAGTTTGTCTCTCATCTGAGACGTGTGTGCACCTGATCCTAGAGACGAATGCTTTCGCCCAATTTCTTTGCGGTCTAGGATCATTGATCCTTCTGACGTCAAAAAATGCAAACATGCGATCCTCGTTCTTGTTCGACTGGAGGATTACATGAAGCAGGGATCCAGGATTGCGCGGTGGATATCCGTCATCGCAAAAACGTCCATCATGCTTGATGCTAGGGTCAGGCTCTGCTCCCGATACCTCCTTTCACATGTACGAATCATTGCCTATGATCCACCGTGCACCGAACCAGCCATAAGCCCCGTAAAAGCACCTATAACGCCGATGCGGACATAGCATATAGACAGCAAGGCATTATCATACCCCGAAAGGCGTCGGCTCGACACGTGGTTCACCCGGCACAAGCTCGGGATTCGTTATCAAGCTGGAAGCCCGGAGACTGCGCAGATACACCCCCTGCCTGCGACTACGCGAAGCGATACACCAGCAGACCACCGCGACCAGGACGACTTCTGGATGCAACTTGACCGCTCCTAGTCCCAGAGTAAGACTGCTTTGTAGAAAAACTGCTCGTGTCTCGTCATAGCAACCGCCACTGGAGCAGGGAGCATGAGGCACGAAACCGGCAGACTCATCCGCTTAACGAGAATTTCTGCTAAGAAGCCAAACTTTCGATGATACGCAAAGCGTCGCCTCCTTCCAAAGATTAATGGGAAAGTCGAAAGAATCCATCATCGAGTTGCTACTTCCTCAGGCACTCAATTCCGTACGATCCGCACCCACGCCAGCGTCATACGCACCCCAGCAGACAACAGCCCTGTAAAGCACCCGCAAGCGATTTGTTATCGGGTGAACGCGCTCGGTGCAACGGCGCCGACAACACCACTCCGCTCTCCGCCACTGCTCCAGCGTCGAGGTGTTTTTCTTCAGTACCAAACTGTGCTCCCAGCAGTTTCCCGTGTAGTGCTTCCCATGCAAGGTGCTGTTCGTGGAAGCTTACAGCGTGTGGTGCATAAGAGAACACGCTGGCTGGTTGGCGTGTTCACAACGCTGCGTTCTTCCAGCAGCGTTGCAACTGGAGCTCCAGCCCCGAAACCGGAAACGTGGCGGGCGTCGAACGCCGAGCGTAGCTATGGCTTGTTGAAGGACCAGGATCGAATCTTCACAAACTTGTATGGTGAACGAGATGCTTTCCTAGATGGCGCACTCAAGCGAGGCGACTGGTACCGTACCAAAGACCTGGTTTTGAAAGGTCGCGATTGGATCATCAACGAGATCAAAGCCAGCGGTCTACGAGGGCGGGGAGGTGCCGGATTCCCCACCGGGCTCAAGTACTCGTTCATGCCTCGTCAGAATCCGGACGGCCGACCTAACTATCTCGTCGTAAACTGTGACGAGTCGGAGCCTGGAACTGCGAAAGACCGCGAAATCATGCGCCATGATCCGCATAAACTCGTGGAGGGCATGCTTTTGGTCGGTGTTTCCATGGGTGCTCGCGCAGCCTACGCCTACATTCGCGGCGAGTACGTCTACGAGCGTAAACAGTTAGAGCGCGCAGTCCAAGAAGCCTACCAAAAGGGTCTCATTGGTCGAAACGCATGTGGCAGTGGCTACGACTTTGATGTGTACGTGCATCATGGAGCTGGGGCGTATATTTGTGGTGAGGAAACTGCACTCCTGGAATCGCTGGAAGGAAAACAAGGCAAGCCGCGCTTGAAACCGCCCTTTCCCGCGAATATTGGTTTGTACGGGTGTCCTACCACCGTCACCAACACGGAGACCGTGGCAGTGGTGCCTACCATTCTACGTCGGGGCAGCTCCTGGTTTGCCTCGCTCGGTCGTAAGAATAACTGCGGCACCAAACTCTTCATCATAAGCGGGCATGTGAATAACCCCTGCGTGGTCGAAGAGGAGATGAGCATTCCCCTGCGGACGCTTATCGAGCGCCATGCTGGTGGCGTACGCGGCGGCTGGGAGAACCTGCTCGCTGTCATTCCCGGTGGTAGTTCGGTTCCATTGCTGCCCAAGGACATCTGTGATGATGTGATGATGGACTTTGACGCTCTGAAAGAGGTTGGCAGTGGCCTGGGCACTGCTGCAGTCATCGTGATGGATCGTTCAACAGATATCGTTGCGGCGATTCGACGCATCTCCTATTTCTACCAGCACGAGTCATGCGGCCAGTGCACCCCGTGTCGTGAGGGCACCGGTTGGCTCCATCGAATGCTGTGTCGCATGGAGAAAGGCGATGCCCGAATCGAGGAAATCGATATGTTGTATGAGGTCACGAAGAACATCGAGGGTCATACGATCTGTGCGCTGGGTGATGCTGCAGCCTGGCCCGTGCAGGGGCTTATTCGGCATTTCCGACCGGAGCTTGAGCGTCGCATTCGAGAGGCAGAACGAATTCGACAGGAGGCACAACAGAACGGTGCTGGTGCCAGCGTGGCCACCGCTTAACCGCGGAAACTATTTCCGCCGCCAGCGATTCGCAGATGCAAGGCTGACGTGGTATCACGGCGCATGGCGAGTATGGAGGTTCGCATGTTATGCTCAGAGGAGTGCACGCTGGAAGACGTGAACCAGCATGCTGGTTTTGTTCTTGTCTGGTTTTCTCCCCGGTATTCAATTAAAGTCTAGTGTTCTGTGGATTGGAGAAAGTTCGCGGAAGGAGTTGATGCCGCCATGATTAGCTTGCGAGAACAACGACCTTCGTTGTTCAAGCCACGCTTTCTACGGTCAGCCAGTGAATGAACTGCCCTTGTCGTAGTGCTTAGTGTAGACAGAGCGCACCCGAAACGCAGCTTGTCGAATACGATCTACACGATTGTCTCTTCGTCAGTGCATTCCAATCCATTTGCTGTCTAAGAAAAACGATTAGAGAATACACAGGATGTGAAAGCTCTGCACCACTGATTCGAACGGTGATGAAGAGTCGCAAATGGACAAAGACAAAAGTGCGCGTCTACGGGAGATCGTCACTTGCTGAACGTCACAGAATGGATTTCGCACTGAAATGCGAATGCTCTCAACAGGAGGTATGGGAGCTCTTCATTTTCGGTGAGACTTGCCTAGGGAAATGCTAGCCTTGAATACCGGTACCTAACACGGGAAAGACCGCTGTTCGTCAAGCAGAGGCAAGCGAGCGTGACGACAACACCAGCCCAAACAACGATTTTATGGTGTGTTCGCCTACGAATTGTTGCAAGGGCTGAATTGTTCAACACCGCATTCTTCGTTGACGCGCTTTGTGACTTGTGCTCGCCAGATTCTTGTGTCTTGTTCGTAGATACCATGGACTCCGATCACTCAAATGCGCTGAAGCGGTTCGCATCAGCGATTCGTGTTGAGCACTTCTTCGTGCTAGCATCTTCTCCCTAGTTCAATCGAGTCCGAGGCGTGTTCTCCTTTTCGAATGCCATATTCAAGCTCATGCTTCTATGGATGAGTCATTCGTATCTGTGATACGGTTTTTCGACGAACCCCTCTGCGTCGACTGGTTCTACACATTCACCTGCCGTGCATTGCAGTGCTGGTTCGCTGCTCGTACGCGGGAGAAAGCGGAACGGCGCGCTTCGGTCCACGGACGTGGTCGACCCGGACCAGGTGACGAAGAGGTAGTTGAGGAATGGGAGAAACAAACGAAGAACAGGCGAGTTTCAGTGTCCACGTCTACGTATTGGATCTGAATACTGCGGAATAAAGGATACGGAGTAGTGCGTTAGTATCCATGCTAGCCCGCCAAGTCATGAGAAGGCGAGGAAACTCCTGAACAAAGAAGAGAAAAATCCTCGCGAAACGACACCAAGCAAAGATCGACAGGAGGAACGGTTTACGCGGAAACAGTACTCTGAAATCACTGTCGAGGCCTGCCTAACAAAACTCCTCACCAGGAATAATTTCTCAAAAAGTGCAATGCAAGACGCCAGTGGGGATCACGTCGCTCTATACTCGAGAATGTCGTGCCTGGCTCCGCTCGCGAGGACGCACCGCATCAAGCAGTTGCTTGTAGGAGTTCCGGTGTCGGAACAGCTGGCTACCGACCTTCCTCTCGCATACCTAGACCAAACCAGCATGCGACAACACAGCTGATGCTCCAGACAGAAGACGACATACCGCATGATCGTCGGATTAGAGCGTCGCACACATACACACTTCCCAGAATACCTGGAGGCATTGGCGCGACACGTCGGTAACCGGAGTGTCTACAGAGCAGGTGCCCAAAAGCATCATACCAGCCTCATAAACCATATGCTGGTCACCGTCGATTGGTTCGTGCAGCGTACACTGGAGGCGTTGCGCGCTCAACGTACTGTCCCAGTTAAGTTGGGACTGATAAACGGCATTCGCGGAGTATCGATGACGGTCAACGACGAGCTGGTGACTGCGGAGACGATCGAGGAGCTCGCGAGTACGGAACAGATGTCGCAGTGGAAGCGAGTTCGCTTCCGATCGTCCAAGCTCATGGCGTTGCTCTCGGAATCAAGTACACGGAACTCGTATCCGAAGCATGTTTGAAACGGGATACATGCCTTTTTCGAATACTGCGCTTCTGAGATTCCCTGCACTGAGCGCTCCTAAGCAAAGCAGACTTGGTTCCTGGATTCGAGCGCCCAACTTCCTCGGGGATCTATTCGATGTATTTCCCATACGGCACATCGAGACCCAGTACAACTCCGCAGACAATGTTGTCCTGTGCTGATTGGCCTCCTCAGTGGGCTACCACTGGTCTCTGCACACAAGTATGAAGCACTCGAACGTCTTCACCAACGGCATTAGAGGAACTCCTTCAAGGAATCTTCTTCATAGTGAGAAAAGCAAAGAAGTTTACAGGTACGATGGAGTCGGACGGAATATCAATCTGCATGCATTCCGTGATACCTAGACCAGAGCCGACCGACGGACGCATGTCTAACATTTCAAGGTAACTGAGCAGGAGTACCCCGTGATGAATGTGGATCCCTTGTCGAAGGACGTCTTGTCCGTCGCCATAACTCTGAATCAAAAGCACGGCGCCGGAGACCTGAACGGAAATCAGATGAAACTTCTCAGCTTCTTCAGGAATGGGTATTATCGCAAGTCAGGAATCGTGAGCACCAAACGGCGTGCCAATAACTGGAATACAGGTATCAGGCGGCACCTCGAAGCTCTCAGCACCGTTTCCAGCACGGATGGCGTCGCTCTCTACGCTTCATTCAGGGAGCTTACAGGACCGTCCAAATAACTCGTATCAACGATGTTTGGCTGAAATACCTGAGACCGCGCCAGAGTAGCACAAGTTGCGGTTGCACGGAGACAAGAAGCGTGCATCCACCGACGATTTTAATGAGTTGGAAAAGGATCTCACCGACAAGTCGCATCATTTGGTGGTATCCTGCGGGGCTGGATGTGCTGTAGCGCGCGATGACTACACACCCTCTGTGTCGAGGAGACCGCGCAACCAGCGCCAGCCTCGATGGTCCAGTTCTCGCATCGATGCATTCCGGACGACAAACACGCAACATGGGCACAGGTGCTCTCTGAAATCGGTAGACAAGCAACATTTGAAACAGAGGCGAATGCGCGACATGTTCGACAATTCACTGACAGAACATCACATGACAAGGTCATCCAGGGTATGATGCTCGCTCTCGTGTGTTATTTCCCGGGAAAACTTTGCGCTAGCACAATCTGCACCGAGGCTTGAACGCCCCGAATACTATGCTACCGCTTGTCGCGCTTCCGCCGCGTCCAACTGCTCTGAGGTGCGCGAATGTTCCAGGACATCGTAGGTGACTCACTAGAGGCATCGCACTGGAACGCTACAGACTTGCAAGAAAACGAATCAGAGGCCAGGAGAAGTGACACTGAATTCTCGTCTGGAGCGGAACATTGGCATGGTATGCTCAGCAAAGGAGCAACGCTAAAGCCCCGCACCAATACATACACACACACACACACACCGCTTACCATTTCCCCGGTCGATCAATGATCGACAATGGTGTTCCATTATCGAATATAATCGAGATGATTCCGAAAGCGGCTTTGCAAATCGTGCGTTGCTACTCGAATGTCGCTGCCATTTACCTGGATATCATACCGCAGCGGATGCGCCAGTCTGGTAAGGAAAGCGCCGTTGGTCACGAAGCATCGACAATAACCCCGAGCGCTGCATGAGTGTCGGGCGCTCGAGCAGAATACGCAACTGCAAAAGAACGTGCCCAGACGCTGCTGGACTTGGAGCAGCGAACCAACCGCAGACGTGCATCTTGTTGCCGACGCCTCTAGGGCTATCCATGCACTTCAGCTGGGTCAAATTCGCTGCGGAGCAAAATATCATGAAGGTTTCGCACTGTGCGCCAACAAGACATGCTTCGTTTATTCGGAGGATTGTGGTGATGTGGACGCCCTTCGAGGTTGTCCATGGCAGGCGCAAGAACGCTCGCACAGCGTATCCGGTTACGGCTTTATGCCAGACTTGAAGGGAACAGGTCCAGCCCAGCTAATTCCGAACTAGATACCAAAGTTTGGGTCGACAACCGCTATCATTCAATACTAGTCTTGGCGGATGTTTGCTTTCGTTCTCGCTCTCTTGTGCTCCGCTCTCGATACAGCGAGTTTTGTTTCTCCTCCCGCTACGTTATAAGCAGTTGCAAGACGTTGACGAGAACAAGACAATTCCAATTTCACCGCGTGAGGCAAATGTTGACTCATTTCATGCAAAGCATATCGTTGCGACTCACGCTTCGCTTGCCACGTCATATTGCATTGATGCAGCCTCGGAGCGCCGATTGCAGCAGCAGAAAAACATGACGATGGTCAGTGTTTTCTAGACGCATCCGCCACATATCCTCGTCCGAGCGCCGCACTGTGGCGCGTGAGGCTTTTCTTCATCGCTCACAAGATTTGCCGCTGAGAGATACAAAGGGCTCGTTCTTGATGACTTCTCCGTATCCGGGCTCGGTGCCGCACCCTACGATGACGGACTACTGCTGAGCGATACCGCCTGGGGAGTGCGCTGTCCGCCGTACGCACGAGTGCATACTTCTCCATTCTATAGGGCATTTGCGGCACACATCGTTCGTTTAGGATGAGACTGGCACTAGAAGCAAAAAAATCCAGGATGGAGAAAAAGTCGAGAGCTTACGATTTGACTGCGCTTCCTTCGTGCGATGCATTGACACACGCTTCACTGAAGGGTATCGATGCGATAACCAAAGTCCGCGTCCACGCCCTCTTTCCATGCAAACAGCGGAGACGGTTGCCTCTGAGATCACGTCCCGTGAGATGCATCATGGTACTTTCGACTATTGTTTCATAACTGACGACAAACCGTGCAGGATACGCCAGTCGAGCGGAATCGATTCTTTCACGTAACAAGTTCAGTGCACTTTCGGCATGAACGTCTTATCAAATCTTCAATGGAAGAAACCGAGTTCTTGTCGTCATCATCAGTACTGGGACACGAATCGCAGCGCTCATGCATTGCCCATGAAATGGAATGGTCGTCGAAAACCTGGAAGCATGTGTCATTTATGCATGCTACTCGTAATGGAATTAGAAGAATAGATTCTTGTATGGACGCACTGGATCATAATATCAGTGATATTACGAAGCCTTGTCCAAGATCATATCGCGAATGACGTTGATTCCGCAGACACTACGACTTTCAGCTTTAAAGCGTCGAAGAAGACAGTCCGAAAAACCAACAGCCGGCTATCCCGATACTGCGCACGAATCCGTGAGCCCTTATTGTTGCACTCCGAATGCCGATGCTCCAGATCTCAAATTTGAGTGAGGACTATCGAAATGCTAGATTACTTCTCGTGGTTCAGCGCTCCATTTCAACCTGACACTGGTGTAGCATCCGCAGACGACACTGGATCCATGTCGAGCGCACCGAGTGCAACTCGAGCGCGCACTGTTGTACTCGGACTGCACTGAAATCATGATTGTCAGCGCGTCACGAGCGCGGCTTGGGGATGCATCTATTCCGGAGTGCCTCGACTCGCATCCAGCTTCTTGGAAGAGAAAGCTGCAGACCGCTACGCACGATGCATGTGACGCAGCCGCTGGTGCATGCGACAGAGGCAGCGTTGTGCTCGACTTGACAAGCACGCCAGTTTGCCGCTCGTTCAGATGCATCACTGGCTCGCTGGCGACCTCGGGCGACGCCTGCACCAGCGAAGCGCTCTCTGCTTGAATGGCGCTCGACGCGCGCACCTGCCATGGTCATGTTTCGACTAGTTCGTTCATGAAATACTACAGGTACGTCGGCACACAGATGTTCACCATTTTCCAGCCGGCGTTTGCTGCCCGTGCTGCGAGCACATTATGGACCGCCTCGTATAGTACGATCGCAAATGCCGCAAAAAAAGCAATGGAAATAGCCAGAATGATGAATGCTCGGATCTGAAAGCGATCCACGAGATAGTAAACGAAGAACACACCGCTGTAACTGCCCAACATTGCCCAGAGCCCGTAGAACAAAGAGTAGCTTATGTTCAAGCGGCCGTCAACAAGGAAGACCATGGCGGCAGCCAGACTCGCGACCAGATTCACAATAGCCATCGACGACTGGACGGTAACGAGGTCAGTGCGCGCGATCAAGTAGAGGTAAGGGATGATGAGGGCGCTGCTGCTCAGACCCGTCCACGAGTCAATGGCGCCGATCACCAGCACAAATGCCGGATAGACGTAGAGGTTCATACCGTCCCAGCGCATATCCGTGAGTCCGTCATGCTCGAACCAGGGGTATCCGTAGGCAGCGCGAAGCCGTCGCAACCGAATGTTGCGGAATACAGTAAGCAGCCCAATGACAAACAGAGACAGCTCTTGGAGCATGAAAATGACCCAGTACACAGCACCGCACAGCGGGACACCGACCGGTGACCGGGCATAGGGTGCCCCTGAGAGAAACTGCCCTGCAAAGAGAATGGCGATGAGGATGACAACGAACAGAATGTGACGCCAGGGAAACCATGGACGCTCTGCCGCAAGCATTTCTTCCAGGTTTCGACTCGCGAGAACCGGGTCCACGAAACGCCAAACTCGATACAGTTTGGAAGTTGACTCGAAAGAGCCGGCCTGTTGGTCCACGAAACTGCCGGAACGCTCGGCGCTTGCGAGTTTGGATCTGGAGCGAGGCGAAGGCTCATCAACATGGACTGTATACAGCCCTGCCAGGTCTTCGTAGAGTGAGGCGGTACGCAGCACGCCCGAACACGAGTGTCGACCACGCACGCGCATAGGTAAACAGGATGTCGTGGAGTCGTCACGGCTGCGGTGCTGACGTCCGACGAGCTCCTCCTCTTGGCAGGAGACCGAGCGTTTCATGCCCACCCAAATGGCCGTGCGTTCATTGCGGTCACTCCGGTGCGTCAGGTGGCCGTCCACTGCCGCGTGTCCAAGTCGCTCTTGAAGCACAGATCTCGGCAATGGATCCAAGTCGCGTCTCTGTTCAGGAAGAGCGCCCGCTGCAGGTAGCAACTCTTCCGGCGCATGCACAGGTCCACGTGCTTCTGCTGCTGCTGCTACTGTTGCATTCGATGCTAAGACAGACGGATGCACATCGCCTTGAGATGAAGCCAGAACGACGTTCGCTCCCGTCGACTCGGTCAACGTCGTTTGCGACGCTGCCCGATGACTAGGCTCGCCCAGTTGCGGGTCGTGCTGCTGGCCGCTGCTGCTTCCAGAACCAGCAACGTCGTGCTGGATGTTCACAGCGCCAGCTTCCACATTCCCCGGTTGTGTTCCTCCAGCAAGCGACGCTGTCGATGCCCCGTCGCGGGCAGACCCATCCTGGTGACCCGGCAAACGCGAAGTGATCGAGTCGATATCCAGGCGCTCTTCGCCGACCGCAGTAGACGTTGGTTGCATGCCGGGTTGCACGACGGAGGTACCGTCGCTCGCAGTCGGTGCAGTCGGTTTGGATGCTGCAGGGCCGTCAAGCGGAGCGCTGCCTGCTGCCTCCTGGCGCAAAAACTCGCGTCGCATTCTCCATTGGCGGCGAGTCATGCGCGTACCCGAGAGAAAGCTCTGGATGGTGAGCGCTCCCAGCATCGCAGCCAAAACGAAACCCGTGAAATAGCCGGGAAGCGAAATATTCAGAAAATATCCCGGCGTTGTGCCGCAGAGAAAGAAAGGCATCGTGCTGATCACCAAGTTCCAGTCGATGCGCGGTGCGTCGCGGATGACGTGCCGCTTCCGGAAGTTGTACACAGAGTTCGCAATAGACGCACCCAGGATCAGAGACTGTGAGTTCGCACTCGCCTGCGGTATAGGAAACGAGGCTAGCAGCACCAGCAACGGCACGAAGAGGAGGCCGCCACCTACGCCCCCAGCGTTCGACACCCCTGCCGCCAGAAATACCAGCAAGATGAGAACGCCCTCCTGCCAGTCAAAGTTTGAAAAAACACCTCCCACTATACACTGACCGATATCGACGTTACATATTTTGCGTGATGGACAGTCCTTGGAGCTCGTACACCGGTAGCACTTGCCCAGCGTGGCGTTACACGCCTTACCCACCGCGTCACAGTAGTCGCACGCGTTCACCGCGGCGGCTGGTTGTGTTGCGCCCAGCAGCAGCAGCAGCACAAGCAAGAGGCAAACAGTAACAGGTAGCCAACGTCGAACCTTTGGTTTGTTTCGAGTTAAAGTCCCTGCTTGCGTCATGTTCCCGAAACAGCTACGCAAGCTTGCAGACGTAACCGCACGCTGCACATCAATGATAGCGCGCACAGACCCAATCCGATCCTGTTGCGATTCGTTGCCAGGCCGGGTGCAGCGCTGTGTGCAGCCAGGGCAGCCATGCGCAGCCGCTACGCGTGCCACAGCCATGGCATGTGTCGCAAAATAGGCACGCGCGCGCCTACGTCTCAGCGTGTGTGTGTGTGCGCGCCTACGTCTCAGCGTGTGTGTGTGTGTGCGCGCGCCTACGTCTCAGCGTGTGTGTGTGTGTGCGCGCGCCTACGTCTCAGCGTGTGTGTGTGCGCGCCTGTATCTGTAGCGCAGCGGCGGCGGCGGTACCTGCATCGCCATCAGGTCGATCGATTCGGCGGCCTGAGATTCGCTGCGGATACCTGCGCAGCACGAGCGCGCAGGCACGGGGCGATGTTGTGAAGGCGCCGCTTGCTGGCTCGCACGCACGCAGAAAATTCGTTGGATCAACGAAGCGTCGATGCTCTGGGGCAAGGGCGTACTGCATCGCAGGTGACGTGAAACGCTCTGGAGAGCGGCTGGAACGTATATCCGTGGTTGCTGGTACCGACTGGGCGTTGCGAGTGGCTCTGTTGGACGTGCGGACGCTTCGTGCTACGAGAGCAAAGCGCGCTGCGCGTGTTGAGCGACCTGGTCTTCTGCCCGCAAACGTCTTGTCGCAGGTTTGTAGCTTGACTGCTTCTGCTGCTGCTGCTGCTGCTGCTGCTGCAGGAGCGCAAGTGTCGTAGAGCCGCCATGGCTGGTGCCAAGGGCAAGTCTGTGCTGATCAAGTTGGTATCTGCGGCGGGTACCGGTTACTTTTATGTTACCCGAAAAAATCCGCGAAACGTTCCCTACAAGTTATCAGTCATCAAGTACGATCCGCGCGTTGGCCGGCACGTGGTTTTTAAGGAGGGTAAGATGAAGTGATAGGGAGAGCCGCGTGTCGCAGGAGCGCTGCACGTTGCGGACGCACTGGGCAAGCTGTGCAACCGCTGTCTCCAGTGCCGCTGCTTGCGTATTTACTGACTAGCGGGGTTCGTGCTAAAGCGCGGTACGGGCAACTGCAAAAACACAAGAAGCGCGCTCCTTGCAATTTCCCGGAGCGAGCGCTTGAAACTCTACAAAGTCTGTGGTCATGGGGACTGGTTCGTTTTTGGCTCCGGACATGCAAGGCTCGTCGCCGTAGCTACACCGGTGCGACTATTCACGCCTTGTGCAAGTTCGCAGAGCAGACGCTGATTGGTTCTATCAATGAGAGCTCCAGAAAAATCAGCCCCGTCGATGGAAATGTTTGCGTCGAGACGCGCCCCAAGTAGAAGCGTGCGTCGAACAAGTGCCTGGCGCAGGTCGGCGCCTGAGAGGTCCGCACCATCCAGGGCTGCCTCATCGAGGATCGAGGCATCGAACTTGGCGCCGCGAAGGTTCGCCCCTGAGAGTTGGACTTGGAAGAGGTTCGCATGAGATAACGCGGCACCGTGAAGGTCCGCGCCAGCCAAAGCCGCTGTGCTCAAATCAACGCTGCTGAGGTCGCAGAGAATGCAGGACTTGGTTTGCTGTAGCGTCGCCAAGATGCTACGTACACGTTGCGTTTGTGTTTGCTTCGTGCCGCTTTCTTCAGATTCCTCTCGTGTGACGCTCATGGATCCTGGTGGCAGCTCGAGTGCGTAGGACACATCTGCCAGAAATATAAACTGGAGGTCTATCATGAACAGCGCCAACAGCAACGGTAGCATTATGTGAAGTTGGGGCATCCAGGAAGATCCCTGCGTCCAACGAGCATACATGACGCGCCATTCCGTGACCGGAGACCTGGATCGATCCGTTGCACCCTCTTCGGAACGATCAAGTCTACACTGAGAAGTATGCTGGTGACAGTGCCTACACCATGCAGCCATATTGGTGACAGAAGCAGAGTGCCAGACATAGCCGCAACTTTGTGGGCGGCGCTTGTAGCGAAGAACCCGGTTAGGGTGCTGATTACGGAGGGTTCTCGGATTAAAAGCCGACGCGCGAAGAGTAGTCGTATTCTTTTGCGAGCATCCCGCGGAGTAAACACAATCGAAACGCGGTGGAACGCAGAACAGGAACACTCGAGCCCGTCGCCAAGTTGCCTGCACGCTCGCTACTCTGGGTCCAGTAGACGAAGTGGAGCTCGTCATCCCCAAAGTCTAAAAGCTTGCGCGCGTCCCAAGATCGCTCTGTTAAACTGTCTCTTGCACGAATGAAGACGAATTGCGTAAGTTCCAATTGATCGCGCGCTTCTCAGAGTACCGTCGCTGGCCGGTATTCCTGTGGTGACGACGTGCAAGGCCGTCGGTACCAGACGGGCACCGCAGCACCTCCTGTTTCCTGTTTCCGTTAGCTTTTCACCTACAAAAGATCCAGCGTTCAGTGCCTGTGCATTATCCAGAAGCAGCTGTCAGATCCGAGCGTACTCGCAGGTTGCAACGAGTCCGGAACCCGCACGTGCTGCGGACAGCACACAATCATGTTGACGACAAGGCGCGGCCTGTCTCCAACGATAAACAAACACTCCGGAAACGGCTCGTTCGCCACACCTACGTGCCAGCACGACCTGGAATGCTCACTTACAGCAAGTTCGGGCATAAAACATGACAGTTTGCGTCTCTTCCCAATGTCATTCTAGACGACTCTGCGAAAGCTTTTCCTGTGACTGCTTTCGTGTCCTCTTTCTCTCTCATCTTCGGATTTGGGTAGCGCGGTCTCTACTTTGCCTCCATTTCCGTTGCTAGCAGTCGAACGATATGGATGATGGTGTTTTCATGAAACAAGTCTTGGAAGGAAAATCCAGGCTCCAGATCAGGTCAGGAGATTTCGATCTGTCTTCGCAATCTTCGTGCAAAGCAGTGAAGCTCGGTCCAAATGGAAACGATCACTGTGATGACTCAAGTCCGAGTCCGAAACCGTTTTCCCATCCAAACATAACAGAAGAGAGCCGAGCTTCCGGGAGCAAGCCTCGTGCATGGTGTCATGATCCTAGCAAATACAGTTTCATCGATTACCGAACAGGACGGTAGATTCGTATTTCGAACGCAGCGGATGACTTTGACAAAAGAAGCTCTGTGAACTTGCAGCATGAGCTTGCCAGGTATTCCTCAAGGGACAACGTCGAGATTTGCTTCGCGCCAACGCTGCGGCGCGCATGCCTTGAATCAGACAGAAAGAAAACTTGAAGAATGCCTATTTTGAGCATGCTACTCGTGTGTAAATTAGAAGAGTGGATGCTTTCTCATGTACACATCGGATCATGCTATCGTTGAGTTTAGGAACTCTTCTGCGAGATGGTCGTGAATCAGCATGATTTCGGTACTTTCACGAATTCCAGTGGCAAAGTGGCGAACAACCCACTTCGACAACACGAATGAAACTCCAAAAACTACTCATGAATCCATGAGCTCTTACAGCTGCACTTCGAATGCCAAAGCTCTGCATCCAAGAAAAGCTCCGTAGAAAATCGAGGTACAGGGACAGAGCGAGCATGAGCGTCAACATGGTTCGTTTGCCACGCGTTTGGCTGGCGCCTCACTAACCGCAGGCTGCGGTCGCTTATCAACCACCCGGCTGCGTCTGGGACCCTCGGCTCCGTTATGCCCTTATACTTCATAGGTTTGGGTTTGGGAGACGAGCGAGACATAACTCTGCGGGGCTTGGAAACAGTTCGCTCGTGTGATCGGGTTTTTCTCGATGGTTACACGTCGCTCCTGCGAACGGACTTGGGTCAGCTCGAAGACCTCTACGGAAAGAAAGTCACCATCGCTGACCGTGAAATGATTGAAGAAAATGTATCGAGTTTGCTGGAGCCAGCGAGGACTGGAAACGTCGCCTTTCTCGTAGTTGGTGACGTTTTCGGCGCAACGACGCATCACGACCTGGTGTTGCGAGCCCGGCAACTCGGAGTTGAGTGCCGCTTCATCTTCAACGCGAGCATCTTAACCGCAGTGGGAGTGTGTGGACTCCAGCTTTATCGATTTGGCGAGACAATTTCCCTCGTGTTCTGGACAAACGCTTGGCGACCGACCTCCTGGTACGAGAAACTCGAGGCGAATCGCCGCCGCGGCCTCCATACCCTCTTCCTACTGGATATTCGCGTACATGAACCGAGTGAGGAGAGTTTGGCTCGAGGAGTCAAGGTTTTCGAACCACCTCGCTTCATGACGATTGCTGATGCTGCACAGCAGCTACTTACCCTGTGGAGAGAGAGAGCCCAACTGCTTGGTCGCGAGACGGACGAAACCGGAGCCGGAGCATTTGCCTATGACTCGGATACGCTTTGTATTGGGCTCGCTCGTGTTGGACAAGTCGATGAGCTGATGGCGGTCGGTACATTGAAGGAATTTTCCGGGAAAGATTTTGGTCCACCGCTCCATTCTCTGGTCATGCCAGGTGATTTGCACGCTGTCGAAGCAGAGTACCTGGCATCGTTGCCGAGGGCTTCAAGTTTGCAGACACTTCTCGTGTAGGGGGAAATTGTCCCGAAACATGTATTGCATGGTGCATTGTACGTAAGAGGTTGGCATGCAGCCGAAAGTCGCACGCCCCGCGCTTGACCTGGCATTCACATCGGATGCTTGCAGGTGCTTGTCGCGTCGCGTTCAGCAGGCACAGCGGATAGCCCGCTCTGAACGGCTCAATCTGCACTAATCCCAAAGTCGCTGATATAGGTTTGGCAGCAACGATGCCATGCTCTGGCGTTGTTTTGGTATGGCCCGACGTCGGTGTCGCCTCGTTGCAGGACGCGTGCAACCAGGTCGACGGGCGGTATGCTTCGAAAGTGTCCTGCTTTACAGCGTATCTGTGGAGACGAGTTGGCAGCCAAACCTGCGTCGAACGCAACCCGCTGCAAACATGAGTGCTTGTGAGCCCGAGGCGATGCTCCGGGTGTGAAGTCCAGCAATTGATTTCCGATCGGATCCGAGGTCGCTTGGTGCCAGTCGTTGCCGAGCTGTGCTGTGCTCGCTGCGTCCACGAGATCATCGCGGATACTCGGGTCCTGTGCGTCATCCCCTATATAGTGCATCGACTGAAATCTAGCATGTGCTGAGCGTGGTTGTGCATGTCGCCATCGTGTTCACGAACTAGCGTATCTATCGATCAGAATTTGAGCATGGCGATCGGCTTGACTTATTCGCGTGCCATGCATGAATAGCGTTAGGCGTGTATCCCAAAGATACTGGTTCTCGTTGCTGTGTATGGCGGGTGTCTGTGCTTGAGCAAGACGCATGGCGGTTTCGGCGCGGTCTCGTTGCTCCTGCCGCCGCTGTCTCCAGGCAGCGAACTGAGCGGCCGATCGGCAGCGATAAGCCGCGTCTGGTAAGTCTTGATAGCGTTTGCATACCAGGTACGCTTCCGCTGACAACTCGGCGAACGCATTTTTCACCAACGCAGTGCGCCGTTGGAATAGTCCTTGACTCGTGTACTGGCCTGCAGGAGCAAAATCATAAGACACATGACGGGGCGCTGGGATGGTCAGCATGTGGTAACCGCGGGCATCTCTCAGTGACGATGTCCTTGCGCACCAAACGTGCCCCCGGGCTTGCTTTTCCTGGTGCAGCATTCGACACAGGTCCGACGGATGATTTTCAAGCACTTGAGAGGCCTCGTGCGCAGCCAGCACTTCAGCAGACTCCTCCATCGACCACGCCGGGCGACTGGTGACTAGCGCCTGACATGTAGCCTCGTTACCAAGACTTTGCACATACCGCGTCGCGCGGAGCGTGAAAGGGTCCGTCGACAGTGCAGCTGGCAGGTGGAAGCGTTTCGACCGAAACTGCAGCATCATGAGCGCAGTACGAAGACCCAATCCGAGTTGCTTCGTGGTACCGCGCGAGGCGCCCTGCGCCAGCTGTTGCGTTCGCGGGCTGCGGCACCGCTGATTCCATAAACCGTCGTTCAGGCTTTGCGTGATAGCTATGGGCCTCGTCTCTGGATACGCTGACCAGGGTGCTGTAGCACGCGCGTCTGCGGAACCCGCAAAAAGGCGCAAAAGAGGAAACCGCGCTGCTGGGGCCAGTGCAGCGCGCTCAGTGCGTTCCCGTTGATATCGCTTCGCAGACTGTTCGCGGTAGTGCCGCAGCGCGCCACTCACGGCACTAGTGGACTTGCGTACGTTCTCTAATCGTCCATCATGCTCCCTGGACTGCCTTTTGCCCAAGGATGGCGCTGCGAGTGCGCGTTCACCATTGACGTGGTGCACCGCGCGTGAGCGTTCACGTTGCTCGAGCCGGCTTTCAGTCACACCCTGGAGTTGGTCTCGTGGAGGCTGTAGACGATGCCGATATCGCTCCGCCCATAGCCTTCGAACCCATAGTATCTCTTGCTCTAAATCCATGGATAACCTGTTATCGCATAGTGTTCCCTGGTCACCTCAAGTCTACGCTAAAGGTAATGAAGGTACGGATGATCATGTGGAACCCTAGCGTTACGGAATCGGGTCATGGAGCGACACGGCCGCGGGGAGCGTTCGGGAACACGATCGTTGGTGCTACTTGCGTATTCGCTAGTTTACAGTTCTGGTTCAAAAGTGTGTTCGTTTGTTAGTGGTACACCTGTGATACAGAGCAAGTTCACGTGCTCGAAGCGTCTGCACAGGTTCGCTGAAGCGGCTTTGCGATCACTCTTTGTCCACGGCTTGCACTCGTTCTCTGCCAGCACTAGGCGAACACAGGCTATATAGGCTTTTTCTGGTGCTGGTACCTGCTTTAGTGTGAAAGTACGGCAGCGCGTTTCCGCTCTGCGTGTGCAAGTGCACGGTGCCGCAAGTGTACCCGATTCGCCTCGGGGAGAGTCGGCAGCGGCTTCTGGGCAGCTGTACAGCATACGCCTGCCCTGGACAAAGTAGTTGTTACCAGGTCGCCATGAAATGCTTGTCGAGGATTCTGGCCACCATCTGCCTGAGAGCGCTGATATAGAGAACGCACTGGATTTGCTACTAAAGGCACAGCTAGAGAGAGCTTTTGGGCCGGAACTCGCGGAGCACTTTTGGGCTGCACGGCAGCCTAGAACTCTCGATGAGCGGCTCGCGTTCATTCGGAAGTGTTGGATTGGTGTCTTCAAGGACTCGCCATTATCAACTTTTGGCCTTGAACGACTCGAGCAACTCGAACGCCTCTGCCGAAGCAAAAGACGAGGCAGGGAACTATCGGCTGCTGAGCACCATCAGTTTGCAGAAGAGCTCGCACGACTCTGGGAGCAGGTCCAGCGATTGCTTCCGCGTGCAGCACCCGAAACTTCCTATGCGAGCAGCGCATCAGCTGGTGGCGTTCACAGTGGAGACGCGCATACCCCAGCAACACTGTCTGATGCCGAAAGTGCGCATGCTGCCCCAGAAGCTATGCGAATAGAGGCACCTGCTACGTCGGCGCGGAGTGCGTCTGGCTGTATGGCGCGGGTTTCTTCCGATGTCGCTGCTGCCGCCACGAATGTATCGCTTGTAGTTCTGGATGGTGAGAATATCGCCTGGGCTCACGGCCAAAATGCAGTGTTCAGCCCGAAGGGCATCGCCATCGCTGTGGACTTCTTTCGAAAGCGCGGTTATCGTTGTGTAGTGTTTCTCCCGGACTATCGGCGGAAACGGGCTGATCTTCCCACGGTTAGCGCATCTGACGCCCTTGTTTTCGTACCTGCCGGAGAATACGATGATACATTCGCCCTGGGATATGCGGTTGGTCATGATGCGATTCTGGTGACGAATGATCTCTTACAGGATCACTTGGATCAGTTCTATCCCGATGAAGGTGAGGCGAGAGAGGCCCTGCGTAAATGGCTGGGATCTCACCGCTGTTCGTTTACTTTTGTGGGTGACGAGTTTCTACCGAACCCACATTTCTTCCTACCGTAACGTGTAAAATCTGATACGGTGTACTGCGAACCCGGAGGACAGCGTGCGAGCCTCAGCGTCGCGCTGCTCCACTATGTGAAACTAGAAGCGACCTTGGCGCCTCGCATACTTTGTCTCGGTAGATATTTCATGTCTGTCCATGTTCTATGCAGCGTCAAGCGTGCAGCAAGGGAACGACAACCGGTCGCCATCGCGGGCAGAGGCACGGGACTGGATCGACACCGTCCGGCAAGGTGGACGCAGTGGCGGCCGTCCCGCGCGAAACCAAACCAGGGTGATCCACCAGTCGCCTGTATGACCAATGTGTCCTGCGTCTGCAGGACGCTTGCAACCGACGTAACTACTCGTTGGCCCCAGGCAGAAGACGAGCGTCATGACTGATCGACACCGGTCCGAGAAAACTGCAACGAACTAGAGCGCAGTACGGCGGTGCCCAAACTCGCCTTGAAGCGCTCCACTTTGAAGCTCTATCGTGTGGACTTGCTCTGATGGTACCCATGAAGCATGCTCGGGCCTTTGCAAACGACTCGGATCGTTACCGTTTTGCACAGCACCGTCCCAGAACGCGTTCTCACGAACGGCGGAGCAACGAGTCTCTGTAGAATCACGCTTAACTGCAGCCAAAGGCATCGACAAGTTACTATATTCCGCGATTACATGCCCGCACCTCTGGACAAGCTGGACCAACGCTCTGTATCCTAGGAAAGTACTCGAAAACACCAACGCATCTACGGGGTTTGCAGTCATCGGGCGGGAGCGTACCGCCCCTTCGACTCGGTGCATCGCATGCCAACAGCGTCTTGTACCGCTCGTTGGTGAGCCAAGCTTGGTGCGAGTACTGCACTTTACGGGCTTGACTTTGGATGCAGTGCTTTATTGTTCCGCTTTCCGCAAACCAAGGCAGAGGCGCATGCGTACTGCGAAGGAGTGCTGGAAGCTGCCACCTTGGCACGAGGGCCGGTCTCCGGCAACGCACTGGAAGGCTTCAGCGCGTCGCTCAACCGCTGTGCTCAGCAGCTAAGGTTCCTGGCCAGTACTTGCAGGTTGAACTTGGATCCACACCGCACCAAGGGCGTCTGGGTTTGCACGCGGCCCAGAAGCTGGAAACTGGTCAGGTGGTTGCGTCAGTGGAGGTTGCTGCAGCGCTTGTGAGTGAACGACACGGTACCGCAGTTACTACTCCTGATGCAGCGAGCGACGATGCGCGCTGGGAAGCAGCCGCAGAGCTTGCCTTGCGGCTCGTTTTGGAAACCGTTCAAAACGAAAGTTCACCATGGATCGATTATGTGGAAAATGTTTGTCGCAAGCGGGAGTTCTACGTGAACCATCCACTACTCTGGGACGCCTCCAGGTCGCGTCTCTTCCGGGGTACCGCACTGGAAACTCGACGAGAAACGCTCCGTCGCGAGCTGGTATCCTGGTTGGAAGAGCGACGAAGGTCCTCCGTTCTTCCCGTTGATACTTTTTCGGCGAGCGCATTCTTGCGTGCAGTTGCGCTGGTTCTCGACAGAGGCACCTGGTTTGCGGACGTTGGTCGATGGGTCCTAGCACCACCGCTCGATGAGTGTCGACCAACTGGTAGAGAGGATGCTACCGTGCGTTTCCAGTGGGTGCGCAAGCGTCTCCTGGGAGGGCGCGAGGAAATCCATTTGATATGTACGAAAGACGTGCTCACTGGGGCTGAGCTCCGCTATCATGCACGCGTTGCGGACGCAATCGACTTTTTCCTGCAGTACGGATATTTCGAAGAGCATTCCAACCCTGATTCGGCGCGAAAATTGCGGGAATGCGTAGGCCTTGTCACACTGGCCTTCGAAATAAGCCGTCTGGATCGATTCTACGACGACAAGGTGGATATTTTGCAGCAGCAGCAGCAGCAACAACAACGAATTGATGCCACTTCGGAGGATGAACTTGCTGGTCAGACTTTTGTCGTTGCCGCTTCCGACCTCACATCGGAAGCGCTACAAGCCGCGGAGAATCCGCTCAGTGCGATGGTGCAGTTTCTCCGCTTGCTCTGTCTCAGCGGATCGGATGCATTTCTCCTCGAGGGCTTGTTCCGGGATGAAGTGTGGGAGTTCCTGGCGCTGCCTGTATCGGAAGGAAATGAACGAATGGTGTGCGAGTTGGTGCTGGCTTCGTGCGAGGAGCGAATGCAAGCATTGGATGAGGCGCAGGCACTATGTGAAGAAAACTTTTCTCCAGAGCTGAAACAGGCTGCGCAGCTGGTCCAGGAAGCAGAGCGAACGACCCTACGTGCAATTATGACCTACTTTAGAAACGAACTCACTTCGTTGCGCGAGAAGGAATATTATCATGAGCGGCGCCTGCGAGCCCTGGACTTGTATCGTCCGCTCGATCCCGACGAGATTCACGATGCCGACGCCACCGGCTTCGATCAGTACATGTGATGAGCGACACTGAAGGAAGCACTGCATCGTCAACGCCAGTGCAGAAATATGGAAAACACCACGGCTATCGCTGGCAGCTGTCGTGGGCCCACAATGTATCAAGACGCGCTCACGAGGGTGTCCTGATCCCTCACTGAGGCGCTGAATCGTGTAGCTCGTTGTTCTGGTCACACGGTATTGTTTATGGACTGGAGGCGCTGACATGTTGCTCCGAGAAGCAGGCGCAGTTATCGGAGGAGCCATGGCTCCAGCTGCGGCCGTAGCGACTCGATCAGTAGCGGCAGTGATAGCGACGACGCCTGGGTGCTGCTGCTGCTGCTGCTGACCGTACACTGCGGAAGCGCGGTTTGCATGGATGCGTGTCCGCCGGGGCGACCAGTATTGTACCAGGCGTCTTTGCGACCTATGTTTCTACTCTGAGATGACGTCGGATACCAGTCGGCCGAGCAAGCGCTGTCAAAGCAGATGATATCGACAATGTATTGCATGACTCGATATACTCAGAACAGTGAATCCGGGAACACCCGCACCTGCGCGCCCTTTTTGTTTTCGTTCGCTCTTCGTACAGATTCGCAGTAAAAGGAATGCATCCTGTAGATCGGAGCAAGGATGCGGAAAAAGTTTATGCCGCTACTGCTACCTTGCGACAAAGCGGCCTTGCTTCGATATATCAGATACTCTGCGGTCGAAAGGTGGATCAAGTACCCTTCATGGTAATCGTCATTCGGAACATCGTGCACTCAAATTGGAACTTAGACTCTATCGATAAGACAGTCTCCTCGCCAGTACCTTACACGCGGTTTTGTCACTAAGACATAATACCTGAGAAGCTCAGAATGTGAAGTTTGCGCGCCCATGATACGAAATGTCATGAAAAGACACATACGTACAAAGAGAAAAACACACCTCTCTTGGACACCGTATCGCGTTGAACAACACACGACCGAATCCGCACTGGAACGTGAACTCCTGTTACAGGAGGGAAGCGTATTCGCCTCACTCGGTAAGTCTCGGCCCGGACCACATGGTTGATCTGCGAATGAGCATTCCAAGAGGGTGAAACCGCAGTTCGTCAAGAAGAGACAAACGAGCCTGACGACGACGTCAGCCCTAGCACCAATACTATAATGTGGTCGCCTGCAAATCACGTAGTGGACTAGATCGTTCCTCATTGCATCATTCATCGAGGCATTTCGGGAAATTGCCCTCTCGAATTCCGTTCTTCTGCTCCAATGAAACAACGATTACCTTGACACCAAAGCTGTCAGGGAATACGCAGTTGAAATTGGCGTTCAGCTACGCTTCGTGCCAGTCTGTTCTCCCTGGTTGACCCTGCCGAATGCGTCTTCGCTCCATTGTCGAATGCGGTATTTACACTCGCGGTTCAATGGAAGAGACATTCGAGTTCATGACTCCTTCGCAATTCGTTCTTTTCATGGTCGATTTCTACCACTTTCCCAACCGCGAACTGCCGTGTTGCCCCGCTGCCCGTGCGCGGGAGCCAGCGAAAAGACGTGCTTTGACTCGAAGGCATGCTCGCGAAGCATCTGACGAAAAGATGCGTAAGATGCCGCAGACGTTACCGCACAAAAGGCGTTTGTCAGTGCTACCATGTACCCAGTGTGCCTCAGTTCCGAGGAAAGATCGGAAGTGGAGGATGGCGCCTAAATACATGCCACCCGACCAAGTAAAGATGAAGATCAAGAGCATAGGCCAATAAAAGAAACGATTCTTCCGAAAACAGGTCAAGATATGACCAGAAGAAAACGCTCTTGGTGGGGAAAGTTCAGAATGAAAACGCTATCACGGCCTCGCGACAAAAACTCATGAACGGGAAGGTCTTACAAAAAGTGAAATGCAGGACGCCAACAGGTATCGCGTAGCTTCTTCTTTGAGGAAGGCTCGCCTGACGTCCCTCGCCTTGGTGCACATCGTCGAGCAACTGTTGGTAGGGGTTATAGCCGCGGGGCTGCCAGCTATCCAAATTCCTCTGCCATATTTCGATGAAGCTTTCCCGCGCCAACACAACGGATGCGCGAAATGTAAGACGCACAACAGCTTGATCACAGGATCGGAGATTTACATACATGGTTTGTGGAATATCTCGAAGTGCAGCCGCGGGACGTTGTTGGTCGAAAAAAATCCATAGCGCAGGTACCAACAGGTATCAAAACAACCTCAAAAAACAAAAGCGTATACGGGTCATTCTCCAGCGCATCATGGAGCGCACCCTGTGCACGTTGTAACATCACTTTTCTAGACCTGAAATCGTGACTTGTGGGAGAGATCCTACGCAAGAGACCGTCCGTGAGCGTCGAAATGGCCGAGACAGACGATCTTTGGCGGGGCTGCATGAGAGCGTGCTGGGATCACCAACGGTTTCATTTCGAAAGAGACAAGAAGCGTAAATTCGATAACTTGCTCCATGTGGTGGAAAAGGAACTGGCCTAAAAGGCATGTTATTTGATAGGAGCCTATGGCGCTGGACGTGCTGCAGCGCGCCAAGGCTGCGCTCGTTATCCTTCGACGAGAGCATACAGCGATCGCAGGATACGATTCGATACGATTCCGATCGGTGCTTTCAATGCGACATAGACCTACAACGAGCGTAGGTGTCCGCTGAAACAGATAGAAACGCAGAGCGTGGAACAGAGACCGATGTATGAATTGATGTACGGGGAGCGGCGTGCTATGGTGTGATTCCACCAACAAGAAAAAGCGCCAGTGCCTTGTGCACAGATACTTGAGCGGCTCGATCAACATCCGGGCATATCTCGCGCTTTTGGGAGCGTCCAGCGGCACTGTGTCAAGCGGAATTTCATACGGATCGCTTCATCCTCAGTGTGGGAATTGAGCTGGAATGATCAAGACTTTCGATGAAAAAAATCAGTAGCCAGTCGAGGATGTGTTGGATGCTCGCCTTGGGCAAGGCACAGTTACGGTACGCTGCAGCAAAACGCAAAGACTGGACCGCCTTATACGAACACTGGGGACAGTTTTCTCGAGCATTTGGTAGACGATCATCGTGTTTCATTGTATGAAGTTACTCAGGATTCGAAGAGCGATCGCGTCGACCTGCTCAGCTAGCGGGCGGCTTGTGTGCAGTTGCTTGTAAACGAAGCGCACATAGACACGTATACATGCATACACATCTCCCATTGCGATGGACGGCCGTGCAACGTTGCACGAGTCTGAGTACGTTCACAGAGCATTGAATGCGAATGCCCTAAATACGCGATACTTGCACTCGGCTTTCGTGCCTCGGACGGTATCATCGGTACCCCTGGCACGAAGCACGGCACCACAGCCTGATGCAGAAGTTCTGGGTCCAGCGCGGCGTTGCAACGCCCAAGAGTCTACTTCGATTCATAAAGGGTCAGTAGGGTTCCCAGAGCGTCTATGGATGCAACGTTCGTAAACCTCTCTGCCGGAGCTCGTTGCCGACGAGCGCCCTGTGAGTCTATGGGTCGAACGCGAGGCCGGTTGCCCTGCCGGGCGAACACTTGGTACACCCCGGAGGGCATCAGCCACCGTGCAGCGTCGAAATGAACGCGATCGTATCTCCTTCCCGTAAAACGTATTCCATTTTACCCTCTAACTCCCAGTCGACTTCGTTGACAAGCACCAAAACTCCCGGACGAAGCACGCCATCGCCCGAAGCGAAAAACTCGTGTCGCTCTCGGACTTGGTGCCGTCGAATCCACCTAATTAACTCGCCTACCGTCTTTGCCGGAACATCACACGCAACCGTCTTGGCTTTGGCGCTTGTAATTGCATCCAATCCACCGCCAAACTCTAAGGTAATCAGGACCATGAACCACCAACCCCTGAACAATGACGAGGACGAGAATTTGTGCTCGCGCATATGGAGACGTTTTCCCGGTCTCGCGGCGTTTCGGAAACAGCGAGTTAGGGGGTCTTTTCTAGCGGGTCTTGGAAGCGAGTGCAAACTTCAACCTAAGAATCACACCGTCAAGGTCCAAGTGGTGCGTAGTCTATCTACAAAAAGGACGCTTTTACGCCGTACAACGTGGGTGGTCAGCTTCCAAGGTACTTGGCGAGCCGCCACGCTCATCGACGCTGCCGAACAGAACACCGTGGGAGTCGTTCATGTTGTCTGCTATTTACGTGTAAAGAGGACTCGTTTCCGCTGTGTGGATCATGTTTAGCTCCCGAATATTGGGGCAAGCCACAAGGCTCTACGCAGCTGTTCGACTATTCGTGAAGTAAGCTGGTGATTTTGCGCTATTCGGAGAGGCCAACTGGAATCCCAGCCAGCAAGCGATGAGGCATGGTTTCACACGGGAAAAAGTGCGCGAACCATGCAGAAGCAAAGCCACGTGGCGTTCTTGAAACCGCTGCCTGCCGATAGTGGTATTCACCGACGCAAACAGTTCGATGCGGTGACTTTCAAGGGAATCTGCCGTGCGCCGCTGCATGAAACGCTGACAAAGTTTTGCAGGGCGAGGTCCATGCTCATAGCGCTCTGGACAACATCGCGCCAGACGGGAAGGGAGCGCTTTGCTGCGGTAGCGCCTGAGGCCCCGCATGCCCTCTGTGCCGTCGGTCTGGGGGTTCAGTACCGTCCGAGCGCCTCGGTGTGTACAGACAGCGGTGGGGGCGTCATCACGAGCAGCGACGTGCGGTAGTCCAGCGGAGGGCGGCGACTAGAGTCGAATGGCATGCATGTACAATGAGTCACCAGAACACCTGCCGGTGAACAAATGCTGATCTGTGTCCCCGTCCATGGACTCGGGAATCAAGGACGCGATGGAGCAAGTCGTGATCGATCTTGTCCGGACAGCCGCATGGGTACAGGGGAGCCAGCGTCGAGCAAAGTGCCGCACACGAATTGTCCTTTGCTTGCAGCTGCACCAATGGTAGAATAAAATGGAAAAGATTCCATGCCTCGGGCGTAAATACTGGGCTTTGGGTCTCTTCTCAATGTCATCGAAACCAGTCGCTGCGCGCTTGCTCTGCAACCGCTTCCTTCTGCTCTCTCTGGTATACGGCTGCAAATCCAACAGGCTCTCTTCTGGCTCCAGATCCGGGGTCGGCAGTTGAGGGATGGTGTTGGTTGCTCGAAACACCAGATCAGGGTGCTTCCGGCTGCTGTCAACGCATTTCATGCACAGGCCAAAGTTACAATATACGCTACGATTGTCATTTCCATCCTCTTTGGATGCAGCCTCGATGCACCTTTTCCAGTGTTGCGACTTGGCGGTGGACATGTTTGTTTCCAACACTGGCGCCGAATCCCTGGCCCGAGCGCCGTCTTGTCACGCGTGATCCCTTGCCTTGATCCCTCGGCATATGAACTTGACGGATACAGAAGGCGCGTCACGATGCCTTGCTTAGTTTCTGCGTCCGGCGCATTAACCAAGGATTCCGTGTTTCTATTACGCGATGTATCCGTCGAGTGCTCGCACCGCTGCATTCGCATATACACGCTGTTCTATTCGATGGAGAATTTGTGGAACGTGATGTTGTCTACGATGAAACAAGAACCGGAAGAGAAATCGACGCTGGAGCACATTTCGAGTTTTTTCGATGCGTCTGCGCCCATTCAAGCACAGCTTTGACGCACACTTCTCCAGAGGCGATAACGAAGATAGCAACAGCCCAAGTTCAGGACCCTTTTCCTCGCAAATAGATGGGATGGGAGCATCTCAGAACACATCCCGAACTGGGCTTCGTGCTGCTGTAGAATGCGGTATCCTCGACGGCAACAAACAAAGTAAGGTTTTGTCTCTCGTACCGAGTAGACCATTTGACCTGAGAAGATCGATGACCTTTCGGCGTGGGCTTGTGAACAAGTCGCCAAAGGGCCACACCGCCATGCTATCCGTCGTGCACTGAGCGACGTGAATCGCTGCGCCCTCGCATTGCCTTGAAGCGGAAAGATCGAAACTGGGAGGAATGTATGATTCGAGCGTACAGCACGTAAAGAAAGGAGAAGAGCGGCGACGTGTCCATATGCATTGAATCGCGATAGCTGTTGTTTTACAGGCGCTTGCTCCCGGACAAGCCGAATGAGCTTCATTCCAGTGACGTCATGAATGCCAACGACAGCGCGTCGAAGGAGTCACGCTGAGCGTACGACCGAGAATCCTCGAATGACGTATGAATCCTTGAACTCCTATGGATGCTCTTCGATTGTCGAGGCCGTAGAATTCAACCAAAAACATCGAAAGGCGGTAACAAAGATGCTAGTTCAGCTTTTAGTGGTAATCTGCCGCGGGACACGGGCGGTGCAGCGTCCCCAGGAGACATCTCCAGTACTGCAGGAGCAGCACCCGCTCGCGCTGAATTGAGGCGCGCGTCTGTCGACCAGCCCGATGCCGACTCGGAAACGTTTGCGAGTATGGTAGTAGTTTTCTTCGGGCCAAGATCACTTGTGTGTGTGTCCCAGTACGACGGAACACAGGTTCTGCTTGCAAACGAAACGTTTCGCAAGTTTGCTTCCGTTGCGTTGCTATAGAATATGGACGAAATACGCCGCCGTCAAACTTTACAACAGGTGCAGTGACGCTCTCCGACGCGTTCCCGCGAAATCTCTACTCTAGGAAAGCTTCCATCTTCATGCGGTTTACTGTGCGCATTGCGGCGGAAAAAGGTGGAAGCACTCGCCGTAGGTATTCTTTGCCGCATACAGTGCGTGGCGGTGCAAAACACGAGGTCGACGACGCTCCGCCGAAACGTCGATCCTCAACGGGCGCCGCTCTCTCTGCACCCGAGACGCTGCTTGCAGTCCGCACAAGTGATCCTGATCATGGGGCAAGCTCAAAAGCGGATGCGGCTGGAAACCGGCGGCAAATGCAGGCGCTAGACTGTAACGCTACGGAGCGTGGCAGTGCAAAAGATGCGTCCCCGGTCTTCGGAGACTCGCTGTCGTCCAGACAGTACGCTGGTACTTACTCCGAGGAGAATGCCCTGCAGCGCGACCGTACTACAGGTAGCGTTTCAAATAATGTCACCGATGATGCCGGTATCCGTCCAGGCATCCGTCCCGTGGACCACGCCGATGACCCGCGGACCCTGATTCCGTCGAGTTGGTGCAAGACACCAGCGCGACTGAGTCAGCGGATTGCTGTTTTCGGCCAGTCTCCCGGAGCTGCATCAGCCCGAACAAAACGATCCGAGGAAAGAATGCATCATTTGCCGCCGATTTCCGTACAGAGCGTCCGCAAACGAATCCGCATCCCTTCAGCGGAACCGATGAGCCAGCAGACTCCCAGATGCGATGAAGAGCCTGCTTCAAACGGCGCCAGAAGCGAGCATCGCGAAGCACGCGAGACGAGCGACGATGCCGCTTTTCGCTCACCTTTTGCGGAGACGTTTTTCGGGAATCCTGACGGTACGCCTTGGTCTTCAGCTCGCAAAAGAAAGATTGCTTCCCGGCTCTGTTGGGGTACTGGTTCGGGGACTCGATCGCCCTCGAGCCTGGTCGCGACACAGCAGCAATCGCCTCCGCCTCTGGAGCTCGACGGACAGCACCTAGCATGCTCGCCTCAAGGTGAGGCGCATCTGTCTCGAACTGGCACTGGCGGAGCGCCGTGGGCGCTCCGACTACACTATCGATGCGCGATGAGCCGCTTCGCCAAAATGCTTCGGGAGTGGGAGTCAAGGCGCCTGCTTTTCCTCCAGCAATCACAAGAGGACCCTGCTTTGTCGCTATTCAGTCGTCTTGAACGCGCAGAAATGCAGAGCGCTTCTGTTACGCCCACCGTCACCGTGCAAAAGGTCCTGTGGCGCCCGAGACGGACGGGCGCTGCTTCCGAACGCCCCGTTCCGCTTCGAATTGCCCTTGTTGCTGTCGAGGATATCGCCGAAAGCGTCTCCATGACGCAGCATCAACTGGCGGCTCGCCCGAGCTTGAATACGGGTGCAGCGGTGGCATCTGCAAGGGACAATTCGAACGATTGTCGCTGGGCAGTCACCGACGCAGCTCAGCAACACCCGGATGTTGCGACCTTATGCGAACTCGTTCGCGATAATGGCGCCATTTTAGCAACAAGAACGCGCCGAGGACTTGACCAAGCTATCGTGCAGGAGGAGACACCAGCAACAGCGGTAGCGCCGGCTCCGCTTACATCCGTCGATACCCGCAGAGCCAGCGCCATCAGCAGCAGACAGTATTGCCGGAGCTCCAGCTCCGATCATAGAATGAGTGCAGTCCTCTTTCTGCCTGAGCGTGCCGCGAGCGGTATCGTAGAGCCCGGCCGCCGTCTCCAGTTGTACGGTGCACACTGGACGAGTTGGCTGCGGGGCTCGCCAGCAGCACCAGCAGCACCAGCAGCGAGTTCGGCGTTAGCGCCAGCTATCGTTGCGGCCCTTGCAGTGCCACTGGAACAGCCGCTAGCTTCTCCGTCGCGAACTGGCCAACCATCCCCGGAAACTTTTGCGAACGTACGTACTGCTGACGGTCCAGGGGAACAACGTGAAGCCTCCCAGCTTCGCGTACTAGCACCAGGAGCCAGTGCCGTGGCTCCCCTGGAACGTTTCTGGTACACCCAACTACGCCAGTGTATTCTACAACAAATCGCGCACTGTCTCCCGCCGTCTACCTTGCAGTGCCGCTACCTATCTTGCTTAGCGCAGGTTTTCCACGAACCGTACCTTGTCCAGACTCGTATTGGTTTTTGGGGCAGGCTCTGCGGCCCAGGTGAGCAGCACGAGAACACCGGCTGGTTCACTGTTGCTGATCTCGACGGTGGAACCACTGCCATTGTGACGTACACAGGTAATCGAACTCCTTTCGTCGATTTCGAACAACCCGGACAATGTCCAGGCCTCTTCTTCTTCGAGCAACTGCGCGTGTCGATGTTGTGCCCTGCGGCTGCGTTGTGCCGGCGACAACAAGCGCCCGCGGAGACGTTCGCGTTGCAGCCAGCACTGCAACTCGCGTGGCTTCCGCAACGTTCCCGACTAGTGCCGCTTCCACCTTCGCTGGTGTCGAATTACGAAGGACTGCACCTGCATAGTTGATGCCGTTTTTGGAGCCGCCACTACGTGTCGCTTCGGCACACTTGAGTCTCTTGGGACTCGAACAGCCAACCCGCTTGTTCCCCGGCCGGCAGGCGCTGCGTCTGCCCCTGTGGACGTTTGGAAAGCACGGCCTCGCGGAGCACTGGCGAGGTTCGCTCATCGCTCGCACAGACTCGCGTCCGGAACCGGGCAGCGCTCCACCCGAGGCACTGCGTCTGGTACCGACCACAGGTGACGGCCGGTGTCTCTTTCGGGCGATTGCCAAGTGTTTGGCCTTTTATGGAAAGCGGCCGCTTCCTGAGCACCTCGAAAGAGCCGACGCAGACGCTCTCCGGGAGGCGGCCTTCCAAGAAATCTGTCTTCTGCGTCGGCAGGAGTTCCAGAAGAAGCACGTCGTAGAGGGTGACATGGGCGCTTACTGCGCACAGTTGCGCTCTCCAGAGTTCTACGCTGGAGAACCCGAGATGTTCGCCTTGGCGGACGTCCTCGAGAGACCCATTGAGGTGTATCTGGTACACCCGCAAAACCGGACGCTGCTCAAAATCGTCGAGTACGGCTCAGTCTATCGCAAAAGACAGCAGGATCTGGAACCCGTTCGAGTCGCTTACAACGGAACGAATCACTATTCAGCGTTGTTACCAAGGACGCAGCGCTAACGGGTGCCTTATCTGCGCGGCCTTGCACCGTTCTGGTGCTTCACGCGTAACTCGTTTGTTGACTGAGTCAGTCGAGGTACTTGGAGGCATATTCTTTTTCACTTGACCGGTCTGAAAAGAAGTTTGCGTTTGCATGTGCGCGCTCTCTGGGAAATCGGCCGACAAGTGATGCGTCCGATGCATTCGACGAGATCCTGAACGAGACGATGATTGTGTCATAAAGATCCATCCAGAGACCAAGTCTTATTTGACATGATCCCGGGAACGAATCGCCAGTCTCGCTCTCGAGCCGGAACGCGCCCTAACAGCATTCTCTAGGAGCCGATAAGAAAAACGTGTGATTAGTCGGTGCGGTTCCTTTAGAACAGCACGATGCCGACGTGTGTCACGTTGGGTTTCGAGTCCAACCGTTGGCAGCGGACGATGTGCCCGATGCAGGGTGACGAGTCCAGCGTAGCGGTGCTCCTGAACCATAAACCGAACGAGCACTTGTCCTACTCTGAGACTCGTCTATTGTGATAGGTGTGCCAACGAACGTGTGAACTTAGGTCCGTTTATATGAAGGAGACAGTGCATGTCTGCATGTCCACGCAAAGCAACGCTTTTGATTCTACCTCGGAGCACCTGCTGGTCCAGACACGCTCCCGCACTGGACTGGTACCCAGCAGGCGGAGCAGATTTCGTAGCAATCATCATCTTTGCGGGTACCGTTGCCGGCACATTCGTGCCGCTCTGCCGCATACGAAACGCACTTTGTCGTCCAGGTCTATCCACGCTCGCTACAGCATCCGCATCGGGTGCTGCGGCTGCAGGTGCTGGTACCATCCTCGCCCGCCACCCACACGGGAGCGCTCGTTGACGCCTGCGTTTCGAGTCTGCCACAATCCCTGTTCATAGATCGATCACAACACGTGCATCATTGTGAAAGACTGTTGCACTGCGTACGAATACGCGCGATAATCACCTAAGAATTCCGATACCTCCCGGATATGGACGCACTCGTCAGCGTCTTTTTCTACGAGAGCTCGAGGATAGGACGCCAATCCAGCATGAAATCGATGCATTGTTTCGAACAAGGCGGGGTGTAGAGAAGCCTGGCGCAATCATTCAGAAGCAATGAGGGAAACACCTGCAAAGCTCCAATACTGAATGTACGGAGTCCGCATTGCAACGAATCGGAGACGCACTCCGCCATCTGCTTACATGGACGGCTAGCATGGCCATACCAACAGCCGTGCCAGTACTGGGGGCAGTAGTAGCTTCGAAACATACCTATTCGGCATGCCACCCATCCATCGAGGTTGCTTCTCTGTGCTTCTAGTTGCTCGAGAGCCCCCATGCATCCGAGTTTCTCCCTTCGTCTGGGGCGCAGCGCAGGCACTCTCAGCGACACGATCTGCGTCGCATGCAGATAAGCATGCCCCGTACCCACTTGATAGCTCGAAATGCACGCGTCCACGGCATCGATTCCATCGACACGATGCGCAGTCTGCGTTCCGTGGACAGCTTACCTGGAGCATGACGCCCCTGTGGTGCTACCCCAGCAACGAAGGCTGCGTGTCCACGGACACCCACCCGAGCGATCGTTCAACGGCATCGTTCCAACGACGGTGTCGACGTGCTCGCTCTGCATCGTCGATACCAGGAGTGAGTACGAGCTCCTCACGCCAGAGCTTCCGCACCTGGTCCACTCGATCCAGGAGGCCGGTTGCGAGCGCTGCAGCCGCCGCTGCACCCAAGGCAGTTGCTTCGGCGATCTGGGGACGCACGACAGGCACACCCAAAAGGTCGGCCTGCAGCTGGAGCAGCAGTTGATTCGCCGTCATTCCGCCGTCCACCCGGAGCATCTGGATCGCAGCAGTGCTCTGTCCGAGATCCGCTAGCGCTGCTTCGAGCACCTCTGTTGTCTGAAAACAAACTTGCTCTAACATTGCTCGAGCAATATGCGCCCGGTTCGTAAACTGGGTCATACCGACGAGGACTCCGCGAGCATCGGGACGCCATCGCGGTGCGAATAATCCATTAAAAGCTGGCACCAGATAGACATCGCCAGTATCGGAAACCGAAGACGCCAACTTTTCCGCTTCCTGGATGTCACGAATGACACCCAACTGCTCTTGGAGCCACTGGAGTCCGGCCCCGGCTATGGCCACAGAGCCCTCCAGGGCATACTGAACCGGCTGGTCGCGTCCCAACTGATACGCGGGTACCGTCAAGAGGCCGTGGCGGCTGGGAATCGGCCTCTCGCCGGTGTGCAGCATCACGAAACAACCAGTGCCGTACGTACACTTGACATCATCGGCACGTAGACACGCCTGACCTAGCATGGCAGCGTGCTGATCACCCAGGATACCTGCCAGCGGTACCTGGCCATCGAGTGCACTCTCGGTGCTCGTCAGGGTGCCGTAGCGCTCGGCGCTGGAGCGAATCACCGGAAGTGCTTCCCGCGGCACCCCGAAAATGTCCAGTAACTCGTTGCTCCAGTGCTGGGTGCGGAGCTCCATCAACAGAGAGCGCGAGGCATTGGTCACATCGGTAACGTGTACACGTTCCTCGGTTAAATGGTAGGCTAACCACGAGTCGATGGTACCCAGCAGCACCGTACCGTCCTCAACACCCTTTTGAACTGCAGGTACATTCTCGATAAGCCACCTGTATTTCGTTCCCGAGAAGTAAGTGGATATGGGTAAGCCAGTGAGCTCTCGAAAACGATCAAAAGCCTGCTGTGGCTCCGTGCCCAGCTCCCTTCGATGGCGTTTGCTACGCCCCACTGACCTGCTCTGGTGCAGTTGTCTCGACTTGCCGCTGCCGCTGGTACTGGTGCTGGCGCTGATGCTACCAACACCGCCGCTGACGGAAGCTGCTGTGTCATTCGCTGCAGCGAGCGCTGCACAATGCTCGCGAGTCCGAGTATCCTGCCAGACAATAGCCGGGTGTAGAGGCTCACCGGTTCGCCGGTCCCAGGCTACGACGGTTTCTCGCTGGTTGGTGAGTCCCAGACAAGCAATGTCGGCAGGCTTTATGCCTTTCTGTTCCGCCTGTTGGCAGACTGCAACCAAACAGCGACGAGCATTGCCAAGAATCTCAAATGGGTCGTGTTCCACCCAGCCGGCTCGCGGAAAGTACTGCCGGTGGCCCAGTTGATGGGAAGCGATCACAACGCTCTCCTCCAAGTCAAACAAAATAGCCCTTGTGGAGGTTGTACCCTGATCCAAAGCAAGCGCAAAGCGTTTCTCTTTCATGAAAACAGCGCTCAGGGACTGCTTTGGATAACGAGCAGCACCTGGAACAACGCTGAGACCGGTACACAAATGGTCGTCATTTGCTGCTGGTAACGTCTGGTTTGCTATCGCCGCCAGCAAGGAACTATCTGTATGATAGCAAGCGTTCGAGCGGCTTGCATCAAGTCCCTGCTACAGCGACTGTTTCAATTACTAAGGTGATAATGACGTCGAAGTAATGAACCTTTGCGCTTTATTCAATCCGTGAGCAAGAAACAGTCTATACGAGAGCGAGCGTCCAAGCGGCTTGCAGCAAGTTCCTGCCACCGTGATCTGTTCTGTTGCATCCGGAATAGGTCTGTTTAACCGGTTTGGAGGGAATCGCGACATCACGCAGAGTCAGTCAAGATTCACGCTATACTACTGCCGAATAGATTCGAGGACGCTCGGGAGCGTTGGCTCACTCAACTGGCGCAAAGGCCACACCGCAGAGTTTGCTCCCTAGCGACAAGTGCGCTGCAGTTTGGAACGATGCGCAGTAGCGGGCAGGCGTAGCCGGGTGTGACCCGAAAACCGCGCCGACGCGCATGTGCAGAAAGCCTCGCCGATGAACAGGCCAGTATCCAACTCTTCGCATCAATGACGTATGGTTGCTTACCCAGGAACTCACGTTCGTTTCGAAGAAGTAAGATGTAACGCCGACGCATACAAGCATGTCGCCCGGCGGTTACAGAGAAGGGATTGCCCCTGAAGCGCGTACACTGAGGGAATAGCCGGCAACTATGGGCGATCATATTAGGGTGAACAGAGCACACGAAAAGGCATACGCTGGGACATCTAACGGCAACAATAAAAACCAGTAAAACGGACCCGAAGGTATCCAATGACTTGGTCGATGCACATGCGCGATCTATCGACAACATTCGAGGTTCTGTCGCGCATAATCGAAAGAAACGCGGCGTACGGACGTTGTTGTTGCTGCTGCTGCTGCTGCTGCTGCTGCTGCTGCTCTGTTTCTATGCGACCCAGCATGTACCCGTGATGTTTTGGGGTTGCATCGGCGCTCCGCGTCCGTAGGCGAGCATCTCCATGCCCGCCAGCACCAACCACCACGAACGAGAAACCAAGTGCCTCATGAGACTGAAGCCGCACGCCCGTCATGCCGCCAATGTGTCGTCGCCGGGACACATGCTCCGTGTACTCGTCTCGATATCGCGCGATGGACGCGACTTGTCTTCAGTGTATCGAAAGCATCCCTGGATGGACCGGATCTCCATAGCCTATAGGCAATCATGCATCGCAGCGTCAACAACAACAAGAGCAACGTCCCTGTTCGGTCTCGCGACCATTCAATGGAAAGTGTCCGTTTCGCGCTCGCAAACACTGATTCATCAGGGCGAATGACACCCGGGGGCGTCTATGCCACCATGCCGCCGAATGCAACGATTTCAAAGGCAGGTGATAACTAAACGAGCAGCGATCAGGAATTGGCTTGAGCCTCAGTGCGTGTTGAGGTCGAAGGAAGCAGCTTTCGCAACGAATTCCCTTGCAGATTCGTTTTTGTTCCTGGGTCTAGACCCGCCGCGTCCGCCGAGAGACCATCCGAACGATTCGAGGACGCGCTACCGTCTTGCTCAGTCGACATCCGATGAGCGCGATCGCTTTTCGAAGCTATGTCCGTTTGGACGGGATCCTCCACATCGGGTGCGTCTGTCTGCGTTGGAGCTGCGGTGAAACGGCGAGCACGTACTCGTAGAATACGTCGATCGTCAGCATCATCGACGGAGAACTGAAAAGCATCGATGACGGCGCTATCCCCAGGATCCGGTATGCCGTCCATACGATCACAGAGAAAGCCGCCAATGGTACCATACTCGTGGAGGTCGTCTTCCGACACTTCCATACCTATGGTCTCCGCAACGCGTTCGAGTCGCGCTTGGCCATCCATGACCCAGGTGTTCTCGTCGATGCGCACGATCTCTTGACCCTCCTCTTCGTAGTCGCTGTCGTCCTCGTCGTAAATCTCACCGACGATCTCCTCCATGATATCCTCCAGTGTCACGAGGCCGGCGGTGCCACCGTACTCGTCAACAACGATTGCCATATGGATGCGTTTGCGGCGCATCTCTTCCAGAACTCGCCAAACCGGAAGGCTCTCCGGAACAAACATCGCTGGTTCTGCAAGTCTGCCAATGCGGGTGTTGCGCAAGTGACCGTCCTCGCTGCCGAGAAACTCCAGTAAGCGCTTCACATACAGAATCCCGATGATGTCGTCGACATTCTCCTTAAAGACGGGATATCGAGAGTAGTGTGTTGTTTTCTCGAGCGCAAGGAACTCTTCAAGCGTACTTTCGCAACTGATACAGGTCATTTCGACGCGCGGCTTCATGATTTCGCGCACTTCGGTCTCTTCCAAATCAAGGACTGATTCGATCATGTCCTGCTCGTGAATGTTGATTCCGCCCGAGCGGCGGGCACCAGCGGTGATCAGACGCAGCTCATTCTCTGAGACCAGCGGTTCTGACGAGTGCTCTAGACCTGATGCTGTTAGCGTCAGATTCACAAGAAAGGAGAACGCTTTTCCAACAGGGTAAAGGAGCAGCGAGAGCAGATGCAGCGGACGCAGCATAAAGCGCGCTACTTTTTCGCTGTTATGCACTGCTAATGTTTTCGGTAGGATTTCACCAAAAAACAGAAACACCACCGTCATCACACCTGTGGCATAGCCAACCCCGACGGATCCGAAGATGCGTGTTGCCATTTCGGTGGCGAGCGCAGTCGAATACACGCCGCAGATCGTGCTTGCAACGAGAATCGTCGTCAGATACCGAGTGATATCTTGGTTTAGGCGTCCGAATGGCGAGTTGCTGCCTTCAGACTCGGCAAGGTCGCGAACCTTCCACGGATAGAGTGCAGTGATTGCGGTCTCCGCCGCAGCCAGTGCCGACGACGACGCGAAGAGCAAAACCCATGCTAGAGCCTTTTTTCGCAACTCGTGATACGGCAGCTGCGATGCCGCAAGTGCCGAACGTGCCGGGAACTCCAGCACCAAGTTATTAGAAGCAACCAGCGGCAGCGTACTGGTGCTCACTGCAGCCCACACTGGAGCAAGCACCAGGCCTAGGTCACGTAGAAACACCAAAGTTGCCATCGCCGCTGCTGCGGCTAGTGCTCGCTGAAACATACGAAGCAACAGTTCTAGCCGAAGCGCTCTCGTGCGGCACGTAGCGGCGCTTTTCACCGGCAAGTCGCCACAGCGCTTCCGATTCCTCGTCAAGAGACAACAGACCTTCGGCAGACGCTCGTTACGCCGACACCTCCGCCTCGGTTGCGTGTGCTGTCTATTTCGCACAGTGCCCCCACGACGCCCAAAACGTGGTACGCAGTGTGCGCCAAAGCGTCGCCCTTGAAGCGCCACACCAAAGGCCAGCGGCTCCGCCAGCACACAGGCACTGCGGCGTGACGACACCGACAACGCCCAGCCCCGAAACGCTCCCATGGAGGTCCGGTACACGCTTTCGGCACCGTTACACACCAGGATGAACCACCGCTCGCACTTGGGCGGCGTGCTTTCCACTCTTCTAGAGCAGAAAGCTCCGAAATCGCTCACACCAACAAGAATAGTGGTGCAGGCGAGCACGCACGCAAACAAGCACGCATGCACGCAAGCACGCACGCACGCACGGCTCGAATGCGGGCAAGCGGGTGACGTCGTCGTCCAGCGTCGATGCAGTGCGCCTGACCTGATTTCACGTGTAGGTGCGCGCCTGGGAGGGCGCACGCATGCCGGCGGCGGCGGCGGTGATGTTGCCCGGCGCGCAAGCATCATCGCTGCCGCCCTGGATAGTGCGTTTCGCGGGCAGCTTCGCAGAGGGCATTGCATTGATGCGCGTGCGCGTCTCTCAGGAGACGCAGACGGTCGCGCGCGTCTGCGGATGCCTGCCGTCCGTATCCGATGAGCCCGTGGAGCACGGAACGCCTTGTTTCGTGTGTGCGCAGCGATTACTTTCTGATTTTGTTTTCGAGATATCGTCCTGACATTCCAAACGCAGCAAAAAGGATGCAGGGGTTCACTAGTCGATTTAGGGTTCTCGGTCGTGTTTTCGGAGTGGCGCCCTCGACTGTCTGCCGCTGGCATTCGTTACGTCACCGGTGTCAGGATGATTCGCGACGCACTCGAGCAAGGGCTCGTAAATTAACCCATTGCATTATCCAATGCAAACGTAGAAACCTCCTAGCTTATCGTTTTCTTATGCGTAGTGTGCTAAAACTATGCATTCTTCAAGTATTCAATCCGTCTGGTTCAAGGCAACTCTTGGGCACAGCATGTCGAGCCGCTGGATTGACAACAAAAAGCTCAGCGTCGTCGCTTGACAACTTCCGCATAAGCTCATGCCGAAGATTCACCGATCTTGTCGTGACAAATCTTCCTCGCTTTGCAGTCATGGATGCAACTGCATTCGACTGCAGCACCACATCTCTCGCGGAACGTGCGTCCAGAGGCTTCCGACGCAGCTCTAGCAGGAAATCGTCTTGGGCTCGAATTTCCATCATCGCAGCAACATCTTTTTTTTTTTGAGCTCGCGTCACCGCTTTCCACAAAGGGAGCGTAGAGGGATCGAAATTGCTGGACTCGGTTTGAAATCTGGATTTTCGTTTCGGTGCTCGCTGCATCGCGGGTAAGATAGCGCCCCAAAAATCATTTATCGAATGAAAGTGCGTGCGCTTGCTTGTAAAACAAGTCACAGTACTTGTCAAATGGATTGCCCTGAAGAAGCACGTGATGCTAGGGCACTGCATCGGGCACGGAAGCGGCGGAGGCCAGCAAATACAAAGCCTCCTGCACCCGTCAATGGCAAGTACCGGGCGCTGGTGCTAGCCCTCATGCGCCACAGGGCGGCGATCTGCTGACCACGAGGAGGCCTGCTGAGCATACGGGAGCATCTGACCACAGTCAACTGTCACCGCTGCAAGTGCGCCTCGAGGCAGCGTTCATCGAACATGGAGATGACAAGCGATGCCCAGATCGCAACCACTTTCTCTCTGTTAGATGTATTGACAACACCGAGAAGCAACGAGATATGGACGGGAACACTGCCTTCAGCATCCTTCGATTGCCTACAACTGGGCGGGATAACAAGGAGAGACCTGCGTATTCCAAGCCGGAAATCAGCTAGAGGAACAGGAACCAGTCGCGGAAAAAGCTCGCCAAGGCCCGGGCGTTGGTGACCACTGAAAACGATGCAAACTTCAGAGTGTACATGCTTATGGTGGCTGTATAGACCGGTTCTATGATATTCTGGCATGGATGCAGCTTCAGGAAGCGTCTGGAATCATGCTAAGCAAAGTTAGAGTACCCCAGGGCGCCGATTCCGCAAACAACGGATGCCACGTGGTGAGCCAAAGGCGCTGAACCCCGCGACCTGCGGCAAGAACTGCTGCAACCCGAGTACCCCCTTAATCATCTGGGCACGAATCATGAAGCTGCTGTGGTGCCTGGAGTGGCCTCAGTCCGCTACCCGGTATTCGCACATGGACCGTGCATGCGATTCGATGTGAACGGCACGACCGTCAACCGATCGAGACAGACTGCAATCGAATTGGGAACCTCAACCAATCAGTTTCTTTAGCTGTTGTATTGGTGATGATTCTCATTGATCGGGGGAAGATGGTCGAGTTCGCAGTAGAACCTCTCGAGTTTCTCTTCGAAAGGTGCTAGTTCTTCCGCGGGTATTTCGGTCGCCTCGCGAAACCGCTGCATGACTCGCGGGACGAGCTCGGAGCGTAACGCGCGTATGAGGGTGTCTCCAACGTGTCCTGCTCCCGTGTTTAAGCGAGGAAATACGAGAAGCTCCGCGATGACCGCACCAGCATCTTTGAGAGCCTGGCAGAGCTCGTTCGCAAAGACTCCGAGGTGCCGACTCGGGACCAACACGCCGAGCTGTAGGATAGCGCTTTCGATTTCATTCTGGAGCTGGACGATCGGTGCAACGCTCAAAGCTACACCTTCTTTCGGGGCTGAGGCTGGGGCCGGCGCCGGTTCCACGGCACCGTCTCCCGACGCAGTTGTTTCCGGAGACGCGTCAACGCTCCCTACCAGCGCACTGGAGATCATGTGCACCTCCGGGTTGATAGAGTCCAGGTCTAGCGATCGCAACAACCGGCTATAATGCAACAGAGCATCGTGTAGCTTGCGCTGCCAGACGCGCAACACAGCTCGCTCATACAGCGGGACCAAAAGTGGTCGGAAATCAAGCTCGAGGCGACCAAGCGCGGCTGCAAAGGCCATGGTCTGTGTGAACAGCGTCTGGATCAGCACCACATCTGAGACGCGGGCAATGGTCTTCTCGACGACGAGCAGGTACGCAGTAAGCCATTCTCGATGCCATGCGCACCAGGCTTCATCAACTAGCAAAGCATCGCCCTCGACCGAATCTGACGCGTCGTCATCGGCGTTGGCATTTGAAAACAGGGTTCGGTACTCTGTGAAAAGCTTCAGAACCCTCTGACGCAGCGCATCAGTGAGTCTCGATAATTGTAGCACCACAATTGCCTCCGTTCGCTCCCGAGTCTCCGTCGGCAGAGCGTCGAGCGCTCGCATTGCATCGGAGATAAATCTCCAGATATAGCGTCCTCGACAATGGAGAAAAAGACGACGGAGCTCCGCATTGTCGAAGAAATCGAAGGTTCGCAAAAAACCGCTCATTTCAATACATTTTGATAGGGAGGTTGCCTCCGAGAGCTCCTCGAGAATGCTCACTGCCAGCATCGTCTCCAGAGACGACATCTGTGTTTCCAAGTATTCTTTTTCCAGGGATGCTTTTCCCAGGTTTGCCGACATTGTTCGAAGATTTGCGTAAAGTGATAGCGCTTCATCGTATTCGCGGTGGCGAATCGCCTGCTCCAGACGATCGCGGACCTCGGCAAGTGATTGCCACGACCTGCTACGCGCGCTGGATTTGACCGACTCGCGTAGTCGTCTTAACTTTGTTCTCAAGGCTGGGAGCTGGTTTGCTCGCTTAACCGCTACATGATGAAACTCTTGAACCAAACGCCGCAGAGCCTGTTCCTGGCTCTCGATCGCGCCCTCAAGTCGGCAGAGAAGCGCGTCCTGTTCGAGAAGGCGATCCACACTCACCAGAAAAGTACGGTCAATCTTCGCCTCCAGTTTGCGTCTTTCCGTTCCGTTTCGCTCTAGTTCAACTCGGAGCTGCGCAAGATCCAACTGTTGGCATAGCGCACAGACGCTATCGCCGTTTTCTGTGTCGTCAGCAAGCGCCGCCAGCGAGGTACTTGCCTGGGACTTGTGCCCTGGTTCAGAGAGCGACGTTCTGTTGACGTGCTCAGCGGCAAGCGTGTACTCCGATGCGTTTTCATTCTCTGAATCAACAGCGTTTGGCATTCGCTGTGTTCTGAATACGTTTCATGGAGGTAAATCCCCTTCGTACTGAGTAGTGCTGCCGTTCGCCAGAAACTGCATATCGCTTGCATTTAGACGTGTCTGGCGGTAGCGGTACCGGCACGTATCGTGGTCCCTGACACATATGATTCCTAAAGAATCCAATATAACTCATTTCTTATAAATTGTTCCAGCTTTGGACGGCGTGGTTCCCGGATCGACGCGGGCGCCGGTGTTATGAGACGCTGCACCGCCATGTCCAAGGTCACGTGACAAGCTGCCGCGACTGGCCCCGCGATCCGTCGCATCCGTCATGAGCAGCCCAGCGGTACACTGTGACCGTGTTATTCGTGGGAAGGTCGCTGTGGAGAAAAGCGGGCCGAACTACGATACGCGCTAGGGCTAGTGGACGTAGTTCAACGGCACTGCAGCGTGCATAAACGCAACACCATGCCGAAAGAAATCAAAGACCTGAAAACGTTTCTTAGTCTGTGCAAACGCGCAGACGCTACGCGGGTAACCGTGAAACGAAACCGCGCGAATACCAAGTTTAAGATCCGGTGCAGTCGGTTCCTTTACACGCTCGTCGTTCAAGACTCGCGGAAAGCAACGAAGCTTGAGCAGTCACTGCCACCAAAACTACAAGTTCAGAAGGTTGAGCGGGGATCTCGGGCCAAAGCCGCAAAGAAGAGATAGCGCAGCGCGTGTATGATGACGCCGCTGCGGGGCGCGCACTCCAAAGGCTGCGAATCATGCACCACTGAGCACTTCACATGTTAGTTGCTCGTTCGTAAATACACATATTTCTGAGGCAATCTGCATAGCTCGTCGAGCGATTCGCTCCGCCGTCCAGTCTTCCAGCTCCAGAAGTGCCCTCGCAGCCGCCAGGGCGTACATACCACCGCTGCCGATGGCCATGACGCCGTCACTGGGCTCCAGCACGTCCCCGGTGCCCGTGAGCGTGAGCGTTATCGAACGGTCAGCGACCAGAAGAAGCGCATCGAGACGTCGCAAGGCCTTGTCTTGACGCCATTCCTTTGCGAGTTCGACAGATGCTCGCAGCAACTGGTCTGGGTACGCCTCAAGTTTTTGTTCCAACCGCTCGAAAAGCGTCAACGCATCCGCAGTGGCACCAGAAAAGCCCGCAATAACCGAGTCGCCTAGGCGCCGTACCTTGCGTGCATTCGCCTTGAGAATGGTTTCACCCATGGATACCTGCCCATCGCCGACCAGACACACTTGGCCACTTTTCCGCACAGCCAGAATCGTTGTGTGGTGCCACGGCTGTGGCTGTTGGTAGAGACAGGCGGTACCTAGTTTCCTTAACGCTGTGCAAAAGTTCTGGTTCGATCCAGCACTCGGGAGCACTGCCCGAGGACGCGGCGCGCACGCAGCCGCCAGCGTTACCGCTCTCTGAACACGTCCAGACCCAACGTGCCTTGCCAAACGTTCCTCTCGAGTTGATGAAACGTTGAGCGCGGACGAAGCGAGCAGAGACTGGGCAGAAGTGTTTCTCAGTAGAGTGCTGCCCCCAGGCAGGCTTGTGCGCTTTACACTGACGCTGGAGGCCTGCTCGCGAGCCACGACAGCTGCCGGTGCTCGAAGTGCAACGGACAACGCTCTTGCCGCCCTAATGCTTCCAGAAACAGTCCTCCAGCGACCTATTGTGGCAAGCATGTCGTTGCACAGCACCTTCAGAGGCCTCGAAACATTCGGCACAGCACCGGTGCGGTTACCGGTTGGACTGCCGAAAGCGGCGCCGGCGCCAGCAGCTCCGCTGGGCCACATCTTCAGTGTATGCGTTTCCCGGGTTGTTGGTAGGAAGTGTGTGATCTTCGAATGGTATAGTTTTTCACGTTAATTTTTGTACACTCCCGGTGCAATATATACCAGGAGATCGACATCAATATGCAAGGTACTGTATAGGTCGTAGACGAATTGCCAATACGGTATATTCTTTACTGAACAGTGCAACGAGGACTGCATTCCTCGTCCAGATCAATCATACCACAGTACTCAGATGGTTGCAGAACACTGAAAGAAACAAGTGGATGCGCTCTGCGTCAAAACTGGTATTCTCAAAGCGTGCTTGCGATCAATGGTAGAAAACGACTCGTTGATCACCAAAAGGAAAGCAAAAGCGACGATTGTTGCAACTACGAGCAGCTCTGTTTCTCTAAAGTTTGTTCGTGTTGTCCGGGAAACACTGGGAGACAGTCCCAATAAAACTTCTAGTTCACGCACGGCCATCTTCCACCGAAACGGCACCCATGAAAAACTTTCTGGAACTCGGCGATCTGTAGGGAGCACGGCGACGTCGGTCTGTTCTTTGAGTCGATGAGACTTGCATCCGACGAAACGGTCGGAGCGTACATGAGTATTCGCCGAGCAGGGAGCAAGTTGTGGGTACAATCGATGTAGAAGAGAACGAGGACATCATCATCTTTTCTAGCTGCAGTGGAATGATTTGGCGGCCTCAGTTTCGCTTGAGACAAGGATCATAAAACAGCACCCACTTTGTCGAATCATTGAAGGGTCTCCCCAGACCGGTGGCGATATCCTCCTACTGGACAACGTGGCATTTGACTATTCCCGTTGAGTTCGAGCTTTTTTCGATTCTACCGCGTAGAGCTGCTTTTCATGCCGCAGCACGCTCCGTGGTTGAACTCCATTGCAGGTGTCTTTGCAATCCTGAAAAGAATTGATCGCTGTACTGGGCGAATCGCTGAAGCGTTCAGCACACGGTAAAACCAGTGCATCTTTCGTCTTCCTTCCGAAAGTTCTAATCCCTCCAACAAGGTCCTCAAACAGGGCATAAAAATACGTTCATTTTCAAAAATAAAGAATCAAAAGGTTGAGATGGAAAACGCAACGGAGCGCTTCGGCGATAGAAAGGAACGGGGTTCTGACAGAGCAGCATACGGCACAGAGGGGAAAAGTTCTGGCAATACTTGCACTGACGACTTCCATCATTGTCGATAATCACATGGAGCTCGTGAACCGTGACTTCAACGCCGCCCTCAGTGTCAGAAAAATGTGCAGTGCTGAAAGAGAGGCCTGCGTAGCTGACGCGATCCAACTTCACAGAGCACGCGCTCCGGCTCGACGTGTGCAAGGAGAAACTAAAAACGATGGCAGGTGGCCGGTCAAGAAAAGGCTGGTGCGGGGTGCCCGTGAAGGGATACCAGTTTATCCTCCATGACCGTAGAACGTTTTCCGTTATAGTCACCGTCTATAGTTGCAAATGGAACACTGACCTGGTTTATATATTCCTACCTTGCGATTTTTTCGAAGTTTCAGATGTTCAGTCTCGATATTCGAAATGCAGCGATGCGGGCTTCCAGATCCATAGACGGTCCCTGGATTCTCATGCGTCTTTCGAAAGTTACTCCTTCGACGCCTTACCACTAGAACTTTTTATGGAATGGTCTTCAGCATGATTCGCGGTGCCCTAGAACAAGGTCTCGTAGAAGAACCTCTATCAATATGTAATGCATACCAACAAGTCTGCACGCTTATCCTTTCCGTAAGAGCAGCATCCCCAAATCATGCAAGGTTCAAACTTTCAATCATTATGTTTCAAAGCAACACGTCAGCACAGCCATTCGCGCTTCTGGATTGGCGACCAACCAAAACACAACATCGTAGTTTGAAGACCTCTTCAATAGCTCATGCCAATTGTTTGCTGAACTTGACACGTCGAATATCCAATTCCGTTCCAATGACGAATCCTTCTCTCTTCGTGGCCATGGACAAGATGGCTCTAGACTCTAGCATGACGTCTCTGAGACGATACGCTCGCAGAGACCCCTGTCTCTTACAGTTGCATGGAAAATATCCCTGGACTCGGACCTTGCTTGTCGTAGCGATGGTTTTCGGTGAAGAGTACGCCATCGTTTAGCACGAGAAGCGCGTCGGCGGATCGAATCCCTCAACTTGCTCTTAAACCTGGTTCTTCTGACCATAGTTTTCATCATGGAAAGTTTCATAGTCTCAAAATTCCTCGATCGAATGACACAGCGCGCGCAGCGAACATAGAACTCGCTCAGGGGATCGTCCTCATGCCGCGCTTGGTTTTTGGGTACGGTATGGGGCGGGAAACACAAGTGGGGGTCGACGGGAGCCTTTTCTAGTCATCAAGGGCATACAGTGAGCGATCAAGCCCGCGATCACGCTTCACAGGACAGCGCTCAGCCGAGGAGGTGATATCTCACCACTGCCAAATGTGATCGCTGCGAAAAACGCATCGAGACTGCATCCGCAGGAGATGAACGGGGCAAGCGAAGCATAGATCGCCGCTTTTGCCTGTGCATGGAATTCGTCCACAACAGCAGGAAGCAGTGAAATCCGGACTTTAACGCTGCTGTCAACATGCTTGGACTGCCTGTCGCGGATCTGCAGAGACAGAAGAGACTCTCTTATTGAAAGCCGGAGACAAGACAGTTGGAAATGAAGCAGTCAAATGAAAATTCGCAGAGGCTCGTGTAGATCGCAATACGAAGAGGCACGAACTTGAGCGAATGCTCCTGTGTTGACTGAGCGGAACCGTTCCATTTCAGACTGACATGCGTATGGAAACTTTACGGTGTCGCTGTCGTAAAATGGGGCCCCGAACTGCCCCAATCAGGAAGCATCCTGGTGCAGGTGATCCCGACGCCATGCCGAGCCGAGTACCCATCATCGGTGCAGTGCAGATAGCAGGCCCCAGGATAGGCCGATCGAGTCTCTTTAGGCAGCGGGTTATCCGCCGCTGCCGACGCTTTGAATGCTTGCAGAAAAGCGGACAGGCAAGTCAACAATGATCAAACGCCGGAGACAAGGATACAAGCTTGCATGCAAAGAAGCTATTGAATAACCCCGCCCGCCACAAAAGCAAACACACACACATTCCGTACGCTAGCTGTCGATTTCGCACACAGGTCCACTATCGAGCGAAACGAGCAAGGCTTCCCACGCATACCGCTCATCCGTCTTCGCTCAGGCGAAAGCGATACATGGCTGCCTCCGGAACATGAAACGAGTTGATTGCATCCAAGCGCTACCCCTACGTCTGTCAAGGAAAGCGGCCGGCAACGCCAGAGCGCTCGGACGGTACCCAGGCCCGCCGCGACCCATACACGACTCCCGCCAAACCGCAGCTGCAGCCGGTAGTGTCCAGTACCATGATAAGCAGTGCTACCGCCATTGTGGCGTAGGCGAATGAAAATACAGCAATTTTGGAGCGCTGACCAAACGGACGCTATGGCAACGTGCTTCGACACAACAGCGCATGCGTTTCTTCGGGGTTTACTGCTCGTGTGCAAGTAGATGCAATCGAGTCTAAAGCAGTGCTGAATATACGTTGCTTGCACATTCCGCGACAAGGCGCTGCCTAAGACTGCGGAACTTTAAGCTGCCGCAAGCGGGCCGTCTTGGGCAAGCAGCTGCTGACCTACCTGGCGATACCTGTCAAGGATGCACTGCCGGGCATACTCCTGCAGCACTCCAGGAACTGCTTCGCCAGTGATACTCGGTGTCGCGGAGTCCGCAGCCAGCTGTAATACATGGGACGTCGCTCCAGTGCCGCATACGAGCAACGCTCGGGCATTCGCGCGCTCGTAAGCTGCCACGAAATCCCGAACACTGATCTCGAGAAGATTCTCCGGGACCGGAAAAGTCGCCACGGCAAGCGCATACAACGCTGCCGTTTGTGGGTTCTTCAGAGGCACCACCTGCACTCGATTCTCATCGGGCTCAGATTGCGCCTGCTGTTGCTGTTCTGCATTCTGTACGGTCTTTCGTTTTCTCTTACTTGTATCGGAACTTGATCGCCGCACACCTCCGTGATCAAGTGCGATCAAAAACAGCGGCGACTCCAGAACAAGATTCGGCGTGGACGGGACGCGTAGCGGTGCGATGGCTGATGCGCTGCTGCTCTTCATCGCAGTGTCACCGGAGGCATCGCCCGACGGGAACGCAACCCGTTGCTGCCACTGTCGCTGCGTTACTTTCGGAGGCGGCACGCTAGACCGCCAGTCTTCCAGACGCAGAACATCGCGCCAGCCTCGCGCAAGTCCTCGATGCGTCCACATGACGTGCTGGCCGTCGACGCCCAAAACAGCGCGACCATTGGAGTGGAGCTGCCCATTAAGGATCAGTCCATATCGCTCCGGATCGATACCCCGTCGGGTGGAGAGCATTGCTAGAGAAGCAGCGGCGCCGATAGCGCTTCGCATGTGATTGAGCTGCACGCTCGCGCCAATATAGACACGTTGTCCATCAGTTGTTACATGCGCAAGGCCTGGCGAAGCGTTCCCATCAGGTGCTCGTGTTGCTGACGCCTTGTCTCTTGGCGGCGAGGAAGATATTCCGTTCTTGCCGGAGTTCTCCTCGAACCGACCATGATAGCCAGCACCTATATAGACCACGATATCAGGGCTGAATACATTCAGATCCAGAGCGCCCGCCGGAAGACGCTCCATCCAGTGCGTGAGCGCAAGCGCAACGACAGGGTCGTCGCAAACCACTCGACTCGCCAGGCACGTCTCCAGATCTGAGCCAAAAGCCCCGTCTAAGACGTAAAGCTTTGATTTCCAAGATGATGACGTGAAAGCATCGCCACCCCTACATAAGTAATCCGCGACTAGCGCTTGATGCGTGCGACGTGACGCAGCTGGCGGGAGGAGCTGCAGCGTGCCGGCAGGCCGCTCTGCGTTCCCATGCGCAACAAGCGCACTTGTATACGCTGACCCATAGCGCTCTATGCAGTGTGAGACCAGATTCTTTGCGCGGAGGTTCCTGTAGACGTATTCCACGCCAACAGGTGCAGCATCATGTCGGGCGAGCGACCAGTTCAAGGAGGCGTTTACACCTTGCAAAGCGGCGGTGGTGCGCGGACTCCACAGCGGCTCCCGGAGCGACCGAACGCGCGTGATATTTCGAAGCGCTTCTGCTGTTTTCACCGCCAGTTTACCGGACATGATCCTGCTGACTCCAGAGTAACGCTCAGGGAACACACGAGCGTCCAGTGCAAACCGCCCCGCGAACACCCGCTCTCGTTGCCCAGCGTAGTAGTAGTAGTAATCGTAGGCAGCGCGCCTCCGTCTACGGCATATCGACATCGAATGCGGGCGGGGCGGCAGGCTCTACGCCAGCCGTTGAAGCGGCTTCGCGTCTGCCCGCCAGGGGACGTGACTCCTGGTTGCATCGGCCCCAGGAGAGCAGGTATCCAGCCGTCACTGCGCACATCTTTACCATAAGTCGCAGCATGCAATATGTTTTAGGTAACCTGTTTCGGTTTTTACTGACAGCGCCTCTGATGACGCTGCGCGATCTGATTAGGCAGACTCCGAGGAGCATCGCGTAGATATACGGGCGGGCGCTGCGACCTGCGCATGCCGCGGAAGAGGCTGCGACGTACACTCTCAGTGATCGCGTGGTGCCTACCCAGGTACCGCTGGGGGCGCTTGCGTCACGATAGGTGTCGTGTCATCTTGAACGGAGCGCACCAGATGCGCAGAAATGTCTAGTCGTGGACTACCCTATTTGTTCATCGATTGCCGATGAAAACCGTTCACGATGTATGGATAAGGCGCTCCGGTCTGTTCGGACAGCTGAACGGTAGACTACCAGTGCCTTGTTCCAGGCGGTAATGCAATTCTGTGTCTCGTTGGCAGTGATTTTCTTATCACAAGTGTTTAGCGTTTTAACAGGTTGCCCACGCAGGGAGCAAGACGATGTTCGGGAAAATTCGCTGGACACGAAACAGCTGGGCGCTACTGGATCACAGGACATTGCCTGATGTTGACCAAGGCGTTCAAGCTTTGTGCAGCAAATGCTTGCGTGCATTTTTGCTCATTGAGTCACGCCAAAGTAAGCGTCCCACGGGGAGGAGCTTCTCCGTCTGGCGTCCGATCAGCTTCTCGTAACCCACCTCGTGAATCCATCTCTGTTTCATTCTCCCGGTCCATACCAGTTTCTGTGTACACTAGTGCCCGTGATTTATGTGAATTATCTTGAACTCATGGATGGCAATTGCACAGGAACGAGCCCCGCTTCTGCCCTTGGTGAAGACGTTCGAGTGCTTCATACTTGTGTGCAGAGACCAGTGGTAGCCCACTGAGGAGGCCAATCAGCACAGGACAACATTGTCTGCGGAGATGTACTGGGTCTCGATGTGTCGTATGGGAAATACATCGAATAGATCCCCGAGGAAGTTGGGTGCTCGAATCCAGGAACCAAGTCTGCTTTGCTTAGGAGCGCTCAGTGCAGGAAATCTCAGAAGCGCAGTATTCGAAAAAGGCATGTATCCCGTTTCAAACATGCTTCGGATACGAGTTCCGTGTACCCGATTCCGAGAGCAACGCCATGAGCTTGGACGATCGGAAGCGAACTCGCTTCCACTGCGACATCTGTTCCGTACTCGCGAGCTCCTCGATCGTCTCCGCAGTCACCAGCTCGTCGTTGACCGTCATCGATACTCCGCGAATGCCGTTTATCAGTCCCAACTTAGCTGGGACAGTACGTTGAGCGCGCAACGCCTCCAGTGTACGCTGCACGAACCAATCGACGGTGACCAGCATATGGTTTATGAGGCTGGTATGATGCTTTTGGGCACCTGCTCTGTAGACACTCCGGTTACCGACGTGTCGCGCCAATGCCTCCAGGTATTCTGGGAAGTGTGTATGTGTGCGACGCTCTAATCCGACGATCATGCGGTATGTCGTCTTCTGTCTGGAGCATCAGCTGTGTTGTCGCATGCTGGTTTGGTCTAGGTATGCGAGAGGAAGGTCGGTAGCCAGCTGTTCCGACACCGGAACTCCTACAAGCAACTGCTTGATGCGGTGCGTCCTCGCGAGCGGAGCCAGGCACGACATTCTCGAGTATAGAGCGACGTGATCCCCACTGGCGTCTTGCACTGCACTTTTTGAGAAATTATTCCTGGTGAGGAGTTTTGTTAGGCAGGCCTCGACAGTGATTTCAGGGTATTGTTTCCGCGTAAACCGTTCCTCCTGTCGATCTTTGCTTGGTGTCGTTTCGCGAGGATTTTTCTCTTCTTTGTTCAGGAGTTTCCTCGCCTTCTCATGACTTGGCGGGCTAGCATGGATACTAACGCACTACTCCGTATCCTTTATTCCGCAGTATTCAGATCCAATACGTAGACGTGGACACTGAAACTCGCCTGTTCTTCGTTTGTTTCTCCCATTCCTCAACTACCTTTTCGTCACCTGGTCCGGCTCGACCACGTCCGTGGACCGAAGCGCGCCGTTCCGCTTTCTCCCGCGTACGAGCAGCGAACCAGCACTGCAATGCACGGCAGGTGAATGTGTAGAACCAGTCGACGCAGAGGGGTTCGTCGAAAAACCGTATCACAGATACGAATGACTCATCCATAGAAGCATGAGCTTGAATATGGCATTCGAAAAGGAGAACACGCCTCGGACTCGATTGAACTAGGGAGAAGATGCTAGCACGAAGAACTGCTCAACACGAATCGCTAATGCGAACCGCTTCAGCGCATTTGAGTGATCATAGTCCATGGTATCTACGAACAAGACACAAGAATCTGGCGAGCACAAGTCACAAAGCGCGTCAACGAAGAATGCGGTGTTGAACAATTCAGCCCTTGCAACAATTCGTAGGCGAACACACCATAAAATCGTTGTTAGGGCTGGTGTTGTCGTCACGCTCGCTTGCCTCTGCTTGACGAACAGCGGTCTTTCCCGTGTTAGGTACCGGTATTCAAGGCTAGCATTTCCCTAGGCAAGTCTCACCGAAAATGAAGAGCTCCCATACCTCCTGTTGAGAGCATTCGCATTTCAGTGCGAAATCCATTCTGTGACGTTCAGCAAGTGACGATCTCCCGTAGACGCGCACTTTTGTCCTTGTCCATTTGCGACTCTTCATCACCGTTCGAATCAGTGGTGCGGAGCTTTCACATCCTGTGTATACTCTAATCGTTTTTCTTAGACAGCAAATGGATTGGAATGCACTGACGAAGAGACAATCGTGTAGATCGTATTCGACAAGCTGCGTTTCGGGTGCGCTCTGTCTACACTAAGCACTACGACAAGGGCAGTTCATTCACTGGCTGACCGTAGAAAGCGTGGCTTGAACAACGAAGGTCGTTGTTCTCGCAAGCTAATCATGGCGGCATCAACTCCTTCCGCGAACTTTCTCCAATCCACAGAACACTAGACTTTAATTGAATACCGGGGAGAAAACCAGACAAGAACAAAACCAGCATGCTGGTTCACGTCTTCCAGCGTGCACTGCGCTTACTAAAACGCCAGCACGCCAGCGCTGGTACCCGAAACCATGTCCGCGAGCGCATGTCATTTTTACGCATGGTCGAAAGGCTCCGAAAAACCTCTGTCATTAGGCGCCCGGAATATCGTATCTCGAATCGAATCCTGCCAAGCAGTGCAACCGTTCCTCATTCAGACAAAGCGCTTTCAAGTAAACAGGCTTTGGCTCAGTGTCTTCGAGTGCAATGCCCAGCTTCGCGGATGCACCAGAATAAAGCTTAGGAAAAGGATTTGCCTTGATCGGACGCTAGGGAAAGCTTCTCGCGGGATGTGCGCCTGCCGAGCATCTCTCGCATTGTCACGATTCTGGTGCATCAAAGAAACTCATCCTCGTAGTTTTCAGCTAATTCCTTATTGCTCGTCATCGCTTCTTGCTTATGCAAATGAGCATAGTTTCGCGCATCCCGTTCACGGGCTGCCTGTTCCTGATGGGCTCTTTCCTCGGCCTGTCGTCGCCGAGACGCTGCCTTTGACCAGCGTTGCTGCTCGTGTTGAAAGTCTTCGTGTGATTTCCGAAGCTCGTCAATTGTGCACTCTTTGCGTGAGCTCTTGATCTGCTTCAATCGCACAGCGTCCGAACGCGCGACGCGGATTCGCTGCACAAGTTTGGGGTCTCGAAAGCCCACCTGACCTGGGCCCATGTCTCCAGACTTCAACAGGTTCGACGCAGGCGTATACACGACGTGAACAAAGCTCTGCTTGGCACCTTCGATAGAGTTTTCCTTGGCAACGGCCGCCGCTGCACGCACAACCTCTGTCGGCGGTTCAAGTGGTGCTGCGCTCAGCTCGTAGGCCGTGCCTCCAGACGTCTCGCTCAACTCGAAGAGGCGCCTCTTGGGTCGAACGTAGACGTGTGCAGAAGAGTGCTTATCGACATGGAACCACCAGTCCAACGGCAACGAATACTCGAGCAGTGCGTCATTCTCGTATTTATCCCTTCCGAGAAACAAAATGTATCCCTGCAGTTCATCGCAGTCGTATACGTAGGGCATACGCAACCGCACATCTGCTACAGCTTGTAGGCAAGTGGCGAATTCTCCAGTCAGATGGTTCAATTTCGATGATGCCTGGGCAGGGGGCCCGGACACGCCACATATCCGTGCGTATATCGAAGGTAGATAAAAAGGAGATTTATGGACATTGTTGGTCGGAAGCTGTGTGCGCTCTCCGTTGGCGGTGCTCGTGTCGATGCCTCGAGGCGGATCAACGCGCATACGTGGGGATTCCAGCTCGAGCCATTCGGGATCCCTGGTTAGATTGAGCGCTCCTATGACGTAAAAATCGAACTCGATGCATGGTACGAGCCACATGCCGCATGTGCCGCTGGTGCGTCATTCGCGCCGAGGTTCGCAGAAACGGGCTTGAATGCTATTTGATGCGTTTGCATCCACGGCAGGGGCTCTGCGTCCGTACTGACGAGGTGGCGGCTCTGGGCAGCGCGTTGCACATACAGCAGCGCTGCGGATGCTGCTCGCCGTCGCGGGATGCAAACCCGGAGCGCGCCCCGCAGGCCGCTGCATCACAACGTGTTGCTAGAATGATCATTTCGGAACCGCTTGAAGAACCGTACTCACCGTTGACGCATTATGGCTTCCAGTTGCCCTACCAAACCGGCATTCCAGACAGCAGTCGTCGGCTTACAGTGTGCGCAATAGGATAGGTCTGCTCTCAAGCGTAAGCACACCATTCCGAAAACATTAGCGTGCGAAGACTTGTAGTTGCATCGGGATGGTGCGATTCCCAGAGGGCACCGACGCTGCCAGGCCCCGTGGTGTTCCGTCTCCCGAACAGGCATCACGTTCAGGTCGTTCGCATCGCATCGCGGAGCGTCCAGCATTCGGACCGGCACGCCGGCCGCACCCATGGATCACATGCCATGCCGCTTCCAGAAGGCGTTTGCATCACGCTCGCAGGTGACACCTTCTGTGGCGCTTGACAAAGAATTGCTGCTATGCGGTAGGAGGCATCGAGCTTTCTCGATGATCCAGTGGTGTTTCGCGGCATGCACTCCTGCTCCGAACCCTCCAAAGAGAAGCAGTTGGTATACGACACAGGGTATTGAGCTGTATCTTCGATGGGCGTTTCATCGGATTCGATGTTGTTCGAAAACCCCAACGCTATCGATTCTTCCCGCAGATTCGGACGCTTTGCAGCGTAAACGAGAAAATGAACCAGGTAGCCTGAAGTCAGGTATACGGCGCGTTCACCGCCCTGGCCCTCCGCATTCGATAACGACGTGTAAACTGCGGATCCAACCCTAGGACGTAGCGTATTCATCCCTCGAATAATCGACATTTGATACGCAGTTTCAGCTCGTAGTTCCGTGGCTCGCATGTCGCGCAATCAATGCGATTGCGACCTACTACATGCCCTCTGCCGGTCTCGAGATCGATACGATCATCATTCACTGGGCTATTCACTCGAAAAATTCGCGAGTGCGTTCGTGAAGATATCAAAGTTTTAGAGAATGTTGCCAACAATCCGTATCCCAGGTTGCTCTGAGCGACCTGCATGCAAGCCCTTCACCGTAGCATAGTTATCCGTGTTTCGACGGTGCAACGCTCAGCAGCTGCGCATCCACGTTTCCAAGAGAGCAAACGCGAAGAACGTAGGTAGTGCAACCACCGAAGCAGCCAGTGTCAGTGCCTCTACCTAAACGAGCCAAGCAGACTCGTAGTCGGGGCGTCACAGGTGTAAACGGTATGATTCGAAGACGACAAAGCCTGTGTCGAGAACAAACGCCTCCGACAGTTTACTTTATGGAGCTGAAGTTTCGACACCAACGCTCCGTTTGACGAATCCCGAGTTTGACTGCTTCTGGAAACCCTGGCACCCGCAGGTGCAACACACGAAGCAACGACTTTCCAGACACACCCACAGACCGACGCTAAGACTCAAATACCCAGAAGCGTCTGCCAAGGAACCGAAGTTCCTCCACTACTCATAGAGAGCAAAGATGCACTCGGCATAGTCTCTTTGAAGGCAGATATCCTGTATCAGGCGAAACACCTACTCGGACTCGTGCGAGATGCTGTATCAGCTCCGTGCGTTGCGCGGGCACAGCGGCGCACCGCCAGTCCACACTAGCGCTACAGCCTTCAAACGACCGAGCGGGGTACGCGCTGCGTCGGTGTCGTCTTCGACGCACGAACGCAGTAGCCGGAGCAGGGCATGGCGAAGCAAGTTGTTTCGGAAGACGAACAGGAGCGAGTTTTCCGGATACTTCTTGCAGAGCAGGAAAACGGACGCTGCGCAGAGTGCTTTTGCCCTGGACCGCGCTGGGCGTCCGTAAACTTGGGCGTCTTTCTCTGCATCCAGTGCAGTGGCTTCCACCGAAAGCTTGGTGTCCACGTTTCTCAAGTCCGTTCGATCAACCTGGACCGCTGGACGTCCGAGCAACTTGAGAACATGAAGCGTATCGGTAACCGACGCGCAGCAGCGATATGGGAGGCACAGCTGCCAACCGACTTTGAACGTCCTTCACCGGGCGATATTGGTCGCATGCAAGAGTTTATCTGGAACAAGTACGTCGAAAAGCTATATTATCGTGAGCCAAGTCAATATTTTGAGAACGAGGGGCATTCGGTCTCGCGGGATGCCTCGGCCGCAACAGCGTCCACGGTTTCTCCCGCGGTAACTTTGCAAAACTCCAGACAAAGCTCTATGGGTGCATGCGAGCGTTCGAAGCACGTTCCGGTTGAAAACAACTGGTTCAATGCTCTTTTTGCGCCGTCAAGCGAGCGTGGTAACAGCCACGAGCATGCGCATGGTCCCGTGGCTGGTGCAGAGAATCACGAACATCTCCAACGGAAACGCCACATCCTTGCTATGTACGCACAGCGCAACAATTCAGAGGCTTCCAGCGATCGACTCGACACGTCGCCGAAAACGTAAACACCCCAACGTTCGGACCAAAAGCCGTATCTTTCACGTGTATGCCCAACACAAAAGTCACGAAGGCTTCCTGCAGTTGACTCGACCCCTGTCCGGAAGCATAGAGACCCCGGTGTTGCCTCGAGGGCGTCGCGACCGCTCTCGGCTCGACCGTCTGGGGCATTTGAATCCAGGCCGTCGTCGTCCGGTCCATCACGATCACTGTTAAATATGCACTCTGGTAGGTTGCGCGTAGGTGTATGCAATCGTAGTGGGAAAGCTTCTCGGCATCTGATAGAACACGACCCGTCGCCTTCGCCGGCTACAGGCTCGTAGCCCCTGTCCAGAGAGTAGGAGGCTTCTCGGCATGCGGTAGAATGAGAATCCCTGCCAAGACAGTGCACGACGGGCGTCAAGTACCGCTCGTCCCTAGCCACCGTAACCACCGACTGGGACATCGAACACGGTAGCATCTGCGAGCGCAAGCAGCGCTGCTCCACTGCCACAGCCCATGTCGGCACACACGGTATTATTGCGGTGTCCAGCGAGCGGCCTTGGTACTTCCTCATATGGGCGCGAGGGCCCTGCTGTGGAACACCAACTACACAAGCGCTGCGTCTCCACCCAGTGCGTAGATCAGAGAAGCGAGCCATCGTCGAGTGCTCTGATCCTCGTTCAGCAGCTGCGCAAATGTAGTGTCGCGGAGGCTCTGCGGGAGACACTGGCGCAAGGCTTCCCTCGCCCGAGGATTATCGCTCAGCCGCAAATAACACCGGATAATATGCTTCAAAAGACGGCCGGATGGTTGCTCGATGAGGCTATTGACCATGTTCGCAAGTACCGTGCTCACTGCATAAAATCTCTCCGCCGTCTGACAGACATAATTCAGCCCACTATCATCTAACAGTATTTTTTGGACGATGAAGGTAGCAACTGTTTTGCTGAGCTCTGAGCCGGTCTCCATGATTCGCAGGCACAGCGGGATAATCTCCGTGGAGAGCAGGAACGAAGTCACTTCTGGGTCGTCGACCTTGGCAAGCGCACCTATAACGCCCAGAGAAGTAAGACGCAGATATTCAAAAGGCCGCGTCTTCGAGACGGTGTTCAGAAACGGGTACAAGTACAGCGGCAAGTGCGCGGCTAAAAAGGGGCCGCGAGTCTCCGGATGACTCGCCACGCACTGGAGCAGCGCCAAAGCATTGCAGACTCGGTTGGAAGCGTGACCAGTGAGAGCCGGTGGAGAAAGTAGCGGGTAAATAGCGATGATTTCTTGTAAAAGCACGGCAACAGTACCCGGTGTGTGCCAGAGAATGAGCGCGAGGTTCGATACAGACTCGCGCTTCTTCGAAAGCTCAAGCAACGCAGCGTCCCGATGGTCCACTTCCTTCAAATTATGCACAAGCTGAAGAATACGAGCCTCTGTATCGTCCATTAAAGAAGCTCGGACACAAGCCTACCTGTTACCTAAGAAAATAGGGATCTATGTGGTTAACGTCAGCGCACGGCATAGCCATAGTCTCAGCGGTCGATCGAAGTCGCGCAATCAGGGTGGCTCTTTTCGGGTACTCGCAGCGACGATCCCACACACCGCCGAAGAAAACCCCCAAAGGCATATGTGTTGGCAGCTGTTGTGATAACTGGACGCTTAACGTCGGCGTGTGCGTAACGTACCGGACCCGAGTAACACCTGGTACCGACGACGCTTCCTAAGCTGAGCGCGCTTTGACGTGACACTTGAGTTTTATGGTTACGGCCAACGATGAAGTGGAGGCTCTTCTGGGTGAGCATGCTGCAGGAACTCAGTGGGAAAGCGGCTTCTCGTAGAGGACTCGTTGAGCGTCGCTTGAATCTGGTAGAGCGGACACAGCTGTGTTCTCTTAGGGCGCAAACCGTTGAACGTTACCTGGGTGCTTGCACCCTGACCCAACGCCGTTGGTTGCGGGGCGTGAGCACGGCCACTGACGCGAACGCCCTAGAGACGCGTAAGCGTCGTTGCCTTTATCGAGCGAACCAGCGCGGTCTGCGGGAGCTCGATATCCTTCTTGGCGAGTGGACGCAGAGGCACCTGGCAACGTTCACTGAGCAGGATGTCAGTGAACTTGAGCAAGTTCTCGATCACGAAAGTCCTCTACTCTATCTATATATAACAGAGCAGAGACAGCCGCCCGCAGAACTGGCCGGACTTGCACTCTTCCAGCGACTGGTTCGTGAAACGCGACAAGCGCGCTCCTAGCAATACGAAACGCAAACAATCGACGAGGTTTCTAGATGCATGATCAGCATGGCAACGAAAAACGGAAGCTGTAGGCACGAGTGCAGGTCGCTGTGGAGATTTGGCGCAGTATAGCGACCTCGATACGACCTCGGCGTTGTTGCGACAAGGTAGGGCTGCCTTTGGGTGGAGCCTTGCATGGCCGTCAACACCATCGCACTGGTACTGGAAGCGACTTTGGTCCTCGCGAGACGCGGCTTCTCGTGCGGGACGTGTGCTGAGCTCTAGAGAGCCATGGACATGCTGGTACCTGCTTCGCAACAACGCGCTCTGATGATGATTCGGAGCACCATCGTTGCCGCGGATGGTATTGCGATGCGCGTGAAGGTCTTTTGATGATCTTGATGGGATTTGCGTGAGCTTGTGGAGCATTGGGCATTGACAAGTCGAGAGCAGTCTCTGAACAGTGTCGGCGAGTTTGGTAGTTTCGTAAACAGACGTGCGACGTGCTCACAATGTCTGCGAACAGGCTTGGACTAGCTTGCGTCGTGGGGTCTACTGTTCGCCTGTTGGCGAACTGGTATATGCAAACCTGCGTTTTCGCGACATTAGCGCAGGAGAATCCGGAGCTATCCTCCGCCGTGAACATCTTTTCCAAGGCATCACGTGATGGCACGAGAATCAATCGTCGGTATTACAGAAGCGCCGTGCCTAAAGCTGCTCACCGGACTCTTAGCAGGGACCTTGAATACCCGGGTAACCGGGGCGCTGGGATGCATACAACCGGAGATGGGATTATCGTCTGTTGCTCGCAGAACGGGAAGAGAAACTGCCGCCCGGGCACGGAGCATGCCCGGAGTTCTCGTCAATGGCAGACACGTCCTTGCAATCACCACATCCGCGTTCCGCTGGAGGTCAACATTATTGGATCTGGGCCCGAATCCCTCTGCGGTCCGCGTGCGATATTGGCATATCTCTCTCGCGCTCTCGCAGCCCATTTGTCGTAAAGGCTAGGCTTGCGTTTGCGTTCGCTGGCAAGGACGCAGCGGCTTTCGCGCTGCAGAGCGTCTCGTGGTGCAGAGTCTGATACAGCGGAGGTCTGCATGGCGGCTATCTTTGTTCCCGTTCTGAATGCGTCGTAGGCCGCGCTCAGGTCGTCGATGTTGCGCTCGCGACAAGTCGCGAGTTTATCGCCATCCACGCATGGATCCATGGACGCGCATATTTTTATGGTATGAAATAGCTGAATCTGGGAAGATTCCCCTAGGTGCACGCGTTTTATCGGCAATGAACGAAGAAAACGCCGCTCCTTCCGAGACGCATCTACATTTCAGCAACTCCCGTCCAGTCCAGTCTATCTGTTGGGGATCGATCTTAGATCCACCCAGCGACGTGTCGGATACCGTGCTTGCCATGAACGCTCGCAGCAACGCGAGATGCGTCACCGCCACAGTCGATATGTGAAGGCAGGACTGGTATGGGGCGCCTAGATGAGTGCCAGCTCGCGGCAACCGCCGTGAGTGCGTACATTGCCCGGCACTGAATTGCGATGGTGAACCACGCATGCAGCCAACATCCACAAGCGTATCGCAGAGTTGTTCTGTTTCTGTACGTTGTCCGATGGGGCGCTATATGCGTCGGAGCGAGCGCTTACGACAGGCACTCGACATCAAGTGGATCGCGCAGTCGAACCAGTATCTCCGATTGGATGCACGCCTGGAGGTGATGACTGGTGGACCCTCGAGGAATGGTGCAGAAATCTGGACGCGTACCAGGAAAGCCCCGCCTCATGCATGCAAGTCAGCGGAGTGGAAATATCCCACGACTATTTAGGGTAAATGAATACCACACCTGCAGTCGCCTCCCAGCCTTCTTGGACCGGCCGCCCGCTATGGATTTCAGCTTCTCCTTCGATACTTCGACCCTGCGAGACTATTTCACGAAGTTGGCTCGCCCCAGCGCCTCGGATTTCGTCTCCAGCACCAAACATCATCTGATACAGGTAGCAGCATGAAAGTCTCGATTCACAAACTCAACGCGTGTATTGCCTCTAGTAAGGCGCATCAATGCGAGGATTCCAAGAACTCGCGCACTCTGTGGCACTAAAGTCTCGTCATCTTCCCGCAGGCTAAACGCTCTCTCTCGCCTATATCCGCTCTTCTTCCTCATCGAAACCTGCTCTTCATTCGCTCGATGTTCAACGAGAAGAGGGTTTTTACGTTTCTCTTTCAGGTAGCCGGTGATGACAGGCCTCCAGGATCGCCGACGACCATGTCCATACGTTTCCGTTGGATTTTTGTCTCGTCAAAATGAACGAATATCGAACATTTTTGCTATACAACGCGAAAAGCCATTTGCGTACATGCTCCCGGAGGTGGAACACAGCTCAGGTGACAAACGCTAATCATCGATCCGACACGCGCATGGTAGATGGCGCTGGCGAGCACGCATCGACGGCGATGTTTGCCCAGCTCCCGATCCCCCCGCCGCCGCCGCCGCTGACGACGACGCTGATGCTGATGCGCCCGGTAGCGCACTGCACAGCGCCCAGAATACGGAATGACCTGCGTATATGAGCGTGTCTGAGCGTGTACGTCGGAGGAGGCGTACGCGTGCGCGCACATGCCTCTACGGACCTACATATTTCCTACTCGGGTTGCGCGCTTACTTTCCGTGACATCTTTCATTGTAACCGTCTTCTTATGTCACTGGAACTTCATCAAGGCAGCCCTGTTGGCCTATGCTTTTATCTTTTTCGACGATGGCCCGCTTCACGGTGAGCGCTACTGGCCGGCGTTCGCGCGCCTCCCGCTGTGGAAGTGGTACGTGCAACGAGTTCTGAACGTGCACCTTCACGCCGAGTGCGGCATCCTAGATTCGAGTCAAAAGTACATATTTGCAGCCCATCCGCACGGAATCCTCGCTTGGCAGCATTACGCGACGTTTACGGATGGTTGCGACTTTTTGAGCAAGGTAGCGCCGGGGCTGGAACGGCGCGACCTTGTGGCGTCGGCGCTGCTTTGGTGTCCATTCATACGCGACTTTGCGCTCTGGTTGGGCTGTGTGGATGCGTCACCTTCGGTTGCAGAGCGGCAACTGCGACTCGGACGCAGCTTGCTTATCTTCACGGGCGGTGAACACGAACAGGTTCTAGCCGAGCCATATTGTCAGCGCATTGTTCTTCGCAAGCGAAAAGGTTTCCTGCGTCTGGCGCTGCGCCACGGTGCCCATATTCTTCCGGTCTATGCGTTTGGTGAAAACGAACTATATGTAACATGGCCTAGGTTTGCGCAACGTTTTCGACTGTGGCTCGTGCGTCGCACACGTGTTCCACTGCTGCTGTTTCGCGGGCGCTGGTTTACCTTGTGGCCAGATACACGCGTTCCTGTCCATGTTGTGATTGGTAAACCAGTGCGCGTACCCGGACCGATCAACGAGCCGTCTGACGAGCAGATTCTCGCGCTACAAAAGCGCGTTTTAGACGCATTTGTTCAATTATTCGAGCGTCATAAGGGCCGGTTTGGCTACGGGAAGCAGGACCTGCTCATTGTATGAGCAGCGCCCAGCGAGCGGGCACCCCATCCGACGCATAGCACAGCGCATTTCGTCGTAAAGCCATGGGCAGCGGTTGGCATGCTCTTCTTTTCCAGCAGAGGGGCGGGAGCGGGGCGCATACGCACTCGCCGGCCTGGCGAGCACCGCGAACGCATCGAGAACGAGACCCCACGCGCATGGACGTCTACGAAACAGCCGAGCTCGATAAATAACAGGTGCTGACACGTTATGGGCTGACTTGTTTCCATTCCCGGGTGGAGTGAGATTCGCTTTCGCTGGACATCGCAATGCTGTTGATGTATTCTCCCTTTCAGCTCCGGGCGATCGCCGCAGCTGCACTCGATGACTCCGATTTGTCAACCAATGCAGTGACGACGTATTCATGGCAGCAAGGGGGCAGTCCTGGGAGCCACCATGATCGCTTTTGCGAGCAGCAGCATTGTTTTGTGCCCTTATTCAGCTCTAGGTGCGGGGCTGGAAGATATCACGCTTAAATTTTCGTAGACGCCTGGGCTCTATACAGTACGAAACGATGATCCCGAGCGAGGCGCCAATGCATGCGGATCAGACCGTGTTCCGTGAAAGCACGTAGACAAAGTGTCATCATACGTTGACCTCAGGGATACTGCTCTGTGATGCAGCATACTGAGGAAATATACAATGACCAAAGCTTTTCTTTAACGCCTGATGTGTTCACCCGACTGGTGCGGTGTACATACACGCCGGATGCTGGTTCTCTTCGCCGAAAAAAGCGCCTCACCATGCGAAGGTCGCGACATTTCTCACCAATAGAAGCGCCTTGCGATTACCCGTTCGGAAGCGGTGCGAATCCCGAGGTCTCGCTGAACGCACACAAATCCTGCTGAGATGGCGTTTACGGAGCGCGCGCGGAAAGCCCTGCAGGACGCGGGTGCGCTCGCAATGGCGACACGCCTCCCGAGCGGTGCTAGTTAGCGTCCACCATCAAACATGGCGAACAACGACAACAGGTGTAAAATTCTAGAGGACAGTCTCGTGTCTGGCAGGATTCCAAGCATGACTCAGAGCTGGTGTGCACGCTCCGACGGGCGTAGAGCGCATTACCCATGTTCGAACAAAACTGAATGCTGAACTGCTCGCGTTGTATCTGCCACGCGATTGTTTACGAAAAATTTTCGATAGATATACAGCTCGACATTCCAAACGCAGCAAAAAGGATGCAGGGGTTCACTAGTCGATTTAGGGTTCTCGGTCGTGTTTTCGGAGTGGCGCCCTCGACTGTCTGCCGCTGGCATTCGTTACGTCACCGGTGTCAAGATGATTCGCGACGCACTCGAGCAAGGGCTCGTAAATTAACCCATTGCATTATCCGATGCAAAAGTAGAAACCTCCTAGATTATCGTTTTCTTATGCGTAGTGTGCTAAAACTATGCATTCTTCAAGTATTCAATCCGTCTGGTTCAAGGCAACTCTTGGGCACAGCATGTCGAGCCGCTGGATTGACAACAAAAAGCTCAGCGTCGTCGCTTGACAACTTCCGCATAAGCTCATGCCGAAGATTCACCGATCTTGTCGTGACAAATCTTCCTCGCTTTGCAGTCATGGATGCAACTGCATTCGACTGCAGCACCACATCTCTCGCGGAACGTGCGTCCAGAGGCTTCCGACGCAGCTCTAGCAGGAAATCGTCTTGGGCTCGAATTTCCATCATCGCAGCAACATCTTTTTTTGGAGCTCGCGTCACCGCTTTCCACAAAGGGAGCGTAGAGGGATCGGAATCGCTGGACTCGGTTTGAAATCTGGATTTTCGTTTCGGTGCTCGCTGCATCGCGGGTAAGCTGGCGCCCCAAAAATCATTTATCGAATGAAAGTGCGTGCGCTTGCTTGTAAAACAAGTCACAGTACTTGTCAAATGGATTGCCCTGAAGAAGCACGTGATGCTAGGGCACTGCATCGGGCACGGAAGCGGCGGAGGCCAGCAAATACAAAGCCTCCTGCACCCGTCAATGGCAAGTACCGGGCGCTGGTGCTAGCCCTCATGCGCCACAGGGCGGCGATCTGCTGACCACGAGGAGGCCTGCTGAGCATACGGGAGCATCTGACCACAGTCAACTGTCACCGCTGCAAGTGCGCCTCGAGGCAGCGTTCATCGAACATGGAGATGACAAGCGATGCCCAGATCGCAACCACTGTCTCTCTGTTAGATGTATTGACAACACCGAGAAGCAACGAGATATGGACGGGAGCACTGCCTTCAGCATCCTTCGATTGCCTACAACTGGGCGGGATAACAAGGAGAGACCTGCGTATTTCTAGCCGGAAATCAGCTAGAGGAACAGGAACCAGTCGCGGAAAAAGCTCGCCAAGGCCCGGGCGTTGGTGGCCACTGAAAACGATGCAAACTTCAGAGTGTACATGCTTATGGTGGCTGTATAGACCGGTTCTATGATATTCTGATATCGCTGCCTTCGGCGCTTAAGGACCGCATAGCGCCCACTGGCAAGTAAATGCTTTTTAATGATAAAAGCACGTTTTATCTGACTGCAAACCCCCGGTTGCGCGGTCGCTGTCAGCAAAAGCACGAACTTAGCACATAACGCGTTCATCGTAAAGACATTCGTACAGTCGCTCGGCGTTTTCGGCCCGGACGACCGCAGCGAACTTTACAAAACGAACGAGTCGCAGCTTCAGAGGCCGCTTGCACGAAACTCGTTTTCTTTTAAGAGATCAATGCGTCTCCTGACCCATAACTTGTTGATCTGTCCCGTACACAAGAAACCATTGGCGATCCGTAACGTTTCCGCTGTAGACATAATCCCAGTGGAGTACCAACCCAGGTTTCTGCTGCGCATGATCCCACGACTCGACTGGTCGCTGCTACGAGCAGCAGCGGTCTCTGTAGAATCTGACTGTGTGGATGCACTGCCGGAAGCAGCTCCAAGCCCCTCGGAGCTGCCGGCGCTGGAAAAAGCGGTCGAAAGCGGAGACCGTTTGCCGCTTTTGGATGCTCTTCAGCGACTGTTGCTCGAGACGCACGTCGTAGGCGGCCAGTTGCACTGCGAACACGGAGAGTTTTATGTAATTGCCGACGGCATTCCGAACCTCTTAGCGGACGCAGCTGTAAACCCATCGGAAACAGCGTCTGAGCAGGCCGCGTGTACAACGGAAGGTAGTTAGCGTGGGAAACGGAACCTCTCACCGACCCGTCCTGGGACACTGCTCGGTTCTAGAGCGCCACTGGAGCAGTCTGAAAACGACTGAACTGGCCCGTGCCTATTCTGCGAACGAGTCTTGGAGCGCATTGCTGAAATGTCGAACGAAACTTTGCGGTACGTTGCAGACAAGTTCAGCATTGACAATAAGGAGGTCGCTGCTGCTGCTGCTGCTGCAAGTCAGGTCTCTGACAGACAGGTACAAAAGTTGTACAGGTTGCTTTATTCGAAATTCATGCAATGAGATTGTCTGAACATGTTACCACATGTCAGGATGTTGAAATGAAAGCGCGTCAACATACAGAATGGCTGGATCTCAATCCAGCAAATGGTACAATCGCCTCGGCTGGGAAGCGATGCTTGGGAAAGCTAGGCTCTCGTTTCTTCCCGTGAAGCAAATGGAATTCCGTCCGTTGGAAAACGTGTCTGCTCCCGGGAGCTGCACAAATGGAAGACCTGCTAGTCATAGTAAGGTTCTATGCTATGGTGTCGCTAGCGCGATAGAAGCACACGCTCAGTGTAGCATTGCTTCAACCGCATTCAAAGAGTACAAGACCTTGGCGGTTGATGACGACAGCGCGCTATGCGAGGCATGCACACTCCTCGATCAACGTAATGCATACGTGTCCAACGTCAGACAAAAAAACAAATGTCTGTGGACGTCCGCTCGACACGCCTCGCAAGTCTTCGGCGGATGACTCTTCGGTATCCAGAGGACAGCTTGGAGTCCGCGTTGAGACAAGTTGCGTTCACTCAAGTATCTCGTTGAAGAACAACACGCATCACTCTTGCGCATTGAGGTTGGCTCGATGACCCGTGCACATTCCGCGTTTTCCTGCGCTTCCTCGTGTCGGTCTAGCCGTGCAACTCTATGCGTTCTGGGCGCACTCGGGTGCCCTGCTCGCGGATATACCTCTGGCCGTAGTCGCGCGAACTTATCCATGCCCTGCACATCTCCGCTTTCTTTCGTGCTTATCTGCTGACAAAGCACGCTTCATCGAAGATATACCCGCTCGAGCAACATCCTCAACCTTAAAAAGGAGCTCTCTCTGTAGACGCGTCCTAGTCATCAAGACGTCTTGGCCTTTGGGATCTTGCGGTGCCGCGCCCGGGCCCGCTCTTCTCAGGGTGGTGCTTGCCACCGCGCATCTGGAGGATCACTGTCGACACCGCGTCCAAAAACAGCAGTCCAAGGCAACAGCTAGCAACGATGATCGGTAAACGACCGGCCGGGTGCAGCGATAATGTACCGAACCAGAACACCTCCGTGTAGAAGTGCGCGAGTGCGATGACGTACGTGAGTGCAGCTAGCAGACGACACGCCACGGAGCCGTAACGAACTGCCGCAACGATGCGCACACTTCCAGACGTCAGCAACCACGTTGCATACAGGCGGCCAATGAGCGCCGCTGTCGAGCGCGGTCCCGATAAACTCGTTGTGTGCGTGTAGAGCACTCTTGTTGGATAAAGTGGATCTTGGAGGACGGATGCAGCCGCTCCCAGCGCCAGCGCGCCAGTTAAACCCACGGCCACACGTGTCATAAACCGAAGTGGCCTCATTTGAGCAACCAGGAAAACAGAGGTCGTGAACAGAGCGATACAATAGACGTAAGCCGCAAACGTCGCTTCGTAGCCGCTGGTTGGACAACAGACAACGCCCGCTGCGCGATCTCCCACATCAAAAGAAAATGGACACAACGGCTGCTCTGGTATAATCGTTCAATTCATTCTAAGTTGTTCGCAAGATGTACAGCATGGAGATGCGTGTTGCAGCGATCCGGGATTTCGATTGCATCCCTGGGTTTCGGATTCTCGGTTGTGATTTCGGAGAGTGCCTGCTTCGACGAGTCGCCGATGGATTTCTTTACGTCAGTGGAGTTGAGATGATTCTCGATGGACTCGTACAGTTTTTCGAAAAATAATCAATGATATTATCCAATGCATACGTGCAAGCCTCCGTTCTTCTCCTTACCATATGTGTAGTGTGCTCAAATGTCGGATTCATTCATTTGTCGACCTTTTTGTTTCAAGGCAACTGGTGGGCGAAGCCATACGCGATCCTGGATAGACGAGGAAAGAAATCGGATGTCGTCCTTTGATGGCCTCTTCTTGAGCTCACGCAGAAACTTTACCAAAGTGGTTATTTGAAATAACTGAGTCAGCTCGAAAGATAAATCCTCCTCTGGTTTTGGTGGTTGAAGGAACTTGATTCGACAGTACCATGGTACCGTTTATGAGATACGTCTCCAGCGGCTCCCATTTCTTCTGTTCGCATGTAGAAAGATCATGGAATCGGGTTTGAGTCATCGTTGCGACTGATTCCAGTCTTTTTGGTTTTACAGGTTCAGTACATATACCATGGATCCCAGATTGCGGGATGGAAATTGACATTCGGGAAAGCGTCCATCACGCTGAACAGCACCTTCAAGTTCCATGACCTGCTCTCGGATGTACTGGTCGTTCTGTACGTTCCATCGTGCGCCAAACTTGCCATGAGCACCCGTAGGAGCGCCTCAATACTGATCGTGCGGATGCAGCACGGAGACAGAACGGCTTTGCCATGACACTGAGGGCGTCGACTCGAGACGTGGTTCATTCGACACGGGGTCCGAGTAACATAATCATTATGGGGGCTTGCAAGCTCCGCAGATCGACTTACTGCCTGTGGCGACACTAAGCGGAATGCTAGGAAGCCACTGCGACCAGGGCGACGCCCAGACGCATTCCAACGACTTGTGATGCCAGAATGAACGGCGTTGCGGATGTGCTGATCTGATGTCGCCTCAGCGAGTGCCGCTGGGGGAAGCATGAAACGCTAGCCCCGCAGACTCGTCCGGCTCGCATGACCTTGCGCCTAGAAGCCAAACTTTCGAAACTACAGAAATCTTTCCCCTTTCAACGGTTATCGTAGAGGTGGAAAGCATTTCTTATCTTGTTGCTAATCAGTTTTTGATTTCTGTTCTTTCGATAGATTACGATGGAGCGTGTGTAAGCGCTTTGTTCGAGAGGAGCGCGGATGGACCGAGGTTTCTCGAATTGTTCTCCGGCTTGGATTCTGGGCCCGGTACCTTTTTGATCGTGGACAACGCCAAGTCCCAAAAATCATCAATCGAGCAGAGCATCATGTGCTTGCACTTGCAGTGGGCAGCGTACTTGCCAAAGGGGATCGCCTAGCAGAAGCCCTGGATCCCAGGGCGTGTCACCAGGCGTGGAAACGGAGGAGGACGTTGACTAAACCCTTCCGTACCCGTGAAGTGCATGTATCGAGCGACACAGCGAGCTTTTAGGTGCCACAATTCGGTGCACGAAGGACGAAATACAGTGGACGTTCGGGAACTCTTGATCACAAACGAGTGTCACCGCTGCGAAAGGCGCATCAGGGCTGTATACAAAAAAAAAGACGAAAAATAGTCAGTGTCATGTAGATCGTAACTGCCGACTCTACATCAAATGCATCGACAACATTCGTACACAGCGAGTTCGGGACTTGGGCGTTGCTATCAACACGCACCGATAGGTGACAACGGAGCTGGATAAGGAGCAGCAACTGGCGTTTTTTAGAGCCGGAGAGAGCGTAGAGCAAGAGCTCGATGTCGCAGAAAGAGTTCGCAACGCCTTGTGTCCATGGCATTAGGACGAGTCCCAACCTTTAGCGTGCACACCCGAGCCAGATACATCGATCCGATCTATAGTATTCTGAATCGGGTGCAGAAGCAATGCCCAGGTTCTCGGTATTGATCATCAGCGTTTCATGCCGAGTATGCATTCAGAAGCGGTCGATGAATCCCGAAACATCCCGGATTTCTCTGCATCAGCTACTAATTGAGTTTGGATTACGGTTTGCAGCCACGGGTCACTGAATCCGAAAAACAAGGGTCCGCTGATTCGCGTCCCAGGCGCATGACTATGGAGGCATGCGTCCATCCAGGCATGCGATGGCGTATGGCGTCGGTAGGTCTCGCGACCGTCATCACTTTTGACGATGAAAAAGGGACCGCCTCCATTCGGGTCGGATTCGATGTGCATATGCCAGAGCCGGTTCCAGTGCGTTTTCGTCGCATGATAACCTGTTGGAAACGGATGTGCGTACATAGCCAGGCGCGACGAGAACCACTTTCGCTCCACCAATGGATCATCCGGACGAATCACGAGCTGACCTAAGCTCCGAACGGTAACACCAATGGAGCGAAGTGTGAACGGCACGGCGACGGTACCGCAACAGAAGGCAGCAATGCTATGATGGTTCAGCAGTCGACGCAGGGCGTACGGTGCCGGCTCGCGGGGTAGATCCGCGCAGAAGCGACTTTCGAACGCGCGGCGCTTTTCAGCACGCAGATCGGCAGGAGTCTGTTTCGGCGCCGTCTTGCCAGCTTCATTGGGCCGCACAGAGACGACTCGCTTCTTCGATAAAACGAACAGTCGACCCGAGTGATCCTTCACAGCGGAGTGGTTTTCGGTTTCCGCTATGGAGCTCGCGTCATCATTTCTAGGGTCATATATTGGCTCCCAAAATGCATACCTTCCTAGAGATGGAGGCGATTTCTCGCTTGCCCGCATGGAGAGGAAACCATGAAGCAGATTCGAATCGGCATCGCGCTCGGACGAAGCATTCACTGAGACTGTTGTGAGTGGATCCACCGCGGCGTTCGTTTCCGTTTGCGAGCAGCGTCTGCGCAGACTGCGCGTCTGAACGGAAAGCTGTAGCGCCACAGCGTTGGCGGCGATGCTTCGAGCGCGCCGCCCTCGTTTCTGTGGGCGATCAGCGTCCTCACCAATGGTCAGTGATTCGCTGCGCTTCCCCGCAGCCTTGCCGAGGAGTACAGCGCGACTTTGCGCGATCCCGAGCGACTCGAGAAGGCGCTGATTCCGAAGCCGCTTCTCTCTTATTTGTGCTTCATACGAGTTGCACGCAGTGCAGGCTGATGCTGTTTCTGCTGACCCAGCGGTGAGCTGCGGTTCAGCATCCATGACCCGGTGCGGTTTATTGTCCAAAAACAGTCGCCACCAGCAGCGGAGCGCCTCGGGTATCACACTGTGCGGCGTCTAGTACGTGAGCCCCCGAAAACGCTAAGCATGAAGCATGGCGCGTTCGTTGGCGCTGCGGCGCGTGTTTCGATTTGTAACGCTTGCGGTGGCGCACGCGGCGCGCACTCTAGGCGCACCCGGGATACCTGGCGGGCATGAGACGGGACGCGCATCTCGCCGTTGAAGGGAAACGCGATCTTTCCTAATCGTTTTCTTGTTGCTCTACCGTACAGGTCGTATTTGCGTTGCAGTCGTAGCAGAGTACAGTCCTTCACCTCAGTTGTGTACTAACCCTCAAGTAACTGTTTTCAAGTGATTTTTCGCGGTTTGTAGCAGAAGCGGTCAAAGAAGTCTCATTTCCAAATATGTAAAAAAGGAAAGTCATGGAAAAGGAAATGGAGGATCCTGGGGGCACAGCGTCGACAGCCGGCAGAGAAAAAACAAAAAACGGTGCCGAGTTCAGAAGAACAGGAGAGGACGAAGGAGCAAAAGCGGGAGGTCCGACAATAAAGGCTGCAAGAAAGACGGCGATACGACGAGATGGTGGTGAGAGCCTGTCTTCTTAAGCATACTACTGCTCCGCACGGGGAAAAGTTGCGAGATGCCATCAGAAACCGTGCCGAGTCGAACTCCGGGAGTGTTTGCAAGGCTTCTTGAGGACCGATGCATATGACGAGGGAGATGTATCGCGACGTGACGCACTTGGAAACAGCTGAGGTTTCGGAACGTGCCTTCTACAAGACCTTTACTCGTCACCTCATGCTTGCTATAGGGGAAACGTCGCGGCGAAATGAGCGAGTGGATGCCCGGCATGAAAAATGATGCTGCATACCGCTTCAACGTTACTCGATACAGGGGTGACTTGCGTGTTTACACCAGCGGGGCAGTCAAGCACCTCACGCACCTGAAGAACGATATGATCGTGAACCTCGAACGCTTCATGATACGCGCCATGTTTGCGCTGGACCCCCCGGCCTCTCTCGCCGCGCGATGTGGGCCATCATCGACGGCATCACGAACGATCGCCAGAACGTACAGGAGATCGAATTTGTCGACAAGAAGACGTCACGCCGGTGCCTGAATGAAGCTTCTGTAATCCGCGCGGCTATTCAAGAGCACCGTGCAGTCTTGGCGCTGGCGAATCGAGCGGAAAAGGTACCAGATATGAAAAGAGATGAAGAAAGATGTTATCGCCCCATTGTGCGCTATTTCGGATTCCTGAACCGAAAACTCGAGCGCAAGGCGGAGATGGAGCCGAGTCAGAAAGCAAATGAAGAGCCGGAGCGACAGAAGGCCGCGCTTCTGGGTAAGCGCTTCTACGTCGCTCCGCTGTGCAGCATCAAGTCGCACTATGTGATTATCGACTCCAGAGTCCTCTACGGCGTCATGGAGGAGACCTGTCCGCAGTTCGATGGAAGGAAGACGGAGTTCACCGGTGAAAGCCGGGAGACGTACTGGAAGAATATCTTCTATTTCAAACGTCGCAAAGTGAGCAAGCAGAGGGTATTCACGGGCACGATCGAAACCGATGGAGTGTCCATGTGTGCACACTGTCGGCGGTTGAAGGCGGATCGTCCTATCGTGCCTTCGGCTTCGCCCGTGACGAAGCATGAAGATGAGAAGGAGGCGGATCCTGCCACACAGAACGTGCATGAGAGTGACTTTGTCGTTGGCGTGGACCCCGGAAACACGATGAATATAGCCGTCGCAGCACCGAAGCGTGCAGAAGATGGCAGTGACGGTGACTTGCGTCAGAAAGACATGCGTCTTTTCAAGCTCTCGAGAGCAAGATACTGTCGAGAATCGGGCATAATGAATGCAAGGAAGAAAGTTGAGACATGGAATGCAGGAGCGAACGAGCACCTGGAAGCTATGAGCGAGGTGACGAGCCGAGGAGCGGACTTTCGAACTTTTCTGAAATTCACGAAAGTCCGTGTTGCTGACTGGGAAGCGCCGTGGAAAGAGTACGCCAAGCCCCGGTGGGCTCGTCTGCGCGTTAATCTATACTGTGGGAAGCAGCGGGCGACCGCGGATTTCTTCAATCAGTTGAGCGCCTGAAAGGAAGATAAGAGTAAGAGGCTTTTAGTAGCGTATGGATCAGGGCACTGGATGACCCAGAAAGCGTGTCAACCAGCGCCGTCAACAAGAACATACAAGGAGTGCGCAGGCGTTTCGTTACGATACCGATCGATGAGTTCCGGAAATCGCCTATACACGATGAGTTGGGATGTACACTTCAGAGGGTGGAGATGGAAAAGTGCCCGAGGAGCCCTGAAGATATACAAAAGTACGGAGCGCTAACAGAAGAGCACATGGGAAGGAAAGCGAAAGTTTCTGGACTAGGTGCATCCGGAAGTACAATCAATAGCAAGAAACGTATGAAGTTTGTGAACCAAGACTTTAACGCCGCTATCAATGTAAGGAGGTGCGCGGTGATAGAAAGAAGACCTCCAGAGTTGACCAGAGAGAATTTCGCGGAAGAACCTCTCAAGGTGGAATTATATGAGAAAAAGTTGAAACCCTTAGTAGGCGGCCGGTCCAAAAAGGCTGGGAGGCGTCTGCACGTCAGTTGGAGAAGTTTTGTCTTGGGCGCGTTCGCCGCCACTACTGTAAACCGCTGGCGACTGCTTTCGACTTTTGAACGGCGTTCGCGAGTGTCACCCGAGGTCGCGTGCACGGCATCATTCTCGATACTAAAGTGCATCCTCCATCTCCAGACGAGGCGGTGACAGCAGACACGGATGCATCACTCCGCATTCTTCCAAAGCTGAACGCTTTGCGCGTTCGTTTCACATGGTTCGTCAGCCTGCTCCTGCTATTTCGGAGGTGTTCCACTAGACGCAGTTGCGTGTGCAGCGCCAAGACCCCGGCGAGGTGGCCGCAACGTCGCTTTGAGCGGTTCCAAAAGTGCTCGCTCGCCACCGGTTTGTGCACCAAGTGCCTGCCCAGGTTGCCACCCGAGCCGCCGCATCAATTCGTGGCCGCGATTCTCGGCTGCAACTGGCTGAACGGCAAGCGCGGTCTGCTGCAGCTGGGCACGTCCCCGCTCGGTGTGAACCGTACCCTTGGTGAACTGTTTCTGTTGCTTCTCCGTGTCCTCAGGGGAGCGCTTTGCCGACGTCGCCGAAGCGTTCGACCGCGAGGCGTCGTTCGTACGCGTTTCACGACGTGTCCTATAGAGGCCGCTTTGCTTGAGCAGCGCCTTCTCGGAACATTCCGAGGCCAGCCGTTGCGCCTCTTCAAGCCCGCACCATCGAGTATTGCGCGTTCGAGCGACCGCTACTACATGTGCATTAGGCTTCGATACGACGCGCGTTCGGCAAGCCTGCGCCAGCCGGTGAAGGAATTCGCGGCCCGTGCTACATATGGCTGGCATGTCTACGTAGTCCACCGCATTTGGTCCGGTATCCTCACAGAAACGCATCATCGTACGGATCGCCTCATCCATGGTGGCCTCCAGCTTCATTTTTGTTTCTAGGAAACGTTTCTCTTTGACTGCACTTTTCCGTCTTTGCCGCCGCTTTCGGCGTCCGTGACCGATCAGCAACTGGTTGAATTCCGCCTCCCGCTCCAACCAGCTCAGTTTCGCGTGTAAGCCGTTGCCAGTTTTACGATACCAGCTTGTTTCCGCGAGACTCTGCAGATTTTCAGTGTCAAACTCCTTCCGGTGCCAGTCCTCAGACAATGACTCGCTTGGGCTGGTTTCTGAGCGACCACTCTTATCCAAAGGTGCTCCACGCTCCGCCGTTACAGTGCGAGACTCACCCGTGTGAGTTGAGCGCGTCTTTTCTTGCAGCGAGTCCGAGTCCGAGTCCGAGTCCGCGTCCAAGTCGAGCGGCGTGAGCGCCCACGCTCCGCTGGGTAGACCGTCGGCCTCAAAGTCCGAGTCCATGTCCGAGCCGAGTTGCATGAGCGCCAGCAGGGGGCTCGATAGTTCGTTGTCGCTGTCGTCGTCGTCGTGAAACCGGCGCGACACAGCGTCGTACACTGCGCTCGTCCACACAGCAGCCGCGCTGGCGTCGACATGCTGCCACGGTGCGTCCCGAACGGATACCGTTTCTGCCGCGCTCCCAGGTTCACAGAGCGCACCACACCGACAGCAGCATTTCTCACCTGCCCGCCTGTCCTTCGCAGTTGTGTGGCGACACCGACGTGGCATCGCAGTTCTGGACAAGACTCGTCCCCAGAGTTAGTACCAAGGTGCACTGACGACCGGTTTAACCAGCCGTTACCATCGCATCATCGATCGCGCACGGGAATGAAGTTATCGAGCTGGCGCGGCATCTTGGATCTTAATTTTCAAACTGGATTCGCGCAACGCTATCGCTAGAAGCGCCCGCTACCAGGACGCAATCATCACGCAAACATAGCGGATTACGCTATATAATCGTATCGTTGTGGAACACTGTTGCTGCTGTCGCTGGTGCTCTCGTAGCGTCATTGCGGTGCAGTTGCGTCAAATCTCTGTCAGTCCCAGCGGAAGCGCATCTGATTGTTTGGCAAGATCAACGTGAGGTTTCGGCTTTTCAAGCGACTGAACGAACATGGCAGAGGCAGTGGGCATCATGTCTGGGGCTTTTTTTGTTTCTCGGGGGGAACTCTTATCGTGGCTGAACGACTTTCTCAAACTGAGTTACACGAAAGTTGAACAAGTCGCAGATGGTGCAGCGCACTGTCAGGTTTTTGACGCTCTCTTCCCCGGGAAGGTACCGCTGCATAAAGTGAACTTTAGCGCTCGGCATGAGTACGAGTACGTACAGAACTATAAGGTGCTTCAAGCGGTTTTGGATAAAGTTGGTATCGAAAAACACATCGAAGTCGAGCGACTCATTAAGGCAAGAGCGCAGGATAACCTGGAGTTTCTCCAGTGGGTCAAAGCAGTGTTCGATCGCTTCTACGCCGGCCAGCCTTACAACGCCGTGGAGCGACGCGAAGCCGCTGTCCGCAAGTACAACGAACAAAAGCCCGGTGTCAGCAGGGAAACCGTAGGTGCTGCGATGAAGCGACGTCCTGTATCGGGCCCAAAAACTGCCGCTGGCCTTCATGCGCCCGCTGCGCGAACGCTTCGATGCACGGGTGCGGTTAACAGCAACATTCGGGCGCAGCGGGAGGAGGCCTATCGAGCGGCTTCCGCTACGACGCATCCCCGTGGCGGCACGCCCGCACAGGAATCCACGACTTGCTCGAGCCCGGCTCAGCCGCGCACTGCATCGCCAGGCACCAAGACGGAGCCGCCGGCCGTTAATGCTGCAGACGGCCTGGCGCGGGAACAGGAGTCCAAGCTGATTCAGAAAATTACTGAAATGCAGCTTGCCATCGATAATCTCGAGAGAGAACGAACCTACTATTTTGAAAAACTACGTGATATCGAGATGCTCTGCCAGACGCATCCGGAGCCAGAGCTACCGCTCATCAAGGCTATCCAAGCGGTACTGTACGACGAGCCCCTTCAAATCGAGCGGGATGAACCCGCTCCCGTCTCACGAGGCACAGGAGCGCATTCTACGTCGGATTCCCTGTTGCCGCCCGCATCCGCAAGCGATGTTGAGGACACTCCTGCAAGCTTCGATTCCATTTTTTCGAAAACGGTGATCACGAGCTGCTCGGAACAGCAAATGGGAGCGACGTTAGCATCTCTTCTTTAAAGGGAAAATGGGCGTTCTCGCGCTCAACGCCTCAATACCACCGTCTGCATCGAGTGCACCGGCATGCGTCCCCCGATCTATCTGATCCAAGAACCCTCAGGCAAGCACCACTTCTCGCAGGCGATACCTAACTCCAAGAAGCTCGCAGCTGAAAAACAGAGAGCTTCAGAACAAGCGTGCAACCGAGCCGTCGTCGAACGCCCTAGCCGGCCGAGTGGACAGCGAAACATCCGCGGCGTCGCGTCCGTGTTCTGACTCTGAAACGCCGCACCTTAGACAACAGCATTCCGAACTCTAGGAGACAAACGCTTCCTTTCGGTTGCGAGGTAAGGCCACGCGAACGCTCGGAACACTGTCTCTGAAAACGCTGGCGACACGAGCGTCTATGGCCCTCGGCGGAAACGCTGACACGTGCGAGCTTTGGCCAGGATCATGCACCAGACGCTGCTGAACAGTGTGGGCACCAAGTCTATGTCATAGCTGCCACAACAGAGCGGGTTGCGGCAGGTCCTCACAACCGCCGTGGCTGGATTACTGGACGCACTGAACTCGTAAAACCTGCTTCGCCCAAAATCATGGCTTTCCGATCACCCGCGATTCCGTTTTCCAAACGTTTGCGAAAGCAACAGCAGACCGGCGAGCTGTTCCTGCTCACGCGACCACAGGACTCCCAGGCGTCCTCTCGAAACATGGTACCCGGTCTTCGCTGGAGTTTCGGCGAAACCCAAGGTTTCGTTGCACTGCGCTCTCCAGTGAATACCTGTCTCGCAGATGCAACATGCAAAATCTCAATGAAAGCACCGCGTACACTTCGTCTAGTCTTCCAACCCAATTTGCTGGAGACCTGCTGGGGTGTGTAGCAGGAGATCGACATCACGATGCAATGTACCGTATAGATCGTAGACGAATTGCCGGTGGGATATATTCTTTATTGAACAGTGCAACGAGTACTGTGTTTCTCCTTCAAGTCAGTTATACCAAAGTACTCCGATGGTTGAGGAACACTGAAACAAAGAAGCATATGCACTCTGCGGCAAACAACCGATATTCTCGAAGACTGCTTATGGACAATGGAAGAATGCGACCCGTTGATCACCGTATGGAAAGAGAAATTGTCGGTATCATTTGCCACAGGCGTCTCAGTTGCTCGACATCTTGTTCATCTGGTCCTGTAAAAGCTTGGAAACAGGCAAAAAATCCAGTTTCACGCACGGCCATCGTCTACGGAAATCGCTACCACAGCTTTCCTGGGACGTCGCGATCGGTATGAAGCACAGGCACTTTGGTTTGTTTCCTCAGTCGATGAGGCTTGCTTCGGATGAAACGGTGGGAGCATATATTGGTATTCTCGGAAAGGAGGCCCAATGTATGTACGATCGAAATCGAAGAAGACGAGGACATCATCATCTATTCTAGCTGCAGGGCATTCATTTGATGGCCTCGCTATCGCTCGTAATAAAGGCGCATACAACAGCACCAACCACTTTATCGAATTATTGAAGGGTTTCCCTAACGTATTGAGACGTCCTTCTATTGAACAACATGGTATTTCAATATTCCCCAGGGATCGAGCATTTGCCGATTCTATCTGGGTAGAGCTGCTTTTCATTCCGTAGTACGTTCCGTTGTTGTACCCCACTGAAGAAGTGTTTTCTATCATGGAAATTATCGACCGCTCCACTGGCCGAATCGCTGAATCGCCCAGCACACAGTGACACACTGTGGCACATTACATCTTCCTTGAACGAATCCTTCTCCATTAGGGAAGATCCTCACCTAATGGCATGAAGAATTGCGTTCATTTTCAAAAAAGTCTGAGGGATGAGCTGGGATGTACCATTCAAAGATCGGGATGGGGAGAATGCAGCGGAGCATTTCGACGATAGAAAAGCACGGAGAGCTGACAGAGCAGCAAATGGCACTGAGGGCACTAGTTTGAGGACTCCTTCCATTGGCGAGCACCACCAGAGGCAATACATGCATGGAGTTCGTGAACCGAGTCTTCAACGCCGCTATCAATATCAAATGATGTGCGGTGCTGGAGACGAGACCCTCGGGGCTAGCGCGATCCTCTTGCTTCGTGCAGCCTCACAGTCTCGAAGCGTGCCTGAATAAACTGAAATTGATGGCAGTCTGACGGTCAAAAAAGGCTGAGAGGCATCTGCGCCTGGGTATCAGTTTACCATCTCGAGCCGACGTCCTCTGGGGTACGCCAACGTCGTCCTGTCTCTCTGCTATGACCGTAACGGCGCTATAGGCGCGATCACCGATGCAGGAATGCAGATACGCGGCACACGATAGAACGTACAAAGTGACCAATGTATCCGAGAAGAATTATGGACCATGGACCTTGGAGATAGGGCGTGGTATGATCGGTGCTTCACCGCGCACCGTTGGGGATCCCTGATCTTTTAGGAAGGTTTTGTCCAATTATGGAAGATAGCCCGACGCACCGGCGTCGAGCTGAAAGGATCTCGGGGTGCGATCCCGCGAGCGCGCTGCACCACGCCGCATTCCAGCGGATCGTGAAAGCATCGGATTTACGGACTGCACGAACGCGTCGTTGCTGCTACACGCGTGCTGCTCTGTTGAGGTGTGTGTGTGTGTGTGTGCGGTGTCTTGGGCCGCAGGAACTTGATCACAAACAGCCAGGCCTTGAGCCCAGCGTGTGCGACGCCCAATTGACGGTCAAGTCAAGAAGTTTCTGCGCATCGCAAGTCATCTGCTCCGTTTGAAGAAGCGTAAAATGGCAACCTCGAAACCGTCTGTCACTTTTGTGAGCGCGCCCGCCCAGTTCTGGGGCGCTTCAAGCGCGCGCCCGCTTGCTCCCCGTCGTGTTCACCGCCCATGCATCCGCCGCGTACCCTTCCTTCAAGCAAAGTTTCGTGTTGCTGTTGTAGGTGGTGGACCCGCCGGGGCGTGCGCGGCGGAGGCGCTCGCCAGGTGCCCAGAGATTGAGACTTTTCTCATAGAGCGAAAGATGGATAACTGTAAGCCCTGCGGGGGTGCTATCCCGCTGTGTATGGTGGATGAGTTTGGCTTACCGCCCGACATCATTGACCGGAAGGTTCGGCGCATGCTCATGGTTTCGCCCTCGGGACGTGAGATTCCGGTTGGTCGAACGCTCAAACCTCATGAGTACATCGGTATGACACGTCGCGAGATTCTGGATAGCTATCTGCGAGAGCGCGCTTATGAACTTGGAGCGATTCGTGTGCACGGGCTCGTTCAGGAGGTAGAGCTTCCGGATCCGCGCGATCCCCGCGGCAAGTACCGAATCAAGTACGCAGACTACGATAAGATCGACGGGGGCAGGGCCACCACAAGCTCTCTCGAAGTCGACATGGTCGTCGGGGCAGACGGTGCCAACTCTCGGGTCGCCAAGGCAATCGACGCTGGCGACTACAGCTATGCGATTGCTTTCCAGGAGCGAATCAAAATTCCCGACGACAAGATGGCGTTCTATGAAGATCTCGCGGAAATGTATGTCGGAGATGATGTGTCACCAGATTTTTATGCCTGGGTTTTTCCAAAGTACGACCACGTTGGTGTCGGGACCGGAACGGTAATCGACAAGCCCAACATCAAACGCTACAAGGAAGGCATTCGCCAGCGAGCAGCACCGAAGATCGCTGGTGGCAAAGTGATCAAAGTAGAGGCGCATCCGATCCCGGAGCATCCGCGGCCGCGTCGCGTGGTCGGCCGGGTTGCCCTCGTCGGTGACGCGGCCGGCTACGTAACCAAGTGCTCCGGCGAGGGTATCTACTTCGCTGCGAAGAGCGGACGCATGTGTGGCGAAGCGATCGTACGCGCGAGCTTGAACGGAAGCCGCATACCCACGGAGCAGGACCTGCGCAATGGCTACCTCCGGCCGTACGATCGCCAGTATGGACCAACGTATACAGTGCTTGATATCCTGCAGAAAGTGTTCTACACGAACAATGCCGCTCGGGAGGCGTTTTGTGAACTCTGCGGCGATGACTACGTCCAACAGGTGACCTTTGATTCGTATCTTTACAAGAAGGTTACGCGCACGAGCCCAGTTGAGGACGTCAAGTTGCTCTTCCGCACGATAGGATCCCTGATGCGTGGCCATGCTCTAGCCCCGTAGGCGCTTCCCATGTCAGAACACGGGAAGTGAAAGTGCTGTTGGTTTGCGGTTGAGCGCGGGCGCATCTGGCGCTTGCTTTTTACCAAAGAGGCTCTACCGCATCACCAACTGCTGAGCATCGAGCGAATGACCCCTACACGGAGAACTGTATGGAACCGCGGACGAGTGTAACCAGAATATCATCGCACTATGAACGGTGTCTTCAACGGCTTTAAAGCGTTTATGCTTGCTCAACATTCCACTCATGTTCAGTACATGCGCATCAACTCGAATTCGAGCCAGCGCCCAGCGAGTCCGGCCCTGGGCGCGAGCCTCAGATGCTCACGAAGCCACGCGACCCAGTCTGGAAACAGGAAACGTTCGCGGATCTGGGCACAGCGGCATGCAACGCGAGCGAGCTCTACCAGTCCATCCGGTAGGAGTCGCTCTCGACAGCTGACCCTCGCGGCGGTCGAGACGCACGGCTGCCTCCGAAGCCAACGATAAAGGATGCAGGGCACGGCGATTTCAAGAGTGACAAGTCCCAACTCGACCGATTCAGGGATGGACGCATTCGGGGTCGCGCCGGTCTCCGAAACCCCCTGCATAACCCATTCCAGGAGCACAACATAATCCATTGGCTCGAAGACGATCGGGGATGCGTATACCAGCGTCGCAAAAGCATTGCGACGTAGATGCAATGTGTCCGTCGGCGATAGACGCGTCTGCGCATCATCGCCGCCATCCAGTGTCGCGTATTCCGTCGTTGCCCGAGACATCTCCTGAGAAAGCGCTTTCAGATAATGTTGACAGATCGTTGAAGCGCAGGTAGCCTGGGGCGCACCCGGTAGGCACCGCGTCGTGCCAGCTTGATTCAAAACAGTTTCCCATTGTTGTGTCTCTTCCGTGTCGATATACAGCGGCCGAAAGAGATCGCCGAGGATATCCCATTCCAGCTCATCGTCCACCACAGGTGGTGCCGCCAACCAGCGTGGAGCCTCGGCCCCGATGCGCTCGAACTCGTGCTCGAGACACGGACTCGGTCGTGCGAAGAGGTACGGCTGAAGGAACAGCGGCGACAACGACGACGACGACGACGGTGCACCACCGGCGCCTTCACCACGTGTTCCGACCGGAGTTAGCGCTCCGCCTCCAATCCCTGTGATTGCCTCGTAGAGTCTGCAGGAAGGCGGCAAGTCAGCGGCACTGACGCTTGACGCTGCGTTCTTTCCCGCATCCGCAGCTCCTGCTGCTGCTGTTGCCGTTGCTGCTATAGACAACGCTCGCACTTCAGATTGTGGATTCCGCTTTCGCGGAGGCTTCCCGGTCATCGCACTTCGAAAACTGTGGGCATGAGTGTTCGGAAGCAAGTCGTCAGCCCCGACTTTGGAACAGCGTGCAACACCTGGAAGAATGCGGTACAGGTTTCGATCCTGCAAGCGCTGCGCCCAGCCTCCGTCCAAATTGCTTGAGCATCATCGCCCGTCCCAGTGTCGCTCAATGCCGACAACTATCGCGTGCATGAATCGTATGAGCGGACCCGAATCCCCGAGACGAACTATGGGTGATGGTTATTGGTGGAGCATGAAGGCCAGGTACGGAATGATGGAAGCTCTGGTAGGTGTCAAGAATCATCGCGCACTCCGTGATACCTGGTTAAATGCGTCGAACTGTCGCGTCGCCGTATTCATCCAGAGCAGCGGGCAGAGACGGATTCCATGCGTTCCTATTCACACGGAAAGATAATGAAGGTGTGAGCAGGTTTCAGCCGGTGCTCAGCTGGTGCCGTGCTGCGGAAACCGATCTAGGCGGTCCGATGAACGACGAGGTTCCGCAGTTGCGCGCAACGGCCGCAAGGCTCGACTCGATACGAAGTGTTCTTTCTGAGCGCTGCGGTGGAAACGGGGAATTTGGGCAGAGACACACCACACCGCTCTGATTCGATGCGTCGATGCAGGCACCGCAAGCTACCGCAAACATGCTAGCGTGCGTGAGAGTGCGAGAGAGAGAGAGATAGAAAGGATATCTCACTGCAGCTGATAACATGTCATGAATCGTGATGAAGACGCGTGAACGTGCTTGCAATGGGTACACGTTCGCATGCACTGCACGGTTTCCTGGGTGCCCGCAACACCACAGATGCACGGGTCATGCGCTCGCCACTGGACTTGCCGCACATCCTGTACCAATCGATCATTCCATGACTCGAGGATGCATGCGGTCGCCAACGGGAGGACGACTTCGTGAACCAGAACAGATGAAAGCATCATCCGCGTTGTGAGTTTAGACGGCTACCTCTGACTTTGCGAGGGCGTGGATGAGGAAGATGCGATCAAGACATTCCTCGACATAACGATCGGGGGTCGATGCACCCGATGTCACACCGAGGCGCACGTGGCCACCGTGCTTGCCGGTCTTGGGCAACCAGTACTCAGCGCGCTGGATTTGTCCATGCACATCGCGATACTCAATGCGATTCCCGGGTCCAATGCGCTCGGCGGTGTCCACGTGGTAGACAGGAATACCGCGCTGATGGGCGATCTCGACCAAGTGACTCGTGTTCGAGCTATTGAAACCGCCGACGACAAGAATGAGGTCGAGGTCCTGCTCAACCAGCTCTAGCATCGCATCTTGGCGTTCCTGCGTGGCATCGCAGATGGTATTGAACGCCACAAAGTGCTTCGAGAGCTCGGTTGGACCGAACTTGCGCATCATGGTTTTCTCAAAGAGCTTCCCGATAGCAGCGGTCTCGTTCTTCATCATCGTGGTTTGGTTGGCAATGCCAACTGCATTCAGGTCTCGTTCGGGATCGAAACCGGCGCTCATCGCATTTTGAAACCTGTTCAGGAATGCTTCCTTATCGCCACCGTGAAGAATGTAGTTGCAAACGTATTCCGCCTCCTCAAGGTCCTTGACAATCAGATACGTTTCCGCGAATGAAGCAGTTGCTATGGTCTCCTCATGATTCCATTTCCCATGGATGATAGAGGTGCAGCGCGCCCTCTGATGCTTATCGAGCGCATTCCAAACCTTGCTCACCCAAGGGCAGGTTGTGTCCACGATCTGGCATCCCAACCGATCCAGATACGTCATTTCGTCGAGCGTCGCTCCGAAAGCCGGCAAAATCACAACGTCCGACGGCTCGATGCCGCTCAGATCCTTATGCCGCATGCCCCGTTCATCCACATGTTCTGGAACGAAGAAAATACCCATCTCCTTGAGTCTCGTATTAACCTTGGGATTGTGGATGATCTCATTCGTGATCCAGATCCGCTTGTCGGCGAACTGACGACGCGCCTCAAACGCTAGCGCGACCGCGCGTTCGACTCCCCAGCAAAAGCCATACGCTTTGGCCAGGAGCACCGTCAAGCCGTCCCGTTCCAGGGTGTACGCACTTTCACGTAGCGCCTTCAAGAGTTCCGATGAGAACTCTCCAACCATCAATCCTTGTGCTTCTTCTTTCGTAGAGGCGAAACCTCGACGATTAAACTTCTCGCTCTGCATAATCTCGCGGCGTCGCTGCTTTTTGTCTAGCGGCCGCTCGGCAACTGCATAGACGGTGCGTGATGAAGCTCCATGTGAGCGTCTTCTGTGTGCGAGCGTTACCTTGGAAGCATCAAAATCCGCAAAATTCGTGCCAATATGCGGTCTCGATAAGCTGGGAAAACAGAACATGAGCGAACACGTGTCGTTCCACAGGTGCCCGCAGAGAAACGCCAACGCATTACTCAAAGCGTGCACGAAACACGCGCCTCTGCGTGCCGCGCGATACCACCCGTTCTGCTGGTGAGCGACGCGCGCACGCAGCCGACTGGCGTCTCGTGCACAGCGTGCGCGTCAGAGGGCGGCCACCGGTGACTCGGCGTGCACAGCGTCGTCCGCTCTGTATATAAAATGGCTTCTATGTACAGATTGAAAGCGTTTCAAGTGTGACGCGATGCTCGACACCCAGCGCGTACCACATCACCAGATACGCCCGTGGTGACGTGCCGGGCGTGCGATGCGTACCGTTCAGCAAGGGATTTATGGTACGTGCCTGCGCGATCGCTTGTCGTTCGGAAGGGCGTGCTCTTGTCGAGCGTGTTCGCGGGTCAAGACTCGGCTCGACACACTAGGAAGAAACCTGCAAGGTCAGGTTTCAAGTACGCTAGAGAGTCTTTTGGGAAACGATGACAAAGTTTGCACCAGCACTGGATGACTTGGGTGTCGTGGCGCCTGCTCCGCGTCAGCGCTATGTGACGGTGGCTTTTATCGGCACAGGCGTGCAACTAGGTACGCGATCAGCAATATCCAACACGGGGCGGTTTCTTTGGGAGCGTGCCTTTGCGGGGTCCGACGCGAAACGTCTACGCGTTCGACACCAGTGCCGAGAAGGTCGTCTGCGGCTTGGGTCACCGGTTGCACCTCGAGCCAGCTGGGGCACGCCCGGGCAACGCCTATCGAATCTGACACAAAGCTTAGCAGTCGGTTTGTATATGGTCCCGCTGCTGTTTTGTTTCGTGGATCCAATGGGACTGTTTGCCGCGCCTTCGCCAGCTTTCAAGCTACCACCGGTCGATATGACGGACCCGAACCGGTGCAACTTGACGTCGTCGACGATTGGCCAAGCGAATGCTGCACGCGATAAGTTCCTAGACGGGAGGTTTTGCGATTTACGCGGTAGAGACTTTAGTGGATATGATCTGAGTGGGGTTCTGCTCGAAGGCGCAACCGCGGATGAGGCGCGTTTCCGGTCCACGCAGCTGAGCAAGGCATACGCACCGGGCTTCAAATGCCGCAGATGCGATTTCGAGGACGCAGTCGTTGACCGTGTCAACTTTGAGAATGCTGATCTCAGTGGAAGCGTTTTTAGGAATGCGGTTCTTTCAGATTCAATGTTCAGCGATGGTACGAATGTGCGTGATGTTGACTTTACAGATGTCTATATTGGCGAGTACGGCTTGAGACGGCTATGCCGAAACCCGACGCTCGACGGAGAGAATCCGCTGACCGGTGCCCCGACTCGTGCATCTCTCGGATGTCGAGCGGAGCGCTAGCGCTTCGTCGCCGATGACCACGCTGACCGAGCCATTCATACTGGACGATGCTGGAGCACTCACGATGCCCAGGGACTCGAGCACCCGACGACATCACGACGAACGGCTTGCGTCATATTTGCGAGTAGGCCAGCTCGGGATGTGAAACCGAGCTCGAACGCTCTGTGCGAGCGACACGCTTGCGCTGGTCATGTGCTGGATGTTGCGGTGCTGCGGCGGTGGTAGCTGGAGCCTGTTCCTCGCGAGTGCGCTTTCTATGAGATTGGATCTCGGGCAAATCTGGGTGTGTCATCATCCCGCGGGCAATGAATCCAATCATGAACCTGGTACTTTATCTGGGAAATTTTTGCAGTCTTTCACGCACAGTCATGTTGCTCGCTCTAACTCTGGGTCATAGGTTCAGATAAACAAGCGGTTAAAACGGGATTTCCTGGGGTGTACGCGCTCATCACGTACGAAACGAAGTCCAGGAGCTTGGCACTACGCCATGTGATCGTTGCATACTGCGTAAAAACAGACATTCGCTTCTGAAGATGTCTTTGGGGCGTTCCGCTTTCGTGTGCAGGTCTTTGCCGCAGCGATGTCCCGACCATGTGATGCGACGACGCGTTCTCGCTGATCGAAGCAGCCGAACGTGTGCATTTCGTTTTGATTCAGGATCGATGAAGTCGATGAGATCGCTAGGCGCTCTTTATCCATGCCCGAGCAGTATGAAACAAGTCCACGAATACGAGCGCGTACTCTAAAGCTACGGAGGAGTGTCATCCCAGGGTCATCAACGCCAGCTGTTCGCGACTGGCGTTGGGACTGCTTTTTCGCCGTCTTTCTCTCTAGGCGCCGGCTTTAGATACACCGGCCTCTCCGGTCCGTCGACCTCGGTTGCCGGAGATCGGCGGACGTTCCTATAAGCGTTCAAGTCTCGAGTTCGATGCATCTGGCTGTTGTCCACGCATGTCATGCGCAGGCGGTGGATGCAGTCCACGCTTCGCTTCCAGCGCTCATCTATGTTTGTACACCGCCACAGAGCGTCATTCGCATCGGTGACAACTGGCTGTGGCCACGTTTTCGCATCGACACACTGCATTTGCGCCTAAGAGCGCTGGAGTACCGCGCCTCAAGGCCTGACACATCGCCCCGCACATGCGATGGAGCGCTATAGGTAGGCTTCCCTAAGGGTCCGCCTCCGATTCCATGCCCGGTGCCGTGTTCGAAGAGGACGCGCTTGCTCTGGGCGATCACCTCGTCGAGTTCGCTGTCCGCTGTGTACGCAAGCGCACGCTGTCCAGCTCGGTGGATGCTTTTTGGGGCCCGGTGCTCTCCATGAACAGACAAGTACCGGGAGGGATATGCAGGCTGGGGGAACCACTTGGTAAATTCCGGTCCGTGTACGCCTCCTTCGTGTAAAGTTGCGACGCATGCTCCACTGGAAGGGGCCGCGGCGATGACGCCCCTTTGAGCGCGAAACTCGTTGCCGGGCACGCAGAAGAGTCGGGAGCGTCGCGGAGCGTATCCCGCAAGAGGGATGGTGCTGGCATCGGATGACGTTTCATCGTTGGTTTGAACGAAAGCATGATTTGTCTTGCGAATGGAATCGGTTATTGACGTGAAGCATGTAGTGAGTTTCGGGCGGGCGCTCGTAAGCAAGTCGTGCAGGGACGACGTCGCGGCGCTTTCCCGTCGGCAATCCAATGGACGGAATAGGTGCGCTCACGAGTTGCCTTGACACACACACACACGCACAGAGAGAGAAATCGAAAACCTGAAGCATACTTTATTCGAGCATGGTACTCATACGTTGAGGAGAAGCGTACAGGCTTGTGCGTATCCATTAAGTAACGGGATCGATGCTTTCAGGGACGCCCTTGTTGGACCATATCGATAATCATCTTGATTCCGGTACCGCGTATCCATTAAGTAACGGGATCGTTGATTCCAGGGACGCCCTTGTTGGACCATATCGGTAATCATCTTGATTCCGGTACCGCGTATCGAATTCCAGCAGCAAAGTGTTGAAGGAGCCGCTGTGAAACGATGACCGCGAATCCTAATCCACGTCAGCATCCATGGGCCCTGATTGCTGCATGTCCAATGCAGAGGCTGTACACCTTCAAATATTTCGGAAAATAATCGCGAGGCGCGGACAGAGCCAGCAGTTCAGCATTCGATTCTACGCTGACACCGGTTGTAAAGCGCTTGTCGTTATTCCCATGGATTTCGCAGGCCAAATCCAGCATGGGAACTGCGCACTGGCCATCTATAACTCCAACGGGAACCTCGCCGACGTCAGTAGGAGACGGGTCAGCGCCCGATGCGGTTGCACTCATCAACGGCGACGCAACTTGCGCTTACATTTGTGTTTGCGATGTACGCAACTTTCCCAAGAACTGCTGCATCCTTTGCACTAATCAGGGAGACATGCTTGCGCGACTGCTGCCCCCATCCGGGGAAGCGTTCAGCAGTGCGCACTACTCCTCCCAGTTCCAAAAGCCACAACACACATTTACGCGTCCTACTGACACTCAGTCATCTGCATCTTTTCCATGCCGTGCGCACAGATAATTCGGAGTCATGAGCGCAGCGGCAGCGGCAAACACAGCCGTATCACTCCAAAGCGTGTTCGAGGGTACGCTCCGCTGGCAGACTTCTCGAAGGAGCACGCTCTACTGGAACGGTGAGGCAGTGCAAGCGATGTGACCGACGCCACACCTAGCTCGACACCAGCGTTAGAGGGCTTCGTAACCACGGCGTGCAAACTGCTCCCAGAACAAAGCTGGGGGCGCAGTGCGGCGTGTTTGTCAGGTTGCGAAACACGTTCTGCTGGTTTCGGGTGCACCTGGCTCGGTGGACCACGTAGCCGCCCAGCGTCCGCTGGGCTCTCTCGGATGCCGGTGCGTACAGTAAAGCGACGCTCCCCGGTCTAAAGCAGAACAAAGTCGTTAACGATTGCAGTCCGATTGCTTTGGGGTCCCAGCTTCGCACTGAGACGAGCAAAAGTGACACTCATAGAGTCAGGCGCTTTACCAAAAGCGGCGGACTCGGTGCCACGGCCGCAGACGATAGCCCTCACGCAAACGCCACCATCGCCCAGTGGCCGGGGCACCAGAACGAAGGCATTCGCCTTGTTGGAGGCAGCGTGTACCCGTCACGAGCTGTCGAGGCACTCCGTCGCGATTCCTCATGTCTGGACTATAACAGACCGTAAAAGAAGCAATCCTATTTGAAATATGCGAGAATTGCAAAAGACCGGCTTTGGTGGACGGTTGGCTTTTGCCGGCGGTGCGTGGTGCTGCAGTACGCAGCACACCGCGGACCTTGCGGGGTACCGGTTTCGTGCGGGCGCCCAGTTACGGATATTGCGCAGTGAATCCTTGCAACTGAGGCACGTGCTGCTGTCTCCGCCCGCGCTTCCAAGAAAGCAAGCAAGGCTGAGAACAGAGCACGTTAGGCACGTGCTGGCAGGCGGCCGTATCAGCGGAACGCAGAGCAGCCGCTGGCTCCCCGAAGTACGACGCAAGCCGTTCAGCTTTGAAAAAGGCAACACGACGATTTTACGTTCCTGTGAAAACAGCGAATTGCTGGGGAACAAAGGCCGCGAGCTGCAGATCACGGGGTCGAATCCCCCGACCGAGTCTTCGTCGACCGCGATCGACCCCGAAGAAGGTGACGATTTTGAGGCGAACGCCGAGGAGGCCGAGCTGTTAGCAGCAGCTGCAGCGGCGCCCCCAGAGGTTGCAGCCGCAACGCTCCGCCGAAAAGTGCGCGCCCGTGCACGCACCGCCAGACTACAGAGGGATATCGAGGGCACCGATCACGCCAGGCGATATCGCATTACAACGTACTGCACCGCCAAGGAGTATGACATGGTGCGAGCTCTTCGACGAATGAGAGTCTGGTCCAATAATCAGGCTGGTTTGGTCGACGACTCGTTGGTGATTCACGCTCGACCCCGGCGGGCAGCTATGGTCAGTGAAGACGACGCCGCTGAAGAGCCCGGCGATGTCTTCATCTTTCGCTACGGTGTTGTGGTCATGTGGCATCTCGATCCCGAAGAGGAGCGCCATCTACTGACCATCATTCGATCATTTTGTGAACGCGACGGCCTTGACGAACCCGAGTCTGATGACTTTGCATACGAAATAAGCGGGGATCAACCGCGTTTCGTCTCAGACATTCTGATGATGCCGGATGCTTCAGTTCTAGCGAAGCTTGCTGCATCGCATGGCATGGCACAATCTATCAAGCTGTCCAGCTTTGAAGAGAGTGTTCAGCGAAGCGTCGAGGCGACGCGTGATCTGGCTGCGGAGCTGGCGGCCACAGGTGCAATTGTCTCGCGGAGTCGCCGGGATATCGCCATGACGCTGGGGAGTCTGGTGATGGACAGGCACATTCTGTACCTCTTTGCGGATGTTCTGGATCCGCCTGACATTATCTGGAACCATCCCGAATACGATTCTCTGTATCGTCTCGTTGAGCGCTATTTAGAACTACCGCAACGAGTTGAGATGTTGAACAAACGTGTTGACGTTGTCCGGGAACTGTTGAACCTGTTGAGTAGCGAGCTCCAGTTCAGGCATAGCAGCCGGCTGGAGGTCATTATCATTGTTCTGATTATGCTGGAGCTCATCATCGCGCTGGGAAAGGAGGTTGTACCGCTTATCGCTGGTACCGCGCGCCACAATCGTTTCTGGATCTTGGTTTTTCTGGCAATTTTTGTAGCTGGACTGCTGGTAACGCTTGCCGCGCTGATGGCAGAAAACTTATTTACGTTCCCTCATAAGAAACGCGATCATGATCGCTTCCTAGCTAAGCCTTTTCGACCTCTGGCTGAGATAGAGAATTATCGCGCCCTCAGGTTCCAAAGTACGACTCCACCACCAAGGCCAGGTCGCTGAGTTCAAGTAGATCCTGCAGAGCAGATATAAACTTCAGTTACCTAGATCGTGGAGATACAGACCAGAAATCCTGTCATATGTCGTCAACCGAAATTACTCCATGAGAATGAGCTTCGGCTCTGCACCTGTTCCATTGTACTGCAGTCGCTCCTGGTGCACAAAGCAGCAAGCGCTGGGAAAACCACAAATAACAGCGCATACCTCAAGATAGTCAACGTACATTCCCATACGTTCCATCTGCTCAGCGCGCCGGTTTGCAAAGCAAAAGCAGTTTAAAACCGGCACGAAGGCGATGAGGGTGCCTATGAGGCACTGCGGCTGAAGACAGCGCTCTCCTTGGTCGACCGCGTACAACTCACCCCACGCACAGGGAAGGCAGAAAAACTGGTAGATGCAGTCAAGTGGACTGACGGATACAGAGTCGAGCAGCTTATAGTCCCAAACCATGATGAAACAAAAGTGAAGAAAGCTCCGTAACGTGTCTAGCGCTCGGTGCTGCGCACTACGGTAGAACGCCGAATTCGAATGCTCTATCGGGCGTTATAGAAGCGCACGCACACGTGCAGCCACCGCCGTGTGCTCGTGGCGGTGATTGCTGCTCCGAGGCGCTGCCGCGGACGGCGACACGGGTACACGGATGCTTTGCAATCGCACGTTTGTGCTGCCACGTGGCAGCTCCCGCCGGTGTCCAGCGGAGGATGCCGCTGATTTTTTATCGATGGTACGCGTGTACATTGACCACAAATCCGAGATTTCGGAGTGGATGGATGATGGCATTCGCGAAAGCGTCCATCATGCTGCACCTATCTTCAAGTTCCATTTCTCAAGCTTACTCGCGGATATACTGGTCGTTTCATATGCTCTATCGTGCGCCGAGTGTCTACACTGAGCACACGTCGTAGCGCCTAAACCGCTGGAGCGCATGCTGCACAGCGACAGAACGGATTTGCCATACCAGTGAAGGCGTCGTCTCGAAGAATGGTACATTTGACCCGGATTCAGGGCTGATTATCATTCCGGGAGCCTGGAAACTGGGCAGGCAGGCCTTCTGCCTGCGAGAGCGCGAAGCGATATACTAGAAGCCCACTACTACCTGGGGCGGTGCCCAGACGCAGCATACATTCTCCGAGTCCCAGAAAAAACTGCGTTTTGGACGACCTGTGCAGCTCTCATCATGGCGCCTTCCACGAGGGAGAGCACGAAGCACTAGCCTTGACGACTAGTCCGGCTTGCGGGACCCTCCACCCATAAGTTAAACTTCCGAAGATACGGAAAGTTTTCCCCTTTTAATGTTCATCGTAGATGGGGATAGAAATCGTTATATCGTTGCTAGTAAGTTGTTAGTCTCTGTTCTTTGTTCTAAATAATGCGCTCGATACGCCCACCTCCATGCCTGGTAGCCAGCAGATACGACGCGCATCTCGCCGTTGAAGGGAAACGCGATCTTTCCTAATCGTTTTCTTGTTACTCTACCGTACAGGTCGTATTTGCGTTGTAGTCGTAGCAGAGTACAGTCCTTCACCTCAGTTGTGTACTAACCCTCAAGTAACTGTTTTCAAGTGATTTTTCGCGGTTTGTAGCAGAAGCGTTCAAAGAAGTCTCATTTCCAAACATGTAAAAAAGGAAAGTCATGGAAAAGGAAATGGAGGATCCAGGGGGCACAGCGTCGACAGCCGGCAGAGAAAAAACAAAAAACGGTGCCGAGTTCAGAAGAACAGGAGAGGACGAAGGAGCAAAAGCGGGAGGTCCGACAATAAAGGCTGCAAGAAAGACGGCGATACGACGAGATGGTGGTGAGAGCCTGTCTTCTTAAGCATACTACTGCTCCGCACGGGGAAAAGTTGCGAGATGCCATCAGAAACCGTGCCGAGTCGAACTCCGGGAGTGTTTGCAAGGCTTCTTGAGGACCGATGCATATGACGAGGGAGATGTATCGCGACGTGACGCACTTGGAAACAGCTGAGGTTTCGGAACGTGCCTTCTACAAGACCTTTACTCGTCACCTCATGCTTGCTATAGGGGAAACGTCGCGGCGAAATGAGCGAGTGGATGCCCGGCATGAAAAATGATGCTGAATACCGCTTCAACGTTACTCGATACAGGGGTGACTTGCGTGTTTACACCAGCGGGGCAGTCAAGCACCTCACGCACCTGAAGAACGATATGATCGTGAACCTCGAACGCTTCATGATACGCGCCATGTTTGCGCTGGACCCCCCGGCCTCTCTCGCCGCGCGATGTGGGCCATCATCGACGGCATCACGAACGATCGCCAGAACGTACAGGAGATCGAATTTGTCGACATGAAGACGTCACGCCGGTGCCTGAGTGAAGCTTCTGTAATCCGTGCGGCTATTCAAGAGCACCGTGCAGTCTTGGCGCTGGCGAATCGAGCGGAAAAGGTACCAGATATGAAAAGAGATGAAGAAAGATGTTATCGCCCCATTGTGCGCTATTTCGGATTCCTGAACCGAAAACTCGAGCGCAAGGCGGAGATGGAGCCGAGTCAGAAAGCAAATGAAGAGCCGGAGCGACAGAAGGCCGCGCTTCTGGGTAAGCGCTTCTACGTCGCTCCGCTGTGCAGCATCAAGTCGCACTATGTGATTATCGACTCCAGAGTCCTCTACGGCGTCATGGAGGAGACCTGTCCGCAGTTCGATGGAAGGAAGACGGAGTTCACCGGTGAAAGCCGGGAGACGTACTGGAAGAATATCTTCTATTTCAAACGTCGCAAAGTGAGCAAGCAGAGGGTATTCACGGGCACGATCGAAACCGATGGAGTGTCCATGTGTGCACACTGTCGGCGGTTGAAGGCGGATCGTCCTATCGTGCCTTCGGCTTCGCCCCTGACGAAGCACGAAGAAAAGAAAGAGGCGGATCCTGCGACGCAGGAGGTGCATGAGAGTGACTTTGTCGTCGGCGTGGACCCCGGAAACACGATGAATATAGCCGTCGCAGCACCGAAGCGTGCAGAAGATGGCAGTGACGGTGACTTGCGTCAGAAAGACATGCGTCTTTTCAAGCTCTCGAGAGCAAGATACTGTCGAGAATCGGGCATAAAGAATGCAAGGAAGAAAGTTGAGACATGGAATGCAGGAGCGAACGAGCACCTGGAAGCTATGAGCGAGGTGACGAGCCGAGGAGCGGACTTTCGAACTTTTCTGAAATTCACGAAAGTCCGTGTTGCTGACTGGGAAGCGCCGTGGAAAGAGTACGCCAAGCCCCGGTGGGCTCGTCTGCGCGTTAATCTATACTGTGGGAAGCAGCGGGCGACCGCGGATTTCTTCAATCAGTTGAGCGCCTGAAAGGAAGATAAGAGTAAGAGGCTTTTAGTAGCGTATGGATCAGGGCACTGGATGACCCAGAAAGCGTGTCAACCAGCGCCGTCAACAAGAACATACAAGGAGTGCGCAGGCGTTTCGTTACGATACCGATCGATGAGTTCCGGAAATCGCCTATACACGATGAGTTGGGATGTACACTTCAGAGGATGGGGATGAAAAAGTGCCAGAGGAGCCCTGAAGATATACAAAAGTACGGAGCGCTAACAGAAGAGCACATGGGAAGGAAAGCGAAAGTTTCTGGACTAGGTGCATCCGGAAGTACAATCAATAGCAAGAAACGTATGAAGTTTGTGAACCAAGACTTTAACGCCGCTATCAATATAAGGAGGTGCGCGGTGATAGAAAGAAGACCTCCAGAGTTGACCAGAGAGAATTTCGCGGAAGAACCTCTCAAGGTGGAATTATATGAGAAAAAGTTGAAACCCTTAGTAGGCGGCCGGTCCAAAAAGACTGGGAGGCGTCTGCACGTCAGTGGGAGACATTTCGTGTAGGGCGGGCGGTTTTCCGCCCGCCACTACATTTCATCGACGATGCCCGATGATATAGCGCCCCGTCCGCTGCAGATCGCACGAACGGTGGTGAATACGAGCACATCGGTAGCAGTCGGACAGCCGGCGTCTGCGGACAGCACACCTGTGTGGAACGGGTGTTCCAGTGTGTGTATGTGTATGTGTTTGTGCAGCTGGAGATCGCATTGGGGTGGCGCGAAGGTCGCACGAGTCAGCAGCGAGATGGAGCCAGCTGTTGGCGAAGCAGGGTGTGCACCACGAGATATTCCGCGAAAGCGTATAGCGTGACACGATTATCGTTCACCAATGACGCAGGGAGACCATTCCCAATGTATATATGGCGATTCATGCTTGCCTGCTTGCTGGACCCCATTATAGAAGCGCGCTGCTCCAGGCAAGCGTCCAATGCCAGCCCGGATGACGGCTGATTTTTCTCCCTGCAAGTCTTCGACGTGCCAACACAATGCATATACTGTATACAAAACGATGCGCTCACAAGTGTCGCTCCACAGAATACCGCTGAATCCTCCGAAACCACGAGATGCTTCCGGATCTTGATTGAGGCGTTCAGCTTTCGGTGCATCTCGTGGTTGCGCGCATCATCTCTTCGCGGAATCACATCGTAGGATGCGTCTCCTTTTCCAGGTACTGCGCCATTTGACGCTTGTTCAGTTCACAATACAGCATCCATTGTATTCGGCTCTGTTCCATGCTCTGTGTCTCAGGCAGATCTAGCGTGCACCCGTGCTCATGATGTGCGTACGTCGAAGCCCGGAATTCGTTGATGGGAATCGTGCGGCATCAATGTCTGCACTGGTTGCACGCGCTCGTCGAGCGGAAACGAGCGCTGTCTTCAGGCGTCACAGAACGCGCATTGCCGTAGGCTACCACCAGTGCATACGGCTTTTCGGTGATTTGCTTTTTCCAACTCATGGACCGGGTTGGCGAAAGTCCGTTGCGGGTCTCCATAAAGCCGAAAACTTCGGCGACTCGGACGCGGTTCCGTGTCGGCCTGCCGAAGGACGTCCACATGAGCCATTTGGACGTACACGAAGTGTCAGCGTGAAGCGATCAAAGCGTGATTAGCTGCTCGATGCGGTATTCAGAGCGTCGAGATTGGCCGTGATGCCGCTGTTTCAGTCGTTCGCATGCGCGCTGGCGATCAAGCTGCCCGACTCGCGCTCGTACGGAGCCCTGAAGAACGTATGCAGCTTCATCTGCTTTTCGTTCAGGTCGTTGGATCTGACCTGTGGATTGAAACGTACTGCGACGGCTACCGTGTGCTTCATCGGGGGATCCACACGCTCAGCGCGGCGTCTTCGTCTTCGTGTCTCTCGTCCGTCCCCGTTTTCCTAGGCCTGTGCGATGGGACCCAACGCCCACGGGGTGCGCTTCATGAAGTGCTCGAGATCAACTCCGGTATCGTTTTGGTTACTGAGGTGTGTTTCATATTGTCTAGAACCTGGACTCGAGCATTCTTTCAACTGCCTACGCGATGCGGCATCGCGTCAACACTTTCTGGAAAGCACGTGTTCGAATCTCTGATCCTACGGCCAGGGAGTGTTGCGTCCTCTGTCGCGAGCATCATGTGTATCGTCGAACGAATGTTTGCTCGACGGATTACAGAGAATCGCGGATAGCTCGTAGCCCTGTATCTGGAGAACTCATATGAACATTTGCGGGACGAGGTGTGAAGGCTAGGGTAGAGGGCGACTCATCGAAGAATGGTTCAACGGACGCGAACGACATACGTATGAATTTGCGAGCGTAAAAACTGCATTAGGCAACAGAAAAGACAACAACGATTCGATTGAACAGGAGAGAACCTGGTGGCACGAAGAGCGGCTCAATGGCGATCTTCTCTGCGTATTCTTTAACAGCCATTAAGTGATGGAAAGCGACGTAGTCTAAAAAGAGGACATAGCCAGGTAGGAACTGGAATCCATGACGGGTGCTCCGACGCCGGATGAAGTGTTTTTCGACCCTGTCCGTTTTGGGATCTGTAGGCGAGCACAAGTATCCATTAGCATCAGGAAAATGACATGGTCATTCGCGCTTGTTTCTTGCTTACGAAAAGCGTTTTGTCATTCTTCGAGTACACTTACACAGATTCACCATGCCCTCCGAATAAATTCTCATTGAGCGAGAGGAGAACCCGTCGCTCCTTTGGTAAGCATTCTCATTCCAGTGCGAAAGCATGTGCGTGATGATCAGCGCGAGAGCGTCTCGCACTGAAGCATGCCTGTGTCATGGTCCATGCATGTCTCTGCATGGGCATATGTATCAAGCGTACGCAGAATTCACAGTTTGTGGCGTCTTTGGTAGTATCTCGTGATGAATGTATGCATTGGAATGGATTGACAAGGCTACAGTCATTCATATAGCTTTTACTCTTCTCGTATCTACGAAGCGTTTACACTGAGCAGAGATCCCCAACTGTGCACTAGTGATCTGCATCTACGGGAGGCATCTATCGTTCTGCACGATACCGCCAAGCTCCAGCGGCCTCTACCATCCATACTGCCCTTCGAAGAAACGGATTCGTTCACACGATCCTCGAGGTGCCGAGCCTGCTGTCCGTACCCGTGACGACGCCTAGAACACTGGTGCGCTCGCCGCACAGAGACCGAACGCGACTGACGACGTGCAACGAGAGGAATCATGGTGAGGCGCTTGCCCCTGCTGGGTCTGCACGTCCGGCGAGTCTGGCGGTATCCTTATACAGTTCGCTCATATGACCTGAGGTTCATCTATCCGGAACACTCGTTCAGTATTTACCTCGGTATCTCATGCCCCTGCACCTGCCGATAATAGGGAGACGGACGGGCAATGCGTACGACAACACTCGATGCACTGCACAGCTGTCTGGATGCACCGCTGACGGCAGACGTGCATCGGCCGATTTTGGATGCGAACGCAAAGTTCTGCTTTAATTCGCTATCTGGTGTTTGTTGAACACTTGCTGGTGAACGCTTCTGAGGCCGCCAAAATGTTCGTACCAGCGGGCGTATTCCCAAAGTGTGGTACGGCTGCCTCTGAAACGCCGCGTAGCACCCTGCGGATACGACGACAGGGTCGAAAGTTCGCGCGCTGTCAACGCACGGCTCGAGCGCTCTTCGTCTACGCGAACGACTTCGGCTATAATGTGTACCTGGACCCGGAGGACCGTGCCAAACGTGAACTCTCAGAAAATGACATCTACGCGGTTGTCCAAAAACCTTTGGGTCTAACACTTGCGGAGCGTGACGACGGTATGGTGTACATAGCGGCCGTTCAGCCTGGGGGCAACGCGGCGAAGACAGGGGTACTGAGGCCCGGTCAGATAGTGACCGCAGTCAGTGCGACTTTTGGCGACGAGATTTGGAGCGTGCGCGGCGTCGGGCTTGATCGCGTGCTCAAGTCGATAAAAGTTCGATCTGGAGACTTTGTTACCCTCGTCGTTGAGGACGAACAAACGGTTGAGCAGAAGAAAACTGACGCCTATGAAATAGCACAACGGCGGGCAGTGGAGGCTCGAGAGAAGTACGGAGAACGCGAAGTGCTTGATCCGGTGACCTGGACCAGCCGTTCCGTGCCTAAAAATAGCAGCAGCGACTTAAACGATCCAGAGCTCGAGCGGACACTCACCGACGCTGTGGATGAGCCTTTTCGCCAGACCTGGTTGCTGTGGGCTCTGGGTGGCGCGGTTGCAATCGTAGCGGTACTTGCATTCACGTTTTTCACCTAAGATGACACAGGGATATTCTAAACTGGGACATAAAAGATGGATCCGCATTTTCTCCAAGACAGTGCGCGCTGCGATGCAACTAGGTAGTTGATGCGAACTGGCTCTGGTGACGCGACGCTTGTCGGCTTGCCGGATGCGGCTATCCGCGGATATCGTCTCTGGTCACCGCGTCTCTTTGTGTGAGGCTCGCAGCGACCTATCCTCATTTGCGTGGATACTAAGCATGTCGAAAAGACGCGAGTACCATGTATTGTCGATGTAACGCGGATGCGCGTCACCGCGCTTGAAATCGCACCATAGCATACGCAGCAAAGTGTTTGTGCACTGGTGCAATAGCAGTATGAAACAAGTCCACGAATACGGGCGCGTACTCTAAAGCTACGGAGGAGTGTCATCCCAGGGTCATCAACGCCAGCTGTTCGCGACTGGCGTTGGGACTGCTTTTTCGCCGTCTTTCTCTCTAGGCGCCGGCTTTAGATACACCGGCCTCTCCGGTCCGTCAACCTCGGTTGCCGGAGATCGGCGGACGTTCCTATAAGCGTTCAAGTCTCGAGTTCGATGCATCTGGCTGTTGTCCACGCATGTCATGCACAGGCGGTGGATGCAGTCCACGCTTCGCTTCCAGCGCTCATCTATGTTTGTACACCGCCACAGAGCGTCATTCGCATCGGTGACAACTGGCTGTGGCCACGTTTTCGCATCGACACACTGCATTTGCGCCTAAGAGCGCTGGAGTACCGCGCCTCAAGGCCTGACACATCGCCCCGCACATGCGATGGAGGGCTATAGGTGGGCTTCCCTAAGGGTCCGCCTCCGATTCCATGCCCGGTGCCGTGTTCGAAGAGGACGCGCTTGCTCTGGGCGATCACCTCGTCGAGTTCGCTGTCCGCTGTGTACGCAAGCGCACGCTGTCCAGCTCGGTGGATGCTTTTTGGGGCCCGGTGCTCTCCATGAACAGACAAGTACCGGGAGGGATATGCAGGCTGGGGGAACCACTTGGTAAATTCCGGTCCGTGTACGCCTCCTTCGTGTAAAGTTGCGACGCATGCTCCACTGGAAGGGGCCGCGGCGATGACGCCCCTTTGAGCGCGAAACTCGTTGCCGGGCACGCAGAAGAGTCGGGAGCGTCGCGGAGCGTATCCCGCAAGAGGGATGGTGCTGGCATCGGATGACGTTTCATCGTTGGTTTGAACGAAAGCATGATTTGTCTTGCGAATGGAATCGGTTATTGACGTGAAGCATGTAGTGAGTTTCGGGCGTGCGCTCGTAAGCGAGTCGTGCAGGGACGACGTCGCGGCGCTTTCCCGTCGGCAATCCAATGGACGGAATAGGTGCGCTCACGAGTTGCCTTGACACACACACACACACACGCACAGAGAGAGAAATCGAAAACCTGAAGCATACTTTATTCGAGCATGGTACTCATACGTTGAGGAGAAGCGTACAGGCTTGCGCGTATCCATTAAGTAACGGGATCGTTGATTCCAGGGACGCCCTTGTTGGACCATATCGATAATCATCTTGATTCCGGTACCACGTATCGAATTCCAGCAGCAAAGTGTTGAAGAAGCCGATGTGAAACGATGACCGCGAATCCTAATCCACGTCAGCATCCATGGGCCCTGATTGCTGCATTTCCAATGCAGAGGCTGTACACCTTCAAATATTTCGGAAAATAATCGCGAGGCGCGGACAGAGCCAGCAGTTCAGCATTCGATTCTACGCTGACACCGGTTGTTGTGCAGGATCCTCGCATCGAACCGGGGATTCCCAACTGCGTGATTGTTTCCGCCATCTGGGGGAAGCAGCCACCATCCGCACCACATTCTCTACATTCCAAGAATCACCTCCTAAGCACCCCTTCAGAGTTCGTGCCTCGTTAAAAAACACCCTCGGAAAGGCGAGTGCCTCTCGCGATCGCCCACAACTGCACCTTGAACGGCTTCGTCACAGCGCTTGTGGGCATCGCCCCAGGGCGCACGCTCCACATGTCGCCAGCCGCCTCAGGCACGGTACGCGTGATACCTCGAAGGCACAGTGGCAACGGGATCGCTTGTGGCCTTGGCATAACGCGAGTTCGCGTTCTGGAAACGCACCCATCTACCCGATCGCTCCTTCATGCGGTCATGGATTCGCATGCCACGCTCACTAGAACCAAGGCGCGTTCAGGCGCACGGTTCGCACTGCCCAGTCCGAAGCCTCAGATCGTTCCATCGTGATCACGAGGAGTGACGGAGGGAAAGTTTCGGTGTCGGCGTCGAGACGAGGAAGGCGCTCAGGGAGAGTTTTCGGCACCAGCTGGCAGCGTCTTCTGTTCAGTATGCGCTCCAGCAGCCGGTTCCGTGCGCCGTTGCAAGTTCAAGTTACCGATGCGGTGACTCGGGAAAAGCAGTTTGAGCACGCGCTCGAAGCGCTGTCGCATCCGCCGGTTTCTGCGACATTTTCGAATCGCTCGTTCCAGATAGAGGATCTGGAGGTTCTGATTCCCTTGCTCGAGCTCACGTGCCTTGCCCTGCGCTTTCAGGACGCGGTTCCAGTCACTGTAGGACCAGCTCCGTATCGAGCGATTGCGGGCTTTTGCATTCCGCAGCTGCCACTGCAACAGGCGCATTTCGCTTTGAAGCTCGTCGGCGTCGGTGTCGTCAATGAGACCAATGCTTTGTAGTTCATTGGTGACACGAATTTCTAGAATACGGTGGTATTCATCCAAGAGCTGGGAATCTGCGGGTCCGCTCCAAAAGAGATCTTCGGGACCCGAGCCCTTGTTTCGCATCGCAGAGGCAGGTGCATCCCCAGTGCTCGGCAACTCAACAAAGGCAGCAGCCACTCGCTGGAAAAACGGATAAGAGTTCAAGCGTGCCCGGAGGAGTCTCTCCACAGTCCATTTCTCCGAGTGGTCCACGGCAGAGCCCCCGGAACTGGTCGCTTCCGGGCGTCGGCGTCGTCGTTCCGGTTGGCGCGTCTCCGGAGCACTTTCCCCAGGCTCGCCGTTGGGGACAACGTTTTCCGCGTCTGCCGTTGGAACGAGCAAGTCCGTGTCCGGTCCGTCATTCATCGTATCACTTTCCCGCATGTAACTGAGGGACTCCACCGTTATCGGGCTGAAAAACGGTTCAATTTCTCGCCAGAACGGATCGGCATCCTCGTGTCGTAACGGGTCCCAGACGTTCTCCGGAAGGGCTGCGGCAATCGCCTGTGGCTGTAAACCAAGAGCCCGTTGCTGACTCATGCTCTCTAGTGCGGCACGCCTCCGTTGGTGCTCACTGTCTAGCCACAGACGACCGGTGATAGAGCGTTTTCCGAAACAAACGCACGCGAAATACCGCACAAGTGCGTCATAGGCATAGCGCCACCCCAGGGCACGGAGGCGCATCGGAACATTCAGGTGCCTTTATGATTAGGCTTCTGCTGCTTTTGCTGCAGCTGCGGGGAACTGTTGCTCATCGATTGGAGTACCCACGTTATCCAAATAGTGACGCGTTGCGGTGAACGTGCTTCACACACTTGAAACTGGACTGTAACCTGCAAAGCAGGCAGGGAAGTGGGCTGCCTTGGAGAAGGTGTCGCGGATGCGAGCACTGGAGAGCACACCGCTCACAGGCGATGTAGACTGGAAATCGCCGCTGGGGAGTCGGAGCACCTGGGCTCGTCTCCGCGAGCAAACTCGACATTGTACGTTCTACAGAACTTACTGCTTCAAGGCGAGTCTAAAGCAGCTTGAAGAGGTTACAGAGGAACACGTTACATACGTCGGGGACTGTGCCGCACTGCCGCCCTCACCGTTTCTTTGCGTTCTACTGGCCTATGATTGTTGCAGCCCTTCGCGTGAAGAGGTTGCTGCGCACCTTGATTGTTCCAAGAATGTATATTGGCGGGCAATTGTGGCGACTTGGATTCGTTGGAAAGAATCGCGAGCCGAGCAGGTTTACCAGCTCCTTGACCCGCTTTACAGGGACTACCGGCCTATCAAGGTTCGCCAAAAAGACAACTCGTATCACAACTCGTATTTGGATGTATTCATTGATCAGTTGTTACGATATCGATGTGCCCTGGTTTCTCTAGAAGAACCATTCGTTCTGGACGTTATCCCCTTTCCGCACCTGCCACCGCGATACGAGCTGGAGGCCCGCGGTGTCCTGCCTCAGCGGGAATACGCCGCCCCGGCGGACGACGATGACGACGACGACGCAGTGTCCAGACCAAGACTACAGCAGTAGATGCGTCCAAGTGCTTAGAGGACGACGCAAAATCCCTAATGCGTTGCAAAGGATTCGCTCGAGAATCGGGCTTCGTTACTCCGATGCTTCGTGGACCACAGATGATGCTCGTGCATTCACCAATGTGAGCCGCGTTTTCAATTCAACGACAGTGGTGCTTTCTGTTGGATTCTGCGGGCGACGCTATCTACGGGCGTTCAGCTGATACTGAGCGCGCTTCACATGAACCGAAGCTCCAGATCGCAGCATGCGTCGACCGTCATTCCATTTTCGCAGACGCTTGGATACACATCTCCTACGAAAGGCTTTCGCTTTCGACCAGATCCTGATAGAGTGCACCCCTGTCCTCAAGTCGTTACCCGCAAGCAGATCATTGATCAAATGCGACCTTGATAAACAGATGTGGTCGCATTCGCGCGCTCTATCCTGCGATTGAGCCGAAGAACGCGTGTTTGCGAACACTGGTCGAGATGACACCGTGCAGGCCCGCGCACTGAACGCACCCACAAGTCCAGCAGTTCGTTTTCATCGCCGGGGCGCCTGCAAGGCACAGACCCAGAGGTTTGTCCGCAGTGAATGAACAGCGCAATAGGCTCAAGCGCCATCATCGGTTGCGTCGCAGGATGTCTCAGGCTCGGCTGCGATCAAGAGGAGCACAGCCAGATCTTTGTATTCCCGTGGCAACGAAGCCCTTTCTCTCTAGTCCTGAGCAAGGCATGCAACTACTGACTGACTGTCTGTCTGTCTGTCTGACTGACTAGCTGGCTGGCGGCTTCGGGAATATGCGTTTTTCGACTCCAGCAATCCCGTAGAGGCCATCAGCCGTTCCCGGCGACGGCTCGGCAGGTACTGCCCTGCTGAGCCACGCAAGTAGGCCAGCTGCTCGTGCCCGTTCATTTCGCCAGCTGCGTCGTGCACGCGGATCGTCGTTTTCAAGTTGATATGGGTTAATAACCTAAATTTCTCGCACGAGGACCGGAAGGCTACGCTCGCTCTGCGCCAGAGCGCTCCCCGTGACGCCGCCACAGCGACTGATGTTTTCCGAGAGCGCTGTACTTTTCGCAGCGGATCCGTTATCGATTGCACACATGCTCTAGAGCACTCGTCTATGATTTTGGATCTGTTTCCCACACACCAGGGCAAGAAAGATCGAGCAAAAAACATGGCTCCAATTTCAACAGAGAATGCGATCCTCCGTGCACACAAGTGCAGCATCACGCAACAACGCTAAGGCTTGTTTTCCCCCGGGGACGAGTCAATCGGAGGAGTGCTCCCGCCCGTGTCCTGGGGCGTGTCTGGTGCATCTTCGGACTGCGTTTGTTCCAATGACGCTTGATCAGTTTCATCGGACTCCGTTTCCTGATTCCGTGGATCATTGGGATCATTCAGGTCCCAGAACTCGGATTTGGGCGCAGAGCACTGCGGGCACTTGAACGTTCGCGGAAAGAATTTGAGTTCACGCCCTCTTGCTGGGTAGAGCGTGTACCCGCACTTGCCACATCGGTATACGTGCAATTCAGCGTCGTTCGACGCGCGGTACCTCACCGATCCAGCGGGGATGTGAGCAACCTCCTTGCTTCCCAGTAGTCGACGGAGAATACCCAGAGACAAAACCACGACGCCCCCGAGAAACCAAAAGGATGAAATCGGCGTTCCAGGCAGCTTGAATCCATTCAAGTTCAGCATAGGACTTGTACTTTGTTCAGGTTTTTGCTCTAGCTTCCTGTCCTTCTCTGGCGTCTTTCGTTTGCTACCACGAGCAACGAGCGTCAGCTCTGTGGTGTTCAGCGGGGGCCTCGGAAGTCGCACGGACACCGTCCTCGTTTCTCTGGAGCAGACAAGTCTCACTTTTCTAGCGTCTGGTCGACGAACAAGCTTGGAGTGCTGCTCTCTTGTGTGCAACACGGAGTGTCGCTCTCGTGACGGCCCCAGCGTCGGGATCATCGGTAGAAAGCCGCAGCGGAGTCGAACACGGTACCCGCTCGCCCACGACGTGTTCTCCACGCTGCCCGCCTGAACTTGGATGTTTTCATTGCAATTTCGGGTATCCCAGTAAACCATCGCGCAGCTCGCCTGTGCAATGGATACCTGCTTCGCAGGTGTTCAGGATAAAGGCTCAGCTTCAGCCGCAGCTGCTGGGATGCCGCAGCGCTGGGGGGATACCGCCGCCGCCGTCGTCGACGCCGCGACGCGGGATACCAAAGAGCGGCAGCGCTCCGTATCGTTACCAGGATGCAGTGCAAGTCTGTCGGACTGTGGTGCACGTCCCAGAGAAGTTGCAGCAAATCTTCGAGTGTCTTGATCTAGATCTTCCTTAACTGCGGTTTATTGTCTAGAACAACGGGTACAAGCGAGTGAGCTTCTTGGCGACGACGCCAGCTTACACCACAAACCTCGTTGTCGATCGTGCGCGTCACAGAGCAGCTGCGTCAATTCTTCGAGTGACTTGCTCTAGATCTGCCGGAACCCTTACTCATCAGTTAACGTGAGGAGTGCAAGGGCATTGCCAGGTAAAGCGACTGGGCTTCCAGACTCGTGTGTTGCGAAACCGTGACAGTGAACTACGCTTGGTGGCGCATAGTCTTGCAACAACCGTTCGTGCTGCGAACGGCTCGTCGGACCCCTAGGCCAAGCGCGTCGATTCTGCTCGAGCGCTGCATTAGGCTCTGCAATTGTCAAAGTCCGTGAAAAGGTTCTCGCTTCGTAGCGCATACACAGGGACTCGTTCTGGCTTGCGAGTTGCAAGGCCGAGGCCGGTGTCGTCTGCACTCGAAAATAACCGCCTCCACTCCTGCGGCTTGGTCGCTGCACGCTTAAAAGACAGCGCAAGACAAATTGCGTGCAGCAGCGAGCGTCCAACGGTACGATGCCTCGGTCACGACAGAGACGACGAAGCTGCCGTACGTACATCCTGCTCCACGAGTCACTGTCGGAGCGCAATGGCGAGACCTCCGAAGTCACGAGCAGCGACGTTCACCGCCGGGTGCTCGTACTCCAAGCACCTCGATTGGATCCCCATACAGAAGAGGCAGTTCTTCCAAGTGAGCGGATGCAGCAGCTTGAGACGCATACCATTTACGCCCGGCCGGTGAGTGAAGCAGAAGAGGCGTTTTTCGCTGAAGCAGAACGCGCCTATCAGCAGGAAAAATCGCTTTTCATCCCGGAAGACACCTTTCCAGATGATGGATACGACTATGAACAGCATTTTCGAGAGCGTGGCGATGGAGTATTTATCCCAGCGCCAATAATCGCCACTGACCTGAACACGCGAGCATGCGACGCCTGCGGCTCCGCTGGCGCTCGAGACCCCGCTGACCCTGAACTTGCGTCGGACCTGAATCGGGTGCTGGATCTACTGGCGTCTGACGAGGAAGCCTCCGAGGCGGGATCTGAGTCCGAAGAAACAGCATGCTCTGCTGCAGATGTCGCCTCAGCTGACGAGCTTACCGACGACTTTGTGCTTCAGGCAAACGCACTAGTCGGTACATGTTCTCTTTCGAAGAACGCGGTTGATGTCCGCTTTCGAGACGTTGACGCAACCCAGAAGCAACGCCCAGTGCAGAGGCGTCCTAGAGACTTCTTGGATGAACAATTCGATTCCTTTCTACAGACTGTGTATGCAGACCATGGTGATCCAGGCGAACCGGATGCATGCACCGCGTCGCCGACCGCTCGGCACCCGCATTCCCCAGACGTTTTCGACCGGATGCTGGCCGACTTTGAGGAGGATCTGCGACGATTACGTGTGGATCCTACAAAGGATTTTCAGCGTGTGCAACTTCGCTCCAGAGACGCCGCCCACTGCGAACCTTCAAATGGCATGACGGAAGGCATCCAGTCTGGTTCAGCGAAAGGATGTCGTGAACTGCATGGTCCAGCTGAAATCGCGGCGGGCCTTGACGCTCGCCAGGTCGTACCGCGCATCGCGCATCCTGATCAAGTTGCGCCCCGCTGCACCGCGATAGCGCCTAGAGCGCCACCGCATGAGCGCCTATCCGACGATAACAACGCCTGCTACAGCACGGAATCTGATGCCTCGGACTGGAGCGATCATTGGAGCTCCAGTGATGATGTATGCAGTGCAGATCGGATCACCGCAGAGTCCGGATCCGTCGCCAGAGCTGCTGCGGGCCGGTATGTACCGCAGCTCATCCGGTGTGTGCGCGGCAGCAGCGCGGGTCGTCAGACAGCGCGCGAGCTCGACTTGCCTGAGTCTGAGAAGGCAGTACCGCATCTAGGCTCGAACGCAGCGCACGGTGCAATCATTGAACAGCGGCAACCGGCAGATGCTTTCCCGCCACTGCCGTCTGGTGTAAGGATATCCGCTGAGAGTCCCAATCAGGAACAGATGGTGGCAGGGAATTCACGGGTGCTGAGGCATGGCGGTGCCAACGATTCGCGCGAAGAGAAGCGGCTTCTCAAAGCGCAACGACGGGAGCGCAGAGCGGTCAAAAAGGCCTTGAAAGAAGCGTATTCGCGAGAGCGACATCGCCAAAATATCCACAGACATCTTCTCGGTGCGGCGAAGGTGAGCGTGGAGTATCGTACTGCGCTGTAGCGTCCGTCGCTCGTCGCATTCAGTTAGTCGTGTGCGTTGCGAACGGCGATGATAGAGCAATACTTCGGTGCGAGAATATGCATCAGGCATCTCGTGGGGCACCCAGCGTGATCATTCACGATCGCTCTTCATGACAGCGCTGCTCATGCGCTCCGGAATCAGAAAATCCTGCGCATCATAAACGGAGATTTTGGAGCAATGCTTCTGTACGAGACGTGAACTTGAGGCATTGCCGCTGACGCGGTGTCGATCCGCTTCGACCACAACAGGGATTTCCCATCGGGCACACATAAAATCGCAGAACGTGAACACAAATGTTCGTCAGGAGCGCTGCCAGTGCTTCTGCTACCGTTCCAGCTCGTACATCTTACAGCTGTGGCCACCGCACTCGAGGCCAATGAGAAGTGAATGGTACGGAAGCCGAGCTTCATCTTTTGCGGGCATCCAGGATCATGTAAGTACAGCCGATCGTATATTGAAAAGTAGGACAGACGCGCTCTACGCTGTTTTACTCCATGGAATCGGAGGTGCAGCTCAAGGCCGCGCGCAAAAAGAAACGCCGATGGATTGCGAGCATGACATCAATGATTGTGCCGTGGATCCGAGGCGCTTTGTCAGAGAATCTCGGTACAGCAACTGAAATGAACGCAATCAGCTGAGCATACGACTCGTTCGAGGAAAAGGCATCAGTACCAATGCCTGTATGGAAGACGAATCCGTGCGAATCGTCGGTCCAAGTACGAAACAGCGTCATGCTGGAGCAAGTCGCCGACACCACGACACCACTGTAAGCTTCGCAGGGGAAGTTATCTTTCGAGTTGCCACCAGCAGACTCCATCCAGTTACCTGCCGGCTGGCAAGTGGGTGCATCCAGTGGATCCAAGAATATCGTGCATGTCGCAGGCCCGCTATGCTACGTTGACTTAAATGCTCGCCGATGTCGACGCGAAACAACGAGCTGGAAGCCGTCCTCATCTACGAGAGGTAGCTCAGTAGTGTCATTCTCTTCATTGGCATCAGAGGGATTATCCGCTGTTGGTCGTGGCAGTATTTCCATCGCATTGTCAGCAACGCTGTCTTCTGCGCGCTGCTCCGCACTGAGGCTTCCCTCGGAAGTTGACGACTCTTCAGTAGAAGCGAGCAGCGACCGGCCTTGCGCTCGCTCTGATCGCACCCGATCCGCGAGTTTGGCGAGCTCAGGACACACCTCGCGCCACATTGCGACAGGACACGGCGCTGCACGCAAGATCTCCGTCCGCAAGCCATCGATCACAACAGCGACTTGCCCGATGCTGCCGTCTTCAACGTCGGCAGAACAGTCCTCGACGAAAAAGTCCTCTAGCCAAGAACTCAGTATCCTCTGCGAGTACGGCAAGATATTTCCATCCGCTCGCTGCCTCTGACCCAGACAAAGCTCGATCACGTCGTCGATGAGGTCGTCAACGCGCTCCGTGGTGTCCGAACCAGCCCAGCATCCAGCTATTGCGAGCCGCAAAGCAGTCCAGCGTTCGAAAACGGCCTTTACAGCAAACGTTAAAAGGTCCTCAGCAGACAGCTTATCGTCACGCTCAAGCGAGTCGGTATGCCCAGGTCGGTGATCGTGCATTCCGCCCCCATACGCACCAGGGTACGTCAACTATGCGGTAACAAGCCTTGGAGTCGCTGTTCGCGAAACAGTGAACGAATGCCACTAGACTGGTGCACCTGCCGCGCCGACGCACCCGACACGTTCATCGCAGCGCATGACGTAACCACTGCATCTTCGTGTTGTTGTCCTCAAAGCGCTACGCCACTAGCCAAGCGTCTGTTGAACGATTTACACATCGCTCTGACTGGTTGAATATGTTCGTTTCATCACTGGCGAGCTCCAGTCCTGGGGCAGCGCAAACACGACGTACGCTGGTCCGTCGCGTAGCCGGTATAGACTCTGGTGCTGGACGGGGCGTCCGTTCACGCGGTGCCCGGGCTGGCGAGGGCTTTCTCCACAAGCTCGTATACCTTCGTGGACAAGGCGTGTACCGCGCTGGGAACACGTGCTCGGGACGTCGGCGGTGCCAGCGTAACGCCTGCCAGCTCGTACAGATGAGTCGGACAATGCCGCGGGTGCCGTACCGCGGTCCCGGCATGCAGGAGTACGTTTTCATTGACCTCATGCAACGCTTAAATAAAGACCGAATAATTTTCCTCGGTGAGGAAATAGACGAGGAAGTCGCTAATCAGACCGTCGCGTTGTTATTGCAGATGAAGGAGGAAGACTCGGTGTCACCTGTGCGGCTCTATTGTCAGATACCGGGCGGTATTTACACTGCGGGGATGATGATTTACGATTGCGTGAAAAACTTGCCGTTCGATGTCATAACGTTGAACATGGGTATGGCGGCGGGTATGGGTGCGTTCCTTGTCGCTGGCGGGACAAAAGGGAAACGATTTGCGCTACCAAACGCTAGGTTTCTGTTCCAGCAGCCGAGTCTACTGGATGATGTCGAGGGCAGTGCAGAGGATATTAAGACTGAAGTTCTGAACGTGCTGCGCCAACGCGACCAATGGCTTCATCATCTGTCAGAATTTACGGGACACCCGGTGGAAAAGATCAAGGAGGATTTTCGGCGAGATCGCTATTTTACGGCTGCAGAAGCGCGGGAGTATGGACTTATCGATCGTGTCCTAGAGCCTACCATGAAAGGTATAACCAAGGATATGGAGGCACAGCTCTAGATGCGCTCTCGTATCTGCACCGTATCATCGATGCGTGCTGTTTACCTTCGATCACGTGATATGTCGTCGTGTCTACGGAGACCGAGCAAATGACCGGGAAACCTTGGCGCTCCGTCCCTCAAAACCGAATGGTAGACGCCCACAGGTGCCATGTGCTATACGCGAGTGATAGACACGATCGCTGCATTCTTGATGCTGGTCTGCAACAGAGGTGTACCGAGTGCCAGCGGCTCCAATTTCGATCTGTGTTGTGCGAGGTACAGCGCTCGTCGCCGACAAGGCGTTACGCTTACTAGCGACCGATCTCGGAAATGGAGCGAGATGCTGGCTCAGCAATTTGTACTGGGAACTTGGAGCGATAGTCTGTGTTTATAGAATATCAGCGTTGCGCATGCTAAACTCAGCCAAACATCATTTGTACATTTCTCAGACGACTTGTCTGCGAAGAGATGCATGCATCAGACAGGAGTTTCCACGGCTGCTGGACAGCGCGACATGCTCCTCGCAACATGACTGCATGTAACGAACTGAATGCGTATTACGTACTGGTATGGGATGCACGATCGCTGCTCGTTGGCAGGTCTCCAGGCGCCACAACACGCGCCACGGCCACGAGGACAGCGCTACGAGGCACTAGATCGCCTGCTTCATGAATGTCTTTCAGTGTGTGTTTGGTATATTCAGTAGAATGGAGTAGTGGAGAAGTCTTATCGTTCACCAATGACGCAGGGAGACCATTCCCAATGTATATATGGCGATTCATGCTTGCCTGCTTGCTGGACCCCATTATAGATGCGCGCTGCTCCAGGCAAGCGTCCAATGCCAGCCCGGATGACGGCTGATTTTTCTCCCTGCAAGTCTTCGACGTGCCAACACAATGCATATACTGTATACAAAACGATGCGCTCACAAGTGTCGCTCCACAGAATACCGCTGAATCCTCCGAAACCACGAGATGCTTCCGGATCTTGATTGAGGCGTTCAGCTTTCGGTGCATCTCGTGGTTGCGCGCATCATCTCTTCGCGGAATCACATCGTAGGATGCGTCTCCTTTTCCAGGTACTGCGCCATTTGACGCTTGTTCAGTTCACAATACAGCATCCATTGTATTCGGCTCTGTTCCATGCTCTGTGTCTCAGGCAGATCTAGCGTGCACCCGTGCTCATGGTGTGCGTACGTCGAAGCCCGGAATTCGTTGATGGGAATCGTGCGGCATCAATGTCTGCACTGGTTGCACGCGCTCGTCGAGCGAAAACGAGCGCTGTCTTCAGGCGTCACAGAACGCGCATTGCCGTAGGCTACCACCAGTGCATACGGCTTTTCGGTGATTTGCTTTTTCCAACTCATGGACCGGGTTGGCGAAAGTCCGTTGCCGGTCTCCATAAAGCCGAAAACGTCGGCGACTCGGACGCGGTTCCGTGTCGGCCTGCCGAAGGACGTCCACATGAGCCATTTGGACGTACACGAAGTGTCAGCGTGAAGCGATCAAAGCGTGATTAGCTGCTCGATGCGGTATTCAGAGCGTCGAGATTGGTCGCGATGCCGCTGTTTCAGTCGTTCGCATGCGCGCTGGCGATCAAGGTGCTCGACTCGCGCTCGCACGGAGCCCTGAAGAACGTATGCAGCTTCATCTGCTTTTCGTTCAGATCGTTGGATCTGTCCTGTGGATTGAAACGTACTGCGACGGCTGCCGTGTGCTTCATCGGGCGATCCACACGCTCAGCGCGGCGTCTTCGTCTTCGTCTGTCTTGAAACTTTGAAAAGGAGTCTCGGTCCACGACCCGGGTTTATGTTGCACATAGTGCATGCAGATTGATATGCCGTCAGTCTCCATCATCCGATCAGCTTCTTCTCATTTCATCCCTGTGGCTGAGGAACGATGAACGAGTCCCGTCAACGCTTTTCGCAAGTGACTTTGGATGCTTCGTACTTGCTCAAAGAGACCAGACGTAGCTCACGAACGATGCGACAGACTGCAGTACACATGTGTTAACTGGGAAATAATTAGACTTGAAGAATGCGGGTCATACTTAAAGGACGTCGAAAGCGACCACTGCTCTCGAATCTATGGAGGAATTGTGCTGTGCTCTCAAGATTTCTGTCAAGAGAAACGCAGAAGCACGTCATCCAAAACAGGCCGGTATCACGTTGCAGCGCTCCTTGGAGTGTTAGCCACGTGTGTCCGAGAACGAGACCACAACACCATGCGCTTGGTCGATCTTAAGCGTCTCTCGCGCTCGTTACGACTTCTCCTTCGATCTCGATACCATCTCGTATGGTTCCGCGTCAGCTCGTCATTTGCCTTCGTCCATATCTCAAGAATTCTTTATATCAGTATTTACTTTTCCGTACCATTCGGGTGAGGTTATAAAGGTCGTAGAGTTTGCTTCATGATGCGCTGGATATGGACCATCGTACCGTGTTGTTTCCTGATGTAGGTTTCATCCGTTCTGGTACCGGCGTTGTGGATGTTCGGGGTACCGAGGTGGCATGCCGATACGCCCAGGTATTCTGGCATAAATGTTTTGCGAGTCTCTGATCCTGCAATTAGGCCGTATTGCGTCGTATGTCCCGAGTATCAGTTGTGTTGGTGCATGAAGGTTTCGGTCGAAAAATTCCGGAGGAATAAAGCCTTCCCGTGACCATTCTCCACAATCCAGGAGACATTCCATTTGTTGAATCCCTGCAGATAACACAAGGGAAGACAAAATGGCATGCTAGTGCAGACGTTCTAGGCTTCATCGCGCCGAGTACAGCGAGCCACCTTGGCTAATACTTGCCGGTTGCAGAGGCCATTGAAATCAACGCATCGGAGATCAGTCACGGGCCTTGGATGTGCAAGACATCATAGATCAAGTGCCAACGAATGGGCTCATTTGGAATAAAGCCGTCGGCCTCCAGGTCCTAAACCTCATGGTGTATGTCGTGATCGTGCCAGTGGAAGGATAAAGATTGGCCGCTGATCAGCAGCAACTGCCCCCGATGATTGGCAGGACGACGCTCCGGGGCACTGGTGTTCACCCCTACACGATAGCAGATCAAAACGGAACGTTGAACTCGTAGTTCTGTTCCCAGGTTTCGAACCTTTACAGAATTTGTGTTTCAAACCGAAAGTATGGATATTCAAAGAGCAGCAATGGAGGCTTCGGGATTCATACGCAGTTGTAGGACAGCTGCAGGTTGTTCCCGATTTGCTCCATCCGCGCTTTCCCGCTGAAATTCGTCATTTCGTGGGAATCAAGGTGGTTCGCAGCAACTTCGAACAAGGGCTCGTAAAATAACGAATATCATCATAGAATCCACACGTGTGTGACTCCATGTATCGCCGTTCTTTGCACGCGGCATCTTCGACGCTAGCTTTCTTCAAGTATTGATCTTTCTCTTTGAAGCAAAGTCGTCGTGCATCAATTTGCGCCGCTGGATTGAAGAGAAAAGGCGCTCGATGTCAGCGTTTGAGGACTTGTTCATGAGCACATGCCGAAGGTTCAATGCAATTCTCAAGCCAAACTCATCGATTCGATACGAAATTCAGATCCTCCTGCCCTGGCGACAATCGACGAGACGTGACTTGACTGCACCATGATAACGCTCGAGGAATCTATTTCCGTAAGCTCCAGCCTCGTTTGTCCCCATGCGAAAGCGTACTGGACTCGGACCTCCTTCTTCGCAACGATCGCTTCTTGTATTATCTGCGTCGCTGCCTTGCACGAAATGAGCGTAGATGAATTGAAATTTCTCGACTTGATCACCATCGTGGTTTTTCCTTCCAGTATTTGTACCATGATGGGTACAATCGCGCTCCACGATTCCCCTATCGAATGGAGCATCGTGCGCTCGCAAATCCAGCAGACAGAGGACTCGCTGCGCGATTCGCCAGGGCGAATCTCGTGATCGCAGGGCACCGCACCCGACACGGGAACGGAGGCGTACGTCGAACGAAACCTTCTGTGCCGGTCAAGGGCATGTGCTGAACGACCAAGCGAGCCGTCAAGCACCACAGGACAGCGCCCTGAGGAGGATGCAGAGGAGGCGTCGTGGACTTGTACATGCACACCGCTTCACGCATTCAACTGTCACCGCCACGAAAGACGCATCAATGCTGTGTCCAAGGAAGATGGAATTGGCATGCGAAAATATATGTCACAACCTCCGTCTGGGCATGAAAAGCATGAACTGCAGCTGGAGGCGGCAAAATCCGGATTCGAACGCGGCCATCGACATCCCTTGATGCCTGCCTACGGAGCTGGAGCGACATGGAAGTACGGGCTAATATAAAGCGAGAACTAGGAGAGAAGAAAAGAAAGCAGTCGCAGCAGACTTGCCGAAAAGCCCTGTGCTGATGGCACTGGGTAGAGTCCCAAACATCAAGATGGACGTCCGCGTTCGGGCTCGCGTTCCACTGCGTCTTGGCGGGGGTGTAGAGCTGCCCTCAAGAAATCAGTGCTCGCTGTCAAACCGACGTTTTCATCACTGTGCTTGCGCGTTCCATGAGCCAAACAGTTCCCGAATACTACCAACTTCACGTACACCAGCAAAAGCTATCCTACTCGAAGCCTCTTTCCTTGAGAGTCAGAGTCCAGTCTGTACCTTGCCACCGACGAGTGCGCTGCCCAGAGGTACGGCCCGTGCTCGGCTGGGGGATCGCGATCCGCACGCCGCCACGCGGCGCTGATGCTGCTGGCGCCTGCCTGCCGGCGCGCGCTTCGGCGTAGAGTAGGAGAAACCCCCATGGATGTCCGGCGTGCGGGTCGCCATGCGGGCTTCCGTTACGCGGCGCACGCGCTGCGGCCTGAGGTCTCGGTCGACGAAACGCCACCAGTACGAGTATACGCTGCCTCGGAAACCGCAACAGAGCGCGAAGGCTCCGCGTGCTTCGCTTTACGACACTCATGGGAGAGGGTGCACCAGAATCTTTGGTTCAAGAACAGGAACATCACGCCAAAATCGAACAACAGACTAAGGGAGAAAACGAAGCCCTGCCGGTGACGGAAGGAGCGTTAGCCGTGCCGGCCCAAGACCAGGACACCAGCGGCTGCATCGACCTCGTGACGATCAGCAAGCTCCGAGAACTGCCTCGACCATCCTGGTGGACCGGATCTCTAACGCTGGAAGAGCGCCATGCACTCTGTCGATCTGTTGCCGAAGAGTGCCTTCAAGAAGAGGAACTGTGGCGTCTCTTGGCACAGAAGCAATCAGCGCCGGTTTGTTACGACGGCTTCGAGCCTTCTGGTCGTATGCATATCGCGCAGGGCGTACAGAAAGCACTCAATGTGAATAAACTGACTGCAGCGGGCTGCGTATTCAAGTTCTGGATTGCCGACTATTTCGCACAGCTGAACAACAAGCTGGGCGGCGATCTGGAAAAGATTCGCACTGTAGGTCGCTATTTTATCGAAGTCTGGAGAGCTTGCGGCATGGATATGGAGCGCGTCGAGTTCCTCTGGGCGTCCGAGGAAATCGCCAAACGCTCGACGGAGTACTGGACGCTGGTGATGGATATTGCGCGCCGCAATTCACTGGCGCGAATCATTCGATGCTGCCAGATTATGGGACGCAATGAGTCTGATGAACTTTCCGCTGCGCAAATTCTCTATCCCTGCATGCAATGCGCGGATATATTCTTTCTCCGCGCTGATATCTGCCAGCTCGGTATGGACCAGCGCAAAGTCAACGTGCTTGCTCGAGAGTACTGCGACATGCGCAAGCTCCCTCACAAGCCAGTTATTCTCTCCCATCGGATGATGCCTGGCCTGAAGCAGGGCCAGGAGAAGATGTCCAAGTCAGATCCGGACTCGGCTATATTCATGGAAGACACTGAAATCGAAGTCAATACCAAAATCAAAAAGGCATTTTGCCCTCCGGGCGTGGTAGAGGGTAATCCGTGCATCGAATATTTGCAGTACATGGTTATGCCGAAGCTCGGGGGATTTTCGGTAGACCGACGCCCCGAACACGGTGGCTCCGTCCATTACGCTGCTTTTGACGACCTGGCCCGTGACTATGCTTCTGGTGCTTTGCATCCGTCGGACTTGAAACCGGCGCTTGCACGAGCCTTGAATCTTATTCTGCAACCTGTACGCGACCACTTTGAACGCAACCCCGAGGCGAGACAGCTCCTCGAGAAGGTGCGACGCTACCGCAGTAAAGCGTGAGCGTGCACACCCGTTTTCCCCGGTTTTATCGTTGCGGCACTGCATTGTAAGCGAGCGCGGAGTGGATGTTGTCCCAATATTTGTTGCTGGATAGGGATAGCGGTTTCGTGGTGATCAGCGTCCGTATGCATGCAGACAGACAGACAGACAGACAGACAGACAGACAGACAGACAGACAGACAGACAGTGTGCGCTTGCCCCTCGCATCACGACACCGTACTGCGGAATCAATCTGCGCGCTAGACGGCCGTTGCAAGCAATTTCGCGTTACCGCAGGCACATACGTGTCCCCGACAGCCGCTGCGTGCTCAGATCGGATGGCAGCGACTGAGGTGCAGGCTGGGCATCAGGAGAGCGTGTCGCAGCACGCATACACATGCACACGCACGGACATGGATGCATGCATCAAATCCTGTAAAAGAGCGAGGACGCACAGCATCGGTACATTATCCACGCTGTTGCTCGTTGCTTCACAGGATACCGCAGGAACGCAACGGTTTGATATCCCCGTCTGCTCTACATGGTTCGTTACGAAACAACTCGATTCCAGTCGCGTGGCAGCTCGATCGGAAGCGCACAGGAGACCAGCGTAGCGTCTGCAATGGGCGCGCGTACGCTTATGCAATGGCACAGACTGGGACCCTGAACGTGGCCGAAAAGTAATCGGCCGGAATACTCGGGTTTATCACGAGTGCATGGAACGATGCCGCACGACGCCTGATCGGCTAGCGATGTTCGAGTCCTTCTTACTCGGGCACCGGGTATGCGCTTTGCTCGAACGGGTTCCGGCGGTTTCCCAGCAGATGGCCATGTTGGCACTTGGTTCGCCGAGCATCGAACATGCGATCTCGACATGCAGCAAACACTGCGGCTGGGTTCAGCATAGCCCAGAACGAGTCCACGTATGACCAGGATGAGTGCATAAGCTGTCCATAGCGGTCTGGCGTGCCCGTCTCTGGAAAATCGCACCAGTCAACCTGTTCTCGATTGGCCCTCGTGTTCACAGCTCGAAAGTCTGGTTTACGACACCGCCAGCCAGACGACGATGGCTGTATACGAGAGGACCACAAGATCCTGCAGAATGTTCGATTGAACGGACCATGTAAAGTTGTCTGACGAACCAGTGTAGAGGCCAAACATGCCACCCTGAGGCGCACAGAGCCCATAGAGGTTCAGACCAAAAATGAACGCTGTAAAGAGCCAACCGGCCGCGTGCGGGAACCAGTGCAATTTCCTCCGCTCATGGGAGCAGCGTAGTAAAGGCACCAGCACTATCGGCAGGGCAATGCTCAAAGTGGCGTTCACGACGCCGATGATGGCGTTCACCGTTGCAGGTCCCGAGGTCGCGGCAATAATCAGCGCTGGCGTAAGTGCAAGACCTCGTGCCAAGGCGGCTCGGACGAGCATGGGAATACGGAGATGGAGAAAACCGCTCATGACGTAGCTACCAGTCAGCGTGGCTGTTACCGTAGAAGCTGTTCCAGATAAAATCAGAATGATGCCCCAGAGGATACACGCACCATCAAAGGGTAGAAAGTTGCAAAAGTTGTACAGGCCTAGGCTGTCGCTCGTACTGGATCCTTGCGAAAACACGTGCTCCGCTGCTATGGCGATCGCCGACGCATTCACGAAAAATGCGAAGCATGTTGGCAGCACGAGTTCGAGAACCACCGCGCCTACAGCTGGCAGTGGCGCCGGTGCGCATAACCCGTCTTGATATTGACTGGAAACGTCCAAACCTTGTCGTTCAGTTGTATTCTCTTGCTCCAATGTTTTGCCGCTTAAGCGCCTCACACTTGTCTCAAAATCGCCTTTGCCAAGCACATGCACGGGCGTTCGCTCGACAGTGATGTCGCTGGACCCATCAGCGCCGAGCGGCCCTATGCATCGCGCTTCTTCCACTTGTTGTTGCTGAGTCTGCGGTACCACGGCGCTGTGGATCTCGTCCAGCTCGGTATTAGATGCGTCACAAAGAGGTTCATTCAGGCCTCTTTCGCTTGCACGCTCACCAGTGCAAGCATTTATTCCCGAAGACGCGTTCGTGTCCTCGAGGTCAGAGCGGCTGCACGTGATTCCCGCATCAGGTCCGGGCTCTGCGTACTGGGTTTGCGCATCGTCCACAGACCAGTGCGCATGAGCATTGTGCGCCGCATGCACAACAACAGATACGGAATCCTCAGCGATGTCTTGTACCGAACCAGCGCCTCGGGACTTGTCCGCCATATCCGATTCCCACAACGTTGCCGACGTCGCAGCCGCAGCCTCGACATCCTGTTCGGAGGAGTCCGCGTCGCCGTCGCCGTTGTCGTCGGTATCTTTCGTGAACGAGGGGTCGACGAGCTGGGCATCTAATTCCCCGCCCGTTTCGTTCACATGTACCTTGTCTATGATATCGAGCGCCACGAACGCCGCAGTGTGATGCGCGATCAGCGACCCGGTTTGCAGATAGAGATTGTGCGGCATCACAACGCTTCCGATGATGCTTAACGCATCGTAGACCGACTGACCTCCTTGGAATCGAGGTAACAACCAGCCAACCATGAAAGCTTTGCCATCTAGTCCAGATTTCGCTAGGGACACGAGGAGCACGAGACCCAATGCGAATACGCACAACGCTACCACCATCTCCACCAAACGAAAGTCACCAAGCTCCAGCAGAAGAACCAACGAGGTCGCAAGGAACGACAGCAACACGCCCGCCCAGACAGGTAGTCCCGTCAAAATATGGATTCCAAACGCGAAACCAATCACTTCCGGAATATCGGCAATAATAACCACAAGCTCGGCAAAGAGCCAGAGAAAATAGCGTGCTGCTGGGGGTTTCCGGTAGCGCTTGCGCTCGGCCGACGCAAAGTCCTCCAGCGGGCTGCTGCGTAGCACGAGGCGCGCGCACAGCCAACCCACGAAGAGTGCAAACCACTGCGACCACCAGACTACCCACAGCTGTGAGTAAGCGTACTGAGAACCAGATAATATATCAGAAAACAAGTTGCCCGGGTCCAGGTATGCCACGCATACGAGCCAGCCGGGTCCCGCGTAGCGCCAGAGACGGCGAAAAAGCACAGCCAACCGCCGCCGCCGCCGCTGCTGCTGCTGCTGCTGCTGCCTACGGCTTGGAGCACCAGCGCCCTCCACGTCAGGCAGAGCACCGCACGTACCGGTGCTGGTTGTATCCATAGTGACCTATCGTATGCGTCCGAGTCGTATGTCGGCTTCGGGGTTACCAGCTGCAGCGGCAGCAGAGGAAGAGGAGCACGACGTCGCACCAGCAGCGGCAGCAACAGCAGCAGCGGCAGCAGCAGCAGCGATATTATCGATTCGCCTTGCTTATTCCCATGAGTGATCGCGGTGCATCTCGGGATGCGACCTCGCGTTCGCCACGCGCTGCTCAGTGTCAATGCGCGACGCTCATGGCGTCGACGGTACATGCAGTTGCAAACAAGTCTAGATCCGGGATCGATGCATCGAACTTGTGTTACCCACTAGATCCGCGTTAGCTGAGCATAGTACATGGAGTTACGTGCTGTGTTCGTTCTTATTGATCCCTTTTCTGGACTTTGCTCGATCTACAGCCTCGACAGTCAAAGTACAGCGAGAAAGATTATGGAATCGAAGGCAGTTACAGGATTTTCAGACGTGTTCTCGGAGTCGCTGCTTCGACGCACTGCACCTGGCATTCTTTACGTCATGGGGATTACGAGGATTCACGACGACCTCGAACACGCGCGCGTAAATGATGCGATAGGATCATCCAGTCATACGTCCGAGCCTCCATGTTTGTCCTGTCGTTGCGAGTGACACGCTAACATCATGCATTCTTCGAGGTGTCGATCTTTCTGTTCCGAGGTAATTCGAGGGCACAGGAATTCGCGCGGCTGGATCGACCATGAGAAAACTCGGTGACGCTTCTTGACGACCTGGTCGTACGCTCATGCTGAGCGTTCACCGAATTCGTCACGTCGAGTCATCACTTCCGTCCGACAGACAAATCCACCTCTGTGACAGTCGATGAATCTGCATCCGACAGCGGCATGGTGCCTAGCACGTAACAAGCTGTAAGAGGCCCTCGCCTTTTTTGTTTGCATCGAAAGCGTCTTGGAATCGAGCGCTCATCAGCACAGTGATCGCTTTCCGTAGAGCGTGCGTCTGCGCTTTGAGCGATGGAATCCTAGACGTGTTCAAACGTCTCGACTCGTGTTCTCCAGTCTGGATTTTCCTTCCGATAATTCTTTCATCAAGGACCATATCGCATTCCACAAATCCCCTTCGAATGGTAGAGCGAGCGCTTGCGGGTGCATCGGACAGGGTATAGGCGCCGAGCGGATCCTCGATAGGCGCCATCGAAGGAGCGCCTCGCGGGAAGCCCTCTGCACCCGTTAGAGGCATATTCGGAAACATCATGGAAGCCTTCAAACACGACTAGACGATATCCGGATGAGGAGGAGCAGGAGGTTCGGTGGACGAATGGGAGCACCTGCTTATAGGTCAGTGTCACCGTTGCGAATGGCGCACCAGAGCTGTAGATAAAGAAGATGAGATGGCGAGCACTGCGTGGACCGTAGCTTGCATTTGTGCGTGGTAAGCGTTGACAACACCTAGAAGCGGCGGAATCGGGACTTGTAGGTTCCCATCTGCAGCATCTTCCCAGTGCGAACTACGTGGCTCGACAGGTACCAGACACCGGTTTTTGTAAAGCCAGATAGGAAGGAGAAACAAGAATCTCCCAAACGCTGGTGTGTTCCTGACACTGGCACGAGACCCCAACTGTAGCAGGTGCGTCCGCAATTACCTCAAAAGGACTGCTTTCAACAACTTTCCACATAGGTGTCGTGTACCCGCTCCTTGGGCGCGTCGACGCCAACACCCGCACACACCAGTTGTCGCGGGCAATGGACACACGAGGACGCGTCGCTGCCGCTCACGAGCCGTTGATCCCGTCGCGCTACGCTGCGTTTCTTGTGCTGCTGTGCTGACTGAAGCTCGCAAATGACTACGAATCTTTCGGACTGCTTGCTTCCGACAACGAGGTCGTTTCTCGATGAGGACGATTTGTCGTGCGGGACGGATCGAGAGGTAGAAGATCTCATCGAGAAGTACTCTGGTGGCAGGAGCGAAGCTACTGGCGAGCCGGACGAGGAGTCTGTTCCGACGCCTGAAACCCAGGCGCTGCTCGCGAAAGAGGTTGCACTTCTGCAACTGCGCAAGCACTGGGATCCGAAACGCTTTTACAAGTCAATGGGGCACGAGGAGAAACTTGATCCCCGTAGGTTCCAGCTTGGAACGGTGATCGAAGCTCCACACGAGTACTACACAGGCGAGCGTTTACCACGGCGGGCGCGCAAGTCGCGCATCATTGAAGAGGTCTTGGCGGACCCGCGAGCACGGGGGTACGTCAAACGGCGCTTTCGAGCTGTGCAGCAGCGAGCGCAACGTATTGCTGAGGCATCTAAGTTGCGTCGACGACGATCCAGTAAAACTGTGCAACGCCGCAGAAGAAGATCCTAGGATACGGGCGCTCGGGATGCGTGCACGGTACCGACTGGAGCAAAGGGTATCTGGCGACCACTGCATTGACTTTGGCAGCAGCTAGACGTGTCTGGTGGTCGACGACAGGACGCCGTGGCGCTCACACCGCTACGAGAACGGATACAGCGCGACTCGCCACGATATCCGAGACGCATCACGAACACCTACACATACACACACGTGTACACGCGTACGAGGCAAGCAGGCACAAAGCACGGGCCTCGACTACACCCTTGCCTCTGCTGAGCAGCTGCTGTTCTGGTCTCTGAATGGGGTTACAGCGCAGGAGAACTCCGGTTTACACAGTCGCTAGAGCAGGTTCAATCCCGCGGGTCCATGGATGCGCCTGTGTCGGGGTCTAGGCACGTGCCCCACTGTAGAGGCACGCAGCATGATGGAACCCGATCCGAGTACGTGTCAAGGTCACACTGACGCTACGGACCCGCAATGGATTTGATGCGTTCACCAGCGTCATGGAACGGGCAGGATGATCCCGGAGCAAGACTTGTGGCGCCCAGTGTGTGGGACTCGACCCGCCCCCGGAGAAGCGCCATGATTTGCGCACAGCGGCCGCGCTTCGCAACAAGAATACCGCCCGTGTATTTTCCGTAGAGTCGTAAGATCCTTGACTTTAAGATTTTATGGCGTTGCCGAGGCTGCCCGCGTGTCCGAGACAAGCGATATCGACCAGCAGCGCATCGAATGGTGCCACCGCTGCTCCTTCTCGGATGCTTTGCGTGGCGGTGACGGGAACAGCCCCCGAGTCGGGCAGTGCTCGCCCCGAGGATGCTTGCGAATCAGGCCGTTACGCCAACAGGCGACTCGGTCGATCACTGGCTGCAAGCTGCTGTCGTTCCACATCAGACTCAACATCCGTCACCGCACTCCAACGAGTGACCCGTCATTGACCAGCAATACGAGCCTGGGGTCGCGATCCAGTCTCGCAGACTTGGTACATACGCGCTATAGTGCGAGTTCAAAGGGATCCGCAAAGTCTGGTTGCCAGTGCTTTCTGCTGCCGTACTCGTAGAGCCGCTCAACGGTCGTTTTGAGGAGCTGTCGCTGTTCGAGTTCCAGATATAAACGATAGAGGTCGAGCGCCGCACGCGCGTCCTCAACGGAATCGTGACCTTGGGAGCCGTTCTGGACCCGTCGTTTCAACAGACAACCAGCGAGAAAGCGCAATGAAAGCAGTCGAGACCGCCCACGCGTACGTTCGTTTGCGGGCAAGCGAAACAACAGCGCCGTGTCACGGTATTGCTCGGACCGAAGCAGGAAATTCAACTGGCGAAAATCACTTCTTAGACCATGACCCACGAACACACATCCGGTGCGCTGCAATGCATGCAACTTGGCGTACACATACTTGCTCAGCGTCAAATAATGTCGGGTGCGGTTTGGCTGCAAATCCGGTGCAGTTATCCCACTGTAGCGGGTCAGGTAGTCCACAATCGTGCATCCGGGCGGGGGCATGACGTAGTCATCCAGCAGCACCTGTCCATTTTCCCGAATCACGGTGACTCGGGCCACATGTTTGCGAGAGGGTTCCAGAATCACCCGTCGCAAGAGCGGCTCCTCCTCTTCTGGTGCCTGGCCCAATGACGGGCTGCTCCAGCGGCACCAGCGCGGCGTATGTCCCGTCGATCGACGGCTGCAGCATATTTCTGCCTTCTCCCGGGATACGAGCACAAACTCAGTGTCGATCGCGACGAGCGTACCGCGTGTCAGACGCTCGCCCGGCTGCAGCGGCACGAAAGACAACCGAGCTCGCAGCGCATTCCTGTCGCCCGCTTGAAGCAGCCGCTTATGAGTCGTACTCATAGGGCGCAGCGCAAATACGCGCGCCCACTCTGTTTCCGAGTCGGGCCAGAGTCGTGCTTCGAACGACACGGGCGGCTTGTCGTCGAGCGCAACTGCGGCAACACCGGTCTCTCTACGATACAGCAGCAAGAGCGGCTGCATGAAACACGAATCGAAGCGCTCGACTTGTGCAGCATCGCGCACCGCAGTGATTGTAAAATCATTAAAACAGTACCACGACCCTTCCTGGGCACTCAGTGATGCCTGGTGCGGTTCCAGTCCCTGGATTCTGAGAAATGCCACTGTTGAGGTCGCAGCCGGCGCTTTTTGTTGATTTGTGGATGCTGGAACGTTTGCTGGACGTACGCCTACGACTTCGCCGATGAGACGGTACCGGTAGCAAGCAGCGTCGAGCGGCAGCTCGAGCTCCAGTTCAGGTTGAAGCGACCGAACTGTGATGCCCGCACTGCTGCACAGCAGATAGGGGGCCAGCGAGAGGACCTCGCGACGCTGCTCAACAAGTTCCACTTTCTGGCTCGCCGGGTGCAGCGCCCGTATCGGTGGCTGCGTCTGCCGCAGCGCAGCGTTCACCAACGATGGAAAGTGTGCCGCCTCCACAGGTTCTGCATTGTCGCTCGAGAGCGACAGCACGTACTGTACATCTTCTCGCGTCGTTTCTAATCCGCTCGCAACTGAACGAATACAGGTCCTCGTTCGAAAGGCGAAGAGTCTCTCGATGACCCGCTGATCTGGCGGAGCGCCATACGCATCGTGCATTTCCTCGCGCGACAAGTTCTCCAGCAGAAAGCGGCAAAACTTATCAACAAGGCGCTCCAGCGGGATCCCAGACTGCATCAGCGTTGGACCACCACTCAAACGATCGACGAGACCCAGAGCTACCGCCTGATGACTCTGTTGAAAAGCGTACATAAGACGCACCGTATCACATGCAAGGCTGCCGCCGCGCTCCATCATGTCATAGAGGTACCCGAGCTCCGCGGCTATACTCGTGGGCAACTCCTCGCCAGTGCACGCAAAGCGATGACACAGTCCGAACATCGCCTCACGAAACGGACGAATGAAGAAGAACATCTGCAAGATTGGATTCATGTACATCGTCGGGAGGCTGTTTTCAAGCCCACAAAAACGCGTTCGATTGTACAGGGCATAATCGAAGCCTTCGAGACTCTCCGCCTTCACCAGATCGATGCGTCTGAAACGCACACGTTCCTCGAGTGTGTCCAGTTTTGGTTGCATGCTCGCAGTGGAGATACTCGTCTGTTGCCAGCCTTCATCTGGTTGCAGGTAGAGCTGGTCGGATGCTGAACCAGTTACGGGCAGGTAGCCAACTGGACCCACAAAGCGGGCGCTCCGTATTGCTATCGGACTGGCCAGCAGCGGGAAACGGAATTTCAACCGTTTTGTCGCATTGCCCCGTTGCTGCTGGACTAAAGGCCAGGGCGTATCCGCAAGCCAGCAGCGCTGTTCTGTATGTGTCGAGTCGGTGAGGTCTCGACGCGGCCTCGCGTTGCGTGCCGCCCTCGAACAGAGAGCCTCTATGAGAGCAGGCTCGGAGAGCGCTGGATCTGGACACTGGGCATTCGCCAATGCTTCCAGCTTCTCACTTTCCTCGAGATGCAGATACTGGACACAACCGCCGAGGTCGCCAGTCACCAACGTACCGCCTTCAGCGGTGATATCGAAGCAGGAGTAGAGACCGTTGCCGACCGGCAAACACAACCCAGCCTCATAACAGAGGACACTTGCAGCCCCGTCGACGCTGAAACGTTCACAATGACCACCAACACCCAGCGTCCACAGGCGCTGCTTCCCTGGTAACCATTTCAGGGCAATGACCGAGTCCGAACTCGGCACAGCCAGCTCCTGGACGATAGCGGGTGATATTTTGCCGACGCGACCGCCGTTCCCTAGACCCTTTCGAATGTCATAGAGTCGAATGAGCGGGACAACCCCATAGACTGCCGCCACTAAACCATGCTCGCTTAACGCGACCAGGTCGACGACAGGAAAGCGCGCAGCGTTGCCTGCCGGGTGCCGCGGCTCCTCGTGGAGCACGCGCAATGAGGATGGATCCTTCAGCGCAATAGATCCGTCATCATATCCCAGAACAATCGCTTGGTTGTAGAGCCAGTCTGCAGCGAGCGCTCGACGAATATGCGGTGGATCCACGAACGAGCGCAGCGCAGTGCCTCTCTCGGCCTGCAACAGGTGCATGCGTCCGAGGTCAGTGGTTACCAGGAGCAACGCATGGCCCTGTAGAGGCATTGGTCGACAGAGTCGCGACTGCGTCCAGTCCGAGCTCGTCAACGTGTGCAGTGGTAGACCCAGCGTGGTTCGTATCAGGGTTCCATTTGCGGATACGGAGACAAGGAGGCTCTCCGTTGAAGCGCCTTGGATCGCGGCAACGTCTCGAACGCCATCGGAGAGCGCCCCAGCCACAGATCCGACCCAGCTGGTAAAGAGGCAACCCGAAGGATACACGCTCGTGCGTACTTGTCCATGCTGGGTTCCGACGAGAACCAAGCGAGTGCCGTGCGTCCCAGGTGTTGGAGCTGGTCGCGATCCGCCGTTCAGCGCGTCGGTATCCGGGTCAGTGAGCGGCACGGAAACCCAGCGCGTGCGTCGAATCGGGTCTCCAAGTCCAGGAAACACAGGCGCTTCCACAGGAGTATGAAGTGGTTGCATGGAAAGCCGAACACACCCTGGCTCACTTCATAACTTCTATTCGCCAAGCCGAAGGAAGAACCCCACCCCCGGCGACGTCGGTACGCTAGTGCTTGGTCACTTGCTTCGCGTTTGACGTTGAGCGCCCAGAAAACTGCAAGCGGAAGAGCACGCAAAGAGGTTTCGGAGGCCAAGCGCTCTCCCAGCGCTCGGAATGTGCACCCAATGAAACGCTTTCAGCGACTTGTGTCGAGTCAGTCAGACGACAGAGCCAGCTCCATCGTTGCCCTAGCGCTCGCCTCTGTCAGATGAAAATCGAATCCTGAACTGGTTGCTCTGTTCTTGCCTCGCCATGTTTTTTTCCGAATTCTTTCGATGAACAGTCTCGAAATCCAAACGACAGGAACAGGGACTTGGGGATTTACACGGAATCTTGGGACTCTCGATGACCTTCTCAAAGTGATACATTCGACTCCTTGAAACTGGAACGCGTAAGGTCACCGGAATCAAGGGATCATTCTCGGGGACCTCGAAATAGGGTTCTTAGAGTAACTGGTCTCATGATCCGTTTCATACGTACGAGCGTCCACGCTTCGCCTTTCATTACGTATAGCGAGCGCACATGACGTATTCTTCAGGCTGCGGATCGCTCGTTTCCAAGGAGACTCGTGGACACCGCAATACGCGTCGCTGCATTGACAAGGAAACATACCTGGGGACGCCCGGTGCCGACTGCTGTACAAGCTCATGCCGTGAGTTCACCGAGCGTGTCGCGTGAAATAATCGGTTCGGTACGGATTGCAAAGCGTCCTCTTATAGATGTGAGCCACGAAACCGCTTTCGACAGCGGCGTGATACCTCTCAAGCGATACGTCCGCAGGGGGCTCAAGTCTCTTGTGTTTTTCTGGGATGCGTCTTCGATTCGAAATTCAGTCATCGCTACGATCGCCTCCAGTGCAGTGTATGTCATCGCTTTGCATGACGGGGGCGTAAACGGATCGAAAGATCTTGACGTGCTCTCGCGCGTATGCGTTACGCTCAGTGCACGGGTGACAGAAGACAACATCTTTTTCCAACAATCCTCTATCGAATCGGATAGCGCGTACTGGCGAGTCTAGGAAACACAGTACTCGCCACAGGGATCGCCCAGAAGACGTCGGTGCCCGCTCGGTACAATACTGGGTGTGGAAACGGGACAGGGCATCGAGACGCGACGTTTTCTGTTTTTGTCTCCGTCAGGAGCATGCAACGAGCGATGAAGCAAGTGCTCACGCTCCACATGAGTGCTCGTAGAGACGCTGTTGCTGTATACGTTTGGGGATAAGTTACTACGACCAACTGGCCCCGCTGCGAAGCGCGTTCCGAGGCTGTATACAAGGAATATGGAAGTGGCAAGCGCAGCATGAATAGCGACCTCTGGCTGTACATGGAATGCGTTGCAAAGCGCCAGAAGCTGCGAAACTGGGACCTGAATGCTGCCATCAACACCCTGTGACTGTTGTCAACCGGTCTGGGGTGACCGGAGAGATCGGCATGTCTACCGCCGGAGATGAGAGAGACGAAAATGAAGCGGTTGGAGGAAATGCCCGTCTAGGCTCGTATTGATACCAGTAGGGCGAGGCGAAAACTCTGGTATGTGCACCCCAGGAATACAAGTTGACCCTTTCCCCTTGATTCTACCATGGGCCTAGTTTAGGGGTTTGTGGCAGGAACCATTGCATCAGAGGCGCGTTACCCTTCACTGACATGCTGGCGACGCTCTTAGCGAGCACGCAACGATCCGGTACGCATGCTGGAGTACGACATGCACGTTCTGGAAACGTTCACATCGTTCCATACTCCCTGTACACGATAGAGCGCCTTGCGTTTGCAGAGAAGAAGCAAGCTGATATTCATACAGGCCGGCAAGCGCCTTGGTACTGAGGTCCGCTGCGCCCCCGCGAGCGACCAGCACCCCTGCCGCCAGAACCTGCCGAAACTCGACTCGGGGTACGCTCCCAGTGCAGGCCTGCTCGCCTCGACTGTCAGTGCACGGGAGCACCCCATGCTCCATGGAAACCAACGAATCAGGCAGAGCGAAGACCGAAGCACGATTTGTAACTGGACGTTGGTTTCGGTGTCTCTTCAAGAAGGGACTCAAACGCAAACGTTGCACGCCCAGGGATGTGGCTCAGGTGTAGCGCGAAACTGCGCGCGGAAACGAAACGATACAAGGAGGGTACGTGCAGAGCGCTGGAGCCTCACTGGAACAATGCGCTTATAGCGAGAGACTAGGTCGTGGCTGCTGGTAACCATTGTATTCAAACTGCGGCATACGAAAATGCGCTACCCGCAAAGGGAATACGTACAACAGGCGTATCTCCGCAGCACCGTGATGCGCTGTAATGTTCCTTGAACGGCTTGCGCGTTCACGACACATACTGGGCCCGTCTACAAGCGAACTCGACAAGAGACCAAAACTCGCGGACGACGCCCTCGTCCGTATAACGCCGGTGGCGCCGAATCGGGATGCATTTCACGGCCCACTGCCGCACCGTTGGCGGAATCTCTTCATCCTCGTAGTAAAAGTAGACGCCCTGGACTCTGGCAAACAACTGCGCCGGATCACCCGGCAGGGGCCATCCCTTGAACTGCCACAGTGCTCCCTGACAGACAACCATGACCACGCGCTTCCATTCATTGGGCTGCAGCTGCCCAGGCTGATCGGTGAACAGATAACACTGACCCCGGTGATAGATCTCCACAGGGCTGGCTGGCTTCTGAACGATCCCCTGTTTCCGCAATTCCTCCTGGGATCTAAATGTGCCCTTTTCCACGAAATCCCTGATGTTCAACATCGTAACCAATGGTTGCTGACCTGAAGGCAGAATGATGATCGGCGCTGATCCTCGATCTGGACCGCGTCCGGGTGTTGCTGGCGCTCGGAGGCCCCCAGTTCCGGTCTGAGGCTTTTCCGAACCTGCCGCTCTAGCGTCTTTTCGAGCATAGTTTTGCCCTTGACCCGCTGGGATACCGGGCATGTGCACTTCGCTTGCAGATGTTAGCGTCGTCGCAGCCGATGCTGCCTGCTGCGGCGCCACGGTCGCTTTGGACCGAGCTGCGGTACTCGTACCAACATCGCCAAGACTGGCTGCCACGGAAGCCAAACTGACAGCGGGATCGATTTCCAAACGCTCAATTTCAGTGAGACCGGCTTCTCGATACGCTCGCAGCGGATCAGTGCGGTATCGATCACCACGTGCGATATCCACGCCGCTCGACCCGTTGGCTTGGAGGCTCTGTGCGGTCGCAGCGGACTCTCGTGGTTGCTCATCTGTTGGTGCTGGTGCGATCAAAGATTTGCGAAGTGCTTCAATCACCGGGAAAGACAAAAAATTAATCTGTTTCCGCTTGTCAAGTTCGAAGAACGCATCGCACGTGCGTTGGATGCGCTCCATTTCGCGGCATTGCGCTAAGAAAGTGGAATCCGCAGCGGAGGCCAACGGGGCCTCGCCATTGAAATCGCTTCGTTCGTGTTTCACCTTATCTCCATCGATTGCCGGAGGCGCAGAAGACTCTCTGGGTACTGGGCTTTCCCGAGCGGGGGCACTTCCCCGGGGTAGCTGATCAGCGTCTTCGCCTGTAGCTGGCGCGGTGGTTGGCGGCAGCGCGGAGGCCGCGTGTCGCAACGTGCTCCCTGCCGAGTCGACACTCGCACCAAGGAGCGAGGACTCCTCGACGCTGATCTCTCCCAGCATAAACTTCACAAGCTCTTTGCGCTCTGCCTCCATCAACCGACTGACGCCGTTTTGTTGACAGTATGCCACATATTCACGAAGCGAAGCGTCCGTATAAAGGAGCGCGACATAAATATCACGAAGCGTGTAGGGTTCCCCTTTGCGCGCACCTGCAGTGCGACGCGCAGGCGTCAGCTGGTCAAGCGGGTAGGCAGTCGTCCCCACAAACAGCAGCTGCTTATCCTCGTCCATACGGGACCCCGTCATGGCGGAGCCAAACTCTCCTAGCTTCTGTAGCGCGTAAAGCGGCTCCATGGGTTTACAAGCAGCGTAGGTAGACACCAGCTGGTCCAAAAATGCGGATCACTGGTTCGTCGAAAGGAGACACGACACGAAAGCGCCCTTTTCGAGGCAGCCAGCCCGTGCGCTCGAACGGTGCTTGCTGCCAGTGGTGCAGAAGGAGCGCTCGCTCTGGTCGGCTGCGTTCAGTTTCAACAGGCGGCCAGAGCCGTCGTTCCGAACAAGAGCAGTCGCTGGAGTACCAAGAACGATCTCAAAAGTATACCCGAAGACTCTCCGCACATATACACACACGGACCAGGGAACCGTCCGTAACGAACGGGTACACCTCAACCGCGCACTAGTGGAATGCGGAATGCGATTGCGTCATGCGTCAGAGCATCGAATCCCAGGAGTCTATTTCATGCAGGATTGTACAGAATATTGAGGAGCGCATCGAATCCCAGGAGTCTATTTCATGCAGGATTGTACAGAATATTGAGGAGCGCATCGAATCCCAGGAGTCTATTTCATGCAGGTTTGTACTGAATATTGAGGAGCGCATCGAATCCCAGGAGTCTATTTCATGCAGGTTTGTACAGGATAAGGAACTGCTGCAGGAATGCCGCCTCCGACGCCGTCGATGTCCAGCCGCAGTGCGGCAGGCGCATCTACCGGATCACTGCATCCCGTGGGAAGAGCGTCGTTCGCGATTGCCCTGCAAGGCGGCACTGTGCTCTGCTGTGCTGTGCCGCGGGTGTGGCTTTACTCATGAAATCAGTTACGAATTCCAGTCATCAATAGGCATCATGGGTTTCTGGTGTACGCCGTGCAGCATCCTGTACGGTGCCCACTTGTCGCAACTGGTGGCATTTGTGGCACCTGTCGGTAGGTTGGCGCCGGAGCGCGCCCCACAGAGGCACGGTGCGTTTGCTTCACTCCGGAGGTGCGGTTTGTGCGTCCACGCTAAACGACCGACGCTCCTTCGCGGCTGCATAGAGGATGTGCCCTCACAGATCCGACGGAAAAAGCCACTAGAATCCGAGAAGCGCTATCGTTTGGATTTGGGTCCAGACGCTCACGAGGCGAAACCTGTACCTGTCCAAAGTATGAGCTTTTGGAACTTGCCCAATGCACTGACGCTTGCCCGCCTTATTTTGTTACCGCCCATAGTCGTGTTCTTCTACATCTCTCAGCGCTGGGCTGCGCTTGTGTGCACGACGCTTTTCGGCATGGTTTCCCTCACAGACTGGCTCGATGGGTACATCGCTCGTCGCCTTAACGTATCGAGCGTATGGGGCGCGTTCCTGGATCCTGTTGCCGATAAACTCAGCGTCGCAACGATGCTTATCTTACTTGTCGAGCGTTACGCGCGGTTCTGGGTCACACTGCCGGCCGTCGTTATTCTTGTGCGAGAGATAGCGATCACAGCGTTACGCGAGTGGATGGCCTCTCGAGGTCTACGGGATGTTGTCGCCGTGAATCAGCACGGGAAACTGAAAACGGTGTTCCAGATGGGCAGTATTATGTTGCTGCTGCTGGCGCAACCCAGCATCGGACTTCCGCCACCCGTACTGTATCTCGGTGTGAGCTTTCTGCATGCTGCTGCGGTTCTGTCGCTCGTATCCGGGTATAGATATTTTCGGGCGGCATTGGAGGCACACGCTACCTATTACTGAATAGTGTTTGGCTGTGCGCTTTTCATGGAAACCAGGTGTTGGGCGATCCAAGTAATGCCTCGCCACGTGCGCGATGCGAAACGCGTAAGCGCTTCTTTTTCGAAAAGTGAAGGCTGCGATTGCTGGTCGCCAAGTGGATATCATATCATACCTGGTCGTTGTTATTGTTGCGGGGCCCTGAATATTCAGACCATGAGCGTCGTATCGTGCACACGACAAAGAGCCTGTGCTTAGTTGAAAGAGTCGCGGGTAGGGCACGCTTTGAATGTGTGGTCTTCAAGGGCCGCTTGGCGCCTCACGTAGCGACCGCAAGCACGGAAATACGAAACCTTTGGAGTGCGCTCCCGTGATTCAACTCTTCAGAGCGGCTCGTGAAGCGGCGACATGCATTTGCAGGCGACCTCACAGCTCTGCACAGTACGCTGCAACATCGAGTCTGTGAAGCGCCACGCGAACGGACGCCCAGCGGATGCAGGCACAAAGACGGAGCTTCAGCGCGAGTACTGCATCGGTCAGCATCGATTCCCGAACAGTCGCCCGCAGTCGCATCGCTTCTGGGTAGCCGCGGGAACTTGAACCTGCCCGCCCATAGAAGCGTGCGTGGACGGTACCGTGACAACCGGCAGAAGGCGCTGGCTTGGTGCTGTTCTATGGCGTGCGATGCTGTTCGAGCACACTGTGCCCAATGAGGTACAACTAGTACATGGATGAGGTCCGATAGCCGGGGGCCGCGAATTTCGAATTCAGTGAACCCGAACGTGCATCGAGCTATGCTACAGCACGTACTGGAAAGGGATCCTACTTGCCTCACGCACTGGGTGCTTCACTGCTTTCCGAATGGTCAAGCGCAGCGAGCACCGCGCGCTCGCACCACCACGAAGGCTGAACGCATACGGAAGCCTGCAACCCAGCAGACGCTCCGCGGAGTTTCTAGAGTAGCTGAAACCGCCCGCTATCGCTGAACGAAACGACTTGATCCGGCGCTGTTTTGTCCCTACCAGTTCTTCGAAGCGACTTTGCCCATCGGACTAGAGGCGATCGAGTCTTTCCACGACTAGGTTTCCGCTAAAGACGCTTGAGAGTAACGAACTCGCTTTGGGCACAACGCACACCACAACCCGTCATCGCATGGCTCGCTAGCGTCCAGTTCGGGCGCACCGGCATTCGTCTTCCAGCATGTGTCAATACGGTGGCTCCGAGGCTACCCACTGGATGTCCATGAACAGCGATCATTGTCACCGTTTACGCGGATCAACAGTACACCATCCGAGCAGATCGAGCTCGGACGCCAGAGGAGCAACCTTGCCGGGGGAAAGTTCACGGGATCCGGGCGCTGCACTACGCCTGGCTCCAGGCGACTCGACCTGGGCGCAGAACCGATCATCCATCGTGACCAGCACTGTTCCCGTCTGTGGGTGATGCTCGCTTTCAAGTGTCGAGTGGGAGCGAATGTACTTGTTTAGCGAGAAACGATGTGAAATACCTGCTTTCGAGCAGCGCCTACGACCAGCCGCCCCTGTCCGTGGGTGATGCTCGCTTTCAAGTGTCGTGTGGGAGCGAATGGACTTGTTTAGCGAGAAACGATGTGAAATACCTGCTTTGGAGCAGCACCTACGACCAGCCGCCGAACAGATGTCCCGTCTCTTGCAGTTTCGGATCGATGAACGCAGCCACGTTTGCCTTCGATGCGCTAACGCTACCGGAGAACGATGACCAGATGTGATCGCCCCTAGCTACGCCTCTGTGCACCTCAAACCTCATAGCAGTGCTTCGATGGCTCACGAGACACGCCCTGGATCGATCCAGGTACTTTTCAGTTGCCGAACCTATCGCTAGCGTTTGAAGCAACGCTAGATGCGCTGCTGCTGCTGCTGCTGCTGCTGCCGCTGCTGCTGCTGCTGCTGCTGCTGCCGCCGCCGCCGCCGCTGCCCGGCAGAGACAGAACAACTTGGAGCTGTCTGGACGGGCGTCAGCTCGGTGACCATTGTGTTCATGCAACGCACCCGGTCGACAAGAATACGGACGGACGTGATCACCGCATCTTTAACGAACGAGAACGTCCAACACACGGCCAGCGCTTTCATGCTCGTAGCCGAGGAACAAACACGTCGCCTCAGCGATCGCTTCGCTCATTGCGCCTCTGACGCGCTCTGCTCGCCTACCTGTGCGCATCTCATTTGTTTTTCACGGTATCTGCGTCTTTCAACGCCATTTCAGCGAGAAGATTTGAAAACGGATCGTCCGAGGGGCCTGCCTCGAGGCCACTGGAATTCGGTCGCAGAGCGCCTCGCGCTGTCGGTTGGACACGCGGCCCCGTCGAAGCCGCCACCCCCGCACGCTGCATTGCGTTTGGTGTTCGACTCGATGCCGAGTTTGCCGTTGCTGGTGTTGCTGGCGTTGCTCCTGAGAGCAAATCACTCAGCAAGTTATTTCCAGGCGATTCCGAGAGCTTCTTTGAACTGTGCGCATTCGTAGAGAGCGATGGCGGGTACATGCCTTGCGCTTCGACGCGGTTTTCGGTATGGAGTACGCTAACCGACGGCGCTTCGGTACTGTGCAATGCGTCTGAGGCCTTTGATCGCGACACGACGACAGAAGATTGGATCATTTGGAAAAAATCATCACCATCGCTGGCGTATGCGGCGCTTGGAACCGTGCCGCTCGCAGAAGGCATCGCAGCGGTGCTTGGCTTGGATGCAAGACCGCTGGCGCCGGTGCCCGACGAGGCCGCCACAAAGTCACTCCAATCGTTCGTTGCGTTCATACCTCCAAGCGCATCATCCTTGCTTTCGAGTTCCGCTTTTGATGCTTTGCTGGTGGCCGCTTCAGATGCATCGCCGTCGTCGAAGCCCAGCAAATCATCGACTCGGGTAGCGCTAGGCCCTGTGTCGGCTCTGACTGGTGCACTATTGGTGGCACAGAAAGCAGCTGTTGTAGACGCGGAAGTTGAGGCTATCGTCGCTGCCCTATCAAAGTCGACCTCCTCGGAGCCGAAACCACGAAAGCCGGCGCTGGGCGCCGGTGCGTAGGCATCACCAGACCGCAGTGCACTGCGCGCTGCGCCTGTGTACATATCTGGACCGCGTGCCAGGCTTCCGCCAGATCTGCTTGCGTAAAAAGGCAAATCACCCGGGGCTGCACCAGTTGAACCGCTGTGCAGGGGCGTCGACCCCACTGAAGCGCCCAGTTTCTGCATCATGGTTAGACTCCGCTGCAGCTCCTCCTCATATCGCCTAGGGTCTCGTATGATCTCCACAACGACTTTGGCCTTCTGGCGAACACTCAGTCCACAGTCCCGCCGCTCCGTCTGGTCAAAATAACGAAACTCTTGCAGAACCTCGAGGTGCGGCAACGCTGCTCGCGCCTCCTCCAACACGCGTGGCGAGCCGTGCAGCAGCAGGTACCGCAACAAGTCCAGAGCCTTGTATACCCGCCGCCAGTATCGCCCCTTGTCGTTCAGCCGTGACCAGATGATACTCATCACAAGGGGATACTCTTCCGCGTTGTGGGTAGCGCTCGCGATTTCCGCCAGTTCCCGCTGTGTGGGCCCGTACGGCTCAACGCTCGTCGCCGCGCGCACACTGTTCTCGACGTCAGTCATTACCGCATCTTTCAACCAGGAAACGAGTTTCCCACGCTGACGAACTCCCTTCCGCTTTACGTCAGACCAGTTTACCTTATCCAACATGGTGCGTTTCCCTGTCTCGCCCGTGCCTTGCGTGCTGCGCTGCGCTGCGTCCAACTGCGCTGCAACGCGCGACTCGCGATCCATCGAGGCCTGCGTGCGCGCCGTCTGTCCCGCGTGTGTGCAACGCGTTGTGCAGCTAGCCCCGGGGTACGCTTTTGGTATATATTGGTAGATACGTCTAGCATGATGCATGACGCCTCGGGCAGTTGCCTGCAGCGATCGCCGATCGGATGCATCGACAGCGCATCCAGCACGGTATCGCTGCACGCATACACGATGAGCATAGCGTATGGAGCTGCTCGCTGGGTTCGCTACCACAAGAATTTTCGAGGTTCAATAGATGTATGGGATGGCTATTTAGGATGTCGTGATGAGGTTTTGCGGATCCATACGTCATGGTAGCTTTGTGGGACGTGTTTTCGGAGTGGCTCTTTCGGGGCTTTTCTTTTCGCTGGTGTTCGTTCTATCACCAGAATCAAGGTGATGCTTCGTGTTCCCGAACAGGGGTGGGTAAAATGACGGCCTTCATGATTCGGTTCATAAAAAGAAGCCTCTAGGTTTTTTATTTCCTTATTTTTAGCATGCTCGCGTCACGCATTCTTCAAGACTTGGACGGTTCGGTTTCAAGGTGACTGGTGGGCGCAGCATTTCGCGCGGCAAACTTGACGAGGAAACGAAATATTCGACAATGTCATTTGATGACTTGTTCACGAGCTCAAGCCGCAGGTTCACGGGGAATGTCACGTCAACTGGGTTTTTTCCTTCGAAACAGAAATCCTTGTTCTTCTTTTGGTCATCGACGAAACGCCATTCCACAGACGCGTGATGTCGCTTTCACGCAACATCCACGCGCAGGCCTGTGTCTCTCCTGTTTGCATAGAAAAGGGACCTGGACTCGGATTTCAGTTATCCTAGCGATCGTTTCCAGTGGGGATTGCGTCATCGCTTGGCACAAAGGGTTCGTAGACGGACAGGTATCGGTTAGCTCTTCTCCCGCGTGGATTTTCCTTTCGGCGCTTGTTTCATCATGGGCAGTGCTGCATTCCACAAATCTTGTATGAAATGCAGCAGCATGCGCTTGAGCGCGCAGCGAACACAGTGCTTGCCCGGGGGATCACGTCGAAGATGCCCCCGATCGTCATGCACAATATCGGGCGCGTACACGCACGACCGCTTTTGCCACGAGCCTTCTCTGCCCGTCGAGGGCGTGAACCGAGGGGTAAAGGCAGGGTCCACGCATCGCGGCATGGCGCGAGATGCAGAATTCATGGATATGTGGGAACACCTGTTCTTCCTTAATGGTCACAGCTGCGACGGGCACAGCAAGGCTATATACGACAAAGATGAAAATGGCATGCGAATCACAGTTCACGACTTTTGTATGTGCATGAAATACGTCGAAAACAGCCGGAAGTGTCGAATTCGGGATCCGAGCGCTGCCATCGACATCCTTCGACTTTCGGAAACGGCGCTGGTGGGTACGGAGAAACCTGCGTACTTAAAGCCGGACGTACGAGGGAAGGCAGCTGTCGCAAAAAAAAAGCGCACAAAGGCTGGTGCTGACGACAGTCCCAAGAAACCCAAACTTCAGCGCATACGTCCTTGTTCGTGGACCTGTTCGATATTCGTCTGACGCCGGGTGTACACTCGGCACCTGCAAGTTCATACAAACCAACCATGATCTCCGAAGCGAATTACACATGGTCACTGGTGGAACCTGAAGGTCTAGTACGGCACGATGAACAAGGTGCCGGATGCGTACAACCATTACGAAAGCAGCGATGCCTGCACGCTCACAGGAACGATCCTGTGCTCAGCGAAGAACATCGGGTACCATCGAGTCCAGATTCGCTACGGCATCGTGACATATGTCTGTATTCTCCCAGAATGTTCAGGAATGGAATGAGGCAGACGCCTGGGCCGCATCCACCTATGCAACATACATCCATAAATGTCCTGTTTCAGGCGAAAGCCATTGACGCTACCCTCTACGGGGCGACTGCTGCTACCGCGCAACTGCAGCCACCGGGGGCGTGTCGAGGTAGGCAGCCAGACCTACGGGGCAGATGCGCCCGCCTCTAAGGCGGTAGTGAGGCCTCGAAGCGCATAACGCTTCTGCCAACAGTCCGCTTATTAGCGAGCGTGACCAAGAAGCAGTTCGTGTGTTATCGTGAGCGCCTGTGGCGATTGCGGCGGCTTGCGAACGCACCCGGGTCCGTCGCGGCGAAGCAGTTGTGCAGCCTGCATATCGAGCGACTTGCTCCGCTGGAAAGCGTTCGAGTGAACGTAACGCGAACAGCGTACTCGTCTGGGATACGGAAACGGGTTTGCAGCGTTCCCAAGCTCGGAACAGCAGGCACGTGTACGAGATATCAGCGTTGCTTCCGTCGTGGTACAGTAGGTCACAGCCAGATCCGTGCGCGGTGTTCACGATGCTTCCTGCGATTCGGGCGCCATGGTCTAGAGTGCATCGAAGCAAGAACGTGGATGGGAAAGTGGCGGTGCAAGCAAAACTCAGCCCGCAGCGAGACTTGTCACAGGAAGCTACGACCCAGCCCATAGATGAGCACGAGGACGACCATTTGAACCAGAGCCGCGGCCTCGATGCAGCATCACTGGAAGCGCAACGTCCTGACTCCTTGCAACTGGACAGACTCAAGAGCGCCATTTCTTCAGTAGAGCAAGCTGGGCCGTCCCGACAATCCTCTGAACATCTCTCGCAGGCGATGATGGAATCTCTGGAGGATGCAGCACGACACGCCCGACGACAGCTTAGCCGTTCCGATCGGGAACGAGTCGACAAGTATCTGCAGAGATTGCGCCTTTTGCAGGAATTATCTCGAGATTTTGCCCGATACGATGCGTCGTGCCGAGTGCCCATGCGTGAAGCGCTTCAGAGGCTCACTGCGATAGCGTTTTGCGGTGGCGGTGTTCTCGGCACTGCCTATGTCGGCGCGCTTTCGGTGCTCGAGCAGCACGGGCTCGATTACACCCGAATAAAACGATTCGCCGGGACCTCCGCTGGGGCCATCATGGCGTCGACGCTCGCTGTGGGCTATCGAGCTGCTGGCTGTATGCGACAGCTCCAGGCGCTCAACTTTGACGACCTCATGTCGCCGGATTTGAGTGCGCTGACTCGTGGTCGCGGTCTGAGTTCGGGGCGTGCTTTGGAGCGCTGGATGGGGCAGGTGCTCGCCGAGCAAACCGGAGATCCGAACATCACCATGGGCCAGGTTCTTGAGCGGTACGGCAAGGAGCTCGTCATTGTGACGACTGAACTGGACACCGGCCGCGAGCGCAAACTCACGCCGCATAGTGATCCAGACCTGCCGGTGAAGGCCGCCGTGCGCATGTCCGCTGGCATTCCCATTGTTTTCGACGTGTACGCGTACCAGGGACATCAGTACTGTGATGGAGGACTCGTCAATAACTGGCCAGTCGATGCATTGCCACAGGATGGCACCGGCCTTGGTATGGTGACCTTCTCCTTCAATGACTTTATTCACTATGAGCTGTACCATCTTTTGTGGGATCCGATCCCGCCGGAAACGCGTGGCTTTGACTATGAACGCATTGGGCAGGCTTTCGCCCAGGCACTCTACAGCCACTCGGAGAAGACGACATCAATCTTTGGGGTAGCGACACGAAGCATGCGCATTATCTACGATCGGCTAACCCGCGAGCAAATCTATCGCTACGCAGAGCGCTGGCCGGGCGGTTTAAGCATGCCTCGTGCCGTCTTCCTCTGCGTCGGCGAGTATGGCGCGCTGGACACGGATATCTCGACAACCGGTCAATTGGAGTTGTTTGAGATGGGTCGCCTTTCTATGTACGTAGAGATTCAGCGCTTCATGCACGAGCTGGAGTATGCGAGTACCCATAGCGGATCCTCGCTTCGTGAGGCGTTTTCCGCGAACCCCGACCTCTACGGAGAACGCGTCCACGCGGCCCAGGCTCTGTACCGAGATAGGCGTTTATCGTCGCAGCTCAGCGAGAGCGCAGATGCGGAAAACGGCGACGCATCATCGCAGCAGAACCCACAACATCTGCTGGAACGAACGGAGCAGCGTGGTCGCAGCTCCCGTTCTGTGCAAGCGGCCACTGATGCTGGTACGGAGTCGGTGCAAGGCAGTTCGGCAGTAGCAGCAGCAGCAGCAGCAACAGCAGCGTCTTTGGAGGCGCCCGTCGAGGAGCGAGCTCGACCCGACGACGCGCATGTTCGCTTCGCAGATGACGCCATCGGCACCGAATCCACGGCATCAATGGAGGTGCCAGAGAGCTCCTCAGATCACGATTCGATGGCGCATGGTCGTCGACCCTGGCAGGCTCCGGAAGAACTCTTTTGGCGGCATATCTTTCTCCTATCACTTCGAGAGGGTCGCAAATTGGGACCGAACGTGCACGCGCGCCTCTTCCCTAGTAGGTTGCGTCGCAAGTACCGCATGCGCGGCCTTCGCGCGGAAGCGGTGCTCATCCAACAGGATATTTCGCGCCAAGTTCGCAGTATATGGCAGAGCATTCGACTCTGTGGCATTGGCTGCTTAGCGCTGACGATTCAGTGCGTAACCTGTTGGCAGGTAGCGCGTTGTGTGCGCGACGATGACGGCGTCGACGACCTCGCTGACCTTGCTGACGCTGCGACCCCAGCGGAGCACGTGCCCACTGCTGAGGCGTAAAGCGTTCGACACTTTACCCGAATCCGGAGTTTCGTCAGCATTCCTTTTACTAGTTTTCAAATGTTGTTTGGACTGGAAACTGTCGTCCGGAGTATCTGGTTATATGCTTTCAACTCATTATTGTTTCAACTTCGATGCGGTGCATGGCAAGAGATCGAAATGACCATGCAATGTACCGAATAGATCGTAGACGAATTGCGTGTAGGATACATATACTTTACTGAACATTTCAAGGAGAACTGCATTACTCAATCAGGTAAGGCATAGAACAGGACTCAGATGGTCGGGGAACTCTGAAACAAACAGATAGATAGGCACCCCGCCAAAAACTGATATTCTAAAAGATTGCTTACGGTCAATGGTAAAAAATGATCTGTTGACCACTCCAGGGAAATCGAAAAGCGATGATAGTAAACATCACAGGCGTCTCTGTTTCGGTACGGTTAGTTCGCGTTGTCCTGAAAACACCGGGATACAGTCTCAAGAAAGAGTCCTAGTTCAAGAATGAATATTCTCCACAGAAATCGCAACGATAGCGTTCCTGGGACGTCGCGATAGGTATGAAGCACCGGGATGTCGGTTTGATTCTTTGTCGAGGAGATTTTTCGGATGAAACGGTCGGAGTGTACACGGGTATTCGCGGAAAGAAAGCCCGTTGTATGTACGATCGAGCTCGAAGAAGACGAGAACATCATCATCATCATCATCTGCTCTAGATGCAGTGCATTCATTTGATCGCCTCTGGTTCGCTGGCGGAAAGGGCTCACAAAACTGGACCCGCCTCATCCCATCGTTGAAGAATTTCCCCCGACATTTGGTGTCGTTCTTCCGGTGGACAGTGTGGTATTTCACCATTCCCCTTGCGATCGGGCTTTTGCGAATTTTATCAGGGTAGAGCTGCTTTTCATTCTTCTGTAGAATCCGTTGTGCTACCCCATAAAAAAAGAGTGTTTTCTATCGTGAAACGTAATGATCGCTCTACTGGGCAAATCGCTAATGTGTTCAGCACACGGTGACTGCGGGACACGTGCCGTCTTTCTTGTGCACGTTCTTCTCTCCTCCTGGGATATCCTCACCTCAGGGCAGAGACACGTGCGTGCACTTGAACAAATAGAATACCCATGCGCAAGTTACGGACATAAAAGTCGAGGATCGTGGACAGCCGTCATCGTCGGGTGCCGGAAAATAACGAAACAATCCTCTTCTCGCCGAACATTGAGCGAAGAATAGCAAATGACGAAGTAGAAGAAGAAGGGGGATAGGCAAGGGTGCCGGAAAATAACGAAACAATCCTCTTCTCGCCGAACATTGAGCGAAGAATAGCAAATGACGAAGTAGAAGAAGAAGGGAGATAGGCAAGGGTGCCGGAAAATAACGAAACAATCCTCTTCTCGCCGAACATTGAGCGAAGAATAGCAAATGACGGAGTAGAAGAAGAAGGGGGATAGGCAAGGGTGCCGGAAAATAACGAAACAGTCCTCTTCTCGCCGAACATTGAGCGAAGAATAGCAAATGACGAAGTAGAAGAAGGGGGATAGGCGAGAGAGCGTGTTCGCACGGCGGGGCGTTGATGAGGCTGTAGTGGTACGAAGGGCGCGAATTCTAGGAATCCTTGCATTGATGGGTTCGCGCAGAGGCAAGAAACGCATGGCGTTCGTGAACTTTAACGCCGCCATCAATACGAGGAGATGTGCAGTCCTGAAGATGAGACCCACGGAGCTAACGCGAGCGAACTCTGTGGGGGAACCTCTCGAGGTCGAGATGTACCAGGAGAAGCTGAAGCTGATACCAGTCGGCGAGTCGGGCAACCCAGCGAAGTGTCTGTGAGTCGGTATCCATACCCTACGTGGATCGTGCTGATGGCACGAGGTCTCTAATAGGCTAGAACTGGCGGCGATCCACGTTTTCCCGACCAAAGTTCCGTTGCATACGTTGTGTACAACAGACGGCAAAGTGGAGGCGTCGGCCTCAACTCGAGAAAACGCGTCCACTGGTCCGTACTTGTCACTGGCAACGAGAGTGCCTATACGTACATATATGCGTAGGCATGCGCCTGTACGAGCACCCTAAGCTCTTGAACGTATCGCAGTGTGTAGAGGTCTATGAGATATATTTTGAATCTAGTGTGGCACCTTAGATACGTATAGAGGTATGGAAAGGCGGTTGGTTGTAGAAAACGGACGTGCTTGCATTTCGTATCGGTATTGGCATCTAAATCCGTCACAGGTTCAAATAGAAGACGGAACTGCTTGCGCTGTTCCTGCGTACCAATTTTTTTCGAACTTGTTTTCGATGTGCTGCCTCCACATTCGGAATGCGGCAAAAACGGCGGACGGATGCATACATAGATATAGGAGTCCCGATGACCAGTCCGGTGTTGCGCCTTCGATATTTTCCCCCTGGAATTCTTTACGATACAGGGATCAAGACGATTTGCGACGCAATCGAAAATGGCTCATAGAGTAAACGATACCAGGATCATATTCATACGTTTCAGCCTCTACTCTTCTTCTTTCATTACGCGTAGCATGCCAGAATCACGAATCCCTTAACGTATCAATCTCTCGGTTTCAAGGCTACTCACGAGCGCAGCGATTCATCCCATCGGATTGAAGAGGACGGAAAACTCGACGTCGTCCCGTAACGACTTGTTTGAAAGCACATACCGAAGGTTCACGGAACCTCTCACGCCAAATGAGGGATTCTGCTCAAAATTCAAATCCTCCTCTTTTCGTTCTCGTCGTCGAAACAAAGATCTACAACAGCATGATTCGCCTCACTAGTGATACTCACCGAGGCTGCTGTCTCGGGTGTTTGCATAGAGCAGGGTCGTGGCCCCCGGACTTGTATCATCGGAGCGATCGGTCCCAGTGGAGAATACGTCAACGTTTTGCACGAAGCGAGCGTACGCGGATCGAAAATTCCCGGCACGATCTCCAGTTCGGGTTTTCCTCCCCGTTCTAGTTTCAGCACGAACGACATCGTGTTCCACAGATCATCTATCGAATGGAATCGCGTGCGCTTCCGCTTCCTAGAGCAGAGTACTGGGCGAAGAAATCGTTCACAAGTAGCCCGTTATCTTAGAGTATGGCCCCTGACACGGGAACCAGGGAGCGGGGTCCAATGAAGCCTCCTGTCCCCGTCCACCGCATATATCGAGCAGGAAAGGAAGCGTTCACGAGTCTCGAAGTGGCCCTCGAAGAAAGCGAAGGTGTTTTGGATCTCCGAGGGACACATGACCACAAATGAGCATCGCTGCTGTGAAGAACGTACAATGGATTAATTCGAAGAAGTCGAACATTGCGAGCGATGCGCCGATCGAGCACTTTTTCTGTGCATAAAACGCGTGAACACCAGCCTCAAGCAGCAAAATCGGGACCAGAACGCTGAGGTGAACATCGTTTAACTGTTGACAACGGATCCGAAGCCGCAGGAAAGACGGGCGTACTTCTCTCCGGAGACAAGACAGAGGGAAACAAAACAGTTGAAGCAGAGGCTGACGAACGCCGGTGATGAAGACTATGATTATGACACATACTCTATCGAGTACGCTCGAAGTAGCCAGATGGACTCGTTCTGTTTTATTCAAACGTGGATATAGTAGATGCACGCTGCTCTTGATAGGAGGCGCTGGTGTGCATAGTGCTTGCCCGAGTCACCAACTGGCTCGCCAACGCGCGTGTCAGTCCGTTGTCGCTGGCCCCGGCTGCATGCCGTACCAAGACATAAGCGGCTCACAGGGAATCACACCACCTTGGCTTCGTGTACGCAACTCCTGTGACTCACACACACACACACACAAAGTCGTTTCTACAGAGTCCGCTTTGGCTAGAGGATCACTGCAGGCTCCCTGAGGGAGCACATCTTCGAAACGTCACTATAGGCGATCGAGGACGATCATTCGCATTGATTGCAGTTCTGGCACCTGGTGTTCCTCTGTCTGAGCCACAACCCCGCGAGCGCCGACCAATCTCACATTCTAGCCTCTTGGCTGAAGGCTGCGCAATACGGATGGGCGTGCCGGCCCAGCGTTTCATCTACCTCCTCGCTGATGGGTACCGAGCCAAGACCCGCGCTCCTATACCGCAACGCAATCCGTATCCGATGGCGAATGTGAGACTCTATGGCCAGAATTCTTCCTAGCAGTTAGATTTCTCCAAAGCGCCGTGCCGCTTCAATAGGGTCCCATATGCAGCCTGCCAGAGCGTGCACTGACAACGAAACCGGATCCCGCGTCAGGTGGACCACGCCTCGAGCAGCCGCCCTCAGCGGAATGATAAAAAAGTGGTCTACCCGCGTCCGGTGTCCGCACTGGCTCTCTTCACGCTCTTGCGGATGCGTACGACAGGCTCGGAGCATCATGGATCGTATGGAACGACCAGTCTATTCGAAACAATGAATGGGTCTTGGAACTTGGACGTATCACGAAGTATGATGGATGCTTTCCCGAGTGCCCAGTTGCAACGCGCACTCTAGAATCCAGGCACATTGTCTGGGCCCTATCCAACAAAATCAGGGATTTCATCCGCCAGGCACGCATGCCTGTGGATCAACGCGCGGGACACGTGTCCGATCGGTTGGAAGCGCCTCCGCGATTCTCGAAGGCGCACACGCATACGCGATCCCGTATCCGATTCGTGTTTTGCGTTCGCCTCGAAACGGACTGCATGGCAGTGGAACACACGACCTCAACAAACCTATCTAACTGGGACAACTTTCTTAACTTAGAATCTTGTTCTCAAGACGAACAAAATGGTGAATGGGAGGTACGTTCGGGTATCATACCTACTTCAGGGCGGTTCGAGACGGACTCGTCCACCGACTTTGGTGGGTGCACTGTCGCCGCGGAGTCGCTGCCACAGTCGCCTCGTGCTGCATCATTTTGTTTAGAGGACACAGCGTGGAGTTCTCGCGACATGGGCATTGGAGACTACCTGTTGTTATCTCGGGCACTCAGCGATCTCGCGGTCGAGAATCAACGGCTGAGGGAACGCGTTCGCGAACTGGAAGCGCTCGTGTGCGCGCAAAGCACTCGCACTGTGGAAGCGAGGAGCTCGCCAGACAACCCGAATGAGGCCGCGTCGCAAGCTAGCTGCGAGACAAACGGAAAACCTCCGACAAATGGTCAGCGAATGATTGTCGGTTTCGCTTGTGTCACCAAGTCGGTGCTGCGAGAACTCGCCTCGTTCTTGACTATCTCGAACGGTCAACTGGGCTGGACGGGAGCGTCACAAGTTGGTACACCGCCACCGAGTGAGAAAGAGGACGCGAAAGGGTATCTGTTTTCGTCTCCATGTACGGAATCGGAGTCGATAGCGAAAGGCTCGACGAGCGAGCCGGGCTCAAGGTGGCGCTCTAAGAGAAGCCCATCAGCGGATGACCGCCACGCACCCGATGTGCCGGGCGCGAAGCGCGCCCGGCACGAGGCGAAGAGCAGGGTGTCTTATTGTGCCGCAGCACGTTTTGCGGCGAGCGGTGCGATTTACAGCATCTTCTTCTTTTTCAGTCTGGCGTTGCTGCCTCCTCTTTTCGATATGTTGGGGTTTGCATTCGAGCCGTGGCTCGCAGCATCGCGCACCCTTGCGCTGCCCGCAACGTAGTCGCGCGCTTTCATATGCTCATGGTGTCGAACGGGAATCGGATAGAGACGGCGTCGTACAACCTTGGAATTCATGTTGGTACGCGCGGACGTCTAGTTTGCAAGAGCAAGCAATATGAAATGAACAGGAATTCTCGGGATACTTGCGTGATGTCCGTGATGAAGGAAGAGAGCGCAAGTCATCCGCATGCGCACCTATATTCTACGAATTTCAAACCACGAACATCGTCGGGAATGGATGTCCAATCCAGCGATGCTACGGCTTGCGAGCGCCGCAAAGGCGCAGCACTGGCGTCTGCAGCCCCTGGCACCACCGGCAACCGCATACGTATGACGCCACGGTGATTGACAAGGTGCTTGCTGGGTCGTGGATACTGGGACAGCACGCTTCGCGTCGTGGGCATCGCCTCGGTCAGCGCTTTTGTGTATAAAATCCACCATATCGAGCTGACGGATTTTTAGACTGTATCAGACATTGCATAGATATTTACCGTGTTCATCACAAGTGATTTGGCGACCACAGACGATCTCGTGTTCGTGTCGGGAGGCTCGGGCCGAGGCAGCGATTCGCGACGCGTCTGCGTTTCCCTGCAAGCGACTCGTCCCTGACGCTAGAGCTGATGGATGCGCCCGTATTTCGCTAGTTCACGCGCGACTCCGGGTACTTGATGTTGCAAATCCTCTGTCAATACCGAATCGAGTCGGTGCCTATGGACAATCTGGTTTTGGAATCGCGCCGGACTGGATCGCCTGCGCGAGCTTCGATGACGAGTTCTGCAGTGCCAGGCTAGTCCTTTTCTTGGACGCAGCCACCTTCCTCAAACAACAGGCAACGTTCCGCAACACTTTATTCGAGTCGAAGAGCGCCGGCAACACCCTTGATGTTGACGATTATTCTCGGAGAACGCACTCGCATGGCAGGTTTCAGCGCAGTCGCCTTGCAGTTGGATTCCCCGCGAAACCGCGAATGCACTGCGTCGTTGCGAAATGCAGCGCGACACTCGAACACGGCTTCGTGTCGATGGACTCCAGAATTATCGGCCTCGAGTTATCGAATCTGTAACAGCATCTATGCAAGGCCGTCAGAGGTCGACTTGAAACCAGCGCACACGTGACGACCTCCGCACGAGGTGCTCACGACTCGTGATGCACCGCCGCGTCAGTGTCCACGGGCGTCGATGGCGATACCTTCGGTGGTGTTCGGGCGCGCCCCGGCTCCCGCAAAGTTACAATTGGCTCCGGGTACTGGTCGCCCAGGGTCACTCGAAACGCCTCTTGCATTTTGCGATTCCATTTCCATGGCGTTTGGATCAGAGCGTTATCCACCCAGAAGAGCTCGGGGCACCAGCGCTTTGTGAACGTTGCCCGAGGATCGAACTCATACGCCTGCTTCAGCGGATGGAAATAGCGAGAACCGCTGCGCGGATCGTTTCCGACTCCCGCAAGATAACACCAGTTCCCCCAGTTGCTACATGGGTCATAGTCGAGGAGCTGTGATTCGAACCATTCGGCGCCAAGTCGCCAGTCCAATCCCAGGTCGTTGATCAGGAATGACGCGACGACCTGACGCGCTCGATTGGACATAAAGCCCGTGAGCCGCAGTTCTCGCATAGCGGCATCAATGAAGGGAACCCCCGTACGCCCCTGGCACCAGGCCGTCAAGCGTGCATCTGGCGAGACGTCCTCGCGCTGTCGTACAACAGCGGAACGCGCTCCGCTTTGTGAAGTTTTAGAGGCACCGCGGACGCCTCGCAGACCCCGCCGCTTAAAAATTGCGTTTCCATGATGCACTGCAGTAAAGCGGAAAAAGTCTCGCCAGAGCAGTTCGAACAGCAGCCAATACGTGGATTCATTGGATTCCACGCGGCGCTCAAAGTCCCGCACTGCATTGTAGATCAACCGCGGCGATATACAGCCATGGGCAAGGAAGCAACTGAACTTGGAGGAGTAGTCGGGTCCCTCCAAGCCGTTCCGCGTTTCCTTATAGCTGGCGAGCGATTGCGTCTCCCATATCCAATCCTCGAGGCGGGAAAGCGCAACCGTCTCGCCTCCGTGAAAATCGTAGCAGGCTCGCGGGTCTGGATAGGGTCGCATGAGCAGCAGCTTGGGCGGCTCAGCGCCGATACGCGTCGCCTCAGCGGGATACTCTATGGGCAGGGCGCCAGACCAGTCTATGGTATTGAAGTTGCTGGCATCGTCTGGTAACAGTGTAAGCACCTCTGGACACTGCCAGGTCTCGCGAACGGTCCAGCTTCGCTCTACGAGTCGACGGAACGTCGTGAATGTATCCGGGAAAACGCGATCCACTGCTGGTGTACCACGAGTTTTCGGAACTGGTGACTCGGCACGCCTGCTGATGTCTTTTGCTTTGCCTGGGAACGGGTACGGTAGGTCTTCAATATGCACGAGTGTTGCGTTCCATACTGCATGGCACTGGACGGGCGCGGAGATCTGGCCCTGGGCGGCAACTTGTGCAAGCGTCCTAACGAGGGCATTTTCAGTGGCGATCTCCTCCTCGGTGACCTCCTTGCTGAAAATGAGATGCTGCACCCCGAATTTTTGCACTAAGCGGGGGATGACATCCACCGGTGAGCCGATCTCAACGATTAGCTCTTGACCACGACTCCGGAGTGCCTGTCGCAGGTCTACGATGCACTCCCGCAGGAAGTATGCGCGATGCTCACCAATGCGGAGGAAGCCTCCAAATCGGGACTTTCCGAAGAAGTAGCGCTCATCAAACACGTAAACACAGAGCAGGCTCTCTGCGCGGTTCGCAAGACGTAGCGCTTCGTTATCGTGCAAACGGAGATCGTTTCGGAACCAGAGCAACGCGGTGCCCGGTAGAGAATCAGGCCAGCGTTTCGAGTCTGTCGGGAAAACGAGCGAATCAGCATACGTCGTTCCCGTATTCGGGAGCACTTTTTCCGGTTTAGGTGTGATGTCGGTGAGATCTGGCTCAAAACGCCCATCCAAATCCCAGCCGAACCATTCCCACTGAACCGCGACCAGTGGTGTCCGGTGTCGCCTTGAGGCTCGCTGGCGAGTCGCTCGAACGCCAACACCGTCACTTATTGGGTGCAGGGCAGGCCGCAGACCCCGCTGCAACTGTCTTGTCCCGGAGTGTGCAGGCAACACAACGTACATGGCGTGTCTACGGTGCTCGAACGCCCGTTCACAGTACCTATCACCAACGCGTGCCAACCGATGACCTCTAGGTTGCGGCTGCTGCGATGATGGCGCGCCCTGGCTACAGTCGTTGCGTCTGCCGGTGCTGTTTCAAGGCTCGTATCAACAGAGGTTTCCTGTTGCTTCGGCGAGCATCGACTTGATCTGACCTCGTTATTGAGCAGCAATTGTCTTATTTCGGTCACGCTGCAAACAAGGGCGTGATCGACGTCTCTACTTGCTGAGCACCGCTCCAATGAAAGCGGAGGCTGGCACGTCCGAGTCGCGCGTCGGCACGCTTGAGGCTTTCCCGTCCCGCGTGGCGTACTTTTACGACCATGACGTCGGCAACTACTATTACGCTTTGGGACATCCAATGAAACCCCATAGAATGCGAATGGTTCACGAGCTTCTTATTGCTTACGGAGTTCACGAGAAACTGCAGGTACTGCAACCGCCTCGCGCAACGGAGCGAGATCTGACGCGCTTCCACTCCGACGAGTACATCGAGTTCTTGCGGCGCATCACCCCGGAAACCGCACAGAAGCAGCTGGACCAATTGCAGAGGTGTAAGTTTTCATTTTCGCACTGATGAAACGGTTCGCGCGCCGGCTCTTCACTGATGACAACCAGGCTTCCTCTACCGAGACCAAAGAGGCTGGATGCAACGAGGGCGTACTCCGGAATCCGCAACCGCTAGCTCGCTGAACGTGAGTAACGGTTGTGCTGCCCAGTCTGAGAGGAGCGCCAGCGAATCGCACGTTCGAGCGCGTATACCCCAGAACTTGAACTAACCATTTCCGTCAATTAGTTGGCTTGTTTGAGGATTCCCCCTGTTTTGATGACATCTATCGCTTTTGCCAGATAAGCGCCGGCGGCTCCCTAGCTGGTGCTGCCCGCCTGAACCGCGGTTTCTGCGACGTGGCTATCAACTGGTCAGGCGGACTGCATCACGCGAAGAAAAGTGAAGCTTCCGGTTTCTGTTACGTCAATGACTGCGTGCTGGCGATTTTAGAGTTGCTCAAGCATCACGCCCGCGTTCTATACTGTGACATCGACGTACATCATGGCGACGGCGTCGAGGAGGCGTTCTACACGACCAACCGGGTGATGACGTGCTCTTTCCACAAATTCGGGAACTTTTTTCCTGGTACCGGCGATGTGCGAGACATTGGATACGGCCCTGGAAGACACTACGCACTCAATTTCCCATTGCAGGACGGTATCGACGATGTCTGCTATCGCGAAATCTTTGCTCCGATCATGTCCAGAGTGATGGAATGGTATCAGCCGACCGCAGTCGTGCTCCAATGCGGGGCCGACTCCCTCAGTGGCGATCGTCTGGGTTGCTTCAACCTGTCGCTGGACGGACACGCGCAGTGCGTACGTTTCTTCCAACGCTACGGCGTCCAGTTGATGCTGCTGGGTGGCGGCGGCTATACCATTCGCAACGTGGCGCGATGTTGGGCGTATGAAACGGCGCTCGCAGCCGGTGTCGTTCTCGATGACATGATACCCTACAACCCATACTATGAGTACTATGGACCGGATTTTCGATTGCGAATTCGACCAAGCAATATGGAGAACCTGAACACGCCGAGTTACTTGCATCGAATGATGGTGCAGTTGCTCGAAAGTTTGCGATCGCTTCCGCACACACCAAGCGTTCCCTTCCATTCGGTCCCGGCCGACGTCATCAGCGATCCGTTGCTGCGAAAGTTCTCAGCTCCGGTACCTCTCAGCGATGACGAGCATTCCGTCTGCAGTTCAGACTGGGATGATTAGAGCTGGGCAAGTGAGCACGGCATTTTGGCGCCCTCTATGATCCGAGGCGGGCACACGCGTGCCAGGCGGATCGCGGGTGTGCAGTGCTCGCACGCATCGACCGCATCGCTGGACACGCACACGAGAGGGATCGCGCGGGGGGCGCTAGCGCGAGCACCATCGCTACGGCGAGCTCGAGAGATGATCCTGAGGCAGCCGCTGGTTCACGTTATGCATGAAATGCGGGCTGGCGGCACCTTCCGTAGGGGGCGCAAGCCCGGGACAGATCTATACAAACTTGCCAAACGCGCTTGTCACTGCGAGCGTACGTTTCGTTTTACGGCCTATGCGGGTACATGGAAGCGGGTTTTTGTTGTATGGTGTGCAAGTAGCAACACCCGTTGACGACATCGCATGCTCTGCTGCGGCCTTGGATGCACAGTTTCCGTAGCGCATTGGCGCTGTCACTGCGTGATGGCGCGGCAGGCAGTGCCAGCGTACCTTGCTGATGCTGCTGTCGCCGTTGTTACGTTCTGTTACGCTTTCCGTGCTAGTAAAACCGGTGCTTTCTCCGAATGAGTCGTTCTGATCCGGTTGCTGGAATCCGCAATGGTGCGTGGCTGTTCCCAGGTCGCTCTACAGCGCATATGCTTGCCCTGAGTCGTTCACTGAGGCACTGCCTCACAGCGAGTGCGAATATGAGAGCGACCTCTAGGCGCTTCCAGGCACCAGCTGAAATGCACGCTTTGCACTCGTTCGAGGGCTCTAGTCCGCTCCACAGATTTCCCGCAGCCAGCGTCCATAGAGCGTCATGATGCGTGCCCGTGCTGTATCATCTGCAGCGTTGCAGGCTGCTTGATATTGGCTCGCTACGACATACATTCGGATCATTGTCTTTTCCCATTCAGAAACGATGCGCGAGCAGCACCCAGCTGGAATGACAATATCCGATACGAGGCCGGCACAGAGATAAACTTGCGGCATATGTTCTTCCGAGCTGGGTGCAGCTCCAGCTGGCGCTGCGCTCGCTCCGGGCGTCGCTGACGACCCTGGGGCAGTGCCCCGTCCAGTGGTCGCCCCAGGTTCCGAGTAGGGAAGCCGCAGGATCAGTGGTCGTAGCCAAGCCATCTCCGCGCCCTTCTGGGGATGCAAAAATACCTGAATCTGTTCTGCATAGAGCGTTAGTTCTTGAGCAGGTACGGCAACATAGAGCGGACCCGGCGGAGGCGCCGTTCGCCGCGCGACGTACGCCTGCACTTGGTCTCGGAGGATCCTTTCTACTGGCTTTCGCTGGGGCGGCAGCAGGAACCCGTGACCCGAGCCTGAAGCAGGGTTCGGCTCTTCTCGACCGTTGTCGCTGTGGTTTCCGGCATCACTGCAAGCAATGAGCGGGCGCGACACAAAGAGCACCCATCGTCGCGGCGCTTTCTGGGGCCTCTGAGCGCCAACCGGCACCCACATACCTCTCCCCCGGGGCTGAATTGCTTTTCGCGATCCCACAGCGTTTGCGAGAACGAAAGAAAGACTCGTATTATGGCGACAGTCTTGCTCGTTCAAACTTGGTGAACGGTGATTCCGTCCAGCCTAGTGTAGCTCATTTTGCAACTCGGTCAACGGGAGCGCGTTGCGGTCCAGCTCGTGTACACTGCGCTCGCCAAGCGGAAACCGCACCAGAGCAATGACTGGAGAGCCGAAGTTGGAACGATCGGACGGCCCTGCGGATGCTCCATCCTCGTCAAGCGTTTTCCATCCACCCGAGTCCAATGGAAAAGAAAAACTGAACTGCTCGCTCTCTTCCTGCCTCGAGATATCTCCGAGTATTTTTTTTCGGGGGACGTACAGCGTCGATATTTGACGTTCAGCAATGCGGGCATACGGATGCATACGTAATTCTTGGGGTTTCGGTTGTGTTGTTTTTGGCGAGGTTCCTTCGGCGGTTTGGCAATAGAATTCGATACGTCATTGTCATCAAATGATTCGCGATGCCTACAAATAAAGCTTCGTAAAATAACCCGTGTCATCGTCCAATGCATACGTACAGGTCGCCATTCTTTTCTGTTCCCAGCGCATACCAAGGCCGGACAAAGCATGCTTCAAGTTTCCGATTTGTCTGGTCCATGGCACCTCGTATTCTTCATGACACCGGGAAGAGACACAACCTGAAGGGGGTACGCCCCAGATGGACCACCCGTTCCATTTCATTCTAAAGAGGATGAAACTTACACTTGAAGGCTACGTGGTTGCCATTAGTGACCAGCGAAGAGACCGCTCTTCCTGAACAGATGCTTTCGCGTTCCACCCACTGTGGCATAGGAATTTCCTCAAGAACAGGTGCTAGATTCCACTGGCAACGCCGCAGGAGTTGCGCTCGCCTGAGACTCTGGCTAACGTGCTGGAGACGCGACGTAAGGGCTGGCGTCCTGCAACACTATCGCTCCAACACTGCACATCCTTAAGGATTTCTGTTCCATGAATGTTTTGAACTGGTCTGGCAAAGGCCCTGGCAGTTGCACGACGCTGGCCAATACGCGTGAATCGAGCACTTTGTTGACGGCACAGGAAACGCGTGCCGAACCGAGCAACTCTCTGTGCTGGATATACTGCACTTGCAGACGCCCAGCTACGCAGCAAAAGGTTGCACGTTCAACTCGAACGCTGACGCTGGCGCCGCAAGACCAAAGTTCTTCAGTACCTGCGGGTGGAGCCAGCCCATACTCCCGAGCGCGAACCGAGCCCCGTTGGGCCGCTCCACAAGAATCGTCGCTCGTCGACCTGGAAAGAAGAGGTCATCGTGACAAGCTTTTGGGTCCAGTCGGTAACCTGCATTGTATCCCAAGGACTTCAAATTCAAAGCAAGTATGATCCGATCGAGAAGATGCTTCACGATCTCGAAACCTGCGCGGACGTCACTATAAACTGCCGCAAGATGACGCTCATTTCGGGCTCCGGTCTCGCTTTTGGAATCAAGCAGGACGACATCACCGGTCTCGAAAAGGCGCAGAGGAAGCGGCGCTTCCCGATGCTCGCGAAGTGTCTTCAACAGCCCCACGAGAAGACTGGTCCGGCATTCCTCGAATTCTAGAGTTTTGGGATTATGTAGACGCACAGCTGGCGACTGTGCATCGCTGCGTTGCAGCATTTCGGTATTTTCAGCGTGCGACACGGTTACCCAGGTTAAAACCTCGAAGTATCCCTGTTGCGCGAGCTCGCGACGAAGATGATCTGTTAAGCGCTCCAAGGGTCGCCACTGCCCGACTGGCACACAGGGAGCAGTGCGCTCGGGAACATGATCGAAACCATAACTGACGCCTACGTCCTCCGCAACGTCACACGGATGGAGGATGTCGCTCCTGAAGACTGGTACCTGAACGTTGAGGACCTGATCGAATGCCTCGTTTTCCACGACAGACACTAGGTGCAACTGCATGCGCTGAAGGTGACGTTCCAGCTCCGATACCGAGAGCGAGACCCCCAGTAGCGATTGTACGTAACGCGCAGAAACCTGCATTTGCGCGTCCTCGACCCACGGTGTGCATAGCGTTTGCGAATCGAGCACGTTGGCTTTGATCGCTGCAAGCCTATCCTCCGGTAGCGGTTGATCGTAGTGAATCGTCACTGGCTCCACATAAAACGCCGGCAGACAATACCGGGAGAAGGAGGCCACGATGACGGTCAGCGCGGTGGTGAGCTTCACTAGGTCCGTTCCAGTGCATTCGATCAACATATTTCGCGTGCTAGGACGGATTTTGGTTCGATCACCATTGATGATAGGCGGGAGCGATAGCACCTGATCCTCGCTATCATGAAGGAGCGGGTACGCCTGTGCACCTTCCACGAGCGGCAGGTAGCGTTTCAGATGCTTGTCGAGTCGGTAGTGCTCTATGATTTCGAGACCGCTCAGCTCGCGCTCAGCGGCCAATGGTCGAAAGCGAATCTCTCTGGGGTCTTTCACCGTGTAGGTGCAGGGCCCCTTGACAGTATCGAGGTCGTGCGTACCGATCGCGACGAGCGCACGGCGACGACCTAGGTTTTGATGAAGGTGCTCCTGTAGATCCATCAGCGACTGATACCGCAGCGGATCCGATAGGTCTATACCGCGCAGCACTGCAGCCACAATGTATGGGCGCAGTGCATTCGTTCTCACAAGGATCCGCTCCCGCGGCTCCGTTCGCTGCAGCAGAAACGCAGCTGGTTTATCAAGGCCGCGGAAGACGCGAAGCGCCTGCACTAAGCCTTCGAAGCACAACAAGTCTGGACGGTTTGCCGGTACCTCGATTTTTAAACAAGCGACGTGCTGGTCTAGAGGGCCTGCGTAGTTTTCGACGTCGTCGATGGAGTCTGACCAACCAGAGCGAGCGCGCTGGCCGCCGAGCAGGTCGCTCAGCGGCTCGTCCTCCACGGTTTCCACTTCTAGACCATACGAGAAGCAGAGTTGCTCTAGCGCCGCTTCATCGAGATCAGAGTCCAGTGCCTTCAAGAATCGATCGCGTATAACTGTTACGGTTGGCATAGACGGCTGCGGTACGTCGTCGAGCAACAACTCCAGCGCAGAAGCCCGCGTGTACTGATCGCCATGCGCCTATGAGCGCGCTCTGCTAGAACGCTGCTCTGTCGATGCATCGTGGAGCGGGACAGCGGGTTCCTTTCATGGGATATGGGAAGCGGGCATGCTATACATCAATCATGCGGGGTACAAAAAGTCTGGTGCGAAGCGTTCCGGGGATCGTGTTTGCTATCATTTGATCAGGCCCTGGCACGCGCCGAGTCAACAGTTAACCAGAGCTTGGTCATGATGAGGTGCTTTCATGTACGAACCATCCATGGAAACGTGATCCGGCTTGTATGCGGCTCAACGGCCTCGATGGTTTCCTTTTCGAAGACCTGTGATACCTGCGGGTGCGTTGGTGGTGGTGGCGGTGGCGGCGACAATGTCCTCCGCTCCGCTGCGTCCATGACAAAGGGCATAGCTCGTCGTCTGATGTTCCGAAGAGTATTTACTTTGGACTCGAACGTAGCCCTTGGGAAACTTTCGGGAATATCTCTACGTGGGTCCGCGCCTTGTATCCACGAAACCTAGGGCGCGCTTCTGTTTCCGGCATCTACCTCTGTGCATCACATTGGTCCTTTCGCGAGTACACCGGACGACGGCTGGAAAGACACCGCTAGCGAACGCCTTTTAAAAGTCGAAAGCAGTCGCCGGCAGTGCACAGTTGTGGCGAGAAACTTGCCCCAGACGAAACGTCTCCAACTGATGTGCAGACGCTTCCCCGTCTTTTTGGACCGGCCACCTTCTACTGGTCTCAAGTTTTTCTCATATAGTTCCACCTTGAGACGTTGCCCAACAAAGTTCTCTCGCGTCCACTCTGCAGGTCTTTTCTCCATCATCGCACGTCTTCTTATTTTGATAGCTGCATGAAAGTCTCTATTCACGAACTCCATACGTTTCTTGCCATCACTGGTTGTACTCACTGATGCAAGTAGTCCACGAACGTTCGCCCTCCTTTCCATTTGCTCTTCCGTCAGGGCTCCGTACTTTTGCCATATCCTCGGAGCTCTGCTGGCGCTTTTCCATCCCAACTCTCTGAAGCGTACACCCCCAGTTCATGATGTGTATACGACGTTCGGAACTCATCTACAGGTATCGTGTCGAAACGCGGTGCACATTCCTTGTACGCTCTCGTCCTTGGAGCTGGCGTAGTTCCTTTATGGGTCTTCCTGCGCCCTGCTCCGTATGCCACTACGAGCCTCTGACTCTCGGCCTCCTTCAAGGCTCTCAACTGATTGAAAAAATTCGCGAATGCACGCTGTTTTCCACAGTACAGGTTCATACGCAGACGAGCCCACCGGGGCTTGGCGTACTCTTTCCACAGCGCACCCCAATGGGCAACACGAATTTTCACGAACTCCCGAAAAGCTTTAAAGTCTGCTCCGCGGCTCGCCACCTCGCCCATAACTTCCAGGTGATCCTTGATTCCTGCATTCCACGTCTCGATTTTCTTCCTCGCATTCATGATTCCCGATTCTCGATGGTATCTTGCTCTCGAGAGCTTGAAAAGACGCATGTCTTTCTGACGTAAGTCACCGTCACTGCCATCTTCCGCACGCTTGGGTGCTGCAACGGCTATATTCATCGTGTTTCCGGGGTCCACGCCGACGACAAAGTCACTCTCATGCACCTCCTGCGTCGCAGGATCCGCCTCTTTCTTTTCTTCATGCTTCGTCACGGGCGAAGCCGAAGGCACGATAGGACGATCCGCCTTCAACCGCCGACAGTGTACACACATGGACACTCCATCGGTTTCGATTATGCCCGTGAATACCCTCTGCTTGCTCACTTTGCGACGTTTGAAATAGAAGATATTCTTCCAGTACGTCTCCCGGCTTTCACCGGTGAACTCCGTCTTCCTTCCATCGAACTGCGGACAGGTCTCCTCCATGACGCCGTAGAGGACTCTGGAGTCGATAATCACATAGTGCGACTTGATGCTGCACAACGGAACGCCATTGAAGCGCTTACCCATCAGGACAGCCTTCCGTCTCTGCCATTCATCATTGTTTTCCTCACTCAGCGTCATCTCCGCCTTGCGTTCCAGTTCTCGGTCCAGGAACACGAAATAGCGTAGGACGAGGCGATAGCATCTTTCCTTATCTTTTTTCAAATCTAATACCTTTTCTGTTGGGTTCGCCAGCCCCAAGATTGCACGGTGCTCTTGTATAACCGCACGAATGACATAAGCCTGATTCGTTTACCAGAGTGATGTCTTCTCGTCAACGAATTCGATCTCCTGTCCATGCTGGCGATTGTTCATGATGCCATGGATAATCGCACGTATCCGCTTGCGAGAGATGCCCGGGTAGAGCGCAAATACGGAGCGTTTCATGAAACGTTCGCGGTTCATTTTCACGTGGTCCTTCAGATTCGTGAAGTACTTCATCGCCCTGTAGGTGTAAATATCTCCTTCATCCCTGTATCGAGCACCATTGGAGCTCTAAAGGGGAAATTTTTCGTGGAGGGCGTGCACTCCCTCGCATTTCGTCGACATTTTCCCTGTGCCAGGCATCAGGTGGCGAATAAAGGTCCCGATGAAAAATTCTTCCGGAACCTCGACTGTTGTGATATCCGTAATGTGATGGTACATCTCCTTCACCAAATGCATTAGCCCTGACGAGGCCTTTATAATACTCACGGAGTACGACTCGACACGGTTTCTGATGGCCTCTCGCAACGTTTGCCCACAGGGATGCTTGGTACGGCGTAGAAGAAGAGCTTGCACCACCATTTCGTCGCACTGTCGTCTCTCGTGCAGCCTTTGACGTCTGGCCTCCTGTCTCAGCTTCTTTGTCTTCTCCTGGTCCTCTCTGCTCGGCAATTCTTTTCGTTTTTCCCTTCAGCCGGCGATATCGGTCCTCGAGAATCCTCCAATTCCACTTCCACTACTTTGTTATTTTTGAGAAAACCGCGCTGTGAACGCTTTCGTTATAAACTGCAAAAAATCACTTGAATACACTTACTTGAGGGTTGAAACACAACTGGAATGGAAGACTATACTTTGATGCGACTTTCATGTTAGTACAACTTGCCCGTTAGAGCAGTAGGTCAACGAGTGCCCAGGATCGTGTCTCCCCACAAAGGCGACATGCGCGACGTGTTCCGTTCCTGCCGAATATGGAGGTGGGCGTATCGAGTGCGCCATATCGTAATAAAGGACAGAGACCAACCACTACCTAGCAACTAGAAAATAATTTCTTTCCCCTCAACAAAAAAAATTTTAGAGCGGGAACAGGTTTCCATATTGTCGAAAGTTTACCGTACAGGAGGCAGGTCCCGCGAGCCGGACGAGTCTCCCAGGTTTGCGCTCGGTGTGCCTCTAAAGTGGCGGTTGCTCCGGCGAGACCTGCGCGACTCGTTCGCAACGCAGCTTATTCTGGGACTAGGGGCATTCAAGCTGCGACTGGGCGTTGCTCATATTGCAGTTATCTCCAAGCATATCGCTTCGCGTGGCCGTAGCCAGTACGTCCATCTGCCTATATTTCAGGTTCCCAGAATGATACCTAGCCCTAATTCCATGCCAGCTGTAGTATTACTCCATCCGATGCCCAAAGTGGTACGGCCAAGTCGCTCTGACTCAAGCATACATCTGCACCGGCACCATGAGCGCTGCTGCGGGGGTGCTCACGGCGGGCACGCAGCGGAGCCGGCGATCACGACTCGCTGCCCATCGATGGCCTTCCGTACAACGAACATTGCAGGCATTGTCCATCACTCTTCGTGTGCCGCACAGGTGAACTGGTAACAGATGTTCATCCAAGGCGCTGGTTTCAGTGGTACACGTTGGAAACCAAGTCTAAACAGAAATGGACAAGCGGTATCTCTAACAACTGCTCATACCCACGGTGTTTTCTGTCCAAGGTCACGCGTACAGAGCGCACCGGCAAGCGCCGCTGGGGTGCATCGCTCGACCGCACTGCCGCATCGAGGCGTTATTGGCCTCCAAGCCAAGAAAGGTAAACCTAATGCTCCACTGGCACCGCCTAGCGAACTAGAGGTTCCTGAAGACGGTACACCGGTGTTTGCAATTCTCGCGCGTAGTCCCGTCTCGGGGCTGTGGTACCCACTGGGCACCATGAGAGGCGACGGGCGCGCGAAGATGCTGGTTAACGCTATGCGCACGAGCTGGGGACGCAAATTCTATGGCGACACTTTGAACAAGGGAGTGGCACGCTCTGTTTTCAGTGAGCAGGGGCGTCGCATGATCCACGCCGCCCTGCGCAAGTACTCCGCGTTGCGAAAGTATACCGCTGATGACCTGGAGTACGGCTACCGCGTTATTGCGAAAGATTTTGACTATCCGACGCAGATGATTCGACCCGAACAAGCTATGAGCCTTATCCAATGGTTAAAAATGAAACTGGGTCGCGGTAAACCGCCCTCTATTGCAATGAAGGATGAGTCCACGGAGTGGCGCAAGTGACACCGGCGTTCCGTTACAACGGGGACACGCGACGCAAGCCTGCTCTCAACAGCGTCTGTCGATCACATGGGACCCAGAATCATGCATAGATCGTGCAAGACGCTGACACTTTACGAAATCCGCATGATTGGACGTTTCGGTTGCATGGGTTTTCAGTGAGAGCCGTTGACGATTACAGGGGAAGGTGCCTTCATTCTGTGTTGCATCTGCTCTAGTTTGGAAGCAAAAGATAAACCGTCATCGGTCGACCAGACTCTTGAGCAGTCCCTGAAATAAGCGCAGATACGCGCTGTGCTGACGCTGTTCCGCAAGCGGCTTGATCGCCCAGCTGCTGTGGATCGTGCTTGCGTACCGACCGGGTCCATACAGCAGCACGCCCGTGATCGCAAACATCGGGGAGGCAGCACGCGCGACACTGGTGCACCGGAAACCCCATCTCCGGTAAACGCCCTTGCAGAATGCTACCGGGTTTGTACATAGATGCACTGGCGTTTTCCTTCCATCAACGCATTCGAGAGTTCGCCGCTCGCCTCGATGAGCGCTCAGCGCGACGTCAAAGGTCTGGAGGTTGGGTTCGCCCATCTGTTTGTGGCATGCAGATGCAGAGACGTTCCAGAAACGGCCCCATGTTGCCAGTCGGGTGCGCTGGTGTCCCCGAGCGCTATCGACAACTGCGCGTGGGGAACGCAACCCTGGAGCTTCTCCTGGACATCGGACCCGGAGGCGAGCAACCTCGATCGACCGCATCGACCAGGTGCAGCAGGGACTGCATCGTCAACCGTCAAGAGATGAAGACGCGCGGAACATCGTGGAATCCGCAGTTTACGCCCTTCAAAACACGTACACAGCCACATGCAACAACGGAGGACGCGCGGAACATCATGGAATCCGAAGCTTACGCCCGCCCGCACACACACACACTTACACTCACACTCACACACGGAACCGCATCCAGTGCTGAACGTGTCGTGTTACTCGTCGTCGTCGGCGGCGTCGCCAGCATCGCCACTGGACTCTCGCCGCAAACGGCGACGCTTGACGCGACCTGGACGACCACCTCCGAACGGTGACGTTGGCGCAAAGTCGATATGTTTCTGGGAGTCAACGCGCACCATGAAACTAGGAACTGTCACTAGCTGTTTGCCAACGCGGATATGCCGCTGCAGAATCAAAACGCGTGCGTGGTGAATAGACTTTGCCAGCCCTAACTTGAACACCTGCGTCTGTAGTCGACGTTCTAAAAAGTCTTGAACTTTGAGCGATAAAACGTAGTTGAGATCCTGTTGCGTCTGGTCCAATAAACCGTACCGCGTCAAGCGACGGAGCAGGGCAGCGCCCTCGACGATGCGTCGCTCATCTTTTTCATCTTTTGTCAAAAGCTCCCGGGCGGCTGCCCGGATCTTCGAAAGCGCGTACTGAACCCGCCATACTTCGCGCTTATTGCGGAGGCCGTACTCACCACAGAGCTTGAGCTCCGCGTCAAGGCGTTCTTTCTCGAACGGCCGTCGCGGGATCTTATAGACTTTAGAAAAGTTCCGGTATGATTTGCCCATGGCGCTGCAAAATGCTGCAAAGCGCGCACACGCCGCACGCAGTCGCTGCTTCTAAGGTGCACTCGAGCGCCCCCCGGCGATAGCTCCACGTCAACACCAAGCGTATCCGCCGTGCAGGAGTTGCGTACCAAGAACGCAGCTGCCAGAGTCGGCTATTTCTTCAGGGCGGAAGATGATGTGCGTCGCCGCCCGTCGGATCGGGTGGCGACGCGCGGCAAAGAGCTGTATATTTTGGTTTTAAACTAGACACACCATGAAAATCGTGTACCATGCACATCGTGTCCAATAAAGTCCAGATTTACATAACCGCTGCGTGCTGCCCAACGACGACACGCAGGCGTATGCACCGCGCTCCAGTGCCGCAGGCAGCTACGCAACAAACGCCATGCGCATATCGACTGCACTGCACTGCACTGCGCAGTATCATGACTGCCGGGGCGCAAGTGCGTCCTTTCTGCTTACCATGAAGCACAAAGCATCGCGAGCGGTGCAATCACAAGTCGGGCACTCGTTGCCGGGGCGTCAGCTCATGATGGAGCGCTCGTCGTGTTCCCGGACGTCGAGAGGTAGCTCCCAGTGCCGTAGCGCATTCACCAAATGACCATAGAATACGTCGAGAAAGAGCGCATCCTCAGAGCGCAGATGCATCAGTATCCACGGTCGCATCCCGGGCTCTAAATCGCGCGGTGACCCTGTGCCTTGCAAGGCTGTGTCCAGCGGTGCCTCCAGGCGCATCAGAACGCTGTACCCGTGCACTCGAGAACGAGCGTACAAGACCGCGTATTGTGGCTCAGAGTCTGGAGCTTTCGCCATGGTTCTGAAACTGAAGGTGGTCTCCAGAAATCTGAGCAGGTAATGGACCCATAGATAGGAGCGCGACACTGCTGGCAGAGAGGTTTCGGCGGGCGCCATGGCCGCAGCCCGCCCAGCCGGACAGCGATCCCAGAGTCCGTAGCAAAACTCAAGGGACGACGCACCCGTACCCGTGTCCAATGGAGAAAACAGGAGTAAGCGCGACGGCGTTACAGGTACTTCACCGAGCGCCATCGGCATCGCTGTCCTGCATTGCCAAACTGCCACAGCGGCAGCAGCTCGAGTTTGATAATCATCGACACCAACAACGGGCACTGCAGCGTCCGTTCCATTCGACGACTCGGTCACGAACATGTTCGCGAGGCTATCACACGGACGCCACCAGACTCGAACCCGAATCGGTTCGACGTAGTAGACACCACGGCGCAAGGGAAGCGGCACCTGCAACGTAGCACTTTGCCGCAGGAAGAATCGATACTGGTACTGTTCGGGGACCTGCAGCCAGCCAGCGTCGGCTGGCGATTTCACAGCGTCAGCGCTTGCCGAGGATGCTGTGTCGCTGGAATCGCTCGAATCACCGTCTCCGCAGAAACCGATGCGAATATCCGCAAAACCGCAAGCATCCTCTTGATACTCAACATCAAGGACCAAACGCACAAGACCTGCTCGATGATCCAGAGTATAGTGCGCCTGAATGCGCAGCGGCCCATGGTCACCGCAGAGTTGTACGGCTGGCGCAGGTGTCCCTGGTGCTGGACCAGTCGATACGCGCGGCCAAACGAATGCCAGGAAACGTTCTATAAACGCAGCGACGGACGGCTGGCGCGTGACCCAGCTCCGTTCCAGCCCATTCACTTCCGAGACGGTCGCCTTGCGTAGGGCATCAGGAACACATTGCATCAAGAGGTGCTCGTGGAGTAACAGCGCGCGCACTACGTCCACCACAGCATCCGTGATATGCGCTGCGACAAGCGGACGTGCCTGACCGCCATTCACAATTAGGAACGCTTGCAGTTGAGTGTCATCCTTGGTAGCGACTCGCCGCAGGAGTGCATCCCGGGATTCAGGGGTAGCGTATTCCCCAATGCGCAGGAAACGCAACTGGCTGTCAGCTGCTGCGGCCACATCAAGAAAAACGTCATCACGGTAGGCTCGACTGGGACTCTCTGCTAAGAGCTCAATCTGCAGTACAGCTAGCTGCACATACGTTCGTAGCGCCCGCGAGTTCGCTCCCGGAAAGCGCTTCTGCATCTCGAAAATAGATCCGATGAGCTCGAGGTTCGTTCGCCGTACGAATTCCGCATATTCGGTGCCGGTTTGGGTGTCGTAGAGCATTGGGGCTGCTTCGGATATCAGCGTACGCAGCGGTACCTGCCTCTCGTCTGCAGGGTTCTTCTCCTCGAGATTTGTTTCCTCGTCCGAGTCAAGCAGTAAACTCGGAATCGAGTGCCGCGCGGCGTGCACTTTGCGCTCACCAGGGTTCGCATTCGGTGCCGTTGCGCCGCTTGTGGCTTTTCTGAGTAGCATCTGCGGGCTTTGACCAGCATCAAGGAGCATCTGCAGCAGTGGGTCTCCCGCGCCTGTCTTGTTTTCATCGGGAGACAGGGCGGAACCGCTTAATTCGACAGTTTCGGCGCTTTGCCATGCTCGGACGGGAGCACAAGTCTCAAAACGGAGCACGCCTGTCGACGATCTCCAGACTCGACGTTGCACCGGAAGCGCTGAGGCACGAGCCACTGCCTGCTCAAGGAAAATCACCAGCATATCATACAACTCGTTTTCTGCCTCGAATGGTGGCAGTAAGGGCAGAGCACAGCATATGCCTCGAGAGAAGATTTTCAGAGCAGTCGGCGAGGCCACGTGCCTTGCGCAGTCACGAAGCGTCTCCGTCATGAAGCCAATGGCGACTTGCTGGAGCGCCAACGGCACGCCGCGCTGGTAGAAGACGGCCTGCAGAGCCAAACATATCAGCGCTGCCATGAAATCACCGTACTGAGCACTCAGCCCGTGGTAACGAAAAACAATCTCGCGAAAATTGCTCAGGAAATGGAGAGTTGTGGTGAGCTCATGGCAGCGAGCCTCTGACAGCAGGTCAACCTGTTGACCTGAAGGGTTCGTATGTGCCCGATTGGTATCGAATGCCTGTTGCCCCGTACCGCAGAGCGAAGTATGTAGTCTCGCGCAAACCACGGTCATTGCGCAGAACAGGGTGTCCCGGAGACGATTCCAGTCTGATTCACGAACAAGGTGACTGTCCAGGAGGTTCCTCCGAAGTGGCGGGAACAGCGCTCGGCAGATACTGGGTACATCCGTGAAGGCGCTGGCCGAAGCGCCAAAAGGTGCTCCGTTTTCAACGCGCCCAGAGGGAAAGCGATAGGCGCAATCCATGGTTAGGGAGACCAGGAGCATCAAATTCGCTCGAGTTTGACACGAACGCGGTCGTCTTGGCCACAGCTCCAGCTCCTTCAACAGAAATCGGTACTGGCCCTCTGGGGTAGGCAAGAGCTCCATCGACGCCGAAAGCAGACTGCGAAAAAGGTACGCAGACAGACCTGAGGAGAGTTCCCGCTGAGACAGTGCTACCTGCAATGCTGGAAGTTCCGAGGCAAGCAAATCCTGGACGTCCCTGTTGCGAGTCAGGCACGCCAACTCCAGAAGAAATACAACTACAGCCCGCCAGACGGACTCGTTCCGTTCCGTAGCTTTCGTGTGGCGATGCGATTTGGGCTGGGATCCGCTGCCATGCGACGCGTTTGTCTCAGCAGCTGCCTCATCCTCAAGACGCACGAGGTTCCGCTCCAGCTTCAACATGGGCATGCAGAACTCTCTCACGAAAGATAGCGCCCAGAGATCGTCGGCCTCCGGCGCTGGGCCTGCTCCGGGATCGACCGCACACGAGACCTTCCTTTTGGTCTGTGGTGGTGCAGCGCGCGGTGCTGTCTTTCCGGCAGCATTGCTGCCCTGCTTGTGGCGGTCAAGGCTCAGTGCGATAAAACCAGGGAGCTCTCTCAATATCGTGCTTTTCAGCTCAGGGTCCGATGTTTGATAAAAGCGGGCAATAATCGCGGCACCAGACGCATCCAGAATCTCGAAACAATGGAGCCCCAGGGGAGATCGCGCGCTTTCCGCTCCCTCTGGTCGACCTCGACACAAACGCACAAGTCCGAGGAGGGATTCGGCGAAGACCTCATCATCTGGGTCTTCGAGCGCGATGACGAGACCGCGAAACACAGTTGCAAGCGTCCGTAAGAAGTGTTGATCATAGCGCAATCGTCGCAGCCATATCGAGTCGACGTCCTCGAACTGACTAGGCTTTGCCGCATTTGCGCCAGACACGACATCCACGAACCGCAGTAGGAGCGTACTCAACGCTCTTGCTGCCGCCTTGCGCAGAAAGCTGTGTTCTCGAAGCAGAATCGCAACGACCTTGCCTCGGTCAAGCGCCAGGGCGGTCATTGCTGCCCGTACTGGCAGTCGTGCGAGCAGCAGACAGCCGAGATGCCTCGTCTTTGAGCGCTCACTTCTGAGCATCACAGCGGTGTAGAGAGCTAGGACAAGATTGAAGAACGCATGGCCTGCCCGGTGAGTTTGGTGCGCGTCCGCTGGGACTCCGCTCTCAGCACGCTGGGTCTCCAAAGCGCTCCTCTTTGCCAGCGAGTGACCAAGACGTTCGCGACTGACTTCGTTTAGAAGGAATACCACGAGCTCTTCGGCTCGCTCTGAAAAATGCTCAGCATCAACGTTTTCTAAGGAACGCTCTTCCCCTTGTTTCGCTAGTGCAACCTTTCGTTTGGCTTCGCGGAGCGCGCGAAGGCCCTCGAGCAGCTCGTCCGAGTCGACGTCCGCGCTACCAGCGCTCTCTGATTCCAACGTTTCCACATCAAAATCGACATCGCGAGCACCTATCTCTTCTACTAGAATAGCAGCAAGATCTTCGGCGGTTGCAGAACAGTCACCGAGAGCGCCGTGCTCTACCCAGAGCTCTTGCAGCGCGCGAACCACGACCCGCACTTGGGAAGCGTGAAGCTCACGAGCGAGATCAGGGAGCGGCCTCACCTGCATGTTCGTGTGCTTTCAATAATAACAAAGCCGAACTTGGACAAGGTGTATCGCAGCTAACAACAACAACAAGTCTGTCCTGCAACCGCGTTGCACGTGCAGCGCTTCAGTACCGAGCCGTTCAGGGGCAGGCGTTCGGAATGAACGCGCAGCGCCTCTGTGCTGCTGTCCAGACTGGTTGAACGGTGGCGTTGAGCGGAAACGTCGATGCGCTCCTGTGGAACGAAGGCACTTTGATGGCGAGTGTCTCGTCGGGATCTTGGTCAATCTTCTTCAGATAGGAGGACGTGGTGCATTGAAGTTCAAAAGAACTGCGCTGGGAGGTTGCTTTGTGAGAGCGGTGGTGAACGCCAGGTGGTTTGCAGGGCGAGCGGGTGCGGACGTAACCGAACCGCGTTCCCGTTGGTGGCGAAAGGTTCCCGGCTTACGATCAGGCTGCACAGCGCCCGCAGAACTCGAGCTTAATTGGCAAACCTGGTGCACAGGGACCCGTTGCGGATAGTTTTCGTAGCAGTCAGACGTCGGGCGCCTCATTATATTGAACAAGCCCCACAATGAGCGTGTTCGGTTAAACTGGGGCACTGAACGGCTCGCTCTATTCCTAGCTCGAGATTTTTCCGTACCCTTTCTAAGATTTATAGTATCACCATTCGAAGTGCAGGAGTATGGGCTTGCGGTTGCATACGCAGTTTTGGGGTTCTCGGTCTGTAGGTCGGAGGGGCTCCTTCGAATCTCTCTGCCGCTGGAACTCGGCATGTCACCGGAACCAAGATGATGATTCGCGACATCGTCGATCGAAGAATCCGAAAACGCAATCGACATGATCATCCAATTCATAGGTGCAGGCTTCAACGCTTACCGTTTCCATACGTGAAGCAAGCTCAAGTCACACATTCTTCAAGGTTTCTGAAATTCTGTTTCAAGGCAACACATGGGCGCAGCAATTCGAGTCTCTGTACTAGCGACATGTAATCATAATCGACGTCGTCTTTCGAGGAGTTTTGCACGCGCTTGAGCTGAACACCAACTGACCACTTTACGTCAAATGATTGATTCCGTTGGAAAGACAAGTGCCTCTCGCTTTGTGTCATCGGCGAAAAGGCATTCGACAGCAGCTTGAAACCTCTCACGGGATATGGTACCAGAGGCCTCCGTGTCTTGCGTTTGGATCGGAAAGGCGTATTGGCTTGGACTTGAGTCATCATAGCTCTCGCTTCCAGTGCAGCGTGCGTCGCCTTTTAGCACGAAGCGAGCCTAAACGAATCGGCATTTCTCGCGTTCTTCTCATGCCGAGAATTGGCTTCCGGTATTTGTGTCATCGTGGACAACATCGCGTTTCACCAAACTGTCATCGAATGGAACAGCGTGTACTTGCGCGTACAGCGGACAGCATACGCACCGAGGGCATCTCCCAGAAGAAGTCCATGATCGTCGGGCAGGGCGCCGGGCGCGGAAACATAGGACTACATATAGGAGAGCCTTGTATACCAATCAAGACGGTGTACCGAGAAGTGAAGCAGGCGCTCACCCGCCACATGTTGGCACTCGGAGGTGTGATGGACATTTCGGAACACCCGACAACACCCATGTATCACCGATGCGAAGCATGCACTCAGGCTGTATACCAACAGGATGCAAAAAGTGAGAGGGGCGTAGATCTATTCTTTCGCCTGTGCTTGGAAATCTTAGAAAATGACAGGAAGCTGCGAAATCGGGACTTGAACGCTGCCATCAACTTACTTCGACTGCTGGTGACCGAGCTGGATGGGCATGAGAGAGCGGTGCCTTTAAAGCCGAGGGCGTGATCGAGGAAAAATGAGATCAATTGCAGAAAAAACCCTTAGAGTCTGGTGGTGATCATGCTGTAGAGAAACCAAAACTTTAGCGTCTGCGCTTGTGTTGGCTGAATGAACCTGATGAACTGTAACAAGACAGGGGTGTAGCGTGAAACGAAACGAAGTGGTTTATGTGATAGTCGTTCCCGTTCCAAACCCTGTTGACGCTAACAAGTCTCTTCGTGCAACTATAGCCTTTAGTGCGCGTAAACGCGGAAGCAAACGACAAACAGAGTTCTGCCCGTCTTCACTTGCGACTCCGCCAGTACTCGAGAACTGGGGTCTTGTAAACCCAAGCGGGATCAAAGTTGCTCATTATGCCAGGCGCTGCGGTTTCCAGCTGCTTCTTCTCGGCTAGACGAGCGACGGCTTCCTGCCGTGCTCGCTGTTCGGCGCTCTGAAACGCTTTGAAAGCAGCTTCTTCCTCAGGAGTGATATTCAGCGGGAGCGGCTTCTCATACTTCTGACCGAAGATTTGCTCTGGCAGTTTCTCCTCTTGACTTTTCGGCGGATCCAGCGGTCCTATGGAGTCGAACTCGCCTGCCCAGTTCCTGGGCAACGGCGCGTACGCTGCGCGATCCTCAAACTCACTCCACCTGAGGCGCTTCAACTGCATCCGCAGCGAAACCTTACTCGTGCGAACCCGGCAACGTTTCAAGCTGCTGTCGACGACAGAGTCATTTCTGGTTAAGGGAATGAGGCCTGTCACAAACCCGAGCATTTTCGTCGTTACCGAAGTTTGATATTTCTCAGCGCGATACGAGCTCCGGTTGAACGATAAGAGATGTCGTCCGTGTGAGGTTACTGCCAGGTACCTGCGGACGTACTTTGCGCTCCTCGCAGGACGCGCGCGCTCCGGGGCGCCTCGATCCGCCGCGTGGAACCTGCGCTCGAGTGGAGCTGTGCGCGCTCGCTCGAATGGAGGTGCACACACGTAGGACTTTTATGGACAATACTGATTACCGTGTTGATCGCTGGACCCTGGATGCGTGCCACCTCGATCGACCATGGGCATCAGCTGATCGACGCACACACAAACAGAACTTTTATGGACAATACTGATTACCGTGCTGATCGCTGGACCCTGGATGCGTGCCACCTCGATCGACCATGGGCATCAGCTGATCGACGCACACACAAACAGAACTTTTATAGACAATACTGATTACCGTGTTGATCGCTGGACCCTGGATGCGTGCCACCTCGATCGACCATGGGCATCAGCTGATCGACGCACACACAAACAGAACTTTTATGGACAATACTGATTACCGTGTTGATCGCTGGACCCTGGATGCGTGCCACCTCGATCGACCATGGGCATCAGCTGATCGACGCACGTCCTGTTCGCGGAAAGCTGGTCGATCTTCGCCAAGGTCCGCAGCAGCGACTGTGCGGCATCCAGTCTCGCATTCAGGCTCTATGGGAGGCACGGCACATTCCGGTCCCTGGAACGACTGGATCTGTATTCTCGACAGGAAGACTTGTCTGGGTCCGGGAGAACGTGCAAGCGTCTGTGCTCCGACTCTGGTGTCTTGCTCGGGCAGCAGCAGTGTTTGCCCAGCCGGGAGTACCCGTTCAGATTCATAAACGATGCTCCAGAAACATCAGCTGCACATGCCTGGAATGAACAAGTGTGCAGTTGTCCTTGAGTGGCCGGGCGATCTCGACCAGCGGCTGCACGTTGGCGGTTGCGTGCGGTCATCATCCCTTTATGTCCAAAGACCGAGAGGCTGCCCCACAGAGTGCAAAGGAGCGACGATCTTGAGGTCGTCCCTGATACGAACTCAACGACGCGCACATACACCCCAATTTCCAGAAAAGCAGGCGTCCTCATCTTCTGTCTATGGATGCGTTTTTCTGCATCGCGGACGAAAATCATATGATTCGTATGACGATCGATTCGTGATCGATATGCCACTTGTTCACGAACTGCATCTCCACGGCGGACCCGCTGATGACAGCGAGACATTTCTAAACGCTCTTGCCGGCTCTGGTGCCGAGCCGCGTGCAGTGCACCTATGACGGCGCACGAGAATCGGGGTTCCAGGTTCCATCGTTGAGGTTGGCGCCCTGAGCAACCCCTTGATGACCACGCTACCAGCTGCTACTGGCAAACACGGCCCCGATTTCGATCCTGTCGCCCGGATGTGCTATGGGCTCGGAGCAACGCCAGCGACTGCGTCGATGCATCCGGCATCCTCGCTGAAGAGCGCACGCGTCGAATCGTGCAAGTCCGCCGGTGCGTCACTGCATTCGGGTCCGTCTCCGTGGATACTCCTCCAACGAGGAACCTGCATGGGATAGCTCCACGTTGCGGAGCCTCGCAAAAGTCCAATACTTGGATATTCACCGTCATCGGCAGCAACAGTCTTCGACTCTGGTAAACGACACGTGTTCTCTGGGGGGCGCGGAACCTGCTGCAGAAGCGGAACGATAAAATAGGCGCCTCACTCGTCCGTAACACCAAAAACCACTCGCCCGATGACAGGTACTGTGGCAGGTTGACGGACACCAGTGTCCTGGCGGCATCAGTCCATGCAAAGTCCACGGCAGCACAGGTGCTGCGGTGACTGGCGCGGCTCCTCACTGGCACCAGCATCGATACGTTTGCGCCCTCGCGAAAGCGCCGGGTCGCTGTTTTCGACGGCCACGACCGAGCGCTGCCGACGCGCGGCCACATATATTCTCTGTATACGTTTTGGCAGACGCTCAGGTCGAGGTTCAAGTCTACCGGAAAGACGCATACGAGACAGCAACGATCGAGCAGTAGCTTATCGCTGGAACACTGAACTGAAAAAGTACTACTTTTGCACAGCACTCGTGCCCGAGACTCCATGGTGGAAAACGCAGCCACGCGTCGGTTTTTGGTGCTCGATGCAAGCGCCTGGATCCACGCCTCGGAAAGCTGGCTTCAGCGCGCCGCGCTCGAGAAAGATTTGCAACTATGTACAGTACCTGATGTGCTACACGAAGTTCGAGACGAGGCTGCCCGAAAGCGACTCGAGTGGCTTCTTGGACTCAAGTCAGGAGGAGCGGATGACGCACGAGCGCTGACGGTGTCGGAGCCTTCTCCCAAAGCCGTGGCTTGTGTTGAGCGCGCTGCACGCGAAACTGGCGACTTGGGATTCCTGAGCACAGCGGACGTCAATTTGATTGCACTCGCGATTGATCTCGGGCACCCAGAGAAGCCCAGCGAACCTGTTACCTCGGGGAACGGAGTCGAAGAGACGTGCGGCGCGGGTTCCGCGCCCAGTACGCGCACTGCTTCCGACTCGTTTGACATACACGGAGAACGAATAGCGCAGTCTGCGCTATCCTGGCGTCGCGAATCAACCCGGAATCCCGACTTTTTCGACCCTCGCACGTATGTTTTCGGGGAGGGTCTCAAAAAAGTCCGGCGAAGACTTTCTGAACTCGATGCCTCGTTACCAGAGAGTTTGCTGCGAGGAGTCGACGAACTGTCCATGTATCCAGGTAGTCGGCCGCACCACCGAGCAGAGTGCAACAGAACGGCATGTGAGAAAGAGTCACAGCGGTCAATGAAAAATGATGTGCAGTCTTGTATTCCCTCTGAAGCTGAGAAAGACTCCAGTGAAAACGGCGCTTCTTCTGCATATGTGGACTCGAGCAGAGGCATGTCGTCACATGCTGAGGCTCTATGTGCGGATACCTGGCTGCCACCGACCCATAACCCGGAAGCTATCGCCTCCGAGCTCCGATGGGACGCGCTGAAACCCGGTCAGGTGGCCATTGCGACAACCGATTTTAGTATGCAGAACGTGATGCGGTGTCTCGATATTCCGTTGGTGAGTGTTGACTCACGGAAAACGATCCGCTGGGCACGGCATTTCATTCGCCTCTGCACTGCCTGCAATCGTACCATAGATGCACAGGAACTGGACGAGCAAACGATCCGTTTCTGCCCCGAATGCGGTAATTATGGCACGCTCATTCGCTGCATCAAAGAAGTCACCGCGGGTGATACTGATACATCGGGAATCGGAGCGAAGCACCGAGAAAGGATTCGGCTGCCTCGATTCGCTCGATCCATCGACGGCGCGCCTCGACTCTCCACCCGTGGCTCGCTGAGCTCCATTCCGAAGCCCGTTGGCGGACGTGATGGTCTCTACCGAGATTTCATTCTGAGAGCAGATGAATATTCTGAGAAGCTTCGACGCCATCAGCGCATGTCGCGTCGCAAGGCGGCGAACTGCCCGAGCAATGCGGCGCATAACTCAGCGCAGGGGACGGAGGAGCTCTTTGGGCCACGTCAAACATATCTTGCGCCGGTCCTGCCGGTTGTGCATCCATCTTCTCGTAATGCACTGCCGACTGGGCGACACCAGCGACGTTCAAAACGGTAGGAATTTGGGACTTGCCGTTGACAAGCGCGTCCACATCGCGGCAATGCAAAGGATGCTCCCGACTGCGGGCCGATCACAGAGCTCCTCGTGAGTCTCTGGGGAGGCTTTGAGAGGCCTTGTTGATAGCCAGCCGTATTTGCTCTGTGCCGACGGTTCGTGATTCCTGGGTCCGCTCAAGGACGACATGGATGACGTTGTTGGCCGAAATTGCCCGCCATCCCTCTCTCACTGGTGTGTAGCTGATGTCCAAGATGACATCCTACCGAGAGCTCCTTCCTCGCCGGATATCTATACTGGAAGATAGCGCCAGAAACAGCAAGATTTTTTTGCACGAAAAGGTGAACACCTTGTATCCAGCTTGCAAACGCTTGCAGACAAGCGCGACCTAGACGATTGTGCTGCGCACCAGCCACATCAGATGAAGCAGTGACTCGCAGAGGGGCGAAATCCACATCCGCATCCGACGCTGCCTCGGGTAGGCAGCGTCCCCAGTCCGGATGCCGCGCATCGTGCACCAGGGTTGTGTGGCGAGCGCTCGTAATCCCGCTTTGGTGCCTGCTGCCAGCGCATTCGGACAGGCATGGGCGCTTTTTGGGGCTTGCCGCTGCGCTCTCGCGAAAGTGCCCCTGCATATGCCGAAAATCGCTAAAAGCGGCTCGTTGCTATCCAACTAGACTAGAACAAGTGGTTAGACGCTCGTCTAGAGCACTGTTTACAGCTGGCAACGGACTTTCCGCTTTAAGCATACGCACTCGCATTTCGTCTCGGTGTTGTTGGGGGATATTGCGCGATATCCAGGACGCGGTTGCGTTTGTGCAGCGTAAAATGCCGCCCATCGTTCCAAGATCACAGGATGGTGTGTGTCGACTGCTCTGCTCTGAGCACATGCTATGCATTCGCCGGGCAGAACGGGCAACTTCATGGATCGATGTTGCTGCCGCATACTCTGTTCTATGGAATAGTGGACGACAATGATCGTTCACCATTTACGCAGTAGAGGCTTTCGCTGTGCGTATATGGGGCACGCTGGACTTGCTGGATCGCTGAACCGTACCCATACCAGTGCCGTGGTCCATGCGAGAATCCCCTGCCCTGTGACTTTACCACAGATTTTTTTCATCGAAAGTCGCTAGCGTTTCAGCACAGTGCATGTACCGAGTCCTCAACGAGGATCTCGAACGTTCGCTCGATACAAAGCCGTTCGACGCCCCGCATGCACGAGATATCTCCATATGTTGAGCGGGGCGTTCGAGTCTCGGCGCCGAAAGTACGTGTACGCCACACTGTTGCTGGCGGAATCACAACGTCGCAAGCAACGCCCTTGTGATTGCCCCAGTATCTGGGGTTGCGTCAGCGAACCGAGCACCATACAGTGCATCCCGCTCTGTGCAACGCTCTTGTTCTCTATGTGGCTCAGCGTGCGCCTGCGCTCATGATACCTGTATGTAGTCTTGGAGGCCCATCGATGCGCATCGCAGCAGATCAATGCCTGGACCCGGTCGAGGCTCCATACAAGGATCGGAGGCAGCGCCTTTCCGCACGAGCGTACGTCCAGCAGCGTAGGCTACCGTCGAGCGACTCGCTGACCAGTGATTTGCGTATCTGACTCATCGGAGAAGAGGGATGGTGCACGCTTCTCGCATCGGTGCAAGTGAGGCCGTCGGCGACCCCAGCACCGGCTCATGTGCGTTTGCCAAAGCGTATCCGCGTGAGTCGTTCGTGGCGGCCCGTATACGTTGCGCGTGAAGCGTAGAAAGCACACGTCGCTGCTCGATACCGGCGCATAGCGCATCGAGACGAGCCCAGACGCTGTCATTCGACTTGTCGGTATGCCTGCTGGCGTCTTTGGTGCCCGGATCCCGACAATACCGCGCCCTGGAAGAGCTGAGCAGCTTCATCCGCTCTCCGTTCATGTCTCTCGCGCCGTCGTCCTGTTTTGCGGTACGGCAACCGCGGTGACGCCTTTCAAACTGGAATCCACGCTCTCCACAACCTCGCTCCCTCTGCTTGCCTTGAACGGTCGCAAGAGCGAGCCTGGTATCTCGAAACAGGTCTAGGTTTTACAACGTGCGTTCAGATGGGTATGCCGTCGCTCTCCGTGGACCCTGTGAAACTCGAGTCCATCTCCTCGCTACAGACGAGAAACCAGGAACGCGATGCACCAGTGTCCTCGCGAAGCTCCTGAAGCGCTGCCTACTTGTACGCGTGAACCAGCTGTACCTCATTGTAGCGCCCATCCAGTACACGAATTTGTGTCTATGGTGATCGCTTGGGCCTCGATGTGGTACATGGAGCCACCATCGAACAGACGCTTCGTGTGTCGAGGGCGCTCGCATACAACCAGCTAGTCTGCTCTGTTCTGCTCTGTTGTGTTCTGCTCTGTTGTGTTCTGCTCTGCTCTGCCCTGCTCTGCTCTGCTCTGCTCTGCTCTGCCCTGCTCTGTTCTGCTCTGCTCTGCTCTGCTCTGTTGTGTTCTGCTCTGCTCTGCTCTGCCCTGCTCTGACAAGCATGACTGGCGAATACGCGGAAGCGCAAGATATAACGACGGCTGGCACACATCAGGTTCCGAACTTGCTGTGGGTATGACGTGTGTCGCTCCGAGGCCGACAACTACACGATGCGCTTCGACGACCTGAAGCGACGCTCGCGCTCGATGCCACGTCTATGCTGTTTTGTATGGCGTCCTGTTTCTTACTTCTTTTATCTAAAAATAGGCCTTGACAATGGTTTCAGGCTGGGTTTTCGGCTCCGACGGGTTTCGCATCCGGTCCGTCCTCGTTCTCTGTATCCAGTGCGTGCATCGACTTGTTGCGGACTCGGCGCGGGCGCCTAGGTATGGTCGCGATACTCTGTGGCCGGTTTTTCCGGGGGATTCACTCATGCAAACACACACACACACACACTGGGTGGACGGCGGTACTGAAACTCAACTTGTCTATGAACGCATTTGCGATTCTTCAGGTACGTCCTCGTCTGCTTCTCAGTTGCGAGCATATCCACACGCTGCCGAGCGTCTTTCCGGACCCTCCCCTATAAACAAAATCAGCGAAGCAGCAGCAAAGTCTCCTTGAGTGAGACGACCAACCTTATCTTCCCTCCCGTAATGAGCGTTCGCTGCCAAGTACGAAATCGATCGCGTGTCTTGTTCAACGCGCGACGGTCTCTTGTACATGTGCACGTTTTTTGCAGAGTCCATGCACGTCTCTTCATAGCCGTTTGCATCAGCGGTCCGGAAACGTCATATCCTGCTGCTTCCTCGGTCGTATCTCTTAGAGAACGTACGCTGCGGAATGTTTCGACGAGGAGACGATCGTGCGGTTACACTTTGACATGTTGTGTTTTGGGCGCACAGCGTTCAGGATACGGTCGACGCGTACCATGGTGCAGTCACCTGCTCGCAGCAGAATCACTGACCCGCGCAACGAAACCCATTTTTCGCAAGCGAGCAGTAACGTCAGCAAGACTTTCCGTGAGCTCAGTCCATTCTACAGGACACTTGGCTTTTGTTGAATACCCGCAAGGAAAACGATAAAAAACAGAACGGCTCTTCCGGTAACGATATTCCAGCATGCAGCCCGCTGAGAGGCATACGCATGCTGAATACCCTCACCGCGTTCAGCGTCGTGCGAGATGGGAACCTTTGCGGTCACTGCCGCGAGCCAACAAGAGCTTACTTTATACCGCACACACTTGATCGACCGTTCTTCGACATGGGCTTTCACGTATCACAGGATGCGGTTCTTCTGGAAACACCGGTGCTGTTGGCGACTCCATGTCAGTCCATCGCAGTATTCCCATCTGTCTTGATCGCCGAAGAGATACGGCCCCCGAACATCTTCTCGGATTCAGGGGAGGCGATGAACTTGGTCAGAATCTCATCCACGAGGACTTTGAGCGGAACACCAGCTCGGGCCGCCATCGTTCGCAGACGCGCATGCACCGCTGGGCGCAGGGAGACGCGGGGTCGCAGCGGAACTTTCTCTTCGTTGTTTGCGGTGCTCTTGGATAGGCGTGATGTACTTGCGCGTGCCTTCGAGGTATCGCCATTCGCATGCCCCTCGCCATACTGGGAGACGAATTGCTCAAGTCCGTTTTTCCCGATGCGATCGCAAAAATCTCCGAAAGCCTCAGCAGGTCGGCGTTCTTGCCGCCAAAAAACGAAGAGCGCTTCGAGCACGCGATCGAGCTCGTTCAATGATAGCCGGTCTGCAAACGGCCAAGCGAGCCGGGTTTGGTTGGGCGAGCCACCCAGCCAGAGCTGGTATACCTCGTTGGGTCCACTGCCGACCAGGGCCAATTCTGCCATGTAGGGACGGCTGCATCCGTTCGGGCATCCGGTCATGCGCGTAAAGAACGATTCGCTTGGTGCTATGCCAGCCTTGCCGAGAATCTCGCGAATGCGCTCGAGGTACTGGGGCATCACACGTTCAGCCTCTGTGATCGCCAGCGGGCAGAGTGGCAACGCCGGACATGCCATCGCCTTGCGCACCAGTTGATCAATGTGCCGCACGTCGCGGTAGACCTGGTGCTGGGCCAGGATGCCCTCGACGACTTGCCGTTGCTCTGGCATGATGTTGGTTAAAAGCAGGTTTTGGTGCGGCGTCATGATCATACCAGGCGATATTTCGTCTACGATCTGGCGAAGCGCTTTTTTCAGCGGGCCGCGCACCCGCCCGTTGTCAATCAGCAGCCCGTAGAAGAGCTTGCCGGTACCGTCTTCGTGCCAGCCGAGATAGTCGCGGTGCTCCCAGGCCGGGATCGGACGCCACGGTTGTAGCGCGGCACCATTGTCGGTCATGTAAGAGCGAACGAGATCACGGAAACCGTCGATACCCAGACGGTGTACAAGATACTTCATTCGGGCGTTTGTGCGGACCTGCCGATCACCGTGGTCGCGCTGCGCGGCGACGATAGCCTTGATGGTATCGAAAAGCGAATCAGGCGGAACGAATCCGAGAGGATCCGCAAGGCGTGGAAAGGTTGCCTCCTTGTTGTGGGTGCGTCCCATACCGCCACCGACGAGAATGTTGTATCCCTGTAACACATAGTTATCATCCATGAGCACGACGATGCCGATATCGTTCGTGAAGATGTCGACACTGTTATCACCGGGAACAGTCACGGCCATCTTAAACTTGCGAGGCAGGTAGGTTTCTCCGTAGATAGGCTCCTCTTTGCCGCTGAACACCTGTCCTCGTCCATTGTCGTGCTCACGTATTCGTTTCACTTCATCCATATCGATGTCCCTCTTCCAGTATTCAATTGAAGCCGCCTTCTCGCCGTCGAGCCATGCCTCACAGAGCGCACCCGTCTGTGGCGCGAATACCTCAGCGAGCATTTTGGCAATGAAGCGAACGTGTTGGTAGGGCGGACTCTGGTACGGCGCTGGCGTGGTAATAACGTTCCGGTTGATGTCGCCGCAAGCGCCTGCAGTGCTGCCACCGGCGTTCATGATCGTTGCCATGACGTGCTTGAGGTTCCCCTTGAGAACACCGTGGATCTGGAAAGTGCTCCGCGTTGTGGCCCGCAGCGTGCTGTTCCCATACTGCTCCGACAGGTCGTCGAGAACGCGATAGAAGCTCGCCGGCAGTTCGCCTGCCGGCATCTTCAAACGAAGCATAAACTGATATTTCTTCTGTTCACCCTTGGTGCGCTGATCCCGATCGTCCTGCTGATAGGTGCCGTGAAACTTGAGTATTTGGCCTGCGTCCCCAGAGACGAAAATCTCGTCGTTTCTCAGCTCGTCTATGAGAGGATAGCGAAGCTGGTTCGAGCGCTCTTTTATGCCTTCGACGGGTGAAAGCTTTCGCGGAGGTGTGTTCGTGGTGCCCTCTTGCGCACGCAGCGACGCCGTCCCCGCTGACACGCGCCCTGCAGATCGCTGTCTTCCACATAGATTCGAGCTAGGGCACGGGGGAGACGCCCTTTGAAGAAAGCGTGACGTTGGTAAAAAGACAAATGCGGCCCACATGGTATCCTAAGTTTGCGTTCGCAGCAGCGCCGTCTTGCTTCTAAACCTTGCCGTTCGCGATATAGCAACGTTTGCCATGGAGCGCTGCAGGCCCGCCGGGCGCCTCTGCTCGAGGCCCAGAAAAAGTTCATGTCAGTGTACTTTTGTTTTACTATGTACATTTATGTCGCTAGTCATGGAGTCGCCTCAAGGCAGACGCGCGCGTAGCTTCAATCTGCGGTCGTCGCGCTGCGCGTACGTTGCCGTGCAGGGCGACAGACGTACCCTGTGACTTGCGTACAGGCGAAAGTTCAGGTGTCTTACGTCGGTGTTATGAGTGCCAACATTCGTGGGCTGCTTCCTTTGCCTCCCTGTCGTTTCCGACTTTAAGTATGCTGGTCTGTCCCGTATGTCCAGTACTGTTGTCAGCAGTTGAGATAGGTTGATCGCATCGTTCAAGTTCCGATTTTGCTGCTTCCGGCTGCTTCCTAGGCAACACATGCATGAGCTGAAGTTGCGATCTATGCTTCGCTTGCCATGTTCATCTTATTGTAAACAGCAGCTGTGCAGCCTCTGTCGCGCTGATACTTGACGGGGGGTCAAGGGTTCCTAAATGTCCCTAATACCGACTTTCCCGGACGCCGCGTTGTGACGGGTGACGGCTCGCTTCATCGCCCGGTGTTACCCGTGCCGGGTACAGATGGCTCTTCTGGATGGCGACCTCCGTTTCGTGATGGGCAGCATTGTCCACAATCACGGGCTTCTTTTGCGAAACAGGTATCACGAAACTGCTGCCAAATATGGTTTCGTCAACGTCCACAAGCAGAGAAGTATTCGTCTTTCGAACGAATTCGGTTATTTGACGTAATATTTTTAGCGAACATTTGGCAGGAGCTCGTGATCAGGTCGTCAAGCGACGATGTCGAGGTTTCCCGTCGTCAGCCGATCGGCGCGAACCCCTGTACCCACGAGTTGTTGTGAAACACAAAGATCGAAATCAAGAAGCATGCATGATTCGTGCGCACTATACGTAGGGAAAGGAGAAGCGTGGAGGCTTCAACGTATGCATTGGGTGACGATATCGGTTGCTTTACGATCCCTCGTGTGAGGGCGTCGCGAATCAGCCTGGCTCCGATGACGTGACGAGTGCCAGCGGCAGAGATATTCGAAGGAGCGACTCCGAGAACCATGCGACCGGGAATCCTACACCTACGCATGAATCCGCAAGTCCATGTAGCTGCTATTCGAATGTCGACGCGGTACATCTAAAACGATTCGGACAGAAATCGAACGTGAAGAACAGAGCAAGCAGTCCAGTTTTCCATTTAAATCTCGCACAGATGCAGCTGCTTGCGCAGCGGCTCCCGGGGTTTGCGCTTCTCGGGGAATGTGCTTAACTATCTCGCTTCTGCACCGTAACACTCGTGACTGCATCCTTACCGTAGATATGGCCGCACACTGGCGTCCGCTTTCCACTGGACGGTACGTGCGCGCTCATTCTTGTTCGGTGGGCTTCTTTTCCGCGAGCGCAGATATTCAGTCGGCTAAGAGGCGGACCTGGTGATCACGAGCATCGCATGCGTTCAGGCGCATACAGGCAGCTCCGAGAGATACCGCTCCTAGCGCCCGCGTGGTCCCTTCATCGCCAAACACAAAAGCCGCATTGCTTGCAACAGCATTTTCGCGGTGAATACCTTCGGGATTCTAACGATACCGTCATAGGCTCTGCAGCTGGCAATGCCTCCGTCACCTACTCCAATTACCGAGAAGCGAACGGTCGCTGGGTCTCGCCAACGCACCGCAGCATGGACATACACCGCAGGCACATAGAGCATGCGCTTTCGCATCTGTGCCGCCGCCCTTCCCTCAGGCCTTTTAGAGAGTCCGCGGCGGTGCCTGGTATCGCGCCCAGTCACATTCCAGAACGCCACGTAAAATAATGAGCGCGGCATACGCATCGATACCACGTTTCTTCCACTGCGGCAGCGGACGCACGTGGCCGCGGCGTCCGGGCTCTTCAACATACTGGTACCACTGCGCTGAAACCGACGAAAATCGCTCATCCCACAGCAAACATGGCAAAGGCAGACACAACGTCGGCACCACTCGACACATTAGCTCAGGTGTCACCGTTAGCGATGAGAGAAACGACCGGACCATAGAGCAGGAGGGTCCTTCTCGCGACCTGCTAAGCTCCAGCGGATATCCGGAGACCAGGGCAACCACGCTGTATTTTGCAATTGTGTCAAGCAGCTGCTGCACGAGCTTGTACTGGACGTGGACGGGGTCTCCATATCGAACTAGTGTGCCGAGCGGGAAAGCAGCAATGCGACTAACCGACCGGGATCGCTTCCACAGGTTAGTGTCTGAACAATGTAATTGTCGGAGACCAGCGCACTTGCATGCACCCAAACAACAGATAAGGTGCAGCATAGCTAAAATCGGTCTTCATTCGCTCTCACAAGGCTCTATAATACCCGACCACGGATCATGCGTCATAGACAACTTTGTCTGGACAACGTTGTCGAGTGAGTGCTTGGCCTTGTTCCACCTCGCTGGTGTTCAGCGGAGTCCATCTGTCCAGTCCGTGCTCCCATACGGAATGATCAGCACGAAAGAAGACTTACTATGTATCCGAAACAGCTACGCCAATTTTTCGCCGACCAACGTCAAGTGCCAGAAGCGCTCCGGGTCGGTGTTCCAACGCGGCTGCAAAGCGGCTCACATCCTGAGTGCAACGGAGCAGTGCACGTCTGGACATGCCCTAAGCGGTAAATAGATCTGGCTCGTAGCCAAGACTAAAACATAGTTTACCGCTAACGCAGCATGGCCCTCGCAAGCGCAGCACCGAACGCTGAACGCTGCGCTCTGGGGCGTTTCCTGCGACACCTCTGGTGCAGCGCGTCGCCTGGTCATTGACACCTGGCCGAATCACCCCTGAGGGCGTCGCTTCGTTCGTGGAGCGCAGCGGGTATCTGGCAGCTCCAGGTTACTTGGACTCGAGTGCTATGTTTGTTGACCGAATAGTTCTATCTTTCCGGGGTGCTGGTCTGGAACGCGCAAATACTTGCTTGAGAAAAGGCCAAAGACTGCGGAAAGCGTGCTCACACGTATTCCGGCCTCTGTGCAGCAGTGACTTGCCCGTGAACCTCCCGACGGACCTGGAAACGAAGCGCGTGATGAAACCGCCTCTAGCCGAGCGTGAGTCAATCTGGTCGTACCCGCGTCCGCCGCGTGTGGAGCCGAACACTCGACACCTGCGTGTGGTGCACAACCAAGTCACTATTGCGGAGACTCGGCGAGGTTACCGGGTTCTTGAGTACTCCCATCCGCCTTCGTATTACATTCCGCTCGATGATATCGACTTGCAGTACGTGATGGTTTCCAGCAAAGTGAGGAGCACTTTTTGCGAATTCAAAGGTGAAGCTACGTACTACGATGTTGAAGTTGGCTGGGAGGTCAGTGAAGGAGCAGCCTGGTCGTACGATTTTCCGACCAGGGCCTACCGGATGCTGAAAGACCACATCGCATTTTATCCTGCCAAGGTGGATGCCTGTTGGGTGGATGAATACCGAGTACGTCCGGAACCGCGCAGTTTCTACGGTGGATGGGTAACACCTCTCGTCAAAGGAGTGTATCCCGAGGAAGATGTCGAAGACGATGAAGACAGCAGCGGTGGCGATGGTAAGGACAGCGCGACGCAGTAGCTCAACGCCTCGAGGCTACGGTGCAGCAAGCAAAGTTCGAGTCACGACCAGTTGCCTTGGTAAACAGCGTATGCGCAACATAGCACACGAGATCCGAGGCAGGTGCTCCGGACCCAGCAAACTGCGCGTCCGGGCAGTAGAAATCGTGCGACTTTGCGCTCGCTCGCTCGCTCGCAGGCGTGAACCTATGCGCACGTTCCTACTTGGACAAGCGGCGCGCGACTACGGGTGGTAAATCATGGCCACTAACGCGCCCGATAAAAACGCGCAACGTCATAGAACACAGCATATAAATGAAAGCAAGGCCAGTCTCTCGAGGATGATCCCCGGGGACGTCTCGATGAGTGATTCGACGTACTGCTGGAATGGGTTCAAACGGAAGCGCGGCGACAGCTCGACCAGAATACGTTCGGTGAACTGCGCGATAAACGAAGAAGTAAAAGATGGAAATCGCAAGGTTCATCCACATTTTCCGCCGACTCGCTCGCGCATACGTCTCCTGCAGGGTTCTCTCCAGGGATGCAATGCGTCGCTCGTGGAGCGGTTTCCGATCAGCCCGCACAATGCGATGCTCCTCCTGGTGCAATTTCCGCTGCAAGGCGATGAGCTCATCTCGATCGTTCCGGAAACTTTGTCTGCGATAGACGGTGAGATATAGCAAATACTCTGAAACCAATGACGCAATGAGTGAAATACAAAATATGCCAAAGGCGTCGGGTAACGTCATCTCGAAAAGAACCTGAACGAGCGAACAAAGCGATAATGACAAAAGAGCCGCCAGCAAGTCACTGCTACGCGCCAGGGTCGATGTGCTGCGGCCTTCGCAGCGCGCTCGCTGCAGTTTTGCGTGTGAGCGGGCGACTTTTTGCACCAGAGAGACTACAAGTTGTACGCAGTCGCAGCAGACTGAACTGCCCGTTCTGTTGGCACGCACGGGCACTTTTGCACCGAAACTATCGCAGGCAGGTCTTCTCTCGTGCCAGCAATTTCTAGGGACACCGCACGTACGCGAAGCGCGCGGAACTCGACACTGTCGAACTAGACTCGATCAAAACTCGTATGCACTGCGTATGGGACGGAATAGGACGAAAGATTTGGCAAGTTTTGCAAATCAGGCTGCGAGCTTGGTCCAAAGGTAAAAGCTGATACAGTGGTATGCCGCGGTGCAGTCTTTCGTTTCAGTCCTGGAACAAGAGAGCTGCGCACGTTCTGAAACAAGGAATCAAGCACGCACACACGCACTGTCTCGAAAAGAGGGGAGGCGCTTCTTTGCCTTGCAAGTAGTTGAATAGCGGGGAGCTACGCTCGTTAATGGGCAGCTTGTCGCTCAAGACAGATCCTTTCAGTTGTGAACCGGGCAAGTCCGAAGCCTTTCAATCAGTAACTCCCAGCAGTGTCCACTTCTGCGCGGTCGAGCAGACGCAAGTCTCTTTGACACGAGCGTTCCGGAAGTTTTGAACAGCTCCTGTTCCGTAGCAGTGTCAGTGATCTCTCGGAAACGAACAAGAGTGGACGTTCTGAGCCTAGCGTCAATAGCGCAAAGCTACCCTCGCGTCCAACACCAAACCGGGACACAGCACTATCCTAGCAGTACTTTCAAGCAGCGCTCAACACTGTTCGCTACGGTTGCTTTACCGTGTACCTCCAGGGTACCGAGGGAACGTTCGTATCCTCCTCCCGAACGGGGCGTTCGGGAAGCAGCGGTTGAAAACGCAGCCAAAGCCGCCGACGTCGAACCAGCAGTGCGGCGTACCTGACGGCCGTTTCGGCACCGCCTACGTCGTTTCAACAACGACAACTAGCTATGACGGAAGACTCTGCTCTTGAAGGCGCGCTCATTGTGCCGAAGCTTTTCATAGAGACACAACATAATGACCGCATCTTGGACCTCCAGTTTGACTTTTATGGTAAAAGACTGGCGACGTGTGCGGCAGACGGTAAAATCAAAGTGTTTGACTGCAGCAACGCTGGTTTAGGGAGTGGTGCCTTGAGTTCCGCACGACTCGTAAGCGAGGTGCAAGCGAGCACAAGTGGCCCTGTATGGCAGGTTTCCTGGGCGCACCCGTGCTTTGGAACAGTTCTAGCGTCCTGTGGCTTTGATGGTCGCGTGATCGTATGGGCGGAGCAGGAGCCTCCGCCTGCTGCTTGGCCGGGCGGGGCGCGCTCACGACCGACTCCAGGACCCCTGCTGCAACCTATTTACGAACACCGGGCACATGAACCGGCTTCCGTGAACGCGGTGGCTTTCGCGCCCCCGGAATATGGTCTCACGCTGGCGTGTGCTGCCTCAGACGGTCGCGTTTCCGTCTGTCGACGCGATGAGCGCGACGGAAGTTGGCGGGTCGAATGGGTTGCTGATCCCGCAACTGGCATCGCGCACAAGCTCGGAGCGACCTGCTTATCCTGGGCACCTGCCGGCAATATAAACAGCACGCTCGCTGAGCAGGCCGCTGACGCAGCGGGCACTTGGTCACCGATGCGCCTTGCCACCGGTGGTTGCGACCACCTGGTACGGATATGGATCTACGATGCATCCTCCGAGTGTTGGCGCATCGAAGGCGACGGCGTGTCCTCGCCCCGAAGCGGAGAACTCCCAGGTCATACCGACTGGGTACGTGCGGTGGCCTGGTGCCCAAGTCGCAGTGCTGGTCAAGTCCTCGCATCCGCAGGTCAAGACGGCCGAGTGCTCATCTGGCGGCGTGTACCGAGTGGAGCTCATGGAGAGGCAGCGAAGCACGACGGCGGTCAGTGGAGCTATGTAGAGCTACCACGCTTCAAGGCACCATGTTGGGGCCTCAGCTGGAGCACCGCAGGTCTGTTTCTCGCTGTATCCTGTGGCGATCAGACGGTATCTCTCTGGAGGCAGCTGCCTTCAGGCGAGTGGAAGCAGATCGCCGAGGCATCGGAGGCTGGAGCGCAAGCGATTCGTGACCGGGAACGCGCACAAGCACAGCAGGAACTGGGCTCCGCTGCCACGGCGTCTACTGCATCTGCTGGTAGTGTGCCGGCGTCGCTGCGGCAGAGGGCCCCCAGTGGACCGGTAACACCGCAGTTGGCACACATGTCGCCAGCGGTATCGCCTGGATCACACCCAGGTGCAGGCAATCTGGTGCGTTCGGGTTTCGACTCCAGTTTCGCTGGTGCAGGTGCGAGGTTCCCAGGTATGCCTCCTGCCTCTGTGACGTCGCAGGTTGCCGCGACGAATCAAGTACCTGTCGCGGGCGCACGGACGTCGGGGTCCTTCGTTCCTGCGGCAGGGATCATGCCACCGCCACCTGGAACGACGAGTGTTTACGCTATGAACGCTGCCGCCTCTGGTGCCAGAGGTTTGCCCCCGGGCTTGGCCTCGAACGCGAGCGGCATGGAGCGTAGCGTGCCTCCAGCGCCAGCGGCATTCTCGCCAAACAGCACCCAGCGAGCACCGCCCGCCTATGGTGCCGCACAGGTGGGTGCGTTTCCGCAACCGCCACCGTCGCCGGCAGCGCCACCCGTTAGACCAGCGCCGCCTCCGCCTTTACCGGGAATAGCCACTCCTGTGCAGAGCAATGCGGGTGCTTTTGCTGGACAAGCTCCGCAGTCGTCACTGACATCGCCGCTTATGAGGCCGCAGCCTCCCCCGATGTCTCGAAGTGGATCAACTGCCCTGCACGCTCCGCAGCAGGCGCCTGCTGTACCAAGGTCGCAGGTTCCGGCGTCGCCTCGAGTGAGTGCTGCATCCATGTATTCGGGAGGCGCGCCTCCGCTGCCGCCACCGATGACGACGACGACGACGATGACTTCTGGTGCACAGTCGCTGCCGAGTGCGTCAATGCCGTATCCTATCGGTCAAGCGGGCCATCCATGGAGCTCCTCGATGGCACACGCGGGTACCGGCGCGCCTATTGTGCCACCGCCGCCGCTGGTTGCTCAACAGCAGCAGCAGCAGCAGCAGCAGCAGTTTTCCTCTGGTTCGCAGGGCGTAGCACGCCAAGGAATGGTGCAGTCGGGAGCACAGGGTCCCTGGTCTGGCGCCCTGCAAGGGCGACAGCCGCCGCCACCACCACCACCACCACCATCATCATCATCATCGAGTACCTATCGTTAACGCGCGGGCACGCGGGGTACGCAAAATATGTCGTACACGGTTTAAAGCTATGAATTCTAGTCGAATCTGTTTGTACGCTTCAGGTTGCTTGCAACACATGCCGCCTACGCGCCCAACCCTGTGCAATTTTTCAAACAGGTTTGGGGTTATGTTGGACGCTGCGGTAGACTGGCAGTCTACGCTTATCGGAGCCTCACTTCCGGCGATACAGAAGCGTTTTACCATAAGTTGTTCGGTTAGGCGCGTGGAACGGAACAGCATGGGCGCTCCGTATGCCCGTATCACGCGTGTGTGTGACGCAAGATCTGTCCTAAAACGCAGTCTGCTTCTCAAATGGAAGATAAGCTGTTTCAAAGTGCAAAGTTCGCTCGACCTCGCATTTCACAGTGGACTGCACAAATGCATTACACCTGATCGCTGGAAACTGCCATTTGCAGTCGGCTGCACCAGTGCGTTGTACCTGATGGACGGCGGCCGAACCTCGATATCGACCAGTACCGAGACGATACTGCAGCTCTGACACCCGCACAGTTCTACGCACTGTAAAGACCTTGACTGAATCTCAGAAGCCGCAAACCCGGGAAACGCTCGTCCCTAATCGCATATCATAACGCAAGCGCCTGTCGCGATGATATCGCGTTCGACCTCATAGCCGCGCCTCATGCTAGAAGCCATGTGATGTGCGCTAAAATAACAAGCGTGCTGGTAGCGCGCGACAGCTCGAATCCCGGGTGACGCTTCGAAGCACGCAGTTCGTGGCAAGAGGGAAGCGTTGGCATAACATTTCAGCGTCGATCAATAGCCAACGACCAACGTGCATCTTTTAGATTCGGGCCTGATACGGATCAGGCGAACGATCTTCTCCGCGACTCTGGAAAAACCATACACAGGGATGCGTACCGTACGCTACCTCGCTCAGCGAAGACACCTCCTTGGGCGTAGCGTCCGAGTTCCCAAACGATGATGCTATAGCGTGCACTCGAGAACAATTCCGTATAAGGACGGAAAGAGAAATAGAGTATAAGGAAAGCAGAGCTTTTCCTCTGTTATATAACGAGAAATCAATAGCAGATACCTGAGAGTGCGGCTGCGGAGACCTAGTCCAAAAAACTACTTATTCGTGAAGAAACCTCACACCTCACCAGAAAAGAGCTGAAAAGCGAAATGGAAAAGCGAACTGAAAAGCGAACTGAAAAGCGAACTGAAAAGCGAACTGAAAAGCGAACTGAAAAAGGTACACAATCTGAGACGCTGCGCGAGACGCTTCCAGGAGCGCCCGCGATCGCCGTTCTCGCGCGTAGCAAAGCGGCAGCAGAAGTTGTCGCAACAAAAGCAGTTAAAGCTCTCCTGTTCTGGAGTATTTTTTTCTTAGAGCGTGCGAAACCGATGGAAACTCAGGACTGGAAGGAAGTGGTGATAAACCCCCGAGCCAAGAGAAACCAGGTGTCCTCCCAGAGCTTGACGGGACCTATTACAGGCGCTGCAGCTGAGAAGAAGTTTGGAGCCGGAAGCAATAAGAAGAACCTCGTTCCGAACGCAAAACGTTTAGACGAGGCGCACGAACCTGAACGTCTGCAGAGTGTGCCTTTAAGTCTTGCTAAGCGGATTCAACAGGCACGGCAGCAGAAGGGCTGGACGCAGACCCAGCTTGCCCAGGCCATTGGAGAACGCGCCAGAGTAGTGAACGACTACGAGCGCGCAGCGGTTCCACCAAACCCCGTTATCATCAACAAGATGGAGAAAGCGCTAGGCGTGCGTCTACGAGGACAAGGCTCGACACCTGCGCCATCAGCCAAGTGAGGCTGAGTGGCACTACGCTTAACGGTAGCGTCTAAGAGAGAGAGTGTTGTGGCGCTTCCAGACGCTACGTACACTTGGACGAGCTTTGTTGACCAAATGGCCCTTGCGGTGCAGGCCCCTTCCTTTTCTTCCAGCGCTGGTCAGGCCGCGCAGTTCACGGTGTTTCATGGTCGGGCGGCAGATCCAGTTGATTCGAGGGTCACGACGAATAGCGTTGTGGTTCGGATCAATCAAAATAACTTCGTAATACTTGTAAAGCGCGTCCTCGTTAATCCAATATGAGTTCAGCACGCGCAAGTTCGCGCAGATCTTACGTCCTACGCGTTCCTCCGCGACCGAGCGCTTATTGCGCTGAAACTTGAGTTGCGTTATTCCCTGGTGCTTTGGTTTCCCATACTGAATGCCTTTCGGAACAGGACGTTTTCGTCCGCCTCGACGCACCCGCACCCGGTAGATCACATATCCTTGTTTCGCCCGGTACCCCAGGCGGCGCGCTTTGTCCGGGCGTGACGGCCGTGTCGCCCGGTGCACTGTCGGGCGCTGGCGGTACTCCCAGGCTCGTACTCGTTGAAGAAAGCGCAGCGCTTCCGACTGCTTCTTACGCCAAAGCTCTTGAAGGTATTTGTATGCGCCCATCGTGCCTGTTTGCGGCTAAACGTAACGTCAGAACACAGAGACACACACAGGCGCCCTAGGACCTACACGAACGCCCCACAGACCTCGTGAGCGCTTCGGTGCGTACAGGGGACGTCAACAGGGTCGCTGGTTGCAGCGTCGGCGCTACGAGCGCAGTGCACGCCGTCGATATCCCGCCAGGCCTGTAACATATTGTACTATATTGTACTTATCTTCCGTAAAAGGACGTTACGTACATGGCACCGCCCTGCGCGATGTGCTTCTGCAGCCGTCGCAACGATCTGTCTTTTTCTGTACTTAACGGACATATTTCAGAGGATGCACACGTTCGGCACGATGACGACCCCGCGTCGCCGTGGCGCCGCGCGCATATCGATCCACATCCTGTACAAAACGGAATCGATGCGCCGCGGCGACTCCCAGCGATACGAACGCACGCTTTTCCTGGTTCGAGCGTCGCGAAGCGTATTGTCGGGTTCTTAGGAGCATACCTTCACCATGGGTCGGCGCCCTGCTCGTTGTTACCGCTATTGCAAGAATAAGCCATACCCCAAGTCGCGCTACTGTCGAGGTGTGCCGGACCCTAAGATCCGCATCTTCGACTTGGGGCGAAAGAAGGCCGCTACGGACGAGTTGCCCTTTTGTGTGAACCTGGTCTCCGACGAGCGGGAGCAGCTGTCAAGTGAAGCACTCGAAGCAGCCCGAGTTGCTGCCAACAAGTACTTGACTGCGACTGCTGGGAAAGATGGATTTCACCTACGGGTGCGTGTTCACCCGTTCCACGTGATCCGCATCAACAAAATGTTGTCCTGTGCAGGCGCTGATCGCCTGCAAACCGGTATGCGGGGCGCTTTTGGGAAGCCTCAAGGCACCGTCGCTCGAGTCGATATCGGACAGATTCTCATGAGCGTGCGCGTGAAAGAGCAACACGTAGAGGCAGCGAAGGAAGCACTCAGACGCAGCAAGTACAAGTTCCCTGGACGCCAGCGTATTTACGTGTCGCGATACTGGGGCTTTACGCGCTTCACACGTGAAGAGTACGAAAAGCTACGAGCGGAAGGAAAGCTGATTGAGGATGGCGGTAACGTGAAGTTGATCCGCCCGCATGGCCCGCTGCCGACGCCGCCCGTTACCGCGCAGTGATACGATCGGTTTGCCAATGGTTGAGCGTCCTTGCACCCTGGTCTGGTTCAAGCACAGCGCGAATCGTGTTGCATGGCCGATCGACTGTGTTTTCTAGCGGTGCTCTTTAAACCCATCGTCGAAGGAGTAAACGAATTCCACTCTCTCTTTGGTACAGTCGCAGCTCCAGCCGCATAGTGCACGAGCGCTCGTCTCGGGCAGGCACTATCGCGACAACAATCTGGGTGTTAACTCTGCGTCTTCAATGCGGGCACACATTAGCCAGCACGTCTTTTTGTTTTTTTCGTTTTCCTTGCGGGTATTCAACAAAAGCCAAGTGTCCTGTAGAATGGACTGAGCTCACGGAAAGTCTTGCTGACGTTACTGCTCGCTTGCGAAAAATGGGTTTCGTTGCGCGGGTCAGTGATTCTGCTGCGAGCAGGTGACTGCACCATGGTACGCGTCGACCGTATCCTGAACGCTGTGCGCCCAAAACACAACATGTCAAAGTGTAACCGCACGATCGTCTCCTCGTCGAAACATTCCGCAGCGTACGTTCTCTAAGAGATACGACCGAGGAAGCAGCAGGATATGACGTTTCCGGACCGCTGATGCAAACGGCTATGAAGAGACGTGCATGGACTCTGCAAAAAACGTGCACATGTACAAGAGACCGTCGCGCGTTGAACAAGACACGCGATCGATTTCGTACTTGGCAGCGAACGCTCATTACAGGAGGGAAGATAAGGTTGGTCGTCTCACTCAAGGAGACTTTGCTGCTGCTTCGCTGATTTTGTTTATAGGGGAGGGTGCGGAAAGGCGCTCGGCGGCGTGTGGATATGCTCGCAACTGAGAAGCAGACGAGGACGTACCTGAGGAATCGCAAATGCGTTCATAGACAAGATGAGTTTCAGTACCGCCGTCCACCCAGTGTGTGTGTGTGTGTGTTTGCATGAGTGAATCCCCCGGAAAAACCGGCCACAGAGTATCGCGACCATACCTAGGCGCCCGCGCCGAGTCCGCAACAAGGCGATGCACGCACTGGACACAGAGAACGAGGACGGACCGGATGCGAAACCCGTCGGAGCCGAAAACCCAGCCTGAAACCATTGTCAAGGCCTATTTTTAGATAAAAGAAGTAAGAAACAGGACGCCATGCAAAACAGCATAGACGTGGCATCGAGCGCGAGCGTCGCTTCAGGTCGTCGAAGCGCATCGTGTAGTTGTCGGCCTCGGAGCGACACACGTCATACCCACAGCAAGTTCGGAACCTGATGTGTGCCAGCCGTCGTTATATCTTGCGCTTCCGCGTATTCGCCAGTCATGCTTGTCAGAGCAGAGCAGAACAGAGCAGAACAGAGCAGAACAGAGCAGAACAGAGCAGAACAGAGCAGAGCAGAGCAGAGCAGGGCAGAGCAGAGCAGAGCAGGGCAGAGCAGAACACAACAGAGCAGAACACAACAGAGCAGAACAGAGCAGACTAGCTGGTTGTATGCGAGCGCCCTCGACACACGAAGCGTCTGTTCGATGGTGGCTCCATGTACCACATCGAGGCCCAAGCGATCACCATAGACACAAATTCGTGTACTGGATGGGCGCTACAATGAGGTACAGCTGGTTCACGCGTACAAGTAGGCAGCGCTTCAGGAGCTTCGCGAGGACACTGGTGCATCGCGTTCCTGGTTTCTCGTCTGTAGCGAGGAGATGGACTCGAGTTTCACAGGGTCCACGGAGAGCGACGGCATACCCAGCTGAACGCACGTTGTAAAACCTAGACCTGTTTCGAGATACCAGGCTCGCTCTTGCGACCGTTCAAGGCAAGCAGAGGGAGCGAGGTTGTGGAGAGCGTGGATTCCAGTTTGAAAGGCGTCACCGCGGTTGCCGTACCTCTAAACAGGACGACGGCGCGAGAGACATGAACGGAGAGCGGATGAAGCTGCTCAGCTCTTCCAGGGCGCGGTATTGTCGGGATCCGGGCACCAATGACGCCAGCAGGCATACCGACAAGTCGAAAGACAGCGTCTGGGCTCGTCTCGATGCGCTATGCACCGTATCGAGCAGCGACGTGTGCTTTCTACGCTTCACGCGCAACGTATACGGGCCGCCACGAACGACTCACGCGGATACGCTTTGGCAAACGCACATGAGCCGGTGCTGGGGTCGCCGACGGCCTCACTTGCACCGATGCGAGAAGCGTGCACCATCCCTCTTCTCCGATGAGTCAGATACGCAAATCACTGGTCAGCGAGTCGCTCGACGGTAGCCCACGCTGCTGGACGTACGCTCGTGCGGAAAGGCGCTGCCTCCGATCCTTGTATGGAGCCTCGACCGGGTCCAGGCATTGAGCTGCTGCGATGCGCATCGACGGGCCTCCAAGACTACATACAGGTATCATGAGCGCAGGCGCACGCTGAGCAAGATAGAGAACAAGAGCGTTGCACAGAGCCGGATGCACTGTATGGTGCTCGGTTCGCTGACGCAACCCCAGATACTGGGGCAATCACAAGGGCGTTGCTTGCGACGTTGTGATTCCGCCAGCAACAGTTTGGCGTACACGTACTTTCGGCGCCGAGACTCGAACGCCCCGCTCAACATATGGAGATATCTCGTGCATGCGGGGCGTCGAACGGCTTTGTATCGAGCGAACGTTCGAGATCCTCGTTGAGGACTCGGTACATGCACTGTGCTGAAACGCTAGCGACTTTCGATGAAAAAAATCTGTGGTAAAGTCACAGGGCAGGGGATTCTCGCATGGACCACGGCACTGGTATGGGTACGGTTCAGCGATCCAGCAAGTCCAGCGTGCCCCATATACGCACAGCGAAAGCCTCTACTGCGTAAATGGTGAACGATCATTGTCGTCCACTATTCCATAGAACAGAGTATACGCACTTGGATGTAGAGCAATGGTTGGTGCCCGGCGCACTCGCCAAAGCTGGCGTCCGTTGCGTAAGCTGCCGTGACCTCTGCTAAACAGTGACCTTGAGCCCAGGGCCATACTGACAAGTACCTGCGTCTGAGCTATGTGCACTGGGCTTGATTCGCGCCTGCACACGGGAGCGCGCGCCGTGCTTCCGTTCGGCTGTCGTAAGAGCTGCAGCCACACACGCGCACACACTGCGGAAGCCACACCGCCGGTTTTTCTGAAGTAAGCACATATCCGCTCGTCCTGCAGGGCAAACGCATCCCCGGGAATACGGTGTATTTGTGCTTCACGAAAGGATCTCTCAGCTGAGCGTTCCGAATTGCCAATGGTGCGTACGTTACCCAATGCACTCGAGCCCAGAACGCATTTTCCCGGCGACGGTCACGGTCAATGTGATAGATACGGCCGTTCTGAAAAAAATGAACCCATGCATACCCTTCCTGGTGTACGATACGCTCGTTGAATGCTAATTCCGAATGGCCGATGATGCCTACGTTACCGAAAGGAATCGAGCTCAGAACGCATTTTCCCGGCGACGGTCACGGTCAGTGTGATAGATACGGCCGTTCTGACAAAAATGAACCCATGCATACCCTTCCTGGTGTATGATACGCTCGTTGAATGCTAATTCCGAATTGCCGATGATGCCTACGTTACCGAAAGGAATCGAGCTCAGAACGCATTTTCCCGGCGACGGTCACGGTCAGTGTGATAGATACGGCCGTTCTGACAAAAATGAACCCATGCATACCCTTCCTGGTGTATGATACGCTCGTTGAATGCTAATTCCGAATTGCCGATGATGCCTACGTTACCGAAAGGAATCGAGCTCAGAACACATTTTCCCGGCGACGGTCACGGTCAGTGTGATAGATACGGCCGTTATGAAAAAAAATAAACCCATGCATACCCTTCCTGGTGTACGATACGCTCGTTGAATGCTAAAAATGGATTGGGTGCACGCTGCGAACACGCGCGTACAAGCCAAAGTTTGAGTCAGTGTTAGCAATCGTGGCCCTTGAGGGCGTTTCCTGGGACAGCTTCCTCGTCCCAGGCTTTGAAAGCGCTGGTCTCTCGTGTCGCTCCAGTACCGTTGTCCGTTATTGAAGGATGTTGATGACAGCGTTGATTTCCGGGTTGCCCCGCTCCCGGCCGTTTTCTACGCCATCTAAACACAGATCGAAGTTGCAATCGATGCTTCGCTTGCCGTGGTCATTTTCTTTGCATTCAGACTCTGCGCGTCTTTCGCAACGGTGACACTCGACGTTGGTCACTGATTTCCACACGTGCACCCGAGATCCTCGCTAGAGCGCCGTCCTGTTGCGCGTGAACGTTTTCTCCATCAACCTGTACGTGCCCGTGACGGACGTAGAGGACTCTGTTCGATGCACCCCTCCGTTTCCGCGTCAGGAGCAGTACCCGGCGATCACGGGCTTCTGCTGGGCGATACCCTTAGCGAGTATTCTACCAGCTGTATACGCAAGCGCACGCTGTTCCATTCCATAGAGTACTTGTGGAACGCAATGTTGCCCATCATGAAACAAGTAACGGACGGGAAATCCAGTACGGAGACCAAGTCGAGAAATTTCGGTCCCTCTATACTCCCTTTCCCCTAAGCGGTAACGCACGCTCTACCAGAAGCGATCATTTTGGTCACTGAATTCCGAGTCCAAGGCCGTTTTCCATGCAACAGATGAGACGGTATTCGGAGAGGGGCCTGTCCCGTGAATTCCACGATTCTGCTCAAGGAATTGCCGTTTTGTCGACGCCAGCAAAGAGAGAGCCACATGCTTTTCGCACGCAATCGTTTCTTCGTCCACATGAAACATTCAGTGAACTTTCGGCACGAGTTTATGATCATGTCGTCCAAAAGACACGGAGTTTTCCCTCTTCAATCCTGTGGCGCGAAGCGCTACGTCCTCGATTCGCGTCAAAAGAGAAAGATCGATCCATCAAATAAAGCGTGATTCGCTCATGCGACACCAAGAGCAACAAGGGAAGCACGGAGGCGCCGTACATAGAAGCTGGATCATCCGGGTACTTGTCTTGTAAGCGCTTGTCCAAAATCGTCGCAAATCATCTTGCATCCGATGACGCCTCGACACGCAGCGGCAAGGAATCGAAGCGGCAACTCCATATAGACGACCGACATTCCTAAACCTCCTTACAAATCCTAAACACCCCATTCGTCTACTTCAACTATCGAGGTATTACTTCTAATCACGACTCCAAAGCGTGCATCGAATGTAAAGATCCATGTTTTTCGTTCACCGTTACTTGCCCAGGATGTCGCTTGTGGATCGAGGATTGCGCCTCGAGATGGCGCCTGCCTGCGGAACGCAATTCGCGGCCGCGACGCTCGTGCACGCGATTGCAGCGTACCAGGGCAGCAGGTAACCGTTCGTGTGCGAACGTTCGCGAACACGCTTTGAACCAAGTCCTGTTTGAAAGCATGAAACCTGCTTGCGTGACGGACTCTGTGAAGAAGCCGCTCAGCCTTTGTGCTAAAGAAGAAAGGGATATTGAGGGTAACCAGAACGCTTTTGAGGGCGCGGAAAGTGCCCTCGAAAGACCCGACTCGGTTCCTTACTTGCTCAAAGTGCTCCGCCAGTTGATCCTCTACGTAGAGACGAAGCCTGCGCTCATGGACGGTTCAGCATCCTTCATACGCGACTTTCTAAGAACGTTTTTGATACAGACGCAGGCCGCTAGCGTGCAGGATAGCTGGACGGGCGGTAACAACCTGCGGGAGCCGCTTTGGTTTGCAAGCGCGGGAAGCGCGTCCGGCAACGGGATGCTCTCACCTGCCGCTGCCTCCGCTGCACACCTTGAAATCGAAGCCATGGACGCCGCGGAAGACTTTATGGTTGAGGAAGGTAGCAGCGGCTTGGGGAGTGGTTCAGCAGTGCCAGAAGCCGACGGCGCCGAGGAGGCTTCGCGGGGCTCCGCGCGCGTAACCCTAGTTCGCGCACCCTTGTCGTTGAGCGCGCTGTCGTCAAGCGCGGCAGCGTCGAGCAGGTACCAAAAGGCGTCCCGTGAGACCAAGTCGTATGTTCTCGGAAATAGACCGACGACTATATCCGATCTACCAGATGATACTTTGCGTCGAATCTTCACCTACATGAATGGTCCTCAACTAGGGCGCGTGCGGGGCGTATGCAAAAAATGGTGCAAATTTGCTTCGGACGAAAATTTGTGGCGAAAACTGTGCTTGGAGAATTGGCGAGCACTCGAAACCGACGCATATCTTTGGCGACTCTTGTTGGACTATCACCTGAGCCAAGAAGCGCAGGCGTCCAATCGAGAGCCCCTGGTCTCCGAGGACAGTCGATGGCGTTTCATGTATCCGATTGTGCGATACGTACCCAAGTGGACGTGCCGGCTCCAGAAGACTGGTCGATTCGTGTGTCGCTTGGTTGCGCACCAAATCGGGGGACCCCTCACCGACGAGGAGAGCATCCCGCCAGTCGTCGTCGTCGAGCGGCGTTTCAACCTCAACCATCTGAATGAGTTCGTGCTTCCTGATGCAGCAGTGTTCTACTTCGAACCGGAACGCGAGGAGGATAGGGACGGATACCAGAACTTTATCGAATACCTGATACAGCGACATCGAGCTGGTCTTGCGCTTGACGAGGAGCGTCGGATCATTTTCATCCCACCATGCGCTTACAGTCAAAACGTTCTGCACTACAATGGCGAGGCATTGCTGGGCGTTGTTCAGCACTCCTATCCACCGCTAGCGGGCTAGATGTAGAGCGCTCTGTCGCCATTCGACTCTCTTGCCCATATTCCGTCGCTATCGTAAAAACAGTGAAGTGAATCCTGGACTTTGCGAAAGGGCGATGCCAGTTTCACGGGTTGGCGGCTGGCATTCGAATCCTGACCGACTGGAGTCGGACGCTCGACATCCGCTGCCGACGTTGCGTACCGCAACCGGTGCCAAGCCGCTGTCTGTCGTTAAAGTGTTCATGGTACGGGCTCGAGCGCTCGCAACCGGAGCACTCTTGAAGCGTGAGCGCAGTCACCGCTGCGCATGATACGCTCCGCCGACGACCGTGCGCCGCGTATATCGTCCGCGCACAGACGCTTCTGAGAGCGCTTCGAGGACCGGGAACCTGGCACTGCCCAGGGGAGACGAACCCGTCGCTTTTGTTTCGCGGCGTTCGACGCAGACGTCGCCTGCGACGATCCGACTGCTCAGCTCGAGTGGCACGAGGACCGACTTTGCACCCGCCGACGACATCGCAGCGCCAGCAATGCAGTCGAGCTCTGCCCATCGCTCAAGGTCGAAGCCGATCCCGGGTCACCTGGTCGAACTTCCTGTCTGTCGCTGAATGAAATGACCTCGAATTCGGGTATCGAAGCGCACAGTCCGTAGCAGGCAATCCGCGTGATGCACATCAGTGAACAAGGGGTGCGGCAGCCGCTGGAGCTGGTGCGCAGCGGACTCGATCCTGGCGTCCTCCGTTGCCGAAATGCCGATCCGGCTGCAGCTTCAATGAAATGCACCTGCATTCAAACCGTTCTACTTTTGATGTGAGCAGCGCGCCCGCCCATGAGCCATGTTCTCGCTGCGCATCCAGGCGACGCAACCGACGAATCCCGCAGGGCGCTGCGGCGAAGGTTCCCGCTCGAGGGACAGACAAGACAGCCCATGTACGCTTCCGCGTCTATGTGCGCATCAGTCGGGAATCTGGTGCTTCTTACGTGATTTCCACAACATCCTAGAGCACTTTTATGGCTATTCGCCATGTTGGCAATGGAGAATCCTTCCCGAGCTACGATCTCAGACAAGTACCAGCGGTTCATGTACTGGTCTCTGACAAAGAACTGAGTGAGAAAACTCCACCCGCAATGTCCGGAGCCTCACTGAAGAAAAATATGCGCAAAAGTCTACGCATGAGCTCCAGGTCAAGCGTCTGGGGATTCATCAGGGGACACGACCCGGCGGGCGTCGTGGCGACCGTCTCGCGCTGGCCAGGCGAGCGCGGGCTCGTCCTCAATGGCGTGAAGCGTTCGAGCGCATGCACACGCAGCTGCTCCTCCATGCTTCGCTCAACCGCTTCATGCAATTCGTCGAAGATGATAAAAGCTACTGCAACAGCCGCTGCGGCAATGCGCGACGGAAGCTGTCTGATGAGCTGCACATCCGTCAACGCTAGGGTCACGATACCACTCGCGAGTATTCGCACGTGCGTGGGAGCTCTCGGAATGGCTCGAATGTACTGGTATGGCGTGACCATTTCAATACGCCAGTTTAGATGCGCTCGTAGGCGCTGCTTTGCTTCCCAGATACGAAGCGATTTCGCTCGATCGTCGCCAGCGAGCAGAATAACGACGAGCGCGGCCGGTAGCTCGCGGGCCTCGCAAGCGAGCGCAAGCGACGCTGCTCCCCATACCTCGTCGGTGATACTGGTTTCCAAAGTTGCTGGGAGCACCTCACTATGTATGCGGTCGTAGAATGCAACCGAAAGGCCCGCCACTTCCTCCGAAATGCGCAAACGCCGCACGAAACTGACCGAGCGCTGAACCTGCAAACAGCGTCTACGGTACTGCTCCGAGTCTACCAGAGGCGGCTCATAGTCAGCAGGATACGTAAACAGGTGCTCGCGCGCAAGAAGCACCTCAATGCACTTTAGAGCTAAAGCGTCGTTCTCTTCGGTTGCCGCCGAACCGTGCAAGGTTGCAGATGTGTTGCCCTCAGAAGCGCTGGTAGCTGCATCGATTCCCTCCGGTCCGCGCTCGCCCACCACCAAGCTGTGCCTTCGAACCCGCCCACTCATACCATGGCGCTCTGAGGAGCACCAACGAGCGCTCTCTCTCGTCTGCTGCGGACTTGTCCCTCGGTTCCGGGGCACTGCGCCTGTTTATCTCGCTGGGGACGCTATCGGCACCAGCCCGCGCCCCAGCGCACCGGCCGCTGCATCGCTCAGGATCGGTACGCGGGTGGCAGCGTCGCCGCCGTCCAGCGACCTGCGCGCAATGTACCACCGAGGGGGCGCGCGCAGGCCGTCGGCGCTGGGACTCGCGCACCCGCAACAACAGACGATTGGCGCGCCACAGTTGATGGCATCCCAAAATGGACATCACGCGCGCGCTTTCCTCTCCTCTGAACGGAACTGCTCGACGGGCGGGTGCCTGCGGCTGCCGTGGTCGAGCGTCGATCTCAGTGTGTGTGTGTGTGTCTGGTTCTCGTGGAACACTGGGCCGCTTACTGTACTCCGGTGTTGTGATTGGTTTACAACGTTTGCCTAGGCGTGCAGCGTAGTTCGTCGAAGTACGGAAAACAGTGCACACACGGATGCACTCGTAAAGGCTGGGCATACTCAGGGTCGAGGTCACAAAGTGGATCACCGGGCGCTTTGTTGCTGGAATTCGTGACGTCCTTGAAATCAAGGCGATTTATGACGCAATCGGACAGGGATTGGTAAAGTAGTTGATGTGTGGATAGCGTGCAAACGGACACGAGTCGAAGCAACTGCGGTGCTTGCGTGTTTCAAGGCAACGCTTAGAGAGCCAGCGATGCGCGTCGCTTGATTGACGAGGAAAAACGCGATGTATTCTGGAAAAATCGCTCAGAAGATGATACCGAAAGTACACTGATATTCCGACGCGAGAGAATCAACTCCTATCGAAATACAGGTGCTTGTTTCTCTGTGAATATCGACGAAAGCGCGTTCCCCAGCAGCTTAGTGCAATTCACGTCATATAGTCCCAGAGGCTGTTGGTTGTTCTGCTTGTTCGGAAAAGAGTCCTGGGCTGGGAATTTGGTCATTGCGGCGAACATTTCCAGTGGAAAGCGCGTTACTGCTTGGGCGGAGGGAGCGTAGAGGGCTCGAAGTTTCTCGATTTGTTCTCCAGCCGGGATTTCCCGTCCGTTACTTGTTTCATGATGGGCAACATTGCGTTCCACAAATACTCTATGGAACGGAACAGCGTGCGCTTGCGTATGCAGCTGGTAGAATAATCGCTAAGGGCATCGTCCAGGAGAAGCCCGTGATCGCCGGGTACTGCTCCTGACGCGGAAACGGAGGGGTGCATCGAACAGAGTCCTCTACGTCCGTCACGGGCACGTACAGGTTGATGGAGAAAACGTTCACGCGCAACAGGACGGCGCTCTAGCGAGGATCCCGGGTGGACACATGCGAATCATCGACCATAGTCGAGTGTCACCGCTGCGAAGGACGCATTGAGTCTGCATACGACGAAGATGACAATGGACAGCAAGGCGGAGCTCGCAAGAACCACTTGTGCATGAAATACGTTGAAAAAGTCCTGGACCAGCGAAAACGGGCCTTGGACGCTGCCATCAACATCCAACGACTGGTGACAGCGGAGCTAGAGGTACCGGACGGCCAGGCGTATTTAGAGCCATAAATGAGAGCGAGAGATAGAGACGACGGGATGAACTCGTCACTGAACAAGCCCGCAAAACCTGTTATTCATCATAATGGGAAGAAAACCCCAACTTTATTGTATATGTCCGATTTAGAGGACCTGTTCCATTTTAGTCTCGCACGAGTCCATTTCCGCAGCGCTGTTGCACACAACAGCGCCATGAAGGACACTGACCAAGATCGCGTGCAGGCCGAACGCTCTAAGGCTCAGATCTAGACGCAGATCGCATCCTTGTCATGGATATCCAGGCGGCACGTGTGGCCAGCGGAAGAGAGACCCATCTTGCGGCGATGCAGATGCTGCATTTAGAAACGCCGAGCCTCTTCGAAGATAAACCGCGAGATGTGTGGTCCCGGTGTCGCAGAGGTGCCCTGGTGAACTACATGCAGCCGCGCCATTCGGAGAGCCATCTCGCAATACGAAGTTTTGCCCGCCTAGAAATCCGCTATTCTCGAAAGTAAATACCCCAGAGAGGCTTCCGACAGCTGCATCGACTTTAGCGATACGACAGCGGGGAACCGCTGGGTACAATGATCGAGATAGAAACCACCATTCTTGAAAGTACCCCTACCAGGAACGCCTCATCGAGATACATCGCAGTCAGCCGTACGCCAACGTGGAGCCGCTCTTTAGCATCGTCTACATTTCCAAGCTACCAGACAGAAGCACCTAACAGGTTCCGTGTAGAGCCGCGGCGTTCATGTCATGCGCTCGCTGCCCTTCTCACGGCACCGGGACGTGTTTGCCAGCGTGCGCGCCCTCCGGTCACATACACAGTTTTCCTTGGAATCGCTCATCAAGCCGCCATTCCAGCAACGGAGTCGCATCAAGCAAATGCACGTGTGCACAGGAAGAATCGTTCCGTGAGGCCAGCACTTTTCGAGCGCATTCCGAGTGCGAATGATCTGGCGTATCACAAAGCGCTGCCAGCAGGCGCCGCGTTGTCCGTGGCTCGATATCGTGGCGAGTTGCGAGCGAGCTGCTGTCGCTTCCGAAATCTTCGCCTAGCCACCACTTGTCGTCGCATCGGGCATTACGATCAACCAAGTCACGCGTTTACCAGCAGAAGCGATGGGCGCTCCGCTCACGTCATGCCTGGCGGTTGTTTCACCAGGAAACTGCCCAGAACAATACCAGTAAACTGGCAGCATTTGAGGCAGTAGACCTGTTCCGATAAACACTACATTTCTCAATACAAGGCTACCTGTCGCCGTGTGCAGACGCGAGTCACCTCTATGGCCTGCTCGGCCGGGGTGCGGGTCCCGCTTCCGGAAACGTCCAATCCAAAGCATCGACAGAGTTCATCCGGGGGCGCTATAGCGTGCCTGGAGGCACCTGATTCCCCCGGTATCTGAAGCCGGCATTGGTCCCTGCAAATGCATCTCTACCAGCATATACGAGTGCCAAGTAGCTCGCAGTCAGGTTGCTAGGTTCCGTTACCGTTCGCATCGAAACCGATCGCCCAGCTCGGCGGTTCCTTGCATTCCTCCAATGACCAAGACATGCAGCGAGCGAGCGATTCCACGAGCCTAGCCGCCACATGACGGTTATCTCCGGCGTGCACGAACACGTGCGGGACGACGAGAGGAACCGTGGCGGCGGCGGCCTCAAACAGCGCTGCAATCCAGCCTCTCGCTCGAGCTAGAGGCCAATACGCTGGTAGCACATCCGTTTCGTTGAGCGCGATCCATTCGGGAGCATGCGCTTCCACCCAAGCACGCCCTGGTGCATTGGCCAGATACCAAACGCTTCCGAGCGGCGCGCTAAGGGCACGATCTGATTCACGTGCAACGGCACTGATGCTGTTCAGAACCAGCACAAGTCGACTATATCTGCCGAAGGTGTTCCACAGGAGGAACGCGTGTTCTCGTGAGCGCCCTCGTGCGATCGGAGACCTATGCTGCACGACAGCCAGATCCTGGCACGCATACATATCGACAGGGCTCAGAAAGTGAAAATCAGTGTGGCTATACCTCCCGCGACCCGCAAACGGAAGCACCTGGGGCACTTGGACGGAGCCCAAGTGCGGCAGTGCGAGGTTCTCTATGAGCAGATCGCAGACCATCTGGGGAACATAGGCGGCCGCAAGCGCGTTCGGGACTACCAGCACGCTCCCCGTAGGACGTTTCCCTGACCAGTGCCAGGCTGGATCGGGACTCGTCATGGCGCGCGCAGCAGGTTCGCCCCTGAACCCGCACCAGGAGTCGCGTCGTCGCTATCCTCGGTACGACGCCTCTGCTTGGAGTTTTGTGTCGCTTGATGAGATTCTACGCCGCAAAACCGATAATAAAAACCGTAGAAAGCGCGAGTAACTCACAAGCGCAATTCATTAACTATGAACCGGTGCATTGAACAACTGACGAGAAAAAAAGCTCACCTGAACGTCACGCCTTGGACCGCTCGGCCACGTCTGCGATAGGAGATGCAGACGGCAGGATTCGAACCTGCGCATGCTTACGCATATGACGATGCTCAGATGTAATGGTATCGCGATGAGCAATATATAAAGTGGTTGGTGAAGCGGCGCCGATCCGTGCAATGCGATGGCGATTCGCCAGCCTGATGCGCGGCCAGCGTTGCTGGCGCCTTTGCCGTGCCGTGCCGTGCCGTGCCGTGCCTGTTTTTTCACATGGGGCGCCATCATTTCGAACCTGACCAGGGATCACCGGGTGCGCGATTTTTACCAGTATCGAGGAATGAATCCGTGATGTCGCCCCATGACTCCAGGTACAACCAGCCATGACCTCGACTTGCCCATTTGGGGATAACGGTTCGTTCAAGCGATCCTCCGAGCACCGAGCCTGCTGTGCGTGCCTACCACGCCCCATACAGCGCAGCGCTGCACGGGTTGGGGGCCAAGACGGCAGCACCGCACCCGCTGCGAACATGCGCGCCCGCTGGAAATGGTACTCGCAGGGTGCTCGCTCGTGCGCACCAAAGTCCCCATAGGGAACTGAGTGGAATTCTGGGGCTCGGCATGAGTGCAGCTCGCACTCTCGACGCCGGAAGCGCATCATGTGGCGTCCATGTTGCTGAACGCTCCACGGTGGTGCAGATGCGCAGGGACGCAAGCCGCAGCTGCGATCGCAAGCGACGCATCCGCCATGCGATATTCGAGACGGCGGCTCGGAGCGTCTGCGACTCGGCCAGCCCCGCACGACCACGGCGTCAGCGATCGTCCCGACGGCATCCGGTATCCGTGCTCGGATGCCTAGCGTACGTGCCTGAAACGAAACGCCGTACATCGGCAGTTCGTCCGAACACCAGGAACCCTAAACAGATGCTTGATATAGAACCGAAGTTTATGGCCTCGAATGCATTCGAGCAGTGCCCTTGAATTGCTTCGCGGACTCCCTCTTCATGAATTCGACACTTTTTGACGAGGGAAAGAACGCCACTCGTCGCAGATCCTGTAATTCCGTCTCATTCAGACTCTTAGGATTCTTCGCAGCCTCCTCTAAGCGCAGGATCACCTCGATGAGGTCGCCTACCTCTATCTCTGGCTGCTTGGGAAGCTCTGCAAGCTCCTGACGCAGTCGATTCCATGCCTCATCGAGATCCCTTTTGTCCAGAAAAATGGGAATCACGAATTCTTTCCCTTTCCGGAGCGTTAGACCTTTTGCCACGAAGCACGGCACGCCCCGTACAGTGGGTTGTTTTGTCTTCTTCGCCACAGTTCGCGCATACTCGAGCTGTTGTTGATTGGGGTAGAAACGGAAGACCATTTTCAGCTCATCGCCACGGGGTCCGCGAAGCCCGCTCGGCTGCGGTTTGCTCTTCACCATTTCGAAGGCACGATCCAGACCCATAATGAAAATACGTGCATCCTCTGCCTCTTTGCCGGAGCTCCGTTTCAGGTCCTCGAGCATTTTTATCGCATCATCTGGGTCGAAGAAAATAAGTCCCACTTGCAGTCCACGTTCCATTGCAGCTAAAAAGGGTTGCCCAGACTCATTCGTCACCGCGAAGACTGGCACCTGCGCGAGTTTCTCGCTCAGCGTTTTGCGCGAGTAGCGTGCATGCGGTGTTTTCGCCGCGCTCACTGCTGGCGCTCCCAGCAGTACCTGCAGCCCGGCACCGAGGCTGAATCCACGCAGAAGTGGCGTCCATATGTTAACCGTCGCCAGACCTAGCAAGAGCGCCCGTGCGGCACGTTGCATCCAGGAAGTCTCGGGCGCCGGTTGCCCGACAACGCCAGGCGTCCTCTGTTCACTAAGACACACTCTCTCTGTCGCACTTAGTAAATGTTTCCGAAAGGTCACGAGTGGCCGACCCCGATGAAAAAGCACCTGCCGTTTCGAACTCCATCGCGGAACGAGCGGCCGATCAAGTCCTAGCGCCGGGCGCTGCCTCCTCGCAGGGTGCGCCGCAGGCACAGCAAACGCTGACATCAGAGTCCTGGTTTTGAGTCAGCGTCAACTGCGCTTTTCTTCCTCAAAGACCAAGTCTACTGGGACCCTTGCAAGGTGACACAAACGTACCTTTAGACTCCTAAACAGCGCGTGTACTCTACACAGGCGCGCACAAGACAAGTCGCTCGTCCGATGGCACAGTGGTAGCGCGTGTAGCTAGAGCTGCGTCCGACTACAAGCGGCCGCTGCGGTGGCTGCCATCGCGCGGGCCGGCGGCGCGCTGCGCGAAGGCGCGGGCGATCCGGCGGCAATGGCGGCGCGCTGTCCGCGCATCCTTGCGTGCCGGTGCGTGCGTGCGTGCGTGCGTGCGTGCGTGCGTGCAAAGCAATGCCTCGCGTGGCGCATTCGTTCCGGCCTTGACACCCCATGGGGAGACCTTTCTCGAGCTGTTGGCGTACCCATAGGTTTGCACAGGAACAGCAGGTTGTACGTCGATACCTGGGAGTACTCGAGCAGTTGGTAGAATCCGTTTAGGGTAATCGATTTGGGAGCGCTGAGCGGCTGCACACATCTGAACGGCCTGCGTCTGTGCTGTCTGGTAATGACCGAGTCAAAGGTTGCCGCGCTCTAGTCATGCATAAATGACCCGCGAATATCTTTATGCAACGGATGACCTGCTCTGCCGTGGAAGCAAAATGCCGCAGCAAACAATCACGCGCAGGTGTCTTGAGTCGATGTTTTTCGGGGCGGGTGGTTGGTAGCGCGCTCGCGAGGAAGAGCACATGTATCCTAGGCAGATACATGCCTCTGCAGACATACTCGAACCGCAAAGGACAGAGGCCGTTGTTTCAAAGATGAATTCGGCGTTTCTACAATTTGGCAGCATGCACAGAACACTCCGGTCCGAGGCATCGGTGCAAGCGAGGCTTGGCGCTCGCGGATACGGTAAACGAACGAACAGCAGGGCGCCGGCCGAACGCCCGCACTGGCGAGTTCGGCATACCAGGAAAAAAAGGTTCCCTCTATGTTCATGGACCGGAAAGCGCTGATCTGGTACATGGAAGCCGCTGCCATGCTCGACAGCGTTTCGCACGGGACGCGTTTCCAGGTACTCTCATTGCATATCGATCTCGCGTAATCGGCGCAATCTTCGCTTCTGAGACGGAAGTTAAACATGCAGCTCAAAGAAAGCAGGCCGGCATTGCACAGCAGGATTCGATGCGGGGCGCCAGAACGCCTAGCATGTTGCCTCGAACCGACCGAACGATGCCAGCTCGGCGGCATGCCGATCATGAAACCATGCATCCTTCGTCCGTAGATATCGCAGAGGCAAGTGAGGCGCACCTGCTCAGCATCACACCTGCTGTTGTACTGATCTCGAGGTTCCCAAATTGCTGGCGCAATTCACCAGCAGAACACCAGTCCGGCAGCTGCTATTCGAAGCATCGCGTTTCTGCTCATAGAACGTCCCCCGAGCAGTGAGACCATTTTCACCGCGCTCGGGCTGCATTCGACTCGCCAATGAAGCGCACCCCGCCAATCGAATGTGAAACGCACACCCTTGTGTGAGCTCGTACCGAATAAAGTGCCTCCATCAAGTATCGACAGCGCAGTGCTCGCAGTTTCAATGCGATACCGGGTGTCGGAAGCGGGATCTGCACGCCTCGCCAGACGGTCGCGCGCCCTCATCGCACTGGTGCGCGCTGTCCATTGAATCGGATGCGCACACCGGCCCGGTGCGCTTTCTGGGCCTACCCACTCGCACATGCCAAACACGAGCCCGTGTCGCGAAACGACAATGCATTTCATGAAAGATCACGAGGGAACGGGCCGGCTCCCAGGATATATCCTAACAGCCAAATGTGTCTCTAACGTGTCGTACAGTAAAGGCAAACCTGCATCTGCAGACTGTCCAGGCACAAACTGACGACGAGACCCGATTCTAGGTCGGATGAAGCACGCCTCGAACCGACGTCCTTTGTGGTATAGAAAAGCCTTTGTGTCTCTATGAGCTATCTGCCCCAGCTATTAAGGTCCAAAGGCGGATACAGAACCGCAGGTACTAGGCACACACGATAGAACATGAGAAACGACCGGTATGTCCGAGAAGAAATATGGGTGATGGAACTCGGAAGCGATGGGTTTGACGGATGCTTCACCGTGAGCTGAAGAAAAAGACAGAGGAGGCGTCCAATCGGAAAACGCTGGCCTAAGTAATCGGTTTGTCAGGGAAAAACAATCCTGCCTACAACGCGCCGCTCGCCGCCGGCATTACGCCACGTATGCAGCGCGGTGTACCAGTTGGACGGCGTTCGCCGCGGCCGGCGATCGGCCGATACGCTCCGCGCCCATCATCGAACGTCATTTTTAGTGCTGTTCGAGAGGACCGGCGACGAAGTCGGCAGCCCGCTGGACGAAACTCGAATAATTCAACCTTGCACCCGCGGCATCATGGCTTTTGTGGTATCTTCTTCGTGGGGTTGCACGAATGTCTGGACGGGTTGCCGGCGAGCGCTCCGCCGGGGCGCGACGTCATTGCGATCGCCACCAAGAGTGCCCGTCCGTGCACACAGGTCCGTGGGAGTGCCAGCGCGGCGCCCGCTACGAAGTTTAGTATTATCAGTCGATGCTGGAGGCACTGCACACGCACGAATTACGGACTTGAATACCGTGCCAGTAAACGGGGGCCAGTCACTAGAGGACGAAACCGGCTATGAGGCGCGCGCTGGAGCACCCGGAACACCCAGCGAGCCTCGTTACGAGGGGAGCGACTTTGGCGGCACCGGAGGCAAGAGCGGTGGCGGTGGCGGTGGCGGTGGTGGTGGTGGTGGTGGCGGCGGCGGCGGCGGCGACGAGGGCAGCTTCGAACCATCGCGTCCGCTGAGCGCTGCAGGTGACTTGACTCGGTTCATGGAGTCGCGTTCCTTTACCTGGAACGACATCCCAAATGATGTCCGTGAAGCGTTCCAGAAGGGCATCATCTCGGCTGCTGTGATTAAGAACTACATCTACGCCGCATCCAATCCGGTGTCGCGTTTCCTGATGAACCGAACATCGCGCGGGATGCGTGAGCGATTCCTCGCAGATAACCTCTTCCTCACCAAAATTTTGATAGAAGAAGGTCTAGGCCTTTGCGGGAAACTAAGTGCCGAGTACGAGGTACGTCGGGATCGCTTCTTCGATGAACTCGACTTTGTCTTTGCGAACGTGCTCATGGCACTGCTGGCAGACTTTGCGCTTGTCTACTTCCCGGCACCTTCGGTGAAACTGAATCCCGCCATGGCAACTTCAAGTCCTTTTGGGTCAGTTGGTCGCATCGTCTCCAATTATACAAACGGAATGCCTTCGAATATCTTCCAAGTAGATCGTCCATATACATTGCAGCAGCGCATTGCATGCTATCTGTTCAAAGCCACGCAGTTGTTCGTTACGGGTACTGCTTGCGCGGCGATCGGGGTTTCCGTCACCAACGTACTCCTGTCGGTACGTCAAATGCTGGATCCCGAGTTTGTTCCGCAGAACCCCAAGAGTAACGTCCTCTTTACCTCTATCATGTACGGTTTGTTCTTGGGACTGAGTTCGAGTACTCGTTACCAGTTAGTGAATGGAATCGAAATCCACATCTTCCCGAAAATCCTCGGAAATTCGCCTCGTTTTGTTGAGGGCGTAGCCACCTACCTGCTGCGCTGGGGAAATACGTTTTGGGGTAGTCAGCAGTGGGCGCTCTGGGCGAGGTTTACCGGCGCTCAGAAATCTGGGAAGCACTAAATCCCATTCCGTCATAACACCAAAGGAGCTTACGAGCGCGGACGCTGCGAGTGACAACTGCAGCGGCGAACGAGACCCCAGATGCCCGTTCGATACCATACGTGCGAGCACCGGTCCCTGTGTCTGGGGCGAGCTCTTACCAGCCATGCGCGAGTCCGTAGCCGCATCTGAATCAGCGACGCGGCATCGCTGGCACCGTGTCGCCTGCTGCGCACAGCGCTCTCAATATATGAGATAGGTTTTCTCCCCGGTCACATAAATATTTTACTTCGATTGAAAGTGCGAGGCGGTCAGGAAAACGACCGCGCTCCGTCAACATCCGCTCGTCACAGAGGTTACGTGCATCGTGAACTGGTACTTTACTGTGCGGTGGGTACGGAGGCTGGCTCGGCACCAGGACGCACGGTGTACAAGCACAGCCAAGGCGAGCGGCGTCAGCGTGAGGTATCATTGTAAAACGCAGTGAAAGCGTCCTTTCGAGATGCGATACCCAGCGTCACGCCGATCCCAGAATGTGCCGCATCTCTCAACAGAGCCGAGGCTTTCGATACGATCGCTCATGAAAGCAGACAGCGGGATTCATGATCCTGCGTTCTTGACTGCGTGCCTTGAAGATCCACCGCTTTGATCTAAGTACCGAGTGGCATGCAATTGGATCTGCTTTGCAGAGGAGGATTTCAAATGAGGCTTTATTCGGCGGGTCTGCATACTCGCAGTCGGGATGCATTCGATTCCTGATGCTCCTTGGCAGCGACTTGTGCATATCCATGTCGGTTAGCGCCGACTAGTACGTGATGGTGCTGCTGGGTAACCACTGGTGCCTATTCATGTTGGTTAACGTCGACTGGCGTCAGCTCTGGCACCTCGTGAAAAATGCGAGAAACCACTTCATCCATACCATTACGGATTCATGGCGTTTGACGCAAAACTTCCATCTGGCGCTTGCGTCGTGCATCGAGAACGCTGCGGGCCGTCTCTTCATCCAGCAAGCCATGTACCATGAGCCATTCATCCGCAAGCACAGATGAACGGCCATACTTTCGCAATTTCTCTTCCCTCATGGTGGTGTAGAAAATGCGCAGAGGGTCGTTCTCTGGCGGCGGGTCTCGTCTCTGTCCGGGAAGAGCATACTTCTTTGCCGGCGAGTTGCTCGCTCGAACTGCTTTATCGGAAGCGCCGTTTTCGCCTGCGCCGCTCTCAGCGTTCTTCGAGACACTCGCTGGTTCTTGCTCGAGAGCTTCCGTGCCAGCCAAGCTGGGATCCTGTTTGAGACTCCCGGGTCGCAGCGGGATACTCGCGGAAGCGGGTACCGAACGATTCTTCTTACTCTTCCGAATCGGTTTCCTTGGAGGAGTCCCAGACTCGGTACGAGTCGAGTTTTTCAAAACTTCATCAAGCGGCCTGTCATCGTCCAAGTCAGAAAAGGTTTCGTTATCCATGGCTGAAACGATTCTTAGAAGAGTTCGGCCGTACGCTCGGTGTTCGCGTGCGAGAGCTGGTCCTCGGACACTAACCCCGGCGCGCGCAGCAGGACACGCTGCAAAGGCGTTCGACGAGTACCCCGAGCGAAGCCTCAAGAGGACGACACGCCACAAGTCATGAAAGCTGTGAAGCTCACTTGTTCAGGAACGCCTCGGAAGGAGCGCGTCCAGTCCGCACGCTTGTTCAAGAGTCGTGTCTGCCAAAACCGATGACAACGCAGGGCACCGCATCCAGTAAACCATGCAGACAGCGAGCAATTCCATGCGCCCATGTCAGAAAACATAGAGCAGGTTCTCGAACTCGGGTGCACTCATGCTGAAGCTTTGCTCATGTACGATGAATATCAAAACCGAATTTATGGGCTGTTTCTGCGACTGCCTCCTCTTCCTTGCCCTCATGATTTGCCTTAAATACACAGGTCTATCCCGTCACTCCAGTTCCGGTGTTCGCAGTCGGAGGACGATGACGGTAGCGTGCGCATCCCGATATGTCGCGGCTACCTGCTGCTGTCTACGATTTCCATGCACAGGCGGGAGCAGCGATCTATGCTTCGCTAGCCATTTCCATCTTTTAGGTATACAGCCTTGATGCACGCTTCGCAGCAGTGACACTTGACCACTGTCGATGACTCCCATGCGTCCAAAACATCTCTTCATTTGGGCACCGCCCAGTAAAACATGAACGTTTTCCCTATCACGCTGTACATATCCATGACGGGCACAGCAGGCTCGCCTCGATGCACGCCTCCGTTTCCGGACCAGGGGCGACGCCCCACAGATCGGGTGATTCTTCGTGGCGATGCCGTCGACGAGGGCTTTGTCTGCTGCACGCGCAAGGGCCCATGCTGTTCCATTCGGTGACGGATTTGTGGAGCACGATACTATCCGTGGTGAAACAAGTGCCGGAAGCAAAATCGACGCTTGAGAAGGCCTCGCGAACCTTCGATCCGTCTGCACTCGATTCGGGCAACGCAGTAACACACGTTCCACTGGAAGCGATCGCTACGATAACTCACATCCGATTCCAATACCCTTTTTGTCGCAAACAGAAGAGACGGGAGCCTCTCGGGGCATATGCCATGAGAGATGTCATGCTACTGTCGAATACAGATTCATCGATGGCCTCAAATCAAGTTGGATTTCTCTCTCCAACGGAATCGATTATTGAAAATGACAACTTCAGTGAGCATCCGGCATCAACTTGTGAACAAGTCGTCGTGCGCCAACGTCGACTACTCATGCTCCTCCATCCGGGAGTCTAAATAGCAACGCCCACGAGTTGCTTTCAAACAGCAAAATCGAACGCGTGAAGAATGCGTATTTCGAGCATCCTCTACGCAAGGAAAGCTGGAGCTTGCAGTCTCGGGCATTTGCATCGGTTCATCAAATACGAAAGTGTACCGCGCCTCGTTCGCGGCCGCATCGAATCATCTTTATTTCGCTGCCGTACGGATTTGCGGTTGCACAGCATCTGCGGACCTGGTCCCCAAAACACGACCAATATTCGCGAACCTACCCTCCGATGAATTCACACACTCTCTTGGATGTACTTCGAATGTCCAGAATATACAACGAAAACGAGTTCGGAAACAAGCCGCAAGGCAGGAGCGTAGCGAGCAGGCCAGTGCGCTCCATGCATCTGACACAGGCACGCGAGAGCAGGCGCTGGAAGTACCTCCCGCGTACGCCGAGGCGCAGCGTCCGCACGCACGCTCGGGTACCAATGCCTGTCCCTTTTGACCGTTGAATGACACCCGCAGGCGGATCTATGTTGCGTACCCAGTTTGGAGCCGTGCAGCGTGCACATTAGTGTCCGTTTCTTCCATATTATTCCAAAACGCCTTTCGAGGCCTTCACGCCCCCGTACCAGCGAATGGCGGGATCGGCGCTTCGCGCGCTTCGAGCGCGCGCGAGCGCTGAACGAATCGAGTCCCGCGCTGCGTCGACGCAGCGGCCGCGGGATTTCCATCAATCAAGCGTCCGCGCTGCAGCAGCGGCCAGCACGAAGGCAGCAGCATCACGCCCCGCTGCGGTAGCGTTCGGGGACGCGCGCCAGCCAGCAGCGGCCCGGCGTACGCGGGAGGTACCTCCAGCGCCGCTCGGAGCAGCGGATACTGTTCTTGGTTGCGTATTCGTGAGCTTTCGCTGGTATTCTCGAGTTACCGCTCATACGTTTCTTTAGTTTTCATGCGTTCTAGCAGCACTGCGGCTGATTCTTGTCACAACGAGGATGGAGACTCTGATTTCGAATCGAGTCCACCGAGCACCACCGTTGAACAGCCAACAGGGGAGGCGGAGGCGGAGGCGGAGGCGGCCCCAGCGCCTTCGCCGCCTTACCATAGTATCACGACTGCAACGGTTTTCAGCGAGGACGCGTCAGACGAAGATGCACGCAATCCTGGTGCTTCTCCATGCCGCCCGTCCGGTCAATCTTCAGTAGAAAGACCGAAGCGCGCCACGAGACGCGCCTCATCGGGCAAGGAGGCCGGAACGTCCGTTGACAACAAGTCCAGGTCGCCCCCGTCGACGCGCAAGTCTCGCGGGCGGGCCTCGGCGCGTCTCACTGGGCATCGTCGAAAGGCGTACAAGGAACTGTCCGAGTCAGAGTTAGAGGAAGCTGAGCTTGACGAAGTGGATGAAGTAGACCAAGTCGACGAGATCGATCAAACGGATACAGTCTATACGGACTCATCCAGTGAATCGTTCTCTTCAGAGTCGGATGCGTCCAGCTTTGGAAGCGAGCTCGAGAAGACCTCCAAAGCAAAACGCGGTGCGCGCAGTCGTCAGGCGACCACCACTCGCCGGGCTCGGGCAGCGCCAAATAGTCGCACCGGCACTGAGGCGGCGAAACCCTCGACAGCGACACGACATATCGGCCAGCGACTGGGCACCAAAGCCATGGCACCGCTTTCTAGCAAATCAACGGACGCTCAAAATACCCCCGCGGCGGTTGTCCAATCACGAATGGCAGCAGGGGGTTTTCGCGTCGGCCTGTCTCGGAGCGCGCTCCTCGCAAAGCGAAGCTAGACACCTGCGGCTTCCAGAAACCGACCCGACGAATTTCCGTCGTCCCATTCGTAAAAACCCCAGGAATAGCATGGCACGAGAACCCAAGCTCGTTCCTGCCACGAGATCCACCGCCCAGTGTATGAACAACGGCACGCTTTCCTCGGCACGATACGTTCTCCATGCGCTACATCGTGCAAAGCGGTTGCCGTACGTGGCGGCAAGCATATGCCTAGCACGCTCTACAAGTTACCGTACGCAAACCTTGCTAGTGCACGAGCAGATGCTCAGACCGTTCACGCTGACGCGTTCGTGCGCGTCGCCGTGCGGTAAGGACCAACGCCCGTGCTCAGCCATTTACAGTAAAGTCGCTATCCAAGCACGCATACACCGGGTTGCTCGTAAAGACTCGGGCGCGGCCGTTGTCTATGACTCGATGTCGTGTGACTCCGTCGCAGCAGGCGCACGCAGCCTAAACGTTCTCATACCAGTGCACACGGAAAGTTATAAAGGTTTCCTATGGATATTGACCGAGTCGGAAAAGAATGAGCGAACACCCGCGCTGCAATTCGTGAATACTCGTGTAGCTCGCTCTCTAGAAAGGTCAGCGTTCCAAAACAAGCACCTCAGTCCTGAACGGATGACGTGCCCTTATCCGCCAGATTTCGCGGGGTTGCAGGATTCGCCCCGCATGAGCTCGCTTCGCACCTCATTATTTTTTCTCTCATCTCGCGAGCAGGCCATATGGAACACCTCGACAGCAGCCCTCAGACCGGTACGCGTGCCCGCACCAGCAGCGCGCTTCTCCAGGCACGAGCGGTGCGCCGGCAACTGCGCGCCGGACGCCTCACGAAGCCAGTCGGTGACGCTAGTCTGTGCTATTCGGGACAGATCGTGCGGGCGGGTGTCTTCCAAAGTCACCCGGGTCAGGCAGGTTACCCAAGTGATCTGTTTTAGCACCACGTATCGCATTTCCAGCGTCCACGCTGTCGCTCGGTTCGGACCTCGCGAGCAGCATCGAAACGCGTTGGCGCTTCGGTGACCCACCAGTGTGCACGCGAACCCGTGTCTGGCTACGTGACTGTAGGTCACCGACGGCCGTTTCCAAAGACGATCATGCCGGTCACTGCAGTACTAATTCTTGACTCGCGAGGTCGATTGCTAATAGCCCGCGACTTTCGGGGCGAAGTTGACCTTCAGGAAGCAGCGGAGGCTTTCCGCCTCGGACTCGAGCGCAACGCGTGGACGAACGGCAGCGGGGACGCCGCGGGCACCCCACCGCTAGTGCCCGTGAAGAACGGGGCATACTACTTTGCGACAGTGAAACACAACGATCTCTACTTTATCGCGGTTGACGTTTCACCGTACAGCTTCAGCGGGACACTCGTCGCGTTCTTAACGAGTATGATTCGTGTTTTTGGAGAGTACTTTGGCAAGGTTGTCGAAGAGTCGATTCGCGACAACTTCGTTATCGTGTACGAGCTCCTCGATGAGATGGCGGACTTTGGCTACCCTCAGACCACTGAACCGAAAATTCTCCAGGAATACGTCGTCCAAGACTATCATGTCATGGAACAGCCCAAGCCACCCATGGCGTTGACGAATGCGGTGAGCTGGCGCTCTGAGGGCATCCATCATAACCGGAACGAGGTCTTCCTCGATGTCATTGAGACCGTCAATATGGTTATTGGACCCCAAGGTAACGTCTTGCGGGCAGGCATCCATGGCAGCATCGTTGTGAAATGCTTTCTTTCCGGAATGCCGGAGCTGAACCTCGGGCTCAACGAAAGCATCCAGATCGAGCAGCGCGGCAGCGGTGCGAGCGGCAGCGCTGGCACCACGCCGCCGAACACCGGCGCCATCGAGCTGGAAGATGTCAAGTTTCATCAATGTGTCAAATTACCCAGGTTTGAAACGGAGCGCGTCATCTCCTTCATTCCTCCGGATGGCGAGTTCGAGCTCATGAGTTACCGGGTGGCGAATCCGACGCTGCGGCCGCTCTTCTCAGCGGATGCCGCAATGGATATGGCTTCCCATCGAATCGATTATTTGGTTCGGGCTCGCTCGCTTTTCAAGGCGGGACTCACCGCGAACGACGTTTCCATCTGGGTACCGGTCCCGGAGGATGCTGATTCACCAAAATTTCAGGTGAGCTCGGGTCGTGTCAAGTACGCTCCCGAGAAGGATGCACTGCACTGGCGGATGAAACAGTTTCCTGGCCAACGCGAGAACAGCTTGCAAGGCTATTTTCGCTTGCCCTCGGTTGCCAATGCTGCCAGTAGAAACTCAGTGGTGAGAAGACCCATTCAGATCCAGTTCGAGATTCCATATTTTACGATCAGTGGCATGCAAGTGCGGTATCTGAAGGTTTGGAGCCGCGAGGGCTACACCTCCTACCCCTGGGTCCGCTACATCACCAGAGCGAGCGACTACGAAATACGACTCAGTTGAGGAAATCGACCAGGTTCGGCATCGTGCGTGCCGTATGCAAAACGCACTGCGGAGTGCGCTGCCTCGCTGACTGCCGCTTGCCCGGGGGGTCACTGGCGCGGGTAGCGGGGCGAGGGTCGGCTTCAGCATTGGAGCGGATCCCGATCTGGCGTTTCGCAAAGGCCTTGCCTCCAGACCAGCCTCGATCGTCTTGGGAAGGTTCGCGGGATGCGTGAAAACAGCGGCACACGCTGCGGTCGAGATGCCGTGCTCCCGGCTCTGAAGACGACGCTCGTACCGGACTAGACCGAGCGGTTGCCAACAGCGCAGACAGGCAGTCGAGCCGCGCACGCGGCAGCTGCTGCGGCACGACGACTCTGCGGATCGCAGGGAATCCGCGCCAGCAGAAGCGACCTATTCGTTCAACGGTCACGACGCGTTTGCAAACTTGTTCAGTACCGGACAATGGTGCAGATGCTCATGAACTGCGCATTCGTCACTCTTTACAACGAAATCGAAAGCCCCTATGTACATCCCTTAAAAGCGCCTACGCATCACGGTTTCATGCGTTAGCGAGACTGCCACTGCGGATCACGACACCTCAATCGGAATCTCCTTCACGTTTTCTTGTTGCTTCACTTTCTTCGGAATCGTGATACGCAGGACGCCGTCCTTGTGCTGCGCCTTGATATTTTCTGCGTCTACGACGTCCGTAGGCAGCCGCACACTCCGCGAGAAGGAACCATACGAGCGTTCCATGCGATGCATCTTGGCGTCCTTCTCCTCGTGCTCCCATTTCTTCTCGCCCTGAACAGTAAGAATATCACCATCGAGGGCGATCTTGACATTCTCTCTGGGTACTCCGGCGAGCTCGCAACTAACCACAAACGCATCATTCGTTTCCGTGATATCCAGGGCCGGCAAGTACGCATTACTGCGCTGCGCGAGCGCGTCAAAGTCCGACCAGAAACGATCCAAGTCCATCAGCGGCGACATGAAGAAGGGATCGCGGCGCATGATGCTGAACGGCCAGCCCCAGTCCCGTCGTCCGCGAACCAGCGTCCGCTCGTTATCACGTTCGCGACTGTTCGCATTCGCTTGCATGAGGCTCGTTCGTGCGCTGCTCAGCGAACGCTTCGCAACACTGCGAGCGAGCGCTGGTGCATACGGCGAGCGCCCGCCCACTGGGGTCATCAACGGACGCCGCAGCACAACAGACGAGCCAGTGAACGGCACGACAAAGTTCAGCTTTGCACTTGCTTGACCCAACATTTTCAGGTTTCCTTGCAGTGAGCGCAATACGTATTGCATGAATCCCTGGTTCTCTCACAGGTTTCCACGGCTAGAACACAAATGGAAATCTAGTGTTGGAAAAATTTCGCTGCGCGCGGTATTTCAGCATCTGCGATCCGTTCGATGATGCGCCGCGAATCTTCGCCGAGGATCTCGCGCGAGATCGGCGATTCGGGAAATCTCGCGAATCGCTGCGAATCCGCCACGTAAGCTATAAGAGCAGCACGCCTGATCGTCGATTCATGGCTTTGTTACGCTTTGGTGTTTCTCCATCGTGAACACAGACCAGTGTGCGAAACCAGGCAAGTGAGATACAAGCGCGGAAAAACGGTGCGAAGCAATACGAACAAACGTGAGCGAGCCATGAGCTACTACTTCTTTGATCCGTTTGAGGACCTTATGGACGACTGGTTTTTCGGGTTCCCGCGCGTCTCGCGGCGTCGTCAAGCTGCTCTTCAGCAACAGCAACAGCAACAGCAGTACGATGACCAGAAACCGGCCAAGGCCAACGGTGTGGTCGCGAGGCCGCAGAACGTCATGGCGATGATAACGCCGCGGGTGGACTTCAAGGAGACCCCCGAGGCGTACGAGATCAATGCGGAGCTCGCGGGTGTGCCTCGCGATCAGGTGAAGGTGGAGCTGCACGGGGACCTCTTGACCATTCGCGGCGAGAAGCGCGAGGAGAATCGCGCTGAGGAGAAAGACGAAGGCGGGCGTGTTGTGTACCTGCGTACGGAGCGGGCCTTTGGTGCGTTCGAGCGTTCGCTCAAGCTGCCGAAGAATGTCGACCGTAACAGCATCAAGGCCACGCATAAGGACGGGGTGCTCAACATCGTCATCAATAAGCTGAAGAAGGACGAGGACGAGAAAATGAATATTGAGGTGACCGAGGCGTGAGCATCCCGCCGGGGTGCAGCGCTCGTGCGAGCGATCGCTGAATAGTGTAAGGTCTTTTTTGTGTTTGTACAAAGTTTTCGTGTAAACGCAACGTACATTTATAGGGTTTCCCTTCCTAGATACCTTCCGCCTGACATGCGTCTTGGTTCAGTGCAGTTCGCTCGTTATGCGCTGGACCGCCTGTTTCTCCATGCGTTTCCGTGTCCGCTCGCATAGCGATTCGGAACACAAGCCAGTCCCTCTGACTGGTTGGATCTGCTCATGAACTGCTCCAGCTCGGGCGCGCTCGTCCAGAGCCGAACGAGCGCGTCGACACGGCTTCACAGTGGCCCTGGTGCGAGTCTGCGAGCACGCCGGTCTGCTGCTCCAGGTGTCGTTCCGAGACGTGCGCTTCTGGCACCCAAACGGACTCGATCCGCTTCGACGCATAAAACCGCTCCTGGGCAGTGCCGTGTCCGCATCGCGAATCATATCGCTGCAGCCTGGACACAGCGTCTGCGAGCAAACTCTACGAAAGGCCCAGAATTTGCCCCGTCTCCACATCTACATCGATATCGTAGAACGCGGGCCTGGTCGGCAGCCCGGGAATCGTCTGGATCTCGCCAACCAACGGATAGACGAATCCCGCACCAGCGCTCAAGCGAATATCTCGTATGGGAAGTACGAAACCCTCTGGTGCGCCTTTCTTCTCAGGATCATCCGAAAACGAGTACTGCGTCTTGGCCATACAGACCGGGAGCTTCTCGTACCCAAGCTGTTCCAGTTTTTCTAACTTTCTACGCGCTTCTGCAGTCCATTCGACCCGCGCCGCTCGATACACCTCGCAGGCAATGATGCGCACTTTCTCTTCTAGGGGCATGTCCAGGGAATAGAGGAGGCGCGGCACGTCGTGCTGCGCGTCTGTGCTCGCCGTGCAAGCCCGCACCACGGCCTCTGCGAGCGCAACAGCACCCTTGCCGCCGTGCTCGAAATGCGACGCAACCACAGCATCACAGGCGCCCGCACGTCGAGCAACGTCTATCACTGTCGCCAGCTCTGCATCGGTGTCATCCTTGAAACGGTTCAATGCGACCACGCAACGCACACCGAACTTGCGGATGTTCTCGATGTGACGCACCATGTTGGACTCGGCACCGGCGCGTACGCCAGCGCCAGCCCCATGCATCGCGAGCGCCCGCAGCGTTACCACCAGAACCGCAACCCTGGGCGCCGTCCCGGCCGCTCGATACTTGATATGCATAAACTTCTCGAAACCGATATCCGCACCGAATCCAGCCTCAGTGATCACGTATCCATCCGCTCCGACGAGCTTCAATGCGATCTGGTCTGCTAATACGCTTGAATTGCCGTGTGCGATATTCGCGAATGGACCAGCGTGCACAAAGACCGGCGTCGCTTCCAGCGTCTGCATCAAGTTCGGCATAATGGCGTCCTTCATGAGCGCAGTCAGTGCACCAGTGATGCCGAGGTCATCGGCGGTGATCGGCAAACCGGTGCCGCGCTGGTGCCCGACGACGATGCGCCCAAAGCGTTCGCGCATGTCCGCCAGTGACGTTGCAAGTGCCAGAATCGCCATGATCTCACTAGCAACCGTAATATCGAATCCGGTGAGTCGCTCGTATCCACGCTCGGTGGGTGCCAGACCAATGCGAACGCTGCGGAGAAAGCGATCGTTTGTATCGAGTACCCGCCGAATTGCGATTGTCTCGGGGTCGATATCGAGGCGCGCAAAGCGCCGCTGCTCCTCTGGCGTCAGCGATTTTGGATCCGTTTTCTCGATACCAAGCTTCTGTAAACGTTTTAACATGATCGGGGAAAATCCTTTCGCTGTCAGTCGTCGGTAAAGTGCCTCGTCCGACTGGGTAGACTCGTGGAAGACGCGCGCATCGATCGCCGCCGCCAGCAGGTTGTTCGCTGCCGTTATCGCATGCAAGTCTCCGGTCAAGTGCAGATTGAACTCTTCCATGGGTATGACCTGGGCGTACCCGCCACCAGCTGCACCGCCTTTGATCCCAAACGTTGGTCCCTGACTAGGTTGCCGTAAACACGTAAACACCCGCTGGTTCAGGTGCGCTCCCAGCGCCTGCGATAGACCCACCGTGGTGGTCGACTTGCCCTCACCCAGCGAGGTCGGCGTTATGCCTGTCACGACGACGAGTCTACCAGTTGGCGCGTCTCGTAGCCGCTCAAGCACGTTCAACCGAACTTTTGCCTTGAATTGACCATAGAGGTCCAGTTCACTAGGAGCGAGTCCGGCGGCTTTGGCCACCTCGAGAATCGGCTGCGGCTCCACTGACTGGGCAATGACATAGTCAGGCGGCGGTGGTGATTGAACTTGCTTCAGTGGTCGTCCGTGCTGTACCATTCCTCGCCAATAACCGAGTGAGACTCGAACAAACGACACGTCTCGTTGTCGAGAGAATCCCTGCACGAGTTGCATCCCCGGAAGCGCCGCCTCTGAGTCTTGATCTGGGGAGGAGGCGCGCGCGCGCGCCCAGGCGACATCGTCGAGGCCGCAGCGCACTGCCGCTGGCAGCGAACGCTACACCCGGGCGAGCAGCACACACCAGTTTTCTGCGTTTTCGCTGATGCTTCGCCTGAGGCTGCGAATGGAAAGCGTGGATCGCGTGGCATTCACTTCGCCGTCCGTAAACTGGTGTCTGAAGCGACGCTTCGCTTGCTCAGGTGGTCGCGCTATCCACGAGCGGCGTGCTTGCGGGAGACCTGCACCCAGCTACAGGTTTCGGAGTGCGCACGCGGGGCGGGTATACGCGTCGGCGTCACGAAGGCAACCGGGGGTCATCGCCGCCGGGCAGCCGCCTGCTCGCTCCTCTGAGCAGGGCTCTATTACCCCACGGGCCGTAAGCTACGCTCAGTGGTACTTGGACGTGATTGCAGCCGCGCAGCTAGCAGATAGCTCGCCGGTCAAGGGGTCCCTAGTGTTCCGACCACACGGCTGGGCGATTTGGGAGCTTATTCGCGAGGAGCTGGATCGGAGAATTCGACAAACAGGAGCTCAAAACGTTAGTTTTCCGCTTTTGATTCCCCAGTCGTTCCTATGTCGCGAGGCCGAGCATGTTCAGGGCTTCGCAAAGGAGTGTGCTGTGGTGACGCATCATCGACTGCGAGCAGCGCCCGACGGCGCTCCGGGAGCACTCGAACCAGACCCGCAGGCTCGACTCGAAGAGCCGCTTGTCGTGCGACCGACGAGCGAGACGATCGTCTGGCACATGTTCGGAAGGTGGATCCAGTCGTACCGAGACCTGCCGCTCATGGTGAACCAGTGGTGCAATGTCGTGCGCTGGGAATTGCGAACGCGCCCTTTCCTCCGAACCCTAGAGTTCTTCTGGCAGGAGGGGCACACAGCGCATGCTACCAGCGCTGAGGCGGAAGCAAAGGCTCGTGAAATGCTCACCGTGTACCAGAAGTTTCTCGAGGAATGGTTAGCGATCCCGGTGATCGTCGGCACAAAGAGTTCCTCGGAAAGGTTTGCAGGTGCCGAGGAAACCTTCACCCTCGAGGCGATCATGCAGAACGGATGGGCGTTGCAGTCGGGGACGTCTCACTTTCTGGGGCAGAATTTTGCCCGCGCTTTCGATGTCGAGTACCAGAGCGCCGATTCTGGTGTTCGCGAGCTCGTCTGGGCCACATCCTGGGGGCTTTCCACGCGTGTCATCGGGGCGCTCATCATGACCCATAGCGATGACCATGGTCTAGTGTTGCCGCCACGAGTGGCCCCTGTTCAAGTGGTGATTGTTCCCATCCAGTCCAAGGACGCCACGGAGCAGAGCCTCGTTCGCCAACGCTGCCAGGAAATGCAGGATGCACTGGAACGCGCTGGTGTCCGCGTCCACGTCGATGCACGGGATCATATACGCCCCGGTGCGAAATACTTTGAATGGGAACGTCGCGGGGTACCTCTGCGTATTGAAGTAGGCATGAGAGATCTGCAAGCGGAACAGATCGTGCTGGTTGACCGTTGTCTTCGTTCGAAAGAGAAACTCGCTTTTGATAACCATTGGACGAAATCCGTCATCGCGCGTTTAGATGCATTCCAAGAGCGGCTATTCAACAATGCAAAGGGATTTCTGCGGGAGCACACGCGTCGGGTAGAAAGCTACGACGAAATGAAACGCTTCCTTACGCCTTCAAACCAAGATGCAGCAGCGTATGGAAACGAGAGCAACGACGAGCAGCATATAACGGGCTTCTTTCTGGTCCCGTGGCACGATGACGCCACCAATGAAGCCATTATCAAACAGGACTGTAAGATGACGATACGCTGCTATCCGCTCGATTCTCAGGATGAAGCACGCGGGAAGAAATGCTTCTACAGCGGCCGCCCGGCGACGCACATGGCGATTTTCGCTCGCTCGTACTAAGGGTAACGGTAACGTCATGACTTGTGACGTTTCACAGGATCCCGTGAATGGCGATTCGACGCCCAGCCAGGCCCGCTAAACGGTTCGCTTGCGTTTTCCCAAAGCGTGCTCGCGTGCTCAGATACCCACGGCTAGAAGGCGGTATGGGTGCCGCGCACATCGCCCGCAAGTCTGGTGCGACGCTCGAGCGCAACCAGTCCGTCAGCACATACGTGGATCGCCGCCCTGTTCGAGATGCTGCGTTCACGAGCACCGGGATATCCTTGGGACGGCGAGTGTGGATCCCCTGCACCAGATTTCGGGCTCGTGGTCATGGTCGCTGGCTCGCGCAGGCTCGTCGTGCTATGCGAGTGCTTGACTCGCCATACAAGCACGAATTCCAGTGGACGCAACCGCTCCTGACGAAGCGCTGCCGACCCAAACGGGCTGTAAATATGCCAGCGACGCCATCCGACGACGACGACGACAACAGGAACAGCGACGTCACCGCATCCCACGGCGTGTCCTCTCTGTCGAACAGCGTCAGAGCCAGCAGGGAACCGGGCGCTGCCCAGTGCACTCGGGAGCGCAGGCAGCCTTTGCGAGCTCATCGTAGGCGTCTGTCCGGATGCATGGCTCTACCCGGAAACGAGGTCGCGCTTGACAGGAACGCTTTGTGCGACGCACTTCAGGCGTGTGTCTGGACGCTTTCGGAGCGACGCACCAGCCGGAAGCGCCGTCTCGAGCGGATACCTATCTGCTGCGCTTTCACGAACGCCTCTGTGCATGATCTCGCTTTCGTGTTGCTCGAATCCGGGCGTCGACACGGTGAGACGCGAACGCTGGCCCCCATTCACACGTAGCACCCAGAACTACACCTTCACAAAAATACGAAGTTCACCACCGTCACCGCGACTGATTCGCAAACCATCCTCATCCGTGTAGATGGTATCGAGGTATCCAACGGGCTCGGCCATGACGCCGGGTATGGGCACGGGCGGGAAGCGCAGCCAGTGCACGTCAGGTGCGGCGTCCTCACCGGTGATCCCCGTCCGCACGGCAGTCTGGCGCAGACGGATGCGGTGTTCACCCACAACGTCGAAGGTGTGTTCGATGCACAGACGAAAAACCGTCCGCGGCGGTGCCAGAGGCAGCGCCAGGTCGACAATGTTCGCAAGCTGTCGCGAAGCGCCGCGGATAACCTGGTAGCTGTTGACGCAACCCACTGGCAAACGGCCGGAGGTGTAACACAGTCGCCAAACACCTTCGAGACGTCCAAGGTCGCGAGGAAAACGAATGCCTTCACGCTTTTCTAGAGCTGTAGACTCCAAAAGTCCAGCAATGTTTTGAATTGCGATGCGACGCGACGCCCGGTACGAAGCACCGAGCCGGTTCCCCGCGAGCAAAGCCAGCAGCAGCGTCGGCGTCGCAGCTGGGCGCTCTTCAACGGAAGATGCACGTAAACAGAGAGCTCGCTTTGGCGCTCGGGTCCTTGCAGAACGTCGATGGACCCACAAGTTCGGAACAAAAGCCATTTACTCCTGCTTCCAACTCGTTGATCGTCCAGCGATAACGTCCAGCGCGCTCGGCATCTGCGTCATCGAGGCAATCTCTCTGGCGGCGCTTCGTTGATCGTCCAGCGATAACGTCCAGCGCGCTCGGCATCTGCGTCATCGAGGCAATCTCTCTGGCGGCGCTCGGGGTGTGCGCGCGTGGCGACGCACCAGCACGCACCAGCACGCATCATCCTGCAGCGAGGCGCTGGGCGACTTGCTGCTGCGCCAAGGCGCTCACGCGTCTGCTCTGCACGCTTGATCAATGATACCTGAGAATAGCACAGGTCGCGGCGCTTGCACTGGAAGCGGCTTGGATGTGCATAGGTGCACATCGATGCGAAGGTCGATCATTGCGCTGCGACCTGTGCTTCGAGGTCGTGCGCTCTCCGGGCGGGCACGGCGCTCGTCAGATGCAGCGGCGCGCTGATCCGAGGCGCGCTCTCCCCACGGATCCAGTCGTGCGTGTGCTCGGACAGGCTGGAAAGATGCTGGATGCGTTACAGCTGGATGCTGTGCTATGGTATTGCAGGATCAAGTGAAAAGTGGGTCGTACGAATACCAGCGTTTATTCCTAGGATATATTCGTAGCATATGTCTCATGGATTCAGTGCTGCGCTGCGGAACGCTCCGCGGATCGCAACAGAGAACGTCATTTACTGGGAAGGAGCGTATGCTGAGGATACGGAATTGACAATGAAGACGAACTATGTTCGCCCAGGCGTCTTGCGACTTGTTCAACACTTGACGCAAGCGTTTTATCTCATGGATATCGTGGCTGGCCTCGCACGCTGGCAGTCGTAACGCCCTGCTGCTGAAGCCTCGCAGCGCGCCAACCTCTGTATAGCGCAGCGCACCTGCATCGACGCGAGTGCGACGCGTCCAGCGCCGGGCGCGCGCGCGCGCAGCAGCAGCAGCAGCAGCAGCAGCATGTCGCCGCCCGAGTCGCCAGCGCTGCTGCCGCGCCTCGCCGCCTCATGCACAGGCCACAACAGCGGCGACAGCGTCGCCACACGCGCGCGCGCACCATGTCTACAATTCTTCCAGAGCGTTTTTTCTCATAGGCAGACGTTTGACAGCATGGTGAAAGAGGTTCAGTCGGTTGAAGAGTTCGATCAAATTCTAGCAGGAACTGAAAAGCTTGTTGTGGTTGACTTTTATGCTGTCTGGTGTGGTCCTTGCCGGTTCATCGCCCCGGTCTTAGAACGACTCCAGGAGGAGTACGCGGGTACAGTCGAGTTCATCAAAGTGGACGTGGACAAGCTTCCGGATCTTGCCCAGCGTTGCGGGGTTGCAGCGATGCCGACGTTCATATTTTATAAAGGAGGAAAGAAGATCGATGACTTGACGGGTGCGAATGAGAGCGTTCTGCGGGAAAAGGTTCGTAAGCACAAGTGAGGACGCTTCATCCACGCACCGCTGGACAGTCGGGCTCGATCGGTGCCCAGAGACGGAGCACTCGTTTCCCGGTGTGATTGCGCTGGCCCATGACAAGGACGCAGGGTGCGGTCACACGCACCGTTGGTTGGCCCGGGACCGCTGCTCGGAGGTGCTCCAGGTCCACACACAGAAACGAGTTCTTCTTCGGAACGATGTCCAGATCGGTAGTTGTGAAGAGGTGGACCCAAGCCAACAGTAAATATTTTTTGGTTTCTTGCGAGACAACTAGCGCCAAAAGTTCTCTCCGATGTACAGAAAGCATTCCAGGTAGAGGGCTGGTGTCGAAACACGTCACGAACGTCCGTCAGCCACAGCCGGCCTCGGCAGGGAATGAGCATTCGTCCAGTCGAGGATCCATTCAAATCCGTACGGTACTGCTTCCACCTATACAAGAGACAGCACAGCGTCCTCATGGTTACGAAGAAAGCGGGCGCAAGGGTAAGGTGAACGCTTCCCCAGGCTCGCCAATGCGAACCAGCTGCGTGTCCAACTGCAAGCGTCTTGCTATCTGCGCGACGCTTTCTCGAAATTCTTGAAGGCTTCCGGTGCCGCGCAGGAGCCCCGAGAGCAAACCAGACTGGTGACCTTCCCAGTTCCGTATTGGAATCACCATTTGTGGTCGGAGAAGCTGCACCAACTCGACGGCACTGGGGGCCCCTCGGAGCAGCTCGTAAACTCCGGCAAACAGAACACGTATGGGCGGGGTTAGCACCACGTCGACGAGGCGACCGTCGGGGTCCTGCGTACTCGCCAACGCTGTGCGCAATGCCGACGCATCGAAATTCCCGTGCGGCTCGTAAAACATGCGAAAGACACAAACATGCGCTTCATTGGGCGCCAGCACTCGATACAACCGGAAAATATAGCCGTTCTCCGGCTCTTGCCACGGAGGTCCAACAACCGAGCCCTTCACCGCTTGTATGTCGACGTACTCGTCGCTCGGGGACCGCTCGCTGCCGCAGTCCATTCGAAAACTGTTTCCGGGCCGCAGGTACTGAACATTCTCGAAGCCTAGTTTCGTGAGCAAAGGTCGCGCACTATTTGGAGCCACAACAGGAAGCTCGCGATCCAGATACCGTAGGCTTGGTTCATGCGCGTGATCCGCGAGCGCCTGGCTGAGCACCACCAGCGATATCGGGCCGAACTGCTCTCGGATGCGCTTTCGCATCTCCGATACTTGTCGAGTATCAGATATATGCAGCTTGGTTTTGTACTGGGCAAAGAAACGGGGGTCAAAAAACACCAGCGGGCCAACCAAGTGCGGGTCGATAAAAATTCGCGCTGTACCGACCTCGAGAATCGAAGCATTCGTCTCCAAGGCAGTGAACCGCGGCTCCTGGCGATAGGCCCCGCGCCCTGTTAGGGTGTCACTGCAGATCGCATCCACGGTTCCAGACATTGCCAAACCGAAGCATTCTCTTCGGTACAACGTCGTAGAACGAGTAAACGGCCCAGCACTGTTTCGAGCTGCACGCCCGAGGTGTCGCGCGGGTGTGCGACCGAGCCCCCTCGACGCCGCTTTAGGAAGGCGCCTTTCTTTCCGTTGGCGACAGGTCAATACCTCCGCATGATAGGTATTCTTTGTGTCAGAATAAAGCGACTGATGTTGCTGCCAAAAACTTCCAGAAATAAAACCGTTCATTGCGAGCCAACCTGTGATACCCAAGGCCAGAGCGCCCGTTCACGCTGATCCACAGCGTACGCGATCGCAGCTCGTGCATTCCTGCAGAGCCGGACAACCCTGCCGATGACTTGGCAGCGTCCGATCGATGTGTCGACTCAGAATGCTCCAGAATTGCGGGTGATTCTTGGTAAGCAGTGAACAGACGTCCTCGTTCAGTATCCGTGCATCAAAAGAAGCCTCTTTTTCCCTGGGGCACGCTTGGACGAGCTAGGGTATGAGCGGGTCTTTCCGATCATCCACTGGACACTTTAGAACCGGAGCTAGCGTCTGTTGCTGCCGCCAAGAGTCTTTCGTTTACAGTCTCAGTTTATCGCTGTGAACCTCGCCTGAAGACCGCAGATCAACTAGCGATAGCGTCCAGTCTCGGTAGCCTGGAGCGCACGGGCATCGACCGTGTCTCGCGGATCGCGTGCGGGCATCTCGTCTGACAAACAGCGTCTACAAGTAACGTCGGATTGTCTGCCGAAGAAGCGCAGGTCAGAACGCGCCGCTTCAAGACGTGCTAGCCTAGGGGCTTGACACGCTATCCATAGCGTCATGCTTGCACTCTGCGCGAGATTCAGGAACACGACTCACTTTGGGCGGCGCAAACTGGCGGTGCCTTGCGCACACTGCAAGCGGATTGCTGCGTTGCTGTACGGTATGCACAGACATCGCTCCCGCTGAGGGATAGGCGCACTCCATGCTGGTTGCAAGGGCCTTCATGAATACCTTCACCAACCTAGCTAGTCTGGTTCCGCGCCATGGCGAAAAGCAAGCGATATCGTTAGCGACAGCGCCTTGTCAAGCAGGGCGGATACTCCGTCAAGGCTGGGTGCCATGCGAACCCCAAGGAGAAGCGCGCCTATTTGCTACGGTTGCACACAGATAGCATTGACAAACTATTGGCCCCTTGTGGTGTCTCGTGCCTCTTGGCCACGCACGTATTCGGACAGATTTCCCAGGGATGAATGACTCGCGACGGTATACTCATGCATGCTTCTGGTAATGGACGCTCAGCGAACACGACAAACTAGAGCTTCCAGTGCTTCACGTATCACACGAAAGCGAGATTTGGTACATAGCGGGCTTCTGCTTCAGGTGCCGGTGACTTATCCTCGACACTTGGGCGGATACGTCGCAGTCTTGAATGCATTCGAAACAGGTTTTTGTGCTGAGCGCCGGCGGACCGACTCTGGTCACCGAGCGACAGTTTTGCGTGTTCAGCGACAGGTATGCGCTAGAAACTCGAGTTAATAGCGAAACTGCGCATGGCCCAGACGGTCGTGTCGTGATTCACTTCGGCGAGAGGTTGTGCGGCTCAGAGCAAACGCACGACGCTTTCGATGGCTCTATTTCGGGACTTGTTTCCTTAGATACAGACTCGTTCCGTAAACGGGTACTTGAGGCGACGTCATTCGACATATCCCGGGCGCGTGACGTCGGATATCAAACACCTGCGTACGGGTTTCGCTACGAACTCGAGCTCCACGCGTCAGGAGCTAGGTGCGTCCAATGCTTGCTGTCACGAGAGGCGTTACCATGGCCGCAGCGCTAACAAAACCAATGGACGCGAACAAGGAGAGTCGAATCCATGCAGTCACCTGGGATCTGTTTCGCTAACCAGTACTGATCTCGAACTGAGGCCGCGAGACGTGCATGCGGTTCCCGAAAGACCCACAAATATGCGCGCTCCACTGCAGCGTATGCTGGATATACACCAGAATCCCCAAACTTCCACATGCACAACATCGCTCCCGAACATTTACGCCGCTTTTGCGCGCTTTAGCACTGCTTCCTTAGACCGTCCAGACGCGTCGTTCGATAGATATGGGGCGTCGGTCACCAGTCGTCTCTACAGGTCATGGAAGCGAGCAAGGCAGCATAGCGACGAAGCATATACGGATAACCACGGCGCCTTGCGGTACCATGTGCCGGCTAGACGCAAGCATATGCCCCTAGATATGCTGTCAGCAACAGCATGACGAACGGCACGCAAAGAAGCGCGTGCTGGAAGAACATTCACGACGCCATGCCATCGATGCCGGACTGCAGCATTCGTGTCGATACCGCAGGAGCTCGACGCTTCTCAGAAAACCTGATGGAATAATCGCTGCAAAACGTCGCCGTGAAGAGAGATGTAAACCAGGATACCCGCAAAATAACCCGCGAGCGCTGCCAGTGAGGCGTTTCGTAGATACCAGAAGAATCCAACCTTCTCCATGCCCATGTACGCCACGCCTGCTGCAGAACCGATAATCAAAATGCTGCCACCAGTTCCAGCACAGTACGCGATAAGCTGCCACAGCTCAGAGTCCGGCGGATGCTGACTCAGTTCGTACATGCCCATGGTGGCAGCGACCAGCGGTACGTTGTCAATCACGCTGCTCGCCAGACCAATCACTGTTGGAATGAGCTCCCGAACAGCAAGATGGCTATCTAACCATTGTGCCAGCATTCGCAGTGCTCCGCCGGATTCCAGGGCTCCGACACTCATCAGGATTCCCAGGAAAAACAGGATACTGCTCTGATCGATGCGCGCGAGTGCCCGCGATGCTCGCAGCTCCAAACGTCCAGGCTCGCCCGCGTGCAAAACATCCGTCAGCAACCACATAAAGCCCAAGCCAAGCAACATGCCCATATACGGTGGCAGACCAGTTCCTGCCTTGAAGATCGGCACGAACAGCAGAGAGGCGACGCCACTGAAAAAGATCAGTCTCCCGCGAGGAGCCACAGCTCCTGCCAGCGAACCACCGCCGACAGGATCGATAGCGTCTTTCGCCGCTGCCTGCGCTACCATCGGACTAAACACGAGTACCGACACAAGCAACGATGCAAAAGACGGTACCAGCAGATCCCTGATTGTCGCCACTGTGGTGATCTGCCCACCGATCCAGAGCATCGTCGTTGTAACGTCGCCCAGTGGCGTTGCGACGCCTCCGCAGTTCGCTGCTACGACGACTGCGGCGCCAACCAAACGTCGTGCACTGGGCGGTACTAGCTGCCGTAGAATCGACACCATCACGATGGTCGTCGTGAGATTATCTAAAATGGCGCTCATGAAAAAAGTAATGAGGCTGATGATCCACAACAACGTGACTGGATTCCGAGTCCGAATGGAGTCGGTTACCGTCCGGAATCCGCGATGTCCATCCACGATTTCAACGATGGACATGGCTCCCAGCAGAAAGAACAAAAGCGGTGCCACATCAGCCATACACTCTCGGATCGCTGTCGTGACCTCTACGGAGTTCACGTATCGGGCGCTATCTCCGGGTGCAGCCAGCGCCAGTGCGGTCCATGAAGCCACAGCCATGAGAAGCGCTGCACCCGCTTTATGGAACTCAAGTATGTCCTCTAGGATGATACCTGCGTACCCGGTGCAGAACACGATCCAAAGCGCTTCGATGGTGTTGTGTTCGACCCATTCGACGCGGATGAGCGCTGCCATGATACCGAATGAGGTTACCAAGGCCGCAAGGCGACTTCGGTCTCGTCGAACGTTGGCGCGTCCGTCGGATCCAGTGGTTTCGACGTCTGCATCGGTAGCTGAAGCGTCGGTATTCGCTTCGGGGAGCGTTGCGGGCGACGCTCCAACCGGACCGTTCGTCTCCGGAGCATCGTCGTTGCGGAGCGAGGGGCCCACCGTTTGCCCACTTGCGTCCTGCTCGTTTGCTGGGACTCGCTCTTGTCGACACCAGAGCAAGGTTGCTTTCGATGCTTGCAGGTTTTTCGCACGCAGTCCGAGGGTGCTCGAGGCGCTGCTCCGATGCAGCCTGACCGCACACCCAGCGGAGAACGAGGTGCAGCGTCGACGGCACGCCAAGAGCGTGTGTCCTGCAAACATGAACATAACAGAGAGGTTTCCGGTGTTCGACGGCGTCAAGAGACAACAACGAGTTCCAAGATACAGGTAATGATCCTAGAACCGAACAGAAAACTGACAAGCAGCCCAGAATGAACAACCGGATACACTTTATCTGAAAGAGCACAACGATTTGCCTCGGTGTGACCTTCGAGGGTGCCGCGCCAGCATCCGCCCGAAACGCTACAGCGCCTAGGATCAGCGGGAGAGCGCTGCAGTGCTGACTTGAGGCTTTTCGTTCCATCCGTTGGTGAGGTGATCGGCGGTAACCAATGTGTCGTTGGTGTGATCTAGACAGCGGCTGTGTGTTTATATGGAACAGATAATTGGTAACGGGCTGGCCTCTTGCCAGAACGGGCAACAGCACCTGACCCAGACGAGGCGAAAGCAGGGATTCAAGGCGGTGACCGGGTAACTGTGGTAGGTAGGTAGGTATCCAGGCTCACATGAGCGTAATGAAGCGGTACAAGGCAGCTTTTGGCTGCTTGTGGCGTTTAGGGTACGGATACACAGGTACCGGCGCGTGATGAAGCGATGCGAGGCAGCAGCTGGATAGAGGTAGCGTGCTGGTCTCGCACTAATTTGTACAATGGTTCGATCGACGCGGTGCCTCGCATCAGGGTTTCTTGTTCGGCTGAGGTCGTATTGATTTGGATGCAGAGATCGCTTTCGAGCGGTTCGGACGAAGCGCACTTTACCACTGGTCGCTACGACGGACTGGTATGCGAATGTAGACGTGCACTCCAATCTAGTACGCTGCGGGCTGCCGCTCGCTGCCAAGCCGCGGACTTGTACGAAGGCACCTCGTTCGCGTGGCTGCGGGCCCTCTGGGGCCCCACGTACGGTATCTGCTCCTTGTCGCTTCAGGGTACACGGGGCAGTCACGGCGATGCGATTCAGCGCCCCGGTGTGTGTGTGTGTGTCTGTCTGTCTGTCTGTCTGTCTGTCTGTCTATGATCGTGATCCTACGCAAGTCTCGTGTGCATCCGCTGTGCTCGATGTTCACGAGCGTTAGCGACCAGCGCATCGGTGTGTACGCACGTCATGTCGCGCAGATCTCGTTTGTATCCAATATGCCGGATGTTCACGAGCGTCAGCGTTGAAGTTTGATTTTGGAACCCGGCGTGGTGCTTTTTCGAAAGCCTTGCCCAGATCCTGGACGGAGGCAGCAGCCCCGTGAAATCTCCACACCGATTCGAATGTCTTGAATACCAAGTGCCTCTCCAAGGGTACCTACAAAGCTGCCTGCCTGGTTTCGAGAACAGATCAGCGATTGGGCGCCGCATGAGCGTCCACGAGCTCGTTGCGATGCTAGTACTCTTTCGCGCAGCACTGGCACGGTATCGTGTCGCCGTATCGCGTGCAGTGCGGGTGTTGTCGCGTAATGAACGCTCGAAGCGCATGTGACGGCTTTGCGAGTGCCTCAGAAACGCACGCTAGACAGCGCACATACGCATGTCCACGACCTCCGAATTCCACGCGTTTTTCCGTGAAACGTAACATGCTGCGGACGCTGCCTCCAGACATGGAGCCGTCATTGTGGCTTCGACCCCGTACAAGTCGCTTCACTCTTCCTCGGGTGCTGCTGGACCAAAAGGTCGCAAGTTTTTGGATCCAATGCGCTTCTGCTGTCCTGAGAGCTCGCGCTTGTGCTCAGAACGGCAGAATGCCCGATGCACTGAATAAAACCGCGTCAAATCCAATGATCCAGGCAACTGGAGCCCAAGGCCGCTCTTCCGCATTTGAGCTTCTGCCACGACAACATGAACCGCAGTGCAGCGGCCGTCCTGCAGCCGTCACCGATCAAACGTACCGGCCTGGCTGCGCTGCAGCGCGTCTCTAAAGCGAAGCTGTCTCATGACACCGGGCGAGATGGATGTGTCGGGAGGGGTCGCATCCATCTCGCCCGCGCTATCGGAGGAGCCAGAGCCTCCAGCACGAGTCGCTCGAGCGCTCGCTCTATCGATACTCGCCATTTTTAGGAGGAGCACACCGATTCTCGGCTTTCCGGCTTTCGAGTCTCCACAGAGACACCCGAAACCTGATAAGCTCACTGCACGCAGCACCCGCAACAGCCACCTTGATCGGAGGCGGCAGCCTCATTTCGCTCTCGTTTACCTTGCAACTTGCCGTTTGCACTCGCCAAAGGCTCATCGCTGTCGCCAAAGGATTCCTCATGACTCGTAGAGAGCGCTGCTTTGGCGGCAGCGCGGAATGCGCGCTCGACGTTCGTTCCCGTGCGAGAAGAGACTTCCACGTACGCAGCGGCACCTATTCGTCGTGCAAAACGAACACCTTCTTCAGTCAGCACAATGCGAGCGATCGCCGAAGAGCCCTGCAAAACAGATTGATCTCGGAGATCCGCTTTGGTTCCGATCAAGACGAACGGCACCTCTGGGTCAAAGTCGCGCATCTCAGCGAGCCATCGCTGCGCGCAGTGCTCGAACGTGCGACGGTCCACAAGGGAAAAGCATAAAATAAACACATCCAAACCGGGATGATAAACGTATTGTCGCACTTCGTCGAACTCTTTTTGACCAGCGCAGTCCCAGATGTTGATCTCCACCAGCGCACCGGTGCCAAGCCGACGCACCGCAGTGTGCGAGTCAAAGGTAGTCGGCAGGTACGAGTCCGGAAACTCGCCCAGCGCGAACCTAGTCGCAAGCGAAGTCTTCCCTACACCCCCATCACCAATAAGAACACACTTTACGCGCTTCATGATCTCTGGAAGCAGCACGTTCCAGGAGAAATCGAAGGAAAAATTCAAATTTCCATTGGGGATTCCGCGGCCCGCCACAGCGCCCGTCCGTGCCACAGAAAGCCGCGAGCAATCGCGCGAGACACCGGCGAGATGCAGCGACCCGACTGCCTTCTACACACGACTGATAAAGCAAAGAAAAAAGTCGCACGACAGTAGCGCTTATGTATACACCTTCTTGGAGGCATCTCCAAGCATTTTTAGACCCGCCTTCTGCGACGGGGTTCAGCTTCGGCCTCGTATCCCTCGAGCCTGAGAGGCTGCCCTACGAAAATTCCGCTTGTCAGCTCTGCGTGTCTTTTCTTTAGCACCGCACACCGTCGGATACTTGTGGAGGCCTCCAAGTCTCGGTACTAAAACTCCATGGATTTATTGCCTCTGGTTGATCTGGGCAATTCATGGAGGCATCGAACTGGTGCTGCCTGTGCGATTTGCTGCGCTGTCAGCTCTCTGATCTGTGCTGTCACCGAGGCGATCCGCTGCCTCGTCTCCATCTCGACGTTCTGAAGTGTGCACCGTAGCTCATCCCTTGGATTTTTTAATACTTTAGTTGGACACACTGCTTTATGCCCTTAGATGAGGACGGCCCCGGACGTAGAAGGACTACTGAAAAAAGACGAAATGTGTCGCGGTGCCCGCGTGTGTCACCGTGTGCTGAACGCTTGAGCAATTCGGCCAGGGGAGCGTCCACTACGCATCAAGATGGAAAACATTCCTTTGACGGAGTTGAATCTCGGAGCGTACAGAGGAATGAAAAGCAGCCCTACCCCGGCAGAATCCGCAAAAGCCGAAACGCAAGATGAATGGTGAAATACCACATTTTCGAACAGAAAACGTCACCAGACGACAGGGAAAAGTCTTCAATAGTACGACAAAGCGGGTGCGATTGTATGCGCCTTCCCTGCGAGAGAAACTGACGCCGTGGAATGAATCCACTGCAGATAGATTAGAGGACGGTGTCCTCGGTCTCTTCGAATTCGATCGTACGGCCAACGAGCGCCCTGCTCCGCGAATACCCCTATGTACCTCGACGGTTTCGTGGGAAGCAAGTGCCGTAGATTGAAAAACAAAAAGGAATCCACGACCCTGTGCTTTATATCGATCGCGACGTCGCAGTAACATTATCGTTCCGACTTGGGAAGAAAATGGTCGTGCGTGTACCAGAACTCTTCTCTTTTTGGCGCCTGGATCCCAGTATGATCACCACGACATGAGCAAGCTGTTGAGACACAAGGACGCCCGTAGCGACTATCATCGTCAATTTTGCTTCCCCTAAGGTCATTAAGGCGTCGTTTTCTACCATTGAACGCCTGCAGTCTTTAAGCGTATCGGTTAATGGCTCAAAGCGCATCCACGTCTTTCTTTCCGTGTTCCTCAACCATCTGAGTACAATGGTATCACTTACCTGAGGCCGGAATGCAGTTCTCTTTTCACGCTTCAGGCAAGCATATATCCTACAGGCAATTCACCTACAATCTATACAATACATTTCGTCGTGACCTCGACCTCGTACGATACACCGCAGCAAACCTGAAAGGAATCTGAGTAGAAAGACGCTAACCACCGAGATCGCCAGGTGCATCGCTGAGGTCGCGCACGTCGCTACGCGCTGGGCTCCGACTTTGTCCCAAGCTGAGCCAGAATGCTTGGTTATTCTGTCCCGTAAATGGAATATTTGGAAGCGAAACGTCTCGGAAAATGGATAGATAATTTGCAAGGACCGGCTTGTGTCCGATTTTATCGACGGCAAATAGGACGCGGAGCTTGTGCTTCTGGCGCTTCGAACGACACGTGTTTGCAGAGTTTGCCCCAGGAGCGCGTACCGCCAGATCCGTACCGCCTCTCCGCTTGCATAGTGAAAATCGGTAACTGGTCGGAGTGTGCGGTCGATTCCGGAAAACCGCCGGCCACTAGTGTGGTAGCTTTCGTGCCAGGCGTGGGCGCGTCGCATACCATGTGGCTCTCGCTTGTCGAGCTGCTCTCTGAGCGCTGTAACGGGAACCGTACTTCCGTTGGGCGCACTCTCGTTTGCTTGATAGATAATCGCGGCACTGGTGGTTCGGAGTTGTACCCGCCACCAGCACCTATATGTCGCTGTGTGCGTGCTCGAGAGAGAAAAGCGAACCTTTCGTTATGGACGGCTCAGGCGCTGGCAGACGATGCGCGCTATGTTCTCGAGCAGGTGCTTGGAGCCACGAAGGCCTTGGATTCGACTCATGCAAATACGTCCATTCGACTGTTTCTGGTAGGGCACTCGCTCGGGAGCGCGATCTTGTGCCATCTGCTTTTGACAAGCCCGCCTCTCGAAGTGTCTGGTATCATGTTCTTGTCCATGCATCAGGGAAGGTTTCGGGACTGGTTTCCGCCAAGCGCACGGGCAGTGCGAGCCTCAGTTCGCTACTGGCTATGGTGGATCCGAGCGGCAACGATCTCCACGACGGCGCTGCAGAATGAACGTAAGCGCCTAAGGCTGCTGACCCAGCGTGCGGCTATCGATTTGAGTCTTCATTTCAGTGACGCGTTTCTGGCGAGTCCGCTTGAACCTGCAGCGCAGCGCTCGCTGCTTCATGCTCCACGGACCGATCCAAGCGCTGGAGAGTTGCACCACATTCGACGCAGTGCGGAAACTGCGACTGCGACGGCATCCGCTTTGCCCAAGAAGCGGTACTCGCGCCCGATTCGCCGGCACGAATGGTACCTCTTCAACTACACTGCCGAATCACTCGAGCGTTTTAGAGCCTGGGATGAGATCGCCGACGTTCGGCATTCCTCAGGGAGAAACGCTGACCCGCTGAACGCATATGGTTCATTGGGCCAGTTGCATGCAGTTCAAGTCTATCGACTGACGCGAGCGGACTTGGAGCGACTGCGCGTGCGGATTCCAGAGAAAGCGATGCTCCTCTATGGCCGTGATGATCCGCTTACTCGACCTCGTGCGTGTCGAGCGTTCGCAGAAGCGCTCGGTATCCCTGCAATTGAGCTCACCGGGGCACACCTGATCACGGAGGAATCCAAGATTCCGCTGGCACAATTTCTCTTGGACTTGGTGAGAGCTTGATCTTTCCGCATCACTGACCGGATTCAGGTTTGAGCGCATCTGCATTGCTCGTTGATTTCCGAAGCTATTTGGGGCTGCTCTACGCGTTCCCTGGGTGGCAATCACGATCCCCGAGATACGCACATGATCCCAAAAAGATGCGTCTACACAGTGCATGCATTCTGATGGCATATTCGGTGATGTCGAACGAGTACATTTCAGCCGCAGCAATGCTAGGTGTGCTGCGTGCACCGCTCGAGGAAGCAACTGTTCGGTTCAGGGCTTCTTTGGTGCTGAAGGTATCGAGGCACCCGCGATCCGTTCTCGTTTCGCTGACGCGTGCCCGGCGGGAGTTGCTCTTTTTCGGGCTCGCTGCTGCTGCTGCTGCTGCTGCTGCTGCTGCTGAACTGGACGCCATTGTATCCGCTCGCAGTGAGGCGCAGAGAGCTCATCGAGGAATATAGATGGCTGCTGCTGCGGATCTTGCTGCTTGCCTGTCTGCGGTTCGCTCGCGAGGATCGTGCACTGTTGGCGGGCCCGCGTCAACCCGACGTAGAACACGCGTCGCTCTTCCTCCAGATCGACTTCCGGGTAGAGCAACGGGCACGATCCCTGGACCGCACGCAAAATGAATACAAAAGGCCACTCTCTGCCTTTGGCGTTGTGTATCGTAGATACAGCGACTGCATCTAGCGGCACTTTGCGACGAGCATGGGCGAATGCACGAGTGCCTTCCTGCCATGCATCCTGCAGACAGAGCAGTAGCTGACGCAGAGGCTTGCGCCACGAGTCCTTTTCGTGATGACTGGCACTCGATCGAATGCCCAACTCGTTCCGTGCCAAGGGCGTGCACCGTCTTCGCCTTGCGAGTGCACCGTAGAGTAGCTTGCTGCTCGAGTCGGCGGCAGGCTGCAACGAACACCGTTGCTCCTCGTCCGTCCCGTAATTGTTGGATATACCGGCATCAGGCCCAGCAGATGGAGACGGAGACGGGAGCGCTGCAGCTCCTGAAGCCCATTCCCATCGGGTACGGGCTTCTTCATCGACATGATGAGCAAGATGCCGAAGAAGGCGACGCGTATCGTTCGTAATGCTCCATCCATGTTGTGGAGCGGAAGCAGGCAGCAATTCCAGAGCGACCTCCAGCATGCGCTCGAGTCGGATTTCGGGACCCAGATCCCGTGCAATGACGAGCAGCCGCTCGTATGCCGCGAGAAGCACGCGGCACGCTTTCCACTGACCCTGACTGAGTTTTGGACGATATGCATCGGGTGCAGGTTCCGACACACGTTTGAAACCCGGCGCGAGCCTGCCAGGCGCGACAGATGCTTGCACAAAGTTCGCTTTGGCGTTCTGCGATACGTTGATGGGCATCGTATTGCGATCAGGGACGCCCTCGAAGAATTCCTGGGCGTTCTCGACCATGTACTGCACAACCCGCATCAACGGCATGTTGCGGCGCTTGCGAGCCTCATCGATTACGCACGTCCTGGTGAGCGCATGCATAGAAGGCGCATAGGCCTTGCAGGCGTCATCGAGCGAATGCAAATCGTACTCGTTCACCAGAAGCGTGATCATACTAACCAAAGGACTGGCCAGAATGAGCGTTTCTCGCCAGGCATGATCGAGGTTGCTCGCGGGCATGCGAATGCCGTACTCATTTTGCGGATTACGAGCTACTGTCTTGGACTGCTCGGCACCAGCATAGGGGATGTCGCGCTCGCGGAGCAACTTGCGGAGCGTCTCCAGTGGCTGTGCAACGCGGCATAACACTGCCATATCCTTCCAGGCAACCCCGTTTTCCGTGTGCAATCTTACAAGCTCCTGTCCAAGATACGCAACCTCATCTTCAACGCAACGCCCCAGAATAATCCGTACCCGCAGTTGCTCGTATCCGGGTAGCGGTTCAATGCTCTTGCAGAGCCGACGCGTATTGTGCTGGATCAACGCATTTGCGCAACAGGCGATATTCACGGGACAGCGAATGCTCTCCCGCAGGAACATGACTGCTGCATCGGGGAAAAAGCGCGTAAATTCTGTCATAAACTGAGGCCGGGCTTGTCGCCACTCGTAGATGCACTGGTCGTCGTCGCCAGCAGCACAGACAGTGCAAGCGTAGCGTTTGGCGAGCGCACGCACCAGACGCAACTGGCTCGCGCTCGTGTCCTGAAATTCATCAATGAGGATGAGGCGCAGGCCTCGCGGGAATAGATGCGGCGGATTTGCTTGCGTCTCCAGGATGCGTACAGCCATAACGATCATATCGTCGAAATCGATGCAGTTCAGATGCTGCAACCAGCACTCGTACAGGGCGTACACAAAGTCGAGCAGAGGCCACTGGAACGCAGCGCTATCGACTTGTTCCAATGTCGGTGGCGAGATGAACCTCGCTTTGCGTTCAGCGATTTGAACGGAAATCTCTTTTACCAGACGGTCGTCCGATGACTTGGCACCTTTCGCCATTTCGGCGCCGGCATCGTCGCTCTCCAGTGCGCTGAGCTCAAGTTGATGAAACAGGGGCTGGGTGCAGGACGGAAGTCGATCCCAGTTCGTCTGGAGCCTTTGGCGATAACGCTCTATTGCCTCGCGCAGTATCGCCCGCTTTTGCGTTTGCGATATGACGTTCATGAACGTTCGCCGTTGGCAGGTACGCTCGAGAACGGGTGCCGCGGTGCTTTCCACGAGCCGCCTACCGAAGCTGTGCAGCGTCTGGAACGCCTGCTGAAACGTCGTTCGTGCACTTCTAACGAGCGGTTCGATAGCTGCGTGCTTCTCAAGGCGACTCCTAGCCTCTTCGATTCCAGCACGGCTGAAAGTGAAGAAAACAAATTCCCCAGGTTCCAGCTTTCCGCTCAAGAGAAGAAACGCCAACCGACTCAAGAGCGTATGCGTCTTGCCGGCTCCTGGGCTCGCAGCAATGAGTAGAGAGCGCTCCAATGGCGCCCGGACCACAACCGACTGCTCCTTGGTCAAGTTTTTCAGAAAATCCATGCTATTATTCCCGTTCCATTCGCTGCAGAGCGGGTCCATGTTCGACCTGGAGCAGCGAACGCTGCACCGGTGCCTACAGTACGCAGAGGCGCGCCACGTACCGCCAGGCGCCCTGCGCGGTATCGCTCTCCCGTCTGTGCCGCTGCACTACACTGTACTGCAGGGGTGTGCTCGCTGCGTTCAGCGGAACGCTTCTGAAGAGGCTCCGGGGTCTATATTCTGGTTACCCAGAGCATTTCCACAGCAGCACTTACAGCGGCAAGCAGTTGAAACGCGTCGTGGCGTCGTCGTAACAGAAGCATCAAGTCGCGAATTGGTGCTGCGAACTCGGTGACACACCTCCTCCATGCCGTACTATGAAACGCTTATGTTGATTGATTCACGTCTGGGGCGAGGAGAGCTTCATGAGCTACTGAAAAGGATTGTGCTTCGTTTTATGGATGCGGGCGGCATTGTGACTCGCTTGCGTGCACTGCCGTCGGCGTTCACACCCGCTGGACTGTACGAGGCGGCGGCAAGGCCCTTACCCCAGAAACTTCGAGGCCCGACGCGGGAGAAGCACGTTGCTGCTAGCTTTGTAGAGTGCGGAGCTTTTCTTTTTCCGCAGGCGCTACCGCAAGTCCAGCACCAGCTCCGCTTAGACGAACAGATCCTGCGCATCACGAGTGTGCGTCGAACCGCTGCAGAGTCACTGACTTGCTCCCTAGCGACGGAGCGCGGTATGGCTCCTCCTCGAAGTGTACGGGCGCCGCCGCCGCCGCCGGCTCGTCATCGGATACCTCGTGGTGTTGTAGGTGCTTTGGCTCCGGTTAGCGGGCTGGAAATGTTCATCGAAGAGTTCGAGTCGCGCCACCCTGCGGGGATTGCTGTCTATGACACGTACCGGAAACAGGAAAATCCCTTCCGAGGGACGCTCCCCGAAACCGGACCTACCGAGCGCGAAGACTAGGCGGCTTGTATGCTCGCACACTAGCATTCTCTCGGTGCTTCACGCATGCGGTGTCATCACAAGGCATGCCCTAAAGTGACCATCAACATCGAGACACCGGCGCGTCAGCTGCGTTCACAGGGTAGCGCGTTCCGAACATTTGGCACAGGACGCACTTCAAGTCGCGGATCTCATGATCGCCCTTTTCCACAATGGACGATGCTGTATCCCCTATAGATGCGCGATTTGCAAAGAGTGACGGTGTCGCTCTCCGGCGAGCCTAGCCTATGCTCGCATGAAAATCGATGCTCCCGGTGCAAACCAAGAGCGAGGCAAATTACACACGAGTTTGCTTCGCTGTTGGACGTTGCGGATGGTTCTGTTTCGAGGCACCGGTGCCGTCAGACAGTGCTGGCGCACCAGCGCCCGCTACAGAACCAGTTTCAGTTCTAGCAGCGATTCAGGAGAGCATCCTACATGCCCGGTGAGCGTCGTGTCGAGGCTTGAGCCCTCTAAACCGGACACGGGAGACGCATTCACAGACATAGAGTGTGAACATTGTCGATGGCGTGCGAGCTATCCGGCATTGCTGCTTACTGTGAATTGACATCTGGATTCGCCCCCGACGCACTCAAACAGCACCCGCCTCTCGCGCCGCACAGCAGCGCCAGCGACGCCCATCACCTGTGCATCCATACCTAGTTTTGTATCCGCTCAGACATGGTTGCAGAAGCTCGAGGCGCGCTCGCACCAGCATCGATCATAGCACGGCAGCTGCACTCCAATCGTTCTAGTGCGCGCTCGCTGCATCCGTGTGACACCTACCTCGACCAGAGGATGGTGTCATATCGACCTATCTAGCGAGGCAATGTGGCTGTTCGACGACGTATGAACCTCCGCAGTACTCCTAGCCTGCGTTTGTTGCGTGCCGTGACGTTGCCACAACGTCCGCAGCACTGTGGCGTTATGCGTCCATGCATCAATGCATGCACGAATGCAGCCACAGAGACGATCCCAGGCCGGACACCCGCGTTACCTTCATGATGATCCGTAGATACGGACGTTTTCCCCACAGCATCCGTCGGAATAAACCAGGCAGATATCGCTGTGACGCCTCGAACGGGAGCTCCGGGACCATACCGTCTGGCGACGTATACCTGTCTAGAAACAAGCACAGTAGAGCGGTTCGGCAGAATCTCGTTCTCAGTGGCTGCGGTTTCGAACTTGGACGCGGGATGCTGCACGCCGCTGTACACCAAAACTACGATTATACCCCGGGCGATACCAGGGTTTATGCGTGCCGCCTCCACGACCTCAACGAGTGCCTCGTAGTCAACCTGTTTGCTTCTTGTCGACTCGTACTCTGTGGTATACCTGCGACTGTTCTCGCACCGTCTACACAAACATAGAATACCTCGTGAACTCACTCTTGATTCTTCTCGCTCTGTTGCGTAGCCGGGTACCCGTCATGATCACTGGCGCATTCTCGCCCCCGCCGCAGCCGCCGCAGCTGCTGCTATTGCTGTTGCTCACGCGCTCAACCAACAAATGAACTCATCGATTCGTACAGTGCCGGTTTCCTTCTGACATAGGTCGTTCGTTCTGTACAAACACCACAGTCGTGCAGCGTATGCTCTCTGAAACGTTATGCGCCAGCCTGCGCCAGATCGCTGCTGCACGCCGTCCATGGCGACACTCACCTCGCACTGAAAAAAAACACAAGAAAAAGTAAGAAAAGAAAAATGCGCACACTCGGAGAACGCTGGCCTAAGTAAACGTCCTCTCCATGAAAAAAAGAAAAAAATCTATGGCGACACGAACTCGAGCGCAGCACACCACACATTCGATGCGCCGTGCCAGGTGCGCCATGGCGAGCGTTCAACATTGCCTGCTACTGCTGCTGCTGCTGTTGCTGTTGTTGCGGAGCACGCGCTCACTCCTCTAGTCGCGTAGCGCTTGCATACACACAGCTGCTTCCAAACAACGCCAAAGATGCAAAGAACCTGGAACATCCTTCGATCTTTCAGTCGCGTTGTCGACAGCGTGCCCATCTACGTGATGCTTCCGTTGGAGTTCCCGACCATGGATGAGAACGATTGTCGCCGTCTAGTCGAGCAGACGATCCCGCACGTGGCTGGCGCCAGTAAGTGCGCCGGGTTCATGGTGGATCTCTGGTGGGGTCTTTGTGAACAGGAGCCGCGGAAGTACACCTGGTGCGAGGATCGCTATCGAGCGCTGTTTTCCATGTGCCAGCGACTGGGCGTCAAGTGTCAAGTGGTGCTGGGCTTTCACAAGTGCGGCGGGAACGTCGGCGACTCCGTTACCTACGGGTTACCCGAATGGGTGCTGGCACGTGCCCGTGAACTAAAAGAGAAAGAGAATAAAGTGATCTTGTACATGGATCGGCACGGCTACATGAGCGAGGAGTACATATCGTGTGGGGCCGACGAGGAACCGCTTTTCCCAGTACAGAGCGCCGCTGCGAACTCGGAGCAGCAGGCCGCATCTGGGCAAGATGCGTCTTCACCAGCGACGGACGCACAGGCTTCGGCTGAAACCGAAGCACCAGCGGCCAGCGCACAAGTGGAGATGCGCTCCCCGCTTCAATGTTACGAGGAGTTTATGAATGCTTTCGTGAAAGACTTTGGAGACGAATTTTTCGGTACAGTGATTCACGAGGTGCACATTGGCATGGGTCCCGCCAGCGAACTACGTTATCCATCGTATCCGCTCACTGACGGGAAGTGGAAATTCCCCGGAATCGGCGAGTTCCAGTGTTATGATACTTTTCTGATGAAAGATCTGGAGAAAGCGCTCGCAAACCAGAAGTTTTCCGAGGATGAGATTCGCAAATGCATCCCACCACGCGATACCGCCGGATCGTATTGCGACACTCCGGATCAGTCGGAGTTTTTCCGCTCATTGTATGCCACACCGGCTGGCCGCTTCTTTCTCAAGTGGTACGGAAGCAAGCTACTGGAACATGGTGAGCGTGTTTTAGTCGTTGCCAACAAATGCTTCCATTCGTACATTGCAGATCGGCGCGTCCGCCTGGGGATCAAAGTCGCCGGTATCCATTGGTGGTTCAAAACGCCAAGCCACGCGGCCGAGATGACGGCTGGCTATTATCACACCGCCGATGACCCCTGGACCATGTACGATGGGATTGCAGCACTGCTGCGCAAACATGGCATCATCTGGAATTTCACCTGCTACGAGATGCGCGATAGCGAGCAGCGTGAGGGAAAATGCAGTCCCGAGGGCCTCGTCAATCGCGTCCGCATCGCTGCCCAGAAGCACGGCGTTGCGCTCGCGGCTGAGAATGCGCTCCCGCGTTACGATCGCAAAGCGTACAAGCAGATCGTCGCTCAAGCGAAACCATCCTCCTGGGGCATATCCTTACCTTTTGGCCGCAAGGCGGAGACGAGAAAGACGCTCTGCGGCTTTACGTATTTGCGCCTCACACCCGAACTGCTGGAAAAGCACCATCTGCGCGAATTTGCAAATTTTGTCAGCTGGATGCAAGGAGCTAAATAGGGTCGCTCTCAATGGAAGGGCCTTGGTATCCGAGAACAGCGTTACGTAGCATAAATGTGTCCTCGTCAGTTTGATGGGCGTCGTTTCTTGTTCCGCAAAGCCTCGACAACCGCGGAGAAATCGTAATCTCCAAAGCCACTCGCTTGTGCCGCTTTGAAGACTTCGTTCGCAATGGCTGAGAGCGGCAGCCACTGCTCCATTTCGTCACCGAGGGAAATCGCAAATCGGAGGTCTTTCTGTTGGTGCTTCAGAGGGAAATGCGCTTCGTATTGGCTGGAAATCATGTTTGGCAGCTTCATGCTAAAGAGCGGGCTGTTCATGGCACCAAGTCCGAGGATCTCGTTCAGGGTCTCCGTCGAGAGCCCGCACGACTCGGCGAGGCTAGCACCCTCAGCGAGTGCCACCATCATCGAACCCATGATCATATTCACCACAATTTTCATCTTGGTGCCCACTCCGCACCGCTCACCGAGGAAGAAGGAAGCTTTGCCCATGACATCGAGACCGCTGGATGCAACGCGATCGTAGGCTGCCCGGTCACCGCTGCATAGAAAGATAAGGGTTCCAGTTTGTGCTGGCACTTTGGAGCCGCTAACAGGCGCCTCCAAAAAGAGTGCCCCTCGTTGATGCACCGCCTCGCTCAGTCGTTCCATGGTACTCACATCTAGCGTTGAACATTCTATCAGCATCTTCTGGGGGCCGAGCTCCTGCACCGTCCCTCGTTCAGCGTCGAGATGAACGGAAAGCGCGGCTTCCGGCGTAGACAGCATCGAGTATATCACGTTGCAGGCACCTGCAACGGATCTCGGTGAGTCCGCCACGTGCACCTGCGCATTTCCAGAAGAATATCCCTTGCTTTCCCCGCACTGCTCGTTTACAAGCTCTTTCGCAAACGCTTCCGCCGCACTCCGCGTCCTATTCCAGACGTAGAGACTGTGACCGGCCCGAAACAGGTTGCGCGCCATACCGCTTCCCATGATGCCCAGGCCGATGAAACCCACCGCTGACATCGTTGCACCTTTCCGATCGGGCGCTGATGCCTCACCGTGCATGCAGGCTGTCAATTCAAGTGAATTATGGAGTGTACGCGGACTCTGTGTTCCTGCCAAGGGTCGCTCGAAACGCCTGCGCCACGAGAACCGTGGCAAGCGGTGCGCCGATACCCAAGCCTTCTGAGGAGGCCAGTTGGAGTCGTCAGTTACCTTCGAGCGAAGCTGTCTACTTGGGCGCTGAACACTATTCAGAGCACACGGCGTCGCGAAAGCCGTTGGTGCGCGAAACAATGCCCCCGACTCGCTGCACATGCGCGGCATAAGCCAAGCGAAGCGGGCGTGTCCGCTTGATACGCGCGTGTGTGCGCGTACCGTCTGTGCCGATGCGAGCGTCGCGATACAGTGTGTCCCTATCCTCTCAAATTGTAGAGGATATGAATGAAGCGCTGCTGCAGCGCCATGCGCTGTGTGTGCGTGCTGGTTGTCGTCTTTCAACTTGATTGTGTTCCGCCTTCTTGCTGCGTGTCATCAAATGCTTTTCGCGGCTCATTCCAGAAGCGTTCCATATACGTTCATTTTAAGAAATGCAGCATCTAAGGGATTGGTGTGCATATAAAATTCGGGGATTCTGGAGTGCCCTCATTGCCCTGAGCTGCCAGAAAAGACGGAAAAATCCTCATCTTGCCCGACCATCGAGCGGAGACTAGCTGATGATGAAGGAGAAAAGGAAGAAATGAGGATGCTGACGAGAAAAATGTTTGCCCCACAGGACGATAACGAGACCATAGTGCCATAGAGGGCAATCGTTCCAGGAATCCTTGTATTGGCGCGTTCAAACAGCGTCCATGTACGCATCGAGTTCGTGAACGAAGATTTCAACGCTGCTATGATTATCAGGAGATGTTTGGTAGAGAGGACGAGATTTCAGGAGCCGAGGCGGTCTCACTTCGTGAGGTAGCGTCTCAATGTCGAAAAGTGCAAGGATAAACTACAACCGATGGCAGGAAGCTGGTCAAAAAAGACTGGGAGACGTCTGTGGATGAGTAAACATTTACAATTCAGTAGCTTGAGGGTTTCGTTCCATTGATCACACGTCTATGGTCGACTACGCCTTGATTACCTTCCCATGCCTTGGGGCAATTCCCCGAGCACCTGCTCGTGGGCGTTCATGACGCAGGGCATGCCTGTTGCACACAACGCTGTGGTATTTTTCGATAACTCCTTTGTGCAACAACTGCTGCTCGGTTCTGAACGTACCATACAATCTGATTTTCCTGGATTCGGTTTCATTGGGAATTGGACGTGATGGAGGCCACGAGGTACAACCACCGGTCGAATGATGGTGCCAGGACCCATCGCGACGTTCCCTACCCTGTATCGAACAGGGGAAACGCTCTGGGCGCTTCATTCATAGCTTACATGAGCGTCCAAATGGCTCATATGGACGGTTTCGGGCACGGGTGGGGGTGCATGCGATCGGGCTGGGCTCGCCAGCGCTTCCGCGTGTACGGGTACATCAGGTGCACATTTCCCAACATATTCACTTCGTTGGACGCAAAACTTGCCAACATACCGCGTCGGTTTAAGGAAACCTAGATTGCTGCACGTGCTGTAGAGCGTGAATACTGCACGCTCGCGCCCGCTGCCGAAGCGTTCAAAGACCACAGGAATCGATATTGTACGATCTCCGTCTATGACTACGAGACGACGTACATTCATCACAAGCACGCTTGTATGCTGAATCAGTTAGAGAACAAGAGCGTGAAACAGAGCCAGATGCTCTGCATGCTGTACGGTACGCTAACAGAAGGACAGACGGCGAGGCAATCACATGTGAACGGATTGCTGAGATGGGATTTCACCAGCGACGCAGCACGAAAGCACTTTTCTACACCGAGACTTGAACGCCCTGATCAATATCCGGCAATGTCTGGTGCTTCTGCAATGTCCAGCGGCTTTGCATCTGGCGAGATTTTGCGGAAATATTTCAGTACTAGGTGTGAGCAGTTCGAAGAAACACTGAAGACTTTCGATGAAAAGAAGCAGTGATCAGGAGAGAGGTCATTGGGTTCTCGCTTCGGCCATGGCACAGGGACGGTTCAGTTCAGCATTTTGCCAAGACCGGAGCGCCGTAGACATACACCGGGAGAAATTTTTCGGGAATACTCGTGAACCACAGTAGCGTTTCCTTCTTAACTACGACTTCGTGAATCGATTTCCCGCTGACATGGAATAAATGCTGCTGGCCCTAGCAGGTTCGGGCAAGCTGTCAGCGATGTTCTCGCCAGCAAGTCGTTCCATTCTAACTCGCGATATGCTCGCGACTCGCTAGATACTCTCATACCTTCGCTTCGCATTGAACAGCCAAGTCGTCTCATCAGTAACATTTATTTCACAGAAGCGCTGGGTTTGCTTCCCAAGATCACCAGGGCAGCCGGAGTGCGCCGCTCCTCGTTCAAAAAATTAAATGTTGCACAAGCTCGAGCGACTGTCGTACTCTCGAAGGATACGCCAAGATGCTTCTCCAAATATTCCATTGAATCAGCTGGAAGTAGGTTTCGGGCGGCGGGTGCGTTCGCCTCATCGCAGCCCAGAATGAGCGTTCCAGGCATCGGTCTGAGCAGTTCGAGAAAACAAAGTGCGTCCCGGCTCACGTCACTCACACGGTTCACAGCAGGTACCGAAAGCACATAGTGTGGCAGCAGCAGCAGCGCACGGCTGTTGAAAACAAGTCCGTTAATAACGAGACCCTTGTCGTGCAGCGCATCGATGTGGGTTTCTTCCCAAAACGAGCAGGCAGCGCTTGCGCGAATCAGTTCTCGAATAGCCGCTGGAACCGCTTCGTTCGTGGGCAAGGCCGGCTCAGGCACATCCCGTACCGATCCTCCACTCCTGGTTCGTTTACGCACGGGTTGCTCCAAAGAGGTTTCCAGTTTCCGAGCAGGTACCAGACTCCGAAACCGAGCGCAGCAGAGCGGCGCCACGGCGACCAACGACAGTTTGAGGCTCAGCATTTTCGTCTAGAGCATGCACCGTTCCTGCAACCGTGACCTTGTCAAGTCGGTACCTCTGCCGTTCCCAGAGCGCGTCGCAAGTCCCGGAGCGCTCGTGTTCGCCCCAAAACGCCGTCAGTGCCAGGTAGGCTCGCCAGGCGGTGCGCGTGTACACGAGACTCGCGCGCGCTCACAGGCCTTGGCGTACCCCCCGGTTTAGTTTTCGGTGCGCGATACACATATCCACAACACACACATATGCCATGCCAGAATACGAAGGAGCCAAGAACCTGACACGAACGTACTCGCTAAAGTATAGATTTCCTCCCACGATCACCAATACCACCATTTACGGGCTTTCTATGCCACTGCTTCCGTTTCCTCTCTCCTATCCCCGTCTTGAAAGATGACGGTCTCTCTCTTCCCTACTTTTTTCCTATGGTCAGCCGTCGAAGAATATTGATGATAGCGTTCGAGTCCCAGTGTCTTCGCTTCTGGCTATCGTCTACGCATGTCAGGCGCTGGCGGGTGTTGCGATCTACGCTTTGTTCGCCATTTGCAGCCGCTTTCCTGGGCAGGTTCGGTGCGCCCTTCGCAACCCTGAGGCTTGCCTATCGTCAGATGTTCCCGTGGGTCCACTGCACCGCATTGTTCTCCGGTGGGTCGCGCTTTGGGCACATGAACGCTCGCTTCATCGCTCAGTACATGCTTTTGAACGGCACCGAAGCCGCACCTCAAAGAACGCGTCTGCTTCCGCGTCCGATGCCGTACCTTTTCAGAGCCAGGGGCTCCGTCCCCGCTCTCCTCTCGGCTGGCAAGCTGCTCGGTGCACGCGGAAACATTCGCTGTTCGATTCGACACAGAACTGGTGAAGCGCGGTGTTTTTCACGATAGAACAAGTACCGCAGGCGAGAATTCAAGCTGGAGCTGTGTTCCAGAAATCTGTGATCCGTCGACGCTTCCTTCGAGCAGAGCAGTGCTGCACGCTTCACGGAATGCGAGTGGCCCCATGACTGGAGTCCGCGTGCAAGGCCATTTCCCATGCGAGCAAAAGTCGCAGGAGCCTCCAGCAGCAAATCCGTTGACAGGTATCGTGCTTCCGTCGACTACCGTTCCGTCCTGGCCGCAAAAAACGAGGGATTTGTCATCCGAATGGAATCGATAGTTTTCCATGAGCGTTCAGGCGGATTCGGCACGCACCAGTGAACACGTCATCAAGAAACGATGTGCAGTTGTTGATGTCGTCAATCCAGCACCGCGGATTGCAGTGTCCACGAGTTCTTACGGTCCCCAAACATCCAACATTCGAGAAATGCGTGAGTTGCGCATGTTTTACATAGGAAAAAAGACCAGTGGCGGCTTTTATGTTTCAATCGGACGATCGTATCGATTATTTTACGATCTGTTGTTCGATGACTTTGCGAATCATTTGGATTCCGCTGACGTAACGATATCCGGGTACAACGAGTCCACTGATCCACTCCGAGGCGACGACCGAAACGCCTAGCACCAGGTATGGATCCGTAAGCGCGAACTGCGGCACTTCGAGTGTCAAGGAAGCACATCGAAAAACTAGGTCGGAAAAAGCGCAAGGCAGGAGCAGAGCGGACAATGCTTTGTTCCACTTTCATATTCGCAGCGACCAAGTGACACGACTATCGCCTTACGCGGCTAGAAACGGTCGCTGCTTGGCTATCTATAGCGTCGTCCGAGAAACGAAGCCTCGACACCCAGGCTCTGAACGGGCTAGCTGCATAGTATCGGGGACACTGAAACGCAGCACAACCCGGCGACGGGTCGATCACGATGGAGTAAGCTCCTGCACGAAGCGCTCGATAACGTACCATCACAGTCATGTTGGCAGCAGTTTAGGTGGACCGCTCCGTGCTTCCGTTCCGATCCAGACACTTTCGACTAGGTCATCGTGTACGTCACCATTTCGTATGCTGATTCATTCTCCTGGATCCAGCACCATCGCCGTTTTCCAGACCGGTATCTGCGCTTCAACCGCGATTTGGACGCATACATGCGCCCGTGTACGACCGTTTCAACATATGGATGCCGTGGTACGGACCCAAATGCGTACCGAAAATCGAAAGCTGATGCACAACTTCGACATGGCGAGCGCTGCGTATCGTCATCGCTCGTCGATACCGTTCCGATAGAATGGTCTGGAGCATAACGTGCGGGTCACCATCGGCAGGACCCAGCCCTGGCACGAGACGACCATAAGATCGCGCGCGACCTGCTCTTTTCGACATCGCACTCGTCTACAGCACCGGTTGCTTGGCGTTCTTCTTGAAAGCGATGTCAGCGAACTTGCAACCTGTGACCGGCAACATAATCAGGAGGTACCAATCGTTCGCCTCGCGGCAAGCGTCTGCCACTAGGAAACGCGTTCGCACTGAAGGATTCTTGTTTACGCATCTGGCTACCCGAATGCAAATACGCATCCTTCGATAGCCTGTAGCGCTCATTCACCGAGCGCTCGACACGTTTGGAGGAGGTTTTTGTCTTTGCTCTCGTTCCAGCGCTCGCCAGCCAATATCCCGGCGATAAAATGCATCCGGCCAATCGATTCTCGCAATCGCCTCGTAGGCTCGCTGCTGTGCTTCACGCAAGGTCGCAGCATGGGCTGTGACATTGAGGACACGACCCCCTTTCGCCACGAGCTGACCGCGAGCATCGCGGCTAGTACCCGCATGAAAGATCTTGACCCCGGGCAGCGTTTCGGCCTCTTCGAGACCGCGGATGACGTCACCGCTTCGATACGGGCCCGGGTACCCGGGCGATGCAAGGACCACAGTGAGCGCGGCAGCGTCTGCAGCCCATTGCAGGGACTGAGCAGGCAACTCGCTGCTCGTAAACGACGCCGTTTCGAACAGGACAGGCAACAGATCCGACTCCAATAGCATGCAGAGCACCTGGCATTCCGGATCACCGAAGCGAACGTTGTATTCGAGGACCCTAAACGCATCCCCTGACTCAATCATGAGACCGCAGTAGAGCAGCCCGCGGTAGGGGGTGCCTTCAGCCACCATTCCAGCGGCCGTGGGTCGCACGACCTGCGCGAGAATACGCTCCGCGAGTTGCGGCGTCACGACGGGTGCTGGGGCATAGGCCCCCATACCTCCGGTGTTCGGACCTCGGTCGCCATCGTAGGCTGCTTTGTGGTCTTGTGCAGGCAAAAGCGGCACGACTTGCTCTCCGTTCACCAGCGCAAAGAAACTCGCCTCTTCCCCGATCAGGTAATCTTCTATTACCACCGTGCGGCCTGCCTCACCCAGTCTCTGCTCGACAAAGAGCACACGGAGGGCGTCCTCCGCCTCTCCTCTGTTCGATGCGATAAACACACCCTTGCCTGCGGCGAGGCCGTCGGCCTTGATGACCACTGGAAAGCGTTCGCGGCGGCCTAGCACTGTCGTGGCCTCTTCCAAAGATCCACAGCGATCATAATCAGCCGTCGGAATGCCGTGACGCTTCATGAAAGCTTTAGAGAACGCTTTACTGCCCTCGAGACGAGCAGCCGCCTGGCTCGGTCCGAATGCGCGAACCTTGAGGGCACCCAAAGCGTCCACCAGGCCCGAAACAAGCGGTGCTTCGGGCCCGATCACGACTAAATCAATCGATTTCTCCTGTACGAAGCCGCAAATTGCGGAAATATCTGCAGCGTCCAAGTCGGACACGCAGTGAGCAACGCGCTCCATACCCGGGTTGCCAGGTGCTGCATACAGCGACTTCAAGTGCGGTGACTCTGCTATTTTATCGCAGAGTGCATGTTCACGACCGCCACTACCAATAACGAGAACTTTCAGGGAGCAGCGGACATTGCTCGCCAAGGCACTGCGGCTTTTTCGTCTCCAAGAGTGCCTGCTGAACGTTCGCCGTTCCCCAGAGAATCGCTGCACAGCGACTTGTGTCAGGAATGCAAGCCGCTGCAACCCACTGCCGAAGCGGGGCTGGCTTGATATGCACGCTGTGCCCCAGGCGCGAATCGAACAGCACCGTTCCTGCCCGGAGACCAGTTGCATCAAGAAAGCAGTACGGAACGGTATAAAAACGCTGACCGCTTGTAAACGTTTCGCCTCGGGTTTCAATGATACCCTGATGTGGTGATGAAAGTTAAGCGCTCTACGATGCTAAGCTAATGAAACAGTCAACGAGGAAACTTTCAGTTTCTAAGCACCTGTTTCCTATGAACCTGTCCAGCGGCGCGCATAAGTTCGTAGCCAAAGCCAAAGCCAAAGCCAAAGATGAAGCCTTTATAATCACGCAAGCACGAAGCTAAACAGCGACCAAGCCAAAAGTTGATCGACCTGTGGTGTTTGCTCCAGCCCCGGAAACACTCAACAGGTAAACCTCTTCGCTCTGGGCATGCGGGTCGAGGTAGTCCTTAGGCCGCCGTCGTCGTCACGACGCTGCGGTGGCGCAACGCGGACGCCGACGCAACCCTTCGTACGCACTGGGTAGCTGCCTCCGACTTGAGCGCGCTCTCTCTGAGGTGACTCGAGAGCTCCAGGTATCCATGGAGAGCGGTGTAGGTCTGTTGTCTCCAGCAACACTCAACGATCTGATCGCACTGGAGCAACTCGATGATCAGGCGTTCTGGGAGTCGTACGTGGTGCCGGAGACACCCTCCGCGGCTGCTACGGCAACGAGTGTCGACCTGCGGGGGGCAACGGCGGCGTACTCGTACCCAGCGCCTGCCTACGCGGAGAGCGTCGAGCTCCAACGCCGTCCGAATGTGAGTGCTCTGGATGAAGCGCTGTTTGATCGAGTGTACAGCCTGCTGGGGGCACTTGATCCCCGAGACCTTCCGCAGCTTGTTGCGTACCTCACGAGTTGTGGGCACAGCGGTGCCGCTGTGCGGCTCGTCGCCGTAACCGGCGGTGTGGCAACACTCACTGCTCTCTTACCGAGAGGCTGGCGAGCCACGAGTCGGCAAGTCGCGTTGCTAGCCTACAGTGCCGGTGGCCAGGCAGTTCTTCAGCGAAGCGTAGATCTCAGACCCTGCTTTGCCGACTGGCACGAGAACGCACCGGACGCTCGATCGACAATGGCTTGTTTGGCACTGAGCTTGACGTTTGGCGTTCGCAGCAGCTGCACAGCTCGCTTCCGTCCCGCTGGTACACACTGCCCCGTACACGGACGACAGCATGATGCGGTGCTTGCCATGTTCTGGCACGAAATCGATTATATAGAGGCAGCACGGCATGCGCTGCTCGCAACTTGGCGAGAATTAGTGGCTGGTACGAGATTGTCTCGTCATGATGGACCCCAAGCGACAACTGCAGCCCGCTGGCCTGTGGGTGCACCGTGCCCAGGCCCAGCGAGTGAAGGCAGCTCGAGACCCGAGGCTGCGGCGACGCTCTTGAACGCTGGGCAGCACGCAATACCTCCCGTGAATGGCATTACCTGCCATGGAGGCGGTGCCCAGTCTGCATTACTGAACGCACGGACCCGAATGAGTGCCCAGTGCTCTCGACCAGTACCCTGCTGGCCAGACGGGGCGTCAACGGGACGCAACGAGAGCCACCCGAGCTCAGATACAGATACTGCGGATCCGGTACTCGACTCGCGGGCGCTCCAGCGTCACCAGCGCTACATCGTCGTCCCAAGTCGTCACCGAGCGCTCAATCTGCTACACCTTGCTGTGGTGTATGGCGCCCCGGTGCTACTCCAAGGCGAGCCTGCAACCGGCAAGCGTGCTCTGCTGCACTTTCTGGCGAAGGAGCTGAAGCGCCCCATCACCGCCTTCTACTGGGATCGGCTGGGTTTCGAGGAAGACGCTTTTCTGGATGCAATCGCAGTCATTGCGCCCTGCGGCCCTGGTCGTTTCCAGTGGCGACTGGGTCCTGTGGGTGAAGCCCTGGCCCAGGGACACTGGCTTGTCCTCGAGGGCCTCGGCAGCTCGAGCGCTACCAACCGACGCCTTGCCACGAGTGTTGTGCAGCAGCTCGCTTCGATACGCCCTGGTGCAGTATTCGAACTTCCAGGGCGAAATTTCGCCTTGCAATTGCATCAGGACTTTCGGCTGTTCGCGATTCGCACTGGAACATCAGCATCGCTTACTACCACGGACGAGACGTCTTCCTCGTGGATCGGCTGGCTCGTTATCGACTTGCCACCGTATGCGAGAGCGGAGCGTCACCAACTGCTCGGGGAACGATTCCCAACTTGCACCCCGTGGATCGATCGCGTCCTCGCTAGCGTAGACTGCACCGCGGCGTGCTGTCGGAAACTCGCCGACAATCTCCCGCTTCCGGGACTGAACGAAGCAGTTCGTTTGGCTACTCGTTTAGCGCGCACCCAAGAGGCGCTCACCGAACCGTTGACTCCTGAGGTTGCGCTCATCCATGCGCTGGATGTTCTGGCACCGCTGTTGCCGCCGGCTGCTGCCGAAGACAAGCACGTGGAGGATGCTCTGCTCACAGCACTGGCTAGCCAGTGGAGTCTCTCTGCCCATGAGGCACGCATATGGTGGTCGCTAGCGTGGAAGCAGTCACCTCTGCCGCAACTGCTGGAACGCATGGCCGTAGCGCCCACCGAGACCAGCTGCACGGCGCTAGGTCAACTCTACAGAGCACTCGATCACGATGAGCCAGTCCTCTTGATTGGCGAAACAGGTGTCGGGAAAACGTTTATGGTACAGGAGCTGGCGAAAAGTCTGGGACGACGACTCGTCGTGCTCAATATGTCGCAGCAGAGCGACCTCACGGAACTGTTTGGTGGCTATCAACCGATCGATACGCGCAAACTCCTGCAAGACTTGGCGTATGAGCTGGAGGTTGCATTCAGCACAACCTTCTCCACGCATCGTAACCAGGACTTGATCCTGCAGCTTCGTCTAATGGCCCGTCGTCGTGACGCGAGTCGCCTAGTTCGACTCGCCCGCAGCCTCTTTACCAGAGTGGCGAGCAGTGGCCGCCTCGAAGGTCACCAGCAGCGGGCGCACTGGGATCAGGTACAGCGACTCGTTTCGCAAATGGAGGATGCCTACGGGTCCACAGCGTTGGAAAAGCGCTCACGGTTGCGAAAGCGACACCGCACTCTTGTGACGTCCACGAGCGAGCCGGCTTCCGGTTCTATTGATACATCTGGTGCTCGCAAAGTACGCTGGCTGGACAAACGACAGCACTTGCAGAGCCGAAGCGATTGTTCTGACGCTGTTGCTACCGCCCTGGACAACGAAATGGACGATGACGAGAGCGACGTGCTCGTCCGCGAGACACCAACAGCGGAGGCAGAGCCGCCTTTGCGCTTCGCTTTTCGAGAAGGCTTGTTGGCGCTAGCGCTTCGTCGTGGCGACCTGTTGCTCCTCGACGAACTGAACTTAGCTCCGGCGGCTTGTCTGGAACGCCTTACTGGCGTACTCGACTCGATATGGGAAAGCACAGCACACTCGCCAACGGCATCGTTGCCGCCCAGGCACCGCAACCAAGTCGCTGTGTTGTCGGCTAGTAGTAGCATCAACCGACATCCAGCTTTCCGACTCGTAGCCTGTATGAACCCGGAGACCAACATTGGCCGGAAAGCGTTACCCGCGAGCCTCCAGAGACGTTTCACGACTATTCGGTTGAACGATGAGCTTCCAGACGAGGACCTGCATCGCCTGGTGGAGCACCTCTTTACGAAGCGTCTGCATCCGAGTCAAGCTCGGGTCGATACCGAACATTCTTTGACGAAGCGTGTAGTGCTTTTTTATCAACGAGTGCGCGGACTGGCTCGTTCGAGTTTGTCCAGCGCTGGTGACGGGACTGCTCCCCGTTTTCCGCTGCGAACGCTCAGTCGGATGCTGCGACTGGCGCTGCACCTCACTCAGTGCGGTTTAGATGCTCGCAGGGCTCTCTACGAAGGCGCTTGTCTTGGTTTCAGCACTTTTCTCGCGGAGACAAGCCGCCAACGTGTGCTGCATCTCGCGTACGAGCTCCTGGCTGCTGACTTGGCAACACCCGAGCGTCATCTGCTCACGCCAGTGACGAAACTGTTACCGGCGATACCACGAAAGCGTCCAGTGGTCGATGTCGGAGGCCAGTGGCTCACCCTGGTACAGCCAGGTGCCTCGCCTGCCTCCAGTCAAGCTACGAATGGTGAGGCTCAGGTACCCGCCAGCGAGTCTCGACGAGAGATCCGCGTACCGGGAGAACACTCCGTTACCGCTGCGTCAGGTGCTGCTTGCAAGCAGCTGCTCACCAAAGGTGTCTCGGCGACGTTGAGCACTGCCAGTACCCGAGGTTGCAGCCCGACGTTCGTCTGTACACGAACGATGGTGAAAGCGCTGTCAGATATCGCCCGGGCACTGGTCGATGGACTCCAGAAGACGCCAGTGCTCATCGAGGGTGCAACTGCGGTCGGTAAGACCGCCTTGGTCAAGCACCTGGCCGAGCGTACCGGTCACGAACTTATTCGACTCAATCAACACGAGCACACGGATGTGAGCGAATACCTGGGTCGGTATTTGGTAGGACCTGATGGGTGTCTACGGTTTGTCGAGGGTCCTTTGGTGCGCGCTGCTCGTCACGGACACTGGGTGCTTCTCGATGAGCTCAACCTGGCTCCCGGTGACGTTCTCGAGTCCATCAACCGACTCTTGGACGAAAATCGTGAACTCGTCATTCCGGAAACTGGTCAAGTGGTACAAGCGCATTCGCAGTTTGCTCTGTTTGCTACCCAGAATCCCAGTGGTAGCCGCTATGGTGGACGCAAAATGCTCTCTCCGGCATTTCGCTCTCGTTTTGTTCTCATTCATCTGCCCGAGATGCAAGATGAGGAGCTCCTAGAGATCCTCGGTATCTGTTACGAGGTACCGGCTAGCTTTGCGAGCGCCATGGTTCGTATTCTGCGAGACTTGCAACTGCGACGCTGTACGGAACGCATTTTTGCCGGCACAGAAGGCCTGGTAACCGCGCGGGACCTCTTCCGCTGGGCCAACCGGCGAGCACGTGATCGGCAAGCGCTACGTTTCCACGGTCGTTGTTTGCTGGTGGAGCGCCTGCGCGAACCCGCGGAACGTAACGCTGTCTGGAGAGTACTCTGTCAACACATAGGTCTGGGTGTCGTGGAGGAGTCACCACGAAATGACGCGAGGACGTCCAGTGGCGTGCAAGCGTCGACAAGCGAGCATGCTGCTGCTGCTGCTGCTGCTGCTGCTGCTGCTGCTGCTTCGGTGACTAGGGAGCATACCATCATGGCGATGGTGGATGTGCTTCCACCGTTGACGCTCCGGGAACTGCTGGATTCGCTACCTGAGCGCGACCAGTGTCCCTGGTTGAATCTATTCGACAGTACAGGCGCAGATCAAGACCATGAGGCAGAAATGCCGCAACAGCAGCCCCAAGCAAGCGCAGATCAAGTCTATCAGACGCAGCAGCAGCAACAGCAGCGACATCACCAAACTGGCAACGCGTTGCATCGATCGGGCTCGGTGCCGTTGGGGACACTCCTGTGGCAACGCATTGAGGCAACTGCGGTGGAGGCATTGGGACTCGTCATGGTTCCGAGTCTGCAACGCGTACTAGGACTCGCTTTACACGCCATTCTTAACCAAGAACCGGTACTTCTAATTGGTGAGACCGGTATCGGCAAAAGCACGGTCTGTGCCGTATTAGCTGCTGCCCTGAATCGGCCACTCTATACCCTGAATGGTCATCGTCATACGGAAGCTGCGGACCTCGTAGGTCGTTACGTTCCCGTAGTGAGCACAGAGGCCCTGAACGATCCTCCATCGACTGCCGTGCCGCAGAGTTGCGCTACAACGGCATCCAAAGTGGTTACGAGCACGAGAAAACCTCGTTTCAAGTGGCAAGATGGAGCACTCACCTCGGCGATGAGACAAGGTGCGTTCCTCCTGATTGATGAAATCAACATGATCGACGACGCTGTGGTGGAGCGTCTGAACAGTGTGCTAGAACCCGCAGGCAAACTGGTGCTCAGTGAACACGGAGGTGAACCCCTTCCAGAGGTGCAGGCAGCTCCGGGCTTTGGCGTCTTCGCTTGTATGAACCCCAGCGGTGACTTTGGCAAGAAGGAACTCTCCGCTGCCATACGGAATCGCTTTACCGAGATATGGATACCCTATGAGGGCTCCTGCGATGATCTCTTCCCGGTGGCTGCGGAGCTGTTGGCAAGCGAACCACCGCTGGTGCTGGAACTCTGGAAGCGCGCCCTCGAATGGCTTCTCCAGCGTCAGCGTATGCTCCAGCAGCCTGCTATGAGCATTCGGGACCTCGTGGCCTGTATTCGTATCTATCGAGCGCAACAGCAACAGCAACAGCAACAGCAACATCGAGGTGCTGTGGTTGCGGCCCTCTACGAGGCCCTCGAAGCCTTCTGGGAGAGTGCCTGGAGTTTGTCGCCAGTGTCTCGACTCTCGCTTCGGAACGAGTTGCAGAGCCTTTTTCAAGACGAACATGCAGTTGCGATACATGGTGTGCAACTGCAACATGAGCGACAAGTACTGCAGCACCAGCGCCAACCGGTCGAGTCGACCGGGCGCCCTTCCTGGTGCTGGACTGCTCCCACAGTGCAACGCAACCTGCGACGCTTGGAGCGAGTTCGTGCTGTGGATCAGCGACCTGTTCTGCTGGAGGGCCCGCCAGGGGTCGGGAAGACCCAACTTGTTTTGGCGCTTGCTGAAACGCTCTCCAAAAAGGTGCACCGGGTGAATCTCAGCGAGTTCACCGAAATGATGGACCTGGTGGGGACCTTTGTTCCCCACGGCAGCGGGTTCTGCTTCCGGAGAGGTCCACTGTATACGGCAATGGAGCGAGGCGACTGGATTCTCGTTGATGAACTGAACCTGGCGAGTCAGTCGGTTCTCGAAGGTCTCAATGCAGTGTTGGATCATCGCCGAATGCTCCATGTTCCGGAGCTTGCACTTTCGCTTCCAGCATCCGAGGGTTTTCGTTTCTTCGCAACACAGAATCCTGCGGGAACGACGCTGGGGCGGCGTTCGCTCCCACGCAGTTTTCTGAACCGCTTTTGGCGGATTCCCTGCGACGACTATGATGCTGCAGACTATGAAGCGGTTCTGAGGCTACGATTTCCATCATTGGAGCAGTTTCCTGACGTGTTGCAACAGCTGACGCACTGGTGGCCTCAAAAGTTGAGCCTGGTTCATGCACAACCAGCCACGATGCGGGATGTGCTGCGTCTGGCAACGCTCTGGAATGCGTACCCCAGTGTGCCGCTGCGCAGCTGGGCTCAGCTGCTTCTGCCGATGCCGCTGGAGGTTGCCCAACGAGCGGTTTCAGTCCCCGAGACTCTAGCTGTTGCGCATACAGGGCGCAAAGTGGATGTTGCCGTGCATCCGGTATTTGGGAAGGATACTGTGCAGGGGTCAAGCCCTGGAGATGCGGAAGCACCCGGGAAAGCATCTCGTGTATTGGCGGCAGTCCATGAGCATGCAACTAAATCCGGTGCTGCTGCTGCTGCCGCTGCTGACGACGACGACGACGATGATGACGATAAGAACAAGGATAACGATGATAGTGATCATGCGCACCGGAAAGGATACCTTTCACAGACGGTCACGGAAAAGCATCCAAAAGGTTCGCTTTCTCTATCACGAGTTTTCGTTACGCAGCGCTTGGATGCACACAACGGCGAGTCAAATGCAGGAAACCAAGTTATACCGACACCCGGGCGCAAACGAGTCACTTTTGAGAAATATCCGCCAGCACCAGATGGTTCCTGGTGGTCGTTTCGGACCCCGTTGCCGCAAGTTGTGCTCCGGATGGATGCAGCATCCACTGAGGAGGATCACCTTTGCGGTATCGTAGACCCGGTTGTGGGCGGCACTGCATCGCTCGTGACGTGCAGTTGCTGGCAGCCTCGGTATGTTTCTGCGTTCCGGGAGCAGCTTTTCCGAAAGTGGCTCCAAATGGATCCTTGTGCACTTTTCTGTCGCAACAACACTAGCGAGCACCGCGCAGACAGGGCAACAGCGATGCACGCAGGTCCACTGTCTCAGTCGCTAACTCGAGACGATTCTTCACGGACCCCGCATTCCATGGAGGCAGAGCAATCCTCTGAGATAGCACCCCAGTTCCAGACTGGGAACAACGTTCCTGTAGCAGTCTCGGGGGACGCTCTGGCGGAAAACTCGGGTGATGCGGTTCCCCTGGGCACAGTATCCGCACACGAATCGAAACAGCTGCCAAGCGCCTCTGACTTGTACATCGGGGATACGATCCAAACACCAGACGCATCCCGCAACTTGAAGTGGTGCTTTTGCTGGGGTCCAGTTCTCGTAGCGGGACGCGAGGTGCAGGGTCCCAGTGCACACGGTCTGCTGGGACCCAGTCTCGCCATTGAGAGCGTGCCGGAATGGAGGCCCTGTCAGGCACCCCACTGGACAGCCTTAGCCGTAGCGGTTACCCAGCGATGGCCCTGCTTGCTGGTTGGTCCAGCGAGCTGCGGCAAAGCCAGCCTTGTTCAGGGTATGGCGCAAATCCTGGCGATGCCGCTCACAGAGGTGGTGCTCAGCAACCAAACCGATATTACGGATCTGTTCGGGGGTTACAGCCACGCTTCAGAGCAGCGGACTAGGGAAACGATATGCGCCTCGTCGTCGCTGCACAACTCCAGTAGAGCACGTTCGTCTTCATCGTCCGCAAGACAAGACCCTGAGTACTTCGTTTGGCGTCCGTCGCGCCTGCTGACTGCCCTTGAACAAGGACACTGGCTCTTACTGCGGCACGTGGAGGCGTTGTCACCGGCTCTACTGGATCGTTTGAATCCGCTGCTTGAGGAGGATGTTTTCGAGCTCCCGGTACCCGAAGCGCCACCAATGTTATCCCAACACGATGACCCCAGCGACACCGGCATCCGACGCTTTGTCATCCATCCCAGGTGTCGTATTTTTCTGACGGCAACTTGTTCGGAAGCTGCTGCAGGGTGTGCTGCACGTCAGAGCCCGGCTCTCTCCGAGGCGCTCATGAGCCGTTGTTTGACGCTGTGGGTAGGCGGCAGCGCTGCTTCCGAGCAGCCCGTCGAGGCAGCACACGCGCAAGCGTCAGCTTTCCAGGGGCAAGCATTGCCTTGTGGCGACGTTACTGGACGAGGGAATGCTCTAGCAGCGTCTGCGACAAAGCCCATGGATGCTCGGTGTTTTGCAGCGGCAAGCGAAGTACCTGCCGAAGCGCTTTGGAGCGGTATCACTCGAACATCGATCTCCTTGTTCTATGATCCATTACGTCCGGTAATTGAATACGATCTGGATCGATTGGCACGGGTGCTGGACTTGTTCGATACAGCTGCCGCTAGCTGGTGCGAGCAAAACTCGACGTTGCCAGTTGCCATCAGCGTCGGAGGTGAGCGGTCTGCACCAGCCGCGGTGAGTCACGAGGATGCAACAAACGCCTCTATCTGGGGCAGCGCTCCTTCACGCGCTACCGAAGCGAACGTTCTGGCTTTTTGGGCGAGCCGTCAGGTGCACCTGTGCCGCACCCGCGTCATCCAGGCTCTGCGACAGCACGCGGAAGCTGCTGGCCTCTTCCTGATGATGAGTTCGCCACTGGACTTGGGTTTGCGTCTCGCGCTCATCGGTCTAGGACCAGAATCGTATCCATTGATGCCGTTCTCCGCAGAGACGTTTCGCAGAGCATCTCGTTCGCTTGCCCCGGTTGCACGACTGCCCAGAGATGGAGCGTCCAGTCCTGGGCGTACCGGATCCGCGTCATTGAGCGGTGAACCTCTACTGGATACGCTGCAGCTGCATCCCATACCCGATACAGGCACAGAATCGACTTTTGCAATGCAGCAGCAGCAAGTGCTCGTGTGGTTGCTCCTTTACTGGCGTTGTTTTTGGCCATGGCAGATTCCCTGGTCGACGTCAACGATACAGGGCCCGTTCAGGAAGCAGATTACGGCCATTCGACTGGATGCTCTCGAGAGCCTGTCCCGAAAACGCTTTCAGGAGAGTGGAAACGATGCACGCTGGCGAGCATCAATAATGCATCCAGTTGGATCAAGCACCCGTGGGTATGTTGCTGTGTTTCAGCCAGCTTGGAAAAGAATACGCAGCGCACTTGAACTTGACGCTGCATGCTTCCAGGTATGCTCGTCGAGCGGTGAGCGCTGGTGCTGGTGGCAACGCGCCCTGCCGAATGCGTACACGTCGAATGCATCCAGTCTCTTGCAACGTTTCTACAACCAGGGCAGGGAGGCGGCATATGCGGCCTCTGTGGACTGGTTGACTGCCGCCGCCAAGGCATGTTGTCGCCTCACGATGCCCCCCGGTGATCCGGCACGTGAATCATTCACATCGAATACCTTGGTCCAACAGGACGGGGCGTATGCGGAGCTCGATGACCCCGGCGAAAGCGCAGCAGTCGAGAAGAGCACACCAGCCAATGCTGTTGCTGCTGCTGCTGCTGCTGCTGCTGTTGCTGCTTTTACGACGGATGCTAGCGTTCGCACTCGTTGGCTTGCTGAGCAACCCGCACAGCGCGCAGTGAGTGCGTTGCTTCCGCGTTCCACGCCACGATGGCTTGCCTGGTTTGTGCTGATGGATCTAGCGGGTCTGCTGTGTGCAAGCGAGAGGCTTCTTAGCCACGAGGCTGCTTTCGCGAACACCCAGGAACGCGGAGCCTTGCAACGCCGTTGGATGCAGCTGAACAACTGGCTAGTGCGCTTTTCATGGCCTCTCGTGGTCGTGGTTGCCACCATGCGGGTAGCGCTTGCGCTGGGCGCTCCCGAACGAGAAAACGACTGGTTTGTGCGGTGTGCGCTTCGTCAGGTAGCGCTGTCTTGGCATCTCGTGTGCTGGGCGCTGCACCTGCTGGACGACAGCGAGGCCTCGGAGACGTTGCACGCCATGCAGTCAAGCGAACAGGCCAAGGAGCGTTATTTCGACCCGCAGCGCACCTGCTGCGGTTTACCGCACCACTGGGAGTCACTCATGTCGGGTTCATGCGCGTTTCATTGCCTCGCCGATGCCTTGTTGCAGCGGCAGTACGACTTTGGGGCCTATAATGACGCCCAGCATATCAAGCCCAGCACTAGCACGCCCGCCGACGCGCTCGATGCCTATCTCTGGGAAGCACTCTGGGAACGAGGTCTAGTGCCGACGCTGGACGCTCAACGGGGCGCACCGGGGCCCGCAGGTCGCTCTCGGAACGCGCCTGCGACCACTGGAGGTACGACGGCTCCTGGAACTGTACCCCAGAGACATGCGGTGCTCTGGTGGCGCATTCCTCGCTTTGAACATCCGACTGCTGCACCGGTGCTTTGCATCGAAGAGCACGATCGTTCGGAAACCGAGCAGTCCGCGAGTCGCTTTGAACATCCGACTGCTGCACCGGTGCTTGGCATCGAAGAGCACGGTCGTTCGGAAACCGGGCAGTCAGCGAGTCGCTTTCAACATCCGACTGCTGCACCGGTGCTTGGCATCGAAGAGCACGGTCGTTCGGAAACCGAGCAGTCCGCGAGTCGCATGCCGTCGTTGCCTGCAGTGGTCGATCCTGCCGAGGTATATGGCTATCTGGATGAGGAGCTGCTCCCGTGGATGGAGGCCCTGCGTCAGCGTGATGATCGCATTGTGGAGCAGGCCTTTAACGGCTACAGCTGTACGCTGCCTGGGTCCGCAGATCGAAGTCTCCTTCGTCGTGTGGACCTGTCGGAAGCACAGCTTGCGGCTCTACGCGCCGAGGCTAGAGCGCGTAGGTTTTATCGCCCATCGGTACCGACGTTGGAAGCGGCACTCGCGTACGGTCATGCTTGGAGGGAGCAGCAGGAACCGCTGCTCCGAATGCTTCCTCGAGAATCCGCTGCAGGCTGGACACACGTCTGGAGTGCAGCGGAACGCCTGGGGGCTTTGGAGGGACTGCAAGCAGCGGAAGCACTGCTGCCAGGTGGACGTTTTCACGCCCTGCATGATACCGCCGGACTTGTCGTGCTTGACTGGTACCAGGAATACCATGAGAGGCTGCTTCTCGATGCCGAAAAGAGTGTCGCTGGGATGTGCACCACCGACGCACTGGACTGGTCGACGCTCTGGAGGCCGCGGATGTTGTTGCTTCTCGAGTCGGTGTTTGCGTCTGAGCGCGAGCCTGAGCCATCACTTGGAGCGAGAGGCGGCCTGTTGGCACCAGTGCGCCTTGCTCGAGCACCTCGACGGCTGCTAGTTTCGTTGCAGCAACTGCTTTGTAGACAGGAAAGCGCACAAACCCGTTTCTGGCATGCCTGGGCAGTCTTGTTGGATGTGGTGCTTGCCGGAGGTGTTCCTGGTCTCGATGAACGACGCGCCCAGGCGTCTGCATCGATTCCCAATGGAGCGGCTCCGGAAACGTCCGCACAAGAGGCTTGGCGAACGCTTGCTGCAGCAGCTGGAATGCCGTGGAGTCGAGCAGGTGCTGTTGCAGCCGCGGAAGCTTCCGATGAGGCGCTTGCACACTGTAGGCGCCTCTTCGAGTCCGAACTAGAGCCACTGCGGCAAGGCTCGCCAGAGCGCACCGCATCAACCGGCACTGCATGTGCTCGAATGGACCTGGATCCCGACGAAACCCCACAATGGGAAGCGTTGCGTCTTTGGCACCAATACAGTTTGCTGTCTCTGGAGGCAACTCACGGGACACGAGATTCGCAGCGAGCAGCAGCAGCAGTAGCGCCTTCGGATTCGTATGTGAGCGTGATTAAGGACTTGGAGCGCAGGGCGGACGCACTACCTGTCCCTTTAGCGATACCCACTGGTGCTGCTTCTGTCCCGAATGCAGTGCTCTCGGAGATCGACGTCCTTGCTGCTGGACAGATAGCATGCAGTACTGCTTTTGTACGGAATGCAGCACTCTCGGAGCGCAATGCGATTGCTTCTGGTCAGATAGCTACGGATGGTGGCTGCGGTCGACGCTGGAACTCGAGCGAGCACCCAGCAGTACCGCCAGGGAGCACCTGTTGGCAATCGCTGCCCGGGCTGTTGGCTCAATTGGTCAACACTGCTGCCCCTGGTACTTCCTCTGTGGATACGAAAACGACTCAGTGGTGCTCTGGTGTGGTCGTAGCTCTCGCGCTGCTGCTCATCGGAATGGAAGCTTTGAGTTGTACGCAAGAGCTCCCTGCTCAAGTGCTCGCAGCACTGCAAAAGCACAGCTATGAAGCGCTTCTGCGGAGTTACGTGGTGGCATCCATACAGTTGTTGCGTATCCAACCGGCAACTACCTGGTGGAGCGTCCTCCAGCATCCACACTCCCTGCCCTATTTATGGACTGCGTGGCAGAGACCGGTTGCAGAGTCCAGTGCCTCGCTGCATGGAAGCGCAGCCGAACCTACGTGGCGCTACGGAGCAGCGCTCTCTAGCCTGGGTGACCAGCTGCGTGCCTGGGCGCGTCAAGAGCCGGACCGAGCCCTCTGGATGCACCTTGCGACGCGCTGGGATAGTTGTTCCAAGCGAAGCGAACAATTGCGAGCCCTTGGCCGGGAGCGGGAAGCGCTCGAGCTGCTCCTGGGAGAGCTCCTTGAACCCCTGGCACAAGAGATTGCCCAGCGTTGTGCTTTCTCCGATGCAGATGATTCGACTAATGGTGCGCTGCGCGACACTTGGGAGCAGCTCGGCTCGCTGCTAGTCTCGATGCGACTCGCTTGTTTCGCCCAGACTCGTTGGCAACGTGAAGAGCGTGCTCTGCGCTATTCGAAGCGGGTCATCGACACGCTCCCGTGTTGGTTGCAGGTTGCGACGCTCGCCGAGAGCGCCGCAGTCTCTGAACAGTCCAGGGCAGGATGCTCGTTGATGGATGCAATGGGAAAGCGTACGAGCGCTGGACAAGACCCAGAGATGCTCCTCGGCGATGAGCGTGTGCCCCAGTGGCTCGTCTGTTGTGGACAGGGCATGGAGACGCTCGCCGTGGGATATGTCTTTCCGTTGCTACAGCTGTGGCGGTTGCTTGCGCGCTACGGTAGCCAGCTGGAGCCTCGCTTGCAAGCTATCCAAGCGCAACTGGTACTTGTCTACCGTTACTACGTACGATACTGCGAGATAGTGCAGGAAGCGATTGATGAGCTTCAACAGAAACAGCTCCCCCAGTGGCAACTGCAGCGACTGCGCTTCGGGATGCAGATGCAGCGACCGTGGCGACAGCTTGCCGACTGGGAGCGCTACCGAGCAGCAGTCCAGCAGCTGCAGCAGGAGGAGCGCCAGCAGTGGCGAGCCCTGGACCACCTGCTGGACAGCAGTGTGCAGTCGCTCTGGCAGCGAGCTCGTGAACGCGTCGCTAAGCAGCTCTTGGAGCGTTCGCAAACCGCATTGGTCAGCTCGACGCAAGAATCGTTCATGGACACCAACGTGAAGGCAGCTGGACCAGCGTTGGAGCAGTTATCGCTGGTACACGAGGCGTCGTTGGCTGCACTGAGGGAACTGGAGCGCCTAGCGCACCAGAACAAGTGCTGTTGGGCATCTATAGAGCGTTGTTATCGCTCTATCTTTCAACTGCTGCGTCCAATGAGGATACGAAAGCGTCCATTGCGAGAGCCTTTGCGGTTGCACTGGCCCGCTGGCGTGCTCTATTACGGGCGGGCGCCCTGGGGATACCCCCTGGGACAAGCGGAGCGTCTTCGGACGCAACAACAGCCACAGCAACAGCAACAGCAGCCAAACACACCGTACATGAGCAATACGGACGACGGCGACGACGATCATGCAGCTCTTTTCGATGTGCTGGACATGTTGCTGCTGGTGGATACCAAGTTCTGGGAGCAGCTGACGGCTACTACGGATCCGGCAGAGCTGCGAGGCTTGCGCACCGTGGCTACGTTGCTGGCGTTGGTGCGCGGGCTGCTCAGCGACCTCGCTGACCAACGCGAAACCTGGCAGATCGCGCATGCTCATCCAGCTGTGCAAGTCCAGACGCAAGCATCCGTACGTTGCGCAGCAGCAGCAGCGGCAGCGGCGGAAACGTCGCCTTCGAACTCGGAGGCGGTCGCGAGCTGGACTTGTGCGCACGACGCGACTCGAGTGCTGTCGAAGGGAGCGGTCCCGGGGCGTGGTGCTCCAGTCACGGAACTGGATACACAGACGCAGCGTCATGCTGCCGAATATTCGATAATCGATGAAGCGTCTGTCTCAACAATGGATACTCGCCGTGTTGCGCTGGAACTGGCCGTACTGTGTCGCTGTTGGCCAGACGCTGCGTCACTGGGGGCTCGCTTTGCGGCCTTGGCGGCGGAACTTGGGCGTCAGCTCCATCAGCACGACTGGGACGGCATCGAAAGCAGCGCAACCGACCTCGAGCAACTGCTGCGTACGTTTCAGTCTGGCACGTCTCGCACGACAAGTGCTGCGGCAACGGCATTGCGTACGCAACTGTACCGATGTGCTCTGGAGCAAGTTGCAAGGCTCCGACTCCAACTCCAGCGACGAGTGCCTGCATCGCTGCGGGGTAATGGCCAAATGGAGGCGGGTCCAATTCCAGTATCCGAAGACTCTCGTCGGGATAACGAGGGTCCCGCGTCTGAACGCCACCCCGAAGCGAGCCCTCGAGCGTCTCCAGAGTGCCAGACGGCGACACCGACTGCAACGCCGGACTGGACACTGATGGAGCTCCTGCACTGGCGTCCGTCGTCAAGCGAAGCGTTTGTATTGTGCCTGGGACAAGTGCACGGCACTGCGAATGTCTCTGAGCACCAGCATGGCGCACTTGAGCGCAAACTGGCCATGTTGCGGCGTCTGCACTGGTCGCTTGTGCGTATCGTTCAGGTTTTGTTGTGTCTTGCGGATCGTTCGCTGATGCTGCTTCACAATGCAGCAGTGGATGCACAGCGCGATGCAGTTGGTAAGGATGTGATGCGCCAGGGAGCGGGCTTTGCTGACACCGGAGCATTGAATGCGGATGCTCGTGACTGTTCCGCCGACCTGGCAGCATCCGAGCTTGGTGAGGAGCTCTTCGCCTCCGACAGAGCGACGAATAGTGCAGCGGAGCAGGGCGTGCCGCGCTCCTCTGATGACCTCGAATCGAATGAGGAGCTGCTCACCACAGCGGCGTTCTCGGCACCGTTTACAGAGAACGAGACTCTGGGGCAAGCCCCAGAAGACGACATCGACGTCGACGGTGACATGAACAACCCAGGGGGCACGGAAGCGCCGCCCGCGACGGAGACTGCACCAACGCCCTGCCCGGAGGAGCGCGCGTTGCCTGCTGACAGGACAGCGACCTCAGCAACAGCTCTAGCTGCGACGAGTATGGAGGAAGCGGCACCCGACTCGATGACAGATGCACCAGCGGAGGTGGTTGCATCTGGCAACGAGAGCACCGTGGATGCAGAAGCTGCCCCGCGGTTACCGTGTGCAGTCACGGGGCCTGCGCAACCCTCCATGAGCCCGGAAGCGTCGCTGAACGAGCCCGAGCAGGACGCTCCCGACATCCTCGAGGACCTGGTGCATCCGGACGGCAACTCGTCTCCGGATAGGGTGTCAGAGGCATCTGAAGGCTTGCCATTCGCTGAAGACTGGGAATGCGACGAACCTGCTGTCGACTCTGTCTCTGTTGACGCCTCGGAGGAGGCCGAAGCGAGGAGCGCGTTGCATTCAGACGAGGACGCTCTGTCCGACAATGGAGATACGATGAACGCGTCTCCCGCAGATGCCGAGAGGTCTCAGTCTGACGCTCGGGATACCTCGGAGACGAGAGAGCACACAGGCCGCTCGCCCGTCTCTGAATCCTCGATACTAGCCAATGCTGCGCTCCCCGAACTGGCTACCGGAGGCGAGTCTGGAAACGCTGCAAGTGCACCGTCGCAATCCGCAGCAGCAACTGGAGCCGCAGCCGCGTCGTCAGGTACGCTTCCAGCATCCGCAGAGGCACCGGTCATGCAAGCGGTATCGGAAAATCCCAGGGAGAGGCCCGGAGCGGCTCATACCGAGGTCGATGCTGCGACAACGATGCCGCTCGCAGCCAGGAATGTGCCGGAGACGATCTGGAGCCAGGACGCTATGCACTGGACAACGCCGCCCCAGCCAGCATCCTGGGAAAGCACCGAAGAGCAGCGGAGCGCCTCGGCGCAAGGCGCACCCGCGTATGCAGCAGAGGCGGCGGTGTCACTCGCTCCGGACCGGCAGGCTCATGTTGCGTCAAGCGTAGCAGCAGAATGGTCTAGTGGAGCCGCGCCAACCGCAACACCCCTTGACTTGCCATACCCGTACACTGGGGAAACATCAACTTCGTTGGAACAGAACAAACCAGCTGCGGCAGATGAACAACATCGTATGCCTGCGTTGACGGACGATCTCTGGAGCGACAACCAGGATCCAACGGGCGTGCCGCATCAGCCGCAGGTGCAGCAGATGACCGGTTCGAATGTCGACGACCTGGTGGTACCAGCTGCAAGCCATCGCAATGCACAGTGGAGCGCGTCGTCGACACTGTCACCAGCGGAAGCGTCACCAGGACGCCAGACGTCTACCGCGAAGACACCAGAACCTGAACGCCAGCGCGCAACGCAACGCCAAGAGTCCCTGCATCATCGCGACGACGAAAACGACAAGGATGACAACCAGGATATCGCACCACAGCACATGGACGCGGACCATACGCGATACTCGCTGGAACAAGCGGCTGCTGATGCTGATTTGATCACCTGGTTCGCACTTGAACGTTCTCATGAGGCGACGATTGCACACCTCAGCCGTCGACTGGAACCCGTCCTCGAGTACAACCAAATGACGCGTTTTGCAGGCGACTTTCGCACCGGGAAGCGGCTCCATATGCGTCGTCTCATTGATTATGTGGCCAGCAACTACACCCGCGATCGTATCTGGATGCGTCGTATTCGTCCAGACCGTCGTCGATACGATATCGTTGTTGCGGTCGACGACTCTGCGAGTATGCACGAATCAGGTGCGTCTCGCTTGGCACTAGAGTCTCTGGTGGTGGTTGCAGCGGCGCTGCAGCGACTCGAACTGGCACATCTGGGTGTTATCCGTTTCGGTTGCGATGCACAAGTCGTGCATTCCTTACACGCCGGAATACCCGCCGCTGGCTCTGTTGGTGATCAGCTGCTTGGTCAGTTTACGTTCCAGCAGCAGGCGACCAATGTGGTCGCTCTGTTAGAATGTGCGTCGGCGTTGTTCCGAGAGGCACGGGAGCAGCAAGCCGGTGTGATCGATTCTTGGCAGCTGTTGCTGATTCTTTCCGACGGGCGACTAGGAGAGCGAGACGCCCTCCGCGCGCTCATTCGAGAAGCGAATGCACAACGTCTGCGGATCGTGTTTTTCATATTGGATCAGGTTGCTGGCACTCGAGAACAAGAGCAGCAGGCGTCGAGCGCGGTCCGGCGTACCTCTGTTCTCGATATGAAGCAGGTCGGTTTTGCCCCGGGTGGACGCATGCAGGTGCGACGCTACCTGGAAGATTTTCCCTTTCCTTTCTATGTCATTGTAGAGGAGATTGCCGCTTTGCCGGCGGTATTCGGGGACACGTTACGGCAATGGCTCGCAGCCGGCATGGATTCCGGATGCTAGCAGCACACGAGAGCGCCGCGTTTGCCAGGTGCTTTTCACGGTATCGTGCCTGATTGCGACGTTGTGTCGGGGGTCTGTGCCTGGGTGCGCTCGCGACAAGCGCCCGCGATGCCGAGTGCCCACGGTGAGCGCCGAGCTTCGCGAGGCATCGGAATCCCAGCGCGTTTCACGCTTATGCCGACACTGTATGATCGATGTTTTTGCAGTTTGCTGTGGATGTTGCTCGTGTTCAAGGTGATCGGTACGAGTCCATCGGCAGTGCAGTACAGCGATTCACTGGAACAGACCGTCGCAAGCATAGCTATAACGCGAGCACAGGGCGCAGCTGGTGTACACCGGTCTGCGGCGCAAGTGCCCCAAGACGCCGTGGCGATACCTGGCAACGCGGACTCGTTTCTCGACCAAGATACCGGATTCGAGTGTTCACAGCGGTGTGGATGACCGACGCACCGAGCATCCTGAGCGCTGCGGCATGAAAAGGTGCGCAAATTTTGAAATGTATGCAGTGGTGCCTGGGTAATGTCCAGTTGCCAGCGATTCCTTGATGGATGCATGCGGAGCGCTGGAATTCCCCGCAGCAACCAAGTGGATGTTATGGTGTGAACAGTAAACGCCCTGTCGAGTGCTCTCTGTACCTCAGACTGTAATGTCGTGATGAAAAGGAGCGGGGTTTCATCGTGTGTCCAAAATCTGGAATCAAACTTCAAAGCGGTTGCTCGAACGACACGAAAGGAATCTGATCGTGAGCGCCGTTTACCCGCGTGCTCGAGAACGGCAGCTCCGACGTAGAACCGAAAAATCCGACAAGATTCCTAGTGTACGGCGAGTGTTGTAATGTGTTGTATCGATGCTTCCGGGAGGTAGCTTCATCAGCTAGTCCCTGGTACCTGACCTGCAGCACGATCTGCAGAGACGAATCGGTCGGTGTGCTGTGCAGCTTCCATACAAGGGGCAGAATTCTCTTCCACCATGCGTGTGGCAGGAGAGATGCTTGAGTAGCACCCCACTCAAAGCGGTAAAACGAAAGCTGCTCAGCCTGGGTGTCTGCATCAGCCCGAGCGCTCCACATAGGTTGCAAGTAGGATCGAGTCTCCTGTGAGGCGTCTTCGATGCATTTGCCGCGGGGTGCTCGCATCAAAAACCCCAGCGCATCCATGAGCATCGAAAAGTTCTCCGCACGCTCTAATGGATCATGAAATTCTTCTGCGGTCGTGTAAGCTTGAGGAAGTACGTTTCGATACAACCACGGGAAAGTCGACGTGGCGGTTCCCGTGTAAACACGGCACGCTGTGTCTTCAACGACACCAAGCTCGGGCGAGAGCGGCGCATCAGTGCCGCTGATGGATGTGAGTTGCCACTCGAGCCGATCCGTGAACCTCTGAAGGCCTCTCGTGACCTGCTGTCGATACTTGCTTTCTGGCTTTTCTTGCAATAGCGCAAGATCAATAATAACAAATGCTCCATCGCCGTAGACCGGTCTGCGGTATCGTCGACGAGCCAGACGAGGCTGGTGGCCCCGTCCGATCAGGCCCAGTCGACGATATAGCGCTTCCTCTAACGGCAGTATGAAACGTCTCTTTGCATCGACAGCCATGAGTTGCTGCGGGTCCCGGGTGAGCGCAGTACACGCTGGACCACCAGGGGCAACGTGAGCCGCGGCAGAAGCGCTGGACCCTGTCCGAGATTGTGTGTGCACCTCTTGGGACAGCGCAACTGCCGGGGCTGAACCGGCTTGTCGAGCTCCGAGCAAGCACTGCACGAGCTCAAAAGGCGAGAGCTGACACTTTTGTGTAACAAACTGGATGCTTTCGAGCTCCGTAAAACAAGCCCGTATCGGTTCCGTCCAATGATCATATGAAGCGTTTTCTTCAGACACTGGAGACAAGACCAGAATTCCAACATAGACAGGGAGCTGTTGCTCGCGAAAGAGCCTTTCTAGCGCTTCCAAGCTCGCTTCTGCGTACCACAGCCGCCACGAGGGCTGCGGTCCGAGGCTCCGCTCAGGTAGCCAGGATCGCATCCTTGCGAAACCTTTGCTTAGTCCTTGTCGAGTGAGTTCGAAAATCGTTGCTTACCGCACCCTACAGAGATCCCCTTTTCCTGACTTGCATCGTTGCTGGGTTCAACGAAGCCGTTCCCTACCGGCGTCTAGCGGTGCGCTCGTGCGGCAATAGAACCCCCGGACCGTCCGTATCCTAGACTCGAGCGCGTCGCCGAGTACCAGCGTTAGCATACGCCAAACTGTTGCTACTCTCTAGCGCTCAACATGGTTTGCGGTGAAGTCTTTAGGTGAAACAGAGTACGCACTCGTTTCTGAGTAACCGTTCGATGCCAGGCGTGCTCTTGAAACTCTTGATGCTCTCCGTTTTGAAGAAGGTTGCGGTGTTCGCGGTGGCGAAAACGTACGGGTTTCCCCGTCTCTACCGACGTCTGATGGAAGTTAATCGGAAGTTATTCAGAAATGATGCAGTAAAGCAGGCATGGATACGGGATCGTGTTCAGTACGCGTTTCGTCTTCCGCGAATTCTGGCACAGCGCTTTTATCGACGACCAGAGCAACTGCAGAAAGTGGGACTTTTGATTTGCTTGAGTACTGGCGTGCCGGATAACAGGCTCCGCGTTTCGCCGGGAATCGCGGACGAACACGCGAAAACCGGCACAACGCCCGGTGCTAACGCTCACAGCTGACACTGGCGGACAAGCAGCAGAAAGCGCTAGCTTCGTGCGCGGGCGTATCAGCAGGTGATAGCGCAATGACCTGCAATGCGCCGAGTCCGTTGGGCTGCCTAACGAGCGGATTCTCCGAGGTCTCTCGACGACGAATCCTATCAAACACTATCCATCTCATCGAGCCGAGACTGGTAACCCGCGCAGGCTGATGCACCAGGTCATGTCATCGATGAGGAGCGGCCCGTCACTCGGGCGGAGACGCTACCCCACAACCTGAGCCCTGCGGAGCATCCTTCCCTCAGTATATACGCCGAATCTGGGAGCCGCATCTCGCAACTGACGGGATTGTTGTGAGAACTTTGAAAGCGTGTAACGTGTCCGAGTACCTCATGGTGGTCGAGGTGAGGCTTTTTACATCTCCAAATACCCAAGCGACTCTTTTGCTCCTTCACCTTTCCCGAAAATTCTCGTGGTGCTAATTGGCCCAAACTTGGTGCTTCCTTTTGACGTAAAGGCTCTCAACAATCCATACGCTTCGTTAAAGCTCGATTGGTAAGCATTACTCGGTAGTTTCGAGGATTCTGCGGCGCGAATGAGTGCCTCACCAACTAGAATCGACGAGTAGCCAGCGTCCCGCAAACGCCAAGCATCCATCACATCGTGGATACCGCTTTCCGCCACTGGAATCACATTCGGGGGATACCGGCCGATGAGCTCGAAACAACGGTTGAGGTCGACGTTGAAAGTGCGCAGGTCGCGTGCGTTAGTGCCGATGATCTCTGCACCGGCAGCCTTTGCGATCTCCAGCTCTTCTTCGTCATGAATCTCTACGAGTGCTTCAAGACCGTGCCGATGTGTTGCCTCAAGCAGTTTGCGCAGCCCTGCTTCCCCAATTGCAGCAACAATCAAAAGCACTGCTGCTGCACCTCGCTCTGCAGCTTCAGCGATTTGGATTTCATCAATGATAAAGTCCTTGCGGAGGACCGGACAAGGACCGGGATATCTTCCTCGAAATTTTTGTTGATGCTTCACCACGGTTTGCAGATCATCCAGTGTTCCATCGAAGGCAGCATCTGTTAGTACCGAGATTGCGGCTGCGCCTCCGTTGTAGTACAGGTCACTGAGCTGTCGCACGTCCGGGATTTCGGCAATTAAACCAGAGCTCGGTGACCGTCGCTTAATCTCCGCAATAACAGAGATGCTTCCTTTCGGTTTACGAATTGCGCTGCTAAACTGACGTGACTTTGGAATCTGACCAGCCGCGGCTGCATCGAGGCGACGCTGCAGCGGGTGCTCAGCACCTGCCTGGGCGACCTCAGCCTTCAGACTGGCAACTTCCTGCTGTTTTCGCCGTAGTATTTCTTTGAGAACATCTGGAACGCTACGATAGTCAATGTCAGCCGCCACCGTACCCCCCGCACTGCTCATTCGGAGCGTGCTCCCGGTTCGCACCGAAAGCTGCCGCCGCGAAAACGCCTGCAATTGCCACCTGCTAGGTTGCGTGCACACGAGAGGCCTCCCAGCACAAAATTCGCGTCCAGTTAAAGGTTGAACACAGAATGCTTCCAATTGGATAAACATTGACTACCGAAAAGAGTCGATGGCTTGCAAACGAACCTTTCGCTCAACGTTTCAGTGCAGTAGTGTTCCAGTGTCCGCGAAAGTCAGAAGCGCCCGTCGACGGCCGTTTCGCCGCCGCTGCGACGACACCGCCGAATGCATGCGGGTGTGGCATGCGTGCCCATCTGTCGATCGGTGACGCCTTGCGTCTTCTCATATCAGTAGCTTGATCGTCGAGGAGCAGCGGGGAGAACTTGTTTCTCTTCCTATTTCACTGGGGTAACAATTGCTGGGAGCTTGTACATACGTATCCAGATCCTGTTGCTGTTCCTTTGTGCCTCCGGGGTAACGGTTGCTTGAGACGTGTGTGTGCTTGTGCGTGGGTGCAGTTTCTCTTGCTTTCGTTTATAGACTCGCGGTGGCGTTAACTTGGAGCATCGTGGGTGAGCTCGCTTTTTCTTCTTTCTCTCAGGCTGTTTGTCTTGGTGCAGCAACTGCTCGAGCACCATAACTCTAGATACGTCTTGGGACAGCAAACGCAGTTGCTGGGCTTCTGGAAAAGCTCCGCACTGAGCGACGCGCAACGATCTTGCAAGGTGAGTACAAGGGACCAGGGCGTGCACGCAAGGCAAACTGAAGGCCCTAAGGCAGCTATTGAGCTTTTGCTGGGGACTCGCTGGAGGTCATGTTCGTGCCTGTGGTCGACGGGCGTTTTTCAGCTGGCGCGAAGCGAGAAGCAACCGATTGAGCGCGGCAGGTGAATCGCTGCCTAATTTCCGACTGCAGCGCTGCAAGTTCAGCGAGCAACCTGGAGAATCGTTAGGACGCTTTGAAATCCAGTGCTCTGCGTTTGTTGGTCGCTTTGCTGTGTCGAAGGTGTCCGTCTTGAGGAGGAGCTCGGACTCGGCTGGCATCGATTTCGGGCGTATCCGGCGAGGCACATCGGCCACGCTTATGGCTACGCACAGCGAGGCAACCCACAACGAGATATGTGCTGGGGTCCCGGCAGAACTCAAGACTCGTTTTCAGCAGGAATGGGTCGTCTATGCAGTACGGGTTCCACTGGCGGAGGTTGCAACGGCCCGTCGTATGTTATCCCCGCGGCATGTGTTGCGACTCGCCCGGAAGCGGAGCGTTGTGGCGCCGTCACCAAACCACACAGCTAGCGACCAGGTGCGCATCATTCTGCTCCGATACCTGGCGGGACAGCAACCTCGAGAACAGTTTTTACCACAAGAGTCCAATTTTTCGACTGACTTTCAGTCGCGAGATGTGGCCGCGCTCGTGCACATGCTCAACGAAGAGCGTTCCGGGACCCGGTCTTCAGAGGCAAACGGTGCAGTGACCCGAGAATGGAAGGAATCCATGTTTACAACTTACCCACTGAAGCTCGATTATGACGATTTCGGACATGATGATGTCCTTCGACAGCTTCTACCGGCCAGTATACCGGTTCCAAAAGCCTTTGAGGCAACTGGTCATGTGCTCCACCTGAACCTACGGGACGTACACCATCCATATAAGTATCTCATTGGCCAAGTACTCCGAGAGAAGATACCTGGCATCCGGGTTGTCGTGAACAAGGCAGCGAATGTCGGTGGCGTATTCCGCACGTTCGAAATGGAAGTCCTCGCAGCAGTACCTGGTTGCTCGCTAGAGACATGCGTGCGCGAGAATGGATGTGTGTTTCACGTCGATATGAGCAGAGTGTACTGGAATTCGCGTCTAGAGACTGAGCATCGGCGAGTCATCGATGCAATTCGAACGCTCCACGGATCAACGCAGACTGGACTTGATGCTGATCCTCGCGATGTCTCACGTATCGACGAAAGGAAACAAATGATATTCGCGGATGGAAGCGAGCCTCTGCGAGATTCGTCAAAGCTACCGCTGGTGACGCCACCCGTGGCCGCTGGACCGAATGCCGTGCCACATACGGCTGCTTCCATGAGGCTTTCCTCCGGCCAAAAGCCGGTGCTTGTGGCGGATGCTTTCGCGGGAATAGGACCTTTCGCCGTCCCCCTGGCAAAGCATGGATTCATTGTCTACGCCAACGATATCAATCCCGACGCTGTAGAATATCTGGACCGAAATATTCGCGAAAACCGGATTCCTCCAGGGCGCTGTACGACGTGCTGCATGGACGCCCGCGCCTTTTTGAAGAAGCTCCTTCATTCAGATCGTTTGCCGATTCAGCATATTATCATGAATCTGCCGGCTGAAGCAATCCATTTTCTAGATGCGCTGGTAGGTAGTATTGCACCAGCAAATCCGCTTCCGTATATCTACTGCTATTGCTTCGCGCACGGCGAGAACGCGTACGAATGGATCGTCGACCAGATGAATGAGGTTTTCGACGCAGCGTTGCAGCGCAATAGCGGGAAAGCCGCAGAGGAGGTCAATCCCACAAGGCATGCAGGCACCGACGCTGCTCCAATCGATCGGCATTCGAAGCGACCTCGGGTGGACTCGTTCCAGTTGGACCCAGACCGCGATCAACTGCGAGTTCGCTGCGTACGACACGTCGCGCCGGAGAAGTATATGTACTGTGTCGAGTTCCGGCTTCCAGAGAGCCTCGCTCGACCTAACGGCAGCGAAAGCGCATGAACGCTTTCCCCGGGGCACATCGGTAACCAGATGAACGACCCATTGACCACCGCTCAGCCGAGCAGAGGCGTTGTTCAATATACATCCAAGTACGTAGAATGGGACAGGCGTAGCCATTTCCTCTGTTTCTGAGTTAGAACAGTACACTGTAAAGGTTTTCATCGATCCTATCTGTTCATCGTGGCGTTCGCGGATCGCGAAGCATCCTTACGTTGCGTCGTTCCGACGCATCAATAGCGTCTGCACGCTGTTTCCATTAGATACCGCCTCCACTCGACGTTTTTCGGAAAGCTCACCTGTGCCTCTCTTTTCTTGACCTCTAGGGCGTGATCCTGCTTTCATCATTCTCTTCCCTGGGCGGTACTAGGAGCACTCGGAACGCTCTGGTGGCTGTCGCGGCTCGACAGCTGGAAAGCCCGCGTTCAACATCGAACCGCAGCGTGTGTTCTAGTCGCCGTTTTGAATAGCCGGAAGTCTAGGGTTATTTTCGCTCCTGAAAAAAAACCAAAAATTTTGATGAATAAAAGTGATGATAGGTTCCGCTGGCTTCACACTGCGCTGCCAATAGGTGTTGCACTTTGTGGACGACCGCTCGTGGATTCTGAACGTTTCTCGCAGAGTACGCTGTTCACTGCGCGCGACGAGTCTGTGTATACGTGCTACGGCGACTCGAGCGTTATACTTGACCGGTTATCTTGCCAGCGGCTCGCGTTTGATGGTGCGTTTGTGTTCGGGAGCAACGATAGCCCGAGTCAGCTCTACTTCGATGCAGCTTTCCGGAGTCAAAACTTGCGTGAGCAGGACGCATCGGTACCAACGTCCCAGCCTGTATGGTCTATCCAGGATGCCATTTCGGCCGCAATAGCCGGAGTTGCGGACGTTTGCATCTTTACGTATGGCGGCCATATGACGGGGAAGTCCACCACGCTGCGGCGCGTGATGCTTCTCGCTGCGCAGGATATCAGGAGAAAGCTTGCGACCAGCCCAGCGGCTGTCTGTTTACATGCAACAGAATATCGTTTTGATGAGAACGACGTAGAGTTAATTCGTACGCTCTACACAGCGGAGCAGGTAGACGCTGATCAACTGCCCAGTGTTCTGTGGCATGAATTTCACCGGGGCGAGCTGGCCAATGGTCAACCAGCACCGTCCACATCGCACTTTGTCTGGAGCATGGTTTTCGCCCACGGGTCACGAATCATTTTCGCTGATACTTGTGGTGCCTCACGTGTGACACCAAAGGGCCTTCGATGCCAAGTAGATTTGTCCATTTTTTCTCTTGAGCAGGCTGCGCTGCACACTGTCGAACACATGCAGGGTACGGCCTTCACGAGGTCGATCGCGTGCGGCGTGGGAGGCCATGCCATAGGCATCGCTTTGTGCTGTTTCGGCCAGACAGCTTTCCATTATTTTCACGAGAACGCTCAAACTTTTCAAATTGCGAGGAGTCTCATGCGCATTGTGAATCCGATTCGGTTGGCAGCGTCGCCCAGCACCACAGCGGCGACATCGTTGTCGGAGTTCTCCCAGGCACCCCAGCTGTTGAACGATTCAGCTCTGGGAGAACTGTGCTCGCTTCGGCGCGCCCATTCCCCCAATGTATTCGGCAGGGATGATTCAAGGCACAGCGTTATTTTTTACGACTAACTTTAACTGGAAAACGGGGTATTTTCGGTTTCTCTGTAAGCATCATGCTGCTTGCTCGATATGAGGAATACATGATGTGTGCGTATCTTTCAAAGCAAATTTCGCGAATCTGCATATCGCCCAGTACAGGCAGGGCAGCATCGTGTTTCTCCCGAGGCATCTTCACAACCTCGCTACGCGCATTGGGCTCGCAGCACTGGTGCGTATGTGTGCTTGACGCGTCTGTCTTCTCGGCAGCGAAAAGACTGCATCCAGTTTCAATTCGTTCGGCATCAACTGATAGCCGGTGCAACCAATGCGAGGATTTCATGGTAGCCAACAAGGAACTGGCCAGCAACGATAACATTTGTGTTCTTTTGGCTCGGTTTCAGCTTCTAGAACAGGATGCATGTACACTCAAAGCGGACGAATTCACTTGAGTGTGAATTTATCTATTGCCCAGGCCGATGCAACTTGTCCACAAAAAAGCTTGTGTTGAACTTGCTTCGTTATATTCCTGGGTTCAGAAGGATATTTGTTCCATGTGTCGCCGGTAAGTACACGACGTTTGGTGCCTTTGAAAGTGTTTCCGCGATTTCCCGTGCAGCTTCAATGCGTCTCAGCTGAATAAAACCGGCACCACTCTCTTGTAGCGCTTGACTAACAAGGGCCGCGGCCTCGGACTCGCCCTCGGCACGAGTGATGGCAGCTTGCCGCTCTTGTTCAGCGATGGCGACGATGTATCGACTGCGTTCAGCTTCCTGCTGTGCAACCTGTTTTTGCTCAATTGCCTGCGCAAACTCGCGTCCAAACGTCAGATGTGTCATAGATACGTCGTCGAGCTCAATGTCAAAGGATTTCGCTCGTGCCGTGAGTGTCTCGCGAATCTGACGACTAACTTTCTCCCGCTGCGTCAGCAACTGCTCGGCGTTGTACTGTGCAACGATCGCCTTGAGAACCTCGTTGCCAATGGAGGGCAGCACCCGCTCATCATAGTCCACACCTAGCCTCGAGTATATCCGTGGAAGCTGCTGTTTATCTGGCTTGCTGAGAACTCGGAGCGTTAGGTTCACCATCTGAAGATCTTTCGTACCTGTTACGGAAGTGATCGTGCGCGGACGTGTGCGCACGTCATAGATAATGGGTTTCTGAACCCAGGGAATGCGCAGATGTGTGCCTTCACCAACGACACGCTGTTCAACTCCGGTAAAGCGGTTGAAGATAACGGCGCGATGACCGCCTTCCACAGTATACAGCGACGTCTGCAGGAGGCTTCCCAGTACGCCCAGCGCAATGGAGTACTTGGCTGCCGTGTTCAGCGTCTTTGCCAGCTTGGCCGCTGCCTCTCTACCTGAAGCGCCCATACCCGATCCTGAGCGTCAGCGCCGCGTCTCCGAAGACTGCCGGGTACGCGAAACTTTCGAAAGTCTGCTAGGGGTACGAACGGCGTACGATTCCATCGCCATCAGCGCTTTCGAGACGGGCGCCGGCCGTCATACGTCCACAAATACCAAATCCATATCAAATAAATACTTATTGTTCCTAAATGTTCCATTTTCACAGTTCGAGTCGTTGCAGCGTGCCGATTCGCACGGGCGGCGCTCGGAACCTAGCTCGCCGTGCAGACAACGTATGATGCGCGGGACTTCTCTGCATCGACATATTCGGGGCTCTGCGAGCGATGCCGACTAGTTCATACCCATTATCTTTCATGAAGCGTCGGTGTCGTTGTGCTCCTTTCGAAGGATCCCAAGGTTTCAAGCACCCCATCAGACGTGAGCTTGGCGCCGACCTGGAGCGCCATGGCATGCGGATCTCCAACACCACTAGTCTATGATTACCGGGCGCGGATTGTTGCAATGGTCCGACTGGCCTTGACAGAGGCGTCTTCTTCTTCAGCAGGGGCCAAGGATGGACATCATTCAAATGGAGTATTCCTACGTAAAGCCTCTGGGTAGCACTGTGGTCATCGCTATATTCCATGCAGCATGAACATTATATCCAGAGGGAAAACCGGCGATGTAAAAAGTATCCTGCCCTGTTTCGCATCCGGAGCGATACATCGCTCTATGGAATCAAGCGCCCAGTGCGGATGTCGAGTCGATGCCCGAAAGGCCTTTCCATGCGACACCCGTGCCTGAACGCGGACGCAAACAGCTTTGCAGCCGTATAGACGCCTCTGGTTGGGCGAAAACGTATCCTACGAACGAAGCCATTGAGCGCCCATCGTAGAATAACCAAACGAAAAACGTATCAAATCAGAGATAGTGACGATAATAGGACACGACCCATGCGCGTGACCTGTGGTGTGCAGTATCCGAGAAGCAGATCGCTCGGATCTCACCGATGCATTATATCCTGGAGACAGGGAACTCTCCACGGAAGCACCAAACCTAAGCATTCAAATGATTCTGGGAACCTGAACTAAAGTAAAACATTACCCATGGCGATTGCAGGAGAATTGTTCGCGCTCTGCGAACGCTTCAAGCCCGTGGACGTTTCCAAGGCTGTGACGGCCAATTCGCACGCAGATGTCGCGCTTAACCGCCTTTTTCGTTACAATCCGTAGCGTCTAAGGGCTACGGTGCGTTGTTGCATCGCACTGAGGAATGCACAAGGTTTCTTAGGAGCCTGGTGTTTGAAGGCGTCGTGCAGCGGACTGTGCTTTCTACGAAGCCACACAGCGCATGACGGACGCGCAAAGTTTGTCGTTCCCGCGGAACGCCAGGTCTGAGCAGCGGACGGTTACGTACTGGTGTCGCTTTCCAGAGCAACAGCATCGCTACGGCATTAACGCTGTGCTGGCCTTACAGAAGCCCGAATCTCAGTCGGACGCCTACCTTCTCGTTTCAGCCGGTCGGGATGGGTCAGTGCGGCTGTGGTCCATCGACCATAGAGCGCAACAGGGGCGGATCGCTAAGCAGGCACATTTGCGCTCTCTGGAAGAGCATACCGACTGGGTGAACGACGTTGTGTCCCCAGGAGGCTATCCTACGCTGGTTTCGTGCTCCTCTGATGCGACCGTGAAAGTTTGGGACCTATCGGCCGGAGCGTGCCTTGCGACGCTCGTTGAACACCAGGACTATGTGCGAGCTCTCGCGAACGTCAGTAGCCGACAGTTCGTGAGCACCGCATACGACAATCGTATCATTCTGTGGGATCTAGATCGTATGGTGGCCTTTTCTGAAATGAGAGGCGATGAAAATGAGTCGATCTATTGCATTGCTTCAGCGCTTCATCGGGATGGTGCACTGAACGGCTCGGCAGACTGTTTTGTTGTCGCCGCAGGGCACTCAGATCGATCTATTCGGCTGTACGACTTGCGAACGAGTCGAGATGTCATGAGGCTGCATGGACATGCTGATATCGTTCGTCGCATTCGACTATCTTCGAACGGACTTTTGTGTCTTAGTGGCGGCAGCGACGGGGCGGTTCGGCTCTGGGATATTCGGCAACAGCGTTGCCTCAGTGTCTTCCACCACGTTCATGAAGACTCTGTGTGGTCGCTTGATGTACCACCGTCTTTTTCGTGGTTCGTGTCCGGTTCACGTGACGGGACTGTCTGCCGCACCGATCTCCGGAATTCGAAAGAGACACGAAGGCTGTTCGAGCCCGACGGGCACTCGGCGCGCAGAGAGCAGGTATGTGACTGGTCTAAGGCTGTTTTAGATGTTTGCATTGCACCGACAGCCAACTATTCCTCCAATTTATGGATCGGATTTGGTGAATCTCAACTCCGATGCGTTTCCATGAAACATCCAGATCCGACTCATGAATGCGTCATTGAAGGGCTCCCATCCGTAGTCGACTATCGAGTCTTGAACAATCGACGTCACGTTTTGGTCCGAGATAGCGAACATGGCATTCACTTGTGGGATGTATGTCGAGCGCTGAACATTCGAAGTTTCGGTCGCGATCGAAGCCTTGATGATGTCATCGCAGAGATCGATGAGCTCGTTTACGTGCCGTCCTGGTTCAACGTGGACACTCGTATGGGTAGCCTCGGTATCCGTTTGCGCAAAAGCACTGTGAGCGACGCAGATGTCTACGCAGTGGATATTGGTCTGGAGGCCGAATCCGAAGACCAAAAAGTCAATATTGGCGAGCACACGCTCCGAGGGCTCTTTCACTGGTGGCGAAAGCAGTGGTTAAAGCGCAACCCTCATGTAGCGGAAACCTTGAATACAGGTTCGGGCCAATCCAGTGATACAGGATCAACGACGGCGGAGAAGAAAGCTGCGGTACTTACACCATTTGTTTTCCCCGGCGACATTCCGGTGGTGGTCAACGAGCAGGGCCACATCGAACCTCTGATTCATAAGCTTGCGCATCGCTTTGATGGATCCGAAATTGAAGAGCGGCTCATGCCTTCATGGGTCATCGACATTGTCGGACGAAATCGCACGCTTGCCAAAGAGCAAGTCAAGATATCGTTCGGTCTGGAACCCGCCATTGGGAGCACATTACAGAGCCTTCGCCAGAGCAAACTGACTGCACCTCGAATATTGCGAATCCGCAAAGCCATGGCGTACGTTTCCGCGAAGCTCTCCGAACAGACAACGTCTGCGAATCAACGGGCCTCGCCTGGTGGTCACCGAGGGGCCCTGGGCGCCAGCCGGGCCGCCACAGATGCCCTCTCGTCCGAGCCGATAGTCCCGCCCCCGCAGGAGATCGAAATACTCTGCCGAGGCCACGTTTTGGATCCCAATATGAACCTGGGCACCGTGCGCTGGCTCATCTGGAAAAGTCCGAAAGACCTCGAACTTACGTATCGCAGACGTGGTGAGCAGACAAGCAATCCAGCACCAGAATCGCATCCGGTGCCTTAACGCAATCAGCTCATTCCAAGCCGCATGGAACTTCAATTTCATGTATCCGGCAACTTGTACTGGGACACGATACGCTTCGCGTACTCGGGAACATGAGCATCGAGCTTCTCCGGGTATCGGCGCCGCACGTAAAGATAATTTCTGGTAAAATGGCTGTCGATGGAGAAGCGAGCATACTCCAGACCCTTTGGGCCAATCTTACCGATGATGATGGCCAAAAACTCAGCGATCCATCGAGGCAGGGTAAGCGCTCGATCGTAGGCAGTGATCGACTGCTGGACAGCAGCGCGTCGATCGCCGCATGCGTCGACGGGGCCCTCCTCCAGACCGCAGACCTGTCGGGCGAGCTCTAGCATCTCCAGTCCGGTTTCGTTCCGTGCAACAAGCCATTGCCATCCGAAAGGTGCCCCCATGTAACCCACCACGAGATCCGCTAAACCATTCACATAGTCAAAACAAGATAGACATGATGGAGCGAAAACTTCCTTCAACTCTTGTGTGTTCAGCGCAAAAAAAGGTACGATTTCGTCCCACTTTCTTCCAGGGCCTCCAATCACGGAATCATCGTGTTTAAAATGGACCCGAAAGTCCTGCATGAACTCATAGTAGACGACAGTCTCCGGTGACGATGAGGTCGTATCGAGAAACTTTTGAAGCCCGGCTCGCGTCACATTATCCACGCATGGAGTCCCTAAAACGTAAAGTTTTTCGAGTCCGATTCGATCTTGAACGGATCGGAGCGCTTCCACCTGACAGCCTACGCCAATGAAAAGCAGACGTTTGATACCGCTTCGTTCTACTGCGTCCAGCACGGACAGGTTTGGTGACAGCGTCGGCTTGTTCACCCTAGCCGCTAAGATTTCAGCTCGATTGCGTGCAATTACCGGCACGGGCTTGAAACGATCGTCCTTGCTGCTCTGGACGCACACCACACCCTCAACGAGACCGCTTTCTAGCATTGCAATAGCAAGCGATGAAACAATGCCTGTCCACTGGGCGCCAGCAATAGGCTTCTTCTTGCGTGCAACCAGCATGCTCTGGAATACACCAAAATAGAGCTCATCTTCGGAATCCAGAGCGCGACTGCGTCCATGCACCTTTTGCTCGAGCTCTGCAATGTGCTGGTTCAGGAACGCGCAGCTGTCGCGCACATAGGTGATGTAGCGGGTATCACACAAGCCGCAGTGAGAGCACAAACTCTTGGCCGGGTAGACTTTTGTGTCGTATGCGCCGCCAAGGCCTCCCCAGTTAGACAGCCGTCGATGGGGGGCTTCCGCTGGTCCAACAGCGCCCGTCTCCTGGTTCGCGTTCAAAACGAACCTCACGTTCCGCAGAGAGTTCCCCTGCCGGTAAGCCGTCCCGCGACCAGCTCCTTTCCGTGGCTGTGCTTCAGATATCGCACAGTTTGGAGCAGCCGAACAGCTCTGCGTGGGTCCCCAAGCCCCAAGTTTGGGACCTAGGAACGCTAGGCGACCTCGGAAGCTTCTCCGTGCAGCCCGCTCGGTGCGCTCGCCACGGTTGTCTGTTTCCAAGCTGATTGATCCTCCAACGCTAGCTGGGAGCATAAGTTTGTGCTGTTGAAAAGTTGCAAAGGTTTTTCACGTCCAGACCGGTTGCCTCTAGCTGATGAGGCAAAAGTGTCACGAGGCTCGAAAGCACACTGTTTGTGCAATGAAACCCGTGATGCTGGGTCGAATGCATTCGGAGCGCGGGCTTGTCGAAGAGGCGAAGTTTTAGGTGCTGCTACCAGAGCACACGTGGAGCAGGCCAGTGCGGACTGCTCTAGTATAGTTTTGCACCTGTTACGAGCAAACTTCGTGGGTGTATTGAAAACTCAGCGTTTGCTGAGCTTTTTCACGGTTGCGGAACTTTGAGTTTAGAGCTAATGTAAGAGGTGTGTGCTTGGATTGATAGCTTCTGCTGTAGACCAGCGCACACAGAAGCTTTTTGAAGTTTTCGCAGGTATGCTCAGTGGCCTGCTGGCACTGTATTTCGTGCACAACTGCTAAAGAATGCGTTTGGTCGGAAGCATGAGGCTTGTGCAGTAGATTGCGCCTGCAGCTGAGCAGTGCAAGAACAAGCGTTTTTACTATTTTCACAGGGGCGCTCAGCAGCCTTTAAGCACTCTGGTCAACATCGAACACGGCTGGAGTGCGGCAGAGGCTCCGCGAAGACTTGCGTTGGCGTTTCACAGACTATTCAGACTTTCGGCTCGGAGTGCGCCCTTTTGCATCTCTTGGGCTTGGTATACCAGCCAGTTTCAGTGAATGAGGGAGCTGCGTTTATTCGTTCTTCTGATGAGTATTCAGCTCCCACCGAAATCGTGCAGATTTTCGGGAAACTCCAAGGTATTGTCTCCTTGTACAAGGTCCACAGAGCAGGCAAGTTCCAGTTGAAGCTCATGGGAAAGTGTAGCCGAGGCTGCCTCGAAGCGTAAGGTCCTACAGCTACTCTACAGTTTCTGGGCTCACACTTCCGCAGGCTCGTGCTCATAAAGTCTTAAACTTTTTGACCTTGTGCACTCGCGTCTGCGTCCAATACAATCCTTACTGTTGCCAGATGAAAGAAGCGCCCCCGCTTCCGGAATCCACGACTGATATTGCCGCACTCTCTTTATTGCAGCAACGGCTCCCCGGTGCAGTCACGACGCTGTGCCAAAACCTAGCTTGAGGTGGAGTTTCGAGGACCCACACTTGCCATTGGCTTAAACATCTTGCTCAGGCCCACGAGGCTGTGCTTTGCCCCGGATGAAGCACGCGGATGTCAAAGTCCGCCATGATCGAGATATGATCCGAGGACCAGCGCGGATTCGGGAGCGCGGTATATTCTTCCCCAAGTAACCGCGCCTCATCGAGGATCTCAAGCGTTCCAACCGGCACGATCTTGTCAGGAGTAAAAAAGATGAAATCTAGGGTCCCAACAAAGTGTCCAGTATAGTTCGTATATGCAGGCTCCGTGAACTCGCCTCCTAGACCGTACACGGATCGAAGCAACATGTTATGTTGACATGGAGAAATTTTCAATATTTCAAGCATCCCATCAATAACATCTGGTCGTTGACCGCTGACTTCGTTTCCTACTACCAGTTCATATATAGAACTCTCAGGAAGCGAGTTGAAATCGCCTGCGATGAGAAGCGGAAGGTTGCGAGGCCCAATGTAACGTTCCGCCTCTTGCAGAAAAGTATCTACTTGAAAAAGTTTGACATCCGTTTGGTCAGGATCCCAGAAAATATGCGTGTTCGCGACACAGACTCTGCTGTTTGTTGCAGTATCCTCGAGAACAACAAGCAAAGCAACATTGTCTTTCATAAGTCGATTGAGTAGACGTTTTTCTTTCACCTTTTCGCGGGCTACCGTACTGTACTCAATCTCGTGTTTCTCAATAAGTTGAAAGCGATCCCGACGGTAAAATGTTGCACATCCATCGACTTTGCCCTTACGCCCCATGGACTCTCGCATCTTCGCTTTGTATATTCCCTCGTAGCCAGCGCGACGCATTGCTGGGTTGAAATGCTCTTCAAAGTGATCCGCCTGGATCTCCTGCAAGCAAACCACATCAGCCTCAAGGCTCAGAATTTCCCGCAGCAGATTCCGTCGGCGATAATTCCAAGACAGCGCCCAGTCTGGGCAATATGAGTAGAGGTCTGAATTCGCGTATATCTCTGCCAAGCAATTGTATGATAGCAGGCGCAAAGGGAAGCAGTTCGGTTCACCACTGCAGACGCGATCCTTGACGGAGTAATCACAGTTTGTGTCGGCAACCAGAAACATGCGCCTCTCCGGAGGCGGTGGTGGAAACGGTATGACCGGTAGAGTTTCAAAGTAAACTGGCGGACCGATACGGATCTCCTCATTGGGCACTTTCCAGATATATCGACACTCGAGTACAAGAGTCCTCCCGATGTCAACCATAGTGGGGGCATAGTTCCGCACAAAACCACATTCCACCAACTTCGAGTCATTTTCCGGCGGAATCTCGCACACCAAGGCTTCGTCTCTGCTCTGGTCGATGCGTAATGCATTTTTGTTGCGAAGCGCGGGCTCTCTGCGGGCCTCCTTTTGTTGCTGTAAAACACGAACTCTCCGCCAGAGTTCCCGAAACGTTGACCATATATCTATGATCTCAGTACTTTGGTGAAAATACGCGAGTCCTGCTATATTAGCAACGGATGTATCTCCTAGGCGTTCCAGCTCAGTACGGACACGTCCAAGCTCCAGGCACTCAAACTGGGCCGGCAAACCCGTCTTCGCGCACACAAACCGGTACTCCCGACGATACCAACGGTACTGTGCTGCTAAGACCCCTTTCGTTCGCGTTTCCATAGCTTCTGCTGTGCGCTGATCACCGTTCAAGTCCTTAAGAAGAACAAAAGGTGTCAGTTCACACCCCTCCACAGGGGTTCGCGTCTGCAACAGCTCTACTCGAACAACTGCAGGTTCGTGCAGAAGCTTGCGTGAAATCGGAGTCGCAAAGCCTTCCTCATTCGTTGCAACGGGAGGTCTCTCTTTCTCTCTAGGGTTAGGTTTGCTTAGCGAGGAACCTGGTTTTTCTTTGGAGCTCATCTGCCGAACTCTGTATCGGAGTTCGACGTCTGCCGTAAGTAACCCATCCGCAAGAAGCCGCGCCTCTTGGTCGAGTCGCCGATCTGCAGCAACTGATGTGCGCGCGCCTCTGTCTTGCGGCACATCAATGCGTGCTTGGACGCTGCCTTTCATGCAGATGACCTTCACGCAAAAGGGAATCCGCTTCTATTGTAAAAGATCCTGCACCCAAATAAACATCGCAGGCGTACTAATGCCTGTGTGGAGGCGTCCCCGCATGCCGATAAGCTTCAAGCAAAAGGTAATTCCTTGCTCGTATCAACGATTCCACGGCATATATCTCTTGCGCCTAGCGATTGCAAAACACTGCAGTCTTGCACCAGACAGGATCGCCTAATCGAAGCAGAACCCAGCTCGGGCAGGCGAACGCAGGAAGCCACAGGGACTTCAATCTTTTCGATTTGGTGGATGCCTCCACGTTCCGCGGTGCCTTTTTCTCTATGCGGATATGGAAAGGAGGTCCTTCCGAGGGACCTGCTTGGTGGACGCGGGCTCCAGCATATTAGCGCCTGCGAAACGCCCGAGATGTCGCCGAGGACGCTGTACGGGATCTTGCATGTACTCGCAGTACACACCAGCGACGATTTTCAACCATCTCAGATAAAAATAGAACCCTGAATTACTCGCTCTGTTCCGGCAGCTCTGTTTCTTTCCGGAATTTTCAGGTGTTTAGCCTTGATATTGGATGTCCAGGAATAATGAATTACGGATTCATACGTAATTCAGGATGCTCGCTCGTCTTTTCGGAACGGTTCCTTCGATGCTTCAATTTTAAATTCGTCGCATGATCGTCATAAAGATCATTCGCGACGCCCTCAAGTCCGGATTCGTAAAATAGCCGATATCATGTAGCAGCTTTCAGGCAAAAGGCTCTACGCGTCACCTAAGCTCGCATGTAGTACGCTCCGGTCACGCGTTTCTCAAGGATTTGATCGTTCGTTTGACACCATCTCCTTGGCATAGCGATTCAGGTTGCTGTTTGGACAAGGCAAAACATACTTCATCGACATTTTACGACTTGTTCGCAAGCACTGATCAAAATTTCTCCGAAATTTTTACGTGAAAAATAGAGTCCCTTCGAATGACATTGTCTCGTTATTCCATGGCTATCGAGGAAACGGCATTCAGCAGCGGCTTGATATGCCTCCTGGGATTCGCTTCCAGAGGCTCCCGTCTCTTCTACTTGCACTGAAAAGGGACTCGTGCTCGGAATTCGGTTATTCCAGCAATCGCTCCCAGTGGAGATCGCATTATCGCTTCGCACGACGGTTACACCGATGGATAGATATCTCTCGACCTTGGAACATAGCCGACGTTCGTTCCGGTACTTTTTTTTCATCTTGAACAGCATCGTGTTCCGCAAATCCTGTGTATCGGACGGACAGCATGCACCGGAGTGTGCGGTAGACGGGGTACTTTTCGAGTGGATCATCTGAAAGAGGCCCGTGTTCGCAGTCGACGGCACCGAGCGCGGGAACAGAAGAAGGCGCCCAGGGGGATCCCTCTGAACCCGTCATGGTCAGGTACCGAGCGATGAAGGAAACCTTCGGACGTGACAGCGCGGAGCTCGGAGGAGAAGACCTGGTGGACGTGCGGAAACACCTGATCACAGTTAAGTATTACTGCAGCAAGGCGTGTACCGAGGCTGTATGCAAAAATGTTGAACGTGGGAAGCAGAGCTCAGATCAAAACTTCTATCTGTGAAACAGCTGCGAAGAGAAAAGCCAGAAGCCGCTAAATCTGGAACCGAGCGCTGTCGTCAACGTCCTTCGACTGCTGACAAGAGAGCTCGTTGGAAAGGAAAGAGACGTTCGTTTGTAAAGCCGGACATAAGAGAACGAGGAACAGGTCGCAGTATCTAGAACATCCCCAAGAGATTGCTGTTCATGGAAGTGGGAAGAGTTCCGAATTTTAGTGTGAAGGTGCGAGTTCACAACGAAGACCCGTTCCATTTCATACTGATGCTGTCGTAAACTCTCCGGAGTAGGGCGGCCTGTGATCGCAAGCGTTTCCGTAGCGCAGAGCGACGGCATCCGGGCACGCGAAAACCGTTGCGATCCGCAATGCCGCTCGACGGCCGTCGGACTGCTAGCCTCGAATCGGGGGATTAAACGCTATCGACGTTCTCGCAAGACACTAATGACCTCGAATAGCGACCGAAGCCGCTTTTGCTCCGTGAACTCTATTCGATCCTGTATCAACTTTCTGAACGAAGAGTTAACGAGCATAGGAATAGCGCCAAGGCTTATTCTGCCTCCAGAACAAGCGGAGCTTTCGGAGCGGAGACAACCCCTTGCTGAGCGTAATTCCGACGAAGGACCTCAGACAGGGAAGCTTCAAAAACCACCAGCTACTGAATATGCCCTTGCGGAGGCTCTAAATGTAATATTCGCGCTAATTAATCAAATAAGAGAGCAGCCGCTCACGGCACAGTACTATGACGCACAGGTGCGGGCACTTCGTGCAGAGCTGGACACACAGCAGGGAACACTCGAGCGACTTCGGGAGGAAAAACTACAGGTCCGCACAGAACTTGCCAAGACAGGCCAAATATTTGAAAAAGAGCGCGAGCAGATGCGTAGATTGATAGAGGAAGGCCGGAGTCAGGTGGAAGCGCTCCGAAGGCAAAACGCAGAGCTATCGGATAAAAAGTTGAAAGCAGAAAGTCAGTCACGGCAGCTTCAGTCGGAAATCCACCACTTGAGGAGCTTCATTGATAGGACACATAGCGTAAGTAACCGTAACTGTGATGATCGTGCGAGGCCATCCAGCGTACCGCACCGGGCGACAAACAGGTATGATCTAGCCACAACCAATACAGTGCACTACGCCACTACGCAACAAAATTCAGATATGCAGAGCGCCATCGCGAAGGCACCATCGGTTCCTTTTTGCTCTGCGACAAAACAGCGACAACAGTATCGTGCGAAACGGAAAGCGAGTCAGCCTAGCCCAGCGAGGGAACCGCATACCAGCTCTCCTGCAGAGAGGCATCCCCCGTTTTCTCCGAAAGCACACAAGGCCAAGACGGTTGGACGACTTCAACAATCCGCGAACAATTTCAAAGAGATTGATCGGAACGTAGATACGGCGATAGAGTTCGAAAGACTCACGCGCGAATGTGATTGGCTGCGTCATCAGCTCGACTGGTATCGAGTTATTGTCGCGGAGCAGGAGGAACTCCTCACATACGCCATATCGCATTCGTAAACCAATGTGCGTAATATTCTGACGTTCAGTAGTATTTATTGAGGCTAGTTAAGATTCCAATACGCTGTCTAGCCCAGGATCGTGACCGACATTTCGTGAAGCCGGCCCCGAGCACCTCCGTGAGTCCACACATGATTGCCAAGCATCCGCAGCGCTCGGCTCACGTCGAAAAAGCCGATTTTGGTCATGTGCGCCCAACCGCTCTGCAACCAAGAGCTCGACGGTACCACCTAGGAAACGACGACTTTCCAGAATATGATAACTCCCTTCTAGATTCTCGTCTAGGGCGCGCTCGAGGTCACGATTCCATCGACAGTCTTTGGCTGTTCTCTGGACGAGAGGCGCCACCACATCCTGATATGCTGCAATAAGTTTCGCATTCGAGCGAACATGGTCAAGAAGGATGAGCCGTCCGCCAGGGCGGACGAGTCTCAAAGCAGTCCGAAGTGCTGCATCGAGGTCCGGCATGGTGCAAAGCGTATACGCGCAAAGCACACAGTCGAAGGCCTCCTCTTCAAATGGTAGCGCCGCAAGCAAGTCCGCATGCACTAATCGCAGTTCGAACGGTAGGTCTTCATCGAGATGGTAAGCGCGTTCCCGGGCTGTCTGCAGCATTTCCGAACTTGCATCGAGACCAACAATAGACTGAACGAGCGGTTTTAGTGGGCGCGACGCCTGACTCTGGTGGTCTTTCTCCCTTTGGATGAAAGAGCGAAGAGATATACCCGTTCCAAAGCCAATCTCTAACACTCGGCCAAAAGTGTAAGATATTGCGAGCTCGCGTGCTTTGTCCAACCCACTGAGCTTTGTAATGCAGTTTCTATCATTCAGTGCGTCGTAGGTGCTTGCCCACTGGTCGTAAAGCGGCCTCGACGATTTCGTAGCTGAACCAGAAGCCTCACCTCCGTGGGCCCCCAGTACACCAGAGGCACACGAGAACGTGAGGAAGCACCCCAGACTCCAGAGGAAGCGCCGCCGCTCATTCGCGTAGCCACAACAGCACCAAGTCCTCAGCGAACCTAGGCCGGATTTCCGCGACAAACCTTGTGTTTTCAAGTCGTTACGGAAAACGTCAGCAAACGGTTTGTTCTGCAAGGTATGACGGGCAACATACTGAAGCCACATTGACAACCAGCAAGGTGATCAAAGGAGCGAAAACGTTTCGCGACCATAGAGGACATATATTCACTGACTCGAAGCTGCCTCCCGAACTCTATCTACCGGCCGCCTGTTATGGGTTTCAGCTTGTTTTACACATAGAGTATGAAAGGCTGCTCCACGAATTTCGTTCGCGTCAACTCCGCCGGTCTTGTTTTTAGCACTGCACATCTCCTGTCATAGACGGCGGCATTAAAGTCATGATTCACAAGCTCCATGCGTTTCTTGCCGTCGTTGGTTGTACGCACCAGTGCAAGCAATCCTCCAACTTTCGCCCTTCTTCCCCTTTACTCTTCCGTCAGCACTACGCATTTTCAATATCCTTATGGCTCCGCTGGCACTTTACTATCTCGACCCTCTGAAGTGTACATCCCAGCTCATGGTGTGTATAGGACGTCCGGAACTGATCTATAGGTATTGTGACAAAACGGTGTGCGCACTCCTTGGACGCTCTTGTCGGTGGAGCAGGTATGCTTCTTTTTTGGACACCCTGCGCCCTGCTCTGTATGCTATTACACGCCTCTGACTCTTGTCCCCCTTGAGGGCGCTCATCTGATTCAAAACGTTAGCGAATGCACGCTGCTTCCCACAGTATAGATTCATACGCAGACGAGCCCACTGGGGCTTTGTACACTCGTTCCAGAGCGCCTCGTCATGAGCAACGCAAATTTTCGTGAACTCCCGAAAAGCTCTTAAGTCCGCTCCGCGACTCGTCTCCTGGCTGATCGCTTCCAGATTCTCTTTCACTCTTGCACTGCACGTCTCACATTTCGCCCTTGCATTCATTAAACCCGAGTCTCGGTAATGTCTTGCTCTTGAGCTCTTTACAAGATCCAAGTCTTTCTGACTTGAGATACCGTCAATGCCATCTTCCCCATTTTTGTGTGCCGCGATGGTAACGATATTCATGTTCCCGGGCCCGCGCCTATGACAAAGTCGTTTTTCTGCACTTCCCGCGTCGCAGGACCTGCCTCGTTCACATCTTCATGCTTCGCCGAGGGCGATATCGAAGACGTACAAGGGCGGCCCGCTTTCAAGCGCCGATAATGAACACAAATGAAGACTCTATCGGTGTCGATCATCCCGGTGAATAGTTTTTTTGTTCGTTTTGATACGTTTCAAATCGAAGATATTCTTCCAGTACGTCTCCTGGTTTTCGCCGGTGAACTCTATATTCCGTATATCGAACTCCGGAGTGATCTCCTTTATGTTGCCATTGAGCGCTGCGGAGTCGATTGGAACAAAATGTCTTTTGATGTTCCAAAACGGGACGACGTTCACGCGCTTTTCTAGTAGGGAACTCTTCAGTTTCAACGACTCTTCATTTTTCGCACACTCTGCTCCATCTCCGCTTGCGTTCGAGTTCTCGATTCAGAAACACTAAACACCACAGAATGATGGGATAACACCTGTCTTCATCCATTATTATAACTGATACCCTTTGCTGCTGGGTTGTCGAGCCCCAAGATCGCACGGTGCTCTTGAATAGCGGCATGTTTCACAGAAGCTTCATTCATGCTCCAGTGTGATGCCTTCTTGTCGAAGAATTCGATATCCTGTTCCTTCTGTCGATCGTTCGTGATGCCCCCGATGATGGCCCATATCGCTTTGTAAGACAGGCCCGGGTACGGCACGAAGACAGAGCGTATCAAGAAACGTTCGAGGTTCATGGTCACATGGTTCTGTAGGATCGTGAAGTGCTTCATCGCCCCGTATGCGTAAATGCGCCAGTCACCCCTGTATCGAGTACGGTTGAAGCGGAAGTCGGCGATGTTTTCGCGGAGGTCGTGCACTCGCTCACTTTTCCTCGACGTTTCCCCTGTGCCAAGCATCAGGTGACGAATAAAAGTCTTGTTGAAAAACTCTTCCAGAGCCTCGACGGTTTTGATGTCCATAACGTCGAGATATATCTCCTTCATCAAATGCATTCGTCCTGAAGAGTCCCTTATCATACTCATCGAGTACGACTCGACAAGCTTTCTGACGGCCTCTAGCAACTTTTGCTTGTACGGATCGTTGATATGTCCAAGAAGACAGGCTTTCACCACCATCTCGTCGCAGTGTCGTCTTTCTTGCAGCCTTTGACGTCGCGCCTCCCTCTTTTACTTCTTGGTCTTGTCTTGTCTCACTTTGGTCGGGACTCGTTTCCGTCGCTCCCGCCAGCCGGCGATACCGGTGTTTCGAGGACCCTCCACTTCCATTTCCATAACTATCCTTTTTATTTATTTTTGCAAATGAACGCACATTGATCGCTTCTGCTATAAACCGCGAAAAATCATTTGAATACACTCACTTCGGGGTAGAGACACGATTCAACTGAAAAACTATACTTTGCTACGACTTCAACGCAGATGCAGTTTGTACTTTAGGGCTACTTCCTTGAGCTCGCCATGCCATGCCACTGTCGTGAATAAAATAAGGCCACCAGCAATAGTGTACGCTCCGAACTTGGCATCGCGTGTTTCCAGCCGAGTCTGCGAACGATCAGGACTGCGATTCGCCCATACGGCGAGATACCCGCCGTATCTTATACCTGCCAGATATGAAGGAGCGCATATCAAGCGCGCTTTATAGAAGAAAGGAAGTATAAGTAGTGGAACTTGGGAGTGAGTATAGCGCAGCATGCTGGACGCTTCCCCGAAGGTCAATGCACATCTATCCCGTAATCCGGGATCCATGGTCAATGTACGTTTTGTCAAACGAAAAAAAGCGGCAGCAGTAGCGCCATGTCACGTGACATCAGTTGCGTCGACGACGGAGCGCATCAGGCGGCGCTCCGGTGCACCGCTACAATCACCTCGAAGCAGACGTCGCCTCATCAGGAGCGCCGATCAAGTGATGTTCGACTCTCCGGCTGGTATGACGGATCCGAGATGGTCGCCTCCTTCGCCAGGGCTGTCAAGTTTGGGCAGAGGTGAGTTTTCCTCGGGGCTAGACGGAGTCTCGGGGAGTAGTGGACGTTTACGAGACGCGTCTAGTTCAAAGCCGAGCGTGAACGAGTTCGTGACGAAGGCGGCCCGGTCGCCTGCGGAGCGTCTTAGGGCGGACCAGAGTCAATTGGAGGAGTTTCTGCGAAGACGGGAACAACAGTTGGCCGCTATTACATTAACTATTCGAGCAAAACGATCCGGTACAACGACAAGTGTTAGCGCTTCTCTTGAGGAGCTCGAAGGCGCGCGACGGAAGCTCGAAGTTGATCTATTTCGCGCGCGACAGGCGCTATTCGCGCTCCAACACCAGGCAGAGACAGAAGTTATTCGGAGCAAAGTCGCCCTTGAGGAACTCGATGCGGCTCTAGGTATTCAAGACGCACAGGGGTTGCACAAAGTACCGCAATCTTTTGCCGCCGAGCAAAAACCGCGGCCTACAGAGCACATAGAGCGAGATGACTTAACACTAAATGACATATCGCTCGCGCTGCAAAAGCTCCGGCGCGAAGAAGCGGAGCAGCGTATTGGAGAGACTCGAGTAGCCATAAGAAAAGCGCTTCATTATGGCGCTGAGTTGGCGAGTCTCTTTCGTGAGCCTGAGCGCCAAGGTCTGGATCAAGTTTTCGACGAAGCGCTGTTGATGCCTTTTCAAGACCGAAAACCGTCAGATCTACCTCGAACCCCAAAGTGCACTATCTTCGCTTCCGATACGGAGCTAGCTCACAAGCGTCGGCGACTTGAGATGGCACCTACAAGAGATTACGTGAAAGTTCTCCAGCCAGACGCACATACACCGTTTTTGAACAAGGTAGACGCGTGGCAGCGATTACAGCCTTATCACGTCTTCCTGGGCGAGGTTAAATCTCCTGGGTGTGGTCTATCAGATCAGGATCTACTGGGCACGCACGGAGACAAACCTTTCGAGGCAAACCTGAGGGAAGTTGTCGTGCGAGCTGAGCAGCGCTTTTCTCAACTTTTGTCTTGGTATGAGACTGCCACGGCGAAGAACGATGTTTTCATCGAGACGAAGCCGTGAGGCGCTACATCCGCTGTTGCTATCCAGCTTTCCCACAGATGCCTCTAAGCGCTGTAGCTATGACAAGAATCGCAGACTTTGGGCCCGTCGAAACGTTATTTTTGAAGGTTTGGTTGCGTGTAATGATAAGAAACGTATTCGGAATGAGCCCAAGTCAGAGTTGCGCTTTCGTGTACCTGTCCTCTGTACTATCTTGGGAGATTAAAAACCGAATCTGCGTACTCGCGCCTGCTGTTTGTGAATAATGCTCAGTTGCTAAAGTGCTTGGCTACTCCGCTGCCAAATACCAGGATGTTCACATTCTCCCGGAAAAGTGAAAAGGTCGTCATGATACCGCATGAGGTCTCTACACAAAGCGTTCGCGCCTCGCGACAGCACCAGCATGCTAGCAGATATATTTAGAGCAGCGGATTCTGGAATAATTATACCACTAGGCTCTTATTGTGTTCGTTTTTTGTTCTCTCAGGTATATAACACAAGGCATTTCTTGTTTTTATTGGAAAAAGGTCGCGGAAAGATGCTTTGCTGTCGTCGCTGGCTTGCGAAAAGCTGCTTTACTTATAGAATTCAATCATTCTAAGGTCAGCAGATGGATAAGCGACCCTTCTTGTAGTTCTTATTCTGAATGTCATGCCAAAGAAACATATCTCATCAAACAGTGCCTGCACGGCTGTCTCCTCGTCATTCCATTTCACTCCGTAAGCTTTCTAATGAATTCTGCTGAATAATCAACAGGATACTAAGTTTCCTAACCGTTGACACGTACGGTGATGAAGAGACGCTGGTGGCCGAGGCGAAAAGCACATTTCTGCGCGACACCGTCGCGCGTTGAATAGCGCTTGATCGATTTCACACTGAAACGTCAACGCTGAGTCCAAGAGAGACGGCTGCTCGTCGCACTCGATAAGAATTCATTCGGGAGAAGAGCCAGACATGCATATGGGAATTCAAAGAGAGGCTCACGGCTGTTATTAAAGAAGAGCCAAGTCCGCATGGCCACAAAACGAGACTCATCGGCGATGCATTCGTGAGTCAACGACGAACCGCTCGACCGACACCACGGTTCAGCACATTTTGCTACGTCGAACCATTATAGAGCTTCTGCGCTCCAGATCCATCTGTTTCGCTCTCAGACAATGCCGCTTTCCATCAATCGCAACCGGACAGAGAGGAAGCAGCTACGATCGGCGTGGAGTTGCTCTTCGTGCCAGTATGTTCTCCATCGAAAAATCCAGTCGAAAACGTCTTTTCTGCCGTAAACCTCCTTTTTTATGCTCGCGGATCAAAAGAAGAGCTGCTCTCATCCGTGAAGACGTGTCCTTCGGTGTAGCGTTCTCTGCTTTGAGTAGCCGTGGACTGCTGTGTTGCACATCCACTCGAGCACCGGAGCAGGCGGAGGGGCACGCGTCGGGCCGTTGTCGCCCTCGCGACGGAGAGCATGAGGAAACGTTCTTGAAGAACAGTCGCTACATGCATAGTAAAGGCAAGACTCAGTGCCGCCGTCCATCCAGAGCGTCTGGAATCCGAAAAAAACGGATATTGAATATAACGGCAACATTCATGCGGCGCCGTCAACTTAAGGTGAAGGAGAAGAAACTTCCAGAAAAAGAAGGATCCTCTCGAGAAGAGGACGAGAGGTGACAGCAAGTAAGCCCCTGCAAAATCGGAATGACCAGGCTGAAACACTTTTCGAGGCCTCACTACCCAAACACATCAACTGCGGGAATCTTTTAAAACTTGTCATGCATAACGCCATTCGGATTTGCATAGCCTTCTATTCGAATTTACCTCGGACAGCTTCCGCGCTTGTACGGAGATTGACGAGCACCTCCTCGGGGGCGTTCATGACGCAGGGCATGCCTGCTGCACACATCGCTGTGGTATCTTTCGATAACTCCTTTGTGCAACAACTGGTGCTCGGCGCTGAACGTACCATACAATCTGATTTTCCTGGATTCGGTTTCATTGGGAATGGGACGTGATGGAGGCCACGAGGTACAACCACCGGTCGAATGATGGTGTCAGGACCCATCGCGACGTTCCCTGCCCTGTATCGAACAGGGGAAACGCTCTGGGCGCTTCATTCATAGCTTACATGAGCGTCCAAATGGCTCATATGGACGGTTTCGGGCACGGGTGGGGGTGCATGCGATCGGGCTGGGTTCGCCAGCGCTTCCGCGTGTACGGGTACATCAGGTGCACATTTCCCAACATATTCACTTCGTTGGACGCAAAACTTGCCAACATACCGCGTCGGTTTAAGGAAGCCTAGATTGCTGCACGTGCTGTAGAGCGTGAATACTGCACGCTCGCGCCCGCTGCCGAAGCGTTCAAAGACCACAGGAATCGATATTGTACGATCTCCGTCTATGACTACGAGACGACGTACATTCATCACAAGCACGCTTGTATGCTGAATCAGTTAGAGAACAAGAGCGTGAAACAGAGCCAGATGCTCTGCATGCTGTACGGTACGCTAACAGAAGGACAGACGGCGAGGCAATCACATGTGAACGGATTGCTGAGATGGGATTTCACCAGCGACGCAGCACGAAAGCACTTTTCTACACCGAGACTTGAACGCCCTGATCAATATCCGGCAATGTCTGGTGCTTCTGCAATGTCCAGCGGCTTTGCATCTGGCGAGATTTTGCGGAAATATTTCAGTACTAGGTGTGAGCAGTTCGAAGAAACACTGAAGACTTTCGATGAAAAGAAGCAGTGATCAGGAGAGAGGTCATTGGGTTCTCGCTTCGGCCATGGCACAGGGACGGTTCAGTTCAGCATTTTGCCAAGACCGGAGCGCCGTAGATATACACCGGGAGAAATTTTTCGGGAATACTCGTGAACCACAGTAGTGTTCTGCTATTCAACATCACTATGTACAGGAGCCTCTCCGTTTTATCACATTTAGGGCGATCCCTTACCCAATACCTGGACACAAATCCTGTCTTATTGAATGCTGGTGGGATACTCTTCAACAAAGGAACAGAAACAGTTGTAATTTCGCTGTCTTTTTGTACAGCACCTCGATGACAGGGTAAAATATACGTAAATGCTTTCACATAGCGCTTCTTGCCTCGTCTACACAGTCCGGTCCTGCTGGTCTGTTTCAGGGTACGAACGAACGATCGAGTTCATGTCGCTACTCAATGGAACGTCGACGGAAACTAATGTTAAAGCGATAACGCACTCGTACGCCGCCGGAGTACGTCGCCATGCTCAAAAAGTTTGCATCTTCTGCAAGGGGTGCACAACCTGAGTAACATGAATCTATGGTCAAGCTTCGCCAAACATGTTGATTTATGATGCCCAAAGTTCTAATATACTGCGAATGTATGCCAAAGGATAAGAACTATGTTGCTTCATGGTAACACAGTCTGTGCAGCCTCGGCGACGAATGCCGGACGTTGAACACGTTGGGAGTTGTCACAGGTTCCTTGGAGGACGCATTTGCTCTTGTGTGAGATCAGTGATTTACAGCAGAATCCTCTACAAACATGTAAAAATAAAAATGAACGAGTCATCCGCTATGAGCATACGCTAGAAAAATCGTGTCTTTTACAACTGTCTATAACAGTAGCACGTATAAGCTTCTTTTTACGAATGCTTCCTGGTCATCTCTCTCACATACGCTTCAAATAAGGCGGTATTACAGACTTCCGAGCTCCGTTATCGACAGAAAAAACGTTAAAGGCAACGATAAAGTCTGGATTACGTCAATTCCGGCTGTTGCCAAAGCATTTTTGAACGGAGCATAGATGCGATCTATGCATTGCATGTCATTTTCATCCTCTTTTTATGCTATCTCGGAGCACCTTTCGTAGCAAAGACACATGGTTATCTTCAGGTGTTCCCTAATGTCCATGACAGCCCCTCCTCAAAGGGCTCCTCTTTGGTGCATGTACGCCTACTTCATCGCCCGGTTCATACCTATAACGAATACTGAAAGCGTCCTTGATACCCCGCTCATTATACGCGCGCAGTGCCGTAGTATACTATCGCAAGCTTTTTCATGGCAGTCCCTCGGTAGATGCCATGTCCGCTGAACGCGCAAGCGCAGGCTGCTCCACTGAATATAGGATTTGAGGAACACAATGTCGTCTGTAGTGAAATAACTACCAGAAGGAAAACCCAGACTAAAGATCAACCCAAGAAGCTTCGATTTATCTGCGCTCTCTTTCTGCAGAGCGGCGACGTAGTCCCCATTGGAAGCAATCGCTGCGGTGTCTGAATTCCGGGTTCAAGACCCATTTCCATCCATGTAGAGGAAAAAAGAGTCTCTTTAAATGGATTGCTTGGCAAGTTTCATGCTGCCATGGAATGCCTTTTAATCGAATACCACAGAGCGTGGCTACTTTTTTTTTTCTTTCGAACGAAATCGATTCTTTGGCATGAGTTTGTGGAGAAGCCGTTACGAGACGATGTCGAGTTTTCATCCTCGTCAATGCTGCGGCGCGAATTTCTGCACTTGCATGCTGCCTTGAAGCAAAAAGATCGAAAATTTCGAGCATGCGTCATTTGAACACGTTAAACCTAGGCAAGTTAGAGCAGTAGAAGCTTTTAAGTATGAGTTGGGCGATGATATCGATTATTTGACGAACCACTGTTCGTGGGCTTCGCGAATCATCTTGAATTCGATGAATGAACGAATTCCAGCGGCAAGGCTTCGAGGCAGCAACTCGAAAAAGGCGTGCGAGGATCCAAGAACTGCGTGTAGATCTTTAACCTGTAATTTCTGTGCGTCGAATTTTGAGAAATTATTCCCTAGCCAGTTCGGAAAACAATCGCAAGGCAGGAACAGAGAGAGCAGTTCATTTTTCTATTTCAATATGACACAGGTTTAAAAGCGCTATTGCTTGTACCAACCCGACAAAAGACGTGTGTTCTTCCCCAGAGGCTTCTACAGTGCGCCTACCGCAGGCGAGTGTTCCCGACAGGGATACGGTGACGTTCGATTCAGCGAACCGTTCACTTACCGCGCCTGGCGTGAGCACATGCTGCAATTCTGGAGTATTCGCACCGGTCGCTATGTACTTGCGTGCGTCAGCTCGAGGCACAACGAAGACTACACAGGTGGCAGGAATGGAAACTTTGCGAGCTGGGGCCAACGATTTTAAGCTGAACCTCGTGAAGCAAGTTCTTCTCTCGGAAATGTCTGCTGCAATAACGTGCATGGATGTTCCTGGCGGGAACGACGTCAATGTCCAAAATGTACATTTTATTCTTGCCTTATGTCCAGATCATGAACTTGCCGCTACGTAAGCAGCCGTCGTCTCTACTCCCTGAACAGCATTCACAGCACCGGCTTCGCGACCACCTTTCCTATTGCTCGCAAGGTAAAGTTGCTTCCGCTTTTCGCAAGGAAATCGCTCAGTCTTCTAGCGAGTCGTCACGGTTTGTGGTGCAGTAAACTTTTGGTTGACGATTGCTCTGGGCCAACGCACCACTGAAGGTTCCACGAACGCTCAAGCTAGTTCGTGGCAATCTTTGACATCTCCGTGGCACAAGGACCTATATAGCCTCGAAACGTGGCTCGAGGGCTGTATTGGAACGCACCTTGACCCTCTAAGTTTGACAATCGGTTGGCCACTGGATCTATGAAGGAGTCTGTTCGAATCGTGGTGGTCGGAGACCACTCCGCAGGAAAGACCTCGCTGATCAAGACTTTGATCTCCGAAGAGTTTGATAATGAGGTGCCCCCGACGCTTCCGGTGGTTGTGATCCCTCCGGAGGTCGTTCCTGAGAGAGTGCACGTGTCTATTGTGGACACGTCCTCAAAACCAGCAGACAAGGCCCAGCTGGAGGGGGAACTTCTGAGGGCCGACGTTATCGTCCTTGTGTACGATGTATCAAAGAAAGATGCTCTGCAACGTGTCCGCTCGTTCTGGCTACACGAATTCGACCGACTGCGTCTGGATGTGCCCGTTATTCTTGTGGGTAATAAAATGGATCTGCGCGGGGGCTCGGCCGAGAACCCATCGTATTCCTTAGAAAACGAAATCATGCCTATTATGAACGAGTACAAAAATTTGGAAACGTGCATCGAAGCATCTTCCAAGCAGCTTTTTAACGTAGCCGAGGTATTTTACTTTGCGCAAAAGGCTGTCTTGCATCCAACTGCACCAATATATGACGTCAAGGAACATCGGCTGAAACCGCTTGCCGTTGCCGCCCTGAAGCGGATTTTCCGCTTATGTGATGCGGATCATGATGGAAAACTGAATGATCACGAGTTGAATGAGTTTCAGTTCAAGTGCTTTAATGTTCATTTGCGAAACGAGGAGCTCGTCGGAGTCAAAAACGTCGTGCGCGAGAATGCTCGGAGCGGGCTAGACGCGGACGGGAATCTCACTTTTGATGGGTTTCTTTACTTGCACACTCTCTTCATTATCAAGGGACGAGCAGAGACTTGCTGGACGGTATTTCGGCGTTTCGGGTACGACGACGATCTCCGGCTGAACCTGGCACAGGTTGTACCTGAACTGCGCCGCCAGCCAGATCAAAGCATAGAAATGACGGAGCATTGTCTCAAGTTTCTGGAGCGCATCTTCGGGCTCTGTGATGCCGACAAGGACAATGCACTCTCACCAACGGAGCTAGCAGAGGTTTTCAGCCCTGTGCCGCCGGACGTGAGCTTCCATCTCTACCTCGGAGTCGAGAACGAGTCGAACACCGAGGCAGTTGGAACGCAGTATCCTGTTCTCACCCGGCTGAATCCGAAGGGCCATCTTGAACTGGAAGGATTTATCAGCTGCTGGTGCCAGCGATTCCTTGCTGACCCAGAGCTCGCTCTGCTGAATCTCATATACGTTGGATACGACGGGGACGCATTGTCCGCGGTACGAGTCACGAAGCGCCGACGCCGCGAGCGCCGCGCTACGATCTCGTCACGCACTGTGCTGCATGCATGCATTCTGGGGCCAACCGGGGCCGGGAAGACTAGTTTTTTGCGAGCTTTTGTTGGGAGGCGTTTCAGTGAAAACCTTGCCCACACGAAAGGTCGACTTGCTGCTTCAGCATCCCTGAAAATTGCACTTCCGAATACAGGATCTGCGACTGAGCCCCGAGTGTTGACAAGGACCCTCGTACTCACGGAGATTTCGGACCATGTGGTGGATGAATTCCTGGCGTCAGAGAGGGAGATAGAGTCATGTGACGCAGCCGTCCTAATCTACGATTTAAGCGATGCCTCATCGTTCGGATACGTTGCGCGATTATTTGGGGCGCTCAGAACGATACGACCCGATTTGCCGTGCCTAATACTGGCTAGCAAGCAAGATCTTCCCGCTGTAGAACAGGAGTGGCCGGACAGTCCCTCGAAGTTCTGTATGGATGAGGGTCTATCGTTGCCGACAAAAATATCTTTCCGTGAGAGCCCTCCTGTGCAGGTATATTCATCCGTGGCGATGCTTTGTTTGACACCCACGGGCAGGCCACAAATGGAGTCAAAGAGCACAGTTACAAGACAAGTGCTTCGGTATGCTGCTGGCACTGCCCTGATTGGCGCTGTTGCTGGCTGCGTCTATTTGGCGGGTAAGAAAATTTACAAAATGGTGAAGGACGGGAGGCCAGCGGCGCGCGCAAACTAGGGCGATGCAGCTATACCAGAAAGCGTCTAAAAGATCCCGCCTAAACTTCCACAGAGGCTTCAATCTGGGTCGTACTTAACCCAAAGCGTGTAGAGTGAAGTGTACTTGGATATTCTTGTCGGAAGATAAGATGATCTTGACGGGAACGCGCCATCTAGCTGACTATTTCGGTCGTTTCCGCTTGGACGTAGTGCTTATGCGACCATTGCACTGCCGCCTGATATGACGCTACGAGTTGGGGATGAGGTGCATAATGCGCGTGATACACTTTGCAGAATTTTCGATTCAGGCTGGACGAGGGTTCGAGTATTCTGCAAGATAATATACCATTGTATTGTTGGCGAAATACTTAAAAAACGGCCATTACAGCTAGGGCAACGAAGCCATTTGTGGATCGAGCCGGGTCAGAACCGATGGAGGGACCGCTACTCGGCGCGAAGAACTGCTCAAACACTCGTCCCGCGTAAAAATGGAAATCGAACTGACTGCTTTCTTCCTGCATTTCGATTTGTTCCGAAATTTTCTGGGATGTACAGCCTCGGCATTCAACGAGCAGCAATAAGGACTTATGGATTCATAAGCAGTTGCAGGGATCTCATTCGTCTTTGCGGAGGTCCTATCGAGTCTTCTCCTATGCAATGCGTCTCATCACGGGTACCAAGATATTTTGCAAAGCCCACGAATAACGGTTCATAACACAAATGACATTATTATCCGGTTCAGAAATACGAGCGTTCACTCTTCTAATTTCCGTGCGTGTCGCATCCTCATGTCAAACATTCTCCATTTTCGATCTTGCTTTCTCAAGGAAACTCGTAGGCCCAGAATCACGGGCCGATGCATCCACGAGGAAACAAAAACACGACGTCTGCACTTGATGACTGCTCTACAAGATCATGGCCGATGTTCAATGGGCTGCTCACGTGAAGTAATCGATTCCGTTCGATAGACAAAGCCTCCGCTTCACGTAGCCATCTATGATATGCGATTCCTCAGCAGCAAAATGGCTCTCATGGGGTACGTTGCCTGCAGACCCATTCAAGCTGTTTGAATGGCATATGTTCTTGGACTCGGACGTAAGTCATCGCAGCGATCGCTTCCAATAGAGCTTGCGGTTCTACTTGATGCACCGGGAACGCAGATGAATCGAAAGTTCTCGACTTGCTCTGCTTGTCTGATTTTCCTTCCAGCCTTTGTGTGATCCTGTGCATAACAGCGTTCCACAAATACTTTATCGAATGGAACACCGTGTGCTTGCGTGCGCTTGCGTGTGTAGCGGACAGAGTACTTTTCTACGGGATTGTCTTGAAGAAACCCGTGATCGCTGGGTACAGCACCGGGTGCGGAAATGGAGGAGGGCATCGCAGGGAGCATCCTATACCAGTCGAATACATGTGTAGGGTGACGAAGCAAGGGTTGACGAGCCGCGGGCCGGCAATCGAACGAGGATGTTTGGCGGATGTATGGGTACGGTTGACCACAGCCAAGTGCCACTGGTGCGAAGGGCGCTCCGAGGGTGTCTACAAAGAAGACGAAACCGGGAGGGTAAGTGCAGATCGCAAACTCCGTGCGTCCATGGAATGCGGGAAGAAGATCCGGAGGCACGAGAATCAGCAAACGGGCGCTGTCATCAATATCCTTCGACTGCTGACACCTGAGCTGGATGGAACGGAGCGACCTGCAAGTTTAAGGACCGAGATATTAGATAGGAAAAGGAAGCCGTCGAAGTCAACGCTCGCAGAGGCTGGAGTTGATGGCAAGAGGAACACCCACATGCTCTAGACAGTACGCTCGAGTCAGGTACGCAGACCCATTCCACTTTTATTCTGACATGAGATTAGCGGCCCTAAATGATACGTGGCTACGTTTCTGAAGCATCGCTGCGGCAACCAGAAGGGTATTCGTATGATAACAACGAGCCAAACACGCTAGCATATCGCGTGATGCTTTGAACGAACCATATCTTACAAGGTCCGGGACTCAACGACGGATCCGTGCCCTCCGTCGCGTTCGGAACCGTTGTAGTCGCGTCTTAGCTACGACAATTACAATATTCCATCTGCTTCTGAAAGGGCTGCAGTCACTGGGCGAAGCCTACGAGTCTCTACGATAGCAGGTAAGGTCTCCTCAGTTTCGCGCCTCTGCCTCAGCAATCTGGTCGTACTTATTTCCTCGCATTCGAAACATTCTAGTCTTTCTCCTACACCTCAGATCTCTGCGGAAGCAAAAAAACCCATAATGTACCGCTGTACGTGCGGCAACAAAGCACCTCCGACAAGGATGAAGAGTAAAAACCCCACAAGGTACGGATTGAGATTTTTCGACTGCACACCCTTCGCCTTCGGACCTTTCGACGTCACTCGTGTTACCTTTCTCTCCAGACCACTCGCGACTCGTTCCTGGCGCGCTTGCAACCTCTTTAAGGACACAGGCATCTCTGTCGGTAAATGATAACCGCAAGGGTCTTCCGCCACAACTGCGCACAACGGCTGAAAAGTGTCTCCGATTGGTACCTAATTTGTTCGCGCGTCGCTTGCTCGTAGCTGACGCTCGATTGCCACGAACGGTGTTGATGCTCATGGTTCCCCAGATACAGCAGAGAGCAGATTTCCAGCGCTCTTGATGTCTATAGAGGGTAACCGAGAGATGCTAAACCCGTTGAGCTGTAATTTTCTAGAACCTTGCGAACATGCGCATACCAGATAAGAGCTCGATGAGGATGGCTTTCGGTCCTTGTGGAGAAGCTTCGAACCTTGCCTTTTATTTCACTTTTGGCGGATTCGTTCCTCTGGGGAACAGCATAATCGCTATCTAAGTCAGTTTTGAATTTGATTGAAAGAAATGTGCTTGCGGAACATGTTGCTCCGAAAAGAGCGAACAACGAGCAAGTGATGAAAGCGCGCAAGCGTTTTGAAAGAACGATGCTAAGAATTAAGTAAGGACCTCAGCATTCATGCGCGAACGTTTGCAATCCTTCTTATAAATCTACATCGCTCTCAGCAGGCTGCAGTAAGGCTTCGGTGAAGTCATTCGTGGTGGAAACCCCTAAGAAACCTTCTTTTCGAGCCTGAACGGGCAGCAATCCGATCCGTGCGATAATTCTCGCCAACACAGCCACCTTTGGAGTCCCGCAGTCTCCAGAGTTCATTCAGATTCACCGAGCACCCTATGTTGGGAAAAGTCTAACAAAAAGGACACTCAAGTTTGCACCCTATCGCTTGGGCAGGTCGTAACATCTCCATATAGGTCTGTGCGTTGCATCTTGACTGGGAAAGCTCCACGGCTGCTCAGTGGAGCTAAAACCTTTCGCGACCTGGGGGTAAATAAATAACGACCCACAGACTTCTCACAGTTTTTTTCGAATGGCCCCCTGCCATCGGCTTCAATTTCTCCTTGCACACTTCGAGCCTAAGCGGCTGCCCCACAAAGTTCGTTCGCGTCAACACCTCGGGTCGCATTTTCAGCGCCGCACACATCCTGATATGGATGGGGGCGTTGAAGTCTCGGTGCACGAGCTCCATGCGTTTATCAAGACTGGTAGAATTTTTTAGTGCAAGGATTTCCAGAACTCGTGCCCCCAGTGCCATTTGGTCCTCTGCCAGCTCTCCAGGCTTTACTACAGCCGAGGCGCTCCGTTGCATTCTCTCTATCTGGGCCTTCAAAAGCCTGCGCCCCAGCTCATCCCTTAGATTTTTAATTTTGAAAACGAACGCGCTTCTTATGCCCGAGGTAAGAACCTTTCTGGAGGGAGATGGACTTGCGGAAGAATGGCATCATGTGCCCCGATGTGTCAGCTCGCTGAAAGCTTCATCGTTTCGCTCAGTGTAGCGATCATTACCTTTCAAGATAGAAAACACCCTTTCGATGGGGTCGAACCACGGAGCGTGCGAAGGAATGAAAAGCAGCTCTACATTATAAAATCGGCAAAAGCTCGAAAACAACGTTAGTGGTGGAATACCACATTCTCCGATTGAAGAACTTCGCCAAACATAAGAGCAAAAGTCTTCAATGATTCAACGAAGTGGGTGGTGTGGTATGAGCCCTCTGTACGAGCGAAACTGAGGCCGCTAAATGAATCTACTGCAGCCACATCAAAGGATGCTTTTGTTCGCTTCGAGCTCGATCGTAAACACAATGGACACCCTGCTGCTCGAATACCCATACACGATACCACCGTTTCATCCGAAGGAATTCCCATCAACTGAAAAACAAACCGACGCCCCTTTGCTTCATACCCATCTCTGAGTTTCAGGAATCCTGGTGTTGCGATTCCGGTAGAGAATAACCGTGTGTGGAACTGGACTCTTTTTTTGCGACAGAATCCCAGTGTGTACAGGAACACACGAACAAGCTGTTGAGAAAAAAGAGACGCCCATAGTGGCTCCTACCGTCGCTTTTTGGTTTTAGTAAGGTGAGCAAAGGACTGTTTTCTTTCATTTACCGCAAGCGCGCACTGAAAATACCAGTTTTTCACGCAGAGCGCATCTACGTCTTTCTTGCAGTGTACCTCAGCCATCAAAGAACTGTGTTATGACTGATTTGAATAAGGAATGTAGTCCTCCGTGCACTGTTCAGTAGAGAATACATCTAACAGGCTATCCGCCTGCAATATATACGGATCATTGGATTGTTATTTCGATCCCCTGGAGCATGGAGCAGCGGGGGTAGAATAAAATTGAGTTGGGAGCATTTGAGCGCCGAACAACATGCGTTCGAAACAAGGATTCTGCGGGTATCGTCCGAAGGCTGGATCAATGGACGTCGCATCAACGCCGATTTGGGGCAAACAGCGGCGGCTGGCGATGGAGCCGTGCAGTAGTCGGTCTCTGAAGCGCATCGAAGGACGTCGGAGCTAGAGAAGGCGTGCACTTCCACAAATGACTGCTTTTAAAATTACTTGCTTCGCAGTGAGCACGAAGCGGCAGCTGGGGATAGGAAGGGAAGCAGCTGCGGTTTGCTGCACTCGGCGAGCCACGTGCAGCACGATCGCGCACCACAGAGAAAGGACCCGGAAGCGTTTTTGCTCTTGGTTGGTATCAGAACTACTTAGTCGTGAGGTTTTTGACGAAAAACTTACTCGGAACGAACTCTCTATCGCTTTCGTTGGCATGTCGAACTCTGGGAAAAGTTTCCGCTCTCGGAAATTGGCCACTGAACTCGGTTTCGATATCGTGAGCGTCGACGAGGAAATCGAAAAGTTGTTGCAGCAGGAGCTCGGCGATATTCAGGGAGCGGGCACCGATGCACTGGCAAGCTGGATGGGATTTCCTTTTCATGAGACATTTCGTGAGCGCGAGCGGCGATATTTACAAATAGAGGAAGATATTACTTCCAATGCGCGGCCTCGCAAGAAAACGAATTTCGCGTTAGATACCACAGGCAGCGTCGTGTATCTCAGCACGGAATGTCAGGAAAAAATTCGTCGAGACTATTTAATTGTGTACCTCGAAATTGCAGAATCGTCCATTGCAGAGATGATTGAGACTTTTTTCAAATGCCCAAAACCTGTCGTGTGGGGCGATAAGTATGTCAGACTTCCCGAGGCAAACTCGGATGAGGAGAATCTGCGAATGTGCTATCCAGAACTGTTGCGCTGGAGGGCAGAACGGTATAAGAAGCTGTCCGACATCACTGTGCCCTCCGATCTCGCGCGGTCATCTCAAGTATCCTCGGAAGCGTTTCTGGATATCATGAGGTCGAAACTCCGAGCCTTCTGAGCGTACGCGCCAAAGTCCGCAGATCATTGCTAAGTTGGTTAGAAAAAGCAGCGACCTGAGTTGCATCATCAATAATCGACACGCTACGGTTATGAGGATTAAACCGGAGCTCGAAAGGTTTCTCTACGGATTCAGTGAACAGGCGCAGCTGATCAACCGCATCCTCTATGGATCGAGCAACAAAATATGATGGTTGGTAATCAGTGATTGGATACTCGCGCTTAGCGGCTTCAAAAGCATTCCATGGGAGCGTCTGGGGCTTCCCACTGAGCGCATACTTGAGCTCACCAAAAGACGACAGCAGACCGGCCCCGTATGCCCTGAGCTCCTCTGCAGGTCCCTCGCGACAGAGTCCGAATTCCACGCTGAACCAGTAGCACCTCGAAAGCTTGACAATATCCTCATCAGATGCACCCAGCGATGCGAGACCGAGCAGATGGTTCAACTCTGAAAAGGCCTCGTCACAGAGCATGGGAATGTGACCTAAAAGCTCGTGACAAACATCAGGTTCCGGTGTGTAGAGCGGCTGTGAATGATGTCGAACATATTGCGTGGAGTGAAAAACTCGGAAAGCAAGCCCATTCAAAAAGTCCCGCGATGAGAGTAAACCCATGACGGGCCGAAGTGTCCATCCAGTGCATTCGCTGAGAAATCTGCTCACTTCCGACAGCTGTGGGATGCGGTATGATCCAAAACCAATCTCTCGTTCAAGGAGCTGAATTGAGTGCTGATAACGTCGAGAGGTATGCGTTGCTCGCAGAGTTTTGAGTTCTGTGTAAACTGTTCGCCAAGTATCGAGTTCCGCAGCTGTGTAGTCAACATCAGACAGTGAATCTCCGTGCTTATAGCGCGCCGCAGCATTCGCAATCACCTCACGTCGCTTCCGGTACGCGTCATCCCTGAATCCGGGGTGATCTGCATCCAATTCAGCCCCAAACTGGAGACAACGTGAAGCAAAACGGTCAAGATCCGAGATACGGCGAGGGAACCAGGGCATGCTCAGCGCCACTTCCGCGTTTGAAACAGCGCCCAGTGGCGGTACAGGGCGCTCGCAGCTCCCGCCTTTTTCAACTGCTCCTTGTTCATCGCTACGGGAGGGCATTATATAGCGGACTCTCGCGCCTGTGTCTTCGAGTTTCTGAACAACGCGAGAAAGCAGTGCAGACTTGTGATTGTTCGGCGAGTGGTCGCAGTCAGCTCCCTGAACCTCGCGGGAACCCACGTACTCGGCATTAACTGTAATTTCAAACGCTCGATCGTTTGCGGAGTCATCCGGTAGGGAAGCTTGGCTCCTTATGCCGCTTAAGTTGAAGTGCTCCTCGTCGAAAATACTTAGCGCTTTCCGCAGGGATCCTGGTCTGTCAGAAACGAGGAAGACAACCGTCGTTTTGTTATCATAATTAGAAGCTTTCGTTTGCCCCGCGTGTCGCAACTGACTCAATGTACTGACGCTTGAACAGTAATAGCGGAATAAACCACTGGAACGCTCAACAATATTCGAATAAGGCGACAACAGGCGCAGAACTGTGGAGGACATGCTGCACAAAAACGTCTGGGAGCGTGCAGGATACACGTGAGATTTTGGCAGCTGCCGGCCGTTACGGATTTGGATACGCTCCGCGTGCCGTCATGGCGATCCCCATTGGGGCGGTATATCGAGCCGCTTACTTCTTACCGCTCCTTACGAATAGCATTGTTTATTTCTTACCGTAGCATGAGCGCTCAAGCCCTTTCACTTGCAGAACTTTTACGTCTTAGATCTCTCTCATCTAGTGGAACGAGTCTGGGTTCAACGTGTCCGGGTGCCTCGGCTTGGAGCAAGCGACGCCGCGAAAAGCTCTTTCTTTTGCGAGCTCGCGCTGGTGAGGTCCAGCAAACCTTGTCCCATTCTGGTTCTCTTTTGGAGGAAGCACACTGTTCATTCTGCAGCATTGTGGATACTTCTATAGCTGAAACGGATGGAAATGGGGTTACAGGCTCGGATGAGTCTCAAAAGCAGCGCCTTCGTGCAGCGATCGGAGCAACGAGTCGAAGGACGAGAGGGCGAGCTCCTCGTCGTCTTTCAACAGAAATCCACGGATTGGAGGACGTTGCGCAATTCTGGGCACTATATAAAGCTCTAAGTACGTCGAAAGTGGACAATAAAGTTGGTGTAGATCATGTAAAAATAGACGACATGGAGACAAGAGAGGTGAGCACGTTGCACAATCGGTACTCACCACTGAGCGAAAGCGTTTTGCATACGCCTGATAGAAATTTGGTCTCCGTAGCTCAGCGCCTGAACTTTGACCCGACAGACGATCGCGGTGCGAGTTCCTACACACCAATACATAGTAGCGTCGGCCCAGCTGAGCATCATCAGAGCTCTGATTTCCATTTCGTGAGAGGCCGCAAGCGCAGCAGAATTCAAAGCTCCGAGAGCGAAGGAAGCGCTCGAAATGCTCTCGAAGGGCATTCAACATTGGATTCTCCACAGACAAAGCACCACGAATCCGTTCAAGTGCAACGCCTTGAAATTTGCACGCCAGAAAAATACCGAGCGAGCCAACTGGAACATGGATTCGATCTGAGTTTTGGGGATGATGCTCCACAGTGCGATCAGGGCCCAGTATTCGAATACACTCCGGAGAATCAAAAAGAGCTTTCGCATGATGAGAGCGCAAATCCTGAGGTAAGAATAGTGCAGCTGCCTGCTGAGCCATCGTCAACGGTTACCAAAGCGATCCAAACAGAGAATGAAACCACTTTTGAAGTGGTGAACAGACCCCGGCGTGTGATGTGCGCTGGCGACTTCCTCAGTCAAACTGAAAGAGAGAAGTACATGTCGCATCGGCAGAAAATTAAGTTTACCGCGTCGGATACATTTCGAAACGGGCGCCGCTCGCGCATGCGCGTTCTGAGATTTTGGCGGGGAGAAACTTTGGAGTATGCGTTCAATGAAAGATTCCGATTCCCGACGATTGACTCGGTAATCACCGCTCCGGCGTCGCCACGTGATATGCTGCCAGCCGATCGTCGTCGATATTGCAAAGCAACCCCCAAAAGTGGTTTCCGCACATTTTGCAGAAGCCGCATTGTGACTCCAGAAAGGGCGGCTTTCTATGCGGACGTTCGACCAAATATGCTTTGGGCTAGATCCTAGTGAGTAGAGCAAGCTGATATAAACTTACTCGAGGCTTGCAATTCGTCGACTGAGAAGTCTGCATGAAGTATATTTTTTTTGCGGTTCGCCCCGTTCCTTTGGGGCTGGAAAGACTGGTATCCTTTGGAAATCGATCGATGAATAATGACCAAGACGTGAACTGCACAACACGTATACATAGCTCATACCGAGAAAGACACTCGTTTCATGCTGCTCAGAATTAATCCGAAAAAGAAAGCGTCTGAGACTTCTTGCAAGCTAAGTGAGGTTGAAAAAGGTGGGTGAGGCAGTCACCACGTCTTCCGGACTGCTTTTTAGCAATGCATGGGTGCATTGGTTTTAGCCAACGTAGTCTCCGCGTCCTCGACTTGGGACGAATTGCAACGCAATATCGAATCGACTTGCGAAACTGTCCACCTTGCACAAGGCAACTGAGTAGAACAGTGCGCCGGATCCCGGAGAACGCCTCTGATGCCGTGCAACCTAAAAAGTCGAAACATTGAAATAGGACTGAAGAGACAGTTGGACCCATCAAATGACTGCGCCGAAGCTGATCGGCCATCTCCGGGAATTAAAAATCTTTGTTTAGACAGCCTAACCAATGAACACTTGTTCTCTGCCAGATGAGCACCTTCGCATCGAAAAGAACGACGATTAGAAAGAGGGAAGGGTGCGATTTCATCTGCAAAAAGTTGAAATGCCCCCAACGATAATAAGTGTTCGCACCACAATCGACGATGACCCGAGTTGTGCCTGCTGGATACTGCCACTCTACTATCATACGAGATAATACTACGGAAAGGTTTGGCAGGAATTGAATCTCATATCAAACAAACACAGAAACCGAAGATTCAGTACTGTGTGCAATTTTCCACCAGCGATACCTGCGGGAGAAGCCCCACACACTTCAATACGCTTAACATCTCTGTAGAGAGTCCCGCGGACTTCTACGCTGGGCAGGTATCCGCAAAAATTCGCGACCGTTGGCAAGTCTAGATAGTCTGCGCAGTCCAAGTGGAACCCGTTCCTTCTGCGCAGGTGTGGGCGGCGCTCAGTTCCCGAGGTTCTGCTCGGTCGTGAAGTTCCTCCGGCGTGCCTTTCCATATCACCACCAGCAGTCCTGTCCACTCAGCCAGTCGGATCCCAGATAGACGACGGTTCCCGGTGCGGCAGCGGGTGAGCCACGGCTCCAGCCCCAGACCGCAAAGATATGACCAGGTTGTCCGGTATCCATGTGTCGTCATCGTTGGATACAAAATCCAGAAGAACCGCACATCTCGCTTCTGTTCCACAGAGGAATACCGTTCTGAGGCCGACTAAACGTAGAATCATCTGAATAGCAACCAAGGTTTCTTCCTGACGACAGGCATCTTTCGTCAATTGAGGAAAGCTTGGTTCGTACCGTGGGCCCTATAACATATTTTAGCTGAATTTAGGTCTTTGTAAGGATCGCACTACAACAAGGCCTACATGCGCTGTGCTCAGAGCAGCGAATTCCACATACCTGGAAACACAAATCCTTTCGTTCTCGTTTATTTTTCTCACAGATACTCAACTGAAAACTGCATATTCTAGACTGAAAGGGCCGCAGAAACACGTTGTGCTGTCGCCGTTAGCTTGCGAAAACCGGTCTTGCTTGTCCAAGTCAGTCATTCTATGGTTGCAGATGGCTCAACCACCCTTCTTCTTGTCCTTTTCTTGCACGTCGCGCACCAAGAACATAACTTGAAAAAATGTATCTCCACGACGATCTCGTCGTCAAACCATTTCATAATCCAAGTTCTCCTACAAATTTGGTGTGAGAAGCAAGAGGGCGTGAAGTTTCCGCTCCGTTGTTACGAACGGTGATGAAAAGGTGCCAATAGAAAAGTGAGAACCCCCTCTTCACTTTGATACTGTCTTGCATTGCGAAACACTCTATCGATTTCACACTGAAACACGCACATTTCTTATAGAAAGGGCCGGCGCTTTTCTCACTCGATGGTACTTCATTCGGGAGAAGTTCGAGACCTGTGAATACGTGCTCGGAAAGGGGCAACCCCCCATCATTAGAGAGAGACAATCGAGAATAACGACAATATCAACGCTAATGGGGAGCCACCCGTGTGGTCGTCCACAAAGCGTTAAACGAATGGGATCTGTAAAGAAACCTCACGCTTCGTCGCAGCAATTCGTAGATTCCCCTTTGCACGTATTCCCGTTCCGTTCTCGCTTAACACCGCTTCCCATGACTCTAAGGCGGTCAGGGAGTACGCTGCTGAGATTGAAATTGAACAGCTCTTCTTCCAAGCGTTTTCTGCCTGGTTTAATCCGGTTTGAGGCATCTTCTATATTCTCAACCTCCGTTTCCAAGCTCACGATTCAATAGACCACTTATTCGCATCCGTGACACAGCCGTTCGACAAATCTTTGGCTACATTCACAAACCCCGATCTGCTTTGCTGCTTCTCTGATTGTGGACCGGCAGAAGCCGAAATGCGCACATTGGTCCGTGGTAGTGCTCGCGGCGAAAAACGTGACAAAAATTTACTTAAGGAATTATCGATACATCCATTGAAAAGACGAGATTCAACGCAATTGTCCACCCAGTGCGTATTAGTTCCAAAAAATGCATATGGAATGTAGGGGCCACATTAATGCCGCCCCTCCTATGTATAGCGAAGAAGTTCCCAGCAGACAAACGAGAGGAAACTCCTGCCGAAAAGAGGACAAGGAGCGAGAGGAAGGAAAACTGTCGAAGCTGAAAAACTGCTCTGAAACCATCGTCGGGGCCTCTCTATTGAAAACCAGGAACGGCGAGATTCTTCCAAACATTAGGTATAGCATGCAGTTCGAAATCGCATAGTTTCCCAACAGAGCAAAGGCTGTCATAGCTTCCCTCGTCTTGATGCACCTTGTAAAGCAACTATATGTTCGAGCTCCGGACACGCGGCTGCCAGCTGCACGTCACCCTCTCGTCATATTCGATGAAAGCTTCATGTAACAATACGACTGATGCTCCGACAGAGTAGGAAATACGGATATATCGTAGTATCATATATTTGCACACATGGTTCTCAGAAGGCCTTTAAGCGTCGCCTTGCTGCGTTGGCGATCGCAACACAAGCGTGGGAGCCAGCAAAGATCAAACTAACCCCGAAAACAGCATTATATGTGAGTCAATGTGGGCGCTTCATACGGCACACCCTGTATGTGCTCCAGCCTCACCTGACTGGCCCAGAAAAATGGGGACGAATCGAGGCAATCCTCGGGGTGTCAATAGCGGCAAATAAGGAGCTCTTTGTGGACGAGATCGGATTGGATGTTAGTTTGGGAAAGGTGTCCCAACGAGAGCGAGAGTCGCTGGATAGATTCAAAGCTCGTCTTGTTGGTCTCTGCATCGAACGTATCCTGGTCCAATCCAAAGGATGGCTGAAGCCTGATACCTGCTTTCCTTTCATGTTGCGATTCTACGTGTTCCAGAAGAGAACCCTCAACAGTCAAGAAAAACTTCTTCACCGACTCCGGACGCCCTCGTCCTCTCGAGCGCCTACGCGATGCGGTCGCCATATATGGCTTTAAATCTCATCATAGAATCTAAAAAACATGTGCACTCCAATGTATGCCTTCCTTTGCACGATACGGCTGGTCTCTGGGAACAATTATAAAGCATTCTAACAATTTGTCGAAAACTGCGAGGACCTCATCCAAGTTTTCACGTTTGGAATGAGGATATGGAAAGAATTTTGCAGAGGCAATGAAGACCTAGAGCTTATCAACCTGCATGCGCTTTCTTAGATCAAGGCTTGAGTACGGCAACGTAAGTCATTTGCCACCATTCGGGGTACACGAAGAGAAAGACATCGTGAAGGGAATGGATTACTGTTTGAAAAGGGAGGGGTGTCACGGCCTATACCATACATACAAAACGGAAGAAACAAGCCAAGTACCTGAACGGGAAACAGATGAAGCTGATCAACTTTTCCTCGGCCCTCTATCCTCGAGAATCACGCATGATGGACGTTTTCATACATGCCAGCAAGTGGAACGCATGCGTCAGTATCAAACTCGAAGCTCTAAGCACCGTACTGAGCACCGCGAGATGGGTTATTCGCTTCTTTCCAAGGGCGTGCATGACGGTCCAAATGGCTCTCGCTTACGAGCTTTCGTAGAATTACGTGAGACTGAGCGAGTTTGGCCAATGTATCGATTGTTCAAAGGAAGGACGCGTGCATTTATCAACTTGTTCAATGAGCTGGGGAGGCAAATTAGCGACTGGTCACGTCGCTTTGTGGTAGCCTATGGTGGTGGACACGCTGTACCTCGTAATGACTGCACTCCCGCTCCTTCCACGAGAGCATAGAACGAGTGCAAGTACCTACCCTGTACGATTCTCCTCGGAGCGCTCAGGACGACATTCACGCATCATGAGCAGGGGTATACGCTTAGAAAACTAGAAACAAAGAGATTAACGCTGAGCCGGACGCTGGAGATGGAATACGGAAGGCTGAATGCCCTTTAGATGGTGAGTCAATGGAAAGTTAGCAGCTTGCGATTTTGTGAATCCACAGGCAACAATGTGCGCAAGCAACTTCCGCAAAGAGAGTTCAACGCCTCGATCGATATCGGAAAAGGTTATCTGATTCTGGAGCGTTCTGCAGTCTCATTTCGGGCGGAATTTCAATGCAATCGCTTAGTCCTCAGGATGGCCACTGCGCTAAAGTCCAATGCACTCGGGAAGAAATTAAAACAGGTGGCCAAGAAAGAAGGCCTTGGATTCTTTCTTGGAGCACAGCACTGTTGTGCTATGATTTAGGACTCCAGCAGTACTGGAGCTCCGTTTACGTACAACGGGGGCGTTTTCCTTGGCAGAGCGGTGAAAAGTAATTGTGTTCCATTTTTGCATCTTTCCGAGTAAAAATTGCAGGTCATGGGAGACTCGATGGCGCCAAAATATCTATGCTGAAAGAACCAGTTTCACAGCTGGTAAAAAATTCTGTTGGGTAATGTAATAATGTTCATGGACGCTCCCTCTGCTAAGATCGATGAATGCATACAAGCAAAACGTCTTGAATCGCCTTAATGGAGGCAGCCAGTGGACAGCGCCATTATGTCTCCTGGCCAGGCTCGATACCGAAACAGCTATGCACTCAAAACAATTCTGTTGAACTCTTGTGGGAAAAAATCACTGACGCTTACCGCTAAAATGAAGGTCGTTAACATATTTATTCCCCGTAGGCGGAAGATGAAATATGGAAATTTTTTCCATTTATTCGAAAGTATATCTTCGAGGCAGGAGTTCCCGCGACCCCGACGACTGCGTTAGGCTAGTGCTCGGCGAGCCGCAAGTGGCAGGCACTGCCGTAAGCTCTGAGGCTCTCGTCCACAACGCAGTGTGTTTTTGGACAGGGAGTGTTTTAGCTGCGTACAGGCAGCGCACTGATTACTATGATCTATCAGAATGTATCTTCCGGCCGCCGGCACTGAATCCGTCTAAATCGCCTGTTGTATCCCGGAAAAGCGACCAGTTCCAGCCCAGCTTCGGGTGAAGGACGGCCCGAGCGAACGCCCCAGTGGTAGAGCAAAGCATGACTTTCCGAACTGCGTCCCCACGAGCGCTGCAGGCGCCATTGCGAACACTTGCGGCACGGTCGGGGTATGGCGGAACTCGCGAACTAAAAATTTAGCATCTAGAGGAGGCATGGGTGGGAGCTGGTGGGAAATGGACATAGGAATACGGAAGGCTGGGCGGTGTCCCGATAGACGATATCAATCGCACAACGGGTGATCGTTTGTAAGTGACAGCCTTCCGCTGATCAAAAAATTTTATTTCTGCAAGCGAAAATCGACGTGCGCGGCGTACGAAAACGAGCGCGCAATCTGAATTCTGTCGGAGCGCGAGTGTAACTCGATTCCAGACGGCGGCGTCCAGCATGCATTCGGGCGACATGCACCAATTCATCCTTATCCGAAATGAGATGATCGAGAATTTATGAGCGGAGATTCAGTCGGGATACCTCCCCATTGCTTTCTCTAGATAGAACCCTTCTGGTAACCGTGCTTCGGAATGCGATCTCGTCGCCCTCTTGATGCCTGAATACTGATGCGGCTTATGTTTGTGAACGGAAGAATCTCTTGCAGAAACTTCTCGTCATCCATAGAGCACTGCTCGTCATAAAGTCTGAAGGACTATTTCTAAAGCTGCTTCTTAGTTTCGTGGTATGATCGACAGAAGCAGACAAACTGGTAATCGTCTTTCCAACACGAGGTCTGTTGGTCGCCTGATATGTCGCTGTCCGTGAAACTCATGTCACGTCATAGCGGCCTAAAATTCTTGTTCACTCCCTACGTCAGGCGCGACTCCCAAAGTTATCCTCCCGAAAACCGTTTCTTTATAGATATCCGTTACTGGATGTTAGTCGCACTTTCAGTCCCTTGCAGTCATTTCTGATGCATGTGGTGAATACAACTTCAGTAAACCAAACGACAGGGTTCGTTCAGATAATGTTTTCTTTCGTTGCCTTGCTTTCATTTTTCATCGAATCAGAAATGGTTGAACTCCCAGCCATCTAGGCGCGGAAACCCAGCTCCTTAACCCTTTTATACTAAAATGGTACACGGAACTGCTCACTCTGTCCATGCCTGTAAGTTTATTTTGAGATTTTTTAGATGCACGACATCGACAATCCAAATGCAGGAATAAGTGCATACGGCTTCCTAACCAGACTTAGGATTGTCTTCCTTCTTTGTAGAGCGGCGCCTTCGAATATTTGCCGCTAGAATCCGTCACCTCTCCGGGGCCACGATGATTTGCAACACACTCGAATAAGGGTTCGTAAAAAGATATCGGATAGCATCATCCAGTTCATAAGAATGAGTGTCGCTCTTCTCTTTTCATTACGGGTTATATATTTACGTCACGTCTTTTTCATTTTTAATATTTTACGGTTCCGGAGCAACTCGAGGATGCAAAAATTTATGTTGCTGGATTAACAAGGAAAATAACCAGAAGTCAACGCTCGGAGGTTTCTTTGCAAGGTCGCGCCAAAAGTTCAATGATCTCCTTACGTCCAATAATCGAATCTGTTCGGAAGACAAATTTTACTCTGCGGCCATTGACGAAAGGCATTCCACACCGGCATGATACTGCTAACGGGATATGTCCCAGGGCCTTCCATCTCTTCTGTTTGCATGGGAAAGGGTCGTTGGCCCGGACTTGAGCCATTGCGAAGATTGTTTTCAGAGAAGCGTGCGTAAACGCTTCGCACAATGCAGGAGTAAACGGATCGAATTTCTTGACTTGCTCTCCAGCCTGGATTTTCCTGCCGATAATTGTTTCATCATGAAAACATCACGCTCTATTAGTCGTCTTTTGAATATAAAAGCGCGCGCTTGCATCTTCAGCATATCCAGTACTCGTCAAGCACATTGCCCCGAAGAAGTCCGTGATAACAGTGTACGGTACCAGGCTTGGAAACGGAGGAGCGTATAGCGGGACCCATCTGTTCCTGTCAAGGGCATATACCAAGTGTTGAAGCATGCGCTTACGCCCCAAATTGCAGTCCTCGGAGGCGGCCATGTGGCGGACACATGAGAACACCTGACAACCGTACGGCGAAATGGTTACGACGTGGACACTGATGCTATATAAAAGGAAGATGGAAATGGCAAGCGAAGCCTACGTCGCAACTTTTGCCTCTGCATGTAGAACCTTGACAATATCCAGAAGCCGTGAAATAGGGCATTAACGCCGCCATCAGCATCCGTCGACCGCTGCCAACTGAGCTGGAGTGACGTGAGAGACCTTCGTAATGCCTGAGACACGAGCGGGAAAAATGAAGCAGGTAGAGAAAAGGACTGCAAGGACTGGATTCGTAGATGGCAATGGGCTGTGACGCAAACTTTAGAGTGTGTACCCAGGTTAAAAGACGTGTACCAAGTTATCCTCAGACTGTTGTAGCAGCGCCGAAGGATTTGCGGATACGTTCTCCTCTGGCATCTCGAGGAGCAACAGGTAAAGTTTGCAAGGTAGAGTACTTCAGGAACTGTCTGAGAAGCACATCAAATGATTCTTCCCCCTCTGCCGCTTATCTTTCACAAATATATTGCCTCTCCGAACAATGATCGGCATCTGACGAAAGCCAGTCGATTCTGAGTCCGCTTCGCGGTGTCCGAAAAATTCGTATAGATGGCATGCATTGTACTGCCAAGTGCCACAGAGGATCCAGATGCACGCGCTGCAAACGCAGCGATTCCGTGAAACGTGTCATCGTGAGCCCTGCGCATTCCTGTAATCGAAGGGCGGCGGATCACGGGCGAACACTTGGTTGACCATAGATGGTATCGTACCGGGTACCCCCCCTCTAAACGTACCGTCAAAGTTCGGGTAATTCTCCGTCATATATCCATAGCGTGTCTCCTGCTCAACACCAGACGGGAAATTCGCCTCCACGCCATGTCCAGGTAGCTGGGCCGCGTCCAGGTGCACGAAAGGTTGAGCAATTCCGTACTGATGTTGAACCACTTCCTGCGGAGGCCACATGTTCTGCGCTGACATAATTAATGGCATTTCTCCAGGAAGACCGTTTCTTTGCGGCAAAGATGGATAGTAATAGACTGGTGAGTAGGCGCTAAATCCTGGGACAGTCTCCGGCATCGAAGGCGGAACAAATCCGGCCATTCGATCATAGGCGGATATCTCGTTCCCGTAGATTACAGGAACGTTTGGCAACATTGACAGAGATTGTCCCATATGCTGCGATGGAGCCAGAGTTTGCGCATGTCCTTTCGAACTCGCCTTCTTTTTCGACTTTTTCTGAGACGACTCTTTGTGCGGTCGCTTTCGTTCCTGAACCTTTTCCGATATGATGCGTAAGTCGCCAATATCAGATTCCAGTCGCGACTTTGCATCGACCAAGATCGCACGCACGCACCGCTCGGATACGAGCATGGCTTTCCATTCTCTGAGTTCGCGTTCAATTCTTCGCAGACGCGCCTTCAAAACTTGGTTCTCAGATAATGAAAACTGGCTTCCGGTCGGATGTGAAGGCTGGTCTTCAGCCCTCCTGGAGAATTCACCGGGAGTTGTGAATTGGGAACCTCTTTCACTGACGATCTGCTCTTCCTCATCCACAGTTTGCGGATGATTTTCGCTGAGTTTCTCCGCATTTTCTGCACTCTGAACGCTATGATCAACGCGTTCGTCTCCATCGATGCGCAAGAAATTTTCATTGTCGATGCCGAGTAGATGGCTTAATCGAAGATGGATTCGATCGATTCTACCCCGCAGTTCGCTACTCTGCATGCGCTCTGCTGAGAGCTCCGACTCAAGCAATCGGCGCCTTTTGGCTTCGCGGACGAGAAACTTTTGAGAATCCGACAGACTCACGAGAAGATTTCGTCGCTCGAGTTCTAGCTCCTGCCTAGCCATCATTTCTGCCTCAAGCTTAGTACGTAGCCCATCCCACTCCACCTTTCGACGCTTTGAACCTTTCTCTGACTCGGAAGTTCGAGCCTCAGTGGGACGCTCTGTGTCGTCGGATTCGATCGTAGTGTCAGCTTCGGTAGACCTCGCAGAGGGAGCCAGTGCAGTGCCCTGAGGACCCTTAATCCGGCTCAAATTCTCCGATTCCCCATCAGCCTCAAAAGAACCAGATGTAACTGCTTTCGTCGCAACATGTGCAATGGCGCTTCTGCCCTCGCCAATCCCCTTTAAGTATCCCGCAGCGAACGACGCTAGAATGGGCTCTTCAGCTCGAGCATGTGCCGAAAGACTTTGTAACTTAGCCTTCACGTGCTCTGAAAGCTCTTGCAGCCGCATGAGCGATTCGGGATCCGCGTCATCAAATAAAGCTTTGGGCTTCAAAGTTAACATTTCCAACATTCTTCGGGCTATTTGTTCCAAATTCAGTGATTCCCACTGAGCTGTTGAAAAGCTGCTGTTGTTTGCTTCAGCGGGATGAACTTTGTGCTGGTCACGAATCGCTTTCTGAGTACGTTCAGATTCAGTCAATTCTTCAGGACTTGAATCGCTGGAACCCCTTGGATGAGGCTCAGCCGTATCCTTTCGATGCGCGGCCACTCCCGAAGAGCGACGGGGCAATTTTTCGGGGAACTTCTTTTCTACGCCTCCCTGCTGAGCTTGGTATTTGCGAGGATGCGCTTCGATGTGCAGTTCACTCGATTTTCCATCATGTCTTGGCCCAGAAGAGGTGCTGACGGTAGCATCATCATGAGAACCAGCGCGTGTAGAACGCCGCTCTAGTCGCAACTCGTTCGTTTGCTGCTCCTGGCTGCTTTCGCTTTGGGAAGGGGATTCCTCGGAAGCTCGTGACACCTGGCTTTTTCGCTTGGCGAAGGACAGGGATTGGTGAACAGCGCTGGCCTCATCCGAACTAGTCGAGGGCTCATTCGATTTTCTTTGTATCCGTTTTCGGGAGCTTCCCCGGGACCCAGGCGTCATACGTTTCACAGAAGAACCCTCAAGTTTGCCTCTTCCTCCTTCAAGACTCTGATCTGAACTCGCGTTGACTAGTTGTTCGAGCTCGCGATAGAGTTCTCCCAGAGACTTCTGCTGGCGCTGTGCAACGCAGCTTTCCCAACCGTCTAACCCTTCGCGACCACGTCTTCCTCTTCGACGCGACAGGTAGATATTCGTCATGGCTTCCATAAAACTGTCTGGAGATCCAAAGCGGACGCCTATCAGATCTTGGTATTCGGTGCTATTATCTGTACCCGTAGAAGCCTCCCGCGCACCGAGAACAACGAGAAAACCTGCAGAATCTACCTCAGCAATGAAAACGTCACGCTTATAGTTCGCCGTAATCTGGTCACCGGGTGCAAGAACACCTCCTTGTTTCAGCTTAAATAGCCACGCATGGACTCCACCGGGACCTGAGTGGTCGTCAACTGCGCCGACGTTTCTGCCTGAAGCGTCGCTCGGGCTGCGACCCGAGTCCCTGTCTGGCATGTTTCCGTTTTATTGCAGGAAACAATGCCGTGCTCGGTTCTGACTTCTAGGCCGACGCGGTTTATTTTCTCCCGGTAAGCGACTGTGCTGGATTCCTGCTATTTCAGATCTTTTGCTTCCGAACTCGCTCTCAGCTGTAAGCGCGTATTGCGCGTATTATAACAATGCGCAAATTGTATGGAACCAAGTGTAGACGCACAGCGCAGATTCTGAATGTTTTAGTACAAAAGTGTCTTTTCAGTTTGCGTCTTTCGTTTGCATCTTCACCCAGGTCAAAATAAAACGGAGCGGATTCACTTTACGAACCAAGGCATACACACCAAATTTTGGGTCTCTCGTCATGGATACCAATATCAGCAAATGTGGTCCTTTTGTTCGACTGCTTCTTTTTCCTCTCCCTTATCTCAAGCTTTAATGAAGCTAGTATCTCCAGTCTCTCCAGCTCTGTTGCCAGCAGTCGAAGGATGTTGATCTCAGTGCTTAACTCTCCATTTCGCACTTTCTGGCTATTGTAGACGCGTTCTATGCATAGGCGGCAGTTAGGATCTACGTTTCGCTTCTGATTTTCATTTTCTTTGCGTACAACCCATATGCGCCCTTCGCAGAGGTGGCATTTGCCTGTGGTCAGGTATTCGCATACGTCCACCACATCTCCTCCTTCTCCTTAGATCGCTGCCCTGCAGCGCGCGATCGCTTGCTTTATCGCTATGTACATGCACTTGAGGGATATAGGAGGCTGCTTTGGATGCGCTCCTCTGTTTACCCACCAGGTGCCTCACAATGCGATCACGGATTTCTTCCAGGAGATCCGATCAGCATGTACTCTATCCGCTGCACATGGAAGCGCACACTCTCCCATTAAAAAAGATTCGTAAAAGCGATGCTAAACCCGGTCACACAAGCACCGGAACGAAAATCCCAGACTGAGAGCAAGCCGTGAAATTTCGATTCATCTCTGCTCTAATCTCGCGTAGCATTGACGCACGCTCCACTGAAAGGGATCGTCACAACGAGCTACGTCCGAGTCGAATGAACTTTCCCATGCAAACAGAAGAAAGTGGAGCCTCCGAGAGCATAGCACGTGAAAGGCGTCTGTAGTGGAATTACGATTCGTCAGCGGCCCTCGAGAAAAGAGGATTTCTGTTCCGAAGGGAGTTAAGTTTTTGAAATGACAGATTATGTAAACTTCCGGGATGCTCTTGGTAAAAAGTCGTCAAGCGATGACGTGGAATATTTCTTCCGTCAATTCAGAGGCGCACATTGTTGCGCACCCGAGCTGTCTCAAAACACAAAACTCGAAGACTTGTGGAATGCATGATTTACCTTACCAAATGTTAGGAAAAGATAAGAGCGGAAGATTGTATGTATAAGTCGGAGAATAATATGGGTTATTTTATGAAACCTTGTCTTAGTGGGTCTCGAATAATGCTAATTCTGCTCACGTAACGAATTCCAGCCACAAAAAGCTTCAATGGAGCCAATCCGAGTAGACGATCTCGGGTGCTTAAACTACGTTGAAATCCGTAAGTCTTCCTAGCTAAGCCTGGAATGCCGAGGCTATAACCTAGTGAAAAGTTTGGAATAGAATCAAAGGCTTTAAGAGAGCAAGCGGTTCTGTGCATCATTTCCATCCGACAAGGGCGTTGAATAATCTCCCCGAGGATGAAAGAAACGGCGAATCCTTTACAACCATAGAGTTTATGTCTATACACCGACGTGCAGACGCCTCCCAGTCTTTTTCGACCAGCCGCCTGCTATCGGCTTCAGCTTCTTCTTGCACATTTCGAGTCTGAAAGATTGCCCCAGAGACTTGGCTCTTGTCAACTCCGCGGATCTTGTTTTCAGCACCGCACATCTCCTGATACTGATCGCAGCGTTAAAGCCTCGATTCACGAACTCCATACGTTGCTTGCAGCTGCTTGTACTCACTAATGCATGTAGTCCTCGAACTTTCGCTCTCCTTTCAATTTTCTGTTCCATTAGCTCTCCGTAATTTTCGATATCATCAGAGCCCAACCGACACTTTCCCGTCACGACCCTCCGGAGCGTACACCCCAGCTCATGGTGTATGCATGACGTTCGGAACTCATCCATAGGTACTGTGAGAAAACGATGTGCGTACTCTTTGTACGCTCTTGTAGATGGAGCTGGAATGTTCCCTTTTTGGACGCCCAGCGCCCTGTTCCGCACGCTGCTACGAGCCTTTGACTCTTGACTACCTTGAGGGCACCCAACTGATTGAAGAAGTTGGTGAATGCACGCTTCTTTTCTCCGCACAGGCTCGTACGCTGACGAGCCCACGAGGTCTCTGTGTACTCTTTCCACAGCGCCTCGTAATGAGCAGCGCGAATTTTCATCAATTCCAGAAAAGCTTGAAAGTCCGCTCCTCGGCTCGTCATCTGGCTGATCGCTTCCAGGTGCTCCTTCACTCCTCAATTCCACGTCTCGCTTTTCTTCCTTGCATGCATTATTCCGGACTCTCGGTAATATTTCGCTATTGAGAGCTTCAAAAGCTGCATGTCTTTTTGACGTAAGTTACAGTCAATGCCGTCTTTTCCAGACTTGGATACTGCGATTGCCATGATATACTTGTTCCCAGGGTCAACGCTGACGACAATGACGTCCTCCTGCATCCCATGCGTGATAGGACCTGCCTCCTTCTTTTATTCATGCTTCGCTAGGGGCAACAACGAAAACAGAAAAGACCGATCCGCCTTCAAGCGCCGATAGGGTACGCATATGGATGCCCCATCGCTTTCGATGATTCCCGTGGATACCTTTTCTTGCTTGTGTTGAAAGTTTTGAAATCGAATATATTCTTCCAAACAGTATCCTGGCTTTCACCATAAAAATTCTCCTGGTTACATCAAACTCCGGACTGATATCGCTAATGATGCCATGGAGGGCTATGTAGTCGATGGTCATCAAGCGCCACTCGATGTTGCATTAAGGAACGATATTGAAGCGCTTTTCTATCAGAAAAGCCTTCCTTTTCTCCGACTCTTCATTTTTTCACAGCCGGCTCCACCTCCGCTTTGCGTTCGAGCTCTCGATTCAGGATCACGATTTAACACAGAATGATGGAATAACATCTTTTCCATCGTTTTCCATCTCTGATACCTTTTCTACCGGATTGGCCAGCTCCAGTACCACACAGATTGCAGAGACTTCTTTCTTTCTCCTGTGTGATCTCTTCTTGTCGACGAATTCTATCTCCTGTTCATTCTTATTATCGCTCGTGATGCCATCGATAATCGCTCATCTCGCTCTGTGAGAGAGGCCCTGGTAAAGCGCAAACACGGCGCGTATCATGAAGCTTTTGAGGTTCATGGTCACATGGTTCTTCAGGTTCGTGAGATGATTCATTGTACCGTATCTCTAAATATTCGAGTTCCCCTGTATCGAGTTCTGTTGAAGCGATGTTCGGCGAAGTTTTCGTGGAGGACACAGGCTCGCTCATTTCTCTTCCACATTTCTCTGTGACAAGCCTCTGGTGACGAATAAAGGTTTCGTCGAAAAATTCTTCCGGAACCTCAACTGTTTTAAGGTCCGTCACTTCGCGATACTTGTGCTACGCCAGATGCCTTAATCCTGAAGAAGCCTCAAGAATACTCGTGGAGTACGACTCGACACGGTTTCTGACGGCCTCCCGCAACTTTTATTTGTAGGGATCCTTGACATGCCATAGCAGAAAGGCTTGCACTACATTCTCGTCGTAGTGCTGTCTTTCGAGTTCGTTTTGACGTCTCCCCCCTGCTTCTTTGTCTTCTCCTGTTCCTCTATCCTCGGCACTGTTTTTACTTTTTTCCGGCAGCGGGCAACACGGGCCCTTCAGGATCCTCCACTTCATTTTCCATAACTTTATTTTTTTATTTGAGGAAACGAACGCACTTTGAGCGCCTCAGCTACAAACCGCGAAAAATCACTTGAATATACTAACTTGAGGGTTGAAACACAATTGAAATGAATGACTGTAATTTTGCTATGACTTGAACGTAAATACACCTTCTACATTAGCACAAAAGGAGGACGACTTTTCAGGATCGAGTTTCCCTTAAACAGCAAGATGCACGTCTTGTATCATGCATGCCGGATATGGAGGTGCGCTTATGGAGCTCACTGTAGAGAGCAAAGAACAAATACTAAACACTAACTAGCAGATCGATAACAATTTCGTTCCCCCTCCACAGAAAACGTTAGAAGGAGGGAAGCTTTACGGATCATCGAAAGTTTCTCGTTCAGGCGAAAGGTCACCGGAGCCCGATGAGCCTGCCGGGCAGCTGCTCTGTGCAACTCTGCAGTGGCTGGTACCGTAGTGAGATCTGAGCAGCCCGTCCGCTACACAGTTCATCCTGTGACAATTATGGGGCATGCAGCGTCTGGGCGTCCCCCTTGCAGCGGCGAACTCCTACTAAATCGCTTCGCGCTGTCGCAGGCAGTAGGTCTGTCTGCACAGCTTGCAGCCTCCCAGAATGATATGAACCCCGACCCCGTTTCAGATGAACGATGCCTCGGGCCAACGCGCTCTGTGGTGTGACAAAACCGTTCTTTCTCTGTGATGCATCTTGTCTAGCGGTACAAACTCAAAGGCGGGTGCATACAGGATACACCGGGCGCACCGCAGGACGTGCGAAACGACCAGGGTATCCGAACGGAAATATAATTAATGGAACTTGCAGGTAGGGTGCAGCAGCATGATGGACGCTTTCCCTAAAGCCAATACCCATCCCACGATATGGTATCCATCGGTAATTGTGAACGTTTTGTCGTCGGAAATAAGAATTGCCGCAGCTGCATCGCGCGAATGCCAGCGGTCACGTCGCTTCGTCGTCCCACTCCATCATGAAAGGCGCGCCGGAGGATAGGCTTGCCTCAAAGCGCTGCAGTCAATCAATGAATGAACTTCTCGTTCGACTTCGACGCTTCAGTGTGCAGCGCTGCGCGTAAAGCCACCTATATTGGTCGGGCACTGTTTGCTCAGTTGATTTTCTGAGCCAGTAAGCAGCTTAGCCCATACCCAAGGTGGCGAGAGAAACCGACTGTCGCTATCTCGCTCAGCCGGAGCAATCGCTTCTGTTTGCTGCACGCGAGACGATAACTGTCGAACACCTAGAGTAAATTTCGATCTTTGGGGTGAACAAAGAGTTCCAGAAACAAAGGCAGGATCGCCCTGCAGCAGCGATGTTAGCGCTGTGGTCCGATGGAGCCCTCCGCTCTGGTCCTTCTTGGTTTTGAGTGACATCACCTTTTTGTTGCGCGCACGAGAATTTCCTCTGTGAGTTCAAGCCAATGATCAAAGGGCAAGACCTTCGTGATGGAATGCAGGGACTCGTATTTCGAAGCTTCAACACTCGTGACTTGTCTTCTGAACTGAAAAACTTTATTTTGAACCTGACGGAACGGCATATGCGAGCCATATACAACGAGGCTGCTTCCCTTGCACATACACGCGCGGTCCCTCCAGGTTCCAAAGGGCCAAGAATAGGCGCCTGGCGACGTTGGAGTACAAAGGCGAAGCGTCGAGAGCTATTTGCGCTGGCGAGCATGTTCGTTATCGCCTTTTGGCAAAGAAATCCCGCCGCTCTAGGAGATCCAGCAGCGCAGCAAAGCGTTACAGAATCTTCTATTGTCGAGATAGTTAACATGTACTCGTCCGAAAAGGAGGTTCGTTCACGAACCCGGTCGTCTACAACACAAAATGTTCCGACCCAACATGTGCTCTCCCAGGTGTCCTGCAGTGAATGCAACAGCGAATTGCTGGTACCAGTGGCATTTGCGTGTTATAGAATAGTCAATGAGTGGGTGCCTCGGGGCACTCAAAGTGGGCGTGTTGTATGTGAGAAGCATTCTCTTCTGTATGTTTACGAGTTGCATTGCCTAGATACATGGCGCGGCTGTGGGATCGGCACGCAACTTGTTCATTTCGTTGAAGGTATAGCTAGCCAGTTGAACGTTGCTGGTGTTGCGCTCACTTGCCTGAAAAATAATCCAGAGTCTTTAATCTGGTACAAACGCCGCGGTTATGAACGCGCCCCGCATTGCCCCGATACAGACGGGGGCTCGGTCTACCAGATTCTGTGGAAAGAACTTCAAGAAAGGAACGCGTTGCCTGGAAGCATGACAACCACAAGAGCAAGAACAGCGCCGTTCGATCGATGTTGCTAAAGCTAGAGACCTGGCTAGGTATGAGTGTGCTCCCCAGATATCGATCGCTTTACTGAGCCCATAAAGCGCGGATACGCACAGCTTCGATAGAAGGCGCTTCATCTGCACTGGCATCTAGCGTCCGGATCCTTTGCATCATATGCTGCCGCAACGCCGTCGATAAAACTCTTTGATATGGTGCATAAGCGATGGAATCGCTTGGGATAATTTTGCGCATGCTCTAAAGGATGCACGCATCCTCGCTACATCTGATTCGCATGCTTGCGTTAGTTAAAAGAGCGCCCTCAGGAATTTTATGCAGACTCTACCGATTCGAATCATGCCATGTAGATGCGGTATCCCTTCTTCGGTTAATAATCTTCCTTTAGTGCCACTACAGAGGAATATTAGCATAAGCTCCAGAAACCGGATCTGGATGCCAAGTTCTATCCTTTGTGAGTGACCGTGATAGGCTGGTATTTCGATGGTTTCGCATACTACAGCAAGTTTGGACCAGATACTCCTCATTTTATGTCGTGAAAACTGAATGAGTCTAACTAGGGGTATTCTTCTTTATAGATGACTGTACACTCGAAAAGTTCGCGTCTCGCCGCCCGCGGTTCGGTAAATCCCAGAAGCGCAGTCAATGTCCATGCACTGCTCGCTTTCGCCGTGTCTTTGAAATTTTACAACGATAACGGTATCTGTCGAGGCGTGGAGAAAATGCTCTCGTACAACTCTTGTATGAATCGACGCTCCTCCGCATGAATTTCAGCTCGTATAGCTTGGGTGACACGACGTGATATAGTGAGTCTATCGTCGCAGGGTCCAGCCTCCAACAAGCATAATCGTTCGCACATGATAGGGAGTGCTGCTGTCGATACTATACGGTGTCGTCGCAACCATTGTACCACAGAGTGAAGGGACGCCCCTGGCTTCAAGTAGCTAGGCGCCCAACGTTTCGGGCTCGTTTCTGCGGGTTCGCGCGTTCCTTGTGCATATCCAAGTGCCACTGGGAATTCAACTTCGCGTAACGAGCTCAGGAATTCCCCAAGAGCGCATACAAGGCCGTGCTCCCACAAATGACTCTCAGCTATGTCGATTTCTGAACATAAATGCAAGAGATCCTCACACCTTCCGCGATTCTGCAAGAAAATGGCGAGCTCATCCCAGCGTTTCAGTCTTCGATAGAGGCGCTCTGTCATCGAACTCAAGTCATAAAGCTCAGCAAATTCCAGGATCCGTTCCAGGTCTTGCGGGTTCTGAAGCTGCTCGAGCAGCACCTGAATGAGGCTGGTATCTTTCCGGAGGACCTCGTTGCCGCAGAAGGTCAAAAGGCGAAACACTGCTTCTAGGATACATACTGCGTACTCGCCACTGAAGACAACATGGCGAATAGCAGCGCACTGAAGCGGCGTCAAAGCTTCTGGGCATTTCGCGAGTATCCTCGCAACCCTCTGCGATGTGATGTAGTCTATGAGCTTCCTGGATCGCTCTGTTGCATCAGCAGTATCTGAGAGCACCAAGCGTAGATCTCTGTCAAATATGTTCTGAAGGCTCCCCACGGGATCGCGGATATCATTCGGTATGTTCGTGAGCTCCAGAGAGCACCAAACTTGATCCCTCTTTCCAGGAAGATGAGAAACGCTCTCTGGTGCGCATCCCGCTAGGGCAGGTTGCAGCGCTTCTTGATGCGCTGATGCGCGATCTGCTTGCGTATTTTCATGCATATCGAGTACGTGGCTAGTATGCGCTTTCCCTAATGTGTCAAGATCGTTAGCTTTGCCTTTGGCTTTCGTTTTTCTACAACTTTCTGGAGTCCTGGACATATGCTCTAACTGGCCGCAGAATGTTTCTTTCCTAGGCGTTTCTGCCGCGGAATGCATGGTGTGCTCTGGGCTACCAAGATCCCCGAATTCCTCAGGACAGTGAACGCCTCCTTCAGCACACGCCTCGCGTTTTTCAGGGCCAATCAAATCCACAGAATAGTCCAGAAAGCTTTCGTATCGTTCTATCAGTAACTTCGGTATTCCTGGATCAGAACAGTTCGCGAGAACCCGAGTGATCCAGTTCTGATGCACTCCACAAAGATCTTCCATGTACGCGCAAAACACAAGGTCATCCTTGCACTGTTTAGCGATCTGATGGCGGAAGCCATTGAATGCACGAGATCTGAGTTCCATGAGCGTCGGACTCTCCGGATACTTCATGATTTCTGCATCGTAACATAGTCGAAGGGCAAGCGAATAGCGTCCGATCGTCAGCGCTTCCCGCGCAACGTTAAACAGCGGTCGCCGCAGAAGAATACACAATTGATTCCGCAGCGTCTCGGAAACAATCACGACACTACCATTGAAAAGGCTGAGCACTGTCCACGTCGGTTCTGACGCGCTCTCTTCGGATGCGCCTCCCGCTGGCCGAGGTTCGCAGCCTGCATCGGAGGCTCTATTCGAGACGCCCTCTGTCGGATGCTCGGGAACTCTCGGATTCACGACAAGCTGCTGTACAACCGATCCGTCAGGCAGACTTTCAATCGATACCGGATCATGTCCGCTCACAGCGCTCAGGTAGAAGCAAGAATCAAGATGGTACAACTGCACGGACGGATCCCGCCGGTATACGAGAAACGGTGGGAGAGCATTCGACGTCGTGTCACGATCCAGAGCTGTACTACAATCAACAGGTGTGACGAGAGCCGAGCAGGGTCGTTCTTCCGTGACATGGAAAGGCGAGCTCGCAGAACATTTCCAAGAATGATTTTGATTCTGGTCTGTAAGGGTATCGCTAGTGCCACTGGCAAACAGCTCGGAAGTTCTCACGCACAGCAGTGCACTTTCGGTGCCGAACACTAAGCGCCTCATGCCGAAGAAAGCCGTAAAACTAGGCGGCGTATCTGTGACGTGCAGCATGACCTGGTTCAGCTCACTAGAGTTGAGGAATTCACCAATCATAACGAGCACATCCCCACTCTCAAAGCTCACCAATGCTCCCTGCATTCCGTGATGCAGTGTCATGCTCACTGGAGCACCGTAACCCGCTGAGGCGGACAAAGATATCGACGATACGAGCCGGGTTCGCAGGCCAGCTGTTGTTTCAGTAGCACTGGTCACAGATTCTGTTCCGACACTCCGACGGGGCTCTTGTTCGAGTCGCACCTCCAGCACGCGCAGCTCATAGTCTCTTCGCACTGGGTCACGGCTGCGGGCGTTGTGTGCCGGCCTCCCAATCGTGGCCGCGTAAAAGAAGTCGGAGTCGGTACCGGTAGCACTACTTCCCCTGAGCGGGCACAGCTCGAAAACACTCACCTCGTTAACGCCCAGCTCAAAAACGTTTCGAGACTTCACCTGAATACCTTCGAACGGAGAAGGCCGTCTGAGCCATAAAGCCTCTGCCTTGCCTGTGTGTTGGTCAACGACCTTGACCACAACGTTTGAGCATCCGCGGCAGAACTTTAAGGGTGGCTCGAGGAACGTTGCAAGCTGCTCATCAAGCACACAGCTGTCCAAGGTTTCGAATACTTTAAGCAGACCTTGTCCACGAGGGAACCGAAGGTTTCTCTTGGATAAAGCTTGCGAGCGCTGCATGCACTGCTGGAGCGACCCTACAATCGGAAACGCGAAAGCTCGCAGTGCGTAAAATCGTTTTGGTCTTTTCTGTGGCAGCTTGGGGGTTCCGCTGCGCACAACATGACTGAAGCCTCTGAGAACATTGTTGTGGTGCCCTCTGAAGTCCAGTCCAGCAAGCTTCGGGCCTGCCTATCCTGTGGCTTGGTCAAGTCGGTAGCGCAGTTTCTAGCCTACGGGTGCGAAAACTGTCCGGGCTTATTTGAAGCTGGAACTGGTGACCGCGAGAGGGTCCTGACGTTTACCACTGCAGAGTTTTCCGGTCTAGTGGCCCTGTATAGACCGAAAGTGAGCTGGGTTGCAAAGTGGCAGCGGCTAAGCCGAAAAGTTCCGGGCTGTTATGCCATTGGTATCTTGGCCGAGTTGCCAGACGACGTACTCGAGGAGCTGGAGGCGCTTCGTTTTGACGTCGAAAGTTGAAAGCAGTACTTCAGTTCTACTTATTTCACCGCAGCTTAATTTTGGGAATTTTCATGCGGTACTTCAGTGTATGTGGAATACACGGATTCGTTGTTCCACCACGCGCCGCGACGTGACCAGCATAGGCTTGTTTCTAGCGGTGCGCGCTATTCAGCGTCTTGTGCTGTTTTAGAGTTTTCCACGTTCGGCAGAACCTTGGTAGCAGCCTAACCCGGTACACCGGACGCGTTCTAGTGTTTTTATCGCATCATGCAATGCTGTGTTTGTGAACGGAATGCAGCGTACATAACGATCTCCTCGAATACTTTCTCCAGAACGGGAGGAGCATCTGGAAGGAGCTTTTTTTTGAGAATATGAACGAATCCGGCGCTGAATGGAGCAGAGGCACAGCTCCATTTTATTCCATAATTATGAACACTTTTAGCCTGAGTTTCTGAAAGATGTATCCACATCGCTCAAAGAGACCTGATGAATGGCTTCAAATTTGTCACACCGTATCTAATACTTGCACTGGAGTACTTTCCGAAAGACGCTTCCCGGCCTATTGAGGCGATAAGATTACTGACTCCAAATTTTTCATACTGCTTCTCAGACCTGCAATGTCGCTGAACCATCAGTGCACGACACATCGGTGGTTTACATCACTTCTGTATTCTCGAGCTAGTTCGTGCTCCAGGTCCGCACATGCGCTCTTTTTTAGTGGTCTGGTGAAAAACACGCAAATTGCACTGCTACTCCTGGTAGGCATCATATCAGCTCACCAAATTTAAAGAGTGCACTTAGGCTCAAAGTCGTTCGACTCAATTTTGCTTCACTCCCGCTGTGGTGTATAGCAGGAGATCGAAACCAGTATGAAATGTACCACACAGATCTGATACCGATTGCCTTCAGGATAATTCTTACTAAACAGTGCAACGAGGACTGCATTCCCCCTTCAGGCCAGTGATACCACAGTACTCAGATGGTTGAGGAACACTGACAGAACCACGAATATGCGCTCAGCGCCAAAAAACCGATATTTTCAAAGCCTGCTTGCGGTCAATGGTGTAAAACGCCCCGTTGATGACTCTAAACAAAGCAAAAGCCACGATAGTAGCCACCACTGGCGCCCGTGTGGCTCAACATCTTGTTCGTGTGGTTCTGGAAACAAAACACTGGGATACAGTCGCAAAAACAGAGTCCTAGATCAGGAACGGCCATCTTCCACCGAAACCGCATCGACAGCATTCCTGGAATGTTGCAATCCGCATAACGCAGCGGGACGTCGGTCTGTTGCTTTCAGTCGATGAGACTTCCTTCTGGCGAAGCAGTCCGAGCGTATATGGGTATTCGCTGCGAGGGAGCCCGTTCTAAGTACAATCGAACGCGAAGAGAAACGGGATACCATCATCTGTTCGAACCGCAGTGGATTCATTTTGCGACCTCAGTTTGGACTCCTAGTCAAGGCTCATACATAGCATCAACCACTTTATGGAATTATTGAAGACTGTCCCCTGACGTCTAGCGATGTCCTTCTATTGGACAAGGTGATCATTCACCTTTCCCTTTGCGTTCGAAGTTTTGCCGATTCTATCGGGGCAGGGCTGCTTTCTGTTCCTCAGTAGGCTCCGTATTTCAACGGCATCAAAGGAGCGTTTCGTATCGTGGAACGTAATCATCGCACCACTGGCCGAGTCGCTGAAGCGTTCAGCACACAGTGACTCCGAGGCACATTTCTTCATTCTTCTGCAATTCCTTATCCCTCCGGCACGACCCTCACCTACGAGCAGAAAGTAGTGCATTCATTTTCAAAATCAAGAAATCTATGGGATGAGCTGGGGTCTACTCTTCAAAAGTTCGCAATGGAGAAGAGCCAGCGAAGCGCTTCGGCAATAGAAAAGTACAGAGAGCTGGCAAAGCAGCAAATAGCACAGAGGGCACGAGTTCGAGTATCACTTGCACTGGAGAGTACAAGCGGCGACAAGAAACGTATGGAGTTCATAAACAGAAACATTAACGCCGCTCTCAATATCAGAAGATGTGCGGTGCTGCAGACGAGGCCCGCGGAGCAGAGGCGATCCAACTTTGTGGGAGGGCCTACCAGTCTCGAAATGTGGCTGGATAAAAACTGAAACGATAGCAGGAGACCAGTCGAAAATGGCTGGGAGACGTCTGCGGGTGGGGCTTAATTTATCCTCCGGTCGCGAAACGTTTTCGTTCCATTGAACAAATGTATGTTGCGACGCCATCTGAGAACAATTACTGTGAAAATTCGTAGCTCTTCTGTCGTGGTGCTCGTTGACGCAACGCAGATGGACCAGGTTCTTGCAGTGCGATGGGGACTGCCAAAAGCACCACCCGTTGCAACAGTTGATGTGCATGAGCGGAACTCCCGGAGGCCGCGGTTCCATCGTATCTCTATCCGTACAAAATTCTCTGAGCAAGGGAAGACGAAATATTCGCTGGTCGAATCTACGGATCGAATAGAGTTTCGTGTTTCAGAAGTTGCGTTTAGCTGGATGCTGAGAGGGAACGCACCTTTCTGATTCGAGTTCCAGAACGCTCTCATCCACGTTGCCACACGGACCTGCTCATATCGGCGCAAATGCAAATGGGTTCTATCTCGGGCAAAAGAGATTATTTGGAACAGGACTCTAGGTTGCTTCAAACGCAGTAAGATCGAATACTCGAACACCATTACCAATCATCCTCTGCCCCGAGAAACCGATCCCGTTGTATGAGCAGGCCGCTTCAGCCTCGCTCGATTGCTCACCCATACCGTACCAGCGCTATGCTCCGAGCGGGCATTCAGTCGGGCAGTTCTTGAACACTGATGCGCTTTTACCGACAGCTTGCAGGCAGTCAGTGCAATGCCAACAAGCAGAACTAGACGATTTTCCCGAAAGTTCGCTCGACACAGCCGCTGTGCGCTTCGGAACCACGAGACATTGCCAGATGTGTATCGAGGCGATCAACTCGCGATGCAGAAAGAACCTGAGCACATTGTGGCTGGTGAAAGCACACCACAGCAGTCTCTGCATCTCCGATTGCCTCGCCATCGGGCGTTCAAGCAGCGTATCGCACACCATCTCGTGCAACGGTCTCTAATTCAATCGCCTCTTCTCGACAAGTTTCAGCCTGTTCCCGAGATCGTGCTGCGTGCATGACGGTGTGAATGCGTCGGTCGAAATCGTGCAGAATCAATCCCTGAACTTGTAGCAAGCTCTCGACGGGAGCGAGCATCACTGCAGACTTTGTGAGCTGGAGTAGGTCCAGCGCTATAGGCTACCGTCAATCGACCCTACTGGGCGGTCACTTCGTTTCCCACATCATCCACAAAGTCTGCGAACACGAGCTTCTCGCCTCTGCGGAGCCGGCACCATGTGCGTTCCCTGCTCGGCACCACGCGTTCTTGTCAAAGATCGTCCGCTGGAGCCAGTTTGACGCTCATGAGCTCCCCCTCTGAGTGAGGCGCACAAAGCGTTACCCTCTGCGCGCTACCGTCCTCAGGGCGTCGAGATGGGCTCTCGAGCAACCATTCCTCTGGATGGTATGCCGCCTGGCGTCTACCATGCCCGATTGCCGATCATATCGAGCACTGGAAAATTCGAGCTGCTTTATCTGCTCTCCTTGTAGGTCTTTAGCACCGCCCTCTTGATTCAGGGGTACGGAGACGGCTATGATGCCGAGTGTCACGGATCGACCCCGACCACAAAGTCTCTGTTTGTTCATCAACCTTGAACGGTTGGAAATGAGTCTGACTGCTCGACTCTGGCATACGTGCCGCAAGGTGCATGCTGGTTGGCATCCCGTCGGTCTCCATCGTCCGGATAAACGTTTCCGGTATTTCTTTCCTGTTATCGAGAAACCTTGTCCAAGCGCCGCCACCGCGCTTTGCAAAGTAGTTCGAACGCAACGTTGATGCTTATATATACCGCTTCCTTCTTCTTGTGCCCCTTAACTATGCGAGGTGGCATGGATGCGGTGGCAACACTCCATGCCCGGTTTTCTATCGAAATACAGACGCGATGGACAGGCGTTGATACAGAAACTCGCTCCCTCCTATATATACGTCTCGTTCTACTTGAGGATCCATTCCTCACCTTTCTCGAACTGGGAGCCCCAACCGACCGGAGAGCTCGTTTCCGCTCGTTTCCGCCCACGAGCCGAGCAGCAACACAGCAGTTCCTGTGCACCAATAGCAGACAACGCATTGTCGAAGAACGATTCGCCATCGAACCGAGTCGCGGATGTAAAAGACTCGCCTGCGCATTGGTGCCCATGGAAATGGCGTTCGCCAACAGAGCAGATGCGTTCGACTGAACTCGACCGGGGCGAATAGGCTGGTACGAGGAGCAGCGCAGCGCCAATGTCACCTGCGTGCTCGTTGACCTCTTCAGGGTGATGGAAAGCGACGTTGACGCAGAGTCGCACGGAGCCGTGTAAGAACGAGACGCCGTGGAATGCTGCGAAGAACAAGCATGAGGCGTTCAAGACTTCGACCCGTTTTCCGACGCAAAGCAAAACACACGACTCAGTCGCCGTCTGGGCAGATACTCTCGGAATGCGCGTGTGTCGCTTCTCTGTGAACACTTGTTGCTCCCGCTCTGGGTGCCCGTACACATGTCCCCCGTTTCTCCCGAACGAGGTCTCATCGAGTGTGACGAACATCTGCCATCTGCATGATAAGCGTTCGCATGCCCCCGCGAAACTGGCAGCACGGAGCTCAGCGCGGAACGTTCTCGCACAGAGGCGCGTTTTTTCCTGTGTCCATGTGCGTCCCTTTATCACCGTCCGTTTCAACTGTGCGGAGATTGCACACCTTGTGTCTCTTAGATGCTATTTCGCAGATAATATATGTGGAGTGGAACGCATTCATGTCGGGAATGCAGTGCAGACAGAGCCAAATGTGTTCTGTCTGGTGAGTACGACTTGCAGCAAAAGGAACACGAGAACAGCGGCTGATCTGCCTGCCGACCGGAGAATACCTGACATGGACAATAAAGACCGTTTTCTTGGCAAGCTAGCACAGACGGCAGAAAGTGTTCCCGCGACCGTTCTCCCACCTACGGGATACAACCTTTTGTTGAATATTCGCGAGATAGAAAAGGTATAGCAAAGAACGCCGTGCTGGTACAGGTGTTCAAGTATTTACTGATCTGAGTAGAACAAGACGCTTAAAGCGTCCCTGGTAGAGTGAAAGTGCCTTCTTGTGCGCTGTCCAATCGAGCTGCTGCTGACCGCCGGAGTACAATGTAGCGCGGAAGCGGACCGATGAACTCGATAGACTTGCGTTTCAGTATCAGGGATGCAAGTTCTTAGGTGCCTCAGTTTGGTATGTCATTCGACGAGGATTCCAGATGCTGCGTAACAGGCTACCGGGAACGAAGCCGTCCGCATTGTGCTTAAGCGCATTCAGCTATCAGCGGCAAGTGCTTCGTCGCGGCGGCCACGTCGGCGCCGAGACCTGCTCGCAGTCTCACCCTCTCGCTCAGTAGTTTCCATTGAAATGCCTGCTTCCTTCAACCGGCGTTCCTCCGCGCGATTTGCTCGACGTTCGCGAAGGAGTTTGTTCTTCATACGGCGCGCTTCCAGCTGCTCAGAAATGGCCTTCTCACGTGCTTTCTCTGCTTTAGCCCGGTGTATGTGCTCCATAAGCACTCGCTTGTTTTTGAAGACGTTGCCTTTGCACCTGAGATAAAGCTCATGGTAGAGGTGTTTATCGATTTTACCCTGCGCGCGATATTTGCGCAGCAAACGTCGTAGAACGCGCTGCCGCCGCATCCAAACGACGCGCTGGGGCAAGCGTGCGTCCCTTGTACCCTTCCGCTTACCTGGTCCTGTGTGGCGACCTTTGCGCTTCGCCTCAAGGCGCTCACGTACACGCGCACGCGAGTGCATTGCTGGCGGCTTGCGGACAAGGACGCCATCCCGTAGCAGCTTCCTCACGGACTGGCGTGAGTTCGCAAGAGCGATTTTCTCGATCTCTGCCGGGTCAGCCCATATTTTCTTCTTACCAACCCCGGCAACAGCTGCCGCGAGACGCTTTTGCAGCTTGATCGACGTCGTAACCATGGTTGTTACTCTTAGACGAAGACGACTCTTCATTCGTTTCGGCACTGCGGTGGCGCCGGACGCCGCTGCACCCAATCCGATCAATTCTGTAATAACAAGGACAAACTTGGAACCAAATTTAGAACATGCCGTGGGCGACCCCCAGCGCATCGTAGGCGCACATCGAATCGGTTGCTTTTGGAAAGAATTGGTCAAGCGGATAATGAGCTGTTCCTCAATGAGGCTGCTGGCGGACACGCGACGAGCATCCAAATACCTGAAACATCTGCGAACGTGTGCGTATCTAGAATGTGTCTTTAGAAACATGTCGAACGTGCAACGGTATTCTCAATGATTGGATCTAGGTGCTGCATATAGTTCAGGCAGAGGCCTTCGTACACAGTTGCTCTTCTATAGAGGCGGTCTACTTTGATCTTTTTCTATTTCCCACAGATAAATAAATACTTGAACACCTGTACCAGCACGGCTTTCTTTGCTATACCTTTCTTACCTCGCGAATATTCAACAAAAGGTTGTATCCCGTAGGTGGGAGAACGGTCGCGGGAACACTTCCTGCCGTCTGTGCTAGCTTGCCAAGAAAACGGTCTTTATTGTCCATGTCAGGTATTCTCTGGTCGGCAGGTAGATCAGCCGCTGTTCTCGTGGTCCTTTTGCTGCAAGTCGTACTCACCAGACAGAGCACATTTGGCTCTGTCTGCACTGCATTCCCGACATGAATGCGTTCCACTCCACATATATTATCTGCGAAATAGCATCTAAGAGACACAAGGTGTGCAATCTCCGCACAGTTGAAACGGACGGTGATAAAGGGACGCACATGGACACAGGAAAAAACGCGCCTCTGTGCGAGAACGTTCCGCGCTGAGCTCCGTGCTGCCAGTTTCGCGGGGGCATGCGAACGCTTATCATGCAGATGGCAGATGTTCGTCACACTCGATGAGACCTCGTTCGGGAGAAACGGGGGACATGTGTACGGGCACCCAGAGCGGGAGCAACAAGTGTTCACAGAGAAGCGACACACGCGCATTCCGAGAGTATCTGCCCAGACGGCGACTGAGTCGTGTGTTTTGCTTTGCGTCGGAAAACGGGTCGAAGTCTTGAACGCCTCATGCTTGTTCTTCGCAGCATTCCACGGCGTCTCGTTCTTACACGGCTCCGTGCGACTCTGCGTCAACGTCGCTTTCCATCACCCTGAAGAGGTCAACGAGCACGCAGGTGACATTGGCGCTGCGCTGCTCCTCGTACCAGCCTATTCGCCCCGGTCGAGTTCAGTCGAACGCATCTGCTCTGTTGGCGAACGCCATTTCCATGGGCACCAATGCGCAGGCGAGTCTTTTACATCCGCGACTCGGTTCGATGGCGAATCGTTCTTCGACAATGCGTTGTCTGCTATTGGTGCACAGGAACTGCTGTGTTGCTGCTCGGCTCGTGGGCGGAAACGAGCGGAAACGAGCTCTCCGGTCGGTTGGGGCTCCCAGTTCGAGAAAGGTGAGGAATGGATCCTCAAGTAGAACGAGACGTATACATAGGAGGGAGCGAGTTTCTGTATCAACGCCTGTCCATCGCGTCTGTATTTCGAGAGAAAACCGGGCATGGAGTGTTGCCACCGCATCCATGCCACCTCGCACAGTAAAAGAAAAACATGGAAATTTCCCCTGAACTGTCGAAGAGGATACACAGAAGAGGAAAAGTTTCCAAGCGAAAAGACTATTCTGGAAACGCAATCAAAGACTCCCTGCTAAAACACTTCACCCGGGAGAATCTTCCAAAACTAGGGAGCAGGATGCCATTAGGCACCGTGTACCTCCTCATTCGAGGAATGTCGCTCCGCTCGCCTTGAACTGAAGCTCCCCGTCTCACAACTCTGTGTACGAACTCTCGATGCAGAACGCCAGCTGTCCGCATTCCATTGAAATGTTTCAATCGACCTTTCGTGAGTTAACACGACTGATGCTTAGGGTGGAATATGTAAAGCGCCGTCATCGCAGAATCAGAAATCAGAACACGTGCTTCCCAGAATACGTTGTCGTCTGCTCATGCCACATCGATAATGAAAGTACCTTCATCGCTGGTGCCGAAAAGTATCAAGCTAACCCACAAAACAAAACCATGCACCCGCTAAATCTCGAGCGCTGTATGAAGCGCATACTCTTGGCCCAGTACCCGTTGTGCCTACCCGCGTCGGGCGGAATTAAGCGATCTTTGACGGAGAGGGCTCTTGCGACATCGATGGAAGCAAATTGCGAGCCGGTGGTGGCAGATGGGATGCCGCAACGATAGCGAGAGCCAGTTTCTATCATACCTATTCTTCGTCTTGCTCTCGGCATTCGGCCGACAGAAGTCATATCATGAGGATGGTTGAAACTTTCTGCACGTGTTCCTTCCATCTTGTGCTGCAAGGTTTTCCTGGACGAAACCTTCCAGATCTGAGTACGCTCCCTCCCCAAATTCGAGTGGCATTGTCTCTTATAGCGTCTACTCGATTTGGTCCATATATCTTACATCGAGGGTCAGCATATTACGGCAGAAACCGGTGTACCGTATTGCATGGACTTCTCAGTGAGCAAAGGCTGGCCTCTTCGAGCTATTATGAGGGATTCGAGGGACTTTGGAGGGAACAGTGGCAAAAATCGAACAGAGACTTTCATTTTAATGGAATAACTTGAAAGAAGTCTGCGGGGTGGGCAGCGACCGAGTGCAAATCCATCCGCATGTCTTTTGTGAGGGCGCGGAGTGCGTCGAAGAACTAGATGAATTCTCTGCCGTTTAATGTAGATGCAGGAAACGACTTTGCGGTGCGCGTGGAACCCCGGTTGCAGAGCATATAGGCCGTGGCAGTACCTCTAAATCAATAGACTGGAGCCGAGGGCTTGAAAACAGGCAGATGAAGCTGCTCAGTTTTCTCAGAGCTGACTAATTACGTGAATCAGGCATGGAAGGAGCCAGGATGCATACCAACAAGTGGAATGACGGCATCAGGACCCATGTCGATGCTCTGAACTTCGCATCGAGCAGAGGCTGATGCTAAGTTCACTACAGCCAGAGTGTCTAAGAATGTCACAATGACTCAAGCCGATAATCTTTGGCTCGAGTGGCTGATGCCGCTCTGAGTCGCTAACCGTTCTCATTGTACCGGAACGAGAGGCATACATTCGGACTATTTTTTAATGACCTTGAAAACGAAATGTAAGACAAGACGAGTCCTTTGCTGAAAGGAGCATATTCGCTTGACGTGCTGTAAAGCACGAGAGCTACGCTGCTGCACTTTCGACGAATGGTACAGCCTGTGCAGGAATCGATTCTCTGCGATTCCTATTGAGAAATTTAGTACGACATAAAGAAATGCAAAATCATGGGTGACCCGGAAACCGCCAGATGAGAGGAGAGATAAACAGACCTGGACGCACAGAAAGGTGCACAGTAAGCTGGTCGAACGTCAGGTTGGGAGGCGATAGAAGGTGCGTGGCTTGCTGAGATGGAATTTCTTCCGCAACAAATGTGCGCGTGCACTCTCTTTACCGAGACTTGAACCGCCCGACGAACATCAGGAAATGTTCTGTGCTTCCAGTGCGCCCAGCAGCTTTATTTCAAAAAAAATAACGAGGAAATCGCTTAGTCTCCAATGCGCGCAATCTGCTAAAACGCCGAGCAATTCCGATGAAAGAAACTCAGTGGCTGGGCGAAGGGGCAGTTGTTCACCGCCTCGAGAAAAGTTCCCAATTTTTTGCAGTCAGCAACACGGTAAGGCAGGAACGCCGTATATATACACGGGGAACGGTTCCCTTGGGCATTTGGAGTACGATAATGGTGCTTTATTATTTGGTACAAGTCGGCAATATCACGCAAAAACGCAGGGGTGCCTGACAGAAAGTCCGTTTTAGTCACGGTCCCAGAGCGTTTCGTCATCACAGGGTGTTTTTCGAGCGATCGAACAATAGTAAGGGAGCTTGACATTTAATCGAGTGCAGCACATAGACAACTCTAAACATTATATCCAGAGCGATGCAACCGTTTGGGTATGTTTAGCGATCATGGGTCAGCGAAACCCTGGAAACGGCGATCCACGTTGGAGCGATCGTTCATGTTCAACGATATTCATTTTAGCGGGGTGAAATTTCTGACGCATTCTAGCGAAGCTTAGCTGGATTCTTGGGAAAGGCTCCCTTCTACAGTTTTCCTGTAGATAGTAGCACCTGGAAGCTGAAATTGTATACGTTTGATCTTTCTTTACAAGAAAAATATCTGCATTAGAGCAAGCGCGCATTGCTGCTGACAGGAGAAAAATGGTCTATCCGTGAGCTGGCCAAACTCTGTTCCTCGCGCCAAGAACATTGGAGTACCACAGTCACGGCATGGCCGGTGAGCTTTGACATTAGGGCCTTTGCTCAGCAACATACCGAACATCCGCGTGCACACGTCGAAAAGTTTGTTGCTGCTGGTAGCTCGAGCATACTCACGCTTCATGTCCAAGTAATTCGTCTCAAGAACCCCAGATGCCAGTCTGGATTGAGTACAGTGCAGCATGCACACATCAATTCCCGTCAACAACGCCGCCTTTGTGCGGCCAAACTTTGATCGTCATCAACGCACCAATAGACAGAAGAACGGCACCTACCAATCCAAGGATAAGCAGTCGTCGCATTCGCTCTGTGCCACGCATCGTAGAGATGATCCCACTGCTGGAGAGCAGACGAGAACCCATACTCTGCAAGCGGCTATACGAACGCTCAAGCGTGCGGCCCTGAGCTTCAAGGTCCGCCAGAACATTCGCACCAACGGACTCTGTTTCAGCAAGCACGCGCTTTGAATCCTGGATGTGGAGAGAAGCTTTCACGAGTGTGTCCGTTACACCAGCTACACCAGCGCGGTGCTCCTTCGTGGTGTCCAGCAAGGGCGCGTCGGTTGCGTCCACCTCGCGGGCGACCCGCGGACCCGAGGATTGCTGAGAGCGCGAAATTAGTTCTTCTCGCTGCAGTGCCTGCTCCACACCCCGCAGACTTCGCCTCAAGCGCACGACTCGTTGCCTTCCGTCGGAGACTACGGATTCCGCGGCCGCCCTGTCGAGGTCATCACCCTCGGTGGATTTGGCCTCCAACTCCATCCGGGCGAGCAAGTCGTTCGCCGTCCGCAGCCAGTGCGTTATTCTGGACACGACGTGTCGCCGAGCTTCAGCACCAGCTTCGGAGGCGAGGCTGCTAATATCTGCATTTGCTGATTCTATAACATGCGACAGCTCAAGTTCGTAACGACGCAGGTCGCCAGAGACTTGAGGCATCGCCCAAGAGCGACTTCACAACTACGGATCGTGAAATATGTAGGTTCGAGCAGCCAGCAGTACGGCGGCCGGGTTCCGATTAAATGTCACAATAGCTCGACCTTTATATACTGAATTGGAGATTAAGTTGCGTTGATATATGGAATCTTCTTCTGCCCCGGGTTATGTAATCCCGCACGATTCCCGGGCAGCGCATCCTGCTGCGCTGCTGGTGTAGTGGTAACATGGAAGATTCCCAACTTCGCTTTTTTTCTTCGTTCAATACTTGCAGAGCTTTCAGCGTAGATGATCAAACTACGTATAGATACCTGATTTTCTAGAACGTCTAGCGCTGGTACAGCTCAAAGCGCGAACTCTCGTCTCTGTCGGAAACCCCTAACATACCGCTAATGTGAGAAGTTCGGCTCTACGCTTCGCGATGCACAGCACCGGAGCAGTACGAGTCTGCGAACTCCAGCATGCTAGTACTCAAAAATATTCTGAGAGCTCTCAGCGCAGAGCGGCGGTGCGTTTGGCCTGGTGGCTCATTCCCGAAGTTCCCTTTAGGTATTGGCAGTGCACCAAAGTCTGCGACAGTTCAAACACGCAAGTAAAGCACCCGCACAAATAGTGAAGAGCCTTTGTCCTTTCGGGGAAGCTTAAGGCAGTCAAGAGTTGTCCATTACTCATACATACTGGCAGGGTCTTCCCCGCGAGAGAGATATCTAGTAAATCTTTATGCGGAGCATCATCCTGGTTCGCGCTTCGGTGCCTGGCATCACGAGCGGAATCTTGACAATTGTGCATCCTGGATAGCAGAACTTTTTGCAATGCAGGGTTACCAGGTGTCAGCGCTGAGCTTGTACCACAGGCACGACATCACAGCATGTGAAATGTCGGCATAGGTGCGTTGTTTGCGATCAGTTAAAAGAGAACTACACCAATGTCAGCATAAAAAGGCACGGTTCTTCGAACTCGGGCGGGTACACAGATCTTCAGATCTCGCCCTAAATTACATAAAAACATCCCTTGTCTGCCCTGGAACGACTGCTTCCATTCCTGTCTCGTATCCGCGGCTGTAACAATGTCGGTCTCATCTGTCTCTCCAGCTCCCTTGTTGGCAATCAATGGACGTTCATGGCAATGTAGAAAGTGTCGGTTTCGCCACTCGCAGCCGCTGTTGACGCATTTCATGCACAAGCGCGAGTTGCCACCTACACGTCGCTCGCTACAGTCAGCTCATTCGTATACAGCGTCGGTGTCCGCTTCGCAGCGGTCACACTTGACACTGGACAGGTCTTCCCGTACGTCCAGCATACACGCTCGTCCGAAGGCTACTTTCCATTGCGTACACGATTGTTGCAACGCTCAGTACACGTCATCCGGGGGTACCTGGGGCCATCCTCGATGACGACCCCGGTTTCCGCGTTCGTGAACGCCCACTACGATGCCGGGTTTCTCTTGGGGATGATGGCCCCAAATAGGGGATGACTTGTTTTTCGAGCGGAACTGATTACTGGGCTTGACCAGGTTCAGTAAGCTTATGGAATGAGCTTGTGCGCATGCCATCGAGAAACGGTGTCGACTACTTTTCCACCTCAGTCCGCTGGCGCGAATCACTGCACCCACGGGTGCCTTGAAACAGAAACATCGAAAACATGCAAGACGCGTGATGCGAGCATGCACTATGTGACAAAACAAAAATAATGCATTCTTTTGCGTATGAATTCGATGGTCGCGGCTGTTATTTCATGAACCTTGCCCTAGAGCGCAGCGAACCATATCGATTTCGATTACGTACCGAGTTCCTGTGACAAAGCGTCAAAGCAGTGACTCCGAAACGGCAACTCAGCACCAGGAAACTACGTATGAATCCTGAAGCGCTTCTTGCCATCGTTCGAGTGCCGGGGCTGCACATCTAGAAAACGGTCGGAAAAGCATGCAAAGTACGATCACAGCAGGAAGGTCAGAGTTTCATTTCAGTTTGATTCTTCACTAGACGGGTCGGACGGCTGTAGCCGTCTGGGTCCCGAGCCTACCGCAGACGCGTGCCGCGGCGTCGGATCCACTTCCGTGGTCACCAGCGGTTACAGAAAAGCTTTGCGGTGCCTAGACGGGCTCTAATTCGAGTTTGCGATTGGTGAGCGTATGTAGGCTCATCTTTTCAGCGACATTGCGCTTGCTGAGACGGTGTGCTTTGGGCACCAACACGTGCTATATGCGGATTATTCTGGAATGCTTTGGTTTGCGTCGTCTTCTGGGAGCAGCATGCGCGATCGCCCAGCACGATGCAAAGCGTACCGAGTGCTCCGAATAGCATGAGCAGGATTTACCAGAGGCGAAGGTTAAGAGATCTGCAACAGATATCTATCTGTAGGAACTTTCAAAAGCCATAAACGCCAACTAGCATTCTTCTCGGATCCTCAATGAGCGCTTTGATTCTACGTAGAAACGTCACTGCCTCCCTACCGTCTATTAAGCGATGGTCGTACGTCAGGGCCAAATACATCATAGGCCGGATAGCGATCTCGTCTCCGACAACGACTGGCCGTCTCTGAATCGCGTGCATGCCCAGAATTGCCGATTGTGGCATGTTAATGATGGGGGTACTGAGAAGACTGCCGAATACGCCTCCGTTCGAGATCGTGAACGTACCGCCTTGGAGCTCCTCCAACTGAATCTGACCTTCTCGAGCTCTTTTTGCAAAATCGGCCAGCTGCAGTTCAATATCCGCAAAGCTCATCTTCTCCACTCCACGCAGCACCGGGGTCACAAGTCCGGTAGGCGTGCTTACTGCGACAGATATATCCACGTAGTCTCGATAGAGAATTTCATCGCCATCGATTACAGCATTCACCTCAGGTTGCTCCTCGAGTGCAATCGCTGAGGCTTTCACAAAGGCACTCATATATCCCAGTTTTGACCCATAGCGTTTCTCGAAACCATCCTTAAAGCTTGCGCGCATTTCCGAAAGGCTCGTCAGGTCACATTCGTTGAATGTCGTTAGCATAGCAGCAGTATTCTGAGCATGCTTAAGCCGCTCTGCAATACGACGCCGCATGCGGCTCATGGGAACACGACGCTCGCCGGCTTCGTCCTGTTGCAGGAGCGCGCCTGCAGCTGCAGCTGCCGCTGCTCCACGCTGGACAACAGAGCGCCCCGTGAGTTGCGCAGCCGCTGCCTCTGCGTGCTCTTCACCGTGCTCAACGTCTGCCGGTGGTGGCGGTGGCGACCCTGCTGGCCCTCCTGATCGCTCTTCTTGCGGCTCGATGTGATTGGGCTCAGGTTCACTCTGAGAAAGCTTTTCTGCCTGGCGCTGCTGTGCCGCGACTGTTTCGCCTTGTGCGCCCACCTCAACTCGGAACAAGTCCTTACCAACGGTAACGTTGTCACCCTCGGCTGCCATGATCTCCCGTATTACTCCAGATACAGGAGATCGAACATCAACCGTGACTTTATCCGTCTCGATTTGTGCCACAACCTCGTCCTCTTTCACCGCGTCGCCAACGTGTTTTAACAGCGCCACAAGTGTACCTTCTGTGATAGACTCTCCCATCGTAGGAACGGGAACCGTCTCCAAAGGACTAGAACGAGTTGCTGAGGGCATACTAAGCCCTCTCTTACACATCTTCTGCAGAAGGCTCCCGAGTGGACGCTGCAGACGCTGCTCCGAACATGCTAGCGCACCTACCCAGCAAATATAGCGGTGCGACCAGCTGGGAATCCTCGGATCGCGGTGCCAGACTCTCACGGGTCGAGCACTGAGTCCCAGAGGTGCACGTACCTGGCGCCCCAGACGGCCCAGAACTGAACGAACGTGGGGAATCATATACCCACGCTCTACACACCGAAAACAATGAATGCTTTGCGAGCGACAAACGTTGTATAGGCGGTGCAGTTTGATGGTGAGCGGCGCACCGCCCGCCCTAGACAAAACGTCCGCCACCGATGTGCAGACGCCTCTCAGTCGTTCTCGGCCGGCCCCTTACTACTGGCTTCAACTTGTCGCCGTGGAATTCCACCTTGAGAAATTCCCCCACAAATTTGGATTATCTCAACTCCGGAGGCCTCTTCCTCAGAACCGCACATCCGCTGATACTGATTGCAGTGTTAATTTCTCGTTTCACAAACTCCATGCGTTTGGTGCCTCTGATGGAACTCATTAATGCCATGATTATCAGAATTTGTGCCCTCTGTGCCACATTAGTCTTTTCATCGCCCCGTAGGACAAATGCCTTGTTTCGCCCATCTCCTCTCTTCTTCGCTCGATGGTCAGCGAGAACAGGATTCCGCTCGTTTATTTTGCGGGAGCCGGCGACACCGGCCCTTCAGCCTCCTCGGCTTCCATGTCCTTTAGGTCCCCTGGCTTTTCATTTCTTCAAATGAATGCGCTTGTTTACGCCCTAAGTTGGGGAACTTCTCCGACGGAGAGTGACTTTCGCAAGAATGAAGAAATGTGCCTCGGAGTCACTGTGTGCTGAACGCTTCAGCGACTCGGCCAGTGGTGCGATGATTACGTTCCACGATACGAAACGCTCCTTTGATGCCGTTAAAATACGAAGCCTACTGAGGAACAGAAAGCAGCCCTACCCCGATAGAATCGGCAAAACTTCGAACGCAAAGGGAAAGGTGAATGATCACCTTGTCCAATACAAGGACATCGCTAGGCGTCAGGGGACAGTCTTCAATAATTCCATAAAGTGGTTGATGCTGTGTATGAGCCTTGACTGGGAGTCCAAACTGAGGTCGCAAAATGAATCCACTGCGGTTCGAACAGATGATGGTATCCCGTTTCTCTTCGCGTTCGATTGTACTTAGAACGGGCTCCCTCGCAGCGAATACCCATATACGCTCGGACTGCTTCGCCAGAAGGAAGTCTCATCGACTGAAAGCAACAGACCGACGTCCCGCTGCATTATGCGGATTGCAACATTCCAGGAATGCTGTCGATGCGGTTTCGGTGGAAGATGGCCGTTCCTGATCTAGGACTCTGTTTTTGCGACTGTATCCCAGTGTTTTGTTTCCAGAACCACACGAACAAGATGTTGAGCCTCACAGGCGCCAGTGGTGGCTACTATCGTGGCTTTTGCTTTGTTTAGAGTCATCAACGGGGCGTTTTACACCATTGACCGCAAGCAGGCTTTGAAAATATCGGTTTTTTGGCGCTGAGCGCATATTCGTGGTTCTGTCAGTGTTCCTCAACCATCTGAGTACTGTGGTATCACTGGCCTGAAGGAGGAATGCAGTCCTCGTTGCACTGTTTAGTAGGAATTATCCTGAAGGCAATCGGTATCAGATCTGTGTGGTACATTTCATACTGGTTTCGGTAACCTACGATACACTGCGAGAATGCATTTGATCACAAGCATCGAGGGTGAGACCAAGTTGAGTTCAAAGACTACAACAGTAGCAATTTTCTGGGATTGCGACGTTCTTCGATAGTGTCGGGCTCGCAACGAGCAAGTCCAAGGCGCCCATAACTTTTTTATGTGTCGCGTGAAAAGTCGGTAGGTATAAACCCGTTATCTGCGGTCGCCTCATATACAGACTGAAGCATCAGAGAACATAAGGCTACAAATGTCCAGACTAGTTCACGAAGTCATCTAGGCTACGTTAGGATCGTATGAGACATGTGCCACGCATTTTCGGCAAAGGTACACTTCAGTCGCGAGCTCTTGACTGATGTAGCTACCGTAGCGATCACACGCAGCTATGCAGGTCTCCCGCATCCCGGCAATGCCCTTTCAAGGCAAAGCCAGGCGAGCTTCTCTCTGGGCTGCTATCGCGAATCTATAGGCGAAACATGCTCTCCAAGTTCTTAATTGTTTCTCGCCGCTCGTCGATGTCTTGTAACCCCCGAAGATGACTTAGCGGGCCATGTAGAAGCTTGTTCACGATTCCTTTGGTGAGACGCTCAACAGCATCGCGTTCCTTGTCCGTCAAGTCGGCGAGTTTCCCCGTAACCTTCGCCAGCTCCTCGAGCCGGATATCCTCCGCTCGATCCTGCAACTTCGTTATCGCCGGAATGCAACCCAGACTCGACTGCCAGTTTCGAAACTGGCGCAGCTCATCCCGCAACAGATTTTCCGCTTCGATCATCAGGCGGCGGCGACGTAGCTGATTACGTGCCACCACCGCCTTAAGGTCGTCAACGTTGTACGCGTGAACACCGTCGATTCTATTCACGTCCTCCGCAATATTCCGAGGAACCGATATGTCAATGAAGATTCGAGAGTGCAGAGCGGCTTCAGCTCTGGAGAAGTGTTCTTCAAGGTTATCCGCGGTAAGAAGAGGTTCACGAGATGATGTGGATGTAAAGACGACATCTGCTTCGATCACCGCATCAAACAATTCACTCATAGGCCGGATAACAATATCTACATCTGGAAACTGCTTAAGCAGGTCACGTGCCCGCTGCAAGCTCCGGTTCACGATCGTTATGCGGGTCACACCTCGTGAGAGCAAGTGCGTCACTAGAAGCCGTGACATGGCACCAGCTCCAACAATGCAGACCTGCGTACTCGTCAAAGCGGCTGAAACGTTGTTCATATCCTCAACTGGAGCTGCATGTAGGCCCCCCAGGATGTCGTCTGCGTACCGTGCAACCATCAGTTCTACAGCAGCCGAGCTAATGGAAACAGCTCCTTTCGATATACCTGTTTCAGTCCGAACACGTTTCCCCGCTGACACTGCTGCGTTGAGCAGCCTTGTGAGCAGTTTTCCAGCCATGCCGCCCGGCTCCGTCGCTCGTTCGTAGCATCGTTTCACCTGTGCCAAGATCTGACCTTCACCAACAACGAGCGAGTCCAAACCAGCGGAGACGCGTAACAAGTGCCAAATGGCATCCTCTTCGACGAGCATAAAGAGATGGCTTCGCAGTTCTGGTATTTCGATACCGCTCCGCTGGCTGAGGAACTTTGTTACCTCTAGAATACCGCGCTTCGTGTCAGCACATGCAAAGTACACTTCGAAGCGGTTGCAGGTGGACAGCAAAGCAACCTCGTTCACGCTTGGGCAGGCCTCGACAACGAGAGCTGCAGCCTCCTTCCATTCTGACTCAGGAACTGCGAGCCGCTCACGCAGGTCAACGCTCGCAGTGTGGTGCGACAACCCGATCACGACAATGCGGTCGTCTGCCGTTCTCGAACCGTTTTGCTTCTGGCGACTCTCGAGACTGCCCCTGGCGGGCGGCTCTTCTGCTTTAGCAGCTACTTCTGAAGCAGCGTCTGCCACAAGGAGCCGAGCGCCGCCTCGGCAGGCTGTTACTAGGAGCTTCGTGCCAGCGTTGTACGCGTTCGGAACCTTACTCTGGCTACAGAAACGAGCCGAACAGGAAAGCACGGCCCTCCGAACCCCAGCACACGCTACAAACGCAGTCAACCCCTCCATGCCTAGAAGGTGAAGCTAAAAAACCTTCCCTATTGAACCAGTTTCGGCGTCCTGCGTCCACACAGCGTAAAGATACGACGACAGAACACGCACCTCTTATATACCAAGAGTCTGCCCGCGCTGCCTCGAAGAGGCCTTCGGCCTGCACAAGTGCTCCGCGAAGCGCAAATAGCTTCTCAGACACACCTGAGCGTACAGCACGAAACCTACCAACAGACGCTGCGCTCGACGCCGAGCGCGAGCGCGCCGGCCTCTTGATGCGCTGCGGTACCTCGCGGCCTCATTCGGGTGCGCTCCATTACCTGGACATTTCGTACACCGCAGTGCACAGCGTACCGCAGCCCCGAATCTTGCGCGCCTCGCTGCCATCGACCCGATGCGCTCCCGGGCGCTGCCGCGCATCCCGCGCTGCCGTCGAATCTCTGGAGAGCGTCCTTCTCGGAATCGCCCGCGATGCGCTGTCTGCTAGCCTCCAGTTTTGGGAGCACGGCATGATGCGCGCGGCTCGGGGACACCGGCGTCGTCAGGTGCGACGCAACGGGTGTCCAGCGCGCGAACACGCCGCGGGTGCATCGTCATGCGGCGCGGTAATGCTGCAGCATTGCCCAGCAAGGAGTAGGTCTAGAATTGGTTTGTGTGCCAGTGCGTCCATCAGGGAGTTTTGGTTGGTACAGGGGGTGTCGGAAATTGCGCCTTTAGTTTGATCAAGGCTAAGTTGCTGTGCCTATCGGCAACTTGTTCGGCTCAGCACGGTGTGTCTGGATTGTGGTGCGGGCTGACGCCGTCTTGCCGCGTGTGAAAGGTCGAGCGGCGTACCGTCGTTACGCCGGCAACCGTCGGTGTCGTCAAGCGCTGGCGAGCGCGCGAAACTCGGGCCGTGTTCCTGGAGCAACTAGGGCGCCCGCTGTGACTTAGAGGGCCTAGGTGTGGGGTACTTGTCCCTGCTGTGTGCGAGTAGGTGTCTGTGCAATAGAAGCTTTTTTCGTGAGTTTCCGTTCCATGTTGAACGGTAGCACCATAGGGAGACCCAGCTCCGCTTATCCTGGTGCTTCACATATCGCAGAAGCAACAACACCAGGCGAGATAGGCGGTCCAGTAGAAGAGACTGAATTGAATGGGTACCTCAGCGCGAACAGGAAGGTCGCACAGGCAACGCCTCTTGTCCAAAATCAGGTCCACGGGCGTTCGACGGCACATGCTTTTGACGAGCATATCCATGTGGGGTCGCCACCAGTGCAAAACGGCATCAGCCAGCTGAATGGAGGCAATTTTGGACCACTAGTTACGGCTTCGCATGCGAACGACGGTGTCGCATTTGAGTTCCATCCATCTGGTATCTTTATTCCGAGTTCTCGAAATTCGAACCAGCAAGGGCCGCCGGGTGCGTTCGCTCCGGAGTGGGCACCGTGCGCACGCACATGGACAGCAGCACCAGCGCAGACGGTAGCAGGAGCAGTTTATACCTATCCACATCGCAATCCGGCCGCATGGGCCAATAGTGCCGATGGCCGTTATTTTTCTCGTAGCTTGGGCCGAGGACTGTCGCCTGGGCACTCGAACGCCATACCCATTCATGGGGTGCAAAAACTGGGACACACCGCCTCGCCTTTGAAGCAGGAAAGTATAGAGCCTGGTTGCCTAACTGATTATTATGATCGAAATCGAGTAGCGATTCAATTGACTGGAAAACTGATAGCTTCCGGGCAGTTGGAATCGCTGCTGGAGCAGTCACCTGAAGACGAGCATGTTACGGTATGGCATCCAGCCACAGGCCGAACGGTAGCCGGAAATGCCGCACCGTATCGTCGCAATCTGGATGCCTGGCTAGAGAAGAATCCCGGATGGGTCGAAAAATCGTTTGAGGAGAAGAGCTCCAAGCGCCGACGAGCGTCCCGGCGCTCGCGAGCGGCGATGGCGGCATTTTCATCCTTATCTACTGCCAACGACCACGTTCGCGATATCCTCAAAGAGGTAGACCAGAAAGTGCGTGAAGCACTTCGGGAGAGAAGACGCACAGGCACTCCAGAGGAAGCGATGATGGTTGCTGAAACAGTACCCATCGCCTCTGAGGCCTCATTCCAAGACTCGTTCACCACGACTGTTATGAATTATGTGTTGAAAGACTGGACATCAGATGAAGTCGTTCGCCTGGTGGAATTGATCGTGCGCTGCAGTGAAGAGCTGGCCCATTTGGGGCATGGAGTCGATTCAGACGACGAATGCTGTGATCTTGCTGAGCTGGCGGAGCACGGCTCGATCGAGGCGAACATTACAGAAAGTTTTCTGAATTGTCGAAAGCATCGTTCGCGAGGTCCGTGCTCAGTTGCGATGCCTCTACGCACGTGTGCCGCACAAAGAGAAGTTGCCCCTGGAAGTGGTGGTGGAGTTGGCGGCGGCAGCGGCAGCGGCGGTGGCCAGCTTGTCCCGCTTGACATGGATGATATACAGTTCGTGCCTTCACCTGTACGTAACGAGACGCCGTGCGAAATTCATCCCCATTCGACTGATACAAATTCGGCTTGGAGAAAAATTTTTGAGGCGCTGCCCTCAAAACACCCGAGCTCCGTGATTCTTCGCACCCATATTTTGTTTTCGCAGGTGCTCCTAGCAGCTGCACATCGCGGTACGCTGACCAATCTTATACAGAGCCCGTCACCGACAAGTTCCACAAGCTTGGGGAGAACGCATCTCGAGCACTTGAACCGTGCGCTTTCATCGAGTCACGATTCATCGTACGGTGCCGAGCAGCTCGCTGGCTTTGCAAGCCTGGGGCTCCATGCGCACTCGCCTTCAGTGTCACCAGCGACAGGGCTGAGCTGCAGCGCTCCGACGGAGAGCAATGGAACACCGCGTAGTATGTTCCGTGATGTGCGGGTCACGGTCTGGGACCCTACGACTGGGAAAACCATCTCCGGCAACGCGGCTCCATGTTGGCGAAACCTTGAAATTTGGATGAAAGAGCATCCGGGCTGGTGTGTCAAACCTGAAGATGAACTGAGCGCCTCTAGACGATCGAAACACAAGCGAGCTCGTGAACTGGGCATTCCTTGTTCCTCAAGTCCGTTTCCAGCCTCAGTCAGCGGCTTTGAAACCGCTCTGGCGGAGATACGCACGAGAAGTGATCGTCTACCAGGGAGCCGATGCGCCGTCGCTGCAGGACAAGCAGACTATAGTTCTATGGCGCATTCTTTACCGGATGAGCATGACTGCATCGAGGGTCTCCTCATGATGCACGCTGGTCGTCCACTTGGGAATGCCCGAGCTGAGGTTGCGGATCTTCGCGCGTCACCCTATGGAAAGCCACCGTTACCACCACAGCCACTGCTGCTGACGACGAGTTCTGACCAGAGCTCCACCCCAGAGACCATGCACGCCAATGGAGAGACCGCGTGATATTTTGTCGCGAACGAACAAGCAGGCCAAGAACATTTGGGGACGGGTGTCTATCTAGCGATCACAGAACGCTAAGGCTTTGTCGAAGTTGACTCGGCGCCGCATACAAAAGCAGCGAACGCGTTGACACGCACCCGATGTTGGCATTGATGCTGTAGGCTCGCTTGCGGCAAGGCACACATCCTAAACATGATGATTTTCGATTATAAAGGTACATGAGAGGATCGCAAAGAACAGACGTAAACGGGAAGTTGTCTAGAAACATGGGATCGCTGAAGACAACAATATCCTCGATCCAGAGCCTGACCAGGTGTCGTTAAGCGAAGCTCTCTCCCCAGCAGTCTGTGCCAAAGAGCCGAGCTGGGTTCGGCGAAGCACCTGGACTTTCGAGCTGCAACCATGTTTGATTGAAATGAAACTCTGACCTTCCTGCTGTGATCGTACTTTGCATGCTTTTCCGACCGTTTTCTAGATGTGCAGCCCCGGCACTCGAACGATGGCAAGAAGCGCTTCAGGATTCATACGTAGTTTCCTGGTGCTGAGTTGCCTTTTCGGAGTCACTCCTTTGACGCTTTGTTACAGGAACTCGGTACGTAATCGAAATCGATATGGTTCGCTGCGCTCTAGGGCAAGGTTCATGAAATAACAGCCGCGACCATCGAATTCATACGCAAAAGAATGCATTATTTTTGTTTTGTCACATAGTGCATGCTCGCATCACGCGTCTTGCATGTTTTCGATGTTTCTGTTTCAAGGCACCCGTGGGTGCAGTGATTCGCGCCAGCGGACTGAGGTGGAAAAGTAGTCGACACCGTTTCTTGATGGCATTCGCACAAGCTCATTCCATAAGCTTACTGAACCTGGTCAAGCCCAGTAATCAGTTCCGCTCGAAAAAAAAAGTCATCCCCTATTTGGGGCCATCATCCCCAAGAGAAACCCGTCATCGTAGTGGGCGTTCACGAACACGGAAACCGGGGTCGTCATCGAGGATGGCCCCAGGTACCCCCGGACGACGTGTACTGAGCGTTGCAACAATCGTGTACGCACTGCAAAGTAGCCTTCGGACGAGCGTGTATGCTGGACGTAAGGGAAGACCTGTCCAGTGTCAAGTGTGACCGCTGCAAAGCGCACACCGACGCTGTATACGAATGAGCTGACTGTAGCGAGCGACGTGTAGGTGGCAACTCGCGCTTGTGCATGAAATGCGTCAACAGCGGCTGCGAGTGGCGAAACCGACACTTTCTACATTGCCATGAACGTCCATTGATTGCCAACAAGGGAGCTGGAGAGACAGATGAGACCGACATTGTTACAGCCGCGGATACGAGACAGGAATGGAAGCAGTCGTTCCAGGGCAGACAAGGGATGTTTTTTATGTAATTTAGGGCGAGATCTGAAGATCTGTGTACCCGCCCGAGTTCGAAGAACCGTGCCTTTTTATGCTGACATTGGTGAAGGTTCCCAAACATGTCGAAAAATCCGCTCACTACGTCGTCGTTTCTCCTCGTTGCAAACTTGATCGTTGTCATTGGCAGCGTCAGTTGGGCGTATGGATGGTGCTTTTAGTGGTTACGTACCAAGCAAAGCTCTACATCTATGCCGGCAGCAATCAGTTCCTGTAGCCAGCGGCGTTGTTTGGGTGCAAGCGTATCGTTGGTGCTCTTCACTTCGACAAGTTTGCAGCTGCTTTTGCCACTAGAACGCCATAATAGCAAGTCTGGCGCCCCTGAGCGCCAGTAATACAAGTCTGTCACAAGACGTGTGAGAATTTGCACTAGCCCCTGAGCACCAAGACCCGCAACGATCACATCCCAGGGAACCGGTGCTTGTGTTGGCGTCCAACGACGAGACTCGATAGCGCTGCGCTGAAGCTGCTCGCGTGTCCATTGCGAGAGTTCGCTTTCAGAAAGCATACTCAGTTCCAAAAGACGTTTGCGGATGTTATCAGCTCGATTCACGTAGAACATCTCCGTGCCAAAGTCAAGAGGCTGTGCCTGACAAGGAACGTGAAAAGCATCGACAACCGGTAGGCGCAGCATATCTTCGAAGAAGATGAAGAATAAGGCCTCGAATGTGCGACCTTCGAGGTGCGCACCAGTGTAGCCGAGTTCTGCTTCATAGAACTGCAAAGCAAGGTTCTCCACAGTAATGGCTAGCGTGTTATCCAAACCGGCGAACTTGACGCTACCACCACGACGACCCGATCCAGGCAGCGCTCGCCCCCGGAGGACTCGCTCTGGGATAGGTATGGACAAGGCGGGATCGTTGGGAAGTCTCACGTCAACTCCTAGTTCCCTACAAAGGCGTGATGCGCGTTTCCAGAGAACGCTGCGCTCCGCATCCCGGACAAAGGCATCCGAGAGCGAATCAAGACACACGCGGAACGCACCTGCTCGGTCAGCTAAGCGCTGCGCGAGGATCAGCGAGAGGCGATCATAGAACTTGCCGCGACGTCGCAGGCAGAGATTGGCGTTGAGAAGAAGTTCGAGGCGGCGAACTGAATCCAAGTAGTGTCCATGCGACTCTGCAACCGAAACTGAATGCCACAAAATATTCGCCAAGACGCCTACAGTGGTGTAGGGCTCCCTGTAGAGACGCTGTAGGTCGCACAGTTGATCATACCGGGTCACGCGCGTCGCGATAAGCGCCTCATCGCTGGTTTTCAGTGCTTCACGAAGCCGCTGTTCGGCAGTCATGGATATTTCGAGTGCAGCCGGCTCCGAGGTGCCGAGCATCTGCTCGAAAGATTGTTCTAGCTCCCGAGCGCTTTGAAAAGCCTCGAGTGCGCTTCGTGATGAAAAGAGCGGCCGTTCAACGAGGCATGGCGGCAATGGATCCTTGAGTTCAAGGCCGTCGCGCAGCATGTTTTCAAGACCTAATGGTGCCAGCGCTGCCCACGCGGCCAACAACGCCTGCAAGGCCTCGGGGCAACTGCAAACTGCAGGTAGGATCGTTTCTTCTAGCTTCCGCCTTGCTGGCGTAATTTTCTGCTTATTCGTTTGAAACAAGGCCCCAGCGACGCACGTCTTGAGCATACAGGCACTTTGCAGGCCGAGATCTCGGCACAAAGTGGTGACCTCTGCTTGCGTGAGCGACTTTAGCAGCCTGAAGTAATCATCGGTACACGCTGGCCTATCCTTCAAGAAGCCATGCTGGATGAGTTCTCGGCTGGCCTTCGCAACGTCAACCTCTCGGTAGCGAGTCTGCAGTGAGCAGGCTCGAAACCAGCGGCCCGTCGAGAAACCTTTGCGAAAAAACAACCACGAATAGAGCCATTGTGAAGCAGTTGCAAGCGAAACGAATGCTGATAAGTAATCTAACTCCGCCGCGGAAAAGAGATGTCGCTCGAACTGGAGACACCAGTGCACACTGAGCGCAAGTAGACGATACGTGTAGGGTCCCTTTGTTAGTGTTCTCAGCACTGAGTGCTCCAGTGCTCGGTTCGTTACAGTGTTTGTCACCTGGCTCATATGCGGCTCTGTGGAGCAATTTAGGCGACGAGTGCATCGATCGAGCGTGACCTGCAATGCATCATCCCCAGGTGAGACAGCTCTTTCCAGACATACTGTTAGATGTGACTCGATCGATGAGGCAAAGCGTAACTCTGAGCACACAGGACAAGCGACAACTGTATTCGGTGCACCGTTATAGTTTCGCCATTGTTGTTGTTCTACCAGCAGCTGTCGCTGCTCTCCTCTGTCATTTTGCAGTTCCGCTGCCTGCTTTGCCCGCTGGAATGCCGTTCTTATGTCAGCCATAAAACTCAGGGCGATGTGCCGCCAGGCGATCGACCTCGTGGCCTTGTGGGCTGCGTAAAACTGTGAACTGTGACAGGAAAACTCCACGAAATACGATTCAAATATTCACACTGGCTTGACTTTTGCGTTTTCTATACCCATCGAAAAGTATCAAGTGCGAAGGCAGAAGATTCGAGAAATGAAACGACGCTAGAGCTGGTTACCGGGAGTCTCCCGCTGGTGCAGCCCCTCTGCTGTTCGAACTCGCAGCACTTTGCTACACGCCGAGCTCACGAGGGCGCTCGTCCTGCGTACGGGCGAGCCCGTGGCAACACGCAGCCAACCTTGTAAAACGGCACTGCACTGAGGCGCTGCCCCTGTATACCAAGTGAAGCACGCCTCGAACCAGGGGCTAGCCCAGTCGCTGCTTAAGGCAGTCGACCGGCTTCGAAAACAAGCGCCTTTCCTAGGCCCTATTCCCAAACGACAGCAAAACGAAGCAGCAACTTCTCTCCAGCAGTCGACGGTATTCGGAATCAAGTTCTTTTTCCGAAGCACCCAGCTCAAAAGACCGCGAAATGAGGCACTTGTTTCCCAGCAGCACTCGACCGAAGCCCTGCTGCACGTTGGCGTCAGCAGAGCGTAGCAACCAAATGAGCAGGCTCGTCACGAACTGTACCGTTCAACAAGTGCGCGAGTCCAGCCCACTCAAGGTACTTGCTTCAGCATTGATCTAGGACACCGTCCCAAAAGAGCGTCCAGGTAAGTGCGCTGCTTCGCCACCAGTAAGAAGCCGCCACTCTCCGTGCAGTGCTCAACAACAATTCAAGCGCCTCGCTAGAATATTCGGTTGACAAGTTGCCAGGCAACAGAAGCAGAACCTCGTTCAAGTTAAGAACGCAACGTCTCTCTAAGCTACTGCAGCGGCTGCCGTAGGTAAGCTGGTGCAGACTAACCGCGCCGGGCATTCCTTCGTTGAGGATCTGCGTATGGTTGGTTTCAGGATACGCCACCTTGTACGCACGTTCACGCAACAGATGAAAAAGTCACCATCAATAGCGGAGCAGACACACCTCAGAGGGTTGGATTTGCTTCGGAATCCACGTTACAACCGGGGTATGGCGTTTACTTTGCAGGAACGGGAGGAGCTGGGTCTCCAGGGTCTCCTACCGCCTCGCGTGCTCACCATCGAGACGCAGAAAAAGCGCATCATGGAAAGCCTGGGGCGCTGCGCGACTGATCTTGATCGATACCTGCAACTCATTTGGCTGTTACAGCGGAACGAAACGCTTTTTTTCCGTCTGTTGATCGATCACGTGACCGAGCTGATGCCGTACGTGTACACCCCAACAGTTGGCGAGGCGTGTCAACGTTTCGGGCACATCTTCAAAACGCCTCGCGGCCTTTTTATTTCCTTCGAGGATCGCGGAAAGATTAGGAAGATTCTGGATAACTGGCCCGAGAAAGACGTTCGGGTTATTGTTGTCACGGACGGGGAACGGATCCTGGGCCTGGGAGACCTCGGGGCCTCGGGAGCGGGCATTCCTGTCGGAAAACTACTCCTTTATGTAGCCTGCGGTGGCGTTGAGCCCCAGCGCACGCTTCCTGTGGTGCTTGATGTGGGCACTGAAAATTTGGAACTGTTGCAGGATCCCCTGTATCCGGGACTCTTGCGTCGACGCGTGCGCGGTGCTGACTACGACGCCTTCGTCGACGAATTCGTAGAGGCTGTGCAGAACAAGTGGGGTGAAAACTGCCTTATCCAGTGGGAGGACTTTGGTAATGCTAATGCTTTTCGAATTCTAGAACGATGGCGTGGCCGCCATTGCTCCTTCAACGATGATATCCAGGGCACTGCTGCAGTAGCCTTGGCCGGCCTCCTCGGTGCATTGAAGATGCCCGGTGTCAAGAGCAACCTTTCTGAACATGTTTTCCTCTTCCTGGGGGCTGGATCTGCCGGGATCGGAATCGCAGACCTCATCTCGCTATATATGGTGAAACAGGGCCTTGTCGGTACCGTGGAGGAAGCGCGGAAACGCTGCTGGTTCATCGATTCGAAAGGTCTACTCTACCGTGGGCGAGCTCTGGTGACGAAAGAAAAACAACGCTATGCGCAGGACATTGCCACGGAGACGCTGGCGACGTTAGGCGAGGCCATGGAAGGTGTCTCTGATGCCACTGCATCCAAGCCAGACGCTGACGCAGCGGCTTCGCAGCAGGTGCCGCAGCGGCGGATCGGCCTTGCGGATGCGGTTCGACTGCTGAAACCAACTGCGCTGATTGGTGTGAGCACCATTCCGAAAGCCTTCGATGCCGATATTCTCGCTCAGATGGCTGCCAATCATGAAAGGCCGATCGTGTTTGCGCTCTCAAATCCAACGTCGAAAAGTGAATGTACTGCGCGTGAGGCCTACGAGTTCACCGGCGGACGGGCTGTATTCGCTTCGGGGTCGCCCTTTGACCCGGTAAAAATCCAGACTGGAGGGGATGCTCAGGAGCGCTGTTTCGTCCCGGGACAGGCGAATAACGTTTATTGCTTTCCTGGCTGCGGATTCGGTATCCATCTGGCGGGTGCGACGCGATTCACAGATGAAATGTTTATCGAGGCTGCCAGTGCAGTGGCTGCACTTGTGGATGAGAGCGACCTGCGTCAGGGTTGCGTATTTCCGCCGCTAAGCAAAATACGCGACGTAAGTGCCCACATTGCGGTGGCGATCGCCAATGAGGCAGCGCGTACCGGAGTGGCCACCAGGCGGGGCTCTGGGTCCCAGGGGCAGTTTACGCCAGCGGACGCGTATGCACTCCAGTACGATCCTGCTTACTAGGGCTCACGACTCTATGTAGACGTTCTTTGTAGAGCAGGTTTACTTGCGTGCGCTCGCAGGGGTCTAGATGAGGGCGACCTATGGAAAACTGACACCAGCGGGATACCCCATTCAAAGCTGGGTGATCCGTCGGGGATTCGAATATACTGCGCTGAATGTCACGCTCACCCCGACCCTACACTTTAAAGGACAGCGATGGTGTAGTTGGTGCTGCATTGATTGGAATACCAAGACATGGAGCCTGCACGAAAGCGCACGTACGTTTCGTGATGCGGCTTTAATGCGTTTGAGGAGCCTCTCACGGTCGCCCGCGTCCGGCGAGCGAAACGAGCCGAGTCTTTCGCGCTCGAAAAGCAAGGCATGATGATCGCCGCCTTTCGGTGACAGCACTTTCTTCCTAAACGGTCTGATGCTTTCAGAAAACTAAACGTCTTGCAGATAAACGATTTCGCAAGCTGGCATCCAGGATGCGCATGTCGTCCGAAACTTGCCGCAGACGGTAGTCGCGTCAGCACGAGTGCTGACGCGTAGACGTCGATCAGGAGCGTTTTGTTACGTAACTACTGGGGACAGCACGTTCGCATGCGTCCCCGAAGCGCTGCCTCATAACGCTGCCGTAGACACTGCTTTCTATGGGTATGTCAAGAGTTACAAGCTCTGGTTCACCAAACGCCTGAAAATTGGGGGAGCATCAAAACCTTTCAGCCAAACTTCGAAACTGCATTTTTTATAGGGCACGCTAGAGCTAACAGTTTTCGTTCACCGAACACCTGAGATTTGGCGTTAACAGAATATTTCTTCAGGTAGACACATGAACTGCCGTCGATCATTAGGGCGACCCATGGATTTTCTCAACAACCTATGCCCAATAGGATCGAATACTCGAACACCATTACCAATCATCCTCTGCCCCGAGAAACCGATCCCGTTGTATGAGCAGGCCGCTTCAGCCTCGCTCGATTGCTCACCCATACCGTACCAGCGCTATGCTCCGAGCGGGCATTCAGTCGGACAGTTCTTGAACACCGATGCGCTTTTACCGACAGCTTGCAGGCAGTCAGTGCAATGCCAACAAGCAGAACTAGACGATTTTCCCGAAAGTTCGCTCGACACAGCCGCTGTGCGCTTCGGAACCACGAGACATTGCCAGATGTGTATCGAGGCGATCAACTCGCGATGCAGAAAGAACCTGAGCACATTGTGGCTGGTGAAAGCACACCACAGCAGTCTCTGCATCTCCGATTGCCTCGCCGTCGGGCGTTCAAGCAGCGTATCGCACACCATCTCGTGCAACGGTCTCTAATTCAATCGCCTCTTCTCGACAAGTTTCAGCCTGTACCCGAGATCGTGCTGCGTGCATGACGGTGTGAATGCGTCGGTCGAAATCGTGCAGAATCAATCCCTGAACTTGTAGCAAGCTCTCGACGGGAGCGAGCATCACTGCAGACTTTGTGAGCTGGAGTAGGTCCAGCGCTATAGGCTACCGTCAATCGACCCGACTGGGCGGTCACTTCGTTTCCCACATCAACCACAAAGTCTGCGAACACGAGCTTCTCGCCTCTGCGGAGCCAGCACCATGTGCGTGCCCTGCTCGGCACCACGCGTTCTTGTCAAAGATCGTCCGCTGGAGCCAGTTTGACGCTCATGAGCTCCCCCTCTGCATGAGGCGCACAAAGCGTTACCCTCTGCGCGCCACCGTCCTCAGGGCGTCGAGATGGGCTCTCGAGCAACCATTCCTCTGGACGGTATGCCGCCTGGCGTCTACCATGCCCGACTGCCGATCATATCGAGCACTGGAAAATTCGAGCTGCTTTATCTGCTCTCCTTGTAGGTCTTTAGCACTGCCCTCTTGATGCAGGGGTACGGAGACGGCTATGATGCCGAGTGACACGGATCGACCCCGACCACAAAGTCTCTGTTTGTTCATCAACCTTGAACGGTTGGAAATGAGTCTGGCTGCTCGACTCTGGCATACGTGCTGCAAGGTGCATGCTGGTTGGCATCCCGTCGGTCTCCATCGTCCGGATAAACGTTTCCGGTATTTCTTTCCTGTTATCGAGAAACCTTGTCCGAGCGCCGCCACCGCGCTTTGCAAAGTAGTTCGAACGCAACGTTGATGCTTATATATACCAGTTCCTTCTTCTTGTGCCCCTTAACTATGCGAGGTGGCATGGATGCGGTGGCAACACTCCATGCCCGGTTTTCTCTCGAAATACAGACGCGATGGACAGGCGTTGATACAGAAACTCGCTCCCTCCTATATATACGTCTCGTTCTACTTGAGGATCCATTCCTCACCTTTCTCGAACTGGGAGCCCCAACCGACCGGAGAGCTCGTTTCCGCTCGTTTCCGCCCACGAGCCGAGCAGCAACACAGCAGTTCCTGTGCACCAATAGCAGACAACGCATTGTCGAAGAACGATTCGCCATCGAACCGAGTCGCGGATGTAAAAGACTCGCCTGCGCATTGGTGCCCATGGAAATGGCGTTCGCCAACAGAGCAGATGCGTTCGACTGAACTCGACCGGGGCGAATAGGCTGGTACGAGGAACAGCGCAGCGCCAATGTCACCTGCGTGCTCGTTGACCTCTTCAGGGTGATGGAAAGCGACGTTGACGCAGAGCCGCACGGAGCCGTGTAAGAACGAGACGCCGTGGAATGCTGCGAAGAACAAGCATGAGGCGTTCAAGACTTCGACCCGTTTTCCGACGCAAAGCAAAACATACGACTCAGTCGCCGTCTGGGCAGATACTCTCGGAATGCGCGTGTGTCGCTTCTCTGTGAACACTTGTTGCTCCCGCTCTGGGTGCCCGTACACATGTCTCCCGTTTCTCCCGAACGAGGTCTCATCGAGTGTGACGAACATCTGCCATCTGCACGATAAGCGTTCGCATGCCCCCGCGAAACTGGCAGCACGGAGCTCAGCGCGGAACGTTCTCGCACAGAGGCGCGTTTTTTCCTGTGTCCGTGTGCGTCCCTTTATCACCGTCCGTTTCAACTGTGCGGAGATTGCACACCTTGTGTCTCTTAGATGCTATTTCGCAGATAATATATGTGGAGTGGAACGCATTCATGTCGGGAATGCAGTGCAGACAGAGCCAAATGTGCTCTGTCTGGTGAGTACGACTTGCAGCAAAAGGACCACGAGAACAGCGGCTGATCTACCTGCCGACCAGAGAATACCTGACATGGACAATAAAGACCGTTTTCTTGGCAAGCTAGCACAGACGGCAGGAAGTGTTCCCGCGACCGTTCTCCCACCTACGGGATACAACCTTTTGTTGAATATTCGCGAGGTAAGAAAGGTATAGCAAAGAAAGCCGTGCTGGTACAGGTGTTCAAGTATTTATTTATCTGAGTATACAACCAGGGCACCTCAGTAGATCAGCGACGAAGTTGCTTCTATCGTAGCAACACGTGGTTTCTCTGACTCGCGCAAATGCTCAGTAGGATCGGATGTTGCTTTGATGTAGGTCTTAGTCTGCATATCTAAGAGGCGAGAGATGCACCGTTGAGCCGCAAAAGCCTCGTCACTCTTTTCATCTGGAAGATGAAAGATCTGCTCAGGTGAACCCCCTGCCAAACAGATGAGTCGTGCACGGCGATCGTAAAGGATATCCACTAGCGTAATAAAGCGACGAGCTATATTGCGATCTTCAATTTGGCTCGGGATATTCTCTAGAAAGAAAGTTTGGAAGCGTTCCGCAAGCGCAATGTAATCCACAGCGGCAAGCGGTCGATCACAGAGTTCGTCGAAATAGAATCGTGCGATCGAGGCCCGCGGAAAAGCGCGCTCTACTCGTAGCGCTCGGCCAAGCGTTCGCACCACGACTGTTTCATACCTAACTGGGGAGACGCTGCCTCGCACCGAGCCTTCCGAGCGCTTGGCGAGCTTATCCAGGAGCTGTTCAAAGCGTTCGCGATTTGCGGGTGTTTGCGGGTAGATGAACAGAGGAAGTTGGGAGGTGTCCGCACTCTCTTCTAAAAGCGCTTGTAGGCGGTAGTCTACTCGGGAATCGAGTTTCACGACATGGCAATCCCGCTGTACAGCATCAATAAAAGGAATGAAAAGATCCCGCTGAAGGCCGTTTTCATACAGGTTTGCTGGCGCACGATTCGAAGTTGCCACCAGCGTACCACCCCGTGATCGAAACACATCGTAGAAGCGACGCAGTACCATGGCATCCGCAATGTCAGTGACCTGCATTTCATCGAGGCACAGGAGTTGACAGACGTTTGCCATATCGCCCGCCACTATATCGATTGGGTTCGTTGATAGGTCGTGCTGCTCTGCCCGTGCTGCTTCTTCTGGTCTTCCCAGAAGCGCTCTCAAAACTATTCGGAAAAGACCATAGTTACTTTGGTGCTTAGTTCGGGGTTCATTATCCCAATTATGCACACGCTTTCGAAAGTTATGGAGACGATCGTGGATCTCCAACATGAACGCGCTAAAGTGGACCCGTTTCTTATTTGACAGCGGTACATTGTTGTAGAAGAGTTCCATAAGCATCGTCTTGCCAGTTCCAGGCAATGTTGACCAGAGATACGCTCCTTTTGGAGGCTGTCTCGCCGCTCCCTGCTGGGCAACTGACACCTGCGAGTAGGCGACAAGGTCGTCGCGAACTTTTTGCAGAACCTGGACAGCCCTGAGCTGTTCCAAGTCCCTCTGGAGACCGTGGAGCTTCACGTAGTCCAAGTATACGGCCTCGAGGGACTCTTGGGTACTGGGACGCTTTAATGTGCTCAGAAATCGTCTTTCCCCACGAATTCTGCGCACCCAAGCACGGTGCTGAGGAAGCGGTCTCCGTTGGCTGCGTCCGTGTGCCAGTAGTGCTGCACACGCTGTTCCTGCACTCCAGTTACAGGCACCGTCCAGTTGACTCGGAGTTACTCGAGACAGCGCTGGTGCACTCATGCTGGTCCTCGTGATCAGAGCCTGCGCTTCCAAGCCTGCCCGAATAATGAAACCTACATAAACAGTTCGTAGACCCTCTTCGTGCCCTCAGCGCTCTGAGCTGCTCCGGCGTCTGGAAAGCGTTACCCGTGCGGTGCCGTTGCCGACTCGCAGTTCTACTCGGAACCTTCTGAAAGCTAGCTAACGAGTTCCACAACCAATAAGAAAACCCATGTTCTACGCCAATAGAGACTCAGAACGCAAGTTCCAGCACGCCTTCTGGTGGTAGAGGCGACTTGCCCAGCGCAGTCGCTTGAAAGAGACGCCGCAGGTCGCGTATTAGGTCGTTGCTGGAAATCTGCACGCTTTGGAGTCTCGACGAAAGCACGGAACGTTTGTGAGGATTTTCCCTTTCTCGTACGACGAGAGGGTTACGCTGACTTTACTGGTTATTGGCAATAGCACGGAGGCTGCTACCGACTTGGAAACGCAGCTTCACACGGCTCCGGCCCGCCTGTTTTCGTAGTAGTGCTGCGAAAGTGCCTTCACTGCGGTTCCGACTGACCGGTTTTGTGTTCCTGGTTTTCGCTCGAGTCCATAGATTGCTCCAAGAGCTGGTGCGCTGTGGGACGCGAGCAAGTCATTGCTGCTCTCGACGGCGTCGCCGACTGCTCTTTGTCAGCGCATGGGGCCGAACCGTACCTCAGGGACTGAGAGACGCTAGACGTGTCAAAGTTGTGACCACTGCTGTTCGTTAAGGCGTCTATAGGTGGCACCCTCAGTTCTCGCGAAAACAAGGCGAACCGTAGCTGCTTAAGAGGCCATGTCCACAAAACGTGCAGGTCAGCGATCGGAGGCGACACCCGAGGCGAGAGCGGAGGCACGAAACCTCGTTGCTGAGCCACGTATCGGCATCTACGAGGGTAGGAGGCGGCTCGCACTGGAACGTTGGCTCTCTGAGCCGCCAGCACCAAGTCACAGTAGCTTGCAGAACACATTGAACGCCGTTTTCAAAGAGCCGTGGCGGACACTGGAAGAGCCGCCTCCGCGAGTTTCTTTTCTGTGTCGAGTAACCAGCGTCGTATGGGATATTTTCGTCGCTCTTTCTGCTGGTGTAATCTGGATAGCAGATGCGATCTTGCTACGTGTCCTGCTTGGTGCGCGTCTCGTGTCCTCAACCAGCACGGCAGCGCAAGCGGCGTTGCGCAGGAGGCAAACAAGGCTTGAGCGGCAGCGTCTACTGGAACGCCTTGGTCAGGCAGATTCGTACTCCTCATACTATGAAACAGCGGCTCAACTTGACTGGCTCGAAGGTCGCAGCAGGTGGAAAACATCGCTTACCGATGCATTCCAGTTGTACGATCGGAAGGGTCTCATGCGGCAATTATCCCAACTAAGTGCACTATATCGACAGGGCGACATCCAGCGACTCATGTTCAACTTGCGAGGCTGCTTGACTCGAGATTTTTGTGGTATTCACCGGGCGGAGCTTCACAGGAGATGTCGAGTTGGAACGAAACGTGAAGTGGAAGACTTTGTGTACGTTGTTAGTTGGCTGTTGGAGTATATCGCGACCACCGAAGATCCAACAGTTTCCTGGCGGGAACGACTGGAATTCTTCAACCAGGTTCGTCATGCGTACGGCAAGTCGGCACTGTTGCTTTCGGGTGGAAGCACCATGGGTCTGAGCCATTTTGGCGTCCTGAAGGCGCTCCAGGAGCTTCGGCTTTTGCCACGAATTCTCTCAGGTGCGAGCGCTGGAGCTTTGGTCGTCGCGTTCGCTGGTGTATTCTCGGACGAGGAGCTCATCGAGTGCTTGGAGAGCTTCCGAAACCCGTGGACTGGTCGACCATTGCGCTTCGAAATATTTGATCCGTCGCTGTCTTGGTACCGAGCCATGCGGCGATTTGCCAAACGAGGCGTACTCTTCGACATCCGGCGTCTTCAAGGGTGCATGCGTGAGAATCTGGGTGATCTTACTTTCCAGGAAGCGTACAATCGCACCAAACGTATCATCAATATGACCGTGACGCCGGCGTACGGTCCACCAGTGCTACTGAACTACTTGACGGCGCCAAACGTTCTCGTATGGAGTGCTGCTTGTGCTTCGGCGGCGTTGCCGTTGATATTCGCTCCGGTGGAGCTTTTCGCGAAAGATGAAAGGGGCAGCATTATTCCGTATCACCCGGAGGGATTCCAGTGGTCGGATGGAAGTATCAGCGCAGATATACCGTTACAGCGCATTGGCGAAATGTTTAACGTGAATCATTTTATCGTCAGCCAGGCAAACCCGCATTTCATTCCGAGAGGGAGTATGCTGATGAAGGCTCGCCTCATGCAGGCCATCAAAGCGGAGTTAAAGTTTCGATACAGCCAGCTGGAGGGCCTTGGGCTTGTGCCTCGAATTTTTCGCATGACGATTTCGATTCTGACGCAGCCTTTCGAAGGCGACGTCACTGTTCTGCGGGATCTCAGTCTGGCAGATCTCCGCAAACTCTTTCGGAATCCCACGCTTCAAGACATTCGGGCCGCGGTTGCCCGCGGGCAGCGGCTCGCCTATACGAAGCTGGACGAAATCCATCACAACTGCTTGATAGAGTTCACTATCGATGATTGTATTGAGTACATCGGACGCCGTTTCCAGGATGCTGCCACTGCAGTGGTTACGCCCAGATCATCCGCAGAGACATCCAGCACCAGCCGTTTGTTTCCCCGAGTGCCAAGCTGGCTCTGGGCTGATTTTGGCAGCTTCGGTGGCGGTTCTGCTAATCGGTCACCGCCGGCGAGTCCGAAAACTCGCGGTGAACGCCGTGTACACCGCATATCGCTAGGGCACGGTCAGCGACACGCAACTGATGCCACGCTGGAGACCATTCCCGACACGGAGGCAGGTGAGGAAAGCGCCTGCGACGAGTCCTTTCACGTCCGACGAGCGAGTCCCGACATTCGCGCTTTACATTGGAAGCCGGCCTCCTCGTCCATGACCTGCAGATCGCCTCCGCGGCGGAGCCACAGTGCGGAAGTTTTACACAAGTCTGACGAATACCTCAGGATTTCGGATTCACTGGACAAGAGACAGCCTCACGGGGAGGAGCGGTCAGAGTTTCCGAGCTCCGAGCAGTCACCATCAGATAGCGCGGATGAAGATGAACGGGTCATGTGTTGAAAAGCAAAGGCGGCCGCGACACGCTCGTGTCAGTACGAAACGGAACGGGTTCACAGAGCTACATCGGGCATACGCCCTAAAGTGTGATTTACTCCATTGTCCTGAGTAGCAGCCTATACAGGCTTTTTCTCCGACTGCTTCCATTCCTGTCTCGTATCCGCGGCTGTAACAATGTCGGTCTCATCTGTCTCTCCAGCTCCCTTGTTGGCAATCAATGGACGTTCATGGCAATGTAGAAAGTGTCGGTTTCGCCACCCGCAGCCGCTGTTGACGCATTTCATGCACAAGCGCGAGTTGCCACCTACACGTCGCTCGCTACAGTCAGCTCATTCGTATACAGCGTCGGTGTCCGCTTCGCAGCGGTCACACTTGACACTGGACAGGTCTTCCCGTACGTCCAGCATACACGCTCGTCCGAAGGCTACTTTGCATTGCGTACACGATTGTTGCAACGCTCAGTACACGTCGTCTGGGGGGTACCTGGGGCCATCCTCGATGACGACCCCGGTTTCCGCGTTCGTGAACGCCCACTACGATGACGGGTTTCTCTTGGGGATGATGGCCCCAAATAGGGGATGACTTGTTTTTCGAGCGGAACTGATTACTGGGCTTGACCAGGTTCAGTAAGCTTATGGAATGAGCTTGTGCGAATGCCATCAAGAAACGGTGTCGACTACTTTTCCACCTCAGTCCGCTGGCGCGAATCACTGCACTCACTGTTTTCCCAGTGCCTGAAAAATCGAAAACTTGAAGTATGCACGGTGTGCGCATGCTGCACGCTAGGAAACAAGAACCCTGAAGGCTTGTGGGTCTGCATTGCATATTGGTATCGGTTAGTTTATGAACCATCGTTCGAAGCTGCCGCGAATCATCCTGATTCCCGTAAAGTTACGAGCTCCGTCGGCAGCGAATCGAAAGCGCCAGATCGAAAAGACGACCAAGAATCCTAAAGCAACGCATGAATCTCCAAGACCCTACTGCTGCACTTCAAACGTCTAGACTACATTTCTGAAACCAAGTCCGGGAAAATGCGCAAGTCCGGAACAGAGCCCGCAGTTCAGAGCTCCGTATGAACCTCGCATAGGCACTGGAGAAGCGTTGATGTCGTACGGCGCTACGCATCGTCCACACACTGGGGCACGCATTTCGGTGAAGTCGCGGCTGTGTTCAGCGTCACAATACGAGTAGAGGATTCTTTGATAGACAGCGTTTCAGCGTCCATGCACGACGACAATGCGTGCTGCGAAATACCAGAGGCATGTACCGCATTGCGCTGATTGAGTAAACTTCCAGGCGCCAGGAAAGCATTTGAGCGTGTGTCGCGAAAATCCGTGGCTGCAGCTACGGCTGGTGACTGCTCGGAGACTGCTCAGACTCCTGCGTAGAATTGTTGGCGCGAGTTGCGCAGCGACTTCTTGGCAGAGGGTGTCTCCAGGCACAATTTTGTTGGTGCATGGACGATGGACCTAGCAAGCCTTCCCGGATGTGTGCACGCTGCCGGTTATCCGGGCTTGTATGTTGAGTTTAAAGAGGATGTTGCGAAGGAGGCGATGGGTGCCACCAAAGGCACGACACCAAAACGGAATATTGGGGTCCTTCCTCGATGGACACCACCTGAACACGCAAAATGGTCATTGGTAGCAAGAATATTGCCACTGCATGGGCAATGGCGAGTCATCTGCGCAGCACTTCCTGCCGCTAAACCGAATCGCGCAGCTTCCAGTCTGTTTTATGCTCATTCTTTCCGTACCGTAAAAAAAACGAAAAATGTCTCACAACAGTGGAGGGTTAATATATATCTCCCCACTCGCAGACGCTTCCCATCCTTTTCTGACCGGTCGACTGCTGTCGGATTCAGTTTCCCCCAGCACACGTCGAGCCCGGGAAGCTACCCTCGAAGTTCGCTCGCGTAAGCTCCGGGGGTCTCGTCTTCAGCAGAGCACATCGCCTGATGTTCATGGCGGCGTTGAAGTCTCGGTTCACGAACTCCCTGCGTTTCATGGCGCTGACTGTAGTGTCCAACAGAAGGCGTCCTCGAACTAGCGCCCTCTGTGGCATCGGCCGCTCTGTTCGCTCCCCGTGATTTTCTTTCCCCGAAGAGCTCGGCGGCTGTGTCCCCATCCTGACCTTCTGGAGTGTACAGCCCAGCTCATGGTGCACGCAGGTCGTTCGGAACTCGACTATTACGACAGTGACAAAACGCTTTGCGCACTCGATGAACGCTTGTGTCGACGGTGCCGGTGTGCTCCCGTTTTCGGGCAACGAGCTCCCTGCTCCGTACGCTATTACGAGCCTTTGACTCTTGCCTTCTTTGAGGGCGCAGAACTCATTGAAGAAATTGGCGAATGCACGCTGCTCCCCTCCGTACAGGTCCATAGGCAGACGAACCCATCGGGGCTTTATGTACTCCTTCCACAGGTCCCCATCATGCGCAGCGTGCGTTTCCATGAATTCCAGATAGGTCCGAAAGTCCGCTCCGCAGCTCGTCACTTTGCTGACCGCTTCCAGGTGCTCCTTCAATCTTGAGTTCCAAGCCTCGGTTTGCCTCAAGGCACCTATCATCCCCGACTCTCTGTTGAATCTAGCCGTCGAGAACCTCAACATACGCATGTCCATTTGGCGTAAGTTGGCATTGATACCGTCTTTTGCATACTATGGCACAGCGACGGCCATGATATCCTTCTTTCCAGGGTCCACGCCGACGACAAAGTCGCTCTTCTGCGGCTCGTACAGCATATGGATCGCCTCTCTCTTTTGATGCTTCGTCCAGGGCGAAAACGATGACAGGATATGACGATGCCTGCTCAAGCGCCTGGAGTGTACACATATGCATACCCCATCGGTTTCGATCTTGCCTGCGAATGCTTCTGTGTTGCTCTTCCTGATACCTTTGAAATCGAAGACATTTTTCCAATGAGTCTCCCAGTCTATCCCCGTGAACTCCTCCGAGCTGACGTCGAACTTCGGACTGATCTCCTGCATCATGCCGTAAAGGACGCTGGAGTCGATGGTCACGAAGTGCAACATGGTGTTGCGTATCGGAACGACGTGAAAGCGCTTCTTCAGAAGCGCAGCCTTCCGTTTTTCCGGCGCTCCATTTCGTTTTTCACCCAGCTGCATCTCCGCCTTGCGTTCGAGCTCTCGGTTCAGGTACACGAAATAGCGCAGAATGAGGGGATGAATCTTTTCGTATCTCTTTTCATCTCTGATACCTTTTCTGCAGGGTTGACAAGCCCCGGTACCGCAAGGTGCTCCTGAATGGCTGCACAGATCACAGAATTCTCATACGTACACCTGTACGATGTTTTCGCACCGAAGCATTCTATCTCCGCTTCATCCTGGTGATCGTTCGTGATGCCATTGATGATCGCCCATCTCCCGCGGACAGAGAGGCCATCGTAGAGCGCGAAGACGGAGCAGTTCATGAAGCTTTCGAGGTTTTCGATCAGGTGGCTCTTCAAGTCTTCGAGATACTTCATCGCCCTGTAGGTGTCAATGCCCAAGTCACCCTTGTATCGAGAACCGTTGAAGCGGTAGAAGGCATATGTTTGGTGTAGGGCTCGCACTCGATCGTCTATCGTCGAGGTTCGCTCTGGGCCAAGCATCAGTTGGCGGATGAAGGTCACACTGAAAAACTCCTCCGGAACCTCGACTGTTTTGATGTCCGTAACGTCATGGTAAAGGTCCCTCACCAAATGCATCAATCAAAGAGAAGCTTTTCAAATACTCCTGGATTACGATAGGACGCGGTTTCTGATGCCCTCCTGCATCTTTTCTCTGTAAGGAGCCCTGAGATGGCCTGGAAGACAGGCTCTCTCTACGTTCTCGTCATTGTATCGTCTTTCGAGTTGCAGTTGATGTGCGAGCTCCCAGTTTTGCTCTTTCCCCTTCTCCTGTCGCTCTGGGCCCCGCACTGTTTTCCAGTGTTTTGTCGAACCTGGTGACACGTGGCCTCCGCAGGCCTCGACTCTCTTGTCCATAACTTTCCTTTTTTATTCTCGAAAACGAACGCACTTTGAACGCTTGTGCTGTAAACCGCGAAAAAGCTTTTGGGAACAACCAATTGAGGGTTGAAATAGTATTGAGATCAAACACTGTATTTTGCTCTGACTTCAACACCGTTACAACGCATACGTTCGAGGAACAGGTCAACAAGTCCATATTACGTTTCTCTTCAGCGGCGTCATGCCCGTCGTGTCATGTGACGGCCTGATCTCCCGGGTGCGCGTATGGAACGCGCTATATGAAAAAATTGTACAGAGACTCTCGATTTACCAGCAAATATATATTTCATTCCCTCTCTACGATGAACGATAAAAGGAGGAAAAGTTTTCCATACTGCGGAACGTTTACTTTTTCGGCGGAAGGTCCTGCGAGCCGGACGAGTCCGCGGGTCAGGCGCTCCGTACGCTACCCAGTAGCTGGTGCTGTAGTGAGGTCTGAGCAGCTCGTCCGAAACGCAAATCATTCTGGGATTAGGGGCAGTTAGGCTGTGTTTGGGCGTCGCCCTGGTAGCAGTAGACTCCTGGTATTTCGCTTCGCGCTGCAGCAGACAGTACGTCTGGGTGCGGAACTTGCAGGCTCCCAGAATGACTATGCACGTGGAGTCTGTGTTGAAGGAACGGCGCCTCGAGCCGATGCCTCATACGGTATGGCAATGTCAGTCTGCCTCCGTGATGCATCCGTGTAAATGGTTGGGGCGCGGCGGCGGGTGCTCAAAGCCAGAAACCGCCGCACGATGGAACGTGCGAAACAGCCAGTATATCCGAAAGGAGATATGCGAAATGGAGTTTGGAGGTAGGGCGCAGTATGACAGATGCTTTGTCGACAACCGATATCCATCCCGCAGTCTGTGATCCGTGGTCAACGTAAACGTTTTGTCAAGACAAAGAGAAATCGTCAACCAGAAGCGCCGCAATCGCCGCGTCGCCGCCAGTCGTCGACTGCCGCAGACGACTTCGTACCCTCGGGACGACGCTTATTACTCATGTTCTGTGCAGTAACGTTACGGACTGCCGCCTTGAGCAAGTCGTTTCGTAGTGCGTTCCTGGCGCAGTCAACTACTGCACACATTCGCTCGTGCAGTGCCCGAGTACCTCGACGAACGAGAGCGCTTGAGAGGACGTGTGCGATGTCGACGGGGAGACGAGTCTGCAAGGTGCCCAAGGGCACCCGCGACTTCCTACCCGAGCAGATGGCCATACGTCAACGCGTTTTCGCGCTCGTGACCTCTGTTTTTGAACGCCACGGCGCAGTGACTATCGAAACGCCTGTTTTCGAGTTGAAAGAGACGCTTCTGGGTCAGTACGGTGAGGAGAGCAAGCTCATCTACGACATTGCCGATCAGGGCGGCGAGTTGCTTTCCCTCCGCTACGATTTGACGGTGCCTTTCGCGCGCTTTCTTGCGACGCACGGCATTGTGAGCCTCAAGCGATACCAACTGGGTCGGGTGTACCGACGAGACCAGCCGGCGATCGCTCGTGGTCGCTTTCGCGAGTTTTACCAGTGCGACTTCGATATTGCTGGTCAGCATCCTCCGATGGTACCGGATGCTGAGGTCCTTCGAGTCCTCATTGAAGTGTTGGACGAGTTTGCGGCTTTGAGCCCGTATCATCGCCAGAGACTGGGATCCTATCAGGTAAAACTGAGCCACCGAGGTCTACTGGATGCGATTCTGCAGCTATGTGGCGTGCCGAAGGAGCTTCTGCGACCCATTTGCTCATCGATTGACAAACTCGACAAGGAGCCTTGGGATGTTGTACGAAAGGAAATGATCGACGTGAAAGGCCTAACCGCACCATGTGCGGATCGGATTGGCCAGTTTGTGACGCGAGCGGGCAAGCCCAGGGAGCTGCTCCGCGAGCTCCAGGCCGACCACAGCCTCTGTTGCGGCAAGTTTGGAGCCGAGGAAGCACTGGCCGATCTCGAGCGCTTGTTTTCGTACCTGGAGGCGATGGGCAATGTCCTGGAACGTTGTACGCTGAACCTTGCCCTCGCCCGCGGCCTAGACTACTACACGGGTCTCATTTTCGAGGCCGTGCTCACGGACGGTTCAACACCGCTGGGCTCTATCGGTGCCGGTGGACGCTATGATCGTTTGGTGGAGGACTTTGCCGGGAAACCCGTACCCTGCGTAGGCACTTCAATCGGTATAGAGAGAATCTTTTCCCTAATGGAGGAGGCTGAACGTGAACTTGCCCAAGCCACTGGCCGCGTCATTCGCGCAAGCAAGACGCAGGTGCTTGTGGTGGGCATTGGCAAGGTAGATCTCGTGCAGCGTCTGAAATTATGTGATGAGCTATGGCGCGCTCATCTAGCGGCGGAATGTTTGTACGCTGAACGACCCAAGATGGCTCGACAGCTGCAGTATGCATTGGAACGCGGCATCCCGGTGCTCGCCATTCTCGGTGAAGACGAACTCGCAGCCGGCGTGGTCGGCCTCAAAAGGCTGTCGACGCAGGAGCAAATCCAGATGCAACGGGGCCCGCCCCTGGTTCAGGCTATTCGTGACTGGCTTGCATCGGAAAGCAACCAAGAAGCGGGACAGGAGTCTGTAGATCGTGACGGTAATTGTCGTCCAGAACCCGTGGCATCAGTTCGAGATCCGACAGCTACGACGCCTGGCGCAAACTGAACAAGCAACACAGCTGAGGCGTCTGCGCGTTCAGATGCTGAGCGTCGGTTCGCGTTTCACCTGAAACTGTCGGCGTATGGCCTACACCACTAGTGCTGTTGCTGGCAGAACGAAACGTGCACATGCGCAGCGCCTCAAGCAGCGCTGTTTGGCCGCGCGCTTGTCATGATATAGCCGCGGCATCGCTATGGTGCATCTTGCGAATCAGTCCGTAAAGACTAGTCGGCGACACCAAAACAGCATCAACTGGTAGCTGGCGTTGCCGTCGAAGATGCTGGCGTCTCTGACTCTGCTGGCGCTCCTGGTCGGCTACGCAGCCGCTGCTCCAGAGTCTGCAAGCGCTTGCGCAGTTGCTCTGCCGTTTTCCTTTCATTAGATATCTGCTTTTCAAGCGAGGCGATCTGTCTGGCGCTCTCCTGCCGTAGGCGCTTCATCTGTTTCTCCGAATCTGCTTCGAGCGAGGCCACAGCTGCGCGAGATGCTACCAGCTCCTGTTCCTTTGCCTGCAGCAAACGCTCTGTCTCTTTCTCGAGACGTGCCGTGGCCTCTCGCACTGCGGTCTCGGTATTCGACTTTGCTTTTTCCAGCTGCGATTCGAGTGCACGTACTTGCTCTTGTGATTGCTTTTCCAGTTGCGCGAGCTGTCGCTGTTGTTCGGCAGCTGCCTCCTGCAACCTCTTTTCCAGCGCCTGCATGCTTTGGGCCGCTTCCTGCTTCGCCGCTGCTACCGCCGTTTCACGCTCCTTGGCCGCTTCCGCAAGTCGCTTCCTAAGTTGCTCTATTTCGGCTTGAGTTTCACTGCGTGCCTGCGAAACGGCCTCGGCTTTGCTCTGCTCCGCGTGAGCCAGCGCATCCCGAAGGCGCCGTATCTCGGCCTGAGCTTCCTCACGAGCCGCGGCCAGTTCCTTTTCATGTTGGGCCTTCAGCTGTTGCTGTTCAGCCGCGAACTGCGCTCGTTGGCCTTCCAACTTGGCCTCTATGTCATTTAGTGCTGAGCGCAGTTGCTCTTTGGCCTCCGCCTCCTTGGAGCGAGCCTGCGCTGCTTCCTGCTCTGCTTTCTGTTGAGCGCTGCGCGCTTCAGCAACCTGTTCACCAAGGGATTCCACAGCAACTGCATATTTTTGGCGCTCCTCTTCGGCGTGCTCTGCACGAGCCAGTAACGCCTCTCGTTCGGGCTGCTGTTCAAGTTCTCGCTGTGCGTCCTGCAGATCTGCAGCGAGGCGCACATTCTCCGCCTTTATCGCTTGCAGGTTTCGCTCCAGCTCGGCTCGTTCCTTCGCGTACGTTTCCTTTGCCATAGCAAGCTCTTCCCGCGCAGCGGCAGTCTCACTTCTCGCGGCTGCAGTCTCCGCTCCAGCACGCTCGAGCTCTTTGCGCAGCGCTCGGATTTCTGTCTGTAAACGACGCTCGGTGCCAGACAGGGCGACTGTACGTCCACCGGCGGATGCAACAGTATTACCCTCACCGTCCACCAGGCGTAGAGCATTGACACCCAGTTTCTGCGCTGCATCGAGCAGCTTCGTCGTAAATGCGATTTGGTCTGAGGGCGTTGATTTGAAGAATGTAGACGGGCGAACTTCAACCACAATGAGCGGCTCCGCAGACAGGCTGTCATAAGAGGCCTCCGAGATCCAGTCGCGCTGCTCTGCTGGGAGTGCATCCCGCAGTGCAGCGACAACATTTCCGAGCGCTCGTGGTGGCAGTGTACTTGGTTCGGGCGCAGGCGCTCTGGGCGGCACTGCCGCGGACGGCTCACGCCCGCTACCCCTAGTCGACAGCTCCGATGGAACACCACCCTTCGTGGCGAATGATTTCGGTGCCGACCTGGAGCCATTCATTTGCGTTCCCTGGTCTCTGGGTTTCTTCTCTGGTGCTTGGGTACCATCAGATGGACGGCTGAGTCGCTGCTCGAGGCGGCTCGTCTGCGATTCGAGTTCGTGGCGTTTGATTAGCGCTTCCTTCTCGGTGCCAGGAGAGCCATGAAAGAGGCCTGGAAGCGCGAAGAAAACGACGAAAAATAACGCATGTAGCCCGGCTGCAACGGCTTCGTCGCTACGCAACGCGAGCGGTTCCGGTAGACGTGGTCGAATGAAACGTGGAATCGCCTGCGTCCGCCACCAAGTCCAGGTCGTGTCCGCCGCGCCTTTCAGTACGCTTACTGCTCGTCGTTTTGACGCCTGCTGCGGATCGGTGTTTTTTAGAATTTCATCGATCGCGGCGTCCAGACGAGCCCTCGCTCCGCCGCCTAGTGCAGCAATCGGCTTGCCGGCAGCATCGGCAAGACGTACCAGGTTCTCTGTCAGCTGCCTCTGTCGCTGCCCTCGAGCAGGGGTCTTCCTGGCAGGAGTGCGCTCCACGCTTTCGTCAGCGCTTTGATCAGGCTTCTCTGCGCTGTGCGCTTCGCGCGCCCCGTCCGCTGCGGCAGCGAAACCGCTGGGTTTTGCTTCCGTCCGCGGGACACTTGCCCCGTTCGCCGGTGACTGCCCTACGCTCGACGAAGAGCCGCCATGGCCAACCTCCTTTTTAGGCTTCTGAGATGAGCTCGAGTTCGCACTTTTGTCATCAGCTGCTGCAATCAGCTGAAAGCGCTCTTGAACAGCAACGCGAGAGGAGCACAGCCTGCGACCTCGTTGTACTGAAGAGGTCCATTCGAACGGACTTTCAGGTGCAGTTAGACGACTTGCGTTCACAAACAGAAGCGAGCAGTGCGCTTCCAGCATAAGCGAAACAATTTTCCCTGAAACGGGAAATACACCGCCCGAGTCCGGTGGTGCGCCCAGGTCCCGGAGCCTTCACGAGCAAAGCTCAGCTGCGAGCGCACGATGTGCGAGCCCGCAAGGCTTGCGATCTGCGGATGCGATCGCTGCGCCCCGCGAACACCCCACAGTCGATCGAGCGAGGCACTGCATTCCGGACTTCGTGTGACAATATAGAATATTTAGGTACAGAATATCCATCCTTTCCATAAGCATCGATTCGCGCGAGCGCATCCGCGCGCCAGCGCATCCCGAGCCACGACTCGCCGCTGATCTCTGCACCGTAGCCGCACCGTCTCCGTGCGACGTCGGCGGCGGAGCGCACAAGGCGTCCCCGAAACCGCTTTTTCCAGAGCTGGATGATATCTGGGCATCAGTGGCGCGTATGCGCAGAGCGCGCCGAACGGTAGCGTGCCCGCACGATGGGGTTTCCGGCGGAATCTCTCTGAACGGTGTTTCGGAAATGCTGGATCATGAATGGTCCACCTTACGGCTCGTATGCATTGTGTTTTATCCTTTCCTGCGCGTCAGAGTATGCACGGAGCACACTATATGCATCGATTCTCGGCCAAGAATTCCTTCGTGCACGCGCACGCACGCAAGCACGCATACAGCGATCATGCATCGAATGCACACGCATGCATGGACACGTGTGCAAGCGCATGCATGCATGGACACGCGTACAGCGATCATGCATTGAATGCACACGCATGCATGGTCACGCATGCATGGACACGTGTGCAAGCGCATGCATGCAACTACTACGTGCGGTGAGGTGACCTTGCGTTCCGAGGCGTCTACAGGAACTTGTGTTGCTGACTTTTAGAGTGACACGCGATCGCGTTGGACGTCGTTCGTGTTTATGACGACTTCCGTGCGTCGCACCTGAGGCGGCATAGAAGCTCGCTGCTGCTCCCCGAACGATTGCCTCTCGCGCCAGAGATCACTGAACCGTTCAGCTTGGACTACTTCTCCAAACGGGATCACAGCACACTGGCAGCGTATGTTGGACTGTGCGCACCAGGAACAATTTTGGCACGGCCTCGTGTGTGCCGCATGGATTCCGTACCGTCCACTGCGGGCAAGCTGCGGTGCCCCGACTTGACGAATGTGGCGTCGATGCGACGAAGAGCTGCCCGCCGTGCATGGCGGTTTGTGCTCATAGTTGTCACAGGGCGGCTGCGCATCAACGGGATCCGCAGCCAGAGGGCTTGGCGCTTTTACCTTTCTCGCCAACACCAGCAACGCTGAGGCGGGAACACTAGCAGTGGCACATGGACACGCGCACCCCATAGCACGCATGTCCTTTCGGAAACAGACTCAATGCACAACGCGCGGGTGTTTGCATGTATGCCGGCCTTTGATGCGGCAAACCGAAGCTGTTCGCCTGCGTCGTATCCAGCGGGAATCGGCGGCACCCTGGAGCCGGAAACCGCCAACCGCATCCCAATGGGCCACAACGACTCGCCGCGCTCCACCAGATGCTGTACAACTTGAAATGCCGTTGACGCAGCCTGGTCGGCGTTCTTTACGTCTTAGGCACACGCCGCATCGCGCTGATGAAAGCATTTCGCGAACAACCCAGGGCCTTTGAATTGCATGCCTTGCTTACCCAGTGCAGATTGCCCAGCGCGAAGCAGCAGCAAGTCACAAGCGCTTTCTTCATGCAATGCGCCAACTGCGGCATTGAATAGATGCCCGGGTCACGTGCAGTGCCTCTGCGCTCAGGCGTGTTTGCGTCACGATATCCAGCGGTTCCGAGCGAGCCGAATGAGCACCCCCGAGATGGCACCGGCAGCGAAGCGTCTCGTGCTGCTGTTCCTGATACTGCCTCCGACGGCAGCGCTTGCAACGTGAACGGCAGCTGGTACCCAGCGCGGCTACGCTGACTTTGCATTTATAACATTAGGTCTCTGCAACTTGTTCTAGAAATACCTGGACGCGAAGTGCTTGTAGCCAGCGACGCCATTCTCGGCGGAAGCATGCCTGAACACTTGTACCATTGGTAGCATCGTGCGGATCTCGACATCCAACAGCACAGAGCGCTTCGCTCGCCAGTCGACAGCAGCGCGCGACAGGCTCGGTGGCTACTGCGTTGGCGGCACCGCCAGCACTGCACTCGAGATGCTGATCTGTGCCGATTGGTTCGAGTAGCGCGGCGCGGACCGCAAACCAGTCCACAAGCATGAACTGGGCATGAAGCACAGCTGGTGGACAGCGCATTCCAAGCAGCATATGGAAAAGCGCGTCCTCCAGGGCTTCCTGCGTCCTGAAACTTCCGAAAGCAGTCAATAGAAGCTGCAGCACAACTGGCACAAATCGTATCCAGGCGTCGCGCTCGCTGTCGAGATCGTCCGCTGCCGACTTCGGCACGCCATCGGGCGGATTCAAGACCGCCTCGCTAATCTGGTAAGCGCTCGCCTCTCGGTGTGTCCAGATATCCGCGACGGCCTCGGCGGCAGAGGATACCACAGATGCTGAATGCGCCCGAGTCAAAAGCACATAGAGCACGTTCCGCAATTCATTTCGATCATGTACAGAGAGGCACGTATCGTATGGGATACTCAACCAGGCAGCTGCTGCAATCGCAGCGGCGAGTTCTGACTGCAGACAGGGTACCTGCAGTATCTGCCAGAGAGCATCGGCACGGTGCAAGAGTGTTAGAAACTGCCCCAGTCCCATCTGCCAGAGACGCTGGTACACCGCTGGCGCGAGCGCACCTGATGACGCACCTGCAGCGTGCGGTGCCGATCCTGATCTCACATATCGCTGCGAGGCAGGCACCGGACAACGATCGCAGATTGCTCGCCAGAACGCCAGCCAGCTGATCAGATTCTCAGTCGTGTGGTCGACGACGGATCCGGCGAAATCGCTCGAGGGCGTGCACCACCGATCTGCGCGCGCCATGGGCTCAAGCCAGGTCTCCAGCGCGGTCTGGAAAAGCGGCTCGCCGAGCGCCTCCAGCAGGCGCTGCAACGAAAGAACGCGCGCGCGCACCAGATCAGCCAGCCAGTAGAACACAGCCCGAAGCACGCCCGAACAGCTTCTCGAAATCGCAAAGAAGGTGCACAACGCCTGCTGAGCTATGGCGAGAATATCCATCGGATCGACGATGTCTGGCATGGATATTCGCTGGAGGACTCGGCTTAGGCCACGTAGCAAGCAAAGTGTATGCAATGCGCGTTCTTCGACCTGAGAAACATCCCTAGGGCTGAGCGACACCGCTCCCGCCATACCCGAGCGAACGTGGTCAATTGCATTGCCGTTGGACAGGGTCGCTACACGCGGGTGGATCCACTGCAGCCACCAGGTCACGCATGCGGACCACAACGAGAGCGGGCCCATGGTGTGCACTTCATCCACTGCAAGGAGCTTCGTGGCTGCCCAGCCTAGGCACTCACCCAGGCGGATCAGCTCTGAGGGCCGCCATGGATACCCTCGCTCACACCAGGGCTCCTCCTGGGGCGGCAAAGCTAGAGCTACAAGTTGCTCCCACCAGGCAGTCTCCGCCGCAAGGCTAGCAGGTGACGGCCACGAACGTGAGGCCTGCAGTAACAGATTCAGCGCTGCTGCTGCTGCTGCTGCTCCATTCGTTGCGTGAAGAACGCACACCGTATCCAGTGTTTGGCGTATTCGGTCGAGCCAGAGAAAGCGCCACGATGTTTGCGCTTCATCACTGAATCCTAGCAGCTCAACGAAACGGTTGCTCGCTAGGAGCGACCTCAGATGCACCGCGGTTTCTGCGGGAAGCAGCCAGTTCGCACAGAGGCGATGCACGGCGGCCTGCGGATCTGGGCCCGGACCAGTGATAACACTCCAGCGACGCAGCGTATCGAATAACGTTGCCATCACAGCCAGGTCGACGTCAGAGCGAGTTCCGGAGGCACAGGTAGCCAGCGCCGGCGCCTGCTGCGCTACTGCCGCCAGCATGCGAACCGGCGGGTGCAGCACTGCCTCCAGCCACGGGCACCAATGCTCGATCCCCAGCGATGCGCACGTCTGCAGCATTACGGCGGCGGGCACATGCATTGAAGCTGAAGCGTCCATGTCGTGGAGATTTTCGTCACCTATCAACTCGCCCAGAAGCGTTAGAAGCAGCACAAGCAATACACCGGCCGGGGTGCTCGTCGAATTCGCGGCTTCTTGCCAGTGAGCGAGTGTCTGATTCACCAACCGTTCCAGGATTCCAACAAGTTGTAGGCCATGGGGTAAGATCGGCGCACCTGAGCTACTAGTTTCTGCAGCAAGGCGAGGCCGCGTCGCCCAGCGTAGCAATGATGCAACTACAGCAAGGCGTGCGCTGCATTGTGACTCAGGGAACCAGTCCAATGTTGGCGGACACTGGCGAGCAACAAGTGCCGAAACGTACCGTGGCAAGAAGCTCACAAGAAAGCTTTCGATGATTTGGTACGTACAGTCTAGGAAAAATCCAGCGTAATGCTCATGGTCTGGAGCAACTTCGGGTATCGAATCGAGGCCTCTGGCCGCTGCTTGCTGCGGACGTCCAGGCGATTCATCGGTGAAGGTTCGCGCGGCCTGTCGCTGCGACGCATGCCAGAGGGTGCTGTCCCACATGTTGAGGAAGCCATCAACAAGGTCAACCATGCGCTCGTCGGTTTGTTCTGCTTCCTGCAGATCCGCAGCGACCAAAGCGTTCACTACATCGGGCGACTCCATCCACGCTGAGCCGCAGTGACAGAGAGCCATCCATAAGCCGCTGGGGCTGGATACCTCGCCCGCGGCTATCTGCTCCATCGCAAGGCACACGGCGTCGAGACCGTGCGACCGCACCACAAGTCGCATAACATCAAAGTGAAGCGCGTCGCGGGCGACTTCCTCGAAGGTGACCGCTGATGTCGTCCGGAGCGCCGGGTCCGTACTTTTGAAGAGTGCGCGCATGAGGGAGATCAGAAACTGTTTGGCTTGCTCTGGAGATGCCCAGCAGGTGCAATGTACTCGACTCAGGATGCGTGTAGCCTCCATGGTGGTTAGCGCAAGGTTCAAATACGGCGACGACGGCGTCGGTAATGATGATGATAATGATGGTGATGACCTGGACGCCTCCCTGGAGGCGAACGCGAACACGGCTGCAACGCCCTGCACAAGCCGAACACTGTAGAGCGCGAGCGCTTCTGGCCAGCCACTCGGCGGCAGGTGAATACTCTGCTCGCTTTCTGTCGAGGAGTCGGTGTCGCTGATTTCCACTGCAGGATCGACAGTATTTTGCAGAAAAACCTCCATCCAAAGCAGCATCATACGCTCTAACACTGAAATGAGCCACAGTCGCATGCCCAGATGTGCTTCTGCTGTGCTCCGGAGGTTGGATGCTGGAAACTCGAGCAGTCCCCGCTCCGAAGCGAGTCCGTAAAGGAGCTTCAAGAAAGCCTCACTTACGATGCGCCACAAGGCTGCTAGACCCTTCGATCGCCACCATTCATACCACTCCTCCAAAGTTTCCAACTCCTGCACACGCTTTTTCGTGTGTTGACCTGTCCGCTGCAAGTTGACAAGCTTGGTCTGGACCTGAATCCAACTTCGAAGCGCTTCCACGAGCACGAACAAGGCTGCCAGATGGTGTGTCTCTGGAGGAGAAACGATAGAGTTTCCGTTTCTATCCTCAGGCTGAACATGCGCAAGCTGCGTAGCAAACCACTCTAAAAGCTGTTCGTCGAAACTGATGACGCCATTTTGTCGTAACGCGTTGGCACCAGACGTCGCAAACTCTAGTATGCGAACTTTGCTTCGTGCAGTGGCCGCAGCCCATGCACGCAGACGAAAGAAGAGCTCGCGGCGCCGCTGCGGTACGACCTGCTGTTGCTGCCCAGAGCACAACTGCGACCTCAAGTCCTCAGTCAGTGTCTCTAGACACTGCTGCAAACAAGTCGCCGTGTTTGCAATCGCGTTATGCACTGTGGTCATCAAAGACGCTAGCGCTCCGTCCGCGCACGACATGTGACTACCGGGCAGTTCGCGTTCGTCCCTGGTTCCTTCGTGCTGCGCAGCAGCAGGTCCAATATTCCCGCGCACTGCTTCTTACAACGTTAAGGCGCCTTGGTCGCTCCCCTGGTGCGACACTGCGCTCGAATGGTGGCTCTGCGGGGTCGCGGCGAACACCTCGCGACACTCTAGCGCACGTTCTGAACCGCAGTGGCGAGCACCAGATTCGGCTTTCGTGCTGCACGCAACGACTCCGTACAACCATACGTTCTGTACCCAGAACAAGGCCGCACCGAGCAGCGAAACGTCCACACTGAGCACGGACTAGTACCGAGCACGTTAAAGCAGCGCTAGTGCAGCAGTGGTGCACCGCGGGGTGCGACCCGCCAAAGACCTTAGTTGGAAGCTGTATATTCCTGTATTTATAGGACACAGGTTAGGGGTCCCATGCCTTGGCCGCACACCCAGTTCTCAAGTACATCGCGTTGCAGCATCGCACATCAGGTATCCGGGAGCACAACAGCTGTGGGTCGCCGGACAGGATACCGCAAATCCACGACATGCGCTTCCCCATCCAGAACGCTCCCGACCTGAATTCCCGTTTAGAGTACGGTATGATACAGCGAGCGTGCGCTTGGCGCGCCCTGCCAAGTGTACCTCTTTTGGCGCCCGCGAGTCACGAACGCACTCGCGGATGGTGCAGGGCATCGCTCCGCCACGCGTGGCGAACGCCATTTGTTGTTGCTGTTGTCGTCATCGCGGGTACGGAAGCGATGAGGCGTTCTGTATGTCCATCGGATGCGGGACTGTTGTCGGCAGTCAGGAACGAGACCGCTCACCAGACCTAGATGTCATCCGTTTCATGGATTACAGACCAGACCTGCAATGCGGTATCACGCTTCGTTCGAGCGGTTCTCCGGATGCCGAGCTGAGCGCATGTGCCAGTAGCAGTAGCAGCAGCGTCGGAAGCGTCGTTGCGAACGCCATTGCCGTGCCGATGGGATGCGTGGTGAGCGTGCAACGCCTCCAAGTCCTCCACGACAGCAGATTGTTTGCTTCGACTCGCTCGATCTATCGCGAGTTCGAACGTAGTGACTGGATGCTTTTGCTCACAGCTTTTCCCGCCAAGCTCAGATCACGTGCAGCGTTGGATACCGAAGCAGGCGACACAAGTTTGCTATGTCGCCGATTCGAAGGCGGGGCAGAAGGCGCTGCTGCCGCCGCACTACAGCAGCACTTACCAGCGATCAAACAAAATTCCCTCGATGTACCGAGTCCATAAATGTACATATTAATCCAGTTTCTCTTCTCAAAGCACGCGAGCGCAGCAAGTTCGTTGCCGCTGAGGCGACGCACAAACGGTGCTGTGTCGACACTCGTTCGTGCCGGAGCACGAGCACGTACTCTGGGTTTCCAGAGTGTCACAGACGCCTCATGTTCACGACCTGGACAGCGCACTGTGTACAGCGATGGAGACGCTCAGCAGCGGCTGCCCGTGCACCGAGGTGTCTGAGCGCTCCAACCGCTCGCACATGGGCAGTTGCAAGCCGGCGCTATCGCCCTGCGCAGCGGCTCCAAGGCCCAGCACGCACCGAACCACGAATGTCTGGTGTCAATGGGGGCCTTGCGTACGACATTGATGAGCAACAGCTTCCGGATCAGATCAAACCCTTGGTCCAGATGATTGTTCGCGGTCCTGACTCACCAGCTGCATTCATCGACGCTATGGAACGCATAGCCGACTGGCTTTGGCAACAGCAGCAGTCTGCCAATGACAGAGGCACCAGACCGCCGGATACGCTCATTCCTTTTCTTGTGGACTCGCTCGGCTACAATAATCCGGTTGCAGCGCGAATAGCGCTGGATCTTCTCGTGCGACTTTATGGAAAGGGCGCCGTCCCGGTACTGCTACAGGGCGTTGGCGCTCTGAACTATGCCGTTAACGCGTACGCGCTGCGAGCACTGGGTGCAATAGGCGACGCAGACGCGGTCTTCACGGTTGCAAAGCAGTGTGCGCTTCGTGGACCCATTCCTAACGTACGGCGTGCTGCGGTGCGCTGCCTCGCTCAGCTGAAATACGAAGAGTCGGCAAACGGGAGAGCGCGTTGTGAGGATGCAGTCGCATCGCTGTCGTCGCTCGTGGGTGACCCCGACTGGACAATACGTTATGCGTTGGTTTGGTCGCTATCGCATTTACTGCATCGCAAGTTTATCGAAAAGCCAGAAATAACCAATATTTTGGCTCACATTGCAAACCAGGATGCAGATGTGGTGGTACGAGCTCGAGCGCAGCGCGCACTTGCTCAGTTCAATGAGGCAACATCATCCCCAGCCTCCAGCACGGCGCGCTGCGTCCACGCTGCCGATACCTGAAGTGAGCGCATAGCCCGCCGTGCCTGCTGGGACGTGCTCACGCGTCGACGCTACTCCTTCGATACTCCCTTGCCGATCGGGACGGGAATTTGTGGTTTCGGATCATTTAAATCGGATGGAAGTGCGGGTGGTGGAATGGTGCGTGCGTTGGCAGATGTTGCCGATGCCATCCCCGACGAACGAAGTAATGAACGAATCCTGCTGCTGCCGCCAAGAGGTGCATCAGCGACAGACACGCACACACACAAAAGTCGCCTGTACGAACGGAGGCAGACTACGTGTGAGCGGTCTACTCATCTGTGCCTCCGCGTCCATCGAAATCGTGTCAAAATAAAACTGCTCCCGCTCGTGAACGTCGTTAGACACGTGCATCATAGATGCTCCTAGGCATTAGAGCAGGTCGTCCAAGAGGTGAAAGAGCGGGTCGAGGGCCGAGTGCGTGAGCTCCAAGTTGCAACGCTGAATGATCTGGCGAATGGCGAAAACTTTGAAGCTATTTTCGACCATCGCACAGTTCGCAATGGCCGATGCCGACTCAAGCTGCCCGAGCTCTCCGAGATCTCGTACGAGGACGCGCTGGGAAAAGTGATGTTCGGCACCGAATTCGAGAGCACCATGAAGTGCATGCAAATGTTCCACTTTGCCGGTCGCTTGGTACATGGCCTTGTGCGCTGCGTACTGTACGAGCGGCACTGGATGTTTCGTCAGGGGTCGCATCGCTGAGACGAAACGGTCTTCGTAACGCGCCCAGACGGCCGGATCCGAGCGCATGCGTCCAGCTACGTATCCAAGTGCTTTCAGGAGCCATTCGTACGGTTCCTGCATCATCGCTGATTGGAGATCGACACCCAGTGTTGGTGTCTGGGTGCTGCGACGAGCTCGCGCCTCATCGGCGCGTCGCTTAGCAAAGATCTCGAGCAGACGCGCTCGCTTCGCCTCGTCCAGCGTCGAGAGGTCGAAGCCTGGTGGCAGCGTCACCGATTCGGTTTCGTTGTGCGCCTCGCTCTGAAACGTTTCCAGTCGAGACAGGAGCGCTTCTGTCAACTGGGAGTTCGGCATGTAGCTCGGTTGCTGCATGAGAATTTTGGCGATAGCCTCAGCGGCTCTGTGGCGCAGATGCCAGTCCTCGTCATTGCCGAGCGCCTCCTGAAGGAATGTTAACGCCTCTAATGCACCAAGGTTGCCGAGCGCCAAGGCAGCGCGTCGTCGGAGCGGGTACCCGCCAAGCGCCGTTCGGTCCGTGGAATGACGTAACACCGCCACGAGGGCATCGGCTGCCTCTCGAACACGAAACCGCGACAACCACCAGACGGCATAGTAGCGATAGCCCTCATCGGGATGATTCAAATTCGCTATTGCTTCGGCAACAGAACGCGGCCGAGCGTCGGTCGGTTGGTCCACAGCGCTGGATGCGCCCCCGTCCGAGGGTACTACGGGCTCGGCGCCTTCGAGTAGGGCCAGGTTGCTGCCGTCGAGTCCCCAGAACGCGAGTTCTTCAGTGCTCGCGTTATCACGTTCGAGCTGCTGCACCTCCTTTAAAGCGTCTTTCATTCGCTCGTGTCGAGACTCAACCGAGATAACAGCGTCCAGGCCGGCAAATCCGGCTTCGTCGTACGCTGCTCGGAGGGTTGCATCGCGGAGCACCTGGTAAGCGGTTTTGACAGCCTCAAAACGCTCGCTCGCGCGCTCGTCACCCGGGTTGCGATCAGGATGCCACCGCTGGCTCTGTTCAAGGAACGCGCGCCGGATCTCCGCCGGGCTCGAGTCCCGCGTTGCCCCCAGAACTCGGTACAGGTCCTCGCGTGCAACGCCTTGGCGACGCGTGCTCGCGTTGCGCTGCGCACACTGCCAGCACACTGACCTGGGTTGCGCGCGCCGCCGCCCCGACCACCGACGGTCGCGCAGAGAACACCTTCGAATGTCTGCTAGTGATAGAAACATGGAAGCTGACGGAGCGACAACGTGTAACCCGCGATGGTCTCGCACCGACCGAACCCAGCCATCCAGACCTGTCGTCAATGCCACGCAGGTACTGAGCAGACCTGGGATGCGGAAAGTGCCAGCTCGCCCGATCTATGTCCATATATTCATTTTAATATAATTGTATACAAACATGTTCCATATAAAACCTAGTTATACATTTTATACCCGATACGATTCGCGCTGCGCCTCGATGCGTTCGTGGGCGTCGTCGATGCCTCGCGGCGGCGGCGGCGGCGGCGGCGGCGACATCGACGTCGACGCGATAGACCGCAGCCGCGGCAGCCGCAGCAGCAGCCGCAGCAGCCGCAGGAGCCGCAGCAGCAGCGGCTTCGTCCACCAGCTGATCTTCTGGCGACGCGGCGAGACTGGGCGCTGCGCTCGCGGCTGCTGCATTCGCAAACTCGTACGTGTTATCGCGTTCGCTGTCTCATTGTAGGACGACGTCGGCGCCTTTAGGTCTTCTGCGGTCGTTGTAACCAGTGAATTGACAAGAAAAACGCTCTCTTTTTGGAGAATGGTGTTTACGTGTGCTGCTTTCGTAGCTCCAGTTGGTGGTTTTCGCGGCACGGCGGTGCGCGCTACGAGCCGCGAGGCCGTCGGACCCCGGCTGCAGGCTGGTGACCAGCCTGGTGCCTTCACTGCACGTACGCGAAGCTTAGGTGTGCCGCTGACGCGGAGCCGGCAACGTGCTGCGCACTCGAATCTTGTGATGAAGGTGCGGGTAGCGGTTTCCGGGTTCGGTCGCATCGGACGCAACTTTGTGCGCTGCCTGCAAGCGACCCCGAACGCGAACCTGGAGCTGGTGGGGATCAACGATACGGCTGGCATCAAAACTGCCGCTCATCTGCTGAAGTACGACTCTATTCTGGGAATTGCACCGTTTGACGTGAAGGTTAGCGGGGAGAGTACCATGCTCATTGACGGGAAGCCGGTTACCGTTGTCAGCAACCGCGATCCGACCCAGCTGCCTTGGAGGGACCTCAACGTCGACATCGTCATCGAGGCAACGGGTGTCTTTATCTCAAGGGACGGGGCAGGCAAGCACATCGAAGCGGGTGCCAAAAAGGTGGTCATCACAGCGCCAGCGAAAGGCGAAGGCGTCCCGACCTTTGTCATGGGTCTGAACAACACCCAGTATAACCACGCCACCGACCATGTGGTGAGCAACGCGTCGTGCACCACCAACGGCATGGCACCGTTCGTGAAGGTGCTCGACGAGGAATTCGGCATCGTTTCCGGCATGATGACCACGACGCATTCGTATACCGGGGACCAGCGTCTGCTGGATGCATCGCATCGCGACCTGCGTCGCGCCCGTGCGGCCGCGTTGAACATCGTGCCGACCTCGACGGGTGCCGCGCAGGCGGTTGCGCTGGTGTATCCACCAGTGAAGGGCAAGCTCACCGGCATTGCCCTGCGAGTGCCGACCCCGAACGTTTCTATCGTCGACTTTGTCTGCACGGTGAAGAAACCAACGTTCAAGGAGGAAGTGAATGCAGCTTTCGTACGAGCAGCGGAAGGGCCAATGAAGGGTATCCTGGCGGTGAGCGATGAGCCGCTCGTCTCATCGGATTATCGGATGAACGTCAACTCAAGCATTGTGGATGCAGCGCTGACGACGGTGATGGGTGATACGCTCGTCAAAGTGGTAGCCTGGTACGACAACGAGTATGGCTACAGTCAACGGGTTGTGGACTTGGCCAACTACATAGCGCAGCATTTCTAGACACGGAGCAAGCAAGTGGTAAACGGACTCGATCGAACGAGCAGCACAGACGCGTATCCGAATGTTCATCCCAGGTAAAGCGACCGGAAGAACCGAAAATACTCTCCAGCGGACACCACGCATCTGCATCCGATCATCCGACGCGGGTGCATTTGCTCCGGGCGGGCTCCGGTTTCACACCACCAGCCCTGGTGGTATCGCAAGCACCTGCCAGATGCCCCGTGGCACCTTGAGCAGCGCGTGACGCACCGAGCACCCGATCCCGATATCAAGGCGGGTCTGAGGCGCGTCGAACGTCTTCTGATGTAGAGTGAGACGGTGAAAGAGAGGGCAGCGATGGATGCTACCCTGATGGTAGCGCGCATCCAGCGCATGCTGCCTCAAGGATGCTTCGATGGTGCGTACTTCATTGCAAGCGAAGCTCGTCGTCGGTAAGGCGGCGAAAGCACGATCCCGATGACGCAATACGGTCCAGTTATCGTCCGAGACTGGCACGCTCTGGGCTTTGCGGAACACGTGCAGTCAGCAGCGACTCGCTGGACGCTTCCTGTATCCCGACACAGACACACAGACACAGACACAGACACACAAGCACACAGACACACAGACGCAGACGCACACAGACGCAGACACAGACACACAAGCACACACACTCACAGACACAGACACAGACACACAAGCACACAGACACACAGATACACAAGCACACAGACGCAGACGCAGATACACAAGCACACACACTCTCAGCGGCGTGCCGGGCGAGGCGGCGCGCCTACGCATCGCGCGGCAGTCGATCGAAGGCGCCGCCTCGCCCGGCACGCCGCCGTGTCGCTGCGATGGAACGGCGGTAGGCGTGTGCCTCTGCTGCTGCGTGTGCGTTGCGTACCCGTCAACGAGTGTTCCGTTTGTCAAGCCCGGTTTATCACCAGTGAGCAAGGGCTCAAGGCGCTTGCGGCTGCAGTGAAGCTGGTTGACTCGTTGCGTGCAGCGTTTCGCGGTGTCTCGTGCGTAGTCGCTGGGGCCGCGCACCCAGCGCTCGTTGACGAGGCTCCGCAGCAGCGACCGACTGGCGGGAGCCCTGGAACGACTCGTAAACAAGACTCGGAGAGGGGTCAGTTTCGGAACTCCGGCACCGAGCGGTTGAGGTTGCGGCATCCGCGGACACTGCAGCTGGCATGGCGGCTGCAGGTCAGCGTCAGCGTCCGCCGCTGCGACAGCTGGACTCGCTGTGGGTGTTTACGGCACGCGAGGCGGTCTCTCGCGGGACGGCAACTAAGGCAACGCGTGCGTCCGAGACGACGGCGCCTGATGCTGGTGCCCTTCGCGAAGACGAGCGACGACGTCGCCTTGTGATGGCGTTCATGGACCGTCTGTGTCAGAGAATAGGTGAACCGGTGACAACGTCGTCGTCGCCGTCGACAACGACGCTCGACGCTGAAACGGCTGCTGGATCGCACCGCGCAGAGCGTAGTGGTGTAGGTGAGCGGCTTCGTGCGAGTCTGCGGCTACCGATAACGACACTGATCGCAGCGCGCCTGCTCTTTCATCGCTTCTTCCTGCTCGAGCGCTTTGATGCGACGTTTGATGAGCTCGATATCGCAACCGCTTGTGTTTCGATTGCCTGTAAAGCAACTGAGAATGTGGTTCGCATGCGAGATCTCGTTCGCCAGAGCTACGCCCTCCGCACAGGCGGGTGCCTGCTGCTCGACGAGCAGCTCCATCAAGACCTCTACGTCCGCTGCCGTGAGCGTATTGCCCAAGCGGAGCGAGATGTGCTACAAACCCTGAACTGGGATTTAGATGTGGGCGAAAGCGTCCACCGAACAATGTTTCATCAGTGGGCTTTGTTGGAAAAGCTCATTCGCGCCCGAAACGGCGATACTGTGCCCTGGTCTGAGACGAGCGTGCGAACAATGCTGCAGGTTGCGTGCTCGTTTCTAAACGAAGCTCACCGCACAGTCTGCGCGTGTCTGTATCCGAAGGAGGAGTTAGCCGCTGCTGCGCTTTGTGTGGCCATGTGCCTGTGTCGTTTGCGTGCCGGCGAGGATATTGCGCAATGGCTACGTGAGTGTCATATCGACGCACCAACCTTGGCGTCTGCGCTTGATCGTTTCCGCGCGGACTATTTTGCGCGGCTCTGCAGAGCGCAGCGTCGCGCGGCCGATGCCGCCGCCTGGCAGCGACTCCCAGCGTCAGCCCGGGCGCTCGGGGCGCCATCCGGAGCAACGCTTGCCGAATGCGCTGTCGAGATTGTCGCTGATACAGCGCAGGAGACGACATCGCGTCAGCTGGCAGGAGCAAGCCGAGCTCCGCCACCGCACGCCGTTGGAAAGCATCAGCAAGCGGAGGCAATGCGCAAAGAGCCGTCGCCATCATCCGGCCCGCTGATTCGCAAGCCTCGCCACACATCGAGCGACGGCAGGCATGCCGCCGAGGCGCTTCAACAACAACAACAACAACAACAACAACAAGGAAGCTACCGCCATTACAAACATCATCAGTGGCCGGCAACGGGGAAGCGTCGACGTCCAAAAGCAGAGACCGGCCCGAGATCCACACCACTGGAGCCGCCTTTTCAATGAGTGTCGCCAAGACAAGGCCGCAACGAGTACCTCATATGTCCTGGTCTGGAGCGGGACCGCGCAGACGCCGTTGCTGTGTTGGCGACTTGGCGGTCAGCTGTCTGGGCAGACTCGCTCCAGCGAGTCTGGTCGGTGACGATCAGGGGGCGGAAATTTCTGAGCTTGCTGATGCCGAGGTCGGCTCCGGGGGAGCCCCAGGGGCACGCCATGGTCGTGTGTGCGTCGTCAGCGCGGTGAGCTGCTCTCTCAGAGCGTCGATCTCGCGCTGGCGCTCTCGCAGCAGCGCCTCCTGCTGCTCCGCAACCGCAGCCTTGAGTCGCGCCTTCGTCTTGGCCTCGCGGAGCGCTGACTGTAATCGCTCCAGGAGACTATTGCCGCGCTCTATTTCGGCAGCTGCTGCCTCGAGCTGTCGTTCGAGGCGTGCCCGAGCCTCCCGATGGGCTAAAATTGTCTCTTCCAGTGTGCTCTTTTGAGCGTTCGCAAGCTCTAGCATCTGGCGCATGCGTTCTATCCAGGCGTCTTTGTCTTGCAGGGCCCGCTCCAGTCCCTGGATCTGGGCGTTCACTGCGTCCAGTTGTCGCTCAAGCTCGTGCACCGCACGGGCGCGCTCCCGAAGATCCTGGCGCACTCTGTCCAGCTCCGACCGCATGGTTTCGTGCTCGCTCTGCTGGGCGCTCAGGCGTAGCTCGAGCTGCCGAATCTGTTGCTCACGGGCGTATCGTTCGTCGGTGAGCCGCTGCATGTCCGTTTCGTTCTGTCGTATTCGCTCCGAGAGCGTGGCTATCTCCTCCCGATATCGTTCTTCGAGTGCACGACGCTCCTGCTGCCACTGCTCCTGTCTCTGGAGCGCCTCTTTGAGGGCTTGCTCGCGGACCTCGGCGAGCTCGGCCTGATGCTGGGCCCGTGCTGCCTCCGCTGCCTGAGAGCGCTCTTGTTGGAGTTGCGCCACCTGTCCCATGAGCTCCTGGACTCGAGCCGTGCGCTCGTCTAGTGATCGGCGCATCTGCTCCATGGACTCCTCCAAACGGGTAGCTCTCCGTTCCGCGCTGTGCAGACTCGAGACGAGGTAGCGCTGTAGCCGTTCCCCGCTCGCTGCCTGCAATTCCAATGCCAAGTGCGGCAAGTTTCGGAACGCTGTCGTTTCGAAGACCGAAAGTCGTGCTGCCCCGTCTTCCAGGCGGAGCAAGGCGTGAAAACCGCTTCCCTCCCGACGACACTGTTCGAAGAGGTCCACCAGTGTTCGCGGAAAGCGGCCAAAATCAACAAAGAGACACTGGTCTGCCTTGAACCGTGGATACTCTTCCTCTGTCATGCGCCACTCGTATAGAAAGATCGGGTCTGCGGGGTCAGTGATACGCAGTCGCAAAGTTCGCAGCGCCAGCGGTCCGACGTGCGCGACGCGTCGGCCAGTCGACAGTTCGCTCGCTGAGGCCGCAGACACACCCATTCCACGAGCATACCGCTCCGAGGACTCCCAAGGAGGTGCAGATGCATCATCATCCCCAGCCTCCTGATCAGCGCCGTCTGCACGCAGCTGAACACGCAGCGGAACCTGCGTGCGCTCGCTACCGGTACGCACGCATCGCACCGTAAACGGGACACGCTGTTCGTAGCGCCCAGGAAAAGCGTCAGCACGCTCAGGTACCCCGTTTTGACTTCGCGGATCCGTCAGCGCTGACGCTGATCCAAACGTTGGAGGTTCATTCATCCAAGGGGCCTGTCGCCAACCCAGCACTTGGTGGAAAGCAATGTCCACGCTCGCGGGTACCAGCACCAGTACCTCCGCAACCGTCGGATGCACGAAGGGCGCCACGCGCGTGCGCCCTGGGAATGCGGCAACTGTCCAGGATCGCGTTGTGCGTTGCGCAGCGGCGAATGATTTTGAACTGCCGGCAGCGACGTGCGTGTGCGCGCAGCTGGCGCGCATGCGATCGATTTTCTTTTTCATGGACAAAACGTTCACTCAGGCCAGCGTTCTCCGATGATGCGCATTTTGCCTTTCTTTTTGGGGGGTTTTTCAGTGCGCGGTGCATGTGATCGATGCGATCGCCGCCGGTGGCGCCTGCCGCACCGCGCTGCCTCGCCTCGCCCTTCGTTGCCTTGAGCTGCCGCTCCGGCCGCGCCTCCGGGACGATCGCCATGCGTTGCAAGCGAGCTGGGCGATTGCATGGATCGCTGCCGCGTTCCCGGAGCGGCACAGCGGCGCAGACGACCCTTGTGGATTGCGTTTGTTCATCCAGAACGTTTACTTGGAGCGTGGATCCTAGACTGCGGGATGCATATTGAGATTAAGAAAAGCGTCCATTATTCTTCAGTGTACCTTCAAGTTCCATCTCCGATCCTTGCTCTCGGATGGACTGGTCGCTCGATACGATCTGTCGTGGACTGAGCGCATCCAGTGAGCACCCACCGTAACGTCTGTACCGCCGGTGCGAATGGAGCACCCAGTCAGAACGGCTTTGCCACACCACTGGGGGTGTCGGCTCGAGGCGTGGTTCATTGAACAAGGAATCCGGCCTCTTCGTCCTGCTGGGAGCGTGCGAGTTGCGCAGCCAGCTCTTCAGCTTGCGGCAGCGTGGAGCGATATGCTTGGAGACTTCCGTGACCAGGTCGACGCCCAGAGACAGCCCAACCGCTCCTAGTCCCAGAATGAACTGCGTGGCGAACGAGTTCCTTGCGTCTTGCTCCTGAGCCCGGCAATGCAGAGGCACACGGAGCGCAAGCCCGGTAGACTCGTCCGGTTCGCGGGGCCTCCTGCCCCCAGAAGCGTAACACTCGAATACGCGGAAAACGTCTCCCTGTCAATGCTTACCGTGAAGTTTGAACGACATTCTTATCTAGACGCTAGTTAGAATTTGGTTTCTCTCGTTTTGTTTCTGGTATCTCGTTCAGTGTGTTCACTGATTGCATGCGACTGATGCATGGTACCAGTATCCCCTGGATGCGCGACTGTTGTCGACAACCATCGAAGCGAAGACGACGTTTCCCGCGAAGAATGACGACGCTTGGTGCCGTCGAGTGATTGCTCTATCGACTTTCGGGGAAAGTGAGCGCGCACGCCCGTAGACTAGTCCAAGGGCAGAAAGCTGTGAAGAACGCGTATCCACATGCGCCAGCAGGTTGCATGCGAGCACTCCTCTATGCAGACAGCGTCGGATAACAGAGATTCTGGCTCCATGCTCTGCTGCTTGGTATGAAGCGCGGGTTCATGAATGAAGGTGTCAGGTCGAGACACGCTGGATCACTGCTGCGCGATAGGTTACCAAGCAGCGGCGCCTGCGTGAAAAAGGTTTTTCCCAAGAGTGTATGTTTGAAGAGCGGCGCACGCGAAATCGTGTCCAATGTACCCGCGTGTATTTGCATAGGGCGTCATCGACACGTTCCTTGAGCAGCGACATCGGGCACTCCTTGTTGATCTATGTTTGTCTGTGTGTCTGTGTGTTTGTGTGTGAATACGGAAGAGCGCCTGCTGCATTCGAGCATAGGCAAAATACCCTGTACCGCCGTACCGTCGGCGTCTAGTCCAGTACCTGCTGCGACCGGCACGCTGCACAGACCGCGCAGGGTTCCCCATTTGGCAGACAGACCTCAGCGCGCACTGCTGCTGTTCTCGCTGCTGCAGTGCGCCGAACATCCTAGTGCCAAACGCGGAGGCAACAGCTAGGCATCGGCGATGTGCTACGACCACCGACGTGACTGGTAGACGACGCTTGCGACGACTGCGTCGCTGAACAGCAAAGTCATGTCCAAACTGTAGCTCTGCTGGCCGTATATGCCGATCTTTACAGACGCCAACGCACCAAGTCAAGCTGAGACGATATCGCTTGTCCAGCTCATGAAGCATGCGTCGCCACTTTGATATCTGGTTACCGACACTGCAGCATGGAGCGTTCGAGTTGTGCTTCACCTTTGCCATCTGCGGAACGCTTGAGGAAATGCCCGCACTCGTTCCTTGTTCAGGTATCGCGACATCTTGCTGGTTCAATATCATGCGGGAGTCGCGTGCTGAATTGTTCGCGAAACGCTACCTAGCGACGAGTCTCCGTCTCTGCGGTTTGCATCGGCTGCGACTGGAGCTCGCCTCGACGAGATTTGACCCAAGGCCAACGCAGCCAAGGCCAGGTCCGCCGCTTAGGTTCAGCGGCTGCCGCCCTAGCGCTCGCTTCCGCCGTATGCTGAAGCTGCTCGTTAAGCTCAAATACACGAATAAACACGCTCTCGAGGGAGGTGCCACTCACCGAAAAGTCGGCAATTCCCCAGCCGCTGGCATTGTTCTCCATCTCTTGGAAGAGGCGTCGCTGCGCTTGCACTGAGCGATACTGGTTCGTGCCACCGCCATCACTGGTGCGGAAGAGATTCGTGGACTCCAGCGGCACCAGCTCGTATTCACACAGCACATACCGCTGGTCTGCGAGCGTGCTGATGCTCAGGCGCTTGACTCGTGGGTAGAGCGCCCGCAGGCGATCGTGCAAAGCCTCGCTCTGCGTTGCCTGCACTGTGACGCTCAGTCGATACCCGGTACCAAACTTGTGTTTCAGACGAAGCGGTGTTCCGAGTACCGACAGTCGCCCGCGATACATGATCGCGATGCGGTCACCCAGCACGTCAGCCTCCTCCATAGAATGCGTCGTGTGCACGATTGTTCGACCTGGTTTCGCAGCGGCAATCATGTTCCAGACTGCTCTCCGCATGCTCGGGTCCATGCCTGTCGTCGGTTCATCGAGGTAGACAATGAGCGGATCTCCGACCAGGGCCATGGCCACCGAGAGCCGCCGCCGCATGCCACCGGACATCTGACGCGGGTACTTGTGGCTAACACGCAGCAGATCCACCTGCTCGAGACGTCGGCTCACTTCATCGTGCCGCTTCGATCGGGGGATGCCTTTCAACGTCGCAAACAAGTACACATGTTCAGCGGCCGTGAGATTCGCCCACTGAATATCGTGCTGCGGACACACCCCCATGAGTGGGCGTAACAGCTGCTGTTCCTGCGTGATCGAGTAACCGTAGACCCAGGCGTCTCCAGCGGTAGGACGAAACACACCGGTGAGCATATTAAAGGTGGTTGTCTTCCCGCTTCCATTCGGACCCAGAAGACAGGTCAGTGCTCCATGGTCGGCCGACAAACACAGATCGTCGACGGCAAGCTGCTTGCGGAAATGCTTCGTGAGACGGCGGATCACCAGAGCGCTCGCCGGCGAGAGCCCTCTACCGCTGAGAACGGCCTCGCGCTCCGCTGCCACGTCTGCGTCGACTGCTGCGTCCGCCGTCTTCGCTTCTGGCGTGTCATCGCTGTGACGATGTGAAGGCTCGCGTGCGACCTCCACCATGGACTGGAGCCGTTCCAGGAACGACGCCGTCGTATCGGGCTCCCTGGCAGACTCCAACTCCGTCGACGACGACATTGGTGATGATGATGATGATGCCAATATCAACGGCGCTGACGCTGCCTTGGCGTCTGTTTCCGGAGCCACAATGATACCCTCGTGATCGCTGGCGTCGATAGCGGGCATGTCACCATTGTGTTCGAGCGCAGAGGCCGCCCACGACTTCGTCAGTGCAGCGGCCGCAGCAGCGTCTTTCGGCTCGTATCCCTCCTTGCCGTTGACCGCGTCGTCAGCGTCCACATGTCGCTGCTGGGCAGTGAGCGCTGCGATCGCAGCGCTGACTGCCTCGTCCGCTTCCGCGTCGTCTGCATCGCCGGTGGTGTCTGTTTGGCTACGCTGGCGGCGGTGGCGGCGGAAAAGGCGCCATGCTTTTCGCTTTTGCTGCTGGAGATGCAGTGCGTCTCCTCGCCAGTAGGCAGCAGAGAACGGGTACCACCAGGGCAGGCTGACACCATAGACGTTCGGAAGCACGTTGTCGAGGTAGATGGCGAGCACCAGAACGACGATGCCCGTCCAGATCATCCAGCTCCAGCACTGCGTCAGCGGCCACAAGTTCGTGTAGCTGGCGCGATCGCTCCATCTTAGACCAGTGAACACAGCCGAGTAAATACTCAGGTCGGTAACGCATTTGTAAAACATCACTGGGCTCAAAAGCGCGAATACATATCGCAGAAATAGAAGCGACCTCGATACGAATGGACCTCCCGAGGGTTTGTCGTAGTAGAGGTAGGCGCCGGAGGACCCCAACAGGTAACTCAGGATGAAGAAAACGAACGCAGCCGATGAAACCTGATTCGATCGGGTTAGGAAAACGTGGAAGAAAAACGCCCAGCATATCAAACTCAGAGAGAAAATCCAGTACGTGAAAAACACGCATCCAAAGGCGTTCTTAAGATAGAACTGAAATTGGAAAAGGGCTCCGAACGCATACAGCAGAAATACTGATAGCGTCGAAACGAGGATGAAAACAACGCCCTCGCTCAGAAAGTACAGCGACTGCGACAAACCGATCATTTTCAACGCCTCTCGCAGTTTCAACTCTTTCTCACCCACCAAGACCATCAGATAATAAACAAAAACAATAACCAGCGATCCAAACATCATAAAGGGACCGAATTCTTCAAAAGCGTCCAATGCAGACTGCAGTTTCGGATGCGGCATGAAGGCGCTGCTCAGGTTCAGCCTGGTCCCCAGCAGGACGTCGTTCATCGCCGCAATCATTCCAGGGACCAAATACACCTCCTGGTATCTACAAATAAAACCAGGAAACGTCTGTTGGCAAGACTGGTTGTACTGAACCGTGAAACTAATGCGTCCAGCGTCGATAGCGCGCAGCTGCTCGGGCTCGAACACGTACGCAGCCTGGGTCACGTTCGGGTTGGCAACCATGAACTCGTTCAACGCATCAGAGGTTTCGAATGTAATGATACCTCCCGACTCGTTCACTGCGGTGGACAGCCCAAGGCGCCTGGAGACCTCCTGTACCCAGCCGACCACGGTGCTGTTGGAGCCAGGAACCACCGCAAAGTTGTAGCAACGATCACTGACAACTGCACGACACGGCTCCACGTAGCTGGATAAAGGAATTGCCGGCGGGTCCGGTTTCGGCCCCGTCGTTCGAGAGAAAATCGCATCGTCATTGTACGACAAGTGCGCGATAAAGACAAAGAACGTGAAGAGGAACGGAACGAGCAACACCAGCACGAGCGCAAAGGTGTCGCGGTACACGAGACGTAGGTTCCGCGTCAGCATCACCGAGAAACGGTCAAACCAGCGGTACGACCGCTGCCGAAAAGAGACCAGTCCCATTTTGCGATTTTTTGCAAACCACCGTGCGTATCGTCACAGACACAACACCCGTACGCCTGGAAAGCGAAGTCACACCGGACTGCTCGCACCTGGTACCAGTGCTAGTACGCAGCGATGCCTGCCCCTCGACACACGATACGTTCAGGGCAGGGAGGCGGAGCGGGGCGTCGTGCTGGCCACACGCGCGCCGCTGTGTGGCACTGGCGCATCTCGCGCGCCAGGTAACCGGTATCATGATCCAGCGCGACACCAAGATGAGACGTCCACAGGCAAGCATGAGCGGTAATTTTTGCTGGTGCAGCTTGGTGCACGTCTTGCGTCATGCTGAGAACGACTTTGCTTGGCGGATGCCGTGGAACGTTTCATTGAACTTTCACCATGATAACAAGGGCGCGCGAGCTGCTGGTGCTGGCGGCGCTTTCCGCAGGCAGGTGCGGAATCGAGTACACTTCTTGTCCATAGATGGATGTACAGCACGACGTATGGAAAAGGCATTATCTGGGATATAGGGGTTCGAGCGATCCATCGACCTCACGAATGCAGAGCCTATCGTAGATACTTGTTGTGCAGCCGGGTGCGCTGCTGCTGTTGCCTGACGGAGAGGCGGGACGGCTATACGGCGTCATGGAAGCTGGCCTCGGAACCGGGTATCGCACGCTTGGCGCTATCCATACAGGGTTCTCTTGAGCGCGACAGGCGCCGGAACGCACACTCGTACGGCTCGCTGTGCCGACCAACACCAACGACAAGTATCCGATAGGGGTAGCGCTGCGGTCATGCACCAGAAACGCGTCCGTACTGGCGCAAGCGCTGCCTCAGGTCAACTGGTCTCTGCGTACCCTTCTGGAGGCACCTGGGTGTTGGCTCCGCGCAGACGCTTCGTGAAGGCGGCCCGCCGTTCGACACGGGAGCGTCCCGTGGGCAGAGGCACACACCAGCATCATGTATCGCTTACGTGACGCGCGTGGCACGCACAGACGCACGCCAGGGCTCGACGCCAAACGCGAGATACCATCGGGGCAAGCACGCCCACCGTGTCATTCTGCATCATACGTGTTGCCAGTTTTTCTTTCATTGACAAAACGTTTACTTAGGCCAGCGTTCTCCGATAATGCGTATTTTTCTATTCCTACTTTTTTGTGTTATTTTTTCAGTGCGCGGTCAAGTATCCACCGAATCCCCTACTCCCACGTTACATTACCTATCCTTCATCTCGGATATTCTGGTCATCTCATACGTCCTATCGTGTGTGCCTAGTGCCTGCCGAAAGCGGCGACCGCAATAGCGCCTATAGCGCCGGTGCGGTCCCTGCACGGAGACAGAACGGCGTTGCCGTACCATACAGAGGGCGTCGGCTCGAGGACGCATCGCCTGTTGCATGCTCGGCAGCAGCAGAGGCGTTACTCGCAGCATCGCCCGCCCGAATGCGCCGGCACGCATCGAGAGGTGCGTGCCGGCGCGCGCACCCCAACGCACGCAAGATGCTAGCGCTCGGGTGCAACGCGGTACGCGAAGCCGGCGATTGATTGACGCGTACATGGGACTCGGATATAGGCTCTGGATCGATGAACGCTTTTCCATTTGCTGATACCAGGCATGAAATCGCATATCCCCGGTCTTTTCTATAGTCGCTCTGTTGATGACAAGAGCATCGATCAGCGTGTCGCTGGGCATACAGGGCTTGGCGATTGGCGCGCCAGCGCACGGACACCGCGCCCTGCGCCAGATGCCCGCGGGACGCACGCCTGAGAACACACGCAGCGCGCAGAAGCGATCGACATCTCGCGTCCCGCATGAACGCAGGCACACGCATGCATGCACGTTGCGTGCAGTGTACTTGTTCCGCAGTTGCGATAGCGTTTGGTATGGCGTTCCTCAGTGTTCCTTTCAAAGGGTTCAATTCCACGTTTCGTAGTTGTCACGAGTCTAGATGCGAAAGTGTGAGCCCTAGACCAGGACTCGGGGCGGAAACGCGTCGCGTGCGGAAGCCCAGCGTTCACCTCGGTGGCCTGCGGGCGACGACGACGCTGCCTACGTCGGCGCTGAAGCGGTTGACGCCAGTGGCTGGACGGAACAAAGTGGTGGACATTGAGGGTTTTTCAATATACTATGACTTTCAATTGGGTACGGTGCGTCCGTTTGTGTTCTTCCTGCCGGGTTTAGCGAAATCGCGCATGCACTCGAAAGCGTCTGAACTGGAGGTGTTCTGCCGTCAGACCGGGCAGGGCATGTTCTGTGCCGACTACGCCGGTACCGGCCGATCCTCTGGAGTCTTCACTGAGATCGGAACCTTGTCTTTATGGACCTCGCACGCGGAGGCGCTGCTGGAGAAGGTGCTCGGCGCTTGCGGTCGAGTGCTGTTGGTTGGCGAAGGTATCGGCGGCTGGATTGCGCTGCTGCTCGCCATGAGACGTCCGGAGCGCATCAGCGGCATCATTGGGCTAGCAGCGGATCCGGACTTTACCGAAGACCTGGTCTGGCCGCGAATGACGCCAGAGCAACAGCGGCAGGTCGTGGAAAAAGGCAGTATCATGTGGAAACACGGTTTCGAGGAGTATCCCATCTCACGCGCGCTCGTCGAGGACGCTCGTTCGCATCTTCTCCTGCGCGGCGAACCCGGGTCGCTACCCATCGACGTTCCAGTTCGCCTCATCCACGGCTTAAATGATGAAGAAGTACCAGCGGAGCGCTCAATTCTGCTCGCCCAGCTGCTGCGCTCCCGTGACGTCACCGTCACTCTCGTGAAGCATGGCGATCATGCGCTGGAACGGCAAGAGGATTTTAGACGGCTCAACGATACTATCACCGAGCTATGTAGCGCATACTTTGAGTTTGACCTGCGTACACCACAGAGCGGCTAAACGGTCGGCGCTTTCGCCTCGTGGTCAACGCCCAAGCATCCGTTGCGAATGCCGCGTTCCCTGTTCATTGTCCGTGTGAAGCACCCAGGGTGGCTCTGTGGTTAGTTTGAGTAAAGCCTGGCGCACATCCGCTAAACGCGTAAGCAACGCCACGCCTTCCATGTGTTGCGGCATCGCTTGGTCCTTTTGTGGCTGGCCCTGGAGCAAATGCGAACGCACGACGCAACCAGCGAGGACTCGAGGTGCGACCATGCGTTGCAGAGCACGAACCTGCTCCCGCAGCAGTCGCGTATTGCCCGCGGTACGCTGGTGGTCGACCACTGCAACCACATGACGGCACGCGCGAAATAAGTGCCACACAAGTTCCGGGCTTTGCTGGGCGTCTTCCAGGGTCTTGGAGGGAATCTCCACCAGGATCGACCGCATCCAGGTCTGGTGATCTTCGAGTACGCCCAGCATCGGCTCCGTCGTGGTGTATGGGGTTGGCGCAATCTCAGGCCGCGCACGCGTCAATGTTGCCAACAAACTCGACTTGCCGGCATTCGGGGCACCGACGATGGCGATATCAGCGACTGGGAGCCGCTCGAGCAGCACGAGCTGTTCGGCGCCCTCAAGACCCGCCTGCGCTTGCTTTGGTGAGCGATTCACCGACGACTGATAAAAGGTGTTTCCGTGTCCTCCCTTACCGCCTGCGGCAGCAACAACGCTGCTCTTCACCAAAACATGGGCGGGTGCGGACTTGACGGACGCCGGGAAATCCGAGGACGCCGACGTTGCCGCTCCGTCGTCCACATCAAATTTAACAGAATCAGACGCATCGTTTCGCGCAAAGCAAGACGGCTCCAAGGCCGAAAGAGCTTGTACCGCGTCGTTCATGCGCTGGTCATCCTCGGTATCGTTCAGATTCAGAAACACATGCGGGCGACTACTGTCGATGGTGCTTGGATCACGCAGCCAGCGCAGCCAGGTGCCTGGAGGCACCACGAAGCGCACGTCCTTGCCGCGACGTCCACTCCGTTCCCAGCGTTGGCCTGGAGCACCATTCTCTGCACGCACGACGACCACGTGCCGATGAGAAGGCAAGCAGCTCACGGACGCACTGACCTGAACGATGACGTTCCCGCCGTCGCCACCGGTGCCACCGTCCGGCGGACCTACACGGCGAAAGCGCGCCCGAGCAAACGAAACGCACCCGGGCCCGCCTCTGCCTGCGACAGCGCGCAGCACAAGCGCCCGCAACCCGGAAACCTTCGTTGAGAAACCCAGCTTTGCCAAGGCACTGGAAGGAAGAGGCCCGCTCGTCGACAGCGAGCCATGCTCAGGGGCGCGGATTCGGGGTGCATGTGCGCGCGCGCGGCTGGTGCCGGTGCCTCCTGGCTCACCGGGGATGCGGATATCGGAGGCCGCGGGACGCTCGGGAGCGTTCTTCAACATCGTGTCGAGCATTTTACGCATGTTACCAGGGTGGAGGCTGCATCCAGCGCGCTACAGAAACGAGCATCGCGTACGGGAACGGGAGATCACAGGCACGTTGTGTTCCTGATGGGCACGCGCCCGTCCGTAGCATGCTCTGTATGCCGGGCGAGAGGTGACGAGACCCAAGAGACCACGCGAGCACCCGTCCACATCCGCAGCATTACCTGAGTTCGAGATAGGATTTCCATGAAAAGCTTCCGTGACGATAAGCCTGATGATTAGGATGTATCCGCGATCGAAGCCGTTACACGCGATGCTCGGGCATATTGCCAGACTAGAAAACCAACGCGTCCCCTCAGTCCGTGATGCTCACTCAGAGTCTGTGTGAGCGTGGGGCGACTCATGATCCCAGGGCGTGCCCAGCAGCTCGTGGTTGCCCCAGGGAAAAGCTGGATCGCGCACCCGCCTCCGCAGATACGGGTACGGAGGCGGCGGCTCTGCGTGCTCGTGCGGCTGCCGGAACAGCCATACACCGTAGATCAGAACGGGTAGTGCTCCGAGTGCGCTCATCAGTCGCCAGCGTTCAAACGTAGCGTTCGCGTGTGCACCTTCCGAGCCAGCGACGTGCGAAGAGGAGGCATGCCCGCGCGCCGCGCTGCTTGACAGCGCTCGCGCCCGTGCCGAGTCACCCAAACGCCCTAAAGGCACCTTTCGAATATAACGTCCAAGCATCCAAAGCATGTGTCGTGTTGCCATTGGAAACGTGTGCTTCCACCGAGAGAGTGTAACGCGTACGACGAGTCCCTGCGCGTCCGTTTGGCAGCGCGTCGATAAACAGCAATGCTGTAGGCCGTGTAGCCGCTGTGTCAGGCAGGCGGCGGCCACGCTGCTTGTGATCTTCTCTACTCTTGATAAACCGGTTCCATTGACGAAGGATCCCAGATTGCGGGATGCGTACTGGTAATCGAAACAAAGCGTTCGTCATGCTGGTGTACCAAGGTCTATCATTCAGACTTGCTTTCGAAAATACTGATCGTTCTTTTACGTTCTATCGGGGGTCTTGCCTGTCTGGGGCACCCGCGTCTGCGGTCAGACCGCTGCGGCAGATGCAGCACGAAGTCAGGGCGGGTTTTCCATGCTTCTGAGGGCGTCGGATCGAATTATGATGCATCCGACACGTGGTCTGGAGTACATTATTATTCCGGGAGCGTGGAAACAGTAGAGACGGACGTAGTGCCGGTGGCAGCGCGAAACGATATTCGAGGAGTCCACTGCGACCAGAGCGACGCCCACGTGCAGCATACCCGCTACGAGTACCAGAATCAACTGCGTTTCGGACGAACTGCTCAGATCTTACTACAGCACGAAGCACTGCGGCGACCATGAGGCACAACCCTGGCAGAATCGTCCGGCTCGCGGGACCTTGCACCTAAAAGGTATACTTTCGAGAATACCGTAAGCTTTTCCCTTTTTCAACGTTTATCGCAGGCGGGGCCAGAAATTGTTATATAGTTGGTATTTAGAGGTTCCTATCCGCTCTTTATTTTAGAGCGCAGTCAAGACGCGCATCTCCATATCTGGCATGCATGAGACGCAAAGCGCATCTTGCCGTAACTGGGAAACGCGATCCTTAATATGAGCGTATTGCTATAACGTACGAGTTGTATTTGCATTAAAGCCCTAGCAGCGTATAGTCTGTCAGTGCAACCGTGTTTCAACCCTCAAATGCGTGTACTCAAGTGCTTTCCCGCGGTGTACAGCAAACGCGTTTCATGTGCGCTCTTCTTCAAAAAAATAACAAAGGAAAGCTATGGACATGGAAATGAAGGATCCTGGAAGACAGGTGTCGCCGGCTGCCAGAAAAAAAACGAACAAAAGTACCAAGCCCGGAGCCACAATACAAGACGAAGAGGCAAAACGGAGAGGTCCAACGTCAGAAGCTGCAGGAAAGACGACAGCACGACGATATTATGGTGAAAACCTTTTCGTCTTGGACATATCAAGGATCCCTAGAGGGAAAAGTTGCGAGAGGGTATCAGCAAAACGTGTCGACTCGTACTCCAAGCGTGTTGTCGAGGTGTCGTCAGGATTGATTCATTTGGCGAGGGAGATGTACGGAGACGTGACGCACACGGAAACGGTCGAGATTCCGGACGAGTTTTTCGATAAGACTTTATTCGTTACCTGATGCTTGGTACAGGGGAAACGAGGAGGCAAAATGAGCTAGTGCATGCTCTCCACGAAAAACATCCCTTTTACAGCCTCGAGGGTACTCGATACAAGGGTGACGGGGATATTTACACAGACGGGGCAATGAAGTACTTCACGAATCTGAAGAACCATTTGACAGTGAACCCCGAACGTTTCATGATACGCGCCGTGTTTGCGCTGTACCAGGGCATCTCTCGCCATGGGAAATGGGCGATTATCAACGACATCGTGAAAGATCGCAAGCGTGAAGATGAGGTCGAATTTGTCGACGAGAAGGCGTCAAACGAGAGCACGAATGAAGCTTCTGTAATCCGTGCGGCTATTCAAGAGCATCGTGCGGTACTGGGTTGGCGAATCCAACAGACAAGATATCAGACATGAAAAAAGATAAGGAAAGATACGATCGCCTCGTCGTACGGTATTTCGTGTTCATGGACCGAGAACTCGAGCGCAAAGCAGAGATGAAGCTGAGTGGGGAAAAAAAATGAAGAGTGGGAGAGACGGAAGGCTGTCCCAATGGGGAAGCGCTTCAACGTCGTTCCAATGTGCAACATCAAGTCACATTTCGTGAGTACCGACTCCAGAGTCCTTTACGGCATCATGAAGGGGATCAGTCCGGAGTTCAATGGTAACAGGGAGGAGTTCTCCGATGAAAACCGGGAAACGTACTGGAAGAATATCTTCAATTTCAAACGTCTCAAAATGAGCGAGCAAAAGTGGTTCACTGGGTTGATCGAAACCGATGGAGTAGCCTTGTGTGTACACTATCGGCGGTTGTAGAAAGATCGTGCTGGTCCGCCTTTGGCTGCGCCCGTCACGAAGGATGAAGATGAGAAGAAGGCGGGTCCTGCAATGCAGGAGGTGCGGGATAACGACCTTGTCGTTGGCGCGGCGAAACATGAAGAAAAGAAGGAGGCGGGTCCTGCGACGGAGAGAGTCCAAGATAACGACTTTGTCGTCGGCGCAGACCCTGGGAACACGAATATCATAACCATCACAGCACCGAAGCGTGCGGAATATGGTACTGACGGCAAATTACGTCAGAAAGACATGCGCCTTTGGAGGTTCTCCAGAGCAAGATACTACCGAGAATCCGGTATAATGAATGCAAGGAAGAAAATCGTTACGTGGAACGCAGGAATGAAGGATCACCTTGAAGCTATGAGCGAGGTGACGAGCCGAGGAGCGGACTTTACAGCTTTTCGGAATTTCATGGAAGTTCTTGTTGCCCATTGGGAGGCGCTGTGGGAGGAGTATACAGAGCCCCGGTGGGCTCGTCTGCGTACGAATCTATATGGTGGGAGGTAGCGGGCGTTCGCGAATTTTTTCAATGAGTTGAGCGCCTCGAAGAAGGATGAAAGACAGAGGCTTGTAGTAGCGTACGGAGCAGGGCGATGGAACACCCAAAAAGGAACTCTGCCAGCTCCGACGACAAGAACGTACAAGGAGTGTGCACGGCGTTTTGTCACAATACCGATCCATGAGTTTCGAACATTTTATACACATCATGAACTGGGGTGCACACTCCAGAGCCTGGAGATGGAAAAGTGCCAGAGGAGTCCTGAGGAAATTGCAAAGTACGGACCGCTGACGGGAGAGCAAATGGAACGGAAGGCAAAAGTTCGTGGACTCATTGCATTAGTATGTACAACCAATGATGGCAAGAAGCGTATGGAGTTCGTTAACCGAGACTTCAACGCCGCTATCAATATCAGGAGATGCGCGGTGCTGGAGAAAAGACCTCCAGAGCGGACACGAGAGAACTTTATTGGACAACCTCTCAAAGTTGATTTATATGAGAAGAAGTTGGAATCAGTAGTGGGTGGCCGGTCCAGAAAGCCTAGGAAGCGTCAGTACGCCAGTTGGAGTCGTTAAGTCTAGGGCGGCCTTCTCGCCACTACGGTGCACTGCCGTCGTTCGACTTTCGAACGGCGTTCGGCCTCCATCGGGAATCAGTTCACTCTTTAGTTCATGAATCTATTTTCCGAATCCAGTTTCATCGTGTCGAGAAATAAGCACTCGCTATTCGTGCGCGTCTACAACTCGATGACGTTGCGCAACCTGCCGTCTCGGCTTAAAAGCGAACGAAAAGCTCTAAGTAAAGCGTAGGGACCTCAATGGATTACTGTTGCGACGGTGTGTCCAGCGGTGCGGATGTCGCTCGCATCTGCACCGCGAGTAGCTGCTGCATTCGTTGAATTTGTTCGCGAAACGAGTCGAGCTGTCGACGCAGCTCAGCATTCTCTTCACTAAGCTGACGGACCGCCGCACGATATCGCTGTTCGAGTTCCTTTTTGCGCAAGCGCGAGCGTTCCGCGCTTTTGCGGTTCTGCTCCATGCGGCGCCGGCGGCGCTCTTCGGGCGACAGGCTCGCAAGCCGTACTGGGCGGCTGTCGCTCGAAGACGCCTCTGTTCCCTGACTCGCCTGGCTACGACCGCGAACAGGGACCTGGCCCTCGTGGGCGCCTTCCATGACCCATCGATCCGGTAAATTTTTCAAATTCGAAACAAGACGCTGGTTCGCGGCGCTCTGAACGGACGCCGTGTGTTCATGGGGTCCGCTCCTCGCTAGGGAGCTTGCGTCGCCAGGTTGCGGAGATTCGCAGTCCTGATCGCAGCGTGATTGTCCAGTCATATCGCTCGAGTACGAGCTACCCGCTGTGCTGGTTCGCGCTCCGGACGCGGCCCTCGCGTATTTTGCACGTTTCTTGGGTATGTCACAAGGAGCTTCTGATCCCCGTATTACTGAGGATTCGAGCGGTCCTGCTTCTGCCAGCGAGCGTGTTCTAGCGTCGACGAAGGAGGAGGTGCCACTTATCGCTCCACCGCCTGGTTGAAGAGCCGGCTCTTGCGCGATAAGACGGGCGGAATGGCCCCCGTTCTGCTGCCGCAGACGTGCTGAAAGCGGCACGAACGCCCCCACAGCAGAAACACCCTCAGGTGTGAAAAGTCTCGGCTCCAGCATGTGTAACCTTTCGGCCATATCCATCGGCGTGCTCAGCTGCATTGGCGTCCAGAGCGCATACGGTTCGGTTGCGATGACGCTGGCTCCTGTGGGCGACAAAGACGGCAGCATAGGCGACCATAGAGGCGCTGCTGTCACGCCCTTCCCGGGTGAAACGTTTCTAGTTGCCACAACGTCGGTAGCGCCCTCGTTCTCGAGATGGACGGCGCTCGTTCCTAACGGCCGCGGTAGCATGTCGATTCCGGGCAGCTGAAGTCGCTCGCTACCAGGCGCTGCCGCGCGCTGAACCGCACTTGCCACAGATGGCTTCGTGCTGCTGGACTCGCGGCCCGAGGAGATTCCATCGCGCATACTCCCTATCACTTGGAGCGCGCGCTCCATGGCTTCATGTTTCTGCTCCACGTCGAGTCCTCCTTGATCAATCATTCGCAGCAATGCCTCCGAATAGTCGTAGAGTTCCGGAAGGAAGTACTCTGTTAAAGGGGAGTTTTCCGATAACGTCTCTTCTCCAAATATCAGCTGCACCGAAGGTAGATCTTCGACAGGGATTATACCCTGTTTCACGAGCTCTTGCTTTACCTCCCGAACCGTCGCAATAGGTGACACGTGCACTAGTGCATAAGCTCGCTCCGAGTCAGATTTCGCGCTATCCCCTGACTGGGTGTCCGAGACTTGCACTAATAGGGGTAAACTGGCAAGCGAAAGATCGGAGTGATCCGTCAGCGCCGGCAGCTGCAGGTAACTCCTTTCCGAGTCTACAAGGTGCTCACGCTTCGTACCAGCGAGTTCGTCGGTGGACGAAACAGACGGCGTTGATTCTGGTCCTCTAAAGCAGGCAGGCGGTGAGCTTTGATGCACACGCTCCTCACTCATACACGAACGCCGAAGCGAACGCGTCGGTGCAGCCGCAGCGTCCTATCTGGTGCAGAGAGCTTGCCGTCAAACGCGTGCCGCGTTAGTAGCGCAGCGCCTAACCCTTAAAGAGCGCTTTCGTCGTCAGCGACCAAGATTGACAACCTGTCCTCTAGTACCAGTGGAAGAACGCACCCCACAACCACGCCGACACGAAGAATATGCAACTTGCAGCCGAGACGCGACCACCAGCAACGAACAATCAAAAAAAACAACAGACCGCATGCATCTGGATTCCTGTGCCGCGCAGCGCGCTGAGCAGACGCTCGCGTGTGTGGCGCCCACGGCGCGCGGTGTGCCGCGGCATGCTGATGGAGCGCGCTGTGCGATGCTGCGCCAGCACCACCTGTGTCCAGAATTGGAAGCACCGATTTTTTTTTCATGGACAAAAGGTGTACTTGTGCCAGCGTTCTCCGATCACGCGCATTTTTCTTTTCTTACTTTTTTTTTGTGTTTTTTTAGTGCGAGGTGAAGTATCCTTCAAACGCCCTACTTCCATGTTACATTACCTATACTTTTTCTCGGATATTCTGGTCGTTTCCTACGTTCTATCGGACACCTAATGCCTGCCCTGATAGTCCGCAGTGGCGTCTTTACCTTTGGTACGGATGCATCACGGACGTAGGACGGCTTTTCTATACCACAGAGGGCGTCGGCTCGAGGCGTGTTCTGCACGATATGGATTCGGGATTCATTGTCATTCAGGGAGCCTGCAAGATGCGCATACAGACGTATTGCCTGCGATAGCGCGAAGCGATATGCTCGGAGTCCTCTGCGACCTGCGCGACGCGGAAACGCAGCATACTCGCTGCGAGCCCCAGATTGATTACGTTGCCGAGGGGCAGCGGAGATCTCCCTACAGCATCGGTCGCTGCAGAGGCGCACAGGGCGTATGCCCGGCAGGCTCGTCCGGCTCGCGAGACCTTCCACCTAGAAGGTAAATTTTCGAGAATTCGGAACACTTGTCCGCGCTGCAACAATGGGCAAAATCTGCGCCCCAGCAGCCGATGCAGCGACGCCTCCTCAGCTGTCTACGCACATCAGGTTTGCTTCTCTGGATATGCTGACCACGTGAACGCGCTGCGTCTCGATGTACATGCATTCGGCTCGCTTCCATGGATTGGGGTCAGAGCGAAGACCACCGAGGCGAATACACCGTCGCGGTCGTGTTCGGAGCCTAGCGTTAGGGGAAGCGTAGTGACTTGCATAATGCTCTTATCAGTGCACGCTTTTCCGCTTTTGTTTGTTTTTCTTACAGGAATTCAACAGAAGAAACGTATCCTGTAGATTGGGGAATGGTTGAGGAAGGAATCGATGGTGTCACTGGTCTCTCGCGAAAAACGGGATTTATTGCTTAAGTCAGTTATTTCACATGAACCAGATGGATGAACCACCGTTCTGGTAGTCAATACCCTGAACGTTGTGCAACTGAATCAGAAATTATCAAACGCTTGCCGCGCGAATGTCTCTTCGCCAATCCTTTCTTTTTCATACAATCTATGATGAAATGAAGTCGAAACGAGCCACGCGATATGATGCGTCTCTACCGGTGCTATGAAAGGTGAAGAAAAGAAACCGATGGACAACGCGATAAGGCTTGCTTCTGCTCGAGAGCGTCGTGCATCGAACAACAACCGATTGATTTCGCACTGAAACGTGAACGCGTATTACAGGAGCGGCAGGTGTTCGTCTTGCTCAATGAAACTTCATTCGGGAGAAATCGTAGACCTTTCTCGGGGTACTCAAAGCGGGAAAATCTGCTCATCATGAAGAAGCGACGAGCAAGCATTTCGAAATCATGGGCCTCGTAGCCGACTCAGTCGCGCGCTTGCCTATGAAGCGTCCAACAGAAAAGATCGTTCATCATATGACGTTTTGTCGATGCATGCTTCGTGCCGTCGCCGTCCGATGCTCGTCTGTCATGCGCTATGTCGAGGTCACTTTTTATCGCCCAAAAACCGTGCAATATTTCACAGCATAGTTCGACTTTGCGCTGCACTCCGGTGCAGTCTATTGTTTCTGATTCAGTCCAGTCGAAGGCGTCTTTTCTGTTATCCAACACCAATTTGATGCTCACAGATCAATAGACGAGTCGTTCGCATCCGTGGCAATGTTCGTTTACGAACCATTCTTTCGCTGTGCTAGCCCTGAAGCGAGCTAAGGAACTCCTGCTCGTACGCAGGGCGGGGCGGAAAGTCGCGCTGCGGCCCATAGGCGTGCCCGCTCCAGAGAAGGTGACGCAAAGTACCTGCGGAATACTCGACCCATATATCGAAGAGGCGAGCTCGAGCGCCATCGTCCCCGATTATGTCTGAAACCATGGAAAAAGTGGATTTAGAGAATGAAGATCACATGCATGCCATCCGCCCACGCAATGGTGGAAGCGGATAAGGAGATCGTTTCTGCGAGCAAGTATGAAGCATTCAAACACCATGGCAGAGTGCACCGGCGGAGCTCGTTCAATGTTTCATGTTTACGAGGAGTACGTGAAGCGTAATATATGAGTACGATGGAGAGCGACGGAACACCGATCTATATGCACGCAGTGAAGCTCAGGCCTGCGTGGAGCAACGGGACACAATTTCAACGGAATTATGTCAATGAAGAGAAGCACTTTGTGATGAGCGTGTTTCCTGGAGCGACGGTCACCAAGGAGATCGTCGTGCCTCGAAACCAAGAGCACAACGCCAGAAACTTGATTGGAAAGCAGATGAACCTGCTCAACGTATGCGCGGTTCCGAATTTATCGAGGGACGGGCACACTGAATGCCAGGAAGCATATCAGCATGGCGCGTGACGACGCCAGGATTTTGATATCGACGTCCTCAGCACCGTATAGAGCAGAGGTGGATGTTTCGTACGCTTGATCAAGCGCGTAAATGGGCGTTGAAACGGCGCACGTCGACGATTTTTCGCAGGAATATATGAAAACGTGTTGGGCCGCCAATTGTTTCACTTGTACTTTGACGAAAAACTTGCATTCGGCAACTTGTTCAAAGAGTTGGATGAGGAAATGGCCGCTATGTCGCATTGAGTTGTGGGTATCCATTGCGCTCGGCATGCTGCAGCGCTCAAACGCTGTACGCATGCTCCACTGACGTAAGTGTACAACGCTTCCAGGACGCCATCGTTCTCGATTCTCATCGATGCGATCCGGACGAAATCAACAAATCACTAGCGTAGGTGCACGCTGGAACAGATAGAACAGACGAACGTGGAACAGAGGCGGACGCACGAGATGGCGCACGGTACGCTGATCGAAGAGCAGATGCCGAGGCAATCGCGGATGCGCGGCTAACTTGGGTATCATTCTAGCAGCAGCGATGCGCGGAAGCACCTTCTATATCGAGACGCCGTATGCTCGATCAAAATTCCGGAAAATCGTTCGAGCTTCCCGAGCGTCCAGCTTCTTGCTTTCAGGCGAGCCCTTGAGGGATTCATTTCGTATTCAGTGAGGGCATTGTGCTGAAACGCTGCTCACTTGGGATCATGAAACCAGTGGGTACGCCTCATTACATTGGATTCTTGTCTGGAGCGATGCCCCGGCGTGATGCGGTTCAGCAATCCAGCGAGGCTGCAGCGCAGGTCATGTACGCTAAGACCAGTTCCTTTCGGTACATGGCGAACGACCATGACGTCCCATGATTTGACCTTTATGTACAACGTATGATAGAACCTGACAATCGTGATAACAACACACCGCGCGGTGTCTCGTTTCCGTTTCCGTACGGGGTGCACGCCATACCTTTACGACCATACGGGGTCCCTACGACGCGCTCGTGTCCAAAGTTCTAGCTCGCAAAATCTAGCGTACCGGCCCACTGTTGCGTATTCGAGTCCTAAAGTGATGCGATTTCTAAAAACAACCTTAAGCACAAAAAATGCAATCCCGAAAACTTTAAACTGTAGGGCGAGCGCCACATCCACCGCACAACGTTACCAACAATCGCCATCAGTCTCTTCTCCAGCGTCAACGAAGCGTGTTGATGATGCAGGTGTACCCAGACTGAGGAACTGCCGTTCCGGGCGGTCTCAAGCCGACGATGCGCTGCGTCGTGATCCGTGTCATCCGCCACCAGGCTAGCGTTCCGGCCTCGACAATCGAACTTCCGTACCCTTCATGCGCGCAATCGACGCCATGATGACCCTTAGAGCTGCCGCACGACACTCTTGCTGCTTTGAAATGCTCGGAGTCCATCAAACCAGCGACGAATGTCGTTGGTTGTGTGCAGGCTCTCGAGCACTGTGCACAGCGTGCTGGACTCAAGACTTTTGGCGGCGCTCACGCGCGCAGTGCGGGCACCAGCTCGGCTTGCGCTGCGTTCCATGGCCACGAATCCCTCGCCGTATGTTATTCGGGTTCGCCCAGAACTCGTGACCCTCTGCACAACGAAACTGTAGTGGAACCATGGCACCCCGATACTCTTTCGACAGACACACTCCACCATGCATATCCGCAATGGCCTGCATATCTGCAAGCGTTACCCGATTACGGCCCTGGCGGCGAGCGCACTTTGGACACCACGAACCGAGTCTCAAAATATTGTCCGTCGTAGCGAACCACTCGTGCTTACACTGTCCACAGCGCCAGAGCAGCTTCCGACGTGCATTGACGTATTCGGTGGAGAGGAGCTCGCCGCCGCGTTCCATTGCAGCAGCCTTGAGCATGTCGAGCGTGTAGCGCTCAAAGCGCTTGCTTTGCAGAGGTCGATACTCCCTCAAAGACGACGCCCGTCCGCAGCGCGCCGCATACTGACAAACAGGGCATTCACCCCGGGAAGCGAGCTTGCTATTCGCTGCCACTGAAACCACGTGTCCTCGGCGACAGGTGAAGCGAATCACAGGGCATATCGTCGCCGGTGCACCGCAGGCCAGTTCCTCGATAGCCTCGTCCCACTCGAGACCAAGACCCTCTTCAGCAGCAGCTTTGTTCCGTGGAACAAAGTTGCTCAACAGGGCGTTCCGGGTTGAGGGTAGACTTGGGGTTTCCGCGGCCACCTGCTGACGGTAGTGGTCGACGCGCTCCCATAGCGAGCGCCTACGCAACGGACCCAGAAGCTGCAGCTGCAGCTCGCTTTCCGCGGAGTCTTCAGCAGCCGTTGACTGTACAGGCTTCGGCGTCTGTTCTGACGTCGTGACTGCGCAGAGCGTCAGCGCAGGCGAGCACCTCCCCGCGAAAGCGCTACTCTCACGTTTCCGTTGCTTTCTTTTGGTTAGCAGCTTGCCTGCTGGCAAAAATAATCCCAAAAAACAGCACAGTTTCTTCCTGTTAGGATCCATGTTCCGTTCCAAAGACGAATGCAAGCTGCGTACGAAGCTGTATTTGTCTCACACTGAACAAATCACGTTACACGTTCCGGAACGGGAATCGCCGCTGGCTATCTCAGACGAAATGCATGGACTGGCGATGGTCCCGTGCGGTGCGGTGCAGCGCGCGCGCAGCGGCATCATGCGCTGGCGTCGATGATTTCTCTCGATGGACAGAGGGGTTTTTTACACAGACTGGAGATGCCTGCGAAGGCACGAAAGAATATAGAGATTGGATAAAGCGTTGCTCGTGCTTGACGCTACCCCCAAGTTGCATTTACCAAGCACCCGTCTGGAGAAAACGGTCGTGTCGAACGTTCCACGGTGGGTCGAGTCTTTCATAAGCACCCTCCATAGCGCCTGTGGCGCTGGCGCAGGTGCACCACGGAGGCAGAACGGCTTTGCTATGCCGCGAAGGGCATCAGCATGCGACTTGATTCATTCCATGCGGGACCGGTATTCATCGTTATCGATTTATGCTCCGACAGCCTGCGTACACTGACCTGCACTCGCGCCACGTTGCCTTGGAGACACTTGGCAGTTAGAAAGAATTCTGGGGAGCGCGTTTCTCCTTCACCACCATGTATCGCGTGTGTTGACGTTTCGATACGCGGACCTTTGCTCGGCTTACGCGAGTGACGAGGTGAACGAATCCGTGAACCTGCATGCTCGTCCTGCTCGATGAAATGCCTCCCGACTAGCAGCTAGTCGATGTGCTGCTGAATCCGTGAACCTGCGTGCTCGTCCTGCTCGATGAAATGCCTCCCGACTAGCAGCTAGTCGATGTGCTGCTGAATCCGTGAACCTGCGTGCTCGTCCTGCTCGATGAAATGCCTCCCGACGAGCAGCTAGTCGATGTGCTGGTGCGTGTGCGGTTAGCGCCGCCTCTAACAACTTGGTGCGGGGCTATCGCTCGATGGACGCACGCCCGGCGCGATTCACGAGGCTCTGTACGCTTGGGGACAACCCAGCGGCATGAGTGCGCAACGACCGGGAAAAATCGGACCGGAGGTCCTTCGTACACGACACGATACGTGAACCGATCCAGCCGTACTGTCATGGAGCACGCATCATGAGGCTCCAAAAGACGTCGAGGCTGGGCCCAGTGGTCGCGAACGGCACGCTTCCGGTATCGCCGGATACCTCGGACGGACACGAGCAGCGCGTAAGCGTGCATCAATATACCCACAGCATCGAAAAGGGACTTTTTCAGATGGAAACGGAACCTGTTCGCCGGAGTTGACGTTACCTTCGAGGCCCACGCGAGAATCCAGAGCTGGACACGTGCGATCTTGGACACCTGCTCAGTGCTGCTGCTGCTTCTGCTGCCTTACGACGGATCGATTCGGGACGAGCTTCCGATTTTCGCAACGCTAACAGAGAACGTCTGTCGGAAAGTGCCTCCAGCTAGTGTCTGCATATCCGAACAGTACAAGGATTCGCATCGTTATCACTTGTCATGGGTAAATACGTTTATCTTCTAATCCCACTGCTCAATGGACACCGACAGCTATACACCTATGCTGTGACCCCGTTCCTGGCGGGGACGACTTGCGCCGTCGCCGCCGCCGCCGCCGCCTCGCACGTCGTTGCGCCGCTGCACAGCGCATCCAACGTCCCGCAGGGCAGCTGCCGCCGATGCCTGCCACGATGCACTGCAGCAGCGCGCGTCCTGGCGCACGCCTGAACGCATTGATGACAAGTTTTGCGTTCGACTAGAACAAGAATCAGGGGGCGTTCGTTACCAGGAGGTTCTGGTCTATGGACGGTGCCTCCGAGAACGCCAGTGAGCCTGTACAAGGCCATGATACGTACCAGGAGCCGTTTATGAGGAGCCCAGGGCTCACAAGAGGCAGGATGGCTGGAGCCTGTGCGAGCCCTGCCTCAGTCGGGTGTGACCAGGCTCAGGTGGTGTTCCGTGCGGGCAGTACCAGGGATACCGCACACGCGTTGCCGGCACAAGCGTATGTTCTGGGTTCACAGGACGCTCCGCAGCAGCGGTTGGAGCACGCTGAGCGAGCTCGAACTGCAGAGGCGGCGCGGCCGTCGAGTGCTGGTCCGGCTTTCGCTTGGGTTATTTACCAGGGTCAGTTTCGCCGGTTTCGAGTGACCAGTAGCCTGACGGCGGGACAACTTTTGGACGAAGCACAGCGGTTTTTTGTTGGCCCCACAACCGAATCTGACGGAGCGTTCTCCGGAGTCTACGGCACACCGGTCTCGGACTGGTGCCTCATGGACCTCCAGGGGACGCTGATACCGCGAGCCTGTCTCTTGATCAGCAGGGAAGGAGCGAAGAGCGCGACGTTCGAGTCAGCGGCGGGCGGAGCGCCTTTAGACGGGCTTTTCCCGGAAGAGGTTTTGCGGAATGCGCAGTCTTTGGAGGCCATGGGAGCAGGCGCTGGATCCGGCAACGAAGCGAGTGCACTTGCACTCTGGCTCTGGCCAGTATTTCACTTGGTACGCTCTCCAGCAGCGAGTCAGCGCAGACGGCTGTCTTCCATCCGATCTGCGCAACTGGCTACCTGCATTGCGAGCGGCACGAGTTTGCCGACCTTTGGGCATCCGGCGACAGCCGCAGCGGCAACCGCCATGGACGTGCAGCCGTCTGGCGCCTCTGTAACGGAACCGCTGAGGGCAGCACCCGCCCCGGTGCATTTCGCACCGAGCCCGGGCGACGCCGAGGCACGCGCCAAACCCGCGGATGACTCCTCCACCGAAACCGAAGCGGATACCGATTCCGATCAGGGTCACGCCTCTCGATTTCGCAGCAACGATAGGCGCCTGGTGGTCGTATCCCCAAACGAAAGCAAGACGACCCGATTCGAACAGACCAGAATGGTTATGAACGATACGAGCACAAGCCAGCAACCGCGAAACACCGCAGAGCCCAGGATGACGTCGCTGCAGGCGTGTGGGATCTGTGGGCAGGCCTCGGGCGAAATGCGCTTCTGCATCCTGTCGAGTTGCAGACGCGCTTTCCATCCATCCTGTATGGGCGCTGCTGAACATGCAGAGACGCCCTTTCTCTGTGATCAACATGGGTGTTCCGTGTGTGGCCATCAGCCCACCGACTACGGATACCTGTGTAAGATGTGCACACGGTGCTTCTGTGCGCGGCACGCACCTGCCGGCAGGCGTCATGAGCCGTTCGCGATTCGACACGCCCTAGAGCCCGGCCTTCGCATCGGGATCATCACGTGCGCGCAGTGCGTCCACGAGCATCCGCTTCCGGAGCCGGCATCACGCCTCCTTGAGCCGGATATGGTTGTGCTGAATGCACAGGGCGCTCCATGGGTGCCTCCGAGGGTAGCTATGGGGCCGCTCACTTGGACGTCGACGACGCCCGCTTCGGGCACCAGGTTGCCGCGAGCATCCAGACGCAGAGCGTCGTCGACAGCGAGACAGGTGCCGTTGCCGCCAGCGGCACCGTTACGGCCCGAGGAGGAAGAAGCCGGGCCTCTCCTCGTGATGACGATGCTTGATGACGGCAGGCGATACGTTCTAGGGACGCGAACGCGAGGTCTCACCGGCTACGATGAGGCCGCAGGGCTCTCCAATAACCGCTTTTTACAAGCTGCGTTTCTCGTGCTGCGCGAAGCGGAATGGATGCGTCGGCGACGCGTCGTCGAATACAGCAGCAGAGCGGAAACCCAAGGCGAAGGTGTCTCTGATCAGGATCGCGACAGATTGTCAAAAGCGCGAGCCGCGCTCCCTGCTCGAGTCGAAATGGATGCCCGCGAGATTCTCCGGATTGCACGGGCTCGGGGTTTCAATCCCACGGTTTCGCCCGAGCCGCACAATACCTTTAGCAGTCAAATTTATCGAAATATGAAGCGACGGCGCGAGTCGTCCCCGTTTCGCAAAGCAGATCGCGGAAAGTTCACTTTAGCGCCGTGGGTTCTCGACCAGCTCAACTGGGCACTGCCTGCGTCTACTACCGAAGCGGGCGTACGATCGGTATCTGGGCCAGTGCCCCGTACGCAACATGGCGGCGGCTTTGAAGTTGCCAAGACGACGGATGCGACGCAGCCGGATACACCGGCCGATGCTTCGCCCGGGATTTCAGTCCCCTTGCCCGTGTGCGTCAACGAGGCCGCGCCGATCGCTGACGCGAATAGCACCAATCCCGCACTAGATACCCCGACGTAAAGAGCCTATGATCCGTCTCATGGACAGTCGCACAGCCAAGTCCAACAGGCATGCTGGTATGCAAGCAACTGCACGAGGGCGTGAAATCACGCCTCCGAAGAACACTCGCAGCGCCGAATCATGTCCAGCCTCTCAGTAATGATAGGTGTAGAAGAGTGGTATATGGAGCACCAGCAACGATAGCAACAAAACGCCACGAATGCGAGTGCATGGTCCGCTGCGGTGGCGATCAAGCCTAAGCAGCGTCCAACAGTTCATACGTCGTACGGTGCAGTCTACGGGTGCGAGTCATCTGCCCCGTTTCCAAGCGACTTTGCAAGCGAGTGTCGCAATCGAGCGTAGAATCGGGACGCTGGTTCCGTCATCAAAGACGATAAAGCGCTCGAGTCTGTTGACGGCAGCGCGCAAACTTTGCCCGCCAGATGTAACGTCGGACGGTATGGACGCAAGTGCGTGTCCGGTAGCGTAATTTCGACATGGCTCGCATAAATATCCAGATTCAGGCGCCCGTGCGCTATTTGCAAACGAACAAGGCAGGGGTCGAGCGCCTCCCGCGTGTAGCGGACCTTGCCTTGCTGCTTGAGTGTCTCGAGGCGCGCAATGTGCGGTGTCTCCGGGTGTCGACGGTCAAAGTCCAGCAACTTTTCCGGAGCGAGTCGCGCGAGCGTTCGACGACGCAGCCATCGCCAGGTCACGGAATCGGTGTTCGTGGAGTCTCCCGCGTCCTCGTTCGCACGGATGCCGCACCAGTAGAGAACTGTTCCAGTTTCTGCGTCGATTTTGCGAGCGCAGACTCGCTGAATACATCGACCCTTTGGGGATTCGCCCCACATTCCTGTCATTCGACGACAATAAAGCGCAGTAGAGTGAAGGAGTAAACGCCCGCCCAGGCCCAAGGTATAGGCTAACGCCGACGCCCGCGAGTCTCCGTATGGATTACGTCGTAACTGGCACAGGAGTGCTTCGGGTACCGATTCCGTTGCGCCAGCCGCCGTTGCCGCAAGCGGAACGTGCTGCAAGAACGGACGCTCACGCTGGAAAGCCTCCTCAGGGTCATTGCGCTCCTGGCTGTACAACCACTGTCGTCTTCTCTTGCGTGCTGCGGCAAGCTCCAGTTCTTGAGGATCCGGCAACCCGGACGCATTCGCTCCCCCGGGACTTGGTGCCGTGCTTGCAATCGCAGTCGCATCGGTTCCTGCACCAGTTTGGTCCTGTCGAGGTGACGTGCGCTCCTCAGCGTGCAACGGCACCGTTGGCGTCACGCTAGAGTGGGCGCCGGCGTCGCTGTCGCGCCTCGCGGGACTTGGCGGAGACGCCTGTTCGGGTTCTCGTGAAGAACTGGTTTCCATAGGCGTTCGTTGCTGGACATCACCCGGCATGACAACGTCTTCGTCTGCTCTGTCAACAGATTTGGACTCGCTGGCTCCGCCTTCTGCCGACATGGCAAGAGCAACGGCACCACGCGGTAACGCGAAGGATAGCGTCGAGCCACGCGGGGCGACGCGCGCCCCCCCAGGGATTCAATGCGCATGCCAGCCGCCAGCCCGCGTGCAGCAGCCTGGCGCTACATGCTCCTCTAGAGGTGCTATCGTGACCAGTTCAGGGTGCCAGTGTCGATCGTGATGCGTATCCAATGGTCAGTGCGGGAGCATGCTACTCGCTGGCAATAGGATAAATGCCATGGAGCTTTATAAAAGCTGTATTCTGTCACGATGCGAGCGACTTGGGTGCTAGAGCATGCGTGGCTGCTGCTGCTGCTGCTGCTCCTGCTCCTGCTACTGCTTCGACACGTTGCGCTGGATCGACGACTCCGGGATCATCGACGGTATGCTGTCACCATGCGGGCTGCAAGCAGAAGAGCCGCTGTTGCCTGCTTTGGCCTGCTGCTGAACGGCAACTGATCGCGGGGCATACGCTCCGTGCTCCGCGTTTGTGCAGTGCCTTGCGGGCGACAGACGATCGATTGGCATCGGCGATGCCGCGGCCTCGTGGCTATCCCTGGGCGCCGCTGGGGCGCATGACGAGCGCCTGACGCGTACGGCGCTTCCTGGCAGGATGCCGCGCTGTACAGCATACACGTCGTTTCTGCAAAGCTGCATTGCGTCTCGAGGCTCTTGTCCATACGTTCGAATTGCTCATCGACTCGGTATGGCGAATTATCAGTTTTTCTGTGGCAGAGTGTCGATACCACTAGCCTTCTGCCTCTGCTACTGGATGCATCAAAGCTTATTCTGGTGAAAGTGCGTTCATGTTGGCTGAGTCAGGGGACGTCAATGCTGCCGACGGATCGTCGAGCGGCCGGTCTTGTATGAGACTCGCTTGGACGCGCGAGCCCTGTGAGGTACGCACTCGTCGGGTCGGCACTCATGCGGGCGTATATGCGTGTTTTTCAAGCCTTCTTCGAAGAGACTTTTGGGGAATCACTGCATGGAGAGCAGTCTGGAAGCGCTTGTCATCATCACCGCAAACAGACGCTGCTAGCCGTCGAGGAGAAGCGTGTCCGTCAAGTTTTCTTCGAAGAGACTTTTGGGGAATCACTGCATGGAGAGCAGTCTGGAAGCGCTTGTCATCATCGCCGCAAAGAGACGCTGCTAGCCGTCGAGGAGAAGCGTGTCCGTCAAGTTTTCTTCGAAGACACTTTTGGGGAATCACTGCATGGGGAGCAGTCTGGAAGCGCATGTCATCATCACCGCAAAGAGACGCTGCTAGCCGTCGAGGAGAAGCGTGTCCGTCAAGTTTTCTTCGAAGAGACTTTTGGAGAATCTCCGCATAGAGAGCAGTCTGGAAGCGCTTGTCATCATCGCCGCAAAGAGACGCTGCTAGCCGTCGAGGAGAAGCGTGTCCGTCAAGTTTTCTTCGAAGAGACTTTTGGGGAATCACTGCATGGGGAGCAGTCTGGAAGCGCTTGTCATCATCACCGCAAACAGACGCTGCTAGTCCCCTGGACGAAGCGACAGAGCCCCAAGCGTGTTTGGGTTCCGGATAAGGGTACTTGGAGCGAGCGCTCCGCCTCGGCACTAGTCCAGCCGCGTAGACAAAAGAGTTTCTAGCACGAGCCGCAATTCGCGCATGCCGCCGAATTCGGACGGCAACAGGGCGTCCGACAACGGCGATCGGCGATGCTGCCGAGGGGTGCGCCTCCTGCGGACCTGCACTAGCGTCCTTTGGAGGTGTAAGCAACCTCTCCAAGAACAGAAGACGTGCATTCCATGTGGGTGTCTTGTATTTCTTTCGGTTTGAGAGGTTCTAGACAACGAACGAAGCGTCAATTATCCTTGTTGTTAACGCGGCAACGACTTCACTGGCAGTTACAGAGACGCAAGCGTGCGCTGCCTCGCTGGGTCGCGCTCGCTGCGGAATCGAATGCCCCCGGGGCGCGCACACTTTTTGCCCAGACCGCGGAAAATGAAAGCTTTCGCTTTCCAATCGAGCTGCTTTGTCCGACGCCTACCTGTTGTGACCGAAAGCTGTTCTCGGACGCGAACCCCAAGTTGACGTTTCTCGAGCGTCTCGAGCTCTTCCGACAACGTTCGCTTCTGAGCACCAGAGCGTGCTCAGTTTTACGCGGCTGGTATGAATCGTACGAGAAAGCTGCGCTAGCCGCGGCTGCGGACGGGGCGCTAGTGCTGTTCGGGTGTCCGTCAACCGACCCAAAGCAGGTCTTACGCTGGTGCTCGGATAACTTTTCAACACTTTTCGATATTCTTATCTATGAGCTGAAGCACCCCTTCCATTTCAAGCCGTATCATCAAGCTGTGAGCGGACCTGAGTTCAACTATACCGCATTTGGAAACAGATTTTCGCGACCGCTTTGTGATCTGCAACGCTCCTACCTGGATCCGTCCTCGGAGGCGTCGTTCGCATGCATCCGAGCGCAGCTCGCAGCTGGTGATAACGTATGCCTGGTGGGGAATCATCAAAGCGAAGCCGATCCTTTTGCCATCTACCATATGTTTCGCCATCATTTCGGCGAATCTGGGGCAGCACTCGCGGAGAGCATTCTGTATATGGCCGGTGATCGGGTGCGTGACGATCCACTAGCAGCGCCGTTTAGCGTCGGTCGCTCCATGCTGACGGTGTACTCGAAAAAACATATCTTAGACGAGCCGGATCGGCGTTCGGAGAAGCAGGCTCACAATCGTAAGACCCTGCGGGAAATGGAACGTCTCTTCGCCGACGGAGGCCGCTGCGTCTGGTTTGCGCCCAGCGGGGGGCGTGATCGACGCTCCCCCGAAACGGGACGCGTCACCTGTGCATCTTTTGATCCAGACGCAATAGAGCTTTTCCGGCTATCGGCTGAGAAGGCAGGTCGTCCGTGTCACTACTACCCGATGGCAATCGGCACCTTCAACATGTTACCGCCGCCAGATCAAGTAGAAAAAGAGAAAGGCGAACAGCGCGTCGTCAGTTATGCACGACTCTGGATGAGTCTAATGCCACAAGTCGACCTCGACGCAGGCATCAGTCCGGCACTAAGCAAGTCGGAGAAGCGCCAGGCACGTGCGGAGAATCTCTATCATTTGGTTGTACAAAAGTACACACAGATGGGTGCGTACGATGCGCAATAATCAGGTGCGAGGTTCGCTCGCGGAGCGCACACAGTGGCCTGCCCGTGGAGCCGCTGCGCGCACCGACTACGACATGCGAGTCGAAACGCTCTGTCGAGAGTACAGGGCAAATCTGTGTCTATAAGGGGCGTTTCGAGCGAGCACTGCGCCACTGGAACCCTCGCGAAAATCCTGGCGAGGCAAGTGCTTTCCATGCCGTCCATGGGCGTCCAGCGCGGTGTCCGTCTCCATGCGCCATCGGACCTAACTCCAGCGCGCGTCGCCAAGAAGCGCATGGACGGATCCGCCGTCGCTGACCCCAAACAGCACACAAATCCGGTGGCCGGCTTGTGCCGGTGCTACCGGCTGGTAGCCTCATAGCAACGGCGCTTCCCGAGGCGTCGATTTTTGGATAAAGCACGAATTCGTTCATAGGGAATACAACGAGGCCGATTCCGTGCATTCCGAGTCCGCGTCGACCGTATTGACACCACCGCGTCGTTCCGCATCTATTCCCAGGAACGGGTGCGGCACCGCTCATGTAGAGTGTTCGCGGAGTCGACCGCCTTCCCCGCTCGTGGGCTCGTATGCCGGCATAGCGCGGACTCCGATTCTCGTTCAGCGCCCGCACTAGCTAGCACGAAACTTGCATAGTCTGGAAGATGCTCAACTCATGGACTCGATGTCGATGCTCCAGAGCAATTGCACTAGCGCCAAAATCGCACACTCTAGAATCTATTCAGTTACTGGACTCGATGTCGTGGCTCGAGAGCGAATGCACGGCGCTTGCCGCAAAACACTGCCACCTCTGTGTACGCTTCGCCACGGGTTTGTTTTTCTGGTCGTGTTCCGTTCCGAGCGCACGTATCCGCCAGCCAGTGACAGGACTGTGTCTGCTCCGTCAACACGACAGGTTCACAACGTCATCGCAGCATAGAGGAGGCTCTCTCGGCAAGCCAGAGAGCGGGTGCCTCGTATCGAACGAGGCATTCGTTGGCGTTGCCCGCTATCCTAGCCAGTTTCTGGCGGTGCATAACCCGAATCTAGTGCTCGAAGCGTTGGAAGCAGGTCCTCAACACTCCATAGTCGCTCGCTGTCTCCGACTCTTGGTGAGAGCGCCTGCCGTCCCACGTACCGTTCGTCGAGCTCGAACGCACGCAGTGTCTCGGTCAGCGACTCGCCGGCAGTCAGCACGCACTGGCTATGTTCCCTGATTTGCATTTCGAGCTCAGTCAAGCTCCATTTGCTCTCGGTGAGGAAGCGGGCTGCTGCGCGTTCGAGTGCTTCGTCGGACTGCTCAAGGCGGACGTCGAGTCGTGTTCGAAGCAGCTCCGGGACGCGGCTCGATGCTACAACCGGCTCAACGAGCCACGACTCGCACTCGACCAGGAGACGCTGCACTTCCGCCCATACTAGACCATAAAGCCGCAGCACAAGGCCATATTGTGTTACGAGGCTGCTGGAAACTTGCGTTTCCACTGGACCGCCCTGTGCTACGAGCAGCCGTTCCTGCAACAGAACAAGCTGCTGACGACAAGCCAGCGCCTGCGCTCGGGCCGAACGCAAGCTTGCGAGCACTCGCTTCTCATCTGCAGTCAAGTCCTGGCTCATGATAAAGAATCACGATGTGAAAACGAAGCACATAACTACTGCCCGCAAACGGCTGCAGAAAAGCACCCAGCAATGCTGTATACAATCAATCGCCGTGCACTTGACGAGGATGGTTTTTGTTCTCCGATGACAAACCATTCACAAGGATCAGGGATCGAAGAATGCGGAATGGTTAACGGTCATCGAGAAATCGTTCATCATACTACCCAATGCGTCCAAGTTACATTACCTATACTTTTTCTCGGATATACTGGTCGTCTCAAACGTTCTATCGCACACCTAATGCCTGCCAAGATAGTCCGCAATGGCGTCTTTACCTTTGGTACAGATGCATCATAGAGACAGAACGGCTTTTCTATACCCCAGAGGGCGTCGGCTCAAGGCGTGGTTCACCCGACGTAGAATCGGGTCTCGTCGTCAGTGTGTGCTCGGACAGTCTGCGGATGCAGGCTTGCCTTCGCTGCACAACACGCTGGAGAAACTTGGCTGTTAGGATAAATCGAGGGAGTCGCCTCCCTCCTTGGTGATCATGCATGGAATGCGTTGTTGTCGGTTGGAAATGCGGATTTGTGCTTGACACCCACCACAGAAGGTAGGCGCAGAAAGCGCACTGTGCCCGTGTACGCATCCGCTTCGCTGGACCTGCTGCCTAGAAGGTAGCATGTGAGTTTATTGGCCACGAATGAGCGTTGAGGCTCGGTTAGCGGACCATCAGTTGCCAGTGCTGCACTCAAAGTGATTGTCCGGCCTTCGCCTATCACGGTGATGTCCAGCTGCTGCTGTCCTGCAAGGAGCTCGCTGCGCTCCTGCTTCCAGCGCGGGCACTGTAAGCCTAAATATGTCAGCGTCTCGGGGATTTCGTCTCGATAGCAGGGACAGTGTGATTCCCAGTGCGATTCCAGTGTCCCTATACGGCTTAGAGCCCGTGCTGGTAGCCAGAAGCCATCAACGCGGATTTTCGCGAGCCACTGGGTACCTCGAGCAAGTCCCGGGAATTCCAGCGCCTCCCACCAGTACTTGCATGTGTATGCGAGGTTGTAGTTCCGGTATAGAGTCAAGCCAGCGTCTCGACGCTTGCGCTTATCCGCGTCTGCTGTAGACCACGGATGCGATTTCTGGACACAAAATTATGGCTTGGAGGCAAGTGCTCTCGCTTTGGACATGGATATGTACGCACAGACGCCGCCCCTTGTCATGAATTGCAGGATTCTTTGTGTTCCGGGTAAGCGCGATCCTCACCATAACGTACCGGTCACTCCACTCCCGGGTTCAGCGGTATCTGCAATGACGCGGATACCGGGGCAGCACGCTGCACAACAGTGCGACGCATCGCTGTTGGTATCTGTCGACAACCAGTGCTGCGCATGCACTACTTGTATGAGCGCTCGCAAAATCAAAGCCACCCCCTGCGTCAGCCGGATACGGCCACGAGATGTACTGTTTAGGAAAAGAGGTCGTTCGTATCCGGTTATGGTTCTCCATCCGATCTGGGTCGCGATCGCAGCTTCCAGAATTCTGCGCCCTACAAAGCTATGATGTCCTGGAATCGCTGTAATGAATTTCGTCAATTGGCTCCACAGCACAAAACCAATCGTTTTTTTCAGCATCCTGCAGCACGATCGAACCATTCGAAGATACCGTACAGATACACCTGTCTGGTGCCGAACGTGTCCGAGACGTTACGCCTCAGACCAGTGCGTAGAGTACTGTGAGGTTTTCGAGTGCGGCCCTCACGCCTGGCGGGATCGACTCATGATGCGAGACGTCAGAATACGTCCATACCGAACTCAGCACTGACAGCGTGATCAGCAGCGCAACCCAGAAGCGCCAATCACGAGAAACCTCTCGCCAGGTAGGTGTTCTCGCTCTAAACTGCGACCATAGTTGGCGCACTCGGGCAGAGCTGCGTGTCCAGACGGTTGGCGCCGGCCGTTCCCGGGGCAGCTGGCTCCAGTCGATTTTTCCCTCACTCACGAACGCCTTCCATTCTTCGTTCCAGTCGATCAAGCTTTTTGGTACTTGATGTTGTGGATTGCGCTGTGGTATGCTTCCGCCGGTGTTGCCGGTTTTATCGGCAGGCGCACCGCCTGCGTTCGAGTTGTCCTCGGACTCGTGCCGCGCTCTATCCGGCTGTCCAGCCAGGCACGTGAGCAGTCGTCTTCGTTCTTGCACACCGTGACAGGCGACTCTGCGGGGCAACGCAAAGCGTGCTCCAGACGTTGAGCGAGTAGCGCTGCGGTTGCGGGCCCGCTGCGCCAGCGCAGGCGCTGGTGGTGAAGGGCGCGCGACCAGGAACCGCACGCTCGAGCTCGCTCCCGTCGTAAACGCAACCGAGCGCTCCGGGTTCCGCGAACACTCCTGCCCAAACGTTACCTCTGGACCCTGAGTACTCATCCACCGAAACGTGTGCAACTTCATCGATAAGCAGTTGCTGCGTGCGATCGCTGCAACGCTGCACCAACGTACAGAGGTGAACGTCTATCATAGAATCTGACGCTACACACCAGTGCAGAGACTGATGCGTTCCAGGCGATCGCGCGTTCGATCTCGAAAACGATGACTGTTATGTGCTGTTATATCCGTAGATGTCTAGCCAAAATTTTTTCAACTCAAGACTGCTCCACCCATTCTATGGTGGATAGCAGGCGATCGACTCCACAATGCAATGTACCGTACAGATCATAGACGAAATCTCTCTAGGATGTATTCTGTGCGAAACTGTGCAAGGAGGACTGTATTTCTTGTTCAGGTGAGTCATATCATAGTGCTTAGATGGTTGAGGATTACTGAAAGGCACATGTAGATGCGCTTTGCGCAAAAAATATTATGAAAGACTGCTCATCGTCAATGATAGAAAACGAACCGTTGATCAGCATATGGAAAGTAAAACCAACGATCGTAGACACAGCAAGTGTCTCTGTTTCTCAACAGCTTGTTCACGTGGTACTCAAAACACTGGGATACAGTCACAACAAAGTCCGCGTTCACGCACGACTGTCTTCCACAGAAATCGCAGCGACAGCGTTCCTGAAACGTCGCGATCGCTATGATGCAGAGAAACGTCGATTATTTTTTTCAGTGTATGAGACTTGCTTCAGAGGATACGGTCGGAACGTCCATGGGTATTTGCAGAGAGGGAGCCCGTTGTGTCTATGACCGAACTCGAAGAGATACAGGTTATCATCTTCTATTCTAGCAGCAGTGGATCCATTTGGTGGCCTCAGTTTCGCTTGTAAAGAAGTCTCGTAGAACAGCAGCAATGCTGTCGACTCGTTAAAGACTTTTCCCCGGACCTCTGGCGACGTTCTTCTACTGTACAACGTAGTATTTCAGCATTCACTTTGCGTTTGGGCTTTTCCGGATTCTATCGGGGTGCAGCTGCTTTTCACTCTTCCGTCCTCTCCGAGATTCAACGCTATAAAGAGGAGTGGTTTCTATGGTGAAACGCGTTGATCGGTCCATTGTACGAATCGCCGAGGCGTTCAAGACACGGTGACGCCAGGGCACATTTTGTCTGTCTTCCGCGAGTGCCTCTCCTGCTGCGAAATTCCTCACCCGAGTGCTTAAAGGGGTGCATTCATTTTCATGAATAAGGAATGAACCAGGGTGTACACTTTTGAAGTTCGAGATGGAGAGAAGCCAGCGGACCGTTTTGGCGACAGAAAAGCACAGAGAGCTGGCAGGGCGGGAAATGGCACCGAGGGCACGAGTTCGACGAGTCCTTGCGCTGGTGAATTCTGCCGGCGGCAGTAAAAACGCAAGGAGCTCATGAACCGAGACTTTGAAAGGTGCAATCAGTATCAGATGATGTGCGGTGCTGAAGACGAGACCTCTGAAACTGACGCGATGCAGGTTTTTCGGTCGGCCTCTCGAGCTCAGTGTATACCTGGATAAACTGAAGCTGACAGCAGGCGGCCGGTCGAAAAAGGCTGGAAGGCGTCAGCGGGTAGTCATTCATTTACCCTAGAAACTCGTTGGACATTTTCTGTTTCATTGGCTTGCATACCGCAGCAGCGCATTCAGGGATTCTGGATACTGCCGTGTTCGGTTAACATAGAGCAGGTTCGCAGAGTCGGGCGTACACAATATAGGTTTTGTTTCTGCGCTCTAGCACCAATACTGGTGTTTGCAGGGTTCCGCTGCCACTGTACCTTGTTTTTCGCATACGAGTCTCCATATTCGAATACGTTGGTAACTGCATTCCCACCAGTTCCGCTATCAGCATTGGCGGAATCTTGATGGCAGCGTTAACGTCCCCACTGAGCTGCTTCCGCTTGTGGTCAACGCATTTCATGCAGAGTCACCCGCCCCTATCTATGCTTCGTTTGTCATTCTCTCTATCTTTGTATACTGCATCGGTGCGTCTTCGCAGCGGTGGCTTGACTGTGTGCGGGTGTTCCCGCATTTCCGCGAAACCCTCCGCTCATCTGACCAGCACCCGGTGGCTCGTGAACGCTCCTATGATCGGTCGATACGTGCCTTTGACTGGTGCACGTGGCGCCATGCAATGCCTTGCAATGTTTCCGCGCATGCAGCAGGTATCTGCGTTGTCTCTGCGACTTGCACAAGCGACTGCTTGCTGTTTCATTCAATAGAGGATTCGTAAAACACAATGTTCTCCAGGATGAAACAAGTGCTGGAAGGAACAAACAGCCTAGGGAACAAACCATAAAATTTCAGTCTGTCGGTACTTCATTCCAACATATCGGTGACGGTCTGTTTACCGAAGAGCATCGTTGCGATGTCCAAATTTCGAGCGCAGCACTCCTTTGCATACAAAGAAAAGCGACGCGAACCTCTTGAAGCGTATCTCGTGAGAGCCATCATGCAGCTGCCAAATGCGGTGTTGCAGATAACCTGTACCAAATGAAGGTATGTGTTTCGAATGGAGATTGCTATTGGACATGACACATTCTGCAAATTCTCTTGATGAGCTGGAGAGCAAGTCGTTTACAGACGATTTTCAGTAGCTGTCTGCGTCAATCCATGGCCGCGCTTCGTTGCGCCCGCGACTGGCCTTGAAAGAGAAAGATCCAAACGTCGATGAATGTGCGAAGTGCGCATGTTAAACGTAAGAAAGGGAGAGAGGTAAACGCCAAAACGTATGCATTGCACAGCAATATTAGCTATTTCATGAATCCTTGCTCGAGTGCGCCGCGAATCATCTCGATTCCGGTCACGCATCGCTTGCCAGCAGTCGCAGAACGTCAACAGAACCTAATCCGAAAATACGTTCGAGCATCTGAGAACTGCATATGAGTCCATAATAGATTTTCGCTGCGCATCAAATTTCAGGACTATGCATCTAGAAAATTTTCGGAGAACAAACCAAGTCGCGGGAACAGAGCGAACGTGTCCGAGTTCCGCATCGATCGGACTCGCGTTCAGATGCCTCGCTGCGTACCGCAGAACGGAACCAGCGCTCGAGGGGCACCAGCGCGAACGCGCGATACGCCCCCGCCCCGGAGGCACGTCCATGATCCAAGCGCATCGCGGAAAGTGCATTTATGGAACTATATGATCCTAACGGACATAGGAGCTATGTTTGGCACCGCCAGATAATCGCGTCTCGGCTTCGACAGCACCGCGCCACGTAACTGCCCATTGACACCCATAGTGGACAATCTGCGCGATTGACGACTGGCCGTTTCGCTCACAAGCGGGCCAATCTAGCGCAACACTTGTCCCGGAGCGACAGATTTCACCGCACCGAGCTGGACGTGCTTTTGACTGCAGCACACACACACACACACAGGTGTTTCGTCTGGTGACAGTCGAACCGGTGTTGCTCGTGAGCGACTCGGGTGCACCTTTGTGCTCACTGGGAACCAGGATTCAGGGCGGTAGGGCTCAGAAGCGCACCCACGAGCGCTTAGCTTTGCTGGGCGTTTTCAAAGCGTGTCAGCGGGGCTCACTACAGTCCTCAACTAGGTCGGTTTCCTGGCCGCGTGCGGAGCTGTGGACAAGCTACGCTGTAACGGGCGGGTCGCTGATGAATTCAGAGGCTTTTGCCTCGAGGAGTTCCCCAGCGCTGACAGCACGCCTGGTCACCACGCTGGAGCGCCTTCGTACAGCGGGCACCGCGGCCGAGGATGTGGACAGCTCTCTGGCTTCACAGTTGTGCGCGCTCCTCGAGAACCTGAAAATCTTATCGTTGAAGCCGTCTGAGGCCACCCGAGTCGCAGTGCTGCTTGCTGAGGAGTTCACGCGCCGACACGAGCAATCCTCTGCAGAACGAGCTCCGAGTGGCGAGTTCGCTCTCGGATTCCTCAGCCTCAGTGCTCGCAATTGGCGCCTGCGCTCACGCTATGAAGCATTTAAACTATACGAACTCAAATCTCGAACCCGGCGCGCTGATCGTGTGCCGTGGCCTGTGGCGCTCGGCGCTGGCCCCGTGTCGCAGACAGCGGCCAGCTGCGATGACCCGACCGAGGCGAGGGAGCACACGGAGAGTGACCTCGAGCTGGCGGCTGTGAGTGTTTGTGCGCAGCTTGTGACGCGCATACCCCAAGATGTGCTCACGTTGTGCTGTTCTGCAACAGATGCATGCAATTCGCCAAACGGACGCAAAGTGCTGCAATTCCTTGCTGGCATCGTCCTTGGTGCTGCAGATGGTCGTATTCTACGGTACTTTACGAAGCTCATGCAACACCAAACCGCTGACGGGCGAAACGTGTCGAGCGCCGGGCATCATGGTCAACGGCAACGCTCGAAACGGCAGTCGCATAGACGCACAAGCGAAAAAGCGATCGATGCGCTGGTAGAGTCGCCAAACTGTTCGCCGGTGACACCCGGCGCCACGGACGATGACGTAGGAAGTGAGCAGTCTTGGGATAGTCACGATGCGGAGGGTTTCATCGACCCATCGCTGGCGACGGATCCGAACGAAGCAGAGTTCTGGGATGCGTTCGAATACGCGCGGGTTTTGGCAGCCGCCAACCGGTCCGATGCTTCCTCGTGTTTGCGAACAGCATCACAACGGGTCGTGAGACTTGCGGAGGGCAACACCGACGGTAGAATCGAAGAAGCAGCGACACCAGTGCAATTTCCAACAGCACCAGAATCACCATTAGCGTCAGCGCCGCGGTATCTCTATACCAAGCCATATCGACACAGCGTTCTGCTGCCTGCTGAAGATTCATCGACGACGATCCCGGAGCCGAGTGCCAACATTCATGCCGCTTGTCAGGTGCGGCACCCGTCGATGGCGCTTTCGCGATGCCCCATAATGTCGGATGCCGATGAGCAAGCACTAATCCTGAGCGACTTTCCATACCACGCTGCCGCGTATGCATTTCTACATGTACTCGAGAGCTGCGCGGCTGTGTCGCGCCCGAATCCCGAGTCGATGGCCGCCACAGCAGCTGATCCGCTGTACCTGGCGTTTTCGACCTCCCTGGTCTTACCAGCGTTTGCCTTCGTGCTCCGCAACGATATCATGGATAGGTCCTCGTTCTGTATGCGCTTTCCACCTCTCATTATGAAGAAAGCGTTTGACACGATTCGAGCCACGAACGAGCCCCGCTTTGGCGCGCTGCATCGACTTTGGCGTCAAGCAGGGCTGGGCGCTTTCCTCGCTGTAGCGGCACGACGGTACAGTGAACTGGGCGAGATTCCGCTATCGATGCTCGCGACGGATGCAGCATGCGTCCTGGCGGGCAAGTGGGAAGACTGTTTCGGTTTTCTGGTGACGAATAGACCAGAGTCACAGCTTTTGGATGATGATCCGCTGGTGCAGACACCAGAACAGCACGCCGCTGGTCGCCGTCGGAGTTCGAGTCGCGGAACCCAGTCGGAAAGAAGAGCGTCGCTGCGGATGCGGGCCCGCCGGCTTGACTGGCGGAGTCGTCGCCCTTGGCGGCCATTCGCAGCTGGACTGGAAGGTAGGGATGCGACCGCGGCTGCTCCCGAGGCCTCGACAGCTATCGAGGACGCTTTGCAGCTTGCGGAGCGTCTCGAAAGCAGCGAGTCCGCTCGGCAGCAAACGGAGGCCTCGGCCCGCACGGGGGCTGCTGCATCCGATGCTGCCGGGCCGGATACGCCCACCGCTGCTACAACAAGTGCGCCGCGCAACACAAAAGATCAGTTAACCGCTACCCTGGATTCTGCGTCGATCGAGGCGGCCCCGGCACGACTGCTTCGAAGAACTAGCAGCCGACACAGTCATTCGCTTTCGGGCGCAGAGCCAGCTGGTGAAGCCGCGCGTGCACCACGACCAGGAGCGACGCCCATAGACGAGAAGGCGTCCGTGGTACCAGCCGCACCAGAGACTCTTGACACCGAAAGCGTGGGCCCCGGGCGGCGTCTTTGCTGTGCATCCATGTTTGCACACACGCAGCGGATACCGAGCGAGCCGCCCTCGACCTGGCTAGAACTGCTGCGAGCGTGGCGGAGATTCAATGAAAGCGACGAGCCGCGCTGCCCCCCGGAGCTCTTTCGACGAACGCAGAGACTGGTGCGTCGTTGTGGCATCCCCGATCGCCTGAGAAAGTATTTTTGGCCTCTGTTCTTGGAGGTAGAGCGCCGACGGGGTCGGTCGCCGCCCAACTGGTACCGCACGCTTTTGCGCAAGGCTACTGCGGCACCGGACTCGTCCCGCGCTGACACCACTGGAAGCCGTGGTGGTGCAGCAGCGAGTACCATGCCGGCCCCGGGAAGCGGTCCAGTGCCGCGTGAAGTGCTCGATATCATCGACCGAGACGTCACGAGGACGTTCTGCAACCATCGATTGTTCTGGCGCGGTGGGGCAGCCCTGGGACTTGGCGCCTTGCGCAACATTCTGCGAGCTTATGCCTGTCTGGATCCGGCCGTGGGCTACTGCCAGGGCATGTCGAGCATCACCGGAGCGCTGTACATATACGCGGGCGGCAGCGAGGAGCGCTGCTTTTTCATGCTTGTGCAGTTTATGCAGGGAGCGTTGCAGTTTCGGGAGTTTTTTCTTCCGGGGTTTACTCGTCTATGTCAGAGCGTAGAGGCGTTCGCTTGGCTTCTGCATCGGAAACTGCCCCGGACTGCACGCCTGCTTGAGGCGAAAGGTATTACGCCCATGATGTTCGCGGACAAATGGTACCTTACCGCTCTCCTGTACAATTTCCCGTTTCCGCTCGTGAGCCGCGTCTGGGACGCGCTGCTCCTCGACGGCCACGTCAAGGTTCTCCATCGCGCGACGCTGACGTTGTTGAAGCGAGCAGAACACGCGGGCAGGCTCTCCCCGGAGATTCCCTTTGAGGATTTGTTGATGTATTTGCAACGTGGCTTCGCCACCGACAAGGCCGTGATCCCATCGATCGGTGTCTTCATGAACGATGTATGGCACAGCGTGTCATTCTCACGCCGCCAGCTCCATCCACTGGAGCAGGCACCTGAAACGGCGACAGGCACAAGGATGCAGCATTGCGCGCCAACCGGCCGGCGGATGCTTTTGTTTGCACGCTTTCGACAACGCATGGAAGCATTCCGAAACGCGCAAAAACGGAAGCAGCAGGCGCATCGAGAGGCCGCCATGCCGCGCAAAACGCAGGCTCGCACTGAAGAGGAAGGCTCGCTGCGGCAAGTGCTCGCCGAATCAGTTGCAGCCGAACAGATTGCGTCACTACACCGTACGGACTCGGCCATTACGTCACTCGACTCGTTTTATACTGAAAAAGGCGGCTGGAAGCGTGATCCGCCGCCAGTGTGCACCGAGCGGTATCGTCGCAGGGGCATGCTCTTCACCCTGGGGCACCGGATGCTTCCATGCGTGTTTCCCGGGGATGGCTAGGATGCTTGGACCTAGCGCGGTAGCGAGCGCGAAGCGCACGCGATACCGAGACGTGTCCACCGTCATTGCGCTGTAAAGATGGGTTGCTATGCACAGCTCAAGCGTGGTATCAGAGCGTGACCTGCTGCGGCGCCTCTTGCACCCAGCATCTGCACAACTGTATCTATCCTTGGCTTATGTTTCTGAAAGCGCAAGAACGGCGACGCATGTGTATGTGCACAGCAAGTGCCCACTGTGTTCGCCTTGCACTCGATACACCGTCCAAGCCCCGAAGCGTGCATCGCGGACACGGACCCTGTCTCGTGCGTAGAGGATTCCATTCGTACAAGGACGTATATTTATATACATGTATATACCAGTATATACATTTACAGATAGTTATTGGCAGCGAATGGTAGCTGGAGGCCGCACCTTCGATCGCACGCATGCGCGCGGACACGTCACCGGATGCGTGCTGGCGCTGGTGCGAGATCCGGTTTCCGCCATTTGCCCGCAATCCATCTGCGATGCATCACGAGTCGTTTCTGGCGGTTCACGATTTCACGCTCGACGATATGTGCATATTCAGTTTGTAAACCTGCTTGCTGGAATAAATTCTCTAGCTCTGCCACTTGGAAGTAGTGGACGCGAGTGCCGTCGCCACGGAGGTACTCGTGACGCTGCGGATCGGTACCAACGCGCGCACATGCCGGGTGCCGTAGCTCTGCGAGGTCGCCAACCGCGTAGTCGCGCAGCAGCAGCGCTCCGCCCGGCCTCAGCATGGCAGCTAGTCGCGATGCCGCCAGCGGTAACGATGCAACGGGTAGCGCGCTCAGCGTCCAGACGCAGGTCACGAAATCACAAGTCAGCGGCGGGGCACGATAGACGCCCGTCGTCCAGCGCTGGGCAGCAGGCGCACTCCGGACTGGTGCTTCTGCTGCGGAGCGCGTCTCAGCAGCCGCATGCGGTGCTTCGAAGGCGGTTGTATGAGCAGCGGGCGCGCCTAGATCAGCGCAGTACGCGTAGATGCGTGCCTGGTCGAACTCAGGCTGCAACAGCAGCAGGCGTAGCGCCACCAAAGAGTAGTCAAAGGCGAAGAAGAAGAGATCCGGATTCGCACGCAACAGCGGGATCAACGCGTTCCCGACCCCACACCCGCACTCGGCGACAACAACTTTACCGTGCGTTAGCGCAGGCTCGAAATCATCAAGCATCCAGTGAGACGGCTCGTCTGGCGACGCCTCCAGCACGTGTCGCGCATCGGGTACCAGGGGGCGTAGTGGCTCATGCACGGGCACGTGCCGATGCGGTGCCGCCCGAACGCTTGGCGGTACAAGTTCTGGGAACGCTGCTCGCAGATTGTAACGATGTTTGAAAAATCGGTCACGCTTTTGTCGGTAGAAGAGGTCCCAAAACTCGTGCTCTGAGGTGGACACTGGCAAGTCGCTCACGCCGGTACGGCTGATCAGCCGTCTCCGCAACGGTAAGTGCGATGGAAGGTTCTCGGCGAGTTCCGGCTCCGCTTCATTATCAGCGGCTGTTGTCGAGAGTGGCCGCTCTGTCCACCCGCGAGCAGCTGCGAGAACAGCTGCACCAAATCGATTCGTGAGTCGCCTCGTCTGGCGAGTCGGTGCCGATGCCGAGCCCGGTGATGCCGTGCAACCTGCTTGCGGTGTCGTACGGTCTATTTCCGCAACGTCGCCGCATACCTGCATCGGTACCTCCGTACCATGCTTGCAGATTTCACCAGTGCCGCAACAGTCACTGTAACCGCAGTTGCAGTTGCCGTTCCCGAAACCCGCCCAGGCGTCACCCAAGCGCTCCATATGTATTGCTACGAGAGCGCAGTGCTCGTTTCCGCGCGCACGCTGCGCTCACCAGGTTTACGCGGTTCCAATAAACGTTGTGTTGCCTGCTGCTCGTGCTCCGCAAGGCGCCGTTCCAGACGCACCATCGACAATGCGACCCAGAACGCAGCGGCGATCAGAAGCGCCGTTATCAATATCCCCAGGAGCACGTGCATTCAACGCTTGATCCAGTGTACTGGGCTGTAGCACTCACGTCTCCGTGGTTCAGAATCGTCCCGGCCGCGACTGATGAGCAACGAGCCCCGCTCTCGCCGTGACGCGTGTAGTCCGTGGAAAAGACGAGTGCTTTCGCACCAGTGTTTTCTCAAGTTTCAAAATCCGTGACTCCGGGGCGCCCGTTTACGCTCTACTGGAGTGAAGTTGTTCGTCTTTCGACAGACAACTACACACACAAGGGCGCTGTTTTCGTTCTCCTCAACACCGGCGCGTCGACGTCTATCTTAGACCGCGCACGAGCCTCTAAAGCTTAGCGCAAAACGACCTGCGCGTCTTTGCTCACGTCTCTGAAGACGCTCCGTTGATGAGATACGTATATATGACTGCAGCTGGTCAGTTGCTCCAAACGAGCTTAACGTGTGCCTCTCCACGGCGGTAACTGCGTGTCAATCATGCAGTGGAAACGCGCAAGTGCTACGTTTGCCGCCCGCGGGCACCGGCCCAGCGGAAGTATAAGGGAATTTCCTCCTGCGGGATGATTTCAGCGCATATGCATCTGCCAAGGCGATGCGTCGAACACCAGAGCCATTAGGGAATTCCCTCCGGCGCTATGCTTTCTTTGGTTCGACAGAACGTCTCCACTGACCATATATCCCAGATTGCCTGATCGATATTGGCTTTCGGGAATGCGTCCTCATGCTGCACTCTTTCTCCACGTTCCATCACCCCTACTTTCTCTCGAATGAACTGCTTGTTTCGCACGTTCAACGGTGCACCTAACCTTCCTTGAGCACCCGGAATAGCACCTACACCGCTGGTGCTAATGCACCACGGTGACAGAACGGCTTCGCAATACCACTGAGGGCGTCGGAAGAGGCTTGGTTCACGCGAAACGGAATCAGGGCTATTTACATTTCTGGGAGCCTCCAAGCTGTACATGCAGACCTTCAGCCTGCGGTACCGCGAAGCGGTATCCTAGGAGTCCACCGCGACCAAGGTGACGCCCATAGGCAGCACATCCGCTCCTAGTCCCAGAACCAAACGCGATTCGGACGAGACGCTCAGGTGCGTCACATTCTCCACCACTCAGAGTCACGCGGAGCAAAAGCAGGTAGCGTCTTCCGGTGTGTGGGACCTTCCACCTCGAAGGTAATCGTTAGACCATGAGCAAAAGGTTCCTCTTTTCAAGGTCTGCAATAGATGTGAAAAGGAACCGTTACCTCGTTGCAAGTAATTGGCCACACTCCGTTCTTTTTTTGTATTATATGGCCCGTACGCGCACCACGATATCTGGCCGTCACAACACGCAACCTGTCTCGCCGGCGAAGAGAAACGCGATAATGGCCACTTTTTGGCCTACAGCTGTGTCGGGGCCAGTTGTATTTGCGATCAAATGATAGCAAAGTGTAGGTTTTACTTCAATCGTGTTTCAACCTTCAAGGTAAAGTATTTAACTGATTTGTCGTCGTTTAAAGCAGAAGCGTCCCTAGTGTTTTATATAAAAACCGAAACTTATGCAACTGGAGGTATGGGGTTCTGGATGACCGGTATTGCCGGCCGCCGGAAGAGAACAAAGGACAGTGCCGAGTGCAGAGGAACAGGCTAACGCGAAGAAGCAAAAACGGGAGGCCCTTCGTCAAAGGTTGCAAGAAAGACGACTGATCGATGAAATGGTGATGAAATTCTGTCTTCTTGGGCATATTAAGGATCCATACAAGGAAACGTTGCGACAGGCCTTCAGAAACGATGGCGATTCGTGCTCAAGCTATGTTTGTAACGCTTTTTTCGGGACTGATGCATTTGCGGAGGGAGATATACCGCAACGCAATGCACATCGAAACAGTGATGTTTCCGGGAGAAGTTTTCAACATGACCTTTGTCAGCCAGTTGATGTTTGGCACCTGCGAAACATCGAGGAGAAATGAGACAGTCCATGCTCTCCGAAAAATTACGCAAGCTCCCGCTTCTACGGTGCGCGATACAGGGGTGACGCAGATACCTACGAATACAGGGCAATGAGGTTCCTCACGAATGTGAGGAACAATAAGATCGTATACCCAAATTTTTCATGACACGCGCCGTCTTTGCGCTGTACCCGGGCCTGTTTCGTGAAGGGATGTGGGCAGTCATCGACGGTGTGAAGGACGATCGCCAGCATGAACAGCAGATCGAATTCATCGACAAGGGGAAATCACGCTCTAGAAAAAATAGGGCTTCTGTAATTCGCGCGACTCATCAAAAGCATCGTTCGGTCTTGGGGCTTGTCAACCCAAGAGAAAAATTGTCAGATATGAGAAAAAACGAAGAGAGATGTTATCCCCTTATTCTCTCCTACTTCATGTTTTTGGACCGAGAACTCGAACGCAAGGCCGAAATGGAGCTGAGTACGGAAAAAATGAAGCGTTGGAGAGATGACATTCAATCGCTTCTCCAGATGCGCTTCATTGTCGTTCGCTTACGCGAGTCCAAGTCACATTTTGTTACTATTGACTCTAGAGTCCTCTCCGTCTTCATGAAGGAGATCAGTCCAGCGCTCGGTGTGAGCAACAAAGAAATCATCGGCGAAGACCGGGACTCCTACTGGCAGAATATCTTCGATTTCAAGCGTCCCAGACCGGCGAAAAAAAGGTATTCACGGGGACAATCGACAACGATGGGGTATACATATGTGTAGACTATCAGCGGTTGCAGGCAGTTCGTCCTATCCCGTGTACGTTATCGCACTTGCCGAAGCACGGAAACAAGAAGGCGGGCCACTGGATGTATAATCCCCACGAGAACGACTTTGTCGTCGGCCTTAACCCCTGGAACAAGAATATCATATCCATCGCTGTACCCAAGCGTGCGGAAGATTGCACCGACGGCAACATACGTCAGAAATATATGCTTCTTTTGAGGTTCTCGAGAGCGAGATACTATCGAGAATCCCGTATAACGAATGCGAGGAAAAATATCGAGACGTGGAATGCAGGAATGAGGGATCACCTGGAAGCTATGAGCGAGGTGACGAGCCAGGGCGCGGACTTTGAAGCTTTTCGGGAATTCATGGAAGTTCGCGTTGCTCATTGGGATGCGCTGTGGGAGGAGTATACCGAGCCTCGGTGAGCTCGTTTGCGAATGAATTTGTACTGTGGGAAGCAGCGTGCATTCGCGATCTTTTCCAATCACTTGAGCGCCTTGGAGGAGGACGAGAGTCTAAGGCTCGTAGTAGCTTTTGGGGCAGGGCGCTGGAAGACCCAAAAAGGAACTACGCCAGCTCCAACGACAAGAACATGCAGGGAGTGCGCACGGCGTTTCGTTACAATACCTGTAGATGAGTTCCGAGCGTCGTATACACACCATGAACTTGGTTGCACACTTCAGAGAGTGGAGATGGAAAAATGCCAACGGAGTCCTGAGGATATAGCACAGTACGGACCGCTGACGGAGGAGCAAATGGAAAGGAGGGCGAAAGTTCATGGACTCCTTGCATTAGTGAGTACAACTCCCAACGGCAAGAAACGTATGGAATGATCCGTGATCCATACCGAGCGCGCGCTTACGACTGGATCGCGATGCTCTGCATGCGACTGTCCATGCTGAGCACTGGTATTCATCAGCGTGCCGTTGGTACGGAGAATCTGCTTCCGCCTGATGCCACTGTGCTTTATGTGTGCAATCACAATTCGTACCTGGACATCTACACGGTGTCGTTTCTAGGCCGGTTTTTCAAGTTTGTCTCCAAAAGAAGCATTTTTGCGATCCCTAGTATCGGCTGGGCGGTGGGCATGGCTCGTCAAATCGGGATTGAGCGGGATAGTCGACGGGATCAACTGCGGGTCTTTCGAGAAATGGTTTCGCGACTGGAACGCGGGGTGTCGCTGTTGCTTTTTCCGGAGGGCACGCGCTCGAAAGACGGGATGCTCCGTGCTTTCAAACAGCGCCCGTTTCGGGTCGCAAAGCAAGCTGGGGTACCGATAGTTTCACTGACGATTACAGGCACGGCGGAAGTGATGCCGCCCTGGGCGCTGGCACCGCTGCGGAGGCCTAGACAGCGGATCACGCTAACCATTCATCCTGCGATCCAAACTGCGGATCACGCTAACCATTCATCCTGCGATCCAAACTGCGGATCATAGTGTGACAGACCTGATTGAGGCTGCGCGCACAGCGATAGCGAGTGCGTTACCTCCGGGACTCCGCCGCCGCTAAGCACGTGCTATGGCTATTTGGCGGCCTCTCGCGGATACGCTCACTAGAATTGTGCATGGATGTCCTCATTCTGGCAGAGGACTCGAGATGTTCGTTTAGCGGGTGAAACAGATAGGACCTGCGAACCTGCTGGTGATTTCGGGAGCATGCTGCCGAGGTTTCTTGTCGCTGCGACCTCGCACTGTGCCGCAGCAGGATTAAGGAAACTCACGTTCCCAATATGATCGCTGGTGCATTACGGGGAGCGTCGCCCGCTGAGGTGCAGTGCGCACGGGCGAGGCGTCACGCAGCGTTGTCGCTTTGCGAAGTATTCGTTTGGCGGCACACTTGCCTCGATGATGCGCGTGCAAACGCAGGGCATCGTAACAAGGGCTCACGACTTGGGCTCCAAATGTATGCACTGAAGGAAGATCCGTCTTATATATGGTTGCCTCAATACGGGAATGCACTCTATCTGCTCTGGCGAATGTTGCGCGTGGATGCATTCTTCGCTTTGTATGCACGAAACCTTTTCGGTACTCATTCGTTGCTTCGTGATTGTTGGGACGAAACTGAATCAAATGGACACCGCGCTGTTTCCTGGTCTCCTGCCCTACCTTTGCATGTCTGACGTTCAGCGCGTTATGCCAGTGCGTCCGACTGTCGATGCGACGCTGCACCAGCACTGACATTGCGATATGTGGTCGTTGCTAGTCGGCGCGACACGATTGTATTGACTAGACTTTACAAGGAATCACGTTCGCTCGCTGCCACAGCTTTTTGCTCGTTAATCGGTATTGCCTACGCCCATCGATCTCATGAGGCACGAAGAATCAGAGCTCTGGGCGCTGGGTATTGCCAGCCTCTCTATCTAGACTATATATTGAACAGAAGTTCGACTCGGGGCCTCCATGGCGAACAGTAGGAGCGCCGACTCTTGTACAAGAGCCCCCGTCTGCTTCTCATACGCCGGACAGGAGAGGAGCTATGCTGTGCGATATCCTCGGAAAGTCAGCAACGCGCTTCTAGAAGTATGCTGGACAATCAAGTGACCAAAAATACGACGTGACAGATAGGGCGTTCGTTACATACTGGACGTATCATGCAGAACGCTGATTCGCTGTCGCGACACGAGCGCTTGACGATTTTGCGAGCCCGGTGGAAAAACGCCATCTTTTGCACCTGCGCAAACAACTTCGGTTGGGTGCCCGCCTGCACATGTGACTGCGGTAAACTTGTCGTGGGCGTCCATGACACCTGTCTCTGCGTTCACGATGCCCCTCTACGAACGCGAAATTTTGGGTCCTCTTTTCTGTGGCAGCACCTTGTGCCGAAATACGGATTCGCCGCCGATCACTGCCTTGCCAGTCGACATTCGTCCCACCACACTCAAAGGACAGGAACGCAAACCGGGGTAGCATCTATCAGCTCCTCATACCTGACATTTTAGTCGAGTTCCTCCTGATCGTACACCGATAACAGAAGCACTTTTCGGGTTTACATCTAGACTGTGACGGATCCATGCCGCTGAAATGCCTCGACGCATAGTGCTCAGTGTAAGAGGGTAGAACGCGAATGCCACGCATGCGCGGACCTTTCCACAAGACCGGAGTAGGTGACGTGCCCCAAGGGCGCGGACTCTCAAATTTTGGGCGCGCTCGATACATAATGCTCCTTCCGTTGAGGCCTAACGCGCGCACCTTGCTACAGTGCGTTCGGCGAGGCAAGGCGTCTTGCAAGGAAAACGCGCTCTCGGGCGGATAGTGCCCAGCGCCCTTGTTGATTCCTCAATGCCACCAGATCGCGAATCCGCTGCCGTACTGGCAAGCGAATTCAAAGGAGTTTCTCCAGCAGCGCTGCAAAAAAGACATCGAAATCGACGATGGAGCCGACCTTCCGAATTTGTGTTGGATACTGGGTGCTGACAACAACGTCCGTGCGTTCGTGGTATCTTTTGCATCTGGAAGCAGACGCAGATCCGGACTGATGGACGGAAGTGGAGCACTCCCAAAATTTCCAAGACTTTTGTAATCTGACGTGCGCCCTTTAGGTGCCCGATATTGTTGAGGCCATCCTCTCGAATGCGGCTTTCCAATGATGGCCCTGTTCGGCAAAAGATTCAATCCATCCCGGCATTAACGTTGGTCTGCGTACGTAGAAGTCTTGCTCGATCAATAAAATGAGCTAGCATTGCCACCGCTGCCTCCTCTGCCGCCGTTTGCTGCAAGGCCTCCCCCGCCGCCCACGCCACCATTACCTCCGTTCCCCCCCTCAAATGCGTATCCACCATTGCCTCCAAAGCCACCGTTCGCAACTGCGCCACCGAACCCGCCAGGGCCACCAGTGCCTCCGAACCCGCCAAAATCACCCTCGCCTCCAACACCACCGTCAGCACCATTGCCAGAGGGTCCACCTACACCGCCATCACCGCCGGTGCCACCAAATGCGTAGCCATCTCCATACCCACCATTACCACCATATCCTCCATTGCTCGCATCACCTCCGTCACCTCCATTGCCACCAGTTCCGCCAAAGCCCGAATATGAAGCATTTCCACCGTCTCCTCCAAAGCCGCCGTTACCAACAAAGCTGCCAAATCCACCGTCCCCACCTGCACCTCCGGAACCACCGAAGAAGCCAGTGCCTCCATCGCCAGCATTTCCGCCATTGGCAGCGTTCCCGCCGCCACCGCCAAAACCACCATTACCTCCGACACCGCCAAAAGCACCATATCCACCCGCTCCTCCATAGTTACCATTACCTACAGCGCCACCAGCCCCGCCTGCGCCACCGGCACCACCAACGGCGGGCGGTGGCGTCGGCGTTGGCTTCGGCGGAGGCGGAGGCGGCGGCGGCAGACGTATACGTGCCTGGCTGCGGAACTTCAGTTCCGAGGCCGTTCCTCGCATGTATGCAGCAGGTGCCGGGGCTGCGCGACGGACAACCGCGGCCCGTACGACCGCTGAGTACCCAAACAGCAGAATTGCGACAATAATCACTGCTAGGCTACGCTTCATGACTGGTGTTGCTTACGGTTGCAGGTACTTGTGACTTGGGAACCAGACTTTCAGAGGGTTTCCTGCTCAGAGTGCAGTAACCGGTTACAACCCAAAGTCAAGTCAACTAATTTGTTTTCTTACGGGACGAATACGATGCCGTGCTCCCGCGAGCGCCAGCACGGAAATTCCGTGCGGTAACATTTGCGGGCACTGTTCTTTGCACCGACGTGTACCGACGCTGGAGTCTGCCTCGCGTTCGCGTCAGCATCACGCACACGATGTGATCGCATGTGTCGGCTGATCTGCAGCTCCGAGCGCGTACGCGCATAGAAGCAGGCAGCCGGCACGTGCGGTGCGATGCGATCGCACGCATCGACTGCGCGTGATCACGATCCCCGTGACAGCGCGCGCGCGCGCGCGGGGATCTAGCCCAGCGTATCGAGTCAATGGCGCGACGCCGCCTGCCTCGCGCAAGCCGCGATTGCGTCTTCGTGGTGCCGGGCAGGGGTGCGCATCCCGCCCTCCAGCGTGTGTGTGTGCGGTGCGCTCGCGCGATCGCGCTGTTCCTGGGTTGTTCGCTCGATACGCATCCGGGGATGTGATCGTCGCACGTGCGTTCACGGGCGATGTGGCGCAGACGCTGCCGCTGCGCTTGTGTGTAGCGGTCACCGTGGAGTACACTGCTCGCTTCGTGCCTGCATAAAGATTTTCTTTTACTTGAAAGATACAGAGTCACGACAAGACAAGTACGGCAACAGGGGCTTATAGATTCCACTGTAGTTTAAGGTTTTTTGGTTGTTTTTTGAGGGCGGCTCCTGTGACGAATTTTTCGGTTGAATCGGTTCCGTATTCGGAAAGGGGTCGCGTCGCAACGTTATCGAACAAGAGTTCGACACAGAACGCATGCCATGATGTAGTGTATACGCGCAAGCATACGCTCTTCTTAATTGCTTCTATGTTGCATGCCCAAAACATGTATTCTTCAAGTTTTCGATCTTTGTACGTCAAACGCAACTCGTGGCAGAGCGGCTCGCGCAGCTGGGTGGATAGTCACTGAACGAGTCGCTGCTCGATTCCCGCTCATAGTATTCGAATGCTTTTTTCGCAATGTATAGCGAGAGAACGAAACTTCGATGCAATGTACCGTATAGATCGTAGACGAATGGCCTATGGGATATATTCTTTACTGAACAGTGCAAGGAGGACTGCATTCATCTTTGAGGTCAGCTATATCACAGTGCTCTGATGGTTCAGAACAATGAAGGCAGGGCGTATATGCGCACCACGCCAAAACCCATTTTCGGAGAAACGCTTGCTGTCAATGGTAGACAACGATTCGTTGATCGCCTTACGGACAGCAAAAAGCGACGATAGTAACCGCCACGCTCGTCGCTGTTTCTCAGCAGCTTGTTCGAGTGGCCCCGAAAACACTGGGACACAATTGCCAGAAAAGTCCTTGTTTGCGTACCGCCATCTTCGACTGGAATCGCAACTACACCAATGTTCCCGGAAAGTGACGATCGATGTTAGCAAGGGGACGACTGTGTGTCTTTTCAGTAAATGAGACATGCTTCGGACGAGATGGTATGAGCGTATATCGGTATTCGTGGAGCAGTGAGCTCGTTGTGTGTACGATCGAACTCGAGGACAAGGGTCATAGAATAGCACCAACCACTTTGTCGAGTCATAGAAGACTTTTCTCTGACGTCCGGCGGCAAGCTTTTATGAGACAACGTGGCGTTTCACCGTTATCCTTCGTTTTCGATCTTTTGGCGATTCTGTCTGGATAGAGCTGGTTTTCATTCCTTAGAACACAGGGTGGTTCAACCCCATTGAAGGTGTGTTTTCTATCGTGCAACGGAATGATCGATCCACTGGGCGAATCAATGCGGCTTCCAGCACACGGATACAAACCGGTGGCACGTTTTGTCTTTCCTGCGCAGGTCCGACTCCCTCGGGGACTGTTCTCACCTAACCGCATAAAGCTTTGCGTTAATTTGAAAACATAAGGGATCAGCTGGGATGCACACTTCAGAAGGTCGAGATGGGCAGCAGGCTGCAGAGCGCATCGGCGGTAGAAAAGCACGAAGAGGTGACTGAGCAGCAAATCGAAAGAAGGGCGCGAGTTCGAGGGCCTGTTGCATTAGTAAGTACAAACAACGGGGGCAACAAACGTACGGAGTTTGTGAAGCGAGACTTGAATGCCGCTATCCATAGAAGGAAATGTGCGGTGCTGCAGACGAGACCTCCAGACTCGACAAGAATGAACTTTATTGGACAATCTCTCAAAGTGGAATTATTTGAGAGAAAGTTGGACGCAGTAGTAGGTGGCCGGTTGTGAAGGACTGTGGGGCTTCTGCGCGTCAGTTGGAGACGTTCTGACTAGGGCGGGTCACTCGCCACTACTGTACACCGTTGACGTCGTTCGACTTTCGAACGACGTTGATGATGCTCTTCGTGCCTGCTGCACGGCCGTTTCTTGGGCGCACCACGTTCAGGTGGTCTCCTCCTCCTCGAGTTCACACTCTAAAGCTAGATTCGAAAATCTCGGTGCTTTTAGGATCCAGTGCTCCGCGAATGCAACACGGTGGGGTGAACCGCGCAGCGAACCGCGAGACTGAGCGCAAGTTTCTGGTGCACGCTGACCAAGTTCGTCGGCTGTTGTGCACTTCGCAGGGCACACATCTCGCGCAAGGCTACCTGTGCAGTGAACCCGACCGCACCGTACGCGTCCGTGTTGCTGGCATGAGCGGCTTCTTGACGATCAAGGGACGCACCCACGGTTGCACGCGGGCCGAGTACGAGTACCCGATCCCAGTCGAGGACGCTCGAGAGTTGTTGAACACACTCTGTGTACAGCCACTTATCGAAAAAGTGCGCTATCGAATACCGGCAAAGGAAGCTGGCCTTGTTTGGGAGATCGATGAGTTCTTGGGTGATAATGCTCCTCTTATCCTCGCGGAGATCGAGCTGCCAACCCCCGAGACGGCGTTTGAGCGGCCGACCTGGTTGGCGGACGAGGTCACACTCGACGAACGATACTACAATTCCGCGCTGCAGAAGCGACCCTATCGTGTATGGGGTACCGAAACGGACGACTCGCGATGAGGCTGAGCAGCAGGCCCTGTCGTGCGGAACCTCATCAACGCCGCGTTAGACAACGTTCTGTTGTGTCCATACTGCAGTGTATAGACCGCGTCAGAAATGAGCATGCCCCAAGTAGATCGGGTCTGCCGGAGAAGCATACCATTGCCGCTCATTAAATGAGTCCAGGGTCTCGCAGAGGTCAAGCGCTGAATCACCCGACGCAGTCGGGTGCCTCGTCTCCGAGCGGATCGTAGGCACCGTCTCGCCCTTCCGATGACATCAGTGGATGAAGGCTCCGCGTTGCCCCATTGTTGCGGATATGGGTGTCGAGTGCACGAGCATCGACGGTTAGGAAACAAATTCGCGATCGCTTTTCGGGGTCGTAGACTGAGACATCGAGCCTGGATGGCTCTGCGGGGATGTTGCGCACCGCCGGGGCCCTCCATGCAGTCCTTTGAACCTGCAATTTCTTTAGGCGCGTCTCCGCGTTTGGAATACATCGAGCGTCGACTGCATCACTTTTGATGCCCAGTTCTGCGCCTGTGCTAGACGCGGCGGCGGGCTTGTGTCGCTGCTCTCGGGTTCAAACTACACGAATGATCTCTGGGACTTGTCGCGTACACATGATCGTATTCAATGGGGATCATGTGTTTGACACCTAAATGTACCTGGTGCACTTCTCCTGCAGTTCTTTCAACAACAAGCGCCCTGCATATCCATCCATCCATTCATCCATCCCAAGAGAGGATGTGCAGCGAACGAGGATATCGCATCCGGATCAGAGGCCCCGACGCATTGTCGACTCCTTCGTGCGCCCAGGGAATGCCCTGGATATACACAGTGAATGCTCCAGGAGGATTGAATGCAACCGAGCACATCAGTAAAACATACCTAAAAACCAATGCAATTCTCTGTGGACGTTATCGTCCATGCTCCATACACGGTCTTATCTTCCATTTCGAGTCTGCCAGCTTGTCTTGTTTGGCAGTTGCACATCGCACTTTACGACGACACCGGAACGCGTTCCCACAGGTCGTGCTGCGTCGAGCGCAACGCCTCGGTTTCAAGCAGCTAATAACGACGTTGGTTAAGGTCCACGGAGACAGGACACTGCCGCTTTGGGCTTCTGTGGACCACGGTTCGTACCTTGCTGGACTGACGCTCTCCGCTGACCCTATGTACCGAAGTTGAAGTCCTTAAAGACTACCACCGTGCCGTGTTCCGGGGGCCGATCGTTTTCGTGGCTGCTACAGCAGTCTGTGGCGGCATTCCTGCAGAGCGCAGTGCTGCGATCCTCCGAAAAAGCATGCGGCTTCACGCTAGGATTGCACCGCAGAACCTCGAACCTGGTTCGCTATTCTGCCTCGTGCTGGTACTCGACACGACAGGGAACGAGCCGACTGGCACGGCTCGCCAAGTTCCCGTCCCAGAACACGAGCTAGAGTTTCTGGCTTGTGCTGTGGCTGGCGCCTGGCGAAGCGATGCTCGCTGGACCAAGCCAGAGGCTCATCGGCGCCCTGCAACTGCCGCTGTAGTAACAGGGCAAGCAAAAGCGAACGGCGAACACGAACCGTCAACCGCTCCAGGTCTAGTTGAGGCGGAGCGGACCAAACGCTTCGCTACCACTTTCTGGGACTGGGAAGGCGAAGAGCTGGCCCCGGACCTCTTGGACGGACCAGAGGATGCGGTACCAGCGGAAGCGATGCCTTGGCTCGCTGCCCTCTGGGACCTGCTTGAAGCGAACGCTTACCCGGTGCGCTCGGCGCAGGGCAGTCAGCACTCTGAGCTTCCAGCGCATCACGGACTGGTGTTTGCGAGTCGAGCCTGTTGTGTCGCCAGGAAGCTTCGTCTGGAGCGTGACAAACTGTTGGCGTTCCTGGTGCGTGGATGCCTGCCGTCGATGATACCACCCTCGTTCGACGGCACTTATGTACGGTACGAGTATGGCGTCGCTGTGGTTGCCCAGCGAACTGGCTCTGCGCCAGTAAAGCTCCACCTGCGGTTCCGCATTCATCCTCCGATTAGCTCTCGAATGGCAAAGGTACCGGTACTCTCCGCGCCGGATGCTATGTCTGCTGCTACTGCTGCTGCTGCTGCTGCTCCCGTGGCGGCGCTACGTGATCACGAACGCGATGCGTCGCGAGCCGACGGGATGCCTCCACTACAGGATCCAAACGAGGTCCTGCGCGTACGCTTGGATGCAGTGTCGCGCGCTGCAGTTACGAGACCGGATAGGATGATGGCAGAAGTGATCAGACCGGCCTCTGCAGCGGGGGCTCGTGCCGCGGGGAGCTCCACGGGCTCGGCATCGCCACCACCGTTACCGCAGATGTCGCCTACCTGGTCGGAGCGCCGTATCTCCTCGCCGTCGCTCCTGACATTGTCGGCATCTGTGCCACGCTCGCCTGCTATGCCCGAGTTCCTGCCGTCGGCGTCGGCGTCGGCGTCGGCGTCGCTGGAACAAGTCTCTACACGAGGCGAGCCGCCACAGGAGCACGCAGCGGGAAATGCCGATGCGCCGCTCCGCATGGAGCTGAAGGCTTTCCAGGTGGCTTTGGAGATCTCCAACAACCTTGAATTTATCCTGTCCGCGACCTCAAACAGTCGACTGACAGCCTACCCGGTAACGACGCCGAGCGAATGGGACGACTCGACAATACTGGACACGTTGCCGGGGAAAAGCGGAATCGCAAGTCGATCGCATGCGGCTGACGGCACGAACTCGGGTACATCACCGGTTGTGGATGGTACGACGCAAGCCAGTGGTCTACGGAGCGGGAGCGTCTCGCCTACGACAGCACCGCTGGACCAACTCGAATCTGTATGGATGCCTTTTATAGCACGCGTCGAGGCGACCGGGCTGGGTCGGATCGCCACGGTACACTTACAGCGCCGTGGATTCGTGCTCGGAGAGCTGGTGCCTGTGTCTATTGACTTGAGCGTGGCGACTTCAAGCTGTGTTTACATTCGAGGAACGCTGGACGCACTGGAAATCCTGCATCCTGAATGTGCAAATGATTTCTCGAAAAGCAGCCTCGAAAAATGCGCACGAGTGCCTCCTAAGAGGCGCAAGCGTGCGACCCTGTGCCATCGGCGGAGGTACGCAGAGCGCGCCGAGCCTTGTGCAGGCCTTTGTAGGTGGCACTGGACGCCACGGATTCCGTCTGAGGAAGATACTCCGGTTAGTTTTGCGACTCGCGTTGTGCAGGTGCGATGGACTCTGAGCATCCACTTCCTGGTACGAGTGTCAGATACCGGGCAAAGAGCCTCTGAGGACGACTCAAACCAGGGCCGCAACCCGCTGCGTTTGGTGACGCTACCGATCCCGTTGCAGGTCGGGGGGTATCTTCCCGCGAACACGGCATTGCCCTCTGCTGGTAGCTTGAGCGTGAATACTGTTTCATTGGCTTCCGAGGTTGCTCTGTAAGCTCTTAACGTGTTTCTCGATGCGCTTTGCGATAGCTCGCTGGTAGTTTCAGCGTGACTTGCATTGTGTTGGCTACTGCGATCACACCGTAATCGTCTGCGGCGAGTATGGATGCGCTTCACGCCGACCGGGATGCAGCTTGGGTCCAAGGAGCAGTGCCTTTGGTCCTGGAGCTGGATACGCAGGCGTCCAAGCAGCGCCTACGGTCACGAAAAGATCGGCATGCTTTGCCTTGCATCGTAAACGTTTACGGAACTTGTTGTGAATGCATCGGTGCTGTGTTTTTACGTGAAGCTTGGGTTTTCCGGAGTGATGGCACATGAGTACGTTTGAAAGCGCTCTGGTTTGCACCACGCTCCATGTCTGCGCTGCGGACTCTAGCGTGCGCAGCTGGGCTCTCGGGGAAGTGAAAAAGGCGCAGACCCGGCGCATATGGATGCAGGAGTTACTCACATGAACCATTTAAAGTCGTTATACGCTGCACGCTTTACATGATCTGTACGCAAAAACTCGGCTGTGTTTTCTGTATCATTGGCTGCAGAGCCTCAGGCCAACGTGCGTAAAGGCGACAGATACCGTTCTATCTCTGTCTGGGAACAGCCACGACGCATCCAGGGTCGACAAGACCACCTGGGATTACCGCCGCCCCGAAACGTCTGTGGCACAATGCCCTGTGTGCGACAGCAACTCTCGCGTAACGCCGGTGTGGTCGAACGCAGATGCATCTGGAAAGAGTCTGCAGTCACTTGCCTGGTTGCGGATGATAACTATATATCCGGTGCAATCTGGATTGTCTCATGGATCTCACACAGAGACTAGTGCTTGAGAAAGTTCGTCCAGCCGGACGAAGCACTTGGCGCGCCATCCACCAGCATTGATGTCGTTTTGCGAGTACCGACACTTCCAGACCCATGAAACAGACTGCATACGTTTACAGATTCGCTCACAGGAGCGCACGGAAGGCAACGAACGTCAAGGAATGACGCTCCCAAGAATTCCGAAAGAATCGGTCTCTCCCGGTTGGCGACGAGGGCCAGCTAGAGTCATCCATTTTCTTTCTTTTGGACAGGAGCAATGAGCCAACTAGAGCGTTTCTGGATACGCGAATGTAGCCAAATGTCAGAGCCTCCGCTTGGCCCTCGCGGCGAACGATGCGATATGTCGCCATCTCTGACAGCACAGCGGTGCCTGCGGAACCGGAGGCATCGGCTGCTGAAACCGTGCACGCCACCCCGTACCCAGTCATACATTCCTGCAGCACGAAGTTCGCTCCCCGAGACGTTTGACAGACACTGGACGGCTTGGTGATGGCCCGGCGGGCGTCTGCTCGATGCAGCATGACTGGAGCCAGGAACGCGCGCCACGAACCCTGCGTCCCGCGAGCCCTCGTACGTCCATATTATTTAATGCCGGACCAACAACGAGTATCAGTAGTTGCTGTGACGTTCAATATGGATGCCAGTTGCCAGTAAAAGTCTAGTTAGCACTTGTAATCTAGTGAGGATGCTGCTTTGAAGGCGTCAGGGGCTCGTCTGCTTCTGGTGCAGCAGCTGCTGCTGCTGCCGATACCAACGAATCGAAAGCGCCGCTGCGCAGATGATCCGCGGCGCACGCACGCACGCACGCATGCTGCCCCATTTCCCGCGCTGCCGAAGAGCGATCGCGCGCACGCCCCCCGTACGGATGCACAAAAGGCGCAGCGACACCTCGGATGCATGACACCGCGTTCCCGCGAAAGCACGCATCTGCGTGTGCTTGGGTGCTGGTGCGTGCACTGCTGAACGCGTTGGTACGTACCCCTCACGGAGCGCTTTTGGCACTGTACAGATGCGACGTCGTGCTACCGAGGCAGCACCCGAGGATGCGTTGCTACCCAGAGAAGCAGCCGAGGCGCTCTCGTGCACGACCTCCGAAATTGTGCGAGGTCTGAGGGTTCTCGTCCAGGTACAGGCTGCGAACTCGCGCGACGCCGGCGCGACCGCCACTGGTGCTGGCAGCAACGAGAGTTTGCCGGCTTTGGGGACTGCACCACCTGGCAGCTGGGACGCTTCGGGCGTTCCGGTGGAACACGCGAGCCCGTGTCTGTTAATAACCCAGGCCGGGAGCCAGGACGTGGATCTGGGAGCGCTCTCGAGCCTGGTCCAAGACCTGCTCGCGTTCCTCGGTGAATGGGATGAGTTTCTAAATCCCTCCTACGGTGGTGAGGTCGATACCGATGGAGCGCCGCCCGTTCCAACGCTGGACTGGTACGTCGACGCTGACGGGGTGGTGGCGGAGGCCGGTCTGGCGCCGCTGGCTGCGCGCCGCGGCCTTCTTCGTACTGGTGTGCTGGGCGTCGCCCTTGAGAGCTTTGCGTATCTACCGCCACCGACGCGAAGCTTCCCAGACATGGACATGACAAGTTCAGCCGCAGCTGCGTGTCATGCGCGTCTGGAAGCTCTGATGCATCTGCTCAGGAGCTTCATGAAACTTATTGTTGCAGTCATCCTGCCTCCGCCAGCATCGCTTATACGCCAGATCGCGAACGTACTCCAGCAAACACCGCAACAGCGACCGAGCCGAGCCTCGGAGACGGATTTCGCCGACGCGTCCATACCGAATTCGTCGCCTCTTGTGGTAGCAGCGCTTGCTTTTCGTGAAGCGCTCGATGAGATCCACGCAGCAGTGCTGCAGCTTGGAGCGCTTCTGGTGCGCCACCGCACGCATCAACGAAGTGCCGGCGAAGATGCTCCCTTCTCTGCGCTGGACTGGATCGCGGATATGTTCGTTAGTGCCGTTCGTGCGTTGCCGGCCACGTGGTCCGATGTGGAGCTCTGCCTGCTCCTCTTCTCGGCATTTATCCGCGAACCAGCATGCCTTGATCGGCCGACGCCTTGGTCGAAAAAGCACATTCCCGCGGCTTTCGATCGGGAAGCTCGACTGGCAACGCATCGGGAAGCGCAGTCGATCGCCCAGGAACTGCTTCTGCAGCTGATGTGTCCCGAGGAGCTCGATCTTTTCCGCCTTATTCATGCGGTTGTCATGCAGGCGCCGCACCTGGAAAGTGCAACGGCCACGACTACGTGCAGCATGACGGATTCTGTGATGAATGCTGCAGTCGAGATTTACCATGCGGCATGGGTGCGTTTCTTTCCAGTAGAACATTTTGCTGAGCATGTTTTCACGGAGTGCGGTACGCCAGTTGATCATGCGCGTAAGGCCTTCCTTGATGGCTGGCAACCACTGCAGGCGAGGCTCGATCGTGAACGTGACCAGAGGGCGAACAGACACGGCTTAATGCGCACCGCTCGCTGGGCGGCACAGCGTCCTAGTACCTGGATTGTCGTTCCAAAATGCTCCCCTTCAGACGGTATTCGCGGCACTGGCACGAGTCGGAAGCGCGTCGCGCTCGACCCCGATGACCTCTGGTCTGAACTGCAGCAAGACGCACCCTGTTTCCAGCAGGCGCTGAGGCGATGCGGTCGAGCAGGCGACTGGCACGGCGAGCGAGCGCGCCGCAGCGACCTGGGGACGCTGCAGCCCGAGAACGCCTCCGTCTTTTACAACCCTTCGAAGCGAGTAGGAACGTTACCGCCAAGCTGGACCCGCCTCGCCGCCCTGTCGGCAACGGAAACCGAACCCGGACTCGGCCCGCTGGTGAGGCACGCGGGCACCACCGTCGACAGCAGCCCGCAGGCGGCTGCCGCGTGGGCGCTGTGGGTCCGCCAAGCCGGACTCGCGCTCTACGAGTTAGGGCAGTATGGGCTGCGTCAGCTCGTGCGAGCTGTGCGCAACCCAAGTGCAGCGCCCTGGTCAGAGTTACCAGCTTTTCTTGAACTCGCGTCTGCGATCATGCAGTTTCACTTTTGGGAACAGGCCGCGCAGGTCGCTGAGCCAACCTGGTGCGCCCGAAGCCGCGCAGTCTTGCTGCTGCTGGAGGCGCACGGATATGGCCGTGTGCCGGACGACCTCAGTGCATGGCCGTCTTTGTGCCTGTCCGAGATGGTCCACGACAGCGATATCGCTGACAAGTTGCATCACGAATTAACCCAGCGTTTCTATCGGGATCAGAGGCCGACTTTGCCAGAAGCGAGCACCGGTGAGCGGTTTACTCAGCATGCACCGCCCAACAGCAAATGGAAACAGGCATTGATGGACGCTTTGCTGGGCGATGTGCCACTTCAAGCTGCTCTCCAGATTCTCTGTGCCTGCATTCGCGTGCACTCGGGGGGATGTCGGCGACGCTCGGCGGCAGCAGAGGAGCACCAGGATGCCTGGGAGCAGGACAGCTTCGGTACCGAGTCCGAGCCTCCTGTTCTGGCGGTAGCCTACCTGGTGCCGCCCGAGACCATCATGCGATTCGTGTTCCTTCAATGGCGGGCGCTACTCGCTGAAGTGGACGGCCTACGCCGTCTCGCTGCTTTCTGCTGTGCCAATCGCACCGCAGTATGCACCGTGGCGCGCGCGATCCCGCGCTTGGATGGGCGTCGGTGCTCGCGCCTGTACCTGGATCGAGCGTTCAGTCTGTTGTGGCTTTTCGCATTCGTCGGTAAGTGTGTGCTGCCTCGGCCGCATCACGATTTGGACGCATGTACACCTGCAGAGAATCACGAGTTCGCGCGGTGCATCTACGGATTGCCACGACTAGGGCACTGCCTTTTGCTACCGCTCTACGAGGTGCTGGTGCAGACTTGGCCGGCGCCGTTGTATCAAACCAGCGGCTGGCTGCGCGCGCTGGACCTCTTGGCTCAGTGCTGGACCGCTGCAGCTGCTTTTGGCGACGCTGAGCCCGCTACTGCAGCAGTTTCATCGCATATGTTCAGTTGGCATGCGCTGCTCGTCTGTAGCGCAGCATTCGAGAGGCGCGCCGACCACCAGCGATCCCAGAGCGGTTTGCGCCTGTCCGCGTGCCGGGATGCAGCGTCGGCGCTCGACGATATGGTGCAGCTGAGCAGGACGCTTGCCTCTGCTTGGCGCAAACGGCTGGCTGAGCGCCCGTTGCTCCTTATCGAGGCGCTGATTGGTCGTTGTAAGGGTCGCCCAGCCGCGGTCTCGGAGGCGAGGGAATCATTAGCAATGCATCGAGCGCCGCCCCGAAGCAGTGCGTCTCCAGACCGACACTTGACCGTACCGTCGACTGCTGGACAGTCGCTTGGCCAACCACCGACCGGTACCGTAGCGGACGAGCGAACGCAGCCAACCTCATGGTTTGCGTCCTCGCCGTCATCATCTTCATCGTCGTCGTCGCCTCTGATGTTGACGACACCCCCCGCCCCGAAAGACGCTCGTGGCGTGGATGCCCTTGCAGCGCCGACCGCACGTGCGCCCGCCAATGGGCTCGCCGCTCGCATGCGCGATCGTCGAGGTATGCGCCCCAGCCGCCCAGTGCTGCTATCAGATGCGACCGAGAGCACTGTCGACGCCTGTACGACGCAGATCAGGAGCAGCGAATTCGCGCCCTGTGCCGATTCAGCTTGAATGACATCATGTCTGAAGCTGGCCGGCGTTCAGTGCGCTTTCTCTGGAACATCTGTGTACGTGCCGCTTCACCGCACAGTGACGTAGCGCGTCCGATTCACCCAGCGCATCAACTGCGTGTTGCGTCGCGCGTCACGCGCTGCATCGATTGACGCTCACTGCTGCTCGGCTACAAACGAGCGAACACCCGCATCGTGCGATCAAGTCAGAGTTTATCCGATCGTTCCTATCGATTGGGTCAACAACGGGCGTGCCACGCGAGGTGGCGTCGCGCACCTCTACCGCCGTAGCGCGCTACCTGGTGCTACTTCTCAAGCGGCACCCGCGACGCGGACGCCGTCTGCGTTCGCTGCTGCTGCAGCAGCTGCTGCTGCCGTCGCCGACGTCGACGTTCCGTTGCTTGCCGACGGCGAGCAATGGAAGAACTCATCGTGCAAGGCGCGCACTGCAGTGATAGCTTCGTCGTTGTGGACTACCAAGCTAATATTGAATTTGGAAGCTCCCTGGGATATCATTTGTACCTCGATGTTCTGCTCGTGGAGCACTTTCATCGCTCTGGCCAGAATTTCGCTACTCCGCCGAACGTTGCTGATGATGCTAATGATGGCGCGTCCGGAGCTGAAGCTCACCTGTGCGATCTGTTGCAGTTCCTTAATGATGCGCTGCTGCCGCGTCATATCGCAGGCGTTTGCGTCCAGTGTCAGCGATAGGCTCACTTCCGATGTAGCGATAACGTCCACGCTTAACTGGTGGGTCGCGAAGCACGCGAACACCCGCGCCAGAAAACCGTATGCACCGACCATACGCGTGGATACAATATCCACCAACTGGACTCCGCGTTTCACGCTGAGCGCTGTGACAGGGCGATCCATGGTCGCGGACTCCCGTCGAAGAATCACAGTGCCCGGTGCTTCCGGATTGTACGAGTTCTTCACGCGCACCGGTATATTGAAGCGCAACGCCGGTTGCATCGCCACCGGATGCAGAACCTTGGCGCCAAAGTAAGCGAGCTCGGCGGCTTCTTCGAAAGACATTTCAGCCACGGGTATCGCATTCGGCACTAGACGCGGATCCGTTGTCATGATACCGTCGACGTCCTTCCAGACTTGGACTTCGGTGGCGCCCAGCGCTGCACCCAGCGTGGTGGCAGTCAAGTCGGAGCCTCCGCGCCCCAGAGTGGTAACGTGACCCTCATTGTCCTTCGCAATAAAACCGGTGATCACCGCTAGGGTCTGGTTGCTTACAACCCGCTCGAAAAAGCTTCGGATAAGGTCGTAGGTCTCTTCGAGGATCTCCGCATTCTGAAAATTCGAGTCCGTTCGAAAGCCGACGTCAAACGCATCGAAGGCGCGTGCAGGTAGTCCTTCATTGTACAGCAGATGCGCTGCGAAAATGCGAACCGAAAGCCGCTCGCCAAACGAGACCAGGTAGTCTCGGGTTCGCGGCGAGAGCTCCCGAATGAACTTGACACCCATGAGCAGCTGGTCCAGTTGCATGAGCAGGGGGTCCACGAGCGCCTCCCGGTCCAGGCCGAGAGCATCACAGACCGCGTAGGCGCGGTTTCGGACCACTGTCGAGTCAACGATACCTTCGTAAAGTGCGGCGTCTCCGGCGGCAATGAGGTCGTTTGTGGTCGAGCCCATCGCCGACAGCACCACCACTGGGTACTGGCGGGACAGCTCAATCTGACGCCGCACAAGTCGCGCTACCTCACGCATACGTTCCGCGTCGGCGACAGAAGAGCCACCAAACTTGCACACGACACGGTCATAGACCTTGCCGGGAGCGCCTGTCGGAGTCGCTTCCTGCTGAAACTGGGTTCCGGAAACGGCCTGGGCGTTGCCCGAGTCGCTTCGCTCAGCCACTATGTCTAGTGGGGCAGTGCGCTTCGTACGACGGCGCGATAGCGCAACAACTCGTTGGCGATGGAGTTCCTGTCGATGAAAGCTTGGCACCAGACAACTTGCATCGTGCTGTGGGCCTGCTGTTTGCCGGGGAAAGCGACGCCTTGCGAGCCAGACGCAAGGCGCTCGCCGCAGCTCGTGCGCGCACGAAGCACGCGTCAACCCATTTCGGTTACTGGTCAAACCGGGCGCCAGGATAAAACACGGCTGTGCGGCTGGTTGTAAAGCGGAGTGCATATGACCTTGTCGTCGAGAGGAAAAGAAACACGACCTCCTAGTGCGCTGTGCTGGCACGCTGCGACGAACGTTCCTGCTGGAGCAACCGCCTGCGGTATGCAATGCATCCATCGCCGGCGCTTCGAGCGCGTGTCCGCCGCGCTACGAACGCATGACAACCGTCGTTTTTGGGTTTCTGGTTTTGATCGCCGTAGCGACCGTTTTATCTATGTATTTCTCTTTCTGATGACAGTCGACATAGCGACCATTTTGTCTCTTTTACCTCTTTTTGATGGCGATGGCGCCTGCGGTGCAAGCATCGCCATGCGTGCGCGAAAGGCGCGCTCCTGTTGGACGCGTTCCGGCGCCTGCCTGGCACCACCGAGCGACGTTCCCGGCTGCGATTCTCGACGGGACCCAGAAATCAGCACCCTGCGGCGTCCATTCAGGCTATGGTTTGCTCCCGGATAAAGCATAGTATCCATGGTGTGACCAGCGGTTCACAGGCGTGCATTGCGCGTGCTCCATGCGTCTCTGTGCATCGTATGCGGTGAAGTCCCGCTGCGCAGCAGTTGCGTCAGGCGGCAGTGCGAAGCCGTTCCCGGGGGCGTTCTCGGCGCGTACCGCCACGATGCTCCAGTTGTGCGGATCCAGAGTGTCATGCCGGAATCCTCTGGATACGTGCGTGCTGGCGGCTATCAAGCAGGCGACAGCATTCTTTGGTAGCAGACGTCATATCGTTCCAGGGCCCGCAGACCGTGCTCCGGTCTAGAATAGAGGCCGGATCTAATTACCACGTTCTGTGAGCAGCCCGTTACCCGCTCCATGTACGTCGCTCGACGCTAGCGCCGCTTCACCCCAGTATTTCCTAAAAGCAGTCTGGCGTCCGAAGACAAGCCCGGGTCGTGCAATTTCGAATTCGGAGATATCGAGTTTCATCCTGGCTGTTTCTCTAAACGCTCCCATTGATGACACAGTCCGGAATCGCTGGTTAGGTTCAACGAACCTTCAAAGAGCAAAACGGAGATACGCTCTGCCTGCATAGCCGTCAATAGACGGCGGCCTCAGCGGGACGCGTGCCCTTCGCTGCACATCGTTCACAGCACGCTGCAGGCAGTGCATCTCATCCTTGACGAAGGGTTTGCTTGGGGCTTGTGCAAAGAGGGCGGCTTCCAGAGACGAACGAGGTCTCGAGGCTGGTTGCCGACGACAACCACGCATCCACTAGCCTCTAACTAGACGAATTGCTCTTGGAATTTTCGAAGAATTGGTCACTTGCTACACCTACGGACGGCGTGAGCGGTTTGCGAGAGCCCAGAGACGCCGCCAGTGCTCTCGCCTTGCTGAACCGTTTTCTTTTTTGAAGAATCGAGCGCATGGCATCTGCCGGACTTACCCTGGTGGACTGGAAGCGAACTTGTGAAGATGCCTTGCACCGTTTGCGAGCAGATGTGCTCGCTTCGTTGTGGAAAGTGCGCCCAGCGTTCGCGCGGGTGACGGCAGCTGGCCCCAGCGTACGCCGCCCCGCCGTACGCAGGCTCCTGGCGCTCGGTGACGTTCACGGTGACTTGGCTTCGTTGCGAAAGTGTTTATCGCTGGCGAATGTGATCAATGAAAATGGTGAGTGGATCGGTGGGGATGCCGTCGTGGTGCAAGTCGGCGACGTCTTCGATCGTGGCGACGCTGAGCGGGCAGTCTTGCACTTTCTCGACACCCTCGACAGGCAAGCGCGTGAGCGTGGCGGCGCCGTCTATCGACTGCTCGGAAATCACGAGGTCATGAATGTAGACCTGGACTTTCGATACGTGACGCCTGGTGGTTTTGCCGAGTTCCGTCGGCGGGACTGGGAGCTCGCCGGTCGCGCCCTCGAGAAGGCCTACCGAGAGTTGCCGCCGGTGCTGCGTCAGCGCGTCAAGGCGCTACCCCGAGAGCAGCGTGCCCGCGCGATGGCGCTTGCTCCGGGGTGCCCAACCGCCCGACTTTTGGCGGAACGCGGACAGCTCGTGCTGATCATTGGCGACACGTTGTTTGTGCACGGTGGCCTGCGTCCGGATCACGTGGCGTATGGCCTCGAGCGGCTCAACGCCGAGACTCGTGCCTGGATGGAGCGACGTGCGGCAGCGGCATGGTCGACACGGCTGCCGATGAATCCCTGGAAGGCCACGATACCGCGCATCACCGAAAGTGTCCCCAGAGTCGGGGTTGCGCGCTTTGGCTCCACAGCAGCAGCAGCAGCAGCAGCAGCAGACGTCTCATCTAAGCCAGAGTTCCTGAAGGGCTCGCGCTCCCCGGTATGGATGCGAACATACTCGGCGCCGCATTTGCGTTCTGACTCGGACGCTTGTCGCGAGCTCGAGGAGACGTTGCGCCGCGCTGGTGTACGACGCATGGTTGTAGGCCATACACCGCAAGTCGTCATCAATGGAGCGTGTCGGGGTCGCGTGTGGCGTGTCGACACGGGCATGAGTGCCGCGTATGGTGGCGCTTGCGAGGTGCTTGAAATCAGCGAAACGCACGGTATTCGGATATTTACAGACCACGGCGTGGTGCGCGGCGAGCGTCGGCTTCTTCCTTGACTGGTATCGCGAGCGTAGCGTTCCACCAACAGCTGCGTTGTATTCGAGGCAACCGGATGCGTATGCGAACGTCTAGCGCTTCGGGACTCTATGCGATATGAGGCAGGGTGCACGATACGGCAAGTTGGCGACCGCAGCGTGTCGAAAGCGTCGCTTCTACGCTCGACAGGAAGACTGAACCGGTGGATGTGGGTTTTGTTGAAGCGTCTTCAAAGGGCACGAGGCCTCGTGCTTGATCATTGAACGAGAACGCGCTGCATGGGGAGCCTCTTGGATGCACCGATGGAGCACCATCAAGCATTGTCCTTCGCCTCGCCTAGCCTAGCCACGATACGATGCGATACGATACTAATGTACGTCGCAGGCCGGCACTGCACAGTTGGCCGATGCAAACAAGGCGGCACTGAGGAGCGTCGCACACGCGTCGCCCGTACGCGACTCCAGTTGGGATGCGCGTGTGTGCGACGCTCCTCAGTGCCGTCGATACTACTTGAAACATTTCCAGACTTTTAGGTTTGAAAACGAACGGATTTACGGATACCGCCTTGGACTCGGTTTGATGGCGAATCCCACGTATCCAGGGCGTTGGCGTCAACAGCTGGCGCAGCATGCACTGGAAACCAGGTATGCCTGGTCGCATATTTCCAACAAGAATCGCATTGGGCGGATCAGGGACTAGTTATCGGGGTGCTAGCCAGCGCAGCACGACAGCTTCTGGACATCACGCGTGAATGACTGGGCAACCAGCTTGACTGCCTCGCTCGCGGTGAGGTATGGTATCAACAGCTCCGCCAGATCCGGGACAGTTAGACCACCGCGCATGGCAACCGCGACGGTGGCAATCATGTCGCTGGCTTCCGATGCCACCGCCTGAGCCCCCAGGATACGCTTGCTCGTTATATCCGCGACGACTTTCAAAAATCCGTACTTTTCGCCGTGCACGATGCTCCGTGGCACATTCGTGACCGGGAGCGTGCGCACCTGCGTCTGGAGACCAAGCGCATGTGCCTCCGCCTCTGTGAGACCCACAGCCGCCACCTGTGGATCCGTAAAGATCACCCAAGGCACCAGCGACAAATCCAGTTTGGCGTCACCGCCGGTCATCTGGATTGCGGCACGGGTACCAGCTGCAGCCGCCACATACACCAGCTGCGGCATGTTCGTACAGTCACCTGCTGCGTATATGTTTGGTACATTCGTCTGCATCCTATCGTTGACTGGGACAGTGCCCGAGGCCGCATCCCAGTGCACACCAGCTGCATCGAGCTGCAGTGCGGCAGTGTTCGGACGTCTCCCACACGCAACCAGCAAAGCGTCTACCTCCACGCTCGTTTCCTGCGAGTCCAGCGTCATCGTGAACAGGCCGTCCCGATACCGGACCCGCTCGACCCGAGTATGGCAGCGGATCTCAATGCGTCCGTCACTTACCAGAGCCGCACCCAGTGTATCGCCAACGAGCGGGTCAGTTCGCGTGCATAGTCCATGGCGAGCGAGGATCCAGACGCGACTACCCAGACGTGCGTAAGCCTGGGCCAGTTCGAGCGCTACAGCAGACGACCCGATGACCGCGAGTCTCCGCGGTATCTGGTCGCTCGCCAGTGCTTCCGTTGACGTCCAGAAAGGGACCTCTGCGAGTCCGTCAATCGGCGGTATGCAGGGTGCAGCACCCACAGCAATCAGACAACGATCAAAGCGCAGCAGGGTGTCGACACGACTGCCGTCATCTGCAGTGGTTCGTACCCAGACGCTCTGAGGATCGTGAAAACGCGCCTCTCCGTGCCAAGTTGTGATTCGGGGGTTCTCACCGAGCACCCGCTCATACTTTTGATAGCGAAGCTGTTCTACGAGCGCTTGTCGAGCGGTACGCAGTTTAGGGGCGTCGAGCATACCGGGACAGGGACAACCGTTCACTGCGTTGGACACGGTTTGGTGCTTGTGCAGTTCGCACCAGTGCTCCAGTTGACCGCATCGGACGAGGTGTTTTGACGGGATGCAGCCCACGTTCACACACGTGCCGCCTATGGTACCTCGCTCTACCACGTGCACTTGAGCACCCCGCTCTGCAGCGGTTATCGCTGCTGCCATGGCTGCTCCCCCGCTGCCCAGAATGACGATCTGCGTTGTGTCGATTGCTGTTGCGGAGCAGCATGTCGAAGCCATTTTTCGTGGATCGCGCGCCTCTTGCGGTTTGCACGGAGCGGAGCGGCGGGTCCAGTGAGCAGTTTCGAGGTCAGAAGACAACCACAGCAGAACGACTCGCGTACCGTTGTTGCAACCAGTACTCGTACGCTTGTGGGAGAGAAGGATCTGCCGAACAACGTCTTGCCAAACGTATTGAGAATGGTGTTGCTTGCGCGGTACTAAAACCTGGAACCTTACTCGCTTCTCGACTCGTGTCAGATTACAATGGAACAGTGCACTGTTGGATCCTTTCCGGTCTTGCGATTTCTTACGGCGTTTTTCTAGATATGCAGCCTCGAACGAACAAGTACAGCTGGATGGGTTTGGGGCTTCATGCGTAGCTTCAGGTTTCTTGATCGTTTTTGTTTCGGAATACCGCATGCGACGCGCTGCCGCTGAAGTTATGGACGTTACCGGAATCAAGATGCATCGCGACGCGCTCGACTCGAGGTTCGTAAATGAAGCGTTATCACTTTCCAGTTCATACGTTCAAGGTTACGCACGTTACCGCTTTGCATTAGTGTAGCATGCGCAAATCAGGCTTTCTTCAGCGATTGCATCTTCCAGTTTCTGGGCTGCTCATGGCCACAGCAACTCGCAAAGTTAGACTGACGACGAAAGATGCTCGATGTTGTCCATGGACGACTTGTGAACGAGCTCGTTTCTGAACATCAATGAGTATGGCACGCCAAATCATCGATTGTATTTGAAAAACAAGTGCTCTTCGCTCGGCGCCTATCAACGGAATCCAAGTCTACTTCAGTATCATTCTTGATAGGGGATATGCTTCCAGGACTCTTGGCTATTCTTCTGGCACAGACAAGGGTCCCGGAATTGCACTGGAGTCATTGCAGAGATCGATTCCAGTCAATCGTGGGTCACTGCTTTGGGTAAAGCTAGCGTATACGGATCGAGATTTCTCCGCTATATATTCAGAGCGGATTCTCCTTACAGAACGTTTTTGACTGTGCACATCATCGCGTTACACCACTCGTCCATGAAAAGGCAAAGCGTGAGCTTGGCCAAGCGGCAGACAACGTACGCGCTGCGGGAGTCACCCAGAAGAAGCCCGTGATTCTAGCGCACGGTGCTTGGCGTCGAAACGGAAAGGGATATTGAAAAAATCGTCTTCACTCGCCAAGAGGCATGTACCTAGGGATGCAGCAAGCGTCCCACTCGACAGGGCAGCATGCAGAGGAGTCGAAGGTGTTGTAGATATGTGCGAACAACTGATGATCTTCAAGTTTCACCGCTGCGACGGGCGTATCAAGGCTGTACATAAACGTAGACTGAAAATGGCGAGCGAAATGAGGATTGCAACATCCTCCAATCCACCAGAAGCGTGGACTACAGCCGGAAGATGCGAAATCCGGAGGTTCACGGTGACATCAAGCTCGTTCGACCGGTAAAACAATGGAGCTGCATGGATAGGAGAGATAGGCGACTCGAAAGCCGGAGATATGAAAGGCAAAAGGAGGTAGCTGCAGCACCAGCTCGCAAAAGCTGCTTTTGATGACAATGGAAAGAGACCCAACAAATTAGAATTTCCCAATGACCCAAAGGACTCGTTCCATTATCGTCTGATATGGATGCCGAAACAGTATTCGGGGTACATGCGGATGCAATTGCATGAATCGCTGCATTCCAGATACATCAAGTGAAAAGGTGTTTCGATGCCGGGAACACTGCACACGCAGCGCACTTTATCGCTCTGGGAGCGTCCATGAGCGCGTGCACACCAAGTCGCCGGCGCTTTCTTTCGTCGAAGAGAAACTAGGCAAGCTCTAGACCGCTCGATACTGATGCTGCTGGAGTGAGCGTCTCTGGAGACGCGTTTGCCCAAGCCCGCCTTGTCAAGCTGTAGCGTACACGAGTCCGGGATCTTGAGTGCGTGCAGCGGCAGCTGCGGCTCCAGTTCGTCCCCGCCTCCATCTTTACAGGAAGGAAACATAGTTACGACTCATAAGTTTTCTCCGGTTCACCGAAAAAAAAACTTAAAGCTGGCAAGTTCTCCCCGACAGCAACAGCGACCGGCAGTCGACTTGAGCTGTTTCCGCGAAACGCTCCTGCTGCGTGTGCTGCGTCCGGCACTTGCAGTGGACACGCGACGCATCCAGCTTACTGGAAGAGTTGTTAGGTCTTCCGGTCTCCGAACGTTCATCCGCAGGTTTCTGTACCGTTCGGCAGCGCTCACCTGGGTACAGTGCTTTTGGCGCCCGGCGAACAGTGGTCGTCCAGGCGTTGAACTGGCGCTAGCGGGCAGTGGTGCTGTTTTTGCGCCCTGAGAGCGCACGGCAGACCGCTGCTTCTACACTGGACTGTATAACACCCACGTTCACTGACCCTGGTTTCGACCTGCCCTGGACGTGAGCAGGGACGCTGTCAGCTAAAAGGTAACGTCCACGAAACGTTGGGACTCGAGTCCGCAGCAGCTACAGTGCTCTGCACAACTTCGCAGCGTTGTTGCCACTGCAGGTACTCGGGGTTTGTTCGAGGCCAGCGACCTGGACACGCTGTCGAGCGCAACAGCAGCGCTACGGTGTGCGTATCGCTCCTGGTTTCATAGTCGTGGTAACCTTTGCACCTTACAAACGGTTTTGTTTGTTGGACGCCCCTAGCCGAAGGCCAAGCGAACTGGTGTGAGGGCTGGTAACATCGCTATGCCAACGAACGCTGGCGCTGGCGGAGGCCAGGGTCTGACGACTTCGGGGAGCGCTGGATGGAGCCCGCCGCTTCTTGGGCGCTTCCAGTCGTTCGCACAACAGCTACACGGGCCGTCTGCGCTAGCAAGCGGCGCGTTAGCGACCACACCGCCGGCTTCAGCTGGCCCTGCTAATGACTCCAACGCTGGGTTTGGGAGCGGCCCGCTCAACGCCTCAGCAGCAGCAGCAACAACAACAACAACAGCAACAACGAGCGCTGGTCTGACGGTGTCGCCTGCACTCCTGACCAGTGGCTCGCCTCTGTTTCCGCCACTGGGCCAAACACCGCCCGCGTCAAGTGAGTCACACATGGGCCAACAGACTGCAGTTTTCGACCTGACGGATTTCCCGGCTCTTGGTGTGGGAATGATGCTGAATCATGGGCAGGGTGCAACGTCGCAGGCTTCTCTTGGAGAGTCAGCGAACAACTCGGGAGCTGGCAATGCAATGATGGGGTACGGTCGGGTTCTGGGGAGCCCGTATTCGATGTCGCAGCGGGTGGAGCTTACTGCGCGAGACTTTCCGGCGCTGGGATCAAAACTCCAGAACCCGGCCACGCTCGGTGTCCATTCTCGACTGAACCCATCCTTGGGAACCATAGGTGGCAACGTGACGGCTGGCGCAGTGCCCAACTCCTTCGTTGCTGGTACTGGAGCAGGTGCCGGGAACGGAGCCTCGGGTACCGGTGCTCTGGCGGCGATGTCGATACCGCCGGCGTCGTCGACATCGACGGTCGGCTTCCTTGGAGCACCATCCGCCACGGGATCATCGACAGCGCCCACTTCGCTGCCGCCGTACGCAGCAGGGCCAGCACCAGCAACGCCATCAGCGCCACCGCCGTTACCCTCAGCACCGCTGGCAACGCCTCCATCCTTGCCGACGCTGGCATCGCTTGCAACAACAACAACAACAACAACGTCGTCGGCGTCGTCGTCTTCGGGCCCGGCAGGATCACGCTCCGATGCCCCAGAGTGGAGTACGCGACTCAATGCCGAGCCGAATCCGAGTGCACGACTAGGAATGGGCCAGTTTTCCACTGAAGCTGGTGCTCGGTCGGGCGTCTTCTCTGCAGCTGGGACCGCTGCGGCCAGCGCGACGTCCATGGCGCTGAATCTCTTGAACTTGGCCCACGGCTCGGGGACTGCGTCGGGTCAGGCGGCAGGTGCGGAGAACGGCACCTGGGGCTCACCGTACGGCATGCTGGGACTCTTGGCGACGATTCGCTCGCAGAATGCGGACCTGTCGCTATTGGCGCACGGGGTAGACCTGACGGCCCTGGGTCTGAATCTGAACAGCGCGGAGCCGTTGTATCCTTCGTTTTCGTCTCCGTTTGGTCCCGATTTATCACGAAATGGTGCACCATTGGAGGATACCCGAACAGATGAGACTGTGGGCAACTCGCTCGATGCATTTGCGGCTCTGCCGTCTTGTTACAGCGCATGCACAGTGAGCTTGAAACCTGCGCATTTCAAACGCTTTTCAACGGAGACGTTAATCCTTATCTTTTACGGATATCCGCGTGATTTGGTACAAGTATATGCTGCACTGGAGTTGTTCAATCGAGGTTGGCGGTATCACAAGGAGCTCAAGACGTGGTTTGCACGATCGGGACCAGGCGTCGAGAGCCTTGCTCCAGATCCGTCTGATGCCAAGTCCATTTCATCGAGCGGTAACCAGCTGGTGTACTTTGATCTCCATAACTGGTCGCTGAAGCCGTTTGCGAACGCTGGTACGCTTCCGAATTTGATGCGTGGATTTCTCACTGAAGCGGAGTTGCGTGAAATGATGGCGGCGTGCAAGTGAGGATTCACGAAACGCGTCCTGTGCTGCTTTTTTGAGTTGTGTGTTGTTGATTCAGGAGCCGGACTCGCAGGATAGCGAGTAAGCTGTTGGGATTCCTGCACAACTGAGATCGTTACGCAGCGCGTTGCACGGGTGTGCACGGGCGTACGCCAAACGCCGGGATGAAGCGATGTTTGTGAGCGCGTGCGCACCGCTTTTGCTGGTCATCTCTTTATGAAGTGCGCTGTTTCCGCAGCAAATGTTGAACTGATTGCTAGCTGACGACGCTATACACTCACTGGGTTGTATTCTTGTGAGTCCATGGTCGTTGCTACTGTCATGAGCAGGACACGCTGAGCCGGCACCAGCGATGATTCTGTGATCTGTCCAGGAGGCGCGGTTGCGCTCCGGACTGAAGCGCAATCCATAAAACCGCCATGGCTTTCTGATGTAGGCGCGTTCGCGGCTGCAGCGTCATGCGACAGCACAGGAATCGGACGCTCTATCCGGCCTGCAGCAGAGGCGACAGCGGTCGTTGCTGTATATGAGTTCGCACTGCGACTTGCACGGAGCGTCCCGATACCCAACAGTGCGTTGTTCCTTTGCCACTGGCGGCTGTTGCGTACTCATTGCGGGTGTACAGAGGTCACTTGCAATGGTTGCTGCTGCTGCTGCTTGGTACGGCCGTATCGTTCACAATATCAGGCATCCAAAAGTTGCGTTTGCGTTCATGCGATGTCATGCTTGTACATCATTGTCCCAAGGGCAAATCTCATCAGATCGTGGCGTCTGCGTTATCAATTTATCCCATATTGTCGCAAGGGCAAATCTCATCGGATCGTCTTGTTCGTGCGCATGATCGCGCGCTTCATCTCGCTGTATCGTGGCGTTCGCTGGCGCATGAAGTGCTCCATGCCTTCATGGACAGGTGTCTCATCGACCGCGCAGCGACGCACACGTGATGGAGCGTTGGTACGGAGCCGGCATCATCCAAGCATCCGAGTTTCTGTTCGAAAAGCGTACTTGCCTTCGTGTTTTCGCCCAGTTCGCGGACGGGTGCTCGTGGTTGCCTTTGCTGCCGAACACGTGCACTGCCGTGAAGTCCAGCTTGGTAGCACGTTCCCCTCGATTGCGCTGGCATCTATGCAACCTTTGAGTTTGGTAAATGCCGGCCGGAGGCGCTTCGCCTTGAAAAGCGTGCGCCTCCGAGCTGCGCTCTTGTCGCAGGCGATCCCCGAGTGGAGCGGAGATTGCCTGACCTTCGCGGAGCTTGAGGAACCTCTTGATGACACGTGCACATTTATCCTGTTATTGAGCACCTGCTAGCGTACCGTAAGGCACCATAGCGCACTTTGGCGCCTAAGGCTCGTCTCCGTGCAAGCCGTGCGAAAGCATGTGCACCGGATGGTACACACCCCTGGAATGTTTACGTTTGTTGCGCGTACGTTTTCGTCCGGCTCAAGATAGGGTACAAGCTGCCGCTATGGTATACAGCGTGCTGCTGCGTAGACGGTCGAAACCACGACAGTCTCCACATTTGCCATATGTCGCCGCTGGCGTTCATGTATAAAACAAGATGCGATCGCGTTTCCAGCTCAGGGACTGGTACGCTCGTCCCGTCGAGTGTCCCAGCTAGTCTGTTTTTCTGGAGCATGACACGCTCAGCGACCTGCTCGGAGATGACTCTGCGTCTTTCATGCAAGATAAACGACGGTTCCACATGTTGGTTGTATGAGTTCAAGACGGAGCACCCGTCCGCAAAACGTACATTCCATCCAGCGTCCCGATGCTCTGTGCGGCACGCGAGGCGGTTCTAGCGCCCGGCTCCATCATGGCGCTCAGTGGTAGCCCTCGTTTCTAGAACGGGCTGAGCGTCTGTACGCTGCGAACCGCTCGCATCCGTGCGTGTTCCGGGCATGGCGGAGCGCGAAGGCAAGAACACCACGGAATGGTAGTCGGCGCTACCGTCGGTGAGTTCCAGGGCACTCGAGCCTTGCCGCATTCCCTGTATAACCGTACGCAGATCCGTTACGTAAACTCGATCGAGAGGAAGTTTCGACGGCAGCGCGGTTCCTTGATTATTGCTCACTTGACGCAACCGATCCCATGCGAACTGCACATCATCCAGGGTGAAGAAAACTGGTGTGAGCAACAAAGGTTCGGTTGACAGGTTCGCGGTCTCAGATACTTGGGTCGCTTCTGAACCCGCCCCAGCATCCTTCTCGACGACTCGCTGCAGTGCAAAGCCGCGGATGGTAAACAGAGGGACGCCTCGTATGCGCGCATTCACCCCTAGGGCCCCGTTTGCTTTGAGCACCCGCTCCGCAAAACGCACGCTCTGCTCACTTGGTACAAGGTGAAACTCATCGGACGGGTCTGGCACTTTGCCACGGCCACCTTCGCGTGGCGTCACGAAGCTAAGCGCCTCATCGAGGGGAACAACGACAATACGAGCATCCCGAATGAGATTCTGCTTGTCTTGTGCGCTTCGTTCCGAGAGCTGTTCTAGGAAACGCGAGGCATCGTCATAGCTCAGGTAAAAGCTGCCGATGCGGTGCGCCGTGGCAGGCCCTGCTCTCCGCTTTTGAACTCGCTGTTGCGAGTCGATATCCAGCAAGCCTAGAGCACCACTCAAGGTTTCGGGTTCGTCCAGCTCGGCCTGGGCCGCTGCACCAGCCGGGGTGTTCGACGCCGACCCAACTTCTGTGAGAATCGGTCGACCTTCGCGGTCCGTAACACAGAAAACAGGAATGACGCGCAGTTTTTCAGCAATTTCCTCTTCACTCAGTGCACTAGACGTCCTTAACGCCACCTGAGAACCCGGTGCAACGTGCGTCGCAAGCGTATCCACGAGTGGCTTCACAAGTGGGGCACCAAACACCACGAGCGCCGCGAACGATAGAATGAGCTGCCACGGAGGTGACGGTCGTTCATTCTTCGCCCGGAGCGTAATTAAAGCGTGGCGACTTACTGAGGTACCGCAGCGCTGGAACAGCCGCGGATGCCGTTGCAGTGGTACCGGCGACCTGGCACGGTGCTTGCACGCAGTCCGTGGCTCCAGCCACGGCGGCAGCGCCGCAAACACGAACCCGCTTCCACAGTAAAACCTGGGAGCACGTCGCAGCAATGTATCAGAATTTATGCGCTGATCTGTTCCTAGCATACGGCACAGTTTGATGGCTGTGAACCAGTGGCTTTTTTCGTTGTAAAGTTGCACGGCACACAAACAGAACAGAAAACGTCCCTGCGAGTACGATCGTGCTTGTTTCTTGAGCGCTGGTATCGCGCAAGTTGGTAGTTGCGGGAGTGTACTCTGCTTGTTTTGCAAAATAAGTACGTATTTTTTTTCAGGGATGCTCAGCCTTTAAAAATCTGGTGCTTCAATGTAACGTACTAATTGACATTCTGCAAGATATTCGTTACATGACGATAGGACGCTGTGTACATGTGGCGCAAGTCACTCGTTGCGACACGTGAGGACAATTTGTTCCCTATATGGATAGGTTTATTTTTCAAGAGACTCCATCCTGAAACACCCTCTGCTTCAATGTAGCAGACAATTCAACATGATTCAAGACATTCATTGCATTACGATGGGACACTGTACGTGTTGCACAGGTCGATATGCACGGGAAACAGAAAGCGCCCATATGCACCCTTGCATGGAACGCGCGACACCAGAGCCGCGGCTCCCGTCGCTGAAACGCTCTGCGTTCGCGGTGGTGTTGACGAAACGCAAACGCAGGTAAACGCAAGTGCGAGCGAGCCCAAAACCGGTGTCGTTTAGGTCTGGGCTGCACAGCGTTTCAGAGACTCTTGGTGCAGAACAAGTCGTTGTGGCTGGCGCGTCTCATTTTGTTACAACGCGCAGCGCATCTACGGTGCGTAAGCGAGAGAAGTGCGCAACTGGTACGCTTCTCGACGGACCCAAGGCAGGGAGCGCACGCATCGCCGGCGCGGCAAGGACAACAGTGTTACCAGACAGCGAGATCGGAGAACTGTGGGCTGTACTCCAAGTGCTAGCGAACGCGCGCGTTTCGAAAATACGTTCGCATCCCTGTTTCTCTTTTGCTGCTCATTCGCTTGTACCACACTAGGCTGACGGCATGAGACCAGAATCGATGACGGACGGCGTGCCGGGCTCAGATTCACCTGCAGCAGCAGCAGCAGCAGCTTCGGTGACTACGAGCCTGCATGATTTGCAGGTTTTGGTGGAGCGTGGTACGCTCAGCGGGCCCGAGAAGCAGCAGGCCGATCACCTGGTCACGAGTCTAAAGAGAGAGCTGGTGCTTCGCCGAGTTGGTGATCATCTGGCAGAGCGCACGTTTCACGAACTATGTGTGCGACTCGCCGTCATGGAACGCGACTGGGCGGCAATGGAGCGTCACATCCAGCAGCTAATGCCACTCTACGAGCTGGACAGGCAAGCCGGTATTCAGTCGCCACATCGCGACCTCCTAGTTGGACTCAATCTGATGCGACTCTTGGCACAAAACAGGTTGGCAGAGTACCATATGGAGTTGGAGCTGCTGCCTACCACAGAGCCGCAACAGAACCCATACGTGCTTTTTCCTTTTCAGGTGGAGCAGGCGCTTACGGAAGGCAGCTATCAGAAAATCCTCCACATTGAGGCAGGTGCGGAGTGGTTGCCTTTTATCGAGCTTCTGCGGGAGACGACAATCCAGGAGATGGTGACGAGTTGGGCGGAGGCCTATGCGCATGTCACGCTTGAAGAATTGGCGAGCATGGCAGCTTTGCCGGTCGAACAGGTGCCCGCTCTGCTGGCACGTGTGCTTGATTGTACGCAGTACGTCGTTCAAAACGAGACTGTGCATTTCATCGCTTCAGATCACATTAGGGAAGCACCATCACAATATCTGCTGGCGAAAGAAGCCGTCAGTCGCACCATGGAGTATATACGCGGTCTGGAGCGTATTGTTTAATCGTATGCATCATGAATCGCGTATTTAGGCTGCGGACTTGAAGTCGCATCGGTTTATCTGGAGACATGGTCACCACGATCCGGGCGTTTTGCGTCCACCCAGGTATGCGATGCTCACGTCAGCGCGATGTTGACGTACACGTCCGGGGCTGATCAAGCCTCTGGTGCTCCAATGCGTCCCCAGTACTGGTAGGCGGTTTGGCGTCCATTTGGCGATACTGGCATGATTTTGAATGTTCTATGATGACGCGCCCGTTCTTTCAGAGCATCTACAGAGGAACGGTCACGAATCTTGCAGCAGCGTGGACTTCCGGCGGCAGTCGTTCTTGAGCAACACCGCCCGAGAACTTTGAACTGGTACCACCGAGGTAAATGATGCGATGTCGAGCAGAGGCCGGTGTTCCGAAGAGGCATGCTGGTAGCTGCATGCAGCTAGGGAGTAATTGCTCTGAAAACGTTGAGTTTAGGCAACGCTGGCAATGCACGGTGCGCGCTCTAGGATACCATTTCCAGGAGCGCACCCCGTGCGACTGTATCCATGCGCAAGGCGCCCTCGTTGCAGTTGCCGAGTTTCCGCGCACCCGTTGCATCTTAATTCGTTGCTGGTATGCCGTTTGCACGTATTCGAGATGCTCTCCATTGCGCATGCATGAGCCGACGCGTGCGCTCGAGCTGCATCTGTGACAACGAGGCGCCTGGAACGGTTGCGTCTCCGGTCCGTGCTGCGCCAAGGACACAGGCTCCCGTGCTCTGGGTGCAACGTCGAGATGAAGCACTTTCATGTATGTACGCGCATGGTATCAAGCACAGATGCATTACCAGGAATGCCACGACGCACGAAGTCGGGCACGTGATCCACACAGTCGCGTGGACGCGTGCTGAATTTCGCGACAGCTGGTGGCCACTGGACAACCTCGCCCTCGTTGATCGCCTTGCGCAGGCGCGCTTCTGCGCCGCGGGAACATGCTTTCGAGGCGCTCGTACAGCGCAGAGGGCATCCTGGTACGGAAACAGGATTGATTCCCATTGAATCCGCTTCTGCTCAAGAATACATTATCCTTTTGAGTCCAAGACAGGTATCGGTACGCGTCTGTAGCGATATGCAAATCCAGTATCGCTTTGGTGTTACTGTATAGTTGCCAGCTGCGGGATGTGCGTGTCTGTGAGAAGTGTGCTCTTGTTAGCGTGCGAGGTGATCGATCGATTATTGATCATGATTGTCTCATAATATGATGCTAACCACATCGTTCCTACCGCACGACATGCAAGGCAATCTATGGATGGTCGTTCACTAGTGTCTCATAATAGGATACTTACCGCATCAAGCTTACCGCACGACATGCATCATGATCGATCGATTATTGACCATTCTTGTCCCATAATTGGATACTTACCGCATCAATCTTACCGCACGGCATGCAAGGCAATCGATCCATTACTGTCCACTCGTGTCTCATAATATGTTGCTTACCGCATCGATTTTACCGCACGGACTGGAACGCATGCACCGGGCGGCAGTGCTGCGTTGCATCGCACAGCGGAGCTCTGAGCATGCTCACGTTGCAACTTTTGGATTGACGTTTTTCGGAGTCAACATTTTGTACTTCTTCGGCACTTTTCGTGCGCAGGCATGAATATTTTGGAAATCTTGCTTCGAACTTACCGCAAGAACCGCAGCAGGTGGCACCGCCAGGCGCTTTCGTTTTTTGTTTTGTTCTCCGTTGTATTTCTGCTTGCGGTCTTCCCAGCGTCTCAGCTGACGGCGAGCTCGAGAGATCGTCTCTCTGAGTATGTAGACGCGCGTGCGATCAGAAATATTATCAGCAACTCGGAGACGCAATCGTTCAAGTACCTCTTGGGCTTACCGAATGAGCGCTGGTCGCAGTACCGGCTCGGCCGATATGTGCCCGAAAACGACACCGAGCTCCCCGCAACAGAGCGTCCCAATCCGTATACATTCCTGTGCGTGACTCCTGATCTCGTTTGCGACAGCATGCTGAGTAATGGGGGTTTCTGGGACCGAGAGTTCGTGCACAATGTCTTTACGTTGGTTCGACGGCTATCGAAGCCGACCGCCGGCCGTGGCAAGATTGTCATGGACGTCGGTATGAACTATGGATCGTTTGCGCTCTTCGCGGCAGCGCTCGGTCATCGGGTGCACAGCTTTGAGATGCAACCAGATGTCGCCGCTACTGTCGCCCTTTCCGCGCGCCTCAATACTGCCATTGCTCAGCGTCTGACTATCCACCAGTATGCCATCGATGAAAAGCCAAGCAAGGACGTGCATTACGCTCGCTACGAGGGCAACATTGGCATGGCACATATTAAGTCTGCGGATGACTCTGAGGACACCGTTCAGTCTATATCAGTGGAGAGCATTCGCCTTGACACACTACTGGATCGTTGGCAGCGCCAGAGCGGCGAACGCATCCAGGGTATATTCTTCATGAAGATCGACGTCGAAGGCCATGATATGAATGCGTTACGCTCGCTTGGACAGCGGTGGCTCCAAAAGGTCGACCATCTCGTACTCGAGGTGAATAGTTATACACCAGTGTATCGTGAAGTGGTACCGTACCTCGTCGTGCGTGGCTTTTTGTGTCAGCCACTTGGCGACGACCAGACGCCGCATCCGCACCGGTTCAGCTCGGATCCCAGCGTGAAAATTCCATCATACGGAGCTATGTGGTGCGCCCGCGCCCCTGTTGTCCGACAGCTGCGGCATGCACAGTACAAGCTTGCAATGCGAAGTGCGGAATCGCCTTAGCACCATCTGCATTTTGCGAGCAGTATGCACTAGTAATGGCGACGTATATTCGTTCGGATGCGGTGGGCTCTAATGGAAAAACGTAGTTCGTGCTCTCGCGCCTGGTGGTGCGTGTTTTCAGCCTAGCAACTCTGGAACAGAGCTGCTCTTGCCCCGCAGTCTGTGCGCGGGCCTGGATCACGCTGTAGTCTGCTGTCGTCGAGAGACGCTTGATGCATCGTGGACCGAGAAAACTGATGGCGCGTTAACGCCCCGAAAGCCGGGATCTAGTGAAGCGCAGGCGTCCCGAGCAACGCATAAAGATCTGAAAATCTTTGGAGTTTCATTGCACTGCACCTCCGAATTTGCATAGATTCCGGACGAGTATTCCTCCCAGAACCTGTGCTCATGGTGTTACGGTCTCGTACAGTGCCGCTTCGGCCGTAGATACAGCACTTCCCGATGCCCATACGTCTAGTACGGTGCATGATCGTGATATCCTGCATCTTTTGGAGGGAATCCACTTCGAGTGCCCATGGATTGCGCCAGCAGCTGCTACGCGTATGCAGACGGGTGCCGCGTACCACGAGGAATCACTACAGACGCCTCGTTCGAGACGACAGCTTCGGGACAGCGGCAGTGCCAACATGATAAACGCGGTGCGTGTACCGTATTGGACACGTTGCGACTAGCGTATGCCGAGTCTTCGAATGAGGCGGGCACGTAGACGGTAGCATTCGAGGCGTTCGCATGCACAACTTTTGTCTTGCAAACGCTTGTCAGACAACGCACCTCGCTCATTGCACCTCAGAATGCCTTGGCGGCGACAATGTACCTATGTTTCCGCAATGAATCCCATCAGGGTACTGGTTGTCGCCTGTTCTGCTGTCGGGCAGAGCACTCAGGAGACGTTCGAGGAACAGAGATTTTTGCAGATGGCTGGCTCCTGAAGCGTTTTGTCGTCCATGTTACTTGGGTGTCGTGGCCTTTGCGGACAGGTGCCGCTGACGACTTCATCGTCAACGTTCAGACTCGCTATGCGCTTTTGTGCAGCGCTTTCTGAAGCACTTTGCGAGCATCGACGTATATCGTCTTGCAGATGAACGTCGCACCGCTGTGTAAACGACCCCTGGCCCTGATATCAAACGTATGAGTAAAAAGTATCTATCTTGGAATATGCCCGATGGAGCGACAACGTTTCACGAGCATCTAATGGAAATTAATAGGTATGCCCAGACGCCTTTCAGCCTTTTTTACCGGCTCCCTGCTATCGGTTACAGTTTCTCCATGCAAACTTGGAGCCTGAGAAGCATCACGATAACGTTCGCTCGCGAATGCTCCGCAGGTCTCGTCTGGAGCGCTGAACATCTCCTGATGTTGGTGGCGGCGTTGACGCCTCGGTTTATGAATTCCATGCGTGCATTGCCTCTAATGGAACTCATCAGTACACCGATTCCTCGAACTCGTGCCATTAGTACCATTTGGGGCTCTGTCAGCTCTGCGTGCTTCTCTATTACCGATGCGCTTGGCTGCCGGCGCTCCATCTCGGCCTACTGAAGTGCGCACTGCGGCTCATTCCTTATTTTTTTTTTGGAAATGAACGCGCTTCTATATACCCTTATATGAGGGCCTTGCCGGAGGAGATGGTCAATGCGGATGAAAGACACCATGTGCCAGAGTGTCACCCTGTACAGAGCGATTTTGCGATTTGCCCACTGAAGCGATCAATAGGATTCACAATAGAAAACACTCATGCAATAGGGTTGAAACATGGAGTGTGCGCAGGAATGGAAAGCTACTCTAACCCTTGATCGAATCGGCAGAATCCCAACCGCAAGTGGATGGCGAAATGCTACGTTGTTCAATAGAAGGACGTCACCAGACCTCAGGTGAAAAGTATTCAATTATTAGGCCAATGGGTGCTGTCGAGCGAGCCTGCTCCACGAGCGCGACTGACGCCGCCGAGTGTATCCACTCTAGCTAGAATCGATGATGATATCTTTGTTCTCTTCGAGCTCACTCGTACAGATAACATGCTCTGTCTCCGCGATTACCAATATACGTTCTGACCGTTTCATCCGAAGCAAGTGTCATCGACTGAAAAACAAACCGACGTTCCGGTGCTTTCTCCGGATAGCGGCTTTCCAGGAATGCTACCGTTGCGATTTCCGTGCAAGACGGCCGTGCTTGAAATAGGATTCATTTTTCCGACTGTATCCCAGTGTTTTCAGGATCCCGGGAACGAGCTGTTGAGAAACAGAGACTCCCGTGGTGTCCATGCTCGCCGCTCGGGTTTTCTCTATAGCGATCAATCAGTTGTTCTCTACCAGTGACCTCAAAAAGTCTCTGAAAATATCGGTTTCTGGAGCGGAGCGCATCTGATTCTTTCTTTCCGTGTGAATCACGCATCTGTGTACTGTGTTAAGACTCATCCGAAGGAGAATTCGAGTTCTCCTGGAACTCTTCAGGAAAGAATGTGTATCCTACAAGCAATTCTTCTACGATCTATAGAGTACACTGCATATTGAAGTCCATCTTCTGCTGCTCAACGTACCTTGTTGCAGAACAATTTGAACGGAAAGCCCATGAAGAGGTCATGAAAGAGGCTCCATCCCATCTACGAAAGAGGTGCATAGATCCTGCCGCAACAGCAACGCTATAGATTTTCGTTCGTTAGCGCTGTTGGCAGGTCGGAAACGGCCCGCCAGAAAGAAACCCGTTTACAGTCAGACGTTGCTTTCCTAGGTAACGCCGAGGTGACGCTTGCTTTGCAATCTATACGGCGGTTCGTTGACGCAAACGTGTGATTCCGCCGGAGCAGTTTTCCATGACCAGCAGTCGCCTTGGACGAGACTTGCCGCCTCAGGGTCGTCCGTGGATCTCGTAAGGCGTGTATTGGCCCTTGTTAAGTTCGGAGACCGCTCCGTATGCCCACGGAGAGCGGGTTACAGCAGCGCTGGCGACGGGGCTGTGCCGGAGGCGCTGGTCCGCAGTGGTGGCCTCCAGGCCGCAAGCCACACGGCGCCGGCGGGACGATGCCTCAGCCTCCAACCAGAGACGCACCACCTGAGGTGCTGGATGCGTATCTCAGGGAGCGTCGGCGGCGGTGGCCACGTCTCGACGCAGAGACTAGTGAAGCAGCAGCGCGGAACTCGACTGAGGCTGCCAGCACGTCTTCGTCGGTAACCCCCAGGGAGCGGGCGGGGCCCGCGAGCTCTATTGGTCAGCCCTCAAGTTCGCGTGACGTTTTACCGGGAAACGAGGCATGCTTCGAGAGAAATAGGCCTGGGAGTGCTGCTGCACAATCCAATATATCGGAGAGCGTCGCTAGCGCTGTGGTTTTTCATGAGAAGCCTCCACAATGTCGCCGACGTTTCGCCGAGACACGCCCCACGGCACGTTTCCGGGCGCTCTTGGAGTCTGATGCGAAGGCAGAAGAGCAACAGGAGGTAATACTGGACTGTCTGGAAACTATTGCCCGATTGCAGGGCTGGATCGAGTGATGTGCTCGAGCTGCACAGAAGCATCGAATGCGGGATCGGACCCTGGGAGACGACAATTGCGTGTTCATGTATGGGGTGAACTTCGAGAGACTCACCATTTGAAGAGTTCCGGCCATTGAGCTTATGGACTTGTCAGCAGTCAGTCCCAGGTCGTTCCGGTGCGGTCGCGTACGATACCCGACAAGCAACAGTTGTGAAGCTCGCCTTGAGAGCGGTAACAGGAGTGGTGGCGGGTCACTACCGTTGCGGAATGCACGTTGACGATACGCGAAACGCGATCGCTGCGAAAACCATGAGCTTGCGCTGAACGCGGGCAGTTTGTTTTCTTTTCGCTGAGTACGTGAATGAGCAAGCCTCTTGGCTAGTGTGCCTCCCGGAGATTCATGTCTCCCGAGTAGCCATAGGGCATTCTTCGCTAGGGACCTTGCGTCTACTGGAGCGGCTTCGAAAAGCGTCGCGACGCTATCAGCTACTTTGCAAACGCGGACGGATCCGCTGGCCAACTTGCGTGCGCGCTAAGGCGTCTCTTCATGTGCAGCATCTTTGGTGCTTCTCTTGGCCGCTATATCCGAACACGAAGTAGAACGCCGGAGCTCTCTCATCTCATGCATGGAATTTGCGGTGATCGTTGGAGGTCCTGCGTATAACTGGTTGCGTACCCGCTGGCTGGCGGCCTCACTGAGCGCGGTTCGGACGCAATGCTTTCGCTGCTAGACCGATCGTGCACACCCTTCTACGTATCAGGGGTGCGGGCCTCGAGCGACAGCAAGCATCTGGGCAGCGCTCGCTTGGGTTCGCGAACACCTACAAGCCTCCAATCTCGTTTGCGCTGGAGGTCTCAGGTCGCCAGTCTTTGCAGCGTACTAAGAGCGCATGCATCGTGCTCTGCGGGGCCGGGGCCGTCAATTCTGCCGCTCATTGCGTACCTGGCTTGTCTGCATTTCTGTCCAATCAGCGAAAGCATTACAGACATTTAGAGTCCATGTATGACGCGGAGAAGGAGGTCGTGTGCCGCGGGGAGTGCTCGTCGCAATGACGCTACTCAGCGAACGATAGTGTGGAGGCAAAGGACGAACGAGCTTGCTCGGCCTTTGGATGCACTTGCTCAACGGATTTAGTCGCCCTCGGAACCGGCACCGAGGCTGCTCTGACGGCCGCGTGCTCCGCTCATCGAAGAGTTCACCAGAGCGGGAGGTCAGGAATGGACTGTGGCATGAAGCTAGCTCTCCCGACACCAGTGGCGTTAGGGCCCAAACCTCTATGCTATGCGCAAATGTGTGAAGCAGCCTCGCATCCGATGCTCACCCCAAAAGACTCGGCTTTGTGCTGTGTGTATCTAATCCGGGCAGCGTAGGGAACGCTGTGCGACGTGGTGAGAATTCTTTGGCGCTAAATGCACGAAACAAATCGGACCCCACCTAGTGCAAGACAGCCGGTTGTAAGCTTGCTTCAACCCATGTTTTTCCGCGGAAGCATGCGTATTCCACAGCAATTTAGGTCGTAGCTCTCCAGGGCACACAGATACAATCGATCTTGTAAAGTTGCGGTGACTGTCTCCAGACAGAACGGCGCTCCCGTCGCAAATTCAGTCCCTGAGCATCCTCTGGTGTTGGATCACTTGGGAAAAAACGACGACAAAAGACGCAGGTCTCATTCATGTCATCACTCGAGACAGCGTATCGTCTTTTTGAGGTGCAGCATGCTGCAATAGCTAACGTCCGTCGCGCTCTGTTAATTTGGGCGACAGCAGCACTGAGCACGACCCGAAGCGTACCTTGAGTCCACGTCCTTGTTGAATAGATCGTGTCCTTTTCGAATCACCCCGCACAGGGGCATTGGGCATCCTATTCAGAGCAGCAAGTTCTGGAACATCTTGATCAGCAAATCCTTGTTGATCGTTTGTTTCTGTCGCGGACATTGAACAATAGCAATGGATCATGCAGACTGGGCAAACTTCCCGTGATAGATTTACGTTGTTACGATCAGCTTGCGACAAAACAGCCTTTGCGTCTTATGTATAGTTATTCTGCCGTAAGCTCGTACATGAATCGGGCTTTTCATGGTCCTGATCCCTAAATTCTTGCACACAAGCCAGAACTTATAACTTGGTATCTGGACGACTCCCGCCCGTCAATCCAGTCAAACGCGTACATTTTCTCTGCCAAACTATCAAGGACGACACAGGATGCGATGTATCCGCACATTTGATACAAATGGAGTTACATCGAAACGGACGTGCACAGGACGAAGAGTGCTTCGATGGGAGAAAATCATGCGCTGAGCTACACACTTGCGATTTCGTACCGAGACCCGAATGCGTATCAGAGGAGCCACGAATATCCGTCTCAGCCGATTCCACTTTATGGTGAAGCATATAAAACCTTCGCAGTCGTACTCACAGCAGCCCGAACAGCTGCTCTTAGAGAAGGAACAAGCAAGCGTGACGACGACATGAGCCCTTGCGTCGACTCAGCGGTGTAGTTGCCAATGAATCGCCAAACGCGCAGAATCGTCCAAAACGTCGTCCTTTTCCGAAGCACGCTTCGGGGCATTTCCAACCCGAATTCCTCTGTCCTGCTATTGGATCGCGTTGCACTCCGTTCCTCAAAGAGCCATTAAGAAACACGCAGCCGCCATCGGCGTTTCGCTGCTCTTTTTCCAGTATGTGCTGCCTTGTTCAGTGCAGTCGAAGGCGTCATTTTTGTTTAAAAACCCCGTTTTGACGCTCACGAATACATAGATATAGAAGGGACGTTCGCATTTGTGACGCAGTTTTCAGTAAAATCGAGCTTCGAAAACACGTCTTCCACCCCAGTCTCTATGGACGTCTCCAAGCAACTGTTCGTCTGCGTTCCGGACGCTGGCCTGTCAGCTGTTCACGTTCATTTCGAGTGCGTCGATCAAACCTTGGTGTCGCAAGGCAGTCGATACGCGGGACAGAGGATTCAATACGATCTGAGAGCAGATTTACGTATTTGCACAAATGCTTCAGAGATGTCCTCAACGTGTTGCCGCGCAACTTTATGGATTGAGAAAGCTTTTCACTGCCAACGTGCGAACAGGTCTGCAGCCAACCCTAAGAACAAGAACAAAATTCAGGTCAACGTTCGACGCTTTATGGAGCGCACACACTGCTGGGTTCGCAGCCTCACCTTCGCGTTCCCGAAAATCGCGATGCGACGGAAGAGATTCTTCGCTTCAGATCGTACGTGAACACCTCAATGGCTCACGAAGACGATAGTCGACTGGAGTACATCAGAACGCGAACGGAGGTCGTCAATCTGTTGAATGAGTCGCAGACGGAAATAACCGAGACGTCACCTTCTAGTTTTGCAGCCTGTGGCGAAAGACCTGCAGTAGCGCCCAAGATCTGGACTCGGAGACCATCGCAGAGCGCTTGCGACGAGTGCGGAAATCGATTCTGTACGAAATCCTTTTCAATGCATACGGGACGACACATATCCGACACGAGCACGGGTACGCGCTGAAACTGGAAGAGAAGAAGCCAGTAAAACAGAGCCGAATGCGAGAGATGGTGTACGGTAAGCTCAGTGAATGCCAGATATCGAAGAAAAATGAGGGTGAAAGACCCGCTTGGGGATGATTCCACCCTGTAGCAACGGGCTCGCAAGCATGCCCTGCTCCGCGAGTTGCATGCCCAGATCAACATCTGGATATGTGCAGCGCGGTATGACAGTCCAGTCGCTTATTTGTGGCATGAACATTCCGGGAATCTCCTCAGCATTCACTAGAAACATCATGGTGTATCATTGAAGGGCTGTGATAAACAAAAATGAGCAGTCAGAAGAGCTGGCGGATCGCATGCTCGCCTGGAATCCAAGCCACTGGTACAAAACAGATCAGTGAGATTCAGCACAGCTGAAGCGCCTCATACATGCAGCACGCCCAGGTATCCTGGACGGTTGTTGAACGAACACCATCTTCCACGCTCCTGGACTGCTGAGCACATCCCTTCAACATGTCACGCGTCTAGCGAATGCCTCAAAGCACCCTGCGAATTCTTCGTGCAGCGATGCTCCTCAGGAGCGTTGGCTCCGAAGCCGGCGCTGCAATCGCCGCTGTTTCCGGCCACGAACGCCTCCAGTCGTGGCTGCAAGCGGAGCACGAGCGCCGACAAAAAAGGTCGCTCGGGGCGTAAGTGCCTCGTCTCGTAGCGTGTCTCTGTTTAGCGTCACTCTGTCACGGAGCATGTGGCGCTTGCACAGCGACCACGGCAGGCAATGGTGGACTTTCTCGACCAGTGACGCAGAGACGAACCTTGATGACCCAGCGCTTGCAAAGGAAGCTGCGCTCATCGAGGAGGCCAGAAGGACCTTCCACGAGCACCGATTTGAGCGAAAACAGGCAGCGGATCAGGTATATAGGATCCAAGCGCTCTTGCGTGCCCAGGGCGTGCTGAGCAACGCGGAACTCTCTGAGGAGTATGCGAAAGCAGCAACGCTAGGTGAGCTTGACGCGACGTTGTGGCGAGGCTTCTGTTGGTACGCTCGACTGCAGCAACCCGACGGACACTGGCCCGGTGACTACGGCGGACCTATGTTTCTTTTGCCTGGTCTGTTGATTGTGTGCTATATCTCTCGCACCGCTTTGCCTGAGCCCTATCGTGTGGAAATGCGTCGTTATCTCTTGAACATGCAGAATCCGGATGGTGGCTGGGGACTTCACATTGAAGCGCCCTCGGGAATGTTTGGTACTGTGCTGAACTATGTTGCGCTGCGTCTGCTGGGTATGGAGGCCTCCGAGGAGCCGCTGGTCTCCGCTCGCCGCTTTATTCATGAACACGGTGGTGCTGTTATGACACCGTCCTGGGGCAAGTTCTGGCTGGCCTGCCTTGGTTGCTACAGTTGGCGAGGCATGAATCCGCTGACTCCGGAGATGTGGCTGCTGCCGTACGGAAGCGGTGATCCTACGGGTAGCACCCGTCCGGCGATTGGCTGGTTCGCAAATCCGATTATGCCGGCACGCTACTGGTGCCACTGTCGGGTGGTGTACCTACCCATGAGCCACATATACGGAAAGCGTGCCAGTGGTCCAGAAACGCCGCTCGTGCTTGCATTGCGTGAGGAGCTGTACATTGAGCCTTATGATCAGATTGATTGGCCGCGGTACCGACACGTCTGCAGCTCGTTGGATGAGTATACGCATCGTCCGCGAGTGCAGAAATGGCTCTGGGATGTGCTCTATGTGTACGAGTGGAGCAACAACCCGCTTATTCGTCGTCTACGTGATCGGTGGCTTCGGCCGCGAGCCCTGCAAGAGACGTTGCTCCAGGTGCGTCAGGAGGATTATAACACCAAATGGATTTGCATCGGTCCTGTGAATAAGGCCATTAACATGCTCGTTGCCTGGTATGATCGCACCTCGTCTGACGCGGAAGCACATTTTCGAGCGCATCAAGATCGAGTGAAAGATTATCTCTGGGTAGCTGAGGACGGAATGAAAATGCAGGGCTATAATGGGTCGCAGCTGTGGGATACGGCGTTTGCCGCACAGGCATACGCAGAGAGCGCCGACCTCTTTCTCGACACAGACTCGTGCCTGGAGCGCGTGCTTCTCGCTTGCTGGCGTTACCTCGAGATGTCTCAGGTTCTCGAGGATGTTCCGGAAGCGGCTCGTTTCTATCGTCATATCAGCAAGGGGGCCTGGCCCTTCAGTACCAGGGATCATGGGTGGCCCATCTCCGACTGCACCGCCGAAGGTCTTCGCGCCGTGCTAGCCATTCGTGCGCTCTTCCGAGAGCGCGGCAAGGAGGCGCTTCTGGAGCCACCGATCAACGACGAGCGCATCTTCGATGCGGTGAACGTGATACTGAGCTTCCAGAACCCGTCCGGCGGTTGGGCAACGTATGAGAACACCCGCAGCTATCCGTGGCTTGAATACCTGAATCCAAGCGAGGTCTTCAGTGATATTATGATTGACTGGGATCACGTAGAGTGCACGAGTGCTTGTGTGCGCACGCTCATTGTCTTTCTGAAAGCTTATCCGAATCATCCGCGGACTGCTGAGATTGCTACAGCAATCCGGCGGGGTGTCCAATTCATGAAGCGAATCCAGCTACCTGACGGCAGCTGGTACGGGAACTGGGGTGTGTGCTTCACCTACGGTACCTGGTTCGCTGTCGAGGCGCTCGTAGACGCCGGTGAGCGACTTGACTCGTGTCCAGCGCTGGAACGCGCATGCCAGTTCCTGGAAGAGCACCAGCACCCCAGCGGTCTCGGTGGCTGGGGCGAGACCTTTGAGAGCTGCAGCAAGAAACGTTGGCACCATTCTCCCGAAATACAGACAGTCAACACCGCCTGGGCGCTGATGACGCTGCTCGCGGCGCGTTGGTATCAACGCGGTCCGGAACAACGGGAACTTGTCCACCGTGCAGCGCGTGTGCTCATGTCCGCACAACGCACAAGCGATGGCTCGTGGGATCAGCAGCTTATCAGGGGCGTCTTCAATCGCAACTGCATGATCACGTACAACTACGAGACGGTTTTTGCGATTTGGGCCCTGGGACGGTATCGCCGTGCCCTGCAGACGGACCTGGTGGCCTGAGGATGCACCACGTATGCGCTTGGTGACGTGATTCAACTGGATCATGAACATGAATCTTGCTCTGCGCCACTGTGCAGGTGAACGCGCTCTAGGCATCCGGTATCGAGAGACGAACTTCATGATGTACTGCGGAGCGTGCGACAGGAGCGTGCTAGGACTTGTGGGGTTACCGCCAAAGCTCGGCATGCAAATGGGTCAAATCGCTACCAGGTTTTCGCCCGGTAGCGTCTGATGCCTCCATTTCTGAGGGAAATAGAGCACTGAAATAGTCGTTCAGTTCTTGGCTTTCGATTTCGGCGCTAAGCTTTCCTATATATTCAGCCTCGACACTCAAAGTGCAACATGAACGGCTTACGCATTTACGCAGTGAATTCGTCTGCACATTTGTCTTTCCAAAGTGGCGATTTCGCCTCTTTACCGCCGGACTGTGTGGTACATCGCCAGCATCAGGATGCTCCGTGACGCCCGTGAAGCAGCGTGTGTAAAATGAGCCCGATCATTTCCCGATTCATACGTATGGGATTCATGAGCTGTCCGGTCGTTACGCGTAGCATGCTCGAATCATGAATTCTTGAAGTTTCCGATTTGTTTCTCTCAAGGTGACGCTTGGGCACGTACAGTCCTAAGGAATCCAAAGCCGGTTTCTCGGACCTCATCGCCATTCTCGAGGACCAGGTGAACGTTTCTAGAAAGCGATCTCGAAGCCGCAGAAAAGTTGTCTACTGGACGACCATTTGTCGCGCAGTGTGCTCTGTTCGATTCCAGAGCGCGCTTGTCGTGGATCGTGATCACTTGTCCGCCGTCAATGGATGGATGCTAGCCCACGGATTCAGGAACCTTTCGCTTCAGGTGCGGCTAGTGATGCTTGCCGGCCTCGAGGTCCTCCGACTGGCGATATGTTGACACGATTTTCTAAACAATCCTTGCGCACTTCGTGAACCAGTTGCCTGTGCGTATGCAGTGCAAGATTGCGGTCCAGCTCCAGCAACTGATGCACATGGAAATCGACCCGGGATTGTTGGGCGTTCCATTGCCTTTGCGTATGCCGGCTTCGAATTCGGTTGCTTGGTATGAACAAAGCATCCATGACTTGAAAAGGAAAACTGTAACAGGCACACGAAAAAGCAAATCGGTAACGGGAAGTATACGGGAGCATCCGGACTTTGTGGAAGCAACGTATGGAGCGTCGGTCACGACCTTTCTTCGACATCGAAGTAAATTCTTGGCAATGCCTGTTGCTCATAGAGCCACACTCGATCAATTCGAGCGTTTACTTGAAAACTATTTGGCCAGCTGGCCGGCAGGATCATCACGTACAGTGCGCATGACTGCCTGACTTGAGGTACCTGCCGACGCATCGTCTTGTCGAAGCGTCGTTGCGCTGCAGCTTTGCTGTTCCGATTCGTGTCTGCGTAGCGCGCGATACTCGCCGATCCAGGAAGCCTCTGATGCTAACGGAGGTAGATCCAGCGGGATGTCTACCGGTAGACAGAGCAGCTCCTCATTGGACGACGACATGGACGACGATGACGACGCGTTCCAGCCGGCTTCCGCGAATCGCTGGTATCCAGGATCAGAATCGGGGAGCCTCCCGGTTATGTCGACCACGGTAGCATCCTCATCAGCTGGAGCGAAATGTTTGCGACGACGGCGATCATATACGCTGCTCCCGTCGGGGTCAAAGTCGAATTCATCCTCTGCCTCCACATACTCGACATTTTCAGATACTTCTCGAAATGATGGTGCGTATGCACTCCAGTTCTCCGCTACGGTCTTGTGATAGACAAGAATGGAGCCACTCTGATACACCAGGACTAGCAGTGCATGAAGATTCGCATGGTACGCTAGCATACTGAGGGACTCTTTGGGGCGCCCATCCAATTGTTTCACTAATTGATTCGCCTTCAGATCCCAAATATAGAGGCGATGGTCAGCGCTTGCCGCTGTTCCAGCAACTAGAAATTCGTCGTGGCTCGCGAATGCAGCCCATCGCCATTGTACTGAGGAAACGCGATCTTTCAGCTCTCGCCAGAGTCTTACTTTGTTCGGTTCGAACGGTTTCCACTCAAAAACCCGAACAATTCGATCATGCGCCACAACCAGGAACAGGTCCCCTCGTTCAGCAAATTGTATTTGTTTCACGAATGCACGGGGCGGCAGTGCGAACGATGCGGAACAGTGAACGGTGAGCCTCGGACCCGAGCCTGCCTCTGTAGCGCGCTCGATCTTGAAAACCTTCAAGAGACCAGGTTGCTCTGCAGCATGTGTGATGATGTAGGCACCAGTGGGGTCGAATTCAGCAGCCAAGTACGCTACTGGCATCGTGATGCTTCCCGTCAGCGTCGGCGGCAACTCCACAGCGCCGTGCGTACCGAGCTCTCGAAGCAGTGGTGCACGTTCAGGTACCGGTGGGAGCGCATCCGAGTTCCGCGTACAGACCGAGTTGCCGTCCTCGGTGTCTGAAGCATGGACGTGTGCACACTCCGGTACTTGTAAAGTCTCAGTCGGAGTCCGCTCCTGCGCACTCATCGTCAGCGTGGATGCGGGGCCCGACCACAGCACCCAAACAGACGGGCACTGAGTCACATGGTACTCTCCTGGTTCGACAGGCAGCTGTACCAGAAGAACCGGTTGGCCAGTCTGTGAGACGCAACACAGGCGATTCTGCCGAAAGCGTGGATGTGCGGAAGCTCTCGCAAGTTGTGCCTCGAAGCGCACGCAGACAATGCAGCGCAGCTGAGATACATCCCAAAGGCGCAGGCTGCCGTCCAGAGACGTACTCAACAGCCAGGTAGAGCGTGGCACAAAGCTTAGCGAGAACACGTCGCTCGTGTGTCCGTAGAGCTTTTTGGCAAGCGCTCTCGTTACGAGGTCATATAACGCAATGGTGCCGTCAGCGAGTCCGACTGCAAGAACGTTCCCGTAGAGCGGTGTAAAAGCGAAACAACGACCCGTACCGTGCTCGCTCAGCGAGAACTCGACTTGTTCCGGAACCTGCGCTCGAACAAAAGGAAAGAGACGATCAAGGAGGACGCGGTTCATCGCAGCACCATCAACGCTGTTCTAAAGTCGAACGTCGCCAGCGGTGTACAGCAGTGGCGGCAAACGCGCCCTAGTCAGAACGTTTGGAACTGAGGTGCAGACGCCTCCCAGTTTTTTTGGACCGGCCACGTACGACTTATTCCAGCTTTTTCTCATATAGTTCCACTTTGGGTGGTTGTCCAACAGAATTCTCTCTCGTGTCGACTCTGGGGGTCTTTTTTTTTCCATCACAGGGCATCTCCTGATATTGATGGCGGCGTTAAAGTCTCGGTTCACAAACCCCATACGTTCCTTGCCATTATTGGTTGTACTTACTAATGCAAGGAGTCCACGAACTTTCGTCTTCCTTTCCATTTGCTCCTCCGTCAGCGGTCCGTACTTTTTTATATCCTCAGGGCTCTGCTGACACTTTTCCATCTCGACTTTTTGAGGTGTACGTCCCAGTTCATGGTGAGTATACGATGTTCGGAGCTCATCTATCGGTATCGTAACGAAGCGTCGTGCACACTCCCTGTACGGTCTTGTGGTTGGAGCACGTGTAGTCCCTTTCTTCGACGCCCAGCGTCCTGCCCCATACGATACTACGAGCCTCTGACTTTCATCCTTCTTCAAGGCACTCAATTCATTCAAAAAGTTCGCGAATGCACGCTGCTTCCCGCAGTACAAGTTCACACGCAAACGAGCCCACCGAGGCTTTGTATACTCCTCCTACAGCGCATCCCAATGCGCAATGCGAACTTCCATGAATTTCAGAAAAGCTTCAAAGTCCGCTCCGCGGCTCGTCACCTCGCTCAAAGCTTCCATTTGATCCTTCATTCCTGAAGTCCAAGTCTCGATTTTCTTCCTTGCATTGATCATACCGGATTCTCCATTGTATATTGCTCTCGAGAACCTCAGAAGACGCATATATTTCTGACGTAAGTTGCCGTCGGTGCAATCTTCCGGACGCTTTAGTACAGCGATGGTTATAATGTTTGTGTTCCAGGGGTTAAGGCCGACGACAAAGTCGCTATCCTGCAGTTTCTGTATCGCAGGATCCGCCTCCTTCTCATATTCATGCTTCGTAACGGGCAATATCGAAGACGGAACTTGACGATTTGCCTTCAACCGCCGACAGTGTACACACATGGCTAATCCATCGGTTTCGATCATCCCGGTGAATTTCTTTTGTTTGCTGACTTTGTGACGTTTGAAATCGAAGGGATTCTTCCAGTGCGTCTCGCGGGTTTCACGGGTCACCTCCGCCCTGTTAACATTGAACTCGGGACTGATCTCTCTCATGATGCCATGAAGGGTTCTGGAGTCGATGGTGACAAATTGTGACTTGATGTTGCGCATTGGAACCACGTTGAAGCGCTTCCCTACTATGGCCGCCTTCCGTCTCCCCAACTCTTCATTTTTTCCCCACTCAGCTTCATCGCTGCCTTGCGTTCGAGTTCACGGTCTAAAAACACGAAATAGTGCAGGATGAGGCGATAGTATCTTTCCTTATCTTTTTCAAGTCTGACATCTTGTCTGTTGGATTCGCCAACCCCAAGACTGCGCGGTGCTCTTGTATAGCCGCACGGATTACAGAAGTCCATTCGTACTCCTGCATGACGCCTTCTCCCTGACAAATTCGACCTCATCTTCACGCTTACGATCGTTCGTGATGCCATTGATAATCGCCCATACTCCTTTGCGAGAGATGCCCGGGCAGTGTGCAGACACGGTGCGTATCATGAAACGTTCGAGGTTCACTGCCAAAAGATTCTTCAGGTTCGTGATATACTTCATCGCTCCGTACATGTAAATATCCCGGTCAGCATTGTATCGAGTAGCCTCGAACCTGTAAAAGGGATGTTTTTCGTTAAGGCCATGGACTAGCACATTTTCCCTCCGCGTTTCCGCTGTGGCAAGCATCAGGTGTCGAATAAAGGTCTTATCGAAAAAATCGCCGGAATCTCGGCCGTTCCCAAGTGCGCCACGTTTTCGTACATCTCCCTCGCCAAATGCATCAGTCGTGACGACGCTTTGGAAATACTCATGGAGTACAAGTCGACACGGTTTCTCATAGCGTCTCGCAACTCTCCCTCGTACGGATCCTTTATACGTCGAAGAAGACAGGATTCCACCACCATCTCATCGTAGAGACGTCACTCTTGCAGCCATCGACAAAAGGCCTCCCCCATTTGCTTCTTCTTCCTGTCCTGTTTCTCTTTGCGAGGCACTGTTCCTCGTTTTCTTCTAACTTCGGGCAACACCGGCCATCCAAAACCCTCTACTTCCAATTACATGAGTCTACCTTTTGTTTTTTGGGGGAGAACACATTGGACGCTTCTGCTTTGAACGGCTGAAATCACTTAAATATCCTTACATGAAGTATGAAACACAATTGAAGCCGAAACTATCCTTCTCTACGATTCGAGCGCAAATACAACTGGCCCCGATAGAGCGATAGCTCCAAAAGAGGTCATTACCGCGTTTCGCATCATCGGCGAGAAGAACGTCGTGTGAAGTGACGGCCAGATTCCGAGATGCGTTGCCAGGGCGCACGAAATAGAAAATGCCGAAAACTAACCAATATCCACAAACGGAATAGCAAGTTCTATTGCCATCTACAATAAACGTTCAAAGCAGGATGTTTTTGCGTTTGGTCAAACAGTTGCCTTTTAGGCGCGAGGTCTGCAAGCCGCGAGACTCTACCGGCTTGTACGCCGTGTGACTCTGCGGTGGTGGGTGATGTGACGCACCTGAGCACCTCGTCCGAAACGCATTTGATTTTGGCACTAGGAGCGCGTATACTGGGTCTGGGCATCACCTTGGTTGCGGAGGAATCCTACAATACCGCTTCCCGCTACCACAGGCAGAAGGTCAGCCTGTCCAGATTGGAGGCTCCCAAAAATATACATAGCCCTGATTCCGTATCGCTTGTACAATGCCTCTTCCGACGCGCTCAGTGGTATGCCAAAGCTGTTCTGTTTTCGTAGCGCATCCGCACCAGCGATAGAGATGCTACGGCGGGTGCTCATGGCAGGCAACCGGCGCACAATAGAAAAAATGAGACGACCAGTACAGCAGAGAGTAAGCAAAAGCGATGTAACGTGCAGAAGTAGTCCAACATGATGGACGCTTTCCCGAAAGCCAATATCGACCCGGAAACATGGGATGCATGGTCAGTAGAAACGTTCTGTCGAACCAAAAAAGCATAACGCCGGAAGGAATTCCCTAATGGCTCTGGTGTTCGAACCATCGCCTTACCAGATGCGTATGCACCGATATCATCCCGCCGGAGGGAATTCCCTAATGGCTCTGCTGTTCGAACCATCGCCTTACCAGATGCGTATGCACCGAAATCATCCCGCCGGAGGGAATTCCCTTGCGTGTCCGCGGCGCCGTACCCCGGGGTGCAGCATCGTGCCACTACGATCTTTGCGCTATCTGAGCGCAACAATGCGGAGCACTGAGTTACCAGTACTGACGAGATTATTGCACGGCAAACCGCGAGTTTCGCCTAGTCTCTGTGGAAGACATTGAGCGCTTGTGCTCGATGCGCTCAACGCTAGACAGTCTACGGGAGTTACAAGTCGGACTCTGCGCAATTGATGGGCGATCACTCGTGCAGCAACGAAAAAGAGATTTCTCCCTGGAAATGTATGCGTACGCGAACGACTTTAGTCGGTGATGAAGTTGGCAGCTTTACCACCAAAGAAAATCTATCCCAAAAAACTGCAAGACGTATTGGTTTGTTTTCCGCTGTGCCAGGAAAAACACATAGTTGGCGCACCCGCTGCAACTCGAGCACCGTTTCCGCTGCGTACCGCACGTGACAGGTGCTTCACAGCTGTACATCGTCACCATTTCCAGCATCCGCTACCCTTGATGGTGCAGCGATCGCCTGTAACGCGCCGGCATCGTATGCTGCATCTTCGTATGGGCCCGAAACAGTCGCAGATCGCCGTGATCACTGGCGCGTCCTCTGGGGTCGGTCTGTATGCAGCTCGCGCTCTGATCAACAAGGGCAATTGGCACATCGTCATGGCATGTCGTGACATTGGTCAGGCGGAACGCACAGCAAACAGCGTGAACCTCCCAAAGGACGCCTATACAGTGCTGCATTGTGATCTGGCTGATTTCGCCTCTGTGTTGAAGTCTATGAGAGAGCTATCGAGTGTGGCGCGCGTCGATCACCTGGATGCCCTTATCTGCAATGCCGCAATATGGCATCCGCGGGACAAGAAACCGCGTTTCATGGTGGACGGCATCGAGAAGGCCATACAGGTTTGCCATCTGAGCCATTTGCTTCTATGTCGGGAGCTGTTGCCGAAGCTGAAAATATTGCGCGGGCGCATTGTGTTCTTGACGACTCAGACCCACTCGCCGAATTCGCTGCCGGGAAAGATCCCCCCGCAGGCTCGTCTTGGTGATTTGTCTGGTGTCGACGCAAGACTCGGACCGCGGACGACTGGCATGGAAGAGAATAGTCCGTTTGAGCCCACAAAAGCCTACAAAGACGCCAAAGCCGCCAACGTATTGACAATGAAGGCGCTCAGTGATCGATACGGCCGCGACGGGGTGACCCCTGTGGCGATTTTCCCGGGATGTGTCGCCGATAGCAACCTCTTACGTGAAAAGCGTGGCAGGTTCCGCAACATATTCTTCCCGATTCTTCAGAAGTACATCACTCGGGAATAGATTCCGAATGAGGAGGCCAGCCGCCGCGTAGTCGAAGTGGCGACCCAGGGGCGCTTCTCGGACTCGGGCTCGTATTTTCAGTGGCGTGGCGAATATACGGAAGGTCGAGAGAAGACGAAACCGCAGGTTATTGAACCAACGTACGAAATCGACAAGGCAGATCAGCTATACGAACTGAATCTTGACGTTGTGGACCAGCCGTTACGGCGGCGAGGCCCAAAGTCGAATATCTTGGCCCTTGTCTGAAGTTTCATGGCTTCGAAGATGAGAGGCGCCTTCGGAGCGCACATCGCTGCATCAAGGACGGATGTGGGAGCAACGGTGAACCAAGTAGGCGGCCTGCCGCACATTCGATCGGATATTAAACGAGTGAGAGGGCGCTCCTCCTGATGTGAAGAGCCAACAATGCTTCGCAAGTCATAAAGCGTACTGCAATAGTGATTAGTATAGTGATAGCTATGAACTGCTTCGCACTGAATGCGCCAGAGAATGCTGAAGGCGGTCGTCATCCGAGAAGAGCACATTTGCGGCAACTGCAGAGAGCGCATTTGCTCTGGAATATAGAGTAAAGCGCTCAGAATTGGGCATCTCTATTGTTGGAGCTCATTGTGTGATCTGGTACATAATATAACATGCTTTCGGTGATTCTTTTCGGGCGTATGACGTATGTATCGCACCAGAATATCCCGGCACGGAAAGAGCTGCATGCGTACAATGGAAAAGAAGAGCGGCAACTTCCGAGTATACGCAGGTACTACGAGCTCCAGAGTACTCCATCTTTTCGCACAAGTGCGTCTTAGCATCCGGACGCTGCTTCAGGATATATCAGTAGAATGCTTATGCCGAACGAAAGCAACCGAGAGTCGAGAACGAAGGAGCTGGACTACGAGGATGCCATGAAGACCGTCGGCGTCTTCCCCGTGTGTAAGGGGAAGGCAGTGCTGACGGAGAGCAACGTGTGTCGTGTTTGAAAACTGCCACCACGGCGAGGAAGCAAGATGCACCACCTCTACAGCTTTTACCGGATGGAGGCAGATTCTCCCGAGAAGGTAAATTGTTAAATAGAAGGATGTTTTAGGCATTCATCTTCTACTGCCGGGGATAACTGCCAAATATCAAGTTGCAAGAACGGATTGAGCATCTGTTTTCTTTCCATACAGAATACAGCAGGGCAAGCAGCTGAACCACGCAAGCAGCCCGCAAGCTAGATTGCACACAATATTGCAGACGCTGAATAATAGCATGAGGAAGCTCTCCACCCTCGAAAGCGCCTTCATATGCGAGAAACTCCGAATAACCTCCGATGAAGCGGTCGCAGCGAGGCATCGAACAGAAATCAATGCGAGAGGCCAAGATATTGAATAATGTCTCCGCTGACTGACAGAGCTAGTGATCGTGCCTCGCGCAAGTACGTCGACAAAAGAGAACAAGGAATCCGGGGCAAGGTTTCCGGATAGAGAGTTCTGGGAAATAGGATGTGTACTGGGGAATGTGCTGTATGAAAAGCACATTGCGAAACAAGTGCTGGCATCATAAACCGAGTAAGGTGGAAATTCAAAATGGAATTGGTCTGTAGACTTGATGGCCCTGTCCAGCTGATGGATCGATAACTACATGGAGACATTCCGGGATTTTGCTGGGGAAATTGTCGTGTAGAGGAGGGCATGTATTGGTGGCTCTAACCTGCCCGCTAGTCACCCAAATAGAGATGGAGCGACGCTTCTGGGAATATGATTGGACATCATACCAGACAATTTCAAGTAAAAGCTGCTCCACATAAAACGACACTGATCAAGCAGGCAAGCATGCTCAATTCTCGATTAACAAATCCGCAGACGTAGAAGAATAGCTTTGGCTGCTTTCGAAAGACCAATTCAGACTATGGAGTTTCCAAAGTCCAACGGAGATCCCACTCGGAAATGCGAGACTAGGTATTGATCGGTACCGAGAAACTATGGGGTAGGTGCGCTACCGTGAGGCTGACACTCAACTAGATAGAGTCATCTGCAGCAACGGATCCTTCTTTGCAGGTAGCAGATATAAAAATATATGACACGGAGCGTTTGTTGGAAAACTGGATGAAAAGTTATGAAGTCTCCGATTGGGCCAGCATCCTCCGCGGATCACCAGTCTGCGCGAGCCTTGAAAATGCTTGTTGGTGCTCGGCTTGCCAGAAGCGGTTGATACACATGGCTCCAAGCTTAGGCCGAACGAGGTTAGATGAAGAAAACACCTACGAATTCTCGCTTCGTAGGTTGAAGGTCGAAGCATGGGTACGCGTATATGCGTTCCACTTCGAACGACGACGGCCTGTCCCTAAAGAGAGACCACTTCCCACGCGAGAAATATTTCTTAGTTTTCCTCGCAATAGAGACGCAGGAGCTCATTATTCGATGTTTCGTATCTAAAACAAACACCAATGGTACAGACCTACACAAACCTTCCAACTACTCTGCTTCGGTGTCTGCACCAGAAAAGGACTGCAAAACACTCGCAGTACCACGGAATATTTCCAATATGATCATTTCGCAAAAAAGAGATAGAAAATACGCTATTGGGGTACTTCTGCGTTTCGGGTGGTGGACGAGCCTCAGCAACTGATAGTTCGTTATTCGCTATCCTTCTTACCTAGAGCCGTGACCTGCTGAACCCTGCTGACTCGCACCTGGAAGGAGCAGTACTCGGGAGTTACTCATTCGAATGAAATCCCACTAGCCTATATATAGCTTTCAGTACCTCTTTCAACTTGAATATTTCGGACTATGTACCCCGAATTCCCTACGTCCGTTACGCTCCAGTCTCGACATCAACGTGAATTCTTCATCGCATCATGATGACCCCAATTCAAATTCCTCTGCAGTGCGCGCGCGCGTTTCGCGTTTTTGGCGCTATCACTTTGTGCGTTGTTGTTTTGGCTTTCACAACACACGGTGGTTACGTTCGTGTTGACCATAACGAAAAAACAATAGTGAAGATATATTCACGCAAGAAAGAACAAATACCCGTATTTATTGGACTGAGAGAGCGTCGAACGAGATGTTTCGAGCTCGCTCTCTGGTACGTGGCCTGGTTGTTGCTGTTTGTCTATTGTTGGCGGCCACGTTTTCCGTGTCGCTTGTAGCTGCGTTGTCGCCTGTGAGTACGGTTAGCTGGACCTGGATAGGTGGAGAGACGGGTAGAGATAATCCTGGTAATTATGGAACGCTGAACCAGACTTCAGCAGATAGTGTTCCAGGTGGCCGTTACGATTCTGCAGCCTGGGTCGGAAGTTCGAGCTTGGTATACTTGTTTGGCGGGGTTGGGGGTGGAAACCCATATCTGAGCTACTTTAATGATCTATGGACCTTCAACTTGACCTCACATGAATGGACGTGGATAGGAGGTTCCTCAGAAGCCGACCAACCAGGAGTGTACGGCACAGTCGGCACAGGCAGCCCAGCCAATACACCTGGCAGTCGTTATCGAAGCGCGTACTGGCAGATGGACGAGCAGCATTTCTGGTTGTTTGGTGGCCTCGGTTATGATCGGAATGCAAACTTTGGCCCCATGAACGACATGTGGATGTACGATACAGAAAGCAGAGTCTGGACTTGGGTCAGCGGGAATGATACGGTAAATGCCGGCACGATATATGGAGCGGAGGGCGTCTTTGGTCCTTCCTACAATCCTGGGTCCCGAGGCAGTGCATCATTCTGGTTGGGTGCTGACGGTACTTTTTGGTTGTTTGGTGGTGAAAATAATCTTGGGGATTCTGTCTCCGATCTGTGGTCATTTAATCCCACTACACTGCAATGGGCATACAGAGGCGGATCACAACTTGCTAACCAGCCTGGCAACTATAGCGCACCTGGCGTGGCGAACAATTCGAGTGCACCAGGTGCGCGCATCGTCGCGAATACCTGGACAGATTTTGAAGGAAATCTCTGGATGTTCGGTGGTCTTGGCTACGGCGACAGCACAGCACCAGGACAAGGGAAGTTGAATGATCTCTGGGTCTACAACATAAGTCAATCTGTATGGATTTTTATCGCAGGGAATACCACTATTAACAATCCAGGATCTTATGGAAGTCTCGGTGCTTTCGCCCCAACCAGTTACCCTGGTGCAAGAGACTCAGGCGTGAGTTTCGTGGATTCTTTGGGTAATCTGCTACTTTTTGGTGGTGAAGGATATGGGAATACTCGTGAGAGCCCCGGTGATTTGAACGATTTGTGGGTATTTGATATGACACTGGGTCAGTGGGCGTGGATCAATGGCAGCCAAAATGGATTTGCACTTTCCGTATATGGATTTTTGAATAAGACCAGCCCTAGTGTTTCGCCTGGCGGTCGAACTGGGTCAGTTTTCTGGAACACAAGTGGGACTGATCCGGTCATGTTTGGCGGATTTGGATACTCAAACACTAGCATTCCTGGCTATCTCAATGATGTTTTCGCACTGAGTGAAACGTTCTTTACGCCTACCCCTACGCCTACGCCAACATCAACGCCAACTCTGACACCAACGATTACGCCAACTGCTACTGCGACCCCGACACCCACGCTGACACCTACACCGACACCGACACCGACTGCGACACCGACACCGACACCGACACCGACTGCGACACCGACTGCGACACCGACTGCGACACTGACACCGACACCTACACTGACACCGACACCGACACCTACACCTACACCTACACCGACACCGACTGCGACGATGACTCCGACAATTACATCATCGCCAACGATTACTGTAACAGAGTCTCCAACGACAGTGACGATGACGCCGACGATGACTCCAACTGCAACAACGTCACCAACAATCGTGCCGACGACGATTTCCACCTCGATTGCGATATCCGTTCAGAATCTTTCTCTTTGTTTGGCCGTGGCGACGGATTTGCAGAACGATCTCGAGGCTCGCTTCACGGGCCAGGTAGTGAATGTCAGCGTGACTGATAACTGCGACACGGTCTTCGGTTCGGGCACATCAAGGCGCCTCGCCACCACATTAGACAAGAGCAATCTTCGTCTGGAACGAGCATTGGTGCGCACTTCGGGCGGCAGTGTTGTGACCTATGTGATTAAGATCTCAGGAGACACATCCCTCGCCAGTGAACTGCAAAGTGTGCTTCAAACTTTCACCGACCAGCTTTCTACAATTCTACCCTCTGGTGCGACACTTGCTATTATAACCCCGACACCGAGTGCAACGCCAACACCAGTTTGCACGAGTGAAATCTGCGGTTCTCCGGGCCAGTACACAAACCAGGACGCTTGCGAGCAAGTCGGGTGCTGCTTTAACTCCCAGACGAACGCGTGCACCCTGAAGAGCGTCTCAGCGGCGTGCAGCGCTGTTCCAGTGACGCAGCGCGTCCCCTGCGGCTGGAGCTACATCTATCCCGACGAGTGCACTGCGATACCGGGATGCTGCTGGCAGCCAACGGCAAACGGCATCCTGGCACCCTGGTGCTACTACGACATCAACCATGCACCGCAGGCCTCTGTAGCGCTGCAGGAGGTGCAGGCACCAGTACCCGTCTGCCCGTCACCGGGAGCGCAGCGCCAGCCGTGCGGCAACGCGGGTATCAACCAGTTTACGTGCTATGCCCAGGGCTGCTGCTACGACTCGCAGGCGCAGAACCAGTGGGTGCAGAACGGCAAGCAGCAGAGCGACTTTGAGTCGAACCCGTACTGCTTCCAGCCCGAGAAGACGTGCGCGGTGGGCGAGTTTGAGCGCCAGCCGTGCACGAACGCGGTGAATCAGAACCAGCAGCTGAACAATAACATCAACAACAACCAGTTTGTGCGTCTGCTGAACACGCTCCTGTACGGAGAGCAGCACGGGACGCAGCGCACGAGCTACTCGCCACAGCAGTGTCTGGAGGCTGGTTGCTGCCTGGGGCTCAGCAACGAGTGCTTCCAGCCGATGACCGAGTACGTGTGCCAGACCTACGGGTATGTGTCGAACTCGCTGAGCGGCACCACTAGCAACGTATCGAACTCGAGCTATATTGCTTGCGGCCCCGAGTGCTGCAACGCCGAGACGCAGAACTGCACGTACAACCCGTTCAGCAACAACAACAACCAGCAGCAGCAGCAGCAACTGCAGCAACAGCAGCAACAACAGGTGCTGCTGCCGTCATTCTGTGTGTGCAAGGACCCTACGAAGCAGTGCGGGACGTACCTGATCCCTTCGGATAACCTTGTGAGCAAGGTGCGTTGCTGCCGCGCTGACGAGGAGTGCATCAACAACCAGTGTGTGGTGATTAGTTCAACACCGACTCCGAGTCCCGTGGCTGTGACAGCGGCACCCTCTGCGACGGTGTCTGCAACAGTCTCTGCGACAGCTTCTGCGACGGTGTCTGCGAGTGCATCAACGAGTGCATCAGCGAGTGCTTCAGTTTCAGCTTCTGTGTCGACGTCTGCGAGCGCCTCGGAATCAGCGACATCTTCAGCTCCACCGACTGCGTGAGCGAACGTTTCAACTGTTAATTTGCCCACAGTCTAGATCACGTCTATGCTGATCCTCTGTTGCGACAATATTCCACTCATGTTCACAAGACCCGAGAGTACGAATGAACGAATGCGTTAATGTGGATATTTGTGCGCGAAGTGTCATCTGAGGTCCTCTTCGGGGGCTGACATTCAGAGATCTGATGAACAGAAAGAATGGACCAGAATTTGCTTTTGGAACGTAAAGGAATGATTACCTATGCCTATGAGCTTGCCCCCGATGATAGCCTTGGTGGTAATGGCGGTATCTTGGTACCCTTTCTTCTCTTTGTAGTCGGAATACGGTTTCCGAGTTGCATGTAGCGAGTATGTCTGCAGTAGAGCGTCTGGAACTGTTTTTTGAGTTTCGTTGTACTTGAGCACATTCTAGTCCTGAGGAGAGGTTCTGGAGCAAATTTGACTCGATCCGTACAACCGCAAATTTCACCAAAATCCGATTCCTCTTGAGGAAAAGCTAATATTCGTGACGCCTGCCTACGGGCTCCGGCTCCGCTTGGCACGAATGGAAGCAGGGCCGCCAGCCTCACAGCGCACTTATAGCTCTAACATTGAAAGTGCTTATAGCTTGTTCTGGCGGTCGAGGCATCGTCTCGATATATTCACCACTGTTGCCTACCGTTGCTCGTAGGCTACGTCCATAAAACCGTCTGAAGTGTTGTGCTGATTTCCGGATTATGTTTATGTCTTGTACACTAGAAAAAAACGAGAACGAAGTGGTGGTAAGCCGTGAAGACGTAGATGCGCAGTTACCGTTACTCGGTCCAGAGGCACATCATGCCAGGCAGTCACATCCTGAGACGAGCTGTACGCTATGTAAGCATTACCACAGCACCTTGAGCACAGCTGGAGGCATTCTAGAAGCGGCCAGTATCGATTCTAAACAATTGATCTTGTTCTATATCATTGCAAACAAATTGGTAAACGGATCCGTTGCTAATAAATGGACACAGGACCCTCGGAAGATAGATAAACGACAAGGCAGCGGATGATGTATCGAATACAGAAGAACTCGAGTTGCCCATTTTCCACATTTTCTGTCACATCAGTCCTGTTACAGCCATGGCAGCAATATCTTCACGAAAAGCATCAACTATTACCACATATACTCTAGGTACTCTTCGCAAATACGTTCTGAATAAGCGACGTGACGCGCCCGCACCGAACGCCTCTCAAAAGACAAACGTTGCCCCCGGCCGTGTACAGTAGTGGCGAACGCGCCCTAGGCAAGGGGTCTCCAACTGACGTGCAGACGCCTCCCCGTTTTTTTGGACCGGCCACCAACGTCTGCTTCCATTTTTTCTCATATAGTTCGACTTTGAGAGGTTGTCCAATAAAATCCTCTTGTGTCCAGTCTGGAGGTCTTTTCTCCAGCACCGCACATCTCCGTATATTGATAGCGGCATTAAAATCTCGGTTCACGAACTCCATACATTTCGTGCCGTTGGGAGCTGTACTCACCAATACGAGTAACCCTTGAACTTTCGCCTTCCTTTACAGTTGCTCCTCCGCCAGCGGTCCGTACTTTTGCAATTTCCTCAGCGCTCTTCTGGCACTTTTCCATCTCTACCCTCTGAAGCGTGCAGCCCAGTTCCTGGTATGTATAGGACGTCCGGAACTCATATACAGGTATCGTAACGAGACGCCGGGCGCACTCCTTGTACAGCTTCGTCGCTGGAGCTGGCGTAGTTCCTTTTCTGTTCTTCCAGCGCCCTGCTCCATACGCTACTACGAGCCTCTGACGGTCATCCCCCTCAAAGGCGCTCAACTGATTGAAAAAATTCGCAAACGCCCGCTGCTTCACACCGTATAGATTCATTCGCAGACGAGCCCACCGGGGCTTTTTATACTCCTCCCACAGCGCATCCCAATGGGCAACACGAAATTCCATGAATTTCCGAAAAGCTTCATAGACCGCTCCGCGGCTCGTCGCCTCGCTCAAAGCTTCCAGGTGATGCTTTATTCCTGCATTCCACGTAACGATTATCATCCTTGCATTCACTACAACGGATTCTCGATGGTATCTCGCTCTCGAGAACCTCAGCAGACGCATGTCTTTCTGGCGTAAATTACCGTCCATGCCATCTTCCGCACGCTTCGGTGCTGCGATGGTGATGATATTCGTGTTCCCAGGATCCGCGCCAACCACAATGTCTTTATCCTGCACTTCCTGTATGGCAGGATCCGCCTCTTTCTTTCCTTGATGCCTCGTCGCGTCAACCATTAAGTCGTTATCCTGCACATTCTGTTCGGCAGGATCCGCCTCCTTCTGACCTTCATCCTTCACCGCGCCAACGACACGGTCGTTATCCTGCACTTTCTGCATCACAGGTTCCGCCTCTTTCTCTTTTTCATCCTTCACCGCGTCAGCGACAAAGTCGTCATCCTGCACCTCCTGTGTCGCAGGATCCGCTTCTTTGATTTTTTAATGCTTCGCAGAGGGCGAAGCGAAAGGCACAATCGGACGGTCCACTTTCAAGCGCCGATAGTGTACATACAAGGTTACTCCATCGGTCTCGATCAACGCAGTGAATACCTTTTGGCTTCTCACTTTGAGCCGTTTGAAATTGAAGATGTTCTTCAAGTACGTCGCCCGGTTTTCACCGGTGAAGTCATCCCTGATAACAGTGAACACTGGACTGATCTCCTTCATGATGCCGTAAAACACGTCCGAATCGATATTCACGAAATGTGACTTGATGCTGCACATTGGAACCACGTTGAAGCGCTTACCCATTAGGACAGCCTTCCGTCTCTCCCAATCTTCTTTTTTTCTTCACTCAGCTTCATCTCCGCATTTCGCTCGAGTTCTCGGTCGAGAAACATGAAATAGCGCAGAATAAGACGATAGTATCTTTCCTTATCTTTTTTCAACTCTGATGTCTTGTCTGTTGGATTCGCCGGCCCCAAGATTGCACGGTGCTCTTGTATAACCGAATGGATTACAGAAGTATCATTCGTGCTGTCGTTAAACGCCTTCGTGTCGACGAATTCGACTTCACCTTCATGCTTGCGATCGTTCTTGATGCCGTTGATAATCTCCCATATTCCTTTGCGAGAGATACCCGGGTACAGCGCAAACACGGCGCGTATCATGAAACGTTCGAGTTTCACGATCACGTGAACCACAGTTTCGTGATGTACTTCGTCGCCCCTTATACGTAAACATTCGAATCACCCCTGTACAGAGTACTGTTGAAGCTGTAGAGGGGATGTTTTTCGTAAAGGCCATGCACTAGCACATTTTCCCTCCGCGTTTCCGCTGTGCCAAGCATTAGGTGTCGAATAAATGTCTTACCGAAAAAATCGTCCGGAATCTCGACCGTTTCCAAGTGCGCCACGTTTTCGTACATCTCCCTCGCCAAATGCATCAGTCTTGACAACGCCTTGAAAATACCAATGGAGTACGAATCGAATCGTTTTTTGATAGCGTCTCGCAAATTTTCCCTGTAAGGATGCTTGATTTGTTTAAGAAGACAGGCTTTCACCATCATCTCGTCGAACAGTCGTCTTTCTTGCCGCCTTCGACTTAGGGCCTCCCCTTTTGCTTCTTCTTCTTTTCCTGTTCTTCTGGACTCGGCTCTGTTTTTTGTTTTTATTTCTGGCAGCAGGCGACACTGGGCCTCCAGGATCGTCAACTTGCTTTTTCATAGCTTTTCTTTTCATTTTTTTGTGTGAAAAAGAACGCTCTTTGAACCCTTCTATTATATACTGCGAGAAATCAATTGAATATGTTTACTTGAGGGTTGAGACACAATCGAACTGGAAACTATATTTTGTTACGACTTCCACGCAAATACAGCTTGCCCGTTAGAACATCAAGAAAACGTGTCGTCACGGTCGCGTTTCTCTTCAAAGGCGACAGATGCGTCGTGTCTCGTAAGTGCCATACTTGGAGATGCACGTATCGAGCGCGCCATACAGGAAAAAGGACAGTGACCTACGATTTACAAGAAACGATATAAAATTTTTTCCCGCTCTACGATAAGCGTTTAAGGGGAAATAGATCGCCGTATTATCGGAAGCTTATGTTCGAGGCGGAAGGTCCCGCGAGCCGGTCGAGTCTACCGGGCTAGAGCTCGGTATGCCTCTAAAGTGGCCGCTGCCGCTGCTGCTGCTGCTGCTGCAAGACCTGCGCAGCTCGTTCACAACGCATTTTATCCTGAGAATATGCACAGGACGCTGCGTTGGGCCTCGCACTGGTCGCAGTGGAATCCTAGTACAGCACTTCGCGCTGTCGCAGGTAGTAGGTCTGTCTGCGCATTTTGCATGTTCCCAGAATGACAAATAGCCCTGATTCCGTTTCAGGTGAATCATTCCTCGAGCGGACGCCCTTAGTGGTATGGCAAAGCCGTTCTGTCTCTGTGCAGCACCTGCTTCAGCGGTATAAGCGCTACAGCGGGTGCTCACAACAGGCTCGGCGCTCGATAGAACATACGAAACGACCAATATATCAGAGAGGTAGTATGGATAATGGGACTTGAGGACAGGTGCACTATGATCGAGATATCCCCGGAAGCCATCGTGCGTTCCAAATTCTGGGATGCATTGTCAATGCAAACGTTTTTTCATCAAAAAGAAAAAAACGCCCCGAGGCGGACTCGTCATCGAGACGCGCATCGCTCTGGATCGAATCTCCGGAAGGCGCTTCTGGGCGATCGCGAAAGCCCTCAAGTGCATCTTTGTGTCCTCAACGGATAGCATGATTTATTCGGGGCGCTCAGTCTCGAGCGTTCCCTCTGACTTAAAGCAATACCTTCGTGGATCCGACAGCTGTGTTATCAAAGAGCACTGTACCTAGTTTTGGCGAGGCCTATAGTGCTGGAGAACAAAACGATCACGGGTTTGTAGCGATCTCGGCACCAGTGCTGGAAACAACCCTGCACCGCAGCTCGGGCGATCTGAAACCTGTAGTCGGACTTTTTCGAGGATCTGTCTGGCAAGGAAGCAAATCGTGGAACTGTGCTCTTTGGAACGACGTCAGGGATCGACGAGGCGGCGGCTGAGCTTCAGGGAAGTCTCTTTGGGGAGGTCTCGCCTGCGATCGACACGCCGGGTGCGGCGCTTGCACGTTCGTACCCCGTCCGCATCACCGTGGTTGGAGCTGGTGACGTTGGCGTTGCTTGCGCCTATAATATTTTGACCCGAGATATTTGTAGTGAGCTGGTACTGGTGGACGTTCTCAAGGACAAACTCAAGGGTCAAGTTATGGACTTGCAGCATGGAGGTGCGTTCTACAGCACCCGCATCCGGGCTGCCGAGTCCTACGAGGATACAGCACATTCGGCAGTATGTATTATAACGGCAGGTGTGCGTCAGCGGCCCGGAGAAAGTCGTCTTGAGCTCATGGATCGCAATGCCGCATTGTTCAAAGGCATTATTCCGCCCCTGGTGCAGTATTCGCAGAACACAATCCTGTTGGTTGTGAGTAACCCCGTTGATCTACTGACACATCTAGCGTGGCAGATGAGTGGCTTGCCCCGCGAACGTGTGATTGGCTCAGGGACATATTTGGACTCTTCGCGTTTCCGCACACTTCTGGCGCAGCGGCTGGGCATCGATACCGCTTCCGTCCAGGCCATGGTACTGGGCGAGCACGGAGACTCCTCGTTCGTGTACCGGAGTGGTATTACGGTTGGTGGCGTACCGTTGCGAACATGCTTCGAGCGCATGACCGACGCTGCGAGCGCGTCCACAGCATTCTATGATCTGGTGAAAGGTGTCCATCAGCAAGTTGTAGCCGCGGCTTACGAGGTCATTAAGCTGAAAGGCTACACCAACTGGGCCATTGGCAGCGCTGTTGGAAGCATCGTTACAACGATTGTGCATGATCGGCGCAAAGTGCTGCCAATAACGACGCATGCGGGCTCGTTGCGAGGCCTCGAGTCGGCGGATGTATTCTTGTCGTTGCCATGTGTGCTAGGTCGGAATGGTGTCGTTGAAGTACTACAAATACTGCCGTTCATGGAAAGTGACGAGAAAGAAGACCTCCAATCCAGTATAGAGGCACTCCAGAGCACGCCGAAGAAAGCATCTTGAGCATGTTGCCTGCGCATGGTAACGCGTTGGATGCGCATCGTTTACAGGGACGTTAATCAAATGCCTCGTCGAAGTGCGGGCTCTGCACAAGCGTGCTCGGTCTGTACTCAAAATAAGCGGATGGACAAGGAGGACTGAGATATGCTGGATACCTATGCCAAACTGGTAGGTCTTGGCACCGTACAAAAGGTGTGGAGGGGAGCGTCCGTAACCATCTCGGCGAGCTTGTTCCAAATGGACAGCATTGCTGAAGGACAAGGTGGCACCAGAATTGCAGCTGCAGAGTAGCGTTCGCCTACTATCATCATTGAAACCTGCTAGTCGTGTCATGGATACCGGATGTGCTGGAGTTCGCATCCGCAACAGCGAACAAGGATCAAATCAACTGACTCAAAATTCTCCAAAGCGATGCGTGGATGAAAGCTGGCGAAAGTTGCGGGTCTGGTACGGCATAACGTACGCTTACCCGGATGCCGATATGTATCGCGCCTGACCCGAGATTCCCTGGTTCAGGTCAACCATCCTAAACCGCAGGATAAAAGTATGCCATGATTTAACGTTCACTGATGTTGGCTGGACGGCATCGCAACGCTCCACGAACCTGGGCGCGGCGCCGAAGGCTTAGTTTCCGAGTATGACCGTGACAGACTTTGCTCTATGCGTATGGATCTGGAAAACACGAGCCGGAAGTGTGCATCAGCACGCATGGGCGACGAATAAAACCCTTAAAGCGACGTACGAACAGTGACCTAACGATGCAAGTGGAACGAACCGAATACCCTGAGGTAGGTATGATGGCACAGCTTCTGCCTTGAGAGCGGCTGCACAAGCGCTTCAGTGCGGTAGAGGCGAAATCGTGCCGAAACGTCCGAGTCGCGTCAGCGCTTCTAGTGAACAGGAATGTGCCTCCAGCTTCTCTGACGTCCCTCTCGCGTCCCAGAAATTCTGGTACAAAGTTTCGCTCTATGCAGCACAGGCGCTGATGCAGCGCTCCTTCGGAAGCCCTGCCTTCCGCAAACTTGCACCGAGACGTTCCGTACGCAGCTATTGTGGTTATGCTTCAAAAGCAGAACGGTATTGCAGTGTCTTGGAAGCGTCGGCTAGAGCTTCTGAGACCGAAACGTCTCGTAAGACCACCGCAGCCGACGACAACAAACATCTTTCGAAACAAAAACGTTGCTGCCGACAGTGTACAGTAGTGGCGGCAACCGCGCCCTAGACAAGAAGTCGCCAACTGACGTGCAGACGCCTTCCCGCCTTTTTCGACCGGCCACCTACTGCGGACACCATTGTTTCTCATATAGTTCCAGTTTAAGAGGTTGTCCAACAATGGACTCTCGTGTCACCGCTGGGAGTCTTTTGTCTATTCCCGCACATCTCCGTAGATTGATTGCAGCGTTAAAGACTCGGTTCGCGAACTCCATACGTTTCTTGCCGATGGTAGTCGTACTTACTAATGCAAGTAGTCCACGAGCTTCTTCCCTCCTTTCCATTTCCTCTCCCGTCAGCTATCCCTTACTTTTTTATATCATGACGACTCCGCGGGCACTTTTCAATCTCCATCTTCTGAAGAGTACATCCCAACTCGTGGTGTGTATACGATGTTCGGAACCCACCCACAGGTACCGTAGCGAGACCCAGTGCGCACTCCTTGCCCATTCCTGCCGTTGGAGCTGGTGGAGTCCCTTTTTTTCGGAGCCCAGCTCCCTACACCATATGTAACAACGAGCCTCTGACTTGATCCTATTTCAAGGCGTTCAATCGATTGAAAAAGCTCGCGAATGCGTGATGCTTACCACGGCACAGATTCATACGCAAACGTGCCCAGCGGTGCTTTGTATACTCGCCCTACAGCGCCACGGAATGAGCAACACGAACTTCCATGAATTTCAGAAAAGCTTGAATGTCCGCTCGTCAGCTCGTCACCACGCTCAAAGCTTCCAGGTGATCCTTCATTCCTACATTCCACGTAACCATCTTCTTCCTTGCATTCGTTATACCGGATTCTCGATTGTATCTCTCTCTCGAAAACCTCAGCAGAAGCATATGTTTGTGACGTAAGGTGCAGTCAGTGCAATCTTCCCTTCGCTTAGGAACAGCGATGGTTATGATATTCGTGCACCAGGGACTAAGGCCGACGCCAAAGTGGTTTTCATGGGGCTTATACGTTCCATAGCCCGTCAACCTGTGTTCGTTCTTCGGCAACGCCCGTAACGAAGACGGGATAGGACGAGCTGCCTTCAACCGCTGATGGTGTACACATATGTGCGCCACATCGAGATCGATTGTTCCAGTGAATAAACTTTTTTTGGCCGGTTCGGGACGCTTGAAATCGAAGATATTCTTCTCGTAGGCGTCCCGATCTTCACCGGAGACCTATTTGTTGATTACATCGAGCTCTGGACAAATCTCTATCGTGAAGTCGTGAAGTACTATGGAGTGGTTACTCACAAAATGTGACTTGGACTCGCATAACTGACCGACATTGAAGCGCATCTGGAGAAGACTTCAATGTCGTTTCTCCCACTCGTCATTTTTTCCTCACTCAGCCCCATGTCGGCTCTGCGGTCGAGGTCTCGGACCGAAAACATGAAGCAGGGCAGGATGAGGGAGTAACAACTCTCTCCGTCGTTTCTCATATCCGAGAGTTTTCTCTTGGGTTGACATGACCCAAGACCGAACGATGTTTTAGAATAGTGGCGCGAATTACAGAAGCATCATTCATTATCCTGCGTGATGTCCTCTTGTCGACGAGTCTGATCTCCTGTCCATGCTGGCGATCGTTCTTCATACCATCGATGATTGCAAGCATCACTTCGCGAAATGTGCCCGGGTACAGCACAAAGACGACGCGTATCATGAAACAATCGAGGTTTGCCATTTTATGGTTCCTCACATTCATAAGGCACCTCTTTGCCCTGTATTCGTAAATGTCTGCGTCACCCCTGTGTTCAGCACGGAAGACGAGGAATTTGGCGTAATTTTTGAGAAAGGCATGCACTCGCTCACTTATCCCCGATGTTTTCCCATTAAAAACAATCAGGTAGTTGATGAAAGTCTTTTGGAAAAATTTTTCCGGAAACATCATTTTCGCAATAAGCGTTACGTCCCGATGCAGGTCGCTGTCCAAATGCCAACGTCCTAAAGAAAAGCTCCAAACATACCCGGCCTACGATCCGCCACGGTTTCTGATAGCGTCTCGCAACAATCAGTCGTACGGATCATTGATATGTTGGAGAAGATAAGATTCCACCACCATCTTGTCGTACAGAAGTCACAATTTCGGCCTTCGATGTAAGGCCCCCCATGTTGCTTCTTCTTCTTTTCCTGACCCTCTTCGCTAGGCAATATGTCTCATTTCATTCTGACACCCGGCAGCACCGGCCACCCCAAACCCACTACATCATACTACATAAGTGTCAGATTTTTTGGGAGAACATCTCATTGGACGCTTCTGCTTTGAACGGCGAGAATCTGGTGAATAGAGTTACTTTAAGATTGGAACGCCACTGAAGCCAAAACTATACTTTGCTACGATTCGATCGCAAATACAAGTGGCCCCGATAGAGCAGTCGCTCCAGAAGAGGTCATTACCGCGTTTTTCTTGATCGGAGAGGCGCACGTTGGGTGACGTGACGGCCAGATTTCGCGATGCGTTACCAGGACGCACGACAGAGAAAATGCAAAAAAATTAACCAATATGCACAAACAGGATAGCAAGTACTATTGCAACCTAGTGTAAACGTAAAGAAGATGATTTCGCGTATGGTCAAAGTGTTACATTTAATCGGAAGGTCTGCGTGCCGCGAGACTACCGGCCTGCCCTCCGTGTGACTTTCAGTGGAGAGTGATATGAGACACTTGGGCAACTCATCCAAAACGCAATTAATTTCGGGACTAGGAGCAGGCATGCTGCGTCTGAGCGCTAACACCGTCGCGGTGAACAGATAGTACGCCGTTTTACGCTACCGCATGCAAATCGTCTGCAAGATCCGCTTGGAGGCTCCAAAGAAAATAAATCTCCCTGATCCCATGTAGCATGAACCAAGCCCCTTCCAACGCGCCCAGTGGTATGTCAGAGCAGCCCTGCTTCCGGAGAGCACCCACAGCGGCGATAGAGAGGCTACAACGGGTGCTCAAGGTAGGTAAACGGCGCACGATAGAAAGTCAGATACAATCAGTACAGCCGAGATTAGGTAAATGCGACAAAAATCACCGAAATTGTCCAGCGTGACGAAGGATTTTCCGAAACAAGTATCAATCCGGCAATCTCGGCGTCTGGTCAGTAAAACAGGCTCTGTCGAAACAAACAAAAGCAAAGCGCTGGAAGGAGATCCATAAGGGCACTGGTGTGCTGGATGTAGATAAGACAGATGCGTATTTGCTCAGATCGTACCGCCGGAAAAATACCCGAACGAACCTGGATTGGTAGACATCGCTCTGACAGATGCTTTTGCTCTGAGAACACCGCAGTAATGGGGCATTGCGTCGAATGGGGGAATGGGGGG